TCAAACGACGACTCGCATACTTTCTCGGCCAACCCTCTTCCCGCCAACTCCGCTCGTCCGGTATACCCGCGCATGGCGACACCAACACCCACCGAGCTGAAGTACCTCCTCGCCGCGCATCTCTCAGCCGCTGCATACCCACTCCACTGCAGCACCGGCTATGCGCGCGGAGAAGAGCAATACGACCGCTCGTTTCACCCTCGGAGCTGACGGAGAGGGGGAAGGAAAACAAAACCTTCTTTCCCTCCCGTTGACGGCCAATCTCACCCGGCCGTTCCCATGAGGACCCAGCGCCGGCGCTACGGGACCCTCGGACTCTTTGCATTACTCGCCTCCTACCTTTTAATCACTCTTTTACACTCTCCCTATTCTCCGGACCTCTGCTTCGATCCGGCCGCTTGCGCATTCGACATCCATTCTATTGCGTATCCGATCGTGCGGGGGTTGCAATTTACCGGATCTCGATCTCCATTCTCACCGCTGACGCGCAGATGTGGAGATCGACGCTCCTCTCCCCGGCCGCGGCGCCAACAATTGGCTGGCAATACCCCGCGCCTTTCTTGCCAGCCCTGTTCATGGCCAGATCAGCTGCGCATTGTTCGATTGCGCTGCCGCTTCGTGCGTCCAATTGACGTCAATGGAGACACGAGTGTTTCTCCATTTCTCATCGGATTCTCTTTTCTCTCTTCTTTTCCCTTTTTTTTTTTTTTTTTTTTTTTTCTGGGGGCCCTAACTTGCATGTCGAGGTGGCTGGTCACCTCGACTGTCTCAATCTCTTTGTAATCTTCAATTTCGGTCTTGTTTCCTCTTTTCAATGCTTGGCTATTATTTTCTTTTTCTTTCGTTGTTTTAGCCGCATGCATTGGGCCGACTCTGAATCAACGGCATGTATCATAGACTTAATATACCCCCACAGACGCAATTTATCTTATCATCATCACACGATGTCGTGCATAATCTGCCCCAGAATCTACCCCAAAACGAGTCATCTATATTTCTACCGGTTGATTGTACGGAATCCAGTCTGCATAGTACTGTTGTAGCAGGATGAAACACCCCGGCCCGCTCGTTTAACCACCCCGTCCATGCGCCCAGCGCAACAGGGGGATAGTTACAGCGAGGTGCAAGGCGGCGGTCGTCATCCGAGTCACGCAGCCGGGGCAGAAGGGCGACTCCAGGCCGTAGCTAGCAGCTGGACAGACCCCTCCAGCCCCGCCATTGCCTAGCAGCTTAGTATATGCCAATGTTCCAAGTATCCAGAAATCAACCATTCACCCGGTGGCCGATCGGACGTGCCACCGATCTGCCGCGACTCTTATCGTCCCGTCTCCTGACGTGCAGCACGACAATGAGCATGCGCGATAGGGACGTGCATGGCGTTATTTTAGTGCGACGCATGTCGCGCGGTGATGTACATGACGCCAGGCCATCGTAGGATGGGCAACTAGGCTAAGGGTGTTTCTATGCCCCTCCCCCTCGCTGCCTTTTCCCCTTTCATCCGGCTGCAGCGCCAACCCATGCGATAATTTCGCGATAATGTTGGCGGGCCCACGTAAGATCAAGGCTCAACGGAATGGAAACAGGGAGGGAATCAGGAAGTAAGTGCGGCACCGTCCCCTCGGCGGATTGGCCCCCTTCTACCGTTGACCCGGAGGCGCGTCCAGGTAGCTGGGATGCCTTGTCATTGGGGGGCTGTGAGTGCCCCTAGCGGTGGGATTTTCCCCGGGGAAGGTTCATTGGGGGCCTCGGGGCCGTGGTGGGCTTCCGATGGCGGTTGACCTTGGACCGATCATGCGAGAAGTGGGGAGTGCATGGGGGTAGTGCGTGCGGGCGTCCAGTGCGGCCGTTGGTCCGTCCAGCTTGGCCTCGTTATCAATGACAACAGGACCTGATCTTCGTGATAGCTGAGGCTATTGATGCCGGTGCCAAACCCCCACCCAGCCGGTTGGGAATATGTTATGGGAGATGCTCTTGGGGATGGCCTGGCTGGGGCCGGGGAAGTCCGCCTGGGTGGTTGAGCCCCACAAGAGAACCAGAACCGGGTCTCGGCCCTTTTCGCATTCTCGCGGGGCTGAGGTTCAGCTTACTCGTGAGATGTCCATGCTCAAGCTGAAGATGTCTCCAGGGGCTCTCTTGCGTAGCCACGTGTTGTGGCGAGTCATGGCGAGCCGCGATAAGAGCGGCACGGTGTGAGATGCTTGGAGTCTGACATGGACACTAGTGAGACCCGGACGGGGGTTCCAGCCACTAGGGAAAGGGGCTATGTCCTTGGCAGGACACTCTAACCGGCTGTTTTGCGTGAAACGGAGGGTCCGCGATATTTAACAGGGAACAAAAGCGCGCAATGGTGTCATGATGCGCTGCATCGTGGCGTCTCAGATAGAATACAAGGATGCAACTAGAGAGATTCTGAGGCATGTCATGTCTGGGTCAAAGTACCGGAGAGATTGACTATTACAGTGATTTTCTCTTCGCAAATATCTTCTTGATATGGAATCTGACATGGACTCCATTGGATTGGATTGGTCAGGCAATATCACCACCACGCTACTGGACTCCAGTCGGGACCCCGCCGTCTCAGGTGGTGGCGGATAGACTGGAAACACATCGAGATCGACTAGACCACCCGTGGCCACGCCACTTGAATCTTATACATAGAATATAGGGACCTGTGAAATCGACGCCGAAACTAACAGCCTCTAGCTCCAGAAACGGCCTTTATATCTGAGTCCTAGGTTCTTATAGCGTCTATACCTAGGTATACCTCTATGTAATATTCACTCTCCAGGCAAGTTCCGCAGATCCCCTAGATGCAACAAACTCAGACTTGGACGCAAGTATTTGAGCCTTTGGTACTACTCTCCCCGCCGCCTCTCGAATAGCCTCTTCTATAGCCTCATCCGTGATCCCCGTCATGATAACCAAGAGCTTATCAGGAAGGAGTGGACCTCTGTACCAAGGACTTAAGAACTGATAAACAAATTCTGCCACATGCGACGCATGTTTATCGACCCGTGAATTGGCACCCAATTCAAAAGAAGCTATTGCATGAGGGTCAGCGGTCCCCATATCCACATCCACTGCTGTCCGTAAACGTGTTGTGTGTAGGAGGATGGCTTGATCGGTATATTCAACCAGGAGTGTTTCGTGAACCGGTAGTTGGTTTCCCTCATCCTTGCATCGATCCTTGTCCTCAATGTGCTCGCATAATCCTAGCCCGTGTCCCGCATAAGCAGCGTAAGCTTCCCACGGATGGTATTTGTAAAGGCCCGTTAGTTTTGGAAGACCTAGGTACTCCGCCATGTCGTTGATATCTTCTTTGTAGAGTGCCGCAATTCATGGGTAGCTTATTACGACGTATGGAAGGGAGGCGGATTTGCTCAAAGAAAGGAGCGTTTTGACTAGCTCACTCATGATATGGACGTCTGGAGATGCTGCCAGACCTATCTTTTTGCGGAAAGATCGCCATGCTTGTCGGGGTGTGTCGTTCCACATATCTTCCATTGAAGAGTAGGGGGGACTGTTTGGATTAATATGGTGGAAGTTGTATGTTAGGAAACAGTTCGCTTTGGGAAATGTACCTAGGATGGCATGCAGCGCGCGACGACAGTCGCCTTATCATTTCGATATAGCTGGAGTCACCTTCGACGCGAGCAAGGTCCTCGAATGAACCGTCGGAGTGACGAAGGGATATAGCCCTGCGATATGTGAGTGTGATTTCATTTCCACCAAGTTAGGTAGCACCATACCCATATGAAGCCGTGAGAGAAATGCCTATTGATGGTTTCGATAACGTCATTCGATCCTTCTCGTACGGTACGCTCGAAGGCCAAAGGTAGTAGATGCAAATGAATGTCAGTCCTGTGATGAGGTATTTTGAAAGCATCTTTGTGCTCGACCGAGTTGGCGCAATCGATGGATTGCGGGGTTGTTGTTGGAACATCGGGCGTTGTAGGCGCCAGGAGGTACTGTCTAGTACTAGTTGCTGAAGTACGTCCCACCTTGATTGAGCAACGACGGAGTATAAAATTTCTAGGCTAATCTCACAGTAATATGAATTAAATTCGGTGGTAGGATTAATGCGGCCAGCAGCATACATAAAACAAATGTTGTGGTAATAGGCTGCCACAAGTAATCTCAGAGTGGCTGCGGCGCCAAATGCATCTTGGGGTCGGTTTTTAATTAATCTCTCACAACCGCCCCCAAATTCGTTTACTCTCAATCACTCGTCATTGGGCTTGTCTACCAACGCCGGACAGATCCCGTCAAGGCTGCCTTGGTGACGGAGGAGCTATCCAATCTTTCAACGCTATAGCAAAACCCCCGTGTAGAGCCTGCATTAGGGCTCATAACAATTTGGGCTTGCTTTATCGGACCTGGCAAAACGACGATGGAATTCGAGTGGTGCAGCATAGTCTAGAGCATGTTGATGCAACATTTGGGCCTGACCATCTGGAGAAAGCCAAACTGCTTCATACCAAGGTTTAGTGCAGGAGGCTCGACGATGTTTAGACGCGGCGCTGAAGATCCAAAGAAACATTTTCAACACATCACATGCTGAGATTGCTAAAAGTGACCATAAGCTGGCCCTTGTTTGGATGAATCTTGGGAACCACAAACGAGCCCACACTCTTTTGACGGAGGCCCTGGAGTCTCGAGCCAGCATTTATGGCGAACAGTCCAGACAGGCTGCCGAAGTGTTGCAATGTCTTGCTATGATTTATGATGTCGAGGGGAAAGAGGATGTTGCTCAGGGAATATGGATGGAATTGGCATCGGCTCATGGTGATGGGACATACCGGCCCAAACTTGGAGTTGCGATGAAGGACAACTACAGCGTGACATATGACGAGCTTTGAAAATGATCACATTCCCTGCGTTTTAAGTCCGTGATTTAAGCTCTTCGTGGCGATTAGGTGTAAACACACGTGATTCGCCCACGCCAAATCCGTGAGGTCAGCCCGCGGGCCGCCGTTTTCCCTCCAATGCTCAAAACCACCATGGTGCTACAACTGCATGTGTGGGGGCCGGCCTTTTCTCTGCCTTCCATTGATGCCCAATGCCTCGCAGCTATTGCCTACTGCTCCCTAGCCCTCCCCAAGGGCTCGTGGGAGCTGGTCGCGACCAGCGATCCCTCCGTGTCCCCTACTGGTGAGTGACGTGATGCTGCCTTCGCCCAGCTTCCGAACCGCCGGAGCTGGCCAGAACGCCGACAATCCTGTGCGCAGAGGGCTAACCAGATTGCTTTGTTGTTTAGGTGAGCTACCCGCCCTCCAAGATGGTTCGGTGTGGGTGAGCCGCTTCCGCAATATCGTGGACTACCTGCGCCAATACTCAGACGGAGAATGGGATCTGGACCACCAGCTAGATGAAACAGGTCGCGCCGACAGCATTGCGTACGTATAAACCACCAACCAAACTTCCAGTGGACTTGCAAAGCGAGCGAGAGAAAGAGAGGTCCGCTAACATCTGCGTTCCCGGCGCTGCGTTTCAGCTTCTCCTCCTTCATCGAATCCCGCGGCCAGATCCTCCTCGACCTCTCCCTGTACGTCAGCAGCCAGAACTACTACGGCAACACATCGCCTGCATACGGAAGCCTCCTCCAATGGCCGAACCAATGGATCCTGCCGCCAAAGCTGCACGGCGCCGCCAAGGCCCGCACCGAGCACTTGGGTCTGTCGTCGCTGGACCTGCAAGCGATGGAAGAGCAACGCCAACGTGAACACTCGGCCGGGGTGGCAGCTGGTCGAATCCCGAAGAATCTGATCACACGCCCACGCGACACGGTGTCGAAGCTGCTCGGCCGGACGGCACAGCAAAACCACTTCCGGCTGGACGCGCTAACAGGCGAGTTCTTTGAGCCGCTGGAGGCTATGTTGGGTCAGAAGACGTATCTCCTGGCTGCAACTGGGGACGATGCGCCGTCCAGCCTGGACTGCATTGCGCTTGGGTATCTTTCGCTGGCGCTTGTGCCCGAGCTCACTTTCCCATGGCTGCGGGACGCCATGCGCACCAAGAGCCCGCTACTCGCGGAGTACACGGAGCGCGTGCGACAGCGGTGTTTCGGACAGGCACCCGTGGAAGTCGCGCATGCCTTTTCGCCGCAGTCTGCGCCGTCGTCCCAGCTGCCGTGGCGGACTCCTAGCCGCATTTCCGTTGCGGCTGTCGGCAGTACACTTCTCGATACCCTGGCTGATGCTACGCCATTACTGCGCAACGTTCGCAAGTATAACAGCTTGAAGGCTGGTGCTCAGTCGCCGGACGCAGACCTTTCAGGTCTCGAAAAGAACGTTGTTGCCCAGGCTGCAAACAATGGGAAGAAGGACATGTATGCGTCTGTCGCTACGGTCGTGGGTGGCCTTGCTTTGCTGGTGGGCTACATGTTCCACATCGGCATGATCTCTGTCAAGGCACAGGGCCACGGAGAGGAGGAAGGCACAGAAGAGGTCAGTGACATGGACTTCAATGCAGGCTCCGCAGCCGACTTCCTGAGCGTCGGAGGCCTGTGAGCCTACAGTCTATCATGAAGCGAGAAAAAGGCACCTAAACGCAGTGGCATTGGCATCTGTGGACTGAAGCAGAGGGCATCGCATGCATTTTCAACCATTCCAGCGAGAGGGAAAGAACCCAAAATGTACTGTACAATAGAACTTCATTTGCGACTCATCGAGCATCATATGTACGTCTTCACGGCGATATTTACAACATTACACCACTGTGCCTTTGCCCGGAGTGTATCTCTACGAGTCCCTCTCGTTATCCGACATATTCCACGTATTAGTCCCTTTCTTCGAGAAATATGGTGCAGCAACCCACTGCACCCCCGGCCCATCCCTAAACGCCTCCTCCATTTCAACACCCCAGCGTAAGCCCCCGTCCTCATCAACAAACCAGCCCAGCCGTGTGCGCAGATGCTCGTATTCGTCCGGAGAAAGCCGTCCAGCCTGTATCTCGCGCACAACTTCCAGCAGGTTTGCGCTGCCGGCAATGAGCACCAGCACGTCACCGAGACACTCGACGTTGCGCACGAGCCGGCCGAAGTACCGCTTGTGCAGAATCGCGACGACGAGCGTAGTCAGGATTAACCAGGCCATTATTGCGATGCTGAGCCAGACGGCGACGGCGTTCATTTGGAGGAGTTCGACGCGTTGGGAGACGTGCGCCGCCACCGTCCTGTTCGTGTGCGAAATTGGATGCATGTCGTCCTGGTAGGCTGCCGCCTTGGTCGAGGGGAGATAAGAACCCATCTCGAGGACGGGTCCTAGTGTATCAGGCAGACTGGCATTGATCTGCTGGTAACCCCATCCGCCGGTCTCCATGGAGATGTTGTTGCTGACGAAGTGCTGGAAGAAGGTGGTGAATGTCTTTTGTGCCAACGCGAGGTACCTATCTGGGTCTAAAAGGGCTTGGGGGTCTTTGCCGGCCATCGAGTACATCGCGTAGCTCATGAAGTCCATGTTTAATCCGTTAATCTCGTCGCGGATGTTGTAGGTGTTGTCATTCAGGTCTTCGCTGTGGTAGCCCCCGACGTGCTCGGCGCCGTCAAGATGCAAGGTGTCGGCTGCGGTGAGCATGGAGGCCATGAAGAGGCGACCGTAGCTGGTTGAGTGGTTAGCAATGGTTCTTTCCCGTTGTTGTTCCCGTCATTGCTGCCTCGCTCACCTGACTGTTACATTATAGTACACCATGGCCGTCTCCGAACTGAAACGGGTCTGATTATGAGGCAGAAAATTATCTGTGAAAGCTTCCACCATTTCTTTGGGCTGAGTCGTGATATTGAAGGACTGAATTACTCCATTTGCCGGATTCACAGTAACATTCGCGTTAGCAGACTCGACCATTGGCCTGCAGTTCATCAATGTGATTGATGGCGGCGTTGGAAACAGCAACGGGATACTGGAAGCGTATCCACCTACAGGGTTAGCTGTAATGCCCGTTACTGCATTCCCTTGGAACCATTTGACAGTGAAATTCTGGTCCCAGTATCGAGTTGACCACGTTGACAGGTTGGTATTTGGGGACCAGTACCCAACAGCCACGCTCGGGTCCCAAGCACTGCTGCTTGAGTTGCCGCAACAGGCGATGGAGTTTGGGTTGACGAAGACGGTTGTACAACCACGACATGTTGATATAGTCTCGTCTTCTGTCAACGGCAGAATGACACTGGGGCTCTCTCTGTAGATCCAGCTTGTGCCGAGCTCATAGCCGCCTCTGATACCATGAGGGATTGTGCTCTGATTCCATGTCGTCGCATTGCTCAAATCTACGGGTGTGAGCCAGTTGGAGAGATTCGTCAACGCTTGTGCTGGGTACTGGAAGCATTCGATGCGGGCGCGCATGGCAGGTGTGGTGAAGGTGACATTGGATTGGGCACCTAAGACTGTCTTGTCGGAATCATCGAGGTCATTTGGTAGCGCGACACTGCTAATAGTGTTCATCTCAGCTGGAACAAAGCTCCATCCGTCCTTGCTCCATGCAGGCTCAGATCCGTTCAGTGCCAATTGAATTGTTGCGGTATACATCCAATAGGTAGAGATGTTCTTGTATAGATCGGAGAGGATGACCCCGACGTAGTCGTTGGAGCTGTCTGGGTAGATCGCTTGTTGCGTGCCGAAAACAAACGGGATCTTCCGGATTTCGAGGCTGCGGTCAAACGTGATGGGCTGGATAACCACACCTGGTCCACGGTCAAAAATGGCCGACATCGTGGTTGTAACTGAAGAATATGTAAGCATCAATGCTTTTGCAGACTTCCCGAGGGCGTAACTTACAGATGGGGGTAAGAGTGCTCCCTAAGGTCAACAAAGAAAGAAGCCAATGCTTATTGAGCGCAGCTTTGATGCATGCCCATAGCCAGAACGAAGACTGGTATGACAGGCCGGTGCCTCGAGGAATCGGCGGATGGCCATCCGACATGGCCAGATAAGGTTGTAACCGGCGGAAGTTGTCGTCGATGGCGCTCCACCACAAGCCAATTATTGTGGCTACCAGAGTTGGAACCATGGAAATTGGTGCCACCGACGATACACTATTGCTCAGGAATGATAAATCAACTTGGTAGACGAAGGCCTTCTCATATAAGCCAACAGTCTCTGCAAAGTGCCACAGCACACAAACACCAACAACGACCGCAATGAGAACTACAACCAATGCGACCAACGCCGGCAGGCGAAGTAGTTTCGGTGTTCCATTCTCGGACTGAGCCACGTCATGATGTAATATCTCGTCGGGGCTAATTCTGGACAGCCCATAAGAGTCGGTAAAGAATCGTTGTCCCTTCAGTCTGCCGTGAAGGTCTTTTGCGGACGGTTGTCGGAAAGTCTGAAAACCCGAGCTTACACGAGCATTAGGTGCAATGAGAGCAGCTACGCCGAGCGTTGAAGCCGGATCTTCTTTCAGGTTCAATGGCCTGCGTCGTAGTTGGGAGCACCACCAAACGGCCAGCAAAAGCAGGAAGGAGATCGCGAAGAGGACACCCAGGGCCACAGCAGAACCGGCTTGTACCACAACTCGAGTCTCAACATCGTGGAGTGTGCCCTGTATGGGGGTCCTTTGGGACGCGCCCTGACGGGTCAGCGCGGCTTGCAGCACTTCGCCAAAGTAGCGTTGGTTTGCTGTAGCAGCGGACGCCACCCAATTGGGGTCATTGACCAGGGCTGTCATATTGTAGTCATAAAGCGCTCCCAGCAGAACAGAGGGGCCTCCCAATGCAGCCGTTCCTGACAACAAAATAGAGAGCATATAGTTGGGCCAGCTTGCATCGAGAGTCAGATTTCGCATGGTCGTGGTGTTGAGAACAGTGTCCGGAATCGCAACCTTGTTCCGTTCAAATTCACTTTCCTCGAAAGAAATGTCGGGAACGTCCCCTGTGAGAGAGACAGATGCAGTGATATTGGCCATGTAATAGCGCGTATCACAGATTTGTGCTGAGAAGGCTGGGCTCTCCATTTCCCACGATTCTGTAACGAGAATAATCTGCCGCCCATCACATTCCGAAGTCTGGTTAGAACTCGACACTAGCCCTCCGTCCTGAAGCAAGGGCGACAAAGCGTAGTAGAAAGTAGACGCATCTGACCAACTGCCGCCTCCTGTGTTCCAGAAGGTTGATTCCGCCGACATTCCATATTTACATCCATCGGGAGAGGACCATATGGTGGAGTTCGAAGATAATGACGCCCAGCCCGACGAATATTGCACAGAACCACTGGCTTTCTTCTCTAATGTCATCGCCGTGCAGGCGAGGTCGCTCTTGAACATCACCGTCTTTGCCGTCCACTCCTGGGTCAGACTGATTGGCAGAGAAGTGATGGGTGCCGGATTCAACTCCGCGGGCCAAAATGGAAGGATGGTATAATTGTCGGTAATCCATGGCGAGGTCGATACGTTTTGCAGGAGATTTGCAATGGTCCGAAAGTGCGTCGTACGATCTGCGTCGATAGGCAGAGGCGAACTGGCCGCCGGCGCAAGACTGAAGAATTCGACGGATTTGGGGACGACAATCTCTTCGGAGAAAAGGAATGCGGACGACAGGGATGAAATAGCCAGGAAGCCAATGATATTGACCGCCGATGCGCAAATGAGAATCAAACTACGCCCGCCGTTCCTCTTCTTCGCGAAGCCGTCGTATAATGCATCCCACCAGGCTCCCGGCGCCTTGAGAATGCTGCAGGACGCCTCCGCGCCATTTGGCCGTGCCAACCGGGCATAAGGTTCGGTACGCTTCACGTCTTCCAGTAGTACCGTCGTCATCTGGACGTATATCACCGCGATTAGGGTCGGACTGTATCTCCAGCCGAAGAGGAGCGTAGAAGAGCCATCGTCGGGCCCTAACCCATAGTTTGTCGACGATCTCCACCAGAGTAGAAAAGATACGACACACAGTGTGAGAGCGACAAAGGCTGTCACGCCGAAAAAGGGATGCGTAAATGTATAAGGGATCCAATCCTTCGACCAGACTGCCGACGATATTTTTTCGTTGGCTTCAGCGCCCGTCCTTTGGACCGCATTGGGGCCAATCGTGTTGTTGCTCGAACTATCTCTCTCGCGACTGTCCTCTCGAGAAGATGAGCGGCTTGGGCGGACAAAATGCGAGAAATAGGACCTGGTGTTTCCCAGCAGACTGCGATCCTCGTTCGCATTATACTGACGTGAGGTCATCATAGCGCGCGCGGGCACACACACGCACCATGTATCCTATACCCCGTAATCCTCTCATATAACCGCGCAGCAGAGCGAAAGAAGTTATAATGATGAAGAGGAGGAGGGAAAGAAATTCGCCAAGGTCCAGCTCGCCTCCCGTGTTTATAATTGCCGCCGGGCTGCATCGCCTCAACTGCAACAGGGTTCAGGGACACCGCTCAAGGCATACCAGCCCGGCTGCGACTACTATGCCACTAAGGTACGAAGATGGATCATGGACCCAATGGGAGCGGTTCTGGTGTCGCGCTGGCGGCCAGTCGCGGTTCCGGCCGACGCTGTGTCCCTAGCTGCATTTGGCCCCCATAGACGGGGATGAAGAGCAACATCATTTGGCGGCGCAAAGAATCCACCCCATGGATCTGCTTCAGCATCACCCTGTGTAGCGAAAAGCCCGAGAGACCTGAGTCAACGGTCGCCCTTGGCGGTACCGCAGTAATGCTTAAGCATCCTACGATTGTCTCGAGACCCGGTTGATTTGTTTGCGTGCTGATCGCACGGGACAAGCGATAGCCCGGCGGGACTGCTCGAAGTAGCGCGGTGCTTCAACCGCTCATGGGGCAGCGCTTAGCGCCCGCCAAGCAGATCACCTGCGGGATGTTGGAGACATCCGCAAGGCTCAAAGAAAGCCATACATGATACTGGAGCTCATAAAACAGTCAGTGTTTCGCATAAACGCTTAAGATTCCGACAGCCCCGAGTCAGGTCGGGTCCTTTTGGCCCGAAGTCACGTCCGGCCCCGGGGGCCACAAGTATGAGTCTATAAGAAGGGTGAGTTTCCACGCCTCCAATCTGCTATTCCCAGGGCCTTTTAAGCCACCAAGTTCCTGCTCTAATCAGACCGCGGGAACTATTCTTTTCTTGCTCACGAGTACCGTATCGGATGGTCGTTTTTACTCGCTATGCCGCATCAGGATGACATGACTGACCCTCATAGTGAGGCTCCTCGAGATTTGTCCATGTTACTCACGGCTGTACATTATGTCACTCTGGAGTCGGTCGGCACCTCTTCCAGCTTTATTCAGACTAAGGATTGAAAGCATCGGAGCCGAGTTGCAATAGCTTGATCTGTTCTGAACAATGTTGATAGCCATTCTGGAATCAACGGCCACTCGACGGCCGTACACATCTCCTGGGCACTTTGGTTTGGCTTCAGGACAAATACTGACACAATGCAAAGCATTCCTCCACGGGGTGATACTTGGCCTGGCTACCCATAGAACGTTGATATACCATGGCAGGTTATGCACTTGCTCCATTGCTTTGTTTGCTTCATCCGAGGCCTTGCCCCTAGCTGCGGCCCACGGTCCCCACTTTGAACAAAGAAGCCCAGAACGAAAGGACCGACCCAGCTTAAGGATTAATTTAACTTCAACTCTTACCTCCAGGACTTGGGACTGACATGTTCCCCTGGCTAGTCTTGACTAACCATCTGGCCTCCAGCAAAACCACTACTTCATAACATACAGTCATGATAGGCCATGGTTAATATGTGCAAGGCGTCTGATCACGATAGCATCATGGACGAAGGAACCCACGGCAATACTATAAGCCTCAATCTGAAACAAGGAAAACTGCTGATATGAACTAGAAACTCAAGTGGTATATGTACAGAGAATCATAAGAAAGGAACAAACCCGCAGTCATGATCACAAAGGTATGTATGCACTTCCTCCACAGATTTGAAGAAAAAAATGAAGCATCTGCGGAAGCGCGGGCCGGGGGAAGGAGAAGTGGATGACCTCATGACCAGGGCTAACTCGAACGAAGCGAGAAACCTGCGTACGCACGAAGATACGGAAAAAAGATGAAGTAATCTCCCCGGCCGGAATCATTTGCGCAAGTGAAAACAAAACGGACGCATCAAGCAAGACACGCGAGGGGAAGCGCTTAGGCGTAGTCGAGCTGGACCACAAGACGGACGGGGCCGGAAGCCTGGGCGACAGCCAGGTGGTCGTTGCCCTGGTCGGCCTTGGTGTAGGCGTTGAGCAGGGAGGACAGGCCTGCGCCAATGCTGGAGCAGTCCTGGCCGAGGTGGTTGCAGATGCGCATACCCTGGATCGCGAGGCCGTTGAGCTCGGCGATGATGCAGGAGACATCCCAGCCGGAGAAGCCGTCGTTCTTCTCGCTGCTCATGTCGAACTCACCCCAGGTGGCGGCGTACTGGCCGAAGTTGGTGGTGGGGACCTCGCCAGGGGAGGCAGCCCAGCCACCCTGCGAGTTGTCATCGATGGCGACGTACTTGACCTCGTTCGGCTCAAGGGTAAACGAAAGTGCCTTGTTGGGGGCCCAGAATCCGTCCATCTTGTTGTTGGGGCCGTAGGTGTTCCAGAAGAGGACAGTCCAGGGCTCGGATTGGCTGCCCTCGAAGCGCAGCACGTGCTTGTACTGGTTGGCGGCGCTCTCCTCGACTTCAATGATGTTGCTACCCCAGGGGACACCGACGTTGCCAATGTAGTCCCAGTCGAGGAGGCCGGTTGTCACGGACTTTGAGACACCACCAAATCCGGAGCGAGAGTACTCGCCGCTGGAGGGAGTGTCGGACCAGGCACCACCCGAGCTGGTGCTGGGGGTAGGAGTCGGGACGACAGTGGACTCGACGGCGGCAGGGGTGGCAGTGAAGGCTGGGGCAGTGGTGGTAGGGACCTGGATGACGCTGGAGGTGGAAGAGGAGGCAGCGGCCTCACCGGACCACTCGTTGATCCAGGTGACGAGGACACCGTCGATGGTGGCAGTCACGACATCGCCAACGGCACGCTTCTCAACCTCAGCCTCGATCTCGGGAAGGCTGGCATCCTGAACCTCAACCTCAGCCTTGGGGTGGGCGTGACGGCGCTCATGGCCGTGGAGGCGGGCAACGGCGGAGCCAGCGGTCAGGGCCGCGGCCAGGAGTAGGGAGTTCTTGACGAGCATGGTTCTTTTTATGAAGGAGTGCAAAGCGAGAAGAGAAAGACTTGAAAGAGTGACTGAGCGAAGATACGCTCGAACAAGACGACAAATGAATGTGGGTGGATGGGGAGATGGAGAAGGGAGAGAAGGGGATGGAGATGGGGGCGTCAGATGGGTAATATGGAAATCCCGTCTGCTAGGGCCTTTTTGGGGGTTCCCTGCCAACAGACCCTGCAGTGAGGGGACTGAGCCCAGTCCCTGTGGCTTCTAGAGGGCCACCGGTGAATGCACTAACCCTGCTGGAGCCAGTCTAGCCCGTCAGGAAGCACTAAACGGGACCGAACCAGCGAAAAACCCAAAGTGTAAAAATCGGGAATCAGGGGGTGAGCCAAATATGATTGGCCGGTGCCTGGTGTTCCTGGCCCGACTTCACCACTCGCCGATCTGATTGGGTGACGCTCCACTGGGCCGAGACCCTCGAAAGGTCAGGAAAAGGTTGTGGCTACTTTCTTCACTATGGATAATGCTTACGAAAAGGAAGTACCTGATACTTCTGGGTTACGTTTAATGTAATTTGATTATTTACTTGGGCCCCTTTTTTACTCCCGCTGTACCGTATGGAGTAAACACAGCTCCCGAACCTACCGTCCTGAGGAACCCTGTGATGCCTGCAGGATGAGCCAGATTCAGGCTTCTATACCTGCAGTCCTGTGCTACTCGATGACATTCCTCCCATCTGACATGGCACCTTCCCCTGCCAAACACGTGTTGCCATCGGAATGCCATCACCGGAATGTGATTCTCCTGACTCGATGGTATACTTACTGTACATGCGAGTTCATACCAAGTCATTACCCTACGGCTTCCGACCGGCTTCGCCCTCTCCAAGACCTTCCCAAGGCTCTCCAGCAGCCACCCACATCGGGCGCTTCCCCACACACGCCAATCGCTGCCGCCTTCCAAGCCGGTCTGGAGCCCAGTCTTACGTGGCGGGCATGACAATCATGTCTTGGTCCAACTCGTCCAATTCCAGTCCCTCCACGCCGGGCGGTGATGACGATGTCCAGCCTCGAGCCGTTTCACCCTTGGACCCGACCTATACAACTCACACTTCACACCTCACACCTCACAAACCTTCATGCGGTTTACGCGCCCGACCAGGAACTGCCCGACCAGTCGATCGCTCCTCATCGCCATCCCCGAGTCCCCCGAGTCGCCCTCCAGCGCCCCGGTTTGACCCACCAGACGATCGCCACCCAGCGGCAGCGATGTCCGGTGGCTCCATCCCTGACTCGGCAAATGGGGCCCCCTGGAGGGTCGTGCAGGGTCTGCAAGGCACCAGGCTGGTCCTCTTGGGTGCAATCCCACGGTGAGAGATTTGTAGAATCTTCCGGACTCCACCGACTGCTCTCCAGGGCTCCATAATGGCGATGTTTCCCAAGCCTGTCGGGCGACTTGGCCGGTGCTGCGGTCTGGAAGCGGCGCTGGTGCGTGCTGAGGTAGTAGCAGCCCCCAGGAGTACACCGTAAAAGTGGAGGTTCTGGCCTATCATTATGATTGTCGAATTCTACAGTATGGCCAATGCGATGAGATGGGCAAAGGAGAATGGGGATGAAAGTCGCAGGATGCAAGGCCCTGTCCGCAAGTAGGGTTCATGAATGTCAGAAAGAGCCCATCAGCTCATTTCCCATGACTCAAAGCCGCGCGCGAAGTAATCTCTTCTGCGGCGTGCACCCACGGGACTGCACGGGAGGTGAACCGTGGGTAAGCCCATGATCGGCCCCAAGTCTGAAACGCGTGTGTTCTCGTGTCTCTGCCGGCGTGTCGGTGCGTTTTGTTTATTTTTATATGAGCTCCTTTAGCCTCGCCAAAGCGCGAAGCCACACACGGACACCACCGACACGACTGTCACGACTGACCCTAGAACGAGAATAGAATGACATCAATTAACTGTGGGGGCGTTACTATTTACGGCCGTCACGATCTCAGCCAGCCAGTCTCACCACGAGCCAGGCGACCAAATCATTCAGGCGTACCTACAGGCACGGCATATACTTCGGGCCAAATGTACCGGATGTGCCGAATGTCCCGAATAGCCTCGCAGGGCCAAGGCCTCTTCTCTACCCCTTGAAGGCTCAGAAGGGAGGGAGAGAATGAGATCACTCCTTCTGCAGGTCCACGCCGCCCTCGAAGGCACCACCCCCAGCCTCCGCATCCAACCGCACACTCTCATCCAGCCCACACACCCGGAACAACATCTGCGGTGTCAATGATGGGTCCAGCCCCGGCAGCCCCGTCCGTCTCAGCGTCTCCAGACCCTCCCGCATAGCCGTCAACGCCGGCCCAATCGTCGCGAACGGGAAGATAATCATCCGGAACCCGAGTGCCTTCGCCTCGCCCGCTGAGATCGCCGGCGTGCTCCCGTGCTCAACCATGTTCAGCAGCAAGGGCCACGGCGCAAGGTCGCGCACCGCCTGCGCCGCCATCTCGCGCGACGAAATCCCCTCCAGAAAGCCCACGTCCGCGCCCGCGTCGCGCGCCGCCCGCAGCCGCGCCACGCTTTCCTCGTACCCCAAGGACTGCAGTGCATCGGTGCGCGCGATCACCACAATGTCATTGTCCAGCCGCTGCCGCGCTTGCACCGCTGCCCGGATCCGCGTTATGTAGGTGCTTGTGTCGACAAGCTGCTTGCCGCCCAGGTGTCCGCACCGCTTGGTCTGCACCTGGTCCTCGATGTGGAAGCCCGCGACGCCGGCGCGCGCGTATTGCTCTGTCGTGCGTGCGACCATGATTGGGCCGCCGTAGCCGGTGTCTGCATCGGCGATGAGCGGGGTGCTCGGCGAGAGGTTCGCGATCATCTCGGCGTTGGCGCGCATGTCGTTGAGCGTGCAGATGCCCAAGTCAGCTTGGCCGTGGACGGAGGCTGCGGTGCCAGCGCCGGTCTGCGATGCTGTGAGCTCAATGTCTTGACGTGATATCACGATTCTCACGGGTAACAGCCGGCGACTGCTTACTACCTACCATGTACAGCGCATCAAATCCAGCTGCGAGCGCCATACGCGCTGATAGGCCATCGTACACACCAGGGGCCGACACGAAGCCATTTGGGTCCTCGAGGGCCTTTCGCAGATTGGTTGCGCCGGAAACCAGAGGCATAATGACGGTGTTCAATACTAGACTAACAGCACTCGAGTGCAGAACCGACTGACTGACAGCAGCGAAGCGTGAAGAGCACTTGTTCACCCAGCATACAAACCAGACCGAGAACCGGCCTCCACCTACCCGTTTTATACCCCTACCATTCACGTGTGTCGCCTCCAAACCACTTTCTTTTCTTTACAACCCCACCCGTAAACCCTTCTCATCGGTGGTGATGCGCACTCTGCCTTGCCGTGCCGATGCCGATACCGGGGATCGATTATGTCATCGCGGTGTCCTCGGCGATTTCTCGCGGAAGCCGAACCGACTCTTGGCCGTGCGTGGCGATGCGCTGTAAATCAGGTAGTCAAAAAGGAAAGACTTGAGCGGTAGACGTAATTCGAGAGGCCGACACCGGGTGGTGCTCGGTACTGCAAGTCTGAATGCCGAGTTATAGGCTGCATATACCGAAGGGTCCTTCGTACAGATGCAACTCTTGGGGGTGATCAGCTTCCGCGGAAGTGCTGGGTGGCGTCATTGGCCTAGCACGTACATAAGTACATAACAAATGGAAACTCTCATAATGCAAATAATAAAGGCACCCGGTCGATACTCCTAGTACAAGATCCCATCCCGTAGCTTATCATAATAGCCAAGTCTATATCAGTCCTGATCGACTCCAGCCTTAGAGACGGCCTGTCCTTGGTGGAGTACAGCCCCATACCGGGTCGGCCGAATGCTGATGAGTTTATACTTCGGTCTCAGCATGAGAATGACAGACTATGCGTCGGACAATAGTAATAAAGTGCCGCCTTATTATTAATGAAATATGGCTATAGATCCAAGAAGAAGAACTGCGGGTTCCTAGTCCTCTTCTATAAAGCTCGGGCCGTGGATACAGTAGTTCTCGAATTCAGTTATACTGTACCTCCACACTCTCACGACTTGATTCACGGAATATAAATCGAGAATGCGCTAACCCACTCACTAAGTTTGGCAGAACTGTAATGGTTATTGTCGTACTTCAATGGAAGAGTTATTGTCATAATACCATATTGCTCCATGGAATTACTGCACATAGAACAGCGTGGTATACTGACGATCTGGCATGATAGCCCGCCCGCCCCTGTTACATATATCCGTTCCCGCCTGTCCCGTTTTGTCCTTTTCCCTTCATTCTTCCCCGTATGTGCCGCAGCTTTTCGTACATCCGCCAGTCATAACAAACATAGAAGGCTGTGCTTCCAACGACCTGAATGAGAATTGGTTTCTATGAATTGAATCCATATATACAGTTTCGGCGAGTTGGAACTCTGCATTTTTTGAAGAATAGCTCGAGTGATCATATGCGAATACTACTATTCCTCAGGAGTAATAATGATATATTGTGAACCCTTATCTTCTCCAGGCCCATAGAACTTCTCTGTCCATTGACGGCTGTACTCATGTTGCCAGTTCTCTGCTTTCTCCTTGTCATAACTCATGACAGCCGACTGGTATTGAGCCGCCTTAGTGTTGAATTCCATCCAAGCATTTATGAATCCAGGGGCCTAAAACACTGGTTATTAGCTATATACAAGCTGTAATAGAGTCTATCTACTTACGTTCTTTGAGACCCATTGGTCAAAGGTTTCATTGCTAAAGAATCCAGCTTCCTTTTGTTCCTCGTAATCTTTTGTTACCGACTCCTTTGTGGTGCGGGCACGTTTGGCAGCGGCTAGCCATTCTTCTTTGGCAAGATTGAACCGAGCTTCAGTAGCCATAGTGATAGAAATGAAGCAGAGAAATGAGAACTATCTGTAAACCAGAGTATTGAAGAGTAGGAGGCAGAGAAGCTTTGACAGACGAAAGAGAACGAAGCAGGATGGCCATACTTTATAGTCGCGATCAGTAGCGTTTGCGGGTTCATCCGCTGACGTGTCGACGCCAGATCATTTTGATGAGATTGGCTTGTAGTTCAGCTAATTTGCCGATTTCGCCGCTCGGGCCTTCTAGCCTGGCATAGGGTAACAGTGAACGTAGCATAAGTATATCTCGGTGTTGATTGGATTTCTCAAGCAGTTACCTACAGTAGCGTATAGGGAGCCGCCATATTGACGTAGCGATCTACAGTGGCGTTCGTTTGACCTGAGACACACTCTTAGACCGCCTTTACGTACCGCCCAACAAATTGAGCTGACCGCTCCCAAACGCGTTGTATCACGCTTAGTATACGTTTGTTCCTCTGTTGTTAGGCAATTTACAGTAAAGCTATTTAGACACTAAAAATGCTAGGAACACGAGGTTTCAACGAGCAGAAAATGTGGCAGAAAGATATGTAATCAATACCGGTGTTTCAAACTAAACGAACGCCACAGTACAAAATGGCGAGAAGATCGCCGAATTCTTCTGCATGGCTGGCTGAAGATTCATATACGGCTTCTCCTTATCAAGGTGGAGGGTTGACTAAATCTGGGACAAGATAATGTTATAGGTATTGGCAAGAACACCCAATAGTGCAACTTGAATAGAACTGATCTAATCCTTGGGGGAATGTAAATGGAATACACAAATCGTCTTTTTGTACGCCAGTGGGGTGCAATCGCCGACCTCTCTCTCTCTCTCTCTCTCTCTCTCTCTCTCTCTCTCTCTCATACACACACACACACACTGTACTTGGATTATGCTCCTCCAACCCAATTATCCCTCTGTCTCCCGGTATTGATCGCCAGGGCAGATCAGCCGTCATAACTGGCGCCAGCGCAGGCCTACTGTAGGCCTTGAAACAGCCCGCCAGCTTCTCAAACTCAAATACTCAATTCTCATCCCCGTCATACGTAGTGTATCCGAATGGGAAGCCTGCATGAAAGCCTTCCTCCAAGACCCGAACATCAAAGCCAACATCCCAGCCATCAAAGTTCACGCGTAGTCCAACACTGGGTGGAGACGATGGAGGAGATGAAGAGAATTGCTACGTTGCCGCGGGAGTTTATTTACATATAATATGTTGCCGTAGAAAATTAGGAACTAAGATTGGATGAATTAGGTCGGCGAGAAAATGCCTTCGTTTAGGCCCCTGAGATGGGTATATTCTTAGGCGAGGGAGAGCTTGAGAAAGGCTGTATCTACCCTAAGGCTCGTGAGGAAGAGCAGGGAAAGTGGGTTATCAGAGTTGCATTGGAATATCTCTTCGGCCAAAGGCAGCCGTTGACCCAAGGGCTTCCCTCATAACAAAGGATATATATGCTGGTCTACTTCACCTTTCGTGTTTCTTTATCCGCATTCCATCATGATATTTATAGCAATACCTCAAATTTGAAAGAACTCACATTTGGAGCCACATGAAGCCGATTAAGGGTTTGAAACCTGGATAAGAAGACGAGAAACCCATCGAATTTATTATCTGACACTTTCAACGCTCCTGACATATTGTTTAATACATTTTGACATTTTCAACCACCACAATGGCAGAATCTATCGAAGCTCAGCGGTATTGGAGGGCTCTTGGTCTCCTGGACGACATGAATAATCACTACAATGACTATGACCGACAGATAGTCACCGAAAAATTGCGAGACCTGTACTATGGTACCGTAGATGGCGACAAGGATCTTCGGTTTGCGACTAACCGGCGAGCCTTGAAACAGACGCTTGCATATTGGTTACGGGAGATGCCTGACACAGTCAAACAAGTGGATCGCAAATTAGGGCTAGATATTTTATACGAGCTGTTCAAGTTATTTCGGCTTTTCTGGAGACGTCTACCACCACCTTCGCCACTGCCTTCACGGGAAGAGGTGCCAGAGGAAGAAGAGGCATCAGATGAGCCGGAGAAAGAGGAGCTTCAAAGGTTTCAGAAGCTATCTGGAGGGTTCGCAGGGCCAGGAAAGTCAAGAAAACAGGAGGTAACAACCGAGCCAACAAAACCAGGCGAGCCCGAGGTCAATTTCGAGTACGTGGATATGACAATCTGGAATGCGCGTGTGAGCATCGTTCAAGCCAGCCATCCTAACAAGAAATTTCTCTCAAAGCTTGACTTGTTCACAAGACAACCAATCGCCCCCAAAGATCAAAACCAAGATGGTCGATGGATCAATGTTTTAAACCTTGATTTGGGCACCCTGACTCGAGGACTGACAGGCGGTGGAACTATGAAACCTGGCCAAAGTCTCTGGTGGAGCCCGAAAGCTCACAAAAACACGAACTTTGCTTCTACGGAAGGCCAGACTCGGCTTGCGAATAATATCAGTCTGCGGGTCACCGTGTGGGAAAGTTTCGACGGCGCCTTGGAAGGATTTCGTGGCAAAAAGGAACATACTCTCCAGCATCCTTGGGGAATAGAAAAACCTAGTTTTACTGTTATTATCAGGGATGACGATGACGACGAGGGAGAGAGACCCCTTTGATTATTCTCTGCAGAACAGAAGAAAGGGACAGACATAGTAGGACCTTCTTCTTGGCTCTGCGTGAGGTTCGTGCGGACGCTTCCTTGGACTGTGACTCCTTGAGTTTCGGCGTCTTGTACTTCGAAGCCTGAACGCGGATGGGAACTTTCGGGGAGGCAGAGGGAAACCTTTTAAGGTAGACCCTTCATTCTGTGAATGTTGTCTTGTGTTCGGCTACATGAAACTGTGTGATTTTCCTTCGATATCGGGTCTATTCCTAGATCTGGGTAAATGTGTCTGATCTAATGCAACGGTTTACTGGGAGACTTCGGTGAGCTTCGGTTGAAGACGATGGATCCAATAGTACGGTACAAGGTGGGGACTTGTTTAATTGAATCCAATCTATAGAATTAGCGAATTTCGGCTCATGGACAAACGGAATCCTTAAATATCACGTTGCAGATTGTCATTTCTCATCTGTTTACAAAAGCAATACCGCCGCTACGGTGACTGGGGCTGGAGCTCCTCCTTAGGCTGTGATGCCTACTTGGACCTCAGACTCTACCTGGACCTTCGGTTCCTCATTGGACTCAGGTTTCTCGTTGGACTTGGGCTCCTTGTTGGACGTGGGCCCCTCGTTGGACTTTGGCTCCTCTTTGGCCTTTAATACTTCATTGGACTTCGACCCCTCAAGGATCTCTCCCACGTCGAATACCTTCTCTTCGTGCTCCGACAGTTCGAATGACAACATTTCATCTCGTAGAGATCGACAGGGAACTGGGAAGAACTCGTTGGTTCTGTGATTCCAGCTGTCCCAGAACAATTCACTGAGTCGACGAGAAGAGCTTAGGCCCCGATTGGAAATAAGGCGAAGGGCCTCTTGGCACCAGAGGTATTTTTCCCGGTGTCCGAGGCCGATATAGACCTTGATGGCTCCGCTCATGGGGAACATCAACATGCGAATTCCTGATAGGGTCTTGGTATCATACGCATAGTACGGAATAGTTCGACAGATCTCATCGGCATAGAACTCCGAGAGTTGATAATCTTCGTCGTCACTTGGCTTCTTCCCGGGATCGCTCTGAGGAGTGAGGGGATAGGACCGCACGAGGGATCGGGCATGAAAGATCATCGGCTGAATAGTAGCCAGCGCGTTCCAGTACCAGTGGTGCATTCTGGCGTTATCGAGCGAAGAGAAACGATAAGCTGTGCCGAACAGAGCCCCGGAGGGGGCAGTTCGTCGGTGCTGCATTCATCTGGCGCGCACACGAAGAGGCATCTGGCATAACCGTACTGGGAATACCACGCTTCTATTCTTTTCTTCTGTTTCAGACAGCTCTGGAGTAAAGCCTGGCACGCCTCGTGGTCAGTTGAAGAAATCGAATTGATGGCGGCAGAAATCGGTCCAAATTCTGCGTAGACTGCCAGTATTTCGGAGAGCGGAGTGGAAATACCATCACTCGAGTATTTCAAATAGCGGTATTCATCGTCGGAGATGTTGACTCCAGCAGTCGCAATAATCTAAAAGCAGTCAGGTCCACTGCATGCGGCCCACTGGTTCTGGTTCACGCTACCAAGGTACACATACCAGTCGCATTTTTTGGTGTTGGTTGTAGATAGCGTCAAGCAGGGGATTTCTGGGCAGAATATCACGGTAATATCGCAAGATTGTGCTTGTTCCCTGGGTATGAGCCAGCCATGCGCGGAGGTCGAAGGCACAGCAATAACCCTGGATAGGTTCTATGTGAGCTGGCTCCGTCAAAAGTCCCAAGGGCATAGAATCTCTCTTACCTCCAATTCCTGGAAAATGACGGCAGTATACACGATTTCCGCGTTCCAAGCGTTTCGATAGATATTGTTCTTCACACTTCGGATCGCAGTGCCGTACAAGTCGAGGCCATAGTTGTACAGGTGATCATCATTATTCATCTTGCCCATGTAAAGACAAGATACCGCCGAAATGGCTCGTTCGAGCATGTTTGATTTATTTGGCAGAGTCACAAAGTTGTAAATCAGGTATTGCCAAAGATTCAGCGATGATATCTCTTCCGTGTGGCTGAAAAAGACGTTGGTAAATGACGAAAAGACCTGTTCGCGCGCCACTGGTCCAGCGGTCACGTTGCTGGGCATCACCAAAGCCTGGACAGGGTCTTGGTATTGAGCCGGATACTGAGCCTGAAACTGAGCCTGATGTTGAGACTGAGTGATCGGGATCGAAACCTTGGCCTTTTCTCGTCTTGCTAACGGATGATGGATGAAGATGCGGGTCTTCTCGTATCCAGGACACTTGACGCCACGTTTGATGCATCGCGCGCATTCTGGCTCTTGCTCATCGCACTGTTTCCCCAGAACTATCAATGCTGGCGTTGGTTGAAAGGTGCGCGAAGTTCCGACTGACCTTCACTTTGCGCTTTCGGCAGGTCTGGCAGCCTTTTGAATGCCAGGGGATGCCACCCATGGTTGCGTCTGCTGACTTTCTTTCCAGCCGGGCTTTAGATCTCGGGCGACTCAAACAGTACTGTCCGTCCAGTAGACCGTACAATATACTGGCGGGAAGGAGAATTGAAGCTTTCCAAAGGATTGGCTGAAGGAAACCGGCTGAGACACCCTTCGTCTGACGCTGAGGGGCTGAGGGGGTTCGGCCCCCAACGCGGCACAGACATGCAACCTAGCCTACTCCCGCTGAGGTTAGTAGGTTAGTACTGTGACCGCCCCTGCAGATCACGATATGGCCGAAGGTATGATTCTCCGGCCAGGCCAGCACGTAACACCCCGTAGAGTGTTCGCTACCCCAGTCGAGCCGCCCAGGGGAACAGGAAACCCTGGTCTATCACGTCAAAGACCAGTCTCCCTCTCGATGCAGAAGAAGGAGCGTGGGTGAGAGGAATCATGAACACCGCTTCCGCGGCCCCACTGGCAAGACCAGGCGGGCGAGACAGTCCTAATGCATGGAAATTTAGTGAAGGGCCACAGCAGTGTAGGTGACAGGGCACTCTGCATTGGATGGAAAATGATGATCCAGTCGAGGGAAGAGAGGAATATATGAGGGAGTGTGGGAGCATTTATTTGGTACGAGGGTCGGCCCGGGTCGTGATCCTAAAGGGAAGGAAGTGCGCAAAGTGGGGGCTGAGGCCCACTTGGGAATCCTTCAACTACTATCAACCTTACGGCTTGACCGCGGTATGTCCAACGGAAGTCCAGTTTGGCGAGCGGGTGGAGGGATGAAGATAAGCATCCCTAGTCTAGGCTGCATGAGAACATGATGCGTTTGGAGGCTGAAGGAGCAGTTTCTCCACATAAACGCCACGAATTGTTCCCGGAAAAGCGACGTTCTTGTCCATCTATACAAATTCTCCTTGGTGTTTTCAATCGGTCTTCATAGTGTTTGCGGGGAAGCGTCCCTCAACTGGATAGGAAGCGCATCCTCGGTTTCTCCATGTGCGAGTCTGAGAAGGGAGGGTATCGCTCGGATGATGAAGGGGTTTTGTTGCATCTTGAAGCCCAAGGATGGTTCTTGGGGGCATCTGGCCAGGAAGCTATTGGCACTCTATCTAATCTATCTAGTGAGACTTCCCCACAAGCTGGGGGTGGGCCACTGGAGAGACTAGATTGCACATCCAACTAGACCATACGCCACCAACAATATCGACGTCCTCTGGAGGGTCAAGTTCTAGCAGGTCACCTTCTCGATGAAGCCCCATACATTGTGCTAGACAAATGATGGATGACACGAAGAGCGCGTCTGCAAGTGAAGATTCGTGCTTGATCAATGACATTTGCCTACCAAGATCGACCCTACCAGAGTGGAGAGCGTTGGATGTTCCGAAGGTCGACATGTAGACAAACTATGAGAGCAAGCCGTCTTGAGTTGATCGATGGTCCTCTCTCGCTCATACCCTGAGAGAGATCGAGAGTTCTTCTATATCGACGATTCTAGTACTGACTGCCCTGCAGAGAATATTACATAAAGGAGGCAGGTGAAGGTAGGATCTTGAACGAGTTTTGGAGGTGGGAACAATTCCCCAGCTCGAGCTCATGTTGCCTTACCTGGCCATTCACAAAACCCCAGAACGTCTTGCTAGCATACCAAACTTGAGATCCTCGCTGTAGGCTGAGGTAGTTCGGGGACATGGCCATATATTCCCTCATCATGAGATGAGAGGTATCCGGCTCAAGCGAAGCATTCTTCTGATCAGCTGAAGCGGCTGCTATGTATCGTTCTCTCGAGTTTCTGCTGTGCGCAGAACGCGACTGGTCTCCTGGTCGCGAGTCTCGATGTGATAGGGACCAACCTCTCCCCATCGCTCACAATTGTGACATTGAGGCTGCTCCTTTCCACGTTTGACCTGCCGGCGGCGGCATACTGCACGTAATGCCAGGCGGGGCCGATGTACCGCGTAGGAGAACATCTAGCCAATCAGGCGGAGAGTGGGGAGTAGAACAGCTCAAGACTAGAGAAGAGAATGAAGAATTCAAGAAAAGGACAAACTGTCAGAGATCGGTCCGAAACACCAGCCAACCGTATCTGATCTGAAACGCGATCATCTAATCACCCATCTGATTAACACCGAGACAGCTGCGAAGGAACGCCGCACGGGTCCATCGCAAGATCGCCTTAGTCATCGCATCGTTTCTGGAACCGTCCCAGTGGAACTCAACCTTCTTGACGCCTCCATCTTCAATCTCTCGCCCTGAAATGAGCCACCCCTTGGCTAGCGCGCCCGCCCCTCTCCTGCTCTGATCAACCCCCTCCCCCCCTCCAATCCCACTGATGGCGCGTTCCTCCATCGTCCAAGAGTATGACGCGCCGTCTACAACGCTGAGCCTCGACCAGAAAGTCTCCAACGAGCGCCAGAGCTACCGAGTGCCTCGCCCGCAGGGCTACCGCGTCTCATGGCACGCCAATCCGGCCGTGGAGGCGCACCATTTTGGACAGTCCCATCCCATGAAGCCATGGCGCCTCACCTTGACCAAGCAGCTCGTCATGGCGTACGGGATGCACCACGCCATGGACCTGTACCTCGCGCGGGCGGCGACCTACGAAGAAATGGCCGACTTCCACGAATCTGATTACCTCGATTTCCTGCGGCAGGTGATGCCGGGCGACATGGACCATGCCGAGCAGAGCGATAACGTGGTGCGGTTCAACTTCGGCGACGACTGTCCGATCTTCGACGGGCTGTACAACTACTGCTCGCTGTACGCGGGCGGGACGGTCGACGCCGCGCGCAAGCTGTGCAATAATCAGTCCGAGATCGCCATCAACTGGTCGGGTGGTCTGCATCACGCGAAGAAGGCCGAGGCGAGCGGGTTCTGCTACGTCAACGATATCGTCCTGGGCACTCTGCAGCTGTTGCGCCACCACCCACGGGTCATGTACATCGATATCGACGTGCACCATGGCGACGGTGTCGAGCAGGCCTTCTGGTCCACAGACCGCGTGCTCACCGTTTCCTTCCACAAGTACGACAAAGACAATTTTTTCCCTGGCACCGGTGCCCTCGAGGATACAGGTCCCTCACATCCCCTGAACCCGGGCGCGCACCACTCCATTAACGTCCCGCTCCACGACGGCATCGACGACGAATCCTACATCCAGCTTTATCATGAAGTGATCGGCGCCTGCGTCGAAAACTATCGCCCCGGCGCAATCGTACTCCAATGTGGCGCTGACAGTCTCGGCTGCGACCGCCTCGGCTGCTTCAACCTCAACGTGCGTGCGCACGGCGCCTGCGTCGCCTTCACCAAGACCTTCGGCTTACCCCTTCTCGTCGTCGGCGGTGGTGGCTACACCCCGCGCAACGTATCCCGCGCCTGGGCGCACGAGACCTCCATCCTCCTCGACGCAGACCAAACAATCGACTCCACGATCCCCGACTCCGTCGCTTTCCGCACACACTTTGGCCCCGATTACTCGCTCTTCCCGCCGCTGTCGGAAATCCGCAAGCTGGAGAACAAGAATACCCGTTCATACCTCGAGGGGCTCGTCGAGGCGGTGCATGAGCAGCTCCGGTATATCAAGGGTGCTCCGAGTGTGCAGATGAGCTTTATCCCACCGGATATCCTGGGCCTGCGCGAAGAGACCGAGAAGGAAATTGAGGAAGAGACCGCCATGATGGAGGAAGATCGCGAGGAGAGTTACGGCGGTGGCTCTGCTGCGGCTGCGGCTGCCGCCACCGCTGCGTCGACCGGCGTCCCCGGCTCGGCGGGTGCCATCGCTCGCGGCAGTCGCCGGCGCGAGCTGGAGCGCGGAGCCGGGTATAAGGGCGAGCTATACTCCTGACGGAATTGTTTCCCGTCCATTTGGTCAAATAACATGGTGTTCAGGAAGGGAGGTTATGGTGTTATAGGTCGGTCTATCTATCGCATTTGCAGTATTTATTGTCGAGGGAGTTAATGGGTTTTTATGTTGTTTGTTGTTGTTGTGATATCCCCGGACGGAGGTTTGTACAGTAATAAAAAGCAAATAAGAAAGAAATCATCCACCCAGGAAGTGAATACAGCGAAAAGAAATCGCTTGTCGTTCAATACAAGATCGTCCGCATATAGATCCCCTGGGTCCACGTATATGAAAGAGTCTATTGTCATCCCATCTCGCACATCTCCATCCTCAACAAAATGTAAGCAGGAACCGAAGTCAATCAAACCATTGCGAATAGAAACATTCTCTTCCCCCTAGAGGTATGTATTACGACAAGCTCAGCTCACACATTACTAACTTAGCTACTCTCTTCAAGGTCCAGGTCCAGGTCCAGGTCCGCCCATGTTGGTTTCAGGATGTGGGATGTGACATGATGTCTATGGAGAAAGTAGGTATTTATTTCATTTCTTTATCTGGTGTCATTTTTGACTGTTGAGTCTTTTGGTCGCAAATCCGGAAACAGATCGGGTATCCAGCAGTGGCGCGACTTCTGGGCCGGCAAACGCTTGTGTTGAACATTATGAGAGGTGGAAGGGATGAGAAAAGGGCAGTCAATCATCGTCACCGGCCGCCGGGATGCTGCTTGCGGGGTTGTGGTCTGTGCAGGTGCCTTTGACTAGGTTCGTCTGGCGGACGCCCAGCGGGGCACTTGCAGGCGAATGGGAGCGAAGCGGCGGGAAAATGGCGGCGGAATGTTGGTGGTTGATGAGCTGGAGGGTACTTGATGTTGTGGTCTTGTTGAGTTATTGCTTTTCCTCCGCATCCACAAACTCGTCCACATCTTGTGTTTGCGTATCCTTGCGCTTTACGGGCTCTGGCGCGCTGTCCGTGGGGGTTTGGGTAGATGAGCCGGCGACCGAGGTAGAAGCGGTCGTGTCCTGCTGGGGCAGCGGCTGTTCCGCGGAGTTGGACTGCTTTGAATCGTGCGGGGGGATCTGGAATTGACTGCACTCTTTCTGGCCTGCGACGATGGGCGCAATAGCCAGGATCTGTTTAGTGGCCTTCTCAGGGTCGTGCGAATCACTATGGGACCCAATGGTTAGCTGGGAGTCTCTGTCCTAATATGACTTCCGACACTTACATTTGGGTGTTGAGGATCCAGTCGAGGTCTTCCTCGCCCTCATCCTGGCCCCCAGGGCCGCCCTGTACGGCACGGAATAGCCGGGGCCGCCAATCTACACCATCATCTGCACGCTTGGCCGCCTCGTCTCGCTGACGATCTTCAATCTTGGTCTTTTCGTCCGTGGCGGCTTCGTGGTTCCGTGCGATGATAGCCTTGACCGTGGGTTCCCATAACCGTTGTGATTCCCGCTCTGCTTGCTCCTCAACTGGGCGTGCCAGGGGCTTCGAGTGCTTTGCGTGTGTAGCATCGAACAAGACTTCTTTTCGGTGGGTCTATCGTGTTCATTAGCATCGAGTGCGCACTGGCAAGGACGTAGCTGCAAACCTACATGGACATTCTTGATGTACATCTCGCCATTCCACAAGCCTGACAGTTCATATAACACCTCGCCGGTCTTCTCGTTCTTGATGGTACCCCCGATGGCGTTATATGTACCCGAGAAGTAACCCTTGGTCTTGAACTCAATATCGGCCACGAGGTTGCTCTCCGGGCATCGCACATAGCTGTGGTCGCCGAGCTCATACTTCATCTTTCCGAACAGGATACCGCGAGCATACATATTGGGTTGCGTCAAAATACTGCAGCATCCGTTAGTGCTCCGACGCAAGTAGAAACCCTGTCCAAAGGAAGACGTACTATCGTTCGCCCTTCTCTTCATCCTGACCGCGGTTCAGCAGTCGCAGAATCGCGATGCCCTCCATCAAACTGGCGGCAGAGTTGCCCAAAAACTTGCTGCGGGGCTTGAGAGTGCCATCGATTCGAATATTGTGCTCGGGGGCCATGAAGAAGTAGCTGGACTTGGGCGGGTGGTGCGAGGTCTGCTCCGAGATATAATAGCCGCGTGTTCCATCAGGGTAGTCCCAGTAGCAGGTGAAAGTCTCTCCGAGGATGGGGTTCAGCGGCTTCTTCACGCCTCTACAAGTGCGGCGGGGAATCAGCATGTCGTCACTGCGGCGAGAAAGGGGGCCGGCAAAACCTACGGGGGCTTAATGTGCCATCCACTCAGGTAGAACTTGATCACCGAGACAAAGCGCTCGACTGGATCGTCAATCGCAGGCATGGGAAGGAGGGTTTCGGGGTGTGCCATGAAGCTATAGGGAGGCGGTTAGTTTCATCGCCGCTCACCGTCTGCGTGCGCCCGGCAGCGGCGGAAAGGGTAACGCACTTGGTGATCCGCTCGAGCATGGACCGGGGCTCGAGAATGAAGGTGGGCAGGACGACCCGACTCAGGTCGGCGCCCGGTCGGAGCTGCGAAATAATATGCGAGAGAACTGTTCTCCCATGTCAGTGGCGGTTTGGGGGGTCCCCTTGGCGGGCAGCGACGATACCATTTCCCTGCTCGGGCTCGACGATCTCCTCCTCACCACTTCCGGGGGAGTCCTCGATCGATGATCTGCCTGGTTTTGCGTGGTCAGATATGTTTTTGGGGTTGGGGGGAGGGGGAGGTGAAGTGTGAAGCGATGAGGAGAACACACTAGTCAAGGACGCACGGCGGAGGTGCGGAACCGGCATACTGCAAGTGGAATGGAGCGAAGGAGTAGAATTATGTGAGATTCACGGCAGCGGGGGAGGAAGATAAGGGAAGGTCAGGGTCCAGCGAAGGGAGAGAAAAGATGAGGAAAGGCGTGGACGAGGCTGTGGGGTCGTGTTTTGGCGAGAATTTTTGCGATGATACGGGCGCGAAGGCTTAGTCGCATCGGGCAGTGACGTCGCGCCTCAGCCCCTCCACAGTTGGCCGCGTGGGATGGGCTGGCATCTAGTTTGGGTTGATCTACTGGGGTATGGATGGGGTATGAACTAGCATGATTTGGCCCTGTTCTACATCTCTCTAAGCCCGTCTCCTTCGCCCCTGCAAATCCCCCGGCTCGTCCCCCGGGTTCCCCTCTTCCCTGTTCCCAACCGCTCCACGATCGTCCTGAGGGGCGAGGGGTACGGCTTGGCGGAGGTGGGGAGATTCGATTTGTAGACACCACGCAGGTCGGGGATATCGCTGCAGCAGATGCATGCAGACCGATCCACCTGGTCGGATGGCCCACGACTCCAAGTTTGTCCGCTCCGAACTGCCGGGGTCCAGGCAGCGGAGGCCGTCGTTCGACCCTCACACCCGCTCGATCAGCGGCACGTCTCCGTGGGTGATCTCCCGCACGAAGGTCAGATCAGGCCGGTGGAGCATGACGTGGAAGTGCTCGACCGCGTGGACCGACTTGAGCGACTTCCAGTTCTTGAACCAGACGACCTGCTCAGGCGCCACCCGCGCGCAGAACGTCGCCTGCACAAATCGCTGGATCGCCTCGCGTGCTTCGCCTGTCAGATCGTCGGTGGCGGGATCATCCGGGAGCTCAAACTTGGTCCAGACGACCAGGTGGATAATGTCTGTGTCGATGCCATACGGCCAGTCATTGTATAGGATCCGAATGTCCTCTATCCGTTTTATCGCAATCCACGTTAGCCAGCCGTCACCGTGCAAGAGGGCCGGCCACCTTACCGGCGAACTCAAACGGGCCTCCCCGTGGGTGCAGGTCCTCGGGGTTCCCATCGCCCCAGCGCAACCGCTCCTTAACCACAAACCGCATCACCGATCCATACTCGGCTTTAATCCGCGCCGTATATTCTAGATACTTGCGCAGGTCGCTTGGGACGCGCTGGAATCGATCGATCCGGTTCGTTCCTGCGCGGCGCGTTCGCCGTTAGCCCCGCCCCGCCAAGGATGTGAAACAAGCTCCACTCAACTAATGATCTCCTGCACCTGCCCCCAGTTCTGTCGTTGGTAGTTGCTGTCTGGGGTTGCCAGGCATCGGATGTTCTTCTCCGGCTGGTCTCGTAGAAAGGAAGGGCATTCGGCGGTCCAGTGCGACCGGGGCAGGTTCACCAGCCAGTAAGGGAGGGTGTCGGAGGTGATGCCATGGTCTCGAAGGAAGCGCGCTGGCGTTTCTGCATCGGCATGGCTCAATTTCTCGTCAAGTGTAGTGATTGTCACCGCCGGCGTCGATGCCTCGGTCGAATGTGGCATCCTAGGCTGGTCCCGCGGTCGTCCAACCCGGGTCGTGGACGAGTTGCTTGCGCCGAGTCGTAGAGGTTGTAGAAACAAAGCCGAGAGTCCAACGTCCTGGGGGCGTGACCAGGCAGTAGTGCTGGGAAGAATCTGAGAGCCCGAAAGGGGAGAATGCCCTTGAAATAACACGCCGGTGATCTGATGTCGATCATTGGGGCAATTCATCCACCGGAATCCACCCGGCCGGTGGCGCTCCGCCCGGCACGCCGACTGATATCAACCCAGAACTACAGAACGACGAGACGAAAGGGAGGAGGAGCAGAGGAGCAGTGAGAGTATCAATTGCCAGGATCTACAGAGGATCAGAGGATCATAGTCTGCGGCAACTATCGTGAAATTGATGCGACGGCGAGCTTCTTCACCGCGTCATCCACGTGGATCACCGACACCCCCGCGGCCCGAAGCTCCTCCTTCGCCTGCGCCCAGCCAGCCGGCACGACACACTTGGTGCCCTCCTCGATGAGCCAGCTGCGGAATCCAGCCTTGACGGCATCGATCGCTGTGCATTTCACGCAGTAGTCCCCCGCCAACCCGACGACAAAGACATCAGTCACCCCTTTTGTCCTAAGCACAGATGCGAGCTCCACGTTGACTGATTGCGCCGTCACCGCGGGATCCAGATTTCCAAACGCATCTGCAAAGGCAGAATACATCTCAATCTGCGGGTGCTTGCCTTTCTGGACGAACAGATCAATGCGATCCGTGTCAATCTCGGGGATCATCTCCGCCCCGGGACGGCCAGCGAGACAATGGACGGGCCAGAGTTGCTGCAGCTTGGTTTCGGTGTGCTTATGTGGTGCTGGGTTCTTCATCTCAATGAAGGATTCGAAGGGTCGGTTGTTTGGCGGGGGATGGTTACTGGCGAAGGAAATGTGGTCGGCGGGGTGGTAGTCTTGGGTTGCGATGCGCGTCACGAACCCCGGCTCTGAAAGGAGCTCGTTGATGAGCGGGGCAATACTCCGGCCATCTTGAACAGCCAGAGATCCAGTCTATACCCGGCGAGCATCGTGACAAGTTGCCTATCAGCAAGTCCGAGCTTCGAGCTATCGTCCGCGATTATTCAGACTCACAGGTGGACAGAAGTCTTCCTGCATATCCACCACGATCAGAGCAGGCACAAAGGGCTCCTGGTCCTTCCCTTTGAATTCCATCGTGTCAAGGGGTTTGCGCAATCTAGGCCGGTTATCGCATCGACCAGCTTGATCGAGCGTCGCGAACGAAGCTCTCACTGGGGCCCCGAGCTCGGCCTGCTGAGTCAGCCGCCGCGCTAAAAAAGGGCTCAAAAGAAGCCGCCCAGCAAAAGTGCAAAACTTGCCTTCCTTCTCCTCCCCAAGGGCTACGGCCCTAGCCAACATCGTCTTTTGAGTCCAATTGTCCCTGGATAATGCTCGTGAATTGCAAGGTACGTTGGAGTAAATCTCTTCTCCTCTGCCCCTCTTCCTTTATGATGATATATATTTATTGGAGCTGTCTGAGCTTTTGCTATGCGGATAAACTCTTTATACGCTTTTTTACCTGATCCTCACCCTTGTCTCTCCTCCTTGCCGTCGATGCCATGTACGGGCCCATGCTAATGCCCGACTAGTCAATAACAGGAGATTGTAAACCCATTTTCAAGCCTCCCTGATTCGGCTGCTAGCGGCTCGCCGGGCCCATCCTCTTAGTTCTACTTTTCTACCTACTTCCTACATATAATCCCCCTGCCCACCATGGCCTATGACCCTCGTCATGTAAACACGGGGAGCACCACTCCCCAAACTCCTCCCCCCTCCTCCCCCCACCACCCGAGTCCGCCCCCTCAGAGATGCCTCCCACCACCGAAAGCATGGTCGCGGCCAGTGCCGCCGTCGCCAGCAACCCCGAGGCGCCCACCGAGTCCTGGAAGCTAAAGTTCTGCACGGTCTGCGCGTCCAACAATAACCGCTCCATGGAGGCTCACCTGCGGCTCTCGACCGCACCGACCGCGTTCCCGGTCATCTCCTTTGGCACGGGCTCGCTCGTCCGCCTGCCGGGGCCATCCATTACGCAGCCGAACGTGTATGGCTTCAACACCACCTCCTACAACCAGATGTATGAGGAACTGCAAAGCAAGGACGAGCGGCTGTACCGCAACAACGGCATCCTGAACATGCTCGACCGCAACCGCAATCTGAAATGGGGCCCCGAGCGCTTCCAGGATTGGGTGCCGGGCCTCCCGCGCCTGGACCATGTCTCCAAGGGCGACAAGGGCGCGCTGGGCACGGAGGGCGGCGTCGTCGATGTCATTATTACCTGTGAAGAGCGCTGCTGGGATGCTGTGGTCGATGACCTGATGAACAAGGGCAACACGCTGAACCGCCCTGTGCACGTGTTCAATATCGATATCAAGGATAATCATGAGGAGGCGCTGCTCGGCGGGAAGGCCATCCTGGACCTGGCCAACCGTCTGAATGATGCGGCCATTGCGCAGCGGAACACGCATGGGCCGGAGGGGTGGGAGAATGGAGCTGGCGCCGCCCGCCTGAGCTTCGACGAGAGCGTTCCGGAAATCCTGGCGGAGTGGCAGGAGAAGAATCCTAATTTGCCGGCGTTGTGGACTTTGGCCTGGCTGTAGCCGCCATTCTTACCCTGTCCCTGTCCCTGTTCTCTGATACCCCTTGTCCATTGATGCCAGACTTTGTTCTCGAGTGAATCTAGTGCAAATCTCCTAAGTGCAGATTGTTTCCCTGGATATCGAAACCACGGATCCATAGAAGAGTCTACCCTGCAAATTTCACTGTCTTATCGCACTGGACAAAAAAAGTAGTTGATTGTGTGTCAAGCACTGCAGTCCACGTAGAATACCTCAAAAAGAATCCCAATAGGGTATCATCCCCCAACGCCATGCCATTAAACCATTATAACAGACCTCCATCAAGCAAAAACCCGATCATCACAAGCGGGCCTAGGAGATTTTCCTTTGGATCAAACCTGACTACCCGCCCTGGGCACGTTCTTCCTCCTTCACAGCTAGCTTCTCCTCATTGGAGAGCACAACATTTCTCCTCTCCTGGTACCACTTATCTAGACACCCCCTCCGTTGAGCCTGCGTCATATTCTCCACGACAAGTGCAAACTCCGTGGCATCGGCATATCCAAACCGCCGCGCCATGCTGCAGAACTGGCGGCGTTTCACATCCTCAGGCGGGTGATACTGAAACCGGACGATCTTGCCCTGCGGGCCCCGAAAGAGAGAGGGCAGCGGGGGTTGATCGCGAGGGGATGAGAGAGAATCGACGGCGTCGGCGATTTGAGAGGGCTCGAAGATCTGGAAGTCTGCGTCGGGGTCGTTGGTGACTTGCTCGGCGCGGCGGCTAAGGCGTTCTTCGACGCGGGAGGAGCCGATGACTTCATTGTTCAAGTGAGTGTATTCGACGCCGGCGCCGGCGAGGATCGCTTGGATAGGATCGTGGCTGCGTGCGGGTTTAGACTCGGATTTGGGACCGTCCGCATCAGCCTCACCGCGGACCATGGCGGCGATTTGGCTCATTGCTTCGTCCTCGGCTTTGACGCGTCCCTCGCCAGTGAAGTCGGTTTCATCCTCTTCCTGGACCTCAAAGTGCATGACTTGAACACCGGCGCGGCTTTCGGCGACGTTGGTCTTATTGACGATGTCGCGAAGGACGACGTTGTCGTGTTGATAAGCGAAGAGGTTCTGCATACCGAAGATCTCGCCCTTTTGATCTGCTTTTTCTTGGACGCCTTTGAAATAGCGTCGCTCAGAGCTGGCGGTGTATCCGATTTCGGCTTGTTGCTGCTTGTAGATTTGTCGGGCGTAGACGATCTCTTCGATTGTGCCGACAGAGACAAGCCGAAAGACCTCGACGTCGCGAACCTGTCCGATGCGGTAGGCTCGATCCTGTGCCTGGAGGTCATAAGAGGGGTTCCAGTTCGGGTCCACCACCACGACCTTGTTCGCTGACGTGATGTTCAGCCCAACACCACCGGCCTTGGTGGAGATCAGGAAGACAAATTGGTTTGGATCGGAGTTGAACTCGTCCACGGCCTTGGCGCGGTCTTCATATTTCATCGACCCGTCCAGGTAGCTCACATTGTAGCTGGTGTGGTTGAACAGCATTTGCAGCATCTTCAGCAAGCGCACGCTGTGTGAGAAGACGAGGACTTTATCACCATTGGCATGCCACCACCGCAGCAGCTTGCGCAGGACTTTCCATTTCCCACAGAACTCGGGGTTCGCATAGTTGACAATGGAGTCTCGGGAGCGGTACAGGCCTTCCCATTGATCAGGCAATGCTATTTGCAGCATCTCTTTTTCCTTCTCTTGTTTCTCCCTGGAGTCATTTCCTTGGGGAATCAGGATGGCAAGATGATTGCTGAGCTTCTGTAGGACCGCAATAGCAGGGAAGACATAAGACTGCCATGTCTTGTCTGTGCCGGGGACAAACTTGTGACAACACCACCCTTTCTTCTTCCCCGATCCACAATCACAACGTTCGCTGGAATACCTGATTGTGGTCACGATATCGCTATCCAAGAAATTCTCGTAGGCTTCTGCCTGGGTCCAGGTCAGAGGACAAAAGACAACCCGATCACTCTTTTTCGGTAGCTGGTCTGCAATCAAACTCTTCATGCGGCGCAAGAAGAATTGAGGAAGTAGGTTTTCAACGAGCTTCTTGGCCGTTCTTCGAGCCTTGCTGAGTTCATTTAGAGTAGCATCGTGCGATTGTCCGATCTTCAACGGTTCCGCAATCTGCGCTTTCCACGTCGTGACGGGTCCAATGACGCCGGGATTGGTCCAGTTCAGAAGGGTCCATAGCTCTTCATATTTATTTTGGATAGCCGTGCCTGTCAAGCCAATTCGACACAGAGCGTTGATTTCATTCATTCCTTGAGTGGTTTCTGACTTTCGTTCCTTGATCTTGTGGCATTCGTCCGCAATCACACAGTCCCATTCGACCATGTTCACAGAGTCTTTATTGCTCACGTAGGTCGTGTAGGTGGTGATCAGAATCTCCAGTCTGCCCGACTTGGCTGCATCGAGGGCAAGCTCCTTGTTGCTGCCATGGTAGACATCGACATGCCACCATCCCCACCGCTGCAGCTCAGAAATCCAGTTCGAGATCAGTGTACCAGGGCATATAATTAGCGTGCGCGGATACCAAGTGCTGTCGCCCGATCTGCGCATCTTGCGCATCCTTTTAGAATCTCGCTCATCGCCAGTCTTGCCGTAGGCGGCGGTCAAAAATGCAATCACTTGAATGGTCTTGCCCAGACCCATATCATCACCGAGAATACCACCCTTCTGGTAGACAAACATCTCATGCAAGAAGGAGACTCCTTCCACTTGATATTGGCGCAGCCACTGCGCGATTGGAGCAGGAATCAGACCAAGAGAATACGGCATCGTAATATCCTTGTATTCCCTCATAGGTTTTCTTTCTGGAAATGATGGCTTTTCCTGCAGATATTCAAGACGCTCATCATCAGAAAAGTGAACGACATCGTAGGAAGGCGGCAGCTTTAGTCCGTACTCCTTGAGATGTTCTTGTTTCCGGTGAAATTGAGCCCTACGCTGCTTCAGATATCCCGGAAGCGTATGCTCCATCAGCTCATCCTCCGATGAGACATCGCCATATTCCTTCAACCGCCGCTTGGGCCTCGGTGTTGCGCGGGCTTGCTTCACGAGACCGACCATCTTTTGGTCCTGGTGTTCTTTTTTGGAGCCTTTGCCTTCCGAGTAGCAGCTGCACTTTGCCTGCGCTTGAGAGATTTGCGCCCTTTGAACTTCTTGTATGCTGCCTCGCCATCGTTGAAATCATCGTCACTGTCCTGATGGTTCTTGACCGGTGTACTCGATATGATGCGCGACGGAGTATTGATAGCTTCGGATTTGAGACATTTCGGAGTGGATGTAGGCACAGGGGTATTCGTAGGCTCTTCGTATTTAATGGAAGCGGGGTTTCTGTCTGGTATATAGTGAGCTGCATGTCGCGCGCATCCAAGATTGGCACGGTAAGTACTAGAAGGAGTGTCCGCACCCATATAGGGCGTCACTTCCAGGTCATCGTCATCCGAGTTGATGATGATCACCTCGGACTCAGCTCTGTGATGTCCCATGTCCACTGCATAGCCAATCAGTGTAGCTGGCGAATGGTGGTGGACGCGCCGAGTCGCGTCCGGCGGCGAAGGCGGAGAAGTGGGCGACGGGCGATGTCATTCCCGATCGGCGAGGAAAAAAAGCCGTCCGATCAACCTCTATCCGCAGACGATCGCCACGGTCTACACCCCTAAGATCTCTCTCAATTGAGTCTGATTCCAGCTTTTGTCTGCTCGCGCGATCGAAGCGACGTGAGTTCCACCAAGACACTTTCGCCCGACACCTGATCAAATTGCGGTGGGCTAATTTGCATCCCACCATCCAGACCTACGGATAGAGCCTGACAAGCTTGCTCATGAGCCCAGCCCGCTCTTTCTTATACCCTCTTACGTCCCTGTCAAGATTAATCTGCAACCATGCCGCTCGATACCTCAACAACTTACCCTTTGACTAAGCTGCGCCTGGACGGCCGCCGCTGGAATGAACTGCGTCTACTTCAAGCGCAGATCTCCACGAACCCTGCCAGCTCCGGCTCTTCATACCTGTCTATGGGCAATACCGCAATCATGTGCTCCGTTCACGGTCCGGCTGAGGGTCGTCGTGGCGACGCCAGCGGTGCAGGAGGCAGCGCAGGTGCTATCGTCGACGTGGAGGTGAACGTTGCCGGGTTTGCTGGTGTGGATCGCAAGCGGAGGGCTGGAGGAAGTGACAAGTAAATCCCCCATGATAATTCCTCCTTTTGAGTCACCCAAGGACCGCCAGCGAGGCTGGCCCTTGATAGATTGGTCTTAGCCATGCTAACTCTGGCCCGTTCCTAGACAATCTTCACGAATCGCAACCACCTTGCGCTCTGCCTTCCAATCGCACCTGCATACCTATCTCTACCCACACAGCACGATCAGTATCCATGTATCCGTTCTCTCCGCCGACGGCTCCTTGCTCGCCGCCGCAATCAATGCCTGCACCCTGGCACTCGTGGACGCAGGTATTCCCATGCCCGGTCTACTCTGCGGCTGCACCGCCGGCATGAGCGGCAGCGCCTCCACACCGCGGGACCCACGACACGACGAACTCGACCCCTTGCTCGATTTGTCGCTCCCCGAAGAGCAGGAGCTGCCGGTATTGACCGTTGGTACTACGACCTCGGTTCCCGTGGGAGAAAACAATATGGACGACGAAGAGGGAGATATGAAGGTAGCCGTGTTGACGATGGATTCAAAGCTGCACTATACCTATATTGAGACCATGCTGGCAGTGGGCATGGACGGGTGCAACCAGATCCGTGAGCTGTTGGAGGGGGTGATTAAAGGCTCCAGCCGGGCCTAATGCGATGAGAATCTGATACCCATGCACTTTTGACGGCGTTCATTTGGTGTCAAGGAAATTACCAATGCTGAGTACTGAATACTGAATAAAATATCGAACTATTGAAATATTGAAATATTGAATTGCAAGAGTGGCCTACAAGGGAATCTGCTCAATTTCGCTCGTTTATACTTCGGGTGTTCCCTGCAAGGTTTCAGGGCCCAAAATGTGCTCAAAAGGCTAATTGCCTCGCCAGGCAGGTGCTTTCCAGCTGGAGAAGAGGGGATCATGTGTGTCTTTTAACACCTCCATCCTCTGTCTCTTCGATTCGCTCTTCCTGTTTGCCTCTTCCCTCCATCGTCGCACTTTGGCCTTCTGACTGACACCGCGGCCCTCACTGCTTCGACAACACTAGACACTGACTCTATGAATACGCGAACCATGACAGCTATACCAAGCATGTCATCGAACATGTCAAACCTGACCGGAATGCCGAACATGCCCGGGATGGGAGGCATTGACATGACCTGCCAAATTTCGGTTAGTATACTAGTTTCACGAAATCCTTCGGGGCAGGGACTGATTTGAAGCTACCAGATGCTCTGGAATTGGTTCACCATTGATGCCTGTATGTATGATGCTTCTCCTGAGTCACAAGGATGAATGCTAACCAGGCGTCATCGACAGGTTTCCTGTCCAGCTCTTGGCATATCCGCTCGCGTGGTATGTTCGCAGGATCCTGCATAGGCACCGTCTGCCTTGTCTTGTGCTTGGAGTTCTTGCGCCGCATGGGTCGCGAGTATGATGCTTTCATTCTTCGTCAAGCTCGTCTGCGCAAGATGTACCTGTCTAGCCCGATTTCCGGTATATCTTCCAAGTATCCAACGGGTAAGACGAGTGATTCCAGCGATGTTGCTGTCCACCGCAATACGGAGGATTGCACCTGCAGTTGTCCGCCATCTGCATCCGTCAACCAAGACGAAATTATCACTACTATTCCTGGCATGGATTCGTCGGGTGCAAAGCTCACGGGCCAAACTCATGTTACCTCCATCACTGCGGGCAATGCCAACTTAATCGAGAACAGCGCGGCTCATCGCACGAACGCTGACACCATTGGGTCGTATCGTCCCTCTCCTGTTGAGCAAGTGATCCGCGCCCTGCTCCACATGGTTCAGTTTGCTGTCGCGTACTTGATTATGCTGCTGGCGATGTACTACAACGGCTACATCATTATTTGCATCTTCGTCGGAGCGTTCCTGGGCTCTCTGGTTTTCTCATGGGAGCCTGTGTCTCTGCACAAGGAGTGAGGAGCCCTGGATGAAATGCCTTCATTTGATACTTGCATTTGATATTTGCTGATCTGGCTTCGATGACTTCAGGAACGATGCGACTCAGGTCACCAAGTGCTGCGGCTAGACCCAACGCAGTCCCCATGGTCATCCTCAAGCGATATGAAAGAAAACAACCCTCTGAAGCGGAGCCGAATGAAAACAAGACCTCGACCCATGAAATGAGAATGATCAATATTCTCTTGGCGTATTCTAGGTGCACATCAATCTTATCTTCTTCACTCTCAACACTTCTGGTCAGGTACATATCTCGTTTTACAATACAGTCTCCTGTCTTTTAGCCCATATCAACGCAAAAATGTATTTGGCACGAGACACATCTACCAATCCCATCACCGTAGAACAACGACCGAACTGACTGCACACAGCATCACCAGGTTAAGCCCATTCAATCCTTGGTCATGACCTAAAGATGAATTAAAAGGCACTATCCTATCTTTGTAGAAAGAAACAAAGTCCAGGCTTCGGAATTGTCACTAAAGAGCGAAAACAGGGTAACAATTTGTAGCTGAAGACTTTCCAAAGAAATCTCGATTGCCTCCATTGGCTGGTCGAATTTTTCCATATCAATAAGGCTTGAGGAGGATCTTCACCTGACACCAAATTAATGACTTCGTTACTCATATGCTGACGCTCTGTCGATGCAAAATGGTATTAGGACCCATCCGGTGTGAAGGGCAAGATGGGAGGGATATTCGGAGCAAGTGCTGAATGCCAATCTCGGATACACTTGAACCAGTTTTGCCTCCCTGTGGCTCTCATAAACATCGGCCGGTATACCTATATCGTCTTCATTGTCTGGCTGGCTTTGGAAGAGACGCATGAATCTTTACTACACGCATTGAACCTTTACATGAACCAAAAGGCCATTTTTTTCTCTCAAATCTGCCAATAGAAAATTCACTTCACAATGCAATTAAATGCTTTAGTGCTAGTCAAGTTATAAGTGTAATAATACATGTAATGCCGTTTAGCTTCCTGCCACAACAGCCAAGCCTTCGTAGATCTTTCTCTTCACAGCAAGGAAGCTACCAGCGTTGCGCCCAAGAGCCGCCTGGTTCGCTGCCGCTTGGGCCGCCGCCTCAATCTCAATCTTGCCAGTCCCGGACTTCCGTACAGCGACAGATTTATCGATGAGAAGAGTGCCTTCGCCACGGAATTCAGCGATGTGTCCAGCTGCTTGCATGAGCTTGCGGAGATCAGCGAGACGAAGATCACCGACGTGGAGGGGGCGGGCCATAGACCTGGTCCCGGCGGCCATGCTGGCTGGCAACGTATCGAGGACAGGGAAGGCTTCGGACTTCTCAACGGGTTTGGCCACAGTGTCCATGGTTGGTGCAACTGCCGAAGAAGCCGCTTCATCCTTGACCAGCTTCATCTTCTTGCCAGCAACGTCGGCGTCGGCATTCTCATCCTCTTCAGGATGCTCGGGTCCACGAAGCTGTGCGGTCAGAGCGACCACACCAAGACTCCGAACATGTTGCCAGTTCAAACGTCGGACGAGGCTGTTGCTCAGCTTCACTGTCCAGGCATTTGTATCGACACTGGCATCGATGACTTCTCCATTCGCGGGAGTAAAAATGATAGCAGCGGCATCCGCCACAGAAGTCGAAACATCACCGCCAACTTTAGCAGTGAGAAGCTTCTTGCATTCATCCGCTAACGCTGACGTTTCGTCTTTCATGCCGCCGACCAAAATCAGCTTCTGGGGCTGGATTAGTGGGATCAACATCTCTAAGCTGCGCTTGTCGTGCAAGCCCATAAAGTCAACGAAAGCGATGCGAGCGTTGATCGTGATAGACTCCTTGCTGTATACGGCCTTGGCTGGGCCCTCAAACGCTTGCACGTCGGCCTCGTCTTCCGAGGATACAGCAACATCAGCACCTTCGCCATCTGAAGCAAGACTGAAGTCATCCGCGGCGCCCAATTCGATTCTCTGCCCGTTGGCCATGTGCTGGCGTTTGCGCCCACCAGCACCGGCAGATAGCCTCCGTCCATTGGTTCCAGTAGCCTCGTCCCAGCGTCTTTTCTGGCCAAGTTTGGTCTGCTCGTCAGATCGCCGTTGTTGCATATCGATTTCCTCACGCTCTTCCGCTCGAAGATACTCCTCTGGCCGAATGAACTCTCCGTACTCATCGCCTTTCTTTCTTGGCGCCACATACGGGAACATGCGCTCACGTCCCTTCTTTCCCCGAACGTCATAGTCGTAGACATTCTTACGTCGAAGAAGAACGTTGATGCCCAAGTCTTCATCAGTTAGGGCCAATTTGCTTCGGTTCGAGTGCGCGAGTGTTGTTGAAAAGTTGAGAATACGGCCTTGCTGCTCAGAGTCCGAATCTTCAGAAGATGTTGAGCTAGACCGATCATCCAGAGCATCTGCCGCGGTCTCGAGGTTTTCTTGTCCTCGAGCTTGCGAGGTATCTTGAAGTTGTCGTTTTGTAGCCAGGTATTGCTGGTAGAGTAATTGCTCTCTGGCATCCAGAGGTGTTCGCTGCACATCTGTCCAAGTCAACTCTCGGCCGCCGCTGTGGACTTGCTCGAGTAGTTCTCCGTCAGGGCCTTTCTCCAAGGCCACCCCATCTACCCGCTCTTCATACCACTGCCATATAACACCCCCAAGGGAAATTGCGCTCGGAGGCTCCTCCACTCCTTCGGCCATTGTTCTTCGGAAGGACTCGGTCAACAATAGCAAATTGTTGGGGTCTTCAGCCACTCGTCTAAGCGATTCCTTTGAGAAGCCCCAGGCCAAAGAGGTATTGGAGGCCAGAATGACTTTGGGTCCAGGCTCAGCTAGGAGCTTTTCGAGGCGCTTCTTGCGCTCTATAGTCCTGAGGTGCTTGAAAGTGAAAGGACCAATGCCTTTTCCGCTTCCCTTGTCTTGCCCCTGGCCGCTAGTCTTTTGACCCGCTGCCGCATCAGCGCTCTCAGCTGCCTCGAATTCACGAACGATATTCTCGTCCATCCACTCCAGCATACTGCGAGCTAGTCGCAACGTAGTATTCACTTTTCTGCCAGCTAAATATAAACCCGCGCCTTGAAGAGCATCACCTTTCTCGCCCTCCGCTGCATCACGCCAAGCGTGCTCGAGTGCATATGCTAATTCTAGCACGCGCGAACTCGTGTCTGTCGGAATGAGAACGGTGCCGCCTTTTGCCAGACTACTCCGAATCATGTCGAGAAGGAGATCATCTCTCTTTTTTCGGCCTCCCGAAACGGAAAACTTATCACCCCCTTTGGAACTGCAGATCAGGGCTGTTGGCTTTCGCAATTGCTCAATAACCTCAGTTCCGTTGGCTCCGGAGCCACCGAACCATGCAGCACCCGCCACGACGCCCTCTCGCGCCTGGTTCCAGTCCATTGCGTAAACGATTGATTCCATCCCATGCTGAATGTGCCAGATTGTTCCTCCAACAGTATGCCCAGCATTGTAAGCAGTGAGGGTGAGTCCATCCAGAGGCGGCGAGAACGGAGACGGTAGCGGTTGGTGAGGCTGCGAGTATTTGAGGGGTTGGATAAGGGAGAAGTATTGGGCAATCTCCTCCGTCGTCGGCGGTTGAAGAAGAATCCGACCTGAGCTGCCAGCAGCTTCATTGCTCTCTTCACCTTCTCCCACCGAGCCTACTGCGGATGCTGCCGACGATGCACCCGGTTCGGAAATCGATGCAGTTGGTAAAAAGGTAGCTGCGAGTGGTGCCGATACATATAGGTCTTGCAAGCATGTGCGGCCGAAGGCGATAACAGGGCTTGTCGCGTAAATCGGGATTTGCGTGAACAGAGGGAAGGTTCGGCAGCAGTGAACAAAGGCACCGATATGCGCCGGAGTCGCATGGGTCAGGAGGATGAGCGACAGAGTCGGTATGTGTCTTGGAGATATAGGGTCAGCTCAAATTATCCAAGACGTGGAGGAGCGCGAATTCGAGCTCACTTCTCGAGCTCTGCCAAGTCACGGGTGTCAAAAGAATCGTCCCAACCGACGTCCACCAGGATCTTGATGCCACCATCAAGCTCTAGAATAGACTGCGATGCCTTGGAGGAAGCCGATTGTGCCCCGAGCAAAGGTGTGAATGTGAACATTCTGATTGCCTGCCGTCAGCGACGGAGCATGCGCGACTGGATCTGGGCGAGCGTGTTCGCGACGAGGACTCGTCCAATCGAGCCGAATACTGATTTTGTCGTTCAGATAATGGAGCTATGCATTATCTCATGATGCTTAGAAGGTGGTTCTTCTTCGATCGAAGCGCAAAAAAGAGGGACTAGGACAAAGTTGGGTGAGCGTATTCGATGTCCAATGTTACTGCTGCATTTGTCGGGTCTGGTGTTTGTGCTGTTTGTTGTCATGGTCAGGTGATCTGGTGTCAATAGCCTTCCGCTGGTGGAGACCGGAACTATGGTAGATCCGAGATCTACACTGTGTTAATCATGTAGGGGAAGAGAGTCAATTCAGGCAGGTAGAAATTTTAAGTTGAATGAATAAAACAAGCCTTCAATCAAAGCTACCTAAACGTATCATATTAGGGGACTATCTTCCCACAAAACAACCCCAAAACCACTTGGAAGAAAACAAATGGAATACAAAACAATGCCCCTCAATGTACGTCAAAAATATATCTTCATGTCCAAGACCACCTACAGTACCTATCAATCAGCCGGTTACCTACCTACCTATACCCACATCGAAGTCCCCTCTCATCTTCGACTCCATGTGAATCCCCCTATTAAGCTCCTATCTTCAGTGTTAGTCTCGTCTCTTGTCGCTCTATTGTCCTGACTCAGTATTGTCGCTTGTTGGACAACGGTCTGTTAGTTTTGGGAACTTTGGAAAGGCCTATTGGGACTTGAAGCTCAACCTCTTCCGGCATCAAAATGCCATGATCTCGCCCGAGGAAACGCCTCAACTTTTGGATAGCGTTCCCAGCGCTCTTCAGGGTTCTCACTAATCTCCTCGCATAGGCGGAAATACTTGAAGCTTCGTCTAGCTCCTGACCAGATGGGAAACGAGAGCTTAATTAAAGTCTCCGCGATAGACTCAGGGCTTTCCGACTTTTCACGCGAGCCTGGAGTTTTCCCTGGATATGGAGCATCGCCTGCGTCCTTGCAAGCGTGAAGACTTCCTGGGCTGTGCCTGTGCCTTGTGTACGTCATGCACTTGGCGCAGAACTGTCAATATCTGATATCCAATGGGACATAACCGGCTCCTGTTCTGAATAAGATTCCATGGACTTACTGGGTTGCGCTTCCACAGCTGATGGGCTACTATTCTCATCCATCGTCCGCTTCGATGACCTTTCTGTGTGAGGAGACAAATCAGCAAGAGCACTCAATCATAAGTCAGATCCAGGCTAACTTCCAAAATAGGAAACAGATGGGCGATATGCAAGGGGCCATAAAAAAAGAATTGCTAGCAGTCTCCCTTCACTATCCCTGAAGGCTTGACAGCCAATCATGGTGCACTATACACATCCAATGATGACGATCATAGAGCTGAGGTACTTCACAGAGCTGAGCAGCGCAGGTGCACGTCCTCCAGAGGGCTGCATTGACACATTCTTGATGATATCATCTGATGATATTGAATGAATACAGGAGAAGACACAACATCATGCTTAGAATTAAGAGGATGACAATGAACCAAACACATTTGTACTCACCAATCCGAGTAATTTTGCTCACATCCCCCGAAGGTGTCATTCCGATCTCGGGAGGTTCTGGGATCACCTGGCCCATGTCGCGTTGGATATCTTCTATTCTCTCCTCCGAACTAAAATCGATAGAGCCCGGACCCTGTTGAATGCCCTTTGAACGGCCCTTACTAGACATCCTGGCTGCTGGCGCAAGAGCAGAGGGAGGCGGAAGCTTAACAGCTGCGCCAATTCTCGCAGTTGGATTCAAGGAAGGGGCCTGGTAATCTGGTGGGCCAAGGGTTCCTCTCATGTTCGCCATCAATCTCAAAGCTATGAGGTCTTCTTTTCCGGGCTTCTCTTCGCCTTGCCGATAGTTGAGTTCCGGACGCTCATACCTGCATCTGGTAGTGCGTCCCGGGAAGCTTTGTACCCTGTTCTCAATTCGATTTACAGAGTCCTCAATTCGATCTTTGACTGTGTTGGGGCCTGCTGGTCCCGCGCGGTCCAATCTTGGAGCAGGCGGTAAAGGGTCCTCGACGTTGGCGATTTGGGCTGCAAACTGCTCATTCCGTATCATCTGTCGCAGTTGCTGTCGAGAGAATGGATTCTCTAGTGCCTCTATAAGACGATGATGAGCGTGTGTGTGGAGCTGTTGGCCTGTCAGGCCGAGCCAAAATGTCGGCGGGCCAGGCTCAAAGTTCCATCGAAGACCTCCTAGCCCTATGAACCTGTCATAAGCCCGTGGGTGGGAAAGTGGTGACACTCCTGGAATGATGGTTTCTTGGGGATGTGTTCTGATCAAGTTCTGTTCACGATCTTGGTTGGGGGCCTGAAAGTCCAAGAGGGTTCTCCAACGAGGGAAAGGTGCGTTTTCTCCGTAATAGATAGTGGGATGGCCTACAGGAAGATTCGCTGGCATGGGGAACTGTAAGGCAGTTCCAGCTGCAGCAACATTGGGAGGGGGCTTAATGAGGCCCAAAACCTTTGGTGGTTCGGGTGGAGGCGGAGACTCTGGCGCATGCACTCCTCGTTTTGGATATCGTGAACCCACTAACGGTATTGCAACCGAGCCTTTTGCTGTTTTTTGTTTCTTCGGTGGCGGACCACTCGTCGAGGATGCCGCCCCTACTGCTCCTGGGGTCTTCGCGGCAACCTTTTTGGCGGACTTGTTGGCGGGTGTCTTCTTCGCCGGAATAGCTGTCGTGGCTTTTCCCTTACGCTTTGCCATCTCGATAATTTTAGATGCCAATTATTCTATATAACATATCATTAGATGGGCACGAATAAGTTGATAATGCCGGTGAGATGAGTATACTCACTATATAATGTTTCTTCTGCGGTGCGAGTTGATCAAGGGCTGGTTATTCAAAAGAACGGAAACTGATTGTAAGAAATCGAATGAATTTAAGCGGAGAGAACGTCCTGCAATTTCTGGGCCGATTAGCTTTGAGCCATGCCACACCCTGTGTTGAGACTCACTCGAACAAAAGCGGAATAGATATACAATAAAAATAGTTTCTTTGTCCTCGCACTTCCGCCTTGCCGATGGCGAAAGGACTCAGCCACGGCACCGAGAAGTTCAGAATTGATCCGAAAAGATTGATCGTTTGTCTGAAGAAATTCCAGAAGCTTTGGATTGTAGTTTATTTCAAGACGTGGCACCTGTGAAGTCCAGTGAAACCTGACGAAGAGTATGTGATTTAGACACGGTAGCCAACATAGAGACTGAGGAGCTTTTTGAGAAGCCCTTAGATAATGGAAAAGTAAAACCCGTGAGAGCTAAAGCAAGATAGGCTGCAAAGAATTCATTTGTAGAATGGAATGATCAACGTCAGATACGGGGCCTTGGACAAAGTAAAGAGACGAGTCATTTTCATTCTCAAGATAAGACAGCTTGTGTTTCGGCTCCTATGATCACGCCAGCACGTATGGCAGCCGTGTTTTGCGGCTGAGACTTTTGATCTGGTCTCCTGTAGTTCTAGTCAGATGTTACCCTTTCCTCAACCAAGACTCAGGTTTACATAGGAGCTTTGCCAATAATGCATGTCTTCAAGAGATCGACACGTTTCTCCAGATACCCTTGGATTTGCCAAGGGGGATTTGGTTGCTGCCTGAAGGCCGGATTGAAAAGGGGAGGCAGCATCAAGGATCAAAGAGGCAGAATTAATCTATTTCTGTCCTGGTACATAGCATACGTTGTCTAAAACCTGGTTCGTCTTGAAATTTAGAGTTTAGAAATCCCTGGTAGATATCCCGGTCAAAGAAAGCCAAGATGGGTTCCCTCGTTAGGATCCTGGTCACTATATTCGCCATTAATCACGTAACCAGGAGGCACACAGACAAAGCAAAACGAGCTGGTGGGTAAATGTAGGGTGCTATAGGTGAGAAATAACGACCGTCCGTTCAGGAAATCAGCTCCCCATTCTGGAATGCGGGTATGCTACTCTGCTGGTGTACATTGCCGGGTGCTGAGTGTCCATCTATTCCTTGGTGGACATTACTCAAGGGGGGAGATCGAGGTGATCACTCTGGATGGTACCTGGAAGGTTGATTGATGACCGTGGAGTGCACCCAGTGAACCAGAGATCCTAATGCATTAAGCCTAGGATTTGCAACTATTTACTTCATACGCAATACTGCAGGACCAGAGAGTTTGGACAAAAACCAACGTCAAAGTCAGCTACTCGTTGTTTAATCTTGAGGAAACACAATTCTACGTGGTCTGCAAGTAGAAGCTTATCATCCGACAACAAGGCGAAAAAGTTCAGCTACTGGATGGAAACGAAGTGAGAGGCTGCTTCAGATGCCGGGATTGCGTTGTCTATTCCCACATTCTTTGTTTACCGGGGGTAGAGACTTCGCGGAGGCTGGAAGGACGATCACAGAGCTAGATTAAGACAGCATGGCCTTTGATGTAATTTCCACATGATTCCTTGCTCGGTTGTTGGGCTAACCCTCATCCGAGAAAGCTAAATACAATGTCGAAGCTACGGTAGGCGCAGGCCATTCCTGCGCCATGGCCGCTCGATCTCCATACCGCTGCCCATGTGGCCGAGGTTCCGGAGGGTGTCCTGGATACAAGAGGTATTAATACCCTAAGCATAGCCTAGCCTAGAAATTTTGGGCCAGCAGAAACAAGATATAGATCGCCGGAAAAGCCATACCGGCAAATCAAAAAGGAAAAAAGGATTAATTATCTGCTCGCGTTCAAGCCACAAGGAGATTGGAATGTCCGCCCCTTCTATTTCAAATTATTTCAATCCCATAATAAGAACCTGAGGTCTAGCTGCCTCAAAAAGCAAGGTTTTGCTGCCTAATCGCACAGTATTGTCTTTGCCAGCCACTTACTGCTCATTGCCAGTACCTGGGCTCGTCAAAGACATGGTAGCGGTGTCCGCGGACACCCTCGCCGCGGAAGAGCGCGGGGAAGCGCCGGCCAACGGGGACTAGCTCCTCCGGGACGCGCACTTCCTCCTCGGACTCGGGCTCACCAATGACGAATTTGCCGACCTGGATTACGAGTTAGTCGTCGTATAGATCATAGATCGGGGGAAGAGTAGCAAGTAGCTTACCTGGATCTCAGTGTCGGTGATAGTGTCACGGCTGATACGCGCGTAACCTGTACGCTTCAACTTCTTGTAGAGAACATACTCACACCAGCGGTCCCAGTCAGTAGGATCAATGTCCTTCATGCCGCTCACGTCGCTGACGTAGGTGTTGTAGTTACCCTCCAGCGGCTTGGTGACCAGGTAACTCAACAGAATCAAGGGTCGCGGGGACGAGCCCATCAGCTTGGACAAGTACTCAGACTGGAGGCGACGGTCCTCAGGATCCTCCTCCTGGCCCGAGTGGAAGACAACAACGTCGATCATCTCGCCGTACATGTCAAGAGTAGCATGGATGGCAGGAGCCAGCTCACCGACAGGCGAGGGGAGAAGGTGGTGGGTCGAGTTGACAATGGGGAACTTGGACAGCAAGGCGGCGCCCCAGGTGTGCTTGTTGGGGCCCGGGCCGAAGTCAGCATAGTAGCCGAGGTCCTCTGCGATATACTGAGTGACATCCTTGTTACCCATGATGATGCGCTGGTTATCGGACTCGAGGAAGCCAATCACGTCCAGCTCGAGCTCGCCAAGAACATCGCGCATGCGGCGCTCGGCAGCCCACATGTTGTTGTCCAGTCCAAAGTGGACAGTCCAGATACCGGCGGTAACGACCTTGTCCTCCTTGTGGTGGGGGACGTAATCGTTAGTGGGGAAGCGAAGGTAAGCCACAGAGACGGAGAGCAGCTGCAGCGCGGCCAGGACATAGATGTAGTACGAACGCTGGCGCTTGCTGTTGGGGCTGATGGGCTTCTTGCGGGAGCGAGTCGAGTTGGTGGTCGCAGCCGAGAATACACCAGCGCCGACCGAGAGCATGGTGGTGATCATGACCCAGTCAGTGTGCTCACGGACAAGCGGACCCCCGGGAACAAAGGCATAGGCAACGACCCAGACGTGGAAGAGCAAGAGGAAGACGTAAAGGAGGAAGCCAATGCCAAAAGTGCTGGCAGGGCCGTGGCGGACGCAGGAAGTGATTAGAACCTGAGCCACGGCCATAATGTAGAAAGCGAAAATCAGGGCGCCATAGTATCCAGTCCAGTGGTGGTAGCAGGTAAGGAGAGCCGCACCAACAGATCCAAGGCCGAAGGCCGTCCAGCTACCAGAGACTGCAGGGTGGAAAATACCATAAATCAAGCCAGCGCCCATAACGAAGATCGTCACAGCACCGTGCGGCACAGCGATAGGGCCACGGACAGGGTATCCCTCCCAGACCCAGGAGATCATAGTACTGGAGTCCGTTAAAAGCGAGACGATCGCAAACATAAGACCGCCAAAGCCAACACCAGCTAGAAGAGCAGAGCCCTTCTTGCCACCGGCGGGGAGATATTCACCACCACTAGTGGTAGTAGGGCGCTGAGAGCGCAGAACAGCGAAGATGGCGATAAACAGGCCAATCTTGTTCCAGCCACCGTTGTCAGCGTGCATGACGGGCCAGAGAGGGTTGTTAGTCGAGCAAGCGAACTTGGCAATGACAGACATGACCAGACCAATACCCCAGGCCATGATGCGGGCCTCCAGACGTGGCGTATTGGCACGCTCAGCAAAGAAGCTGGCGGTCCATGCAGCACACGTAATTGCGAGAGCAAAGGCAGTCACGAAGAGACGGTGAGCAGGATTCTGGAACTTATAGGCTAGAAGACCGGACAGCGAGATCAGATGGAGGAGTCGTAGGTTCTTAACCGCGAGCTGTCTCAGAGACGGGATGACGAAGAAGAAGGGCGAGACGACAGCAATGATCGCAACCTCATAGCCCGAAATACCCATGTGCCAAAGAGGGAAGTCTGTCAAAGTTAGTACAGGGGTGGTTCAGCAAAAGACGCGAAAGGCCACTTACACCATACAAGCACAGGGAGACCAGTCACAATGGTCCAGAAAACGAACTAGAATTCATGATCAGCAAAAAGAAGTGAGCTAACTCCAAAATGTAAGAGACATACCCCATTGTAAACATCCGCGGCGGCATCGATGATCTCGGTCCAGAAGAAGCCTTCACCGAAGGTGTTGCCCACAGGCTTGCCCTTCCTATATTACGTGTTAGCCTCCGAAGGGGCCGAGGGTAGACTATTGAGAGTACGCACTCCTTTTCAAGGACTGTGTCCGCAGTCGTCTTCAACTGCCTGAGGCGCAGAATGCGAATTTAGAAAATGTCTTTGTTCATAACCAAACGTAACTTGTGGCACTATACATTTGTTGTGGGTGTCATTTCGGAAGCCACGGTACATACCCTCTGCTGATGCCCTTGATATCCCGCACCACGATTTCGAATCCCTCAAAGTCGAGTACCGTGATCGCATCAAAGCCTACATCGAACAAAATCAAGGACCACTCAAAGAAGGCGTACCGGGTGTAAGCTAGGAAAAGGTTAATTAGAAAAGCTCTCTGTTTGCAGTTGGAGGAATCCAAGTCACTACTTACCTCCGGGCACCTTGTGGACCTTATGCTGAATAAAGTAGTAGATCAATGGCACCAGAGTTCCAAAGAACAGACCAGCCATGATCTTGCGGTACTTAACCGCACGGCGGTTGTTGGGGCTGAGCGCAAGGCAGCCCAGCGTCCACGGCAAGGTCGCAACAAGGTAGGAGATCATGAAGATATCATGCCAGTCATGGTCATCGGTGGAGGTAACATAAGTCCATCCACCGCATGCCAAGGTGCGGAAGACGCCTACACCGGCAACGATCTTGGGGAGAGTCGAGTTCGGACGCGCGGTGAGGATATACCATAGGAAGACGAGAGCGAAGCGAGGACCGGAAGTAATGGCGATGAAGACCTGGAAGAAGGATCGCTCGGGGTAGCGATCGCCAATTGTCGCGGAGACGGAGGGAAACCACTCGTCTGGGTAGCCGTAGTGCTCATTCTGGACGATCTTGTGGTAGTGCAACGCACAGCCGACTACCAATGCGCTGAAGAAGGCGGCATACGCGAAGAAAGTGTGAGTCCATGAAATCCATTTGCCGTTGATCTGCAATGAACTGCGAGTCAGCGCCTATCCCAGGGATCTTATCGTGAGTTGCAGGGCACGTACGGCAACCACGGCATCTCCGTCCTTGAATCGGGGGGCCATGGCGGCGCAGAGGGAGGGGGAGCTCTCTGCACCGGTATACAGGAAACCAGGAAAGAAGAACGAAAAGAGCGTAAAGAAACGAAAGAGAAGAGAACGACTTGTAGAGAGCAAGGGCCCCTGAGGAAAGGAAAACATCGGATCGGCCGGTGCTCCAGAGTGTCCTTGAAGGCTTGGCGGCCTGGCGGCCTTGCTGCCTGATTAGCCTGATGTGGTTTAGCGTGGGCCGCGTGGTCGGTGCTTTGGTCAATGCGGGATGCCGACTACTTTTTTTTCTTCTCAGATAAAACGCAGATCACGACAACCACGATGTCCGCCGCCACAGACAAGGCACGGTTCTTTCTCGAGAAGTCGGTGCCCGAGCTCAAGGAGTACGAGCGCAAGAAGCTTTTTACCAAGGTAGGTGCCGTGAATGACTGGCTCTAGGCCTCGCGTGCTCTAATGTTGACTTTCGGCTTTTTTTTAGGATGAAATCACCTCAATCGTCAAAAAGCGGTCCGACTTTGAGCACAAGATCAATGCGCGCGGTGCGGCATCCGTCGATTTTGTGCGATATGCCGAGTACGAGATGAACCTGGAAACCCTGCGCAAGAAGCGAGTAAAGCGACTCGGCCTCCGGTCCGCTGGACACAGCGGCCAACGGCGCATTTTCTTTATCCTCGATCGCGCCACCCGCAAATTCCACGGGGATCTCAACCTCTGGATCCAATACATCGAATATGCGCGGAAACAGTATTCACACAAGAAGCTGTCCATCATTTTCACAGACGCCCTGCGGTTCCACCCAACCAGCGCGGAGTTATGGGTCTACGCCGCCAAGTACGTTCTCGATGACCATGCAGATATGTCCCAGGCCCGGAGTTATATGCAGCGCGGTCTCCGGTTCTGCAAGAGCTCAAGGAATCTTTGGATCCAATATGCCAAGTTGGAGCTGATCTATATCTCCAAGTTGGTTGCTCGTCAACGGATATTGGGACTGGACGAGGAACGGCCGACACAGACTCCCGAGGCTGCGGATGACAAGGACGCCGATATGATCGCGCTCCCCGAGATCACCGGCGAAGACATCAACCCGACCCGTAACGATAGTGAAGTCGACCAGGAAGCACTGCAAACCCTGAATGCCACACCGGCACTGACCGGTGCGATCCCCATGGCCATCTTCGATGCCGCCATGAAGAATTTCCACAACGACGACCAATTTGGGGCCGAGTTCTACGAGATGGTGCTGGAATTCCGGGATGCACCGTGTCTGCGCACAATTCTCGAGCACGTGGTGGACACGATGCGGGCACATAAGCCCACCAGCCCCCGTACGCAGATCTGTTACATCAAGTTCCCGACCGTGGGTGTTCAAATCACGTCGGTGGAGTTCCCACGAGTCCTTGGCAGTTCGCTGGCCCGTCTCAAAGAGTCGCCTCTGACCCCCGACCTGGCACGGGAGGTGGTGAGCTGGTTGCAACCTGTTGCAGAGACGGAGGACCTGGATCCTTCGCTGAAGAAGGTCATTCTGGCCACCTTGCGCAATGCGGAGCGCGCATCATCGGAGTAAATTTTTGTTTTTGGCGTACGTGGAAATCATCTTGCACATTCCAAGGCGTTGGTCGGGGAGTGAATCAAAACTGTCCTAGGTAGATAATTCTTAGGTGGTATGTGTGCTATAATTTTAGCTTCATTTTATTGGTGAAGAGGTCCCATCAATCATCGTATTTGCTCCCCTGCCGATTGCTCTTTTTGCTGCTGTGAAACTTCTTCGACTTGAGTCGGGCCTCATTTTGGGCACGCTGTCTGTAAACGGTTGGTTAGGAAATACCGATACCATGGGTGAAGCTGCTAATTAAAGAGTGGTGGGCCTACAATTTGCTCACGCGATCTTTCTGTTCTCGGGACGTCTCCCCAGGGATGACTGCTTTTGCCGAGCTGGCCAGCAGCTGGTGAAGCTTTGCATAGCACGCGTCTACATTGCTCGCCTGCTGCCGGGACTCGTCCGACTGAATCACCAGCGCCTGGGACCGGTCGGTGGCGTAGCGAGAGGCGCGCAACTCCGGATGTAGTAGACGCGGCACGAGAGGCAGCAGCGCGGCTAGGGGCACTTTCAACGTGGCTTTGGAATTGACTCTGGTGTTCACCTCTCACGGTTAGCTCGGAGCTCTGTAGAGTTTCGGGGCCGTCGGATCAGATTTGCACCGACTTGTTCACGTTCTGACCACCGGGGCCGCTTGAACGGCTAAAGGAGATCTGGCCGACATGGCGGGGAATCGTCTTGACGCCCGACTCGAAGGCGTTCAGCCACGCCCTCGCTAGCTCAAGGTCTGGAGGGTCAGATGACCCCGAGGAAGCGGACCTTGTGCACCCGCCGAACGGAACGGGTGAAGCAGATGGGAAGGACGTGGAGAATGGCGCTCTGCTCCACGAGCGAAACGCGCAACACCGCGATCGGAGCGGCATTGGCGCTGTCCAGCGAGGATGATTCCTCCGGATGAGGGAACTGGAAGAGTCGAAGAAGTTCGTGGTGGAGTTGCCCTGACTAATTAAAATTCCCAAGTCGCCGCGGAAAGGAGGTTCTCCGACCTTGTTCGGTCTGGCCGGTCTTGGTGCCCCAGCCTCTCCACGTGCCCAGGCTGTTCTCCCGGGCTGCCACTTGGGAGGGGTGTTCGTAGGTATACGCGATAGACGAAGCGGCCAGGAAACAAGCACTGCCCCTCCTTTCATCTCTGCTCTCCGGTCACAGTGGGGGAGCTTGGGATAACCATGCTGCTGCCCGTGGTCATCTAATTGGCGGAAACAGCTAGTTGCAGAGTTACGGTGGAGCTGCTACCCCTAGCTGGTTCTTTCGTCTAGCCTGGTGGGAGGCAGTGGGAGGGAGGCCGGATGTGCTCCCGGCCTTCCTTGTCCAGAGTGCCCTGCATGTACTCCGTACAGCGCCGTACTTGGTCCATGTAGTAACCAGCGCACTCCTGATCCTTTGACCTTGCGAGTCAGTTCTGATATCCGATTTTAATTTTCTTATGACCTCTGCTCTGACATCTCTCCCTTTTTCGTGGTTGCTCGTCTCTGCCCGGTCTGGGACCCTTACCGCCCTTCACAGCGGGCCCGGTCTTTTTCTCATCGCCCCACCTTAGCTTGCGATTGCAAAATTCACAATCTGACCCTCTGCCGCCTCCATCTTCGACTTCCGCGACTTCCACCACCACAACCACTCTCCTCCCCCCACCCCCCCTTTTCTTCACCGCTCGTTGTAGATGAAACGCCCACCTCCTCGCTCTCTACATGACGCCCAGTCCCCCTGATGAAGCTCTTCACTTCCGCGGAAAGACACTGACTCCGGAAAGCCCGCGCCCGCTGCATATCCCGGAGCCAGCCAATATCCCGGTCCTGGAGAATCAAATGGACCCCATCTTCAACGACACTTCCACCTATCAACTCTCAGAATATTCTCAGGAACTCCTTCAGACGCTACAGGCACAAGATGGATGGTTGAAGGCTCCTCGGGAGGGCCAGGATCTAGGTTCGGGACTGCGCAGGGACACTGGTAGCTTGCAGCGCGCGCCGAATGAACAGCCTGTCGTGAATGATATGCCTGCTTCGGCAGCAGATTTCTACCCTTCCAATCCTGCAGGGATGGAGCAGCAGGCGGGCCACATGAACAGCATGAACAGCATGAACATGAACAGCATGAATCCCAACTTCGCCGTCTCACATCCCAGTCACTCCTATGCGCCCCCGGTTCTCCCGGTCTCCCAGGGCTATGGCCCGGCAAGCGAGGTAGACAATGCCGGCCACTCGATCCCATCCTCGAGGTTGCCCGAGCGCATAGATGATGAACAGGGTGATACGGGATCTGGTGCTGCCGGGGTCAACTTCCAGACCCTGTTGGACAACCTCTCTCACCCCTCTGCCTCTGCCACTGCGGCAACCACCAACACCGCCCACGCCACGGAAGGCTCGTCCTTCCACCAAGCAGCTTCTGACGAGTCTCTCCAACCCGGTATCCCATCCGCGCTGGATGCCCAGTCCGCGAACCTTCCTGCCCGTCCTTCTCTCCAAGACCCCTCCATCCCCCCCAACCCCAGCTACGCCCTGGATGATATCGCCTATCATCAAACCCTCCCCCCCCAACCCTACTCCCTCCGCCTATGCAACGCAGTCAAGTAACAATGCCCATCAAAATACCTCCGCGTCCATACCCTCGGTCGCCCCCGGTACCGAGTCCGGCGTTGGCAACCTCCCCCCGCCGCCCATGGCAAGTTTCCAGCAGCACACTGCTTCATCGGGCGGCGAGTCGCAGGGCGCCCAGGAGGGCATTGCCACGTCCAAGAAGGGCCGTCTCGATAAGCAGCCAATGCGAACTGGTAAAGTTGCCGACGATGATTCCCCCTGGGGCCCGGAAGTGCAAAAAAAGTACGATGAGTTCCTCCACGATGAGAGAATCTACGTGACAGAAGGTCTCTGGGATCGGTTCCCCATGGGGTCCAGGCTGTTTGTCGGTACGTATCACTCATGCCCCATGTCCATCTTTGCTTTACCCCCCCAATCTTGGACCAGCCTATCTGACTTCGGTGTTCATTTCTTTCAGGAAATCTTCCCACCGAACGAGTGACCAAACGAGACATGTTCCACATTTTCCACAAGTACGGCAAATTAGCGCAGATCTCCATCAAGCAGGCATATGGGTTTATCCAATTTCTGGAAGCGAGTGCGTGCCACGCGGCGCTACAGACAGAACAGGGCGCGTTGGTGCGAGGCAGAAAGATCCGTGAGTGTCCGGAATCAGCTTATCGGATAGCGTGGGTGATCTTGCTAATCATTCCCAGACCTCGAGATTTCGAAGCCACAAAGATCGACAGCCCGACCTGGCCCCGCGGAGGCATCTCGCGCTGCCCCGCCCCGTCGTTCCAGATCGCCCGAGTTCAGCCGGACTGCTCCTGCACGCGGCAACGCGCGTGCTCCAGGCGAGCGGTATGATCGACCGCATGAGTCCAGCCGGCTCCCATTCAGTGATTTCCGTGATGAGCCCTCCCACCGCAGGCGTGATGACTACCGCCCTCCTCGATCCCCTTCGCCCCGACCTTTTCGGGCTCGGGATGGTTACCGATCGAGGGATAGGACGCCGGAACGATTTGATCGCCGCGAGCGCAGACGCTCTCGATCACCACGCTCTCCTCGTTCCCCCTACGCACGAGATCGGCGGTATCGGAGCCCTAGCCCGAGACCCCGAGGCAATAATGACGGGGAGGCAGACCTCCCAGTACCTCGCCGGGCACCACGAGACGTGCCGGAGGTGCAGATCCTGGTTTTGGAAGAAGTTGATCGGTGAGTGTGGGCAACTGGAGTGCTTGGTAATCCCACCCCTGACCTCTCATATAGGAACTACATTCTCCATGTGGAGAATGCCTTTCGCAACCGTGGCCTGCGGGTAGATGTGTTGGTGCTTGGCCCTCGCATCCCTCTTGGCGCCGCCGTCCATCGCCAATTTGTCGAAGGCGTTCTGGCAGTCGTGCGGCTGTCTCGACCCAACCAGTTCTCCCGCAAGATTCCTCTGCAGATTTTCGATCGAAGCGCGGGCCCAGACAATGTCCGCTTCAGTGGTGCGCAACCCTCCCTTCCTTGATCTAGTTCTCTCTCCCTATGATAGACATTGTGCTCATTTGGTTCCCGAAGACTACCCCGAGGTTGATCCCAATATTGCGGCGGAGGTCATGTTCCACCAAGCCCAGGCTATGCAACGCGGTCCGGCTCCCTCATTCGCCCCCAACCCGGCCTTCGGTGTGCCCCCGATGCATCCCGTACCGATACCCCAGCCAAGCATACCCAGCATGCCCGCTCTCTCGAACCCGCCAAACATCGCCAACCTCATCAGCACCCTGGATGGTCCTGGCCTCCAGTCTCTGCTGTCAGCTCTCCAACAACGGCCAGGCCCCCAGCCCCAAGCCGTCTCGGCCGCCCAATCACCTTTCTCGTCCCCCAATCCCCCACCACCCGCCGATCTGGCCAGTCTGTTGGCTAATGTGGCTCGCCCTCCCATGTCGGTCAATCCACAACAACCACTTCCTCACCCATCCTTTAATCTCCAGCCTCCAAACCCCCCAATGATCACCGACCCGAACTTGCTCTCTCTCCTGGCCAAAGGCCTAGGGAACCAGCAACCACAGGGGCAGGCCCCAGTTGGTTCCAATGTGCAGAACCTCATGCACCAACTGAATAAATGGAAGCAATGAATTAACGATTCTCGTACACTTCTCCGTCATTTACGTTTTTAGTTCGGATTCTCGACTCTGCTTTTACATTTCGGAGCTTGGCGCTTGTTTCTCTCTCGCTCCTAGGTCTTATCGGACTGCGATGGCTACTGCGTGTTATCTTCTTCTCATACTTCGCTCCCCCTTGCCTTTAGGCTCCATTCCATGGATGGAGTTACATCCCAGCGACTCTGCAATTACAGGCGTTTATCTGATTTCTTCTCACATGGACTTTCGAGGGCAACAAGATCCTAGATACTAGGGTGATCGACGGTGTCTAGGTCAAGGTTGTTGTCGGGGCGCTTTTTCCTTCCTATCTCCCATCTATGTCATGTATCGAACTTTGTTTTTGCTTGCTATCAGCTTCGGGCTACCTGTTTGCTGCATCAGATGGATATAATATGACTCGCCTTATCTCTATGGGGCATCGTGCTTTAATACTACGCATTCCTGACCGATTTCTCTGCGCCAGTACGATTCTTTTAGCGAATACCATCCGTGGCTTCGCCAGCCCTCACCGTACAGATACAATGATCTACTAACATGCACCGAACAAAGCTTGGTCTCAACATTCGGCTCTCTAACTCTCCGAAGCAAAAAATAATAGTAATTAACAGAGCCAGAAACCCTTCGCTTAAACGCCATGCTGCTTTTTTTTTGAGGGTAGCATTGAATGGAGTGCTCGTCGAAATACGTGAGAGGGGATATGGTACATAATGTACAAAAAAGAGAGAGGCCGCCTGCCATTCACCCTCTGAAGCCGTCTAGCTAGACTTCCAGCCCTGCGACTTCAGTTCCTTCACCTTCTCCGCATCTTCCTTCTTAATCCGCTCGATCGTCTTGTCCCGGTTGTATTCCATCACGCGCTTTTCCTTGAAGTATTTCACCTAGACAGCCAACTGGTTAGCACGAAGTGCTGGAGGGGAAAGACCGGGGAAAGAAAATCGCAGAAGGGAGTCACAAATTGCGTCAGGTTAGACCAAATGAGAGCTCATGAGAGCGCACGGATACGTACCCAAGTCGACGAACAGGCCGCCTCAAACTCCGCAATTTCCTTCGCGCATTTTTGTCGCGCCGCCTTGTCATCTTTGATTCCGTCGAGAATGTCATTGCGGTCCATGCAAGCGAAGAAAGCATCTCTCCCCTCCCAGCAGCGCGCGCGACTCGTGCGGTCCGGGGCGATGCGGCCGCCGTCAGAGGCTTTGTTGGAGTCGCCGCCGGAAGACCAAGGGAGCCAGCCCATGTTCGTGCTTGTGTGAGAGGTCGCGAAACACAGAGAATGGACCGGTGAGACAGCAGGGGGAAGATAACCGCTGCCGGGTGACCAGGAAGAGTACTGGGGATGTGGTGATTCGTGCGGTTCGTGGCAGTGCGGGAGATGATGGCGTCGGCGGTGCTGGTCGTTGCTCCCGCGGGCTGGACGGTGCCAAGACTGTTGATCAGCAGCCGCCTCAACGCCGTCCCTTCCCTTTTTCCCACTTCCTCACGAATCACAAATCTGAACAATCGACACCCTGGCTGACCCCCGGGGCCTCATACTACTATCGGACTCCAACCAACGCGCTGCTTCTGGTGTACTTCACTCTGAACCCCGACTCCTGGCCACCGTCGCATGTCCCCTCCGCCGCCTAGGCTACTCGGCGCCTCGCCTCGACTCGAGCGAACCGCTCACATCCACCAGACCTCATAAACACAGGCTATCGAGGGGGTATCCCTGGCCTTCTTGTTGATGCCCGGGCGCCGGCGCCTTCCAGCGGGGGCGCGATCTGACCTCCCGCCTTTGAAAATCATCCGGAAGATCCTCCTGCTCCAGGTTGCCTACTATGCCTGCGCAACGGTGCTTATCCTGTTCACGACGGTTGTCTATGGCACTCCATTCTCGCTGAACCTTGTCTTCGGATGGAGTTCCTTGCGAGGTGATACCACAGTCGGATGGATGCTAGGCTTGGTTTGGATGTTGAATTGTATTATTAGGTGCGTTGCCTGCAACACTTGAAAGGGAGCCTCTGCCCCGAGACTTTGCTTGTGAAACTAACCGTGGCTGCTCCGGATATCTGCAGCGTGGTTTTCCTTCTTATCTTCGTGTCTCGCTCTAAGTTGGTTCCCGATTTCGCCCTAACGATTCACTTCCTTCATCTTGTCGCCACCACCCTCTACACCCGAGCTCTTCCTACGAACCTGCTTTGGTGGGGACTCCAGTTCGCCAGCGCGGCCATGATGATTTTCCTTGGTATGTGGGCATGCCAACATCGCGAGCTGAAGCCCATCAGCTTCGGCGGATTCGGAAGCAGCAGCCAAGCCTCTTCATCCCAACAACCCGCCGGGGATAGCCAACAAGAGTCCAGTTTCGGCCGAGGCCGAGGCCGGGAGCGCAGTCTCCAGGCTGGAGTGGGCGAGTACGAAATGGATGACATGAAGACTGGCGAGCACGCCGTATAAACTGCTACACAGCCAATTCCCTTTTAACTTCCTTTCTGGCACCTCCCCTTTTGGATTATTATATTTTGGGTAATTTCTTTTCTGTCATGATGCCCAAGCCTGCCGAGCACCTTTTTCTGCATCGTTCTCATCTTCGTATACCCTGTCACGGTTGCTTCTGTATACATGGCGTTTGCCCGGATGATGATGGGAATGGATACTCATTTTCATTTGTCGAATATAGTTTTTCAATAATCTACTCCGGGGGCTTGACCTCCACCTGTATGACTTGGACCGATTACCTATAATTCTTGGTGTCTTCTGCTTCCACAGCTTGTATCGCAAACTCAGATGTCGCAGCGACCTCTTAGAGACATACATTTAGCATGAACCGAGGCGGCAACAAGTTGCCAGTTTTCGATGGGTTTGTATGGACATTGTATCTTGGTCAGAAATGCTGCGTTCATATCTTTTATGTGCTAATTGCACAACTGTACAGAAGCGAGACCCGCTTATCCTTCTGCCTAGACTTAGCTAGGTTTGTCGCCAAGGTTCATTGCGCCATTAGTGTAACACTACTTCCCTTTTTCTTCTATTGTCAAAGTCTGGGGCTAGGCTTGTTCCCCCATAATATACTGCAAATATCGGGCAAATAATCTCGTGCCCTGCTAGAAGCCTTGACTGAAAAGAATGTGCTATATAAATAATCTCGGCCTGAATGCCACCTTGAACAAGAAGTCCCTTAAGCGATCTATATCGATCTCATGTTCCTAGGAACGCTTCCTTTAGTCGAGCCACTACGAGCTTGAGCGAGTTTCCAATTAACCATATCATAGTCGGGAACTCGTGTCGATTACATACCAGGTAGTCTTATTACAAGTTGCGTCGGCTATAGATCAGATATGGCGTCTTCTTACTCTCCGCTTCATAGTACGACAACAGAAGAGGTACTAAGGTCTAAAATATAAATAGCCTAAGGATTCAGCCTCGCTATCAGGTGACTAGAAATCACGCGCTACGGAAAACAGAGCAGGGCGCTTCGGCGACCCATCTGTTTTCCCCTTCATACCCATCGTTGACCCCGCTATTGGCAATTTGGTACCATTCACCAACACCAAATACCTAACGAGGGGACTATATAATTGTTTCGTCGCATATCCACAATGTCAACCACCCAGGAGTACAGCGTGGGTTGGATTACTGCCATAAAATGCGAATATGTCGCCGCGCAAGCGTTTCTGGACGATATGCACGAGCGCCCCTCCAATCTTCCACCGCAGGACCCAAATGACTACGCTTTTGGCAAAGTGGGAAGCCACAATGTTGTGATCGCCGTGCTTCCCATGGGAGGATACGGGACAGCATCAGCAGCCAATGTTGCTACCGTCATGACCCAAAGTTTCCCGAATATTCGCATTGCACTCATGGTTGGGATCGGCGGCGGCGCGCCAAGCTTGAAGCATGATATCCGCCTTGGAGATATCGTCGTCGGTACTCCCGGCAACGGTGAGAGTGGTGTTCTACAATATGACTTTGGAAAGACAATTCAAGGCAAAGGCTTCCAGCCTACGGGGTTCATCAATCAAGCGCCTGTTGTGCTGCGCAATGTAGTAAATGGGCTCGCTGCGCAATACGACTTTAATGGCAATGGTATTCATGAAGCTGTTACCGAGCTCCTAAATGAGAAAACTCGGCTAAGGAGAGCATATGGGCGCCCGGACCTGACAACTGATCGACTATATAAAAGCGATATTATCCACCACAACAATCAGAATATTTCTTGCGCAATTAGCTGCGGTGATGATTCGTCTTCGTTGGTCATCCGAAGCGATCGTTCTCAAAGAGAGGATGAGCCAATAATTCATTACGGTCTGATCGCATCTGCCGATAAACTGATGGAGGACGCCAAGATTAGAGACCAGTTTGTGACACACAATGATGTGCTATGCTTTGAGACGGAAGCCGCTGGTCTGGTTAATCACTTCCCTTGTCTTGTCGTCCGGGGTATCTGCGATTATGCCGACTCACATAAGAGCAAAGAGTGGCAAGGCTATGCAGCGATGGTTGCCGCGGCCTACGCCAAGGCCATAATAAAACGCCTTGCGCCGAATCAGGTTGAGCAGGAAACAAAGATCACTGTCGTCCTAAAGGCCGGCGATCATCACCACCATGATAATAGCCGTCATGAACGCATGCATATCGAATTTGCGGGTTCCAATAGCGGTTTCCAGGTTGGTCAGAACAACGGTTCAATCACACATGGACAGTCCCAGCCGGTCTGGCGATGAGGTGCTTCTTAAAGGGGCTGTCGGCGAACTCCTGTTCCGTTCGAGGTTTCATATGAGTCTCTTTGGTCCAATTCGTACAAACAACAGCATTAATATATCTCTTGTTCTTATGTACTAAAGTGGGCAAAGTTCAACCATACAGCCGAACATGAGCTTCTCGGTCTCTAGGTTACGCGAAAGAATGGTATACAGAATGGCACGATCAAGCTAGTTAGCATTCAAAAACAAGTCCCTAAGGGCCGCTATATAATAGTATTGCGGAGCGTGGTGATAGACCGCGGGCTACATCCCGCGGTATCAGCGATCAGGGCTGTGATTAGTGTTAAGCAATTCGCCCTGCGCATGACGTAATTCACAAGCGGCCCGGCTAAGCAAAGTACTTTTTAAACGGAGGCCTCTCAACCAAAACGCATTAATTAAGTTAAATATAGCGATTATTACATGAATTAATCCTGTGGCCAATCTCCCTACACCCACTACACCTCGGCGGAGCCCTAGTACCCGGCTGATCTGGCTAAATAGGCAATTCGCCCCGCGCATGCAATACTACCTCAGTTGATTCAGCTGGCTAAGCTAGCTGTAGACCCTCTTCGACTGTTAGGCCCCTTCACAGGGTATATGCTTAATTGACCGATTGCGTTTTGGCGTTTTCCCCATTCAGTGCACGTAGATTCGCGTTTTCTTGCGCTATTAGTGCAGTGTTATGCAGCGACATGCAGTGGCATTTGAGATGACTGGGAGGAAACTGAGCGGCAGCTGGGAACGCGGCGTATGGGACTGATAGTCATTGCCACTGGAAGGTTCCGTTGTCAACTACTTGGATTAAACAGTTTCTAGCTACAGCCACGACTCAGCTATGCGTATGATGGTCAGCTTTGACACACCTCAAGTAGCCAGCAAAAAGCACAGTATATCATGACAAAGGGCCTCGGCGGAGGGATGTGGTGGGAGAGCAGCAGTGACAAAGTTGAATCTTTTAGCTTGATCATTAACGTATGTGCGATGCCGCTCACCAAAGCCTTGCTAGTATTAACGAGGCGGATAGAGGTCGTTACATCTTTTGGAGGCATCGACGCATTGGAAGAGGCCAGAACCAGCTTAATTACAACGCTTCAGGATGCCGGAACATTAATAATAGGCTTCTATAGGTGGCTCTTAGGTATCCGTCACCTTTTGAATTTCCTTTGCTGGTGGAACTTGAATGATCCTATCTTGCGGTGGTGCGGTCATTGACATTCGCAAGATGGCAAAGGTGATCCCTGAGGATCACTCATGGTTGCTCTGGGAGCACACGGAAATAGTGGATCGAAACAAATCACGTGTGAGTTCGATGACTGAGATTCTAGTAAAAAAATAATACGCTTGAAATGGCTTCAAGGATAGGCGTTTTCGGCGCCGAATTTACCCTTATCTAGCGTTGTGGTGTAGTCCGTAAATCACTGGTGCGGTAATAATGAAATGTTGGATATGAGACATTGAGGGAGCAGCTGGGCAGCTATGACAAGGGAAGAAACACAGGCCGAGCTTGTATAATAATCCGGTATTTGAAGATCCAAGGTCTCCTGTACTGTGGAAACCGGGGATGATGTGGAGTGTATGCTAACGTTGACTTAGACTTTTGGGCACTATGGGTCGAGAAGCAACGAAAGAGTGCAGGTGGTGACAGCGATTTCCGGAAACACTGTTGAAATGCTGGATTTCAAAACGTCCAACAATAGTTAGTTTTGATTAACTCGAATATCATTCATACCTAGTATGACCTGACAAATTTACAAGATGTTTGTTGAAAGGGAATATACTCTTCACAACAGCTTCATCCTAGCTTAGGGCGTCACAGAATTACCGAGAAGCCTTCCAATCTCTTCCGCGATAGCCAGAGTGCGCTCTTCGCTCAGTCTGCGTCCAATAACCTGCACCGCCACAGGGGCCCCATGATACGCGTCAGGGTCGTACTCAGCTTGCACACTGGCGTCCAATTCACTCAGCGGCTGGTAGTCTTCTTTCTTGGTATCCAGTTTCTTGTCTGCAAAGGTGACTGGGACGACAACGCTGGTAAAATCAAGCAAGTTGATCGCCGAGGCATAGCCATAGTACCGGAACTGGTTGTGACGGATGGCTGCGGTAGCTGTGATTGGAGCAATAATAGCGTCCACTTCCTTGCCTTGTTGCTCCTCGAGCTCCCGCCATTTCTCAAGGTATTCGCTTTGATAGTTCCATTTCTTGAGGTGGGTGTCCCACAGTTCGTTCATCCCGATCTGTTCTTTGTCTGGATTCAGGAGGTCCTTGATGTTGGGGATCGATGGCTCTCCAGAGGCATTGATGTCCTTGGACACGTCCTATATCACAATGTCAGGTCATTGTTCACGGGCGAAGGCGCTGATTCTTATGTTTTCTTACGATGTTGCCATCTGCGGCGTATATATCATTGATAAGCTCATGCGCAAAGTCGTGTTTGTATGGAGTCCAGGGAAGAAGTGTATGGCCATTTTGCTGCAAGGCTGACACGACCGTCTCGACACCTCGAAGAATGGGCGGATGAGGGAGAACCTTTCAGGGGAGATTATCAGCTAATTAATACATCTAATCACTGGGGTGGGACTTACCACGCCATCGGAGGAGTAAAAGCCGAGGGTCAAACCACCCGGAATTTTCGACTTGATAGATTCTTCCTCGGCAGATCTCCAAGGAAGAGGGATCACTTTGGGGTCATACTTCCACGGCTCCTCTGCCAGCACCGATGTAAGGAACAACCTGATATCTTCGATTATGAGTAATGTTGAACACTTTACTTGGCTTCGCTGTGCACTCACCTGCTGCCGAATGGGCAATTGGCCCAACCACACTATGCACAGTCTCTTGGCCCTCCATACTATTTGCCATTTTGGCGTAGGGCATACGACCATGACTCGGCCTAATTCCATAGAGAAAGTTGAAGGCTGAAGGGATTCGAATCGAGCCACCTTTGACGGAATGTGTCAGCTTTTCTGGTGTATCAGCAGTGATTACACGTACCAATGTCAGTTCCCACTCCAATTACACCTCCACGAATTCCAACCATGGCACCCTCGCCTCCCGAGCTCCCGCCGCACGACCAGTTCTTGTTTCGCGGGTTCAGGGTTCTTCCGATGACATTGTTCACAGTCTCGCAAACCATGAGTGTCTGCGGCACACTGGTCTTGGTGTAGAAAATGGCACCGGCCTTTCGGAGAAGAGTCACGAGAACCGACTCGGTCGTGTCGTATTTTCCAAGCCAGGAGACATACCCCATTGATGTTTCAAGACCCTAATCGTAAACGCATCAGCACAATACCTCAAAACAACTACTCCGAGCCTAATTCACCTTTACACGTAGTTGATCCTTAAGCGAGATTGGTAATCCATGGAGTGGTCCAACCGGCTTTTTGTGTGTCTCAAAGTATTCATCAAGTTCTTTGGCTTGGGCAATCGCCATTTCGGGAAAGAACTCGTGGCAACAGTTCAGCTGTTGTAAGATTAGGACACGAGGAGCTTATCGACTCTGAAGACAGTTTTCTCTCACCAGCTGATGTGCCAGTGCGGCTCTCTTACAAAAGGCGATTGTCACGTCGACTGCCTTGAGCTCGCCCTTCGCCAGCTGCTGAACTAAATCGGTCGCGCTGGATTCCGTGATCTTTAGCTCTTTATCGGAGAGCAAGCCCGACTTCGCCGGGTAATCAAAGGACGAATCGCCCGCGGGGAGGGATTGGATCCTCCATTCCTCGGGGATTGAGTTGTTGATGCGGGCTCGTTTGTCCGCAGCTAGCTCTTCCCATGTAGAAGCCATGCTGTTCCTCGATATATTATTTTCCTATGGTGGTAGGAGGATGTATCAGCAAAAGCGTGTTGAATGGCACTGGTAGATCCTCAAATACAGTCGGGCGAGAGGGGGTTCTTAAATCCGGGGATCAGCCCCGCTTTCTGCTTGTCCTATCTATGCTTGCAATATTTACCAAGGCTCAGTCTCATGTGTAGCACTTGGGATAATTACCTCGTAATGTCTTGTCGCATTCCTTATCCGAGCATTTTGGTAGGAGGATTCCCGTATCAGTGTTGGGGTCGAGGTGGGGTCGTTGGAGTAGAGTAGATTGTACCCTCTCTTGAGAAGCCGACTTCGGCAATTCTCTGGTCTAACTATCTTAAGCTACACAACTACCGATCAGATATTGACTCTTTCCTTTGGTCCGAAAAACCTACAGCCAAACCTAGGTACGGAGTTCACCCTCAACCCCAATCTGTCTTTCCCTTGGCCTGTTCTCATGGACTCAATTTCGGGTAGAAGTCACGAAGCTTTGCTGATCGTCATCACGTTACACTAGAGCGTTCCTCTGCACGTAAAGTACAAAAATGGTACCGATGCAATAGCTTATTGGCTTTTCCCGGTATGGAGTTTTAGAATCAATTATATTGTGTATGGCTAGATCGAATACCGAAGACATATAGTCTGGCCAAGCTAAGATCGGGTAACAAGCACACCCCGAAAGTCTTTATTGAAGAACTCTTCCGTTGCTCTCTTCGACTACCAAGTCAAACTCTGGCTGAAATTCGGTATAGAAGTTGTGCTGTACGTTATCAGCCCGAGGGTTCTTTAAAATGAGATAAAAACAATTTGAGACACTTACAGGGTTCTGCGCAAACTCGGCAGTATACTGGGCGACCTCATCATTGATGATATGCTTGGGAACACCATTCGCAGCGGCGGCCTCCGCTAGAAGCTGGGAGTGACAAGCGTTATCCAGCATGGAATAGAGAATGGCGGCTTCATCAACCGTTCGTCCGACAGTGAGAAGTCTAGAATATGGGAATAGTGAGACTCATAATCAACGAAAATCAACGCCAAGATTTCAGGAGCAACTCACCCGTGATTCTGCAAAATACATGCGATATTGTCCTTGCCAAGTGCCTTTGCAATTTGTTTTCCTTCCTCCTGGGAAAGTGCAACGCCGCCGTGGTCATTGTATACGCCCAGGTGGCCATAGAAGTTGCAGGCATCTGTTATTGACCAATTAATTTCCAATAGTGTCAAGGCTTTCTCATCGCAAGGGACAACAGACCCTGGGTTAACATTTCAATGGGTTTTCCAAAGGCACTCCATGTCTTGCCGTAAACGCCGTGAGTATGCGCCGCAGCGATAACATCCGGACGGGCTTTGTGGATTTCTGAGTGGATCATAAACCCAGCCTCATTGATGGGCAATTGAGCACCACCTTCAGTAACATATCCGTCACTATCCACAAGAACTAGGTCAGAGGCCTTGATAGTAGAAAAGTGCTTGGCAAAAGGGTTCATCCAGAAGTGATCCTTCAGAACGGGGTCTGAGCGACGTTAGCATTCGTTCCGAAGGAGCTAGTCTCCTGAGAACCTTCTCACATACCGCGCATCGAGATATGCCCAGAAACACCCTCGGCATAGCCCATCTTGCCGAAGTAACGGAAGGCAGCAGCCATGTGCTCCTTCATCCACTTCCGCTTCGCCAGCGGGTCCGAGAAGGTGGGAATACCGCGCAGCTTCAATGTGCCGTCACGATTACCGCGGGCAAGAGACTGAAACTTGGAGTCATTGGCCGCTGACTGGATCTGCTCCTCACCAGCCAAGAGGAATGATCGCTGCGTCTGTTGCGTGGTCACCGTAGATGTCGACATATTGGCGATGATGTCTTATCGGGAAGTGTCTTGCGTTGGCTGGATCAATGTCTAGTGGCTGGCAGCAACTCATAGACAGTTGCAGGAAGAAATCACCCACCTTATTGCCTCCTTGACAGTTGAAATCTTCGAGAAGGTGATGGCGGTGATTTAATCGAACGCTTATCTATGCGGGGCCCTCTCCCTAACCCCGCCTGCTTGTTATCGGAAGGCGGCCCTGTGGAGTGCACCGCGCGGCGGACTCTTTTCCGTTTCTGGGCATCGTCGGCGAAATCTACTTTCTATTATGTCGAATAGGAATCCGTGAATTATCATATGCGGTTATTTTTTGCCGCCACGTGGCCTCCCTTCTCTACGGCTCTATCGGGCCTTTATACATCTATTCCCTATATCTTGCGCTTATAGTTGCGCCCTTTTCTTGTCGCCTACATTACGGGAACACTCGTCAGCTTCCGTCACCCCTTTTCGAACCTGGACTGCGGCTGGGCTCTTGGGATCTGGATTATCTGGCCTTCACTCCCACACTCCCACCCCCAACCCACCAACCCGGCCCGACGGAGTTACCTTGAGAATTTCTAGATTCTTGACAGCGCATGTAGAATGAGGGATAAGACAACGAGCAGCCGAATCGGCAAAATACGCGAGAATCAATGTTCCTATGTCAAATTTAAGTTTGACTGTGATCACTCTAGCTTAAATGTGACATTGATAATAGGTATCATCTAAGTCTCAAGCACGTAGTATCATAACTAGGACACTACTTGCAATGTCCTTAAACTGATCGACTCTATCAGTCACCAGCCTGAAAACCATTCTACCTGAGTTATGTCAATATGTATTCCACTCAGAGCGCCCAGTTGCCTGATCCTCTGTGGCCTTACGTCGTCTAGCTTTCTATAGTTTCTCTCATCAAACATAGATGGATCCCTCGTAGATGGATCGTGACTGACTTGCCTGCTCATATCCATGATCCAGTAGCCTCAAATAGATGGGCATGGTCCTATTTCCATTGCTTCTGGCAGGGCAAAGAAATCGACATTGTGAGACATTCAATATTCTGTAGAAGGGCATCTTCCAACAAGTTTCCACACAGTCACCCAATGCGCAAAATCTCACCAGAAACAGGAGAGGAACTTCCAGCCTTTTTATCACATATCAAGCCCTCGAAGGTCCTAAAGCCACCCTTGAAGTACAGCAGTCGAGGTTGAGAGGGTCCGCTTGGGCAATATCGGATCCCGCAGGAATAGTTAGATCCGTCAGGATCCCTTGGCAGTAGCATAGGTTCGCAGCAATCGGATCCAAACCGATCGTATCTGTGACGAAAGTGTTTTTGAGATCATTGCGATAATGCAATTCCATTCAAGCTCTTTTAAAGATCCTTAGTGGCGAGAGTAGCTGTCCAAGATGAACTTCCCTTATAACGATTAGGAATGAGTATTGTAAGGTTTGAAGAGCTTGGTGGAAATTCCCCAGAAGGCCATGTACAAGTAACTGAGCTATCGACCACTGTTGAGGTTCGCTCAGCTGATGGAAGATCATAAGAAGGAAGTAGGTCCGCCATGTCTGTAGAGCTGGTGTTTTGCGCATATCTTACGGTCAGGGTAGGCGGCAGAGACTACATAAGAGGGACAATTGTGCCCATTGTGCAAGTGCGTAAGGCTTGGATCCATGGGTCGCCATATGGCAATTTGATTACCTGAGCACATTCAACTAGCGGACTACAAGCTTGTCAGTTTCATACCTCCAATTTCGAATAGAATGGTCGAACGTGTTATCAGCGAGCATAGCACTTTTGACCACATGGGTCAGGTCGGGTCTATGAAGAATTCTCTGCAGAAACTGACCTACGGAGGCAGGGTTTCGGATTCTCTCAACGGCCATTGAACATGAGAGTAGAGGAATGACTCAGCATGAGTATATGGAATTTCTGCCTACTGCCGTGATTTACGTAAAGTAGGAGTTTCATTCTTGTTCATGTATAGGTCCCGGGTATGGGTATCGCATTCTGTTAAAATATACTCCGTCATATGTATGGCGCTTTACAACTCGCCCTCTTACCTAATTGGGCAAATGAACACGGGGAGAGCTTGCCATGGGCCTACTCAGGGCCTATCAGTAGTATAACCCAGGGGTCGATCATAATAATCTTGCTCCAGCATGTCCATCTCACAGGCTCTTAAGCGAGCTGATGCGTGATCACTGACAGCGAAGGTTAAGACACCATCGTCAATACCCACCATATTTGCTATCTTCAAAGATAGTATCAATGCTTCACTACCAGGAGCGGTCTGAGATGTTTGCTAATGGATGATTGGCCCAGAGTGCGAGTGCATTGTTCAAGCAAGCGTGTGTGCTTGGGATTGGGAATGGATTACTACAAATTATATGAACATGCGATTTGGTGCTGGTGGCCACTCGATTCTGGAAAGTGAGCAACTCTTCTCACGTATAGCGTCATACCGTAATATATATTCATATTATCGTGCAGAAAAATAAAACCGAAACCGAAACGGCATAGACATGGACTCTCTTGATAATTGCCCACTAAGGTAAATTTGAAGCCTCAGGCCAGAGTCATTACACGTGACCAGCTTTATCGCGCCCTAGTGGGATAATCGCGGAGCTCGCGACAGTTGTCTTTGTCAATGAATCTCCTTGTACGCCCACGTTTGACTTGCAGCGGCTCACAGAAGCATGTGCATTGACTGAGAGTCGCTGAAAACGCCATTTTCGAGTCAGACGGAGTTTCCGCCATTGCCCCTGCCCTGCGCCTTTTGCGAAACACCGCTTCATATCGCTTAGATCAACTGAGTTTCCTATATCTTTGATAACCAGTTGGCCCTCTACTTCGTTCTCACCAAGGGATTGCTGCTTTCCATAATTGATTTTGTTTCTCCTAAGCAGCCCAGACACTGAAAGTGCCGGGGACGTTTCAATATGGCAGAAGGCGAGCCCTCCTACATCGACTATGAGGCGTTCCTAGATCCCGAGTTCTCTCCGGCTGGCTTTGCCAATACGCTCGTGCTGAGCACCAACAATGCTACAGACACGCCACTCGACCTCTCCACTCCCCTATCGCGAGTTCTCTTCGATCTACAGGAAATCGATACCCATATCCACGCCCTCACAACCAAGTCCGCACTGCCCCTATTATCACACACGCAGGGCCAGACCGAAGCGGCAGAACATATCTTGCAAGAGGCCGGCTCGCAAATTCATTCTGTGACCCAAGGGTACGAGCGATTGGAGAAGGAGGTGGTGCACAAGTGGAAGGCGGCAGACGAGGCGCGCATTGCCGCTGAGAACTCCCTCGCTACGGTCCGGCTGGCACGGGCTGTGGCGCGTTGCCTCACGTTAGGTCGGCAATTGGAGAGCCAGCTCGCGGATATCACTGGCAGGGGCACGGGGCAGACACCAACCACGGGGCCTGGCGGGGCCGCAGCCGGGCAAGAGGGATTTCGGGCAGTGGAACGAGCGGCCTATACGATCTTGAACCTGCGTCAAATGCTCTCGGCTGCGACAGAAGATGATGAGGGATATGGATTGGAGCGCGTGAGGATTATGCGGACGCTGCGCAATGAATTTGTGATCCCGGCAGAGAACATGGTCAAGGCACGGGCGCAGCAGACTATCAACCGGTTCTCATTGACGAGTCCCATGGCCCCATCCAATGGCCCGTCGGTGCCATCAAGCTACAAACAAGCTCGTGATGCACGGGTACGCCTGGGCACGGCTGCTGCCACTCTCTACCTCCTCTCCCCCATACCGAAGGGCGGCGTCACGGTCACCGACTACAAGCCCGAGCTTCTGCTCTCCACCCTGCAAGGCTACATGCATACCGCGATCATGACTTCCGTGAATAGCCTGGCAAAAGCACTATCCCAGCTCCCCACGATGGACCGCACACTCGGCGAGGTTTCTGCCCGATGTCAAGATATCGTCGCTCTGGAGTCCATCCTCCGGAACCTGCGGCCACCAACACACCCTCTCTTGGAATCGCCAAGCGCCGATCCACCCACGGCGGATTTGAAGATTACCGCAGGGCCCAACAAGACCAACCTCCTCCAGCCCCTTCTCCTTGCCCTTGACACCTCATCCCTACCTTCATACTATTGGCGCTCGCTTGCGTCAGCCCTCACGTCGCGCGTACAGGATATCGTTAGCCGGGGCGGCGTCTCTGCCCGTACATTGAGATCCAATCGCGATCGACTCAAGGCTGAGATCAGGGAGTGCGTGATGCGGGCCTCACAGGTGTCCGTAGCCAACCTCTTGGCCGAGAAAGGCCGGCCTGGCACCGATACTGTCAGTGCGGGCTGGGAGCGCGTGATGCGGGCCTCACAGGTGTCCGTAGCCAACCTCTTGGCCGAGAAAGGCCGGCCTGGCACCGATACTGTCAGTGCGGGCTGGGAGCGCGAAGCTGCCGTGATGGTGAGCTCGATTGTCGGGCCGCTGGGCCGGTGAAGCTCGATGACTTCTTGAAAGTCGATCATTGGAGTTTGATGACCGTGTCCTCAGATTGACATGTGATATACTGAATAGCATGTGATATACTCTCTGGGCGCGAAACAAACAGATATCACATGGAAGAACAACCACACGAAATACCAAATACAAATTACATTCTACCCTTCTACTGTACCCTATTGGTGCTGTGTCTAGCTTTATATCCCTATTTCTACCATATGACGGCATGAGTATCGACCCGAACCCCCCACCCTTTCCTCCTCCTGGCGGGAACCCCAAATCCACGGTCTCCATTCGAGTCTCCGCACCACGGACCCACGCCCTAGCATCCAAGAACTATGGGCAACACTTGCCCACGACCCAGGTACCAGGGCACAATACCAGGACCCCAGCAGCCTGGGACCACAACCCCTTGGGAGACCACAGCCAACCCCGACCCGGGGGCCAGAAACGGAGTGACACCGAGTTCGCCGGATGCGCGCAGCCAGACCAAAGAACCCGAACAACCACGGACCAGATCCGCCCAGGGCCCAACTACCGCCTCGCGGCGGTACCTGTCACCGGCAGGGACGGTGTACCAGGTACGGTATGAATAAAACCTCCGGACCCGGAGATTTACCGCGCTGGTGCAGGGGTCGGGCGCGCGTCAGATGACTCCTGCACGATATGCGTGAGTTGCGAAGGTGGTGGGGGCTGGGCTGGCTTGGTGGACTCGGGCTGCCTTGCCTGGCGGCGTACAGCGCTAGGCTCCCATGTAAAGGTGAGACGCGACAGGGGCGATGCACGCGGTCGGCCGCTGCTTGGGGGCCTGGTACGACCGTTCTAATCTCACATGGGGGTGGATGTATGTACGTCCCATTGAATATCGGACCGTTGACATCGTTAAGCGGGCCCGATTGCGATTGCGGATCCGGATCTGGATCTGGATCCATGTCATCCATGTCCAGCCTCGCCTGGAGTGAGCCTCAGCCCGGTCGGGGATGCACCGAATAGCCTCATATCGGACACATGTGCGCCTCTGCTTTTGACTTTGTGGACTCCGTATCGCCCGCCATCAAAACGCCCTTGACGGAATCAATGAGATTTGAACGAACCGGATTGATCTGTGATTGGACCCTGTGCTCGATTCAGTCTCGTGTTCTCTACCCACACATCGAGGAGTACATAAACCCGTCCCTGGGCCCGTTCACCCTGTTGCAATGGGCATACGTGGCCGAGGCCACCAGGCACGCCCTGCTTTTCCAGCGACACCCTCAGGTACATGGATCCTCCCAGCAGGCCGTGCAGAGCGCGGCGATCTTATTGGCCTCGTGGCGCAATCTCGACGCGACAGTCGGACCTGTCATCTGTGTGAGAGGAGCAGGGCGGGCTTGACCGCTCCAAAGGCAAACGGAGAGACACAACACGATGACAGAGGAGACGAGTTCACCATCGGGAGGGGCCTGCGTTTTGTGAACTCATGGCCGGGGAACGAGTGCTGGGAGGGCCATCCCACAGTCCGGCTGAGGGGTGAATTACATCTACGGAGTACTCTAATCTGAGTGCCATCCGGCCAGTCACCGTGCGTCTGGCTCGGTCGGCGAGTCGGCGAGTCGGCGAGTCGACGACGTCAGAGGGGCGCGATCCTCCGCCGATCGGAAGGGGACCTCGATTCAGGTTTTCGATAAGGCCCTGCAGGTACCTTGCACTACTTGGCCGGTCGGAGGGGATAGGGCGCCTAGTGCCCCCCCAAAGGCGCCGGCCGTGCGCCCCCAGAGCGACGGTGGCGTGCAGATGTACCGAGCGTGTACCTACAGGTACCCGGCCCTTACAGCCCGCCTTTGTGTATACTTCGACGATGGGCCAATCAGCGACTGTCACAAGGAGTACACGGGCGGTGTCTCTCCTTGCTCAACTCCGGGAGTGGTCCGTACTCTGCAGGGAGGAGGCGCGGGGGCAAGATGTGCCCCTCTTTTCTCTCTGATATTTCAGTTATCTTCTGGGGGTGGGCAGCAATCCAGAATGTAAAGAGGGGCAGGGGCCGATCAGCAGGCCGGAGATATCAGCCATCAAGTCAGGGCCGATGCCAGACATGCCGACCCGGCGGGGGTGTGTCGCCCAGCGTGGAGATCCCATCCCCGGGCACACCAATAACGATACGGTTGGTAGACTGCTCCATCCATCAGGAGCTCTGGTCGCTGGGGAGGCGAGGCGAACCGATCACTGGAATGAGGAGCAGTGCAGCACATCATCCATATCGGGCATGGCGTCACGGAGCTCACGGCTCGATTGATCGGTGCCTTGCCCCGGTTCTGCGGACACTTACAGAGGATGTGCCGGCTACGAAGTGCGAATTCAGTGGACTCGAGGTCTCGGCAGATCAGCAGACAGGAAATCAAACCGCAAGGCATGTCAACCGGCGGATTCGCGTAGGTTAAAGTACTCGCGTACCGTGGGCGATCCTACGCAATCATCGTCATGCGGGCCCGCACCTGGGTACCGCCCTCTTCCCCGCGGATCATCGATATCATCTCCTGTCCATCCTGCCCGTTTGCAGTCACAGACCTGAGCCGAGACTGAAGCGGGAGAGGGGCTGGATGGTGGTTGAAGAAAAGTATACGGAGGACAGGAAGTGGGGAGGGGCTACGGGGAAAGTTTACGATGCAAGACGCAGGCACGGAGATCGCTCAACGGGCGAGTCGGTGGGCGCCGGGCCCTGAAGGTTTCCGATAGCCTGGATGGGCGCGTGAAGGGGAGACCAGGAAAGTGTATACCCGTTCGAACTATGGTTTCTGGGGCTGAACGCGGCCGCTCTGGAAGAGACGCGGAGGGATCGGGGGAGGCTGGAACCTTGAGGCAGTCTGGTAGGAACGGTTGAGGAAGGATGGAAACGGATGCGCCATGTGTGGTGCATTGCTTTTTGGTACACCGTTTGGGCGGTACCGTACAGGCCCAGGCGAGGCAAAACAGGGCGGGGATACATGCCGATATGCGCCAGGCCCCTCTTATCGCCCCCGCATGGAGTATAGACTGCACCGGAGTATATGCGTTGGGTTCAGTACATACTGTACGTGGGGTCCATGCCAAATATCGTACCTTGCCCCCTCCTGCCGGAGAGGCTCGAGCCAACGCAACTGGCGTACAGGACCAAGCCCCTCTTCTCTCTGCGGATGGTACTGGCTGTGCTGTCAGTGCTCGACCAGGGGAACGGAGATTTTCCTCTTCGTGCCAGGGCGGACCATTCGGAATCGACCCCCTACCGCGTAACCAGGCCAAAGTCTGTCCAGCAAGCCGGGAGAGTATGACGGCGGCACTTGTTCGGAGGATGAGCTGACCTGTCTCCGCGGCAGAGGACATCTGCTACATCTGGTTCTCTGTTGTAGGAGACCCGCCCGACAAGTGATACATGATACATGATACATGATACATGATACTGTGATACAGGATGATACATCCAACCCTCCACGCTGTCCGCGCAAGGGGGTCTGTCGCATGGCAGGGGAAAAAAACCGATACATAGCAAGAAAACGGGGGCCATCCCGTGGGGAACGGCCAAAGGTCTCGACCGATCTTTCAAACCCGAGCCAAACGTCCCAAACCGCCCGGGTCTTGGCGGGGCCCTGGGCCCCAGTGGATTCCGGCGGGCTGGCCATCCAGGGTCTGCCGGTGGTGGTTAACGTCAAAGACTCGCAGCGCGTAGTGGTTCCCGCGAGCTCGGGCGGCGCTGGGCCCCTTCGTACCGTGGGAACGCGACGACCACCGGACCACCGGACCCTGGTGAGTGGATGTGCCGAGAGCGCTATGAATCATCCATCTGGTGCCTGGTGCCTTTGGACCTTGGGGGGGAAGTCGAGATCTGCCGGTCTGCCTGCTCCGGGCCTAGTGTTCCTGGAAGCTCGATGGACGAGGAGAGGCCAGAATAGCGTTGGAGGGAGGGGGGGGGGGGAGTTGAGCCGAGAAGTCTGCGGGTCCCTCGAACGACCACGCGGTTATAGTCGCAGAGTCGCATAGTTGCATAGTCTTGCTTAGTCGCATCGTCGTCGATCTGGCGTGGTGAAACGATGATTCGCATCGGTAGGCCCGGAAGGCGGTCCAGTCGCCTCGTCCCGGCTGGGTTCTGGGTCCCGTGCTGTGCGATCCCGCCCTGGGAGGTCCTGGGGCGTAAGCTGAAAGCGAAAGCTCCCATAGGTGTAGCGTGGTAGACGGTCGACGGTCGACGGTCGCCGGGAAGGTACTCGTGAGGTTCTTTTGCCCCTCGCTTCCGATAAGCCTCGTTCTCGTCGTCACCACTGTTCCTCGCAGAGCGTCTGCTGCCTCTTTTCTCTCTCTCTCGTCCCCTGGCTCCTTTCCTTTTCTCTTCTTTTCTTCTTTTCTCTTCCGTACCGTTTCCCGTTGCATACTCTCCCTCCCCCTGCACCCCGCCCCCAACACGCTTGCTATACTTCCTGATCCCGGTCTCCTCCCCTGGCCCTGGCTGGTCAGATCTGCCCTTCCCTTGGACTCTCTTCTCTCAATATCAGATCGGCGTCCCGCTCTCAGCCCCCCTGGGAACAACCTGAAACACTCTGCCACTGCTTAGGTTCCCCACCATTCAGCCCATCCCCTTCCTCATCCCTCCTCCGCGAATCCCACTGCGTCGCGTGGCGGTCTCCTACGCTCGTCAAGAGATGCTTGCCATCGGCTAACCACCCTTCTCTTTCCCTTCCCTCTCACATTTCCCCCTGCACAAAAAACACAACCTCCTTGCATCCGTCAGACGAAATCCGGTTGTGTATTCCATCTCCGCCCCCGCGCGCACCCCCCTCCTCCCCTCCTCTCTCTCTCTCTCTTTTTCGTCCTTTCTCTACTGCCCTCCCCCCTCGTGAGAGTGAGAGAGCCGAGGGTGCAAGCCAGAGATTCAGAGAGTAAGCGCTACTTTTCAAATCGTACGTGTCGAACATCTCTCGAATACCTGCCTCTGTGGATTTTGTGCTCCTCTCTCGTGTCTGTTCTTTTGTAGGCCCTGACTAAAAGTTTCTTGCGCAAATGTTTACAGTGAGCCTTGCCATCCGACTTCGCCTCTCGAGACCCTCCGAGCTCTCCGGCGTAGCGCGGCTTCTGCGACACCTCGACTTAAGAGGCCGAGCCGGATAGAAGTCGATCCCAGTGACGCGGATCGGGTTGCCGCGACCGAGTGTGGTTTTTGCCTCTGGCCGCTCGCTCGGAGCCGTCAACCGACCTCCACCCGCCTCACACTCAGATTCCGCCCATCATGGCCTCCTTCCTTCCGGTCAACAACTCGGCCACGACCGACAACCACACGATGGACGGTGCGACCACTCCCCGTGCGAATGGCAACGGGGTGCCACCTGCCTCGGACAGATCTTCCCCCGCGGAGCCACCCCCGGACGGCCCTGCGAAGTCGAGCCGAGGGAATGATGGCCCCGCGCGGCCATCACTATCGGGACACTCGAGGACGACCTCGGCCATGTCGGACGACACGATGGATATTGACTCGGAAGGGGATCGGGACGGGTCCGACCACGAGACGGAACCGGGCAGCGCGCCCCCGTCGAAGAAAAAGAAAGGCCAGCGGTTTTTCTGCACCGACTTTCCTCCTTGCAACCTCAGTTTCACTCGCAGCGAGCATCTGGCCCGACACATCCGAAAGCATACCGGTGAACGACCCTTCCAATGCCACTGCTCGCGACGCTTCTCTCGACTCGATAACCTGCGGCAACATGCGCAGACGGTGCATGTCAATGAGGAGATTCCCGGCGATTCGCTGGCGGCCACGGGCACTCGCTTCCAGCGCCAGGTGCGTACGGATCGCGTGCGCCCGCCTGGCCGGGCTCGAGCCGGGACGGGAGGCAGCCAGGGAGCCCACAGCCGAGGCCACAGCAGAAACTTGTCGACTTCGAGTATCACATCGACGACGTCCACCTTCAGTCAACCCCCGGAGCTGCGGCGACGACCCCCGCCATTGATTATGGCCAACGACCCCACTGGCCGGGCTCGATTAGGGCTAGATCCGATGGGAGAGCCCCCGAGTACGCCGCCCAGCCAGATTCGAGGAATTCCAGGCCCCCAAGCCGCAGGCTCGCCGTATACTCCCTCCAACGTCTTCTCGGCTGGTCCCGCGGCCAGCCCGCAGTACACATCGCCCATGTCAGCCGCTCCCCATGGCTTCTGGGAGGGCAAGACCGCCGCTCGTCGACTGTCGGTCCCCACCAGCAGCAATCCCTTTCTGGCCCAGCATGGAAACACATATCCTCCGCCGTATGGCTCGCCCGCCGCCCCTCCCTACCCCGGGGCCGCGGGTGTGTTTGCGAGCCCAACCAGCAGCAACTATCCTGCCTCGCGGGACGAGGGCGCCCTCAGCGCTGCCGAGGCGGACATGCGGAGGCGCACCTGGCATCCATCGACATATCCTGCATTTGGCCGGCCCTCGACCAGTGGCCTGAGCCATTACCATACCCCGGATACCGTCCAGACTCCTTCCTTTGGGGGAGGCAGCAACGCTGCGGAGCAACCGCCTCGGCTGCCTGGCATTGAGAGCTTCGACAAAGTGGTCTCCCGACCGCTGACTCCTCCCACCCGCAAACCGAGCCCCATGCAGATCGACAGCCACAGTCACCGCCGGCCTCCACCCCCCCCTAATCACAGCTTTGGATCGGGCTTCACCTACGGAGCACCGTCCGTGCGCCCTGCTCCTCCCATTTCAGGCCCCGGCCACCGCCGCGGCCATGTGTCGTGGGACATGTCTCTGCACCATAACCTCACGGGCCTTGATATTCGGGACCGACGACCGTCTCGGGACGCCAGCCAGTGGAGCCAGCAGACAATTGCCGAGCTCCAGAACGTCTCGTCCCGCCCCTCGTCCTCCTACCAGCCGACGTTCCCCCCGACTGCGGAACGGAGCCCGGAAATCCAGCGGGGTCACGCCCCGAGCCTGTCAACGAGTAGCCGCCCGGCGCACGCGTCTCCCGAGGATTCCAGCAGCAGCGAGGGGGTTCACACCCCATCCACCGCCTCGGTTGAGTACCACCCCGCCATTGTACACAGCAGCGGGTATATTGAATCGCACGAGCCGTCATTGCCATCCGACCATCCTCAACCGGTAGGGACTCTTCTTCGAATGGACGGCGCGCGCCCCGGTTACTAATGCCGTCATAGATCTGTGGTCGACAAGCCTCTCAGGCCGACGGCTACTCGGGTCATGCCGAGCAAGAGCCCCGGACCGATCTCTTTTCTGCCTCTTCTGCGCGGGATACCGGCATGGGCCGCCTCGAGGCTTTGGTTGCTGTCGCAACGAGCGAGAACAAAGGGGCAGCACGATTGTTCCTGTAAATTGTATTCGACACCTAGGGAGATCAAGATGTCTCGCCTATATACCGCCTTTTAAATGCGCCTTGTTTTCTTCTCTTCTTCCTCTTCTTCTCTTCTTCCTCTTCTTCTCTCTCTCTCTCTCTCTCTCTCTCTTTCCTTCTCCCTCGCGGGGGAGGGGCTCGTTTGGTTTGGTGAACCCAAAGTTCTCTACGTCCCCTCTACTCTACTCCACAGTCGTTCTCTGTCTTACTGCTCATCCATCATGGGAAAGCATCTCTTCTCACCATCCCCTTCCGATTCGTTTCCATCTACCTACGCCGGGAAAACGCGCCCGCCTTCTGTTGGAGAGACCCGCGCGCCCGTGACGAAGTAACGACGTTGATGACTTGATACATGAAACTGGAATTGTCTGTTCTTCTCTGTTCTGTTCTGTTCTGCTCTGCTTTCTGCGACTTTGGTTGGGAGTCTTGTGTCTGGATTTCCAGGGTTGCCGGTTTCTCTGCTGCATGTCCTGGCGTTTCGCGCAGGAGCGTATGGATGGCATCGTGTGCATGCGATACCCGCCTCGATCGATTCTCAATTGGTTTGGTGTCGTTCTTTTGACCCATCCACATTCCCCCCCTGCCCAACTTCTTTTTCCATCGTCCTCCTCCCCCTGCGCAGCCCGCTTCTCCCGGATCTGGTTTTGATGATTTTCTCTTTCGACTCTTTTGCGTGGTCGTCTCTACCGTTTCAGTTTTTGTCTTACTATACTCAACCTTTTGGTGGATTATGTCATGCCATGCTCATGTCGCCTACGGCCGTTACCAGGATTTTATGATGTTAGGGTTCAACCTCAATATGACTGCAAATGCCCATTCCAATTCGCGAGTCGTAGAAATACAAAAACTAAGAGAGCCCGTACTGCTGCGATGCATGGTAGAGCTGGAGCTCTCGGCATGACGTCTACCCCGCGAGAACGAGTATCCATCCACCCGTCCAGCTTTCTATACCGGAATTGCTTGATTTGCTTCCTGGCGTCGAGCAGGAACTACCGTGGCAGAACCCGGCGAGTATGGAGGCTGGGAGCTGGCGTTCCGTGGCTCGCTAGCAGCCGAAATCAGACACACAGTGCCCGGCCGCGATGACTAGCTGGTGACGTCGTCCGGGTGCATTAGACCAGACCTTTTGTAGCGTGGGGCGGGGGGCGTGGGGCGTGGGCCCGTCTAGCGCCGAGCTAATAATATACCGTAGTGGGAGGGATGGGGAATCAGACCGTGAAGGGAAAGAGACCAGTCTGCCCGAAGATACGGCGGACGGGGTTCATTTGACCCAGACAGCACAGTAGCATAGGAGCACAGGAGCACAGGAGCACAGGAGCATGGCGCGTCCACGCGTCTAGGAGCTTCCCCACGCGGTAGGGAACAGAATCGCTCCCAATGTAACCCGCAAAGCGAGGGTCTCGCCGCGCGCCGGGGCCAAGGCAAACCCGAGACAGACGTCATCGTCTGGTGACGGACTCTTTAAAACCCAGGGGAATCCTAACCCCTCCCCTCTTCATCCCCGCTACATCGCAGAACGCATAGCCGCATCCTCTGCAGAATCTGGATTCCGATCCTGAACCACCTACCCTGTTACCTGCCACCTCATCTGCACAGCAAGCACCTCGACCATGTCCAAGAGTCGAACGCCGCTCTACCTGGGTCTCGCCGCGGCCGGCGCAGGCGGGTACTACCTGTATCGCGCGGGCGGCGATGTGAAGGGGGCAAAGCAGGAGATGAAGAGTGTGTCGCTCTCCGACGTTTTGTATGTCGATAGAGTACGCTGATCAAGTGATCGATTCTAGTTGATGCCGACAAGGCGCGCGAGAAGCTTCCCCGTGGAAGTAATGCGGAGAGGATGGGCGAGAACGTTGGCAAGGAGGCCGGCGCGAATATCGATGAAGCTGTACTGCTCCCCTTCTCCCTCGGTCCACCGTCTTCATCCCATGGCTTCTCCTTTGTTCCGACTGGCCACCTGCTCCCTCTCCTTGCCCCTGTATAGTAGACCACCGTGCTAACCCATCTGCGATACACCAGGTCGACAACGCCCGCTCTAAGTCTAAGCTGGATGAGCGTATTCCTGCCATCGTGGACGGCGGGAAGAAGCAGTATGAAGATGGCAAGAAGCAGCTCGATGGCCTCCGCAAGGATGCCCGTGACCAGTTCAACTCCACCGTGAAAAAGGTGGACCAGACCGTGGAGGAGAAGGCGGCCGAGGCGAAGGGCACGGTCTCCGGGTGGTTTGGAGGCGGCAAAAAATAGAGGAGAGTGATGGAATCCTGGACTGAAGGATTTCAAAGATCAAACGTTACCATGATTCACAGTTCACAGTTCACAGTCAGGGGGATTGAGCTGGATGGTTCTACTTGGACGCCGCGGTTGGGGGATCGGCGAGTGTGTGCTGCTGTTGATCGACACGAGACTATTAATCCATTTGACGACACGTTTAGTCGATCCTAGGAGTCAATTATGAGACAATGAACTTTCTTCGATTGAAGAGAATGTGCCAATCTGCCTGTCTAGTTTGGGGGTTGGTTTGGGGAGGGAAGACTAGGGTGACCCAGAACGCGATCTTTTGGCGGGGTTCGTGAATATCAACGCCGTAGCCAGAATGAATGGGATCGTATCGGAAAGAGTCGAGGCGGGTCCAGACCAAATGCTCGGAGTAATTGCGTGTGTGGCCTGCCCACTCGGTCGCTGCTCGAGCAGTCCTGCAGCATTCCACATGCCGGGCGATTCCCGCGGTGACGAGAATGCTAACTCAACAGTGCCGGCACTGATTATCTCGCGGGTCGAATTTTGTTAAATTGTCAAGCTTCAAGACTTCCTTTGCAAGAACTGTACTTTGTACAAACCCTCTTTGCGTCGTGTGTGGTGCTACTCCAGCTCCGACGCGTGATTAAACCCGAAACGGACTAACGGCGACTCCACGCGCCTCGACGCGTCGCACGCCCTGTGCCCCGTGCTCCTCCCTCGGGTCAAGCGCTTCCCATCCACACTGCACCTTCCTCCCCGAGACACAATCACCACTTCCCCCTTTACCCCCAATTCTCTTTAATACTCGGTATCTCTTACCCTGATTATACTTTCAGTTCCATTTATCGGTCGCGACTCCCAATTCCCCCTGGTTCCCGCTCTCGCCGCAGAGAAAATTTGCAGCCGCGATGCCGTGCACCGCCAGGCCCAGCTGCCCGCTCCAGAACCAGCCCGCCATTCAGGGCTTTGGGCGGGCAACCAAGGCTGGTGTCTCGCCGTCACTGCCCGCGAAGAAGACGGCGTCCCTGCCGGTTTCTCCGTCGAAGAAGAGGAAGCTGCAGGAGCTCGAGAATGTGGATGGCAACAGCCGGCAATCGGTCGATGAGGAGCCCAATACGCCTTCCAAGACTCTCAAGCTCAGCCAGCTGTCCGTTTCCTCGCCGCGCAGTGGCCATTATGCTTCGCCGAAGCGGACTCCCAGCCGTCGGACTCGCGTGACCAGCATTTCCACAATCAACGAAGCCCCTGATACCCCTTCGAAACAGCGCACCCTCAACTTCGAGAAAATCATCCCAGAGCCGAAACTTGCACCGCGCGCCCCCTGTGTAAACGACTTCCTCAATCTTCACTCCGCCTTCGTTCAGGCCCTTTCCATCCACCTCGCACACAATGGGCAGATTGCCCCTGCGGACCTCCGCGAATTCCTCCCCAGTGTCACCCGAATTTGGAAGAAGCGCAAGGTGCAGCCCAAGGATGTCCAGCGTCTGTTGTGGGTTTGGGATCACAGCTTAATGACCAAGGATATTTCCTATCGCCTGGCAAATTACGGTCTGGGCAAGGTGTGCCTGGAGAGAGTCGTCCAGATGAATGAACAGCCCCCGGCTCTACAGGACGCATTCGAGCAGGCATTGGACCTGCTCTGGGAGCAGACGGAGAAGTCCCTGGAAGATGCCAAGGAGGAAGATCGCCCTGCCCTGTTTCTTGAGTCCCTGGGCCTCGCCCCTATCCACGAATCGCTCACTCCGTTCACGGCCTTTCAGAAGGGCCAGCAGCGCCTGCAAGATCTGAGAGGCGGTGTCATTCGCATGAAGACTGAGAAGCTGCGTTTGGAGATGGAGATGGGTGATTCGAAGCCCCTGGCCCCTGCGATCAACCGACGACAGAGCCTCCTGGAGCGCATCAAGAGCAAGGAGCTGCGCCAGTCCAAACTGCCTCCTCCGCCAACCAAGAAGGAGATGCTCCGTCGTTCTGCCTCGGAGCGGGTCGAGGAAGTTGCCAGTATCCTGGCTCTTCTGCGCCCTGCTGGCTACGTCGGAACGGGCATCAGGGCTATGTTCGCCAACCAGCGCAAGCCCTTCAAGCTCGACACGATGGTCCAGCATGTCCGTGATTCTGTTCGGATCCCCATTGCCCGGGATGAAGTCGAGGCGTGCCTTGAAATCCTGGCGGATACACGAGTAGCCGGTCACTGGGTTACCATGGTCACTGTGAAGGATATGCGCTCAGTGGTTCTCAAGTCCTGTAAGGATATTGCGGCCAAAGACATCGGAGCCAAGGTGGCTCTTTTGAAGGCCGAGTGGGAAAAGCCTGTCTCTTGTGTGCAGAGCTCTGTTTTGAAGATCTGAAGCATGAACGGAGGTCTGTTTTTGAACTTGTATACCTCGCATCCGCAGAGCCGGTGTTGCTCGCGATCCTGCATTGAAGCGTTGTGCTTGATACCCTGTACTTTTGCATGTCATGTCTGTTAGCCTATATCCTATTGTTTTACCTACTAGCCCAACAATAAATCTTGAATCACGACCATCCTCAAATTGCTCTTGCCCGTGTTCTGTAGTATGTGTTTATATACGCAGTACGCAATCCGTGGACCGTCATTGCCAGACGTCCGACAATTGGAGTAATCAATCGGCAGGGCCACTTAACGCGCGACGCGTCACACGTGACCGCCTTTCCCCATAACGCGTCTAGAGCTCATCCCAGTTGCAAAGACAGCCCCCAGCCCGGTGATTGTCTTGAACACAGCTGCAACAGGGTGCAGAACCGCCGTCAAGATGTCATCTCGACCAGATTTGAAGGTACCTTTCGCCGTCACAGTCCTCTCTGCCCCCCACCGGAAATAACTAACTCGTGTCCCTGAACCCGCTAGGTCGACGACGAAGTCGGCTTCATCCGCTTCTACCACTCGCTCCCCGAGTCCGACAACAATGAAACCGTCCGTGTCTTCGACCGAGGCGACTGGTACTCGTCGCATGGTGCAGATGCCGAGTTTATCGCCCGCACCGTGTACAAAACCACGTCTGTCCTCCGCAACCTGGGCCGCAGCGAGACCGGCGGCTTGCCCTCCGTCACCATGAGCGTGACGGTGTTCCGTAATTTCCTTCGCGAGGCGCTATTCCGCCTCAACAAGCGCATCGAGATTTGGGTATCAGGCGGTACGGGCAAGGGCAACTGGAAGCTGTCCAAGCAAGCCAGCCCGGGCAACTTGCAGGACGTGGAGGAGGAATTGGGCAGTGTGGGTGCGCTGTCGATGGACTCTGCGCCTATCATCCTGGCCGTGAAGATCTCTGCGCGCGCAGCGGAGGCACGAAACGTGGGCGTGTGCTTTGCGGACGCCAGCGTGCGCGAGCTCGGTGTGAGCGAATTCCTGGACAATGATGTCTACTCGAACTTCGAGTCCCTAATCATCCAGCTCGGTGTGAAGGAGTGTCTGGTGCAGATGGATTCCGCCCGGAAGGATGTTGAGCTCGGCAAGATCCGGGCTATTGCTGATAGCTGCGGTGTTGCCATCTCCGAGCGGCCGGCGGCGGACTATGGCGTGCGCGATATCGAGCAGGACCTTACGCGGTTGCTGCGCGATGAACGGTCGGCTGGTACTTTGCCCCAGACAGAGCTAAAACTCGCTATGGGCTCGGCGTCTGCGCTCATCAAGTATCTTGGTGTTATGACGGACCCGACCAACTTTGGCCAGTACCAGCTTTATCAGCACGACCTATCGCAGTATATGAAGCTGGATGCCTCTGCGCTCCGTGCCTTGAATCTTATGCCTGGTCCGCGGGATGGATCGAAGAGTATGAGTTTGTTTGGCCTGCTCAACCATTGCAAAACGCCCGTTGGCAGTCGGTTGTTGGCTCAGTGGCTCAAACAGCCGCTGATGGATCTTGCCGCCATTGAGCAGCGACAGCAGCTGGTGGAGGCATTTGTGGTCAATACAGAGCTGCGGCAGACCATGCAGGAAGAGCATCTGCGTTCCATTCCCGACCTCTACCGCCTTGCCAAACGTTTCCAACGCAAACAGGCTAATTTGGAGGATGTCGTCCGAGTGTATCAGGTGTCTATTCGGCTGCCTGGTTTTGTCAGTGCCTTGGAAGATGTGATGGATGAGCAATACCAGACACCTCTGGACAAAGAGTATACATCCAAACTCCGCAGCCACTCAGACAACCTGGCTAGGCTCGAGGAGATGGTGGAGACTACGGTTGACCTAGCTGCACTCGAAAACCACGAATTCATCATCAAGCCTGAGTTCGACGAAGGTCTCAGGGTTATTCGCAAAAAGCTGGACAAGCTCCGGTACGATATGGATATGGAGCACAGGCGGGTTGCGAAGGATTTGAACCAGGACATGGAGAAAAAGCTCTTCATGGAGAATCACCGTGTGCATGGCTGGTGCTTCCGTCTGACTCGCACGGAAGCGGGCTGCATTCGCAATAAGAAGGGATACCAGGAGTGCTCGACGCAGAAGAACGGTGTCTACTTCACCACCTCGACTATGCAATCTCTTCGTCGGGAGCACGACCAGTTGTCGTCCAACTATAACCGAACCCAGACCGGTCTCGTCACCGAGGTGGTTAATGTTGCTGCTTCCTACTGTCCTGTCTTGGAGCAGCTCGCTGGCGTGTTGGCTCACCTTGATGTCATCGTGAGCTTCGCACACGCGTCCGTCCACGCGCCCGCGGGATATGTTCGGCCCAAGATGCACCCCCGGGGGACAGGGAACACGGTCCTCAAGGAAGCCCGTCACCCATGCATGGAAATGCAAGACGACATCTCCTTCATCACCAACGACGTCTCTTTGATCCGCGACGAATCCTCCTTCCTCATCATTACCGGTCCCAATATGGGCGGCAAATCCACATACATCCGGCAAATCGGTGTCATCGCGCTCATGGCCCAGACAGGCTGCTTCGTACCCTGCACCGAAGCGGAATTGACAATCTTTGATTGCATTCTTGCGCGGGTTGGTGCCAGTGACTCGCAGCTGAAGGGTGTATCCACGTTCATGGCGGAGATGCTGGAGACGGCCAACATCCTCAAGTCTGCCACGGCGGAGTCTTTGATTATCATTGACGAGCTTGGTCGTGGAACGAGCACCTATGATGGCTTCGGCCTAGCCTGGGCTATTTCGGAGCATATCGTCACGGAGATTCGCTGTTTCGGTCTCTTCGCGACTCACTTCCACGAGTTGACCGTGCTGGCGGACCGATACCAGAAGGCCGTGAAGAACTTGCATGTCGTGGCCTTCATCGGCGATGGGACGGACGTCGACGCTAATGCCGATGCTGAGAAGAAGAAGCGGCAAGTCACCTTGCTTTACCGCGTGGAGCCTGGTATCTGCGATCAATCATTCGGTATTCATGTCGCCGAGCTCGTCCGTTTCCCCGACAAGGTCGTCAACATGGCTCGCCAAAAGGCTGAGGAATTGGAGGATTTCTCGACTGCCGAGACTGTGGACCAACAGCAATCGACGCCATCGGTGGACAAGTACTCCCAGGAGGAAGTGGAAGAGGGCAGCGCGCTCCTCAAGGATATGCTGGTGAAGTGGAAGGCCGAGATTGAAGGCAAAGAACTCTCGTCTGAACAGAAGCGCCAAATTATGCGTGATCTTGTCAAGGGAGATGAGAAATTGCAGGCGAACAGAGTGTTCCAGGGCATCAAGGCTCTCTAGCGGTAGTTCATTAGGGCGAGGTTTTGGTATGGCGCCTGGTGTCCTGGGTTGGGATAATCGGAAAAATGCAGTTAAGGAGCACCCTTGTACTATCGAATTTCGGGAAAGATCATTTCATTTTCAACTACCATGCGCCTAAATTTACGGAGTACAAGCAACCGGCGTAAATTGTCCTGACCAACACCCTGTAGATCCCAGGGACAGTCACGTGGGGCCAACCTTAACGGTCTAGACGCCAACGCGCCTCGGAGCCAGCAGAAGCAGCGGCTTGTCCCAAGCTTGTTTGTTGTCCTTCATTCGCTTGTCTATGATTCCCTCAAGAACCCCAATCACGTCAGTTCATCGCTGTTGACCTCCCTTCAATCTCTTTTCCTGGCAAAATCCTCCCTAGACCCTTGCCCTCCAGCTATGCGCGCAAACTAAAAGCGGGCCGCTTGAACCACCCTGATTCATGCACCCCTTTTCCATCCTCACCCTTGGGATCTTTGTCGCGGGCTACACTACCGCTCGGTGGGACCTTGTCACCCGCCTCTACGAGTTGGCCATTTTTGCGTGGGATCACGGTGTTGTGGTATGTTTTGTTGGTGGTGCTTCGGCAACGACACCCCTCTATTTCCCACTGGACCCCAGTGTGCGCCACCGTGAACTTGTTGCTGACGCTCGATTTGTTGGGGTTGGGTGTAGACGAGAACGCTCAAAGGATTCCTATTTCTCTCCATCTTTTTCTTCCTCCTGATCCTACCAATTAATCATCTGGCATCGAGAGAAGGCAGCCTGGTGAGCTTGACCCGAAAGACCTCCAGTGGTGGATAGCTATAGACGGGCATAGCAATGGGGTATCCAGTGCGAATATGCTAACATGTTCACTGTACAGCATCCGCGCCACGTGAATCTCGGTGTCTCCGCACGAGAACAGCTGCGCCGTCGAGGCTCGTTCTAAGGGTTCAGAGGAGGATGACAACATGCTCATGAGCGATGGGCTATTGCGAGTATTTTGGCCATATGATCTCCCGCGATCCTCTTCGCCGGGGGTGATTGTTGGATGGCGCAACTCAGAGCTAGATCTATTCGTGCTCACAGTGCTGGAAGATGTCGAGGTGAGTGATTTTCGGTCTGGAATTGTTCTGCGCTGCGCAACAGAACGCTGATCGCTCTTTTATTCTTTGGAATAGCCACGCAACGTCGACAATGCGCTTCGCGCCGGAATCCTATTTCGAAATAGCCCACACCCGATTGTTCGCATCTTCACCCTCTGCGGCCGATCTCAGATGCATGTGCTTGGTTCGATGAATCCGCGATCACCCCCCACCTCTTTCAGTCCCTCCCATCTCTACGTAAACATGCATTCAGCATCAAGGACTCCACAGATATATTGCCCCCGGGGTCGAACTTGTCCGTCCAGGTCATTATGTTTGACCGTCCGCATCCGACGCGCATGGAGTACATGTCTTTGGATCCCATCTCGCTAGCTTTGGGTGACAAGGTGGTGGCATCAGAGAAACCGAGGCCGGTATCAAACAAGACTGAATCGGAAGAGGAGAAGGCTAAATTGCGGGCTCGACTTGTTGTTGAGAAACTCAAACTTCATACAGTTGTCAAACACGTTCCCTCGCAGAAGGAACAGGCTCTCCCAGTAATCGTCAACCAAGTCAATTGCGCCTATGAAATGGCACAGCTGATGCACAAGAACACGCACCTCATTGGGATTCGTGCGAAGAGAAGTATGAGCGTCGGGGAACGCGTGGTGGAATCTGCTACGACCCTGTGGGGGTTTATCGTCCTTTGCATAGCCCATGTGTTCTGGCAATGGCTCTGGCCTGTCATTACTCGGGTCTTTGTCATAGGACTTGTGGGCCACCGATCCATCGCTGAGGTTGTCTTGCAGGTTCTTGAATGGCGAGCTCGACCAGATGCTGCTGCTCTCAAGGACATCTCTGCAACTGCCCAGCAAGTCGATATACGGCTGCAGCAGTTTTGCTACTGGCCTATTCAGTATGTCAAGCTGCGCCAACGAAAGGACAACTGGGAAAGTGTGACAACCAGCCACCCGGATTACATTCGATTTTATAACAGCCTGTGGCTTGTGGCCAACGATGTAATCATCGGGATTGCCCTTGGATCATATGTGATTGATAATGCAAACTGGGTAGCCTCCCAGATCAACACCGTGCTGACGGGCTGGACCGTGGAAGGACTGCAACGCACCATCTCCTGGTTGATGGATTGGCCAGCTGGCTTGAAGCTCAACAACGAGCTTGCAGCATTCCTCGGTGACCTGTTCCTCTGGGTCATCGAGAATTGGGCTGCATGCATTGCCAATCTACAACCCTACCTCCCGCATATCATCTACATTGTGGGTTGTTCCAGCTTCGCCGGCGCCAGCATGCCAATCGCCCTGTTCTCCGACCTTCTTTCGATTCTCACCGTCCACATTTACTCCTTTTATATCGCATCCGCCAGAATCTTCAACTGGCAGCTCACCATCATCATCTCTCTCTTCCATCTTTTCCGCGGGAAAAAGCGGAATGTCCTGCGTAACCGGATAGATTCATGCGATTACGACCTCGACCAGCTCTTGCTTGGCACCATCCTATTTACCGTCCTCTTCTTCCTTTTACCTACTGTTATTGTCTTTTACTTGACCTTCGCATCGGCTCGGATGTTGATCATTTCAATGAAGGCCGGTTTCGACCTTTGTCTAGCCTTCTTAAACCATTTCCCGCTTTTCGCATTGATGCTTCGTGTCAAAGACTCGCGGCGACTGCCTGGTGGCATTCGATTCGAACTCCGGGATGGATTGTCCAAGAACTCCACCGATGGGGACTCGTCCGCTGTTTCCTATATTCACCTCGAGGTTTGCCTGAACTCGATCCCTTTCGTTATCACCCACACTAACGTCCTGTGCTTAGTCCATTCCACTTCCTCTTCGCGCAATGTTCGACCAGTACTTCCAACTGGGTCACCGACTCCGTGCGCATTACCTTGCCCCACGAGTCATCTTTTGTCTTGTCACAGGCCGCTTCGTCCCACCCATTCATCGTCGCAATTTGTACAGCATGCAATATAGCATGCTGCCTGCGCGGCGTGCAGGCATGTTCGAAGTGTGGTCGATGTTGACTCAGCCCAAGAAAGGTATGAGCGGAAGCGGAGGTTCCGGCTCTATAGGAGGAATCGCTGCCTTGGGCAATCCGATTGCCAAAGTCCCACCGAATTTTGGTCAAGGTGATATTCGTCGACGGGGCCACCGGTGATGCTGAGTCTATGCAATAATACCCTAGTGTATAGATAGCGTCCTGCGCTGAATTATCCTTCTAATAAATATTTGGCTTTGGAGGCGAATTATGTGTTCAACAGTCCTGTGACAGTATGTTTAGTTTAGAACAAGCGACCACCCATGCAAGGGCATGGACAACCCTAAGTACATCCATCTCAAGCAGACCGGGCTACTGATGTAACCACGGACTGGATAAAGCCCAGAACAGAATCCGAGACCCAAGCTGTTCCTCCGCAAACGAAATAAACTCTTCCTTGGTAAAAGGCTTGCTTGTATTCGGATTGATTGCCGCCAAATCAGGCTCTTGCACAGCAACCACGTTGATAGGGACCTTGTTCCGATACTCCGACATATATGGATAGGCGTTATTCTCCATGGTCTGCTTGAAGGGAATATTGTCCGGTCCACCTACACCGACGCCATTTTCGGCGAAAAACTGGAATGAGTCGGACAAGTAATTGTTCTCGTTCGCCCAGCCGCACGGCCAAAAGTTAACATATTGCACGGCGTAGGAGCGGTTAAAGACGCTAGCGGCGTAGCGGGCATTGTCCAGAGTGCCCTCGAAGTAGTCCTGGCAGGTATAGCCAGTGGTATTGTTATTGGACTGGACCTCGATGGCTGTTTCGGGGAGATTAAAGCCGTAAACCTGGCCATCGAACCTGGCAGCAAGAGCCTTCAGCAGGCGCTGGAACCTTTCGCGCACATGAGGGTTCCATTGAGCAGTGGCCCAGCCACCAGCTATGAAGTTGTTGTCGCAATCATCGCCGTCGCATTGGGGTACGCTGCCGTTGTTGTATATTGGGCTGTGGAGGTATTTCGGGACAGGGTTACTGTCAATGCTGAAAGTGCGGTCTTGAATTTGTACCCAGAGACTTTTGCCCTTGGTTTGGGTGTGGTTCAGGTCATTGTCGATGGCAGAGAAGTCGTACTGGTCCTTTCGGGGCTCGAGAGATTTCCAGGTGTACAGGCTTTGGATGCCATGGATTTCGGGGCGCTCTAAGAGGGAGAGTGCTTCATCGTCGATGTCACTGGTATACAGCCACTGAGCCAGGGAGGAAGTGGATGGCTCTTTGAGACTGACAGGAGTAGTAACTGCCAGCAGGCTGCTGCTGAGCAGGTAAAGTCCCAAAGTCAGCCTCATCTTGGCCGGTATAGCTTGGAAAGAATGTGCTGAGTTGAGAAGACTGCGCTATGCGCAAACAGCATGACACATAGCCTTCATTACCTAAACCCTTTCTCATTACAGTTTGCATAATCAACCGCGGCAAGAGGTTCTATGCTTGGCTTTGTTCACCGAGCCACGCGGGTCGCAACCAGACTGAGTAACTTGGATCCACCTTGCTCGGCTCAGACGTGCCCTGTTGTCGGTCCAAGGTTCACTAGCATCGATTACCCAATCCGATTGAGAGCGTTCTGAGACCTGTGAACTTAGTTAAACCTGCATTCAGAGATTTTGAATTTCTCTTAGCTAAATGAGCGGAACTGGTTCGTCTCCACGTACCCTTCTTGGGTCTCGGTCTTCAATTTTGCGGAAAGAGAGAATTGGAGAACCTGAGAAACGCCAGTGTTTCACGTTTGACGGCCGACGTTGCCGATACTGCGCTGCGGCAATGTCTCTCCGCTGGCTACTGTGTTGTGGAATGGTCTCGCAAGGATTTCTATTCTTGAAGGTTTTTTCTGTGTGTGGATCGTCGGAAACTCGTGCTTTTTTCCCGTAAGGTAGCAGCCCATCAATCTAATTATCCCCAATCTTGTCAATCCAAAAATAGTTACGGGACACTCTTTAGGCTGGATGTGATATGGCGCTTTTATATATCAATGATCTTGAAGCCCGTTATTTGTCACGAGTGGTTCAGGCGGGCCGGGTACGCACTATATAGACTGAAGGCCTCCAGACTTCAGCTAAATATCCCCCTGTTTATTTTCTCTGAACTTGTTTTGCCTTAAGATTTTTCGATAAAAATATTGACTGTATTGTTGGGTATTTTCCATGCATTTGGTCTTTATGTTATGCAGAGAAGAGAGATCGCGCTTGAATGTATATTACATGCACCCATTGCCATTTGCGCCTATACTTAACACACGCGTCCTTGCTGCCACAAAAAAACGAAGAAAATAACAAAGGGAATTCACAGAGTAGAGAATATTATGATGAGTCATGCCTCATGACTTCTTAAGAAACTCGGAATCGGTCTCACTGCTGCTCTTTCGAGCGTCATCCAGCATCGTGTCAATGCCCTTCTCCTTAAGAGATTTCTGATCGCCACGAGAAATCGTCAGAAACGGGTATTCAGGTTAGCTTTTAGGGCATGACGCACATTCAGGCAGGTCTTGTACTTCTTGAATAGCTCCTCACAGTCATTCGATGAAGTGTTGCCACGGAGATATTCTGTCTCGCTGTCAGCTACATGTGCCGTTGGCAGGCATGGATAATCAAGACATACTCTCGCTATACCACTTCAGAAAGCAAGTGTCATATTTTCTGGGCAGCTTCATCTTAGTCGCTAAAGTTTCCTGACTATGCAGAATGTAGAAGCCGAAAGAGCGACCTGGAACTCACTCTTTGATGTCATTGCATTCGGGGGCGATCGAGGCGGCCATTTTGATGCACGGTGACCTTGTGTCACGGTGCAACTACTGGTGGCCTCGAATGATCCGGCTCTTGAAGGCAAACTGTTGCTAAGCCGGAATGTTGAAGTGCTGGACGGTCCGCTGGAGAAGAAAGTCGCCGCGGAGGACGAGAGGTTGGCCAATAAAACACCGGCAACCGCTCACCCCCTTTCAGCAGGCGGTCAACGCGCAACTCGCCCTGATTTCAACTTTTTTCGGAGCTGCAGATCTCTTCACTCGGACTCTTTCATTCGGCATCTACAACGGCTTCGAGCTCTGCCCGCCATGGATTCCACAGAGCTCGCTCCGTTCCAGGACAAATTATCGTCTGCCCTGGTGCAGGTGACCCGTACGGTTGGTCAGCTCTCCTCGGAGGACTTGAACTTCCACCGCACTTCGAGCGCGGACTTCGCCGAGTCGCTTGACCAGCAGAGCGAGCGAATTCTCGCGTTGACATCTGCCGTGCTCAAGGCTGCCACCGTTGGAACCGATGTTGATGCACCAGCCCTTGACACCGAAGAATCGCTTGAGGATAATTGGCGTGGGGTGGTAGACGTGATCGACTCGCTTCTAGAGAAAGCCGATGCTTGTCTAGACGAGTTCACGGGTGTGATCAAGAAATTGAGCCCGTCACAAGAAGAGCAAGCCCCGGTGGTAAAAAAGGCGCCCTATTTTCCAACTATCTACGACTACGGACCATCCAAAATCCCGAAGCCGCAATTATTGTTCGATCACAAACCCGATAATGCCGATTTTGGTCCCTTCCACCCTCTTCTCAAAACGAAACCGCACGCAACTGTGGCGCTGGAGAAGTCTCTGGAGCAACAGCAGCTCAATGGTGCAGCCGCACACCCTCATCCTTACGAAACCGAGATTCGCAATGCGCAGTACCCGCAGTCGGTGTACCAGACATGCCCTCCAATCAACTTCCTGCCTTTCGAGGACACCACTGCTACATTCGTCGATACTATGGATGGAGTCAAGGAAATGCTTGAAGAGCTGAAGCAGGCAAAGGAAATTGCGATTGATTTGGAACACCATGATGTGCACTCCTACCATGGCCTTGTGTCCTTGATGCAAATAAGCACACGAAATAAGGACTGGGTGGTTGATACCCTAAAGCCGTGGAGAGAAGAGCTCCAGATCCTCAACGAGGTTTTTGCGGACCCAAAGATCTTGAAAGTCCTGCACGGATCAACTATGGATATCATCTGGCTGCAGCGTGACCTGGGCTTGTATGTGATTGGCATGTTCGACACATTCCACGCCGCCTCTGCATTAGGATATCCCAAGAAGAGTCTGAAATATCTTCTGAAGAAGTTTGTGGATTTCGAAGCCGACAAGCGGTATCAAATGGCCGATTGGCGTGTCCGTCCACTTCCATCTGCCATGTTTGACTACGCACGATCCGATACCCACTACCTTCTCTATGTTTATGATTGTCTGAGGAATGAATTAATCGAGGCATCGACGCCGGAGGAAAGCCTCATTGATTACGTGCAGGAGCGCTCGAAGAACGAGGCGCTGCAAAGATACGAACGTCCGGTCTACGATGCGGAGAAGGGACAGGGCCCAGGCGGCTGGTACGATTTGCTTTCCAGGAATGCGGGAATGCTCTCCAAAGAGCAGTTTGCCGTTTTCAAAGCCGTCCACCAGTGGCGTGATGAAGTGGCTCGAGCCGAGGATGAGGGCTGGCAGTGTGTGTTCCCCAAACATGTGCTCTTCAAGCTTGCTCAGGCCATGCCTCTCGACATGGGTACCTTACTGCGGACCCTTTCGCCTATGACTCCTCTTACAAAGGATCGAGCTGCTGACTTACTTGCCATCATTAAGGAGGCGAAGATTGCGGGTGCCACAGGCCCGGAATGGCGCGATTTCGCACCACCACCCAAAGCACCTGCAAACATGGCTGAGCCTGATATGGATCATGTTGATTTCCCTATTGCTGAGCGTTACGAGACATCTCAGTTCTGGGGCGATGTTTTAGAAGCGCAGGAGCTTTCTGCTCCGGTCTCATACTCCACTGCCGCATCACTCGAAGCTCTACGACTTTCTCTTCCCTTACCCCCAATGCCGACGACTGTCTCCCAGGCTCGTGAGAAGCTGGGTGTTTCCGCGAACACAGAAACCACTTCGGCTCCCAAGGCAGCTCCTGTACCCGCTTCGGCCCCTGAAGAGCCAAAGTATTTCACTGTGAAAGATCTTGGTGGTCCACGCAAGCGAAAGGTCGCTGCAGCTGTCACTCCAGATCAGGAGGTGTCCACGCCCGATAGCTTGGTTGAGTCAATCAACGAGCCAGATTCGACCGAGAAACAACGCAAGAAGTCCCGGAAGGAGAAGAAGGCCAAGAAGGCGACTCAGTCAGGCTCCCAATCTGAGGCTGACTCAACCCCATTCGACTATGGTGCCGCAGAATCAATCCTCAATGTACCTGTCGCATCTGCGATGAGACCCCAACCCAAGAGGACATTCAACCCTTACGCGAAGGCGTTGGAAGCCCCTTCGGGTGCGCGCAAACAAAAGCGGGACGATGCTGGAAAGTCTATGACATTCCGCAAGTAGATGCCCGAGGCTTTAGAGCCTTAGTCTTTCAAAAAGCATCTATGGGGTTGGGGGATTTTTTCTGTATTTGATTTTCTCAGCATAGCGATACCCTTGTGTCAATGGGAAACCCTGGGATTCTTGTACGTATAGAGATCAGGTTCCCTTGAAAATGAAACATTCAAGTTGAACCAACTACTTGCTATCAACACCAGTAGATGTGAAATAAGCCAAACAAAGCGGGAGACGAGATAGACATGCTACCTTACCCTTAAGGATTCTGGTAGGTCTGATATTTAGGCAAGAAGTCATGGCTTTATCTTCGTCATGGTAAATTGTGCTGCAAAGGACGGCTTCAACATTCTCATACTGGATAACCAGGCCATAAAAACGCTGACAATATGAAAAATCGAAGGCACTTGATGTCAATTCCTTTGCAAACTTGACTGAGTAAGCGGTCTTCTAGGTAAAGGCGTATTGACCGTTATAGCATATATTTACGTCTCTTCGTCAGAAAAAAAACCCCACAATCTTAGCTAGCCAGACGCTGTCGAATCCAAATTGATTTGAATACTGCGTTTCTGCCATTTTATGCAAAGTAAATTCACCTCAGCTAATAACACGGGTTTTGATACAAACTAACGGACTCCATGTTTATGAGGCTAGATCGCGTTAGCGCAAGCGGGAACTTATGTCGAGGGTTGGGTGAAGGAAGTGGCAGTCCAAAGGGGATATGAATATGTCCCTTCATAAGCTGGCCATCTTTGATCCAACGCCCTCTCTGCTCATACACGAATTTCTTTACAAAGCTTCTTTCCGTTTGAAGACGGGCTTCACTTATCAGATCCAATTTCACGTTGTAGCAAACAAACTCAATTTCACTGTGCAACCTTGCTCAAAACAATAAATAAAAAATAAAAGCAACAATAATTTGTATTTAGTAGCAGAAGCGATTCCATATTCGTGATCCCAGTCCACAATATTCAGACGTTGAGCACAACCCTACCTCCTCTTTCGTCTGTTGGCCGACTTGGAAGGCGTGAGGTGAAGATTCTCGACATCCGAACATATCTCATCTGGTTTTACGACCTCTTTAACCTCCGAATACTTCTTGGTTGAGGTGGGAGCCTCAAAGTCCAAAGGCCGCAGAGGCGCGGTGTAGAACTCCTGGCTTTCTCCTTTCTTCGTTGAATTCGGGCCTCCAGGGCTCCCACGCTTGGGTCGCTCGCAGCCGAGGAATTGTTTTAAGGCAGGACGAGGGAGCCCCGACTGAGCTTCAGTCAGAAGTAAGCCTGACGTGTCATACGCTGGAAGCTTGATGAAGGCAACCCATTTCTTCAAGCTCCTTATTAGGGTTTTCTGGTCAATGCGAAGCAGCTCTCTGTGAGAGTAGTCGCACTTCTGACAGCGAACCTCAAGCTGATGATGATTGTTGGAGAATTCTGCTAGCAGTAGTTGCTCCACGCGATAAGCATACTGGGTGTACTCTGTCGCGATGGGTTTGGTTACGCCGTAACAGTCGTTGTGTTTGTCGAGCCGACCGAGCTTGGGATGTTCCAAGGTATATCCGATTTTGAACATTCCAGAAAGGCCCGGAGGGGATATAACATAGATATACCCGGATTTCTGACTCCTCGGGCCATCAAGAGGTTGCTTCAAAAGCCAGGTGACGTTCTTAGCCACTGCCTCGTCTTCCATGGTCATTGCACGGCGTAAAGTCTTGATTGGCAATGATTGATTCGAAAGCACCGAAACCCCTTCTTCCTCGAATGGATTCTCTTCTTCATCCGGCTTTATTCCCGTAGAATTCCCCCGTACATCGAGTTCCTTCCGCCACTGTTCTATGGCCTGGGACTCGTGCTTCTTGTGGAAATGACAAATATAGATGCTGGCGAGATTCTGCAAGATTTTGAACTGCGGAGATTCCGGGGCGCATCCGCCAGAAGCGCCAGTGAAGATCTCGAAGTGACTCGCAAACTGTAATCCGGCAAGAATGAGATTATCCCTGGCTATCCGACCCTTGCATCGGCTTTGATCATCTTTCCTGTATGCGCACTCAATAGAAGCAGGGGCGCCATGGTCCCAGTCCACCAACTCCGCCAGAGAGAAAAAGGTTGTTACTAGGGATTCCATGCTCACGAAACGATGTTTCGCCTGGATGGGGCTCTTCTTTTGGGTTCGGACCCTGATTAAAGCAATGAAAAGGGAAGTCTCTCAAGAGGATGAAAAGCCAGTAAAAGTCTCTCAGGTAGTTGAAATTGAGACAACTGTTCAGCTTCCTGCCACAGTGATTTGATTTTAAACCGAAGCCCCCAGCCCTCAGCCCCAAGCTCCTGCCCTTCTGAGGGCTATGTGCTCAATAGACAGCGGCCCCTTATCAGGTTACTCCGCCTCGTGCACGGTATATTGAAGAAACTGGGTCTAGCATGTCCGTGTGAACGACTGCGCACGTTTAGGACAGGGAATATCAAGCTATGCTTTGAATAGTATTATCCCCTTGTGGCAGGTGGGGCTAGGAACGGTGGGGATTGCGATATCGCGAGATCTCTGGTTCGTGGATCAAAACCTCGCTAAGTTGGCGCTTGTACCTTAAGGGGGATGATAGGGGAAGGTGCATGCATTGCTTTCGCCCTTAGACATCGGTTCTCAGCCGCTATAGCAAAGGTACGTTTCACGTATTTTGGGGGCCAAGCCGGGCTGAAAAGCTCCATTGCCCCGGCGTCTGCGTAGCGGGTAAAATGGAGCATGAGCTGAAAGCCATTCTATATTCGGCAAATATTATCTCGTTACGATCATGCTCGGGGTTGCCCGGTATTGTAAAAGTAACATAGCTTTACTTTAACTCTTTCATGATGCTGTATGCCCTGCTAGGTACGTGATAAGAGTATCAAAGTTTTCAGGGGCTTCGGGATCAATCTGGTCATTAAGTTACACGCCTTTCAGGCTTTGGACTCTAGTCCCTGGACACCGTGGTGTCTTCTTGGAGATTGCGGCCTCCAGGTAGCTGGGTCTCACCTGAACCGTTGTACGGGCAGCTTGCGTAGTTCGAAAAGCCATTTTAGACTGTCCTCGCTAGTAGACCAATCCGCAAATATAAAGTGGATCTTTCTCAAGGAGATTGCTGCCATATTTCGGTGCCATGAGGATCACTGCCACCTCGAGCTATCAGAGCAACTTCGTAGCTTTTTCTACAAATAGTGATTCTTGACCAGTCTCTGTATATTCGACCCATCTTTCCGTCCCTCCCGAAAGAGGGATGTCAGCCTCAACGCTGTGAAAAAGCTAAATGCGGAAGTCTAAGGCGAGACCAATGCGCTTCGAAATATTAAGTAATATAAAGAACAATTGCTACCTTATGACTTCTGTTTTCACATATTTTCTCTCTAACCTTGTCATCTCTAAACATTGCATGTTGTTGGAGGTCGACTTCTTGGCGTTTGTCGGATCAATTGGATGTTGCTGTCTTTGTGAGTTTGATAGCTGAATTGGTGAAGATATTCCTAACATCTAGGCCTGAACACGAATAAGGATGCTTATTCCTATTCGTAAATCTTCTTCAACACATTATTCGGATTCGACTTGCTAGTTGGGTAACTTGAATCATATTCGATCGTAAATCTCGCCAAGACTGCTGTTGGGTGCAGAATAGGGGGCAGCACAGGGCCGCGGGCGGTCAAGCGGCGGCTGGCCGTCCAAAGTTACGGGTAGAAAGGCGGCCGTTTCTGGCGCCAGAAGGTGTTATTTTTGGCGTTGAATTCACAGGTCCCTATATTCTATACGTACGGAGTAATTTTTCAATGCTTTGCTTTACTGAAGATGGGATGGGTGGCGATTGAAACTACCTATCGGGGAGCGATCGAGTGTGCTGAATGAATTGATTCCCCACAAGGGATCAGGAAGTGCTATCACGCAGCTTATCTGATTATATGAGCGTTAAATAATTCATTGCCACAGACTTTCCCTTCGAATATACTTCTCTACTTGAGCCTAACGATCCTCAACTAAACGCCCTACCTGACGAATCGGAAGCCGCTAGTTTTCACGTGATGTCCATAGTATCGAGCCAATGATAGAACCCGTTGATCGCGCGGTGGACCTGACTCATCGCCGGCGAGGGGCAGAAATTCCCCGCCAAAGAATTGTAGATTGTCATTGCAAGCAGCCTCCCACAGTGCAGAGTACGGGTCCAATTCTCTTCTTCTTAAGATCAAGGTGACTGACTATTTTTATTTAGCCACCTGTGAATCTCTCACCATGGCGGACGAACCAGGACAACCACCGGCGCTCACCACGCTGAGTCTCGCCGAAAAGGCTCCCGCGTCAAAGGCCGTCGGCCAGGTCATCACCCCTTTTGATGTCTCTGGTGGTGTAGACGAGTCCGGCAAGCCCTTGCCTGTAGACTATGACAAGCTTGTCCGAGAGTTTGGCGCCACTCCTCTCACCCCGGAACTGCTCGAGCGCTTCGAGAAGGTCACTGGCCATCGCCCGCACCGTTTCATGCGCCGCAGCATTGTGTTCAGCCACCGCGACCTGAGCAAGATCCTGGACCGCCATGAGAAGGGCCAGCCTTTCTATCTCTACACGGGACGTGGACCGAGTAGTGACAGTATGCATGTGGGACATACTGTGCCGTTCGAGTTTACCAAGTATGATCGCCTTTATCTTGTCTCTGTATGGCAATTGAAAAGCTAATTCGAGGATTCGTACTTAGGTGGCTGCAAGATGTGTTTGACGTGCCCCTTGTGATTATGATGACCGACGATGAGAAGTACATGCATTCCCAGAAGATCGAGATCGACGACGTCAAGCGGTTCACAAAGGGAAACGCGAAGGATATCGTCGCTGTTGGATTCGATATGAAGAAGACATTCATCTTCAGCGACTTTGACTTTGTTGGCGGCGCTTTCTATGAGAATATCTGCAGAATGGCCAAGCGTATCACAATCAACCAGGTGCGAGGTACCTTTGGCTTCAACGACAGCAACAACATCGGAGAGTTCCACTTCTGCGCCACTCAGTCCGCGACTGCATTTGCCACTAGCTTTCCTCACATCTTCGGTACCGATCGGAAGAAGGTCTCCTCGATCCCCTGCTTGATTCCTTGCGCCATTGACCAGGATCCCTACTTCAGGCAGTGCCGTGAGCACGCCGAGAAGATGAAGTATAAGAAGCCCTCGCTCATTCACTCCATCTTCCTGCCCGCCCTTCAAGGCCCTGGCTCCAAGATGTCTGCGAGTGTGGATTCCTCGGCCATCTTTATGAACGACACGCCAAACAAGATCAAGAACAAGATCAACAAGTTCGCCTTCTCCGGTGGCCAGGAGACCACCGAGCTTCACCGCGAGCTGGGCGGTAATAGTACGGTCGATGTTCCCTTCCAATACCTGACCTTCTTCCTTGAGGATGATGAGGAGCTTGAGCGCATCCGCACTGCTTACGAGAAGGGTGAGATGCTGACCGGCGAGCTGAAGCAAATCTGTATCGCCGAGCTGCAGAAGTACGTGAAGGAATTCCAGGAGCGTCGCGCTCAGGTCACTGATGAAATTGTGGCCGAGTACATGCGACCACGTCCTCTGGAGTGGAAGGGCAACCCTAACCCTGTGGCTGCTGAAAAGAAGTAAAGCCTAGCGAGGCTGGAAATATCTAAACTACCCTTATACCATACCAAAGTGAAAATCAATATCCCTCCGTTTTCGAATGAATGCCAGGGCTTTCGAGCGATCTTTGTCAAATGTATCTAAATCCTTCTCTCCTTCAAGGGAGACTTTGCATCTATTTTGTGTACGATTGGATGCACTTGCGAGTTCTGTGACCTGGATGAATAATTGGCAGCTCTACTTCATAGGTAGGTCAAGACCACCCTGCTAGTTATTGACTCAAAACAACCACGCCGTGCATGAATCCGCGCACTCCATTGCTGAGCCAACACTCTTCGCCGTCGACCAGGTCTGCCCGGGTGATCACTTCCTCCACGCAGAAGCCGTGAGTCAATGCATATCTTCTAGTTGTGCCTGCATTTCCTCCGCTGGTCAATGGTGGTGTCATCCAAACCGGCCCGGGCTTATCTGCGTTTTTCAAGATGTTTCGACGTCGAAAAAACGGAGTCGAAATGCTCCCTTCCATAATCTCTCCATCTGGATTGACTACTAGGACCTCTGACGTTTCCATTGGAGAGCTGATTCCCGCCCTCATTCGAGCAGCCGTATACTCGTCCCGAGCGGTGGTCTTATGGGTCGTGAAGCCAGATGGGGTTATAGACTGTGAATCCACATACACCTGCCAGATGGTCGATTGTGTATCCGTGTAGGGAGAAGGAATCAATAAGTTCAACGGGTCAATGGCTGCAGTAGGATTGACATCGACCGAGGCAGTGCCATTGCAATCCACGACGATTCTCAACCGCCAAGGCTTGTCCCTATCCGGTATGGAGGCATCGAGAAATTCCTCAAAGCTTTCCAAATCTTGTTGTAGAAAGTCTAGGGCGCTGGCCCATTTAAAATGATGGGCTGCACTTATGAGCCGGTCTCGGTGGTAGGGTAGGAGGTAGTAGGGCGACTGCGCTGGGGCTGGATAGCTATCGGTGTCCGCATTGCGAGAGGGTCCCCTTCGGAAGGTCGGGGTCGTATCGAAGGGATGAAATGACCTGGAAAGATGGCATAGAAGTTGCAGATGAAGCTGAGGACATGGTCGCGTGCGTTCAATGGCTTGCTGGAATGTCGTTAATTACGCCCTAAGTTAGTCGTGAGCAGCGTCATCACTAATGGGGGCTCGGCTCAGCACTCGAGCTCAGTCTAGCGCTGCCCCTGGTATCTGGAGAGAAGAGACAGACAATCGAGTAATCGAGTATGGAACTGCACTCGAACTGACATCAAGGTTGTGTTGCACAGGTTGACTGCATATTTTCTGCCGGGCAACCCGGATTGTGCACATTCGTAAGTGGTGATGTGGAGAAGATACGCCCAAGCGTTACCGTCGCGCAGCGCGTGATTGGCCCGTGCTGACTCGCCGAACCCTCGACTTTTCCTCTAAGCTTCCGTCATTTCTCCCTATCTCACACTTTCCGCCTTCTGGCTAAGGACCGGTGCGTTTCAACTCGCTGTCCATCGGCGCATTGCATCTTTAGTTCTTCAGTACTGACCGTGCCCAGAATCAGGACTCTCATAGCATCGGTCGCCGTGTCCGGTTCCCTCAACACATCATGTCGAGCGAGTCGCCATTATCCACGCCCACGCAGAATGTGGTGCTGGACACCTCGAAGCTTCCCGCGTCGACCTCAACATCGGTCTGGGATCGCATCTCGAACTGGGTGTCAGAGAACAAGGCTGTTGTCTACACCATTGCTGGAGTCGCCGTGGTCGTGACCGGCGCTGGAGTCGTCTACTACCTGTCCGACTCTAGCAAGCCGAGCGCTTCATCTACCCCCTCCGCCCCAAAGAAGAGCAAGAACCAACGACGGAAAGAGAAGAAGAAAGCCGAAGAAGAGAAGAAGCCCAAGACTCCCTCGGTACAGGATGGTTTGTGGCCCATATTGATTGTCATAATACGATGGCTGAACCGCGACTGACATCACCATAGAGCCTGCGGTCAAAAAGACCGAAGAGCCCGCCGATGATCTACCGGATGTTGATGAGGCGACCGTTGGTCAGCTGTCTGAAGAGGTGTGATTCCTATTGAAATTGAAGCTTGTGAACCGCAGGGCAACTACTAACCGATGCACGGAAGACCCGGAAGGAGTATGCTGCCAAGTTGAAGGCCGCCGGTAACAAGGCTTATGGCGCCAAGGAATACAACAATGCTATTGAGCTATATGGAAAGGCCATCATTTGCAAGCCTGACCCCGTTTTCTACTCGAACCGCGCCGCCTGCTACAATGTTTTGTCGGAGTGGGAGAAGGTCGTGGAGGATACCAGCGCTGCGCTTGCGATGGATAGCGAGTACGTGAAGGCCCTGAACCGGAGAGCCATTGCCTATGAGCACCTGGGCAAGTTCAGCGAAGCTCTTCTTGATTTCACTGCCAGCTGCATCATCGATGCTTTCTCCAACGATGTCAGCCGCAACTCCCTCGAGCGCCTGCTGAAGAAGGTTGCCGAGCAGAAGAGCAAGGCCATCCTCGAGGCCCGCAGCAAGAAGCTGCCCAGCGCCACCTTTGTTTCCAACTACCTGCAGAGCTTCCGCTCTCAGGCTCTTCCTGAGGGCCTGGAGGAATCCGTTGAGCTGAGCGAGGATTCCGGCAAGGGCCTGCTGCGCAAGGGTCTTATTGCCATGGGTAAGAAGACCGGTGATGGTTACGAGGAGGCCGCTGCTGCTTTCGAAAAGGCCCTTGAGGTTGGCGATCTCGGTGATTTCGAGGCTCTTGCTCTCAACATGCGGGCCACTTTTACCTATCTTGGCGGCAACGCCAACGGTGCGCTGGAAGGTCTGAACAAGAGCGTGGAGATGCAGCCATCTCTAGTCCAGAGCTACATCAAGCGCGCCAGCTTGCACCTTGAGCTCGGTAAGCTTACCTCAAACGTAGCTTTATCAGGCTATTTGCTGACTGTTGATTAGGAAACAAGGATGCTGCTGCGGACGACTTTGAGCTCGCCATCACTCACAACAAGGATGACCCCGACATTTACTATCACCGCGCTCAGCTCCACTTTATCCTGGGTGAGTTCGCGGAGGCCGCCAAGGACTACCAGAAGTCCATCGATCTCGACCGGTCTTTCATCTACTCGCACATCCAGCTTGGTGTTACCCAGTACAAGATGGGCTCCGTTGCATCGGCCATGGCTACTTTCCGCCGCTCGGTGAAGAACTTCGAGGAGGTCCCTGATGTCTACAACTACTACGGCGAGCTTCTGCTTGACCAGCAGAACTACTCGGAGGCAATCGAGAAGTTCGACAAGGCCGTTGAGATGGAGAAGCTCAGCAAGCCCATGGGTATCAACGTCCTTCCCCTGATTAACAAGGCTCTGGCTCTCTTCCAGTGGAAGCAAGACTTCCAGGAAGCCGAGAACCTGTGCCAGAAGGCTCTTATCAGTAAGTTCCCAGCCGATGCGTCTGCGTCACTAAAGTTTCACCGATTGGAATACTAATTCTCGGTGCAGTCGACCCCGAGTGCGATATTGCCGTGGGCACCATGGCCCAGCTGCTCCTCCAGCAGGGCAAGGTCTCGCAGGCCCTCAAGTACTTCGAGCGGGCTGCTGAGCTTGCCCGTACCGAGGCCGAAATCATCAATGCTATCTCCTACGCCGAGGCCACCCGCACCCAGCTGGAGGTTCAGGAGAAGTACCCCCAGCTGGCCGCCCGGCTGAACGCCATGGGTGCCATGGGTGGTGCCCCACCTGGCATGTAAAGCAGCCAGTCCGGCTTCCTTTTTGTGTTCCGCCTTCTCGCCATCCAGACTTCCCTCTTCGTTCGCTTCGTTTCTTCGCCTCCCGGATCTGGACTCGGGTGCATGTCTGATTAACCCTTCGATTCTGGTCTTCGGTCTTCGGTCTCCTCTTCGGCTCGGCTCCACGGTGTCTCGACCAGCAAACTTTTCTCCTCACTGTATTTAGTATCCCTCTCCTGACATATTCCCTCTTACCACCTTCTTTTGGTCTTTTATTTTGGGGGGGCACCGGGGCAGAGTTATACCGGAGTTGCGATCCGGGATGTTTGGACCACCGCTGGAGTCCGGACCACATTGCATGGGGTTGTGAACATGTGGAGAGTAATTTGTGTACCATAGAGGTGAATGTGATGTCCTTTTGATATAGCGTGGCATCGAGTCGTGGATCATCCAGCGTACTGCATAGCGTACTGCGGAGTAGTAGTCTCCGTAGCTTGGTTGTCCGGGGCAGGCTCCACTTGGCGATTGCCGTCAAAGCGGCGATAAGAGGTGGCTGCCCCACCTGACCGAACTACGACTATAAACGACCTCATCGCCTTATCGGCCTGATCACTCCGTCTTAACGCCCTTTTGAGTTCGCTTCTTGACTCATCCCGCCGGGAGACAAAGGAGTTGTGCCCACTAGATTACTTCCCTCAGCAGTGGTTCCGTGCCTGCTGGTCCAAGGGTCCCATAGGGCCGGGCCCGCAAAGTCTCAGAAGCCTTGACCTCAACCTGATTCATCATCTACCCCTCTTCCCTCTCACCTTCCTTTCCCACCTTTCAACCTTCCGCCTTCCTGCACCTTCATCCATATTTCAGCGCCTAGTTGGGCTTCCTGTTTGGGCCCTGACACCTCGTCTACCTCCTCTGTTCACTTAGGCCGGGTATATCCGGTAAGCTTCCATCTGCTCCGGCCATCTTGCTTACCTTACTGCCACTGCAGCCTGGCAACTTCCCGAACCTGCCGCGCTGACCATCTAACATCCCCGTTATATCCCACGTTCTTTGCTAACGTCTCTCCGCTAAAACGCAGTTCCTCTGACCCTAGGCTTCTGCCTTCTCAACCACACATGAAATTCACTGCAACTACTGTTGACATCAGTCACCATGCCTGAGCCCGAAGGTATGTACGGCGGATTCTATGCAGCGCCCCTCACTCTATATCACCATACACGTACTGACATCGCTTTTTCTACAGCTTTGATTACCCTCAAGCCCCTCAGCCCCGACTCTTCGTTCACCCGAAGCTTCACTCTTTCCAGCCGCAATCCAGTCTTCGAAATCGGCCGATCTTCCAAGCGTGGTGCTAAGAACCGCACGCCCGGCAAAGATAATGGATGGTTCGACTCTAGGGTGATGTCTCGTGATCATGCCGAGCTAGCATTCTCCAGGATCCAAGAGGTATTATTGCCAAACCACTCTCTCGCTCCCCCGATAGACCATGCTGAGCATCGAATTTCCCAGAAAATGATCTATATCTGCGATTCTGGATCGACTCATGGTACCTATTTGAATGACGCTAAGCTTATCACCGGCGATGATACCCCGTTGAGCAGCGGAGATATCATACAATTCGGCATAGATGTTGACCGCGGTCGTGGTGCGTCATCATATCCCTATGGATATCGCGTTACTAGATGTCATGATAAGCTAATATTACCCATAGAAGAGTTCCCGGCTCTGAGAGTTTGTTGCGAAGTCACCTGGTCTGAATCCAATTCTCTCGAGAGCTACCCTTGCGAACCATCGGACCTGTTAGACTGCCATGTTGTCGAACCGGTAGCAAGCACCTTTGGATCGAAGTCAGCATCTGAGCTTCGTCATAGCTGTTCTACCAACACATTCTGTGTTCCGGACGATGACGATAGTGATGTTGAGGAGATTCCGGCCAACCAGACCCCCAACCTCAAGATCATTGGACGAGACGGAGCCGTTCTTTATGATGAAAGCAACTACGAGAATCACCAAGAGTCGCAGCAGCAAGATTTGCCTCTGCCTTCCGATCCCCATAATTCTGACTGGGAGGTGTTCCCTATCGAGGGTTCACACGAGGAATACTCAGACTCGAGCAATGGAGAGGACTCAGAACTTGACTCTGACCCTTCCTCGTTCAATCAGGTCGGCGATAGTGCTGAGAGAGTGGCACGAACTCTCGATGTAGTTCAGCCCATTTCAGCCCTTGAGAGCAAGCTTTCAGGGTCGGAATCTGACTCTGAGCTTGAATCCGATGCCGATTATGATGATGAGTATTCCGTCGGCGAAGAGGAGGAATGTATTGACCCGAGCATCTTAATTCAGCAGGACAACACTGCAAATATACCTTTCAACGAAGCTATCCATACCTTGTCAAATGGTGGTCTTGCGCCCAGGCCATATTTCAAGGTTGAAATGCCGAAGCAAATTCCAGAGCCCACGCCGAATCAACACATCGTTTTTCAAAGTCGCTTCCCGGAGGTTCCCATTACTCCTCTATTGAACCACAAATGCGAAGAAGACGATGGGAATAGGCGTCTTGGTCGTTTGAGCATTCATGATGTGTTGAATAACTACCACGATGGACCCTTTGCCTGCCCCAGTGAACCCACTAAGGATGCTGCTTCGGACGAGGTATCAGCGGTCGGAGCGTCCGGCTCAGCTTCCTTGAAGCGGAAAGCTTCTGAAATGGAGTCACAGGATGCTCAGCAGGATGCTCAAATTCTAGAGTCGGCTACGCCACCCTCTAATGAAAAGCTGGATCTCGAGACAATCTCCAGTTCCCAGGTGGCCGAGGCCATTAGTTCTGCCTTGTCTGAGAGCTCTGAAGGTGAACGCCCAATGAAGCGAGTCAAGGATACTCACACTCCGTCCAGCAAGGTCGCAAGCTACACCGCCACTGCCGTGGTCAGTGCCCTGCTCGGTGGTTTGGGCACCATTGCTCTTCTGGCTGCCCTCCCGGCAGAATACTTCCAGTAAATAGCGATGTTCCCAATGTTGGACATGGCTAGGGGTTGCGCACGGAGTTTCGAATTAACACAGTTCTTCTTCCCGCAATGCCAATTTACCTGGAAGATCTCAACTCATGGAGGAGGTTGGTGAACCTGATTTATTTTATTCGTTCTGTGGTCTTGTCAACCCAAAGCACGATCCATATCGGGAATCTGCTGTGCGTCACAGAATGACTGGAGTTGCAAGGACTAGGAGTTAATACGTTGTTTGGCGGCTACTTTGGTTTCTGCTTTTCCCCTGCCCTTTTTGTTTTCCCATTGCTTTCACTGCCCATGGAGAACCTTGTGGTCTTGCGGCCATGACCTTGTCCTGGGCTTCCACTCAGCATCGCTCATGATATCTACTTCCTGTTCCAACCTTGATTACCACACAGATCGTAACGCGTTGCAAGAATGAATTCTTTCCTAAGTTACCTCTCTCGGACTCCATCTAACTCCCTTGTGAGACTTCGGATTACCTTGTAGTACTGGCTAAACAGTCTCTGACTGGCGCGTGACGCCCCTCAATATCGGCGATGCTGGCGCACCCGTGCTGCCCTGCCAGGTACAGCTCTTTTGTCGCTGGCCTTGCTTGAAAGTATGGGGTGTGCTGTAATGCCGTTGCTTCGGAATCGAGGGTCTGAAAGGCTTATGCTGTGATTTGAGGGTACATAAACGTATTTTGCTGGGCAGGTTTTGGATGGTTCCCGAGGACATGTGATATTTCGTGTTGTATATGATCTTTGGAAAGGCACTTGACTCTCCGGACCGTTTCATTGGTCAGTTCTGTTTCAATACGACCATCTGTCAGATCTCGATATACCTCGATACCACAAGAATTAGTAAAGCCCGAGCCTCCGGACTGGCGGTAGTATTATTCGCCAGATAATGGTCCACTGGGAGTCCAGGGCCTCGCTGGTTGAAATATCGACCACGGCCGAAAGCCCAGGCGACCCTTCCTGCCCCCGGGGCCGAACCAGATTACGCATTCTTCTGATTTAAAGGTAGTACCGGCGCGAATATCACAAGGTGTCTCGTCAATCAGACTGCAGCTTTCATGCCGATTTCGTGTCAGCTGACTGGCGAGTTTCTTTGACTCGGTGGCAGGCCTGGTCATCACCTTTCCCCCCTCTCTGGCAAGGATAGATGGTGCCACCACTGCGTCCTGTCAGGCGGGCAATTAGAACTATGGAGACGAACGAGGTATCCCGAGACTCTCAGACTTGTTTCTACCCCGGCAGTCTCAGAAAGCCGTTCAATATGCTAATGGTGGGCTGGGCCTGCAGTCGAGTCCGCGAGCTACCGCCAGTACGAAGCCGTTTCCCCAGCCCGCATTGAAATCATAAGCCTAGCGCGTGATGGAGAATGACTGGCTGCAGACCACTTCCTCGGCGCCTCGAGCTGGTCAAACGAACCCAGGTGAGTTCCTCCCAGTGAGTCCTTTGTCTGTTCTTGGCTATTGAATGCAGTCGTTAGTTACATACTGCACGTGCACCGCCAGCGCTTGCATGCGAACACACTGACTCGACTGCCACCCTCTCACAAATCCAGGCACATCTCTTAGTGCTGACTGGCTGCACACGGGTGCAAAGCGGAGAATATACTGCTCTTAAAATGCGTCACCACAGCGCCTCAGCTCTTGAGTGTATCTGGGATCCGCTTTGGATCTCAACGGCTGCAAGGGAATTCCTTGTCCATGCCACATTTCTGAATGGCAGTGAGCCTTGATATAGCCCGATTCGTACTTTTCTTGCCGCTTTATCCCAATATGAAAACAACTATCCGGTCCCTCGGGCGTCTTGCGGGACGGATACCCACCCGGGGCAGCAGACGTAATGGTCATGTCCTTCCTATCTCGGACCTCCCGCCACGACATTCAGGGAGGCGTGCTCCTGTGGTACAGATTCTGGCAGCATACAATTGGTAGTATGTCTAATGTTTCAACGTGCTCCTGGCCCTGCTATTCGTCCATCATAAGGCGTTCCCTCTGTATATGCGAAAGTCGTGGTGACCCACATCATGATACAAGCCAAGGAAATACGTGCTAATCCCGGAACAGACCACTGTCGCATCAAGATTAGCCAGCATCATGACTCGTTACAAAGACATATTTGGTCACCACGGCACATGCTTGAGACGGACAAGAAAACGCGATGCAATCCGTTTAGTTCTAGGGCACACGCACCATCATTCATTGCAAGAGGCATCGCCCGAGCGCTCCATCACCTAATTGCTTGTGCACACCCACTGTCTTGGATCCGAGCCTGGCGCTTCCTACCTCATTTTTATGGCTTCTGCCTGATGCAGATGACCATCTGACTGCCAGCATGGGTCGGTATCATAAATGTCTCCTGCAACCCCACCCGCTAAGCCCGTCGAGATGCAAAGAATATATTGTTTCAAAAATGGCAAGTACTCATATGAAGCTGACAAATGCCATATCGTGAATAGCGCAGCCGTCGGTCCAATTGTGTGATTTGTACATCTCAGAAATGAGATCATCCATGTATGGTCCTCTGCAGCTACCCGTGGGTGGAAGACCCCATTCATGATCCCACTAGCGGGCAGGCCCGACTGATTTTTCCAACCTGGGTGAATGGCTGTGCGTAAACTGCATGCACTTGGGATTTGGTCAAGCCCCGACAACCCTGGATAGCCACTAACCCTATCCACCAATCGTAGCACAAGGCTACGGTGGCTGCCATGCGGCCAGGCTTTATTTTCCGGCCGCAACGCCAAGTTCTATCTGGGTGATGTCCTACCCAACACTAGGGCTGCCACTCATTCGCGGTTTCTGACTGATCCCTGTTGAATAATCCCGGTTTTGTTCTTTTTTGGTGCCTCGAGCCGCTTCTATTGAAAATCACCGGTCAGTATCTGGACCATGGTTACGGTATAATGGCAGTGGCTGCCGTTCTACCCTAGCTCCTTTGTGAACTAGGTAGTCATTAGACCATGCCCATAGTTCAGTCAGATGAGTTTTGATCAACATGATACGCAAAGTCAGCTTTCGTCCCCCACCAGCTCGGCCAGTTTCAGTGAGTGTGTTGGGCCAGGAACCAGACACGCCATCTTGCAGGCCTCCGATATACCCCTCTAGGTCTCAGGGTCATATTAGGCCCCAGACGGTGAATTACCGTTCTCCCATTATGCCAGATCTACTCCTGTCGGTTTCATAGGTGGGTCTGTCGAATTCCGGAAATACATTATTTGTGCCAAATTGACCGACTCATGCATTGAAAAATACTCACCTTGACCTGCAAGAAGGGCAGTCATTTCAGCATAACCTCCTGCTGATCAGTCAGATAGCCGGGATATCCTTTGGGTTCCCTGCGTCGTGGTATTTCCCCGTTCGGTTTTTCCTGTTCTTGGCTTTTTTTCTTTTCTTTTTCTCTCAGAGAATGTAACCTTTGATGTTGAGATATCGTGTGCCACCAGTACCTCTCGCGTAGAAGAGCTTAACCTCCGGATCTTATTACATTCTGGCCTGGGTAGAATTCTACCCTTGTCTGGTCGCTGACTCGCGCACTTCCTGTTGTTCCGACGTTGGCCTTCTCCGGGGGTATATTGATATAACCTCGACTCGCCCTTGATTATCCCGCCGCCTGCAACGCCCACCATAACCGTGAAGCGAGCACAGAAAATATATCTACCTCTCTGCGTCATAAACGAAGTATACGATACCTCGCCTATATTGTCAAACTCGCCCTGCACCACTCCTATTTCAGCATCGCGCGATATACTTCGCTGCATGGGCCCGCGCTTTTTATTCTATGCAATGACTTCGTCGAACGTTTCAGTCTTCCACCTTGACCCTGATCATATATCCTGCATCGGGGGACGCACGGTCTTGACATGCCAGAACTGTGCTGGGAATGCCCCGAGGTAGAGACTCCCCCCGATATAACCCACCTCATCTCACATAAATTGCTCACCGTATCCTAGGGGTGCAATATGCACTAGCTGTGACGGCCGTGGCTTCAATATTCTCATCTGCGCGCATTGCAACCCCGCTGCAGCGGTTGCCTCTGCCCGCTTCAGCGCCAACGGTAATTCTTCTTCCACTGCCAACACAACACCCGGATCATCCGCACCATCTTCTCCAGGCTCCCTTAGCCGGAGTCCTTCTACTTCCTACCCGTCTGCGCATGATACTCGAATCACTCGGCCGTGGAGAACTTCTGATGATGGCAAGGGTGGGAACCCCAGTGGACGTGTAGAAGCACGTACATTAGGAACCCCTAAATCTCAAACTGGGATCATGGCTGAGGTTATCAATATGCCTGTTAGTTCTTCTAAGACCTGATATTAACCGCACGCATTCTTTTTTCTTGCTTTTCTTTTTATATATATATATATCTTTTGGAACTATTGGCGAATTTTCGATTGTAATTGGAACGGTATTGTGCTTTGCATATGTTTATATGATTCGATCTGGCCTTGGGGAATTCGAATTCTGGTGCAGTATATAGAATACGGGAGCAAGTGCAGTTGCTACGCGTTTTGGAGTAAGCCACTGGTCGAGATGCCTTACTAGCGTGATCCTTCGGATTAAACTGTCTTGTGTCTGCCATATTTAAATTTTGGAAACAAATCCCATAGGTTTTGTTAATCTGTAGGTCATACAAGAAAATTTTGGGGGTAAATTCATGGTCTTGAGAGGGGATAAATACGAAACTCAACTTGCCCCATAACCCATATCTAAATATAAGCTAACAATTAGAGCACCTTCTGCGTCCGAGCTCGCATCCATGGCCCGAAAATATACAGTGGCAATGCCAGGAAAATGCAGGCCCACTGAATACCAGCAAGTTCATAGAACATCTTATCGACGCCCTCCTGGGCCATCCAAGCATATGCGCCCTTGGCCAATCCAAAAGCCACCACATTTTTCGACGCATTGACCAGAACAAGCGCCTCACCACTAGCTCGTGGGTATGAATCCACGACATATGAGAGCATGACAGAAGGCACCAGGGTCAAACCGGCAGCGGAGATAGCAGCACCTACAGCGGGCTTAACGTAGTGTTCTTGTCTGGCGACGGTGTAGCCGAAGACTACCAAGCCGACCGGACACACGAGAAATGGGAAAATCAGCGCCGGCAAGCGGTGCTCGGGCTTGTGAACATTGCCGTTGCGCTTGCGAAGCCAGCGCGAGAGGATATCAGTGAGAGGACCGGCGATGGGCCAGGCGATCACAATGCCGATGAAGCTGCTTAGGGTGAAGAGGCCAAGCTCAGAAGAGGTAAAGAGGTACGGCGGGGGAGAGAAGAGGCTAGGAGAGAGTGTCGATATGACGACGATACTAATTGGTGTCAATGGTTAGGCCCGAGTAAAGAAAATGTGCACAAGGAGACACTTACCCGCCAAGGACAGCACCGTACATGATTGACGCAATCAATACGCCGGGGACCAGCAACAATGGGAGTGGAAGTACGAGGAGATAGGCGAAGAATTTGAAGACGCCCTTTTCTTTGGCCCCCTTGGTGATGTTGAGGGTGAAGAGTCCCTTGAAATACTCTCCGTAGTCCATCTTCACACGGTCGCCGACCTGCGATCTGGTGGGAATCGTCTCAAGGTGGCTGTCAAGGCCCTTCTCGATTTCTTCGTTTTCTTCAGCGGTTGCGGGCTGCTCATCTGGCTCGTAGATGGTTTCTGGCAGCATGAAGATGGCGGTCACGAAGTTGACTGCCGCGATGATAGCGCAGAGAATGAAGAACCACCGCCAGCCACGGGCCTCAATGAGGTAACCGGCAATCATGGGCCCAATCTGGGAGCCACCGGACAGGAACGCAGCGTAAACTGCCATAGCACTGGCATAGTTCCGCTCGAAGAAGATGTCTGAGGGAGTGTTAGGCTAACTTATTCACAGTCGGGAGAAGCAGAGGTCGGGGTGTACCTGCGAGGATGCTGGGTCCTAGCGATTCAATAGCGCCATATCCTTGGTAAAGTTAGCTCACGGCCATTCAGACAGTTCTACAGTCTTACCGAAACTAGCAAAGACTCGCGAAGCAAGCAGACTATCGTAGGTCTGAGCAACTACGCTCCAAATGACGCCGCCAAGGAACATCGCCATAGATACGAGTACAACAGGGCGCTTCCCAAAGCACAGCGCAAGCGGCATCCAGAACAAGTTGGCGAGACCCATTGCCAGCACTGAATATACGATCAGGGCCGATAGCTGGTCATTGTCGGCGTGGAAATAGATTGCAAGGGACTCAAATCCCGTCGCAATTCCCGACTGTGTATGGGAAAGATTGTTAGGATGCAGGGCTTCAATGTTGCAGACATCAACACTCACCGAATACATGTTACCCATGAAAACGTATACATTGACGGCGAGAAGGGCGGCGTACCGCACACGTCGGGGGAAGAGCTATCAATTGTCAGCTATTTGGGCTTGGTGGTTCCAGCGTCGAGACCAGGCAACACGCTACTTACTCTGGGATCTACAGCTGCCATTTCGGCTGGGGTATCGCTGGGGAAGATAGGAATCGTGGTGATAGGTAGTATGATGATGGGGTGACCACGACCGGGGGGATAGTCGCCCCATATAAGCTAGCGGCCTCGGCATAGAGAATCGAGAATGCGCAAAACCACAATGGGAATTGCACTGCAGCTAGGACTGCCCTGGCACGGACAGACTTCTTTCCCCGCAGAGCAGCCATAGGCGCGAATGAAGAGGCCGGGCCTCGCTAACGGAGTCATCGGGATATCCGTGGGGGACATTCGGAGGGTGCCTCGGGAGTTGGGACCACATCCCTTGAACGCTTCTTAGGCTGTGCTCACGCTTGAACAGTGGCAAATAAGAAAGTCTTTTACATCATCAATGGTTCTAGCTCTATAATTCTGGCATGTCAAGTGGTCTAGGAGCCTCAACCTAGTTGCTGGGGCCGGAGCTGTGGTGTGTCAGCGCAGTTGGTGAGAGTCGAGAATTCCCCCCCAAATCGCTTAACAAAGACTCAAGTCAACGAGGTGAAGATCTCGAGAAAGGGCAAAATAAACAGACCCATATTGAACAAGCTGAATAGGCTGAATGCACAAGCACTGTCATGGACTGTGGCAATATTGCGGTCGATGGGGATCCAGGCTGGAGTCAGTCCATTCCCCCAACACATGGCAGGCTTGCTACCCCGGATTGATCCACAGCAAGGTCAGACTCCCCGCCATGAGATGCACCCCGGACACGCGCGATGCCGCCGCACGGAGTGTACCCACCAACCAGGCGTGTCGCTTGACTAGTTAGTTAGCTGACTAGGACATTGTGGCTCTTAATTGCGGCATTCGTGGCCATCCCACACACACGCGAGGCTGGGATATCCGGGCATCGGCAGTCCCGAGCGCGGGCCCTCCGGCTATTCCGACATATTGACTCCTGCGGCGATGCACTTAATTGGGGGCATACAAGTACCTTCTTCTTTACATAGAGCCGTGGTGAAGTCTTGATTCTGTGTCCAGTGTCTCTGTGGTATTGATGTTCCCCCAATATTACGCACCCTCAAGATGGTGAGTGAGCGAAGAGGCCCGTCCGTTGACCGGCATACTGACCAGCATACCACAGATTCCCGAGAAAGCTCGTCTTCGTGTAGTCATTGTCGGAGCTGGACTTAGTGGCATTGCCACTGCGATCTCAGCAGCGCTGTCCGGTCACTCGGTCCAGGTCATTGAGCAAGCACAGGAGTTGGCTGAGGTTGGCGCCGGGTTGCAAATCACTCCGAATGCCTCGCGTCTTCTCAAATACTGGCAGCTTCCTGCCACACTCTGGGAGGCGGCTGCCGAGCCCACAAAGCTGACTGTGCATCGCTACTCTGGCCAGGTTCTGGCGCACGATGACACCTTCAATCAGGGGATTCGTGCTAAGTACCATGCGCCATTTGTGGACTTGCATCGTGTCGATCTGCAGCAGGCGCTCTTTGCGCGAGCGAAAGACCTGGGTGTGACCTTCCACCTTGGGCAGAGGATCGAGGGCCTTGATTTCGACACCACCACGGTGCATTCAGTATCCGGGGAGCGCTACACGGGTGATCTGATCATTGCTGCTGACGGCCTGTGGTCTCAGTGCCGGGAGGCATTCGAGGGCAAAAAGGATGCGCCACTCCCGACTGGGGATCTTGCGTATCGGATTGTGTTAACGGCAGACCAAATCACCGACCCGGATCTCAAGGCCCTTGTGGAGAACCCGGAGGTGCATTTCTGGATTGGTCCTGGAGCTCATGCGGTGGGCTATTCCTTAAGAGGAGGACAAATGTACAACATTGTCCTTCTGGTGCCTGATAACCTGCCTCCAGGTGTTTCAAGGCAGGCGGGCTCCGTGGATGAGATGAAAGAGCTCTTTGCGGAATGGGACCCAATGTGAGTGCGTTACTGGCTATGACTCTCGTGTTCGGTAGCTAACACTATACTTTCAGACTCAACAAGTTCCTGACTTATGTTACAACGGCCAATGTCGATAAGTGGAAGCTTATGCATCGTGAGTTCTACTTTACGAAGGCGCCAGACAAATCTCGATACTAATGGGATTACAGGCGGTGAAATGGAGAGGTGGGTCAATGATAAGTCTAATCTTGTCTTCATGTAAGTGTCAACATTCCAGATGCCATATGAAAAGCATCAATTGACCCCTCAATCAGTGGTGACTCTTGCCACCCAATGCTCCCATATCTGGCGCAGGGCGCCAACTCGTCCTTGGAGGATGGGGCTGTCCTGGGTCTTCTGCTGGGACAGATGAGAGACAAGGCTCAGCTGCCGCGTATCTTGCGTCTGTATGAAAGTCTTCGCAAGTCGAGGGGAGACGCAATTGTGCGAGAGACATTCAAGCAGGTAGGTCCTGAATACTGCTGCTTCAGTCTTTTTATTGCGCGGGATGATTTCGTGATCAATGTGACTAACGGGGATCAACAGAGACACGATTTCCACATGCAGAATGGCGAGGAGCAGAAGAAGCGCGATGAAATCTTCCTCTCGCAGCTTGGCAAAGAGATTAAGGGAGCCTTCCCTAGTAGATGGTGAGTAATCTTAGCCCCATGGGTGTTGTACATTACTGACAAATATATACAGGACATGTCCAGAAGTCCAACCGTGGTTGTACGGCTACGATGCCGTCAAAGAAGTGGAAAAGGCCGTGGCACAGCACCCAAATCTGTTCTCGACACAAGCCGAGTCTGCGTTAGCTTCTCTGTGATTGTATAAATTAAGTTCATACACGAACTACTGTTTCAGAAAGCATCATTCCAAAATTTTAGATATTAGGAGCTTTTTTTGAGATGTTTCCTTGTTGATGGGAGCGTAGATGGTCCCTAGAGTCGAGATCTATCAAAATTAATATACAATACGTACAGTGCTAGGCAGGTTCTGAGCTCACGTCATCAGAGAGAACCGCTCCACTTGAGCGCTCAATAGGGGAACAAAGTCCTCGCCCTCGCAAATCTTCATAGCCTTCTTATAGGCAGGTCGCTCTCCGACACGCTTTAAATAAGCTAGAATGTGCTTGTGCTTCTCCTCATCGTATTCCACTGGTAAAAAGCCGCGCATCGTTGTCAAAGTGAACACTATCATGATATCCGCAGCCGTCAGATCCTTGCCAGCAAGGTAGGCGCCGGTTTCAGCTAGTCTGTTCTCGACCATGGAGAGCAGATGATTCAACTTCTTCGTTAGGCGCTGCGCCACTGGACTTGCTGTGGTCGGCCCATGTGACATCAACAGGCGGGAAAGCGCAGCCGGCTGGAGGGTAGAACTGGCGAAATGATACCATTCAACGTAGCCCGTGTACCCTGCACCATCCCTGGGAGTGAGAGCGAGCCGCCCATTGCCGTAGACGGCAATGAGATAGTCGATAATTGCGCCCGATTCTGCCAGGACGACTCTGGACCCAGTCACGGGGGACGGATCGTCTTCAATAACCGGGGCAGTGCCGGCTGGATGAAGCTTTTTGATGGATTCGGGTGCCAGGATAGGATCGCGTTTGTGATGGACTAATTCATAGTCTATGCTGAGCTCCTCGGCAAGCCAGATAATGCGCTCGGACTGGGATAGACCCATGTGATGCAAAGTCAACGGCATATTGGTGGGTGGGTTGTTTGGCAACTGTTGTACGATTCCAGAGAGAGGTCGGAGAGGGAATTTGGGAATTTGCAAGAAGTCCTTGAATTGCAATAACGGACACTTGAGGAAACGCGTGGGAGGTGGAGGAGGATCTATGTACACGGAAGATATGCCCCGCTTCACAAAAGGGTGTGCGACTAGTACTCGATTACTTAAACGAAACCAGTTCGCATGTAGTTAACAACCCTGAGGTGGCTTCATGACTCACATACTTAGGCTAACTAACTAACTGGAACCATTTACCTCCCCTCCATTTCTGGTTCTCGTGATCAAGATCAAACTAAGAGTTATTATAGGTCAGTCAACCCCGTTGTTCACTAATAGTGCACGTAACATACGACTCCAAACCTCAGTAGAAAGGCGGGCCGCAGGGTAAGCGATCCGGGCTTTGAGCACTCGGATACCCCCAACTAGTCAGCACTAGACTATAATAGGAAAGACTCACACTCCTGCTGAGGCGGCTGCCAGACGATGTGAACGCATGGCTCGCGACCTAACCATTCATTAACGTTGACTCCGTACGAAGTACGTAGTAAATAACCAAAAACGGGGATATCCACTCCATGCTCCACCACCTAATCACCGTCTATCATAGGCAAGCCCCCAATATCATCAAACAGCCGAGCGATTCCTTCGAACGAATAATCCGGGAACCCAAAGCCATAGGCCCACTCTGGGATTTCAAATCCAGGCTGGCCAGGCCCGGCCTCAACGGAGGCCGCCGGATGCTCGACCCCATCACCTGCCCCGGGAGTATGCTGTTGTGCGCCGGACGCTCTGAAGTCACGCAAATAGTGTCTTATGATTTCCACTGATTTCCGCGCCACGACGCATTCGTCCATTGAGTCGAGAATCTCCACGCCCATTTCAACGGAGCGGAGAAGGGGCATTGTTTGCGCGCACATGCCGAGTTTGGACATGGGGAGGAGGAGAGTGGATGTGGCGAACATCACGTAGGTTGTGTTGTACCACCTGGTCGCTTGTTAGTATGGCGGTGTACTGGCTTCTGTACGGGTACATACCAACACCGGAAGAATGTGTGCACTCGGTAGATATCATGTATCACCTCGATCGTCTTCATAGCCGAGTCCAGGCCTTTGGAGATTGTTTCTTCCAATTCGTTCGGAGGATGCCGCAGTTTGCGAGTGAAGTGGCTCAGAAACGGTCGGAACAGAAGCATCTTGACATTATAGTATCCTAAGTGGGAAGAATCAGTCCGCTGGTGCGTTTCAATAATCAGTAGCGTAATCGTATGTTAAGACTCACGGATTGCTAGCACAAGCCGCTGTCTTCTGGCCCACTTTGGATCACGAAGAGCACTACGCGACAACTTGTAGGCGCCGATATCTGGCTTGATCATCTCTGGAAGCCGGGCAAGCCAGCGATCCATCTCCATTTCAATTTGAAGAGCGAGCTGGAGTTTCTCCTGGAGCGTAATTCGTGAATGATAGATCTGAACGGACACCCGCCGTATAATCTGGGCAAAGTCAATCATCCAGGGGATAATGGCATATTCAGAGTCATCCCGGTCTGGAATGGCACGATTGTGATATTCATCCATTCCCAGTGTGTCTGGTCGACCAACAGAAAAGCTCATTTCTCTACCCGTCAATTAGTCGATCGTGTTCTTGATATAACTCTCGCACAGGGTGCAGCTTCTTACATTTCCAGTGAGAAAATACCCCTAACCGAGGACAGCTATTAGATAAAGCGCCCTTGAATGATGATGTGTTGGACTTACCACCAGGTCTTCGAGATCCAGCTCGAACGTCGGTCCTTGGGGCATTCCACCTCTCGATTGAAACCAGCAGAAAGGCATGTGCGCACCGCAAGGCCAAGATACATATAGGCCACTAAGTAGAATCAGCATCCTAGTCATGAATAGCAAGCAATCCGATGCACCCACAGTTCGGATTGAGCTCATTTTGGCAGATTTTAGCCTGGGTGGTATTAGCTCAGCGCACGTCCAACCTGAAGCATCATTACATACCATCAAATAAAGACATTGCACCGTTTCAAGATCATTCGAAAATCGCAAATAGTTCAGATACGCCTGCGCCTCGCCAAACAATTTCCGGCTCCATTCGAAGCGGCCCAGGCCCGCGAGCTTATCCTCGTCCCAAACGCGCACTAATGCGCCGAAAGACAAAACACTCAGATACAAGGCAACAAAGCTAGGCTCCGGCGTATGCACACGATCGAACCAGAGGTCGTTTGCACGGACTAAGAAGTCCTCCTTGTCGATGAATGGGTGGATGAAATGTATGTTCTCAAAGTAACCATTCATAAACACATGCGCCTGATCGAAATAGTAATTCTGCTGCTCAATCGATGTAGCGTTTGCTCCAGTGCTACAAGACGGCGAGAAGCTCGGGTTATGCAGGGTTGAGATCAACGAGAAGTCAGCCGGTCGGGGATGAGGTTCCTCATAGGTTCTTGGTTCTCGTGCCTTTTTCAGATGGCCAATAATTGCTGCTGAGGAGGTACTGCCGTAGAACTCTATGCCGTTTGTGTGGTGATTCAGTTCCTTGATTTCGTCGTCGGCACTCTCGGTGGACTCTTCGGGTGCTGCGTCGGCAGGAAGCTTGGATGATTCCTGCGGCGTGGATTCCGTTTGAGGCATTGAGCATGGAGTGGTTTCTATTCCCGTGGGTACTGGAGCTTGCGTCATTGGCAGCTTTGGTGGTTGTGAGGAGTGGGTGATTTGGGCTTCGGCGTTCCGCAGCTTCAAGGCCAGCTCCTCAACCTTCTTCTCGAGGTCGACAACATAACTACAGCCAAGGTCAGCCAAGAGCCATTTTGGTACGGTCCGTCGATCCAATATTGTAGATCGCACTGCTGACAGAAAGCAAGAATTCATCTTCCTACCTCGCAGACCGGCCGCTTTCCCGCTCGCGATAATTCCCCTGATAGACACAATTCAAATGATTCTCTGCGCGCTCGTTAGCACATCTTCCCAGAAGATTCCTCTCTTCGATGTGAGCCCCACTTTTACAATGCGAGCATGGATATTGTTCGTCGCATTTATACTTCTTCGTCCTGCAGCGGTCGCATGCCTGCGCGGCACGCGGCCTCTTGGTCCGCTTGGACGCCGGTTCATCCGCAGCAAGTGGCGGCGTGCTTTGATGGGTTTGCATTATGCAGACATCGTCCGCGGCAGCGAGAACGTGAATTCTGGGGCAATGGGGTCGGCTAGAGAGGGCCCGCTAGTTTGATGCAGATGATAACCACGCCGCGACCGGAAATCCCGGGTTGTTGGTCTCTAGACCCACGTGATGCTCCGCGGGGGCGACTGCGCCCGTGCGAATCCGGGGACCAATCAAAGACGGCATTGGCATCGGCTAGTCGGCTGTAGTTTGCGTGATTGCGAATGAGAATATACCTATTTCGGTGTCCCTGGATGCAAGCGAAAGTGGTTGTTGCTATTGGCTTCATTTTCAGATGGGTATTAACTAGTGTGGGGCATTCAGTGAAGCGAGAAGCGAATTTCCTGTGGCTCTATGTACAATTTTGATCTATAAAGTGGGCCAATATTCATCATAGCTTTAGAAGGTGATCTTAAGAGCTTCTGCAACCGAGACAAGCTTGGATCGGTCCCACACGGGGGCTTGGTCCGGCAGCACTACCTCCTCGATCTGCTTGCCGGCCTGGTGAATGAGGGACTCAATACCATCACCATCTGCAAAGGAGTGGACCTTGACAAATTTGCTCTCGAAGCCTAGAGAGAAAGCCTGACCAGCAGGAATAACAACCGTATCACCCTCCCGGAAGATAGAATCACCTGAGCCCTGCAGGCTAACCTTGAGGGTGCCCTCCATCACGCAGAAACAGTGGTCCACTGAGCTGAACGTCATATACTTTGAGAACACAGTCTCCCCGTACTCCTTTGACGATTCAATACTAGAAATCGCACAGACACCATTGCTCTGCTTGGTTGTGACAAATGGCCGCGACATCACGCCTCCCAGCATCCAGCGAGGACCGGTATTCGCACGCAGGAAGTACTTCTCATGGCCATCCGGCAACTTCTCATCATCCTTGGTCCAGTCGCTGACCTCTGGTGGCACATAGTTGGGCTGGAAAACGACATCAAACTTTCCTTTGGCCGCCATCACCTTGGGGATCAGTAGGGACTTCAGATCGCGGTTGTCGGTCTCGGGCACCAGGATGCCATCGTAGGGCTCTGAGACGTAGCGGAAGAAGTCGACCCAGTCACCGGGGGTGATCAGGCCCTGAAGTTCAGTGTGCGGACCGATCATTTCGGGTTGATGGACAACGAGCTGTGTGTATGTCATCGTTAGATTAAAGAAGATCTTGGTTCTGGTGCAGCCTGGGAAGGTGTCCATACTGGAGGAATATAGGCAAAGTCGCCCGGGGCCAAGATCCGGCACTGATCACCATTCCACAACTTCAAGTAGCCCTTCGTGACGAGGAAGACATCGTGGGCATGGTTGTGGTAGTGGAAACCTGGCGCATCTGAGATCGTAGCCCCACTCTGGAAGACAGTCATCAAGCCATTCGTTTGCTTGGAGGAAGTCAGAATGCGAAAGACACCCTTGCTGCCGGGGATGGTGATGCGCTCACCCTCCAGCTGAGGGATCGCGTAGGGCACCCGCTCCGCGGGGGGTTCGTTGGAGAATGGCAGCGACATTGTGTAGTGAGATGCAGGGAATTAGTTCAAGGAAGGATCCACGGGACAAAGAGAGTTCGAGACTTCCGTGGGAAGGCTCACAAGTTTTAAAGAGTGCACAAGGTGCAGCTGTCGGCATGCGGGGGACCTAATGCCGAGCGCGGAGAAGCCGTGCCCGGGAGATCCGAGTTGCCTCTGGGAGTGCTTCGCGGAATGGGGATGGTAATTTGGCGTGCTTCTTCATGGGGCCCCTCAATTAACCCCAGTCATTCTTCAGCCTGGCCGACTCGGCGCGAGAAGAGGCCGAAGTGCGCGTTGGCGCGCGTCGGGCGCCATTGGACGGAATGACTCAAGTACCGAGAAGACGGGGCATAGGAGCGGACAGGATCTCTTTGGGACAGGTGATCAATGCCGTACAAGAGAGGTTCGATATTGCATGCCTATGGTTCAAGGCAATCAAAGAAAATCCCGAAAAGGCTCCTCATAGCGGGGTAATTCTGTGATTCCGAATCCTCGGACTGCCGACTGTGGCGCACCGTCAACGCGACGCGGTGGCAAGCAGTTCATACATTTGAGGACGATCAGACAGCCAACACCACCACCGATTATCCAAGCAATTAGGAAATCAGATTTGGCTAGGAACATACCACGTACTGCTCCGACCCCGGCTTTTCATAATTGGCTTCACTTCCCCGCGGAACCCCAGTCTCCGAGCAATCGGTCCTCCCACATTCTCTTCCATCTGCGTCGCAAACCCCCTACTCAGGGCGCCCAAACTAGAACCTGACGGAAATAATTATTCGAGACCATAGAGGCTCGTAAACACCTTTCCGGAGGCTCCGGATTGGCCCAATTCCCCCCTTGCCACCGCGTGAACCAGCGCTGCAAGCAGAGCGACGGGTAAGAACTCATCCACCATCCCCACGAGGGTGGGGACGCCGCCTCAGTCTGGACAGTCTGAATGTGTGGGGTTGTGGCCAACGCCGGGGCTATAATACTCGTAGGAGTTCGCTCTACCCCTCCTGCTGATTTCATGACCCTTTCCTGAGGTGCTGGATTACTCTCAAAAACTGCGCGATATGACGACCACGAATCTGGCCGAGTTGGGAAAGCCCACGGGCGAGTACCGCCAGTACCTCCCCGACTTGAGCCTCGAGCGCTTCCAAGTAATGTGCACGCAGGACGCGCACGAGTATGCGCACGCCTTTAAGACGAACAAGCAGCCACCATGGCTGCACGGACTGTATATGCATTGGTTGGACTTGCTGCAGGAGCCCTTTAAGGGCGTGACGACCGACGGTATGGTGTTCAATTGCCATTTGCGGCAGAACAGCTTGGCCAGTCGCTAACTTTAGCTCCAGGCAAGGTTCGCCCCGATCTGTTCACATTACAGGATGAGGACATCCCGATTCAGCAGATCGTGGATGCCACGCAGTCCATGCTTGCAACACTGAACGACAAACAAAAGGAAGCCGTCAGCTACCACATCGACGCGCCGGAATGGCGCACATGGTCGAACCCGGAGTTCCTGCTCGCCCACAAGGGTGTTCGGCTGGATGAAGTCAACGAGCAAGTCCGCGACGCCGTGATGAATATCCTGAAAGTCACACTCTCGCCGGAGGGCTACGACAAGGCCGTCGGTGCAATGCGCATCAACCACTTCCTGGGCGAGCTAGTCAAGACGCCGCGCGTGATGAACGAGTTCTCCTACAACTTCGCGCTCTTCGGGCGCCCATCCACTACCCGGCCGTGGGGCTGGTCCTTCTACGGCCACCACTTGTGTCTGAACGTCTTCCTCTATAAAGGTCAGATCATCGCGTCGCCGTGGTTCACGGGTGCCGAGCCGAATGAGATCGATTCCGGGCCCCACGCTGGCACCCGGATCATGCAGGTCGAGGAGACGCTGGGTCTGCAGCTGATGCAGTCTTTGTCCGCCGAGCTGCAGTCCCGTGCGCGCGTCTTCGCCCAGATGAAGGACCCGGCCATGCCGCCCGGCCGCTGGAACAAGGACGACCAGCGCCACCTGTGCGGTGCGTACCGCGATAACCGCGAAGTGCCGTACGAGGGCATCTTGGCGTCGACGTTCAGTGCGGAGCAGAAGAAGCTCATGTACGGCATCCTGGAGCAGTACCTGCTCTATCTGCCGGCGAAGTCGCGGGCGCTGAAGATCGAGCAGGTGCGCCAGTTCGAGGCCGAGACGTACTTCTGCTGGATTGGCGGGTATGGCGATGAGGATCCGTTTTATTACCGCATTCAGAGCCCTGTTATTCTGCTCGAGTTTGATCATCATTCGGGCGTGTTCTTGAATAATGAGGAGCCGAAGAAGTTCCACATCCATACCCTGCTGCGCACCCCGAATGCGGGCGATTATGGGCATGCGTTGCGGGCACAGATCCCTGCGATCGAGGGGTTGAATGGGAAAGAAATTGTTTGGTAGGTGGCTGCGCCTGACCTATCGTGCCATAAGAAAAACCTTGTCATGTATACTGTATGCGACGAATCTTGATGAAGCATTTTGCTGTTGTTCCCTTGCGCATTTCTGGAGCCCTCTGTGCGTGAGACCATTCGTATCTGAGAAGGTGTCTTTGTTCTTATCTTTCCTTATGCGTCAACCATGCTGGCTGATGATGTATCCTTTCTGATTGTTGCTTATCGAAGGTCTCAATCAACCTCGAACTATCAAGATATGATTGATACATTAACTTCTTCCATGCCATTCTCTGTTTAAGGAACATGGTATGCTGCACCCGCCCGAAGAGAAAACATCAATAAAGGTCATCTCGAAATAAGTACAGCTGGGTCGAGTGAAATGGGGGGAGTACATGATCCATCTTGATGGTCTCGTACCACCAAGGCGCAGAGAACAGGAAAGGTATTTACATCCCCAACACCGAAAGATATAGAATATCGCAAGGAAGACATCGAAGTCCAGGAAAAGCCGTAAAAAGAATTAAAAAAAAAAATTAAAAGAAAAAAAAAGGACGGCCAAAGACAAATCATAGAATCGGGAGAGAGAAGAAGGATTTCACATCAAGTCGGAGAGTATTCAGTTTTGTTGACCCACTGGTGCGATTTCGCGTGATTGTTTCGTGCCTCGCGTAATTGGAATATAGATGATGAGACAACCGCCGTATATAAATCGCGTCGTGTCTAATTAAGATACCACCCTAAGCGTATCATGGTCCGGGATCAGCTCATAGCCCCCCTCAGAAGGTAAAATCTGAGCAGCGATGACGATCACGCCTGCGCAGATAAGACTGAAGCACCAGCTGACAGTGCAAAGGATCCAGGACTGGTCCAGGTGCCAGCCAACGAAGAAGCGGTCCTCATTGTCGAACAGATAGGCCTACATAAACCCGACACGTCAATATATCACCCGATGGTCGTGCCCTTTTTTGAACCGTGGGACCTACCACAATCGACATGCCTGCGGCCTGCACAATGGCCGACAAAGTAATTAGCAGACTGAGAGTCCGCCACCCATTTTCACGTAGCCGCTTCCCACCCCCAAGAATGATGAGGTAGGCGACAATGCTCATACCCTCTAGCACCACGGCAAAGGACATCAGGAATCCGACGGAGCGCCACATGGAGCAGAAGTACCGGTCGTCGCCATGGCAGTCTTCGCGCTGCGGGAAGCTCTCACAAGTGTCGGTGAGCGAGGAGCAGCGTTGATGGAGGCCGTAGGAGTAATGGTGGGAGGGCTAGAGAAGGGGTTTATAGCCCTGGTTAGTCCAGTATTCATCACGGTCGCATCCGTAGCTCGGGAACGCCCCCTACCTTTTCGCTATGATAGCTGACCCACCTGGGGATCACAATGGACGAGAGCGTCAAAGCAAACGCTGTCAAGGTGGAATCCATCTGTCAGCCAAAATTTTGCCTGTGGTCCAGGCCACTGCGGATCCCTCGTAGCGCGGGGAGAGCTCGATCTACTCACAAGCTAGAAACAGCACCAGCGTGCCGATGTAGACGATCGTCTTGGTCAGGAAGCCCGTATAGTTGTTGTCAGTGCCCCTCGGCACCAGGTGGAAATCCATGGCGGAAGGCGAGGTCGCGAGGGACAAGAGGAGGAGGAGAAGAGAGACCGACGGCGTGGGTGTTCAGGACGAGGGTAGGCCCGTGCGACAGGGCGGGCGGTACATCGGATGAGGCTGGAGGGCAGTAGTATGCGCGAGAACCCGCGAGAGAGGCCCAGGCAGCAACCTCGCGGAGTTTCGATGAACCGAAGTATGCGAATATGCTGGACACAGACCGATAATGGGGTCCGAGGGTTGAGAAGAGGGCGACGAGGGAGGTATGAGTTTCAAGGCGTCGGTCGGGTGATGTGCAGGATGTACACCGTCTCTGCTGTTGCAACGGCTAGGAATCATGCCTCTCCGCCCCCACCGACCCACTCGCGTCCCACTCTCGCGGGAGGCGTTCTTATCGCGGACAGCTGCTCACGTCCCGCAAAACAGGGAATCCAGCCAGAGTGTCCAAGCACCTGCAGAGGCGATCACTTTCCCCGTTCTTGGCGGTAAAGGCGGTCTACGAAGATAAGTATTCAGCACAGCAGCCACTGTCGGGGTATAGTTCGTAATGCTATCGTTGGGGGAACGCAGCACTTACCTCCTACATACCACGGCAGATTCGATATCCGGCTCTGCGGTCTGGGTCTTGATTGTTCCCCGAGAGGCTTGGTTGCTTTTGAAATGCAAAAAGAATTCGTCACGTAGGGAACCGTTGATTGCCGATATTAAAAATGGCTGAACTGATTTCACTAGAACCCCCAAGTACTTCCAGTCATCGAAGAAGGTATAAAAGAATAGAATGCGGCCTTGGAGTTGCAATATTTGCGATTTTATTTCCTCGCGAGTGAAAGGATCCTCAATGAACGGAAATATTTCTCGCTTGTCCATCATACTGTTGTAGACTTCAGATACCAACGAGCCGGGGCTCATGCGGGACCTAAACTGCGACTAGCAGTCCGGCCTGGCCTGTACAAGGGAGGCAGGAAAAGAAGGGCATAACCAATGCAGCCAGTTTCACCACCTTTCGATCCCCCAAACCATTGGAAATTTGCGAACATGTCGCTCGACCTGTTAGGAGATAAACTCGTATATCTAAATGTAGCCGACAGCTCACCTCCCAAAGGCCATTGCCCGGTACCACAGCACTAGACCAAGAGAGTGCGTCTGTTATTTGAGTTTCTGATATTGTGCGTTGATTGTAGTTTGATGTTACTGGGGGGAGCTCACGATGAAGTAGGGTTAGGTACAGTCTGGCCACAAATGATAATTTGATGTATTGGGAAGCATGTATCTCTCTCCTCGTTGGATAACCAAAGTCTGATCGAGAATCACGTCTAAATATCGAATCTTATTTCTTCGGCTGCAGGACTGATCCGGCAACTGTAGGCACAAGGCTACCACCTTGCGCCTCCAAGTCTGTATCCCGTCCAACCTTATATTTCGGTAAATTAGTAGGCATATAGCGAGGTCGATCTCGTTTCTTCGTCGTGTTAATTGTGACCTTGCCTAGTATACGTCTCATAATCGGCGTCATCCAGATCCAGGCCGCTTGGATGTACTCAATTCTAAAAGCGACCCAGATGAGGGCGGCCGATATGAGGCTGGAAATGGGGACTGCCAGATAATTGGCGGTAAGCTGCTGGTTTTATACGAACAAGGGGTAACTGGAAAGATGATGTAAAGGTACTTACAGACGATATATGAGACGTAACCTAGGTCAAGCTTGCCCTCGGCATTTTTGCGGAATTGGCTGATGTCGAGAGTGAAGAACGTAGTCATGAACGACAAAGGGAGCTGCAACGAGTCAACTTCAGCCATCAATAGGAGAAGCTACACTTACGAAGACGATAGTAGTTAGAGTAAAAATAAGGATAGTGCGTCCATGCTTTGTTGTTTCTCTAGTCATCTTGAGCGACTCCTGCGCGTCCATCACACTGTTCTGCTTCAGTTTAACGTCTATCAGGAAATTAATCTGCGAGCATGATCAGCAGAGCCTCAGAAGGGACACGACTGAGATGATTATGTACCGACTGGCTGGCCCTCCCTGCACGCTCAAGCATGGCATTGATCTCGTCGATGCTGGCGTTGACCATGGCCAACGGCAGACTGAAGTCATCTGGGTCATTGCGCGTTCCCCATATCACCGTTGCACGTTGGCCTGCGTAGGCTTCTTCTATTTTTGCGATTTTGTCTGGATTCGCAGTTGCGTCGCTGATACTGCTCGACTCGTCTTCCGAGTCTGCTGTTTCCAGGCTCTGATCTGCAGTTTCCAAGGCTGAAATAAACTTGACGATACTGTCCATGCTCTTGAGCATGTTGCGCTGGTCATTAAACAGCATGGCCATGACATTCAGCTCGTCGAGGGTCGCTTTGATCCTGGAGAGTAGGACGATCTCCCGCTGTATATTCGCCACGTTTTCCTTCTCGAGTTTGGTAAAATTGCCAAATAGGACACTCTCCTCTTGAATCTTACACGTATGTAGTCAGCTCCGATATCCATCACAATGCAGCGGCAGAGACATACTATATGGCTAATTTCCGTCTCATAGAGTTCAGAAAACTGGAGCGTCGATTTGGTGTTTTCGAAACTCAGGGTACTTGCCCGGTCAAGGTAGATCCTAGAGCACATAGCGGCGATCAGCCCTGCCAGATCGTAAGCGGTTTGAACAGAAGCGGGTTCATCGAGAAGTCGCAGCTTCACGCAGCGCAGCACATTCGTCAACCCTTGTTGGTCTGGATGTGCTGGATCGAGAACCGGGAAACAGCTGACGACAGTGTCAGGCTTGCCTTGTTCTCCCTTCAGCACCCAGAGCCATAGCTGATCGACCATAGTAAGGATCTTTGGTTGCAGACCGTTTTTCATTTGATAGTAACCGAGAACCTGATCCTCGTCTCTCATTGTAGTGTCTGTAGCAGTATGATAGTAGTACTGATCTAGAGTGCGTCGGATATGCAAAGGATGCTCGTCAGTTAGATACGCTTTTACCAGCGTTTGGTCCCGAGTAAGCCTCTCATTCATGTTGTGCTTTTGAGACAAGGAGTTGGCAATTGCTTCGCGTCTTGAGTGCATTTCTTCGAAATCCCAATGGAGGAAGGGCATCTGTCTCCATGTGAGTATCTGCCCCGGTCTTCCTCGGAAGGCGTCGTACAAACAACACTAGGTCTGTGTGATAGTCCGTTCCTTCCCCGTCCAGAGCCCCTGTCGACCAAGTTAGTTACAGAGGCAATGGGTATTGATAAGAAAATCACGTACAGAGCGCGGCGCTTGGAAACGCCTGACATTGTGACCGCATAAAGCGAGCATGGTGGCCGCCAGTGGCACCATGATGTTGTCGATTAACCCAGCGCTCGGGCTTGAGCACTCTATAAGCAGAGGCTGAGTTATTGTACAGCCGGGCCATCAAAAGCTGTCGCTAGTTAGCTCAAGACGCGATGCAGGGAATCGCCTTCCTTGCCTCAATCCATCGCATCTAAAAACTGTTAGCTTGTGATGTACAATAGGGCGTATTCGACTTACATTATTAACCGGAAGATGCAGCCATCGAAATGAGGTGGAAGAAGTGCCTGGGGTAGTAGAAACCCAAGGGGTTTGCAGGAGCTCATCCACAGCAATTTCTACAGCGCAAGGCGTCAGGACGCCAGAGACAGAGACAAAGTCGATGACAGTGGCCTTGAATTCATGGTCGATGCTGGAGTCGAGATGCTCGTCCTCTGTTTCCGCGAGTCTCCCGACCTTGTCTACGGCGGCAACCATGTAGAAGAGGGTTGGGTGGTGGTTAGCCAGGTCCCTCGGTGCCTCCCCCTTGGCGTTCCTCAAATGGACACTGGCCCCGGCGTTGAGAAGCACTTTGACTGCGGCCTCATGCCCCGATCGGATGGCCAGCCCGAGGGGAGTGTCTCGAGCTTTGGTAGTTTGATGGTTGCGTGCCGCTCCAGCCTTGAGTAGAGTCTCCACCACCTCTGCGCGCCCTTGCTCTGCAGCGACGCAGAGAGGCGTGCGATCGTCGTAGTCCGGATCGCTGGAGTCGATTTGGACTTTCTTCTCAATTAAAAGCTTTGTGAAGACACACCATCCCTGTTGCGCAGCTTTGTGCAGATACAACTGTGTCAACGGCAGCCTGGTGGGCTGTCTGTATATCTCAGGGAGTTGAAGTTCTTCCTCCATTAAGATACGCAAGGTACTCTCCTGCTCATTTTTAGCTGCCCAGAAGAGGGGACTGCTGTCGAAATCGCGTTTTTCGCCAGTAGGAGCGGTGACTATCAGACCATTCTTTTTCGCGTTACTGATCAAGGTGATCACAGCATCGACGTGCCCGTTCCCAGCTGCCCATGAAAGTGGTATTCGCCCCTGGCAATCCGGCCGGTTCATGTCGACCTTTGCTTGAGCCAGCAGCAGATTTATGGTATTAACATGACCGTTCTCCGCAGCCCAAGATAGCGGCGTCCGTCCCCCGATGTCCGCCTCGTCGACCTGTATCCCCGGCTCATCGCAAAGCAGCTTGGTGACCCTCGCTTGTCCGCCGCCCGCGGACCAGGAAAGAGCCGATCTTCCATTCTGATCAAGTTGCGCGATGCCCTTTTCTTGGAGCAGCACGTTTACACAGTCCTCCCATCCGTTCGCCGCGGCCCATGACAGAGGTGTCCAGGGGGTGCTCTCTGATCTGCCGGGCAGGATATGTTGCGTTACTAGCTCCGCCTCTGCGTAGTCTCCGTGGTGTGTATAGTCTATGTCGAAAACTACAGGAAATGGCGCTTCCTGTTCGGTTCGTCGGCGCCGTAGCAGGATAGCCACACCATACTTCTCCGAGTCATTCATTCCTAACAGAATCTGTTGGACTCCGGTTTTATCGAAGCCGGAGCCATCCAGGACGTCCCCATCCACCAGTCCCGTGGAAGACCGACGGAAAAACCCAAGTTTCCACTCAGCATCGGCCTCGCCGTCCGTAGTCGGACTCAGATCACACGAAGCGGTCACCTGTGCGTTCTGGATGTTGTCATCAAACCGAAGTTCGAAGAGCGCAAGATACAGCGAGTGAGTGCCGTTTGCCATCCCCACGCTATCAGGGAAGCCGAAACCCCCGTCTGGCGCAACCATGGGTGGCGGAATCCATCGCGGGTCATCGGCCTCCAGCCTGGCACGCACCGGCCTGCGCGCCGCTGCCTCCGCTGCCTCCGCTGCTGCTTTCGCTGCTGCTTTCTCTGCTCTCGTCTCCTCGTCTTCCGCCGGTTGCTCTGTTGCCTCCGGCAGAGGCCACATGTGCATAGTAACTGACATGCCCGGCACCACCACATGTTCCCAGACGGATGGGAGAATGACATCGCCATCGGGCCCAATCAGATCGTAGTGTCCTTCGTCGACGTGCGGCCCGATTACGGCAATGGGCATGAACGCCTCTCGAACCAATCTCTCCAACCCCTGGGACAGATCGTCAGCACTATTGCAGAACAATGAACAACCCCATATGATATAGAACAAACTGTACTGCCTACTTACGGGCCAGGTAGCGACCATTTCATATGGAAAGACGAATTTCCTCCCAACGGCATCACGAAACTGGATAGGTGCCTGCTTGACTTTCTCTGGCTTGCGCTGCGGGCGTTTCTGTGGTTTGACTTTGCCGATGCCCTTGCTCGGCAACGGTGCGATTACCATTTTTAAGTTCTGCGCATGCGGATATGGGCAAGGGCAGACGAGAGAGATTAGATGACGCTCGCCCGATGATTTGAACCGTCGGAAATGCACTGGTACTGATGCGGCTGAAGAATTGGATTAAGCGCCCAGGTGAACGTTGGATGACAGGACAGCCCCGCACTATTCTGGTCCTACAATAAGATACCAAGAAGGATTCCCTATATGAGCGAGCCGCCTATCAATAACAACCCAACTCTGGTAAACTAGCGTAAGCTCTAGCAAATCGCCTACCTCCTAGCTTGCGCCCCGAAGAAAACATTTGATACCTACTTGTTCTCTTGTTATTCGAAATTCTTAATATCCCTTAGCTGTTGTAGATAGCAATGCCCTAACTCCTCACTCCCTTATCACGTGCCTCTCCCGCCCCTAATTAAGACGTCTTCGTAGCCCATACATCTAGTTTTTGCACAATACGAGGACAAACAGGCCGCACATCATTGCAAGGACATCCCCCTGGACAGATCTGCCCGAGAAGTCTCCTGGAAACAGCCGTGATCATTAAAGCTAAGCGAGAAAACAAACCAACCAGCAAGACACATAAGGCATAATGTACATCAGGACACGCATGCCCAGCAAACATGAAGGGACAAAGAAAATCGAGCCAAAAACACATCATGGCACAAAAGAGCCGACCCGAATGATGTACAGACGGCTCTCACGCTCGAGATAGCATCGGAACAGACACCAAAAAGACCAACGCCACCCAGATTCATGCCAGAAATGAATGTTGCGCCGGGTACTATCATCGCCATCGCCATTGCCGTTACCATTGCACTTCACTCCGCGCGCTTCTGTTCGAGCATCGCACGGAAATCATCATTGCTCTTTTTGGACTGGCCACTCTCGCCGCCCTTGCCGTCAGCAGTAGTGTCCATCTGGGCCTTGTCCGAAGCCGCACCGGACGTAGAGATGGGTGCGACAGGGGCTCGTTTAACACCTAGACCCCCTCGGCGGCCGCCGCGGGTGCCTGGCTGCTGAGGGCGCTTGATGGGGCCCGCAGATTGGAGGGAGGGGTTCGGCTTCTCCCGCTTGATCGAGGTGATCCGGTCCGTCTTCATCTCTGCGTGCATCCTCTTCAACTCCTCAACACTGCCGATATGGAGCGGCCGTCCCGGGACAATTTCCTTGCCCTCGAGTGCCAAAGATGCCTTACCAGCATCATGGACATCGGCATACTCGATAATGGCACCCTGATGATCCGGTCGGAGGACAATCTTAACCAACCGTCCGAACGGTTCAACCAAGGCGCGGACTCGAGCATCGTTGACAGTATCGGGCACATTCATCAAGGCAAGAGTACGTTCCGACCGGCCGCCGACCGTTTCTACCACACCTGACGTCGCCCCGTTCGCCTCCGCAGGCGGTGATGCGGACGAGGCGACTTGCGAGATGATGGTACTAGCTATGCGTTTAGGGCCGGTGTTTCCACTCAAGGTAACGGCTAGCTGGCGTCTCCCAAGGGTTTCTTTGTCCATCGCGAGAGCGGCCTCCGCCTCTTCCTGCAGAGCTTGTCAGAATCAGTCAATCCCAAAGTTCAAAAATCATAGGTGCATACCTTGGAAGAATAGGTCACAAAAAAGTATCCTCGGTGTGAGCCGTCGACGTTTAGTGGAAGGTGGAATTTTTCGATTGTGCCAAACTTCGAAAATGCCTCTCGAGCATCGCTCGCCTCGAGCTTCCAGTCAAAACTTTTGCAGAAGATCTCACGCCCTTCCTGCATTGCTCCACTGCGCTTATCCTTCTGAGACGGGTCGGAGATCTTCACAACAAGATGATGGCCGTTCTCAACCTCGGTACCATTGAGCTCCGTCGCCTGATGTGCTGCACTGGCAGTAGCAAACTGCACATAGCAGAAACGACGACTGGTTTGGAACTTGAGCGAAGGGAAGCGAATATCGACAATGTGGCCGTACTTGCGGAAGAGATTGCGCATATACTCCTCGTCGGCAGTCGGAGGGAAGTTTGTGATCCACAAGGTAGCATCAGACTCGACCTTCACTTCAATGGAATTCCCATTGAAGGTCTTTTGATCGCGAGTCAAAGCCCCCAGGGCTTCCTCCTTTGTCTCGAACTCGATAATCGCAGCCTCAGAGCTTCCGTCCGGTTCAGGTAACATCTTGACACCGTTGATCGTTCCGACATGGCGGAAGAACTGCCGGACACTAAGTTCAGTGGTCTCTCGCGGCAGGTTCTTAACCAACACAGTTGCATGCTCCCGGTCGCGGGCGAGGGGCTGAGGCTCAGCTTCTTGCTCCGGGCCAACCTCTTCACCGCGCGCCTTCTTGCTAGTGGGCTGACCATTCGCATCCTTTTCGTCCCCACGCTTTCGCTTCTCGGACGAAGAAGAAGCCTCGGCAGTGGCTTCCCATTGCTGCTGCTGCTGCTGCTGCTGTTGCTGTTGCTGTGCTGCTGCAGCTTCATGTGCTTCCCGTTCCCTCCGAGCCGTGACAGCTCGCATGGCCTTCCTAGTCTCGATCACAGCAAGTTGCAACTCATCCGAGTCCTCATAATCCTCGCAGTGGGCGATGTAGGTCTGCACTACCTTCTCTGGCCAATCAAGATCTTCCCGCTTGATGGCCTGTTTGAGGACCGCAGTTGCATAGCTGGGATTGGGGGTGCGTCGGGCAGCGTCCACAGTTGCCTCGCCCTGCACAAACTTGCTCCAGCAGATCAGCTCCCAGTGATAGTAGGTTAGCCAGAACTCGTAGCTGTCGCCCCGGCGAGGAACGAGGCCCTTGAAGGTCTCGCGCGCACTATCCCAACTGCCACTTTCGCTGAGGTAGCGGATATAGATACGCTCCAGGCGGAATAGGGGGTCTCCCTGATACGATCGGCCATACTTCTTCTCGCCCAATTCTTGCACACTCTCAATTGCCGAGCGAATGCCGACTTCCGCCACATCCAAATCCTCGTCGGTGGAGTCGGAAAGGAAGGCACGTCGACGAAGATAGCTGCACCATGTGGTGTGAACCTTCAGTACCTCTTCCAGGCCTCCGGCATCCAGCAGACCCGTGCTAGTGGCTCTGTGCTTGATGCCAGAGATCTTAGAGAAAGACTGTCCTTCTCGTTCCGAGCTCAGGAGGTACTGGGACCAAAGGTTGCCGGACCAAGGGCAGTGGCGAGTCGCGCGGTCAAGGGTTGCAATAGTCGTAGTGGAGGCATGGCCATGCATGGATTCACCAATGAGGAACATGATGTAGTCCTCCCACAAAGAGACATCTGTCGGGAAGCGCAGCACGGCACGCTGGTAAACCGCATTGACGAGCTCAAAGTGGAATTCCCGTCGGCGGCGATTACGACTGACCTCCCAATCAATGTACTCCCTGTATAGTGTCCATTCAAGGGCCTTATCCCCCGACTCCTGCACTTTGCTGAGCCGCTGCTCAAATTCTTCCCGCGCGGCGTAGAAGTTCTTCGCAGCTGACGCCTGGGCAACTGTCTCAGACATGATCTCCTCATAGTTGGCCTCGAAGTAAGTAGAAATGAATCCTGAGAAGGTTTGAAACGTCTGATCCCAAGTCGCATGAGGAGTCTGCAGCCGCACCTCATACAGGCCTCGCAGATGGTTGATTTTCTCCTGAGACGGGGCCTGAGTCAGATCCTGGGTTAAGAGCTCCAGGAATCGATCCCAAACGAGGTGGCTGTTATTAATCCGCCACTGTGTCGCTTCCGCGGCTCGCTGCCACACGTCCAAGACCGTCTGCCAAGCGAACACTTCTCGTCCAATGATCCGGTCTTCTTCAGTCCACTGGCCAGCTCCATGTTCGCCAGCTGCGGCATTGTACAAATACAACACCCATTCGCCATAGATGTGCCAAAGCTTGGTGCAGCCGAATTCTTCTTCAACTGACCGCTGGCATAGCTCCATCACAGAAGTGCGTTCCATTACCGAATGCGCAAGCATGCTCTCATCTTGAATCCATTCGGCCCAGAGGTCCTCCCCCATGGCGAAAAGCTTGTCCATCTCCTCACGGGCAGTCCTCATATCTTTGAGAAGATCATACCGGCGGGGGTCACCATGGATATCCGGATTGTTGGGCGGGTATACGTGGTTGACGAAGCCCGCATGCAGCAACCCAATAAACTGGACATGTGCCTCGTAGGTGTGGGGATTCTCCTGGATTTTGTTGAAGAGCTCGGTCGCCAACAGCTGCGCATCGGGTTCCAACGACGTCTGTACGTAATTCCTCCGCGCGGTTTCCCGCGGGCCTTCCGCCATAGCCAGGTCGAACGATGTGCGAGGGGTGGGAGTGTTATGGTTGATTGGGTTCACGTGTGGGTGGATGGTGGACGGAGACAATTGGCTCTGGTAGGACCCGGGATTTCTCAGCATGTTGGGTGGATTCTGGCGCGCGGTATGCTGGGGATGCTGCGCATGCTGCGGCGGCGGCTGATGATGCTGCATTGAGGCCAGGTCTGCCAGTGTGTCCATTCCAGTAGAGGGCTGTCTCGATGGGGGCCGGTCGGTGGCAGAGGAAGTCCCATTACCGGAAGTACTTGCGTTCGGTCCAGTAGACGGACTGGAAGCGGGCGGCGAAGATTCAGGCAGTCCGGTAGGAACGTAGACCTGCTGTGCAAGAGGCGAGGATGTCTTGCCTTTGCGACCATGACCTGAACGCGTCCGTCGAACTGCCTTGTGGGGGGAAGGCCCGGCAGCCGGGTTCGATGTGTTGTTCGACGTAGGACCGGACACCGGTGTCGAGTTCCCCGATTGTGGATTCGAGTCCGGGGAAAGCAATGAATTGATGTCCATCTTGACTAAGTTCGAGGGGGAAAAACCTGCGACACGCTTCAAGTGAAAAGGAAGGAAGGAGCGGTCAACACTCAAAGGAAATGGCAACGACCAGAGGGGATAGTGCTAGGAGTAGCAGAGACCCAGATCAGACGACAGCCACGAGATGCCTCAACATGTCCATTCCTGCACTAGCCAACGCAGCTTGGTCTTCAGGTCCCGTCTCGTGGGGCCGGGGACCAGAGTCGCAAATGATCCTTCTTCGCGCGATACCAGTCGCGCAAGGAATAGGGTGCTTGTTCACTGGAGGTTGTCGCAAAGACCGACGGAGGGAATCCGGAGATCGGCGACAAAGAACGAGTGGGAGAAGGAGTGGGTGAGGTGACCAGGGTGTGGTCGATCACCAGGTGGAAGACTCCTGGGCGTGCGAGAAGCACAGCCGGATAGACGAGAAGAAAGAGTAGGGGCCACAGGCGAGAGGCCTGGGAAGGTTGGCAGAGGGGAAGATGAAGGAAGGGAAAGGTGCAGATGAGAGAGTAGAACGGAAGGAGAGCACCGAAGGCCCTGAAAGAGGGAAGATGAGGGCTAGTGGATCTTCACTGTGGAGATGACGGTGTGAGGGAATGCCCTGAAGCCGATGGGGGAGAACTCAAAAGATGGCTAGGAGTAGGAAAATCGGCGGATACAGTTCCCCCCTAAGTTTAGATGGTTCTACGATTCGGCTCTTGAGCTATAGTCTCCTACTGCGTCGTGGATGCGATTCCTTCTGATCGATCACGTCGCGACTGTATCGCTCGTGGTGGCCTGATGGCCTGATGGGGCTTGTGGCCTGAGGCAATTACAGGGGTCGGGACGGACCAGCCGCGCAACAGCAAGTTTGACCTTTTTTCGCACCGGCTTCCCCGACATCAGTAGATCAACACCGCATCCTCATGGCCACAATGGGTGCTGTCTCTCCATACGGGCAGCTGGTCCGGACTGGTGAGTATCCATTCTGTGTCCCAACAACGATACGCTATACATTTTCATGCTAACTCTGCAATTAGCGGCCCGGACCCGTGTCTCATGCGTTCCCCGGCGGACCTTCGCCTCGACAGCCACCTACCGCGCACAAAACGACAATGCCAACTCCAACAAGAAAGGATCCGGACTCTTATCAAGCATGAAAGATTGGGTTCTCGGTGGATCGAAACCCAAGGCCGCCCACACACCAGCCGCCCCCAAGCGCGAAGAAGGTGGACTCGGTGCTAGCTCTATTTTCGCCGACGACGTGAGCATGGTGTCTGGCCCCAAACCCAGCAAGAAGAAGAAGCAGCTCGAAGAGCAACAACAAGCGCAAGGCGAGGAGGGTGACCTACCTCTGGACCGACGCAACAAGGACCGCATGCAGCTCGCGCTGAACCCCAACCCGAAAGGCCATCTGCGATGGGAGAAGAGGATGGTGATCCGCGAGGTCCGTAAACGCGGCCGCCTCTCGAAGGAGGTCCAGATCAAGCGTTCCGAGCGCGAATCCATGTCCAAGTCACACTGGTTCAAGACCTCCGTCAAGAAGCTAGGACCCCTGGCCCGACAGATTGCAGGCAAGAACATCGACGAGGCCATCCTGCAGATGCGCTTCAGCAAGAAGAAGGCCGCCAAGGACGTGCTGGGACACCTGGAGCACGCGAAGAACGTCGCCATGGTCCGTGCCGGCATGGGCCTGGGGGCTGCCGCCGGCACTTCGGCCGCCCCCGTCACCGTCACTCTCAAGTCCGGTGAGCGCAAGAGGATCACCGACCCGACAAAGATCTATATTCAGCAGGCGTGGGTGAACCGTGGCCCCTACGGTTTTGGTATGGACCACCGCGCCCGTGGCCAGATCTACCGCCTCCGACCCCCAGCGACTGGCCTTTCGGTTGTGTTGAAGGAGGAGAAGACTCGCATTCGGGAGTGGCAGAAGCGTGAGGCTGATGCGCTGCGCAAGCGCAAGACCCAGCTCTGGACTCAGCTGCCGGATCGAAAGGTCTCTGCGCAGAACCAGTACTACAGCTGGTAATTGTGCAAGTCATGCTGAGTTGATTCCCCTTTTGGCGTTGCTTTGTATTATTTACGTCCTGGTTATTCACATAGTCATCAGTGGATTCAAACCAGTTCTCTTTTGTGTCTGTGCTGCTATTGGCTGGTCTGAGTGAGGAGAATTTGCATTGTAGTAGATAGTAGGGCGAGCCGCCCATGTACAATATACAAGATTCAATACACATCTCAAGGATATTTCTACCATCTAATATCGACACCGTTCGGTGCAAAATCACACCCGCTCCTCTGCTCTTACTACCACCGGAATAACCGCCCCCGTCGCCAGCGGGAACTTCCGATGGCCTGTCACTTCCAGGATACTTGTGATGGCCCCCGAGTGCGCCGTCAGAGAAAGAAAGACATTCTCATCACTGGCGAAGATATCGTTCAACAGTCCGAGCAGTCGCTGGTTACGGTGCTCGTCTGATTCGCGGACCTTAGGGTCCCAAAGCTCATCTTCCTCCGCAAAGCCCGGTTCAAATAGGTACTGTGGGAAGTCCGCGGCAATAGCAGATTTGCTTGACCGGCGGTCACAGGTATGCTCGCCCATGGTCTCGCGGAGCAGCTGTATTTACCAGTCAATACTCATATGCAAGATAAGCTTTAAAATGGCTTGGTCTTACCTCCTTAATAAGCGGTCGAAAAGGATCTGTCAACGGCATATCGCAGCCCTCAAACGTAACCTGAGCCGTCTGGCAGCACCGATGCAAGGGACTGACGTAGTAGGACTGTGGCTGCGGGATGCCGTTCGCGATTTGCTGAGTCCAGGTATCATGAGCAGTTCGGGCCTGGGCAATACCTACGTCTGTGAGATGTGCATCAATCCATGTGCCATCTTCATCTCCATCCAAGAGTGACCAGTACTCCTATGTAATGAGTTAGCTATGGAGTTTTCCCAGTCATGGGAAGTATATGGGAAACATACATCCCAGGCCTTAGTTCCATATCTCTGCTCGGCAACATTGTGCACACCTTCGCCGTGTCGTCCGAGGAAGAGCACTTTATACTTGGTTTGTGGGCCAGCGGTGTCATTTAGGTGCTGAATCTGCTGAGCGAATCGTTGCCATTGGGTGCTGCTTTGGCAGTCCACGGGTTCGGCGTCATAGATTCTTGAGATAAGCCCAAAATTCAATGCGGCCTACACGCCTCATGAGTACTCTGTATCTCTCAAGATCGAAATTTGGTGGGCTTTGGCGCTTACATAGTCGAAGGTGGCTGGGTCAGTGGTTGGCTCGTCTTGGATGAAGTAGCCTGTTACCGTGCTGAATTTGAATGAGACTGGCTCCACTGGGAGGTGTGTGAGTGTCATGCTGAAGGAGTATCGGTTTCTGGCTAGCCTTTTGGCTGGATCGAAGGACGGGTGATAAGAGTTAGGACACTTCAGCTTCAGCGTCTGACGCTTGATGTGGGGCGGTGGGCCCCCAGCGCGAGGGGACTCGCAAAAAACCGTGCAAGTGGATATCCCTCGTTTAACCTACTGCAATCCTTGATCTCAAGGGAAATTTGTGAGCTACAAAGAACCTCCAGATGTAGTGATCATAACTTTTTTGTATTGTTGTCTGGGTAGGTCACCCATACTTCATTCGGTCATGTATATAGCAACCGAGTCTTGATCTCTATCCGAGGACAGCTAGCTATAAGTCCAAACACAGAATCCAACCATACAACTCCGATCCGAACCTTTCTTCCAATTCGCCAGCTATGGGTAATCCGCGAAACAAACAAGGAGGAAACATCACAAGAGCTCAGACAGCTCAAAGTCTGCAGGCATACTGCAGCCAAAGGGGGAGAGGCTTCCGTGTCCTCAATCCAAAGACACTTGAACCTCAAGAGGCCAAATTCAAATCATACAGACCACTTGGTCTGTGCATGTGAGTGAAATAATTGCAAGCCCTTTTTCGCAGACATCAACTGGCTGCCCACCAGGGACAAGCACTTGCCGACTACATGCTCCGACCAAGAAGAGAAGGAGACCGACAAATGCCGAACACCAGCGATTGCCGATAGAGCGCTCGAGAACAGACCGCCCAATTCGGTTGCTACCGTCCGAACAATGATGCTGCTTAGTCCGAACGGATTCGTACAAACTTGCAATTGGGACTCGGTGCGGCGATCCTTGAGAGGTGCTTCCGGTTGAGGGGACGCGCGAGTGGTAAGAATTGCCAGGGGGTTTTTGAAGTCGGAAATGATCCGCAGCACATTGCTGACACCTGGAACACCCAGGCTTCCAGAGCTCCGGCCGATGGCAGCCAGAGCCGAGGGTTGAGGTTGGGTCGAAATTGGCGTCGTCGACGGTACCGTGACGTTCAGACGATGCGAAGACAACGTAGTTCTCGGGCGCCGGAGATCCACATTTGGAGTGCGCATAACGCCTGGCTTTGAGCTTGCGCTCGATATTGAAGTTGAAAGCCTTGTGTTGCTGCTCTCCTTGGTATCCATGGAGGTAGCCGGGCTGTTTGTCGACGAGAATCCAACGACGCGCCAGCGCAGGTTTGGCTGGGCCTTGGCCCTCTGGTTTGTCGCTTCGACGTATTGAGGGACGCTCGGTGATTGTCGCAATATGCGCTGGCCTTGGGATACAACATTTTTGCCGGCTTCCTTGACTGGTGCTAGGAAAGCAGAAGCACTGTATTGAGGATCGTGTCCGCGGACACTGCTGGCGCACTTGGTAACTGCCCTGACGGGTGGGAGAACGCCAGTCGGGCTGAGTGATTGATCGTGCTCTGGAGCGTGTTTGGTGAACGTCTTGATCACCTTGGCAGATGACACCTTGGCCGATGGGCGTAGCGTAGGTGAAACGAGTAGCCTGTCGTAACCTGGGACACTCGAGACACGCGAATCTGGAAGCAAGGGCGATGAAAGTGCTAGGCGTTGCGGCCGTTCCTGGTAACTGACGTTCGTTGGGACCTTGTTGACGCCCGCGCGGGCTGCGGCCTTCTCCAGGCAGTTGCACTAATCCGCACTTAGCATCTGATGAGGAATTGATATCAGAGGAATTCGCCAGGACTTACTCGCTTGTGCTGCTTCTTGTGCTTCTCGCACGCCCCATACTTCCGAGCCTTGATATAGTTCTCCTTCTGAGCCTGGGAACGCGGCCTCTGCTTCTTTGGCAGGTTCGCGGCGGCATTCATGTTCAGGTCGAGAACCAGCTCGACACCTCCGTTGCCAACGGCTGAGGCTGGCGCAGAGTGGGTCTCTGGGCTGGTGCTGGCCGGTTGCGGAGAAATGCTCTCGCGGACATAGTCCGACCATGCTGGGGAAGAGAAGCTGGTGTTGGAGTCGGAGGACATGTCCAGGTCGAGAGCCGTGGCATCGCACAGCCGCTGCAGATGCAGCGCGATGGCGGCTTCCCGGCGCTTCTCCTTGATGGAAGTTATGCGCGGGTCTGCGGCGGCCTGCATCTCGACCAAGTGACGGAAGTCGAAAGAGGTATTGTGTTGTTCGTCGTAGCCATGGAACGTGGCATCGTCTAACGCAGGGACGCAATCCGGGATCATGCCCATTGGCGGGGACTGGTCCGCGAAGAAGCCCTCCTGCACGGGGTCGTAGTTGATCATGTCCGGGAAGGCAGATTGGGTGAAATCCGGCAGGTCCATGCCGGCAGTCTCAGACTCAAAGGGCAGCGCCATGTCTGGAGACACCGAATGGGCCGAGGCCGAGGCCGAGGCGGAATAATCATCACCATAGGCCGAGGGTAGGTCCAGGAACTGGTCAAAGTCTAACCACTCCTCAGACTGGGTCGGTGCGTCCAGGTAAAAGAACTGATCGGAAACAGACGACATTGCTCCGTATATCACTGGAATACCAATCAAGGTATCCTTTTTGGGGGGTGGGGGGAGGATGGTGGATCAGCAAGACCAAAGGATAGAAAAGAAAGACTATTATGAGAATAGGGGGAAAGGATAATAGAGTATAGCTAGGGTCTTTGGGCTCGTGGCCGAGAATCCCGTAATGATCGCAGTTAGGCCAACCAAGGGGGAGCTCCAGGGAAAAAGAAAGAGAGAACCTGAGGACTGAGGCAGAGGGGAAGGGACCCCGTTGTATATGGCGGCCTCGGCGGCCGCTGGCCCCAGCGAGTCCAATCCAGTTGAGAGGGAAATGGAGCCGAATGGGCGGAGCAGCGCGCAGCCCATTCCTCTTTGGGGTCCCCGACTTCCGCTAAGCCGCTTTGGGACCCCGACACTGCCTGGTTCTGCGGGCTGTGACTGGCTGTAACTGGCTGTGACTGGTTCAGCCTCCGTTGACTCATACCTCGTTCCATGTGCGTTCCATCGTCGCAGCACAGTGGCTGACACGCCGATCAAGCGGGCCCACGGAGACACGGCCAGGCCGAGGGCTAGTCTTTCATTGGGTCAAATTATTTCAATGCGCATGAGTTAATTCGAATTTTGACATCATCCACGCAGTGAGCTGTCCCATTGGTTGTGCATACCTCGATATGATTGTCCAATACTAGGAGGGTCAACACCCGCCTACGTAGGGGATGCATGAGGCCGATCACGCTCGCAACTTGTGGCCATTGCCTGGCCTGACCGAACAATGTAGATGGTTTCACTGAGCTGTTGTTGGTGAAGACAACACGCGGCATCCATATTCTCCATTCGTCACCACGGACGAGCAGCGATTAGCGGCGGCTAGGTCTGACCGTGACCTGGACGATGAGGATCGCGCTACCTAGCACGTCGCCTTCGAGTATTCAATTTCACCCCCTTCCCCAACTTCGGATCATGTGCAAAGAGACAACTGAAGCATTGCAATGTTGTTCGAAGAGAGCATCAATACATTAGTGCCAAACTCGAAGGCCGCAGCCATCACTCCTCAGGGATAACGGAAGGGCATGGGAGGATGAGGACGGCAGGCTAACAGAGCAAGAAACCCTACAAAGAATACGTCAGTGGAGCTCTTTCAAAGCTTGTAATTTCGCCGGTTCCATTTTATTTGCTCAATTGTGAGACTTATCTTGTTTTTAGCGAATTCTGCACTGTTGATATATATTAAAAAGGCGTAGCCGTATTTATTCCCCTACAGCGAAACATATTCCATATCATTTGCAACCAACATTTGAAACTATCACCTCGTTGATCCAATCATGAACAAGAGACTTTTAGCAGGGTCCAGACTTATCCTGTGAGTCAAATTGCTAATACCCACCAGTCTCATCCCAATGATTAACCATATTATCCCAAGTAATAAAATCCAAGACCCTCTGCCTACTCACTAGGCTCGAGTCCGACTCCATGACGTCTTCAAACATACGCTGTAATTTGCGCCTCGCAAAATGGCACATCATTGCGATATCACGCACAGCCAGATCGTGCCCGTCTTCACGAACAGCCCAGACATTCCCTATCTCGCTATTCCAGTACATAGGCGCCCAGCCCCATTCGTCTTGAGAAGAATCAGTTTCCATCATCAAGAACGCAACATTAGGATTACTGTCTGCCATCATGCCCCTCTCCCATTCTGGAGGGTCATGGCGGAAATCGGTGTCCGGGTCTTTCCAGAGCCGTATAGGCATACCGAGGCAGACAGATATCGGTGAGACGGATCCGCTGCCCAGGGAGATCTGGTTTGCTCGAGTGACGTCGACAGAAACGAAGGGCTCTTCATGAACCTTTACTTCGCCGTGACAGCAAATCTTCACGCCGCGGACGGTTGTCGGGGCGCGGGGTAGCAGACCCGGGACGCTTTCCCTAATATGCGTGTTTCGGTAGCTTATTAAGTAGTCCATTAGATGTCGGAAGTCGGCTAGTGTTATATCGGTATAGTCTTGTGTTGTATCCATTCTCACCTCCCCCTCCCTACGCATCTCGCCCATTCCCCATGCCCACTCTCGATGCGGGTTTTTGTTTCCCTATTCACCCACGCCTGACTTTTTGGGTCTGAATACTTCCACCTGGCCAAACATTGAAACGTTGAGCCCTTGTTGTCCATCCTCGCCGTCGATACACGTTACAGCAATATCTGGGGTACTGGGAGACCCACCACGACCCACCAAACAGCCAGGACACAGTATGGAAGCTACCTTTTTGCTTCTGTCCTTATTATAGCGACTGTGGTTCCGGTCTGGTGGATTTTCAGCTAACGATTATCGTGCGCATCTCGGATTGGCCGCGTCGTATCCCGGACTCCCAAGCTTAAATCCGGTCTCAGGCGGCAGTGTGAATTAGGTCCGCGGTCCAAGCCCCGGAATCCGGACCAGCCGTAAAAGCCGTTTAATCCGCATTTAATCCGTGGTCTCTGCTGACGAAGTAGGGACGGGTTTACATCTATTTCCTGGGGTCTGTACGGCATTACCACCAATTCACCCCTCAACATCCTCCGCGTCCAGCCTAACTTGTCGTAGTCGATCATGTCGCGTCACCTATTTCCATCGCTTCTCCGCATGCCTGGAGTATTTAAACCGGCTTGGGGAGCGACAAATTCTGTGCAGATCGATTCAATCATAAACACTTAACAAACCTCTCAATACAACAATCTTACGATAACATAACACGAGAATGTCGCTACTTGGAAAAGTCGTCCTGATCACCGGCTCCTCTAGGGGCATCGGCAAGGCAACTGCGCTTCGCGTCGCCAGCGAGGGTGCCAACGTCGTAATCAACTACATCAACGACGTTGCCACAGCCAATAGTCTTGTAGACCAGATTGGCCCCGACCGTGCGCTGGCGGTCCAAGCTGATGCCTCCAAGCTGTCCGACCTCGATCGTCTCGTCGAAACAGCGGTCGCAAAATTCGGGAAGATCGATGTGGTCATTCCAAACGCCGGAATCCTTCCATTGAAAGACTTGGAGAGTACCAGTGAGGAGGACTTTGACAGAACCTATAACTTGATGGTGAAAGGGCCGTACTTCCTCGCTCAGGTACGTACTGATTTTTGTTGTTGTCCTGATTGAACACGTTTTTTGATTAAAGCTGACTATCTGCGTAGAAAGCAGTGAAGCACATGCCACCCGGCGGGCGAATCATCTTTGTCTCCAGCGGAACTGCTCGCTACTCGAGCGTGTCCCCTGCATACCTCCTCTACACATCCTCCAAAGGCGCAATCGAGCAGATGACCCGTATCATGTCCAAGGACTTGGCGCGGAAGGGCATCTCGGTGAATGCAGTCGCCCCTGGGCCAACAACCACTAAACTCTTCCTCGACGGAAAGTCGGAGCAGCTTCTCAAAGCCATTGCTGGATCCAGTCCTTTCAATCGGATTGGTGAGCCCGAGGAAATTGCGGCAGTCATGGCCTTCTTGTGTGGGAAGGATAGTAGCTGGATCTCTGGTCAGATTGTGGGTGTGAATGGAGGTATGGCATAATGTAATATTATGAGACGGTTAATGATCATGATATCAGCGCATGGTGTTATCTATAGAAATCTTCTGGAGTAGCCACTAGCTACGTCGATAGAAATAACGTTACAAGTTATTCAAGTTGACATCAATACCTGCTTGGCTTGGGCGTCGTGGATAGCCATTTCCAGCTTCCGACTACCATCAAATGTCACTCAGTGTCGAGGCGTGATAATGAACCCTTCAATTATCCAATGCGACCCCTTTGCTTTAAGACCTTTACTCTGATTCTTCAAAGTCTATGGAAATCCTGTCAATTGTAAGCAGCTACACTAGCACCTCGTGCTCGGCCTCGGAAAAGAGGCTTGACCGCGTATTGCCCCGTGTTAACGCGTCCTGATGAGGGGGTTAGACCCTCGTGGCTAGCACGATTAATAGGGCCGAGCCCATCACTGGATGGTTTTGTTTGGACCATCTAATGGGTCTCCGTATTCGGATGAATAATGCAGAAAGACGGCTTCGGGAAAGAGTGGATGGTGGAAGCTTCGGCAGGATTATAAATCGAAGTGGGGAATGTCGCGATGACCTCAACTCCCATCACTTAAAACCCGCCAGAGCCCGCCGGGACGAAAATTGATCTTGGATATTGTATCCATCAGTTGCATCGTTCGCTCAACATGTCTCAACCGACTATCACCCTCTATACTAGCCAGACTCCCAATGGGATCAAGATCTCCATGGCTTTGGAGGAGCTAGGGTATGCGGCCTACCCTGATTTGCTCACCTTAGTGCGACGCTGATAATATGGCAGGCTACCCTACAAGGTCGAGAAAATCGACATTACTAAGAATACCCAGAAGGAAGCGTACGCGCGTACCAACCCTCAGGCTTCAGATGAATTAGAACGGGGCTCACGCTGACCGATTACTCAGCTGGTTCCTTGAGATCAATCCTAACGGCCGCATCCCGGCCTTAACCGACACCTTCAGCGACGGTCAGTTAATCCGCCTGTTCGAGTCTGGGAGTATCCTGCAGTACTTGGCCGAGCGGTATGACCCGGACCACAAGATCTCCTATCCCAAGGGCACCCGCGAATACTACGAGATGAACAACTGGCTCTTCTTCCAGAATGCCGGCCTTGGGCCGATGCAGGGCCAGGCCAACCACTTCTCGCGGTACGCGCCCGAGCGCATTGAGTATGGTGTGAACCGCTACGTCAATGAGACCCGTCGGCTTTACGGTGTCCTAGACAAACATCTCGCTCAGTCCAAATCCGGGTATATTGTTGGTGACCACGTTTCCATCGCCGATATATCGCACTGGGGGTGGGTGGCAGCTGCCGGATGGGCGGGTTTGGATATCGAAGAGTTCCCGCATGTAAAGGCGTGGGAGGAGCGTATGGCGGCGCGGCCAGGCACTGAGAAGGGTCGTCATGTTCCATCCCAACACACTATCAAGGAGCTGATTAAGGACAAAGCGGCTGTGGAGAAGGCCGCTGCCGAGTCACGGGCATGGATCCAGGCGGGCATGAAGGAAGATGCAAAGAACAAGATCTAAACCTATATGAGACGTCAATGCCTGAAAGTATATATCTTCCAGATTAGGTGTGATGCGCATTAAATCCATTTAAGTCACTGTTCATTTTGAGTCCAGCTACCGTAGATACGGCAGTCAAAACATTCTCACCGCCTTCAAGAATCACGTGTATAAATTGCCACTTTTCACGGGAGCTCTTGGATTCCTCTCACCACAAGATTTTTGTATCAACTAACTTGCCATCTTTTGACTTCACGCAAAAGCCATGGCGTGGCGAAATCAAGGGATTACAGGTTCCAACAACATCCCCCTGGGGAGCCGCCGCCGCTTCACGGCCGATGAAGAAGATGAGAGCCGCACCGCAACTCCTTCATCCATGCCTGATGGGCCCAAGCGTGGCCGCAGCCCAGTTCGAGGTACCCTCCCCTTTTCGGAAAAATGCACCAGCGCCATCTCTGACCCTATTATTCTTTTAACAACAGCCGATCCCCCGGATGATGGTGTTAAACGGCGCAAGAAGCGGAACCGCTGGGGTGACCAGCAGGAGAACAAGGCTGCTGGCTTGATGGGCTTGCCCACCATGATCATGGCCAACTTCACTAGCGAGCAGCTTGAGGCCTACACTCTGCACTTGCGCATCGAGGAGATCAGCCAGAAGCTGCGGATTAACGATGTGGTCCCTGCTGACGGTGATCGGTATGTACAGCCCTTTTCTTTAACTACTGAACCCTTCTCACACCTGGATAGATCTCCATCGCCACCACCGCAGTACGACAACTTTGGTAGACGTGTTAACACTCGCGAGTACCGCTACCGCAAGCGACTCGAGGATGAGCGTCACAAGTTGATCGAAAAGGCCATGAAGACCATTCCTAACTATCACCCGCCTTCTGACTACAGGCGTCCGACCAAGACCCAAGAGAAGGTCTACGTCCCAGTGAATGACTATCCAGAGATTAACTTCAGTATGATAACTAACCCTCTAACTCCTAACTGTCCCTCCACTGTGTCTGCCATGACTCCCTGCTCGATTCGAGCTAACGAGATAATTCCTTGGATCTCGTTGGCCCGTCTCTTGCTAATTCTTGGTGCTTGATGCTGCACATTACTTGAACGCGCTTCACAATTACAGGATGACTAACACTAAGCTCTTTGCTATCTTTTTCAAAGTTGGCTTACTCATAGGACCTCGTGGAAACACCCTCAAGAAGATGGAGACTGAGTCCGGAGCCAAGATTGCTATTCGAGGCAAAGGCTCCGTCAAGGAAGGCAAGGGCCGATCTGACGCCGCTCACGCTAGTAACCAGGAAGAAGATCTCCACTGCCTAATCATGGCGGATACCGAGGAGAAGGTGAACAAAGCCAAGAAGCTTGTTCACAATGTCATTGAGACAGTAAGTTATTACCACGCTACCCTTATCCTATACGTATGTACTGATCTGCTATTAGGCCGCCTCCATTCCCGAGGGCCAGAACGAGCTCAAGCGTAACCAGCTTCGTGAGCTGGCTGCTCTCAACGGTACTCTCCGTGACGACGAGAACCAGGCCTGCCAGAACTGTGAGTCCTCACAGCCCCACTTTCCTTTTATTATGTCTTCTAAACGTGCAACAGGTGGCCAAATCGGACACCGCAAGTACGACTGCCCTGAGCAGCGCAACTTCACTACCAACATCATCTGTCGTGTTTGTGGCAACGCTGGTCACATGGCCCGCGACTGTCCCGACCGCCAGAGAGGCAGCGATTGGCGCAACGGCGGTGGCATTGGCGGCGGTCAGCGCAATCCTCGTGCTGTTGGCACTGGGGATGCTGTGGACCGTGAGATGGAGGTGAGTTCCCTTTGCTCCATAATCAAAGTTGAGTCGGCTACTGACATTCTAATCAGCAACTGATGAACGAACTGTCCGGAGGTGCTCCTGGCGAGTACCCGCCTCGTCGTATTGAAGCCGGCCCTGACCAGGGCGGCTATCCCGATGACCGCGACGAAAAGCCCTGGCAGCGTGGCCCGCCACCCCCGAGCGATGTGGCTCCCTGGCAGCAGCGACGTGAGCAGCGTCCTCGCGACGACTATGGATCCCGCGACCAAGGTCCTGCTCCTTGGGCCGCCCAGAACCGGAGTAGTAACGACTATGGCTACGGGTCTCAGGGTGGATACGCCGCCCCTGGTACCGCGCCAGGTGCTGCTCCCTGGCAACAGCAAGCCCCTCCCGGCGACGCTGCTGCTGCTGCTGGCTACGGCTACGGGGCATATGCAGGCTACGCCTATCCCCCTGGAATGGCTGCCCCTGGTATGGCTGCTCCGCCGCCGCCTCCTGGCATGGCCCCTATGGGTGGATATGGTGGTGCTGGCAGTCCTCCGCCGCCTCCTCCTGGCGAGGGACCTCCTCCGCCTCCTCCCAGCGATCAGCCTCCTCCTCCACCTCCTGCGTGAACAATTTTCCGAATCGGTTGCTTAGTTACGAGAAAAGTCGGCGGAAGCACTTACTTTTGCTTTTCGGTGATACCGCTGGGTTGGGTGCAATCTGTCCTTGCTTTTTTCTCTTTTCATATGAAGCTCTTTACAAAACGAGCGTAATTTGTTGATTTCAGGTTGATAATGCAACATTTGATATCAGGCCCGTAGCGAGCTTTTCGATGGAATCGAGTGAATCAGGTTATCTAAAGAGTTGCAGCTTTCTCACCTTCACCCGGCGGGTGCGGATGCTAATATGATATAAATTGTCCTCGTAACCATCGCAATGAGCAGCAATCAAATGCACCGTCTAGCTCAACGATTCACAGGAAAACCTTATGCAACTAGTGTGAAGATTGTCTGCTGTGGATCAACGCCTGGGTGGACCGGTAGGTTATGTTTATCGCAAAACAGGTGTAACCGATGTCACAGCATACAGTCAGAGTTCACAAGTATTTGCACTATAGTACCTTGGCATGCCAAGGTGCCCGCTATTTTTTCTGCGTTCCGAGTTCCTCCACATTAATTCCTGTAGGAAGTTCCTAATTAACAAGGTACCAGCTTTCGTATCCAGCACCCTGCACTCACTATAAGGCGTTACTGGGTACGGAGTAGAGGATGGAGAAGAAAGGGGATTAGCGTGGGTTCGATAAAGTAAGATATGGATAATAAAAGAAGGCGGTGTATGCGGGAAGTATAAACTGCTGTATAGTGTCTCAGACTAGACGAACGCCACTGGATAATATGCTTCGGAGTTACACCAAAACATCCTAATTTCGTTCCTTTGTACATAAGAAGTGTCGCGCAGAGTTTCAGCAAAATGGCGGACAGATCAAAATGCTCTATGAGCCACATTTTTAGTTGTCACCCAGTTTTTAGGCAATATAACCGCTAGACCAAAAAGTCCACTATAGGCCACTTTCTTATCTATACCGTCATTTTCCATTTCGACATCAATCTATACCATCATATCCTCAACAAAGACCGTCACACCGTCGACGTAGCCCACTGAACTTACTAATTCGGTACTGGACCAGCCAACGATCAATGAGAACAGCCACACCGCTTTAGTGCGGGTAGGTCGGTACCTCACGGTTAGTGGCTATCTCGACTATACCAGTGCGGCTGTCGCCCGTCGCTGCAGATCCCTTGAAGGGAATAGATATGCTGAAATCAATAGGCTTGCTGCTTGACTATAAAGTACACCGGGCGCCTGCTCTGACGACCCAATTTAGTGTCTGTTTACCAATACATATGATAATTTATAACTAACTCAATACAAGGCGCCCTAAGGCGCCCTAAGCCACCCTAAGCAGCCCAAGGCCTCCGGGGGCATGGCTGTGCATGGTCAGCTTAGCCGCATTCCAGACCCCATTGTACCGGTCCCTATGGACACAGATGTGATAAAATCGATCTAGAATGTTTCAATCAGCAAGTTCAGATGATCGTCAAGGGCCTCAGGGCGTACCGGAAGGAAGGGTACGGTCAGTCTATTCTATGAAAACAACTTCGTAGGAAGCAAAGTATGGAAACGAGATGTCAGGGTTGGTGCAGGTTCGCTCGACCCTTTTTCGAGCGCCGCCGCACCCTGGGAGTGCATAGCCCCAGATTTCGATGTCACTCGTATCTGTCTCGGCCATCATAGAGTAGGCCTTTGGGCCCGGGTCCAAGGTAACGCATCCCTTAATCACATCTGCTTCCTGTTCCCACACAAACTGTTGGGCGGTCTGGGGGACGTCACCGCACGCCAGGCCATCCCAGCCCGACAGTGACCACGTAGCGACTGTGGAAGTGACAAGTGTGAAGTATAGTAGCGACCGAATGAGAAAATTCGTAGAGTACTTCATCTTACTATGCATAGTAAAATGCAATTTGTGTTTTCGAGGAATGCATGGAGATTGAAACAAGGCGATGGATGAAAGCAAGACGACAAAAGGGAATTCAGGGGATCTTTAAGAATTATATTGTTTCCATGGTACGTTCTTGCTTATACCCAAACGTCGATATAGTCAGTGGCTTTTCCAAGCTCGCATAGGACTCGTTTTCATGGACCCTTTTTTGATGCAGCTCCTCATTTCCATAGCCAATCGTGAGAGATAGGGCCGCCCGAAATATATCTATAATAAGAGAAGTGAGACACTCTAGCTCAGAAGACAAATGTCGTATCATGATAACCATGAAAAAAGCCTATCAACGGGATTCTATCCGTTGCAGCTCAGCTCACCAGCATCGGCTTACAGTGAGTGGTAAAGTACGCTAGCCCCAGCGCCATCCTTTTGAAACATCTTGCCCCATCTGCAGAACATCATAGCCGCAAACGTGCGTTGGCCCACTGATTTTTATATTATTTAAGAGACTTGGGTGTGATCTTGGCACATTTGCCCTTAAATGCTGCAAATCTCATCTCTCTCTGATTCTTAGTCTTCTTGCTTAATCGATCGTGTTTGTGGGGCGTCTGAATATCCGATGCCTTTACTTTCACCCCCTATGGCGAGGAAAAAGAGCTTGCTCAGGCTAGGTGTATATCTTCCTTGGGTTAGGCCGTCTGCATCCACAAAATTTTTGAGCTTGGTGACAGCAGTGGTGGTTTTTCTTACCATCACATACGGCACAAAGGCAAGGTCCGTTGGGTACTCAGAACAAGTTGGTAAGTGGCAACGCTTGTTCAAATTATCCATCAAGATGGTCCATTGACAAGTTCTTGTACCCTCAGAGCAAGCCTCTTTCGAAGCATACAATAAAGCAGAGGATACGGAGATCGTCCCGCTTGAGAAACAATCACAGCCGATAGGACTGCATACTGGCGCTGAGGATGTAGCGATCGTCGCGGCGACGACAGCAAAGGATGATGTACAATGGATTTATGAATTCTGCGAAGAGTAGTAAGTAACCTTGGCTATCAGCAAACCCTACTGAAAAAACAGCCTTGCTAAATGACTGCGGTGCAAATCAGTGGGTGTACTCCTTACATTTACAATATGAACCTGGTTCCAGAGGAAGGGCTCGAAACCCCCATTTTTACCAAGGGCACGAAGCGAGTGCCTATCTTGCCTACCTCTACGACCATTATAACGACCTTCACCCTTATACGATCTTCATTCACGGCAGGGAGGATCAATGGCATAACGATATTGCGGGACCTCGAACGTATAATGTGCTTCAAAATTTACGGTATGAAGCAGTTGAGGCTAATGGTTATGTGAATCTGCGATGTTCAACGACCCCTGGCTGTCCAAGTACGCTATACCAAAAGGACCCGAAAGACCACGATCGACAATATCAGTACTTGTTAGACCAGCTTCCCGAGATTCTTCACTATCTCTTAGGAATAGATCCAGTGGACTTTCCCGAAAATATTGGGCATCAGTGTTGTGCACAGTTTGCTGTGACCAGAGCAAAGATTAGGCAGAGATCCCGAGCAGACTATCGAAAGATTATGATTTGGACTGGAACCACCGACATGACGGATAACTATGGAATTGGTTGGTTGACCGAGAAGATATGGCATATGATGTTTGGAATGCCTCCAGAATTGTAGGTTTGCTTCCTTATTAGCAAGACAGATTGTGATCACTAATTTGTCTCTAGATGCCAAACAGAGGCACAATGTCGCTGCGACTTATACGGATGGTGTGGCCCTAATCCGTTAACTGATAACATCGCCTTGACCCCAATTTCATAGCCCTGAGTGTATCCTATCGGCCGTGGATGTGGCAATCAACGGTGGCATTTCGTTAATATATATCCACATCGGATATCTAGGTGGGGAAATAATTCATTCGTGACTTGCACAGTACTCCATCCTCTGCATCGTGGCCCCACATGGAAGCAGGGTCTGCACAGTTTGCACAGTTTGAGAAACCGCCAGACCGACGTCAGTAATGCCTCAGGCCCCACACAGCTATCTTGGCTCCCTACCAGCTGCTCAACAGTTTCCTCCTGAAAAATTAATTACGTGCACACCCTCATTTTCACGTATATCTTCTCATCAGCCCCATCCTGGGGTGTTACGTACTACCCTGTCCTGCCTGCCCTGGCCGATAGTGCAAATGCAGGCACCGTCAGACTACAACTACTCCCTACCTTCGGGCCCGAGTATGCATGCTTCTGCGTCGTCTGCCCAACAGCGAAAACCTTCTTGGCAGTCCCAGCGACTGTCCACCCGCTCTGGAAAGTCGGGCCATGCTCTGTCGCCGCGACACTCGGCCTCCTCCGTGCATGCACGGGATGCTAGGCGTGAGGGGTCCCAACAGCAGCAGCAAGAGCAGCTGCGCCGGGCATCGCTTTCGGCATCTGCACACTCGTCCCAGTCTGAGTGGTGGCGGGTACATCTATTCCGCGGCATGATCTGTGATCTCAAGCGCAGAGCCCCCTATTATTGGAGCGATTGGACTGACGCGTGGGACTATCGCATTGTGCCAGCCACTGTGTACATGTATTTTGCTAAGTATGCTTTTGTCTTTTCTTTTCCCGGATTTATGGGGATTTGTATCCTCCGGTCGATGGGACGAACATAATCAAACGAACTATTCAGTCAGACTTACGATGCATGTAGTATTCTGCCCGCTCTGGCTTTCTCCCTGGATATGTTTGAGAAAACAAACCAGAGCTTCGGTGTCAATGAGGTTCTGCTCGCGTCTGTTCTCGGTGCTGTAGTTTTTGCTGTCTTCGCAGCTCAGCCCTTGGTTATTGTTGGGGTTACTGGTGAGTGCCCGTAGATTCAGTAGCCAATACTCAAGCTAAGAAGGGTACAGGTCCCATTACTGTGTTCAATTACACTGTTTACGATATCATCACGCCCCGGGGTACACCTTACCTGCCTTTTATGTGCTGGATCGGCATGTGAGTTACCCTCAGGGTTGAACCCGATGCAATAGCCCACTAATCTATACTCTAGCTGGTCTTTGATTATGCACTGGGTTCTGGCCATCACCAACGCTTGCAACGGACTTACTTACGTCACCCGCTTTTCGTGCGACATTTTCGGCTTCTATGTCGCCTTCATCTATCTCCAGAAAGGTATCCAGGTTCTTACTCGGCAATGGGGCGCTGTTGGGGAAACCTCAGCCTACTTGGCCATTATGGTGGCGCTCCTTGTCCTCATGGCTGCGTGGATCTGTGGGGAGTTGGGGAACAGCAACCTCTTTCAAAGATCTGTGCGAAAGTTCCTCGAGGACTATGGTACCCCGTTGACCATTATCTTCTTCACTGGCTTCGTGCACTTTGGCCACATGCGAGACGTAGATGTCTCCACCCTGCCGACTAGCAAGGCTTTCTTCCCCACGCTCGATCGGCCATGGCTAGTCCATTTTTGGAATCTTGATGCTAAGGATATCTTCCTGGCCATTCCATTCGCCCTCCTCCTCACAATCCTTTTCTACTTCGATCACAATGGTAAGTCTCGAGGGAGAATCTGTTTCTTTTGTTCCTCGGTTGACCCTTTCCTAGTCTCGTCCCTCATTGCTCAGGGTACGGAGTTCCCCCTTCGAAAGCCTGCTGGCTTCCACTGGGACCTCTGGCTGCTCGGCCTCACTACTTTTATCGCCGGCCTTCTTGGAATTCCTTTTCCCAATGGACTCATTCCTCAAGCTCCTTTCCACACTGCTGCTCTCTGCGTCACCCGCCAGGTGGCAGATGAAGATGACACAAACAAGGGCAAAGCTATCCGAGTCACGGACCACGTAGTAGAACAGCGAGTCAGCAATTTTGCCCAGGGGCTTTTGACCCTCGGTACGATGACCGGACCGCTTCTCATTGTTCTCCACCTGATCCCGCAAGGCGTCATGGCCGGCCTGTTCTTCATCATGGGAGTCCAAGCTCTCCAGGGCAATGGCATTACGCAGAAACTGATATTCCTCGCTCAAGACAAGAATTTCACATCAGCATCCGATCCCTTGAAGAGACTCAAGCGCCGTACCGCCATCTGGGTGTTTGTTATTATTGAATTGCTTGGCTTCGGTGCTACTTTTGCCATCACCCAGACTATCGCTGCTATTGGGTTCCCTGTCATCATTCTCCTGCTGATTCCGGTGCGATCATTCCTCTTCCCGCTCTGGTTTACCCGAGAGGAGCTGAATGCGTTGGATGCACCCACTGCCAGTCCTTTCACCATGGAAAGTGTTGGCGGTACCCATGGCTTGGAGGAGGAAGAGTCTACGGATGCGACGCCCAGTGGGGCGGACATCTCTTCAAGTGATGGCAACGGGGTCCTGGGGGGCCGGCATTCCTCATCCCAGGAATCTCCAGTCGAGGACAGTGATTTGGAAAGAGGAGAGGCATACGAGCTTCGATCGACTGTTCGTCGACGCAGTACCACCAGTCGGGTTGACTAAAGTTAAAGTGCCTGCGGAACAACCCCCGGGTCATGGCAGCTATGTATCGGCCTCAATGTGTAAATTTCTATTATTCTATATTAAAATAACACCAACGAAACAATCCGCTTATAACTTAGTACCCGCAACATTTCTCGACTCATTTTCTTTTTTTTTTGGACAATTGATCTATGTGTTCACGTGACCGAATATGCCGGTTGGCCCTGGTATTGCTGCGGCCTTGTCTGTAAGGCATACTATCTATTCACCGCCAGATGGAGATAACTTTTTCTGCCACAGAATAATTTCCAAGAAGCGCAAACAACAATGGCACCCCCAAGAGATAATGCCGAGTCCCAGGACTCCTATCTCTCTGACAACTCAGAAATGAGTCAACCGGATGTTGAAGACCGTGCGCCCAAGCGCCGCCGTCTCTCCGAGTCCGACGAGGAGGAGTACGTTGCGCCGGCGCCGCTCCCCACACTCTCCCGTATCAAGAAGAAAGACGATAGCGAAAAAAAGCCCGAGGCGACAGAGGAGGACCCCGTTACAATCGCCGATGCCCTTGAGATTGGACTGCGGGCCGAGGAATCTACGTTCGGAGCTTTGAATGTGGCCCCATGGCTCGTGGGCTCTTTGACGACTATGGCTATTCGACGTCCCACCGCGATTCAGAAGGCTTGTATTCCTGAAATTTTGAAGGGGCGAGACTGCATTGGTGGAAGTCGGACCGGTTCGGGAAAAACTATGGCATTTGCCGTTCCTATCATCCAGAAGTGGTCGCAGGATCCGTTTGGGATCTTTGCCGTGGTCTTGACGCCGACGAGGTACGTTCAGTTTGTGCAACTAAATCTTCCCCGGGATTTCGAACTCGCATACTGACTGGCGTTTTTCTTTGGCAGAGAGCTGGCCCTTCAGATCTTTGAGCAGTTCAAGGCTATCTCCGCGCCGCAGAGCATGAAGCCCATCCTCGTTACCGGGGGCACCGATATGCGCCAGCAGGCAATTGCTCTGGCGTCGCGGCCGCATGTCGTCATTGCGACCCCAGGACGATTGGCTGACCACATCAAGACGTCTGGTCAGGATACGGTTGCGGGGTTGGGTAGAGTCAAGATGGTCGTGCTTGATGAAGCCGACCGACTGCTTGCAAGTGGGCGCGGCAGCATGCTGCCAGACGTGGAAACTTGTCTCTCCGTTCTCCCGCCCTCGTCAGAACGCCAGACCCTCTTGTTCACTGCGACCTTGACCGCTGAAGTGCGGGCATTGAAATCGTTACCGCGAACAGAGAATAAACCGCCCGTCTATGTCACCGAGATCTCGACCGAAAACCAAGGCAGCATTCCGCCAACCCTCAAGCAGACATATCTCCAAGTCCCCATGACCCATCGTGAAGCTTTCTTGCACGCCTTGCTGTCGACCGACGAGAACATTACCAAGCCCGTCATCATTTTCTGCAACCACACCAAGACTACCGACCTCCTTGAGCGCACCCTGCGTCGGCTCGGTCACCGCGCCACCTCCCTTCACAGTCTTCTTCCTCAATCCGAGCGCACATCCAACCTTGCCCGATTCCGAGCCGCGGCTGCCCGGGTTCTCGTTGCTACGGACGTCGCATCCCGTGGTCTCGATATCCCGATCGTCAGCCTGGTTATCAACTACGACGTGCCGCGGAACCCAGACGACTATGTGCACCGTGTTGGTCGTACGGCCCGTGCTGGCCGGAATGGCGAAGCCGTCACACTGGTCGGACAGCGTGACGTTGAGCTTGTGCTCGCCATTGAGGCGCGCGTTGGTCGGAAGATGGAGGAGTGGGCTCAGGAGGGTGTCAGCATCGAGGGCCGTGTGACTCGAACGAGCCTTCTCAAGGAGGTGGGAGCTGCGAAACGCGAGGCTGCGGGTGAGATCGATGAGGGCCGTGATGTGCTGGGCCGCAAGCGGAATAAGTTGAAGAAGGTCCGGTGAATGGGCACTTCGTCTGTACATACTGTTCTCTCTGATTGATACCATATTCAGAACCCATGAGCAAAGGGAGCTTTTAGCGTGTCTTTCTTGCGAGTTGTCATTGCCAATTACTATCTACGTAACTGAAAAACTCGCCCTGTAGCCCAATTGCGTCCGTCATCTACCTGATTCTCGGAGCTGGTAAGAGCAGTGGCATCGCCCCGAGCTGGGATCGGAGTATTCCGAGGCGCCCAAAATGGAGCTGTCGGAGACAATGGCCCGTAAGTCCCAGGAGGCCCCTAATCTGACACTCGATCGCAGTCCAGGGCCATAATAATGCACTGAACTTAGATCCATGTAGTGGTATGGCAATTCGATGGCTTAGCTGCAAGTCATTACCTTTTGACAAGATGCTTTCCGTACGTGGTGGGGCTATCAAGACTGCTTCCAGAGGACACAAATGGTATCATTGATTGCAAGGTAACAGGATTCTAGGATTCCCAAGTAATTCCAACATTATAGCGCCTATCGCAGGTCCGAGATCTTCTCTCAGCCGGGTAGGTAACAGGCAGGGGTGTTCGTCAGGGTATACTTCATCATGACCAGTCAACAGTCGGCCACAGCTTCTCCAACAGACATCGACCGTCGCACAAGGCAAAGAACGATTGAGATGTTCCGTCAAGGGCCGGATGCTTCGTCGGCATTGAGTGCCATCCACGCAGCGGGGCTACCCGCTCCATGCATCCGGGTTGTCCTGCCTGTCCGACGTACTCATGAGCTTGAGTAACCCATCCACCGCGTCACCCCTCTGTGACGGCGAAAGATCATCGTGCGATGTTGGTCCTTCCTCTGGGTCTGCTCCGTCGGTCATCTCTCGGCGGCCATGGCGGACCACCGTGGCGGGGGGCTGCTCAGCTGCATAGGAGAGCCAAGGGTGCGGGGGGAGTGCGTTGGGAGTGCTTTGGGTAATGCGCTTGGATGATCGAGGAAGGTTGTCGTGGCAGATCCGGTGTCTGGTGGGAAGGCGTGGAGCTCAAGTCTATCGCCGAGCCAACCCGCGGCGTCTTGAGCTGAGAAGGTGTAATGGCGTTGCGGAACGAGGTGGAGGGGGAAGAGAGGGTGGAAAAGGAGAGTCGAGGGACCTTGCGACTGTGTGCCTCCAGCTCAGAGACACGGCGGTCAATCTGGTGGTCGGCCACATTGCGCATGGCGGTTTGGAGTTTGTTTCGGAGCAGAGCCGCTTTCTGGAGTACCGTTGAGCAATCTGCCGACTGAAAGGTCAGGATAGGAATCCTGCTTACTTCTTGGATGAACACCTTTCGCGCCTGGGGCTCTTCAGGAACCGATCGTGTGTCTGAATCGGAGCCTCGCGACGCGCTGCGGGACCTGTTGGTCTCCATTTTGGGGGTTTGGTCGCGTTCCGGTTGTGATGAAGTTGGGACGCGGATTTCCATCGCGTCCGACTCTTGTGTCAGCTACAGCGCGAACTCCAGGTTAGCCAACTTGGAGGTTTTTGTGATTGTCGGTATCCCACATCTCCCAGTCCACGTACCTGCTGGCTCGCATGCTTCGTGGAGGGCGAGCTCTCTTCGCGAAGCCCCCGCGGCTCCTGCACGCGTGTATTGTTTACATCAGTCTCATCCACCTGGTCTCTTGTCCGTTTTTGGCCTGCAAAGATTGGAGAAGGAAGGAGTTTCTTAGGCGACGCTGCCGTGCACAGCGTCCGTTTGACGGGCGTGCCGGCGACCAAGAGGGACTGTTTGGCTGCGTGGGCGGGGGACAAGCACGCGTTGGAGTCCTTCTCGCCGAGGATCCGGCGGCCGTCTTTGACCGGGCTGAATGGCATCGAGGGCTGCATGGCGTTCTGGAACGTGTTCTGGGACCGGCGGAGGTAGGGAAGGTGAGGAGTGGTCGGGTTCCGAAGGAGACGCCGCGCGGGGAAGAGGCGGGCTGAAAGGTGATTGAGGAGGGTCCACGCGAATAAGGCCCCGAAAGGAAGGCGACCAAGGGAAGAGAGTGGGAGAATGAAAGAGGGAATGGGAAGGAAGAGAGCAGCACAAAACGGGCGCGTCAATCGCGTATAGTCCCCGATTCCTTACTAGCTCTGTATAGAGCACGGACGCCCCACGCGGTCGTGTTGAGCACGCGTCCACGGGTTGCAGCCCTAGCTCCGCGCCCGCGGAGACGCGGAGACCGGCTCGCCGTCTGTTCTGTGTCCAAGACTGAAAATCTGTATCATGGTACATTCATGTCGGCCTGTCCTCCTCGAGTCCTCATCTGTGTGCCCGGCAGTCGAACCGCCCTGGTGTTTGGCAAGGATAATTCGCCTGGAATGGGCTGTCAATTCCACGCGTCGGAATTTGCGTTCGTGTGCTCGGTTGGGTCATGTGCTGTCGCGCCTGGACGCGCTTGTTGGGGCCGGACTGGCGAGCAGCCGGAGAGCTTCAAGATGGCCTGTCGGATGGATCGGAACACCTCTTGTGGTGGCTCCAGCTGGCTGGTGTTCGGGCACCTTTAACTTCCACTCACCATGATTGCACTCTGAGGACTCCAATGGAAACATTCAGGAACCCGTCTGGGTTGTACCGTAGACCGTCCGATCTCCCCGTGGGATAGCCACGTCATCCCATCCAGCAAGCCTCAGCAATGTGCAAAACTGGTGGCAACAGCCGGTCTCCGTAGTTGACCCCGACTGCCCTGGCGATGGACTCGAACTCGACGGGGTCCGGCCTCACAATCAGATCGGAGCCGTCTCCGCATGACATCATCGGACGACTCGAGCAACGCCCACGCCCCAGGCCAACGCCAGCACCAGGGCCTGGCAGCAGAGAGAGAGCAAAAGTACAGTATCCAACCAGTAGCGTCTTTTGCTGCCTCACCTCTCTCTCCTCGCTGCAGGAAGCCTTTCCCCGGGGGACACAAGTTGATCTCAGCTGATCGGCGCCCACCCCTGTTCCCCCGCATTTCATGGATTTCATATTCCTCCCCCCTTGGTTTCACTGTTTCACTTCCTCCGTTACACACCATCCTTGGTTCCTGGTGACGCTGGTTGCACTTTCAATCTCGTCACCACCATTCCTTGAATTGCCCTGCCATGCAGCTGTCCCTTGCCGTCTTGGCCGCGGCTATCGGCCAGGCCGTGGTCAGTACAGCTTCGACGCTCAACCCGCCCGTTCTGCCGCTGATCGTGCGGAACCCCTACCTCAGCACCTGGCTGGGAAATGCCCGCGAGGCGCCGTGGGCCAAATGGCCCATGTTCTATACGGGAGAAGAGGTTGGCCTCGCCTTGATGGCTCATGTGCCGAGCCAGGGCGCGGTTTATCCTCTGGTGGGCAAGCCGCAAGATTCGCTGGCTTCCAATGCCGAGTATGGGCAGCGTGAGTCTGTTGATCTGGGGACTGCCCGCTGACGGCTACAGATACAAAGTGCAATACCCCGAATATCGTGGACACAACTATGATGCCTCGTCCACCAACTTTACCTATCGCATTGACGCCGCTACCTCGACACCCGTAGACATTATCGTCTCCTTCCTCTCACCCATCACACCGACATCGACTCTGCGGCAGTCGATCCCGGCGTCCTATGTGACGATCGATGTGCACGGCCATGTCGACGTCAACGTCTACATGGAGATCGATGGACGCTGGGTGAGTGGAGACGGTAACAGCCAGCTCCACTGGCAGTGGGACACACTGAACGTTGAGGAGGCAATGGCCCAGAAGAATCAGAAGCCCGGTCTTCAACGGTGGCAAATTCGCCGAGCGTCAGAGCTTCACTTTTCGGAAATCCACGACCGTGCCGAATGGGGTACCCTCCATTTCACGGGACCCGACGTGAGTGCTGTATTTAGAGAACCTTGTGACCCATTCTGACCTCATTGATACAGGGCGCTCGATATGAGTGCGGAGAAGCATCCCAGGTGCGACGGCACTTCGCCAAGAGCGGAGCTCTACATAATACCATGGATGATGAATTCCGAGCCATTCGTGATCGCTCACCGGTCTTTGCTTTCTCCAAGTCCTTCCAACTCGCACAGTCGGAGCGGCCTGCTCAGAGTGTCACCTTCACCGTGGCTCTCATCCAACTGCCGGTCGTCCAGTTTGCCGCTGCCCGCGGGCTCACGCTGATGCGGCCGCTCTGGGAGTCTTGGTTCCCGACTCCTGAGACGCTGCTCACCTTCCACTACAATGATCACGCTGCGGCCGGTGCCCTAGCCTCCAACTACTCCGCACAGTTGGCCAAGGATGCATATCTCTCAGGAGCTGAAGACTACGTGGACATCGTTGCTCTCAGCGCAAGACAGGTGATGGGCGCTACCCAATTCTCGGGCACCCCGGACAACCCAATCCTGTTCCTCAAGGAGATCTCTTCCAACGGCAACTTCCAGACCATCGATGTCATCTTCCCGTCCTTTCCGTTCTTCCTGTACACCAATCCACGCTGGCTGGCATATCTCTTGGAGCCTCTGATCGAGCATATGCTCAGCGGACAATACCCCAATACGTATGCGATGCACGATTTGGGCACCCACTTCCCTAATGCCACCGGTCACCCCGACGGCAATGATGAATACATGCCCGTGGAGGAGTGCGGCAATATCCTGATCATGGGGCTGGCAATTGCGAACTCGCTACAATACGAGAACGGCTCCGAGGCCGCCTCCATCTGGTCATCACAGGGTGAGCCACGCTCCACCTTCTCGACCCTGGATATGGGTCTTTTCCCTCTCGATGACCTCCAGGTAATGTCTGGTATCGGCTACCAGGACAGCAAGTGGGGCGGCGGTCTCGAGGGCCAGCGTCTCGCGAAGAAATGGGTGCAGCGGAGTTACCGTCTCTGGAGGCAGTGGACCGGCTACCTGGTTGAGTTCTCCCTCGAACCTGCGAACCAGCGTAAGTTCTGACTGAACCTTCTCGTTGGCCGATACGATGCTGATGCTGTGATGTAGTTTCCACGGATGACTTCGCCGGCTGGCTGGCGCTGCAAACCAACCTAGCCCTGAAGGGTATTGTCGGCATCAACGCCATGAGCAAGCTCTCCGAGCTGGTCGGCCAGGAAACTGATGCCGCGTACTTCAAGGTAAACTCCACCCTAGGGGACCCCGGACTTCCTAGGCGGGAACTAATTGATTTTCAGCACATCGCCGACAAATATGTCGCCAAGTGGGAGAAACTCGGCATGTCTCGCGACGACTCGCACGCCAAGCTGGCCTACGACTGGTACGGCTCCTGGACCACAATTTACAACCTATACGCCGACGCTCAGCTGTGCTTCCACCTGGAGAACACAGACACATCCCTCTCCCCTTCCACCCCCAAAACCCCCGGCTTCGTGCCCCGCCACGTCTACCAAAAGCAGTCGGTATGGTACCACTATGTGCGGCAAAAGTACGGCCTGCCCCTGGACAGTCGGCACCTGTACACCAAGACGGACTGGGAGTTCTTCTCGATGGCCGTGGCGTCCAAGCCCGTTCGCGCGGAAATCCTCGAGTCCGTCGCGCGCTGGGTCAACGAGACCGTCACCGATCGGCCTTTCACAGACCTGCATAACACCGAGGGCGACGGGAATTTCCCCGGCCCGACCTTCTTCGCACGCCCTGTGATCGGCGGTCACTTTGCTTTCCTCGCGCTGGAGCGGGCGTGCGGGGGCCGTGCGATGCCGGGACTGTCATTCGTGGATGATGTAGATGCGGAGACGCTGCAGGCTTGGTCTGCGAGTGCGGAGGCGGCGGCGAAGGAGTTTGCGCGGCCTTGGAAGCTGCACCATGGCGATGATGAGCTTTAGAACGCAATTGTTGCTAGTGCTCCACGCATGGGATGGTGAGTTGTCTTGTTTCTTTGGGGAGAAGTTCCTCCTACGTTAAGATCCAGATCTGGAGCAGCCATTGATAGGCTGTTCCCTGCAGAGGTTTTGGCTCTGTATCTGGCATCGTATATAGTTCTTGTCGTGGATGAATCTTTTGGAGAGATCGGAGCAGCCTGGGTGATATGTATTGCTTTTGCTGTGGGTTCGATTTGGAGCAGGAGACTGAGGTGCGTAGATGATCGTCGAATGTAACCAATGTATATTCTTCACATGGCTGAGATATAGTTCTGGTCACTAGCACTTTTAAATAGATGCTCATTCCACCCGTCTTCCCCCACACCAAACCTCAGTACGAACACTAACGATAGAGTCTGCACCCGCTACGTGGCCGAATGCATGATACACAGGCCTACTGGGACACTTCCATCATGGCGCAATCGAACCGGAGCCCCCAGAGGACGAAGAAAACGAACAGCCCGACTAACAAACTAGAATGGCGGAGGAGGTGAAGACGAAAGGTGTGAGGAACGCCAAACCCACGGCCTACCGAGAGGTCGCGGAAGAATACATCCAAAAAGATGGAACGTTACCAATAGAGAAAGAGGCAGGAGGAGGATGGCCAGAAGTACGAACTGGCAAGGGATGGAGATGGAGATACGGGAGAGATAGGCGGCCGAACTGAGGGATACGCGGGCAGTTGGTTACTGTTTTGTATGGGAGTTTGAGCCATTCGCTGTTTTCTTATATATCTACTGTTTCATGCGTGTGGGCTGGCGTTCGGAATACTCTTGCTTCTGCCGGAAGCGCCTACATAGCCCATGACACGAGTTGGGCTGCATCAAGATAATGGAGTATCGTCATCATCATCAACACTAGAGTCTGGCGCACTCTCACCTGGGTATTCCATGACCGATATGCGGTATCTGGTAGGTAGGTACGACCTACCAAGCATATCCGTGAGAGCAGCATGCGGTGGTGAAATGATCTCCCCTACCTACCCATGACGTCGTGACTGATGGAGCTGGGCAACCTTCCAACACCCTACATATGGACAAGACAGAACAAAGAGTACCAGCTACAGTCAGATGGCAGGGATTGGTTGGGTTCCCTGGATTTCATTTTATGACTTGATGATTCCTGGATAGAATCAAATTACATGGCCCCGATTGAAATTTCAGTCATCCAATTCACGTTTGCACACTTCCACATCCGAAGTAAATAAAATGTCAAGAGCACACAAGACACACAGACCCCGGGCATCCTTTTCCCTCGATATCACTTCAAGGCAAAGGAAAGAAAAACCCAGGCGACTAGATAATTTTTTTTGAGTGAGGCGCGTTCCCAGAAAATATTACTCCATGCCTCTCCCACACACCCTTCCCATCGTCATCCATCGTCCACAGAACCCAGCGTCGCATGAAAAAGCTAAGAAACCCGCGCAACAGAACAATCCATGAATCAATTCTTCATACCATATATTGCCATTGCACGAGTTGGGAAATTTTCCCACGGACGACTAGAACAAGAGACAGAATAACGATCCTCCTGGTTATGCAAAGCGGAAGTCACATCCAGGAGGGAATGGGCCAGAGAGATAGACAAGAGAGAATGGGGTGGGAAAATAACACAGAGCAGGGAAGGCAATCTGCGGGGCCGCTAGCTGGGGCACCCGTCGAAAAGTGCCGGGGCGACGGCTTTTTTAGTTACCGCCGAGGCTGGGGAAGTTCTTCTCGTCGACGGTAGGGCCGGTGGGGGCGCGGGCACCACCACGGCCGCCGCGAGGAGCAGCAGCGGCGGCGGCACCACGGGGAGCACCGCGGGCAGGACGGTCACCACGGGGGGCACGGTCACCACCACGAGGGGGACGGTCACCACCACGAGGGGCACGGTCACCACCGCGAGGGGCACGGTCACCACGGTCACCACGGTCACCGCCGCGGCCACCACGGCCACCACGACCACCACGGCCCTCGCTGGAGGGGCCGGTGCGGGGCTGCTCGACGAAGCGCATGTCCACATCGAGGAAGTTCTTCTCCTTGCGCTGCTTCTCGCGCTTGGTCTTCTCGGAGGTGCCCTGGATGTAGCTGTCGGCCTCCTCGTGCTTCAGCTCCTTAGCGGCAGCCCACTTCTTGTCGGCCTTGGTGCCCTCGTTGGCGGCACGGACGGGCTTGGCAGCCAAGCTATCCCTGGCAGCCTTCTCAGCCAGGTAGTCAGTGTAGGACTTGGACTTGTCGGCCTCCTCGGCCTCCTCGGCGGGAGTCTGGGGCTCGTTCTCATCGGCCTTGGCGATGGTCTCACCGACACGCTCGTCGTCCCAGGTCTTCTCGCCAGACTCGCCGCCCCAGCCTTGCTGGACCTGCTTGCGAGTGTCACTGGAAGGATGTTAGTCTCATTGAATCACACTAGTTCGGGCCAGGCAGAGGATCCTTCTGTCGCCTGCACCGCCTTCCGTCTTGCTTCATGCGTCATTATTGGGAACAGGGTCGCTTACGTCTGGCCAGTGCGAGACTGGCGGTCGCCACGGCCGCGGTTGCCGCGGGGGCGCGCGGGCTGCTCGGCCTCATCGGTGGGCTTCTGGCGGTTGTTGGTGCGACCAGCGTTGCGGTCACGGAAAGCTAACCGAAGATATCAGCTCCACGCCCTTCAAGCTATTTCATCATCCCGATCGTGTCCTTCATTCAATGCACATACCGGCGTCATTGCCGCCGGTCACACGGCCACCACGACGGCCATTGTTCTCACGGGGCTGGGTAGAGGGAGCCTCCTGGGGAGCATCACGCTTGCCAACGCGGGGAGCGGGACGGTCGACGGCCTTGGCGGGGGGCGCAGGGGGTCTGTTGGGGTCGAGCTCGGGGTCATTGCCTACAGTCGAGCGGAAAAGCAGTTAGATCTGATGGAATTGAGATGGCAGCTGCCTCAGGTGATGGGCGCGAGGAAGATGGATTTCGCAGAGACCCAGACAGCCCCACGCAGGAATTGGGAATGGTCGGTGCAAAGGAACAAGAGGGGAAATTTACCAAGAAGCTCATAGAGGTTCTGTTGACGAGCGAGAAAAAAGCACAATCACACGTTAGCCACTGCCTCCGCCAGCTCACTCGACCTGTGAGCTCCAGGAAGCCCTCGCGGGCACAGGCGAGCTGTTCATCGTTTCAGCGTACCTTGGACCGGACGTCCACCATGACGCCTGGTGTTGCGTGAGTCCTTCCGGGCAGGAAGGCGCTCGACTTGTGTATAAAGGGGGAAGAGGCACACAAGGCAGAACCTCAGCAGATCCAGCCTTTTGATGCGAAGGGATGATGATGAAGCGGGTGATCGTACCGAGTGCCGAGTGATCGAGGGAAGAAGGGGAGGTTTGTGGTGCATCCCGAATCCGGTTAGGCGCCATTTACTAAGCGAATCAGGCTAGGGCTTAGGGTATCATGGCGTCACTGGCGGAGCATCGGCATCATACACTCAATACACTTCATGCATCATACAGCTGATTTCGGATGGTAGAACTAGGGTGTGCTGCTCTACTGTGGATGTGTGAAGAGATACTGTCGTATTCACCGCATTGTAGTAGAATCGGAAACTATATACGAGGCCTTGCCCTCCGGGGTATAGGTATAGGTACTGCATTCCATGCGATTCGTCCCGACAGAGTCTGTACGACTGATGTATTCCCTGGTATCAAATCCCAACAACGCCGGGCAATGCTCAAGGACTTTTGAAAGAATTTATGACAAGAATTAAAATCGGACTGTTGACCGCCAAGAGCTTTTTTTTTTTGCTGTGCTTTCTCTGCTCTCTCTCTCTCTGTTTTTTTCAAGAGCGAGGATGGTTCTGATCGTAGTTAAAGGGCGTCGGGAAGTGCATGCTGGCACTCAACCCAAATGGATCTGTGTCCATCATGGGCTCGTACTGGCCCAGCAGCTGGTTCGCATTGCCGAAGTCTCCGGGCGCTCCGTCGGGTGGATTGTACCTGGTCATGTGCGAGCCTGAGGCCACCGACTGTGGTGTGAACCCCGGAACATAGGATGCATGGACGGAGCCGTCGTGGTCGTCGTCGACCATATCGGCCTGCGCATCGTACTCTTGTTCTGGCCGTGGTCAGCCGAGCTCCCATGGGGGCATGCTAGAAAGAAATTCGAAGGAATGACTTACCGAGTTGATCGTAGTGCTTCTGGAACGGAGATGGGTAATAGGCCGCCGCTACCCGCGCGCCCCGGGGCCCGCGAGGCTTCTCGCTGGGGTCTGTCTGGGGCATGCTGATCGCTGGGGGCGAGGTGTGGTTGTTGAAAGTCCGCGGCTGAGGCAGGACCTGCGAACGCCCCGTCCCCTGGGCCTCCACGCCAACAGGTGACATTGCACCCTGGAAACCAAAGCCGGGGGACTTAGTGTGGGATGGCGACGACACATGGGAGATGGGGGTAGCCTGGAACTGCGGCGATGGGATCCCGTAGACACCATCACGCTGGGACATGGCAAAGGCATCGGGCTTGGAGGCGATACCTGCCGGATGTCTCTGGGCGAGGCGAGCCGCCGGCCCTGGGGCGGACTTGGAGGGCATGGGGTTGGGCTTGGCCGAGGATCCCGGAGCTCCAGTCTTTAGCCGTAGCTCGGCTTGGACGTCGATGCCTATTTGATGGAAGGTAAGCGAACGGGACATGATGGCCAAGGACGCAACCAGACACACCTTTCTCCAGCAGGATCCGCTCCAGCAGAGAGTTTTTATACCGTAGCATCAGACACTCATCGGCCGCGCTGCGGTGACTCTGTTGCAAACTCTGCAAGGAATCCTCATTGCGCTTGATAGTCGTCTCGAGCTGGCGAATATACTCCGTGCGACGTTCTCGGAAGGCAGCCTGTGCCTGGCGGTTGCGTTGCTTCCGCTCCTCCGAGGTGGCATAGATCTAGCAGGACGAATCAGCCACGATGAACGACAACAAACATGGTATAGATCATCCGGAGAGGAGCTCCGTAGGGGAACATCAACACATGGGAAAGGAGGGAGAAGGAATGCGGGGCCCCAGATTTATTGCGAAGCAGACGCAAGCACAGGCAAAACGAGCCCGCGGTTACGTACCGGTTTGCGGCCACCCTTCCGCTTCTGAGTCTGCGCGGTGTCCTGCGTCAAGGGCTCCGCCTCGGCATCGGGCGTGGACACCGTCGAGCTGATGGAGCCGTCGGGCAGCGGCTCCGACTTGGGGACGACCGGGTCCATGCCCGTGTCATTATGTTCAGGATGGGTGGTCTCGACCATAGAGACCATTGAAGCAAGAGAGGCGTATCGAATTGGGTTATCACCCGGATAGCACATCCACAGTGGCCCTCAATGACCCTCCGTACACCGGGGCACAGAAGACACGGCGACGAGCACGCAACCGCGCAGGGGTTGAACTTTGAGTGCAGCGCCTTCCGAGTTCACCTTCCCCCCGCCGAACCACGGGCTTCGGGACCACGAGAGAGAGGGGAATGGGGGGGGGGAGAGGAGGAGCAGGGCGTAGGCAGACGCAGGAGGCGCGCGGCTAAGCGGTTAGAAGGGACGTGCGGGCGGAAGGGAGGCAAGAGAGTGACATAAAAGAAATTGGTGATTATGAGAAAGGAAGAGTCAGAGAATTCGAGATAAAACGTAAACGGGGGAAGGCAGCGGGGGGGTAGGGAAGGAATGAATAATATGAGGTAAAGCGATTGCCTAAACGAATAATAATATTGTTGCCCTTTGGGGCCGTTGCGGGTTTGGGCGGGTTTTGGGGGTTGGGGTCAGACGAGGAACAAGACGAGAGGAAATTTTCAGAACGGCCTCCTCTTTTCTGCTCTTGGCTCCGTTTGACTTTTTCTTTTCTTTTCTTTTCTTTTTTCTATTTTTTTTTTCTCGTGGACTCCACCTTCATGAATGGCCGCCTCTCGGTGACGGCACGGGTCCACCAAAGGGAGAATGGTTGGTGGCCAATTCGCAAAGTCCCTAGTGTCGTACGGGGCGATCTGGCCGTGGAGAAAGAGTGGGAAAAAGAGTCGTGGACTTCCGCGGAGCACGGGGGGTCTCTAGTGACCTGACTGGCTCTGTGAGGGGGCTATACGAAGTACTTGGTCGATGGGCTACGGTGTCGGGAGATATAGAGTCGACCGAGTGGCCAGCAATTGGGGGGAACCTATGAAAAACTCGAACTATAGAATCCAGGAGGCGAACACGCCAAAGAAGAAGGTCCTAGAGACCAGCCGGATAGCCGATACCGGGGCGAACCGTGGCAGGAGAGTCCTCCTCGCCTCGCGGCCTCTCAGCTGCCTGGGCGCACACCCATGCCCCCTCCACCCTCCTCCACCCTCCTCCACCCTCCTCCACCCTCCTCCACCGGCGACTTCCGCCTTGCCTAGTCCAGACTCAGCTCACCGCGGGGCTTCAGGGGTACCTGCCACTACCAGCCACTACCGACTACCTCGGCCTTCGCAACATGGCCATTGGTTCGTGGGCAGACTGCACTCCGTACCTGCTCGGTTCAGCCTTGTTCATGCAGGTCACTTCTGGTACCCGGGTTCGGCTGCCCCAGGCCACATCCACCTGACCGTGGCCTCATCACGCGGACGTGAGCCACGCCCGACGCCAAGACCAGGCTGCACAACTTCTCTGCGTAGTGCCCAGATCTGGCCCCAGATCCTGCGCATTGCGCGGATGCGAGGGATGATGCAATGCACTTTCGCTTCCCCGACTTCCCGTGCGGGGTGCTCGCTAGGCCAGGACGGTACCGTCTGACTCGCCAGGAGTTGGACAGCTCAGGCATCCAGGCATCAACCGCCTGACACCCAAGGCCTGTGTTTTTACCCCCTCTTCTTAACTTGTTCGTATTGGAGCTGAGCTGCCCATGGAAACCATATATATTGGCAATAGAACTATAGTCCTTTCCCCACCCGGATAGACATAAAGAAACAATTGATGCCATGCCCTCCTTCTACCTGCTCCCACTTATGCTCCATAAAATGCCGAACCGCCGCCGCTCTTCCCTCGGCGATCGGCGGTCGGCTCCCCGCCAAATCCCATCTCGTCACATGCCGGGACCGCGACTCTCTCTAGCCTCAACAAACCCTCCTTTCCCACTCGGCCTCTGGACTGGCTAGCCGAGCTGCTCTCTTGTGCACCACAAGCTTTCACTCGGCGTCTCTCGCTTTCCCGACGCTCCCACCATGGCGACCGCTGCCTCCGGTCCGGGCGACCGACCCCGCGACGAAAACACCGCCGCCGCACCGGCCGCGACGATAATGACTGACGCCCAGTCGGCAGACACGGCGGAGAAGCCGCAGGCCGCACAACCGCATGCCAGCCACGAGGAGGATGAAGACTCAGACTTTGACGAATTAGACGGTGCGCACAATATCAACCCCGCCCGCTCAGCCCATGCGCTGCCATCATCACTAACCCACCATCACCACCATCAGATGTCCTAGACGACTTTTCCGAACCCCAAGCGCAGTCCGCGCCCGCGCCCGCGCCCACGGCCACACAATCAGACCCCGCCACTGGCGTGGCCCCATCTGATTTCGACGAGGATGCCTTCCTCAAGCAACTGGAGAAAGACATGGCCAATATGATGGCGAACCCCGGCGCTGCGGGCCCCGGTGCCGCCGACTCGCACGACTTCCACTCGGCCGTCGACCAGGGCGCCGACGCCTTCGCGAAGCAGCTCGAGGAGAGCGGGATCCCGCCGGGCGACTTCCTGAAACAGCTCCTGGCCGACGTGATGGCCGAGGAGGGCGACAGCACCGGCACCGAAGCAGGGGCGAAGCCGACACCGCCACCAGCGCCGGGCGCGGACGCGGAACAGCCTGAAAACTTCAGTGATGCGATCCAGCGCACTATCGAGCGGATGAAGCAGTCTGGTGATCGGGCGACGGAGGCCGCGACTACGGACGACGGGCTGTCGGAAGATATGCTGGCACAGCTGCTGAAGGCAGTTGAGGCGGGAGCTACCGGTGCCGGCGAGGACGGCGACCTGACGAAGATGTTTATGGGGATGATGGAGCAGTTGTCGAATAAGGAGATGCTGTATGAGCCGATGAAGGAGCTGGATGGCAAGTTCGGGCCCTGGATCGAGAAGAATAAGTCGACGGGCACGGTGCCTGTGGAGGATATGGACCGGTATGAGACGCAGGCGCGGGTTGTGAAGCAGATTGTTCTGAAGTTTGAGGAGCCTGGCTACTCGGATGAGGATGCCCAGTGCCGCGAGCATGTGTGGGGACTGATGCAGGAGGTGAGTTCGGACGACGGTTCTCTTCATGTTGGTCTTGCGGTGTTTGGTGCTGATGACTTTCTCGACAGATGCAAGCTGCAGGCAGCCCGCCGGAAGAGCTTGTTTCAAATCCGCTCATGGAGGAACTGGGCAGTGCAGCCGGAGGTGCTGCAGCTCCAGGAGTTCCTGATTGCCCGCAGCAATAAAGGACACCGGCAGGCAGCATCCAGAGCATCCAGAGCATCCAGAGCATCCAGAGAAAGAGGTGGGACGACCAGAGGACTTGGGTCTTCATGGGAAAGATACACATTTATGTTGATGTCCATCGGCTTGCTCTGTACTTGTACATATACACAACCACGTCGATACCCTTATTTACTCCGAGATATCCACGCTTTGACCGTGCAAACTCCATGCATCAATCAGAAACCCAGTAACGCCGCCAGATGCAACCCCACGCTGAAAAAGACAAGGAACTCGACAATCACCCACAGCAGCAGGACAAGACCAGATCAAATCCGATCGGGTAGATACACTCGCTCACGACATATCCATGTCCTGCGTAGGCTCAGGCATGTGCATGAAGATATCATCGTACTCGGCATCACTAAACGGAACATCCGGCTGCGCCAGACGGTGCCCATGCCCATGCCCATGCCCATTCGCCAACGTCTCCCGCAGTGCCATCTCCATCGCCTCTTCCTGCGAGACAAACTCATCTAGCGCACGAAGCTCAGCGTCATCTGAACCAGAACATAACCAAGCGTTAGCCAACGTTCCCAATACTAGCAACTAATAACCCCCAACCCCAGTAAAAAAAAAGAATTGAACGGCCAAACCTACCAGGAAGCATATCATCCTCTTCGAAATCCACCTCCAGTCCACGCATAATCCTATCTGCATCGCGCGCCATACTCTCCTCCCACCGCCTCTTATCCGCCAAATGCTCCGCCATCATCATCTGCTCGCCACGCGCCTCGAACCGGCCCGCGTCGCGCTCGGTCTTGACACGGTTAAGGAACATCTTGCGCGTCTTCGAACGCGCCAGCGACGTCGTGCTGCGCATTGGATTGGCGACCTGCGCCGCATACCGGTCTGCGTAGCCGGGGCGCGTGGAGGGCGAGGGAGATGTTGGGAAGGGTACCGTGGAATGGTGCGACGTCGAGGCAGGGAAGGTGAGGGGCGCGGGCGAGGAGGCGATGTTCACGAAGCTCGGAGACGGCTGCGTCGTCTGCCCGGCGCTCTGATGCTGGTTCTGATGCTGGTGCTGGTGCTGGTTCTGATGCTGCTGCTGGTGCTGGTGCTGCTGCTGGTGCTGGTGCTGGTTCTGGGTGGGGTGGTGCGGTTGCTCATTGTGAATGGAGAAGGTTGGGAGGGAGAGTGGCGAGAACTGCGCGTTCTCGTCGTGGCCGGTGGGCTTCTGAGGCTGTAAAGCGCTCGAGGGGGAGCCCATTGTCCATGGGGGTGTGGCGATGTTCGAGCTGCGCGGGCCTAGAGGCGATGGGCGGCCGGGCGTGTAGTGGCCTGTTTGGCGGAAGGGTGTGGAAGGGGAGGAGGGGACGGGGTGTGTTGCGAACATGGTAAGATGGAACGTTGGGTTGAGGTGGGAGTGACTTTTGGGAGTGGAGTGTCGCTCCGTGGTTCGGATGTGGAAGTGTGTTGTCGTTTGGCTGGGTTCGGCGATTGAAGAACTTGGTTGAGATCTTCAAATTTAGGTATCTGGGTCCAGATCCCGGTTCCAATTCCTAGGGCAACAGCGTGATTAGGGTTGTTTGGAGGGTTGGGGGTGCTGATAAGTCGCAAGTCGAGACTTTTGTATGAGGCTGGAGGCTGGGGGAGCGTGGATCGCATCGCGACACGCGCCTTCCGTCGCCACGTGATGATCGCGTCGGCACGTCAAAGGTGTCGCTTGTGGAATGAGACCTACAATCACAGATGGGGCGTATGGGAATTGTCAGTCCTGGAATAAATAATTTAGCTATTGTTGCGGGTCTCTGTCACCGATAGGTCCTTCGGTCGCAATCAATCGGACTTACTCGTTTCGATATACCTTACACCTAGAAGCAATATGATTGTGTCTGTTTCTGGCTACAGATAGAGTGGTCATGAATAGAATTCACCCCAACTTTCCGGCAGTGGAAAAAAAGGATAAATGGTTGTATCTGGAATGAACCCTTAGATTTTGCGCAGTCTACCTTGGCAGTACTCTATATCAGCCGGGGATCAGAAACTCCGTTAACTACTAGACCAAAAGGAAGGTGTGTCGAAAGGGTTCGACTAACTAAGCCGCCATGAAAGATCCCATTATATTGTATTTATCACACCAAACATTGCCGAGGAATGCTGTGTCATGTTTGCTTTTGCCACATTTTAGCTTGCTTCGAAAGAACGTGAGGCAGCAGAGGAGAAAGAGAGTGAGGAGAACAACGCTACAGGTAGTTAAATGCGAGCTGAACTACTTGATTCTTTCCAGTTTTTGGGATGAGAATCCGATTACAGGCAAACACAGATCAGATGAAACTTTTACATTGAGCGCTAGGCTAAAAATGTACGCCCTAAACAACACCAAAGATAGGGGCTAGAGGTTGGGAATTTAGGAAAGAGATGTATTAAATACCAAGATGTCTCAACAGGACAATCATGTGACAAGGAAAACAGCAAGCAAGTGCTTCGATACGGGGAATCTGAGACGAGATGGGGATGAACGAGGCCAAAAGAGCCGAAGAGAAGACGGAAAGGAGGAAAGTGCCGGAAATCTGGTAGATGTTGCGCAAGGATCGAGAGGTGCGATCGCATCGAAGGAGTGTGGAAGTTTGCAGAGGAGAGAACGTGTAAAGGAGTGGAAAGCATGTCGGTCTATGATGCCGTGGAAGAAAGAATGGAGGGGTTGTCCGAAAGAGGAGCCCGAGAAAATAGAAGATATCTGCACCCAGAGAAAATAAGAAAAAGCAACGCAATCGTGACCTTCGCCTGCCAGCCCATAGCGCCTGAGAAGAATGGCATGATGATCGTACACAAGAAATGGAATTTTTACACTGCGACGAACGCCGTCGCGCCAAAGCACAGCATTGGTTTGCCTGGTATCCAGTCCAAAACCAAGAACATTCGAGACGGTGTCTTTAGAAGTTCGATGCCGCATTGACGGGACCGGGGTTGTGGTACTGGTCCAGTGTGTTCTTGAAAGGGGTGCCGCCCTGAGCCGGACTGGGAGCCTTCTCGCGAGGGCCGGTGCCGACGGCGGTGCCGCCCATGAGATCATCATCCTCGTCATTGTAACCCTGGCTGCGCTTCTTTTGAATGCGCCAGTAGACCACACCCAGGACACCCAGTAGGATAGCACCACCGACGCCGACCACGACACCGATGATGGTCTTCTTCTCCGAGCTCGACAAGCCGCTGCTGGACGAGCTATTGCCGCCGTTCAGTGAGGCAGTGGTCGTCGCGGCCGGGGTCGAGGTGGTGGTCATGACAGTTGCCCTGGTGGTTCCGCTGACAGTTACCTCCGAGGTAATGGTCTTGACTACAGGGGTCTGAGTGGTGGAAGTGGTGTCTGCGGCGGTGGTCTTGTCGGCAACGCTGGTGGTAGAAGAGACCTCATTTTTGGATGATGTGGTGGATGCTTCGGATGTGGTCCTTGCGACCTCGGAAGAAGACGAAGTGGTAGTGGTAGGCTCGCTGGTGGTACTCGGGGCCTCTGACGACGATGAAGACGATGAAGAGGTAGTGGTCGTGGGCTCGCTGCTGCTGCTGCTGGAGGTGGTAGACTCGGCGGCAGTGCTGCTGGAGGACGAAGAGTCGGTGGTGAGATCACTGAGGAGGTTGGTCGCGGCCGCACTCTGGGCCGCGACAGCGGTCAGGAGGAGGGCCTGGACGAGAAACGAGAGTTTGGAGAGACGCATGATGGGCGACGTTTTTGGGGGGGGGGGGTTGTGGGAGAGGTCTTCTCTGAACGAGGGGAGAAGACGGGAACGATCGTGGATGAGAAGTAACGAGAGGCAGAAGATTGTACGCAGTAAAGAACGAAACGAGGAGGAATGGAAAGGGAGTCAGCGGAAGGGAAGGGCGGTTGACGCTAGCCCGATTAGGCACGCTAGTCGGCCCTAGTTTCAGTCTCTTTTTGGCTGGTCGTCATGTGTTAGGCCTTCACTCGCCCCGCGGCCTGCCTAATGGCCATGTCTACAGAATTGCATATTCTGCGCCCGTGAGACTGAGGGACTGAGGTCGAGGGACGACGACCTCCTCTTCCCTAAGCTACTCAATATCACACAAGACCACCACCACGGTCTACCGACGGTATTCGCGTCTCTAGGCAACCAGCCAATCAATCACATCTGTGGCATGGGCCGGCCAATAACCCAAAAACTTTCCCCCCGCTGACCACGGACCCACCCCTCACGCTCGCTCAGCCATAATTAGCTCTCTCACCACTGAATCCTCTTAGCATCCCCCCGACCGATGGGCAGTCTGCATATTCAAAATGCTACCCTCACCCGGCCCCCGTCGATCATGACTGTGCCCTCAAGATACAGGATATCGCACCAAACCCTAAGGTGTGGTTTACAGTCTGACGGTTCCTGACCCATATTTCCAACACTCCGCGAAATGAAGCCGACACACCCGACGACTAAGCCTGAATTGGCCCCGTGTGGCGTTGGCGCTGGCGACCGCGCTCATCCGCTCTGAGCATGGCTCTCACTATGAGAGTTGTCATTAAAAACCTGACGTGGGCCTGAATCTCCACCGGTGCAGAGCAGCTCGGAGGACTCGTCGACGGGCTCAGTTCTAGACTCAAGGTGCCTGTCAAACCAGCGCAAATCATCTCCCTCCGGAAATTATCGATTTGGACCTGTCGCGTCAGATTGTGTCCGAATGTCCTGCTTCCCCCCGGCACCTCTCGGCTGATTCTTGTGCCTGGTCCGTGGTCGTCGGAGCCCTGAGGAATGGTCCCTGACGGGATCTTTGTTGGAGGTCCAGTAAGCTTGAGAGATTTCTCAGCGACTACTCCGTAGGTACTCGGCCGGGCCAGATGAGTGACGAAAATAGATGCCTAGAACTCCGTAGGTATTGCGCATCAAAGACCAACAGAAACATCAATTTCCATGGCACATTGTGGGCTGTCAAAATGGATCTAAGAAGGTAATCTCGGCTGGCACTGATCCCTGGCCCTGATCCCTGGCCCTGATCCCTGGCCCTGATCCCTCACCAATTTCCCTGGCCTTCCGGACTCCAGCACAATTTCCATGATCATCCAAGCGGCGGAGGAGATTTCTCGGCGACTATTGAGTTCTGACTTCAACCGTTGCCGGGCAGAGACGCGCGGCTTTTATTTGATTCGCACAGGCGCTGCATCCTTATCTGAAGCCAATCGGTCCCAGCTCCCACCCATGAGTTTCAAGGGGTTCTGCACAGCTATGCTTGATAGAAACTTGTATCATATCTATAGTCTCTGCATTTGCTCATTTTTGCATGCTCCAACTTTTAAATCCCAGCTGCACCGTGTAGAGAAACAACCAGGGGAAGCGGAAGAAACTGACTATACTCAGACAGAATCACCACGCTGCAGTCATGGCAGAGTGATGCAGACCATTATATCTCCGAGGCTCGACGACTCGAGAAGACAGAGGAGAAAAGAGGACAAAAAAGAGATTAAGCGAATGCCAAGGCTGAAATTTCAAAGTGATGGGTATCATGCAGTTGTATCACCAAACGCCAGCAGAAAGTACCTCGAAGGGCGGTCACAGTTTGTTACGAGGTTTGCCCTTCATCTGGTCCTGAATCTCTTCCTTGAAATACCGCACAAACTTGTCCAGGGATCCTGCCAAGTGATTATCAATCAGCGGCACTATACAACATATCGCGCGACGGAACTCATACCGCTGCCTTCGAGCTTTGTGCGCGACTCTTCCGGTGGGATACCATGACGGATCTGCTCCACGCGCCGATGAACGCGACCGACCATTTGATGGAAAATGGGACTTCTGATGAGCTAAAGGGGGAGTCAGCACAGTGGGGGACTTATGATGACATCGGCGATTGTCAACGTACTCGACTGTACAACCAGACCTGCATCTTGTCAGCGAAGAAGCACTACCTCAGCAGCATCAGAACGCACTTACCTCCAGGGCCCGGAGTCCGAAAAGATGGAAAACCATTTTGGCCGGCTTTTGAATCGCCAAAGGGATGATTGGAGACGGTATTTGCGGAGGAGGAGAGAAAATGGGGAAGTCCAAGTCGTTAGGTAAGCCCCGCACCGAATTTCCCGTGCACGGCGGGACTGGGCCCGCTCTTTCCAGTCACATCTGACTCTTCTGATAGCTGGGGATGCTCTGTCGCTGGCACGCTGACTCCGACGATCCATCGACTCCAGTCTAGCGATGATAGAGTGGTTTTGCCAACCATCCACCGATTCCTGACCGCGATGGCGAGTGGAAGCACTCTCCCAGTGGCTAGGCTCTTTCAACTCTGTTTCTAGAAAGATCTCCGACAATCTCGACCTCCCGACCATCTCGACCTCGACCATGACCAAGGGTTGCTATACCTGCCGACGCCGTCGCATCATTTGTGACAATGGCCAGCCCACTTGCAGAAAATGCCGTGACGCGGGGAAAGAATGTCTGGGCTACCAGAAGCCGCTGGTTTGGGTGAAAGGTGGCGTGGCTAGTCGAGGCAAGATGATGGGCCGCAGCTTCGACGATGCGAAGAAACGAGAGGGCGACTCGAAGGGCCAGGCCCTTTCTCAAACGACGATTACTGCGGCGGCAAATGCTGGCGGCTTGGGCTCCTTTCCTATCGCAGAATCATCTTCCGCGACTAGCTCGCCGAGCTCTGGCGCGCATACGAGCCCGGAATCCGAGGCCTGTGTACAAGAGACCGTGGCCAATCCGGTATTTGGAAATGTCGACGGCCACATACTTTTTGGTTTGAGTAAACTGGAAGAACTGGACAACAGGGTCGTCCATGTTCCCCGGGGCGCCTCCGCCGATAGGATTCCAAGCCCGTGGGGATTGGTAGATCCGTTGCTCAAAGATCTTACTCAAATCTCACGGTTTTACCTTTTTCATTGTATGATCTACTCGCATGTCATCTACTGATCTGTTCAAGCCTGTTGACTAACCGTAATTGGCTTAGACAATCAATACATGGCCAACGACTTTGTGGTATATTCCCAGTCCAAGAACCCTTGGCGTGATATCATCTCATTAGTCGGTGACTCTCCGCTTCTCGCACACGGCCTATGTGCCATGGGTGCTCTACACTACTCGTTAATGTCGGACTCAGACTCGTCCCAGATGCCGTGGTCCTCGAACAACCTCTTGACGAGCAGCTCAAATCTGTCGCCGGAAGAAATTGAAAGCATCGTCTCACCTGCAGGCAATCGACGGCCGTCTTCAAGGGCATTCCAACACTTTCTCGAGTTCAAGCAACGTACACTGCACCAGCTGTCCCAGGACCTTTTGAACCCTGTCAAGCAAAAGGACGACCGAACCCTGGCAGCGATAGTCGTGCTTGCTCTTGTAGATATATTTGAATCGGGCAGTGGGGCATGGAGCTATCACATCGAAGGCGCCAAGAAACTTCTCAGGGACAGACCAGAAAGCAATCTGGGCCACGGTATCCTTGATGGACTCGAAACCTTCGCAATTGATGGATGCTTAATGTAGGTACTTCCTTGCCTCTCCACAGCTCCAAGCTAACATATTTTTTTTTATCAAGCATGGAAATCATGGGATCGACCCTCGCCCGCCCCGGCGCTCTCTCAAAACCCTTTTACTCCGCTACAATGGGCCCGGCTATGCTCAAACGCCTCGAAGAAACGTCGTGGGTCGGATGCCCCGCCTACCTTCTCGAGGTCATATTCTTCATTCACACCCTCTGGTACCCAGACTCCGAGATCACCGCCGTCACTCCTCAACCATCTGCCCTCCCAGCCTCCATGCAACAAGGTCAGCCCCTCTCCCTCGAGTCATACCTCGCACTCCTCCAGGGCATCCGCGACTTCGACCCCGTAGCCTGGGCCCACCATATGCAAGCCTACTATTTCCTCTCCGACATCTCCTCCCGCATCGCCCTCGCCAAATCCTACCAAGCTGCCGTGTATCTTTATACCAGCCGGGTCCTGTCCCATGCCCGAGAGGGCTATGCTCCTCCCTGGGCGGACGTGGGCCTGCCCGTTGATCACTCAACCGTCGCGAGCGATCTCCTTGACCAAATATGCTCCGTCCCTTACTCCGATCCCCACTTCAAATGTCTGATTTGGCCAACATTCATCGCCGGCGCAGAGTGCCGCCGCTTCTCGCAGCGGCCTCTCATTCTCGAAAAGCTGGGCGCTCTTTACCAGGCCGTCACGAGCGTCAACGTCCAAAATGCGGCCTGGGTGCTGCGATTGATGTGGCAGAAGCATGATCAGAAAGGACGCGATTATCGCGAAAATATGCCTTCTGCGGTTACGGATGGGCTGAAGAAAGATGGCGCGAGTGATGCCAACGACAACGATGACGACGATTACGATAATACGTTCGACTGGGTCAACGAGCTGGATGAATCGCGCCTGGATTGGCTGTTCATTTGATCGTGTGTGCCTTTAGGCGGTCTTCGTGTACAAAATAATGGATGGCGTACTACTCCATCTTCTCATGAATAATGTTTTCGATGCTTGTATATAACTTAATGAGCGTTTGTCTGAATAACCCGATGAGATTGAATAATAGCCTACTCAATAGGTATTAAATGTCTCGAATACAACCAATTCAAGTCCCTGAAACGGGAACTGCCTTGGTTGAGATGCGTGCACATAAAGGTAGGTACCTATATTTCCATCCAAACTACCTATCCAAGCGAACAGGTATGTAATCAGGGTTGAACTAATCGTCGATCCCAATGTATATCTTCTAGGTAGTAATGGGGGTGTCCTGGACTCCCAGGGTTAGGAAAGAAACTAGAGGACCCATAGAGCCGCCGTAGCTCATGGTGAACTGCCACCTGAAGCCGTCTGAATAGAGTGGGGAGCCACCCACGCCTGATCGATGACCACTACCATACTTTGGCTGTTGTATATTTTGATATGTTTGGGTACTTCCGCATTGAAATTAGCTGTATCCTGTGACCCGCTATCTCAACCCCCTTCACTCAACCTTCTTTGCTTCATTTGGGGTAGATCCCGAAGGAGTCCCATGACTACTGCTCTCTGCGTTTGCGATAGGTTGACTGTCGACGATGTGGCCACTCTCCAGCCCGTTAGCATTAAGGCTGATGTGGCTCCTCTCACCCTCGAAGAACAATGCGTAGGCCTCTTCACCATGGATTGCATCATCACCAACAAGCAGTTGTTGCTCATTCATACGTAACGGTATGCGTAAGACATATTGAATGAAAACGCAGATCAATGTCGTCATGAACATATTGAGGCCAATGATGAATAGGGCACCCACAATTTGCAGCCATACTTGTCTTCCATTACCTTCGATCGCGCCACCGGGATTTGTGAGACCAAAAGCTGCACATCCATCAATAGTAGCAAAGATACCTGTGAGGAAACCGCCCAGGAATCCAGCGACCATATGAGTATGAAGAACTCCCACTGGAAAGAAAAGGGTCAGTTGGCTCATTCAGAGCATGTCAGCTCCTGGGATACTTACTAACGTCATCAACTTTTTTCATCCATCTCATTCTTCCTATGACGTTCATCGATATCCAAGGAATCGAACCAGAGGAAGCTCCGATGATGACAGCCCCCCAACCTGCGACGAAGCCAGCAGCGGGAGTGATCGCCACAAGGCCAGTGATCTCGCCTTGAACGGCACCTATTACGGATGGCTTCCCGAGAAAGATGAAGTCCAGCATAGTCCAAATGAGCAGACTCATGGCGGTACAAATATTGGTGTTGAGAACGGCAACGCCGGCATCAGGGCTTGCCGCATATGGGTCGCCTCCATTGAAACCATTCCAGCATACCCAGAGGATGCCCGCGCCGACCAGCATGAGAAGAATGTTGTTGGGGTAGAAGGAGTCCTTATCGCGTTGCAAGCGTGGACCTACCCAGAATGCAGCGGTAAACCCTGTAAATCACGTGTTGGGAAAGAAAAGTACTTTGAAGGTATCGAAGTCATTTCCCTGACTTACCAGCAGTACCAGAGCTCAAATGAATGACATATCCGCCTGAATAGTCCAGGACACCCATATGGCTGAGAAATCCCCCGCCCCAAAGACTGCACGTGTCGTCAGTTTAACACATTCCATCGTACCATGTGCTAGACGACAGACCTGAATGCCCCAACAGTATAACTCAATGTGATCCAGAGGGGTACAAACACCATCCATGCCAAAAGACTCATTCGGCCTAACAGAGCTCCTCCCAGGATGATGACTGTGATAGCCGCGAAGACGAACTGGAAGTAGATCATAGTTGACAAGTTGAAATTCGGCGTGATATTTGCGGCTGGCAAGGTTGCTTGCGCCAGGTTTTGTTTCATGGTTAGAACGGGACCGGGTGTTCCAACCAAAGGGAATTTGCCCCATTGCTCGCCGAAAGCCATTTTGTATGCCCAGATAACCCAGCACACAAGTGTAGCGGAGAAAGCGTAGAATACCTGGGCTTGGTTAGAAGGGTATCATCACTTGAAGATCTTTGAATAACGAGTGTACCATGAATGCGGAGTTGATGGCCCATTTCCTATAAGAATTGGATGTCATTAATCCGTGATAGTGAAGCTTTGCACAAGAACACCTACTTCTTGACAAACCCTGCATAGAGAATCGCAAGTCCCGGAATCGACTGAAGAGCAACCAGCGTACCAGCCGTTAACTGCCAGGCCTGGTCTCCCTTGTTGAGCCAGCTGTATGATTATCAATAAAGTCACGTATAAGCAGTTAAAGCGTACATAGGTCAGGACTTACTCTGGAGCTGGATTGGTTAACGCCGTGGCAGACATGGTCGAGGACCACAGAAATATTAGTCCAGAAGATGATATATGGAATGATAGTCTTGAAATGACCCACACCGTGTGGTACACGCGGGTAGAATTTATTGCTCTGTCCACACAAGTCGGCTGTATATATAAGTACAGGAAAGGTGATGTGCTGCGGGAGCGACTGGGAAGTTTGAAAGTCAAGTCTCAGCCCTGCCCAACTTTTGACATGGTCTAGATCAGAGGCAGTCGTCGGCATTTTGCACCTCAATCACATTGCAAGCCCCTGATGGTAAAGACATATACATCATACCATTGCAAAGAAAGGATTGAGAGATAAGACGCGACTATGTCTTCGAAACCAATAGAAATGGTCACCTGTGCAGATCCGATATCAATAATCACACCATGACACACGAAAACTCCGATCAACAGAATGATGATTCGTCAATAGTTTTGCTATCTCTATCAAAGGAGTGACTATTTGGGTTTCTTATTCTTATACCTTGGTATTTCGGACAACACCTGATCAGCCCCGCCCGGGTTATCCCCCGCTCTTTCCCTCGCGAGCTTGTGTCAGAAAGCTTAACTCCCCAGGTGTGGAGACAAGCTTCTCAGATCCTGCGTTATTGGGTCAAATCTGCCGCATAATCTGAAAGGCCTGAACGATGACGCTGGTATCCGTGTCTATGCCCACCCACACCGATCCATAACAGGGGGTTGAAATCCCGTATCGCTTAGTCCTAATTCGCTGCCATTACGCCACTCACGGCCCGTCCGCAATAGATCAATCAACTTCCATCGTCTTATCTTCCGGATGTTGGTATTTTGTATGTTGCTTCTCATTCCCCTCATTAGCTCAGTTACAAAGTGCAACAAAAATCGATCAGTGATGGCAATTGACTGGTATTGTGGCTGAGCCTACCATCCATCAACTGCCAAATTGAACGCATGACCTCACGGAAATAAAGTCGCTCATACAAACCAACGAGAAAAATGATGATGAAAGGAAGGACTGTAGATAAATTGGTGGGTCTATTAATCTGGGGTAATGCCAAGCAACCTTGGGCTTCTTTTTATCTGTCTAAATTGTGTGCACCACGATTCCCACCTACCAAGAAAGGCCCCTGATCCAGGTGATTCAACACGAGGTAAGTGCAGGACCCATTGACTTGGCGAAATTAAGAAATAATAGGCCCCCTAAATCACACGAGAGATTTGTTTGAGACCAGCATGGTGCCAGAATGTTTAGATTCTGGAAACGTCACTACTGGTTCAGGCTTCAAGGTACCGACCTTGATGGAGAACTTGGCAATGAAGACAGAGGAAGGAGATCGCGATCAGAAAGACGGGCTTCTGTGGAGGACCCAGGGCGATATATGAGCTTTGGTATTGGTGGTGCGGGCAACATTCGGAGGTAAGTGAAATTGCTACTTTTTCTTCAAGCAGCCCCACCGCAATATAGTGTGTTTTGTATGTTCAATAGACTGATAGTTGGCTTCAATCTACTAGGGTTTCACTTCGAAATGGACAATACTTTGATGAGTCGGCGCCGTTGACTTGAGATTGCGAAGTAAAAACAGTCCGACTGTTTCGGCCATTTAAGTAAGAATAATTGATAATCCCACTTTATATGCAACACTTGGATGCACCCTTAAAGAGAGAATCAAAGAAACAGCTAAATACATCATTTTCACAAATAACCTCTGATCGCCTTGGCAACCATTACGGCAAATCAGTCTTGGGTAATTTGAACTCTTCGCTTTCCACTCCCGGTCTATTATTGTTGTTCTGTGGAAAAACAAAAGCCATCCTAGATGCCCAGAGTTCAGCTTTTTTTTCTTTGGACTAATGGGACTGTACTTCGAAATTGTCCCTTTCTTCGTCCTTCATATCTCTAAGGCTGCATTTCTGGATCCCTCTGAGAAAGCAGCAAAAACGTGAGTTTATGTCACCGTCTAACCTTTGGGGAGCATTCCAGAGGCCAAACCACTGCATTAGGGGCAAAAGACTAGAATTTAAGGACATAGTCCTCAAACTGCTCTCACTATATAAGGAGCACTGATCGTAACAGTTTAGCCATTTCTCTTAACAAGAGCGTCGGCACTGTCAAAAAAAACTCCGAAACTCATTTCATCCTTCTGGATCGACTGAGAGGTTATTTAATCCATCCTGCGTGAATCGTTACGGACAATCGTTGTAAAGGATTGCTTTGTTCACCCCATCATGGGAGAAGTGTTCGCGTCATTGATGGTTACATCATTCTGTATCACCACTCTATAGTATTAGAAGATAGAAGACTATGCCCCGCTCTCTTTCAGTCTAAATCTAGCAAGATTTAGTCTGAAACAGGACGGCGCTAAATTGAATCAATCGTGTTTCCCTACCTCTTCGCTATTGATTCTTTACCTAATCGACAGGCTACTACCCTGACAAGTAGTTAACCGTTACAATCATCTTGGATACTCCGCCCGTGCCAATACCGACGAGGGAGGAGTTATCGAGCATAGACCAGAAGAAGAGAAAAGAACAAAGGAAGAGAGTGTGCCAGTAACCAGGGAGGGGATTATAGCTTCAATTTATACCTAAAGATCTATACAAAGGCAGCCGTAGATAATATAGGCAAAGGGATATTCCTCTTACGTCACTACGTAATAGATAAAAACTGTGCCCTCTATTCTGGCGTTATCTTGCTCCATCGTGTGTTTTGGGCGGGCCGAGGTTAGTGGTGGAAAAGGAGTATGGACACCTCAAGAAATTGAAGCTGATTAGGCCATGAGAAAGTAATTCACAGATAAACACTATCGTAGGGCCGAGTGCCCTGTTGGGTATAGACCGAGCGTGGACTGAGTTCAATAGATGCCTCTGATCAATCTCTGAGTAATCATTGAGCAATCAGTGAGCAGCTAATCACCAGCACTGGGCACTCACTGAGCCCGGGCCCGGACTGATATTTACTCAGTTTCTGACTCTGAGCGCCCTCATAAAAGCGGCGGCAGCTAAAATAGGAAAGCCCCTCCTGGCAGAGGAAATGTGGTGACCTAGGTACGTTCTTCTATTCCCCTTTTCTTATGCAGTCTGACGGGATGATTACTATTAAGTGACACTCTTCTATGCAGACTTTTGCGCAACAGTACTTGTAATTTGATCATAATTTCGCCCTGCAGCAGCGTAGGTTTGATTTTCATTCAGCCAACTACACACTATTTGACGCATAGAGCAGTAATAAATTCGATTGACGGAATGAAGTCGGGTATATCAAATTTTTGAGTTCTGCCAGAAGGATCAAGGAGAACCTATCTGCCACTAGAGAGTAAGAGGTGGAGAAAGGAAAATGAAGAGAGGAAGAAAAGAGGAAGTATTTGGAAAATGGAGAGAGACAAAAAAAATTCACAATGAAAGTGTCCGGGCCAAGGACAAGAATGAGAAGTCAAAATGTGCGATGTAGAAGGAAGCGACTCGATGGATTGGGGGGAAAGAACATGAGAAATTAAGCGGCAAGGCAACGAGAATAGAATTTCTTGTTCCGGTTTCTCTTGTGAGACGCGCGGTCAGTCGGATAGAAGGATAAGAAGTTTTCTACTGCAGCAGCAATGGCATGACAGTGATCAAAATCTTAAGAAATGAGGCCGGGATATGCAGAAAAGAGAAGGGAAATAAGAGATGAGGGAAGAGACAAGGAGCCATGGAAAGGTTGTCGACGGTATGCTTCAGATCAAATCAGGGATATATAACAATTGGCCGGGGCAGGAGGGGAAAATGGTTGAGGACAAAGCAAAGGAAAGACTTGGATAGACGCAAAGCAACAGCATGAAAAAGAATACGCAGGCTCCGTTCCAGTTCTAAATGCATCAACATATTCCCAACACGAACAAAACACGCTCGTCACGGTAAAATACAAAGGGTAGGACAACCAATATGCAGAGAAGACACCCGGCCTTTTTCGTGCGAGTGGCACAGGTAGAGCGGGTGTGGAAGGATGAACAAGAGAGGAAAGGCGGCGGCTAAGAAACCCAGGAAATCAGGAAGTGCCATCCATTAAGGGAATAAGCAAGAAGCCAAGATCAGGGTCCCAATGAAGCAACAGGAGCCAGCCCACAGCAGTCGCCTATTATATAAGGGGTCCCTATGCTGAAATAGCATCCGGAGCTGGTCCCTAGCCAAGAGCAAACTGAGCAGGCGAAGCGAGGATCGTGATATTTGTAGAAATCAACAATTATTAGAAGACAGCTGCAAGGCCATTCTTCGAATGCCGCCGGCTGAATCTCTTCTTCCCCTTGACCGACTCCGAGTCATTGGCCTGGTGTTTCACCAGGGTATTGCGTCCCGGGGGAGGGATGTTGCTTTCATTCTGAAGCTCCGTACTGTGGTCGAGCGTGTTGGCATGGCTAGAAAACCCAGAGGACAGGTCACGGAAGGCATCCTCGGCGGAGTAAGGCCCGGTGCTTTGTTGCATGGCAGCCATCTCCTTGGCCCTATCGAGCGCATCCAGCCATTCTTGCGCTGATACCGCCGAGGCTCCGATGTTGCTGGAGGACGGCTTCGGATCTTCGAAGACGTAATGTTTAGTCCTCTAGAATTTATGTTAGTACCCGTTGTTTTATGATTCAGGGCCGAATTGGACATACCGTGTCTACAATCCAAGAAGAGTGTCCCTTGGCATCAGTCGTGCTCCGATAATGGGTCCCAGGCTCAAGTAGAGGAATCTCCAGCTTTGCCTTCTTCTCATCCCCGCCAGCTGCAGCGAGAATGATACGTCCGGCCGATGTGACCATGACCCACCGTGATCGCTTCTTTGTGGCTGTTCCCGAGAAGAAACGCGAGAACTTCTTGGGAGCCTCGGCCTCACCGCTGCCGTTCTTCGATGGACTGTGAGATGCAGGGGAAGAAAAGACCACCATGTTACCGAGTTTCAATATCCGTTCATTCGCCTTGCTCAACACAGGCGACCACTCAATATCGAGCTGACTCGGTGGGGGCAGTTCGGTGACGACCCGAGGGAGTGCGCGAGAATTGGAAGTCGTCGCGTTGGACGGAGTGGTTGAGATCGCAGGAGGAAAGCTTTCACCTCCCTCGCCACCATTAAGCTTAATCGGCTCTCGCGGGGGTGGCATGTATGCTTTCAACCGGGGAGCCTTCTGCTTCCACAACTCCGGCCCCCATGAAATGCCGTCAAAGAATTCGTGGTTCTTAATATGTTCGATCTGCAGACGTCGAGCAGGATCAAGGACCAGGAGACGCTCGACCAGATCGCGGGCTACCGCGGGGAACCCGATTGGAAACTCATAATCCAAGGCGACAATCTTTTGGAACGTTTGGTACTCATTGCCCGCCTTGAAAGGCGGACGGCCAGCCAAAAGCTGATAAATAATGCACCCAAATGCCCACAGGTCACTCGCCTTACACGCGTTCTTCTCGGTCAACAGCTCCGGGCTGACATACTCCGCGGTGCCGACGAAGGAGCTTGCTCGTTCTTCTTCGGGAATTTCGGTCGAGTCGATCTGGATCGAGGTCTGGCTCTCGTCCGGCCGTCGAGTCTTGAGAATCTTGGCGGTTCCGAAGTCGGTGATCTTGACGTGCATTTGGTGATCCAGCAAAACATTTTCCGGCTTCAGATCCCGGTGAATCACTCCGCGCTTGTGCATATAGTCTATCGTGTCGAGAATCTGGGCGCCGTAAAACTTGGTGCATTCTTCGTCAAAGGTAGTCATTCGTTTCAGTACCCCAAGCAGCTCTCCTCCTTGGCAGAGGTCCAGCACAAAGTAGAGCGACCGTTCGTCCTGGAAGGTGTAGTAGAGCCGCACGATTCCCGGGTGGTCAGTCAGGCGATTCAACGTGTCTTTCTCGATATTGACGTATTTGACCTTCTTCTCCTTGATGATGTGTCGCTTGTCGAGGATTTTGATCGCGTACTCCTTCAACGTCTGCCGGTCTGTCGCAAACACCACCGTGCTGTAAGAACCTTCACCGAGCGTGTTTCCGAAGGAGAAATCCCGGACACCCTTCTTGATATAGCGAGCAACCGTCTTCCCGTTGGCATCGACCTCCTGTCTCACCGCGACTGCGGCGCCGCGGTCCTGCCAATCCTCACTGCTGGGCGCGGGACCGTTCTCCATGCCATATGGTGTTCGCGACATTTGCGGCGTGGTTCCGCCTCGGGTATGCGCTCGAGACGATTGACGCATTACTGCCGGCCCATTGGCCGGGATCTGGGCTGTTCGGTAGGAGCGATCGCTGTGGGAGTTATCGCGCGCGGGAACCCCTGCTTGTAACGCCGCCGAGCCGCCGCGAGTGTCCACCCGTGAATGTGAGGTGGAGGTGGACGAAGCGCCGGAATCGGTTCGCATGCGATAGGAATTGTGCCGGGGGATGACCGAAGAGACGGAGCCGTTCGCGAAGACGGAGGATAGGGGGCGGTTCGGGTTTGGGGGGGTGGAATAAGGCTGTGTCGAATAGGACTGATAGGGACCCGACGAGGGCTGAGGGGGATCAGAGGTTGGATAGATGACGGAGGAGCGATTCTCGTTCGATACCGGGTTGTGGAGGGGAGCCGGAGGAAAGGTCGTTGGGCGCTCGTCGAGCGGCGGGTAAGTCTGTGGAGGTGTTGATACCGAACCGGCCGGCTGAGCCGACGGGCTGAGTCCCGCTGGAACCGGACTCGCGACCTCAGACTGGAGCGGCGAATCGTCCGGATTCGCTATTCGGAGCCCTCCCAGGGACTGGGAGAGGCTGAGGTCCCCGTTCATGACGGGGGTGGATGGTCGGCGATGGGATTGAGGGTGTGTGCGTGTTGGTCTGGAGGAGATTCGATAGCGATGCGGGTGGGAGGCTCGCAAGGGGAAAACGGGAGCAGCCGACGGACTAAGACGGCGAACGCAAGTCCCGCGGAGGCATGGTCCAGCGAGTAATTGGGAGCGAAGAGGAGGGGGAGAGTGAAGAGCGAAGGAGAGAAGACGAGAGGAGGGGGGGAAAGGATCAACAGGGAGGCTCCGTCTTTGCAGCAATCGGGCCTAGTCTCGGGGCGGAGCATGACAGCTAGGACGAATATACCAGGGAAGAATATGCTATGAGTACTATTAATACTATGTCAGGATAATACTAAACTACTGGACCCTGCCAGACGCATCATAGAGCGTTGGTACAATGAACAGGATCCCCCCCTTAGAAATGGACAAAGTTGAGAAACATTGAGTCAGGAACTGGAGCCCAAACACAAAATAACAAGACCGCGTCTAAAACATCCCAACTAGCCCCAGTGGCCCAATTGCTATTCTGACACCCCCCCCCCAAGGGCCTCGTCATCGCGATGGAATGGAACAGTGGCAGTGGGCATATCTGAATCGTCCGGATTTGTCCCGATTTCCCGAGGATACAGGTTCAACCCAGGAGAAGCCCGAGTCGGACGACATGGTCCCTTTTGCGATGTCTCATCTCGAGTGGTTCTCCCTGGTCTCGGCTCTGCATACATGCTTCTGCCGGTACGTCAGTCCTCCGGTCTCTGGCTCTTTCCTCCCCGTCTCCGAGGCCGTGCGACACTTCCTCGATCAACCGCCAAGGTCCGATAGAGCAAGGCCCAGAATCCAGAAGACCAGCAAAACGCAAGACCAAGAGACAAAGATCATGTTGAGACGGCCTCCGACAAACCTCGCGCTGAGCGAAGACGATATTAACTCCCACCTACAGCGCATCCTTCACCGGACGATTCTCCCGGTAAACATGGAGCAGCTCAGCCTAGAGGATCCGAACCAGTGTTACGACGCTCGCCACGGTCCCTCGTCTGATGACTACACCCCAGCGGTCGACAAATCTGCTGGCTTCGGTCATCGCACGCATGGTTCGATCGGGGGTTCATCGTGCATGGGTCACTTCTCGTCTACTTCAACTCCAACGCAGCCGGCCCTCCCTGCTTCGAAGAACGGTTCGACCCACCGAACTACCATTGAGCCACACAAGGCTCCCACAACCACCGAACTGATATCATCTATTCTCCCGCAGCATCGAGCCGCTCGGCCTCGCGAGCCCTCGCGTCCCAGAACCAAACTGACCATTCCTCCACAAGAGTTTCTCAATCGCCGCATCCTTCCATCCCCCGATGGCAGAAAAGGTCTGCCTGTCCCTCTCAAAGAAGCGCCATTTCGCGCGAAGGGGGCGCGCGACTAATCAGGCTTTCGCGCAGAAAATCGCCGTCATAGCCACCCCCAGCATGCATGGACTACCCTGATTCAGGATGAGTTGCGGCTTTCCACCTCGCAGACTTTCCGCCTGCTGCCCGGTGCCTTGCCTAATCTGACGATCAAAAATGTCCCACTGCGGGCCCTAGCCTTAGCGCCGACAGAGTCTTACGAGGCCTGCGTGGCCGACACGACAGTCTCGCCCACCGCTGCGGCGGATAGCAGTTAACAAGCTGGCACCATCCAACTTCTTTCAGGCCTGCGGAGTTGCATGCGGGATCGAGTGTGTATCGAATTCTCCGGTGCTGAAGTTGTTGGGCCATGTGGTCTGGACATGCGCGGTCTGCGCTTGCGAGAACACCACTCATGATCACCTGTGCGATCCCTGCTAACTATCAATACCCCACGGCAGGTTGATAGTTTATCTTCTGTTTCTTTTATTTTTGGTTGGATTAGCCGATACTCAAGTTTCACTTTATATTTGTCCAGCAAATGAGCGTTGATTCCCACTCGCTGTCTTACTTGACCTTGTGCCAAGAATATCATATTCTCATATCCACTTGCTTGTCAATCGTCTGCCTCGCTAGAGTTCGGCCTGCTCGCTTGTCAAAGCTAGCTTGTTTCAGCAGCTACGAGTGAAAAAAGGTCGATGGCGCTCGACACCCCACTCGGGGTGCTCTGCAACATCTTCCTGCGACGGAGCCCAATCTTTCAGCCCTGTCAAGGTTAAACCATTCTCCAACAACAGAGACACATATGTCTCCGTGGTCCGATGGTATTTCCTCACCCCGTCGGCCACCTCCGCATCAATCCAATCTGCTCTTGGCCGAACAGGCGCGGAAAATATTGGGTGCTCCACAGGAAGACTAATTCCCTTTCCCAGACCCATGGGTCTTCCTCAAGCAAGCGTGGATCTGCCGGAATACCCGACCGAGATCTTCGATATAGTGAAAGGCTAAAGAGCTGCAGACGGTATGACTCGCGATTGGAATCGTCGTCGAGAATGATGCTTTCGATGTCGTGTATCTCGTAGCTGGTTTCTCCGGCAGAAGCAATCTTTGCATCCCCATCGAAGCTTTACTTTCACGATCATCTTTTCAGAGAGGTCCACGCCCTTTACGTAGTAAGCGCCGTTCTCGCGAGCCCAGCGGACAAACCAGCCATACTCACAGCCCAGATGGAGGACGTACGATTGTGCAACTGAGTTGTGCGGCGAGCCCAGAATCAGATTGCGTAGGGCCGACCATTCCGGAGCAGCCGCGAACCCGTGTTGAGATCGCGGAAGCGTGCCGTACGCTGAAAAGAATCGAGGGCCGTCATAGATGTTTTGTGCACAGAAAGACATTGTGGCGATATATAGCAGGCCAATTACCTAGTTCGAAGGGCAATTTGGAAGTCTGGAGATGATCGAATTTGATATCAACATGCAATTCTTGGTGACGGAGGGACTTGCGGTCCGACCTCCGTGGTGAACCTGCTGCCCGACTTTCTGGATTGCAACGACGAGAGGATGAATAAGATAACATCTTCACGACGAAGCGCATCCAACTCTATAGGATTGAACAAATGAGTACATTCAAGGAGAAGGTTGAAAGTACTCAATCAGCCATTACGTCATTTGATGCACGTACGTCACCGGTTGCCTAAGGCTCTAAACTATAGATTCACCACAAATCGCTTGATGAACGGGAGACCGACTGTTTATTGTCGCAATCTGACCACAGAACTGTGTGTGCGACCGTGAGCCTGGATGTGGGCTGAAATACCGACCAGAAGAGCCCGAGCTATCTATAGCTCGTGGACGCAGAGGAACCACCGCGGCACGCAATTCGGTTGACTTGCCCCGCCCCCGCGACTGACGCGTCCTCCGTCACCATCTGCTCTATTTTTATTTTTCGATTTTCGCGATTGAGCGAGTCTATGAGGGTGGACGTATCGAAAAATTTATCTCTGCCGCTGCCGGTTTAGCTAGCTCTTGTCTATAATGATTAATCTCTCGTCCAAGGGATCTTTCCGAGTGCTGCGCAAGTAAGTCTACTTGGTACTGCGTTGCTCTCGTATTCACACAACACTCCAGGCTGCCGCCAATTTTGGGTTGGTTCTGCATGCCCCTTGTTAATTATAGAAGCACAAGAAGCTGGAAAAGGATTTTGAGAGCCAGCAGTTTCTACAATCACTAACAAGTTCGGCTTCGACGTGATTTGCACCCTTTCGCTCTCTCAGAGCCGCTTTCGGAAATTAGCCTACTCTGGGCTTACATCGTGCGTTATTTTAGTTTTTACTACAGTATAACCTGTCGTAGTACCATGACACTGTATAGAATCTGTTCTATGAATATCCCTCCTTCAATAATTTTCGCTGCAAACAAGGCAAACCGTAGCAGACTTGTGCCTAGGCAGACTGGCAAACCGTTCTCTTTTCCCTCCTCAAAATCCCTTTCCGATAGGTGTGGAAACGGGCACCGTTCTTCATTACCATAAGCCGCCTATTTATCTTTTTCTCATCTCGAGAAAAAGCTAGACACTTGACTGATACGACATTGGGCTTGCTTAGCGCAGTCCATTGGCTACATGCTTGGTCTCGCGAGGGGTAGCCTGTATGTACACTGGAATTCCTTGTCCAACCGGCAGTCATTTTAATGTAACTGTCTACTGATGCTTACTGTTGTAAATATGCGGAATTGCTAAAACACTCTGCAGAAATCAGTGGTTCGGAAGGTGCCATGACTAGCGCTTTCCTTATCCGCGAGGAATCTCCGCATGACACTTCACTGGGACCCAACCCATATATATGTATTCTTGGTCTGCTTATGTATATCGTGCAGGTTTTGTATTGTGGCGTAGCTGGAATGTCGTAGGTATAAATATGTGCATGCTTGTCTGTGATTAAGAAAAGAAGGAGTGGATATAACATTTCTTTTACCCCCTTACTTTACTCCACCCCTTATGTTACTCAGACGTACTATTTATCTGACTAGAGCAATATATATAGTAGTACTTTGCTATTATTGGGATGATGGTTCCTTATTTACAGTCTGTATTCTTTTTTAAACTAATATTTTGAAACTATTTCTACCTATGTGAAAGGGAAAACACTCGGCAATATGAAGTTCGTCGCTATCCTCTCTGCGGTTGTCTTTGCCACTTTTGCGGTAGCGGGACCCACGCAAACCAATAGTCAGGGTGAAGACCAAGTTGAAAAAAGGACAAGTATGTGCATGATCCCCTCCCTCTGAGATATGATTCGAGAATATATAGGCTGACCGATATGGGACGTGAATAGAGGGTATTTGCTTGAACCCCTCCCACTTGAGAGATGGCTTGAGAAAACCGTACTAATCAAACCTGGTAAAAACCTCCTTGTATGGGATATTAATGGTAGTATGGTACTACAGTTTCGGCAAAACCTGATCGATGTAAGAATCGAGAATTACGCCGTGGTTGTCGTCCACTGATCTATTTCTTTGCTAGTATATCCAAATTACACGCCTACCTATCCTTAGGGAGCGCGTTGTGAAAAATTGGACTTTCGGATTGGATAGGGCTCTTCACATGTCTTGGTTAAGGTCTTTCATATTTAGTTAGGTTTCCCCACACCGTTATGCGAATGCAAAGGCTTCTTTTATATACAATGGTTCTACATTTACTTTCAATCTCCTAGGATCAAGTTCAGAAGTATGATACCGTCTTGTTTGTCCATAGAACGTGTCGTAGCCAAAAGTGTTGACAACACAAACAGACGCTGGCCGAAAATCATATTCCCCAAGCCCTTAATAGGATGGTGTGTTCAATTTAGGGTTCGGGAGCTGATTCGTGAGATAGTAGTGACATCGAATATTAGTACACATGCCTCGTCAGGCCTTGGGTCTTTTCCATACCACGCCTCATAAGCATGCGTCATGCCACCAGCAAATTGGAAGATACACCAGACCATCTGGCCTAGGTTTTACACCTCAGTCATTTTGAGATGAGATTCGCTTTGGACTTCACTCCACATATCTCATTCCTGCCTCCAACAGGTAGGTTTTAGCCGTGAGAGCCCCACAGGCAGCCTCAGCAGTCATAGAAAGTATGTTTGTGGTAGACTCTGCCACTAATGGTGGGGGAGCGTACTTAAGAAACGATTATCGACGCTATAAGGTCCACGAAGACGCTGGAAATACCAGACAATCGGCCAGGAGTGTCCCTTCCAGAAATTTGCACCCTCGACCATCGAGGCGTAGAGCCATTTTCACCGGCCCCAGCCCTAGGCTGGTTGCCACCCGTAGGCTGAATTTTGGGGGCTGAGTGATGACAACCATGGCCACCTGTAAGGCGACCCGCACCAAACGTGGGCCAAGCCTTGCCGGTGTCTGAATGGCAAGAATCATGCTTACTCTTTGGGGGCGACAAGAAATACCAAATGAAAGGTCGGCTTTCTTGCTCGGGCCCTTCACAAAGGACTGCAGGCTCTTGGCAGTTGAGTTTATAACAAACCCCTGGGCTGGAAAGAACACATACCGAGTCAACTCGCTGAGAAGTTGAGCCTCCAGGATGCTGCTGCTTCAAGTCATCCTCTGCACCGCGAGTCTCATGGCCTCTACAGCTGCCAGCTATAAGATCGATTTTTATGACTACGACGGTCCTCCAGATACCGGATGCGAGAATGAGCAACTCCTGTGGCGTGGGAAATGGAATGGCGATGTGAATACACGATGTACCACTCTCGAACCCACCGACAATGTGAAATACATTCGTATCACAAAAGACCATGAGAGCGACGACCATCACAATGTGCTTTTATCGAGCTTCGGTGATTGCGGCGAGGTCAACGCCATTCGTGTCGGAGAAGGCTGCTTCGATATTTCTGGAACCCTTCCAGGCCTGAAGTCGTACCAGGTGGTTCCTCGCGATATTGAGCAGGAAGCAGAAAAGACAGTTGATTCCTGGTGGGCCCCTGATGGCGACACTTCGACACCCATTCTTGTGTGGACTATCACAACTATCGGCGTCACGGTAGTCAATACCATCCGATCACGTTATGGGGAACTTATCGCAGCCAAGTTTGCAGTCATAGGGAGACCACTGTGGGCGTTCGTCAGCTCGCACTTCATCTCATTGATACTTACTGCACAGGTTTTTGCCAGTGGAACAGTATACTGGAAACGACAGATGGGAAATCGGGAACCTTGCAAAAGGACTGAGCCCAAGATAGATATATTGAAGACCGTTACGGAAATAGCCCCTCTCGGTGAAGTTGAGTCTATCCAGGCCATTGCCACTCTGAAAGACGGACGCACTATGACCATCAATCACCAGGTCATGAAGGACGAAGCCAAATAGGGGACCCACAAGATTATATTCAAGGCTAAATGGTTGGATGAGTATATATTGGGTTTATTAAAGGGGCCTGGAGATGCAGGTGTTTTCTGAGGATCTCTGTGAGAATGACTGAGTAGTCAAGCTTCGACATCATCGGTACTCCGTACTAGCCAATACTATATTCGCTTATCTCGACATATGGATAAGACTATGAGACAGTGGAACAAGAGATGATGCCGATGAGATTTATGATGATTCGTTCTACTCTCAATATGCCGGGCTTCGACATTGCCCTGAATCATTCACAGGGAGTCGGCAAGATGTACTCAGTTTGGCCATGATGTTAGCTGACAAGCCAAGATGACTTGACCGTTCGCTATATGGACGGCTTTCCCAAGGCCCTGAAGGTGGGACCCAATACGAGTGGAATTCTGCAGTAAGCCTCAGAATATACCTAGAATAAGAACCTAGGTTGTCATGACTAGATCCTGGTGACACACGGTAATTGCCACTCGGCTATGGTTCTTCCTGGTTCCCGTTCCTAGTATTCTACGGCTTCGAGAGAAAATCACCTGAACGGCGGGAAGATGGGTCGTGGTCTGCCGGGAAGACTGTCTCCCTCCAGGGAGTTTCCCCCCTTTTCGCTCGCGGACCGCTGGAAGCCTCCAAGGTACGGAGTCCATGTTATCTGCACGAATGGGCTCAAGTCCCTGTTCGATAGCCTAATTTGACGTGCTCCCCTAAAAATTGGCCGGCCAATAAGATTTCCCCCTTCTCAAAAGGAGCTAGATAACACACTAGCCGTCGGCAACTTTATCTCTACATGTTGCAAAAGGAAGTCAGCCCGTAACAGGACCCTCGGTGACCCAGCCTCGCTGCAGGGGAGACAATTTCGGGCAAATAGGCCGTTCCATCCACCCATGCGTCCTAGTTCAAGCCGTTACGCCAAAGTTGACCTTGATTCCAGCGGCGACTCAGAGCAAGCCAACCCCAACTCCAACTCCAACTCCAACCCCCGAATCCAATCCCGCTCAGCCCAAGGAACAATCCAGACCAGCCCTAACGCGTTGGAGAACGTACCGGAATCTATAGATAGTGTAGCAAATTCCCCCTCCCCTCCTGGTGAGGGAGATTCCACCAGAGATTCGAACGTGGTCGCGCCCAGCGCCAGTCTCCGCCCGGGCCCCATTCCAATCTGGATGGCCAGCCAAAGTTACAGTGTGGACATACTATTGGATTGTGCCTGGCCCACGGCAAGTCTTGGTTTGTGGGGCCCACCGCCCATCCCCACCCCAATCTCGCCTCACACCGGGCGAACCACGGCGCTGGTCGGCGCCCGTCTGTCTGGAAAAAGAGGACAGGTGGGATCGTCGAGGGTGCAGCGCTGGAGGGTGCCGATGAGGTATGTGGCTCGGTACTGCGTCTGGTCGGTCCCGTTCTTGCTGATCCGTAGGATCTATCGATGATCTCCCCCCCTTGAGCTATCGCGCATCTTGTGTGGCGAAAGCTGCGGGTTGGAGAGGCACGACGATGTGGACGCCCGGACTGGATTGGGACCAGCGATGACGGGGGAAGGCATGCGCGAAAATGGAGGTGGGGGGCGATGATTTGCCGTGCGATACACTATGCTGTAGGTCCAGGGTGAGATGGCTGGTTACTCTAGTCTACCTCCGTACAATCCACGATTTCGGATACTCGAACATATCTCTTTGTGTTCGTCAACAGGCTTCAATTAGAGCAACATCACCACGTTAAGCAGGTCTAAAAAAGTGTATATCGAGAGGAAAAGGGCCACAAGCAAAATCCAGCTCGAGGGTGGCATGGAAAAAGGACGAGACGGAGAGATAAGGGTGGAAAGGTGGATGTAGAAATAGGAGATAGGATGATATCACATGAAACGCCAACAAAGATCGTCTCCCAGAGATGCCGCTTCCGATGCTCCCTTTGCGTGTTGGTTTTTTTCCCCCATGACAGTGTGATCTCGTGCAAGTGTATCAAGAAAAAAAATAAAAACGGGGAGGAGAAAATTCGGGTTTAAAAAAAAGAAATCAAGAGGAATGATCTACTGCTGGGCCTTCTTAGCGAAGACCTGGGCACCATCGACCAGGCGGCGCTCGGTGTTCTTGCGACCGTTCACAAAGTCGGGGTAGTTGAGGGTCAGCTCAACGGCACCGTTGACAATGTTGTCGACAGCCTCGACACCCAACATGAAGGAGTGGTCCTGGTTGCCGACCTCGTAGCGCCAGCTGCCGAAGCGGCCGCGCGACCAGATGCCCTTCTCCTGCAGCTTGGGCAGGATCTGGGTGAGGGCACCCTCACGCTCCAGGGAGGGGGTGGGGTAGCCGTGGTCGAAGCGGCGGTGGTAGGTCGAGACGATCTCGTCACCGGCCTTGAGCATGTCGGTGTTGACCAGACCCTGGATGGAGTCGGCCAGGAGGGTCTCGTGGTTGACGGGCTTCATGGAAGACTCGGAGACCTCCAGCATGATGGACCAGTAAGGGCCGTCCTTGGCCTCGGTGCTGCTGGGCTTGGAGCCATCGGCCAGCTGCAGGGTGGGCAGCTTCTTGGAGGCATCGGGCTGGTTGTAGGGGGAGTAGTTGGAGAAGATGGTGGCACGGTAGAAGGGGCAGTTGTCCTCGGGGAAGTAGAGCCAGCACTTGTCGCCAATGCGCTCGGGGCGAGCACCCCGGATACCAACACCGATAACGTGGGTGGAGGAGTAGAAGAGCTGCTTGGTCAGGGGCATCAGCTCCTTGTCGTCCATGGCTTCGGCCAGGAAGTCAACGGCCATGGTGGAGACCAGCTTGGAGTAGCCGATGGTGGTACCGTCAGCCAGGGTAACGGTCTTGTTGTAGGCGTTGACCTTGGAGACCTTGCCCTTGTCGCCGAAACGGGTCTTCTCCTTGGGGAGGGTGTTGGCCACGGCAATCCAGATACCACCGGTACCGTCGCGGGCAGGGAAACGGAAGGTCGCGTTGGGACCCCAGTTACCGGCGGTCTTGTTCAGGATGACGTTGGTGGTCACGGCCTTGAGGTTGGGGGCAGCGACACGCTCACCGAGCCAAGCGCATTGCATCTGGAGGGCAAGAGTGATCAACCTGGGCTCCTCGGGGAAAACCGGGCAACAGTATGGTAGAGACTTACCTTGGTGGTGGGAACGGCCCAGACCTTGTAGTTGTAGGGGCGCATGAACAGGTCGGCGATACCAGTACCCATCATCCGGACGATCCACTCGTCGAAGTTCTTGGGCTTAGTGCTGGCGACGCGAGCCTCCAAGGCAGCATCGATCATGCCGTCAATGCACTTCACCTGCTCCTCCTTGGGAAGCATGGAGATGTTGTTTTGGAAGGGGTAGGGAACCCATTCGTTCTGGCAGCGGACGTAGGAGATACGCTCGTGGGTGTACCAGTCGTCCTCCTTGGGGAGGGCCTCATCGATGCAGTCATCGAAGTACTTGTAGTGGGAGAAAATAACGTGGCCACCGACATCGTACAGCTGGAGGACGGGGGACCCAAGTCAGCGGTTTTGTTCTCGCGAAGCGGAGCAGTCGCCCGAAGACCTGGAGGGAAACATACGAAGCCTTCAGGGGTCACATCAGTGGAAGCCAGACCACCGGGGATCTCGTTCGAGTCGATAATCAACCAGGAGGGGCCATCCTATTCAATTGGGTCAGTTGGTCTGATTCTTGCACTACCCCTCCACACCCCCTTATTTTTTTTTGTGCCGTTCACCGCCGAGTTCACGAGAGGGAGACTTACGATCTGGTTGAGACGCTTGGCGGCACCCAATCCAGTCGGGCCAGCACCAATGACGAGAACGTCAACAGTACTAGGAGAAAGTCGTTAGTCGGTCAATGGCGCTGGCGAATTCACGAGGTCCTTACATGTCGGGGTGGGTCATCCTGCCTTGAAGGAGGTCCTGGAAGCTGGGCACGCGTTTAAAAGTCTTGCGAGCGATGTTCAGCATAAGAGAAATCAGTAGCAGCAGAAGGACTGCGAGAAACTGGCGGAAGAGGGGGAGGATAATAAAGGTGAAGATGGTTGGAGAAGAGGAAAGTGGGAGGACACGACAAGCGCAAGTGTACCGTGGACCGCAGGCTGGCCTGTGGCCGGACCTTGTGTGGGTTGGCTGTGGGTTAGGGGGGGGGAGGGTACAGTTCCGTAGGGGGTTAGGGGGACGGACGCGGCACTTTCAGCGGTGTCGGTGGGGTTCGACGTCTGTTTCAGGTTTACTTCCTCAGCCTGGCCATTTGCGGATTATTGTGATTGCCAATTTTATTACTATGATGGCCACCTTTTTCGAGAAACCCATAATCTCGCTATCGTACCAAATGCATGTAGCGCCCGATCCAGCCCCCTCCGATATCACATTGTCCAAGAAACCATTCCTAGTGGCTCAGGGGGCGTCGCCGCGAACAGAGAGGCTGCCCCATAGGGGACATTGGCATCACGGAACACGTACGCTTTGGATTTGGGGAGGGGGCTTCCGCTTCGTTTCCCTTCTTATTTTTTTTTAGTTTATTTTTTGGGCTAATGAAATGTGTTTACTTGATTGCCAAGGCTGCTAGTGGCCATCTCATTCGCCATCACAACGCCACCTGCCGGACCCTGGTTTTTAAACTATTGAATCTATCACACACCGCGAAAGGCCGTTGGGTCTCATCTGCACGGGGGCTTATCGTGATAATCTCACGGGCCAAAGGGTTAATTCCATACGATGAATTCTATACCCCGAGATCGATTCGATTCTCTGCTGCATGCGGCCAAAGCCACAAGTCCATCGGGCCTTGGCAGGGGGTTCCAGGGTCTCGGCACGATCAGGAATGTTGTTATCGGCTCCCCATCTCGGAGTATTTTGATTCGCATCTGGTCAAGGTGGCTTGGTTTGTATGGCAAGCCCAGGGGAGGAAATCGAAGCAACGAGGAACGAGGAACGATCGGTTCCTCGAAGGGCTAAAAACGCCACCGATGTCGTTTGACACGTTCGACCGCCAAGCTCTGCTTTGCTCTGAGAAATTGGTGACCGCCACTGTGGGTGATACAACTAGCACGGCCGTCGCCTCTGAGAGAGTACGGAATACAATGTACACCGTTACTGTAGGACGCTGATAGGAGTTCCGTCCCTCATGAGCTATAGTCTGGTTAGACTTCTCCAAGCGCTGCAGGTTGTGTCGGCATGGAGCACAAAGGCCCGAGAGAGTTTTTGCTCCGTTCCATTTTTTTTGGCTTCTGCCGAACCCTGAACCCTCGCGGGCCAGCATCCGCAGGAAGATCGTTTAGCAGTCTCCGAATGACCAGGGTACAACGCAGGACCACAGCGTGTGGACAGGCGAGAAAGGGGTCCACTGATTGTCCCTCTGTCCCGGCCCAGGAAGGCAAGGCCGACGAGGATCGCCTCAGCACAGAACAGGCCTACGATCTCATTGATCGACGGGTTGCCCGAGAACTTCTTGAACCAGGAGTTGCGCCCCATCCTTGGGTCATGGCGCACGGCTTGGACAGGTTTGGTCCTTTGTGGACGACGTTGTACACAAGTCGGAGTCAGAGGGTGGCTGCATGGACCCGCGGCATCTGACGTAAAATTCCAAAAAGCTTCTTTTCATCGTTAAGGGGGGGGGGGATATATTAGACTGGAAACACCCCACTAACCCTCCGTTCCCCGGGCCTTGCCAGGTACCGTCGCGGTGCGCTTCTTCCCCTGTGGGTGCTTTGGATTTTCGTTTCCTCCTGGTGGTGGAGCCGGGAGTCCCTGGATGGAGGGGGCCCGGGCGATGGCGTCAGACACAGCCTCCCAAGGCGATCGCCGCATTCTCCACCCGTAAGGGACCAGGGGCGGTCGCGATGGCCCCGAGAGTCGCTGAACGCGGGCCCGGTGGGTCGGAGCTAACAGCTGCTTGCGTAATGCCCGCCTTCCGTCAAACTGACTGTTAATTTGGATCAGCAGTGTGCTGCTTGGCCGAGGACAGTAGTGGTCTCTCTATCTCAAACCAATGCGTCGTGCTAGAGGGCAGGAGGACGGTTACATCCCGGTGCTTTCTCTGTGCTTATCTCAAATTGCCGGTTTAGGGGAAGAGAGAGGGTGAAAAGGGCAGAAGCGTATACTCGGTTGTCACCGAAGGCTAAGAATAGGCCATCCAAGCACAGTGAAGAAATAAGCAGCCCAGCGACGGGTGGGGAGCGTGGGTGAAGCTGGCCATGCTGATTGGCGTTGAAAGGAGTTGCCACGAGTCGCGCTTGTTCCGCCCCCTTCGCTGATTGGGCAGTACAGCAGGGCCAGTACTGGTTATGGTATTACTGTATTAATCGTATCCCCGTCACACCCATCCAACACAAACCAAACCCCAATTCACCCCAAGTTGGCCGCACACCCCCCACAGATAGAGTACAGGTGGCCTTAGTAGCAGCGGTCACCATCCGTACCAAACGACCCCCAACTCGAAACATTATCCGGCCCCCGTTTCGGTTTCAACTCTGTTTGCAGCAGCCGCCGCGCCAGCGGATCCTCTATTTTACAACTAAACAGTGCCCTCATTTCACTTCATTTCCCTGGTCCAGAAAGTCCAGAACTGTCCAATTCAGGTTCCTATCGCCTCGCCTGGAAGCTTTCTTTTTGGTGCCAAAACCTTACTGTCCAGCAGCCTTCCACCTCCCCCCCCCCCCCCCCGGCCCGGCCCCAAAAAATAATACAGTACGTACTCCATTCCATCCCTTCACCTTGTTCCATCATCATCATTTCTTCATCCCCCACGCTCCTTCACTTTTTTGGGCTTGCGCATTCTTTTTCGATCCTCGTTCTAGGTCCAACTCCAATCATACTTTCGTTAACCACCTGACCAGTGTCCCTTATCGCTTTTTAATCTCCTCTTCCCACCCCTCGTGGCTTCCTCCGCTTTTAGCCAAGGAAGCCTTACCCGGCCCCGGCCCTTCGAATTCCGAACGTTCCTCTCCGATCAAACTCGAGCATTCACCACCATGAGCTCTGACGGCGAGAAGGTTCGCGCCTCTGGCGAGACCCCGCGCGAGACTCTGCCCACCGTCAACCCGGCGGCGGAGAAGCAGGAGGCCCCCAAGGCCGCGTTCCACCCCGCGGTCTACGTGAGGTGAGATTTTAAACATGTTGAACCCGTTGCTTGAGACATGGCGAGATAGGGAGGCCAGTAAAGGGAAGGAATCGCAGCTGACATCGATGCGCAGTGTCTGGATCACTCTCAGTTCCTCCGTCATTCTGTTCAACAAACACCTTCTCGACTACGCCAACTTCCGTGAGTCGTCGAGTTCTCTCACTGCAGCTTGACCTGTGTTCCTGACCATTCTGCACCAACAGGTTTCCCCATCGTCCTCACAACATGGCATTTGACCTTCGCGACCATCATGACCCAGCTTTTGGCTCGCACCACCACCGTCCTGGACGGCCGTAAGTCCGTCAAGATGACCGGCCGGGTTTACCTGCGCGCAATTGTCCCCATTGGTCTCATGTTCAGTCTGAGCTTGATTTGCGGTAACATGACGTATCTGTACCTGAGCGTTGCCTTCATTCAAATGCTGAAGGTATGTTTTATCTGTGGAGCGGGCTGCGTGAAGTAAAAAGGTGCCGGTGCTAATTGCGCTTTTGATAGGCCACCACCCCCGTTGCTGTGCTCCTCGCGACCTGGGGTATGGGCATGGCCCCCGTCAACTACAAGACCCTTGCAAACGTTTCGATCATCGTCGTTGGTGTCATCATTGCCTCATTCGGTGAGATCAAGTTCGTGCTCGTTGGTTTCCTGTTCCAGCTGGGCGGTATCGTCTTCGAGGCCACCCGCCTGGTTATGGTGCAGCGCCTGCTCAGCTCCGCCGAGTACAAGATGGACCCCATGGTGTCCCTGTACTACTTCGCCCCCGTCTGCGCAGTGATGAACGGTGTTGTGGCTCTGTTCATAGAGTTCCCCCGTTTGACCATGGACCACATCTACGGTGTCGGCATCTGGGTTCTGCTTGCCAACGCTATGGTGGCCTTCCTGCTGAACGTCTCCGTGGTGTTCCTGATTGGAAAGACCTCGTCCCTGGTCATGACCCTGTGTGGTGTCCTGAAGGATATCCTGCTAGTGGCCGCCTCCATGTTCCTCTGGAGCACTCCCGTCTCGGGCCTGCAGTTCTTCGGCTACTCGGTGGCTCTAATTGGTCTGGTCTACTACAAGCTCGGTGGTGACAAGATCCGGGAGTACACTGGTCAGGCCAATCGCGCCTGGGTCGAGTACGGCAACACCCGCCCCGCCCAGCGCAAGTTCGTCATTTTCGGCGCTGCGGCTCTCATCCTCTTCCTCTTTGTGGGCTCGATGGCCCCCAGCTACGCTCCCAGCCAGGTCGACCGCGTCAAGGGCATGCTGGGCGGCGCCACCGCGGGCAACGCTTAAATGAACTGATGTCTTCCTGAAGGCCCTAGATCTGTTGACATGTATATTATGGCCATTTCGAAAGATGTCTCCGCGCAAACATTTGGAGCCCATTTCTTGAGTGGGCTATTGGATGTGCAGTGTTGGGGCACTCGAGAAGGAGTGGACAGAAGAGGGCACTGCTGCAGAACTTGCCAGTTGATCTTCTTTGTCCTGTGCTGTCTCGACTTTGCGGGGGGCGGCTTCGGCGACATGCAGGGAATGCAGCTGTTAGCCAGCCCTCAATTCTGGAGCGGAGTCTCTTGCGGTGTCTTTTGCGGTGTGTGGGAAAACGGAGGGCTCCGGCAGCTTATCTCTCTTTCCGTTCCTTTCTAGACCGCATTGCCGCGATGTATACATTGATGGAGAATCGTTGGGTGGTGCTGGCGGTGTATTTCTTTTTCCTTTCCTTTCCTTTCCTTTCTCCTTGTCTCATTGCTTTCCTTTTTCTTTCCGCTTTTTTCTGTCCCCCCCCGACGAACATCGATTTGAATGTTAGACTTGCACGAGCTCTGGTGTCAGTTTGCTTTGGACTTACGTCGTTCTGGTGTTCTTTTTTTTCTCCCTGTCTTCATAGTTTTACAATAGACTTTTTCTGAGGGCTGCTTTGACTTTATTCGGGGGTCTGGGCCTCTACGTGGTGGGTATGCATTTCTGGTGAGAGGACGGAGAGTAAATTGCGGATGGGTATGACTGGTAGCCCTGGTAGCGCTAGGGTGACGGGGTGCTGGTGTTAGCTGGGTCCGCTGGGTTGGGAGGATGACGGGGGCCAAATGGCGCACCCTCAGCCCATTTGCTCGGGCCTGCAGAAGTACCGATGGCGTTGGCCTGGCTGGCATGCCCGGGCACGGGCGGACACTAAGGACTGGGCTCGGCGGAAAGCCCGTTGATTGGCGAATCGCCGTCAGCCGAAGGCGCCCCACTGGATGCAGCCAAATAGCGCCGTCGCTCACGCCAACCGTTCGAGGCCCACCGTCCGTATCGTTTGCGTACGGTCACGGCTGATCGGAATTGCCCTCCATGCCCGTGTACGGCTGTCTGGTACCGTTCCCTCCGCATTGCAGATGGATCCCTCCGATCGCCTCAGATCGCCTGCGGCCGTCTTTGCGCTCGCCTCGTCTTTCTCACTTCCTCTACTTTCCTCCTCTCATTTCCCCTACTCTCTTGCCAATCACCTTCCCCCACCATCTTCTGTCCTACCGCCATTAGGACTCTTCCGCTTTATCATACCACACCCTACTACCTCCCCCTCCTCCTTCTCCTCTTTTTCCATTTTGCACCCTGCTCGCTCTTAGCTCGTGATCTACATACAGGTGGTTGAAGCTTATAGTGTGGTGCTCACTTAACTTCACAGTATACAGTTCCTCTCATCCACGTCGTCGCGAGAACCCTCGTTATGTGCCCCATGATCCTTAATCGCCTTTCCGATGGTCCCGCCATGATCCTCTCTCCTTCTCCAGAACACGCCTTCGCTCAGCTCCCCTCCCAGTCTCTGCTGGATACCCCCGGCAGCTTCCAGAGCTACCCGCACTCCATCTTCGCGGGTAATGGCTTCGTCCAGCCGGCCGCGAGCTCCCACTTTACGACTGCTCCCACCCCGCCCAAGCCGTCTCGCAAGAGGTCGCGTGATGAGACCGCCCTCGAAGAGGCCCGCGCCAGCAATGCGCCCTCAGAGCCGCATCCCACTCCCGCCCCCAAGGAGGAGCCCATTTACGGCGAGGGAATGATTCTGCTGAACCCACAGACAGGGATGGCTGTCTCTGCTGAGAGCCAGACCGGGACCTGGTACGAAGAAAAAGCTGAGTTGCGGCAAGCGGCCGCCGCGCCAGTCTCGTCGCGATCCGCGGCGCTGCAGCCAGATGCTGCCGATATCAGTCGCAAGTCGCAACGGCTCGACGTGTCTGCGCCGGGTCTGGATGATATTGCGCTCTCTTCGATTCACCAGCGCCTGAATAGCTCCGATATGGCCGACCAACACCGCACTGCCGGATCTACGCCCCCGGCTGAGCCCCTCATCGACGATGCCACCCGCCTCCTAGGCATCAGCTGGCAGCGCATTGATACCGACGATGGCATGGCCCCCGCCGTCCGTGGCTGGACAAAATACATTGACAACCAGTACGCCGCCTATTTGCATGACTCACAGATGCTCATGAAAAGCCGCGCCCTGAACGCCTACCTTGTGGCCGCGACGCCCGTCTCCGCGCCTTCGCCCGCCTTCTACCTCTTCAACGAAGACCTCACCCAGGCCCAGCTTGTGGCTTCATCATGGGAAGCGTGCCTGCAAAACCTCCGCTGCACCCCTCTCGTTTTCGAAGGTGCCGCTCCTCTCACCGCTGCCGGTCGCGCACAACCAGCGGCGAATCCTTTCAGCACCATCCTGGCCCCCGGTATTCCCCTGCTGCAGCAGGCCCTCTCCAGCCACTCGCACTCACCCACCTCCAGCATGGAGGTAGGAGCGGAACTGAACGGAGGTGTCGACATGGGAATGGAAATCGACTCCTAAACCCACTCGACCATCTCGCCCAAAAGTCCCAAATCGATCATCGAGCGACTCACTTGCGCCCGAACCAGACCGTCGAGCTCCGACAGTGGGCACTTCACCTTGAATTGGAAGTGTCCTCCTCGATGTCACCGCCTTTTCGCGTGCCGCTTCGTGCTTTCTGTGTTTTTTATTTCTTCTGGTTCCTCATTACTGGATTCTTTAGTTTTTCTGCTTTGGACGCATCCACACCTAACTGACCCAGTTCGGCAGCCCAGTCTAATTCGAGACCCAGGAGAGTGTGTGGGTATGGTGTTTTCTGCTTTTTAGTTTTGCTGGTTACTGGTGGGATTCTGGCTCTGGCGTCGTAAATGTTCTTCTGGGGTATTTTTACCTTGCATGTTTCCTGCCTTTTTTGTTTTTGGTGTCTATCTATTTATCCTCTATTCTATATTACGACGCAAATGAAACATTAAAATAGGATTTTTGGTTTTGTGTCTGCTCCTAGCTGGATCAATGGCCTGATGACGAGTGTTTATTTTTATCGAGCGCCTAGAGATCTTACCTGGACCATTAATGGCATTGCACAGCCTAAATAGGTACTTAACTACCTAAACTAGGAGTTGGAGGATATCAAGGATTCAATTTATAGTGTACAAAATAGATGTTCCGTTATTTACTCGCGCGATGGAAATGATTCGATGAAGTGGATAGAATATATATAGTCTTGGCAAGGCTCTCGCTATGGATAGAAATTAGTGCGCTCCGCCACTCATGCTAACGTCTGCCCCTCTTCTATTGGAAGTTAGCGATCTAGGTACTGCTTACCAAGCCCATGCTTACCCCCTCTCCTCAGCATGGGGTTTCGCGCACTTCCAGTGGACTGGTACTATTTTCATGACTTAGGTAGCTTCCATCCTGACCTTTGTCGCGGGCCGTCGAGTCGCCTGCGTGTGCAGAGACGGGTGATGCAGAGAAGGGTGTCCTGCGCGGTCTGTGAAGAAGGAATCGATTTCTTTCAAGAGTCGCGTTGCTGTTTCAGAGTAGAAGGAGTAGACGATCTATGATCTATGTATGTGAGGACCTGTTAATCTTGCGATTGTTGATGTGGCAGGAGTAGATTACCGGGACAAAGACCAGAGTCAAAGAACACAAGGAGCAAAAAGCTTGCTGATACTGTACGTTCGCAAGACTGACCCGTAGGGGCAGCACCAAGACCTCTTATCCAGAACTACGGGACAAGTGCAGGGCCTACGATGCTACATCTACAACGTAACCAGTCCCCGGCTGGACCAATCCTCGCAGGATTCTCCGGATCCGGCATAAATGAGCGCCGGGCTTGTCCTGATTCAACGAGAGGCGTAGGATCGTAGGGAGGAGGGGGTTGAGGGTAAAACACCATGAGCGTCTAGCGTGGGAATGGAATATGGTGAATTATTGGAGGTTTCTTTTTCAATCTGTGTTGCCTCATTCGCAAGAGGGTTTTGGTGGTTCTATTCGTACACGGTATCATCTCTAGCAAATCCAGAAGCTATGGAAAATATAAGTCGCTTCAATTATAAACACGCTAGCAAGCTCGCTGCATCAGGCGCCCTGACAGCAGTCCCTGGAGGATTGATCCCCTTTAATCGTAATCGTAGTCGCTGCCTGCATCATAATAATCGTCCTCATAGTCATTATGGTAATCTCCTGCGAATGCATCCTCGACGTGGTCATCCTCCACATCGTCCTCCTCTTCCTCCACTTCATCTGGATCTGCGGCTGCAGGCTCCTTCTTAGCTTCAGGGGCAGGCTGGGGCTGACCTGCGGGCGGCGGGACGACGGGCTGAGGAGCGGTGGGAGGCGGAGTGGGTGGGTGAGAAGTGAAGATAGTGGGCTTGCTGGGAACGCTGGGAACAAGCGAGGGGGGCCGCGAGGGAGCCCGGCCGGTACGGCGGGATCGTCCCTCGGGTTGGACGCTGGTACTGCGGCGTGAAAGAACGCTCCGGCTGCGACTGCGACTCTGACTTCGGCTCAAGATTTCGGCCTTCGCATTCGCATCACCCGCACCTTCCTGCCCATACAAGGTGTCAAGAAGAGAGTAGTTGATTTTCTTGCTGTATCCACGTTTCTCCAGCATTCGCCGTGTAGCCTCCGCAGGTGTCGAGGCACGGGAGCTGCGGCCATCTTCCCCGTCACCCTCGCCCTCTAGATAGGCAACATCGCCCAGACGGCCCTTGCGGCGCTTTCGAGGCTTGGATGAAGAGGGGCCGGCAGTAGCTTCCGCGAGTGCACGCTTCAGGGCCTTTGCTTGCTGTGTGCGGAGGTATTCCTTGTTCTCGTGGACCCAGATACGCTCCTTGAGGTCGATTTCGAGACTCGTGAGGAGGCAGTTGGCAACCTCAGGATCATCCTCAAACTCCGCCTCGTCAATATTAACGTTGTCGGAAACGAGACTGCCCGGTTTGGGCTCAATGATGCTTTCAACCAGGTCCGAACCTTTGGCCAGCATGGTTTGGATTTCCTCTTCAAGAGCAGCTTCAGATGCAATCTGATCCGGAGAAGGAGCGGGGTACGACGGGCGTCGGGCACTCTTGATCTTCATGTCCTTCTCAGTTTCTTCAATGACTTCATTCACAGCTTTGGTGATAGACCCTCGTCGTTGAGGATTGTCCATCAAAGCGGGGTCAATAGGGAGACTTGGGATGGCAAAGCCGTCGGCATCAAATCGTTGTGGCGGGATCGACTCTGCATCACTCTCCATAGTTGAGTCATCCTCAATTTCGGCTGCAGTCTCTGGATGTATCTTAGTAGATCGACCTGACCTTTTACCATCCCGCGCCCGAGTGAAGGAAGGTGGATCGTGCGAATTTTCCAATTGCACGGAACGGAATTGATCCACGGTAAGTTCGCCACTCTCTGTCGAACTGAATTCGTACAAACGCTGACTGATGGTGACCTCAGTCACCTTGACAACATAGACGACTTCGCGGATAGTCCGGCGGAAATTGTTCATCCGAGCTGCCAAAATCAAGGCCGCACCACACAGACCGGCGGGACGTCGACCCGTTGACATCCAGTCACGGTTCATTCGCTGGATGATACGAACCGCCTCACCGGCCACTTGCATGGTAGCTGGCCCAAACTCTAGTTGTTTGGCGAATCGATAGATGAGACTCTCCGGGTCGATAGGGTTCATGAGGAACACGTTGCCGCCCAGACGAAGTTCGTCGAGGAGGGATTTGTAGGTGCGCCCAAGCTTGAAGACGTTGATCATCAAAACATCCGCAAAGTCGATAAGCATCGTGGTGTTGCCATCCTGGCGTCGACAAGCGATGTACAGAGCAACGGCCGCCACGTTCTTGGTGCGACGACCTTGAATGAAGTTTAGACCGACCGCGAGCTTGAAAACCTGACCAGCAGCTTTCGTGGCACTCTCGGGGATGTGTAAGGATCGTGCGATCTGATTGATGAAGCGGTTGCCGTTCTGTTCAGTGACCTCCCGGCTTTCCATACCACCACCTCGCTGGAATCCCGGTCCAAAGCTCCGGACATGGGTCTGGTCTTCTCCGACGAAAGATCCTTGGACGACCGCAGCACCGGAAGAGGTTTCGCCGAAGGTCACCTCGGATACAATGTTGGATTCGCTGATGACAGTACCACACCCGGAGCAGACCTTCTGGCCTTCATCCTCCACGATGTGCGGGGCAGGACACCCGGGGTTGGGGCAGCTCTGGGTCTTGGGGTGCGTTGTAGGGCGTGTAGGCTGAGGACGCCCAATCGGTTGTGGACGCTTAATCGGCATTGGATTAGGCGGCTTCAGACTGGCAAGGCGTCCAACAGGAGCTCGCGGGCCCCTAGGGGCCACGGAAATGCTGCCGGCCCTGGACGCCGACATGGCTCCGGGTGAGAGGCGTGTGCAGATGGAATGCAATCGCGATCCTGGCGAGGCGTTCCAGTATATCAAGAACCTCTCCGCTGTTCAAATAGAATTGAAGTTTTGAAACTGTAACGAGGACGCCGGTAATATCGTGGGGCGCGGGCTTGCGATAAGATGAGGAAAAGCAAGGGAGTGAAGTCGAGGATAAGCGTTCTGACAGAGGTGGGTGATTAAGGAATGGCTGGCCTGCTTCCTATGGAGCGCTACAGCGCTCTGTTGCTCTGCAATGCACGCGAAGCTTCGGTGAATCGCGACTCAAATCCTGAAGTCGTGTCTGGATGGAAAGAAAAAGATAAGTGATAAGGGCAAGCGGCGTGTGAAGTCGGGGCGGGCGACGCGATTGAAGTTTTTTGCTGGTGGGTGTAACCCCGTGGCTCAGTGGTTGAATCACGTGCAACTCATTCCGTCGGGGGCACGCGTTCGACTCGCTCACCTCGCAGGGTTAGATTCAGCAGCCCAACATTCTGCGCCAGGGGAAAAAGAGAACGTAGAGGTGAGGATGGTTCAAGAAAAGAGAAACAAAGTACAATTCAAATTTCACCGGCAACAGCCGCCCACTGCACTTTCAGTTTTGTCTGGAGGCGGCTTCCTGCTGACCGAGGGAAGACCGGCTAGTCCCAAAGCGGACATATTGATCTCAGGCACACAGTGGTGCCTGATCCAATGGGCACCAACAGGCACCAATGAGCTGCCTTCAGGCATCAACATGTATCCCATCAAGACGCACGAGCTCGTTGTACATGCTGCAGCATTCGAACACATGGAGTTGACTTTAAAATATCGCATCCGAGACTGCATATCCATTCTTGGTGGCCGCTCGGCCCAAACTAGTGGCATACTGCACGAGAGCCATGGCCCACGATGGCTGGAATGTCGCCGGTGCGACATTTGTGCGTGGTTTAGCCCGAGTACCACGCACAAATATCGCATCTTCGCCTCTAGCGCGTCATCTCCCGATTCCAGTCGGATTTTTTCTTTCCTTCTTTACTCATAAGACCGACCGCAGACAATTCCATTTGTTTCTCTGATGACTCTTTTTCCTCTTATGATGTAACTGACCGCGTCGCGGCTGCTGTTTCTTTCTGCTCGATTCGCTGATATAGCTGCCCGCCACCCGCCCGGTACTGCTACTGTTTGAATGCTGGAGACCTCACGCTCAACGTGTGTTGACATCCGCCTCGAGACTATTGTTACATCCTGACGTCTATTGTTATCGCTCTCACGCGGAAGAGTTTTGCTTCCAACATTGACTTTCTTTTTGCGTGCTGGTGCCAGCGGTCTCGGCGATCAATAGTTAAATCCCCTGTCTATCATGTATTCTGGGCGAGAAACTTCTCCTCAGATTCCAAAAAATCAGCAGGGTCATTCTCTCGAAATTACCATGAGGAGAAGTCTCTTCTGGGTGAGCAATGTGCACTGTTCCTCGTGTGTGGCATATATCACCGAAGTCCTCTCCGAGATCCCCACGGTCCAAGCCATCGATGTGTCGATCTTGACCCACGAGGTGCGCGTCTCCCACGGGGTTGCTGTGCAGCCAACAGACCTGGTGGCTGCCCTGATTCATGCTGCCTTCGAAGTTCATCATGTGACGACCTTTGATGAACGGGGAGCAACCGTTTCCGAGCTTGATACCACGTCATTTTTCTCGCCTCGTACATCCTATTCGAGCATTTCATCCGGTATTAAAGAGCGACTTCATACTGGCCGAGAGAAACGACACATTGCCAACTGTGATGCATGCAAGAAAGAAGAAATAGGACAATCCTTCTCGTATTCCTCTCACAGCGACATCGGTCCTCCCGATGAGAAGTCTCCGCGGAATGCCGATCAGCATCGGAGTACTACAGCCTTGGAAGCAACACCAGGGGGTACGGTTTATCCCACACCATTGTCGACCGCGACCTCCGAAACACAAGCGGACCAGGATGCAGCTTTCTCCCTGAAAGTTCCTCCCGCAAGTTCCGACATCCCTCAATTGCCACCATCAGAGCCAAGCGAGGAGTTTGCAGCGCGGATCAGCATCGGTAGTATGAGCTGTGCATCCTGCGTCAACAGTATTACTGCTGCTGTTCAGGAACTTGACTGTGTTAAAGAGGTCGCAGTCAACCTGCTCACCAACAGCGCAGCCCTCGTATTTACGGGGCCTCGACGAAATATTGAAACGATCATTGAACAAATCGAGGATATTGGATTTGAAGCTGTCCTTGATCAAGTCAATCCAATTCCAAAGCTCTCAAACCCTGGGCAAGCCCCCACAACCTATGCGACCGAGATTGCTATTGCCGGCATGACTTGTGGCTCTTGCGTTGGGGCCGTCACTCGAGGACTGAATGAGCTTTTTTTCATCCGTGATGTCTCTGTCAATCCACTAACTCACAGTGCCAAGGTTGAATTCGAAGGCCGAGAGAACCTAGACCAGATTGTGGAGAAGATCGAGGACATGGGATATGACGCTGCCGTCAACAGTGTTAGTGCTGTGTCTCAGATCAAGAACGTGGCCAAGGCTGTACAGGCGCGGGCGATTTCGATCCGAGTTGATGGAATGTTTTGTCGCCATTGTCCCGAAAAGGTCATGGCATCCTTGGAATCATTTCCAAACGTCACTGTGGAGGAGATGCCTTCCGAAAAGAACCCAATTATCAGGGTCGTGTATACGCCTGAGCCGCCTGCTTTGACTATTCGATCCATCCTCGCGGCAATCAATGAGGCCAACAGTGTCTTCAATGCTAGCATCTACCACCCACCTAGCATCGAAGATCGCTCCCGAGCAATGCAATTGCATGAACGACGGAGACTGCTCACCCGCCTACTCTTTGTCTTCTCTGTGGCAATCCCGACCTTCCTCATCGGAATTGTCTTCATGTCTCTCGTCTCACCCCATAATTCAATCCGGATGTACCTGGAGCAGACGATTTGGTCCGGCAGTGTGACTCGCATTGAATGGGCCCTATTTATTATGTCAACACCCGTCATGATCTACGGTACTGACGTGTTCCATACGCGGGCATTGAAAGAAATTTATGCTCTATGGCGCCCTGGAAGCCGAGTCCCTATTTCGCGGAGATTCTACCGCTTTGGCAGCATGAATCTTTTGATTTCGGCGGGCACGGCAGTTGCCTACTTCTCTTCCCTGGCGATTCTTATCGTCGATGCGGTGGTTGGAACGAAAACCAGTGCTCATAGCACAACCTACTTTGATTCGGTTGTCTTCTTAACCCTTTTCATCCTCGCTGGCCGCTTCTTGGAGGCGTACAGCAAAGCCCGAACTGGAGACGCCGTCTCGTCCCTGGGTAGTCTTCGACCATCGGAGGCTTTATTGGTCGAGAACCAGCCCGCAGATACCGATGTCCCCGAAGGCCCAGGTTTGGATCGTATCAGACGTATTAGCGTTGATATCTTGGAGGTCGGCGATATGGTCCGCATTCCTCACGGTGCATCTCCGCCTGCTGATGGCCTGGTTGTCGGTGAGGGCTCTTACCAATTTGACGAGAGTTCTTTGACAGGAGAGTCCCGACCCGTCAAGAAAGCCGTGGGAGACCAAGTCTTCACCGGCTCGGTCAATGTGGGCCAGCCTGTGCAGATTCGCATCACTGAACTTGGCGGGTCATCAATGCTTGACCGGATCATCGCCGTGGTTCGTGAGGGCCAAAGCAAGCGTGCGCCTCTAGAGAGGGTCGCCGATTTGCTCACTTCCCACTTCGTCCCTGTGATCACCTTAATTGCTATTCTTACTATTGTCATCTGGCTTGCCCTTGGACACTCGGGCGTGCTGCCCCGCGACTATCTCGATATTGCCCGTGGCGGCTGGACCTTTTGGAGCCTGGAGTTTGCAATCGCCGTCTTTGTCGTCGCTTGCCCCTGTGGATTGGCACTAGCTGCGCCAACTGCACTCTTCGTTGGTGGTGGCCTTGCAGCGAAGCATGGCATCCTAGTCAAAGGCGGTGGTGAGGCCTTCCAGGAAGCCAGCCGCCTCGATGCCATCGTCTTCGACAAGACTGGTACCTTGACTGAAGGAGGAAGCCTCAAGGTAACCGAACACGAGGTCCTCACGAAAGACGATGAGCTGTTGAAAGTCGCATGGACCCTCGCTCGCAAACTGGAGGAGAGCAGTAATCATCCAATCGCTCAGGCAATTTCTGCCTTTTGTGAATCACGGTCTTCGGCTAATGTTGTGTCCTCTGATATCCAAGAAATCTCCGGTCAGGGCATGAAGGGTACATTCACAGTGACTGCTTCGAACTTTGGAAATGGAGAACAGTATGAAGCCACAATCGGCAACGAGCGCCTTCTTCACAGCGTACTTACCCCCGACACCGACACATACTTCGTCTCCAGCCTGCTTTCGAAATTCCAATTGACTGGCAAATCTACTGCCATTCTGTCTTTGCGACGCCAGTCTTCCGCGCCATCACCGTTTGTCCCTGCGATTGTCTTCGCGACTTCTGATACCATTCGATCTGAGGCTGTCGACGTGATTTCTCAGCTCAACAAACGGCATGTCGAAGTCTTCATGTGCACAGGCGACAATCAAACAACTGCACATGCTGTTGCTGACATATTGGGTATCCCTCGTTCAAACGTTATGGCCAATGTACTGCCCGCAGAAAAGGCTCGCTTCGTATGCCAGGTTCAGCAAGGCGAGATCCACGCAGCAACACCGGGCACTGGAACCCGCGATCCGCAAAGCCAGAAGAAGACACGCCCCATCGTTGCCTTTGTCGGTGATGGTGTAAATGATTCACCCGCCCTAGCCGCTGCAGATGTCAGCATCGCAATGGCATCTGGCTCAGACGTCGCCATCAACTCGGCCAGCTTTATCCTACTCAATTCAGACCTGAGTACAATCTTGCACCTGGTAGTTCTCAGCCGTCGCGTGTTCAATCGTGTGCGGATGAATTTCGGATGGGCCGTGGTTTACAATTTGTGCCTTGTTCCCATCGCTGCTGGTGTCTTCTACCCGATCGTTAGTGGACATCACCAGAAGGTTGTTGGGGGCGAAACCATCACCGTGAATGAACACTGGAGGTTGAGCCCAGTCTGGGCTGCTCTTGCTATGGCGCTGAGTAGCATCTCAGTTGTGACGAGTAGCCTAGCCCTGAGGATTGATGCGGAGAGTGTGAAAAAGGTTTTTGGCTGGAAGAAATGAGGGAGGGCTTCAATTCTTGTACAGTTTGTTGATTTAAGCGTTCCTTCACAGATATCCATCCATAAAGCGAGTCTCATTTACTGCAAATTTTGTTTTGATTTTCAAGTAGCTATATTCGGACAAAACGTTGATCATCCACTCTCTCCCCAAATTTCGGCAATTTTCTTGCTCAGGGCTTTACCAATCTTCTTTCGCCCCACTAGGGACTGCAGTCTATCTGACATCAACGTTTCCCGATCATTAGGCTCCAGGGCCATGTATGCCTCGACGAGTTGTACTGGCGTTTGCCACAGTCGCTGAATTTCAAGAGCTTTTTCGCCGGTCACGCCACGAGTACACATGAGCATCTTCAAGAAGACGTCCCGGAGGGATAGGGCATCAGACTTGGAGCTGAGGGCTGAGAATGTGGAAAATGTGACACCGTATGTAAGGGTCGAATCCTTGGCGCGAAGTTCGTCCAGGAGAGTGAGATAAGATTGCGTCGAGGAGAGACGATGACTATGAATAAGAGCTACCGTCGTCGGGCTTGATGAGGTGCCAACCTGGCCAGGACGAGACTCGTCATTAGGAGAATCATGTGCGCCGTACATATTGCGAAGAAGTAGGGTCATCCGCGCCAAGTATCTAATAGAGTCGTCGAGATTGCGTGTCTTCTTCATAAAGTACCCATTGACCACCTGAGTCGATGCGATGGCTGAAGCAACCATCTCTTGGTACTTTTGAGCACCCCCGTTCCCAGCATCCGGGTGTGAGACTGTGAACTCCTCGACGAGGTAGATGACGTTCTTTATACCCGAACGCCGCAGACGGAATTTCTGTTCATGAAATCGGCCATCCTTGATCGATCCGATAAGATCATCGAGGCGCTTTCTTTCGATGATCCAGTCCAGCATTATCTCGTCGCCTTCCTCGCCATAACGAGCAAGGTATGCAGGGTCCCGACACTTGGCTACCCACACGGCATCGCCCAGCTCTAGAGCTCGCACCTGAGGTGTAATGCCTTGCTTTATGAGTTCGTTGGCGATGTAATCGCGATCAGTAGAAGTGCGCACTTCGCGAGTATCTAGCACCAGTTGAATCGTAAAACTGCCCGGAGGAAGAATGATGGGCTCGGTAGGGCTCTCGATTTCACCACCTTGGCCGAGTCGAGAGTTGAGCTGCGCTGGCATGGCAATATCATCATCGTCATCGTCTTGGCGAGATCTGCCACCACACATGAGAGCCGGCTGCGGCACCTGATTCTGAGAATCGCTGCCGGCAGAGGCTGTGTTCTCAGACGCCCCGGGAAGGGTATTTTGAATGCGCTTGGCGACCTCCCAGCCATCCTCTGAGAGCGCATACTTCCTCAAGGGGCGTCCATGTTCGTAAACCAGATCTTTCTGTATCAAGGTCTTCATAGAATTCCACGCGGTGTAGAACTTGGTCGGGTCCGTGGGTGCAGTGAACGAACTGTCGCAGTACGGCTGCGCTACTTCAATCAAATGCGCCTTTGTCATTCCTTGGGTTGTATGCTCCCCCACCGTAGCCAGGCCCAATAGGAGCGCATACGGTCCAGATCGGAGAGCTGGCACATAGGGCCTGGCCTTTCGTGGCTTCTTCGCAGGTTGCTCAGCAACACCAGTGTCGGATGTTCTTTTGCTACCTGGAACTTCCTTTTAGCCACGGGCCCCGCAGGGAGGCAGAATAGGCATGGCATACCTTGACCAGGGACTTCCGGCATAGGAAGTCCATTTTCTTGGCAGTAGGCCTTTAATTTCTCTGTCAGGCGGTCACAGAGTTTTGGCCCCAGCCCATTCAGTTGCTGCGCTTGAGAAGGATGTTCAAAAGCCAAGGGGCATGCTTTCATCGACTCATAAGCCTTTTTGTAACTAAGCATAGATTAGAGACCAGGTAATTCAACGAGGCAAGCGTGAACTACTGACACGGTAACGCCTTTGCTGTTGCGCTCACGGGCTTGGTCCAGCCATTCCTTAATCCACCCTAGAAGCAGGGGATTGGCACAATCCTCACTCATGGCGACCTTTCGGCCATGAGGCTGCGAGTCAGTGATGAGTTGTCGGTCTGTTGGTGGACGCGACGTGGATTTCCCCTTTGGGAACGGAATGAGTCATGTGACCAACCATAGGTAAGCAAGCTGTTTTGGGCAGTTAAACTAGGGAAGTTTGACCCCGGGGACAAAATCTTTCTCATTTGACAAGCGAGCGCTGCAGACGAAACCTCACACTTCTTTCTCTTGGTTGAGCCAAATGAAATGGGCATCATGGCTGGTGGTCTATTGGTGTTGTGAATCTAATGGAGGTGCGAAAGATGACGTCGATAATCCGTACCCTGGCCAAGAAATTCTGGTTCTTGCACCCATGGCTCTAAATTCGTGGTTGTTCTCTTGTACATCTGCATGCTTTCTTCAAATATCAAGCCTCAGGACCCCTTTAACTGAAGAGTTGATTCGCCATGTCCGAGAAAGACGAAGCAGCTGTTCTGTTGATCCCGGATAGTAAGGATGCCACAGAAGTCAGAGTTGGTGCCAATTCCGAACAGACTATAGCTCCAGAAGGGCCTACGGATAGTCATGTTCTATCGCAAGTCGAACAGGAAGAGAAAGGCCTGGCCCAACAGGCTGGCGTCACGTCGGATATCACAGATGTCGGATGGAACAAGCCCGCGGGCGATATCGTGGCACCACTAGTTGCCGGCTTATCAAATGAAGACCTATGGATGATGATCAGGCGCTTTGATAAGGTATTCCCGGGAGAAAGAGAAGCCCTTCATAACTTAAATGGATGCTGACCTCCATGCAGCAAGTCTACAATGTCAAAGCTGTTCCAGAAGCTCCGCTTCAGAAACTTGATTTGACTCGAGCACATGATGATGAGTTCTCGCCAGATAAACTACGTGCAACAATCGAACGCTTCTACACTAGTGTGATTGTCAAGTTGACAAGCTTTGTGAAACACGTTGCGCGTCTGCGGTCTTGGAAGGAGCCTCGACGAACTGCTCTTTTCTGCACAGTAAGTTGATACAAAAGTTTGATCAATTTCTTCTGGTTTTCTAAGTCCTGTCATGAAACCATAGGTATATTTTGTCGCCTGGATTCTGGATTTCGTTGCTCCTACATGCCTCGTTGCCCTGATCGCCTTGGTCATATACCCACCATGCCGTCCAATCATGTTCCCACCAGCGCCCATTGCCTTGGTGAACAAAGATACTGGTGGTATTCAGAAGCCCGAAGCTGGAGTACTCGGATCTCATGATAGCATTACCGGCGCTCCCCAAAACTTCAAAGGTGAAGCAGCTGAACAAGAGGCTAGCAATCTCATTGCAAGTGTTGCCAGCGTTGCTGTGGGCAGCGCTGCCGGGAAGCATGACCAAGGAGTACCAGAAGATGCACCACTCGAAGGGACTGTCCCAGATGCCATGGATATAGTGTCCAATACTGCGGACGCGCAAAGCAACGCGCATGGTCGGGTGCCATTGGACTCTCATGACAAGACTCAGCAACCTATGAAACAAAAGGTCATGGATACTGCAAACATGCTGATGGAAATCATTAGCGACATCACGGATACATTTGAAAAGTTTGAGAAGTAAGGTTTTGATTTGAACCCACCAGCCCCTTCGTGTGTCCATCTCGTATTGACAACTGCAGTGCGCTCTCTGCTACTCCACCATTCCCCCAACTCAAACCTCGCTTGCGATTGTCAGCGGTGTTGGTTCCCGCATGCCTTGTATCAGCTTGGATATCCAGCTACATATTAATCAAAGGCGCTGGGCTCGCCTTTGGCTTCGCTTTCTTCGGCGACCCCATCATCAGACGTGCACTTGCCATTCTCAACCGTGATTTTCCTCGCTGGCAGAAAATCTTTGAACTGCAAAAGTCAGTCCTGAACTCTGACGCTGAATCATTCAAGACTCTTGCTGATATAGTATATAGCTCACTCCTGAGAGGCATACCGACAAATGCCCAATTGACTTTGACTCTCTTACGCATTGGCGAGGCTAATGCGTCGCCGCTCCCACCCCCTCCAACATCCCGAGACAAGGCTCCTTCTCGGCCAGCTTCACTTCATCACGAGGAGCTCACACTAGGTGCTTCTAGTGTAGAAATTGACCAAGCCGCCTCGGCTGAGTCAACTAACCAGCCACAAGTCTCAAATCCGTCACCCGAGAAGACCCAGAAAAAGACTTGGGGCGCTGCAATCGTCGGTTTCTTCCGAGGAACCACCGCAACAGGCGTCGAAAGCAAACGTGGTCTTGATCGCATGCGAGCAGCAATTGGTTCTCGCCATGCTAAGAATCGGGTTGGTGTCTTGCGCTCGAAGGGACGAACTAGTACCCCCATTGGACCTGTCGAATTTGACGCCCGGCATGACGGTAAACGTGGGGCTGCGATCATTGACTCAACACAAGAACCTCCGGTTCTATACTTCACAACCGATATCCCACAGAATGGGGATCTTCAACTGGAGCATCGTAAGAATGGCTCTGTGCACTTTACCATGCCAGTTACGGATATCCGAGAAATGAGAAAGCTCGGTGGTATGGGCTGGAAAGGGAAGCTTGTTGTTGGGTGGGCTTTCGGTGGAAAAGAGGTGGTCGACGGTTTGCTCATAGTGGGCAAGGATCCCCGCCAGTCGTACCAACTGACAGCCATGCGCATGAGGAACCAACTGTTCAATCGGCTGATTGCTATAGATGGACAGGTGTGGGAGACCTTTTAACACAACAATCCTTCGAATGCATGCTAAGACGATCCCAGGTCTGGAGGTAAAAGGATATGGATGATTTGGGGCAACAGGGGTTATGGTTGACTTGAAACATAGGTTGAAGACTCGGGGTGAACCACGCCTTACCAGTGTAGGATACTTGTGTGGTATTCCGGTCAGATCAGCTGAATGTCATCAATGTCTGTTTTTTTCCGATCGCTCATCGTCATTGAGGCAAAGAAGCCATATTATAGTTCTGAAAGTATCAGAAATATATATGACGGGACTGAGCAATGGCTAACTCCGCTAAGTGTAGCCCGATGGCTGGCTTTCATCGTAAGGAGGTAGCTGTATGTATTATGAAGGACAGATCCTCATGAATTATTTAATATTTGCGGTGATCAAGACAAATCAAAGCTAGTCTACCTGAGAAGCCTTTATGTAACCGCTTCCACTTCGCTACACATTCAAGTGGTCCAAGCGTCTCGGTCTCCGTTTCACACACCTTCCCAAATAGGAAGGAGGAGACCAGTTTCCTAATCAAGACGTGGGGTATGTTTAAAAACCGCTTGATTCTCTCATTCGAACCCGTTTATAATTTTACGATGTCCTCTGCCAATATGTGATGTTGAATGGAGATATTCTACGAGCAATCTATATAGCTTGCTGAAATTAACAATCAAAGGCCCGATATCAGGCGCCCATTGCCTCGTCCCACAGCATCTTCCCTGCCGAGTCACATGCATTGTCGAGCCACAGACAGGACTTTAATTCCGCCCTTAATTCATGCCATGTCGACAACCCCCGCGAAATGACATAACGTCTGAGTCCTTCCGTATACCAGTTCCTCTTCAGTGACCACATTGCTGCAATCCCACCCATCACGAGACACCAGCTATACAGCTTTTGAGCAACTAGTGATTTGTTCTGGATGGCCTGGCAGTATAATTCGAGCTCTGTTTGCAGCATCCTGTGGAGACTCGATAGTGGGGCGCTTTGAGGTGGCAGAGGGAAGATGACGCCAACTCCAAAGGTGATCAGTGCTAGGCGACAGGGCTCATAAAGGGGATAGAAGTGGCGATAAGTTGACCCAAGCTGACGCACTGGCAGAAGAGACATAATGTGCCACTGCATGATGTTGCGATAGTCACAAAGTGTGTCCATGCCCATATGAATTCCATCTTGGTACGTCTCAACAAGTTCTATATATACCCGCACACCTCGGAAAATACTCTGCATCTCTGGGGTTACATTGTCAGTCTCAAAGATGTCAGTATTTGACTCGTGTGCGGATTTCTCAACCCCGAGTATGTCCTGCAAGGTAGACCGACGGCCGGTCCGAAGAGAAATGTAAGGGAATTCGGGTCGCGAAAGTGACCTGCTAGCACCCAGGACACCTGAGCTTCACAGTGATATTAGCCTCTTTCTGTTCTGAGACGCTTTGTTAGGTCATGGGAAGGAGGCACCGCATACAATGCTATCACAGTGGCGAGTCCTGGAAGCTCGATCTTCTCTAAGCCTCCTCTTAGAGATACCAGCTGCTTTAGCCCCGCCTGGTGGATAGGATGGGGCGACAAACGGCCATAAACATCAAGCCACTGCAAGCTTCGCAATGGAGACCGGAATGGGGACGCCCTACTATCTCCCCATACTGCATTTTCCAACTGATTCGTTGCCATACACAGAACACATAAGATCATCGCATCGGTAACGGCTTCCGAAGGGATTTTGATGGCACGGTTGATTCGCTTGATTGCGTCTGCTTCGCAGACTGCCATCTGTCTAGCATCCTCGGTACTGAATTGGCCGCGTTGTTTCACTAGCCACAGAGCTCGCCTATGCGAGTAAGAACCATACAACAGGGTGCTGTGAAGCGCTGAATGGCAAGTCGAATTGACGAACCATCTTTGAAGGCCGACATGATCGGCACCTGCCGATGATTTGGGCATCAGGCCGGGCCATAAAATTGATAAAGCTAGTATCATGGGTTAGTGGTGCCCACAACTTGAGGGTACATGTACGTGGAGACCCACAATATTTGTTAGAGTAACTAACATGGCCTAGAGCCAAGGGCGACGGCCCGACGGTCTGAAAAGGGTCCAATATATGTGGATTGATGCTTTTCAGACCCGTGGACGAACCGATGTCGATACCAGTCTCAGTGATTTGTTCATCCCAGAGATTTACTAGGCATGATTCTTCTTCTCGGTTTTCAAAAGGGGAAACATCATCGCCGAGTAGATGGTGCTCAGACGATGCGGGGTCGGAAACTATTGCCTCAGATACGCTTGAAAAAAGGACTGGCTCGCTGTTAGAGTCTCGCGATGTATGAACGCCCTGGATCTCGTCGATCTCGGATTCAGAATCTCTGTTGTCGGAAGAGGTTTTAAGGGCGAGGAAGTCGTTAGCACCGCTAGCCTGAGAGTTGCCACGACCCCGGCTATGTTGAGCTTGCTGCCACCTCCATCTTCCAACATGAGATCGAACTATCCGAAGGTTATCTGGTCGTTCGTGACTAGAAGATGGGTCTGCAATGATGAAATGTATCCCTGCTCGAGGCCTGCTCGACTTCTGCTTCTGCCTCGGCATGTTTCCGAAAAGCCCCTCCTGATCTTTTTCTTCCACTTCCCAGCTAACAGTGTGTGGTCCGGGCCCGCAGCGGAGGACGTTGTCAGTGAGAGGGTACGGACGTTGAAAGAAGAGAATTTATGACGTGGAACAGGATGGAGAAATGGCGGGTATCAGAATGACGAGGCTTAGCAGGTCCAAGAGTTCTTCACAGGGCTCTCTCTACGCCATAGGCTTTCTTGAACTTATTCTGTGTGGCCAACGGGCCACCGCATATCGATTAGCGCGAGCGTGTGGCTGAACGATTCCCTCCTTTTGGGTAAATGCGCGGTGCTGACTGTGCCTGCACCCAAAAAATTGGCTCAGTTCGTCTAACTTCGTCTAACATGAACAATATAGGAAAAATGTGGAGTTCACGATAGCTTATATCTGACTGTGATGCGGATCAGGAGGTGGGCTTGAGCTGAACAACAATAAATCCTTCCACGTGGTTCTGTTAGCCTTGATCGGCTTTTGTCACAGAATAAACTCCCAAACGGCCCGATTTGCCGGTTGTCTCCATCCGAAGTGTTCGGCATTGTTTATCCGGAATTTGCTTATTTGGAGCATATTACTACGCCAAATTAGGTATAAGGTGCTGCTCGGGGCGTCAGATGACAATTCTTATAGTGGCTATGCCGAGAGCCAAGATAAGCTGAGTGAAGCCAAAATACATTAAATCTTCTAATAGTAAAGAGATCATGCGTGGAGCGATTCCGCACGGAAGGCATGAACTGCATGAAGTCGGAGAACCCGAACCCTGTTCTGCAAATCGCGGAAGAGATTGTTGGGACACAACCACGCTGTGCAGCAGCTGACACGAGCACAATCTTTTAAAAAGAACAGGAAGCGTGGCGAAAGAGGGACTCCATAGATAGCCTGTGGACCATTCATTCAAAATTGTGCACAAGGATAAGATGTGGGTGGGGGGTTGGAGAAGTATTAGTTCTGTACATTGGAGTAATTGAAATGATCGGAATCGGACTATACACAGGTTTTCAGCCCCGGGCATTTCAAAGATGTTTTAGCAGTTACACTCGGATCATCTACTGATTTGCTCCACCAGAGGGTATATCGATACACTCCACGTCACCGAGTGTCTGTGGAAACATATTATACCGAGCACTAAATATTTGCATCCTTACCTGAGTTCTAGAATAAGTCTTCTATTATCAACGGATCCATCCATCATGACTCACCTGAATCTAGGCGAACCGTTCTTGCAGAGGAGCCTAACACCGATGTTTTCTAGATCTCCGGTTGATCGGTTCTTGGTCATTTTATTGGGGCAAATTCCACCACCTGGTCATCACCGCGAATGGTATCCATTCTATTCTAAAATTTCTCAAGAAGAAAACGCTATCTACGTAAGATCATGACTGCTCCAACGCCGCCTTGTAGTCTCTCACGGTCTGCTCAAAAGACTCATCGCGTTTGAACCCAAGAGAGATGGCCTGGGTATTATCAAATTGTGCAGGCCAAGATTTCAGGATCGGGATTAACGCAGGATCTTCCTTCTCCTTGAGAAGGTCCAGCTTCGCTTTGCCGCCCACCTTCTCCAGCGCGTCCATCATTTCCTGGACTGTCACGCAGATTCCCGGAACATTGATCTGACGAATATGAGGAGGTACCGAGTCTGCGGGTAGATGGAGGGTGAGGAGAAGGTTCTGAACGAGGGTTTTAGGCGAGCAAAGCCACGACTTGAATGACCGGTCCTCAATGGGGATGACACATTCCTTGCCGTCAAGAGGCTCACGGATCATGCCAGACAGGAAAGACGAAGCTGCCGCGGTAGGAGCACCCGGGCGGACGGAAATCGTCGGGAATCGCAAAGTAAATCCATTGATGAACTTGCGCCGGGAGTACTCGTTCACCAGCGTCTCGCAAACAATCTTCTCGGCGCCGTAGGAGGACTCGGGTGTCGGGACCACGCTATCCGTTACGACCTCAGGCAAAGGCCGACCGTAGACAGCCTGGCTGGATGAATAGATGACCCGCACTCCAGGACAGATATGCCGTAGTGCTTCCAGCAAGTTGCGGGTCGCATCGATGTTCACGCTCATGCCCAGGTCGAAATTGGCCTCGGACCCGGACGACATGATGCCGTGAAAGGCATAGACAGCGTCTAGCGAGGAATTGACCACATCGCTGGCGCCGCTGAGGAGGTCAGCCCTCACTGCAGTTGCATTTTCGGGGTGGCGCACGCCCTTGGGGATGGGAGGTTGGGCGATATCGGTCAGAGTGACACGGTAGGCGGGGTCGTTCAGCAGCTCCGTGGCGAGCAATTGACCGATGAAACCGGCGGCACCAGTGATCAAGATATGCATTGTTGTGTGACTGTACGAGGAGAGCACTGGTTGACCAAGTACTCGGCCAGAGGATTGTCGCCGCAGCGGGTTTATGAGGGACAGGGTCTTGTTCTCCGCATTCGCATCAAGTCCGAGGCGATCCGTCGTGGCTCCTCCGCACCGGACTTAGCCCGGCTGTGGCCCTGCGCAGGGATTAGATACGCGCGAATGGCCTGGCTGGACGGCAGAGTTGACGCCTCCGGGGTCTCCGTTGGTCTAATGTTGTGTATGCATGTGTGTATGCGTGTGTCTAGATGGGGTGCTGTTGGTTCGGAGAGCAAGCCGAGGGTGGAGGAGAGAAGCGGCGGCACGTCATGTTTCGCTCTCACCTGCAGGGGCCTCTTTCCATAGATCGGGAACTGGGCAGAGGAGACTGACCGAAGCCATGGGAATGCTATGCAAGAGCGGGGAGACCCAACCGACATCGTACCTGCCATAGACACACCCTCTCCATGAGCTGCCTCGGTCTCCGGCCCCCGAGTTGTCGCAGCGCACCCACTCGGCCTTCCCCGGCTTTTCCCCTTGCCCCGCCGACTTTTTGCCCCTAACCCGCCAGACCGGAGCATCACCGACTGCGTCCTCCTCCAGCTCCAGCATGAATGCCTCCACTCCGCTCAAGCGGTCCTCGACGGAGGCCGGCCTCGATTCGCCTCGTGAGTCCAGTCGTCCGGGAGAATCGAGACCGACAGCCCCCAAGATATCCAAGGCCCGAGCCTGTGAGTCTAACCGCTTCCCCACATTGTCCCGGCTTGCCATTCCGCAACTGACTCGCTCCCAGGCGCAGAATGTAAGCGACACAAGATTCGCTGCGAGTTCCGGCCGGGCGAGAATAACTGCATCAAATGTATCCGCAGCGGTATCAAGTGCGTGGTGAACGACTTTTCGCAGAAATTCGTCGACGACGATGGAGTGTACGTTGACCATAGGAACCCGCCTACAACCTCTTGTCTTCGGCGGACGGACACCGCCAGCGCTGTGTAATTACAATTGCTAATTTAGTTGCGGTACGGTAGATGGAAATCTCAGGCGGCCTCCACCATGCAGCAACTGCAGTCTGCGGTGTCCCAGCTCTTGCGACAAGCAGGACTGCCAGAACTCTCGACCTTTGCCGGCGGGGACAGCGGTAACGGACCCAGCCCAGCCGCCTCACACCATGGCCATCGTCCATCCGCTGATGCATCGCAATCGCATCACAGTCACCATGAAGGTCCGGGGGTCGTGATGGATGTCACCCGGGAACCATCCCAGGAACCGGATCTCCAAGACCCAGAACTAGTACCGGCGCCCATGCGCAGTTTATACGAGGTCACGAAGTTGCGCAACCTACGAAATAATCATATCGAAGCACCTAAGAAGACCCTGCTGGAAGAAGATTTCATTACTCGAGGACTGATCTCGGTCCACGAGGCGGAGGAACTGTTTGCCTACTTTAGTCGCACAATGAACCAGCTACTGTGGGGTGGGATCATTTTGGTGCACCGCGATCTGACATCCGTCCGTCGCGCCTCGACCCTTCTCTCCGCCGCGGTCTTGACTGTTGCGGCTCTGCATATACCGAATCGGACTGACACGTTGAACCGATGCTATCATGAGTATGTGTCGCTGGTGTCCAGTATGGCTCTCACGCGAGCGCACACGCTGGACGATATTCGTGGCCTGTGCGTTGGTGCTTTCTGGCTATCCGAGCTCAGCTGGAAGCTCTCTGGGCATGCGGTGCGGATTGCGACCGAGTTGGGTCTGCACCAGAGCTACCAGCGTCTGACCCGTGGGCACGCCGATCAGTACGAGCGCGCACAACTATGGTACCTGCTGTATGTGTGCGACCATCACTTCAGTATAGCGTACGGGCGGCCGCCCGTCATCCACGAGGATGTGGCAATTCGTAATTACGAGACGTTCCTCGAGTTACCCATGGTGGTTCCAGGAGACATTCGGCTTCTCGCGCAGGTCGCGTTGTTCATGATCTTGACCGAGGCATACCGCATGTTCGGGAGCGACACCGAGCACGCGTTGACGGAGGAAGATTTTGGACAATTACGGGTATATAATGTCGCGGTGGATCAATGGCGGCTTCTTTGGCAGCCTCGTTCTGGTCGGTCTCCTCTTCAATCGCCATTCCATCGTCCCTTCCACTGACCCCCTTGTCCAGCCGACAGTTCATACGTGCGAACCTATCCCTCCAAGGGAGTAGTCCTGCACTACCATTTCGCCAAGTTCCAGCTCAATTCGTTGTCGCTCCGTGCGCTTTCCCCATCTAATGCCCCGGTCTTCTCCATGGACCGCAAGGAGTCGGCCAACATTGCCATTTCGTCGGCCATGGCATGCTTGAACATGGTTCTCGAGGAGCCCGATATCCGTGACGCGATCGTCGGCGTCCCCATTTTCACCCATACCATGGTGACCTTCTCCGCAGTCTTCCTGCTCAAGGTCGCCATCAACTGGAACACCGCATATTTGAGCATCAACGCGGGCGAAGTGCGGCGGCTTGTCGAGCGCGTCATTGAGCTGATGAACTGCGTTTCGGCCGGCGAGCGACACTTAACTCGACACATTGCACGTGGGTTGGGCAAAATGCTGGGGCGCTTCGACTCGTGGGAGGCTGCATGGCAAGTGGGCGCAAACAATAACGGCAGCGCGGTCGACATGCCTGGGGGCACGAATGCGATGGCGCAGGGGTTCCCTCCGCCTGATCTGATCTACGACATGGTCGGCACGTATGGATTTGGGCTCGACGAGAACCTGCTGGACCCGAGTATGGCGAACTTTGAGTTCTTGGCGCCGTAAGCTGGGGTGCTGGGGGCCAAAAGGGTACTGTAGCCCCGGGGCTGGCGCCCCTGTGGCGCTAACTGCAGCTGTCTGCAGCTATGGGGGGAGGCTGAGGGGGTCTGAGCCAGTCTTACCCAGCCGTCCCCGAACCCTGCCAACTCGAGGTGAGGTCCATATTAGTATTGTGGAATGTAAATAGAAACATGGATGGTCGCACGCACTGCCGTCCGGCCACGCACCCGTCTCCACAAAATCACAGTGTAAGCTATCATGTCGTCACCTCCGGCTATTGCGCCCCCTCTCCCTTGGTTCCCTTCCCCCCCTTTGGAGCTCCGGCACCCTGTACTGCCACTCGGCCACTCGGCCACTCGGCCACTCTGTCACTCTTTTCCCCTTACCCTCCCTCGCGCACGTCGTTCTCGTTCCCTGCCTTGCTTCCCTCTTATAAATTGTGCCCCCGGAGGACTGCCGACCCCAATTCACCTCCCCATCCATCTATATCCTGGCACCCTTGCCAACCCCGAACGTGCGCGAATTCATCAGAACCCTTTCCTTCCTCCTACATACTCATCGTATTACACTATGTCCACCCGCAAGAGAAAGGCAGACCCTGAGGAGGAGCTCCAGGCTCTTCCCAGCGACGTGAGCGAGGACGAAGAGGAGTAAGTATTTTCTGCCGTGCCGTTGCTATATAGTTCCGTCGCAATTCGAGCCGCGCAATGCCGTTTGCGCGCGGAAGCCTATATCCGCTTCTCCTTATGCCGGGTGGTCGCGCATTACTTGCGACATTTCTCCAGGCTGAGATGTCCCTCGAAATACGTTCTTGCGCCGAGGTCATTGCCGCTAACTCGACGCGCGCATCAACCTAGATATGAAGACTCCGAGCCCGATCTTTCGGACGTGAGTGACGAGGGCGACGAGGAAGCAGGCGAGGAGGACTTTGACGACGAGGACGAAGATGAGGAGGAGGAGGGTGAAGCTGAAGGTCCATCGCACCTCCATACCTTGACTGATGCAATCCACGTTGAATCTAGTTCAATCGCTAACAATATTTCGCCGCGCAGGTCCTCCAGCACCCAAGAAGCAGAAGACCAAACCTGTCCCTGTGGCCGAGGACGACGAAGTCGCCGAGAACGGCGCCAATGGTGACAAGGACGAGGAGGAAGAGGAGGAGGAGGAGGAGGAGGAGCTGGCTGAGAACGAAGATGATGACGACGAGGAGGCGCCTGCTGATACGGCGGAGACCAGCGGCCCTGCTGCGGCCGCCGCGAAGGCGAAGGGCGGCGTCGTTCCCAAGGAATCTGACCTCGCCGAGGTTGATGCTGCAGACGAGTAAGCCTGCCTCGCGTGAATAGCTTAGCTTGTCGTTTGGCGATTAAATGAAACCGATGCCCCTTGGGCGGGGTGGCTGTATGATTGGACTGTTGTTACTCGATGTGAACCTCTCCTCCCCTGTAATAGTTATAATTCCCAATGGCTCCACCAAGGGACGGTATCGTTTACCTCTCGACACGGTTGGGGCTTCCCTACCAGCTTGAAAGGCTAGTCGACTGTTCAAGCACGTAAGGTTGCAGGGATTTTGGGTAATTCCGCGCCGCCTGATCCCTACGGGACTTCAACTGTCCACATCTGCTAACTAAAGTTGATCTCTTTGATCATTTCATGGGGCAATCTTGCAAGTTCTGACGCTCCGTAGGTAAGCCGAGTCCAACAAGAATTACCGACACTCTACATTTCCATTAGGTATATGCTGTACAGGATGATACCGCTCTTTGCCTACCATAACCGAAAAGACATGTAAACACTGTATATATACCTTCTAAGCTACGTACCTAAGAAAAAGTGGAAAACAGAATGATGAAAACAACAGGTCTCATCATTGATGGTCATTAACCCGGCGAGCGCCCCTTCCTTTATCTTAATATCCAGGCAAATATCCAGGGCCTAGACTCCGGCCCCAACTCCCTGCATTTACTAGTTTCGGACTAGGTGTCGCTGCCGCTGCTGCGGAACGTGGCGCAGAGCTGGCAATACTGGTGTGTGAGATCCAGGATAGGCTGAGGCAAATTGGTGGCCTGGACGATACTTCGGACCTTGACGGCACCCTCATCCTCGATAAGTTTGCGCATCAAAAACAACAGTTCCGGGGAGAACTAGACGGGGGTCAGCACTGTATCCTAAACCGCAGAACATAGATTACGGGAGGTTTTACCTCAGAGTACCAGCGATACTGCCATGCGATCAAGCGAATCAAGGCGCCCAGCATGCCTCTGGTGTCATTCCTCTTCTCGTATAACTTCAGAAGACCGCGCATGGCCTTAGGCGAGAATCGAGTTGCTAAGCAGCTCTGATAGGCCTCGATGCCCTCGTCAAAGTGGTGCAGTCGCTCTGCAAGTTCACCGAGGATTTCCCATTCGGTGGGCGATTTCTTGTATTCCATAGCCTGCTGGCGGAACTGGGCCATCTCAGTTCGCCAGATAGTGTAGATGCGAAGATCCTCGTAAAGGACCATGAACAAATTGTCCAACCACCGCTCGCAAAGGCGCTTGTTCCGGAACTGCGTATATGTGCTGTGCGACGGGTCGGGCTGCTCAGATACATAGTTAGTAAATCACTCGCAAATACTTCGGGCTTTCTGTCAACAACGTACATCGTCGTTTCCAGACTTAACGACCTCGGAGGCCATTGATTGTTCTGGGCGCTCAATGGAGCTATTAACTGGGGTCTCATTTCCATTGCCGTTGGCGGTAGGCTCGGAGACGGGCTCAGTGGGGCCAGGCCCAGACACAGAGCCTGAATCCTCTTCACCTTCTTCCTCGTCTTCCTCAACCAATTCTCCGTTCGTCTCTGCTCCGAGTGATTGTGCAGGCTTCGGCTCATGGTGGCGCTCCACGCGATATTCCTCTTCCATGACAAAAACTTCGCTGCGGACCTTGAGCAATTGGTCCCATCCAATTGCGGCGGCTATCTTTGTCAGAAGGTTGTAGGCTTTGAGGAACGTTCCCTGGTATCCGGCAGCGTGCAACTTCCGGAGGGAAGGGTGAACATAATCATGAGGATCCCCTTGCTTAGGCTGACCCTCGTCAATCTCATCGAGAATGCTCTCCGAAAGGATCGGTAGCATGATACGAGACGGTTGCGGCATGCGCGGAGTGTCTTTATCTTGGTATGTGAACATAGGGCAAGAGTTGAGCGTCAAAAGAGCCAAATCCCACTGTTCCATGCCAACATAGACTTCCGCCAAGCGAGCCCAAGTGCTGAATTCACTTGGCGCAGCAGTGACGGCACGTTTGGCACATTCGAGGGCCATTTCGCCCTCGCCCTTGCTCTGGCAGAAATTCGCCTGGCAATCAAGCAGAGCATAGTCCATCGGAACATCTTGCAGGGCGTCGTACATCAACCGCACTGCTTGCACCTCCTCGTCCGCCATAATTTGTACACGAGCCAGGAGGGATGAGACCTCCACATCTCGTGTGCGCAGCTTCTCAAACAGGTTGATTCCAGAAGTGTACCGGCCGGTTGTGTAGATGTATTTGAGGATACCGGAGGTTAGGTGGTTGCTGACAGTGTTGGGGACTTGGGTTTCGGGGTCTGAGCTGAGCTGGCGACCTACGACAACATTAGAAAAAGGGTGCCAAAAACATCGGTTCGTCAAGACGTACCCAAGAAGAAGAGCTTCTCCGCAGCATCCAAGAACTTGTGTTCCATCTCCGTGTTCGTCACCGGATTAAACCGTCTGACTCCGACGATCTTCTTGATAGCATTTCCGCTACCATCATCGGCATACAGGTATGCTCTCAGAACGGCGCAAAGGAAAGTTTCCAGCCAGAGCGCATCCGTGGCCATGCGCTTGTCTCCATGCTCATCGATGCAGTACGCTTCCAGACTTCCCGGGATCTTGACTTCGACTCGCATGTCCAGGTGCGAAAATGCATTATAGCAACTGCACAGACGTTAGCAGAGAATTTGAGGCTAACCATTATCAATTGATCTCACCAGTAGATCCCCGACACCACTTTATGCGTCTTATCGAGGGGTGAAAATGTAAGGGTATTAACATAGGCGGCTAAGCTAGCGGACGAGGAGGCATCGATCCCAGTGACATGGTGGTATACGCCGGTCTGGAAGGTAGAACAGAATAGTTAGAACTCAGGTACGAGTGAAGATAAAAGGACACGTAATCATACCTGGCGGGTTGAATTGGCTTTAGGCTGCTTCACCAAGTAGACCAGGTCCGGGGGACCCAATTCCCGCAAGCTCTGCAAGGACTCTGTTCGCGCATCGACGGCAACAAAGATTTCCTCCTCCTCATGGATTCTAGTCAATCCCCATGCTGTCAGTCACTTGAATCGCAAGCTGCGCAGGCTCTAACCCTTGCTGGAAGCGAGCAATGGCCATGCACATGCATCTCCGGGGAACACGTAAACCGAGAGGTTTCAGGAGCACATACTCGGGGACAGCGGGCGCGACCATGGCGCCTGCACATATGCGGCGGGGATAAGCGTTGGAGGTGTTTCGAGTTCAGAGAATAGGTCAAGCAAGGAAGGTGTTTCTCGAAATCAACACTGTTGAGGGGAAGTCGTAACCAAACAGTCTGGACGAGCTTCAGGCCATCAGGCAACAAGGCGGAGAGAGTGCGCCCTTGCCTGATTTGGTAACCAACGCGTGAATCGCGATTAACTTGTGCCAGCTTCTGTCCTTGCTTGTTCTCCTTGAGTGCCTTACTCTCACCCCAGCAGTCGCCAGATTTGTCGGCGATGCATCCTGTTGCGATCACACTCGTCGAATGTCAATGAGTGCCTTACACGGGGAACTGGCATCATGGCGAGCTGGGTCGCCCTGAATGTTGAACCGGACGACGGTATTGAAGAGGAGGTAGACGATACCAAGGAGCTTCAGATCGAAGAAGCACTGAAGCTGTACCACAGTGCACTGAAGCTCCACTCGCAAGGCCCGGAGTATTATCCCCAGGCCGCTGAAGCATACGACTCTCTTCTCAATTCCGAGATCTTCAAATACCCCGAGTCCCTTTCCGATTTCAAGAGGGCGGCTCTCCCAGATACACAATCTGCTGCTGCTGCCGACGATGCTGCAGCCGATCCAGTTGCAGAATTTAATGTCACCGATTCCACTTCCAGCCTTTTCCAGACCCTTTACCTCTCTTATAAAAACCACGGCAAATACCTTCTCGACTCGCTTCACGAATCCCTGCGAAATACTCCCCAGAGCTCCGAGACGGCGCAAGAAACTGCACGAAAGACAGCGGGGGTGACAAAAGATGCGGTGAGGTCGTTTGCAGAGGCGCTCGAACGCGATGATACCGACCTCAATTTGTGGAGACAGTGTGCCAGACTCGGCAGTGCTCTCCAAAGTTATCGCCTAAATCGCTTTTGTCTCGAGAGCGTCCTGGCGGATGATGATAATCGCCTGGAGGTGCGATCGGCGCAGCTGGGCCTGGAGGAAATATTTTCGGAGGAGCGCCTACGAAGTACACTTGGACACATTTTCGATGGGCTGTCCGCCTCCCAAATTCCGGTCAAGAAACCGAGAAAGGCCCTCGAGAAATATCTTAAACAGCACGCTGATCTATATTCGTACCTGCCTGCACTGCCAACCGATATACAATCCCTAGATCCGGCCAAGGGCCCTCTCGCACTCTCAACTTTGCGCCGGGAAATAAGACCATCCGAAGGAACATGGGAAGCGGTTGGCAAAGCACTTCTTCAAGCGCTGGATAATGAGGAAAGTGCCTCTCTCGCTGCTGTCCCCAGTCAGTCCATTTACGTTACTCTACCACCCAAGAGTTCGGAGGCACTTGATTCTCTTGAAAACGAGGACATGGACAAAACTTCCGAACCTGGTGCGACCGCCAAAGTCGAAAATGAAGATGTAGATATGATTGAGGAGAACCAACAAGATGGAGAACCGGCGAACCCAGAGATGGAGAATCCAGATACGGAGAAACCCACAGACGAAGTTGCGCAGGACCCATCAGAACCGGCAGAGGAACAGGCTTCCTTTGATCAAAGCGCAGAAAAACAGCTGATGGAATCGCTGGAAGGTCAATCTGTCCAACCACCCGAGAAACATGCTCCAGAGGACGATGCCAACAATGAAGAAGCGGAACCAAAGTCTCCGTCTGACACCCGAAAAAGATCATCCGCATCAGCTGTAAACGACGACCAGCCCGAAGGAGGAAGAATGAAAAGTCGACGAACACGAGCTCGAGAGTCGAATGCTGACGCGTTGGCTGAGCCAGATGAAGTTGCCTTTGACCAAGAGAAATACTATGAGGACCGCCTGGAAATCTTTGTCAATGCTGATGACTGGATGTTCAACACTCTTGGCTCCTTATACTCAAAGGTTGGGATCGAAGCTTTGGGAACCATCGAAACCCTCAGAAAGCAGGTAGCGGCTCTGAACGATTCCGATGAGGCCGCCCAGGAACCTGAGATCCGGCTTGTTCAAGATTTACGCGGCATCTTCAGGAGCTGGAATGACGAGAAATCTCGTTTGATGCAGCAAAAAGATGATCTTTCCTCCTTGAAAGATATTCGCGGCACCAGCAAGTCTGGGTTGTCAGTATTTCTTGAACACTCAAGGAAAGGCATTCGGAAGCCCTTCCTTCAGCAGGAGTTATCCTCAGGCGAGGAGCTGTACCGGTTTTCGGATACAGTAAACAATAGCTGGCTGCATCCACATGAGACATCGTACGAGTGGCTTAAATGTCTTCTCATGCCGGAGTTTGGGCAGCAACCTTCGCAATGGCCTGTAATGAAATCAACATATCTGTCGTTCTTGTGGCCTAGTGAACTCAAAGAGACGGTCGTGAAGCTTCTGCTCCGTGAAGATGAATTCATCTTTACTAGGATGAGTGAACTCATTGCAAACATTGAACGCCGTATCCTCGAGTCAAGCTCCGAAGCTCCTTTCGAGTATCAGATGAACTACTTCTCCGAAGTTGAAATGATTCAGTCCATCTACGAACTTCATGTGGATGTTTTTGCGTCCGTTGTGAACCCCAGCAGCGAAGCTATTCGACACAAACGATACGTCCAGACCGACCGCCTGGCCAGATGGGGCATTCTCGCTCGATCGGCGCTGCACTTTCTTATTGACTACTGTCCGTCTGAAATATGCCGCCAAAATATCGCACTTCGTCATCTGTGGGCATCAACATTTCATATGATCCTTGGCGGCGAGGCTCAGCGCGAGCATATCTTGCTTTGTCTCCAAGACTTGAAGCACATCCTTCAGACCATTGGTGATCCTTGCATCACCCTTTTGAACAATTCTACCTTGTCTGAATTATCTGTTGCGACAGTAGATCAGGAGGTTCTCAAGCTGAAGTGCATGGACTTCTTTGCCAAGATTTTTAATCCAGAAGACGAAGATCCTGTGTCGCTCATTGAAGCCATAGAGCCGATCCTTGAACCTTCATCCATTGAGTACCCAGAAGGATCCCCCGAGCAGGATGGCCTGAATGATCTCTCGTCTACCTCCAGCGAGATGGCTTCATTCCTGGACCGGGGTGATGCTACATTGCGACTCTTCTTGTGGCGAAGGCTCCAAGAGGCATATCAGGCTATCGACTATCCGCCGAAAGTTGTCTCATGCTATCTGCGGAGTATTGAGGTCATTATGGCCGAGTTAGAGGATGCAAAGAACCTTGAAGAAACGAGTCAGCATCGCCAAATCATTTTGCTCGGCTGGCTTAAGTCCCTGGACGGAATCCTGGGCAAGGCAATCCCACTCATTCTTCAACACCTTGAGAAAGCCTACGAGTGTGTGGATATGGAGCACCTGCAAGCTTCAATCTCTGCAGTAGCTCGCCTTACCAGACTCGTTCATAGCTTTGTATTATACGAGGATTCAGTCCGTGTGGGCCAAGTCTCTGGACGTGAATTTCGTGGATCTCTGGCGAAATCACTCGAGAACTTCAAAGAAAGAATGCGGGAGCTCTACGTCCGCTGCTGGATTTTGCAGTATACTCTTTTCTTAGAAGCAATCTCCCAGAACAAGGATATGTTTGACGAACCACTGGAAGATCGCATTCGGATTCTTCGGTCTGTGCATAATGCGCTGGGTGTTCGTTCCATGTGCAGATATTCCCAGAAACGGTTCCTGAAGCTCATGAAATCCGAGTTACTGGATCTTGAGACGAAGGGTGATTATGAGCATGATATCTGTCAGGTTCTGCTTGACCTCCACGGCATCAAATTGTCGCCTCTCGATGGAACGACAGACCACGGGTGCCCCCCGGAGAAGCTAGATCGCCCTACGGCCATCATGATGATCGACTTCGTGATGAGACAGGCGCAAAACATGAACATGAAGGACTTATCGAAGTCTGAACTGAAGACGACGATTGAAAAGATGCAACAGACCATTGTTCCCGCAAAGCTCCCACCGTCGCCCCAAATGTCTTTCAATCGCCGTATTTTTCACGGGTACATCAAGGCCCCTGTCAATCCTTCAATTCTCCTCCGCGCTGTCCAGGGAGTATTGGAGCTTTCAATGATGACCGTTCCAGGCGAGAATGCAAAAATTGCTGCCAAGGGGTGGTATTTCCTCCTTGGTCATGCGGCCCTGACAAAGTTTCGGTCTCAAAAACGCCTCAGCCCTGGCTCGACAACGGAGCTTGATGATGCCATCAATTTCTTCAGACAGGACCTTGACCATGGGTCGGGAAGATGGGAAACTTGGTATCGACTCGCTCAGGCGTATGACACCAAGTTGGACGAAGATATAACATGGACTGCAGACAAAATCAACAACAACCGCAGTGATTTGGCAACCACGCAACGATATGCAATTCATTGTTATGCAATGGCCGTTTCAATGGCTATAAGAACTGCAGAGCCGACAAACGAGACTCGAGCGCTTCTATCAGACCTGTACACTGATTTTGGTATTAGACTGTACTCATCATCTCGTGAACCGCTCTCAATGGGGGCATTTGGACTTTCGGATTTCTCTCGGCATTTCAGCAGCGAAGAAAGCCAGCAGATGTATAAAGGACAGCCTTACAAGGAGATGTCCTTATACTCTGTCTGGAACTTCGCCTGCAATCTCCTCAGGAGAGCGCTGGTCGACAAACCCAAACGGTGGATGTTAGTACTGCTAGTGTCATGGATTATTTGGCTGAAGACTAGAGCATGCTAACTGTTCCCTAGAACACATTATTTCATCGGCAAATGCCTCTGGAAAATGTTTAGCAGCGACGACTCCATGCGGACGACTTCAAGGCGGGTTGAAATGCAAGACGTTCTAGATGCTTTTCATGATGCCATTTCAAGTCTTCCCCAGCGGAAAGATTCGCGCGCCGATCCGATATTTGAGCCGCATTTCAAGCTTTTATCTATTGTGCAAAAATTGGTCCTTCGAGGAACCATGACAGTAAGTCCGGAATTCCTCGGGTCATTCAATGCGTCGTCATCTGACACCTAGTTAGCCGACCGAAGCTAGCGAAGCTCTTCAAGCCACCCCCTGGGCTCGCAAAGTGGATGCACCTCGGAGCATCGAAGGGTGGAAACCATACATCCTCGAGGTCATCAGGAAGTTTAAGAGCGCGGATAAGTCCAATTGGCATCACCGGATGAGCGCTAAGGTAAAGCCCATTTTCCTGTCATATGAATGGGCTATCCCTTTTCTAACCAGGATAGGCTGCTCACGTTATCTATGATGACGAGAAGAATGCGACGGCCGCGGTGGCGGCCAAGCAAGAACTGTCACAGATTTTCACCAAGACTCTCACAATTCAAGTTTGGCGACCGGAATTTGAGCGTCCTGGGAGGCATTTTGTCTATACCAACCGTTACGTTCACTTCTTTGTCAGTCTGCTTGACCGACTTGATGATCGTGCAAGCTTAGATCAGCTACTGCGGCGAGTGAGAAAGAAGCAAGGAGATTTCATCAACCACACCAAACTGTGGGAAGATGTCTGCTTGACTTATGCAAAGATGATCCGCAGAGCCGCAGATATCAACGAGGGACACGAGGAGGGTGTTTTCAGACCCATTGGCTGGGAAGAATTCTCTACGAAAACAGCTCGGCTGGAGAATTTGACACAACTTTCTCCGGAGAGTCTCCCTCTGCTCGAGCTGATTCGTGACTCGCTCGAGTTGAAAAAGCTCAACAATAACTTGATGAAAGTTACCATGTTTGAAGACCTCGTTGCGGATTTATACGCCCGGGTTTATGAGCTCAATATGCCTTTGCTCATCGAGCAGGTAAACGAGGAGAACAAAGAGAAGATGAAGGTCGACCACCTTCTAATGGCTGGGGATGGAAATACAGAGGCGTCTAACCCTGCAACCCCTCTTCCAGCTTCTGATACTCCAGCCCCTCGTGGTCGAACAAAGGGAATCGCTCGTCGTGATGTTCAAAAGCGTGCCGACACGATCGTCAACCTCAAGCTGGGACCTCGAACCGCGACAAGCAAGTTTACTGCCTCGGCTGAAGCAGACCAGTCCTCATCCACTGCACATGGTGCGAACGCAGCCGCCGCGCCCACTTCAATTCCTCACGAGCCCGGGAAGCAGCCATCGGCTGCCGATGATGGCGCTGGCGTTCAAAGAAGCGATGCTAATAGCTTCAACGACACTGCAGACGAGAGTGAACTTAGTGAAGTCGAAGGGACAAAACTAAACAAGTTGTCTTCGAAACGGAAGTCTCTTATCCCTACACTTCATAAAACAGAATCAGGAGATGTCGATACCGAGACCGAAAATGACGGTGCTGATGAAGGAGAAGGAGAAGATGAAGGCGATGAGAACGACGATGGCGAGGATGACGATGACCCTGCCACCACAGAAGCTGAAGCCGGTGGCGAGGAGGAACAAGGTGACGATGGAGAAGACGAAGACATTCAAGACGAGGACGAGACAGGCCCCACTGTTGACGAAAACAAAGCTGATGATGGCGAAGCCACCGATAAGGAAGTGGACAAGGATGGTACCAGCGATGGCGGGACTGCGCAGCCCAGAGAGAATCAGCCGGATAATAAGCACCACAGTGATTCAGTCAAGGATGAAGATTCTGAGCAGCCAGATGCCATGGATGTCATGCCTGCTTGACCGCTGCGCTCTCCGTGGTTTGCTTTGATTAAGTGGCAATGGCAGATTTGATTAGCACATAGGGGGATTTGAACATGCACAAGCAAGGCGTTTGGGGAATTGGAGGATAAGGCTCGTTAATCGATACCAGCTGGCGTCGTTGTTTTGATGCAAGAGACCTGTACAATATCTTTCGTAGTTTGAAGGTTGTCCATTATACTGCTTCCTCGACCACCCCTTTGTTCATACTGATCCACAAGATGGTTAGTCTGTTATGCTGGCTTTGAGATTGAATATGTCCAGACGAGTAGGAGAGTAAAAGAACATCAAACAAATGGATATTGAAGATTACTTGCAAGTAGTATGAAAGAATGCACAATAAAACCCCGATATCTAGCCCTGAACTCCTGTGAAAGAACAATTGGAACGCTTCAACCAATAGTATCTTTCCCTAGCCTCGGGATGTATTCCTCCAATCCAGCTTCCAAAAATAACGACCTAAATCAAATCATAAAGTCATGACGGAAGATTACTGCGAGGTTTAGATCTCGCTTTCCGGTGCCAAATCCCACTTCCTGGTCGAGATTTTGCTCTGTTTCTTGCCAGTCGTGGAAGATTTTGGCGTCGGAGGTGGCGGTGAGAACATGCTGTCGGTGAGGCTCAGCTGGTTCATGCGCTGGAGCGCATTTTCAATGTCACTCTCCCGGCCGAGCAGATTTGAGTTTCGGCTGGGAGACGCCGGGGCCTGCTTTGCCCTGGGCTTCCGCGTTGGAGACTGAGACGACATTTCGCGTTCAAGGGTGGCCAAACGGCGCCGAAGCTGCTCATTCTCACTCTCCAACTCCTCCACCCTGTCATTAGTTGACTGTTCAGGGTCTTCATAGATGTTGAAACCGCGAGAGACCAGCTCAATCTTCTTATCAATGTGGTCATCATTACGACCGGTCTGAGGAGATGGAGGTTAGCGAGTGCAAGGCATGTCTCACAAGATGAGAAAACATTACTAACCTGTTCATCCCATGCCGCCTGCCACCGTCTCCTCTCCTCCTCCATTTGCTCGTCCATATCAGCCCAGCATTCTTCACGAACCTCTTGCTCGATCATCACGCATCGATCTTCAGCAGCTTGCAGCCTAAGCTCAATTTCAGAGCGAGTGATCTCTTCTTCAGCAAGTCGCACAGCAAGGCCATGACAATCTTTCGTCAGCCGGGCGATTTCAGCCATAGCCCTGTCCAGCTCTTCCACGGACGCATCGTTCGGTGAAGTACGCCCGCTAATGGATCGATCTCTGCCCGAGCCTGTGGAAATGATTGATTCGGTCACAGATGGAACACGCGGCACAGTCACTTCTCGAGCCAATGCTGAGTAGCGTAAAATTTGCGAAGTGGCGTTGAAATCACCCAATGGATCTGCAGTCACAACCATTACGGCTTTCTGAGGATATTGACCCCTAGACATTTGGTTCGACGAAGGGAAAGAATTGGAAAATAGGAGCTCGGTGAGCTTGCACTGGCGGAATGGAACGAGAGCAGTCTGAAAAAGTTAGCAATTACTCAATAGACGGGTCATGAAGGGATCATACCTTAACTCCATCTTGGAAGTTGCTTTGCATCTGCAGACACTGGCCGAGGTACATCAGACTCTCATTAATTTTGCCAGCCTCTGCAAGCGTTGCTCCAGCCGTCTTGGCGGTCCTGGCACGTTCAGAGCCTAAAGGAGGCTTAGACTTGAGTTCGATAAGCGGGAAAGGGATCAAACTTACCGGCCAGGTCAACAACAGTAAGCGTATTTCCCACCCAATTTGCCTCACCATATCGCTTGCTATGCGACATCTTCTTGACCTCAAGACAGAAGAAGCCATGGCTTCGTGAGCTAACACTGTTGGCCCCAGTACCTGTGACCTTGCGTTCCGTCAAACCAACATCGAGAATAGCCAAAGCTTCCTCGTAGCTGCTGCAGGCGATCTTACGCAGGCCTGCAACCACCTTCCGGTCCGGCGAACCTTCAGTAGACTTGAACAGCAAAGGACGACGTCTGTCTTTCTGACTATGTCCACGGGACATGGTGTTTCCTTGGCCAGGGACGATGGAAGGCGACAAGAGATCGAAAATGCGGTCATTATAAACCTCGTACATAGACACCAGGACGACGTAGTCGGAGCTTGAGTGCAGATCCACAGTAAGATGGCTCACGTCGGGCAGTCTCGGAGTAGCAATAGGCCGTTCGCGGGGTTGACGGCGGGGGAAAACCAATGCGGGTGTCGGTTCCTTGAAGACATAAAGTCGTGATTTAGCTAAACTGGCCTCGTGGGTATTGTGACGGGTAAAAGGGAGAGGGGTCAGGGATCGTGGGGTCATTCTTCCAGGCCTCGCAGTGGATCGTGGGCCAAATTCGGGCTGATCCATGCCATTGGGACTGTAGACTGGAATGGGTGCTGCCTCACGAGGGCTTCCAGGGATGGGGTATAGTCTTGGGAGACCGGATCCAAGTATAGGGGGACGCTTGGTCGGCGATCCTTCATGGGGATTCAGGGATTCAGGGCTCCGTACCGTGAGTGGGGTGTGCGCGCGAGATGGGCTCATGGGAGTCTGGGCTCTTGAGCTGCGGCCGGCGCTGGGCTCGCCGTATACGGCTTCCAGGAATGTTTGGGCGGAGAATAGCTGTGCTTCCGAAGCATCCGATGCGGCCAATGATGCAAGCATCAAGGGACTGATGCTGCCATCCTCGGTTTTAATGGTGGGCTCCAGTGATCGGAAGATTACATCCAGGGCCATCTGGGTAATACCTCGTTGCGACTTGGACCCTAGGATGGTGTGACTCTGCTCTCGCATGCCCAATTAGCTTGTGCTAATGCAGTGTCAGAATAAAGGCATTCCAACTTTTCCACTTCCGGTGACACCCAATGTTGCGACCAATCCATCCCGGCCTTCCTTCAGAACTCCTCTCACAATGGATTCCATTCCTGTGTCATGGAAGATATCCAATTGCGACGCACTTTCTTCGAAAACTTTCGTGAAGCCAAATTTCTCAATGGCGCGTTTACGCGAATCACTGGGCGGCAGCAGGGTAATGTGGGTTGAAACAGGTGCGACAATCTCTCCGTCATCTTGGGACGCCTCTGGGGGCTCAACGGTAAGGAAACGTTCGGACTCGTCGTGTTTCTGGGCCATCGGGGGCGCAGCCGCAGATAGACTTGGAACAGCGACGCCTGGGGCTGTTTGGAGGGCATTTTGACTATGCTGTCCGCGTCTGAGCCTCCAGAAAAAGTTGGATGTTGAATGTGGAGGTGAAAGACCGTTGACAGGTCGAGACTGCCATCCGCCGATCAACACCGCCCATCCCAATCAGGCAAGTCTCGTGTTGTCCCGGCAACAAGCCAACTGGGCAGTCATGGGACCGGCAGTCACGGGTTGCGCTGTCTATCGAGCCCCATCGTACCCTCGTCTTTTGTTGTTTAGCTGAATTGATGGACTCCACCTTGTTGATCAGGCGTTCAGCACGTCATCCATCCGGTGGTCGAAGAGCGCAAGGCTTCTTTCCAATTTTCTGGAACCGTGGCGATGCAAGCGCCCCCCGCTCAACCTTCCCACGGGCAAACCTGCCCTTAATTGGCACGAATATTGCCCCCACCATCACTAGACATGATGCACTGTCATCTTTACGATCACCAAGGGAAGCCTACCTTTACGCCCAGCTAAGCATCGCCGGACCCTCATAAAGAGGCCAACGGATCGGCGCATGGGCCCGACATGACCTCGTATTGGGGCCGGCCCAACCCTACACGCCCTGCGACGGTCGTGTGGTTTAGATTGAACCTTCGCGCGCACTGCCACGGTTCTTGCCCTGGAGCAGTGGGCCGCGCCCGACGATTCGCCCGTGCGGCCCGTATCTCTCCCTTGGCGGCTTCGTGGTTTGTGACCCAATCCGGTAACTCGTTTTCGCTTGTCTGTGGCCGTGAAGAACAGGGAACTAGCGCTAAAGGTGTGATGGCCTTGACGTAGATATAAAACCCGTGAAGATCCAGCTAGCATTGTAAGGCGGCAATCTAAATTGGTTCTTCAAATCCTTCGATCTAACCGCCCCTTCTTGTATCTCCCGTGTACTTAACAGCAGACGGCTTTCCAACTGTAACCATGCTTGAGGCACGCTCGTATCGTAAGTTGTCTCGATATTACGGCATTAACCCAACTGACATGCAACAGAGGAAGGTAGCCTGTGGTTTTATGCACCCAACAAGGGAGCTCCCATCGCCTTCGCGACCCTCTTCGCTATTTCGGGTGCAGTTCATTTTTATCAGAATTTGTATGCACAGGCTTCTGCTATCGAGACTATCAGTACTGATACCCTCAAAGCAGATATAAATCTTGGAAAGTGACGGGCCTACTACCATGGTCGGCCCTCCTCTTTACCGCAGGGTTCATTATGCGAACCATTGGCGCATTCGGGCAATGGGGCAACATCGGTGTCTACATCGCCAGCACAGTCCTGCTCCTCGCTGGCCCGTAAGATACTCTTCCATCGCTCTCTTATGCGCGTAGACTGACCCAGTTGTTCTTAGGCCTGTGTACGAAGGTGCCAATTACTTTATACTTGGTCGGATTTTATACTATATTCCCTACCACTCGCCCATTCACCCTGGTCGTGTATTCACCACGTTCATTGCGGTGGGTGTGGCCATTGAGTCGATCACGGCGAATGGAGCCGTTCGAGTCGCGAGCGCCGATTCCACACCCAGTTCGCAAAGAACAGGCAAGGCACTGCTTAAATCGGCTCTCATTTTGCAGATTGCTTTGATGGTCGCATTCATGGCTCTGGCCGGAAGATTTCACTACAACTGCTCCAAAGGCGGCGTGCTGAGCCGCAACATCAAGCGCAACCTCATCGTGCTCTATACCAGTTCAACACTCATTACCATCCGGACCATCTTTCGTACTGTCGAATACTTCTCCGCTGCAAGCTTGAATGTTTACACCGACATCGATCATATCAGCCCAGTCCTAAAGCAGGAATGGTTTTTCTGGTTCTTCGAAACGGTATTCATGTATAGCAACACTACACTGTTGAATGTCTTTCACCCTATGCAAGTATTGCCGCACTCGAACAAGGTCTACTTGGCCAAGGATGGCGTGACTGAGATTGAGGGACCGGGATATGATGACCCCCGTCCTTGGTTTGTGACACTCGTGGATCCATTTGATATTTACGGTCTGATTGTTCACCGAGGCAAGAAGGAGAAATACTGGGAATCGACGGAGCTGCAACCGGCAACTACCTCGGGCACCAAGCAGGAGGCATGAAATATTCCCACAATTGTGGATTTCTCCTTTGACTATTTTAAGTGGACAGCGCGGATTTTCGGCCGTTATTCCCCATGCTCTCTTGGTCTTTGATTTTATTGTTGATTTGTTGTTTGGTTTTTTCATTTTGTTCTATTTATCCCATTTCAAATTTGTATCATACTCACTATAGACTATCTATTTCTCTACACATTTACTTGCGACTAGGCCGTGCTGCGTGTGCCACCGGGAAGTTTTTCCACCCTCCATTCCTACGAAATGCCACCAGGCGGGGCGATGCTATCAAGGTCCGGATCGTTCACTGTACCGACCAATCCCGTTTCAATGTGCGCCTTATTCCAATCACCGCTAAAGTAGACTTTATCCGCAGGCTGGCCACGAACGTTGCCTAGACCCTGATTGCAGTTGTATTTCGGGTCCTGTATCCGATGGGCAGAGCCTCCACACGAATTCCTGGCCAATTGGGACAAACGTAGTTTGCGTATGTTTCCTGGAATTCGCTGGCCAGGATGATGGCTTTGTGGGAAATGCTGAGCCTAGTCTGCGTACCCCTTGAAGACTTGATCCTGGATAGCCCCCGTGCCAGTCCCACGCCATGCCCACTGTGAGGTAGTGTATTTACGATCGGGCAGAAATAACGTCATTCTGTTTCCGTTATCGGCTCAGTGATAACAGATAGAGGTGTATATGATGCCATATTATTCAATAGCGTTTGTGCGTGCCTCATTTTGGCTGCAGTGCCCCTGTTGGCTGTGCGAGCCAGGCGAGCCAAATATCGAATTCCCTGTTTGAGCGACCTCAGTCAAAAAACCGTTTCTACAAGAAGACCATGTTGTTAAATCCATGTTATTTTCTCCCAACACTAGCTACAGGAAGGCTGCGTGACGGTAGAAACTGTTGACCACATCGGGATATGAAAGTCACAGGTTCTCGTGATTAGCCAGATAAATTCAAATGTCATACTCGTCCTTTCCCATTTCCTCTTGTATTTCCCAGCTATACCTTGCAAATCGACTCCTTTGTCGAATTCTCTCCCCATAGCACAAAAACAACGGAGGCACAATGCAGAATACAGTTGCCACCGCCGCCAAAACAGAGATGGCAATATTGGCTCCCAATCCGTTAAACATCTGATTTGTGAAGAGGGGGAATACCCCCGAAAGCATGCCTCTGAGGAATGCCACGGCAGCCGTAGCACTGGCTGAGTAGCTAAGATAGCTATCTGATATATAACCATATAGCACGGTGTCCATTTCCGTTAATGCGTACCCGACGAGTACAAGGGAGAGTGTTGGCACGATCCAAGGCGTATTCGGGCCTGGTGTCTTGGGAGGAATAGTCCAGCCGAACCACCACAGACCGATAGCCAGGAAGGGAGCACCAAGTGCCAAGCCCACAAGCTTATCTTCTGGCCTGATAGGCTTGCCTTGAAGTCTGCGTTGTTTAAAGATATGGCTGTCCAAGATGCGAGTCAATGTGCTGATGCATGTACCGAGACCGATAGCCATGAATATGAGAGAGGCCTGTGATGCAGAGAACCCCATGGACTGATAGATGGGCTGTAAAGCCTCGGTGAAAATATAGATGATAGACATGGCGACAGATATCATCATCGCGATTGTGAAAATTATTGGCTCCTGGAAGAACAGCTGTGCAGGGCGGAAAAGAGCCTCTTTGACGAAGGTGCGCAGATCGGGGGAGTGGTCATGGTTCAATGGTGGAGGTATTCCTGGGATCTCACTTCGCATTTGATTCACTTCGCGAGTTAGTATATAGGACGATCGGGATTCTCGAATAAGACACAGGAGGCCGGTTATGCCTCCGAGTATTATGGCGTATGTATAGAAGACCCATCTCCTATAAATGTGGTAAGAATAGATTCGATTCAGTTATGGTAGGACCTTACCAATTGAGAATTTCAGTGATATGACTACTCATTATCGGTCCAATGATCAATCCAATATTTGACGCTACTGTCCAGAAGAAGACAACCCAAATACGTGCCTGTGAGTTGAACATGTCCTCGATGCTACCTCCCGCGATAGTCCCAGGGACTGCCGACAGCAACCCGGCCAGTGTTCGCATAATAATAGTCCCACTCAGTGAGCGTACAAGCCCAATAATGAGACAGCAAACACAACTCAGGCCACTGCTAAAAATGTACATCCTTTTGCGCCCGAAGGATTCAGACCATGGTGGAAACACAATCGTGCCCATTGACTGACCAAGAAGGAACCTGTCGAACCGTTAGCTTGTTATCAATGTGACTAGGCCCGAATGAGTGCATCTCACAGCGTCACAAAGCAAAAGGTTGCAAAGGTATGGTCCAAATGATATTCATGCTTGGCTTGTGCCGCCGCCGCCGCCTAGCCTCGTCTTTAGAACTCGTTCAGCTGTTATAGAATTTTCATCACTCACTCCTGCAGTGCTGCTAGCAGTTCTGTTCAAGAAGAAAAAAAATGAAGAGTTAGCTTTCTATGGGGAGCGTATTGTGTGGATGGGGTCCATCACACATAAAAAGATCCAACACGCAAATAAGCCCAGTATCGTATGTCTTTCGAAGAATAGGCCAGTTCCTTGGATGTTTCGGGTTGTCTCGTGTCCATCGTACAAAGCTTCCGTCTGGTGTAAGCTCAAGGCACTGCTTCCGTAGGTGTTCGTGTAGCGAGAACTTGGTCTCTTCCATGGTGTCGAGAGAGCTGGATTTCATCTTCGGTCAGGGCGACTCCTCATCTTGTGAACAGAAATTAAGATTTGACCAAGAGCTTCCTCGCTATAGATAAGTTGCCTAGATTTATCAGGGCTTGAAAAGGTGTGACATAATCACTCTAGGATAATTAGGTTCTGTCTTCTGCACATAGCGCATTGAGAGAAGCAGGAGGCCTGATCCCGAGGAATGAAAGGGCCCCCTTGCGATCTACACGCACAGCAAAATCTACGGCAGGACCTGCAAGATAATTGGACATTCTGCGATGTATACGCAATAATGTCTATCGATAAGGAAACATATAGCCCGCTGCGAATAAATTCCGTCTTCCTCCCACGACACTTCCTGAATTATTCCAGCATTTGTCGCGTGAGCTCTTGTCAGTTGATATTTAGACTTGATCCTGTGACTCGGAATTCCAGGGATGGAGAATTATCTGCATTCTTGGTGGAATTAAGGGGTCCCCTCTCTCTGATGATCCATTAGCTTGGCAATCACTTAACTAAAGCAGTCGATCAAGGTACAATAAGGAGTGATGTCAAAGTCAAGCTGAACATACAATATAGTTGAAGCAGATACTTATTCCTTACTTCTATCAACCTGTACAACAAGGTCTCTTAGTGGCTATTGTGGTACCGTGATAGCCTATCTTTTAAGATGATTTTCATTATTCCTAGCATGTTCCTTAAAATAGGGTTTGGCGCTTTCTTTAAGATTTGCAGATTCAGGAAGCAAAGATCTGAAGCGAGCTTCATTACCCATTTCTCGGCATGTTCTGCCGAATGGAGAGGAAGCCCCAGCCGATTCGGAGTTGATCGCGCGTAGAATCTGACATGCGGTAGAATACTCGGCTATATTTCCCAAGCTTCGAATAATTTCCAAATTGAACCCACCTTTATTTTGTGGGGTCTTTCTAATTATTTGCGCTATAGAAATTAGGGGACCTGTTCTCGCCCAGACTAGCGTATAGTTGCAAAGAGTCGTGTGATTGATCAGGCTCCTGCTGACGTCCCCAAGGCCTGTCATATATACTGCCAAGTTACCGTAACAATCTTACTACTGTACATTCTGTAAGTAAGGTTGTCTCCGGACCTCTTACTGTAGTCTACGAGAATCATCACGTGAAGAGTAATGGCTTCCGATTCGTCACTGCTTCTACTCCGTCCGTCCTCCTTCGGGTGCATTGCCGAAGGAATACGAGAGCGGGAAGCCACAACCAATGAGCGTTCTCACTAAGTGACGAGGAGGAATCATGCCATATACCAAATGAGATAGGCGGTGAGATGGACTCTTTCAGGGGCGTACTCTAAATGCGGCGTCAGCCAGACAGCAATCACCATCTGTCAAAGGTGCCACGGCAGGCACTAGGAGATGGAAGGCTGGCAAGTAGCATTCAAAACTCATAATGGTTGGGGTGCCTAACAGCAAGGGCTGTTTGCTCTGCCGAGAGCGACGCATCAGGGTCGGTGTTTTCTCTCTCGTATTACGACAGCAAACTGACCTCGCATTAGTGTGACCAGTCTTTGCCGCACTGTATGCAATGTCGCAGATACGGTGCGTTATGCCCTGGATACAAGCGTCCTTGGCAATTCCAGGATGAGGGGCCCCGTCTTCAGAAACGGTATCAAAAGAAATTCCCAGTTGTCCGTCGTAGTGACGTCGAGCCCGACCCTGAGGCTGCCCACAATAACGCATCTGTACGAAAGCAAGTCTTGACGACAGTTTCGATTGATGAGCGTGTTTATCCATCTCTAGTTCATCAATCTTTCATCAGCCAACAGCCACGGGTTTTCAAAGACTTCATCTGCGCTTCCTTCCCCACCATGTTCTTCCATAATGAATTCCGTTTCGGGGATGGCTTTACCTTCCCGGACTGGGTTCTGAAACACTTTGGTTCAAAGCCTTATTACGATGCATCAGTCTCGTGTCTCTCAGCAGAATACCTTGCCCATCTCACCAAGGACCCCAGACTCCACCAATTCAGCCGGCAAAAGTATTCACAGGCTTTGGGGGGAATCAGACAAGCACTAGGCTCGGATGAGGCATCCTCGGATGCCCTGCTTATTGCAGTTATTCTTCTCTCTTTTTATGAAATGACGATACGGACTACTCGTGATGGTTGGGTATATCACTCAAGGGCAGTAAAGCATCTAATGCTGAAGCGTGGGATGGATCTCCATCGGGCTGGGGCTGGGCGCGTCTGTCATTTTGCCTACAGGCCCTTTCTTATCGCTGCAGCGCTCCACGAAGGCGAGCCATGCTTCCTAGGTGAGGATATCTGGCAGGACCTGGCAGCTATCCTTCGAGTAGAAGACTCTCAGAAGCAGAGCGAATGGTCGTTCTATATCAATGTTTATGAAGCGATTTTCATGGAGCTAGTGAAATGTCCCGGATACATTCAAGAGGCACGAGAGATCGCTTCTGTGACCTCTCCCAAGGCCGTGATCCTAGCAAAACGGATCCACATCGCCTGTGGTCGGCTCCAGATGCTGAATAGCAAATTACGATCACTACTTGTGTCGGACAACCAACGGAAGCTAGGGATCATCTTCCATCATTTTATCGGGCCGGCGCCCAACGCATTTCCCGAAACAAGTCCGTCACTTCTTCTCAATGCCTCTGTTAATGCCCTCGGCATCCTCGTACAACTCCTCAACCGATTAACTCTGCCTGCTTATGTCGAGGAAGAACCTCCATGCTCCAGTTATGGGACGCTATCACCATCGTCGACTCGACAGAGTGTCAGCACACCACCTAATGGTAGCGGTCCATTTCTTGATTTCCGTCTCGTTTGCGAGCTTGGCGAGGGTATTGACAAAGGTGACCCGCGCGCCTTTACCTGGCTCGACCGGGTCGCCGGGTCGATGGGGCTCCTGGGAGCAAAAGCTATCTATGAAGGTGCAGTTTAGGTGGACTAACCTTTTATGATTATGTGTGTAGCCTTCTTTTCGTTTTTCGTAACTACTATACCAACATCGTACACGTATATTGCTTGGGAATCACACAGAATATTCATCTAATGCATTCAACCTTCATGATGTTCAATGCCATAATGGCTCCTGTCTATACTTGGGAGTTGAAGATATTTTCTTCTACGAGCTCATTAGTTCTAGGTACAGATGTAAGGTACTGGGGTGGTCAAGTACACAATCGAATGATCGGAACTGAGCGCATGATGGATCTCGGGAACAGAAATAGGGGCGTAGACATGCTATTTTGACATGGTATGTATCCGGTCAACATGTTATAACTCGTATTGGTATCCGATCATGATTCGCATATGAATTAGATCAAACGGCTCACGCCAGGTCACGTCTTGCAGAGCATCATCGACTTCTAAGATGCAATGTGGCGGCATCCAGGCTACGGGAGGTGGGGAAAAGATTGACGCCACGCACCGTTGCTGAAACTTTTCAGTTTTGATATCTTTGGACAACTGCCGGACCTGTGTGTTTAACTCGTAGTAACTAACTACACTAGATCCAAGGGTGCAGTTCACCCTCGCACTTCCCAGTGAGGTAAATTTAGCCATCCCTGTCCCAGATCTGTTCCATCAATGTAAACCTTCAATACGTCTCTCGCTACGTGAGTCGCTCATTTCCTAAGTGCGCCACCCGATTAAGGAATCGAATCTACCACGACGCTGTGTTGATGGCCTTGATGCCATACAGGCCCAGAAACATACTAACTCGGGCCACGGGGGCATCGGTAGAGGCGACCGAGGGATTCTCACACACGCTGCGGCAGGCGGGTAACACAAAACACCAGTCGCGCATTATGAAAAGATCATGAATTCTTAAGTCTCCTTCTCATCTGCTCATCAGACTCATCAAACTGCTTGACCGCACAAAGTAAACAACGATCGGATGAGCGCCAAGCGGGCCCACCGCCCGGCGCCGATCGGCGGTGAGGCCACCTCTCCGCAATCTTCTGCCAGCTTGCCAGCTCGGCACAAACAAAGCTCGCGAACAGCATCAAACCGGTTCCTCGCCAGCCGCCCAGCATGCTGTCTTCGCTCTCTTCCAGCATGGCCAATGCCCGAACCACCGTGGCGCAGGTACTGAACTTTGCTCTGGTATGTCTCTCCCCAGTATACCCTGACGCCGCAGCACAAGACTAACCATGCCATCTCTCGACAAATAGGTTTTGAGCACTGCTTTCATGCTCTGGAAGGGGCTATCCGTGGCATCAGCATCAAGCTCCCCCATTGTTGTAGTGCTTTCGGGCAGTATGGAGCCTGCTTTCCAACGAGGAGATCTTCTGGTAGATCCCACCCTCTTGATGTGCTGTCCGGCATACTAATGAATTCCAGTTCTTGTGGAATCGGAGCCCTCGAACGGAGCTTGGAGAGATCGTCGTCTATAACGTGCGCGGAAAAGACATCCCTATCGTGCATCGAGTTGTTCGGACATACCCCGAGGTCGAAGGAAAGGCGAAGAAAGTCAAGGAGATCACAGTGTACGTTACTAATTCTTGCTTGTACCCGCATTGGAGTCGTGACGACTCGAAAGGAGGCTGCGATGCTAATCTAAGGACCTATAGTGACTCAGCACCGTCCCATATGCTCCTGACCAAGGTTTGTATCTGTTGGCCACGTCTTGTATATTCTGAAAGCTAACCATATACGTCCCTTGATTCCAGGGCGATAATAACCTCGCAGACGACACAGAGCTGTAAGATTGTCCCTCCTCGCTTCACTCGGTTCCTTGTCTTACTGATTCATATTATTTCAGCTATGCGCATGACCAGGACTACCTTGATCGCTCCGAGGATATTGTAGGGAGCGTAAGAGGATGTGAGTTAAGGATTTCATTACCCCAGGAGCGAATATGCTAACTATTGAGCAGACATCCCGATGGTTGGGTACGTCACGATCATGCTGAGCGAACATCCCTGGCTTAAAACCGTCCTTCTGGGAATAATGGGATTGATGGTGATGCTTCAGCGGGAGTAATTGAATTTAACCATGCGAAATTTGACACACTGGGAGCTAGGTTGGACCGGCTAAATCGAAATTTCATCACACGAACTGAGCGGAAATCGATTAACCGTAGAATTATTATTAGACGTCCATATTTAGTGTTGCTGGCGTATTACATGGTTATTAAGTGGTATGCTTTTAATAGGAAGAGTCGGGCCGGTGACCTTGACCTCGGCCGTGCCCGATTGCCAGGCTGAGACTGACGTCTTCCCCCACCCCACTCAGCGGGCTTTCTAGCTTCAAAGCTACCCCCCTTGATTCCCCCGCCCTGAGTCACCACCCTGCGTTTTTTGATCTTTTCCAAGATTCTGATTAGACTTGGGTTGCCTCTTACATTCTCTTCCAGTGAACTTGTTGTCGCGCGTGGCTTTGATCTCCATCGCCAAGTTCTCCTCCGCCACCACCGCGCACCCTCCATCACGCGCCCAGCTACGGGTTGCCTTAAGTTCGATAATATGGGTAGCCAGAAACGCATAGCTAAGGTACGAGATCTTTTGGTGCTCCTTCTACTGCCACCTGTCTGCTTACCTTTTCCATTACTGATAGGAGCTGACCGAGCTCGTCGAGTCGCCTCCTGAGGGCATCACTGTCGAATTGGTCGACGAGGCCAACCTGTACGAGTGGAAAGTGTTCATGGATGGGCCCGAAGGATCGCCATACCAAGTACGTCAACGTTGAAATTTCCGGCACCAGCACCAATCCCTAGCACTCCTCGTGCCCAGGCGGCAAGCTGGCCGGAGACAGGGGCATTCAGAGGCACGGAGCCCGCCCGACGTCCTCCCTGTGAGCGGCCTTTCTAACACGCGTTGCCACCACTCTAGGACGGCCGCTTCCTAGTCAAGCTCAGCCTGCCTACCGAATACCCCTTCAAACCGCCTACCGTCTCCTTTGGAACGAAGATCTACCACCCAAATGTCACAAATGATGAAAAGGGGAGCATGTGTTTAGGAATGCTACGGGCGGATGAGTGGAAGCCCAGCTCGAAGATCGCAGCTGTCCTACAATTCGCACGTCAGCTGCTTGCGGAGCCGATGCCTGACGACGCTATTGAAGGGCGGATCGCAGAGCAATACAGAAACGACCGAAAGCGCTACGACGAGATCGCGCGGGAGTGGACCCGGAAATGGGCCGTATCTGAGTAGGTTTGCGAATGACGGGGGTCAGGAAATAAATACTTGCGCCACATTATATGATCTGATGCTGTCAAGCCTTGATACAAGATTTCGAAGACAATATCCTTTCTCCGCCATGGCCTAAGGTCATGTCAGGCAGGCCTGGAAGAAATCCAGGACTTGCGATGGTCTGCATACTATGAACATACACAAATAAAGAATGAATTCTATACTGCTATAGCCATGTTCTCCTCGCCGGAAGTTGTTTTGGTCATGTCTGTAGTTAAGCAGGACCCCTCACCGCGGAGCGATTCCGTTGGGCGAAGGAAAATCTTATCTATGGTCAATCAATCCAGTGGCAAAAACGAGACTCAGTGGCCTCTTTTCAATATGATCACGGGCTAGAGAGAAATAGCAGAAAAAATCACCAAATCCTGTGTTTTTGCTTTCAGTGCAAGGAAGTGCTCGTTCAAAGTAGAGACAGGTACTCCGCCAGTTACTGGAATGGAAACCGTCCTGTCACAAAGTCATGGTGCGGTGGCTCTTGCTATTTCTCTAGGGACAGCCCCAGTGCCCCTTTTGCTCCGTATAACATTGAACTATGAACATCTGGGGCTGCGTCAAAAATGGGCTTTCCGGAATCTTTCATCGATTTAAGCTTCAGTGATTCCCTTGGAGGGGCTATAGTGGGTGTTATTCAAGGTAAAGGGGTTGTGGCATTACATGCCGTAGCTAACATGGATAAGACGGCTGGGTAGCGGAATTATACCTCGATAACGCTCACTACCTTCCCCGCAAACAACCCCATGGGGCACTCCCCGGCATTTAGTTAGCCGATGTAATTCTAATAAAACCTAGACTCATCGGGAATTAGGTTGCTTGGATATTATTTAAAGGGCTAGGCCCCGTGTCTTCTTCATTATGACCATCTTTGTGAGCGAGACTGAGATAACATGGGGATCATCTCGGACTCTATATATTTCCTGGGCCAGAATGTCGGGACCATTATTCTTCTTGTCACCGTACTTCACTTCACACACAACTACCTCACACCAGGGGCATGCTCTATACCTGGGCCATTTTGCGCCAAATTAACCAACCTCTGGAGGTTCATTGACGTTGCAAACGGCCACGCTGAGGCGACCTTGTACAAACTTCACCAGAAGTACGGAGACTATGTGCGACTGGGGCCAAAGGTAGTGAGCGTACGGGATTTGGATGCACTGAAAATGATCTACGGAATCAACAAGGGTTACCAGAAAGTAGGCTTGTCATGGGATCAGGAATGATTCAGCAGGGCGCTAACGCACTCCAAAGACCAACTTCTACCATGTGCAGCAACAACTAGCCAAGGGCAAGCCGACTCCCACGCTGTTCACCACTACAGATGAAGACTTCCACGCTGCTATCAAGCGACCTATATCGGCAGCATACTCGATGAGCACATTGACCGAATTCGAGCCCTTCGTTGATGATACAATCTATACTTTCTTCCAGAAACTGGATGAATTTATTGCTGGAAACAAAGTGTGTGATATTGCACTATGGTTGCAATACTGTAGGTTCTTCTGTTGCCACAAAATCCCCCTTGACAGTCAACTCATTGGGGACCCTCAGGCTGACATGAAAAGATGCATTTGATGTTATCGGCGTGTTGACATTCAGCACGACATTGGGATTCCTGCAACAAGGGACCGATGTGGAAGGCATTATTGCTGCTCTTGAGCGGATGCTAGACTACTCTGGAAAGGTAAGATCGTTACGCAGTCAGCGACATGACACATCGCACTAATCATTTTAACAGATTGGTCAAATGCCGTGGCTTGATTACATTTTCATCAAGAACCCCTTGAGACAACTTGCTCAAGGAGGTTCAACGGGCGCTGTGGCTCGCTTTGCGCGGGCTCGTCTAGATGAAAGGCTCAAGCAATCAGGGTCAACAACCAACCTAGCCAAAAGTTCCACCCCATCGCACAGAGACTTTCTTGCACGCTTCTTAGAAGCGAAGAAGGAGCATCCAAAGGTTGTCACGGACCAGCAGATCTTCTCATATACTGTCAGCAATATGAATGCTGGGTCCGATACTACCGCTATCTCACTGAGAGCAATCCTTTATTACACCCTGAAAAGCTCCAGGGTCACGGAAAAACTGTATGAAGAGCTCACTACGGCCTATCAAGAAAAGCGGATTACCCTACCCGTCTCATGGACGCAAAGCCAAGAGGAACTACCGTATCTCGATGCGGTGATCAAAGAAGCGCTCCGCCTACATCCGGCTGTTGGGCTACTTTTAGAACGTATTGTCCCCACCGGTGGACTTCAGCTTCCCAACGGTGGGCCCTTTTTACCGGCCGGAACCATTGTCGGCGCTAACCCCTGGATCATCCACCGTCATGCCATTTTTGGGCGGGACGTTGACTCCTTTTGGCCGGAACGGTGGTTGCAGGCGGATGGGGAGACTGAAGCCGCCTTCCTGGCCCGGAAGCAACAGATGCTTCGAGCGACGTTCACATTTGGAGCCGGGCCAAGGACGTGCATTGGGAAGAACATTAGTCTGCTGGAGATATATAAGCTTATCCACTCTCTATTTTTGATGTATAAGGTGAGATGTACAGTGCCTCCTCTATGAAATTATTTTGGGTATCTAACATGTATTTCTTTCTTTCAGATTGAGCTTGAGCATCCGGAGAGGGACTGGGAAACTATCAACGCGTGGTTTGTGCGACAGAAACACATGGACGTGAGGTTGACCCGTCACAATCTAGCCTAAGGTCTCTCATCGCGGTGTGATTGTGGTGCAGGCAAAATCGACATGTTGCTTCTGACATGCTTGCGCAGAACACTGGGCGCTAGGATGGCGCCGACTGGTCCGCAACCCCGCACAATGGCGGGAATGGGCATCATAAGAGAGCCAATGGCTGCTGCCGGACTCAAAGATAGCATTGCCGACGGAAAGGGGCTTCAAAATCTGGCTTCACACTTGCATCGCACTTGCATCGCGGGCGAGCCGCTGGGGTGGATCCAACTAGGGTCCAAGACTATTGCTCGACCTATTAAAAGGGGCTTAACCGGCAGACGCGAGCACGGCCGGCATGGATTGGTTCAGAGGCCTGCAGGATTCTCAACATGCGTTGCTTCCTATTATATAGATCTGTTACGGAACTGTATTCACCCTTCCGCTCATGTACCCAAAGTGAATCCCAGGGCCCTCAGGTTGATACAACTCTGTCCATAATCCGCTCATCTAAGCAGGCCAGGTCAAAATTGAGCGATCATAATCCACACTCCAATATTTCTAGAAGGAATGGGCCCACGGAAACAAGCCGAAGTCGAACCCTGTTCCCTGTTGTTTCTCGGTTACGGGGGCTAGCCCCGGGTATGGCGATGGACATGTCGCCCTATTTTGCCAGCATTCGAATCGCAGCGGCTAGAAGACCGTTAGGATATGAGTCGTTACGTGCTCGTGAGCTTCGTGCTCTATTGGGTTACTGCTAGGGGAGCAGAACAAATCCCGAGAGCGAGGGTGCCACAGGTGATTGAACAATGAATACGGTTCCTGATCGACAACACATCCGTGGTCGGCTTCTTCCCGGGGCACGGCCGTTAGGCATTGGGGAAGCTCCCGCTATACATACTGCACAGGTTGTAGCCACGGAGACGACGCTATGACCAACAAGTTTGTTTTGTGCCCCGGACTGTATGGATACAACTGAAGGTGGCCATGCGAGCCGTCATATTTAATATGATTGAGTTCGAAATCAATCCTCAAATTGATTAATCTCAATCGAAGCGCATCCTGAAACCGCCGCCCTTTGCCCTTTACGTCATGTGACACTAGCTCCAATCGGGTCTGTTGATTTTTGTCTCAGCTTCGTCCGCCTCTTTTCCGGTTTCCCATTCCAGATTCCTGTCACCCACTCATTCCACTCCTCTGGCAGGCTGTGTCGGGGTCATCGGGTTCTCCTAGTCCTTCTTTTGCGTCCTTTGGCCATTCCCGCTGCTGGAAGATATCCGGCGTCCTACGAGCTATCCGCTCAAGCCTTCTCGTTTTTCCCAACTCCGCCCGTGCTTTCTCAACGCCGCCGCCACAGGTACAGCGTACAGTGTACAGCGTACACCATTCTGACACGATTTCTCTCCCTGCCCGCGTTTTCTACAGTTCTACGCCTCTCAGGGTCTCCGACCACCCCCATTGAGCGCGCCCGTGCCAGTCACGAAAACCAATGTCCAGCGGGATCTGGGTGCAAGCTCGTGGCCATGGTCACAGAAAATGGAACCTCTCGTTACCCTCCTCCCTTGGGTGAGTCCGACCTGCGCGGTCGTCGGAAGATCCCTCACCCTCCGCGGCTGGACCCTTTGAAGATTGATCCACGCGCGCCACGAACCATACAATCGACTCCGAGATCGTCCCCACGCTCTCCCCACTCTCCGCATCACCCGCGTTCGCGTTCACCTCTGCCTCCAGGGGCACAGAGCGCGACAGATGACCGGCCATGGCTCCCTGAATCGCTCCGAGCGGGCTCGCCGCAGGGTAGAGAAGAATGGAAAGCGAAACAAACTACGGGTCGCGCTTCCCCTTTCACACCACCCCCGGATCGGACCCCCCTTAATTGGTATTCCCGCGACAATGACTTCGACGGACCAAACCACCGAAAGGTGCCGCCTATCAGAGGCGGTCTGCGCATTTCCATGTCGACTTCCCGGTTGCCCAACAGACGGCCACGGCTGCAAGAATCTCCTGACGGCCGACAAGATTTGAGTGCCCACGGTCTGCCATTGCCACGCTTCCCGTCGAATGGGCCTGCAGACAATAACACCCTCCGGACGAGCGTCAATTCGGCTATGACGTCGAGTTCCAGCATTGAGCAGACTTCTGGCACGGAGCGCAGCAGCGTCCTTACGAAGAGCAGCTCAATTACCGATCTATCGCCGGATACTCCCGACACTCCCTGCGGAATGGATGGCGGGATGAGTGTGGAAGATGCAATCTCAATGTATCTCGATGGTTTCAGCGACGTGACTGAAGAACCCTCCTCGCCCAAGTCGCGGGCTGAGAGCAAGGCACCCTCAATCACACCACCCCCTTCGAGAGACGCGCCCTTCGAGGAGGTCAGATATCCACCAAGGACAACATCGCTTGAAGACGTTCACTCGATTCCTCGACTTCCGCAATCCAGCCTGCCAGAACCAGTATTGCTCGAGCCCGCATCATCAGCGCCTTGTATTGCCGAATCTGTGCCGGTGATCGCCTCTCCACCACAAACTCCTCCACCATCATCACTGCCCTCAGACCCCACGCCTCTAGAACCCACACTCCCCGAAGAAGCATCGCCTAATTCAAAATATTCCCGCCAGCGACAACCGTCGAAGATAATCATACCCGGCCCCGTTCCCCCGCCGTTCAACTCTGGAAATGACACGCGGGACGACTATGGATTTCGAAAAGCAACACAATACGTGACCCTCGACCAGTACGAAGCCTGGAAGGGTTCGTATTCCCGCTATGCTGCACTTCGTCGAGCCAAATGGTACGAAATGCTCAAGGAGCATGGTCTTCAAACGAGCGATCCCACGGTGTTTCCCGCGCAGTCCTCCAAGGTTAAACGCTTTGTGCGCAAAGGTATCCCGTCCGAGTTCCGGGGCGCTGCATGGTTTTGGTATGCCGGCGGGTACGAGCACCTCAACCGCAACCCCGGTCACTACAATCAACTTGTGGAGAAAGTGATGGCTTCTCCTAGCAATGATGACAAAGAGCACATTGAACGAGATCTGCATCGTACATTTCCCGATAATCTTCATTTCAAGCCAGAGCCTGTCGACACTGCAGGGCCTCAGGACTCGGGCATTACAACCGAGACTCAAATGATCCAGTCATTGCGTCGAGTACTGTACGCTTTTGCCCTTCATAACCCCAAAGTTGGCTACACGCAATCGCTCAATTTCATCACCGGAATGCTCCTTCTCTTCCTTCCCGAAGAAAAAGCGTTCTGGATGTTACACATTATCACCTCCATGTACCTGCCAGGCACCCATGAGGTTAGTCTGGAAGGTGCGAATATTGATCTCTGGATCCTCATGGTGCTGCTTCGCGACACCATGCCGGGTATCTATGCCAAGATTGCTAGCATGGATGGATCCCAACCCAGTCGCGGTAAAGCGCCTCCTCTCACCGTCAACTCGCGACTGCCGGACATCACTTTGGGATTGACGAATTGGCTGATGTCTATTTTCATTGGAACACTACCTCTTGAGACTACACTGCGAGTCTGGGATGTTTTCTTCTATGAAGGTTCCAAGACCTTCTTCCGTGTCTCACTTGCCATTTTCAAGGCATGCGAACGAGATATCCTGGGTGTTTCGGATCCTATGGAAGTGTTCCAAGTGGTACAAACTTTGCCTAAGAAATTATTGGATGCCAACGCTCTGCTTGAGGACTGTTTCTTGCGACGCCATCGTGTTGGCCAGGGCCGCATCGATGAATTACGAGCCGCACGACGAGTCGCTGTTCGACAGGAGAGGCTGCGGCGATCGGTAGCGTTCAGCAAGGGCCAAATCCAGTCTGCGACCGACGCCTTCCCGACCCGTCCGCGAAATGGAGGTCCTGACATCGAGCACCGGGTTGTGAACTCCTGGCGTCAGCTCAAGCAGCACGCATTTCATCGAGAACCGACCCATTGATGGAATTTGGGAGCCGTTCTTGCAGATTCATCTCAAATCCCCCATCGGCTGTCGCTATCCGCTTTTCTGCTTCGAAAGCGACCGGGAAACCAAGCGGGACAAAAGCCCCAAATGCTTATCCACTAATCCTTTAATTATAATTGACCTGTCCAAGCCGACAAGGCACGTCGGGAAGACCCTCCCCGCAGCACATTGAGCGACGCAACCCTTGCATTTCTTGGCGTCTCGAAGTTCGGGAAAAAGGCATCACACATCGCCTCGCATATGGCATATTAGATATCCTGTTCACGTCTTGCAATTCTTTGCATAGTTTGTATATAGCACATGAAAGAAAGCGCAAAGGCCTGCTCGGCAGGCAACCTGCTTGGTTTCTTGGCGAATTGAAAGATCAAAAACCGGGCTCGACGCTATTGAAGGGCCCTGAACCTTGCAAGGCCGATTATTGGGTCGATCGTAGTTCCTCCGCGGTGAAGCCAGTGGTCGCACCTGCATGTCGTCATGGATTCAAATGCGGAAAATAAAGCTCCTTGCAGGTCCCCCCATCTTCTCGCTCCAATCCCCTTTTTTTAATTTCCTTCTCTCCTGGTTGTACGCCTGTTCCATTGAATGGTCGACTTTGCGATCGTCGCAATAGGCAGCTATGAGCGGACAAGCGGCTAGTTACTACGACCCTAAACAGGGCTTTGACGCCCAGGATCAAGCTCCCTACGGCAAGAAGAACGATAATTACGCGAACGACTACGATCAGCGCAATGGCAATTACCAGCCACCCGTCGATTACCAACAGCCAGCCAACTATCAGCAATCTGGCCCCGAGCAAAAGCCGCAACAGCCTCCATTCCCCGATAATCCGCCGCCCTACAGCACCTTTGATGAAGCGTTCAAGATCGAGAAGCCCAAGTACAATGACATCTGGGCGGGTCTTCTGGTAGGTTGACTGTACTGTACATTGTCTCGTGAAACCGCAAGCTCATTTTCATCGCAGTTGATTGCTGTCTTTCTGGGCTATGTCGCGGTGTCGGGAGTAACCATCCATAAGTATGCGGCGAACAAGGGGTTTAACGGCGATGGTATCTACGACTCGTCGAATGATTTCTCGCTTGACACCAATACTCTGGTGCTTTTTATCTTCGTCCTTTGTGTCGCTCTTGTCTTCTCGTGGGCGTATTTCATGGCCGCACGATATTTCACGAAAACCTTCATATGGGCTACTGGCATCTTGAATATCGTTTTTGCACTGGCCACCGGTATCTATTACATCGCAAGAGGGCAATATGGAGGCGGAATAGTGTTCTTGATCTTCGGTGTTTTCGCGATCATTTGCTTCATCAGCTGGATTCCACGCATCCCCTTCACGGCCTTTATGCTGCAGACAACCATGGACGTTGCACGCGGTTATGGGCATGTTTTTCTGGTCAGCGCGCTCGGTGGGATTGTGACTGTGGCTTTCGCCGCCTGGTTTTCTGTCACGCTGGTTTCGATATATGTCGCCTATGAGCCGGACTCCACCGGTACCAACCCTTCCTGCAAGAATGGTGGCTGCAGTACCGCTAAAGTTATTGGCTTGACTGTGTATGTGACATTTGCTATGTACTGGCTCAGCGAGTGGATCAAAAACACCGTGCATACAACGATCGCTGGGGTGTATGGATCGTGGTACTTCTGGAGCAAGTCCGCTGGTGGAATGCCCAAGGGCTCCACTCGCGGCGCATTCCGTCGGGCAACTACCTACTCCTTTGGCAGTATCAGCCTGGGTAGTCTGATTATTGCTTTCATCAACATGCTCCGCCAGGCATGCTCCGTTGCACAACGACAAGAAGCGGCTCGGGGTAACTTGGTTGGCAGTATCTTCATCTGGATCCTCGGATGCTTTATTTCGTTGCTTGACTGGCTCGTGACCCTGTTCAATCGCTACGCATTCTGCCACATCGCACTTTATGGCAAGGCGTATATCCCAGCTGCGAAAGACACGTGGAAAATGATGCGCGATCGTGGCATTGATGCTTTGGTGCAAGACTGCTTGATGGGTCCTGTTTTGACGATGGGCTCGACCTTTGTCGCTTACGTCTGCGCCCTGCTGGCCTATCTATACCTGCAGTTCACCAAGCCCGCCTACAACCACGATGGAGACTTCACTGCTGTCATTATGGCCTTTGCTTTTGTGATTGGCCTGCAGATTTGCCAGGTTTTCATGACTCCCATTGGTAGTGGCGTCGAAACGATCTTCGTGGCTATGGGCTGGGACCCTCAAGTCATGATTAACGATCATCCAGATATCTACTACAAATTGGTGGAGCTGTACCCTCGTGTGCAGCAAGCCATTCACGCCTGAAATGGACGTGATATACTCTCGCAAAATGCCACCCGTTTTACGTTTCTTAGATTCTTGGTGTCTCCTACAAGTATGATCAGTGCCGAAATGCGTCGACGACTGGTTAGTTTAATGTCGTACCGACACTCATATTTCATTGATCATTACAATTTCGATGTTAACTGAAGATAAGCTGTCTTGAAACCAAACCCTCGTGGACACCATTCTAGACTCCCGAATGACAAAAGAAACCCTAAGAACAAGATACCCCCGAAGCGTTCTCGTAGTATCCACCCACGAAACTCATTTACAGAACCATCACCAAGCCCATGACAGCGGCAATACCGAGGGCAGCAACACCGCTGCGGACAGCGTTGGCCTTGGGGGCAGCACCCTGGAAGGTCTTGAACCGATTGGCACTAGCACCACTGGGGCCGGGGGTAGCAGCAGACATCTGAGAACCGAAGATGACAGAGGAAGAGGCGGCCATCATCGCGCTGTGAGTGGAAGCAGGGGTGGAGGCAGCCACCTTGGCGGCCATGCTGCTGCTAACAGGCACACTGACGGGAATCTGGGAGATGTGCATCCGGCTGGCGGGGGCGGATGTGCTCTTGCAGCTGCACTCGGTGAGAGTCTCGGTCACATAGATGACATGAGGAGTGGCAGCCTCATCACCCGAGAAACGGAAGGCACGCTTGCTGTTCTCTGTCGTTCCGCGGCCGGTGGCGGGCTCCATGGGATTGCTAGCGTGACGAGCTGGGGCGGCGGTGTTGCTAGTGTCGGCGCACAGGGTGGTATTCAGCTTGCTCAGGTCTGTGCACTGGTTAGTTTGGCTTCTAGAATTGAGTGTTTTAGAGCAATGGCAGTACCAATTCCTGCCGCGTCGCAGGCATCCTTGGCGTCGTCGGACAGCTCGGTGATCGCATCCTTGTTGGCGCAGAGACACTCGGTGCTGGTCAAGTCGGTGCAATCGGCCAACTTGGAGACGTCAATGCTGTCCAGGGCAGCGGCCTGGGACTCTCGTTAGAGATTGTTGTCATGAAGATTGTCTATACACGATAACTTACAGCACAACCCAGGAAGTCATCAGTGATCTGTGCGGTGACACAAGCAGCACCGGCAAGGAAGAGAGCAGTGACGGAGAAACGCATTCTGGGCAATTGGGTCTAGAACTGAGGCAAACGAGAAGAGAGTAGAAAATGAAGCTTCAGTGCGGCGGCCTAGGGAGCAGTGTTGGCTTAAGTAAAGAATCACGATGGTAATAAACAAGACACGTAATTGGCCCTTTCTCTCGATATCCCTTGATGCCCTGGGGCTGGTGAATGGGCGGCCATGACGTTGAAGCATTCTGGATGTATCCCCAGTAGGAACGGAACAACGGGGACGCTGCCGTGGTGGTGCGTATAAGCTTGGGTTGGCATCTTGCCCAGATTCGTGACGAGGGACTCACATTTTCCACCCTCCGTGAAATCTGCGCCGCCCATGTTGATCGCTATGGAATGACGAAAGAATGGGCCATTTACCATGGCCCTACCGTCGTGCCTAGTATCATCCCTAGTTACCCTTTCCTCCGAGGAATGTCCATGGGCGTTAAGGACCGCATCGCTAATTTAAATTTGAATACTCTGTTTCAGCTCACATCGCTTGAACTGGTAGCTCGTACAGTTTTTGATTCTATTGTGAATTTGTCGACGCAACAATCAGAATAGTTTTTTCAGGCTGGGGCTGGCCACAAGCTGGAAAGAATAGGCCGATCGGAAGTTTTCAAATCAAGGGAAAGGTGCACCTTCATCATGTTACTAGGTATTGATATTTTCAGATTGTCCATAAGTAGTTGGGAGAATAAATATTCCGATCCAACGTGATGGACAAGCCAAAGTTACATGTTCTGTGCTAAATTCTATTCATTATGATATAAGTCACAAAAGCCGTGAGGGTCCCCCAACTAGTTGTAATAGCTTCTTCATTGGTTTGGAACTCGATTCCCTGACTATCTGCTCAGTGAGCTGGCGGACGCCCCGTGCCTCATCTACTACAATCTCAGGAAAGTGCCCGTATCAAAGAAACTTCTACCTGGGCGCTGTGGTGTTGTGGCCAACTGCTACCATTTGCTGTTCGAATCTATTTCGGTGGCCATGCTTGGAAAGGTACAGCATGCCCTTCACATTCAACGGGTTTTCTAACCTAAAGCGCTTCCAGCTCGTCCGCGTTGGAGAGCATTCCCGGAGATGTTGTGGTATTGAATCTCGCTGCTGGCTGATAGACTCCAGAACTGGAGCGCTAGGACACTGTGCTTGATTGTCCGCAGGACGCTGAGCCCCATCTAGTCCCGAAATCTCTGGCAGAAGCCCAGAATGGACGGGAGACCGCGGTTCTCTTTCATCAGCTGAGAGCTGGCTTCGGTAACCTGCTTCTGGAACATCCTCCGCTGCAAGATCTGGTGGTAGCAATCCATGATGGCGTTGTTGTACGCCACGATATTCTCATTCTGCTCCTGGGAGACTGTTACGAGGGTTTTGAATGAAACCTCTTGAATTTCCTTGGTGGCAGATAGCGCACGTAGCAATGGGTTGCCATGAAAGATGCGAACGGTGTGCACAATATTGATCGGAATTAGCTTTCCTTTAGCTCCGTGTATTCCTAAGATAGAGTGCTACTACCTACCTGGGGCCCCTGGGGTCGCAGTGGCCATAACGCCATCAGCCTGCTTGAAGAAGGCAAAGCATTCCTTCTCGCGATAGATCGACATAATGTGGACGTGCAAGACTATGTCGCCTCCGCTTCCCCCATTACCCCTTCTAGGTCCTTCAATACTGGACCTCGCACAAGTGGGAACTGGAACAAGTCACCCATGAGGATGCATGATGATAAATGAGGGCCATTAAAAAGTGATTCACACAATAAACAATTTTGTAGGGCGAAGTGCTTCTTAGCTTAGAAAGGAAAGCCCCACCCAGCAGAGGAGATATGGTATGTAGATGACCCTCACCTAGCTCTGGAAAGCAATGACTGAAGAATCTGGATATATGCATATTGTTTAGGTTGTATAATCTATGAACACTCCAACTATTCTTCTCATTAGTTAAGACCTATGTACAGCGCAAAAGAAGAAGCCTCAAGACATGAATAGGGTAAAAAAAAGGGGATCATTGAATTAGAGGGAGCGACATCAATCATTGCTCAATATCCAAGTTCAGTGCCTCGGCCCCGATGTATAAGATATTGGCCTTTGATTCATGGAGGAAACAGGCCGTGAATCTTCTGGCGAAGCAGGGAGCTCAGCAACAAAATTTCGCGCGTCCATTTCTTGAGGGAGAGGTGCAGAGTGGAAATTGTGATCTGGTTTGTATGGGTCAACAGCCACATAATTGTGGAATGAAGACCCGTCCACTTCCGAGGGAGAGGGAAGGACACTCAGAGAAGGAAGCGGTGGTGGTGCAGCACTGTCACCTCCCAACGCGGGTTCATATTCGTGCCGTTGACTTTTCTTCTTTCTTTGCATCTTGATGAACATGAAGATGGCTGCCCCTATTCCCGCAAGCCCAACTACTCCACCCACCGCGCCTCCGGCAATTACGCCAGTGTTGGATGAACTGTGTGAAGTGGATTGCCCGGATGCCGAGTTAGATCCCGACGACGATCCCGACGACGATCCAGTCGAGGTGGTAGAGGCAGCCGGCGCAGATGATATGCCGGATGATGCTGCCTTGCTGTCGACGTAATCCGAGATGAAACTATCATATACCAGGGACCCCACCACAGAGCCTACGGTGGGAATCCCACCCACATAGCTGACACTACTCCTGTCGGGGATATTGTGCGAGTATGGCGTGGCAGACAGATACACGGTCTGGGTAGTCTCAATGTTCGAGCAGCCGTAGTCAGTGATCGACAGGCCAGGGTAGGTCCACTGAACGCAGGACGCCGCCGTTGGTCTCGTGCATAAAACTGCGAATGCATTTGCCGTGGACTCAGTCAGAGTAGGAGTATTGGCGACTTGCTCGCTATCGTAGCATGTGGTCTTGAATCGGCATTTCGGGGTATAGGCGTTATCGCAACAGCCCACCATGGCTGGATAGCTAGGGCCTGCTGTATGGAAGAGGCATTGTGGGAAGCCGTACTCGTAGCCGACGCATGCAATCTCCGATGCTGAAAGAGTCAGTATTCGACAATCGCGCAGTCGCAGTAGAGTAGTGGAGAGTAAATGTGGAAGCATGAATACACACAGTAGTCCAGCACCCCTTCGACAAAGCCACATACACTGGCGCTTGCCCACGAAACATATGTACTCGTCGCAGCATCTACAGAACCCCCAGTATATGAATCGTAAGTATCAGCTCGTTGATGTAAGCCCTTTATCTCTGAATCGAAGCCGGGAGTCGCCTCAGGGAGTGCTAGCCGTAATGGATGATGGGCAGCAGCAGTACTGGAAGGCCCCGTGAACACTAGAGCGCGTATCAATGGGAGCAGCGAAAGGGTACAGAACCCAGCTGATATTTTCTGAACCATTGTGACGGCGAGGGATTCCGAAACTTGTCAGCTTGCACGCCCTAGCGCACCAGCGCTCCCTATATACAGCGGCTAAAGACCCCCTCCGGGCCCCGCGGCTTCTCATTTAACCATTGTTTTCTGCTTGCTTTTGTACGCTGGACGGGACCGCCATATCAACCTTCATGCGCCATGGCTGGGTATTCTCCACCTACTCGCTACCGAGCCTCGCGTGACTGGTGAGAGTGTGCCTTAGCGCGAAGCGATGGCTTAAGTAGGCCTAAGACCCTGGTGAATACGAGGTCCAGTGGACACAACATTGGACGGGTCTCAGCAGGATTCTCTCCGATGCCCAATGCCCTGAAATACGATGCATTCTCATTTCCCAACCCCCAGAACCTTGCCAGTTCTGCTGCAGACTATAGTTCGAATTCTGGGAAACAAGGAGTGGCGTCAACAAGGCACAATGTGCTATATAGAGGAATAGGGGTCCCAGATTAGTGACCCACTTAGAGCCTCCACGATAAGCAGTCATCCCATCGAAAGGTAACCCAGCCACTGGAATGAGGGTCAGGGGTGGGGCGGGGCGCTTGGCCCAAGTTCACCGCAAGGTGCATGAGGGCCTATCGGGTTGATTCAAGCTTTCACCACTCCTCTCACTGTGCTGGAGTTGCAGACATGCCGATACGTGCTGGGAGTAATTGCATGGTTTGAATAATGAGAACTGTAATTCAAGCCCCAACTCAATTGTCGCCTAGTTAAGCAGTCTATGCTTCAGGGTTGGTGGCGGAGTGAGCAAGCCCCTTCCGAAACTAACATATCAAAGTACGGAGCGGTTGAACGGAGATGCAAACAGAATTCATCCATTGGGTATAACCAGCCAGATTATTACTCCCATCGCTCTAAAACGGCTTGACAAGAAACATTCCAATAATATCCCCCAATTCAGCAAACTATCGATCCAAGACCAGCTCAGAATTTCTCACTTGTAACACAGCGCGTCGAATGAACTAACAGCCATGCAAGTATCCTGACCGCTAGCGTCAACCCCTTGACCAACAACTCTAATCCGAAAAACAAAACCTTCAACAACGTTCGCGTAATGCCAGGCAATTTCTCGCCTTCGCGCGAAGAACCGCTGCCGTAGCAGCCGTATTTTTCGAGGTCAAATTCCTCAACAACAACCTGCTGCTTCGACGTTTGCAACCTGGCCAGTGTTGCCGACGGAGGTTTATCCCAGAACTTGAAGAAGCTTTTTCTTCTTGATGTGCCCTCGGCTCTGGCGTTCGCTGCTTCGATCTGAGACGCTAGCTGGAGACTCTCGGCGTAGTCTTCGCGCTCCGCTTGGGTTGTGATCAGGGGGCCGCGATACGAAATATCAATGCCCTGCCCCATGAAAACGCCTGACTCAGTAGAACTGGGTGTTCCAAGCTCCATGTCGGCTAGAATAGGATTGGTAGCTTCGTCCGAGACGGCGACCGCGAGCATTGCGGCGATGAGGGAGTCGATCGCGTAGAGCGAAGGAATAGTGGCAATGACAGCAGCGGGCGAGATAGATAGGGTACGGGTAGCAAAATCCAGTGATGCCAGCGGCTCATCCGAATCAGCGACGGGTAGTGTTGACGTGCGCGGGTTGGCAGCTTGCTGTGCTGCTGCCACGGCAGTCGAAGACAGTGGACCGGTGACGATGATGGTGGGAGCCTGATGAGGCATTGTGTCACTGGACGGTGCAGAGACAGTAATGTGCAAGATTCCCGAAGATTGGGACCGGACAGGAGAGAGCGGAATGCCCTCGGCTCCCACTAGGGCTGGAGGCTGCCGTTTGGACAGTAAGGGGTGCCGAAGCTCATAGAGTCGTGCGTTACGGTTCCAGGATAGACGGCAAGATTCTTGTCCAGCAGCTCGTCTGAGGGCGTTGTTCTCCACTTCAGCAGCCTCAGATGGAGCAAGTTGATGGAGCTTGCTGATTTCGTCTGCTTGTTCGATAGCCAGCATGGCAGCGAGTCTCGAAAAGAGAAGTGCAACAAGGCCATCGTAGGGATGTTCGCGGCGCCCGCGATCTTCGAGACTTAGAGTCATGATGGGAACGTCACCGTTGGGCTTGTATGGGGCGCCACGCGAGATTGAGATCTCATCATTTTCATATGTCTGTAGTGTGTAGAATGCCTGTTGGGAATTGCCAAATGTGAAGCTTGCGGGCCCCGTCCTAGAGGCAAGTTAGCGAAAGATCAGACAATACACGTTACTCTGGATAGGTACCTGGTCATGCGTAGGTTGTATGTCGCGGCAAGATTTTGAGGTCGCTGGCCATTGGCCGCCTCCCATAGCATCGCCAATTCATGTGGAGACGAGTATCGAATCTCCTCAGACTCCGAAACACCGTTTGGGAAGTTCAACACGCTCGCGGGGACCGTCTTGGGCCCCAACACATGGTCAATCTCGGATGAAGTAGTAAGTGTGAGATGAGGCCTGCGAGATCTTTTCGATTGTTGGCTAGTTATAGGCAATTGAGGTTGGTTGTTTTGCTTGTCGAGAGGAAGCTTTGGATCAAAACGAGGGAACATCGATCTCATGGGTATGGGTGAAACAGACGACTGAGATGATTGGGGTGACGCATTTGAGCTTGCAGTGTGATTGCTACTGCTGCTGTTGCTCAAACTGTCTTGTGATGTCAAGGCTCGGCCTATGGGCTTGTGCTCTTGACGGTTTCGGCTGCGAGGGGGTTGAGGAGATTTAGAACTAGGTGATGGCTCCGTCACAGACGGCGACTTGGACCGTGTGGTTTTTGGTTGTGAGGGCGGAGGAGGAAAAGACGATGTGTCTTCGATGATCTGGAGCAGCACAGACTCAGCTTTAGCGGAGTCTTTGATCTCGTTGAGAGAGATCGGGGATGCAGGCTCCACCTTCGCAGCGGGTTTCTTGACGCCCTTGCGAAACGGATTCCTGGCCGCTTTAACCTCCGGCGAGGGTGTGGGAAATAGTTGGAATTGATTCATTTCGAGATTCGTAATTGTAACTCCAGTGCTCAAAAATAACTGCACGCTTGAAGAACAATAGACTCGTCGATGTCCCAGGCGAGCTCGACTGAAGACGCGAAAGAGCGTAAACAGGGGGACGGGCGTTTCGACTGACATATACCCCATACCCCTCGACGAGTTCTGCTGGATCTCGCGAAATCGCAGCAAGATGCGCCGATACGCTGTGAACATAGGATGTGACAACCCTATTTTTGGCTGGGCGCTTAGCAGCGGGCAGGTGTGATTGGGTTACAATAGTGGGACGGGGATGGCGACTGCAGAACGGCGCTACGATGAGCGCCGCTGATTGGCGCCGAACCCCTCAACCTCATTTCTTTCTGGCGGTTCTGACCTCAGATTGGTGGTCGGCTTCGTGCAGAAGTCACACCGTTAGTTTCAATCCCGCTGAGGTTCGGCGCGAACACCAGGTGTTGGCGGCACCACACCGGGGAAGATTGGGCGACGACAGCTGCAGGGTTGCAGGTAGAGCAGGATATCTATACATTGGCAAGATCATGCAGGGTCATATTTACATCATATGGTACAGTTAGTCACGTCGACCCTCCTGGTCATGCTCCGAAGCCTCATCATGAACAGAATAGGTAAGCCCCTCTGCCATCGCGATCGCGCCCTGCATATCGCCCTTATTGTACAAGAACAGCCCTTGCAGAGCTGCAGCGCTAGTGTTCTTCGATCGATCCGCTTTGTGACCTTGTTCGTCCTCAACCAAGCCGAGTTGCTGCAGCCGGTCGAGGAAAATTTTCCGGTGGGAGCCATCGGTATCGATATCTTCGTAGAACCGATCCCAGAGACGACCGACCTGGTAGCGTGTCACTTCGCCCAGACGTACGGTCATGTCTACGCGCCCGGGTCGGACCAGAGCCTCATCAAGTCGCTCAACGTGGTTGGTGGTGAGGAAGATAATTCTTTCTTCGGCGCTGGCAACACCATCGAGCGCATTCAACAGGCCGGAGAAAGTAACGTTTGCTCCGCGATAGCCGTCTGAATCGGTCTGCATGCGCCGGTTAGAGAAAGCAGCGTCCACATCCTCCAGCAGAACCAGAGTTCGGTTCGGTACAATAGTCAGCAGATGGTTCAGCCGGTCGTCGGTCAAACCACGCTCGCTGAGGTTCAAAATTGCAATATCGTAGTCCAATTCGCCGGCCAGTGCCTGAATAAAGGAGCTTTTACCCGTACCGGGAGGCCCGTACAGGAGATATCCGCGTCGGTAGGGAATACCACGATCATGATACCATCCAGCGCTGGAGATAAAGTCTTGGACATCACCCACAATGCGTTCCGTGACACCCTCGTCAAGTACGACCGATTCCAGCGGACGCTTGCGCCGAGGGTTGCCAAAAGGCCGCCACTCCGTTCCCCAACTATTGTAGATTGTTGTCTTCCCTTCATGTGACTTTGCAGCGTATGCATGAGCTTCGGTAAAGAGGTCTTCAAATATGTGTCGTTGAGAGTAGAGGGTGGTCAGGGTGATGGTCTCCCACGGTTTTCCAGTTTGAATGTCACGGGATTTGGACTCGCGCACGCGGTTCACAAAGACAAACGCGTTTTTGTAGCGAAGGATGTGTTTTCCAGGCCCCGGTATCAGAGAGAAATGTGTATGGATAGCTCCATTCGAGTGTTCAACCTTTGACGTCTGGATGGAGAGGTGGCGCATGCCGGGGGTTATTTTGTGGAGGAAACGGTCGACGAAACCGGTGCTATTCGCGGCTGCGCGGGTGATGTTCAGCTGTGACTGTTGGTAAAGCGTCATCCAGTGGAGGAACCATGGGTATGAATCGTCCTTGATGCTGATCTCTACATCCACAAGCATACGGCGACGTAACAGAGCTGCGCCATGGCGGACCCCCCTCTGCGCAAATGTCAATCCTGCGCCCAGCGCTCCCAGACCGAATCCCTATGGAAAACAGCTGGTCAATAATCTGAACATACCAACCGATGTCAATGGCATTCGAAAGGGTACATACTGCCGTGAACAAGGGATTGCTGGTCACTTGCGAAAAGAGACTGCCATCGCCTTTTTGGACCGCCTGTTGCACTGTTGCCGGCCCTGTTTGAGATGCCCCGGTCCTCTGCTGAAGAATCAAGTCTGCCGCGGAGGGCGCCGCTGAGGGCGCAACACTGGACGCACCGTTTGGCTCCATGCCGGCCAAATCAGGTGGGAGTTGTGGATGTCACTAAAAAGGCCGGGTCGACGATAACACCATCAGATATCGGAGTTACAACGGGCCGATCAGCGTCGCCAGACCCCTGGTTGCACAAATGCCGGCGAGCCAGCGACGGCATGATCTAATCTGCTACAAAGCCGCATTGTTGTGGGTTTTTGTCTGCTGTTTCGGACGCCAAACATAAGATGACATGGGTACTAGGCCGTCGTGCAGCCAAGCCAAAGAGACCGGGTTCACATGAAGCCCGTCGGAGGGTCTGGGACTCCGACACGGAGTTACCGGGATTAGGTGGTGATGGCTTTTCCCTCCTCCAATCCATTCCTTCTTCCCAACCACATAACTGGAAAGGCTGGGGCAGGGTCCGTGGCGCGTGGTTCGATTTGAGGGGTAAATAGCTGTCGTCTTAAAAGGCACCGAATTCCCATCGATGCGGGCTTTTCTCCAGCGCCTCCGGTTTTGTCAACAGACAAATTTCTGGCGCGCTTACACACCTCTGCGCAAGATGAGTTCTACCACAACAGGCGTGCTGTATGCATTAACTGTGGCCACCTCGCCGGCTAGACCGACTCCGGAGGATGCTTCCGCAAAGAGTCACCATGCAAAATCTGGCTTCAGGAACCCTTGGGAGTAAGTAACTGCGGCTGACCTACTGTCCCTCGGTGTATGGCGCGATGCTGACCAGAGAAATTTCTTCAATAGCTCATGGCAAGATGTAAACCTGAAAATCGCTGGCGAGATGCTCATGTAAGCTCATAGTGGTACTCCATGTATACCTTACCCTAACCATGGTTTCCCCATGCAGGCGCCGTTTGACGGGCAAAGGAAACGTCCCCGACACCACTCCTCCAACGGTCTCCGTCCACAAACCAGAATTCCTTCCCACTCGAGAAACCCCCAACCTTCGAGCAACATGGCTCGGTCATGCCTGTTACTATCTCGAGTTTCCTGGCGGCTTACGAGTTCTTTTCGATCCTGTTCTCGAGGAACGCTGCGGGCCATACAACCTGTTGGGTCCGAAGCGATTCACAGACGCCCCGTGTCAAATCAAGGATATCCCCATAATTGACGCGGTCTTTATCTCCCACAACCACTACGATCACCTTTCTTACCCGGGAGTTACTGAGATCGCAAAGAGACATCCGGACTGCCATTTTTTCGTCCCACTAGGCAACAAGTCTTGGTTCAAGCGCTGTGGCATTCAGAAAGTTACAGAACTGGACTGGTGGGACGAACGTGATATCACCGTGTCGCCTTCGCAGGACAAGGGTACCGAGGTTGAAGCGTCGGGAGAGGCTGCTTCTACAGCGCCAGAGATCAAGGCGCGGATCGATTTTCTGCCCTGCCAGCACATCACGGCCCGTACCCCATTCGACCGGTACCAAACACTATGGGGATCTTGGGCAATTGAGTCTGGGGGCAAGAAAGTATACTTTACCGGGTATGTCTCCCCGATACATTGTATCTATGCAGAAGTAGTAGCTGACCCAACAACAGCGACACTGGATACCGCACCGTTCCCCTACTGCCGGAAGGCGAAGACGATCATGATCCCAAGTACGGCTTCCCCGTCTGTCCTGCTTTCAAGCAGGTCGGCGAGTTTCGTGGACCGTTTGACTTGGGGCTGATCCCCATTGGCGCATACGCCCCGCGCCATATGTTCAGTTCCGCACACGCTGACCCACACGATGCGGTGCATATTTTCCAAGATACAAAGTGCAAGAAGGCGCTGGGCATGCACTGGGGTACCTGGGTTCTCACGGAGGAAGATGTACTCGAACCACCTGAGAAGCTGAAAACCGCTCTGAAGAGATTCGACTTGCCCGAGAAAGGCATGTTTGATGTGTGTAATATTGGAGAGAGCCGAGAGTTTTGACCTCGAGGACGCTCTCATATCAGACAAATCACCTCCTGTACGATATGTGATATCCGTGTTGAATATTAATACACGATAATTCTTGATGTGCAATGATTTGCCCCTTGCCTACCAGGAAGGGGAGCCTCAAGTCAGAACACAAGGTTGATCTGAACCGTGCTAAGTTACCATAGATGTAGTTTCATGTCATGATTGCCAAAGCACAAAACCATTGTATTAATTGAACATCAATGAAGAATAATAAAACCCATGGTGGGGATGTTGACGCCCGCACGGCCAAAAGTTGTAGATCTGTTTGACCGGTTTGTCTGCCCCTTTTCGGTTTAGTGTCAGGGAGCTCCCACTTTGGAAATTTGGGATGCGGGCGACTTCGACGTGGATCCGAGTCGGCTCCTTTTCTGTGTCCATCGGCAGTGTTCTTGTTCTATCTGCGTCGAGCTCACCTTCTAACTTTCTCCGAACCCACACTAGCCCTCCGCCAATATGCAGGCTCCGGTGGTGGTGATGAGTACGCTGCCCCTCATTCCGCGGTCTATTGTCCTCACGGCACCTGCTAACCCGATGAATAGACACCAATGCCGGCGACCGTCAGGTTGGTCGCCGCGCGCAGCTTTCCAACATTACCGCTGCTAAGACGTACGTGAACCATCTTTCCCCTGACTCTGTCTCCTCTGGCTCTCTGTGCTAATAGAATACGTACACCAGCGTGGCCGACATCATCCGCTCGTGTCTCGGTCCCAAGGCCATGTTGAAGATGCTGCTCGACCCAATGGGCGGTATCGTCCTAACCAATGATGGTCACGCCATTCTCCGTGAAATCGAGGTGTCCCACCCTGCCGCGAAGAGTATGATTGAGCTCAGCCGGACCCAGGATGAGGAGGTTGGAGACGGAACCACAACGGTTATTATCTTGGGTACGGATCTATCGAACATTGGACACGCCGTGGAAGATTGCTGACGTTACGATAGCTGGTGAAATGCTTGCCCAGGCCCTCCCTCAGCTCGAACGTAACATCCACCCTGTCGTCATCATCTCTGCCTTCAAGCGCGCCCTCGCCGACGCTCTCCAGATCATTGAGGATGTTTCGATACCTGTCGATATCCACGATGACAAGGCCATGTACTCTCTCATCCAGTCCTCCATCGGAACCAAATTTGTCTCGCGGTGGTCGGACCTGATGTGCGGCTTGGCACTCAGTGCGGTGCGGACGGTCTCCTTCGACGTGGGTGGTGGCAAGCAGGAAGTGGATATCAAGCGGTATGCCCGTATCGAGAAGGTCCCCGGTGGTCAGATTGAGGACTCCGAGGTCATCGACGGTGTCATGGTCAACAAGGATATCACTCACCCCAAGATGCGGAGGAGAATCGAAAACCCCCGCATTCTGCTGCTCGACTGCCCCCTGGAGTACAAGAAGGGCGAATCCCAGACCAACATTGAAGTCTCCAAGGAGGATGACTGGAACCGCATTCTGCAGATTGAGGAAGAGCAGGTGAAGCACATGTGCGAGGCCATCTTGGCTTTCAAGCCCGACGTTGTCATCACCGAGAAGGGTGTCTCTGGTAAGTACAATCCAGGCGGCTACAGCGGGGCTTTCATCCTAATTTCTGTCTTCCACTAGATCTTGCACAGCACTTCCTGATGAAGGGCAACATCACTGCTCTCCGTCGGGTGCGCAAGACAGACAACAACCGCATTGCGCGTGCCACCGGCGCCACCATCGTCAACCGTGTCGATGACATCCAGGAGTCCGATATTGGTACCCGCTGCGGTCTATTCGAGATTGAGAAGATTGGTGACGAGTACTTCACATTCATGCGGAAGTGCACGGCCCCGAAGGCCTGCACTATTCTGCTGCGTGGCCCGTCGAAGGATATTCTGAACGAGATCGAGCGCAACCTCCAGGACGCCATGTCGGTCGCTCGTAATGTCATCTTCCACCCTCGTCTGTCACCCGGTGGTGGTGCCATCGAGATGGCTGTCTCCGTGAAGCTCAGCCAGCTGGCTCGGTCTATCGAAGGCGTGCAGCAATGGCCGTACAAGGCCGTTGCCGACGCCATGGAAGTTATTCCGCGGACACTGGCCCAGAACGCCGGTGCCAGCCCTATTCGTGTTCTCACCCGCCTCCGCGCTAAACACGTTGAAGGCCACACTACCTGGGGTCTGGACGGCGAGTCTGGCAACTTGGTTGACATGAAGGAGTATGGTGTTTGGGAGCCGGAGGCTGTCAAGCTCCAGAGTATCAAGACCGCGGTTGAGGTAAGCTATCTACAATTCCCCACTCGTAGGTACAGCCCACTAACTGCTATTAGTCTGCATGCCTGCTCCTCCGTGTCGATGATATTTGCAGCGCCAAGTCAGCCCAACAGGCCGGCAACGGTGGTGGTGGTGGCGACGAGTAATAGACGCGCAAGACAAAAAAAAAGAGACAAATGATCCATGGACATTAGGTCCGTACATATAATGCTACACGACTGCCTCTGGGGTGTTTCTTTTTTCTGTACAAATATCCTAGATCAAAACGCACTGTCATATGGGTATCTTCGTATATTATTGTACAAGGAGCAGCTATTATGGTCTCCGAACTATCTAGTCGTCTTCGTGGATAATAACACCGGGGACTTCCTCTGCCGGCTGGTGACCCTCACCACCATCCGCTGTCTGGTCGATTGCCCGGCTGGGGGGTTTGGGCCCCTTCGTCGACGGCTTATCGACGTCCATAGAAGGCTTTCCACTGTCCTTGTTACCGCCCCTCGCCGCACGCTTCTTTTCCCGCCTTCGCCGATTTTTTTCCGTCTTCTCATCATCCTTGCGCTTCGCTTCCTCCCGCTGCTTCTCCCAATCCGCGTTGTTCTTCTCTTTGTCAACTTCGGCCTGCATCAGCCGCAGGCGCTCGTACTCGCGCCGCCGGCTCGCTTTGTAGACGTGAAACTCGCCCGAGCCCGCACCAGCCGACGAACCCTGGACGTTGGCGACAATTTCTGGTGGCGGGGCAAGTGAGGAAGATGTGTGTGCCCTGGGTGCACCGGGGAGCTTGATCTCCTTCGACGGGTCTTTGAACAGGGTATCGATTTGGGTTGCATGCTCGGAATGCGGCGTCACAGCGCGGCGTTTTGTGGGCCGCTTGCTGCGCGGGTCGGCGCTTGTGGGGACAGACTCTGGACCTGGTTCAGACATGGCGGTGGTCTGATAGAGCTATAGTTTTCGAAGAGCGTACACAGATTGCAAGGTTTGGCTGAGACGGTTACGGCGCGCTATCTTGCCTCGCTGGATGTCGCGGACGGTGGCTTCAACTGGCGTGACCACGTTTTTCTCCCGACCAAAGTAGCCAGTGTCCAGATAAGGACCAATTCCAAAATGTGTCTGTGAACAGGGTGGTATAGAACGGAGGTATGATTTAGAGAGGTCGACAAGTTGGATCGGAAAAATAGACCACAGCGAGCCGGAGGTGCAATTGCGACACGCTAACCGCTTTCGGGTAGGTTTCTGCCCGGAGTATAACTCGTAGGCCGTCCACAGCTCCGTGAAAGTGAATCAGCGAGTCCACTAAATCTAGAATGGTTTCTGCTTTGGAACTAGTTCCCTTCTCGGGACCTGGAGGGATTCTGCAAAGGACCCCTTGTTCTACGCCAGGGTGATGTCAGTGACTGACGTTTAGTATGGCCCGGTCGCTACGCGATGAGTCCAACGCACCCCTCAGTTATGCAGTCATAGGATCTAGCTATTGCCCATGAAAGAGTGCATTCATCATATTCAATAAAATGTGAGAATTATGCGCCTATTTGTCTTTCAAACGCAAACTGGATTACCTCAACGAATTCTTATCTCACGCCAGATATTGAGCCTCGTTGTATCTGCCCCACACCCTATTCTCTCCTTTTATGGTGAAACAAGGAGGAAACAACTGATTTTGATTGTAGCTAAATAGCTAAATAACTGGAGTGCATTGATCGTCTGATAGGATTAGCAATCCTTGCAATGTTTTTCTACTCGCTTGCGAAACATTCTCTCCGCATGAGAGACCGTGTCGCACTAATCAAAGAAACCAGAATGGCTCTAGTGCATCCTAGAATGATTCGCCGTAGCCAAACCGAGCTATCTAGAGAACTTGAAGATAACTTGAATAGCTAAAGGTCGCCAGGCTGAGCTTGTGTTTTGGTAGATGCCTGGTCTCCTCGCTTGTATTGTTGCGCTGCCTACACCTTGTCTGCCTCTGCACCTCCACACCACGTCACTTCCACCCTCCTCTAACTTCCACCGACCTTTCTCCCTCCCACCCAAACTTTCCGGGTCAACACCAGTTCCCACCATCGTTGACGAAGATTGACCAGCTCTCGCCGATTCTGACTGGGATATTCGTTCTTTCCGCAAACTCTGCCACTCCCTGGTCGCGTCTCCGCTTTCACCATGCCTTATCGCTTCGGTAAGCTTAGTCCTCTTCTTCTCCTGGAAAAGTCCCAATGAGATTTTGGTATTTATTACCCGCGTTTTCTGGGTCCTACCAATTGCTCTCGGGCTATGACCACGCTTGGGAGCTCGTAACGCGTGAACACGCGTGGATTTCAGATGCTCAAGCTGTTCAGTTGGCCCGTGCTTCGGGGGGCAATTACAAGCATGTCCTCGATGTTCAACGCCACCACATGGGAGAATTGCATGATTACTCCAGGAAGCTGACGGAGTCTACTAGAGGTTTCTCCTAACAACCGTGCTGGTTGTCAGAACAAGGAGTGCAAGGATGAAAAAGTGAAGATTAAAAAGGGTGAACTCCGTGTTGGCACCTGGGTCGAAAATGACAGGTTCCAGTCCTACCTTTGGCGCCACTGGTAAGTTATCGATATGAACTGGTTATTGCAAATGCATGAACGCTAAAGCTCTGCAGGGGCTGCGTCACTCCACGCATCATCCAGAATGTCATCAAGGGTGTCTTCGAAAGTGATGAGCTTTCTGGCGACGAGAACTTCGAACTCGTTGATGGCTGGGAGGAATTACCCGAGGACGAACAGAAGACCATCCGCACGGCGCTTCTGCAGGGCCACGTTGATGATGATGCCTGGAAGGGAGTAAGTCATATTAACCCCTCTGCCGTTATTAAACCATAGTCTACCGCGCTTTATTCTTCGTGGCGGTACATTCCTTCTAATACGCTATCTCAGGACATTGAAATGAACCGCCCTGGCCAGAACGGCTTCCGCGTTCCTGCCTCCAAGAAAAGTGTTCGTCAAACATAGATCTCCGCGCTATCTACAGCTCTTGAACTGACCTGCCTCTAGGCGAACGCCAAGGAAGAGGATGGAACGAAGTCCCCTGCTCCCAAGAAGAGAACAGCTGCTGCGCGTAAGAAGAATGGCACTGCTGAAGGTGATCACGACGAAGATGTAAAGGCTGCCAAGGAGGTGAAGAGTGTTGCTCGCGCTAAGAACAAGAAGTCCGCCGACGACGAGGAGGTCAATGTTGACAGCAACGAGGACGAGAAAAAGCCTGTTAAGACCAAGACAAGTGCCCGTACCAAGAAGACCATGACTAAGGAGGCTACTGAGGAGGCGTCTGAGACTCCCACCAAGGCCAACGCCAAAGCAAAGCGAGCTCCTCGTACTAAGGGCGATGCCACCAAGGATGCCGACATCGATGCTGAGCCAAAGCGACGTGGTCGTCCTCCCAAGTCTGCTGACACAGCTGATAAATCGACCAAGCTTGCTGCAAAGACAACCAAACGCAAGGCTCCTGCTGAAAACGAGCACGAGGACACCACCGCAAAGCCCAAGCGTGCCCGTGGCAAGGCTGCGAAGACCCAGATTGAGACTGAGGAACAGGACGCTGCTCCCGCGAAGCTCGCGAAGCGTGTACGCAAGAAGGCTGCCCAGGCGTGAAGCGTCCCTGCGCCCTGACTTCTTACCGGTCTTGTCGACCAAATCCTGTGCTTGTTTCTGACGGGCTGCGCAATGGTTGTTTCTGTGGCTCCGATGGCGTATGGTTGTTGAAGTACATCCTCGATTCTCGTGCACATGGGTCGGATTTCTTTTTCTATGGTTTTTGTCTATCTTCTATCTCTTGTTTGAACCATGGTCAGTGAGTGATATTACCATGGTTATTTCCTTATGAACATTCCGAAGTGTATTTTCCATGTCGCGTCTAGGGACCAGCTGTTTTTAAATTGAATAGTTCTTACCATAATAGGTCTTGCGCACATACATCTTGACAGAAAGGCTGTATATGCCCTGCCATAGTAAGACCAAGTCGAACACTATCACTTGTCATTGACAAATAGTCCCAATGCACTTCTGAGAGTGTTTATGACTATCAAGTCCGTTGTGTCCGTTCTTTCATGGCTGTCCGTTCTTCCTTGGCTACCCGTAGCTGGATTGTATGAGGATCCCTCTGGCACCTGGTGCCGAATAAAAGCGACGTCGTGTATTCCCAATACATGGATACTGCTCACCAATCCTCTTGAGTCTGAAATATTGTCGTCAACCCCTTTACTTCCACCATAAGAAGCCCAGTAGGAACAAAGCCTAGCGCCAGGAATTTTCCCCAACTAGAGGACAGTGAGTCTCTCAAAGATGAAATGTCAAGATGTATCATCACCATTAGGCCTCTAGACCTGCCCATGAGCAGGTTGCACCAAATATCTATATCAGAAGTTCGGCGTATTTCAGTAAATCGACAGTAGCTGAGGCGGAAACAGCTTTGATAGCAGCCGCAAAATATGGGATCTCTTCCCCGTTGTAGTCGCAGCTGTGCCCCTTGATATCAATGGTCACATCACCGCTGTCCCCGTCGCCCCATACCACCTCCTGAATGAGCATGGATTCGTCGACATTTCCGAGAACGACGGCGGTAGTGTTGTACTGTTCGAGTTTCAAGTTGGGAAGATCCACATATCCCAGTGATGAGCCGCCCATGCTCAAATTGAAGGTGACATGGCCCTGCACTGATTAGGAGGTCTTCCATATTTGCTTCACGCGCGGCATCGGGTCCATACCATTTCAACTATGAACGGTGTCGGATTCTTGAGAGCAATCGTGGCATTAAAATTATATCCGTCGACCCGAGGACTCAAAAGCTCCAAGCTTGTGATGTTGAATGCGCCCTGCGAATTCATGAATTCTGAGGAGAGTTAGGATACGTGACGAAGTCGTGGGGTATATCAATTCATACCGGTGACATTGAAGCCTGCGTACTCGAAGCATCAGTACCTCAAATGCAGGTTCTCTTTCCAAGGGTCGCTGGCACTCACCATCCATCTTCATTGTTTTATGAATATTCAAATGTGCGGTTGGGAGGCCTCCAAGCTTCAAGTCTGGGTCACCCGTCACCAGCACCGCGAAGCTCTTGTTCGTAGCCGCCGCGATGGCCAAGTTCGAGAGACATTCAACACAAGACAAGTGAAGGTCTTGGTCAATGACAAGTTTTGCGCCGTTCTTGAAATTGATCTGGGGCACCGGGAATACCGAAAATTCTTCATCAGTATCTGGGACTCGAATGCTTGCATTAAACGCAGTTAGATGGCCGCTGCCACTGAATCCACCACCCATACTGAGTTTCTTCGACTGGCTAACGTGGAAGGAAGTCGGTCGGGGATTAGTGATAGCAAGGCCCTCGTAGTCAAATTGATAATTGTTGATGTAGTCGTTGGCAAAGTGGGGGATTCCCACATAAACACTATCAGTATCAGCATCGGCACATCCAATTACACTGGGGCGAGATGTTTACATGGGAAGAACCACCACTAGAACTGTGCAGCAGAACACAATCACATAAATCCACCACCTTTTCTTCATGTGTGACTTAAACCGTTGCCATATTGATGGCTTGGCCGCTAGTGCCTTGATCGCGCCATTTGTGTCAGAGCCGGAGTTATCTTCGAGGTCGGACTTGTACATCTTGCGTGGAATTGCAGTGCAGCCTGGCCTTTGATTGCTTTTCTTGTCCAAAATTCCTATTAACAGTGTGCGGAATCCCCATCAGTTTCAATAAGTGGAATCCTTGGTTGTGAATAGCAAGGCGCTGCCTTCCCATCCTATCGCGTGAGGCGGTCGTCGGGGCTCCGGGGGGGGGGGGGGGGGGGGGGGGGGGGGAAGGAAGACACTTCCGACTAGGCTCAACGATTTCTGGGTTGGCCTGTAGCTTTTGATCGGGGCTAGCTAGGGAGTTAAGAAACCCCGTGGGGGCGCCGGCTCGCGTCGATCTATTATCCACCTCACATGTGAAGCCGAAAACTGCTGGTTAGGGCATGCGTATTCGGCTTTCAATACGCATCCTCAGATCGATCGGCGTCAAGGGCGCCGGAAGCACAGAGGGGCCGGGTGCTGATCTTTGACTTAATAAACACGCGCCCGAGGAGACCTCTCCCAGCAGTCAGACATCGCCAGTTGATTGTAACGTTGAAATGCGCATTGTGGTCGATTCGGTTTGAAACGTGGCGCCGGTGGTCGTTAATGCTGGCCTGCTGTATACAGGAGACTTAAATTCCACGATACAAAACATCGGACGACACACCTTCCACCTAACATTTTTTTGGACGATTTTACATGATAATAAAAATTATGAGTAACTAGATACCATGACGCATATGAACATATGAAAAATTAGGAAACTTTTGGACGTCGTGTCCCTCAGAAACATCAATACCCCTTTCGCGAATCAAACCCCCGGTTCTCTGCATACCTCTCCAGATCCTTACAGTTGAAGCCAGAGCGCATCTGGCTGACCGCTCCATGTAGGGCAGAGTGACCTTGCATGAACTCCCAGAATAGGTCAGCGCATTGATAATACTGTAGATCAAATCAAGCGTATCGGCAATGAACTGTATCAGTCAACCCTGCAGATGATCTGTCGCTGTCGTCTCTTTGAACGCAAGGGCGGTCAATTCCAGCAACGGCTCTAGATACGACAGGCGTGGATATGAGTTCCAGGCTACCTGGAGCTTGAAAGTGATATCTTCTCCCCTACGTCAATCTGGTTGACGCAGTGGTGCATGGGTATACAGCTGTCCAAGGCGAAGCATCTGTCCGTGAAGATCTGACGAACCCGTGGCACCTTGGAGCTGAAGCTGGTGACGTGTACTCAGGCAGTCACCAGTTTCGAGCTATAATTACCCGCTCGAGAATCTGCACCTTTGACTGTGCCAACTTTGATCGGCGTATCCTTGGGTAGAGCCTGAGTCCTTCGTATGACTGCTGGCCATTCATTCTGTGATGAATTTGAGCCAATAGTGAGATTAGACAGTTCATCAAAGCAAGTCAGAAATGAAGTGCTTCTTTCTGGAAAGTTGAGGGACCTTCATACACTTCTGCTTTGAAACGGGCAATTACCCAGGGCCGGATTGCCGAGAATGACGGGCGTATCGGCGCCGTACAAGGGCGTCAATTTGTCCAAGGACGTGATGTTGAAACCTCAAATCGAGTCGAAGGTCAAACTAACATTTGGAGATACGAATTAATTTGGAAGCGGGGCACACGGGTTTGATTTGCTCCACCGGGTCGCTGTCCACTATACAGTATGAAGTAACTGGGTGTCCAGTCTATCGAGCAACACCGTGCAGTGAGGCTGACGGCGGTATGAAATGTAAGTTTAGCCAATGAACACTACACTTAATTAAGGCAAATTGATGGAATTGAGGTCTCAGATACAGTTCAAATCCTTGCATTAGATGCGTGCAAGTTTTGGCTTTTCCTGGACTAATTAATTTTCCCATCCTGAACGCAATACTTTAAGCCACCATTCTCTCCAGCGATATCAAGAGGGTTCTTTCCCGCCCCGTCCTGGCTTGAAGAGTCCAGGCCTTATGACTGAAACTCGTACATCGGTCTTTACAAAGAGTATGGTTGAGGTGGCCGTATTTCTCATTTCCTATTTCTCAATCATCATGGGGCATATGGCCCAAAAGCAACACACGGTGACCAGTCACCGTGTGGTCAAGGAGCGGAGTCATAATGTCAAAAACTAAATGGGACGCAGAACGTGGACGCAGAAATCATGCAGACAGTAAATGGAGATATCGCTGGGACTGGACGAGTACGATCAAAGAGTGAGGATTTCAATCAACGCAAGTCACCGTACTCCAGGGAGATCCAATTAAAAATGAATAGGGGTGGTTCGTTCAAACCATCAAATGGCGGCCAGCCTCGACAGAAGCGAAGAAGTCGATTTGCCTTATAGCAGGATCATGAACTGGTTCAAAAGTAGAATCAAAACGCAGTCAGATAAGCCATTCTGGTTGAAATCAGCATGCCTCCCACAATCAAATTCAATTTCGAAGTCGCTTGAACTGAGACAAAAATACAGGCCATGGGACAACCGGCTAGAACAGCCCGCGAGACCGTTTGGTTCTGTGAGACGAAAATTGTGAGTATCAATCTTCTATCGCGAGAAAGGCAGATATCAAAAGCACAGACCAAAGAATAAAGAAGGACAGGAAAGGAAGGATCCTACCGGATCTCCACAAGATCGTCCATGTGGTTACACATGGCCACAAACAGATCAAAAAACAACTTCCCACCCATTTCCATTTCCATCTGCATGGTACCACTTCTTTTGAAGGTCCTGCGAGTCCGGATGATGAGAGCCAGGTAGTGAGCGCGCAGCCGAGACTCCGAGTCCGGCGTATTGTCATACGCATACCGAGCAGATCGCAAGATCACGTCGGCTGAAATACCAACCTGAAGGCCTTGCTTTCTCAGAGCAATGCGCTTCAGATCTTCCAAGCCAAACTTCTCAGCAACACAGTAGACGACCGTGTCTCGGAGCACGACGTCTCCGACGCCAGGGTGGAAGAACGTCGCCTCGCTCGACCCGCGACCACCGTTGTGACTAGTATCTTGCTCATTCTCGAGGTGCCAAGAGTCTCGACGCTTGCCATGCAGCAAGCGTGGATAGTAGTCGCCCTTGTACAAGAACTCTAGAACGCAAGACAGGATCTCAGGCTCCCTGTTTTTATTATCCTTAAGCTTGGTTGTTCCAGATAAATCCGAACAAGACAGGTCGCTTACTCGTCAGGTAAAGCCAGTTGCTTTGCACCGTCTTCCAGGAAGTTTTCCTTCAACGCAGTGCGAAAGTACGGCGAGATGGAGAGGACATCCTCGTGCGCGGCGAAAAGACGCTTATCCCCGCCCACCAACATGGTGATGATGGGGCTGGTAAGAGCGCTACAACGGTCGATCTATTAGTCATGTCTTGATTCATAACACTCATCGAGATTTTACCACTTTCCCGCTGACGCGGTATCCTCTTTGTCCATGCTCTGCTGCATCTTGTCTTTCGCCTGCTCGTCGTACTTCTTCCTAGAAGGCTTGACAGTCTTTCCCGCCCGGCTCTTCGAAGAAAACGAACGCTTGAACATCGTGGAGACGACCGAATATGTCCGACTCGAATAGATGAGGTGCGGTAGAGGAACGCTGAACGATCAGAAAGAGTGATAGGAGTTGGTCAAAAAGAAGGAATAATCGACGCTGCGGATCACACGAGCATGTGAGGGTCAGAGTCTGGAAGCCTTCGTCCAAAACAGTCTCCCCGTATCATCAAGAGACGGTCCGAAACGGATTTGGGATGATGGCTTAGCATTCGAGAGTCCCAGTGAGACTCAAGGCGCGGCTTTGTCGACTCTGGCAGGCGTGAGAAGAAGAACGAGGGACGAGCGGGCCAGGCGACTATTTAAGGGCATCAGGTGATATCAACTGCAGCTGCAGCCGTCACACCTGCTTTAGAAGCGTCGTGCAGGCCAAGTCCGACCGACCGGGAGTATGCCTGGCCTCATTGGCAACTGGCGTTCGGAGGCGCCAAAGGCAGGCATCGGATTGGCGGGCGAGTGGGCGATCGGCTAGGAGATATGCACGGTCCTGCCGCCTGGTCTTATCATGGGTGGCGGACAGAGTTCCTGCTTCGAAGTAGTGGAGGTACCTACGGGCAGTTGATCGATGTCGACATCGTGATATGATTCGCTAAATACAGTTTTCAAAAACTTACATACACAGGGTGCGGGTCATATTGAATGGCTGGACATCCAATATCCAATCCGACAAGCTTAAGTTACCAAGTCCCCACGGGTATACTTCCCCGCCAGCGAGAAAAGTATTGAGCCCTCCCATCTCCGATCCAAGCACCTTCTTTTCCCGAGGAATAACATGCTGAAGCGTTTTATGCAATATTACCTTTGGAGCTCAGCTCAAATGAGCGATCCGCGTCCAGCAGCGCCCAGATTGATCCTGAAGCTTTGGAAACGCAGCGAGGGTATTGCTAGTGATCTCCTTTCCCAGGTTGGATCGGAAGGCCTTTGCAGGGCTATGCGATGTAATATTAGGAATGTGATCGTATGTCCACCAATTTAGTAATTTCAAGCCATTCCTCGTTGTTATGCGCAGTAATTCTTTCAATCTTACCATCTGCCTATAGCTTTGTTCGCACGGCTCCTCAGCAAGAATAGTTGGGTGCATGTGTCGCAATCAATGTAAGAATAGCTCTATTTGGATATATAATGGCATTTGATGTGAAAAAAACATCGATTATGAAATATTATGTTTAAAGTAGTGCTCAGCTTAGTTACACTTGCGGCTCCTTTGTCGAATCCGTTATGCCAAACGTTTGAAGAAAGAAATAGACATTGCAGCGATCCTTGGAAGTAAATCAACCAATGATGATAGGTTTGTCATCCATGCCCTCTGGGATATGGGGTTGTAGTTTTTCTGCGACAATCGACACGGGAAGTTGAATAAGTCTTTACAGCGAAGGATCGCATGCCATGATATTGACCTGCACCCCTTTCTGATGAAGGAAGAAAGTTAGCCCAGGAAACATGACAATCGGACCTTGCATGAAAATATTATCGCGGCGACTAACATGGTAAAATTGAAGGGAAAGGAGGAAAGGAATGGAAGGTTACATGCGTTGAGAAATGACAGGTGCGCACTTAGGCAACCTGGGTTGAGGCACAACTGAGCAAATTGACCTGAATCCCGTCCTGAAGTCTCAGGGATGTTAGCCTCCAGAGACTAGGATATATAGGTATCAATGCTTCCCGTGCAACGATAAAAAAAGGAATGAGGGTGTGTAGAAAAATTGGCATGTCTTGGGGAAGTGCTGTAGGCAAAAATGTGTCTAGAAACACTCTGAAAGGTGCGCGATGGTCCCCAAAGTGATAATTCATCGTCTTTGAGGCCCAGAATTGAATTTCATGTGTGGAAGACGAAAAAAGGACGGAAATAAAATGAGGGTGGCACGTACGTTCTTGGAAAAGTCGCAGCAATAGTACGTGTTCTCCTCGCAATTCTCCAGTGCAGAAAGTAGAGTGCAAAGACCAAGATCAGTGTCACAGCATGCAGCACTGGTCATTGCCCCACACTTATGATCGCCCTGAGCATCGCCTGTGGCGGGCACGCCTGGTGCGGCGAAGATTGTAGCGACGAGGGCAGTGAGAACAAAAAAGGTCTTCATTGTGGTGGATAGTTCGAGATGGTTTCTTGGGCGATGAGAATTTCAGATAAGAGAAAGATCGGTTGAAACCTGTGAGTTATAAAGATGGTTGAATTTCCATGCTTCTGTGGACAAGGTGCCTTCTTATATATGGAAGAGAATTCCTAACACTCGGAGAGCGGATAGGAAGGAAAAAGTTGACAAAACTTAATCTCCAGCCACTCCCACCCCCTGCATGATCAGCGCTGTTTGGTGCAGGGGTAGAGGCAAATTCTGGATCAAGCTAGAAGGTATAAGAGTGATTTTTCTGGTTTCCAATTGACTTTATCGGAAGGACTGCCAGCTTACGGTACCAATTCCTACGTTACGTGGTAGCATAACAATTTCTTCCTGCGATGTTTCGTGCTCTGCATTTTTCCCCCCTTGGTTTGCTTGAGTGGTTCGAGACATGTCCATTGTGTTTTCCTTCCTTTTTCTTTCCTTTTTCTTTTCTTTCCTCTTATATGCAAAGTTGCTTATTCCTTGGGAAGGCCCAAATATGATAGAGCAGAAAAGGTGTCTCCAGAAACTTTAATAGATAGTAAAATTGAACCTTCATATTCAGGGGTTGATGGCGTCCGACTTGGGGACATCGCAACAGGCGCCTTATGATAGACTCTCAAGCACCCTTCAAATTGGTTCAGTCGGCGGCATTCTCGCCCGACGACCGCCAGCTGGCGTCCGGCTCTAACGATATGGCATTCCGGCTTTCCCCTTTTTTTGGACGCCATAAATCCAATGCGGAGAGGATATCCTCTGATCGATATCAGCGTTTCATTCTTAGTAGTAGTTACCTAGCAAGTGGCTTTGGAATCGAGACGACTGTTTTTAAATTCCAAAATTTATATATTTAACAAGTTACCTATCGAAAGCACAGAGGCGAACAATGGCGTAGGCACGAATTGACTTGCTTTAGACATAAAGAAGAACCGACTCAACACTGACCGAAAGCTCCACCGATGCAGAATATTTCAGTGTTGTTTCTATTTCTGTCCTTGGCAAAGAAGAGGCTCAGTTTCATCGAATTCACTCAATGCTCCTAGGAGAGATAGAGTGCCTGCTGTTGGCAACTTTCTTCCAAGGAAGTCGGCCTTTTAGTATAACTCAACAGCCTATACGGATTGCTCCGTGATATAAGTGAGTAAACAGTCCAACTCCATCATTTTGAAGTCCTTCTAGTGTCTACAAGTTTTATTAGCACCCCTGAAAGCTAAAGATAGAAGAAGATTAGTAAATTTTACTCACATTCAAGTGGATAGTTTCTTACTAGCGAGGAGATTATCGACTTCAACTAGCACGCACTCGAAACGAAGAGCTTCAAAGCCGATGTTGATATTGATAGCAGATATTGGTGAGAGCTGCGCTCGTTCAAGAAACTAGCGGATAAGGGGGTTACCAAGAAACTTGACAGCAGGGAGTAGGTGACCGAGAAAGTGGCGAAAGGGTGGATCCTAATACGACTGGGTTTCCTTTTCTAATCACATCTAGTAACTCACAGGTCCGCCGTTTACAATAGGTATACTTTGGTGGATGAGTATATAAGGACTGCACAAACAAGGGTTGGAACAAGATACAGAGTGGCAAATACAGTCAAAAAATATCCAACCTACCCAATCTATACGGTTGATATGATCATCGAGAAACTCCTGAACATGCATCAGCGAATCTCCGCCATCTGGGGGATTTGTCATCCATGGCAGCTTCGGTGGCGGTACGATCTGGGGTGTGGCGGTGCAACCGAGTGGGTGTGGGGTTAGTCCCCCACGCCAGCCACCGGTGATATCATCGCCTTGAAACAAGACACCTGAGCTGGAAACAGTCAGCGGAGTCATCTTCAGGCCCCTGATCGGTCAAGACGCCACTCTCACTGATCTGAACCAGGCGTGACCTGTCTACAGCTCTACTGCACTGTGTGAGTGATCTGTCAACTAGCGGCACGCTCAAAACCCCCTGCCTCCACTAAGCATCGTCGCATTTCAATTATTTGTTTTTGTTGTATTGCAAAGTCAGCTACTTCTCGCCCCGACCCTTGGAACTTCAATCCAACCTCCCTCGCGATGGCTATGCAATACTTCAACCAGATCAAACATCGGCGACGGTCCTCCCAGATCTTGAAGCCACCAAACCCTGTCCTAACCGCCGAGGACGAGGCTTTCTTGCAGCAGGTTACGTCAGATCCAGAGAATAGACGTAAATCTACAGCCCAGAACGAACCTTTGGCGTCTGAAGGCCCGACAGAGAGCTCTCAACAGCCTGTTTTGGGTGATGGCGCCCTAGATATTCCCCTTCCTGCCTCGCCAGCAGAGGAGTTTGGAAAGGAACTCGGCGAAGAGGAAAGAAAGGCGCGCGAGCGGCGTGACGATATGAAGACTGAGTCCGCACCTGCTAAGCTACAAGATACACCCGCCCCTGAGAAGAAGAAACGATGGAGCACCATATTTCGCAAGAAAAACTCCGATACAGACAAGGTATGTAATCGGATTCCGCGAGCATGCTGTTCCCATGGTTACTACGAAACTCAACCGAATACTGAAACCCCTTATTATCTCTTCAGGACAGAGAACCAACCACTGCAGGTGACCTAAAGACCGAGACTTCTACTCCTACAAGCAATGGACAAGAAGCACAGAAGGACCAGGAAGACATGACGGACATCCTCGACCGATTGAACCTAGCTGCGGATAACAATCGGGTCTTCTCAGTCAGCGACGAGACGCAGGAGCTCCTCCGCAAGTTCAAGCTTATTTTCAAGGACTTGATAAATGGCGTTCCAACGGCGTATCATGACTTGGAGATGCTTCTGACGAACGGCAACCGACAATTACAAGATACATACACCAAGCTGCCAGGCTTTATGCAGAAGCTTATTGAAAAACTTCCCGAGAAATGGACCGAGTCGCTGGCTCCAGAGATGCTTGCCGTCGCCGGTGAACGTGCGAGCCGGAGCGGAATCAATATGGAGAATGTGGGAAAAGCAGCCGCAGTTGCAGAGAAGGCGGGTCTCAATGTTCCAAGCCTTAAAGAGCTTGTATCCAAACCCGCTGCAATTGTCGGGATGCTGCGGTCAATCATGCAATTCCTGCGCGCTCGCTTCCCAGCTGTGTTGGGCATGAATGTCCTTTGGTCGCTGGCACTATTCAGTAAGTATCAGGGGCAAAGAAATTTGATCTTCTAGTTGTGAGTACTAACCATTCTATAGTCCTACTATTTGTTCTGTGGTACTGCCACAAGCGTGGCCGCGAAGTTCGTCTTGAAAATGAGCGTCTGGTGACGGAGGAGGAAATCAAGAAGCTCAATGAAGATGGTTCCGAAGGCCAGATCCGTCCGACTGAGACTTTGACAACCACCGCACCCCAAGGTGCCTCAGCTGATGAAGTCCGTGAGGGTGTGAAGAAGGTGGAGGAGGCTAGGGCTTCGGCCGCTAACCTTGCTGCTATGTCGGAGCCTAAACCCGAGCCACAGAGTGAGAACAATGAGAGCACTCGCCCGGCTGTGATCCCGACTCGATCGAAGTCAATTTTGTCCATTTGGAATCGATCGAAGCATGAACCGACACCAAGCAACATTTCGCCTTATCCCGGGACTTGAGCTCGGCAAGGTATCATATCTTCCTTGAGAATCTACTGTCAATATGGGATTATCCAGCTATACTGCATTATTCATTACTGGTCCAGGTGGGAACATTGCAGGTCCGTGGCTGAGAGTGGCGGGTTTAGATATTGGGAGGGTGCGATGATAATGATGATTTACGGCTAGCGATGGCCTGCGAATTTCCTCATCCGTTAACTTTGTCTTTTCAAGCACTATTTGCTTGTGCAACCTTCATAATTCTTGCCTCTATTCCTGCCAAAATGATTTTTCAGATTTCCTATATCCTCACTAGTCTGCCCCGTATGTCCACCCAAGAGATTCGGACACCTTTACCCTTTGCCTTCAGCCTGTAACCCTCGAAAAACCCACATCCCGTCGTGACTATTCCCTGGCCCCAAACCTTTAGATAAACTTGGTGTTCGTGTATACAGTGCCTATTGGTGCATCGGGTGTATTGCTGAAGAAAGCGAACGTGTCCTTGACGGAGATGCCGACGGCAGGTGGAGCCAAGCGATAGTGCTCCGCTAGAGAGGTAAAGATTACCGACGGTGTGCAGTGTCTCTAGGGGAAAATATCTCTCTTTTCCATACTAATCAGCCGTCAATAAAAGAAGTGGAAGAAGGAGCCGGCGAAAGATTCCCTCATTTCCTTCGCTATGCAGCTGATCACAGAGGGGGTCTTTTGGTCCAAATTCAAGGAGGACCACTTGGTTTCAATACCCGAACTAGTTGACAAAATACCACGTAGTTCTACTTTTAGTCATAATGAGCCAAAGCGTTCGGCATGGCCGCACGATAGTGTGATTTACCTCAACTGAACGTGATTCGAGAAGAGCCACAACCACAGGTTGTGGTGCCTGGAGCGCCCCGTCGGCTTTTATGTCCAACTCCACCTCCCCCAACACTTCATTAGCTCCAATTTCATGATGGGCCTAACATTTGATCTCGATGGTTGGCTGGAGAACCGCTCCGACAAGAATAAACCACTGCGAGTGAACTGCTACGACCAGGCCGGCTTAGTGAACTGCTGCCTATTCCTCGGACATCCGTACCAATTCAAAAGGGGGAAAGACACAAATAACGACATGCCGGACTGGGTAAAGGGAGATCTGGATGCTGGAGTGGAAAGATTGACCATTGGTCGATGGTGCAAAGGGCGCTGGAAGGCTGGCGATTCTTGCTTTGGGTATATCAACACAATGGATTTGGTGGGCTGGGGCAATACCGACCATCCCTTTTTTAGACTCGATCCCAGTGATCCGAAATCTGAAAGGTCCAGTTTCGGCAACCATAGATGGGCGAGTATCCGCAGCGGGGACCACATCCGGGCTGCAGATGCGTGTGCTGGCCCTGCCGTGCCGTTTCCTGACGGAACAATCGGCGAGTACCTCACCTCGGCCATTGATATGAAAGCTATAGCGCAAGATGCTTCCAACAGGAATTTCATCTTGGAACAAGGCTCCCTGAGTCTGCCTGTTCAAACAATCGGACCAATTACACATCTTGCTGCACCAAGCGACTACGAGTTCGACCAGGAGATCGAAGGAAAGATTTCAGCTCTCCTCAAAGATGAGCCCACGCCAATTGCTTTGAATGTCGATGACATTCTGAAGGCCATCAAGAATAGATTCAAGCCCAGTGATAGATACGAGTCCCGTGATGAATGGATCGTACCAGCACATCGCACAGAGACCATCTCAGACCACTCTACCCTCAGCTTGCAGGTGTATGATAACCTCGAGGAACAGTTGTGCCCATTGGATGGCAATGGAAAGCTGGTCAAGCCAACCACCGCCAACAAATATCTCACTGTCACGATCGATATCATGACCACTCGTAAACAAGCGCTTGACGAAGCACGGGCTCAAGCAGAGAGTTTCTCGAATGACTTCAGGGGCCGAATGAGCCTAGAAGTCGAGCCCGAATGTCAAGCCTGTCATGTCTCAGGGCAGGACCATGAATGTTTGGCTGCAGACCTTTACTTGAAGCCGGTAGCGGGAACAGCTGCTGTATACCTGATCGTATTCTCGAATATCTTGATTCAACTCAAGGGAGAAGGCATGGATGATGAAGTGGCGAAAGTAAGCAAGGATGTCAGATCTTGCTGCAACATGAGCAGAAACCTTGGTTTGCAGCCGACATCGAGTATGATTCTGAAAGAAGCCATGGAAAATGCCAAGATGCCCGAGACGACGAAGGTTGGCCAGCAGGAGGAGATCAAGATCGAGGTATGCACTACTCTGCTCTGCTTATCCTCTTGCCATCTAGAGAACACAGCTGATATTCCATCACCCAACTAGGCCCCAGGGATCACCCAAATGAATATATATTCTGAAACTGGCGTATGTTCCTGATCCTTTTTCCCCGCGAATCCTGCATCTTGCCTTACTCAAACAACTCCCCTTTCTTGTACAGAATATATATGTTGAACAGCCCATCAGCAACAATGGCATATGGACTATCCGATTCATGGCGCGGACATCGACCAGGACCATCCTGGCTTATGATCCTAATCCTAAAAAACGCGAATGGAAAGAAGCAAACGGCGACAAACTGAAGATCACTTTCGCTCAGGCACCTTCGTATTTCCCAGCGGATTTGGAATTCAACGTCGCCATCGACAGTCTGTGAAGAACTGGGTCGGTAGATGTTAATAGGACAGATAGTAGTTGGTATATCTCACTACTAAAGGGCACGAGCATAGTAAATTCAACCTCGTGGTAACTGCGAACCTGGGCCGTAAATTTCATTAAAAGTTTCGTCCTCACCGACACAGATTCGGTAGGTGATTTTAGCATAGCACTTTGCTTGATCTTCCAGGTCAGGGGCTACCTTGCGGTATGCATTGGCCAAAGTCATCCAGCATGGCACGAGACTGTCCACTGCCAGGCCCCATTTCTTCACAACTAGTGTCATGCCTTGAGTAATTGGAATATGGCCACCCTCAACAATATAGCCGAGCGACTCCAAAGCTTTCAATCCAAAGACAATAACCTTTTGCGGTTGATCCTGGGTAGAATACGTCAGTGCAAGAGACAAATACGGATCCCACAGACTAAAGCAAGGAACTCTAGATGGCGGCTGGCTGTAGGTCTCCGCAATTTTCGACAGTATAGTCTCGAATCGAACCAAGTTCCTGTTTTGAGACGAGGAAACCTGACGCAACTCGGCCATGAGCTTTTCCCTCTTTTGCAGCACTTTTGAAGGGGTGTTGAGAGCATCTTGGCATATGACACAGCTACATTGAAAGCCCCAATGGGGCAGATCCGCTTTCCTGCCCTTTGAATAGCTGTCTCGCTCGCTGTCCTGAGGTGACTTATACCAAAAGTTGAGTTCTGTGTTTGGTGCAAGGTCCTGTGTGGCTCGAACAATCATCATGTCTCCGATAAAAGAGCGTCGCACATTGCTATAGCAGGAATGGTTGATGGAGGATGCCAAAGGCCAAAGGCCACACGAATCAAATTTCTTGGCATTTTCGACCATTCTTTCCCGGAACAAGAACTTTCTATGGGACCCGTAAGAGGATAGGGGACAGCCAAAACCATTTAAGGCCATGATGCGTTCGATCAAGAAACTTGGAAAAATCAGTGCTGCGGAAGCTTATCAAGGTCAAGAGTGAGCCCCTTACGTATCAACGATTGGTGTGCCATCTACTTCTGAGATGTCCACGGGTTTGTATGAGCCATGGTAGAGATCCGTCACTGTTGATATAAGAGACGGCGTCTGATAAAGCTTTTGAATGATCAATGAAAGAAGGTCTGCGTGGGTGCCCATTATAATGGTGCTTTGTTCCGCGTTCATCAGAAGAGAGAGGCCCTGAGTGGGATTATCCGCATCATGATAGACATATGCAAAAGCCTTCTCACAGAACAGAAGATCCCCAGCCTTCACTGCTTCCGTTGTAAATAGACCTCGCCCATGAGCCTCGGTAGGCCTCACAGATACAGGACCAACATAGGTGGCGTGATCAAGGTGTGGTGGACGATCCGTTGCCGCTTCGCGCTGCAATTGTTTGAATTGATACTTGCCCCGTTGCTGCTCTAGAAGACGTGTAATAGCCTTAGTAAGCACGTCGTTGGCAGATTTATTATCTGGGTATTGTTTCACAAGCGTAGTAGAAACGTCACAGCATTCTCGAAACCTCTGGAGTTGATAGAGAGCCTCGGATTTTCGGAAAAGGACCTTTTGAAAAAGACTAAATTCCGAAGATAGCCCGTCTAGATCGTGGAGAGCCGCGTTCAATTGGTGGCGCTTAAGGAAAGCAAGAGCCCGGTTTAGTTTGATGGTGAGAGTTTCCTCAGCTGTTGGCACGCACTCCAGCGCTTTAGAGTAACTGTTATTACGATCAACTTCGGTCTAGGCATGAATTTTCTCTGAATACTTACCTTTCAATAGCTTGAAGATGATGACCTTTGTTGAAAAAGTCATTCCCTGCCATTTTCCAGTCGTTGGCAGTGGTATCATCCTCGGTGACCCGCTCTCTCCAAGAAAGTGGAACGAGGTCATCATATGGCGGGATGAACCTAACATCGGAGAGTTGATCAACTCGGATTCCATTGTCCCCATCTGCCATGACCTTTAAATAAGGCTCTTTCACTATCATCACGCTCCCTTGTGTCAGATACTTCGTAGCAAGCTCTTCCCCTTGATGGTACAGCTGCAACATGAGAACACGATTCTCTTCATCCTCCACGATGAGCATGATCGCAGTCATGACATCCGGCGTAGACAATGCTCTCAACAAAATAAAAGACCCGCGATGATGGGTTTCGAGTGTGAGGTCTTTGATCATGATCTTTTTGAGGTCGCTTAACGGAGAGACACTCGGAGGGTAGACTGGGGGAACAAAAGCTGAGCGGATATGGTTGCCGGCTGGTGTTTTATTCATCATCTGCCGATACAGAAATTGCCCCAAGATCTCCTCTCTGGACTTCATTGCCCTGGGGCGCTGGCCCTTTTTGGACTGGGCGTTTTGAAGAGTTCTCCTGTGTCCCTGCAGCACCTGCAAATACTGCGGAACGGAAGAAACATCGTGAACGTCCATAATGAACGTTTCAACGCAAGGCACTGATAAGACTCGATGGTAATAAATTTTAGAAAAACTATGGAGGTTGATTGCATACACATATAAGTCAAAGGGAACAGGAAGAAATGGGAAAGCATGCGTTGTCCAAAGAGGGGTATGAACAGGGGTATCAGAATTGCATCTAGTATGCCACCCAACAAACGACGCGTGAAGGCCGGGGGGTTGGGTACAAACACAGAAATGCACCTCTTAGAGCTTACTGGATCATGTCTCGAGGATTGATCTGTCAGTCCTAGATCTCTTTGCATTTCTGTATTGGCGATTTGGGGGGAACCGTACTTCCGCTCATGATCTTCAGTTATCACAGTACTACCTGCGTTCTTAGCGCAAAATTGAGAGAGGGAGGAATGCATGGAGATAAAACTTTTAAGCTATCTACGACTACGAACTACTTTACTCTAGCCCGGGTCCGGCTGTGATAAGCAGGATCGGCGACAACATCCGAAGCAAATGTGAAGATGACGCCTTAAAATCTACCCGAACTAACCCAACGAAGGTGCTTATGGTCACCTGACCATGGAAGTCGGAATTGTCGTGTTTGAACTGTAAAATAAGTCCAGAAATTGAGAGTCTCAGAGAGACCATAATGCGCATCCCCGAAATCGGAGCTATTTGTTGTCTTTGTGGAGGGATGACTTGAGTCGCGAACAGAAAATGGTAGCCTCGTGCGAATGATATATGTTGCCGGAGCCTATCCGAAGATGTACATCATTTTAGAGCAAGCAAATATAAAGTTTTCTGGAACCTCTTCCAAACTGGGTAGTTTGCATCAAATTCTCTACCTAGAACTGACAGGTGGTTTCAAATTACGGTTACAGTATTCGCGGCATATATGCCGAGTTCAGGGGACTTTAATCGCCCATCAGATTCCACCGAGATCCCCAATTTCCTTCTTGGGGGCTATAAACACAAAGTTTTCTGGTTAGTAAGGTGGAGTACCCGATTCGGTAGACAGCTCCATCAAACCAAACTCTCTCGAACGTCGGCATCCGATGGATCCGTGAACCTTACCGCATCTGGATTCATGGAGTAGTGGGTTGAGTTGAGAATATATGGCTGTACAGAATTGGACAGGGTGGCGCATCCGAAGAAAAAAGAAAGGGCCCAGCTGTCACTAGTAGCGGCCAACGTTGTCTTCCGAGGCGCCGGCTTAAAAATAGGCTCGCGGCGTAAGGATTTTCTCCCAGTGGAGTGTGATTGGCGCCGAGAGAATTTTCATCTCCAGCCACTGCGGGACGGAGATGATCTTGCAGGACACCACGAGAGGGGACAGAGTGGCCCCAAAGTCGCATCCCTTGCGCGAGCTGGGCAGGGCTTTTGGCCGTGTTTTATCATGATCGTGCTGATGAGCAGCCCAAAGTGATATTGGTAGCCCCCGAGCGATCTATCTCATGCAAGCTGCGGCCGTGTTGTCCCCTGCTTACCGCCTCTTCCAGCATCCGTATCGTCACGCTCATGAGAACGGTTCTCCCTCTCCATACTCCGTCCTCCCTATTCCCTGCTCACAAACCGTTCTCGTAAACGTGACGATAGGAGCTGCCGGTCCCTGGGGCCCCGAAGCCCAAAGGACCGCGCCAAGCTAGGCCGGAATGGAGCAGCCGGGTTGCCACCGAGGAAAAATCAAAACGACGGATGAACCCCACCAATGGGAGGCATCCCAGTAGCTAGTTTAACCATGTTTGCCGGGCCGGACCTCTGAGCGCCATCGAGTCATCAAACAATATGATTCATTTTCCGGAGGGGAAATGAATTCTGATCGGGCGATGAATCATAGGTCTGCACGGGTCAGCTCCTGCACCGAGCGGAAGGAGGAGGGGGCTGACGTCCGTTATTTAGTGTCGGTGCTAGCGTTATGTCGCTGGGAGAGCGCCTCCCTCACATGCCAGTCCCTGTGGAAGAATCACCCTAATTATGATCATCCAGATTCCTTCTCGCTGCAGCGCTTGGAGGGCGGTTTCTTATTGTGGCACAATGGACCCACTGGATGTCGGGCCCAAGCATGCGGATGTTTCCCTTTTGCCTTCACTAGTGAATATATTTAATTTAATTTTTTTGCTCCCCCTCTTTTCAACTCCGTCATCAATTTTTTTTTCCTAAGACCGGACCAGTCGCATGGCGTATAGTTTCGAGTCACTCATCCCTGAAGTATACATCGATGACTTACACGACGGGCTAGTGAGTCACAGCCCATGCTCTCCTCCAGTAATGTGTACGCAGAATGTATTCCCCAGAAAGGCCTCGAACGGCTGATCGTAGACTCGCCATTTACAGATTGCAACGAGGGGATTGGCGCGAAAGATGCGGTGAACTGCCGCCAGCGAATGGGCAGGCGTGGAGGCCGGCCCAGCTGGGAGCATCCAGCCAATCAGAGAATCCACAGTAGTCCCCCAGCTCCACTTCCGTTTTGGCGGGAAAAATCGATTGACGCCCTTTACTTCCTCTCTCGACTTCGCCCTTCTCTTCTCTCATCCCACCACTCGTCTATCAACTCCGCTACTTTTTATTCTTACATACCCACTCTTGCACTGTCACTTACTAGATACCGTCGAGAATTCCTGCCAAATGGCCTTCGCTGAGCTGTAAATGCCCTGCTGGGGAGCCTGTCCGCTGCCTGGCTCCCCAGTCCCGCAGCTCCGATCCTCAATTCCCACTTGACGATATCTATTCCTCTTTCGACGCCCGTTTTGAAGCGTCGGAATTGCCCCCCCAGTACAGTCCCAGAAGGAGCACTTCAGCGTCCGTGCCGGACTGCAGGTGCTTGCGTGGTTACGACAAGCCTTCACACCTATCCCTCCCTCTTCTCCGACCTCGATACCCCTTCTCGATCCGCCCTCAACGACCCTCTTGCCTCATTCACCCTACCTTCCCTCGGCACTAAGGACGCCTCACCGTGAAACTCGAGCAAAAAAAGCCGACATCGTGTCCTAGACCCTTCCGACCCAATTTCAGAACCCCTCAACCGGTCAGGGAATCTCAGTCATCCCATTGACGATACAAAAGTTTTCATACCTTACAAAAGAATCTACGCCCCCTAACCCAATGCCGTCATCCAGCCCCTATTCCTCCAAACGGGCTCCCAAGGGTGCCTCCAAAAGCATTCACCCCGCGTCCCCCGATTCCAACATCCTGCGGCGCCTCAACATGTCCCCCAAGGCCGCGAACCAGCCCAAGAAGCAGAGCAGTGGGCGGATAGGCGGACAGAGCTCGTCCGGCCGGAAACGACGAGCATCTTCCTCCTCCGTCTCCAGCGTCTCATCTGTCTCGTCCATTGACGACCTCGACCTCGAAGGCGGCCTGAGTGACGATGTGGACGAGTCAGAGGATGATGCAGACGATGAAGAGGACCGGCCGCTTGCTCATGCCCCGTCTTTCGGTCGTCGTCAGAATAATACCCGGAAGACGGGGCGCCAACCTGCCAAGAAGAAGAGAAGACGGGTCTCTGACGACGAAGACTCCGACAGCCACTTTATCAGCGACCCGAGCGACTCCGACGACAGCTCGGACGATGTTTACGCCGCGGTGGACTACATCACCGATGCAGATGACGACGAGGAAGGTGACGTGGAGAAATTGGAGGAGCTCATAATCATGGAATCGGAGGATAAGCACCGAGTCCTGCCTACACTTGAAACCGCGGAGAGCCAGTGGGTTGGCTCCGAGATGTTTGGCGACTCAATGTTTCTTCCAGCGGCCTCTTTCTTCGACGAGGAGCAGCTCTACAGTGCCATGGAAACTTTTGCCGAGACCGATATGGCCAGTGAGGCAGTCGAGACTCCCGTTGCTCGTCGTGTTCACTTTGAAGAGCGGCCGGATTCCTCTTCCGATACTGAATCCCACTCGGACGATGAGATTCCAAGCGATTTCCTCCAGCAAGATGCTCTGGATCCCCAGCTGCGTCGGATGATTGAAAATGACCATAATGATTACCACCGCAGCCACCGTCAGAAGTCGGAGGATTTGTATGGTGATGCTGATTACGGCCACGGAAATATCTACCATGTGGAGTCCGAAGGAACCTCCGAGGGCAGCCTCAGTGGTTATGAGAGTATGCTGGCTGTCTATTCATGCTCTTATGTACTTGTTTTGCTAACCCACTTCCCCAGCCGATGATGGTGATACTACAGATGAAGATCTGCCTCCGCCCGCAACCATCACCCACCCTCGGTCTCTTCTTCGCCGCGCCTCCACCGACTCGCTGGTCGCCCCGGGCGATGACAAAACGGTCAGCATCTCGCGCCGCCGAGGCCCAATTATGGGAACCTTCGTGGCCGATCCTCACAAGCCTGTTGCCTTGGTTGACTGCACTGGCAAGCATCTCGTTATCATCCCTGCCTATGCTTCGTCCCGCCATGACTGGCTGGACTCGGCGGCAAACAGCATGCCAGGAACCGCCAATAACAGTCCTCGTCAGACTACCCTGCAATTGATTGATGAGAGCGACACCGATGCCCTTGCATCGCCCAATCAGATCGATTTCAGCCCCATGCTGGCCTCCAGCGCCAATCTGATGATGACCGCCCTCGGCAATGATCTTACACCGGGTGGCCAGGTCATGGGCCCGCCCGAGGCTTTCTACCCCTCACAGGACTTCACTATTGACAGTTCTTTCGAGGATGATGATGAGGACGACCCAGAGGCTGCCCTCAATGTGGACGACTTTATTAACTTCGGCAATGGATCCTCAGATGAGGAAGACAATGACAACGAGAACGACAATTTCAACGGCTTCGATGATGACGCCCCTATTTCCCCCATGGCTCCCCCCTTAGCTGTGCAACCCAGGGGCACACCGACACCCTCCCGTAACTCAGAGTCCCAGCAGGCCAACAACGCAGAGCGCTTCCTGAACCACCTGGACAAGGGCATTGTCACGGCCTTCCGTCGTAACCACAACCGATATCAAGCCCTCCTCCGTCTCCCTCAACATCGCGAATTTATGCCCGCCAACTCCCCCTCGCGTCCAGCCAGTGTCTTCCGACACGCCAAGCACACCGACCAGCGTACCCCGACCCGGAAGCGCAAGGCTAGTGGCTACGCAGGCGGTGAGGCTGTGCGTCGCAAGCTCATGGATGCCCACCGCCACACCCAGCTGCCCTTCTGAGCTTTTTCGCAACTCTTCTCCTACTTGTCCTGACTTGTGCAAGTTCTCTGCTGGACAATCTCCAGCCACTTTACGATTTCGACGAAGTTTAGTTTTTCCCCCAAGATCGCATGATACACACGGACGCTGTTAAATATATTATGAGTCGCTGGCAGACTTGGCCCTGGGGGGCAGGTGATGATTTCTCTGTGTCCTGGCTTGGGCACGAGTGGAAGGGGTCTTGGTTTAGCATCCAGATGGCGATGATTTGCTTTCTTGGTAGACAACAAGCCCGATCTTACCCTATTTTCTCTGTCTAAAGAAAAATAGGCAGGCAGATTCATTGTATGTCCCCGCCTTCCATGTTCACATAAAGGCAGGTCAATGGATGGCCTCTCTGATGGCCAACAAGTTGATCAGTTCTTGTGATTCGCATTGGATGGAATATGTTGCCAATATTCTTTCTTTCCCTCTTTTTCCTTTCCTATTTGTTTTTTTTTCCCGTGCCATGTTCTTCCTCGCAGTCTGCGGGGTCTGGTGATACCTCAGGATATTATGGAGTTTGATTTGAAATCCATATTGCTTCTAATTTTTTTTCAACTCGTACAAACGCACGAGGATTAGAACCTCGAGACGTGAATCATTCAGGCTGGAGTTAAATCGAGACCTGCAGTAACATTCGCTTTGTATAACTACATTAAAATACCCAATGTGGAATTCAATGGAAGCTGACCATAGGTCTGTGAAACATGCAGAGATGACCAACTGAACCGAGCCCGAATGGTCTCCGAGAGTCCGTAATTCGAGGTATCAATTCATTCAAGTGAGAATGGTTATCACGTACGCGTCTGTAGGGCATAAATGACAAGCCATCATTTCTCCTAGTCAGCCGCTTCCTCAAGAACCGCAGCTACCTCTGCATAATCGTAATCCATCGCCAGGTCCCGAGGAGATCGCCTATTCCGATTCCGTGCTAATGGATCTGCCCCAGCATGAAGCAGTATCTGAACTGCTTGCAGGCGACCATATTGCGCTGCGTAATGAAGAGGAGTCCCACCACAGGATGCTTCGATGGATACATCAGCACCGGCCTCAAGTAACAGGCTAACAGTCAAGGAGCATCGGCTTCGTGCTGCAGCGTGCAGTACCGTGTGGCCCTCTGCCCCTTGAAAGAAAACTGATGCTCCGGAGTGTATTAGATACTTCATCACCGCCAGATGTCGATATGTCGTAGCAGTGTATAGCGCGGTATATCCGTGTGCACCTTGAAGAAACCGGGAATAAAGCACGTGGTTTTCACGGCAGACATCTGCTCCAGCCTGCACAAGCAACTTGACAATTTCAAGATGGCCCCTTTGTGCTGCTCTGTAGAGGGCAGAGGGTTTGTCCAGCCAAAAGCCCTGTGTTTCGGGCGAGACACCTGCGTTTAGCAAGAGCCGCACAATCCCAGTATCTCCATTCTGAACAGCGTGCCATAGACAGGTTCGCAGTTTCATTTGAAGGTTCCGGTCGGGCGAAGAGGTATCAATTCCCGAGTTCATAATCTCCTCGACAAGACTGACCTGACGTTGGCAAATAGCAGGATAAAGGGACAATATTGAAGCCCCGGAGCCTGGAAACAATTTCAAAATTTCGAGGTGACCGGCATCCGACGCCTCGGAGATAGCGTTTTCTTCATCCTTTGTATCCAACTTGAACCCGTGGTCGAGGAAGATCTTTGCCACGGCAGATTGCCCGCGACGGGTAGCGGCAGATAGTGCCTGTATGCCGATATCAGGCGTCAACCATCCTAGATGGGCAAGGTATTTAACCATTCCGGTGTTGCCCCGACTAGCAGCAAAACTAAGCAGCACCGGCTTGCTATTGTTAGACTTTGAGAAGTCAACACCCACCAGAGAAAGGGCCCGCAAAATTTTGACACTCCCAGATTGACCGAGTGATGCGGCTAGAAGGCCATCATCATTGGAAATGTTCATCCCTAGGCTGATCAATGCTTTTGCTGTGGAATGATATCCCCGCATCGCTGCTTGGGGTAGTGCGACATCTTTGACCCTCTCGCAGAAATCTTTATGGGAGAGCAGAAGCTTCACCGTTCTGGCGTTCCCAGACCCCACAGCTAGGTGCAGAGCCCTATCGGATATTTCAAACTTAGAGTCAATCAGGAACTGGACAACGGCCGTGCGGCCGTTTTTAGCTGCGATCTCCAAGGCGGATCCCCAAACTGGTGGTATCTCTTCATGTTTCTCAAGGCAGTTAAAAAGCAATGCCACAGTCGAGAGATGCCCGTTCTTACACGCCCAGTCCAGTGCAGTTGTGCCACGGTGGTTCGCTTCCAAGAAAGGATCAGCGCCGGCATCAAGGAGGATCTGTACGACGCGATCTGCTCCCTTGTACGCAGCATTGTGCAAGGCAGTCAATCCCCGCTTATCCTGTGCGTTGACCGTTGCTCCGGTAGAGATAAGAAACTCTACGAGCGACCGGTTTCCGCGACGAGAAGCTGCAGCTAACGGAGTGATCCCACGACGATTCTTGAGGTGGATATCAACACCCCTGGAATAGAGGCTTTTGGTCAATCGGAGGTCACCTCGTTGTGCAGCTAAATGAATGATCGTGTTCCCGCTCCATGTTCCTTGTCTCCGGAATTCTTTCTTCGGGAGAATTCCCTCCAGGCCATGGACCCCTTGAAGAAGTGCATAACATGCTTCCGGCTCAAGATGTCCTGCTATTGTAATAAGTATTTCGTTCGGAAGGAGTGCTCTCATCGCGTTGTGCTGAACCATTGTGAGTCATCTTCGTGAAGCAAAGATCTGCTCCCCGCCTAATTCGAAAAGTTAGTCATAATAGTAACTAACTAAGTTAGTTAACTTAAGTTAGTTACTTATTATAATTTACTTAGTAATCAAAATTATAATTATCACTTATTCTTCTATCTCGAAATTTACCTTCATTTTCACCTTAATATTAACTTGAGATAGGGGGTCTACTATATTACCTTGCTATAGAATACCTGTCCAACTCTCACTACAACCTTATATTACTCTCACTACAACCTTTCATTTATGTTACTCTCACTATAACTTTATTTCCTTTATCTTATAACTAGAAAATTGGCACTTCTTATTTCTTAAACTCTCACTTTATCCTTCCGATCATCTTCCGAACTCTTATATTACCTTTCCAGAGCTCCTATCTCGCCATTATGGCACTAGCTCGCGCTCGTCGTGTGCTCGCTCAATTAGTCTTATTCTAGATATGTCTATGGATGACCACCAAATTATGTAGATGTTACGCGCTCTTGAACTAAGGCCTTAGCGGTAGGGCCAGGGAAGAGTAATCAAGTGTGTATTAGTCAAGCTGATTTCGAGAATGACTGGAAGGTTACTCCTTGTTGATGTTGTTCCTTGTTCTTTTATGTTTACTGTTTTTTTCCTTAACACTCCATTGACTCTATAAAGTGCAACTAATATTCCTGCGCAATCAGCAGGATAATAACTTTCGCCTCATATTTGCCGATGCACATTTTATCTCTAGACCTCGATATTGAGTTTGTTTACGAGGAACAAGTTATCTGGAGTTTATGAGTTTATCATAACACAACAACAATCAATGATCATGAGTCTCAACAGCGTGGAAAATTGCTATAATAGACCCACCTATCTCCTAAACTATAAATCTGCGGGTTGTCTCTAGCACAGATGTGATCAGACACGTCCCTGGGAGCCGCTGAAGGCTTGTACCTGTATGACAAACTCCTCGTGTTCGGTTCTTGGGATCTGAGTCCACGAGCCAGTTGGAAATGGTGACAGTTCATCTCCGGTCAGCACAGCTTGCTGCATCGATTTTGGTGTAAATCATTGTCAGGTGAGATTCCATTGTACGGACTTAACCCCCCATCCCCATCAATTGACTTATCTTTTACCTGGAAACGGCAACCCGGTTCATCAGCCCATTATTCCCTTGGCAATTGAGCAGTGAGGTTCCTCCCTCCAGACCAAGAATTCACGTCTTCGGTCCCCAAAAATAGTGCCTCGGGCATGCTTTCCCTAATAACAATCTCCAACCCTCATAGTGAGAAAATAGGCCGGCCGTGAACGAACTATTGAATCCGAGTTCGGATGAAAGACTGAATCGGGACGAACGACGGTCCTACCTTGCGCCTCCTTTTTTTCGGACTGTTTCGCTGTTCCGACCAGATGCTTGAGCTTAGGGTACTAAGACACTGCTTCGTTGCAAACTTGCATGAGGTCTTCCATTGCTGTCTCACATGCGATCTATCTCACGCTCTCCTGTTGTATGGCTTATAGCACGGTTTTCATGGATGTCGGACAAGATAGACCTACGACAGGTCCCAAAACTCAGGTGCCTTGTGTTGACCCGTGAGCAAACCAACCAGGCCGATGCAGGAGATGTCGAAACAACCCAGGGGCTCTATCGGTCGAGTATTTCCCGCATGGGACATATCCACTCTGGAACTTCCCACGCGAGCTGGAGCGGAATCGCCCGTTAGTGTATGGGGTAAAGCATACTCCGTATTGTAGCACCATTGGTCTCAGAATCCGACCTAGGGTCTAGCAAGCTCTAGCAGAGGTTATTAGCTTTAGCGACAAGCCTCACTTGGCACTTTAAACCCAGAAAGGCACGCCCTGGGAGAAGGGTGGGGGGCGCCGCTGGATTGGGTTAGTCGTGGGTGAGCGACTGGCTTCCTTAGCAACTGCTGAAACGGCGCGACAGGTAAGAAAGACGGGGCAAGAAAGCAAGGAACAAGCCACACCGCTAGACGGTGGCACAATGCAACGTTGTACAAACCCAAATGGCTATTGCACGCCAGCGCACCCCGCAAGTATCATGCTACCCTGAGAACAAAAAAAGGGAACTACGAGAACGAACCACCGCCAGACGTGAAGACTTCCGGCTGGGGTCTTTGGAAATCATTGGGTGTTCTTCGGATGCCAAGTCATGCTTATGGCGGAGCCTATTCGCCGGTATTTTTAGAGGGCGCCTTAGCCTGCAAACAAACCCATCGTGCGACACCAGTGGGCGAGGTTTTCGCCCACTGGTTTCCACGAACGTTGACATCTACCTCATGAAACAGGGTGTGAGTAATTCACGCGAAACACATCACATCCCCTGGGGCCCCAGCTAGTTCGGTCTCTCTGGACGGTGGAAAAATCAAATAGAGCGAGTGGTAGGGTGGGAGGTAGCCAATACCCCATCTGGTCCTCCCCTAGCCTCCTCCCATGCAGCAGTTTGCTGGTTCTTGGAGGTGGATGCAAGCCTTGCCCGTCTTTCGCATCGGCTACACAGGCACGAGAACTGGCGCGATGCAGGAACAAAATCTGCCCCATCGCCAGCGCCGGGGCCAGGACGGTCTTCACTAGTCAGGAAGGCCTAGGCGACCCCACTCCGAGGCATTTTAAGTGTGAAGGGTTCGTCCGTCTGGACCGGTGGGGCTAAGAGGATTGCCCGGGGTCGTGAAGTGCTTTCAATTGAGTAGTTCCAATGCAGCTGATACAGCATGTACACAAGTCCACACAAACCAAGGCCAGCTCCAGCCGGGCTCCGCATCTGCAGGGTGGGAAAGCCTGTTTGCCGCCAGCGTCTCGCCCTGAGACTGCGCGTTAGAGACTGGCCAGGGCCAGTCTTCAGGTTCCCCACGGCCGTCTGACGGCAACAGAACCATGTTTTGTCATTACTGCGACTGCCGCCCTGTGCTTTTTATGTTGATTAATGTTTAAATCATTGATCATCGTGGTGAAGGCCGTCAGTGGAGCACGCGTAACGCCGGGCAGCTTTGCAATGACCCAATCAGCACGCTTCGCGCCCGTCCATTGACCTACCGAGCCGCCCAAAGTAATGAAGAAGGCGGCAGGATTAAGTCCCTGACCTAATCCCGAGTCCTAGCAATGCCCTTTTCTTTTTCCCGACCTTTCCCTTTGGACCAGGGGTAAACAAACACAGACCGGAGAAAGACCGCAACTAGGGGTCGTGTGGCGGCGACTATGAGTCCAGATTTTGGGTAGCGTCGGAGGGAACGGAGCCATGAAGTCGTTGAACGCACTTGGCTGGTCTTGATTCGCGCCAAGCTGGAGCCAACAGGCCGAGGATTTCACCAGCATTGATGTGGGCTCGACCCTGGCCTTGTCGGTCGAGCCGGCATCTGGAGAATAAGCCCCGCAAGTGGGGCCCGCGAAAAGACCATGTCCCTCGGAAAAGAGGGCGCCGATCGTGGCCAGAATCTGTATTGATGAAGTCAAGCATCGGCATTGAGATGTCCTGGAGGGTGGGATGAATGCCGTATAGAAGCATCAGCATCCGGGCTTCAGTATCCACTATGCGCCTTGGTCCTGCAGCGCATGTTGCTCTGGCGCCAGTCTTTCGGTTGTCGACCTTCTCTCAGGGACGAAAGAAAAAGCATGGGATAGCCTCCATTCAGGGTTCCCAGGGACAAAGGGTCTGGATGTATGGGCTATTTTTACCATCCCCAGATCCTGCCCATTGGTCCGCGGACGAGCAAGTTAGCCATTCAGCAAGGAGAACAGAGCCCGTCGCTAGACGGATCCCACCAGCTCCGGGCTTCACTGGGTCGATTTGTTTGAGGTCGGCGCTAGACCCTGCAACTCTGCTGCAGTGGTTGCAGTTCCTGCACCAGAGCCCCGCCCCATTCATGCTGAAGCCCAACCTTGCCTGCTTTCGGGATGGCCCCCGTTTCATGGGGCCCTCAAGCGCCGTGCCGATTGGAGGGCTGGAGCGCCCTCTGTGACGGGATGTCTTACCATTTGTCCGTACTATCCATTCCATGCTATGATGGGCCCAGGAGAAGTATCCAGCAGGTGTTGCCGGAGCTGCAAGCCATCCGCGAACAGGGGACCAGGGACTGGTTTGTGGAAGGAGCAGAGATGGTGGTATCGTTCGTCGCGTGGTGGGGAGTGTCGTCTTAAAAGGAAGCCTCCCCCAGGCAAACAAGCAAGTAGAAAGTAGGCTTCTCCATTGTTCTTTGTTCTTGTTTTCTTGTTGGCCCTCTTCTGTCCTTCTTTCTCCAGCTCCGCTTCGGACTTAGTACTAAACACGCTCGTTCAAGGATTCCATTCCTTGTCGCACTCGCTTTACCCAGGATCGACTTGATCTGGGATATTGGACCCCCATTCACTCGCTCCTTCGGATTGTTGCTGGTCTGCAATCTCCAATAGAAATAGACCCTCGTCTTGCTCTTGGTCCTATTTCCCCCTCCGTCTATTCTTCCTCTACATCCAACTTGATCGCTCGTTGACAGAACCCTTCCACCATGAGGGCTGTTACTTCGTTCGCCTTCCTTTCGCTCCTGGCTTCGGCTCAGGCTACTACTGGGGTATGTTTACGGGTCTTTGATGCCTCTAGCAACGCCATATCAGGGTGGTGTTGTGTTGTTGGTTTGATTCTAATGGCCATGCAATCTAGTACTGGGGCTCGGAGAAGTGCTACTCCAGCCCAGGGCGCTCCTCCAACAAGTGTAACGACAACCAACAGAAGGGCTTCGACTGGTCGGACCTTTCCACTGGCTCGTTCTCATCCTACGGTGGCTTCGACTTCTCTGGCTTCACCTGCAGCAACAGCTTCGGTGGTGCCAGCCACTCCAAGCGTGGGGGTACGTTTTTCTTACCTCCCCAACATCAGAGGTGATATGCTAACTTCGCATCCTGCAGGAGAAATGCATCACTGGTACGGCTGCAAAGAGTGGAAGCTCTTCCTCTTCTTCCTCGAGCTCGCATAGTGGCTCTAGTTCTTCCAGCAGTGGCTCCTCCAGCTCGGGCTCGTCATCTCCTTCGTTCTCGTGCGGCTCAGAGGAGAGCGGCTTCTCGGTCACTCATTTCCACATCTCGACCGACAAGGATACCGATATGAACATTATCTACAGTATGCCGGACGGCTCTTCCTGCCGCAACACTGCCTCTTGCTCCTCCGCTGGAACCACCGTTACTAACGACCAGTGCGGTGGTGCTACTTCGGTCTCTTTCGAGCTGCCTGACAACAGCGACCACGACAGCTGCGAATTCGGTATCTACAGCGTTGGCTTCGACTGCACTCCTGGAACTACGTCGGCCCTGCCTTCGGTCCCGGCCTCCACCGGCAGTGTTTCCACTGCTCCTTCGGTGCCTTCTGCCTCCAGCCCTGTGGGCTCTACCTTGCCTGGTGTGCCTTCTCCCTCGGTGCCTTCCGGGACAACGCCCACTGCTGGCATTACTCCTGGTGCGAGCACCCCGCCCAAGTGGACTACCTCCACTGTGTACATCACCAGCGAGATCACGGTCACCAGCTGTGCGCCTACGATCACCAACTGCCCTGCTGATTCTACCACCGTGATCACCTCAACCATTGCCGTCTCGACCACTGTGTGCCCTGTGACCGAGACGACTCCCGCTGCTGGCGGTTCCACCCCGGCTGCGTCCATTCCTGCTGGATCTACTCCTACCGTGACTGGCCCGAGCGGATCTACTCCTACTGACTCTACTCCTGCTGGCCCTAGTGGCAGCTCGCCCGTTACCGCTCCTGCTCCTAGTGGCAGCTCCCCTCCCAGCTCGCCCTCTGGATCGGTTCCTGGGGACTCCACTGTTACTGTCGTGACCTACACTACCACCACCGAGTGCCCTGTTACCAGCACTATCAGCTCTGGCTCGTCCTCGACCGTCATCACCACCAACACTATCTCCACCGTTACTTTGACCTCGACCTCGACCGTCTGCACCAAATGCACGGCTGGCGCGACTACAGTCCCCAGCGCCGGTGAGACTACTCCCACTCTCCCTGGTGCCACCACCAGTCCGTCTGGGTCTGTCCCTGGCGCTGGCGAGTCGAGCCCGGCCCCCTCTGGCACGGTTCCTACCAGCTCTGTCCCCACAGGTGTTAGCGCTGGCTCGACCTCGGTGCCTCCTGAGGATTCCACCACTGTGGTCACCACTTACGAGACTGTTACCACCTGCCCCGTGACCCACACCGTGACCACCGGTGGTTCCACCATTGTCGCTACCACCAGCACCGAGTCCACCATCACCGTCACCTCAACTGCCACCATCTGCACCAAGTGCACTGCTGGTGCCACCGGCACTGCCCCTGTTGGTTCTGGCGTGACTGGAACCTCGCCTGCCTCCAGCCCTGTCCCGACCTCCTCTTGCCCCAACGTGGTGCCCCAGTGCATCAACACCTGGCTCAGCCTGGTTCCCAAGTGTACCTCCAACAGCGATGCCGCGTGCTTCTGCCCCAACAAGGACTTCACTGACAAGGTCATCTCTTGTGTCCAGGCCTGGGGTGCCTCCACGGAGGAGATCCAGAATGCTCTGTCCTACTTCACTGGTATTTGCGCTTCCTGGGTTGACACCAACCCTGGCATCGTGACTGCCATCCCCTCCACCATCACCCTGGTGCCCACCATTGTCCCTACCGTGCCCAGCGGTGCCAGCGGTGCCACTGCCAGTGCTGGCATGTCCTCCCCGGCTGTCACCTCCGCCCCCGCGGCCCCCTGCACGACCATCACCTACTCGACCTACACCGTCACCGTGCCCCAGGTCAGCTTCGTCACCACGACTGCTCAGGGCTCGACTCCGACTGTTGGCCTGGTGCCCGCCGGTCCCAGCGGTGCTTCTCCTGCCAACACTGGCAAGATCCCCTCCCCGGCCGCTGCCTTGTCGTCCTGGTCGTCCTGGGTCACCGCTGCCGTGAGCTCTACTCCCTATGTCAGTGCCAGTCCCACTGCCAGCACCACACCTGTCTTCAACTCGGCCTCGACCGTGTCGATCACCTCCAGCCTCCTTCTGGGCTCCGTGGCTGCCTTCCTTGGCTTGATGCTGTAAAAGTGCCATGCCACACCATCTCATTCATTCTCAGTCTGATCTCTTTGCCGGGCAATGTACGCCGAAATCTGATATTCGGTTCTATGGCTATTTTTTTTTTTATCAATGTGCAAACAAGCGCGCTATTTTCCTTTCTGACTTGTTCACGTGCCTTCACGACTTCAATGTTTTGTTGACGCTCGCACCGTTGTGCTTCAGCCGAGTGCACGACGTGGGCCGTGAATGGATTTGAATGCCCACCACGAGGGAATTTGATTCTGTATTTTAATATTCACTCCCTAATGGATGCGATAGACCTCGTGGATTTCTGATTGATTGGGCTGCATGTAAATCTAAAACCACCTAGAATCGCTTGGTAGATCTAGCCATCTGACCAGCTCGCCCGCTAGCTTTCCTCTTTCCCATCAGCTCCGTTTTCCCTTCCCCCCCTCAATCTTGATATATGCAGCGTAGCAGCATTTGTGTACGCCCGCCAGCCGTAGTACACAAGGCTGTACTTTTGCAACAGCGAGCTGAACCTGGGAGGGAAGACGTTTTGGTGTTTTCATGGATTTTGCTATCGTGCGTCTCATCCGTTGCCAGCCTCAACTCCGTTCCTGGCATTCCGAGGAAGCTGACACGGGGATATGCCAATATTACGTCCATGGCGTGTCTCGGCTTCTGGAGCGTAGACCTTCTGACCACAACCCGGATTCTCAAGGCCCAGTGAACTACATCTCTTGTGGCTCTCGGTGGCCCAACTGTAAGCGACGTCCCTGGCAAAGTTGGCGACTGCAGAGGAATCCCGACACCTTGCTGGATGCCACTCTGGATAGAGTTTAACCCCACCAATCCCGTACATTAATATTGCTATTGTGATCGATAGCTATTTCTGCATTATTGGCTTCGAGCTGCACTTACAAAGCCGTGTCGCATTTATCTGATCTATCCGGCCGTTCAATCGATGGCGTTGCGGGTTAGCTGCATCCACGCCAAGACTGTATCTCTCCAGCGGGGTCACAGACCAACTTCAATTTATGCGGGGAGCGCTAGCATTGGCGCCGACATGTCCTTTTCAGACCCTCTTATGTCTATGATCTATCGCTCCTTGCCATGTCACAATCCGTGCATAGTCTTGCGTCTCTGGGTTTACAACTATTTGACGATTGCTGCAGGAATACTCCCCGAACGAGAGTCAAAGCGAGATTGTTCTCTGCTCATTGATTGGCTCTTTCCGAGTCGATCGTGCTGCTGCATCACTACTCTAGTTATTTTGGTGGACTATGGGGTGAGCTCACGCCGATTGAAATGGCATTAGATTACCTTGCCGGCGCTATTCTATCATGGCAGGTCGTATCGATGGGTCGGTCCTCTTACCCCATACGAAGTCAGCCATCACCTTGGATGTATGAATAGGATGAGGACAGACGCATGGGCTCACAGAGAACCCAACATTATGCAAAGACCGTTCTAGCTAGCTGCAACCTGTACGGTTCTGCGGGCTAATGGTCATCCAGAGTAATAAAAAAAGAAGAAAAGTGAAAAATCTTGATTCGCACTTGAAAGGCCAACTCGGACACTGAACAATGCCTCTTACCGGCTATCAAACACCGCTAAGGTCATGACTGCTAGAATTAAGCACCCTTACTATGGCATACAAGATCGCCTACGCCTATAGCTTGAAGTCAAGGCTATGTCTAGTGAGTGGATTGGGGGTTCGATCAACGGGTATCTATCTTATCTGGGCTCTTTTCTATAGCGCAAGTAGAACAGCTCCATTGGACCCTGAATGCACTATCGGGAAATAGTCTCTCTTAGCGGTCTTTTTCTGCTCCGAGCTTGCACTGTTCAGGTCCTCACCATAAAGCGCCAGCAAATCTTATCCCCCGAACGAGTGACTCGCTAAGTGGCGCAGTCTGTACAGGTTTGCTTGTCAGGGGAGCAACCTATTATTTAGGCAATTAATCGGTGGAGATTTGATATAGATTGAGAATAAGATACAATGGAACCCTCAGATAAACAGATGGATCCGCCGTGGGCGCAGTCGGCTCCCTAGTTTAACCGCAAATCTACTCCGTACTCCGGAGTCGACACCTCGTTTTGGCGGCAATTGAGCACTATTCGTTTCATGACACAGTTCACTCAGCACTACTATTACTGTACTACTTGCTCTTACCGCCCTCTAGTGCGGAAGGCCCTAAATCGGGAGATGAAACGTCCAGGCGCCTCATCAAATGCCGTCTTTGAACATTCTCGCCCACTGAGCGGTTTATATATTTCTAGGTAGCAGTAACTGAAGCACAAGGCAGAATCACATGATACCAAGGTCACCTGAGACTTCTCTATGCAAAACGGCCTCCGACCGAGGCAGAAAGGAGGGTGATGGGACACATGTAGTTTCTCGCATATCACAGTGCCATAGGTCACATTGTCGTCATGCCGACCATCTCTCTATTGAAAAACCAAGAGAGATCGACCGCTAAACTCGAATTTGTCAGGATAGGGATTTGGGACAGCGTGAGTGTATGTGGAAGGGTTCTGTTTTCCATTTTGACCGTTTGCTCGGTGCGCACCGATCCCAAAGCTTCGAAATCGCTAGCGCCATCCTGGAGGGCTAGCCCGGCTCGTGGATAAGAATGTGCTCCGTATGGTCAAGGATATTCATACCCAGGGGGGCAACTACTGACGGTAGACGGTAAGCATTAGTAGCGTGCTGCAGAAGAACGCCGCTAGAGGGCCAAGCCCCTTGTTTGCAGACATGTAGAAACGAGTGGGATTGGACCATGAATATCGCTTTCAATACTCCATACAGGAAGCTTTTTATTTCCCTCGTCTATCGCGGCAGCATGGGTTTTATTTGGCATTCATATCCCTCGGTCCAAGCTATCGCCTTCGGCCCCCGAAAAAAGCAATATACCACTGGATCCGGTGACTTTACCCCGACGGGGCCGCTTTTCTTTTGCGTGTATCGCACTGACAACTCCGGGCGGGCCAGCTCAGACCTAGCGGGAAATCTCCGGATCATATAGATGGGCGTGAAGCCATCAAAGCCTCAAGACCCAAAGCGGGGGGTCCAGCCGACCGAGCGGATTACCCCGGGGCGAGATTCGACCCGGTCGGGTGGATCCGTAGACAAGGGGGGGCATCGTAAAGGATGAACAGCGTTGTATCTACTTCCTTGAAGTAGCTTAGTCTTGTGGCGCCGCACCCCATTTCGGCTGGCTGGGGCATCGGGCCACTTCTTCCGGACCCGCGAACAGCATCCACAGCGATCATGATCATCGGTAGCGTGCATGAACCGGTCAACATGGGACAGGTTGACAGGTTGACAGATTGACAGATTGACAGAGATTTCTCCTGGGCACTCAATTATCGAAGCCTCCTTGCAAGCAGTGACTAGTTCCGAGGTTTGCGGTCAGTCGGAGATCGGCCCGCTTATCTCGGCTGTATTCTGTGAGCCGATTCTTCTCCGCAACCATGCAGCATTGATAAGCTCGAGGCCCGCGATAGGCTGGCGGCACTCGAGCTGCAGGCGATGAGGGAGTGGCTGTCAGCCTTCCACGCGATTCATCACGTCTGGCCTCTCGTCGCCATCTGATTTCCCCAGGGGGAAAGCCCGCGCGGGCTGATGCCGGACGATTTGGACGCCAACAAGTACGGACCCGCTCCCTTCTTCTCGAAACCTGCCCGAAGTCAATGCGCTATCCACACTATCGACTGGCGTCGGAGCTCCCCTTGCGGGGGTTCGAGATAAGCATCGCACTCGGCCAGTAGGCGTCCAGTGCGCCTCAAGACCACAGTGCTGAACAATGTAGACCGTTGGATCAGGGGGGTCCAACCAATCAACTTGATCATGGACAATTCACGCCACCCTTTGTGAAGTGCCATTTCATTAAACTGGCCGGTTTATAGTACCGTGGTCCTCCGTCATCACCCTCTGCAAGACCTCTATACTCCCTCTCCATTCCTCCATCTCATTCCCCGTCCTTTCTACCTCCTCTTCTCCTCTTCTCCTCTTCTCCTTCTCCATGAGCCATGCTCCGATCATCATGGCCCACCCCCACGACTACGCCTCCGTCTGGTGGCCCGAGGACAGAATCAAGGCCGCCCTCGACACCAAGTACATCGTCAGCCGCCTGCGACCTGAACATGTCCCTCAGTTGTTCGACCTCCCCCGCTGGGGTGAGGGCCTAACCAGCGAGACGTACATGGAATGGATTCTCCTCAAAGCGGGCCGCCTCTTCTTGATTCTCGATGCCATTGGCATCCCGGACCGCATTTTTGCGCTCGTGGATGAGTCGTGTGATGATGACGATCTGCCGATCGCCGAGCAGAACGTGGACCGGCTGTGTCTCTCGCCGCATGGAAATGATCTCGCGCTCGATACCAAATTCTTCCACACGCAATGGCGGTACCTGGTTCGTGGGATTGGCGAAGGTGAACATATCACGTATACGCAAAATGAGGGTGTGCCGGTAGAAGTCCTCCGCACCACGACCAGCAGCGGCGTCCAGGGTCGGGATGATACCGCCGATAAAGTCGTTCTCGCTGGCGCAGTATGTCGCGTCTTCCTGCGCACCCAGATCCAAGTCGGCGGCGCCCCGCATTTCTTTTCCCAGGATGAAGTGCTCGAGGAAATCCGAGCGCTGCGCAAGATGGCCCATCAGCATGTCATCTCAATCTATGCCTCCTACTTCGTCGACGACACGGTCTGCGCTCTCTTCACCGGCGCCGAGACCGACCGCACGCTGCACAGCTTCCTGACCGACGAGCCACCGACCTTCAAACGCCAGCCCAAAGAATTCCGCCGCCAGACCTTGATCACTTGGCCGCACTGCCTCGCCTCGGCTCTCACGTGGATGCATGCCCACGGCCACCCCCATGCCGCGATCCGGCCCTCCAATATCCTCGTCGACCCCAATTTCCACATCTACCTGGGTCAATTCCAAGCCCTGGACTCGCTCCTGGCACCACCACGCGTCAACGACCTCGAGGCATATCAGTACTCCGCACCCGAGCGCTGGGTCCGCACCGCAGCGCCCACCATCCAGCCCGTCGCCCCCAGTAAAATGCTGCTCCCCTCCGGCGGCCGCACAGGACGGCGCAAGAAGCCGTCCAGGCTAGCCCTAACCACCCTCGCCGAGAGCCCGCCACCATCACCCGACTTTCCACGCCCCGACTCCGCCGCCTCAAAGGGCACAATGATCCGCATCGGGCTCCCAGGCTCGCCCTCACGATTCTCATTCGCCTTCTCCTCCTCCTCTTCCTCCGCCGCATCCTCCTCCGCCGCATCTTCCTCTGGCTACGCCGAAAGAAACAGAGCCAGCACCTTGCGACATCACCGCAGCGCGATCTGGTCCCGGTCTAAAGCCCTACTCGCGACACCCTCAATAACATCCTCCAACTCGTCGTCCTCCTCCTCAGCCGCCTCCACCATCTCCCTCAACTCCTCAACCCCCACCCGCACAAGCGGCTTCAACCCCTCCCTCGCTCCCTCCCAATCCTCATCCCAATCCCAATCCTTCCACACCTGGCACTCCACCCAAACCAACCCCACAGCCTCAGACCTCTTCTCCCTCGCCGCCATCATCCTCGACATCTTCACGCACCTCTGCAAACGCTCCCTCTCCTCTTTCGCCTCGCACCGCTCCGCCCGCAACCGCTCCGCCGGCCGCGGCGGCGGCATGGCCGACGCCTCCTTCCACCTCTCCCGCAACGCGGTGCAGGTGCAGTCATGGATCGCCCTGTTAGAGGGCGATGCGCTTAAGCGCTGCCGCCGCGACCGCGGCAGCGACCGCGTGTTCCATGCCGTGCCGCGCATGTTGATGGTTCTGCGGGCGATGCTGGCCGCGGAGCCGGAGAAGAGGCCGCTGGCACGGCGGGTGACGAAGTGCTTTGCGTCGGCTATTCGGGAGATCCCTGTCAAGAGTGGAGAGGGGGTAACGCTGCATTGCTCGCCCGTTGAGAAGGAGGAGAGGAGGAGGCGGAAGGCGGAGGAGAGGAAGGCGGAGGCGACGAGGGTTGCAGAGCAACAACAGCAGCAGCAGCAGCAGGAGAGGGCCAAGGTGGATGCGAAGAAGGTCGAGGTCGAGGACCAGGACCAGGACCAGGACCCTGTTCTTGATTCCTCATCCGTGTCTGAATTTGACTTTGGGTTCTCGGATGCGGCGAGTGATAGCGAGACCAACGACGAACAGGATGACCAGGATGTGGATGATCGGGCCATCCTGGAGGAGGAGGTGCCGATCCACGTGGACCGGGTGTCGCCGCAGCTATCGCTGCCGGATCTCGATGTGCATATTGGCGGGATAGAAGGCTTGACCTTCCGGGAAAACTGATGGGGTTTTTGGGGAGGGTGGGGGGTTGCTTTTGCGCTTTCGGATTGTAATTGATAGAGCGAGCCCCTCTCGTCAGGGGGGTGGATTGGCGCATTGTGCTTGTATGTATACCTTGGAACGGTTTGCACGGATGAACGACTGGACGAGATATTTCATCCCAGAGGAGGACTGTCTTCAACAATAAGTTTTGTTTGTGTATATGCTGAATCGTGGGGACTCGAAGCCTTGGCACACGGGGAAAGCAGTTAATCAAATACGGGAAGAATGGGATGCGGGGGGAGGGGGGGGGTGCCTTCGAACTACCAGTTCAAACGTGATTATTCATATAATTTGAATTGCTCCAGATACTGGATGTATCATGTACCTCTAACAGAGCCTCCTGTCTATCCCCGTAGTTGCAAGAATGCATATTGATACAGTTTGCGGCACTCACTGCACCGGCATGCGTGACTCCGACCTCGTTCCCTCCATTCACAGCCAGAAGGCCAAGGCTCCCGCGCCCACGGAGAGCAGCATGGAAATCGTCAGCAGCTGCCCGGAGGCCGTGCTACCATGCATCATTACGGCGCCGGCGGCGTTCTTGGTGGAGGTAGAGCTGGCACTGGCACCAGAGGCAGTAGAGTCCGTGCCTGACGCCTTCGCACCAGTGGTCGAGGACCCCGTCGTGTAGGTCTGTCCCAGGGTTGGCAGAGGCGAGCTTGGGTCAACTGCCCAGCCGCCAGAGGTCGAGGCAGGGCACTCCGGGGCCACAATGCTGGCAGTCTCTTTCTTGTAGTTGGAAAGGGCAACTCCCGTCGGGTTCAGGGTAGCCCATTGGGACTTGAGGTTGTCAAAATCCGGTGACACCGGGGTCGGGGTACCCTTGCGAGTGTAGCCATCCACAACAATGGTGTTGGTGGCACCCGTCACCGAGGGACCATAGCTGATCAAGCCGTAGTCGTTGACTTCCTCAATCCACTCGTAGATGATGGCACCCGACCAAGTGCCGGACATTCTGGAGCCAAAGATAGAGGCCTGGTCGTCGAAGGTACGAGGAGCCGGGGTGTTGCAGCCGGTCTCGGAAAAGAAGATAGGAATGGGGTAGTCCGTCGCGTTCTTCTGCAGCATGTCGTAGCCCGAGACGTCATAGCTGGATTGGCCGCACCATTCATAGGCGTTCAGCGAGTAGAAGTCGAGGCGCTCCGACTCGTTCTTGGAGCACGCGAGATAGTTCTGAAGCATGGGGCGCAAGTCAGCGATGTCTGCAGCAGAATATCCGACGGGGATGGCACGGTAGCCCTTCTGGTCGCGGTACGCCTTGACGTCGCGGGCGGCGGCCAGAACGTAGGGAGCAGCGTGGGAGCCATTCGCAGTAGTCAGTACTTCGTTACCGACAAAGACACCGGCCGTATTGTCGAACTGCTGGAACTCATCGAAGACCTCCTTGAAGCGGTCGAGCTGGGTCTCGTTCCAGTGAGGGGATGTCTGTCATTGGCAGATTGTCAGCGCCGACGTATTCCCAGCGGTCGAATCAAAAATGCACGTACCTGTTCGATCTGGGTCGTGAAGGTGTCGAGATCGACGAAGAGATAGATGCCCGCGTCCGCAAAGGCCGACATGCAGCCCTTGTGGTCGCCTTGGGGATCGACGTGGTACACGCGGATGGCGTTGGCGCCCAACTCGGACATGCGCACGATATCCCGCTCGCACTGAGCGGTGTCGATTAGCGGATCGTCGGGAGTCAATTGATAGGCGACACCTACCAGCCCGGTTAGCGATCAGGGACTGTCCCGATAGTTCCGATTCAGCTGGGCAGTTCGATGTCTCCCGTAGACGTACCCTTGAGATAGTACTGGGTGCCATTCTCGTAAAAGAATTTGGATCCCACGGCCGAAATGGTTGGGATCGCGCCCACAGTCGCAGCCTGCAGGCCGGCCAGCAGCAGCGGGACCGCGGAGAGCGCGAGGGAAGACCGCATGGTCAATGATACACGATGATAAAGGGGGGTATCTCTGTAAGTCGTAACCGTCGTATAGAACTCCTGACTGTGAGAAAGAAAGGGAGAGAGAACTGCGCTGGACAATGAGAGGGACCGCGGGGCAGTCTCTGTCGATTTGGGGGGGGGAAGAACGACCGGGGTCAGCAACAAAAAGCTCGAAAGAAGTTGGCAGAGCCGAAGCCAATTCTTGGATATGAGACCTTGGCAACCGGTGTTCGCAGATTGCAGTGGCAGCGACTAGCGGACTAGCGCGATCATGGCCATTTTCCGGCCCCAGTCCACGACATGACAGGGGCCGCGCAGAAAGGGGTTGTGTTATCCGGGCGATACGTGGACAAGGAAATTAGCAATGGGAAAACCAGGCAATTGACTCGGTAAACCGGTCGATATAGCGGATAGAAAAGGGAAAAGATCAGCCATTGCATATGGAGCACGGATAGGGTGTACAAGAAGTCGAGTCGTGAGTATACGGCAGGTCACTTGAAACCGTTTTTAACGTTGGGCGGGAAGCCCCGACGGCCAATGCTTGTGTCTGGCTGCCGGTTGACCGCCTTTCTGTCTATCTCGATGATTGGCTTGGTTGGCCTCCATTGGAGTCCTCAGGCCTCACTCGTGCCTGGCACTCCGTTTGGTTCACTCGGCGAACCAGTCGAAACTGTCCCAGTGCAGCCCGTCCCTACCCCACCGCTGCTTTGCTGATGATCTGATTCCTTGATGGATCTTTGTTGAGGCATGGTTCAATACCTGTCGCTCACAATGCCTTAGCCCTAGTCTGAATCCACTTGGTGCCGATGGAGATGTCGAAGTCGCCCGCATGACATCGTGGTGCGGCCCAGTGGGGTTTGCAAATCTGTCTCATCATATGTCGTGCTGTCGTGATAGATAGACTACACCACAACGCTAAGTGACGGTAAAATTGGGCGCCAAAAACGGCTACTTCCATTTGACGCCATTTTAAGCGTCCTATTTAACAGTTTATAGTCATTGAAGCATCACGTGATTTGATTCGGCTCACTTAGACAGTGTGCTCGCGGCAGGTTGCACAACAGAGTGTGTCTGGTCGTGAATCTTAATCAATTACCAGGTGGGGAGAAAATTTCAGGTTGTTCAGAGCTAGCACGTATGTGTCAGATGAGAATATAAGCTTCATGCTTCCCCTGTATCACTAACGGATGCATTATCGAATTTGAGGATCAAGTCCACTTAGAAATCCAGTATTGAGAGCTACATTTGCGCCTCTCCCTCCATATCGTGATATACCTGATTTTCCCACAGAATTTCCTATCTTTCAGCAGCCAACCATCAACTGGAATCCCATAAATACCTATCTATGTCCAACACGTTTCGAAGCAGGGCAGTCGATTGCAAGTCTAGTCATATCCTATTGTCATGCTCACCACATTCAAGCGATCCTCACTCGGGCTCGTTAAGTGGCAGTCTCGTCTCCTTGAAAAAGCGAAGTGCATCATCGCCAACCGCCAACAGAGCGAAAGACAGCGATAGACCCAACCCTAGCCAGAAATGAATGGCATTCGCGAAAATGACAGTCCCGTACAAGCCCAGCAGACAAAATTCCCGAGGAAGTGGTCTCCCCACTACTTCGACAATACGTGGCAGGAAACCAATACCCATCACAATGGAGGCCAGCAAGGCGATCTCGTACCCATGCCACTGTCCCGCTTGCAGATGCACAAAGCTGAGAAGGTAGAGAGCACAGAAAGTGAGGCCGGCGGCAATAGAAGAGACCGAACCTGTGCGAGCAAAATTTACTACGCCGGCAATGAAGGCCAACATTGAGAGGGCTAAAGCCGTGTTTGTCGAGTAATTTGGACCGAAAGGTTTGGGGCGACCTGTACGCGCGTACTCGATGGCCGCTGTTACTGCGAAAATGGAACCCATCACGGCGTGTACTTGGATGGGATTTTCGTCGGACTGTGAGAAGGCTCGGCTTAGCTTGTTAACTAATCAAGTATTGAGAGTTACATACCATTGTTCTTGTTGTTTAGAGGTGATAAGGAAGCAAGGAATATGATCCATAGTACATCGCTGGGGCTTGAAAACGTGAGACGCTAAGGAAATAGACAGTCACGTTTATCTTCGGCAGTGGGCGCGGCCTAGGCTATTAGAGAGATTCGACAAGCAAATTGAATCAGCCCAGGCTTGAGAATCATGTCGCGTACATAATCACTGCTATCTGTTGTTCGTCTCATTTGTTGCCAGTCTCGAAAGTAATCGGGCACTTCCAACAAGCTAACATAGGCTTTCTAAGGATTATGATCACTTGCAGAAACGAGCTCGTATCACATATCATGATATAAAATATTATAATTTATTCGAGTATGTCATACTTTTACCCAGCTATCTTAGGTTAATGAAAAGAAGCGGAAATAGGCAGTCCCGTAGGTATTTGGGCGGGTTGGTACACAACTGCGTACACTAACCACTACACTACAGTACTTCGATAAATTCACATTCTTGCGATAATCTCAGTTTTCATCTCTCATCGAGTCGACTCTGCGATATCATTCCGCTGAATTGCCTCCGATCGCAGATGACTACTCTTACTCCGTTGGGGTCGATGTGTTACCCTTGTTCGCGGGCCAGTGAGCGACCATATTTACCGTCTCCTATACTACGGAGTGAATATTCTACAGTATTCCCAGGAATGAAGCAAGGAAATGAGATATTAAAGAGGTCGTAAGCGACGAGAATCGAGGCACGGAACTCGACTCGCAAGAAGATAAACGCCTCGTGCTGTGACAATGTGGCCGGCCAGGGTCGACGGGAGCTAGCGAGCCAACTTCCTTGATCACGCCTTCCCACTCACAACTGGCCAAAGCATCAAATTGGACCACGACGATCATCCAACCCGGAGTCTGCCGAGTTCCACTTTTGCTGATTTTTTCTTGGTCTCCCCAATCCGCTCTCTGTGCTGCTGCCGCTTTTTGCAGCAAATCTCCAAAAACCGCCCCGGCCATGATGAATCCCCTCCCCCCATCACGGATCAAAAAGGGGGGACCACATGGTCGTACCAAAGGGAAAAGACGCATCTCCTTCGGATCGTGGACGACGGTGGACCAAACATTCCCGTGGTGTGTTCCATACGTCCTTCTCGCCGGGGGCTGCCAGAGAGCGACCCTGTCAATCTTGTGCTTGTTTAGCCTCGCCGATGGAGACCCCTGGCCCACTTTCTGGAGTCGGGAGGGATCACCCCCTCCTCTCAATCTTGATCGGGGCTCGAATGCTTCTGGAGTCCTCTCCGATCAGCGGTCAGATAGCGTTCACCGGCGCGAGACATCGTGCTCAACGCCATCCCGAAGGACCGGTCACAATTGGGCACCGGCGCGGTCTTAGGCCACGATGGGCTTGCCGATCGGGGAGGGGAAGGAGGCCTGGTCGCCCTGCTTTTGGGTATCAGAATCAATAGCCTGCCTATCAAATTGCAGGGTATTCCCCCCATACCTCAAGGGTCAAAGAAAGTAGCGAGAATCGGACCCTGGCCACGTTGGCCCAGTCCCCTCTGGTCACGTTGGAGAATGAGATGCATGGTCATGACTGGTCGCCTTGGGGCGTTGGGCACGGACGGGGACGGAGAGGAGGCCCAGACAGTCAGATAGCCCGTCCAGGGACGGAGATAGCTAGATGCGACATGGTGAGTGGAGGGCAGCAACTCGCTATCTCTAAGTATAGCAGCAGAAGGCGAAAAAGGATACGGTAGCAGACCACTGAAGTCACCACCACCAAGTAACACGAGCGACCACAAAGCCAAAGCAAGCCCAAGCTCACCCAAGGCCCTCCAGAAACCCTCCAAAGGCGTCCAGAACCGGCCAGACTCTGCCAGCGTCTCCACCAGCGCCATCCATTCCGAACACTCCCGCCAATCGCACCTCGCAGCCACCCACCGCGTTCGTCAGCAGTGGACCCGGAGCATTACGATCGACTGTGTCTACCCTGGACCGTGGCCACCTCGAGGACGTCCGTTCCCGAGGAGCCCTGAGCGATCTGCAATCTCCCGCTTCGTCCTCATGACGTTTCCGCAAAGGGGGCCCCTTTCTGAACTTCTCTTAGTTCAACTATAATAAAGTCCAGCCCGCATCCGGCCCTCCATCCCCACACACGTCTTTTTTACTTCTCCTCTCTTTTGCCAGTGCCCTCCCCGCGCGGAATCTACCTGATGATCGCATTCTGTCGATATGGTTCTCTAATCTGGCCGCCTCCTCATTATCGATCACAACGCCCCAACGGACTCTGATCACCTTCCCAAGGAAAGACCAAACACGCGAACGCCCCAGATAACATCCGAGATATACAACCCGCCCCTATCGGTGAACATGTCGAGCTACGAAACCACCTCCCCATTCCGGGTCTCGACCCACGATCTTCTTCAGCTGGAGCGCAATGAGGCTTTCCGCGCCATGCGAGAGCAGCTGCGCCGCCAGGATTGTGGCATGGAAAGGCCCAGCTTCTGCGCTACCCACCGCCACTCGTGCACCTCGGCCGACCAGGAGTCCTTCCGTCTGCACCGCGATATCATTCATACCCTCCTGGTACCTCTCTTCCTGATCAATCACCAAGCCGAGCAGGTCGCCGCCCGCGCACTGCCCAGCAAGAAGGGCGCCGAGCCCGAGCGCGCTTTCAAGGGCGAGGCGCGCAGTGCCTTTTCCTGGCTCTCGTGCATCCTGACCGAAGAGCACGACTGGTACCTGACCGCGCGGTGCCCGGCCTGTATCGTCCTGCATGTCCTCCACTCCGAGCCCACCATTCGGTTCGTGACGGTGGCGGCCCAGCTGGCCGGTCCCCGTTCCGGCTTTGTCTGCTGGCTCGCCGCCCTGGAGACTGCCGTCCGCGAGGACCCCTTCTGGGGCGACGCATTTTGGCCCGATATTGAGGATCGCGCGGCCCGTCTGACCGACGGAGTCCAGCAGCTGGTCTGCCAGTGCCATGAGCTCCGCACCACGCTCGACAGCCCAACCCTCGCCACCTCCACCCTTACCAAGGCGACCTCCGTCTGCGAACGGTCGGCTTCGATCTGCACCACCCCCCTCAAGCCTTCGAGCTTCGCTCGCAAACAAGTTCGACTCGGCCGCGAGGAGCAGCGCTACCGCTCATCGCTCGTGTGGAACGCATGGAACTGCTCGCAGGAAATGCATCAGCCGCTGGGTGGCAGCGCACCAACTCAGTCTCGCCGCCGTTCCTTAACTTCGTGAACGGCACGCAGCGATGATGGTCCTAGTTTTGTGACCATGACACCTTGCCTTCACGTGCTACCGGTGCCACTCATCGTGTTGCCACCATCACCCATCCGGAGACAGCCCCCCGCCGTATCTCCACCATCTTCCTCGAAAAGGACATTCAGCACCCTTTTCCAATGAACTGGAGATTGGTCGGAGGGCACCTTGAGGCAACACCCGCCCAAGTCTCTCGATACTCCAAACACATGGCGTCGAGCCGCGCCCGCGCCCTCCCCTTACGGACTTGCGACCGCCTTAGGCGACCGAGAGTGATTACGGAAGCAAGGAGATCCACGGGCCAACAACACCTTTCCCACGGCCATCCGCCGTGGGCATGCGACCACCACCCGGACTTAGGGGATACCGTTCACTGCCCGCAAAACGTCGGGCTGCGTGGACTGCATGGGTTGCGGTTGCACCGCGCAGGCCAGGCCCGTCCTACGGGCCAGAAGGGAGGTCGCCTTGCGCGCACCACCCACACCAACAATTATCGATTTAATTTGACGATCATGATTACCCTATTATAAGCACAATTCCAAGATAATGCTAATTATAATACCAATGTGACCCCTACACTCATTACCTCCGTACCTCGTAAGATGATTCACCGCGCTTCTGCCACCCCCTACTTTCCGTATAATTCTTCCTATCGCTGAATAGAGCCGTCTTCATCCGGCGGGTCTCACGTCGCGTGTCCCTTGTCTCCCACACCAGAGCTGACACGCGCTTTTTTTCTGCCGCCGGGAGGGGCAAGCCGGTACTCTATCTGAGACTCCTCGGTGGAGCCTGGGAGATAACCCTAGCCAGCAAACCAGATCGGAGCCCACGGGGGAAATTAGAACGGCCCAACGGCGTCAAATATCGTCACAGCTAATCTGGTGGTCTGGCCTCGTACGAGCTCGCTACAGTATTAAACCTCATTCGGCAAGGGCCAGGGAGGGGCCAGGCCGGTCATCTTGTTTCTATGTCCACTCGGTCGGACTGATCCGAGCGATGGGGAGGGGGGGGCATGGGCCAGCCATGGCCAGCCAGGGTCTGTGGAGGTGGGGGGAGGAGAGAACATTCCGGAAAAGACAAAACCTGTAAAGTTCACAGATTCCTGTGTTTCATCTATTCAGTAAACTCAGTATATTCAGACTCCGATAAGTGATTGGCGGCTCTCTAGCGGACACGCACCATGGTCACGGAACGACGGGGAACCAGGAAGTCGAGTCGACCTCTCGGAAAATGGATGCAGGCGAACCAACGAGGGCATGTCAATATCGGCTCATGGGAGCGGGCGGAGGATCAGAGGATCAGAGGATCAGAGGATCAGAGAACCAAAGTGTGCCGCCAGGGACTCCAGGCCTTTCATGGCGACCGCCAGTCTCTCTCTGGCTAGGAGAAGCAAAAAGCAGGGAAACCAAGGGTGGCCCAACCCCTCAGTGGCAAAAGAGGCCTGATCTGGCCGGAAACGTCTGAGAAGTGGTGGTGGCCAGCGGGTACAGTGGGGAGTGCCGTCCTGCGTGATGAGTACTGAGTACATCGACTCCCCGTGCCAGATGGGCCATATTGGGGGCGTGGGGAAGTAGCGACTACCTGCAGGCCGGGACTACCCACTCCGCCGGGGCCCGGCTCTGGGTGATGCCCGTCTCTGGTTCAGGTAATGAAGGGGGGTATTACGGAGAAGAGGTACTCTGTAACCACGACTCCCGGATCTCGACTTCATCAACTCGATGCACAACCTAGAATGATCGCCCAGCGGCGTGGGGCGGGCTGGCGGGCTGGCCAGTCTGGGCCAGCTGAGCCCAAGCCCGGCCAATCACGGGACGAGTCACGAGCCCCGCCTGGCGGCCATGGAGCGTCTAGACTTCGTCGACTTGGCCCGTTCGGCCTGCAACTGTTAGCCTGGCACATTTTTAGCACCCTCGAGTAAACAACTGGCCTCCTCGCGCGCCGAAGAAAAGAAAAATAACATCCGTAGCGAACCGGTGAAAAAGAAATTATACTCTCTCCATCCCTCCATGCAATAGCCCTCCCACCCCGATCCGTCGTGGACCCCCTGCAAACCTGGAACCGATGACTCGACGACTCGACACGGTCTAGAACCCGCCCGCCCTGCTCGCCTGCCCAAGCCTGGACTCTTCGCGTACCGAATACCTCGCCTCAAGCGGTGCGCACCATACTCGCCAGAAGTACCCGCTACTCGCCTCCATCCACCCATTCAAGCGCCCTCCCCTTACTCTCTTTCTCTCATTCTTCTACTCTCAACTCTCCCTCTTCTTTCCTTTCCTCCTCCCACCCCTCCTCATTCTCCAATTCCTACCACCGCCTCCCTCTACCGTCGACTTCCCCGCACCCTCCTCTGCTTCTCCAGCTGGCACTCCTCCCATGCCGTCCGCTGTTGCTCGTCGCCCTCCCGACCGGACAGACTGGACATATTGGATGAATTCACAGCAGTGCTATGGACGGTGTGGGCCAGCGACTGCCCTCCCACTCGATAGAACCATGCACACCTCCCGCTCCACCCTGAAAATCAATACCGACCGCCGCTTCTCCCACCAAACTCTACCCGACTCGTCCGCGCATGAAGGCACCAGTCCAGCCAAGCTCCGCCGACGAGCCTCCCAAGGCTCCCTGCGCACCAAGCCCTCCCCCGTCTCCCGCTTCCTGTCCAAAAGCAGTGTGGCTGTCTATTTCCCGTCCTGGGAACACCGCAGTGCCTCGCCCGGCTCGCCTTCCCGAGTGGAATCGCGGACCAGATCGGTCGATTCGCGCCTGCGACTGTCCAACACGGTGTCTCGCGGGCCGAGACCGTTAACAGCTCATTCCCACTCGTCTTCGTCTCCGCCGTGGAATTCCCCCCCATCCTCGTTCCAGTCGGATTACCCATCGACGCTGCCGCCGACCCCGCCGGATGACGATAGCCACGTTGCGTGGAACCCGCAGTCTGAGATGCTGTTGTTTGATCCCCATCCGCACCAGGAGCCGGGCTCTTCGGCCATGATGGATGAGGGCCGGGGGATGGACACTTCGCCGGCGACAGGTCCCTCTGACACCCTTGGCAGCCCTTCAGATGGCCTGTCTCGTGGATCGTCTAGTTCGAGCGGCAGCCCAGGTCCTCACGACGAAATGGATCTGCAGCAGGACGTGGGATCATGGCTGGACCATGGCATCAACGTGACTGGTAAGTGGGCTTCCTGCTCCGGGCTCCTGACAACGCCCTAATCCTTTTCTCTCTATGCCGTGGGGCTACTGCTAACAATCACATGACAGTTTCATCACTGGGAATCTCCAACCCACGAGGCGACGCCGTCAAGATTGTCTCGCAAACACTTCCTTATCCGCGGACTTACGACCAGTCCATTTCGCTGCCGAGAAATGAGAGCATCTTCAGCTCTATTGTCCAGTCTGTGCACAACCACCTACAACCTGGCCAGTCTCCGTATATCAACGTGACCCACGCGGTTCCCGAACAATTCAGCCTCTCCAACCTCCCCCACTCTCCTCCCAATACCCCCCGCTCTTCCACAGCTGCGGACGACTATTTCAACGCAACCGTCTTCTCCAGCGCTGCCGTTGTCGGAGCCTACCATGACTTCCGGGGGCCGATCCAACGGCAGATTACACATGCCCCAATGCCCATTGTCCCCCCGCACAGTGTCCATATCTCCGTTCTCGAGCGGTATCTCCCTCCACCATCCATACAGGAGTATCGGGATGTTTTCTCCGCCACCCGTCCCTCCTTCCTCGTCGATCGTCTCTGTGAGCTGTCTCCGGACGGCGGCTCGCTTCTTTTCGTTTACCCCACCAAGAAGGGTGCCTCCACCTTCAAATCCCAATACTTGGGCCCCCTCCTCGACCCGCTGCTCCGCCAGCTGGTTGTAGTCAATGGCCTGTCCGCCGATGTTGGCCGCTACCTGGGCAAGCTCTCCACCGTCTCCATGATGGACGACTTTGCCACCATGAAGGCCAACATTGCTGCCTTGTGTGAGGAGCTGAGCTCTTCATCGTCGCAGTTTCAGATCGCAGACGCTGGGAAGGCGAGCGCTAATCTGGACCGCAACCTCTGGGTGGAATGGTTTATTCATCAAGAGAAGGCCCGGATGAAGGATGTGCTCAGCCTGTATTGCCAGAATGGTCGCCGTGCGCCCGTGAACAAGGCCTTGGCCTCCGGCGGCTCCGGCGGCCTCATGGCTGATAAGGAGCCTACCTCGGCCATGCTGCTCAGTGAGATCTTCGACGGCATCCGCAAGCGTCGATATGGCGAGGACAACGAGCCTCGTGACGGCGTGGAGCTGGGTGTTTTCGTGATCCGACGATCTCGTTAAACACGCTTCCCTCCCCCTGATGACCATTACCACCACCTCAAACTATCTTCTCTTCTCTCACCCTCCCGTTACTCACATACCGTTTTTTTTTAAAAGCAAAGCAAAAATGGTCTCTTTTCACCCTGGGCAGCCTCCGGTGTGAGGCTGCGACGAACATCATATGGGACCCTAGCCGGTTGTCCCCCGGAGTTGGTCTCTCGGTTTTTTTCCTTTTTATTATTATTATTATTCTCAGCCCGTGATTTGCCCATCCCCCCCGGTCCCCCTCTCTGCATTTTGCCTCTGGCTGGATGGAAACGAACGTGAATACCCATGATGTTGGTTTTTTTTTTTTTTTTTTCTTCTTGGCGAATCAAGAATTGATGATTGTGTTGTGGATGGAATTCTTGGTAGTGGATATATCGATATAAAATATATGACAACGTTGCTACCACTGCACTCTATAAAAAACTCCCGACCATGCCTTAAACAGGCTTCGTAAAATTATGGGCGGGAGCATTGGACATGCTGTCTTGTTGGCAGCCTAAGGAAACGTCTGTCGCCGCAACTAGACTAGCTTTTTTCGGTCCATTGATAGTTGGGATGGTTTAGGGTTCGGGTTGATGCTGTGTGAGCGAGATGCACACCAGATGGCAGGGTTTTTGTGCTGCGCATTCTTCCAATCGGAAACGACTTATTTGCATGACGGCTGCAAATGCGTGGTTAATCCGATGGCTCTTATCACACACGTACCTGAGAAACAAGCCCCCGCTGGACTAGATAACAAGGGTTCCTTCAACCCCCATGTTGTCTACAATTACCATGGTCACCCATCCTCATCATCCTCGTCGGTCATCGGTTGCCCCTCCAGCACCGCCAAACCCGGCCAAACTCACTCCGCACTTATGCTTCGGCACGGCGGAATATAAGTCCGGCGCTAACACGGAATAGTAGACCATGCTACAGCGCCGTCCGCTTTTCTGACGACGGAGCCAGTTACCCTCTTCACCTGTTAACATTCGAGCGGCAAGGGCTCCTGTCCGGCATATTTTCAGTTGGTGTGATTTTGGGAGTGATAATTGTCCTAATTTTCCACTTTTTCCATTACCCCACACCTTATCATTCGACACAACCCATGGCCTACTCACCAGGGCCCCCATCCCCGGGCGCTGGGCCTGCCTACCATGGTGGTTTGGCCTCGCGGACACGGTCAACCAGCCCTCCTGGTGCATCTGGGACTCTTTCCAAGCGGGATAAACGCCGGACGGCGCTGCAGGAACGTCTGCATGATTTGACAGCCACCTTCTCTCAGAACCGCGACGGTCAATTCCGACAGCAGCTCCATTCTCTCCAGTGCGATATGACCCTTATTAACAACGCGGATCCGTATCAAACTGGCCCACTGCCTGACTCCTCGGAGGATATCGCGCAGTTGATTGAGGAGACTGTTGGCGGCGGCAAGTTTGCCAAGGAGATGGCGAGCTTGTCTGGCACATGGTACTCCAAGTTTGTGCAGGAGGTCAACAATGTTAAGGAGCAGAAGGATGCAGAATTGGCACAGATCATGGTAGGGATTTTCTCTCTCTCTCTGGATTCGCCGATGTAAAGCCCTCTGTACTAACCTTGATTGTGTTGCACAGAACCGACACCAAAACAGCCTTGAGCGACACCGCCGCGAGTACGATTTCCGGGTGCATTTTGCCAAGGAAGAATTCAACCAGCTGTCAACTACTCTGCGCGAGCGCCTGATGCAAAGTATCTCAAGCAAGCGGTCCCGCCTCATGCGCGAGAAGGAGCAGCTCGATATTGCCGACACCAACGCGCTCCTGCTCCATCCCAATCAGTTCAGCATTACCAACCCGGCCAGCCCTGGCGGCCTCCACAGCAATCGCAAGACCCGACACACCCGCCATCGCGTTGACCTCGATGAACTCGGCAACGGCATCGTCTCAGAGTTGAACAAGCGCAAGCGCAAGGCGCCGGAGGAGGACACCGGATCTCCCGTGCGGGACGCGGGCGGCACCACCCCCGCCGAGCGCTCCAAGGCCTACCTCGAGAAACAGACGGCAGCAACGTACTCGATGCAATCGCTATTCACGGACAAGGAGCTCAGCGCACACGCGAATCAGGCGCACGTCGCGACAGTCCACTTCTTCTCAACCTCCAAGCGCCCCGACCAGAGCTCGGGCGCCGTCACCAACGGCAACAACACCGACGCCGAGGAGACCCCCGACGCCACCGGCCACGAAGACAACGGCACCCCTAGCGCCACCGACATGATGCGCACCGCCAGCCAGAACTTCCACGTCACCCGCTCGACCCGCGGCACGGCCACGCACAGCGCTCTCAGCGCCCTGGCGGAGCTGGCTGACAAGAACGCGACGCGCCCGGCCCTGCCCTACCACGTCCTGTCTAACTACCACGCCCGGCCGAACGGCAATGCGCCTCCGCTGACCTCGCTCCTGAACGAGGAGGTGGATGACGACCTGTCACGCGTGGACCGCCTGCACAGCAGCAAGCCCGTCGGCTGGATCGACTCATCTCTTCTCGACCTCGTCGTCGCGCCGCTGCCTGCCGACTCTGTCGATGGCCACCCGCCGAACCCAGATCGCTTTACCTCGCTGCATCCTGACTTCCCGCCTGTGGTGGGTATGCAGCTCCAGCCTGCGCGGCCCAACCTGGGCGCCGAGATGTTCCCGTCTGTGGTGATGGAGCGCGAGCGCAGTAGCAAGCGGACGCGCAACCACTGAGAGCGCGCCATTTTGCATCGCCTGCATGGTGTAGAAAACTGTCTGCACACAAGACGTTTTGCTTTTCGAATGTACTTTAGGGGTGGAATCGGTGTCTACCGTGGGGTTCAGGATTTCTTTCGTTATACGTCGTGAGTGGGCTACGGAAGGGGCGGACAGGCGTCTGGGTTCTTCCCGTCAGATTCTCATGTTTCTATTTCATCCTCATTTCTTTTTCTTCAAGGTGGCATAATTCACAGATACTTAGCACTGCTGCGAACGTTTCCTGGCTCTTAGAAGTCTATTGACTCTATGATACTGTAGAAACCGGGGCATAGATCACGTTTCCGCCGCATTCGACACCTGAATAATCAGTCCGACCTCGGCATGACGCCACCAGCTTGGTAAGCTGCATAGGCAGCCGGTCCTATCATAAATGGTTTGGCTGGAAGAACGGCAAGCTCCAAGTTGACGGAATGAGGTGATTGCGCCGAGAGATGGGGTCATTGCTCATGTTTAGTGTCAAGCGCGGACGTTGAGTGGTCGCTTCTCTGAAATTCTCGCCGAGATGACAAATGTGACGATGACCCTGGGCTGTTTGGTTGCTCACTAATTCCCCCGTCCAACAGCCTGGTTGGCAAGAGCTGTCTGCTGGGAAGGGTATTTAAGATGATGCACGGCTCCTGATGAGTAGTATAGTTCATCATCGGGCGGGTCTGTCTATCTGCATTGCCTTGCATAGTCACTTCGCACCTATACTTCTACTCCATCTCAAGTAGAACTACCACACCACTAAGCTACAACACCATGTCGACTACAACCACAACTGCTCCCCCTTCCACCACCACCACAACCACCACTACTACAACCGGCGCAGCATCAAGCTACATCCCCCGCGGCCCAACCACCGCCGAACTCACCTTTTACGCCCCGCCACCCGACAACTCCGCACCCTTCAACTACGTCGAGTCCCCACCCGCCGGCCAACCTAAATACAACTACAGCGAACACACCCAACCAGTCGCACTCACCGACATCCGCGGCGCCGAAGAAGCTTTCACCCTAGACAAAGACTCCTTCCAAGCCCTCCAAAACATCCCCTCATCCACCACATACACAACCTTCGACTCCGACGCCGCCGTCCGCGAAACATACTACCCGGAAGTCGAAGCCCTGCTCCTCCAACATATCCCAGGTGCCCACAAGATAGTCCTCTTCGACCACACCATCCGCCGCCAGAAAGAAGGCGCCGCCCGCCAACCCGTGAACCGGGCCCACGTCGACCAAACCGCCGCCGCGGCCCTCGCCCGCGTGAAGCTACACATCACCGACCCAGCCGAAGCAGACGCCCTGTCACAGGGCCGCTACCGCATCGTGAACGTCTGGCGGCCCCTCGGCGGCGACCCGGTGCAGTCGTCGCCGCTGGCGTTTGCATCTGCAGCGTCGGTGGACGGCGCGGACCTCGTGGCTATTCAGCACCGGTATCCGAATCGCACGGGCGAGACGATGGGCGTGCAGTTCAATCCGGCCCAGAAGTGGCATTATTGGTCTGGCATGACGGGGGATGAGCGGTTGTTGCTGAAGTGTTCGGATTCGAGGGGGTTGAGAGAGGGGGATGTTGCGCAGTGGGTGCCGCATACCGCGTTTTGGGATGTCAGGACGCCCGAGGGGGCACGGCCGAGGGAGAGTATTGAGGTGCGGGCTTTGGTGTTTGGCTGATTGGATGCTATTAGATGCTATTTTATGCTATTGCGGGTTTGTATTACAAGGGCGCATGGTGCATTTCGGGATTTTCCGGTTTAAATTGTATTCATGGTCTTATAATACTCACTATGGCTGAACTTGTGGACGGTGGAGGGGCTGCATCGTTACTTTGAATGAAGACCGATAGGGGATAACCCAATCGAGTACAGAAATAGCCCATCTATACATTAGGAACTTAACAGCCAACTACAAAGCAGAGGGCCAAGACTGAACGTGTCACGCCTTTCTCAATGGTAGCTAGCCAAATCGCCTCCGAACTCGCGTTCCCGCAATTAGGGCTGATTAGCATGACGATGAAAGAGCCGGAAGTAAATGGCCGCATCCTGGGGAGACGGAGGCGACAGGGGGGTTGGAAAGACATCTGTTGTTCATAGTGCCGAGAATGGAGCGAAAGGGATTATAGAAATTTCAGATTAAGTTCATTTTTTTCCATATTGCTTGTTCTAGATACGATGTGGCTACCCCGGTATTACCGAGCTCGTCAGCCCTGGCAGGTCAAAGCAGGGGACTCTGTCGTTGCCAATGCCGGCGCATAATGCGCAACCCGCTGCAACCGACGCAACTTGGCAAACCTGTTCGTATCACTGCTAGTCATCGGGTGAATCCCCCCTGCATTGCAGTCTCCACGGACCGGCGCCGCTTCCACGCCTTGCGAAACTGATGCCGCTCTTCCTCCTGCTGTCTCGTGCGCATCAGCATGAACCCTTCATGGGCTGCTTTCTCTTCACTCAAGGCTTCGATCTTAGGGTGGAAAAGCGCATTAGAATAGGTTACATTGTTCTGGAGTGGTCTTGGCAGAGCTATTATTTACTTCCCCGCGAAGAATGAGATGAGATGAGATGGGACGGGACGGGACGGGACGGGACGTACATAGGCGAGCCAGAGTTCCTGCTCTGAGCTCCATGCCTTCTGGCATCTTGCAAGCTGCTTCTCCGCCATGAGAAGTTCTTTCTCTTGGTCACTTGTCCAGCGACATCGACTGCGAACGATGCTCGCCCAGCTCACGACCCGGTCGAGCTGGGCCCGCGCGGACGACGCACTGTGATGCGAGGGCGAGTGGGTTCCATACTCGGATTCGGCAACCGAGTCCGTTTCAGATGGCTCGTTTGATGAACTCTCCGACCTCGTGGTTTGGTCTCGGCTTGGGCTCACCGCTATATGCAAGGCGTGAGAGACGTCACAGTGCAGGGCTGGGCCGGAGATTTCGGCATCGTGACGGCCTGGCAAGTCATCGTGTGAGTCACGATCGGAAGTGTATACGTAGACATCAATATCTTGTTCTTTGTCTTTCCCTTTGCCAATGGATGACCGTCGCCTCCAGGGGAGGGCGAAGGGGAGGGCACGCTGGACAATAGTAATGACCGCCATGGGCCCGCTGGGGGGACATGGATGCCGTAGGGGAAGAAGATCGTGTTAATGAGAGTTGATGAATAGAATCTGTACACCTGAGAAATAGTTTCGATCCTAGCCTTCTTATACTGCTGCCACCGTTTCCCCATGGTGGTACGGTAGTTCCCGCTCGAAGCGATACCTCAGGAGACGAAAACGAATGTGCAGCTGCGCTTTGCACGAAAGTGGGGGTCGATCAGATACATCTTCTGCTTGGCTGGCCACGCGAGAGACACGATGTTCTCGTGGTCTATGGCTGGCCCAGCCCACTGCTGGCTGCACCTTTGGTCGAGACTGCAACGGATGCCGGGTTGAGTGTTGCGCGGGTGTACCTTGACAGCGTAAGCGGTTGTACATGCGCTCGCTTGGATCGGATGGGTTAAAAACGCTGCTAATCAGAGAGCACTGGTACTCTCTAAGAGAAACAGGTTTAGGGGAAGATTTCATAGCTTGAATGGATGATATTCAGCGGATTACTCGTCCCGATGCAGATCTCTATATCGCCACCCCAGGCATCAACCGTCGGGAAAACAAGGAAGCACGAGGGAAGATCCGAGCGTTTGTAGCTAGGCCCTTCCGGCAACGTTGCAGCATTCGAAACTCGATCCAACATGTTTGCAGCTGCCCAAATATCCACTTCGGGGACATGACCGTTGTTTAATTGTATGATACAGGCGCAACGGGCTATCCTCATGTAGAACACGCCCGAATAACCAATCCTCGGTGTAATAACAAACAAATGACCAAAAAAATCCATCCACAAGACAGAACCCAGTCCAATAACCGTGAGGGAATCATGAAGAAAACAAAGAAAGTGAAAGAAAAAAGCTACATCGAAAAACAAACCACCGACTCCATCCCAAGTGCCCAACGATCGATCCAACAGTACGCCAAGACAAATACAGAACAAACAAACGAGATCAAAAGTAGGAATGCACTTGTCCACTCATCGCCATGTATCGACAGACACTCCTCGGGCCGACCTGGCCTTCTGCTCCTCTCGGATCTGCTCGCCAATGATGATGCTGATCAGTCTCCGGTGCAGATCAGCTTCGGTCCAGTCAACCTGCCCATTTCCACCGTACTCGACGTCGACGCGCGAGAGGTCATGCACAAAGCGATCGATGATGGCAAACTGCGCTTCCGTGATGGGGACCCCATGATGACCGTCCGAGGTCCAGATCCAATCACCGATGATTTGGGCACGCCCGGGAGAATCATAGTAAGGGAAGCGTTCTGGGGAGCGCTTTGCCATTCGGTAGATGCGCCGAAGAGCCTTGTAGTGTTCGTCCGAGAAGTAGCCGAATGCCGGGAGAGGTCTAGGCCGTGCCAATGTGGGGTGATTGCCGTTGGTCATGTATACAGACTCGTCATCAATGAGGTCGGCATCCCTTCCCGTAGCGCTGCCTTCTCGGTGGGTCTGCAGAACGTCCTCTCCCACACCATCAGAATCCTTTACACTGACTTGGTCCTCATCTTGCTCAACGGAAGGCACATAACCATGTCCGTTCACCTGTTGAGGGCTAGCCGACTCTTCCACGTATCTTGAAGGTGATTCGCTTGAACGATTTGAAAGAGGCGCATGGTCAAGGCGTCCATGAATCTCTCTCGTTGATTCGACGCTGGCAATTCTCTCCTGGTCATCTTGATCATCTTCCTCCGCTTCGTCCTCGGAGGCTGGAGCCGAACTGGAGCTATCACCGTCATCCTCAGCGGGAGCTTTCAGCCACCTAGGAGTAAGACTGGTGATTCGCTGGAACCAGGTGGATGCTGGAACATTCTGGTCCGACTGGCGCGGGGGCTCTGGAGTGGCGGCCGCCGAGTTCGCATAAACGGGTTCGGTCTCGTGAGCGATATAAGGGACCCTTTCTATATCTTCAGCCTCTTCTTCAATTGGCTCCGGATGTGAGGCATTAGGTTTAAAGGTAGGGGAATTGCTAAATTCTGCGTCTGACCCTATACCTGGGCTGGACTGTGAGATAGGCTGCAAGCGAACCCGCTGGCCTGTCTTCCGCGTCGATGAGACGGATTTCATGGCCGACGACAGTGGAGCGCCAGATCGGGCGCTCAGAATGCTGCGAGGTGTGCTTGATCCGTTGTAGTAATGAGCACGGGTAGGGGTATCTTCTTTTGTGAGTATAGCGGACAGATCGACATCTTGTTCGCGTAGCTTTCGAATGTGTGTCGGCTCCTGGTGCAACCCATCACGGTGCTCCATGGTCACATAAGCCGGAGAAGAGCTCAAGTGACTGTGATTCGTAGAGAGGCTCGCAACTGCCCTCCAAGGGCTGGATGGTTCCTGAACAACGCCCTGCGCGCGCCCTTCAGAGTGGTGTGAGAGATGGCTGTGATCCCGAGCCTCCTGTTGCCATATGTCACCAAACCCATCTTCATCATTGAAGCCCTCTTGCTCCGTTTCCACATCCTGATAATTCGCTGGAAGCGGCTCGGGTTCCTGTTCCGGCTCTGAGTTCGGGGTTTCTTGTCGCCAGATGTCCACAGAATCATCGTCGTCATCGTCGTCCACAAATTCCTCTTCCATGCGTGTTGTATGAGCCGCGACAGGTTGAGGCACATGTACAAGGTCCGGTTCGAAACCTTCAGGTTCTTCATCCAGGTGCTCCTCATCGAAAGCTTCTCCATCGAATGGCTCTTCTTCGAGCGGCAATTCTTCGACAACAGATTCAACATCAGACTGCACACGATCATCAAACGCATCCCTGTGGTCATCTTGAGAGACATCGTCATCACTTTCGATGTATATGAGCCGTTGTGAATTGGTCGCATCCTGCGCCTGCCGACTGACAGCCTCGCGCTCCAGCTGCCATTCCTCCTCTCGCCGAGTTCTTGTGAAATGGCTCGAGTTTACCCGTGGAGAATCCATTGGCTCAGGCGGAGGCGATTGCACAATAGACTCTTCCTCTTCCTGCTCGTCCCATTGCTCCTCTTCCATCGAATCATCGTGCCTCTCGTGATCATCCACAGGAACCTTTCCAGTTTCTGCTTCCTCAAGTACTCTCATTTGCTCCGCCTCTGCAAGTGCTTGACGCATGGCGAGTTCTTGACCGATCCCGAGAGCAGCTCGCAACTCCCGCTGCGTAGCAGGGCTGAAGGTGCTGAAGACACCCTCGAGGCGCCTTTTCCGGTTAGCGTTGCCGGTGCCTGGCACTTCGTTTTCCCGGGGTCTAAAGGTTCCTTGGAGGGCAATCCCAGCACGGACGACCCTGGCCAGGCTGATAGGAGTCCTCCTGGGGGTATCCTCTAGCGGCTTCTCTGGCGAACGCGTCACAGGAAGCTCGGGATAGGTAACCCGAGCGGTAGTTTTCCCATTTGCAGACTGCGGCTCCAGGTTGACGGGCGCGACAGTACGCGACCTGGGAGAGCGGCCTTGGGTCACAGGACTTGGCCTTGCCGAGCTCTGGCGATCGCTCCGTAAGTCATCGATTGTTCCGGGCAACTTACGCTTCAGCCGTTCACCGATACGCCCATTCTCTCGCTCTGTGCCAGAGCCATCCGTGGCCATCTTGGCACTCGATCCCAGACCATAATGCTTAGCTGATGGCAATGTGTCCAAAGAGACCATGGTAAATCCTTCGCTTTCCATAATAGAATCGAATTCATTATGCTCGTCCGTCGGATCAGCCAAGAGGTCGGTCAGAGGTTCCTGGTCTTCGATCGGTTGTTGTTGGTCTTCATGCACCTCTGCTGTCCGCTCCCCAGTTTGATTTTCCTCCTCGGCCAGCGAAGAGGTTGGGGTCGGGGTAGGGTAGGTACGTGGCGACACGATGTTACTGGCGTGATGCGCGGATCTTGCGGACGAACCTGGCCGCTCTCGGATGGGCGATGGCATCTTCGAAGGGGTTGAGTGTATATTCTCGTCATTATCGAGGAAATGGTGTTCGCTGGCGCCGATTATGGGGGTATCGTAGGTTGCTCTGCCATATCTATGGCTCATGTTGTCCTCTCGAGTCTCCATATGTGCTGGCGTTGGAGCACGGAGGTCTGCAACAGGTAGATCGTCCGCTCCGAGGGAGTCACTCTCGTATCCATCCGTAGCCAGGTTCATTGGGCTCCATTGCCGGTTGGGGTTCGCGCTACTATCGGCAGTTATATCCATCGGACTGAAATGTTGTTGGGCAGGATCCACTGTTGGTGTTGGTTCGTCTTCTAGCACCGGGATCTCTTGTACTTTTGGCTTCGGTGTACCCTTGCGCGGACGTCCTGGTCCCCTTTTAGGCGTAGCTCCTACTGGCCCTGGAGTGTTCCCTGGGCTCCCAGGCCATGGCGAGCCATTCTGCGCTTGGATATCTGATTTCCGCGGACGGCCGCGCCGCTTCGCCGGGGTCTTGTCTCTCAGCGGACTCCTTTCATCTTTCAATGGAATCATGGTTGTCACGGTCGAGGGCCGTAGCCGTTTTCGCGACGGACTTGGGCTGCCCTGGTTCTCCTCGTCCTGCGTCGCCTCGAGCGTGACTCGAATGCGCCACGGACTCACATTGCCTTCCTGTGTAACTTTCTCTGGCGAGAGCGTTCTTTGGCGACCATCGAGTTTCATTGTAGGCGATCCGGGGAGTAGGACATCGTCGAAGCGTATCGAGTGCGCGCTCTTCGCGGGACTGAGGCTCACGCGCGGTCGTTTCGCCGGAGTTCGTTGACGTTTGATGACTGCAGGCGACAGCCAGCTTTGTCGGCCAGCGAAGGGCTTTATTGGGGACGATACAAGGTAGTCGGCATCACCTGGAGGGCCCAAGATGTCGGGGGAGGAGCTCTGGCTGCGCGAATCGATTGACATTGCGAACTCGTGCGATGGAGTCTCGGCACGCGTGCCGCTCGGGGGTGGAGAATGCGCGCCCAGTGGAATGCGCTGATGATGAAGGTAGCAATGAGCAGGGGAGTATGTACACGAGCAGGCAAACACCGCGGGGCAATGGCGTAAACAACTCTCCCGAAGCGGCACGAGTTGGTGCACAGAGCAAGTGGATTATGTAATCGTGTCCGAAACAGGAAACCTTGTAAATATTCGTGTTTTTCTCCTAGTTCTGGGAGAGTATGTTCTCTTTGTTTTTCTGAGTACCATTGAGATAGACCAATAGTTTCACATGTGTACATGAGGCATCGTATGGTTTTCCTGTAGTGATCAAAATGGTTGGAAACGCTATTTCGTCACCCACCATATTCCCTTCTGTGTCCGCTTTTCTTGTTGTCTTTGTTCCCAGCCTTCCAAGTGAAGAGCGGAGTGATGATTTCGTCAAGATTATCAGGTTTGATACCTAGTAATGTGCAACGTGCCGACTCCAGGGGCATTATGTATTGACTATAACTCTTCCTCGATGATATGCACAGCTAGTACTCGTTCTAGTTCTGCTCCACAAGACGAGGAACGGCGTGCACACATAGCGGAGCATCTAAGTTACCTCTCTCCGTATCCCCATCCTCATACAGCCTCTGGTATGCCAATATGTCATTCGCGGCAATCTCGCCTATCACACGCGGCAGGACGACTATCTCTGTATCCACATCATCCAAAATCGGGCGATCAGACAATTGTAGCCCAGAGAGAATGACGGCTAATACATCTGTAATCAGGTGCTTTTTAAGCATCTTTGGAAGTTGAGCGGTGTCTTGCGCAGATATCTTTCCAAGCCATGACGTTCGCTGCTGATAGTTTGTTCCATCGCACTGCCATCCTTCACGATAAAACAGCAGTTCGATGTCCGCCTCTGCCTGTAGCTCTGTCGCATATTAGATGGATGAACTTGTTCCTTGCGAAATACTACATTATACCGCGGATCAACAGAAGCTCAGTCGATATCGGGTGAATTGACAACCATCTTGTGATATCAAACCCGGAGGAGCTTTAAGCAAGTAATATTCTTCCTATTTTATTAAGAATGTCGATGACTTCGCCTTCATCTTCCTGTTCGAGTCAACGTCTCCAACGCATGCTTGAAGGTGGCATCTGCACCCATCCCGATGATTCTATGGCAGCCGGGCTGATCATGTATTTTCGTTTTCTTTGGCAATTTGTTCGCAGATTTAACCCCAAGTGGGAGCATGCGAAAATTCCCGTTCATAGCTCAGTATTTCAACTATATCGACCTCCTTCCTCGGGCTGAACTCGACTGTGTGCGGACAACTGCGTGGGGAAGATCACTAATCTCTACCAACTTTCGAACTTGAACTACAACACTGGCCTGATGAAATGGATGTGACAATGGTACCATGTCCAACCGCTGCAATAAGCATATCTGTGTATTGGAAAGGCATTACCCCTCCTTTATTCTTCTCTGATCGCTGGATTTCATTTCTCTGGTCAAACTCTCTGGTTGCCCGCTATCGAAACAAAGCCACCGGGGAGGCCTCTCTCATGACTGGGCCAGGTCCCACTGGACCATGCATAATGGAGGTGCATGAACTGACCTTCTTGGTGCATTCCTGTCCAACCGACTATAATGTCAAGTAAGCGACCACCGAAGAGGCCCACGTCACCGAGCTTGAGCTAGTCGCGCACGAGATAGTTTGCGATACTGCGCGAGCCTTGGCCGTTATGTGCTTCGACGCGGCCAACTTTAGCAATGCTTCCCCGCGGCCCGGGAGGGTGCGTATGATAGGTCCGGAGCTACCCCTGCTGTGTGGTGCCTGGCAGGACGGTGGTGGACGTGGCACCTATGAGACTGCAAATTCCGCACACTGGCAGAATACTTATCCTTGGTGAAAGACCCTATTCACAAGCTCTCTCCACCACGAGATAGTTCGCTTATCATGCGTATAGCAAACGTGGTGGCTGGCTATGGTCAGGTCGTTTTGCTCTTGTCTATGCGTAAGCTGGCAGCGGAGTACCTAGGAGTCGGAGAGCTACGATTAATTGTCCGGAGATTGTGCCCTCAAAACGGGTATACTCCGCTCCGGTCGCGACGAGGGCAATCAAATTGCTACTCAAGTACAAACAGGACTAGCGAACTAGGTCTTTCATACTCCCTCGTTACTTTTTCCCGTCAACCGCAAAAGCACTGGGGGACGCGATCGGCATTTCCCTTCATTTCTCCCACAACCAGGGATGGGCATTCCAGGATTACTCCACCGGAGTTTTGCCGCTCGTGCTGGATCTAGTCAGCTCGCTAGGGCCGTCAGAGTGTTGGTTGAGGTAGCATTTTATCCGTCCCGTTAGTCGCGCCTCTCAGAGCTTGTCCATGGCCCACCCGCGGGCCTAAACAAAGCCATGCGGGAGGGACTAACCCGCGAAGAGACTAGCGGCCTGTGCTCTCCGCTCGACCACCGCTCGACCACCGCCTCACACCTCACATTCCCTCAGTTTTCCCTCGTCTTCCCCGAGCTCGGGTCTTCCCCTCAATCCTTCCCTGCTCCGCTTTGTTCAAGCAGCCCAATGGTTTGGCCCAGTCCCCTCACGCCACTGCTTTCGGTTAATTCGTGATCTGTGGCCCGCCCATCTTTACCAAGCTTACCCAGCTGACCCCATCTTACCCCGGTTTCCTTGAGCCCTGAGCCCCTCCCCCTAGCGTCAAGCCATGCGGAGGTAGGTTAGCGTCTGATGACGATGTTTACGGGGATCAGAAAGGAGCTTCCAATCCCATAAAATGCGCGGCCTTCCCCTCGGCTGCATCCGCTCATTCCTGTGCCCTGCGCGTGTTACGTCTCGACTCCTCGTTGTCTACTGCTTCCTGTTCCTCACCGTCACATTTCTTCTCGGCATCAGGATGCATTTCAAGTCGTACGTCGTGGCAGCCCTCTACGGGCTGCCAGCTCTCGCAAATGCCGCGCCGTCTGCCGCGTCGACCTCGTCGTCGGTCTCGTCTTCTTCAAGTGCGGGCAGCTCGAGTGACGATCACTTCAAAATCTATACGATCAAGGCGGAGAATATCACCGCTACGCTCATCCCTTACGGTGCATGCCTCACTTCCCTCTTGGTGCCGGACCGTGATGGCAACAAGCAGGATGTCGTGGTTGGCTACGATGACCCTCACTCCTACGCACACGACAGTCAAACCAATCGCACTTTCTTCGGTGCCGTCGTAGGTCGCTATGCCAACCGTATCAAGAACGGCACCTTCTCCATTGATGGCACCGACTATCACATTCCGGAAAATGAGCACGGCGGTCTCGACACCCTCCACGGTGGCCCTGTCGGCTATGACATGCGCAATTGGACCGTCACGTCGTACAGTGACTCGTCGGTCACCTTCACCCTCTTCGATCAGGGATTCGAGAACTTCCCTGGCGACGTGATCTCGCACGCCACTTACAGCGTCTCTACGGAGAAGTCTGTTGAGAACCCCAAGGGTCTACCCCAGCTGACCACCAAGCTTGTGTCGCTGGCCCTGACCAAGAAGACCCCCATCATGCTCGCCAACCACGTCTACTGGAACCTGAACGCGTTCAAGAATCCCACCGTCCTGAATGACACCACCCTGCAGCTCCCCCTCTCTCCACGGTTCATTGGCGGGGATGGCATTTTGATCCCAACCGGCGAAATTTTGGACGTAGCCACTGCCTTCGATGGTGCTCTGGACTTCACCGAGCCCAAGCTGATTGGCAAGGACATCGACAAGACCGCTAGCCTGTGCGGCACCGGCTGCATCGGCTACGACACCTGCTGGCTGGTGGATCGCCCGGCCGCCTACGCCGCGGAGAACTCGGTCGTTCCGTCGGTGCATGCCGCCTCCGACAAGACCGGTATCACCCTGGACGTCGCCACCAACCAGGCTGCGATTCAGATCTACTCCTGCAACGGCCAGAACGGCACCATCGCGACCAAAGAGTCGCAGGCCAAGCGTAACAAGGCCCAGGACGGCGACTCGGGAGCTGCCTATGTCAACAAGTACGGTTGCTTCGTCATCGAGACTGAGGACTGGATTGATGGTATTAACCAGCCCCAATGGGGCCGCCGGCCCTACCAGATCGTTGGCCCTGATGATGGCCCCGTGGTCAACTTCGCCACCTACCAGTTCGGTACCTTCTAAGGGGATTTTGGCGAAGTTTTCTTTGCATTATGCACTTGCATTGAAACCATAATATTCTCTAATGTCTCATTTGGGACTGTCAATAGGTGACTACTGAAGCCTTGGGCTCCAACATGTACATACCCAGTTGTGGGCAGCCCACGCTTCATAGTAATCTGCATGTCATAAATCAGACATAAATTAGACATTCCACTCCCCCTGATCATCATAAAACAACGTAATGATAATTTGAGTCTGCCTATGTCACTCCAGGGCTAGGATTAACATAAACGACCACCCAAATTCCGCGCAATCAATGGCTCTTTCGATAACCAAGTAAATTGATAGCCTTCAAACTATCATATTAGTTTGAAGAACGTGGGCCTAGAAGCATCAACCCGGGCCACGCAGCCAAGTGAGGGTCATCTTAAATCTCACCATCAGGTGACCTAACAGCGCTACGCGCTGCACACTCACAGAGGCGACCAAATCGTAGCAGGGAGCTGGTTTGGTGTCATTTTACATTAATTACTAATATTGTCGAGGGCTTGGGTAGTCATAGGAAAAGCTTGATCAGATCTCAAAATTTAAAACTGGATCGGGCTCTGATAACTGCTAAGCTGGGCCGCTCGCCCACCAACACATTTCTGCGGGGATCGCTTTAAGTATAGGCCGGAACAATCTGCGGCTGAGTCTGCCCCGCATCGCTCGCCAGCCTCACTTTGCTCGAGAAACTGCATCATCACCCGGGCTGACATGCGATGTATTGGGAATGGCGACTGAGGATCCGCTAGATTTTGCACATGCCGCCATAGTCCAGGTCGCTAACATCGCGTCTTCACTGGGCGGTGAGTCCAAGCGACCAGTGTGCGGCCGTCTTGGGGCTGAACTCTTCCTAGTTGCCGACTATATCGATACGGCTGGCCTAGACCAAGAGAAGCGAGTGCGGTTGCGAATACCCAAGCTTTTGAGAGATGTGGAGGCCATATGCAATGTGAGTAGAACGGAGATATATTTTGCATGAATGAAGACCGACCTGTGTTTGATATAGTGGCCACACCAAGTACCAAAGAATGGCTACCCCCTCCTGGAAGGGATAGGGGAGTCATTACCGGGTGGAATATCTTATGAAAAGGCTCGGACGAAGATCCGCCGTGGCCTTGGCCAGCTCACGACACATTCTCGCGATGCGGAGGAGGTCATTGCTCACATCCAAAAATTTACCAAGTGTGATCGCAAGTCATCTAAACGCGATGAGAGCGATACTATCACGTCCACAAAAAGATTCACTAGACCAGAGCGCTCAAGACATGCCAACGAGCTATTTTATCTGACTCTACGTGAGCAAATGTGCTGCACCTGCCAGAGCAATGGAATGAGAGAACATATGGAGAGCAAACATCTGGTGCGGCTCTTGCTACAGCCACCCGCTCAACAAGCGACTAGTAACAGCTTGGTCCAATTTGACATGCTCTTCTCGTCTACACCATTCTGGAACGAGTCACAGCTCAGCTACTGGCAGGATGTGGAGCTGCTCGTGCCAAGCAATAACCACACCAGCAACAAAAAACGCCCCCGGTTTGCCGATACAGACGGTCAATATACACATGCCAATATTATGGCTGCAAAACAAATGCGACAAGTCGGTCAAGGTCTGTTTTGTAGCCTCATTGGCCAGGGAGCGAACTGGCGCATTTGCCTCTCGATTCAAGAGGGGGGACTTCAACATTGCTTTGAGCCCCTCAAGCAGAGAGTCGATCACGTCCCTGGCATATCTTTGGCCAAAATTCTCCGCAGCTACCATCTGACGGCACGGATGAAGGTTGTACTAGCCTACATAATAGCCTACTCTGTCTGGCAGTACTACGATTCAGACTGGATGAAGACAAAATGGACAAGCGAGACCATTCAGTTTATGAGGGAAAGTAATACCTCTGCGGATCAGGGCAAGCTTTTTACCTGGAAGCCTTACCTATCGATACATCTCAACGACGAAGATTCCCAGTGCTACGAATACAGCAAGATTGCTGGAATGGTTCATGACTACCCCAGAATCAGAGCACTTGGTATTATGCTGGTCGAGATAGGTACTGGGTTTCCGCTTCACAAGGATGAGCAGCAGGCGCAGCCCTCGGCTGCCAAAGTGAATAACGAATTATTCACAGCCATCAGCTACACACAGGACGAGAAGCGCTGGAGGGATTTTGACTACCCCGACTATATGAGTGCAGCTCGTCACTATCTGGCGCCCGACACATTTGATCAGGTACCATACGTCGAAGAATCATCTGCCTGTGAGTGGAGGCAAGGCATCAAGCAGCGGAGAAACATTTTGTACGACAAAGTTGTGTTTCCACTCGAGGATCTGCTACAGGGCACGAAATGGATGGAGGATTATACAAACATCGCCCCCCTGGATATGCCTTCCAAAGCAACGACAATGCAGGAAACCCCTGTAGCACCGGAGGGGTTTGAGCAAGACAAGATGCCAAAGCCCAAGAAGAAGCGCAGTAAAAGCGAGAAAGACGCTAGCAAATGGCTCTCACGTCTGAGAGGTTTCAATATGGAGCTGGCTCAGGTTGCACGAAGAGTTGGATTAAACGATGTATCGCGACGCGTACGTATCGCGATTCTGGACACTGGATACGACGATAATGCTCCCATCTTCTTTTCTTCCGGTGTTGAGGGGCGGCTTAAAGGCTGGAAAGACTGGGTTGATGGGTCTGGTCAACCCGAGGATTGTCATGGACATGGCACGCATTTGGTGGCTCTTGTCTTGAAGTGCGCGCCCGAAGCCGATATCTATGTAGCACGCATTGCCAAAAGTCCCATTGAACTCTTGGATTCCAGCGAGAATGTGGCAAAGGTTCGTCTTTCTGGAAACCATTGCATGTCATCCTGCTGACTTGTTTAGGCGATTTCTTGGGCAAGTCGAGAATGGGAAGCCGACATCATTTCCATGTCGTTCGGCTTTGCAGACGAGCAGCCATGCATCAGTGGCGCCATTCGCGAAGCCCAATACGAACGCAAAGATGCCATCCTTTTCTTTGCAGCAGCGTCCAATTACGGGGCCAATGACCGAGAAATGTTCCCTGCCAGACACGACTCTGTCATCTCGATCCGAGGGACAAATGCAAATGGGGACTTTGAAGATTTCAACCCCCCTAAACACGAAGATGAATCCGCAGTGTTCGGCACTCTTGGCTTGGATGTCCCCTCTGCATGGTCTAACTCTGATGATGAAGTGTATAAGTCTGGAACATCCATTGCTACAGCCATAGCGGCCGGCATAGCAGGATGTCTCCTGGGATACATCAGCTCTCACCCTCCCGAGAGGCCGTTCTATAATGCCAAGTATCGAGCGTGGACACGCCAGGGAATGCATGCAATCTTCAGGGTCTTGTCATCCAACACGCTTAAGGCAGGATATTTGTACTTGACGGTATGGGACTTGATAGGCAAGGCGGAGGATGTTCGGTGGGCTAAACTAGGAGGCGCATTGTCTGAGCTTTGATTTTTATGTGGCATACCATTCCTCATTTGAAAACTACTTTCGTGTTGAAGAAATACATCTGAACCGAGTTTCTCCTTCTCCAACCTCTGTCACAGTCATGTGCCCTATGTCATGATCGCTGTGCAAAGTGTCCGTGTTCGCCGGGCTAATGAGGACCACTTCCACACCATCCTTCTCCTCGTCCGTCTCCTCTTCATCATCCTGATTCAGGTAGGCAACTTTGTGTTTCAGCTCATCGTATTCAACCTTATCCCCTTTCCAGCCCTTGACCTCTATTTTAAGAAGCTGGTATGCGAACACAACATCCTCACCCGCCCGCCAATTATCCGCTTCTTCGGCGTTGGTAGATTTGGCCAGATTAACCCCAGCCCCAACCTGAGCAATCGGCGAAGGAGCATTTCCGCTTATCTCAATCTCTCCATTGCGGCGCTTGTTATTTTCCATGTCAACGGTGAGTCCTTTCGCAATCATAAGACCCGTAACCATGTAAACAGGCGTCCTGAACCCAGGAATTCTGCTAGCCCTGGTGACAGCTTGAACCCGAGGGGTATTTAGACGTGCTTGAATCTCTTCGAGCGCAGGATCGGTGACAAAGTACATTGTCTCGAGACAGTCCATCCTATATTTTGATTGCACATCGCTACAGCGTCCGCCCGAGACCTTTCCTGATACTGTCTGTAGGAACTCTGCCCACAAGCTTATCGATATTTCGCGGTGACCTCCTCGGGTTATGCTTCGCTCGTAGTCGGTGAATTTTTCTACTCGTGGGTAGATTTTCTGTAGTGTTGCTGCATCAACTGTTGTCAGAGCTCGGTGTGGTCGTAGCGGATGCGATATAATGTTGCCTAATTCGATAGGGCCCGTTCCTGGCTTGAAGTGGAAGTTGGGCGAGAGTATGTAAGTGGGTTGTTGCATCATTCTATCAGTTCTGACTTGAGAACTTGAGAATTTGAGAATTTGAGAAGATGGGGAAGAGAGAACAAAATTTCCTTCTGATTATCACAAGCTGGTACTAGAAGGGGCGGGGTCTGGCTGACATCGGGCGCTTCAAATTAGTAAGACTGGAGGTTTGCCAAAGGAAGAGCAGAAACGTGCATGTACCCACCATCATGAACGCTCATAACCACTTATTCACTTTCCTAGGGAAGTCTGAGTAGGGAGCGCACGTGGAAATCACCCTAGCGCTAGGTCTTCGTGTTTCGAAGTCCTTGAAGTTGAGAACCTGAAGTATTGTTTCGCGGTATTCCCCCTCTTGCTGGTATCACCCCACCTGACAGCCCCTCTTCAGCTGAATCCGCGGAAACGGGTTTTCTCATCGCATAGAGTGAACGGATACACCTTGGGCTACCCCGAAAGTCATGGAGACTGGCGGCCTAATAGAAGAAGCCGCACAGCTGTGCGTCGAGCGCTTCACCCAGTGCCTTAAAGTCCCAGCACTCATGGAAAATGAGTGGGCTGAGAACCGACTTGCTGATATGAAATTATGGATATCGGGTACTGGAGCCTGCGCCCGAGGACGAGCTGCCTTGGACTCAAGATTAGCCTCGAGGCCTGAAGCTCGCGATGTGATCGCCAATTTATTGCACCTGCTTGGTACTGTGATTGACGATTGCCGGATGCAGAGTCAAACAAATGAACTTTCCCACAGTTATCAAGGTCAGGAAGACTCTGCTTCTTCTGCGGACGAAGGCCAAGGCCGGGCATTTTCTCCATGGTCCGACGATTCCAGCTGTGATGACCAGTCGAAAGACGCTTACAATGTGAAAGCTTCGTCGGGAAATCCGTTGCGAGAGTCAATGTATAACGTCGAGTCGATGCAAGATCAACTTGCCCGCATTGCGGTTGCCGTTCGTCGCTCTGGGAGGCGTTCACGGTTGCAAAAGGCCGATCAGCGGTTTAACGCAACAGAACACCAGGAACTGGAGGGCCACCTGCTCGGAATGTTGCTCACTCAACTAAAGTGGCACCCCGGAGAACGAGACTCATCGAAATTGAACGAGGTACAACTGCGACTGATACATTGTAACTTGAAGCGTCGGAATCGCTTTTTGTATGCACAACAACATTCTAGGGGTCTGGATGCTGGCTCCATACGACGTACAAGCTACAAGCAGAGCAAGCAAGCTGGATGGGCACAGGAAGAGATAATCGGAGGAAAGCCGGATTTGAAGCCCTCAAATGATGGACCAAATCACGCCAATAACACAACCATCACTGGAACCAGTGCATCTAAAGTGTCCGATAACTTCAAGTTACAACCCGATCGTGTTGCACTCGCCGCATCTTCAATCATTTCGACCACGGCAATCGACCTAGATTATCCCCGCCCCCCTCGATTCGACGATGATGCGCATCTCTTTCGGTGCCCCTGTTGCTGCGAAGCACTCCCCGCAAAGATGGCAGACATAAATAGGTGGAGGTCAGATTCTTGACGCAAATTCAATGGCAGCCGAACTAATACAAGAATAGAAAACATATCACAGATGACTTGAGTCCTTACACCTGTATCTTGGCCGGCTGCGATCAACCTGATGTCCTTTTCAGTACAAAGGAAACTTGGAAACAGCACATGCTGAACGATCATAGCAGCGCGACATATTGGATTTGCTTTGCATGTGGCGATGGGTCACAATTCAATGACAAGCAAGCCTTTTTGCAGCACCTGAAGTCCAAGCATGCAGCGACTATTCCACCAGACCAGATTTCGGTCCTCGTTGAGTTGTCTAAGAAGACTACACCAGCAGAAATCCCACGCTGCCCACTGTGCAACTGGCCAGAGGAAGAGGGGGCTAACGTGGATAAAGATGTGCTGCTCAACCATATCGCCAAGGATATCCACTCTTTCTCACTACGGGCATTGCCATGGGCTGATGATAACGGATAAGAGAGTGATGAGAGGATTCACGACAGCTCCGAAAAGGTTTATAGTTGGCTGATCCAGAATGAAATTCAGGCGAAGCACAGTATAGAACGACCTTCGCGCGAGAAGAGGATCTGGCACTCTGAGTATTTTCAGCAAAATGCCTACTTTGCTGGAAGCTCAAAAGCGTCGTCTTCGAGTGAGCCTGATTCTGATAGGTCGAGAGAGAACGAACTGGAGGAACTAAGAAGGGCGGGAGAATCGATCGTCCATGAAACTGGAGAGGCTGCTGAGCTGGCATCTCAAGGAAAACAAGCTGAAGAAGATATAGAACCCGTTCCTGGAGACTCGGAGGGCTACACTGTGGGCTGGATATGCGCCATAGCCACCGAGTATATTGCTGCCCAAGCATTTCTCGATGAACGGCATCTTGGCCCCACTCATCTGCCGCCTGACAACCAAAACGCTTACACCTTGGGCAGAATTGGGAAACATAACGTGGTTATCTCTGTTATGCCTATGGGGGAGTATGGCAGCTCCTCGGCAGCACGCGTGGTGGTAGATATGTTGCATAGCTTCCCCAATATCTGCCTCGCCCTGATGGTTGGCATTGGGGGCGGTGCACCCAGCCCAAAACACGATATCCGTTTGGGTGATATTGTCGTCGGCATTCCTCATAACGGCCGAAGCGGTGTCATTCAGTATGACTTTGGTCATACGATACGGAGCCACATCATCCGGGTCATTAGTTCTCTCAACCAGCCACCTACTACCCTACGTGCTGCAGTAACCGGGCTCGCAGCTCAATACGAGAGGGAAGGCCATCAGCTTGACCTAACAGTTAGTAAGATCCTTGAGCAGAATCCCCGGCTACGAAAAAGATATGGGCGCCCAGACTGCGAGAGTGATCGGCTTTACCAAAGTCACATTATCCATGTCTCAGATGGTGAATCACCATGCATATCGAAATGTGGAGATGATCCATCCTGTTTAGTTTCACGTATTCCACGCACCGAGGACGATGACAATCCCGCAATACATTACGGGCTTATAGTATCGGCCAATCAGCTTATGAAAGATGCCTTGATTCGAGACAAAATGGCGGCGGAAGAGCACATTCTATGTTTTGAAACGGGAGCGGCGGGGCTTATGAATCACTTCCCTTGCCTCGTGATCCGTGGCATCTGCGACTACGCTGATTCGCACAAGAATAAAAGCTGGCAGGGGTATGCGGCAATGGTCCGGCAGCATATGCTAAAGAGCTTTTGTATAAAACTGGACCCCTGAATGAGGAGCAGGAGGCAAAGATTGCCGACACTCTCAGGGAAGGAAATCACCGTAAAAAAGTCACATTTGGAGGTCACAACTCTGGCATACAATTTGGTGTGAATACTGGTACGATCAGCGGATTGAACTTTGAGGCCAAGTAATGAGCCTTCTATCTACTGCACCAGAGAAAACTAAACATAATATCAGAGAGAATATGGTAGATAAACGTGAAGTTGGTTTTTGCAAGAGCAAGCCTCTTGGAGCTTTAGATGACGTAGACGGATAGGGGACAATCAATTGTTCCCCAGAATGTAACAGCCTGGTCTATGTTGAGTCTTGACAGGTCTCCTTAACTTTGATACTTATATTTCGCGGGCAGCCCGCGACAATCCCAAGCTAAGAGCTGAACTTGCGGAGCAAGCTAACGGAGCAAGCTAACAAGGTATACAATGTCGACTATTCTGCGATTGGTAAAGGGTGAAATTCCCAGATCAGAACACGCCAAAGTGCAAAAGAAGATCCTCGGACCAATGTTCTTTCCGCCCCATTACAAGGAACTCTCTGGGTTTCAAGTTTGGGGTAAAAGCAAGAAAGCGAAACTAAAGATACTTTGTGCAAGACTCTAGCATATAGAACCTCAACATATTCCGAAATATGTGAAGGCGTGAGCGTATTCTTATTATTGGTGAATTTCTTTTTCGTCTCCCTCCAGACATCAGCGTTTACTCGATATCGCACTGAAGTAAAGTATAACTAAAAGTCAAATTTTGACCTTTGCAGGGGCGGAGGTCTTTCGCCCATGAACATAGCTGATTCGCTGGAATTTCTTGATAGCATCGCCCCAAAGCTCTTGACGAAGCAGTGCATAGACGCTGCGAGTATTGTTAGCACTAATACATATGCAACAGAAACAATAGCTCCTTTATCTGGCCGGCGACCTGGGAACCTACCCCATCCTTGCCTTAGGTGCAACCTTATTTCCAAGGTCCAGCGCAGCATCAAGCATCTGCTCTGGTTCGGCAATAGCATCAACTATCCCGTCTTCCAATGCCTCTTTCGCAGTCCACTTGTGCGCCTCAAGGAGCATCTTACGTGCAATTTGGGGGCGCAATTTGAGCCTTGGAAGAGATCCAATGCCATCAAAATGCAAGCCTAGATCCACAGGCGGCATGGAGATAAAGCCCCGGCGTGAATTCATGATGCGATAATCGTGCGCCAATGCAAGAGGGCAAGCGCCACCAAATGTGTGACCAGTAATCAATGCGATAGTAGGAAATGGGAAATCAAGTATTGTATGTATTAGCTGTATATAAATTAGCATTAGCTTCGCCTCGAAGCACCTTGTCTAGCCTATAGTTTAAGGTGTACGCACTGGATAGAAGCCGTCCGTATTTGCGAATGGATTCTTGTCGGATTCATCCAGTTCCAGCCCCTAACATCGATTCATTAGCTTTCGTTCCGCCATGATGAACGAGTGCCACATACAGTACACCAAAACTTAGCATCATTGCCTTGCGTAATGACCGCGCCTTCGGAGTCAGGGCCTAGTAGCCTCTCAACTGTTCGATAAGCACGAATCATCTCCTGGCAGTACCATGAGTTCAATCGATTTTCCGGGGGCTTTTGCATGGTCAGAACGAATACATCACCATGTCTCTCGAGCAAGAGATTGCGAAAGGTAGGGAGGTCCGCCATCTATCAAGTATTTTTAAAGTAGCAAAGAGGCAAAGCACTTTGCTTTTTTTAAATCGCGGTTTATCTTCAGGCGGTATTTGAACATGGCCCGGAACCGAACCTGAAAGCTTCCCCGCACTCGAAGATCCCTCGGACCCAAGCTTGGCTTCCTTGCCGAAAATCACTGGATTGCCGAATGTCGCGGCTGACTCGATGGCTCTACGGAAAACCTTCCTGCTGAAATGGAATGTGTTCAAATTTAGAATTTTCAATTAAATACGAACATATAGCCCCCACAAGTAATTAAGTATGCGGTTCTACCCACTTACCTCGCCGTCCCAGTCCAGGTCCTTAAACTGCCAATCACCCATGCCCTGGTATTGGTTGTGAATGAAGCCATCAAGCATACTCCGCGTCATATCCCCCATCAAAACAGACACTGGCCTGGCAAGGATCAGCCTGAATAAATCACAGTTCAGTCCCAGGAGCAACTTACAAATCAGGTCCACCAAAGCAGAACGCATACAGCTGCTACATGGTGGCAGGGGTTTTCCCTTCGGGGTAGTTCCCATCTTACCTTCTTTTTATTACCACCAACACACGCCTTGGGTGCGCACAATGGGGTTGGACTAAGGCCAGTCATCGCAAGATATTTTGCGGCACTACATGTAAGTCGAGATGCATAATTATGTTGGCATCCAAACCGTGCCCGGGAAGGGTGGGTCCGTCCTCCGCTTTCACCGGTCCGAGGCTGCACCGGCGATTCGTCGGTTAATGGGGTATCTATTCAAGTATCTTAACGTAGCGCAAAGTAAAATGCTACAGTATCAGGCCCAGCTGGCTAGGGTCCAGCTAGAGCGCTCACCAGCTCTCAGGCCTGACCGGCGATCAGGGATGGAGGGCTCCGAATCTCGAGTTGCTCCGGCAAGTCCGTTCTGTAGGAACTTCTCCCGCTCGATCTCAACCATTCCGCGCATCTTCAAGCTTGTCACTAGACTGGCCCCAGCCCATGCGCCGAGTGATTCAACTTGACGTAAAACCCCTTGCACGGGGACTGGCGTGTCTTTGTTCTGGCGACGCAGTTTTTGTTCCACAAAATCGATCTCTGGCACTTCCTGAGACGGGTCGAGCTTCTCGCCTTCAGCCGAGGACTCCGCATTGTTGCTAGTCGGCAATTTCTGTCCACTGGCTGGCGACGAGATCCGTAGTTCCTCCAATCTTTGGCGTTGGCGTTCAACAACTCTGCCTCGAACCGAACTCCACCCATGCCGTTGAATCAGCGATGACACTTCTTTCAGAATCCTCTCTCGTAGCCCGAGAATGCGAGCTCCACCGCCCACGAAAACAATACGCGACATGCATGTACCGCGCGCGTCGGGTGGCAGAGCCTGAAGTGCGCTATGAACCAGCAAGGGTATCGATTTCTCCTCGTCATCCAATTCGCTTTCTGCAATCCCCGATGCGAAGAGAACTGTCTCGACAGGATCCGCAAGGCGGGAAAACGGCACATCATAAAACTCCTGTTCCGGGCAAGTTGGAGAAGGAATTGAGACAGTATGCGCTGGTTGATCCGCTTGTTCGCCATCTTCTGCTTGTGGCTTGCACCAAGCGAATCGAGTGAGAACTTCCTCACAGTATGTAAAGCCGACGGAGATTCCGTCCTCACGCGTCGCGTCTTGATCCTCGCCGGAGGCAGGGCTAGAAAGAAGCCGTCCCATCATCTGCTGGAGTGACTTCATCGCCCTTGTGCTTCGCTTTGTGGTGATCTCTCTATACTCATAGAGACCTGTTACGGTCGTCTCCGCCCATCCAAGGTCCACCACCAAAGCAGATCGCAACCCAGCAGCTATTGCCGACATAGTCGCACTCGGAAGAAGGGTGATGCTAGGAAACCTCCAGCGGCTGAACAAGGTAGATAGCAAGGATGATAGGAGTGGATGCGGCATGAGAGAAGGAAGGGCCAGGACCAGTCGAGAGGAGCCGGCGTCGGTCAATAGGTATTGATTGTAGGTTTCGCGCAACACGCGCTCGATTTTGTCCTCCATCAAACCCAGATCCACCTTCCGAAGGTCAGGCTGCCACAGCTCATAGTCTCGTACCCAGTCTTCCGCATCGACGGGCTTTGGTAAAGGTCCAATGCCGGCGGCGCTCTGAATCCAGCCTCGGTAATCTCCCACTCTTCTTGATTCTTCAGGGCCGAATCCCATCACACACACCGGAGTGCCACTACCCTCGAACCCTGCTCGTAGCCATCTCGCGCCTATCTCAATGATTATCGCATCATCCTCGTTTCGTAAGGACGAGCCCGGCGACGTCGTACTGGCGAAGGATGTATTGCCTGAGCGCAGCTGTTGCTGGGGCGTATGCGGTGACGACGGACGAGCAGTCTGCGTGGCGCGTAAATTAGAAGTCGCAGGCATTGTCGATTTGCTTTTACCGCCAGCTAGTATGGTGGTTGCTATGCGAAGTTCGCAAGCTTGTATCGTGGTGTTTGGGGTTTGCCCCTCGGAGTTTCAGAAACCCACGAAACAAAGGACTCGCTTCAGCGGCACGCCGACCGAGGCCAAATCGCCATTGGAGCAGGTTCAGATTGTCTATGATTGTCTGAGAGAAATCTGCTGTCAGCAGAGTTTAGGAGTCGACAGCAATTTCGGGGTGAAGGATGATCGGTGAATTGGGTCGGAGAGTGAAGGCTATCGAAGCAACGGATCTTCATCGGGCCGTGGTTTATTTACTCCGTCAAAAGTCACCTAACCCTCAGCAACCAGCTCGTCACCCACAGCACATGGCTGCATCCCTCATTTTCTGAAGCCCATGACGCGTTAAATCCCGAGACTGGCCTAATGGGTATCCCAGGGTACGTATTTAGCCCCCATCCTCCTCGACTTGAACGCGAAGGTGTACCAAGGTGGTGGTCAAACAAACCCCACCTAGCAACGGCCATTGAGTGATCATATGCGGGCGCGTCTCCTATCTGGGATCATTGGAACTGATCTGATATAGGCTTATCAACGCCATTGGTGCTGGGGAGCGTGTCTCCCTGGCCAAAGTCGCCATATCGCACCTGGAACGAACCGCAAGGCCCATCCGAATCGCCGTTGATATCTCAATCTGGCTTTTCCAGGTCCAGGCATCGCGCGGGGGAAAGAATCCCGAACTACGAACGCTGTATTACCGACTGCTGAAGCTTCTAGCTTTGCCTATTCACCCGCTCTTCGTCTATGATGGCCGCCATAAACCACCATTCAAACGAGGGAAAGCGGTGTCATCACGGAGCTCCGGCAATCCACCCCTTATCCAACGCTCGAAGGATCTTATCGAGCGGTTTCGGTTTCCATGGCATGAAGCCCCCGGGGAGGCGGAAGCTGAGTGTGCACGGTTGCAACAGGCCGGCATCGTCGACGCAGTGATGAGTAACGACGTGGATACCCTGATGTTTGGATCAACATTCACAATCAAGAATTTCTCGAAAGAAAGCGGCAGCGGAACCACTGGAGCAACACACGTCACTTGTTACCATATGGGCAACCCGGGATATGTCTCAAATGTTCCCTTTGACAGGGCAGGGATGATTCTATTCGCTATGCTCAGCGGAGGCGATTATTTGCCGTCCGGCGTTCCCAAGTGCGGTAGCAAATTGGCTGCAGAGATTGCGAAGGCTAAGTTTGGCGAGGATCTTCTTACAGAAATTGCCGTACGTGGGCCAGATCTGGACTCAAGACTTGGTGAGTGGCGAGAGCGATTGCAGTACGAACTGGATGAAAATGAAAGTGGCTGGTTTGCGACGAAACATAAGGCAGTCCGGATACCAAAAACCTTTCCCGATCGGACAATTCTAGAGTACTATGCTGAGCCGAAAGTGTCCACTGAGGATGAAATGGCGGATCTCAGGCGCCGGTTGAAGCATGCCTGGGATAGAGAAATCGATCCCTTGGCGATTAGGAGCTTTGCTGCGGATAATTTCGAGTGGAACTATCGCTCGGGTGCTCGAAAGGTGATTAAGAATCTAGCCGAGCCTCTCGTTGCCTACAAACTTCGCCTGCAAAGACCGGTCTCGGCTGTACCTGTTGGCTCACTGGCACCCCAATGTGATGAGCCCTGGCTGCAAAAAGTATACAAGAGTCGTGTATGCTTTGGTACAGATGGCTTGGTCGAGCTGCAAATCGATATCCTTCCGATTGATGTTGTTGGCCTTGATCTCATGGCTGAAGAACCCAATCCTCCTCTACCGTCACAGGAAACGGAGCCTTCACAAGGGACAGTTCAATCTGGCGATGAGGAAGACGATGCAGAAATTGCTGCCGATGGCCCTCCGCCAACTCCGTCAAAATCTCGAGTGACAAAACGCTACGATATCTATGCCATTCAGAAGGTCTGGGTCTTAGAAACTGTAGCCAGACTTGGCCTTCCAGTTGTTGTTCAGAAATGGGAGGATGAGCAGGCTGCCAAGGCCAACAAGGCTGCCGCTCCCAAGAAGTCGAGCAGTCGACGAACAGGACCCAAAAAGAAGGGGCCAATAGACCCAGGAATGAAGCGTGGCAGCATTTTGAAATACGGAACCCTCACAAAAGAAACATCAGAACTCTCTGCTTCTAACAGGTCTCTCTTGCTGGAAGCTGCGTCTACAAAAACCCAGTCCCCCCAATTCCAAAGTTTCTCATCATCCTCCCAGATCATCGATCTTGAGGACGATGCCGTCACGCCGAGCATGTACCCCCAGCAACAAGCATCGGATCATATGCGTTACTCCTCGCGCGAGGTGACCGATTTGATTGACACCTTCTCTTCGTTGTCTACTATGTCACCAACACCAATAGTGAAGCGCCATCCAATGACCGACCAATCACGAGTACACCGGCGAGCTGCTGCCGGTGTAAGCGGTGGAATTGAACTCGACGAGTCAAGCTTTTCAAGTGAGGAGACCGTCGATATACAGAACTCGTCTCTTCCAGCGGGAATAAGGCTGAGTTACTCAGTCACGGAATTGAGAGGCTCAACAACTGAGGATGGGGTCGCTCAAAAAGAGATTGCGATTCCCATGCGAAAATCCAAACGCAACATTCGCAGCACTCCCAAAACGCCCGGCAAGGCTCCTCATGCCCAAGAGAGTGCAGCCGACGTCGACAGTTTGGAGAGATCCATTGACTTATTGTCACTATCAGTGAAGCATAACATTGAAAACGATAATAAATCCTCTTCAGTCCGAGTGTTGCGCCAGCCCGCGTCCTCGAAGATGGAAAAACAAAGCGTGCCCGATTGCCCTCCGAAAATATGGCCTGTTAATATTTTACTCCCATCCGAAAGGCCTGTGCCGTTGCAGGGCCACCCAGCAGCCACTGTTGAATCTGCAATCAAGTTGAAACAGCGGCATGATGAGCATGCTCCTCCGTCGGAGACGAAACCTTCAGCCAGAAAGTCTCGTAATGACTCAATGGACCCACTGAAGCCTTCGATAAAGGCAAAGGAGCAAGTTTCGGAGCATAAGCAAACAAAAGGTCATATTGAAAATATCACAGTCTCAAATGGAATCTGGACGGTTGACCCGCCCACTCAAACCGAGACGAAATTGGTGGACTCGAATGTTCGCAAAACCGCAATTGAGGGCGACACTGGACATGGGAAGAAACCTCAAAATCAAAAGAAGCGAGTGGCCCGAGTGAGCATTCTGGATTTGAGCTGAGACACATTTAAGATACCTTTTACTTTAATTCATCCTTCCCGGAAATCCGAACATGGCATTGAATGAGACGACGCATATCAATCTGAGCTTTCCACGGTTTTATCTTTTGCGAGCTTCTTTGGGGCTTTGTCAATTTAGCGAGCATAATCGTCATCCTCATCGTTCTCAGTATAACGCAAGATAATACAGATCACTCGGTCGATCGACGCACATCAGGCACTAGCATCGAGATGGCAGGCGGTGGGTCAAAGGATACTCAAACAAGTGTCCTCATCAAATATTTCCACTGATATCAGCGGTTGCTCAAGAAATGGCATCACAACAGACTTTTGCTCGTGGGGCCCTTGGCGCTAATTACAACGAGAATTTGACATGGATAGACCACAGAGAACTCAGTCGCGTCGGCGCCCGATGGATCCGCGGCTTCATCGACATGCATCAGATTGACAGCTTACAACCCGAGCAAGACTCGAACATAAAAGCGCTGTTCCAGGTGATGGAGGCTGGGTTCAACACCATTCTCAGCCTTAAGTGGGCCTACGCCGACCGTGACTTCCCAGCCGTGGGTAGTCCAGAGCATACAGACGAGTTGGAATGTCTGAATTGCCTTCTCGAGATCGTTATGGGAAAAGTTGACATCCTGGTTATTGGCAACGAACCTTTCATCGAAACCAAGCAGACAGGCGAGCAACTGAACGTATTCTACGAGACAGTCGCTGATGCGGTGATTGATTTCCGCAAGGCGCACAATGACCTGCGAACTCCGACACAGCTGTACATGGGAGCCTTAAACCGACTGGACTTGCCGGCAAAGCGCACACCAGCAATTGTGCGAATGCTGGGCTTTATTGCTTCTAGACCCGAGTTGGATGGTGTCGATCTACATCTGCATATGCCCACACTAGCAGGACATAGAGCCATGCTAAATTACGCCTTGTCTCAAATTCGGCCCGACCAAAGGTTCTTAGCTACTGAGTTCTCAATGATATGGCACTGGAAGAAGCATATGAACGATGCCGCGTCGACCGATTTCTGTAAACAATATGGTTTTCCACCGGGCACAAAGGTGTGCGAGGTGATCAGTACAACGATACAGAAACCTGTACCTTATGCCCAGTGGGAGGATTTTCTGAAACATGAGCCTTGGTACTTAGAGTGCAAGTCTTTCATGGGTGAGACTATCAGGCTGTACCGGGCAACAGAACGGCTCGAGGTTGCTACGTACTCCTGTTGTCCCATGCGAAATAGAAAAGCGCCGATTTTGGCATCAGATACTCCATGGATGCTTAACGGCCTGTTTGCACCCTCAACGGTGCAGCTTGAGCAGGATGGGTCACGGCATGAGAATTTTCCTTGGGCTGAAGAATTCCGCCGATTGCAACGGAGTGAACAATAAGCTTCATTTTTTTGTCTAAGTTAGAAAGTTGGTAGAACTCTCTGTGTGTGTTACTATCTCCTGCCGATTCCTCTCTTTCATTTCTGATAGTATTCCTCAACCCAGGTTTTGATCTGTGCGACTTCAGCATCAATGATCTTCATGACCCCTTCATTTGCATCGCCGTTTGCTATGATGAGATCAGAGCAGTGGAAGCCACCTGGAATAACATTCACGGGTGCTGAGGGTCGCGACTCGAGGGCTCCTCCAGGCCGGAAAGAGGAGGAGACGCCAGCCGATCGCCAGGGGTCGAATTGCCTATGTTTTCATCAGCGCTAATGACTCTTGAAAGAAATATCTAAATGTGACCAAGAAATCTGGTACTCATAATCATACCCATTGGCCCAAATAAGTCGAGTTGTATCGGTCAGAGACCAACCCTTGGTCCAGGAGTTAACCTGAGCTGCGGTTTTACCCTTGGCACTGGCAAAGGTGAACCCGTTCACTTCGGGGAAAAAGAGAGAGCATTGCCTTTGCCAATATTCACCTGTAACAGCGCGAGAAACAATAGACGAAACATCAGATGGCGCGCCGCTGAGTAGCAAAGTCAGAAGATAGTACCCAATTAGGTCGCGGGGAAAATCATACTCTTGCCAATAGAAAAGTGGCTCGTTGCACAGAAACCACTGCCATTGTCGATCAACAGCATTGCTCACCGATGTATCTGTGAAGATAGGACTGGACGCATTGTACGTGTTGTAGCACGCAGTGGTCATTTCATCAGTCCAGTAGCCATAGCCGGCGCATGCTGGTGTCATCATGAGTATTGTGGAATCCTTTGATCAGACATAGGCTCAACTCACATCCTGGGAGGTAAATATTCTTGAACCATTTCGCGTAACCTGTGAGGGCTTTCTTAACCCCAACTCCCTCGGCTCCCGGGATCACGCCAGTTCCATCTTCAACATTCTGAGGCAGTATCAGTGCTGAGTATAAATAAGCAATGGATCAGACTTCGATGCATACCTCAACGTAGTCGCAAAATTCGTAGAAGCCTGAGTAGCCTGTGTAAAAAGCGTTGGACTGCCATAACCAGGGTCCGCTCTCTAGCGCACTAAGAAAAGATGTGTGAGTCTCTGCGTCAACTTTTGGTCGGACTGAAGATGTGATGTTGGTACCTAGCAAAATCATCGAAGTGCTCGATATCACCAAGTCCAAACATTTCTTTTAGCTGCTGAAGCTTTTTCTCATTTCCGTGTTTATTGATGCCATCGATGTAGTCCACAACCCTGCTGATGTCTCGGCTGCAATTTTTGGGCATTCCCTCTTGGACAGGTGCAAAATATTGCCACTAACTCACACTTAGCACAAATTCATTTACCCAAAAGATTGAAGGATACTGACGTAGTCAAAAATGGCCTCAACAGGGGCGCTAGATGCATGGTACGCCCAAAATGTCCCTGGGGAGGTGGACTCGGTCCAGGCTGACAGAGCACCACTGTAAGATCCTCCACTCAGAACCCATGGCTGTAATTTGATGAATGAATCAGTTTAGCATCTTCTACATGGATCGAAGTAATTCATACCGCATTTTGAGCATTACTGCTGCTGCTATTGTCAAAGGGAAGCTTCACATTCTCCGCAAAGTATGTAAGATCCGAGATCGAATTCGCCAAAGTTAGATACTGCAAGCTCTCCGCAGTCAACTCCTCATAAGGTGATGAGCCTCCCCAGTATCGGTCTATTGGAAAATATAGGTTCAGCAACATTCCAACTAATGAAGAAAAGGAGACTTACGCTCAATCATCACCACTGCACCCTTAATTTCCTGGGCATAAAGACCAGTGATAGTCCTGTTGGTCAGGTATCCTGTGTACTGATCGGCCGCTACTTCTCCAGGGGTAAACAAAACAACCTAAATTTTCCCTCGTCGTTAGATCAATATACCGGCCGAGATTTTCATGAAGTGGATTTACCGGTGCACCTTCTCCATCCCACCATGCCGAGCTCCACCAGTATCGCTGAGAAAACGTGCCAAGGCTCGGATTATCATGATCAATTAGTTGCTGAAATGTCGATTGGCCGTATGTTGCTTTTGACTCGGCAGCTGAAGGCGGCGGGAGAGGCCTCGGTGCAATTGCTGCTTGGACTACAGAAGCACCAAGTACAGGCAACGTCATGCGACGTAGAAAATGCATCTTGAATAGACAAGGGAAGTCCCATACAGCTTTCCTCGATATTCAGACCTGCCGGCTCGCGTGCTTTATATGATTGCATGGTGGCCATCAATCCCCCCTGCGCCACTACTACACCTAAACCTTAGTGTATTATTCTAGTCCAAATGGACGGGAAGTTCCCATAATGTGAGCAATGTTTCATTCCGGTACATCATCAGAGCGGGGTGTTGTGGTAGTGACCATCCTGTATTGAGACAAAACTTGCTGTCACGCGATATTCTAGCGCGAAACTAGCTGCATACCACGCCGTCCACCTGAACAGCGCCGTGATCTCTGCTCTTCACCGGGTTATCATTACTACAGGATATACATACCTAATGACCAAAAGATTCATGGTTCAAAGAATAAAGGGGCTGTATCATTTCCTTGATTTTATTATTTTCGCTCCAGAAATAGCGATTCGTGTTTGTCTAGCTGGATGTCTGCCGCGAGGTTGGGGCTATAGCTAGTTCATGACACCACCGTCGGGAGTCCGAGACAACCATTAACCGAGAGATAGGCTACGCTCGATGCCTGCGTCTCACTGGTCACTGATAAGTGCTAGTGGGCCATTCTTGATGACGAGACCAACAGATAAGATGAATAAAAATGAAGACTAGATAGTTGGTGACGGTCGGCAATGGTTGGCTTAACGTTAACAATATGCTTATCCAGTGATCGGAAAGGACCCCGCAAGACCCGACGGGCACCGAGCCAATGGTTAAAGATTCCTGCATTCTTGACGCTGATTTGCCTCAGCCAGCCCTTATTTGTGATATCTATCGCCTCTTTCGCAATGCATGTCGCTGCTTAGAATTGAGAAAACTCATAATGCCCCAGTTTAGCCTAGTTACATATTACGAGCCAAATCAAGTTAACGCCTTGATTCAGCGCGAGCAAGCGACCAAGTCGCTAATTTGGCTGGCTATTTCATTATTTATAAGAGTTTAAGCTACTCAACAGACATGCTGCACCGCTTGGATCTGTTGAGGGATTTGTTACTTTGGGTCTTCCCGCTAGTGTACGAACCCTCGGTGTATAACGAGTTACCGCTTCTAGGATTCCAGTGATCCTTCACTTGATACCCACAAAAGCTAGGCGTCAGGGCGGCTTGGAGCAATGCAAAATTGTCTGTCCCGTAATCAACGGCAAAGAAAACCTGTGCCTTTTCGTAACAGAACTGTGGCGCTTCGACTCTGGACTCCAATGCGGCTTGGTGAATAACAGTGTAGTCGCAGAGCGCCGAGCCAATGAAGCACACACACAGGAGGGATCAATATTCACGGAAGTTTTCTTTCACGAAAATACTCTAGAGTTGAATCTTTTACGGAGTAAAACAGATGAAAATCGTTCAGAGTTCGCTCTCAGAGGCGTATCTGCCTTGGCATCTTCAGGGTAATCGAACGCTTCCTTCACCTCCAGATATAAACTGTCATATTCGGCCAAGTGGGACGGGCGGACATTATCGCTCGACAAACAAGCATCCACGTATATTGCGGATACGGTGACCAATACCATACATGGAATGGGAGCTATTCGAGGCTGCTTGGAAGTGAATTCCCTACACAAATGGCTTCGTTGGCATCCGCATCAAGAGGGTGTGACATGTTGGGAAACTAAGAAGGTAGAACCAAACTCATCTCTTTCTTTGATCGGTATATAAATGGGATTGAAACCGACTGGGTCGACGCCGCGAGTGCGCATGGCTATTCCAGAGTATGGAAAGAACTAGCCCGTGAGCGAACGTGGTCGTTGTTGACTTTCCCCTTCCTCGTACTGTCTACTGCAAAGCTTATTTGATTAGGCACGGGAAATTTACGCTCGTTCGGTCATCTCTGAAGTCAGGAATTGTTTTATGCAGCTTCGAAGGCCCCAATTCAATTACATGGAGAAGTTCACATACACCTTCAACAAGCCTGTGCGGTTAATCGGCAAAGCAGCGAATTATATGCGCTGGGATGACCTGGACGAGATCGAGATCTTCTTCAATATCAGCAAGTTATCTGCATCAGGAGAATAACTTCTCAATATGAATATCACTTGGAACATCAGCATGAGCGTCGAGGATGCCACCATCATGGACGTAGATCGATAATATTTTGTAGATAAGCGTTCCTGAGTTTGTAATGCTACTTGTCCATCGGGTCCTCCCAGCACTAGTCAGATTTGTGCGGACATGGGCGGACATCACAGCGCATGAGCTCATATACACATTCCCAAGTCGACGGTTGTCCAATAACTTCTTCCACCGCCACGATGTGTGGCTTACGTTCAGCTACAGTGAATTCTATTATCCGTCAAGATCGCATTTTCTGCTAATTCGTAAAGTAAATGGCCTTAATACGCAAATCGCCATCCCGACAGCGTAAGCTGTAGGTACAGGAGAGGATCGTACCTAGCCAACGACGTTAATCTGGGAACGTTGTGAAAGTTAGAAAAGTTTCCGAAAGAGAGAGGCAAACCAGCCCAGCTACCTATATATATCCATCACCAGCTGGCGCCGCGCCTATCTTATCACATCCACTAAACTTCTAGACGCCTGCCGACTCATTGCTCTGCTCTCACGGTGATCTGACCGTTTTTCTTGTTCTGCGTTCGACCGACACTTCACGAGCCATAACAGCTTGGCTTATTCCCGAAACGCCGTCTCCTCCAGCAACAGCCTGATCGACTCGGAGCCAATGATATCTTGGAGCAATTGCTTCCGGGCAGCATTCCCCTTAAATAGCATCTCTTCCGATGGTGCGGTTCCTTTGACAAACTCCTCCAAAGCAGCTTTCAGGGCTTGTGAATATGATATCTAGAGTTAAGAAGGATTAGCTGCTCGCGTTTCCGAACATCTGTGTCAAGGCCAAGATACCTGATTCCCCGTTTTGGGATCCTTCCTCGTTGCAACACCATAGAAGTATTGAGATTCCTCTTCGGTGATGCGATTCTGCGATTTGCGCAGCCTGTGCAGCAGGTAGACCTTTTGCGTAGTCTGGGTCCAGTTGTAGACGGCATCCATCTTCATCAGATACCAAGACACGCTGTAGTACACTGTCTTCCATGTCCCTTCAGAGAATTCGTTCGGGTCATCTGGATCATGGAATTGGTTGAAAAAGGCCTCATACCACAGACGGTGCTTTGCATCACGATCGACATCTCGTGCCAGTTGATCTTCGTACTCTTTGGCCTGCTCCGTCTGCAACTTGATCCGCTCTTCTCTCACGTATTGGCGGACCCTTTCATCCTGTTCTGCTTTCCCCCTGAGGATCCTTCTTTCCCTCGCCTCCTCGACCCACTTATCCCATTGCTCATCGCTGATTGTCTGTATCTTCCTGGCCGGTCTGTGAATCTCGTCGTTCACAAGGTTCGCTCTTTTTTGTGCAATTTCACTATCGGTATCTCCACTCACTCCGTCCCAACGAATATTGCCATCCATTTTCGTACAGTACCTGCGCAGTAGATCTAGGTACCGTTGGACTGGGGTCAGCACTGAGTGCCCAAGGTGTCTTTGCGTGAGAGAGAAGAAGACCGGTAAAGAAGATTGAAATTTAGTTTGAATGGTAGCAAGCACAAAATCGACTTCTTCTTAATCGACTATTCTGTTATTCTTATATTTTGACGTGGCTAGGTGCATACAAACTAATGGATGATATGATTACATAGTAGCCCACGAGGCCATAAATTTACAGAGTTACACTGTAATTATGAGTTTTATCTATCACATTTATTACCCCCGGGCGGAGACTGCCAGCCCAGTTTAGGAGCACCAACTTCTGTACAGTCCCACCATTCACATTCGAGGAGATGGCCGATGGGACTTAAAGATACGTCAGTATCTCAAATCCACTATTAGGGAAAGCCTTACATTAAAACAGATTCATCAAACCTGTATTATGCATGCTTCATGTGCGTTTGTGATTATGTTGTGTAGCGTTGCCTAGCAGAAGGCCGATCTCGAGAATGGTGAAGACTGTTACTTGAAATACAATCATGCATGATGCAGTGTAACGGAATTACGAGCGAACTGCACTATGAACACACTGTACGTGGAAATTATGCAAAGGCCAACACGTAATACACATGTACCGTGATATCATACCGAATCATGCAGCAACCCATAATAATCTGTAGCACTAGGATGCAACTCGTTCACAACAAGCCGATGATCTCCTGGGTTCAAGATAGCGGTATGTGTCATTAAGTAGTACAAATTACGCATGTGATATACGTAAGGGGAGATACCGATCCCTGTTCGCTTTTGACCGTAATCTGCGAGATTTCTATCTCTTTCTATGAGAATGGTTTCTCAATGCCTAGGAATGGACTCAAATAGAGTACTATAAAGGCAGAAATTGTTCCCCTGTGACTTTGAATAGTTTCCCAAGATCTCGCCCAGCAGCCTTCTTACCTACATTGTCACTCATCACCTGAAACCTAGCAACAATGGGTTGGAAAACCAAACAAACACCGAAGGAAACTAGGGAGGCTTTGAAGAAGCGATTTACCCCAGAGCAGATAAATAATGGCAAGATTACAGCTGCGGCCTGGCAGGAAATTATTACAGAAACTCCCGAGGTCAGCCCAAAATGATAAGTGCTTCATTCCAGCACCTCGAAGATGCTAACCAGTTGATCAGAATATTCATTACTCTGCAGTCCTTATCAAGCAATGGCTAGGCTTTTTCCTGTATGCAGTAAGTCCCCAGTCCCCTGTTCGCAAAGAAAGGCCTCATATATACTCACATGGTTTTAAAGGACAGAAACCTTGACGGTGAGTGAGATAAATGGGCGGATGTAGAGTCCCGCTAGGAAGGCTGACAAGGCTAATGTGAGATGTGTCATTAGGGAATGTTGGACTGCAAGAACTTCTCAAAGTGCTCGATGAGGTTAAGGCAGAGGAGGATTTAAAGAAGGATTTCAAGAGCTTTTTCTCAGCGGTGGATGTCTCTGGCGACAAAAAGCTCAGTTTGGCCGGTACGTCGGCTAATATGATTCCCGTCATAATGGTTTCACATGGAAAATAACCATTATGTTTCTGTTTAGAGTGGTTCATCATCGGATTCTTGAAAGTCGATCGCGAGGAGGGCTATGAGTTGGCTGTGGAAGTTGAGTGAATGTGGGAAGTTTTCAGGGTCAATCTCATCATCAGGGTCCTTGCAGACTACTGAAGATGGAGTTGATGGTGAGATTAGGCATTCAATGCTAGTCATCTGGCTTAGATTAAATTAGATGGCTGAGCTTTGCATGTCTCTCCTTTCTTTCCACAACGCTAATAATTTCATGGGTTTGGCCCTTTTTCTGCCCCCCTGCTTCCATGTGGCGAAGTGCTCAGACTGGTTTATCGAGCCATGGTATTCTACTGTAACATTCTGCTGGTTGCAGACAGTCGTCCTCTCTTTCCGACTCTTTTTGGTGGGGGTACCGCGATTAAGGTTCAAGTTATTGGTGGCTTTACCGTTACAATAGCTGCCTACACCTTATAGGTCTTTTGGCTATTGTCCGGCATGTGGCGACAATACATGCCGTTAGCTGTAACGGGCATGAAATCGGGATTTAAACAGTGCAAGGCTTATAGTTGTTGATTGCGAGGGATACACGTTATACACTGTTCATGATCTATAGGGACGCTGTTATGTCTCTGAATTTGAGTCGTACCATCTAGTCTCCATTGAGTAATATACGTAATTATATGTTATATATTTGTATGGGTAATTTCAACCTCTATTCTTCTTAGAAAATAATCATTTGCGGATTTGTCCAGAGATGAGCTGACGCGGTTCCGGGTACGAGCCGAGAAACAACCTATGTGTGATCGGAGGGGAAACTGTTTTCGACTTCTATTGTAGACTAAGTTTGAGATTCCAGCAAGTCCATTGCTCTTTATTTCGCCTCCTCAAGGTTTTCTTTGCTTCTCTCGACGGGCGTTGGGTAGTAGGAGCCCTAGAAATGTTAGGAACCTTGAAGCTATAGACATTTCAAGGGTATATACTAATTAGGCGCTCAGAAATGACCAAAATCCCGATACATCAGCGGAGAAGATAGAGACTTGTCCTAACTCTCGAATTCGAATGCCGAAGCAAACATCGGCCCAAGGACCGCTTGGGACCAGACTAGACAAGGGACCGGACTGGTCGTGGATTACGTTAGTCCGAGCCTGTGCTGACATCTACTCAGTGATCCGGGGCCTGAGCGCCCTCATAAAAGCGCGGTAGCCCAGAGGGGTAACGCCCCACCCGGCCGACATTATCCTGTCTCAATAGGTACGGAATTCTCCGTACATATTCGCAACTTTATCTCAATCGCCGACGGCTCTTCCTGCCCGGGGTGAGATCCCCCGAGCTTCCGCTTCCCCGCCTCCACCGGAAATCATACAAGCTCGTCAGAACAGGCACGATGAGCAGAATCCACAACTCAATGTACCAATATGATGTCGGCAGAAGAGCAAAAGGTGTGTGCATGAATTCTACAGCTACATCGAATGAAGTACTGACACATTCTGCCTGGAACAGATCATCAAGGCGCTCCAGGAGAACTGGATCTGGGTTCCAAACTGGACTGACTCTTCAGACGAAACCACCGCTGGCAAAATTGTTCACTTCACCCGAAATGTCCATGTATCATCGCAGCCGATAAGATCATTGCTACATTTTTCGGCGGACACCCGATACAAGCTTTATGTCAATGGGAAGCACGTTGCTGTCGGACCGACTCGGAGCAGTCCGTTGATCTGGTACTATGACACGCTAGATATTGCACCTTACCTGAACGAGGGACAGAATGAGATCCGCTTCGTGGTTATCCGTTACTTTGCGGCCTCGAGGAGCGCAATGCCCTTTGAGCGGACAGCTCGCCCGGGCTTGACCGTTATTGGACATATCGAGGCGAGCAAGGAAGTCATCGAGCTTGCTTCTTCTAAAGATTGGATGGCATATGTGGATGAAAGTATCAAGTTCCCAATGGGGTTGCCCGACGACGTGTTCCTCCACGTAAGGACTGGCTCTAGCTTTGAACGAAAGCCCCGTTTCCGCACTAATCTTCCTACATAGATCAGCGAGCGTATCACTCCAACGAAGCCGAGTCCTGCTGTAACACCATTTGCCTACAATATAAAAACTCTCAATGGGGATGTTCCGCCTTGGCATTTGCGTCCACGGTCTATCCCAATGCCCGAGCAAACGCCAGCCGTCGTAAACATAATCAGGGCATGCAACAGTGCCGTCAATACCAGCAATTGGACGGCCTTCTTTTCCAAAAATTGCTCTCCAACTCTTCCTGCAAACTCAATTCACTCACTCGAGGTGCAAGCCGATTTCCACTCGACTGCATTTCTGCGTTGGGTCTTCAAAGCAGTGAGAAAACCTTCGCAGGCCAGACTCAAAGTGACACACTCAGAGGGATATGAGCTCGAGCCTCGGTCTTACCCCTTCTTTCGATCCAAGGCCGACCGGCTAGATGCAAGCGTCGGCCACATTGTCGGGCCTTACGACGAGGTGACACTCGATCTTCCCAACACCGAGAGTGTCATCTATGAGCCATTCTGGTTCAGAACCTTCCGTCTCCTGCGTATCGAAATCACAGTCGGGTCTGAACCGGTGGAGTTGGTCTCATTTGATGCCACCCAGGTCAACTACCCTATGGGTGTCAAAGCCAGCTGGAACGAGCCCGGTGATGTACACAGCGAGCGCATCTGGGATGTCTCCATTCGAACAATGCGCAACTGTATGTTTGACGGATACTCTGACTGTCCGTTCTACGAACAATTACAGTTAGTTTTGAAATGTCATTATCCGAGGAATCCTCAGCTAACTTTCACCAGGTACTCCGGAGACAGCCGTTCAGTCGGCCTATTCCACTACCTCCTATCCGGTGATGATCGTCTTATGCGACAAGCAATCACAAATTTCGCAGCATCAGTTACCCCGAATGGCCTCACACAGTCCCGATTTCCCGCGCACGTTCCACAAGTTATTGCTGGATTCTCCCTCTACTGGATCCTACAAGTCTGTGACCACCACCTCTATTTCGGGGATACCCGCTTCGCCCGGGGATTTATTCCCCGCATCGACGGCATCCTAGACTTCTTTGATGCCCACATTGACGATCTGGGTCTAGTCAGCGGACTCCCACAAATCGTATGGCAATACGTGGACTGGGTGACAACCTGGGGTGCCACCGATGACCATCCCGACAAGGGAGTTCCCATGTCCGGTCGGAAATCCAACAGACACACGTATTTTAGTATGATTTATGCATGGACTCTCCAGAAGGTTGCTTGTCTTGTGCGTGATCTGGGTCGGCCGGGGCATGCCGCTGAATATGAAGCGCGAGCAGTTTCGTTGGTAGACGCTATTCGGGCGCATTGCTATGATGGACAGTTCTTCACGGACTCGACTGCCGATGTTGCCGATGAGTTATCCTATTCTCAGCACTGTCAGATTTTCGCTGTTATCTCCGGCGCAGCAAGTTCCGATGACTCTGTACGCATCTTGACTCAGTCGTTTAAGAGCGATCGATTTTCAAAATGCTCGTATATGATGCGGTTCTATGCTTTTCGGGCACTTACTCTGGCTGGCGAGGATATATACGAGTCGTTCTGGGAAAGTATGTGGGCTCCGTGGCGAAAAATGCTGGCGAATAATCTTTCGACATGGGAGGAGGACGATGTGAGACAACGTTCTGATTGCCATGCCTGGGGAAGTGTGCCAATCTATGAGTATTGCACTGAGGTGGCCGGTGTTCAGCCGATTGCTGCTGGCTCGGCGAAGATATTTTTCAAACCTCGTCTTCGGTTGACTCAGGCACTAGAAGCGAAGGTGGCACTGGGCAGGGATAATCTAGCTACGGTCTCATGGAAGTCTGGCTCTGATAACGAGAAGATTGTGGAGCTCAGACTTGAAAAGCCTGTTGAGGTTGTAAGTCAATTTCCGGGAGCCAAGCGGCAAGAACATGGTGTTGTTGATCATCTCAGTTTTGTTTTTAAAGGTTGAAGTAGCCCAACACCGGATCTTTATGGGGCTCCCTTTTTAATTTGAGGAATGACCGACTGGGTTATTTCCAGTGGTTCACTGCCCTGCCTTATAAATTACTAGAGAAGCAGTATTTCGTGAACTCGCTCTTCAGACGTCGAACTCATTACACTAACGTGTCCCCTTTAACACGTACAACATGGAGTTTCCATCGCTGGACTTTAGACTCTTTGTTTATAGAAACGATGTGAAGTATAGTTACCTGGGTATGTATGACTAAGTAGACGATGGCAAGTGGTTCAATTGGGTGGAACTACCTAATTAACTAAAGTTTCCTGGCTCAATCTGCCACAGTATACCGTTTCATCTCAATTTACTGTCTCCGTAATACTCAAGCGGTAGCAATCATCTCATGGTTCTCGCGTTGCATATTAGATCGCATCTGCACGTCAGTGACATAGCCCTTGAATTTGCGAAGATTTATCTTTTTCTCGAACCTGGAAGCGAAGGGTGTTAATCCACCATCCAACAGGGAGGGCAGGAAAAAGTTTCAGTAAAATAGTGCACATACATCTCATCTATCTCAGCCGGTGTTCGGCGTGTCACTTCGGGAAGAATGAACCACGCAACAATTACTGCAAGAGTGCCAGTTCCCGCGAAGCTGTTCGGGATAATATGTCAGCATTCCTCTTTATAAATAGGGACAGGGACATTATCATGGCAAACTTACAAGAAACCAGTTTTGACACCCCAGTGGGACACGGGTGCATTGTTAATCATCAGAGGCGTGCAGAAACTGAACATGATAGCGACCATGTTCGACGATGCAAGCGCCCAGCCGGCGGTCTTTGCACGCAGGCGTTGCTGCGGAACTTCAGCAGCGTAGGCGTAGCCTATGGCTGATGCACCAGTGGTGGACCAGGTCGCCAGACAAGCGAAGAAGATCTAGGTTGAACGATTAGTTTTATTACAAGAGATATTCTACCTACTAAAAGGCACGTACCAGAAGTGAGCTAGTTGATGGTTTGGTATAGTCGAAGCAACCGATAATTCCAAGACACAAAACCGACACCGATGTAACTGCATATGGGTAGACTGTCAAAGGGCGACGGCCAACTTTGTCGGTTGTCACTGCAGTCACTATCATGGATAGCAACTGAACACAAGATAAAATGACCGTGACCATGAATGGGTCTTTGTTGCCAGCGTATTGGACTGGAGGCGATTAGTACAGGCAGGAAAGATAGGTAGATGGCACAGTTATCACTCACAGAAATAGGTAGCGTAGGTGTTGAAAACGGACAAACCTACAAATTGCTGGGTAATCTTGGGCCAAGCGGCAATGAAGAAACGAAGACGATTGCGGCCCTGGAAGACAGCCCATGTCCCCTCTTCAGAATTGCGCTCTGCAATGGCACGCTCCTCTGCAATGGTGGCGATCATGACTTCCTTGAAAGGATGTTAACACTTGGATCCCACATAGTCTACTTCTAGGAAAGAGTGACACACTATTTGCTCATCGACACTATATCCTTCAACATTGCCGTTACACCTATTCAGAGTTTTGACTGCTTTGTCGATCTTGCCTTTGCTCACGAGCCACCAAGGTGATTCTGGAATGAAGGTGAATATTATGGCAATAAGACCTACCATAGCCCACTGATCACGCGGTGTAGAAATAAGCAAATCGGTTCGGTGCGGAAGGTGTATGAAGAGCTTTACGAACCTGTGTATAGATAGGGACCCGGAAGTCATATGGGGCCCTTACGCTGAGCTCTCGGAGTGCTACCGAGGCGAAAATCTGGCCAACCACAAACCAACTAGGACCAGTAAGCAGATGTAGGCTCTGAGTTCTGAGATAAACCACTTACAAACTGTACGCGTTGATGTAGAAACCTCGCAGCTGAGTCGGGGCGATCTCGGACAAATAGAGAGGCATGGTGGATTGAAGCATACCAACACCCATTCCAGAGAAGAGCTTTGCTGCCAGCCAATGCTCCCATCTTGTCGCAAATGATTCAATGAATATGCTGATAACAAGGTCAAGCCAGATTATGTAGAATGCGATTTTCCGTCCGAATCTTTCCGTAGCATATTGGAGGAGCTAGTCCATCATCAGCCAAGAACGTCACCAGAAAAAGGCCATGAAAATGTACAATTTGACCGAGAGTTTGACCAGCAGATTGAATACCTCCCCATGCGGAGATGTATTTGCCCCCGATGATAGATGTGCCGGGGGAAGCCATCTGTCGAATAAATCCTTTATTGGAGACAATACCACCATTGAGGTTGATTTCTTTGGCGATAGAATTAGTATCCTAGTCCAACAAGGCACAGAAAAGAATGAAGTTACGGTAACCGTCCAGTGATGCGCCGAACGCCGCAGTCATGGCAATCAGCGACACTGTTCTAAATCGTCGCACACACTGCCAGACGCCAAGGTCATCTTCGCGCGATCGCATGATGGGCCCCGTGCTCTTGGTGGGCATGTCCCTCTCCTCAGGAGACACATTTTCAATATTCTGTGCACTTTCCTTGGAAATATCCATTGCGAATGTAGACATAGCATGTGCCCGAGGGTAAAAAGAAATCGCAAATCCAACTCAAGTGAAGGCTGACGTGGTAGCTAGCTGGTAATCTTTATAATTCTAGCTCTTCGAACGAGCTTAGGAAACTGTCAGGGATTGATTTATGAACTCTACTAGATTCCAGCTTCATGCAGGAGAAAAAGCAATAGAAAAAAGCGGGGAACCCCACGGTCATGCAGCTCAGCTTCACGGGCTACTGGATGTGGATCTGACTTCGCAGGGCTTAACTCGCAAGATGGGTCAATTGCCGGCTCGCTGTTTAATAAAGTTCTCATGAGTATTTTTCAGCACCAGTGGGTCGTTTGGCTTGTGAAAAGCATTCGAGTGGGTGCCTCAAAGAGCGCCGCAAGTGCTTCGCTGTAAATTATACCGATGCTATCAGCTTGTGGCTGACTATCAGTTAGGGTCGGTAAAATGGCCTGAATAATTGGATCAACCATAGTTTAAAGCTGATATAGTCTTAAGAATTGATGTATATTTTCCCGGACGTGCTATGTTGTTGGCCCTGCTCCTTGTAACCATCAGGGCATTACTCGCTAAAAAAATACGCGTTTCCTGAATTCTCTCCAAATTTATTTTCTTCGGTTGTAAAACGTACAAAGATTACCAGGAAAGATCCGTCAGAGAAATTTCTCGCTACCTAGTCATTGGAACGGCAACCAACATCCTGCATCACTAGCACCATCACTAGCCCTAAGAAAGAGAATCCCCGGTGGGGTGACGCCTGTGAGTGGAGATTCTCCGTCCTCCGCATTCCACTCCACAGTTCACCCCGCATTCTCGACTTTCCCAGTCCTTGGAAGACTTTCCTTCGAGCTGTCTTCCACGAATATGAGGCCGAGAAATCACAGGTAAATCAAAAGCGCCTCGGAAGCCGCAACAGTGAAGGTTGCCTCTCCCCCATAAACATAGACTGTCTCTATGCGCTCTGTCCCCTCAATAGTGCATTTGCCATTGGCAAATGTCTGACCAGCAATGGTCGGGCTTTCACCCTGGTCAACTCGAGATGTGGCATGTGGAGCAGTCAAACGTTTAGCAGTGACTCTGGAGGAGGAAATTCCGGACAGCTTGTATGTCTGTGATGAACGGGTGCCGTCGGAAGAGACATAGTAGTCGGAGTTGTAAAGAAGGACCCGAACAGGAGCTCCGGATTTGTAAATGGCGTACGCGGCGTAGGGTGTGTCTTGACTGTCTAGAGGCGCAATTCGGTCGGCGTTGGCAAGCGCCATGGCGGCGAAGTAAGCACCGTAGTAAGGAGATCCCACATCGTAGCGGCCCCACCAGCAGTATTGACCTGGGGAGTCAGATTGTGATACGGTAGGGAAGAATTGCGGGCTGACTCACAGTTACCAACGGTCCCCTGGTGGAAGTAGAGGGCATCTGTGCCCATGATCACAGATTGCATTACATAGTCGAGGATCCAGAGGGCAGCACCAAAAGTCGGGCTGACGCCACCTCCACCTTGTGTTGCTAAGACATCTTTAAGTATCTCATTCAAGCAGCAGTGAATGAGAACATACCAGAGTTAGTCTCTCCAAAGATATGGGGCTTGCCCATTCTGTGAGCGGCAGAGACCTCAGCCGCAAAGGGCTTGATCTGGGTAGCAATGTGGCTGTGACCCATGAGATTGGGGAGGTTGAAGGAACCAGACCCCTGCGGATAGTTGTGAGAGCAGTAATCCTTGACAAATTTATTCTCGTAGCCTTCCTTTGCGGTAAGACCGGCGACGCTCATCGAAGTGCCAAAGTAGACGCCTGCGGAGATGAGATCAGATGCATCAAGATAGTCGCACACCGCTTCTTGCCAGCTGATCTGGGATGCTTCATCTGATGCAGCTGTCCAGGACGCGCCATGAGCAATAGGATCGCTTTTAGAGTAGACTTTGAATGTTCAGTCAGTAATAGTACAGGTGAGAGCAAGTCATTGTCGGAACTCACAGGTCGGCTCATTTCCAAGCTCAATGGCGTACAGGTTATCCATTTTACGCCGGGCAAGAAGGGCAGCGGATTTTGTGTTGGCGATATTATCCAAGCGGCGATTCAGTCCGAAAATGACTTCTCCGCCATAGCTTGCTGCTAAAGAAATAAAGGACGGTCCGTACGTCAGAGTCTCTGGCGCATCACCTGCGCTAGCCACTGTGTAATCGACAGAACGGGTTAATGAACTGTCGTACGTCGCGCGATCCCTGTGTCGTGTTAGCAATACAGCATCTCCAGTCTAGGGGTCATACATACTGAGTCGTGCCTCCGATTCTCAAACGAGGCCAAGTCCCCGTTAAATCCTTCAGATTTTGGAGACAAGTCTTAGTTGATGCGACATCTTCCATGTACTCCGGGAAGGTGAAAAATTCCAGGCTTCACAATGAGTAAGTATATCCATTGAAAAAAAGGACTCGAGACTCACGATACACCAACTGGTGCTGCAGAGAGCTGCCCACTCGAGTTCGGAGGCGGGGATGTCGGGATGTTAAAGCTCAAGCCCCAAACCGAAGCTGCGAGGCCGAGAAGCGACGCGGAGATGGGAAGAAAAGTCATGGCTTTAGATGGTGTCACCTCGAACACTATCAGAATAGGCCGTACTTAATATATCATAAGGAGGACCACGTTGATGATCGGATTGATGGATAATTATAAGTAAGGAAAACAGGGGCTCCCTGTTGAGAGCTTCCCCATGGTCCGTATACGGGTACACACGTGTTCGTATGACCGATACGCGGCGGTTACATCACTCTAATTCATGATTAATCCAGAATTACATCCCAAAAATGGAGAAAAGTGGTCTCCTGTGTGATCTACGCTGGTGTTCCAAAAGTTTTCGATCACCTCCCACACCGTCTACCTCGCCTGCCTCCGCCATATCAACGCACTACGCATAATATTGATCAAAATGTAGCTATCTCTGGTTAGACAATGCCTATTTTTCTGATAAACATACCTCCTGTTCCTTCACATGGGGAATAAAAGAGAGAGGAAGAGAGAAGGCTGAGAAGATATCTTGCAGCGGAGCCTTGAGCGATAAGGGTACCGGGTTGGTGGAACAAGATCCACAAAATGTGCCTGAGCTACGGGCCACGCGAAACAACAATACTAAGATTGTATTAGTCAAAGAGTCCCAAGCAGCGTGGGATATACTAGATCCTGATATCTTAGTCAATCTAATTGGCTACTATGCCTCACAGGGTGGAGGCAATCATTGACGCAGAAGGTGGTACCCCAAGTATATGGGTGTCGTATATATTAGTGTTAAATATTGCTGGCAGATAGGCCTTGGTGCGGCAAGAAAAATAGGGGGTGTTCCAAAACTTTTGAAAGGATCACTTGCTAGCGGAAAGTTACCGCTCCATGCACTAACAGATGGCCCACTCGGTTGGTGTCCTACCCAAACAGAGTAATTGCGGAAAATTACAACACCGTTTCTCAACGGCCGTATCTCTTTTGGAAAAGATTGGAATATTACACCACGACGCTAAGTGACAGTAAATTGAGCGCCGAAAATAGCTGCATTTGACGCCATTCTAAGCGTTCAATTTACGAGATCCGAGTCATTCCGATATCACGTGATTGGCACAGACTAAGTTTAATTTATTGCTGCCTAGTTAACTAGTTAGTTAAGTACTCAGGAACAGTCAATCCGTCATCGAAATGTGTATCACGAAGGAATGGTCGTTCACCCTATGGTGCCATGTGCGATGGCGCTAACTGTGCAAAACAAAGTGGGTCACCAACTGCCAGATCCAGGATGACTTAGGGGGTGAGGGTGGATGTAAGCTTTGAAAGTTAGCCAGAATACAGGTCAGTGGGGCCCTCTTAAGACCTCAGTAGGATGCGTAGATCAATGCTTAGTAGAGAACCCCTATATTCGATTAGATAAGCTTGGTAATTGTATGAAATATGTGTGTATACGCTTTACATTCCTATATTACCCTTATTTTGTTTACCCTATATTTGCTTCTTACTATACTATCTACCCACCTCTACTATAGCATCATGGCGTAGTACGTATCGACTTGGTGGTAGTATCGATATACTAAGATATAAGATCTTATTAATATTGCGCCTTTTTCTATCAAGTAGGATCCTCCAAGGGAGGTTGACAAAGAAATTTGATTTGACTAATAATCGCATCTTCCATAATCGCAATATAGCACGAGTAAATACTGTATATGTCTTTACCACCATTAAAGCTTTTACTAGTAAATAACTAGTAACTAACTAATAGATTATTTTAGGTTAGCATAACGCAACATAAGTTTAGAACTAGACTAACTCTCTTGACTTTCGCTATCTTGCTAGCGCGGATCGAGGATTTAGGGAAAGAGATACTTCCTAGTTAGGAAGTGAGAGTGGAGGTATAAGAAAAGAGGTAAAAACTTAGTATTGGAGGATGTAGGAAATATAGGGGGAGGTGTAAGATAAGGTAAGACGATTGAAATAAAAGTTGGTGGATTATTTGCCTGAGGCTGCGCACCCTACTGAGGTCTACCGAAGACAGCATTTTATTGCCGTTTTTCGATTGAAATTTTGGAACTCTCTACCACAGTGGTTGCAAATTGACCAATAAGTTATTGTATTTGTGGGCCTCTGCAATGAGAACATATAAATGGAGATAACCAGGAAAGCGAAATGAACAAACAGCTGCTCCCTGAAAGAAATACCTATTTTGTGCTAACGTTTTAAATAATCCTAAACTTGATATTGTGCAATAGCGGAAATGAATATGCCTAACCCATGGATCAATGTGAGATGCTTGTCTCTGACAGTGGTGGAAAAGTACGGAGATGTGGTCCCAAAAGGCCAAGGTCAGAAACGCATTACTAACCTAAGGCCATATCGATGGTCTTAGGTCGTCTACAGTACATAGGAGGAAGTGGTCACATAAGCTCTAGAGAGTATTTTAGCTAAGATTAGCCTACCAATAACAACCCATGCGATCCCTTCGGAGTCTCAAGTAAAGGGCGGTGGAATCAGGTGGGATCATACGGTCCTTTCCTTGGACTGCGTGTTGAAGCTCAGCCCGGGGAGATCTAAAGGAAGAGATCTTGCAACATTAGAAGTACGAGGGGTATGCGAAAGAAGGTGACCCACGTAAGTTCCAGGAATTTGAGGCATCGAAAGCCTTTTTCAGCTAACTTTGTGATCGCAGGTTAGGAGAGCTGCATCTTTCGAGGCGGCTCACCTTGATAGATGGAGTGGCGGTGCCACTAGCGACGGGCTCGCACTTCTTCGCAGTGCTGGTGACTATTAACCTTCGGGTGAAGCCAAGACGAGCCCACATGTAAGTGATTCATTGCTTTGGGGATTTCGAGGGCAGGGGAATAACATGAGACAACTCATTTCCTTTTGTTTCGCGACACTATTCCTGCGTTAAACGGACAATCTCTATGCCATTCGTTCTCCCAGGATAGGCTCCGGTCAGTGCATTGTCCCCAATGCAGTCTGACTGATTACTGGTCGGTCTCGGCGTTCGGTGTCAACCTGCCGTCATTCACCACCCTTTTGTTTTCGGTTTTTTGGATTTTTCTTTGCGTTCCGGTCAATTTGATATCCTGCTCAATGCGTGCAGGACAGAAGCCACATGAGGTCCATATTTTGGGGAAAGAAATCCTCGCTGCAGTGGAAATGACAGAGCCAATTGGTCTTATTTTTGTGTGAGCAGATTCGGGCGGTCGCAAGGCCTAACGACCAATGGGGACTGAGTTTCAACAACCAGGCTGATATGTCCAAAGGCGGAAGAATTGTATCGCCTAGTAACGTGTAGGCCAATGAATCAAGAGAGTGTGTCTTGTAGAAAGCCAAGCTATGCGCGAAGAGATAGGGGGCAATGTGCCAAGGAGCTAATCAAAACAGGTTAGTAGCTAGCTGAATAATACTGGTGGATGCCCTATTTCGACACACCCCCTCAGCTAGCTGCTAAGCAAAACATGGAAACAACGCTAGATGGCTAGACCTGTATGCCGGCCGCTGCATCAAAATAACGATATAGATGGCTAGACCTGTATGCCGGCCGCTGCATCAAAACAACGATATAGATGGCTAGACCTGTATGCCGGCCGCTGCATCAAAATAACGATATAGATGGCTAGACCTGTATGCCGGCCGCTGCATCAAAACAACGATATAGATGGCTAGACCTGTATGCCGGCCGCTGCATCAAAATAACGATATAGATGGCTAGACCTGTATGCCGGCCGCTGCATCAAAATAACGATATAGATGGCTAGACCTGTATGCCGGCCGCTGCATCAAAATAACGATAAAATATCACATAGCGATTCGTGACATAGACCCGATAGGGCCGTTGACGTCGCTGAAGGTGGTGAAAACGACTGATTGAAAGCCAGGAAGGGTCTTTTGGATCTGCTTAATAAGTTCTGGGTCGTCTTGTAGACGTTTGTTGACCGATTCGGCCGTGTCTTGATTAGGCGTCCAACTATCTGGCCTCGCGTCGGTGTTAAGGTAATAACAACGCTTATAAGGGTGATTGTAGCCACAAACACAAGCTGGTCGTGCCTCTCTTTGACCATTAAGGGTTGACATAGCTAGACGGCCGGTTCTGGTAGAAGCTTGTGATTTCTCTAGCCGCTGGGCCTCACGAAGATAGTGGACAAGCCGATAGAAATCGATGTCTTGATTGGCTACGAAGATGTGTTGATACCAAGTTTGGAAGAAGAGTTCGTTGCCGGCTGCGCGGATAGCAGTTAAGAAGTCGTATAGTAACGCATCTTTATCTTTGACTTCCGGAACGTCGACGCTGAGACACTCGTTATAAAGCGCTTCGGTCCGAATAAGCCAAGCTTGACGATCTTGGTGTTGATTGGATGCATATTCGAGTTGATCTCGCCAAGTAACGCGTAGCTGTTGTCGATATAGGCGAGGTGAAGGTGCGAAGACTGTTCGAAGCTTTAGGAGCTGCTGGTAAGGCGTGTGTAGCCCAGTAAGGTAGTGCTGATTTGCCTGGGCAACGCTGGCTAAGATAGCTCGAACTAGCCGCTGACGGGCGTGAAAGAACGCGTCGTATTCGTCTCGTTCGATGCGGTAAATCGATAGGAGCGCTTGATAACGCTGAAGGTCTGATTGGCTTAGGTCGTTAACGGTGGCTGTTGGATTACCGGCGACGGTGGCTGCTGTCGGCCGTTGAGGCTCGATAGGCTCCGGGGGCTCTGTGGGATTTTTCGGGTTGATATATTGCCAAATCTGCGCTTCTAAGGCAATAGTTTTGACAGTCGATAGCCACTGATGCCAATCGTCCTCGGTGGCTAGTTTAACGCCTATAGCGGGCGGACTCCTCTCATGAGAAGACATAGCGAAACGACGTTATATAGCTGCTTAGGCGATCGCTGTCGGGCTCATAACTGTCCAAAGGCGGAAGAATTGTATCGCCTAGTAACGTGTAGGCCAATGAATCAAGAGAGTGTGTCTTGTAGAAAGCCAAGCTATGCGCGAAGAGATAGGGGGCAATGTGCCAAGGAGCTAATCAAAACAGGTTAGTAGCTAGCTGAATAATACTGGTGGATGCCCTATTTCGACATGATATGCAATCGCTCCACTTGATCCCGCAGGATCATTCTGATCGCTCCCGTTAGCACATTGGTGTGCGTCAGCCCGCGATACGCGAAGCGACCTGCTGCAGCACATCAAGGGGGTACCCTGGAGAAACGTGCTTTTTCTGGAAGGTCAACGGTATTGGGAGAATCACCTACGCAGATGCACTTTTTTTCCGACAGCCAGGCCGCCAACCAGGAGGTGCAAAATCCAAAGCGTCCGGCCAGCACGTGCTCACTGAAATTTACGACCACGTCGCCCTCGATTCTGATGATGATCCACTGAATCCCCGCACAGGTGGGCCTTTCTGGCAATGAAGCAGTCGATTTGGAGGCAACTGGGCGGAAAATTCGAGTCCCGGAAGTTCCACCGCTGGCGCTGTCCGGCTGGCTTCCAGCAAAGAGTGCAGTGCAGGCGCGTTTCAGGGCAAAATAGGCCCAACAGTAGGCAGAGGAACAAGAGATGGCGAAACCGGCCAGACGAATATTCAAAGCACTGGGCAAGAAGATGCTGCAGCTCTACAAGGGCCGGCCGAAGCCGTACGACTCGATCCTGAGGAGAAACAGGGGGAGGTGGGCGAACTAACTAGGCATGAAGGCTTCAATTATCAGGGTGACGGCTTCAGTTCCTGTACATATTGTCGCCACTCTCTATGCTGGATGCCAAACGCTGGAGCTTGGACATGTCCTGTACTTGGATGAAATGAAGTTCTCATTGATTTAGCAAACAGTTATTTAGTCAGTCTCCCTCCTTAAAATAGAAATGAGCTATCCCAGGAGTGCATATCACACGATTCTAAAAGAAGCAGCACCGGGAGAGTAAGATCTATCTCGTTTCCCTCACCTGTAGTTCGTGAGGCTTCGCGTTGATTTTGAAGCAACCTTCTCTTCTGTTCCAGGCAGTAATCTCTTTCCCACTGACCGTGAACACCTTGCGTCATCTTCCGCAAGTTCTGCGATCGATACCTATGGGGGAATCTCAGTAATCATTCTTCTTCCTCCGCGGATCCCCCCATAAGCTCACCAGTATTCTTCATTATGCGAGTACCATGCTCCGGTGAGACGACACTGGTCAAGCCAAGGACGGTTTGCAGGCCATTTACAGCGTCCCAGATTTTGAACCACCCAGAAAGCAGCCTGATTCATGTCTTCAGACAAATCGTTTCTTGTGATCAAAGTCTGACACATGGGACAGGCTTTAGTGACCAACTTCCCGGGGACAAGAGACAGGAGATCCTGATGAGATTTTGAAGAAATTAAAGTCTGGTACATGTGAAGATCTTCTGCGGCTTGATTCCTGGGGACAAGAGATATGAGATCCTGATGAGGACAAGCAAAGGTAGGCTCAGCTGTGAGATGAGCGTCGGAGGAAGTGAAGCTTATAGTATGCCGAGCCGCTACACATAACTGGCCAGTTTCCTTAATAAATAAAACCAGGGCAACTCGCACATCGTAGCCAGACCTAGTGCTAAATAAACAGACGTGGCCGAGGCTGGGTTGTCCTCCATCGATAAGGTCATACTCGAATGGGCCATATAAGGTTTTGGCTGGCTTCGCGGGTGATTTGAGGATCTTGACAAGCTGGTCTCGACCTCGAATCGTCAGAGAAATACAGGGACACAGGTCAGCTATACCAGCGTAGTATGTGCAGGATCTCTCCAGAGCCGATTCTCTCAGTACATGTCTCGTAAATTCTTTCCGAGGATGGAGCTTCAAACACTCTGCACAGTAGGCCCATCGGCGATTTTCGAGTCGAAGAAGGAGTTGATTTCGCAGCACATCCTGACTGTTCACGCACAGTATTGGATTCCTAATACGCAAGAGTCGTGGAAATTCAAGATCTTTGTGCTTCACTATCGTCCCGAATAGGTTGAAGAGCTCTTTGCAGCTGAGGGATAGACAAACTTGATCGACTAGTGAGAGGTGCTGGTAGATCTCCTCTAAGATGCGCTCATCCAAACAAAGTATAAGGGAGTATTTTGGCACTTTCTTCCAAAAAACATGAAGCAGCCCGAGAAGCATCTTTCGACATCGCGACATCCTCGAGTCTTCAAGGCGAAAGATGATGTTGAACGTGAGGCAGGAGACTGGGTTTTGAATTTGGATACAGACGCGATGTAAAAACGCAATCTGGTCTATGGGTATTTTGAAATATTGAGAACGAAAGACTCCAAGGCTGCCATCTGTGTGTAAGTATTGTGCTTCCAAGTTCCGATTCCAAAATTAACTAATCCGACATCGGTAGGTTTGGATCCGATGCCTGTTTTGTCTGGTAAACACGCAAAATGAGTTTAGTTCATTAGATCGATCAACCATGGATGTTGTGAAGACCTGCACCCATTCAACCGTTTGTTTCCTCCTTCTAGTGCCTAAAATTCCACTGAATGAATTGAAATGTGCACCATAAACAAGATTCATCGCTCTCCGTTGGTATTCTCGATTCTGGTCAGCTGGCTTGCTTCCTTGCCCTTCTCATTGCAACCCGCCATCATTTTAGCATTTCTATGGCGGACTTATCCCATAAGTTAACATATGGTCGCGCCATTACAAAGAGTCCATCAATCATTCTTCTCTTGCAAGGAACTTTCCCCCCCAATTTCAAGTACGTACGACCACAGAGTGGGGAGAGGAAGGGCTTCCCGTCCGCTCAGCTATGCTTAAGCCAAATAATCTGCTCAATGATTTCTCGTGTTGCCTTTACCCTTAAATTATCTCGTGAGGAAACTTTGTCAGTCTCTCTGTGTGTGTGATATAGTTGAGCGTGGCGGGCTTAAGTGTAAAAAAAATCGCCCTATCTACACCCACGCGCCCCTACGGTCAAGACGCAACCCTATTTTTACATCTGATACCTTCCTTTCAACGCTCCACATCCGCTGTTGCTCTCATATGAGGTGGTTTTTCTTTCTGCTTTCTGCTCGATCCATTGTCTCCAGCCGTTCACATTGTTCTTTTCCTCCGCTGAACTGACGCGTCCCGTTCCCGACTACAGTCACATCGCAGGTGTTAACACCCCATAGATACAAACATTTTACACTACCTACACCCACTATACTATGTCGTTGCTAGAATAACTTAATTGAGGTGATACTTCCTCAGTAGGTACACTTGTATCTACACATGAATATACGGGGTTTCTGCCAGGCAGAGTTCTAAAGAGCATACCTTAATATCTAAGGGCTCGGGTACTAAGACTTTTGCTGTGTCATTGTAGGAGATCTTCGTGAATTCAGTGTAGATATTAATAGAGAAAATATACCTAAGGCTTGACTGTCTAAATTACATTGTATTGCATGGTGTCGAAATAATAAATGACCGTATAAACTAAAAACGTAGCCTATGGAGCATTTTTAGTCTAGCGGTATCATGCCCCAAATTTGTGAGACACGTGGTAACACCACAAAAGCTTATTTCAAGTAGACCCTATTTCAAACATATTCTTGCTGATGCTTATAGGAGTACATGAACTAATAATTGGTATCTAGTCACGCTATTAAGATAAGGAACTATAATTTGTTGCACTTACCATATGTTGGGAAGTAGATTGAATTACTACTCCACATTCTTCGACAGATTGGTCAAAATAATACTTGATCTAGTTGGCTTGCAACGACGAAAGATCTACTCCGGCCATCTGAGGCAAAGCCAAAGCAAGCTCTTAAATCTAGATCGCTGCAATGCAATCTGGTCTCTACAGAAAGAAGTCTAGTGTGCCCCACAGTTCAGCCACTAATTCCTTGCCAAGCGATAGTTCTAAACTTAAACCAGGAGACGGGTTTTCCCACGTCGCCTTTCACAAACACGTGCATCCACAAACACCGACGGTCCAAACCTTGTGCTATCCATGTACCAGGCTATTGAAGGGTTACATTGACCCGTGTCATAATATTTTTGCCCCACGTCTTGTTTGTACATATTCAACGGTCCATTGATAAAATACTGTTTATTACTGGGCCTAAGGTTCGCCTTCCAACTGTAAGAACATCTTCAAACGTCAGCTTTCTATATGAATATTTTTGAACGCCTACCACACCATACATATATCAGGTTTGGTATCAAAGTATTCGGAGAAACGGGGGATTGATGCCCTAAGCTCCCAAGGAACTTGAATGTCTGTCTGCATGGTCTCCCGCAGTCCATGAAGTTCAAACTTCGAGAGATCTCTTCCAAAAAAATATGAGTTAAAACCAAATCGATAGCAGGCATTGATGCAAATACCCCCATCTAGGTTTTCTCAACTGCCTCCTGCACATTGTTGACTGAGAAAAGCCAGAGTCTTCCTTTACGGTAGAGTGCATCGTAGTAGGGTGGTAACTGCTTGAGGTGCTTCATAGCTTCTCGTGTGAGGGCTCCCTTCAAGTCGGCCGTACAATTCTCATATCCATCAAAAGAGATTGTCTCTAGTAACTGCGTTTGATGCAGGGCTTCGCCCTGATGCTACTGTATGGCGAAGCCCGGGACATGACGGGATGAGTCGCAGAACTCTTTCAACAGATTGGTTGGCACGCTATTATCTAATATACATTCCTGGCAGCACTACTGCTCAACTTATTTGGTCATTGGCACAGCAGTCTGCTGATTGGGTCTATCTATACAACTCACAGTACGCTACATAGCACTGGGTAGGCGAATTCAGCAGTCCGGAGTCGAGAAGAAGTCGTTTAATCGAACAGAAACTGTTCTGGCGTGGCACAGTCTGACCCATCAATCTGCCTCTGCTGACCACACTATTCATCCATCTCAAAGGTCATCCTTGCCATATGTCGAGTAGAATAATCCACTCGTATTATCCAAGCGAGCTACTAACCACTTTTAGTTTTCACTTGGCGCAAATATTAGTTATCTGGCCATGTTCTCTATTTCCCTGAATACACACCCTCTTGATCTATTGGTCTATTCATTACTAGACGATACCCTGTCCTGATGTCGCGACACCATATCCCAAACAAGGTTGCCGCATTGAGGTAGAGTGGTGTCTCATAAGTCTTCGACCAACGATGCCAACATTCTGCCGGTCAAACAGCACCCTTCTGCCTGCATGATACGCTCAATATATGGCTTTCTAAGGTTATAGATTGAGCTTGGTTTACATTCCTAATGGACTACATCAGGAATTATTTTAGCTTACTTTCATAGCGATTTTTTTGATCAGTAAAGTTTCCTCTGAGAGCAAAGGTGGTCGAACACATATAAAAGCACCACTGTACACTAACAGCAGGTGGGGAGTGTCCGATCGCATTGCTACCGACGAAGGGCGACAAATCCAACATGGATTGCTGGCTTGACCTAAGGAAGACCAATCCATAGTAGAAAAAACAGCTGAGGACATGTGTCCTATTCGCGAAAAGCTGGAAAGGAAAAAAGAAGATCTTTTGCATCGGACTCTCGAAGGCAATTCTCAGAAAGATGGTGCTATCCCTAGCAAGGAACCCAAGGCACATCGCCCCACACGAATTGGACCCCAGATTAGCGAGAGAGGCTGAAAGGTGGGCTCCAATCCGAGATCCACTCGTTCCAGGCGAATGTATGAGATGGATGGGCAAAGAACACACACGGAGGCCGTTTGAGAAAAATAGTTCCTTTTTCTAAGTTGGAAATTTTTCATTGCTCGAGAATAATCGCTAGGCTTTTTGAACCCTTCTTCTTGGGCCATAGGGGCAACACATGGAGTATATGGCAGGCATGCAAAATAACTAGAACGAAATAATGCCCAGAAGACTACAAAGGGAAAGAAAAGATATCCACAGCGGCAAGAAAGCATCAGCCATGCGCCCTGTCTAAGCCAGAAATCAGATCTGATGCAATTCATTTCCATGTTCAAAACGAACCATCCGATTATCTAAAAATTAAATCCCCCAATATAAGCCAAGGGGAATGGGTAATGTACGAGAAAATGGTCGAATATTTAGCCGAAAACCTTCAGGAACCCCCAAAGGCCGAGTCCGCTCAAAACAGGGATCGTCAGGTTGTCATCCCAACCCCACAGGTCGATGAACTCGCTGCTGGCGGCCACAAAGCCAGAAACAACGCTCATGATACCCAGAGCCAGTGGGCCAGTGACTGTAGTGGAGCTGGCATCACCAGCTTCCCAGCCCAAAAGACCCCGGACACAGTCCGGAAGCAAGTTCAAGCGACCGGTAAACATAAATGCGTCTTCCGGGTCGCTGGGGAAGCTGCCCATATAGGGCACGAACCAGCCCCAGAATGCTGCGGCCGTGACGACGCCAACCAACCAAGCGGCCATGGTCCCAGCCAGGCTCTTGCCCGGCCGTAGACGCGGTGTGTAGCGGCCATAGAGACGGCCGAATGTAGAAGCAGCGGTATCACACCAGCTCAGAAGAAGCACACCCATGACACCAACGTCTTTGGGGAAGAACCGCAAGACGACGTATGCGCCGAGGAGATACCAGATCACCCCATTATATCCGGAGACCTCGGTCTCGCGCATGAGCGCCCCCATACAACGAATGTAAAGTTTGTTGACTTTCTCCGAGCGATGGCGCACGAAGTCTGTAACTGCAATGGGGACTAGCGCGGAGAAGAGCACTGGGGTGATTTGTAGCGTCTGAACACCACGACTGTAGAGGTGAAGCGTCAGGAACCCGATGGAAACGTGCAGGAGCTTCCGAGGGATTTCATGGCGGTGAATGAAGCTGCGGTACCGCGTGTGAAGAGGAATCAGGTCGAGCGGTGAGGGCGATCGTGAAATGTCGCGCAAAGCATCCGGAAGCTTTGGCGACAGAAACCCATTGGGCGTGTTCCCGTTGGCGGCTGGGGGCGAGGCTGGGATTTTCGGGTTTGACCGACGTTTTGGCCGACGGTTGCGCGAGGGGGAGGTCGTTGTATCGGGTGGGCTGTGCGATCTCCCCGAATCAGGCCCTTCATCTGAGACTTCAGACAGCTTCTGTCGGCGCGACGCCGACCTCGTCGTCGGAGCAAAATACCCGTCACGTGCGTCAGATCTGTCGGAGAGAGAAGGCGACGGAGAGATAACTCGAGGAGTCTCCGGAACAGTATTTGCAGAAGACATGTTGGATGGTCGGACGGTAAACGGTGGGAGTACTGATGGCCAAATGAGGCCAGACAATGGCCGTGCCCAGGTCTCTGCGCTGACGCAGGCAAGACTGCCGCCGGGTATAAGTGGTCTTGCTAACGACTCAATGATGGGCGATTTTTTGGGGGCGCCGGCATGAAGGAGGATTTTGAGGGTATGAGACTAAATCACAGCACATGGCTTGCACTCCAAGGATTTGAGTCAAGAAAGAGCAAACCTCCGGGTTGAAGGAGGCTGTGCTGGCGCAAATGCATGAAAACGCAGTCGCAGTTCGCGATCTCCCCATTTCCGCCCAAAGCCGTAATCACGTGCCTCTTATCTAATCGATAAGGGTTTTTTTTTCTTGCGATCGCCAGGTTGAAAAGCTGAAGCGCAACTTGGGATCGTTCTTGACTCGCCTCGATTACAAATGGCACCCAAGCGGCCTTCTTCCTCACGGGCGTGGGATGGACTCACGCCATCATTGTCGCAATGGAACCTGGACGCTGTGGCCTCGATGGGCTTCACGCGCATGACTCCAGTCCAGGCTTCGGCCATCCCTCTGTTTATGGCGCACAAGGACGTGGTCGTGGAAGCAGTGACCGGCAGTGGGAAGACGCTGTCCTTCCTAGTTCCTATTGTAGAGAAGCTTTTGCGCCTTGAAGACCCGATCAAGAAGCATCATATTGGAGCCATTATTATCTCGCCGACACGGTATGTTATACCCCGATTGATTACTATTGAAATCCCATCGCTGATGTTCTATACAGAGAGTTGGCATCACAAATCTATCAAGTTCTTCTGTCTTTGCTCGAATTTCATCCCCCGTCGGCTGCAGCCATTCATCCTCCCGAGGGCGATGCGCCTCGTCCGAAGTCTTCCTCGTCGGTCCTGAAAGTCGTCCCACAACTCCTCTTGGGTGGTTCCACATCCCCTGCAGAAGATTTAAGCACATTCCTCAAGCGATCCCCAAATGTACTAGTTTCTACCCCTGGAAGATTGTTGGAATTGCTTTCATCGCCCCATGTTCACTGCCCGCAATCATCGTTTGAAATGCTAGTATTGGATGAGGCCGATAGGCTTCTGGACCTTGGGTTCAAGGAAGACCTGCAAAGAATCCTGCGCCACCTCCCTAAGCAACGGAGGACAGGTCTTTTCAGTGCCAGTATCAGTGAAGCTGTTGATCAGATCGTCCGTGTGGGCCTCCGGAATCCCGTCAAAATCGCCGTCAAGGTCAAGGGCGGTGCTGGGGCCGAAGACAAACGTACCCCGGCTAGGTATGTTTTCAAAATCCCCCTTGAGACCCTCGCAGATTCGGTTCTAACCCCAATGCAGTCTGCAAATGACCTACCTGACAACGCCTCCGGCACATAAGTTCTCCATCCTGAAACGAATTCTGACCTCCGTCCAACCTACGCCTCAAAAAACCATATTTTTTGTGTCAACATGCTCCAGCGTTGACTATCTTACCCTCATATTACCTATTATTCTAGGAGATGGATACCTTCTTGTCCCTCTTCACGGGAAACATCCCGCCAACGCCCGCCAGAAAAACTTCACCCGCTTCACTACCTCCACTACCCCTTCCATTCTCCTAACTACCGATGTCGCCTCCCGAGGGCTGGATATTCCATCTGTCGATCTAGTGGTGCAGATTGATCCTCCATCCGATCCGAAAACGTTTATCCACCGTTGTGGTCGTGCTGGGCGTGCTGGGCGCAGGGGCCTCAGTATCGTCCTTCTCCACCCCGGCCGCGAAGAAGACTATGTCTCGTTTTTGGAAGTGCGCAAGACGCCTGTGGCGCCCTTCACCCTCACGGATCCCACCAGTGATAAGGACGCCGCCGCTGCAACTCAACTAGTACGCAACACTATTCTGAAAGATCGTGCTCTCCATGATAAGGGCCAGAAGGCTTTTGTCAGCTGGCTTCGTAGCTACAGCAAGCATCAAGCAGCTAGCATTTTCCGTGTTCCTGACTTGGATTGGGAGGCTCTCGGCAAAGCATGGGGTCTTCTCAAACTTCCCAAGATGCCAGAACTTCGCACCTTCACCGGAGACAAAATGCTGGGTGTCAGCATCGAATGGGATACCTATGTCTACAAGGATAAACAGCGCGAGAAACGGCGCCAAGAAGTCATGGAAGAGTATGCACAAGGAGGCGGCAATCAGGAGCAGGATGCGCGGAAACGCCACGCGACCGAGAATGCCTCCTGGAGCCAGAACGTGGAGAGCCGAGAGAAGAAGCTCAAGCGCAAGGAGTTCAAGAAAGCACGCAAGGAACAGGAGAGATGGGAGCAGCTGCCAGAGCTAGAGAAGCAACAGTACCTTGAGACGCAGCGGATGGTCGAGGAAATTCGTCTCAAAAATGAGCAGCAACGGTTATTACTGACTGCTGCCAATGCGGAAGCCTCGAAAAATGCAGGTGGTGGTGATGAATTTCAGGGGTTTGATTAGTTCCATTTCGGCCTCCCAAAATCATCATGAGTACATTCAGTTCGGAAAGTTAATGATAGCCTTATTCTTCTGAAACCTACCTATATGGAGGTAAATTGTCTTTCTTCGGTGGCACGTAGGCCCTCTCTGAATGGACGAGGCTCAAGTCCAACTTACTCCAACCACTAGACTGTTCGGTTTTTGTGCAACGAGATAAGAATACGATATTTTGTAAAATTGATTGCAGTTGACAAAACGATACAAACAAAACCTTCCTGAAATTTGGCCACATGCTAAATGCAAAACTGCAATCGAATCTTTCAGGGCGATCATCAGTCATCAAAGTCAACTCGATAATGTGAATGCGGTTGATGGTGCAGTGGCCAGGTGGGCCAATATTGAACAAGATGAAATCGCACCCATCACAGCTCCGCAACAAACTCATCAGGGTTCTCTTGGTAAGCCTTAAACAAGGTTTCGAAATATCTCACGGCTTCGCCTGCTTTCGGTTCTTTCCAGTTTTCTTCCACAATTCTCGCAGCCTCTGGGCATACACCTAAGGCTTCGGCAAGACTTCTGCGCGGCGGCCACTTGAGCTGGCTGAAGTCTCCATTTGGTAAAGCCCGGGAGAGCCAACCAACATCATCAGCAGTCCCTTTCAGAGCCTCGTTGATTGCATCTTTCACGGCTGCTCCGGTGGGGTCGATCGCGGCGGGGTTCGAAGGTGGGTTCGAAGGTTTCACGGCAGGCGGGGGGTTCCAGGATGGGTCTCGCCGCCTGTATACAAGTCAGACAACACACATAAAATCAATTAAAACAACAAATATTTCAAAGAAAGCGAGGAAATGGAGAAATATTTTGTTTTGAGGGGGGGTCAACTGACGGGAATTTGGATCGAGCATCCGGGAGTTGTCAAACAGTCCACATGTGGGTCGATGTACAGTTGAATTCGGATCAGTGGTCACAGCTGGGGTCATGGCTGAAGTCGCGTCTAAGTTCGCAACGAAAGATGAGCCATCAACAGACATGGGGTCTGAAAGATAAGGGATGGTGCTAGTAGACACACCATTGAAAGACGGCGAAGAACCGACAGCGGACGGCGTCGAAGCATTGCTGATCGGGAAACGAGTAGATTCGCGGAGGCGGCTTGGGGTCTTCGGCTTGAACTGTTCTGCCTTGTTGCGAGCACGGGTCAAGGGGGAGGGGCCTTCGATATCATCGGCGTCGGTGTCGGTGTCGGTGTCGGCATCATGGGTCGCGGCGGTGTCTTGATTTGATCTGTCAGCAACTGCAGCGGAAGCTGAAGGATTTGGTGAAATATCCATGGCATCCGGGGACAAAGGATAAGCAGCACGGGATCCAACTGGGCCATTCGACTCTTCTTCATCGCCCCCTGCATCTTCTGGTTCTGCGTCATTTCGTCTGAACCCGGGGCGCCGCTGAGGTAGCGATGGGGTTGAGGAGGAATCAGGAACAGGTCGTGCAGGAGGGGAAGAAGGAGGAGATGCAGAACACGAGGAAGACGAGGAAGACGAGGAAGAAGAGCACGGGTTTGGAGCCTCGAATGTCCCAGTTGGAACTCGTTTGAATCCGGGGCGCCGCTGAGCAGGAAATGTTGGGGGTGAAGGGGGAGGAGAAGTAGCAGTCAAATACGCCTCAGTGAATGCCTGGACTGTCGAATAACGAGGCGGCTCGGAATGGACAGGAAGAACACCAGGAACATAGGGGACAGGAGCATCAGAATCACGAGTGTACGGATTCTCTTCCCTGGAGATTTGACGAGATCTCTCCGCAGCTGCTTTGGCTTTTCGCTGCCGGAGGCGAGCAGCTGCATCATGGAAATTGGAAAGGTAGGGTTCATAGGATTCTGGCGTGTTTATAACAAGTTCGGGATGATAATCCGTGGGAGTCATTCTCCAGCTTCCTTGGGTGCTCATATCGACATTGGGGAGTTGGCCGCGCCTGACAAAGGAACCATTGATAAACATACCGAGAGGCCCACGATCTGATTCTGATACCTGGGTATTTGAAGGATATTGGAGTTCCGAGATGTTCTGAGAACGAGACGCTGAGTTGTTTTGAGCAGCCGGTCGCGATTCTTGGTTAGTTTGAGGTAGCGAAGTCGGAGCTTTGGGGGTTTGAGAAATTTGAGACGAGTCGGGGTCAGTTAGCAATCCGCTGGACTCGATTGGGGACAAATCAGGGGGCATAAAAGTGCCTCGTCTGTTTGGAATGAACCCAGGGCTGCGATGGGGAGGTAGAGTGTCGCGGGAAGTTCCAGGGGTCTGACGGCGAACAGGTTGCCGGATACGTTGCTTCTGCTGGGGGATTTCATCAACGCGGCGTTTCTTAGCAGGAGGGGCGTTTTCTTCAGCATCTTTCTTGGCTTTCTCGGCGGCTAACTCTTCGGCTTTTTCCACTTGTGCCTTGAGTACTTTCCATTCCTCAGGTGTGAAATCGTCCTCACTGATAGCAAGTTCATCTTCGTCAAGACCAAAGCCTCGATTCCGTTTGCGTGGATTGAGTTGATTCGCATTCAAATTCGAGGTTGCTGCAGCCCGCTCGGTCTCATTTCCTGCCATCCACTTGGCTGGAGTGGGCTTGCCCGGGTCAATCTCGGCGGCTGGAATGATTGAAGGGACTTCGTTCCTCGGATCTCCCTGGTCTGCCGTGGCAATCTGAGAGGCCAATGCTCCGCCGAGATGAGCGGGCAAATTCTCAGTATTTGGTTTGGTTGTAGCCCGCTCGAAGCAGCTAGCCAGAAGCTCTGGACTGTAGCGAGGTGGAGAGAAAGAATATGTTGGACGAGGTGCTGCGAGCGCAGCCGCCGCCGCGGCCCTCCTGGCTGCTGTTTCTTCACGGTTTTTGGCCTCGCGTTTCTTTTTTCAGCTTCCAAACGGGTCGCTCTTCGACGCTGAACAAATTGATGCTGAGTCTCCTGGCTGTGAGATATATCGGTACCGCCAGTAGTCTCCCCAGGACCAACCAGAGTGTGCGAGTCCACAAATGACCTGGTATGACGCCGTGGACGGGAGATTGGACGATGTTGGACATCCATTCTCCGGGCTGTTTCCACGGATGGAGATTTAAGTGCGTTGGTCCCCGCTGATGGCGCACTTGGGACAAGAGACGGGACAGGGATAGTGGATGAAGTAACTTCAGCAGGCGAAACAGGAACACTAAGCGAAGGGGTGGCAGCTGGAATGGCTTCAGCAGGCGAAGCAGGTGCGGTGGATGCAGCGTATGCAGGATCTGCTGCAGCCAGCGTCAGATTTGGTTTGAAGTAATTAGTATAAGGGACTTACCCGAGTCAGTCTCGTTGTCCTGCTGAGTAGAAAATCGGCCTCTAAGAACTGTCCATCTTCTGGAAACACTATTGAAAATCCACCTGCTCCAGCCTGGGGAAACATCAGCGCGGGCAGCGGGGGCGGTCATAGGGGCCACAGGAGTGGCAGGCGCAGCTCTCTCGGGAGTCAATGGAACAGGAGTCGCGGGAACAGGAGTCGCGGGTGGGTGATCAACAAAGTCGTACGTGTCCTCGGGAGGGGTTTCTTCGCCGGAGTCATTCTGTAGGCCAGCCAAGAGCTGTGGGAGACGATACAAGGTCCGACCAAAACTGCCACGACTCTCGGTGCGACGAGAATTAGACCGATCCGCGTAAGAAGTGCGGGAACGGTGGATAGGTGAAGCCTGTTGAGGGCGCAGCACACGAGACTGCTCGGAGGACGTGGAAGGTGATGCTCCGGCACCGCGGCGGACACGGCGGGTAGACGCAGTCAGGGTTGACCGCACTGCGCAAATGGAAATCAGCTCAATGTCGTTCAAGGCGGATTCCGACGGGCCCATGTTCGGGGTCAACACGGGAAGGTCCAAGGGCCATCCAACTGCGACTGCAGTGATGGGAACAAAGGGGACGACAATGGGAGCACCATGGCTGTGGGTGCAGAGCTGGTAAAGACTTCGCAAGTGGGCCATCAGCCACCATCGGGGGTGGTTACAAGAGTCCGCAGATGAGGTGGACATAGTTGAACCAGAAGAATTGGTCAAGGTCGAAATCGCAGACATGACAGACGGTGGACCGAAGGAATAGAAAGACGCATGGGAGGAACACAGAGAATAGAAAGAGTTAGGCGACTCACAACCTCCAGCAGTTGAAGTTATCAACTCAAGGTCACCGGTCTCGACAGAAGGAAGGACGGTGACAGGGATCTCGACGGCCGGCTTCGCGAGAGCAGAGACAACGGCGTCCTGCATCTCGGTGTCTGGACGGCTCTGTTCGGTCGCATACTTGTCAGCGTTCGGTTCATCAGATGCGCATTGAGACTCAGAAGCCTCAACACCGTGCATCTGGTCGACTTCGGGTTCGTCGACATTGGTTCTGTAGGGTGTATCTTGCTTTTGGCATGAGCCAAGAGCAACATTGGGAGACTCCACCTTCACATTCGTTGTCTGGGTCAGGGCACCCGAGGTGACAGTTTCTTCGGGGTGGTCGCCGGCGTCAGCACCCTCCAGCTGCTGCTGGGGGTCGGGGGAGGGGGAGGGGGAGGAACGACGTGTCGCCTTCTGTGATGAACAATTAGCCAGGAGCTTTGCACTAATTCTCCTGGAGACTTGCCTTCTTGCCGCGGGTGGAGGTCTTGCCACGGGTCTTGCGAGTCTTGGGAGCCTGCTTGAACTCCGCAGCGTCGGTAGGCTGCGACTCGCTGACAGACTGAGCAGTCTCAGCCTCCTGCGGTTGAGCAGATGCAGAGCGCGTCGCTCGACGACGACGGGGAGCCGGGTCCGGCAGCCCCTGGGCGTTGTTGGGTGAGTCGGGGGCGTATGGCTGTGAGCGGAGGCGCGGCGCCATGGTGACGACACCTCGGCGAAAAGCCGGAAAGGGAGAGGTTGGAAAGGTATGAGAATGCAAGCACGTAACTGAATGCGAGGGTGCTAGGAGAATATCCTCAAAAGCAGATGAACGGACAATGATCGGGGGTAAAGAGAGGAGAGGAAGAGAAGAAGAGAAGGAAGATGAGCCGTGGTGGTTGTTTATATCCCCCACGACGTGCCGTGACGGCAACGTGTAAACCTAAATTAGGCAGGCGACAACTTACCTCCTTCTCAAGTAGGGAGAATAGCGTGTCGCTGCCTGCCGTTTGCCCACTTGGGGATCAGTACTGTGACGTGCCAAAAATCATCGTCTCGCGACAGGCAGAATACCTTCAGCTCGTCAGGCGGTGAGACTAAATTATATTAGTGCCTCAGGCATGACTCTATCATTGCAAGCTATCAACTAACTCGGTTAATTGGCCCAATTGGAATGGGTTTCTACAGATCCAATGGAAATTCAGAGGGGTAAGAAACTTCAAACCTGAGGGTTTTGTTAAAGCGAGGTATCAGTAACCGCAGCGGCGGCTCTCAGGACATCGGTGTGCACCCTGATTACCTATGAGCTGTCCGAAACTACAATATAGGGGAAACAATATCGATAAAAGAAACAATGATATTGTACATGGAACATCTACCTCTTTGAAGAAAGAAATGATATACTGTTATAACACAAAGGCTCTAAAGAGCAATCTCGCCTTTCCATGCTGCATCAGACAAACCCAGTGTCTCCATCAGGTTCTGCCATCGGGGGCCCCCTCTTTCCTTCTTGCGGATATACTGAAGGAGTTTTTGCCGCTTATGGACAAGGATTTGGAGGTTACGTTTGTTATGCTTGTCCTTATTGGCGGTTTGTAAATGGCGGGACAAGTTCATGATCTTGACCGTCAGGATGGCGGCCTGCACTTCGGGGGAGCCAGTATCCACTCCAATTCGAGGAACCTTCTCCAAGTGGACAGGGGCGAGTCCATGCGGCACACTGGACGGCTTTGGCGGGAGGAGGGAATCTGTGTTGTGTCGCCCAAATTGCTCGATACACCTCTGCACATTCAGCCGCAGGCGGTCTTTTGTGTTTCCGTTGCTGAGATTAATGATGCGCTGAATCGCATCCTCTGCAATTTGATGCTCCTTTTGGTGCAACTCCGCTGCTTCCTTCTCAAGCTGAGGGTCGGCGGTGTCCCGATCCGGGTTCTGCAGTGGTTCGGTAAGGTCCTTCGCGAACTGCAACGCACTGCCAAGCTCGTCCGACTTCAGGTAATAGTTGAGACCTGAGTCTGATGACGGAGTTTGTGCATTTTGGGTGGCTTGTATCTCCTGGATGAAAGGCGTAGACTTGCTCTCCACGGGGTCGCCGAGCGAGGCTTCCCGTTCCGTCTGGAGAACTTTTTGTCGAGAGAGATTGGCGGCCTTTCGCTGACGCGCTTGCGCGATCATAAAAAAGTCGGATCGCTTCTGGAGCTTGGCTTTCGTAGATGCTGTTCTTAGGGAGGCATTGGTCGCGTGTGGCAGACCGGCTAACGGGGTCTGTCCATAGAATGTGCCTATCCAAATGCCACCGTTAGCATTGGAACACGCAAAGCAAGCCTGACGCTAGATCGTAAAGCCCACAGTACCTGTAATGGCCTTGAAGGAAGGCTGGATTGGAATACGCGGAGGCATAGTGGCCAGCTGGGTTCAATGGCCTCCGGAGAGCGTCTGTGAAGTTCTTCCATCGACCTTTTGGTCGGGAAATCATGCGGCCCGATGGTAACAGACGCTAGTCCAATTCGGGTAGGGAAGGAATGTAATGCCTCAGGCTTGAGACTAACAGTAGCGCCAAGAGATGTTGATTATGTAATCATTGCTGCCCTAGCCCTAATCCTCACAACTCGCAAGCGAAATTCTCCCGAGGCGCGGTGTGAAACATTTCGTGGTTCGATCTCTTCCTTCCATCCTCACGACAAGAGCCAGACGATTGACCTTTCCAACCTCGTCAATTCATCAATCGCCCACCATGGCCCCCTCCCAGCTCCCCCCGGTTTTCAACCCTACCTCGCAGGACATTGAGATGCTCCTTGCCGCTCAGTGCCACCTGGGTTCCAAGAACCTCCAGGTGCACATGGAGCCCTACCTCTGGAAGACCCGTCCCGATGGTATCAACGTCCTCAACATTGGCAAGACCTGGTACGCAAGAAGAACAGGATTATCCCCTGAGAAAATAATGTGCGTTGAAGTCTAATTTGTTTGCGCGATGAAACAGGGAGAAGATCGTCCTGGCCGCCCGTATCATCGCCGCCATCGACAACCCCGCCGATGTCTGTGTCATCTCCGCTCGTCCCTATGGCCAGCGTGCTGTCCTGAAGTTCGCCGCCCACACCGGTGCTACCGCCATTGCCGGTCGTTTCACCCCCGGTAACTTCACCAACTACATCACCCGTTCTTTCAAGGAGCCTCGCCTCATCATTGTGACCGACCCCCGCACCGACTCCCAGGCCATCAAGGAGGCCAGCTACGTCAACATCCCCGTCATTGCCCTCTGCGACACTGACTCCCCTACCGACTTCGTCGATGTTGCCATCCCCACCAACAACAAGGGTCGCCACGCCATCGGTCTCGTCTGGTGGATGCTCGCCCGTGAGATCCTCCGTCTCCGCGGTACCCTGGCCACCCGTGAGACCGAGTGGGACACCGTTGTCGATCTCTACTTCTACCGCGACCCTGAGGCCGAGGAGAACAAGGAGATTGCTGATGAGACCAAGGTCGCCAGCGCCGAGGAGGTCGGCCCCGCTGCTGTGGAGTCTGGCTTCGCCGGTGAGAACTGGGATGCTTCCGCCCCCGGTGCTGGTAACCCCGGCACTGCCTTCGCTGCCGCTACCGCCGCTGTTGGTGCCACCAGCTGGGAGGCCGATGGTGCTGACTGGGCCGCCAGCTCTGCCCCCCAGGGTGGTGAGTGGGCCGCTGAGTCTCAGCCCGCTACTGGCGAGGCCAAGTGGTAAATGCCATAGTCGTGACGGCGAGGATGGGCGTTGAGAGGGGGGAAGTATGATCCTAACCCAAAAAGCCATGGCGATCCGCGGGATGATTGTGACGATCTCCTGTGTCCCTGGGGGACACAGGAGCCGAAGAACAATGCTCTTGTTTGTTTTTTTCACCTTCGAGTCCATTGACCACAATGGAAATAACACCATCTCCCGAAAAATCCCTTGACGTGTCTATCCTAGTTTCTGTCAAATGTCCAAAAAGAAAAGCAAGAAACTGAAAAAAAGCAGAAGAAAACGAGCTTTCACCGGGAACCCTCAAATCCTTTTGCATCAGTGCTCTCAATTTTTTTACTTATCAGCACACTCTTCTTTGATTTCCATGTTTTGTTGAACCGGGGAGGAATTGCGACGTCAATCATTGACCTGGCGCTTATGAGGGAAAGAGATCCAGTTGCGTTTTGTGACTGGGGGAAAGCCCTGTGCTGTCAATCAAACAAGGCGGACTTAACCGTTGCCTTGGTTTCTCCCTGTTTGTATATTCTAGTAATCGGAAGAAGGTTATGCTCGGTATTTCTTGTGGCCATGTAGAACAAGTCCCTATAGGCAAGTCTAGGAACTTAGTGTCCTATCAAAAGGTAATCAAGAGTGCCTAGCTAGTCCCAAGGCCCTGGGTCAACTACCACTATCAATCGTTCGGGCTAAGAGTTACCTGGTAGATATTACCCAAGCGGAGAAAAGACTCAAACTAAAGACGAGTCTTGCATGATATTGTTCCTACTTCCTCGGTGTACCTGAAACATGTCGAACTTATCTGGGGTGGTAAGCGATTTCCCCTTGGGAGACGGTTGGTCATCGCTACCTGCTGTTTCTGAACTTACATTTGCATAGAAATTCTGCATTTCCAGAACCCAGTTTCGTGGCCAGTTCCTCGATTGGTTCAAGATCATTAATGCATAGGAAGCATGTCAGAGAATACTACAACCAGCAGCACTTTGTCCACCTTTGTCAGTAGTTGTCATGCCCGCAAGCCTCGCCAAGTCCTCAAACGTCTCCGCAAGCAGTTCGCCCGTTACAGCCGAGCACTCAGCATATCCGTCGCAGCGAAGCTCTTGCGCAATGCGATAAGTCTACGGAACAGTCAATTAGGGTTCGGATTTTCTCTGAAATTGTCTGCACGTACCTCTTGCGGGTAGATAATCCCCTCGCCTTCTCTTCTGAGGTCTCGTTTCAAACCAAGCATCATGACAGGAATGTGCTCCCCATGGCCATGTTGAAAATATCGTATAATATCATTTCGCCACTGCTCAACAGCTTCAGCTCTACTTGAACAGAATAAGTAATTCGAAATCAACCCTTACCCCTTTGAGTCCTGCTAGTGTCTCTCGATTTGAAATGTCGAATGCGATAACGACGACATCAGGATGGAGACTTGTCCAATGCTGATTAGGATTTGAAGTATCATATAGCTCCAATGTGAACTTCCTCTTTGAAAATCGTATATCGTAAATGAATGGTTGATCACTATCCCGCAGGATATCGAAATGAGTATCCGGTGGAGTGCTACCTTGTGATGGTATAGGCCGCTTGCCACTCTTCAGGCGCCTGCACAAGCGTCAATCTCCATCCTCGGGACATTTCCCTCAATCTCTAGTAGTGGTACGGGATAGGTAGTGGCTCCTGAATTGGAGGTGTGAAGGTTCTAGACTCACGACAAAAAGGTGGACTTGCCACAACCGGGGTCCCCCAAGAGCAGCATCGTGACCGTTTTTTCGGTCTCAGGGGCCTCTGATTCACTCATTCTGCTGATTACTTCTCATAATAATCCTCTTCAAATGATTAGCATCTTCGCCGCGTTCGTGGAGGCAAAAGTGGTGTTAAGAGGCGCGTGGATAAGGTTGGTCACTGAGCGGAGAAGGTAGTTGGATAAGCTTATTGGATTTACACCGAGATAAATTCAGCACACGATGATTATTCCCCTCAGGTTAAAGTCACGCTGGTTAGGATTTGCGTAAGAAATATATCCTCATAGATCTACTTGGGCTTGGAATAGCCATATATTCTCCAGATACAATAGATTAGTGTCACAACCCTTCACGCCATGAAGATTTATTGCCATTTGACAGTACAGTACCTGGTATATTACGTAAAATACAAACTGCTCCGCGGACTTCAAATTTCTACCGTCTTCAAATTAGCTCGCCTTAGCACGGGGTGGATTCAATCTCGCATTCACTCTCCGGTGGCATGTGGAGGCCACAATCAAGGTCCATTCTACTAAGGTTGCTTCGAACCCACACCATCAAACAGCAAACGTGTTTCCTGAACGATCGCTGCTCACCAACGCCACAAAACATGACGGGCACCAGCGATGACGGGAGCCCCGACTACACGACCTGGAGCAATTCCAGCCTGATCGAGCGCATCACGGAACTCGAGCGCCAGCTGCACTCGCAGACCACACAGTACACAGCACCGGCGTCCGCTATCGGCGAAGCAGTACCCCGCGCACCCATCGCTACTGATGTTAGTGAACCTGCGATTCCTCTCGCCGAGACAGACACCAACCCCTCGAAGAAGAGGCGGGCACACTCTCCGGAAGGCGATATCTGCCATGCACCTGCGCCCTCACGTCCCACTAAGGAGTATCGTGAATTTGATGCGTCGAAATACCACACCCGGTTCATTGCCCTCAAATTCGCCTACTTGGGTCAACGGTACAATGGACTAGAACATACGAACGGGAACACCACGCCGCTTCCTACGATCGAAGAGACACTGTGGAAGGCGCTGCGCCGGACACGATTGATTCTTCCTGAGACTTCATCTCCGGCTGACGAACCGAATGATGCTGGGCCGAGGGAGCAGCGGCCCTACTCCATTCACTGGGATGGGTGCGATTACTCGAAAGCCGGGAGAACGGACCGCGGCGTGAGTGCATTTGGACAAGTTATTGGTCTAAGGGTTCGCAGTATGCGGCCTCAGCCGAAACCCAAGGCTTCTACCGAGAATCATGATCTACAAGATGGCAATGCTATGCAGGTCGAGGAACCGGCTGCAGACAAGGACTGGGATGATATCGCGGATGAAATCTCCTACATACAAGTCCTGAACAGAGTACTTCCAGAGGATATTCGTGTTCTCGCTTGGTGCCCACACCCTCCGGAGGGGTTTGATGCCCGTTTCTCCTGCCGCGAACGCCGCTATCGATACTTTTTCACCCAGCCCGCGTTCTCTCCCACTCCTGGCGCGTTTGGCTTTGAGAATCGCACAGGAAGTGGAAAAGGTGAGCGTACCAAGTATCGCGAGGGTTGGCTGGATATCGACGCTATGCGCGAAGCTGCCAAGCACTTTGAGGGTACTCATGACTTCCGAAACTTCTGCAAATTGGACACAAGCAAGCAGATTGAGAACTTTGAACGAGTAATTTTCCACTCTGATATCCAACTCGTCAACCCGAAAACAAACCCTGTGGGCTATGTCGGCCAAACTGGATTTCAAATAACAGAGGACTTCGAAGCGGATGTGGATATGTTTTCCGCGGAGAAGCCCAATCCCACTATTCCACAGGTGTACTCCTTCGATCTATATGGATCTGCCTTCTTGTGGCACCAGGTTCGGCACATGGTGGCCATCCTCTTCTTGGTCGGTCAAGGGCTCGAGTCTCCGTCCATAGTTCCCGAGCTATTGGATGTTGCCAAGAATCCCCGAAAACCAGCATACGATATGGCTTCCGATGCGCCTCTAGTGCTGTGGGACACCATCTTCCCAGACGAGAGCACTGGCAGCCGGGAAGACGCCCTGGACTGGGTTTATGTTGGCGATCCCCGCCTGAACAAGAGCCGTAGTGCCAAGGGCGATAGCAAGTACGGTATGAAGGGTGTCGCTGAGAGCCTATGGGCGGTCTGGAGACAACGCAAGATGGATGAGATCTTGGCTGGAGCGCTGCTGGATTTGGCCGTCAGTCAGGGTGATCAGAGCCTGGTACAGGACATGGAGGGTAAGCAGGGCACTAGCAAGAAACAGAGCAGAGGCGTCAAGATCTGGCTGGGGGCGGACGAAGCTCGTATCGGTGGAAAATATGTCCCCGTCATGAAAAAAGCCAAGACGGAGGCTGTGGAGGTTCGCAATGCTAAGTGGCTTGCGGCCAAGCAGCGCAAAGAGGCTAACAAGGAGGCCGAGGCGAAGAAAGACGAGACATAGAGATGCATATAATTACACTCACCAATTGAACCTTGTGTCATATCAAGAGTCAAAAGCATCAGGCAGTAGTCTAATTTTTCTTGTCTTCTCGATGATCTCCCGCTTGAACAGAGGCGTTCAGGGTGATTATTGATCCATATTCTTTGCAAGGAATGCCGCCATATATCTTGGTGCATCATGACTTCGCATCGTAGAGACAACGTCGGGAGCCTCTCCAGACTTCCTCTAAAATCTCCCGTTTTGGAAGCAGTTGCTGAATCAAAATCCATGTTAACGCAGAACGGATGCTGGTCGAGGGACAACTGACTGGGAAGACCACCAAAACATCGGGCTCTCCCTCCACAATGACAGCAAGGTAGAACCGGACCTCAAATCCCTTAAAAGCCTCATGGATCACAATGTCTTGGATTTGTGTTGTAGGAATGAATCTTGTCGCAGCCGTAGAAAGATAGGTGGAGGACGACGTTGAGGTCTGGATTCCAAAGCCTCGGATGACTAGGAGCGATTCCTCTGCCAAGCTGTTAGATAGTGTACAAACTTCAGCACACCATAAATGAGCCGCCCTTACCGGTATAGCTCCTCCTGAAAACTCCATAGACAACCAATGCGCATAACACGGTAATCACCCACGGGTTATATGCGTCCACCAAGCCGCAGACATGCAGCCCGAGAGGACTCGACCACACATCTTGCCAAGGTATAATAATGAGCTTCCCCTCCGCAAAGAATTGTCGTCGAAGCCGTGCAATTCCGACCACGATGACGCAGCAGAAGAGGAATGCGCGCAGGAGAATCTGGAAGCCAAAGAGGATCTTCGCGGGGGATTTGGATCGCCGCGGCGTATTGGAGACGGTAAAGCTGACGGTCGTCGGAGAAGGCCGCTGGACTGTAAGGCGGCCCGGCATTGTTGGAGCCCGGGGGTTTAAGGGGTGTAATATGACCCGAAATGCCCTGGAGAGTCGATGAACGCTGTAAGTGAACACTGCCCCCCAGCTTCCGCGCCGCGGAAGAAGCTCACCCCGAACTAAACACACGCTAGTCCATTTTTGGATCGGGCGGAGAAGCACCTGCAAACCCCCATCACGTGTCTCACCGTTGCGGTCCCCGTTGACATCGGGGCTGGACTTTCGGGCACCAACACAATTCCCTCTTTTCTCGACCTCTACAGCATGAGCGATCGAGATCGAAGCCGGTCACCCCGCCGACACGATACCGGTGACCGAGATCGACCGAAGAAGACGGGCGGCTTCCGATGGAAGGAGAAGAGGCGCCACGATGAATCCCGCGGCGATGACCGCAGGTTAGACCGTGGATACAGAGACCGAGGGGACCGCCCACACTCACCACGGAGGGATCGCGATGGCGACGGCCCCGGAGATAGATCCAGAGACAGCGATCGTGACCGCGATCGTGAGCCGCGACGACGCGACGACCGCAACGCACCCCGGGAAGACCGCGAGAAAACAGAGAAGAAGGAGAAGAAAAAGAAACTCGTTGCGCCGCAGTCATCCGAGCCCATGATTGTTGTCCATGTGAACGACCGTCTGGGCACCAAAGCTGCGATCCCCTGTCTGGCCTCGGATCCTATCAGTAAGTCCAGCCCCGGCATCTTATGGAGACTCCTGGCCCAGCCATACTCATACCACCTTCGTTTTCAGAGCTCTTCAAAGCCCAAGTTGCCGCCCGAATCGGTCGTGAACCACACGAGATCCTTCTAAAACGCCAGGGTGAACGTCCTTTTAAGGATCAGTTGACATTGGAGGACTACGGCGTGAGCAACGGAGTACAGCTTGACTTGTGAGCCTCAGCGTTACCCCCATTATGTTCTTTACCATTCGCAATGCTGACTGCTTCTTAGGGAAGTCGGGACTGGCGATTAAGTGAAAGCCAGAGCCCGAATGAATTCAGGGTGTTCGGCGGGACAGTTCGGCGTTTTGAAAAATTCCACGGAACCGGGGCATGGGAGCGTTACGCTTATTTTCTCTCACTCTCTGTCTCTTCAATGTTTACTTTATGTTTTCCTACCTATGGACTATGGACTATATGGACTATGGACTCTGTTGGATAGGGTATCATCCCAAGGTATCTGGATATCCAGCAAAGGATGACTCAGCCAGCAAGTCTTCCACCAATTGAGGTTCCCGGGTAGCGAGATCGCCGTAGGTACCTGAAGTCGCTTGTGCATTTCCGTCGCCGTTTTGCTGCGGGGCAAGCAGGCCGCTTGCACCGATGCCGCAGTGCGAATGCCTGATGACGCCTGAGGCAACGGGCGGCAACCAACCCGAGGCCAAGACCCGGTCCACTCTGCAAAGAGGCTTTTTTTCTATTGCGGGACTCACATGGGTAATTCTTTTTTTCTATGCCATTGCCTGAACTGAAGCCCCCCGATCACCTCGAGTCTTCGCGATGAGGTAGTCGCTCTACTTTCCACTCTTCACCGTCTCCCTCCCCCAGTTGCTCTTCTTGCACTTTGTACCATCCGCCCTGGTCCATCCGTCCCTCCGATCCCTCACACGTCCTCCACACGATCCAGCGCCTTCCCGACACCCTCCATCTCGAATCTCGACCCTCTCGCAATCATTTCGTCAGCAACAGAACGCGCGATGGTCCGCAATCTTGTCGTCATCGGGGGCACCTCCCATCCCCAGTTGACTCAGACCATTTGCGGCGTACTTGGCATTCCCCCAGCCGATGTCCTGCTCTCCAAGTTTGCCGTGGGTGAGACCCGGGTTGAGATCCAAGAGTCTGTTCGTGGAAAGGACGTCTATATCATCCAGTCCGGCGGTGGTAAGGTCAACGACCACCTGCTGGAGCTCCTCATCACAATCTCCGCCTGTAAGACGGCCTCGGCGCGACGAGTGACGGCCGTTCTTCCTCTCTTCCCCTACTCTCGCCAGAGTGACATCCCATACGACAAGGCGGGAGCTCCCCTCGTCAAGTCCTCCGTGCGGGACCGCCCCAACAATGGTTACACTTTTGAGAGCACTCCCTCCACCCCGGGGCCTGGCATGAAAACTGAGGGCCTGGGTTTGCTGAACAGCATGGACAACCTGCAGAAGAGCCTCGCGAAGGCCCAGCTTGAAGAGAGCAATGGCAGTCCGGTAAAACGGCGTCCCGGGAACGGTCTTCCGCGGAGTGACACTGCTGACTCTCTCAAGTCTCTGACCACCAACGGCGTGCCGGAGGACACCGCCAGCAGTGCGTCCACCTCCTCCAAGATCAACTCTTTCCAGCCACGCCCAGGCTACAAGCAGTGGGTCGCACAGGCAGGTACCCTGGTGGCAGACCTGCTCACCTGTGCTGGCGCGGATCACATCATCACCATGGATTTGCACGACCCGCAGTACCAGGGCTACTTCGATATCCCTGTGGACAATCTCTACGGACGTCCTCTTCTGAAGAGCTACATTCAACGCAACATCCCTAACTACAAGCAGGCCGTCATCGTCAGCCCCGATGCAGGTGGTGCTAAGCGCGCCACGGCCATTGCCGACTCCATGGGCATGGAGTTCGCCCTTATTCACAAGGTAAGGATTGGCTCTCGATCCCTCTGATATCCAGCGACATTCACCTGACTATCTATGCAGGAGCGCCGGCCCACAAAAATTACAGACCGCCAGAATGCCACCATGATGCTGGTGGGTGATGTCCGTGACCGGACAACCATTCTCATTGACGATCTGGCGGACACATCCAACACAATTACCCGGGCGGCGAAGCTCCTAAAGAAGGAAGGTGCCTCCAAGGTGTACGCCTTGGTGACCCACGGCATTCTGAGCGGCGATGCCATCGAGCGCATCAACGCCAGCTCCCTCGACAAGGTAGTGGTGACCAACAGCGTGGATCAGAGCGACCACCTGCGCCGCTGCCCGAAGCTTGAGGTCCTAGAGGTCGGCCACGTTTTTGCTGAGGTGCGTTACATACGTCCAATCCATTACGCCACTTGAAATTTTTTGCTGACCGCTCAACTCCAGGCCATCCGCCGTGTCCACCACGGTGAAAGTATCAGCGTTCTGTTCCAGTATGATTGATTTCTTACCAATCATTCTTGCATGAAAGACAACAGAAACACCTCAAAAAGAAATGCTGGCTTTTTTTTCCTTTATCCTAACCGGCATGCTCTAAATGAATTTCTTTGGATCTACAGGCGTTGTCTTCGACGCAGAGTCATTTTCCTATCCATCTTTACCACAACTTTGTTCTTATTGTCCCACAACATAGAAACCTTGGTCCCAGTAGACTTGGTGTCCCGAGAGTGCGTTCCTGTATTACTGTGCTTTCGTGTTGCTCTCACTCTCATCCTTGCCCTTGGGTCTGGCTGGCTGCTTTTCCCGAATAATGTTTGAACTAGTTATGTCTAGGGCTCCCTTACTTGCTTTCTGTACATACTACCTAGCTCGAGTATTGACAAACATCTCGATTCGAATTTCAGAAACCGTCCTGGTAGCCTGTAATCCGCCTATCCAGTATCAAGTGCGATTGAACACCTCCACGATGGAACCATCTTCAAAGGGCAATGGGGCTACCTACGGCAAAGAGTGATTGAAATATGCACCGTCATTCTGTTTGACCCGGCAGTGGTTACGACGGGTACATGCAATAATATCGACCGGATAATGTCTAGCGGGGGCTATCCTGTCTCGGCTACCGCCGCTTTTATAAGGGCGCGATAATCAGCCGGAACAACCTTCCAAGGTTGGCTGTTCCAAATCGCATTCCTGGTAACCTTCTTAATTACCAAATTTCCCCATAGAGAATTTTCTACCCCTTGGGATAGAACATGGAATGCTAGTAAACATCTCTATATGGTCTCATTGACTAAAACGATGATCAGCAGTAAGTAGTTCTTTGATACCGCTTACTGCTTCACCTCCCCAAATATATCTCTTGGCCAGCAAATTGAGTAGGCCACGATAGCAAAATGTTTAGGATATTGGGCTTCATCCCATATTTTCTTGAAGGTTCAAAAGCCTTGCTACCTAAAACCAGTGAAATTACATCCAAGATGTTAAGGGGGAGGCTGGAAACTAAAGTAGCTAGTCACAGTGCCACGATGCAAAGTTTTGCGCCCAGCGGTGTTTGATTGGGTGAGCTACAGACCAGTTATTTCTCAATGCTCCCATCAAGATAATAATCTACATTTGGATCTTTTTATTTCAGTGATCTACTTATCCCTATATTTATTTAATAGTAAAGGTCATAGTCGGGTGTAACTGGAATGTAGGGTGGGAATGGTAGACACCACCCTATTCCTGATGGATGGTAATAAGGCTGGACTACATATACATTATAGTGAACTATCTATTCACCTAGGTACCTGAGGGCCCATTATAATGGTTTCGCTGCTCCAACTCTTGCTAACAGCTATGCGCTCCCTATCCACTGCTCTCTGCATTTGTTTCTTTATCTGTCTGTCTTCTGCTGCTACTATCAAGTATGACTGGCACGTAAACTGGATCACTGCCAACCCTGATACACTGCAACCACGGTCAGTAATAGCAGTAAGTGATAAAACCGGATAATTCTAACTGTCTATAGTCCTGTTATTGCTATTAATGGAAAGTGGCCTTCTCCTGCCCTCAGGGGAAAGGTTAACGACACACTCGAAGTAACCGTTCATAATGACCTCGGAAACCAGTCATTATCAATGCACTGGCATGGGATTCATATGACAGGTAACAATAAAGATGATGGAGTTCCCATGGTGACACAATGTCCTGTCACCCCGGGAGCATCATATACATATACCGTTCATGTTTGACTTGTCTCTATCCGGCTTTACGTAAAGACTCCAACATTATTTTTTTTAGCTCGGTCAACCAGGAACTTACTGGTACCACAGTAAGTTCGCTACTCAACCAAATCGCAAGTCCCACTTTACTGATCTGATACATAGGCCATTCCCCGAGCCAATATGTCGATGGTCTTCGTGGTCCCCTCATAGTTGATGATCCCCATTCTCCCTACGCTGCCACATGTGATGCCGAGTTAGTCATGACTGTCTCTGATTGGTACCATGGTAATGTTAATTTACGAAATTTGCGACCTAAATACTAAATGGCCCATAGAACAAGGAGCAACACTGCAACAATACTATCTCTGTATGTCTTCCGGGGCATGAATTCAGCAGTGATTAATAAAATGAACAGCACTACCAGGAAACCCAAACGCTCTTGAGCCAATTCCTGTTTCTGCTCTAATGAATGATCAAGAACAGCCCACCTTTCCCGTCGAAGCGAATAAGACCTATTATCTGAGGATTATTAATATGTCAGGATTCGCGCAATTTTACTTTCATATTGATGGTCATAATATGTCCATTATTGAAGCAGATGGTGTCTATTCTGCTGCTCAGCCTGTTGAAGATCTCTACATTGCAACTGGCCAGCGTTATGGTGTCCTCCTGAAGACAAAACCAACTGCAGACCGGAACTTCGCAATTCTGGGGGCAATGGACCTAACAGGGTTTCCAGGATCTGCACCCCCGCCACCCCACCCAAATGTGACAGGAGCACTTGTTTATAACCGTATGATTCATCATATCTCCCTTGCTATGCATCAAAACTTTGCTCATAACCTTCAGGTCATCTCCCATTTCCTTCAACACCGTCCGTGGAAAGTTTTACGACGTTCGATGACTTGTGCCTGGTTCCTTTTGACCAGATGCCTCTACTCGGACCACCTGATCAACAAATTGTTCTCAACTTGAGTACATTCTCCCAGCTAGTTCCAGGGAACGAGCAAAATCGGTATAGCACAATCTTTTATTCTCTCACTCCTCGCCTCTCTTTCTCCCCCTCTCGATATGGAGTAAATTAGTGTTTTCTGTTGACTGGGATACAGTGCGGGATTTAATAATATCACCTTCATACCACAGAAGGTCCCATCTCTATACACCGCTCTGTCAGGTCAACAGTATGCTCTGAATCCTATGTGAGTTGCCCTTGCCCTCTTATGACAACCTCAGACTGATATCTTTCAATATAACATAGTGTATATGGGAACCATTCGAATCCATTCGTTCTCAAGCCAGTGGTCCTTAAACAAGGTGAAATCGTTGAAATTGTCGTATACAACTTTGGTTAGTGAGGCGATCCATTATCTCCGAGCCCCATCATTGCTACTTCGAGGCCGACATCAGACTAAAAAATTATGAAGATACTGGAATACATCCGATCCACCTTCACGGCCACACTGTTCAACTGGTGGCTCGCACAAATAGCACATGTAGCAATAGTCCCATCCCAATGAGACGTGATACGTGGATGGAACCGCGCTGGAATTCGTCAGACCCGAATCATCCCTCTACCGTGGTCAGGTTCCAAGCAGATAACCCAGGCGTATGGTTTTTCCATTGCCACATGGAGTGGCATTTGGTTGCGGTAAGGATGGTTTTCTTTTGCCTTTTCAGAGAGATCATATTCCTACACCAACTAGCTATCTGCTGAAGCAACATATTTTAGGAAGATGACTGACTCACTCTTGAATTAGGGAATGGATGTTATCTTCGTCGAAGATCCATTGGCGATCCAGAAGGTACAATCTGGTATTCCAACTTCAATGAGGGAAATTTGCGAGAAGCAGAACATACCACTCAAAGGCAATGCGGCTGGAAATTATCCGGATTTTTTGAACCTCACTGGAGAGGTCGATATAGCTCCTATGGAATGCGGGTGTGTTCTTATCTTCCTACGTCTCCAAGGCCACACTTACTATGTTGAGATGAAATGCTGATGATCATATAGGGCTGCTTATCCTCCGTGTATGAAGTAATGGTGAATGTAAATGAATACCAGGGGTAGCTCTTGAGAAGATAGTCTTAGCTTAATGCATTGTTAATCCGCTCTCACTTCTTGTTCTCCGGAGCTATATCCAAGATGGCTCTTTTATCTCAGTATTGGGGCTTGGGGCGCTAAACCTAAAAAGGCAAAACTAACCGGAAAAGGCAATATCCAGGTCCTCAGATCAGGCTCAGGAAGTGAATCAGGTCGATAATCACTAACCAGCTCGGGTTAATCAGGGGCGTACTCAATTCTACTCAGCAAGCAAAAGCGGCGAGAGAGGAAGCACTAGAATGGAAGGAGACCGCCAGGACTTGCCAGACATTATCCGGTATATATGCTCGAACTAAAATTCTTCTAACTCAATTTTTGTCCTCGGTTTCTCATGTGGTATCAAAATACCCCTTTCTTTAGGGCTGTTTCTTAGGCACTGTACCCAGTTGGTGGTTGTTTGCAGACCTACAACACCATTAAAGTGCAACTACCTTTTGCTCTTGTATCTGAGCGCTGCTACACTACCCTCGCAAGATCGATATGTATACCAGGGAGCTGCTCATCTGGTCGATGAATTTTGCTCTTCTATTTCACAAAGAGAGATCACGAAATTGTCCAACGCCTGAGAAAGCAAAAAGCCAAGAAAGCCGAAACCAAGTTTGGCCATCGCCCTAGCCAGGGCAGGTGATGCGCTCACTTTAATACTTCAGAAAGAAACGAACTGGGTACTCAATATAACGAAGTTGGCTGCCCGCAAGAAAAGGAAATGCACACGGCGGTGGAGGGGGTAAGTACAGTAGGAACAAAGGTCATGAGATATCCGAGGCTCTAGAAGACGGAGATGAAGTTGCCAATCCGCTCCTTCTGGTTCTGGGCAATGCACTCCGAGATCCAGGTGACATTCCGGATTTCCTGTTCATTGTTAGCTTGAGAGGTCCTGAAACATGGATTGTGTAGACGAGTGGTCCGTACCTGCTCCTTCAGCTTCATCCACCCATATACCACCGCGGGCGTGAACTGTCGGGTGAACAAAACCTTCGACATCTCCATCTCCTTCTGGTAGAAGAGATCTTCAAGGCTCTTGCCGTCGGCAGGGCCTCCGCCCATGCCACCAAGGCCGCCGCCACCTTGGCTCAGACCCACGGCGTCGAAGAAGTTCTTGTAATCAGCGACGGCACTAACAGCCAAGGCCACACCCTCGACATCCTCAGCACGAGAAAGCATCAAACTACCCTCGGGATAGAGGTTGCCAAACTCGGGGTACAACTTCCTCCGCTCTTGCTTGGAGAGCTCCGTGCCGAAGGAGTTGAGGGTGATGTTGATGGAGCGGCGGTCAGCCTCAAATTGCAGAATCTCCGACATGACTTCCTGGGTCGGACCAGCGAAATCCGGGTGGGAGTTTACAAAGTTATAGAAGTCCTCCAGGTAGTTTTTGTACAGAGTGTTGCGGACGATCTCAATGTTCAGTTCATCCAGATCCTGGTGGCTGAGGCTGCCTTTGAAATACGCGGCGAGGGGGGTCTCGATCAGCACCGAGTTGTACAGCTCCTCGATGTTGGTTGCAACACACAACACCGGAAGAGTCTCGAACCAGCCGAGCGGGTGGCATCGCTCCAGGAGTTCCCGAGTGTCTCGCTCGTGCAGGGTACCGGTGATCAAGAGGGCGATGTTGTCAATCATGTAGCCGTATGTCAAGTACTCGAGAAATTTGGCAGTCGAGCCGACGGACTGGGCGATGAGGTACCGGAATTCAGAGACCATCTTGTCGGTCATCTTGCCTGCGAGGGCAGAGGTGGAGGGGTTCGGGGGGAGAGCGGCAAGAAAGTCGCCGTAGGCTGGGCCCAGCTGCAGCTTCACATCTGTGATGGTAGGTGTCAGACAACATATTGAATGGTCGGGGAACTGCAAATTGTGTACCGTCAATAGTTTCGCATTGTGTCAAGTTGTTGTAGTTCTGGCCGCTCAGAAGGCTGTTCCGATACCCCCGAACAATGCCCTCGACGTAGCTGGGAGAAAATCAGCGCTATGACAACCCAGGATAAATGCAGAGCCACCTACCCGCCATTAACATTAAAAAAGAGGCCCTCCATGTTGCGCGGGGTGGGAAGATGATTTGGGGGAGAACAGCTGTAGCTCCTCGACGCCGTATGCCGGCGGCTCTTACATAATCTGACCACAGCCACGCCTGTGGCTAGTGATTTTGCACTTTTTTCTTCCGTGCAAAATTTCTAGATTTCTCCTCAACGGTGAATGCGTCCACGGTCCACAATCCCCCCTCTCGTCTTTCTTTTCCTTTTCGACCTGGGCCCCCTTGTCCTCTAGCTGAACACCTTTTTCCTCCCCCAAAGCCCACTCGCCGTGGTCGCCAACCATGTCGCTTTTCATCCTCACCGAAACCAGCGCGGGTTATGCCCTGCTGAAGGCCAAGGACAAGAAGCTCTTCAAGCGGGAGAAACTTCCCGAAGATGCTTCCTCTGCCGAGGGTATCTCTAATATGTATGTTTATGATCCCTCTAGCAAGAAAAACCCCTCTGGGGCGGGGATGAAAATCCACGAAGTTGGCGCAAAAAATTTTGTTGCATCCAATGCAGACAACACAGCCATGCTAACTTTGCATGCAGCTTCAAGTTGAAGAACTTCAAGAAGTTCGATAGCGCCGCTACAGCTGTGGAAGAGGCCGCGTCCATCATTGAGGGCAAGGTTACTCCCCTTCTGTCGGAGGTTCTGAAGGATCTCAAGGATGAGAAGAAGGCCTCTCTGGCCGTTGCCGACGTCAAGCTCGGTATGTTTCGCTAATTAAGTCGCAATTGGCCATCCACTGACCTGAATTGCCCTTAGGTAACGCCATTAGCAAGATGCCTGGATTCTCCCTCGAGCTCATCGCTGACTCGAGCACCGCCGATGCCTTCCGTGCCATCCGTGAGCACCTGATCACCCTGATCCCTGGCCTTGCCCCCAGTGATATGTCTGCCATGTCCCTTGGTCTGTCTCACTCTCTCGCCCGTCACAAGCTCAAGTTCTCGCCCGATAAGATCGATACTATGATCGTCCAGGCCATCGGTCTGCTGGATGATCTTGACAAGGAGCTGAACACATATGCTATGCGTGTGAAGGAATGGTACGGCTGGCACTTCCCCGAGCTTGCTAAGATCCTGAACGACAACATTGCCTACGCCAGGCTCGTCCTGACGATGGGCATGCGCACCAACTGGGAGACCGTTGATCTCTCGGAGATTCTGCCCGAGGAGATTGAGGGCGCCGTTAAGTCTGCTGCTGATCGCTCCATGGGTACCGAGATCAGTGAGGAGGATCTGGAGAACATCCAGGCTCTGGCCACTCAGGTTGTTGAGTTCGCTGAGTACCGCCAGCGTCTTGCCAGCTACCTGACCTCCCGTATGAACGCCATTGCTCCCAATCTGACTGCCCTTGTCGGTGACCTCGTTGGTGCCCGCCTCATTGCCCACGCTGGCAGCCTGACCAGCCTTTCTAAGAGCCCCGCCAGTACCATCCAGATCCTGGGTGCCGAGAAGGCTCTCTTCCGTGCCCTTAAGACCAAGCACGACACTCCTAAGTACGGTCTGATCTATCACGCTTCTTTGATTGGCCAGGCCACCGGCCGCAACAAGGGCAAGATGGCCCGTATCCTCGCCGCCAAGGCTGCGCTCGGTATTCGTGTGGATGCTCTGGCTGATTGGGATGAGGATGTCACCGAGGAGGAGAAGGCTGCTCTCGGTACTGAGGCTCGCTTCAACATGGAGCGCAAGCTTGCTGGCATGGAGGGCAAGCCCATGAAGCCCCGCGGTGTTGCCATTGGCCCCAACGGCGCCGCTCAGCCCCAGAAGTTCGACCTGAAGGAGGCCCGCAAGTACAACCCCGACGCGGATGCCCTGGCTAGTGACGAGCCCGCGGAGCCCACATCAGCCAAGAAGTCTAAGAAGGACAAGAAGAAGCTGGTTGAGGACGTCGAGGAGAAGGAAGACGAGGAGATGGCCGATGACGACTCCGATGATGAGGATCAAGTAAATGGTACCGCAGACACTGAGCTCGAGAAGCTTGCGGAGAAGGCTGGTCTCAGCGTTAAGCGGTATCAGCGCAAGCTCGAGCGAGGCGAGATTACCTTCGACGCTGCTGGCAACCCAACAGCAATCAGCAAGAAGGATATGAAGAAGGCCAAGAAGGATGCCAAGAAGGCGAGCAAGGAGGACGGCAAGAAGCGCAAGCGCGATGACGGTGATGACTCCGAGAAGAAGAAGAAGAAGAAGAGCAAGGGCGAGTAAATGGTCCTATTCGTTCAAAAGTTTCGTGCAATGTGATGGATGGCTTTCGCGGATATGTATGATATCACTTTTTTGTTTCGCGGCCTTGCTCGCTACGCATGTTTGGGGGCATTTCATGGTTGATCTACCTGTTTATTTTTTTATTTATGGCGCACACGGTGCTTGATGGTACAAGGCAGTACAGTTTTCTAGCTGAATAATCTGTTTATACTTCATTTGTCACGTAGCTTGTAGATTCGATCCGAGTAGTATTTTTTGAGTGTCCACCGCCCCGGTGCTGTATACTGCAAATCCACGGCAGACCGACCACTACACCGCCTGTTTTATGCGGGCACAATGAGCTTTTTTCCATCAAGGCGACTTACACTTCCACTTTCCACTTTCACATATCCACCCGGGCAACACAATGAGGGTAAGACGGCTCCTAATGAGATAATAGCATTTGCTGACTTTCCTTATCAAGATCCTCGATCCCCAAACTGCGGTTCTCACCAATATCGAGGTGCTGGCCTACCTTACCTCCAACCCACCCCACCGCCCTCCGAGTCGGCCACCCAATGCGCGACAATGGGTACCAAGCCCAGATTTGAGGGACCATAACACAGTCGTCAAGGAGGTAAGCGCTTATGTGCTATTTCATTGTCAATTCCAGCCCTCTTCGATGTCTGGTATAGCAGATCACGTAACAGTGTCTATCGCACAGCCAAGACCACATACCACCCCTCTTCGAACTGGATACTATCCTAATATCACTCACCATTAGGCAAACTCCTAGCTAATCAACGCTTTCTCAGATCCACAACTATGTCGCGCGCATCTCTCCCCATCTCCTCAAATACCCGCGGTACACAGCCCGGCCCACCTCCTCCCAGTCCCAAAGCCAGGCAGCCATGACCCGGACCATGAGGCCAAATGCCACAACCGAAGTCGACCCCTCTACCCTCCCACCGCCAGTCCAATCCACAGAGTCAACACCTATGGATCACGCGCTCCGCGAGCTCATTTCCAGACTCCAGCCCTACGGCCTGACAAAAGCTGAGGTTGTCACGATTCTGAATTTGGGAATCGGTCTCTCTGGAGGCGAATCGGATGGCCCGGCAGGAGAGGTGGGTGGGGATGGGGAGATGGAGGTGGATGAGGCGCCGGCTGTGAACGGGGAAGGCGAGGCGGATGGGGAGGGTGAAGGGGGCGAAGATGACGGCGCTGACTACGGCGTGCTGGCGCTGTTCGACTCCGTCATTGAGGAGCGCGAGGACCGCATGTCAGATGAGGACCTCGTTGCTATCTTAGGGATAATTCGGGAGACATTGTCGGAGAATTATGGGAGTTGAGAAGGGCTGGGTGAAGGGGACTGTTGCCTGTGTCGAGTAAATAAAACTTTGATATCCCGAGGCTTGGTGCCTCAGTTCGAACGTGCTTATATCACGATGATTTGAAAATTTCAGCCTTGTATTCATTGTATATACACCATTCAAGCAATTATCCTTGCATTAATCTATGATACATCCCGAATTATAACCAAGAACTCCATAATGAACGGCCAAGAGTACGGCCATGATGCCATGGCCTTGGAACGAGGACACAGCAGTGGTATCGAGCAAAATAAAAGGGCACTGGCTCACTTGCCAGGAGAGACACCATACATGCATGTTTCTCCTACGCAAAGATGGCCGGATTAATCAGACGTGCACAGAAAGCCCACGGATTCGGCGCCAAAGCCCGGTAGTCTATGAGAGCAAACCCTGCTCTACAGAAGCCTTGGACCAGCGAGCTTGGTGGGTTGAACATAAAAGTTTGGAAACCCATGGCGAAGCAGGCTTGAAGGCCGCACAAAACGACCGGCGGTCAAAATTCCAATGGATATCAAACGAGACGATTCACATCTCTAAACGTATTTTTCTTCTTCCTTTTCTTTGCCTTTGATGAGGTTTCCGAACTGGTTATAGACCGGCTCAGCCGGGTCACCGTTCTCCTTGGCCCACGGGCCAAGATCATCATCGAAAAGATCTCGCTCCTGGCCCTCGCAGACTTCGGAAAGCGTGACCCAGTTCCCATCGTCAGTCCAAAGCCCGCCACGTCCACCGCGCATGTCCCACCAGTCTTGGCCACCCAAAAGCGCTGACTGTGCAGCGTCAAAGCCGTGCGACGAGCGGACGTATCGCCGGAGCAGAGCACGGGCCCAGGGGAAGAACCACATGTTTTCCCACCAGGAGTTGCGAAGTTTGGGGTCTCCGTTGAGGTGAGCCAGGACTGGAACAGAGGCGGAGTAGGGGTTTGTCATGAGAGGGATGCTGTCCCACGAGTGATCATTCGGGTTTGGTAGATGGTCCAGAGTGCCGTTGTATGCTGGCGTTGTTGTCTGCTCGTTGGCAAAGCGGGTCTGGTTGAAGGGATTTGGAAGAGCCGCAATATCCTCCGGCAGTAGGAGTCGGTGCTCTCGTGGGACACCAAACTGACCTTGGAGGAGGGAGGTTTTGGTGATATTGTTGAACTTGATCCATTCAACGTCGTTGCGCGAGAGGATCTGGGTGAAGAACAGCTGAGACTCGTAGTCGACGCCAATACCATACTCGTAACGATGACCAGTCTCGAGGCGGACGCTGATACCATCGATGTTGACGGCATCTGATATACCTAGCATCCCATAAACCCACTCCTTGACCCTATTGACCGTACGGAGACGCTCCAGCTCTCGAATCACTTCCTGCCGTCCAAAGATCTGGGTCAGAGCCTGGTAGTCGGCGTGCTTCTTATGGCGCTCTGCGATCACACGCAGTGCTTCATCATATATGATTCTCACATCAGCAGCCTGACCAACCACCGCACCGGGATTCAACCATCGAGGCCGGTTCAAATGTCCATCCGGATACGTATCCGTCTTCCATCCGTACACATCTGGGGGTAGAGAGGACGCGGGGACAGAGACGCAGCCAGGGTCGCCTTCCAACGCACTATAACAGAGCTTGCTGGCGCCAAAAAGAACCCGCTGTGTGTACTTCTGCACCAGATCGGAGGGGGCGCCCTGGGGCTTCTCTACCACCGCATAGCCATACTTCTTCTGCAGCTTGCCGTTGTTTTTCCTTATGATATCCTGGAACCGTTTGATCAACACTCGCGGGGGCAGCTGGAAGATAACATCCTGGGCATCGACAACCAAGACGAAATCTCGATCCTTCACGATCCGGCTGTTCTTCAGATAATCCCGCACGCGGGTGATCTGATCCACCGTGCGCTCGAACTCAGTCGCCCCAGACTTCTCACGGCCGTATCCGATTAACGTTGGCGGTGGGTATCCGAGGATCATTGCGGACGTCATCGTGCGGCAGGCGCCGCGGGAGCCCTTCGCGGTAGGGACGAGGACATGGAGGTGGGGGTAAGTCGTGTCCAGGTCGTGAGGGAGGGTGTCGTTCACCGTGACATCTGACTTCCGAGGAAGAGCGACCTGCGCATCTTCTGGGCGTTCGGGGAAGGGGTGACGAGATGGGAACTTGGTCCAGAAGTCAGGCTCGGGTTGCTAGATGTCAGTCGTTAACATTCGTTGTACCCCCCAGCAAACGTGGCCGATCACGGTATGCCCATTCCACGGCCGGTTGGGAAAAGATCTTCACTCACCCTAGACGATGAAGATAGCATCCATAAGAAGAGCAGAAACGAGAGGGCAAAGAAGACGATTGCCTTCGCCCTGTGTGTCCGCGGCCGATAATGGGAGGCCTGCCAAAGCACGTTCGTGGCGGTCGACTTGGCCTCGTCGAACTGCGAGAATGGCGGGCTGGACGGCGCCATCCTAACGAAGAGACGCTCAGATGCGAGTGAGGAGAGACTGAGTGGACATTGCGCGCAGCTTCCAACGCTGCGGCGGTGGGACGTTTCAAGTACCTAAGGAAAGGCCACGCGGGAAGTACGCAATCGACGTGGAGATGAACCACTGCGGCGATCGGCGCGCTGGTGCCGTTTCCGGCACGAGCTGTCACAACGGTCGCACGCAACCATTGTACCCCGGCGCATATGTTGTTGGCAAAACTAAGTGGTCTAAATGAACAGAATGATGCTATTGGGCTGATTACTCCAGGTAAATCTCCTCCCGGAGCCGCTGCAAATTGCGGAACAGGCCGCCCCCGGGGCCTCCACTATCGCTATTCCGCCGCTGTTCTGTCCGCGACCTGGGCCCTCGCTGGCTCTCCTCGGCCCTCGCCTGCTGGTGCTCTAATATCCGCCGTCGCTCGTCCACGATCCTCGTCAGTGCATCTACAAACCGCTGGCGCGCTTTCTCCTCCGCTGAGCCCTTCCATACCACCGCCAAGGTTCGTAGAGCCTCCAGGCGACGGGTGGCTGCATCCAGCCCATTGCGGCCACCCCCATCGCTATCCAGCAGCTCCGATATCTCGGTCCGTAATTTCTTTAACATTTCCTGTCCCTTCTCTTCTTGGCTGTGGCTCTCGGCGCCCAGCTCAGGACCAGACACGGAAATAAAGGACGACGAGAAGGATATCTCGGACGGTGGGAGAGGCCAGTCCATTGCATCGCCGAAGGTCTGCACAACGTCTTCTAATCGGGATCGTACTTGATTGAGAGTGCGGAGGTTGGTGATGTATTCGGGGTCGTTCACGACCGCAAGATCCTTCTGCTCCTCTGCCGTTTCCTTCTCTTCCGTTGTAGCCGTGGTATCCTCAGTCGCCTCTTGCGTAAGCTCTGTCGTGCGTCCAGCCGTGAAAGCCTTTGCGGCCGATGGTGGATCTGGAACGAACTTGGTGATGTCGTCCCGCAGGACCTCGGTTAGGGTCTCGGACAGTCCAATTGTCTCGCCGCGTAGCACTTCCACCTCGTAGGCTAGCCGTCCACCGCTGCGGAGAATCTCATCGCTGAGCTGGGACAATGTACTCGATAGTCGGATATTCTGGGCGCTGATCTGCGAGAGCAATGATTGGACCTGGGCCGACAGCTCAGTGAGGGAGACGGAGCCCGGCGCCCGGGTAGCATTGGGCTGGGACGATGCCACCGTCAAGGGTGAGAGTGTCTCATTGAGGAACTCGGCCGGGTCGAAGTTCGGGTCACCAAAGTTGGGAGTCGTGTCGGTTTGCAGCATGAGTGGTTTACCACCAGCTGGTGCAGTTGAGCTGTAGCTTTGAGATGCCATGGGCGTATGTTTGCTGTAATTGTTTTCACCTCATCAGGCCGAGCAACCGTGCCAGATCGTCGAATCAAACCGGATCTTGGGGACCTGAAGATCGGATTGTTGTGTTGGCCGCATCATCCTCCGCACCGCACCCCGGCCATTCACCGCCTTGGAACTACTCGAGTCGAGCCTCCTCACAATGTGTCCTGGACTGGTTAGGAGTTATATGCAAGTGAATGGACTTTCAATATACTTGTGGCAGTCCGAATGTGTACTTGATGTGAGGCGAGAGTTGGAAGCTAGGAGTTTCTGCCCCACTACCTTCTAGATGGGGTACCATACCTTCGTATAATATATATTTCGTATATTACCTATCTATGAACCACAGTATATATATTTTGAAACAGGGCCAACGATTGGTGCTCGTAGCATAGTGTTTAGAGCTCAACAAAGAAAAACCTCCATCAAGTGCAGTGAAAAAGGCAAAGAGATATGGAAAGGAAAAAAAAGGGCTGGTGGAGACGAAATAGGCAAAAAGATAATTGCTGTGCATCATCCGTGAATCGAACACGGGCCTCGTCGATGGCAACGACGAATTCTACCACTAGACCAATGATGCTAGTTGATATATTGTCCGCTAGACTTACATTCCATGAACGGAGGCCATTCTACTGGAGGTCAACTGGGTCGCATTCTACCAGACAGCGGACTTTGATACCAATCCTCCTTGTCCTCCTTGATTGTACATCAAACTCTCGGCCGAGGGGAGTTATCCAGCAGCCAACATAGCTGCCCTGGTCCCAAAAGATATACGAGCTGTGCAATGCCCAAATTCGTACTAGCACCGACACTGCCCCGAAACCAACCCATGGACCATTCATCGGGAGTTAGGCGGCGCCCGGCCTTTACCTACAATTGGGGGCCGCGACCGGGTCCGCGTTCCGTCTGGTGTCTACGTCACGGTGAGGCTTTCTCGTTCTCGTTCAGCGCTGATGAGCCTCACGAGGTCTAAGCCTCCCCGTTTGATTGGTGGCGGCCACGAACAATTAATCACTCATCTCGCCAAAAGCACACTTCGCCAGATAAGACAGTGCAGAAGGTTCGATGTCTTCGAAAGACTCCATCCAAACCTCCTTCCAACCAAACCCCGACAGTCCGCCTTGCGGAAGCACCCCCCTTTCCCCCTCCCCGGGGGGCCCACTAGAAGACATCTGGAAGACTGGGGCCCTCGTGTGTGGCATGACGATGGTCCAGCATGCCCAGCAATCAGACATGCCGTCTCCCCTCGGCTCCGCGCGATTGGTGGCAAAAGTGGAGTTAACATGCCCCGTCGATACAACGATAGCAACATTCATAAAAACAACCAGAAGAGTCCAGGAATGGGAATGGAAGGATTACATTCAGGCATAACGCTCCCGCATCCCCTTCGGCCTGGCCACCGGTCGCGCATACTTCGGTGTACCCGAGTCTATTGCAGTCTGGACAAAAGGTCCGTTGCAACCATATCCGGCATAGAAATTGATCAAAAGCAGGATGGGCGGATACCCTCTGGTTCGGCACAGCAGTAAGACGCGTCCTCCGCATCCGGTATCCCGTATCCCGTAGAAGGCGAACTCAGATGATCAACATGAACTGATAGTTCGGGTACTCGGCAGTCTGGTAGCCAATGTGTAGTGAGCTAGTGGACCATGGTCTTTGCGCCCGACTCAGCCATGGGGGGAGGCTTAGTAGCTCGTAGGCTTGAGCAATTATGCTTGAGCGTGTAATTGGCGAGAATGGGAGCCAAGGGACCAAAGGACCCGTTCAATTCATCCTGGCCCTTGCCCGCCCCACTGCGGAGAAAGCTGGTCGGGAAGTTGGATCGCCTTAGCCCCAAGGCCCGTCGCAAGGCCGATCGGGAGCTCTGTTTACGCTGTACGTACTTCCCAAGGTCGCTCCGATTATTTAAACCTTATGGACCCCCTCATTCTTCCATCCCCATTCACCTTCTGCTCTTCTGTCTGGAGCCTCCACCATCTCCAGCTTCCGATCCCTCTACTTGGTTCCGTCTCTCATCTCTCGATTACCAAACGTCTCTACTTGGAACCATGTCCGTCAACGGTGCTACCACTGGCAAGGCTCCCGCCCAGGATGGGCCCGCCTTTGCCCGTTCAGAGCACGAGCACGGCCTCGTGAAGGTCCAGCCTGCCCGTCTGGCTGACCTGCAGCCCCGGTATGCGGCGAATATCGAGCATGATGTGGATAACCCAGACGCGCATGGATGGTATGCGCACATGAGTAAGTTGCCAGAGCCCGTGGTACGCGATGTAATAAACTACACTGGTCATCAACTCTAACCATCCAATCTTCCCCATTCATAGTACACTCCCTTGGACAATGCATCGGTTTCTGCGGTGCCGTTCCCTGCTGCATCTGCTGCCCCAACCCCTTCAAGCCTGTCGACCAGGGTCAGGTCGGGCTCGTTACCCGATTTGGACGGTTCGTGCAGCTTCCCCGGATCCACCTAACGAACGGTACTGACATTCATTGATAGCTTCGAGCGCTCGGTGGACCCCGGTCTGGTTAAGGTGAACCCGCTCAGCGAGCACTTGACGACCGTCGATGTCAAGATTCAGATCGTCGAAGTTCCGCGTCAGGTCTGCATGACCAAGGACAACGTTACCCTCAATCTGACTTCCGTGATCTACTACCAAGTCACCTCCCCCCACAAGGCCGCTTTCGGCATCTCCAACGTAAGGCAGGCACTAGTGGAGCGCACCCAGACCACCCTGCGTCATGTCATCGGTGCCCGTGTCCTACAGGACGTGATTGAGCGCCGCGAGGAGATCGCGCAGTCTACAGCGGAGATCATCGAGGAGGTAGCTGCGGGCTGGGGCGTGCAGGTCGAGTCCATGCTCATCAAGGACATCATCTTTAGCAACGACTTGCAGGATTCGCTCTCCATGGCCGCCCAGTCCAAGCGGATCGGTGAGAGCAAGGTTATCGCCGCCCGCGCCGAAGTCGAGTCGGCCAAGTTGATGCGCCAGGCAGCCGACATCCTGTCCTCTGCCCCAGCCATGCAGATCCGCTACCTCGAGGCCATGCAGGCGATGGCCAAGACCGCCAACAGCAAGGTCATCTTCCTGCCGGCCATGAATCAGACCGTGCAGCAGCAGCTTGCGGCCGCTGATGGCGCCGGCGAGGGCCCAAGCTCGTACGGTGCCCAGGATCGCAGCCAAAGCGATGGCTTCCAGCGTGCGATGAACGCTCGTGTCGTTGAGGACATATAACGGTATCGTATGGCTTAATCTGATCTAGTGCCTTCATCTACCGTTCGGCTTGCTTTCCATGAATATATGACTACCTTCACTTTGTTATTTATCACGCTCGGTCTTCGAGGGGCGAGGTGACTGGGGGGCCGAGGAGTACTCCTTGGCAGCCTGGTTCTCCCGTCGAGATCTTTCACGCTTTGTACTATGGCTGGACGCGGTTTGGATCCATGACGATACCCACCTTCTTTTTGCTTTGCTTTGCTCTCTGATGATACCTCTGGTTACTGGGTGTCTCAATTAGTTTAATGGTCGGAACTCATAGCATTTCGAATTGAGCTTCAAGATGACTGGATTCTATAAGTAGACCTAAGAAAAATTAAAGAAACCCAAAAATTGAAAAGGATGCTGGTTGGTGAGTCCCTCGTCAAGATCGGCGACGGACAGGTAGCTGTGGCCATCTGGGGGACCACATCTATCGGCCGAAGCACAGCACAACACAACGGCACAACATCCGAGGTCCAAGCACGACAGTGCGAAGAATCCAATTGCCCTTATCAATTGCTAATTCTCAATGCCATCAGCGCCTTCTCCGATCCCCGAGAAACGGCAGTCTCGACCGCCCCACCTTCACTAGGATTGCTGACGCCATCAGACTCCAATTTCACGCCTTGCCCTAACTCTACACGCCATCCCACCGCAAGGAGCTGCGGGGGGTGACAGGCAAAGACGCCATGCCGGAGAAATAAATATGAAGAAGAGGACACCGAAAACAAGCACTGATAAAACGCGTTGCGCTCTTCTTGTCCCCTTGTCCCCCCCTCCCTTCTATACCTCTCTTGTATACCGCGCCTGCCCGTGCCTCATAAATCGCCGCCACCATGTCCTCGAAGAACCACAAGCAGCTCATCATCAATGCCTTCGCGATGCAATCGCCCAGCCATTTGAACCCAGGCCTATTCCGGCATCCGGCTGACAAGGGCGCGGACTACAAGAACATCAAGACGTGGGTCGCGCTGGCGAAGAAACTCGAGGACGCCAAGTTCCACGCCATCTTCTTCGCCGACGTCCTGGGCGGCTACGACGTTTACAAGGGCCCCGCCAATTTAGACCCGACAATTCCTGCCGCGGCGCAATTCCCCATCAATGACCCTCTGTACAGTATCCCGGCCATGGCGGCCGCGACGGAAAGCATCGGCTTCGGCGTGACGGCTTCCACGACGTATGATGCGCCGTATGCTCTTGCGCGACGGTTCTCAACGGTCGACCACCTGAGCAATGGGCGTATTGGGTGGAACATTGTCACCTCGTACCTGGACTCTGCGGCGCGGAACTTCGGGCTCGATACGCAGGTCGAGCACGACGAGCGATACCGCATTGCGGATGAATACCTGGATGTCACATACAAGTTGTGGGAGGGGTCGTGGCGGGATGATGCCGTGACTTGGAAGGCGGACTCGTCTAAGGCCAATAGCTCGGTTGCTGGCCAACAATACGCGGATCCCCGGGGTGTGCGCCAGATCAACCACAAGGGGAAGTACTTCCAAGTGCCTGGCCCGCATCTCTGTGAGCCGAGTCCACAGCGCACGCCGTTCCTGCTGCAGGCGGGGACGTCGACGGCTGGAAAGGCGTTTGCCGCCAAGCACGCCGAAGCGGTGTTCCTTCACGCGCAGAAGCCAGAGCTGGTGCGTCCCTCGGTGGATAGTATCCGCCAGCAAGCTGCCGAACTGGGACGAAACCCGCAAGATATCAAGGTTGTGGCCGGGGCTCTGGTCATCGTGGCAGAGACAGATGAAGCGGCACAGGCCAAATTCGAGGAGTTCAAGAAATACGGAGATCGGGAGGGTGCGCTGGCTCTGTTCGGCGGCTGGACCGGTTATGATCTATCCACGTACGCCGACGACCAGGACTTCCGCTTCGTCGAGTTGCCCGCTGTCAGAAGTATGGTGAACCACTGGGCTAGCACCGTCCCCGGCACAGAAGGCCTGAAGTGGGACAAGAGGACTATTGCTGATTATCTGGTTCTGGGCGGCAATGGGGTCAAAATCATCGGCAGTGTTAAGACAGTCGCTGATGAGTTGGAGCGATGGGTGACCGTTGGTGATGTGGACGGGTTCAACCTCAGCTATGCTAGCCTCCCGGAAACCTTTGACGATATTATCGAGCTTTTGCTTCCCGAGCTGCGACGCCGTGGTCTGTTCTGGTCGGACTATGCGGTCAAAGGAGGAACTTTCCGAGAGAACATGTATGGGCAGCGGGGACAGTCGAGACTCCCCGCGGCTCATCCGGGAGCGCAGTACTTTTGGAAGGCGGGCGAAGAGGTGCCGCCTTACTCATTGAATGAGTCGGAATAAATAGCATTGTTCTAATTTAAAGCATGTCAATTTATCTTGAAGCATTATACGGGCTGAGCACAAGATAGAAGAAAATCAAAGAGAATGAATCCTGAGTACAACGCTTTGATTCTCTAGTACACTATGTATGACAGAAGGAAGTTGTGCCTCTGGTGGTTAATGCGAGGGGACTATTGTTGTCTCGGATAAAATTCTACCATCAAGGATATGGAGTCCATGCTTGCTGTCTAAGGGACGGGACTTGATACCCTCCAGCTATAAGTCATGTTGTTCGAACAGGTCCTGAAGATAGTCACATGTATCTAATCTAGTAAAGGGGAGCCTCGTATAGAAAACAGAAAAAAACACTCAGACATCCCACCAGCCCTCCAAATGGGATTTCAAGTCCATATCCCCAGGAAGCTTCAGATGAGGCGTTAGGTGGGCATGCGGATCAAGCTCCCTCGAAGTCCATCCATTCCCAAAGAACGCAAAACGATTGCCACTGTTGTTGACATAAGTGTACTCCCAGTCTTCCCACCGAGGATCTCGACGAATATAATTTGCATGAGATGCACTCCCCGGGAACAGGCCGTGAATCCGGGCTCCGGGCTGGCCGCCATTATACCACGAACTGCAGTTGGCCGTCCACACAGTGCGCGGGTAGAAGGCATCGCAGTACTCGACAAAGTCATCTGCTGCCTGTTTCGATGGGACGATGGTCTTGATGCCCTGGCTGCGGACCTTGCGAAGTACCTTTGCGATATACGTCACCTGGTTCTCTACGCTGTTCGGCACGGTGCCGCTGTGGCCGGAGGAGTAGGGACCGCCGAGCCAGAGGAGGTTGGGGAAGCCCGGGGTCGCAAAGCCGAGGTACGAATATGGAAATCCGAACTGGCCATCTTTCTTCCAGGCGGATCTGAGGTCGATACCATTGGCGATAATGGAAAATGGTGGGGCGTGGTCGACGTTCGCACCCGTTGAGCAGATTGTCACGTCGACTTCTCGCTCAACTCCGTCCTCCGTGATGATTCCTTTCTCCGTGAATCGCTTGATGCGTGTTCGGATGTAGCTGACGTTGTCCTTGGTTAGTGCCTCGAGATATCCTGGCCCAGGAGTAGGACGGCGGCAGTTAGGCGGGAAGTCAGGAAGAATGATGTCGGCCAGCTCAGGCTTGTCGGCCACTCGCTTCAACATCAACTCGGTCCACTTCTCCTTCAGAGAATGGTTGTCCGGCGTATCTTTGAAAATAGCGCCAAAGCGCTGGAAGAACCCTCTTTCAACTTCTGTGCGATATTCCAGATATTTCTTGGGATCTTTGAATGATTCCAGCTGCGCCTCGGAAAACAGATTCGGCTCTAGTCGGCGCACTCCGGAGTTTCCACTGCTAAAAGAGTCGGCCACCCAAGTGGGATTTCGAGCGTAGTGGTCGACATGGCTGGCGATAGGCTGAATCGAGGGAAGAACCTGCAAGCCAGAAGCACCGTTGCCAATGAGGGCGATTCGCTTCCCTTTCAAGTCAACATTATGATCCCAATTTGACGAATGGAAGAGCGGGCCTTGAAAGGTCTGGATCCCTTCATAATCGGGCAACTTCCAGGCATTAAAGTGGCCGATAGCGTTGATGACGATATCTAGCTTTTCTTCATAGACCTAGAGAGTGGCGTTAGTTGTTGCTCATCTTGAAATATGCTGGGAAAAGATTATTACCTTCTCGGAGCCGTCAACGTGCTTGATGGTCACTTTCCATTTTCCTTCTTCAGCCAGCCACTCGGCTTTCTGTACTTGTTGCTGCGGGCGGAGATACTGGTATACATTGTATTTCCGCGCTACGCCTTGCCAGTAATCTCTGATCTCAGCACCCTGAGCAAACTCTTCTGTCCACTGGGTGTTTGGCGAGAATGCCGATTGGTATGCGTGTGCAGGAATGTCGCATCTCACCCCGGGGTATGTGTTTTCAAACCTATTGTAGCCACCGTTAGATCCCGCCGGTAGGTAAGTACACGAGAGTAGCTTACCATGTGCCTCCCTAGATAAATAGATAACCAAGTTAGCCACTTGGCAAGAGAATATGTGTGAGGATAACGTACCACATCGGCGTTCTTATCATAGATGCGAAGGTCAAGGCCCGGCAGCTTGACGGGTAGCAAGATGCCGGCCGTAATTCCTGAGAGGCCGGCACCAATAATGCCGACCTTAATCGGTCTTACTTCATCAACCGGGTGCTCCTCCAGCTGGAACAGGGGCTTGGGCGCAGCTCCATTTGTATGGATCTCGTCGACAGTGCTTTTAATTGTCACAGAAGGCGCATGGGAGTCCGATGGACCTTTTAGGGGTTCGGTGGTCGTGATATAGGAACTTTGTGGTATATTCGCAACTTGTGGATTCTCCAGGAGAGCCATGATGAATATCAAATACCCGTCGGTCTCTGCGACTCAAAGAAATATCAAATAAATCATCTCGCATTGAATTGGGTTTACTAGCTCTAATGTATGTTTGACCCCTCCCAGTTTTCTGCACGCCATCTGGAACAGTTCGAACGCAACTCGAATCCGAAACTGATCAAGCGCATTTAACAAAGAGGCCACTCAGTGGTACCATCGCAAGTAAGCCGCCAGAAATGGCCATGTTGCAATATGTGCGTTTTTGATTTGTCGTGGCTAACACCATCGCGCACAGCGATGGCGTTAGGGGTTGGAGATGCTTCTTGTCAACAACACCATCAACCCCACTCCAAACGCCATTGCGGGGTGAAAAGCATGGACTGTTAGTGTTCTTGGTCCTTCGCGTTGATAAGCATCTATAATGAACCCGATTCGTTGGGGGTGGCCTAGTCCTTACGGTTGTCTGCTGGACTCTCGGCCGATTCAGAGGTCCCCGAATGACAGAGACTAACAGAGATATAAATGACTATCAATATTCGAATCTTACTGAGTAGTGAAGATTGAATCGAGACTGTTGCCTATCCACACGATGTGATGGGAATCCGTGCACCGGACCGGGGTTCGATGCCTGTATAGTTTCCATATTGAGCCAACATGATTCGCATGGACACGGCAGACGTCTTGGTCAGATCTAAATACACTGAGAATATTCCACGTCATTGAGTAGCTTCGTTGGATTTTGGCCTTCGCATATTCTCAGATAGTTGTACATCAGCGATACGGCGGACGATAGCAGCCACTGGGAAAATGGAATAATTATGCATTTTCTAAGACCAGCAGAAAGTTTAGATACCTGAATTACTATTACAGCGCCCATATTAACATAGATTCTGTTTTGAACTATATCGGCTGTCTCGGCTGCTGGCGACCTTGAATATGCACTATACGGCTTTATACAAACGCCTAGGATAGGCTCCTCTCCGGATTCATAGTAGTATAATGCACGAAGCCGAAGTGCTTCATACACCGCTCGGTATAGCTAGTCTTTTCCCTATAGAGCTAAAATAGTGGATTTTCAGGGTCAAAGCTATCGCCCACAAGCTACTACCCAATCTACTAAAGCTACGAGCGACACTATACTAAGGTCGCTAGTAGGAGATATTCTATAGGAACGTTGGGATAGTAGTAGTTCATGATTACCTTGCCTAGGATAGTATTTGGCCGGTAAGACTATCGCGATAGGGCTAAGTACTGTAGAACGTGGAGAATCGATATTTGTATAGGAAAGATGTAGTAAAGAACAGTTCCTGCGTTACAGAGCGGTCCCTAGGGCGGTCTATAATATGCATACTTTGTGCATTTTCCCAGTGGCCGCTATCGTCCGCCGTAATTAGCGACCTCGAGGCAGAGCCCATCTAAAAGGAGCGATTTTCCAATTCCGAAAAATAAGGGAAGATGAAGAGAATCAAATCTCAAGTGCGCATTGACATCCCTTCAGTACAGATACTATCCCTGGGCTGGACGACAAAATAATTTGGAAACGAATTGTAAAGAATAGGACGGCGGGTGCCAGCCTGGCCTCGGTCGCACTTGGACTTCTCCGAATGACTCACGATAAGCAACTGACTTATTCAGAGCAACTGAGCGTGCAGGTCACCCATGGCCGGATCTAGCCTAATTAGGAAAGTGAGCCCCCCGCTGTCTAGGTGAGGTTTTTCCGCTGTCCAGCCGACCTGCAGCCTGAGAGCAACTCAGCGTTGTGACAACAGGTCGGCTCAGGCCATTCTTTATCGGTCCTCATCCGTAAGTTTATTGGTCCACACATGACCTGAGCCGACCCTCTTCCTAAAATTACCCTCTTACGCATCCTTACGCATTGTTACATAGCAAACTCTAGGTTATTAACTAGATTACTAACTAGATTACTAAATATATAGAAACTATTATTACTAGATTATTAGAAGTCTCCTAGAGATACCCATTATTATTAGTAGTGAAGCTCAAAACTATTTATTAGATGTTTAGATATTTCGAAAACATCGTGCGAACGGGGGATATTTACCACACTCAACCTAACTAGGTACTGTAATAAAAAAAAGAATACGCCGAGCTGAGGGTTTTGCTTATCAATTTCCTCAACATTTATGGCTGCCTGAAGAAACAGTTCGAAATACCAAGCTATATACCTTCGGCACAGATTGTCTTGTTTGTCTGAAGTCGCTCCAGAGCTTCACAAGAGGCACTCGTCGCATTGCTGTTATCATGGCCTCTACCCCACCAACCACCGCGATTCCTCCTCGGACATGGACACGAGCGGACAGCGAGTTCTTCATCTCGAACGACCCATCACTGCTATCCGTCAAGGCTGTCAATGAAGCCTTTGGACGAGAATTCCTATACTGGGGCAAACCCTTCCCCGAAGAAGTCATGCACCAAATTCTCCACGGCTCCATGAGCTTCGGCGTCTACAGGCAGACCCAACCCAAGCCTGAAGATGGGCCTTTCTCTCCTACCGCAGAAAGCACAGAGCAAATTGGACTTGCGCGAATGGTCACAGACGGATCAACCTTTGGATACCTTTCGGACGTCTATGTCCTCCCCGAGTACCAGGGCCATGGACTCGGAAAGTGGCTCATGAACTGCGTGGTGGAGGTCTTCTCCAAAGAAAACATGCCATATCTACGCCGGATCATGCTTCTGACTGGCGATAAGCGGGTGCAAGATTTCTACTCCAAGATTTTTGGCATGAAGGTGATTGGCCATGAGCAACGGCCCGATATTGGACAGGACTTGGTCTTCATGTGTGCACGGCCGAATGCACCTGAGTAGTCTGTTGGGGAGACTGCCATTGTATATTGATTGTGGGCTTTTACAAGGCCTCCATGTTCATAAAAATCAAGATTATAGAATTACTATCTGTATTGATTGATACTGTAGGCTTGTAGACTGGTTGAATATGCGCTCAACAATCCAACGAACTGTATTTCCCCTGCGGTATCAGCTGTCTCCAGCCACTTCTCTGTGAAGAGTCTACGCGGCATTGCTCAATCCCAGATTACAGAGCCTCATGGGCGGTGTCTATTTCACTCTAAAGTGAACACTAGGCTGTTCCAGCTGACCCGAGAGCAGCCGAAGACGTCCGTCCACACTCTCTGAGTCCGAACAGAATGCTTTTCGAGATAACTTCGAATCGTAACTCTGAATTGTGACAATAGAATATTACCAGCTGCGTGATATTGATGCCCCTGGGAGGTACAGCGGCAATGTGACGGTTTATGACCTTAGACACGGTATGTCTTGACGTCATTCACACATATTGCCTTATTCAATCGTGAAAAAGCCATTGGCGGGAATAAGGAAGCCTGCTAGGCCTCTACTGCTCATTTTGAATCACCATGGTAGCTGTAAAGGCGTGGGCAAGTCTTTCCCGAGAACACTCTCTGCCGTGCCAATGTCTCTGTGCAAGGTTATTGAACTGACTCTACAGCAACAGAATAGACACACTTACCCCGGTCCTCTGGGTGCCCAAAATTCGCCGGTCTTGCTAATGTCAAACGTGTCGATGAATGACGCGAGGGACTCGGCAGCTTCACTAGGGGTCACGGCTGCTCCGAAATCAGTCTGATGGTTATGCCATGTGCAACGAAGAGGTCCTGCAAAGGGATAGACTGACCTCCACCAGCGTCCCAATATTTGTCAAACCCAACACCCTTGGTCATCTCCGTCCGCATGAAGCCTGGATGAACCAGGCCCACTGCAATGCCCTGCGGCTTGAGATCTAAGCTCAGCAGCTTCCCGACCATGTTCGACGCTGCCTTGCTAGCGTGATGGCCATAGTTGCCTCCGCCTTCCTTCTCATGGCGAAGCGTTATGCTGCCGCTTTCGCTACTGACGATAATCACCTTGCTCCCCTTGTCCACGAGGCCCGCTTTGACAAGATGGTGCACCACAAAGACAGGGCTGATGGCCGATATGGTGTACATCTTGGTTTGCTTCTCCCAGTCGGGGGAGTCGAAGGTCTCCAAGCCAAAGTACCCCGCTGTGATGATCACCGTGGAGAACTTGGTCGATGCAGGGAGTTGCGAGACCAGCTTTTGACCGACATCGTGCTCGGCGACATCAATCCCTGTCAGCCAAGTAATATCGGACTTCGAGGCAGGAGCCGAGGATCTTGAGGTTGCGAATACATGGTTGGCGGGGTTCTTCGAGTACAGTGCAGCGAGGGCAGCCCCGAGGCCCCGGGTGGCACCCACGATGAGAATTTGGTTGCTCATTCTATCCGTGTTCGAGTTTGCCTCCATGCTTCTCTTTGAGCGCTTGGAGAGGGAGTTGAAGAGAGCAAATGGCACACTTCTCCCAGGTGTATTTGAAAACGCGTCTGACGCAAGAGCGATGACGTAATGATCTGAGCCTAACCCACGCAACTTGAAGCGCCGTATTAGCCTATAATTCGGCAGATGGTGTGCTGCAGACAATTCATGCGCTCTCAGAATGAATGATTATGAAGCCGATAGTGAGGGAGGAATTGCACATAGAGAGGGAGGAAAATAACCGGCAATGGGCGGTCCAGAGGGGCTATCGTTTTCCAAAAGTATGGATTTGGCCAACTACCAGAGGCCGATTAAGGATGGGCATAATAGCATAGCTCACTCAAACTTGAGGGTGGATGCAGTCTTTGAATCATTGAATCTTTTCGTTGAATTCCTCGGATTGATTTCACCCCCTTGACGTGAAACCCTGTATCGCTTTTCAAAGCTGCCTAGCGAGCTTCATGGGGGCGGGCCTATCATAGATCGCCTCTGCTGAGACAGATCAACCACAAACAACTTCCTCCAACCAACCCCTCACCCACCAGGCCAGAACCCTTTGAGCGACGCAAGTCACACGAAAGACGCCCTTTGGTCCTTGGATGCCAGCCGTGCACCAGATGACCGGAGGATTTACAGAGACGGAAACAACGTATTCCCCAGATTATGCATGGCGCCGCGCAGCGCTTAGTCATATGTGAACAGAGCCAGCAGAGCCAGGCTGCAGCAACAGGGTGAAGCTGCTTGACTTCGCTCCCCCGTGTGGCTTTGCTGGAGCTGGTCAATCCAGGTGGTCTTGAGCCCCAGAATGACCGGCTTCTCTAAAATACTGCCGACGGTGCACAAGTTTCGAGCTGCGATCGCCCGGAGGACGACGTCTAGGGATCGATCCGAGCGCAACATCCCGGGATCCTCGTCTTCACTAGGGTGAGTGGCGCTATCGCCTTAGTCCGAGCCTGGGTGCCAAGAAGTGCCTCTGCCACTGTCGCTAACCACTTGTCTCTCTCACTGGCAGTCTCGACAATGCCGATCCTCCTCCTCCCTCCCCGTGGGGCCTCCCGGTTGAGATCCAGATCCAAATATTTGGGTACTGCGGAACCCCCGAATTCTATACGTTGAAGCTCGTCTGCAAGGCCTTCAATGCTCTCTTGACCTCCAATGAGCACGAAATTGTCCGCCAGTACCTTCGCCAACGCCGCCATGGTACCCTTCCCTCCCCACTTGACAACGAACGCACCTACACTCGGAACCCGGAAGATGATGTCGTGCTGCTGTCGGACCTTTTCCCGCCGTCAAAAAGTGCCCGAGGAGGGCACCTCTACACATTCAGATATCTGCATGGTCTCCGGCAAAGGCAGAAGCAATGCTCAATGCTATGCTACTACCTTGCGGACCGGGTTATGGACCGGTTCGTACAGACCGAGCCGATCTTCCTCCGAACTTCGTTTCCCACTAGAAAGGCCGAACGAACGGCTTTAGTGAAGAAAGGCAAAGCTAGCATCTGGTTCCATCTTGCACCGCTCATGTAAGTGCTCGTTCTAGTAGAGAGAGGCATGTAGGCTTCATCCTGAACCATATAGGTATTACACACTATACTTCCTCCAATCCTACGCCTCCGCCAGGCGCGAGCACACAAACATGCTCCTTCGAGAACACGAAGCAGGACGCCTTTCTGTCCCCATTCCGATAGGAACACGCCGGAGGATGTATCGGGACCTCCAAACTCGAATCCTCCAAGCACCCCCTTTCAGCAACACCGCCGCGCTGGTTGCGACGCACCACTGCATGCACTTGTTAGTGTCGTACATTCGGCATACGATGACCCCAGGAGCAGAAATCGACGACTCGTGGATCAGCTCCCTCCTGACATTATCGCCGTTCACCCGGATTGTCGAGTTCTTCTCTGCCGAGATCGGCGATGGAGGCAACCAGCGCATGCAGCGGAAGGACTTCATGTGCAACTTCTACCGCGACATGACAACACATGAAAAAGATCGCATGAACTCTGTGATCTTTGGCCAGGCGTCTAATCGGAATATGCATAGCTCTGTGCGGGATCTCTGGTTCGATGCCGCCACCAGAGAGCTGGAGTCACGACAGGCAATACCGCATGATCTAGAGAATGTATGGACTTGGAATGGCATTCCAATATTGTTTGGGTGCCCAGATTGCAGGCCGGCCTCGGGTTGGCGGGCATGATGATGACTGTGCATTGGTTCTGAGCATTGTGGCGTTGGGTAAAAACAACATGGGAGAATATCTGGAGTTTATGAAATGTAAGAACTTAACTCGTGCAATATAAATATACTTTTTCCAATCATATCAACCTCCATTCGCGGATGGTACCTCCGTATTGGACATTGCCAAGAAGTCGAACTTGCATAAATTCCCCGGTCGTTTGGTTTGTTTGCATCCTGGCGCGTCGCCGAATATCTACCGGTCCAACAATCGGGCCTCGATTAACAACGAGAATTTCGATAGATAGACAAACAATTATAACTATGGAGCGAGCCTCTCCGTGGCAACTGTTCAACACGTCGTGGATGCTCCACCGTCTTTCCCCCCTCTACCATGGGAAGGACTTTGCGACCCTCCTCGACAACGACGCCGCACTGAAAGCATATGCGACGCGGTTGCGCGATCAACTTACAGGCGATGTCCTTGCGGGCCTTTATTCCGCCGCAAGCACGGCAGAAGATGACGCGCTTTCTAAAACAGGCGCGCTTAGGGAGTGCCGTTGGGAATACTTCGCTGCGGGGCCCTCCCAGCGCGACGTGCGCGCCGGCGTCTCGCTCCCCGGAATCCTGGTGACACTGGAATACGAAAACATCACCTACAAGGCTGCACTTCTTTCTGAAGCCGATTCGACCTCTCAGGCGCGCAAAGGCTCAACAAGTCTGCCTCTACTTTTGACAAAATTCCCCAACGCATTGCGACAAACATTTATCACTTTTTTGTCCGCCAACTTCGACACGTACTGCTCGAACCTACGACTTCCTTCTGGCTTTTTATGTACAGCGTTGGAGACTTTCGTCGGTGAGCTGCGCAGCTCCGGAGCCCGCTCGACCGCAGATAATACGGTCGAGGAAGTCATCAAGGAGTTACAGCTCACGCTGGCATTCTCGCCATCTGTCGCGCCGGCGTTGCGAAACCTCAATATCAGCATCTCCCGCTCCTCGCTGGTTGATTTCCTTCGTGGCGATACAGTGAAATCGACTGGACGAACTCTCCAGCAGAAGCTGCAGAGTCCATTAATTGCGAACCTCACCTCCTATCTAGAGGCACACCTGGCAATGAAGCTGGATCTAGATGGCTCGCAGCAGAATCAAGTAGCTAGGCAGCATGTCCGACTGTCTAAGGTTGCATGCGCTGGCTTTGTGTTGGGGAGCGAAGGGCGTGTGAAGCTAGTTGTGGATGCCAGACGGGCCGTTGACCAGGAGGAAGAGCAAGATTCCCCTTCTTTGCAGGCGAGTGAAACTCTGATCCGGGCGGTGATTCGCAAGGCTACTGGTGATCAAGTGACTACATGAATCTCGTCTGGTGTTCATCGGATGATATGATCTCAGCCTTCGATAGGCCTATCGAGAGGAAACAAGCGCTCTGCGGATCAAATGCCATGCTCCCTGCGCCAATGATGACCACCTGGCGGTCAGCGACGGCAACCCTCTTACCCTAAAAGCGACTTACAGGGATTCTTTTGCAGCCATCAACTCCAGAACATGACCTCCAGAATATGACTATTGTCGGACCATTACCCAATGCAACCGGCGATTGCTTGTGCAGAGACAAATAGGTTGCACAGCACACAGGCTTCGGTTCCTGGTTCTTCATTCATGAAATATGAGCCAATCTGCCTTCGAAAAATTGACCAGGGGTTGGCAAATGGACCGGACGAAAGGGGACAAAATACTCCACAGGAGCAGTGGTCAAACATAATCTAGATACACTCCCAGAAAAAAAGATTCGTTCAGACATAGACAGCTTCAGTAACAGGAATCAAAAATAGTCAGGATATCCTCGCTATGTACACAGGGCAACTTCAACATCAGATGATTGAAAATGTGAGTAAACCACAGGCGATGTATGCGATGAGAATTCAGATCAGATTTCTGTCTGTTCTTCGGTTTCAGCCAATCGCAGGGCCTCCTCAACATGGGGCACAAAATGGGACAGGCCCCCACACTGTTCGACAATGCCGCTTCGCTTGAACATGCGGAACACATTAGAATTCGGTAGTCGGCAGAAGAAGACCCTCACACCCTGCTCCGCGTATGCACGTACGATCTCATAGAGAACTTGCGTTCCTGAGCCATCGATGCTCGTAACGCCATGCACGTCGAAGATAATGTTTTTGTTGTACTCCGCCGGACGCATACGAGGACGAGACGGATGGGTTCTGCTCGAGCCGTAGAGTTCCAACCGACGGAGACGGCTCTTGAGATCGCCCGTATTGGCGAAGGTGAGAGGTTCGGGAATCTTGACAATTAGAGCGCCCTCGATAAGCTCCACGTTCTCGGGTTGAAGCTCGGCATTTTCGAAGCGGGGCATAGGGCCCGGAACTTTACCGAGAATCTGGATACGGGGCTTGGTGGCGTGGCGGATGAGGATGATCACGGAGAGGCCAATTCCGAGGGCCATCCCTAGCTCGAGGGAGTAGAAGATCGTTGCAGTGAAGATCAGGAGCATGAGAACTAGTTCGTTCCATCCGCGAAGCCGGAGGAAGAAGATCACATCGTGTGGGCACTCTTCCACGAGGGTATAAGCCACAACTGAAATCATGGAGCAGAGAACGGCTTTCTGTTTCAAGTTAGCATATTAACTCCTTGCCGTTCAATTTCTCAATTTATAAACATACCGGAAGATAGTAGAGGTATGGTAGCAGCACCAGGATGCAAATGAGTGTGATGATACTCAGAAAGATACTACTCATAGGAGTTCGCGCACCGGTCTGAGCGTTGACCTTGCTTCGACCATATCCACCAAATGCTGGGAGGGACATGAAACAACCACCGAGCAGATTGGCGACTCCTAGCGCCACCATCTCTCGGTTCGCGCTCATGTGCATGCCCTGGATACCATCGGGCTTACTATCACCTAGACCCTTGGCCGCGATGGAGGACTCAAAAAAGCCCAGGAGGGTAATGATAAAGGCTTTGCTCATAGCTGTGCGGATATACTTCATGTTGCTTAATCGGAAGGGCCAATTGAAGGCAAACAGCTGGCTGGAGCTGATTTCAGTATGTCCAAGAAGTTCGAGACCTTTGTCCTCCCAGTCAAGGGTATAGGCCAGGATTGCTGAGAAAACGACGACTAGGAAGCGGTCGGGGAAGTATATCACTTGAGGGAAGCGAGGCATCAACCACTTTTTAAGCGTTCTGGGGAGATCAATACGTCAGATGAATAATTCGTACCAAAAGGTCGAACCTGGACTAACCGGAAGAACATAATGATGGCAAAACTGACAAGAGCCACTGCAGCCGTGAGTCCATGGCTACTCCCAGCATTGCGAGCAATGAATGCCAACTTTTCCACTGTGGTGCCGTGGCTAGCTCCAGCTTCCTTAGCCAGTTCTGCAAGGCCCAATTCGGGGATCAGCTGGTCCACGAAGATCACAAAACCAATAGCAGTGATAAACCCTCTGAGGAAAGGCCGGCTCAGCACGTTGTCGAGGAAACCGAGTCGAGTGATTCCAGCAACCAGAATCATAGAGCCGGTCATTGCGGTTGATATTCCAATAATAATAGCACTTTCCATAAGGTCATCTTCTCCAGAATGCCCACTAGGCACACTGGCCTTGACTATAGCGCCCGTGAGTAATGATCCGGCGGCCTCCGGCCCAACAACTAAAAGTGGGCAGCTCCCCAGGATCGCATAAACAAAGGGGTGGATCACAAAAGAATAAAGACCGTTGACCGGAGGTGCATGGGCGAGATTGGAGGCCAATGACAAGGCCATTGGGATGTAGATGGAGGAGACCGTCAGAGCAGCAATCAAGTCTCCACGAAGAAACGACCATCGATACTGTTGTATCCAATTGAAAAAGGGGATATAATAGGACAGATACCTGCGGGAACCCGTTAGTCCTTCCTGACCACGTGGGCCTATGCAGGGTACCCGCATAGAATGATTTGGGGAAGAGTTTGTAGTGATTTACGTACAGTTTCTTATCCTCGTTCATGGAAAGGGCCGAAAGAGACGACTTCATTTGCGATGTGTAGTCAGAATCTGGACGTGACCCTGGTGGGTCATCCCCACCGTGAGAGTGGCCAGAGGCTGCACGCGTGTCCGCATTGCCATTGTATCCAAAGTGAATGCTGGAAGTAGCTGAGGATTCTTGTCTTACTGCGCCATCTGGACCATCCGGCCGGGGGGAGAAGGTCCCATGGCTACAGCGTCGTTCACCGCACACCGGATCCGACTGATGATAGGACTCTAAGAGGCGGGCTCTCGCGTTTGGCTCACTCGAGGTGGTAATTCCAAGCCCTTGGGTACCCTGCAGTCCATCGTCACCGTAATCGAGCCCTGAGGCGGGCCTCTGGCTACTTGTAGTGCGGAAGATGTTGACGATCCGGTCTTGGAGAGAGCGATGCCCATCCGACTCCTGGCGGAGGAGCGGACTCGACTCCGACATAATGAATCGTGCCGAGGAAAGACAGTCAGCCTTGCGTTAGTGACGACGAGTACCGGTGCTCTCCATCTAGAACAGTAACAGTGGAAGAGAGAGAGGCTCCGGTTCCTTTTGCCGATTAGCAAGGGCGGTAGCCGTTAGAGACTGACAAGCGGGGCTAGCTGCCGCTATCATTCATATCTTTCGAGCGGATCGACCCCCCGAGGCAGCAGCTAGTTCAACCATACAAAGAAGAGAAGAGCAGGTCAAACAAGAGTGCCCACCCCAGCATGGTAGAAACATGGCAGCGCCTACTCTTGTGATTCGCCCGAAGGAACTGCCTCAGACGTCCTCCGCGCCACCAGGCGGTGTGTCACGTGATACATACTGCTGGGCAGTCAGATGGTCCCGTGACCGCGGACAATGTGGGTTTTGAGTCCGCCACAAAGAGCGATTTGAATCGATTGTGCTTCCGCCCAAAGTCCCTCGCTCCCGACCCTGATTTTCCTCGATTCGCTCAGATCCTCTTTCGCAAGGCTCGAGCCCATCATCCGTCTTGGACTGCCGTCTCATCAGTCCTCTTTTTGTCCCGAACATTTCCTGCTGAAAATCAGAGCGCAACCCCGCCAAAATGTCGTTAACAAATTGCCGATTCTACGAGGACAAGTATCCTGAGGTGGACAGCTATGTCATGGTCAACGTCAAGCAGGTACGAATCTTGCAAGCCTTTTTTGATGCCATGGATCATTCCCAGCTGACATTTCCACGTGATTGGAACAGATCGCCGAGATGGGCGCATACGTGAAGCTGCTCGAGTACGACAACATCGATGGAATGATCCTGCTCTCCGAACTTTCGCGGAGACGTATCCGTAGTATCCAAAAGCTCATTCGCATTGGGCGGAACGAGGTCGTCATCGTCCTCCGTGTCGATAAGGAGAAGGGCAAGCCAACACCAATATCTTGATGGAGGGAAACCAGCGACTGACTCATGGGTTCTGTACAGGTTATATCGATCTGTCAAAGCGTCGTGTCTCCCCCGAGGATGTGATCAAGTGCGAGGAGCGGTACAACAAGAGCAAGGCGGTGCACTCCATCATGCGCCATGTCGCCGAGGCCACCCAGACCCCCCTGGAGACCCTCTACCAGCAGATCGCCTGGCCGTTGAACCGGAAATACGGCCACTCTCACGATGCTTTCAAGATTTCCATTACGTATGTATTACAGCTTGTCTGGCTCTGTTGGCAGATTTCCACTAACCAGAATCAATATCTCAGCAACCCCGACGTCTGGAACGAGATCGAATTCCCCAGCGAGCCCGTGAAGAAGGAGCTGCAGCAGTACATCAGCAAGAAGCTCACCCCTCACCCGACCAAGGTCCGTGCCGATATTGAGGTTACCTGCTTCGGTTACGATGGAATCGATGCTGTCAAGACTGCTCTACGCACTGCCGAGGCCAACAACACCGCCGAGAACCAGATCAAGGTCAAGCTGGTAGCTCCTCCCCTGTACGTCCTGACCAACCAGTCTTTGGATAAGAATCAGGGTATTCAGATGCTGGAGGCCGCTATCGAGAACATCACCGCCAATATCAAAGCTGCCAACGGTAACTGCATCGTCAAGATGGCGCCCAAGGCCGTCACCGAGCACGATGATGCCATCCTCCAGGAGCTCATGGACAAGCGTGAGCGGGAGAATATGGAGGTCAGCGGAGACGAGAGCCAGTCGGAGAGCGACGAGGGTGTTCCCGAGTAATCGATGCATCGCACTTTTCATACCACGGAGCGCCCAGCGTTGCATCAGCGCTCGCGACCAGCGCAAAAGGCAAGCGAAGAGAAAACTGTAGGAGACGGGCAAAATGGATAGAGAAAATCATGCACATTTACGCGATCAATGAGAAGAGGAAAGCGGCTTGATGGTTCTATGTGCTTACAGGGCACAATTGCAGTCAGAAATTGCCTTTTATCCAAGGGCAGTCGCCTGCACCTGGGGCCCGGGGATGATTCTATCCACACCCGACGCAGGTGCTGTGTGCCAATTGGCGAAGGCCTTATGCTGCGGCGCCCCCTGCTTTGTGGTTGCTTGCGTGGCACGAGGTGCAAGTTCTGATGTATATATGTTGTGATGCAACTGAGACGTTCAATGCCAGTGATGCTTCTAGAGCCATCCAGATCTTCGTAACACCTTCATTTTCTCGATATTGTACATGTAGTTTTCGGGGGTGAAGATAGAATATAGGCGGAGATAGAGGTGAAACTGGGAAGGCCTTGTGGCTTTTGGTAGCGGGGAACTGGCGCGCTTGGCCCTTGGCCGCCGATCGCCTTCACCGCGTTCCTCCTTCGCCTCGTCACCAACGCAGGGACTCTGCTAATTCTCCGGACCTGTTCTCCTGGATTTCTCCAGCTATTCAATATGGGTCACTGGAAAGATATCTTCACATTCGACCGCGGCAGAGCGCGTCGCCATGCGGCAGTAGAACGCCGCCGACGTAGGTCATGATCAACCACGGTCGTGTAACATCACTAACCGCATCGCAGTGCTCCCTACCTATGACAATGATGAGACTCAACCCTCTGAATCCTCCAAGGAGATTACCAAGGTTGCCCTGCGGCTGAAGTATCAAATTGAACAAGTCGTCTCCTGCGAGGTTGACGAGGGCCTCCTGACCAACCCAAACAGTCGGATTATCACCGAAGCTGTCGTCAACACGGCCAAACGGGCTGGCGGTGAAGACTATGAGGGCTGTGTGGTTTTCTGTCTTCTCGTTTGCCTGCGATGGTTCAAAATTCAAGCCAATATCGAGCTTTGGGACTCTGATCTCCACCAAGGCAGAGCTGTGGCATGTGAGGTCATTGCCAAGCGCATGTGCGAGCTTCCATATTGAGCCTGAAATCTGGAATTCGACTTTGCTGATTGACTTTGTAGAATTGAGAGCGAAACGAACCAGGACTATCTGCTCAAAAACGTTCTGCTTAAGCGTTACTCTATCTTCAGTGAGGAAGAAGAGAGTGATCCGGCCAATGTTGTCGAGCGCTCGGTAGATCTCCACGCACTGAGAATTATTAGCTCTGCTGGCTACCAGAAATGCATTAAGTATCTCTGGCGTGGCTGGATCTGCCAGGAAGAGGGCAATCCGACGAACTTTGTCGAGTACAAGGACAAGTCCAGCCTTGATTATTGGGTCCACTTTCACCCGGATCGGATGAGAACCCCCTTGTACCAAAATATTTGCCAGATATGGTTTTCCTTGCTCTACCTCGTGTTGTACACCGCCGTGATCAACACTGTCAATCCCACTGGAGATCTTGACACTGCCGAGTGTATCCTTTACGGAATGTCCTTCGCGTTCATTTGTGACGAAGCAGTCAAATTTTGGAAAGTGGGATGGAACTATATCGAATTCTGGAATGCGTTCAACTCGACTCTCTACTGTCTGCTTGTTATATCATTCGTCTTACGTCTTGTCGCATTGGCACATTCGCCTTTGAACCACGCTACAGAGCGGGAACTCTACAATGGACTGAGCTACAACTTCCTCGCCTTCGCAGGACCCATGTTCTGGATGCGCATGATGCTCTACCTGGACTCAGTCCGTTTCTTCGGTGCTATGTTCGTGGTTTTGCGGGTCATGATGAAGGAGAGTCTGATCTTCTTCGCGCTGCTATTCGTGGTCCTAGCTGGTTTCTTCCAGGCCTTTATTGGAATGGCTCAGGTGGATGACGATGTCGATATCACCAGGACTATCATCCAGGGTATGGCGAACACTGTCATGCAAAGCCCTGAGTTTGGGACTTTCCAGGATTTTGCTTTCCCTTTTGGCATCATCCTCTATTATGTCTTCAGCTTTGTTGTCATGATCGGTACGTCATCATGTCTTTCTACATCTTTTGGTATTCCCTCCTAACAATTCTTAGTTCTGCTGAACATTCTCATTGCACTGTACAACAGCGCATATGAGGAGATCTCTGGTAACGCTACCGATGAGTACATGGCAATATTCGCTCAGAAGACTATTCAATTCGTCCGTGCTCCGGATGAAAACGTTTTCATTCCACGTAAGTTTCATCTCTATCATTGCCCATATAGGGTGACTTGCTAACCTCTTACAAGCTTTCAACCTTATTGAGATGCTATTCCTAATCGCTCCATTTGAGTGGTGGCTCTCGCGAAGGCACTACGCTAAGCTCAATGACATCGTCATGGGCGTGCTCTACTCGCCTCTACTAGTGTTCACCGCATGGGTTGAAACTCGCCAGGCAAACAAAATTAGCTGGAATCGTCGCCACGGCGAAGAGGATGATGACTGCACGCAGGAGTGGGAACATGTGGCCGGTGAGGTTAATTTCGATCTCCATGATAGCTGGAAAGAGGAAGTCAAGCAGAGCACGCCAGATATCAAGGTGGATAGTTGCACTCTGGAGATTAGACAATTGAGGGAACAGGTCGCTGCGCTGACAGGGCTGGTGAAAAGTCTCACAGAGAAGACTCCTGGGGCGGTGGATGGGCTAGATTGAAGAGTTTATCGATTAGGAAGAGTATACAAGAATATCGTCGAGGTGCCCGGTTAGGTAGTACAACCTTAATAGCAAGTCAACTGTGTTTATTCATACCTGTCTACAATATATATGTTCTGACCTGGTGATATTCCCCTCCAATGCCTCCAATCGCTATTGCATCGACCATTTAGGTATATCAAGCCGCAATAACGAATTAGAGCAGCCATGCGCGTTTCCATACCCATACTGCCATTCTCAGCCGCCTAGGTAGATGAGCCATTCTAGACACTCCTAGCCCAATCCAGGTAGAATGAAGAAGTAAAAAAAGGGAAGAAGCAAAGAAGCAAAAAAGAAGGATCTCAGGTTTTTTTTAGGAATAGCCGAACGCGGGGGTCGAACCCGCAACCTTGAGATTAAGAGTCTCACGCTCTACCGATTGAGCTAGCCCGGCAGGGCTGGTTGAAAGTCGATGAAATTTTGGCTCTATGAGACTGTGTGGAGTGGAACCGGATCCTCGCTTGATTAGGTAAGATGATGGGCGGGTCGTAGAACCTCAGGCCACAATTCCATCGTGATATACTAAGGCGGGGGTCAACTGGACAGAATGGTTGTCGTTCGGGAAAACGGGACAGAAATTAGTGTTCAGAAGAAGTAATTGAAATGACAAGAAGTTAAGGGGAAAGACAAACTAGAAACTGAAGACTTCATTGGCACCTGTGGTTCAATCATGTATATAAACGGGTAGCATCTATCTAGGTTACTCTTCCAGTGGTGGCTCAATTCCTCGCTCCCACCATTTCATATTTGCGGCCTCAAAAGCCGAAGCCAGATCTGGCACTGCATATAATGCGGAACAATTAAAAAAGGCTCACTGCTCATGACTACTCATCATGCCAGTCTCGCGCCATGCGGGTGTGGACAGTGATCTAACAGGCCGGGGCAGGGTCCACCATTACATAAGCGCCTAGCGTGTCGAAGCGGCGAACCCTCTGGAAATCGAAATTGTATCGAAGGTGGCTTCTTCCGTTTTGGACATTCCCACTTGGATGGTTCTGCTGCGCGGTTTCTGCATGCGTTACTAAGTTTCTTTTTGTTGGACCCTGATTGTGGTCACCCCGATTGCCATAATGTGAGATTTTGCCCTCCCCCCCCCCTCTCCTCCCCTCAGTCAGTCCCCGATAACCCAGTCGGACTCAGTCCATCCATGCTAACAGTACACAGGGCAAAGCTCACAGATGACCCCCAGATCCAATATGCGTCTTTGCATAACCCGCTCCCACTGCAGTTGCATACCTATGTTTGGCCGTTCTTGATCATTTGGCCCGTGTTCTTCGCCTTCTATCTCTCCCCTGAGCGCTATGATACCTACATCCAGGGCCAGGAATGGACCTTCGTTTGGGCGGGATCTATCATCACGGCCCAGTCGCTCCTGTGGTTGATGACCAAGTGGAACATCAACCTCAACACGTTGTTCACCACTACCCGAGCCAATTCCGTTGATACCGCGCGTCTGGTCAAGATTATCCCTATCACCAACGCCGGCTCCGCCGAGATCTGCCCGCTCATCCGCGATAACTCCGGTGGAAAGAAGACACTTTCGTTCCTATTCCAGAAGCGCCGCTTTCTTTTCTATCCGGAAACTGGCTTATTTGCTCCGCTGTCCTACGCCCTCGATGAGGAACCCAAGCCCGCCCTGAAGGTTTTTCAACAGAGCAAGGGCCTGTCCACCAAGGCCGAGATCGACCGCGTGCAACACCACTATGGCGATAATACCTTCGATATCCCTGTTCCCACTTTTACCGAGCTCTTCCAGGAGCATGCCGTGGCACCATTCTTCGTATTCCAAGTGTTCTGCGTTGGACTCTGGATGTTGGATGAATACTGGTACTACTCGCTCTTCACGCTCTTCATGCTCGTCGCTTTTGAGAGCACTGTGGTATGGCAGCGCCAGAGAACTCTCAACGAGTTCCGTGGAATGAACATCAAGCCTTACGATGTGTGGGTGTACCGCGAGAACAAATGGCAGGAAATCACTAGTGATAAGCTTCTCCCCGGTGATCTGATGTCTGTGAACCGTACCAAGGAAGATGGCGGTGTTGCTTGTGATATCCTCTTGATCGAGGGCAGTGTGATCGTGAACGAGGCAATGCTCTCTGGAGAGAGTACCCCGCTCCTCAAAGACTCGATTCAGCTCCGACCTGGTGATGATTTGATTGAGCCCGATGGACTGGATAAGAACTCGTTCGTGCACGGAGGAACCAAGGTTCTTCAGATCACGCACCCCAACACCAACGGAGACCAGAATTCACAGATTTTGCCTAATGGTGTCACGCCGCCTCCAGACAATGGGGCTGTCGGTGTGGTTGTGAAGACCGGCTTCGAGACCAGCCAGGGTAGCCTTGTGCGGACCATGATCTACTCCACTGAGCGTGTTTCTGCCAACAATGCCGAGGCCTTGTTGTTTATTCTGTTCCTCCTGATTTTCGCAATTGCCGCCTCGTGGTACGTGTGGCAGGAGGGTGTGATCAAGGATCGCAAGAGATCCAAGCTGCTTCTGGACTGTGTTCTCATTATCACGAGTGTCGTTCCTCCCGAGCTTCCCATGGAGCTGAGCCTTGCTGTCAACACCAGTCTCGCAGCGCTTAGCAAGTTTGCGATCTTCTGCACCGAGCCTTTCCGGATTCCGTTCGCCGGCCGTGTTGACATTGCCTGCTTTGACAAGACTGGTACACTGACTGGAGAGGACTTGGTTGTCGACGGTATTGCTGGCCTTACCCTGGGTCAGGCTGATGCCAAGGTTGAAGCCGATGGTGCTCACACGGATTTGTCGAAGGCCTCGGTCGTTAGCCCTGACACCACTCTTGTGCTTGCTAGTGCCCACGCTCTGGTGAAGCTGGATGAAGGTGAAGTTGTTGGTGATCCAATGGAGAAGGCTACTCTACAATGGCTGGGCTGGACCCTGGGCAAGAACGATACTCTTACTTGCAAGGGAAACGCACCCATCGTTGGGTCCCGTCCTGTGGAGTCTGTTCATGTCAAGAGAAGATTCCAATTTTCTTCAGCTTTGAAGCGCCAGAGTACTATCGCCACTGTCACCACCATCGAGCCGACAACCTCCAAGAAGAGCAAGTCCACTTTTGTTGGTGTCAAGGGTGCTCCCGAGACTATCCAGACCATGCTTGTTAATACCCCTCCCAACTACGAGGAGACCTTCAAGTACTTCACTCGCAATGGTGCCCGTGTTCTTGCTCTTGCCTACAAGTATCTTTCCACAGAGTCCGAGCTTTCCCAGGGCCGCGTGAACAACTATGTCCGAGAGGAGGTCGAGTCTGAGCTGATCTTTGCTGGTTTCCTTGTCCTGCAATGCCCCCTGAAGGAGGATGCCATCAAATCCGTCCGCATGCTGAACGAAAGCAGCCACCGTGTCGTCATGATCACTGGTGACAACCCTCTGACTGCTGTCCATGTCGCCCGTCAAGTCGAGATCGTGGATCGAGAGGTCGTTATTCTCGATGCCCCTGAGCATGACAACTCCGGAACTAGACTTGTCTGGCGCACTATCGATGACAAATTTAGCACGGACGTTGACCCGACTCAGCCTCTGGACCCGGAGATTTTGAAGAGCAAGGATATCTGCATCACTGGCTACGCTCTGGCCAAATTCAAGGATCAGAAGGCTCTCCCTGACTTGCTTCGCCACACGTGGGTTTATGCCCGTGTGTCTCCCAAGCAGAAAGAAGAAATTCTGCTTGGCCTCAAGGACGCTGGTTACACCACTCTCATGTGCGGTGATGGTACTAACGATGTCGGCGCCCTTAAGCAGGCCCACGTTGGTGTTGCCCTTCTGAACGGCTCGCCCGAGGATCTGACCAAGATTGCTGATCACTACCGGACGACCAAGATGAAGGAGCTGTACGAGAAGCAGGTTGGCATGATGCAGAGATTCAATCAGCCTACCCCGCCCGTGCCTCTGCCCATCGCGCACCTCTATCCACCCGGTCCTACCAACCCGCACTACCAGAAGGCTATTGAGCGAGAGATCGAGAAGAAGGGTGCTACCGCTGCCGCTGCCGCTGCCGCCAAGCCTGCCGACGAGATCCCAACTATTACCTCGCCCGGTGCCCAAGCCCTACAGCAGTCGAACGCCAGCCTTACTCCCCACCAACAGCGCCAGCAGCAGGCCCAGGCTGCCGCTGCCGGTCTTGCCGATAGGCTTACCTCATCCATGTTAGAGGCGGAGCTGGATGATAGCGAGCCGCCCACCATTAAGCTGGGTGATGCTTCCTGTGCTGCGCCTTTCACCAGCAAGCTGGCCAACGTTATCGCTATTCCGAACATTATTCGCCAGGGTCGTTGCACTTTAGTTGCTACGATCCAAATGTACAAGATTCTTGCCTTGAACTGCTTGATCAGTGCCTACAGTCTGAGTGTCATCTACCTCGATGGCATCAAGTTCGGTGACGGTCAGGTTACCATCAGCGGTATGATGATGAGCGTCTGCTTCTTGTCTATTTCTCGCGCCAAGGTATTTATCTCTCAGGATGGTTTAAAATTCGCTTATACTAATCATTACTCCAGTCTGTTGAGGGTTTATCCAAGGAGCGCCCGCAGCCGAACATCTTCAATGTGTATATCATTGGGTCCGTTCTTGGACAGTTCGCTATTCACATTGTGACCCTGATCTATTTGACCAACTATGTTTATAAGATCCAACCGTACGTTCTCACCCCGGTGGTATAAGTCTACTTTGTTACTAACAAGTGCCATAGGAGAGATGACAATGTTGATCTCGAGGGCGAATTTGAACCGTCTCTTCTGAACAGCGCCATCTACCTGCTCCAGCTGATCCAGCAAATTTCCACTTTCTCCATCAACTACCAGGGTCGCCCCTTCCGCGAGTCCATTCGCGAGAACAAAGCTATGTACTGGGGCCTGGTTGCCGCCTCTGCCGTCGCATTCTCCTGTGCGACCGAGTTCATACCCGAGATCAACGAGAAGCTGCGCCTGGTTCCTTTCACCACCGAGTTCAAGGTCACTCTGACCGTGCTGATGATCTTCGACTACGGCGGCTGCTGGCTGATTGAGAATGTGCTTAAGAACTTGTTCAGCGACTTCCGTCCCAAGGATATCGCCGTCCGCCGCCCTGATCAGCTGAAGCGTGAGGCTGAGCGCAAGGCCAAGGAGCTGGCCGAAGCTGAAGCCCAGAAGGAGGAGCAGCGGAAGGTTTAAATTGTGACGAGAAGGCTTCAGAGACTGCCTTTTTGTACTGTATACATAGAGGGGGAAATTGGGTTCATAGAACTGCATGACATTTAATCAATGGTTCTGTTGATGCTATCGCTTTATCACTTTCTAGCCTTAGTACCTTGTGTTATCTTTATCTTCTCATCTGTTAATCCTTGATCTTTCCATGGTACACTTCAACGCTACGGCCAAAAAAACAATGGCACGTCGAATGCCTACGGTGGACAATAGCGATAAAGAAAACGGGTCCCGCCCCGCCCCACGCTTCTGCCTGCACCTTTGCGCCGCAATTTTGCTCCCTCCTTTACATGACCAAACACACCTTATTCTCTCACCTTAGCCATGCTTCTCCAACTTCCAGACGAAATACTTTGGCACATCTCCAGGGAACTGGAAGACCAACATGACCGCCTCCATCTGGCCACCTCATGCCAACGGCTCTATGGCACGCTGCGCTCAACCATCTTCTGGGAGGTCGCACTATGCACTTATCTACCGGAAAGTCTAGACGAAATCGATCAAGTGTGCCAGTTCTTGTACACTATCGTCCGAGACCCTAAGCTAGCAAGCATGGTGCACGTGCTAGACCTAGGATGCTGGCAAACCAAGAGCACCCGTGACGATGAGGGTTCTCCCGACGACTTTGACTTTGACCGTGATCTCATGGAGAACCTCGTTCGCGAAGCGACCAGTGACGGGGACTACCGAGAGCAATGGCTTGAGGATCTCGCAGCCGGAGTCACAGATGCCTGGCTCGCGCTGCTCATCCCTAGGCTGACCAACCTGTGCGAAATTAGCTTTGTCTGGCCTTCCGGCGCGGACTATGTCCCCAGGATGCTAAATGATGCTGCCAATGCGGAGACTTCGATATTCCCACATCTGGAAGAGGCATGGGCCGCGCACTGGGATACGGAAAATGGAATCGAATCGGACCTCATTGCGACCATTCTTCAAGTTCCCTGCCATGCGGTATCTAGGCGGCTTCCGGGTATATGAATCATCCATTGACGAAGATAGAGGGGAAGATGATGAACTCGACAAAAAGCTCTCGGTCAAGATTGATCCTGGTAGTTCAAGTATTACCGACATCGTCGTGAAAGTGTGCGACGCGGCCGACGGAATGCACGCCTGGATACGAGGCTGTAAGGCGCTGACATCCTTCCGGTTAACTATGGACAGCTTAGTCTCATATGCGCCGCCTAACAAGCGAAAGCTTTACAAGGCTCTTTCCGTCCATAAGGCGGTTTTGGAGGCGATCTCGATAAGCAACGTCCCGGATAGTATTGAGGACGAAAGCACAGACTCGTTTATGGGGCCCTTTGCAGACTTTAGTGCTTTGAAGGTTCTACACGTCGCCTGCGCAGATATCGTAGGCTTGGATAATGAGAAAAGACCGATGCGGAGCCTATCGGATGTGCTCCCCTCCTCGCTAGAGACGTTATCCCTCTGCGTCTTGGATGGAGATTTGTTTGGGTGGGTGATCAAGCAATGCGAACTCTTACTGGATTCAAATGTCTGCCCGCAGCTTGAGAGTATCCGGCTCGAAAGCAGGGCCATCAGTGATCCCACAGAGGCCCTCAAGGCGAAGGAGCTGAAGCGTCGATGTCAAGATGAAGGTATCTCATTCCGGACATTTGATGTTGAAAGATGGGAGGTGGAAAGAAAGGTGATGCGTTACTGGGACTCCGTTTGGCCTATCGATCACGTATTCGATCTATAGATATCTTGAACATCGCCGGCAATTTCTGGAGAAAGATGTGTTAAGATTACGCGGCGCACGTACGACTGCACCCTTCCAATCACTGCGTAGCTTTGTGCGTTTAACTCGGCGGAGCATTGCGAGAAGAGCCGGAAATCGGCCGATAGTCCCGGGATCTTCAGTTGATGTCAGTGAATCTCTCATCACGATTACAGACTCTTCACGATTGAATATTCTGGTTCTTGAGCCCATGCTCTTCTTATAGGTCGGTCAACTAAATGCGGGAGCACTTGCATAGCTCAAGAGGCGTCCATTTCCGCAGAACCATAACCCCACGACACCCCCACTTGGGATGATCTCATCGCTTCAGCGGGCCCTCATTCGCGAACCCTCACTTCGCAGCCGCAAGACCTCCTTCAAACCTTTCCACTCCGTTCTTTTGCTTCGCAACACTTGGTTCAAAATGGCGAAGCAGACTCTGCAGTCCAAGTACAAACTGCTCTCCGGCCATGAAATTCCGATCCTGGGTTACGGGGTAAGTGCTGTTTTCCTGGCTTCAACTATGAAGAATCAGCCATCCGTAGGCCCTTAAGTGGTCATGGCATACATCAAACCTTCACAGACCAATGCTAACTTGTTTTCATAGGTGTATATGATGTGTGTATCCGCCAATACCTTTATATTCTTCTGCCGACCCTGCTAACCACTCTAGCCCCCCACCTTTGACTGAAAAGGTCACTCTCGAGGCATTGAAAGTTGGATTCCGCCATGTAAGTACGCCCGTTGGACTTGCCGGCCTAAACCAAGGGTTAATACTTGCTGCCAGGTCGACTCGGCAATTATGTATCGCAATGAGAAAGGCTGTGGCCAGGCCATCCAGAACTCAGGGCTCGCGCGATCGGATATCTTCCTCACGACCAAGATCCCACCGGAATCGATGGGCTACGACAGCACCAAGCGGGCTATTAACTCGAGTCTCCGCCAGGCAGGGCAAGATTATTTCGATCTGTAGGTCCATCGATTCGATCCCTTGCCCTTGGACATCTCGAGGAAAAGGAAGCTGACGCGTATAACCTAGAATTTTGATTCACGCCCCCTACGGCGGCCAAGAGGCCCGCCTCGGCTCCTGGCGCGCACTTGTCGAAGCGCAGAAAGCAGGCCAGACCAAGTCTATCGGCGTGTCCAACTACGGCCTGCACCACCTCGACGAGCTGGAGAAGTACATCGCGGGCGGCGGTGGCGGCGAAATCTCCGTGGGTCAGTGGGAATTACACCCCTGGCTTGATCACTCCGATATAGTCGAGTGGTGCCGTAGCCGGGGAATTGTAGTCGAGGCATACTCGCCTCTGGCGCATGGTACGCGATTTAGAGAGCCGGTGCTGCGAACTATTGGAGAGCGGTATCAGAAGTCGCCCGCACAGGTCTTGATCCGGTGGAGTTTGCAGATGGTAGGTCTATACTCCGTAGAGGCCCCGTTATGACGATGCGATGACTGGATGGACACTAATCGCGCTTAGGGATTCGTGCCACTGCCAAAGTCTGTGACGCCACAGCGGATCCGGGAGAATTCGGAGGTGTTTGATTTTGAATTGTCGGCGGAGGATATGAAACTGCTGGACACTGGAGAGTACAGTCCCACTGATTGGGATCCCACTGTGGACGACGATTAGAGAGGTAGATTTTAGTTTTCTGCGGGGTGGCAGCGAAGTAGGGTAGCTCAATGCGATTCAATATATACAACTAGTTATATATGGAATTGACAGGCTATCGCACCGCGAAGCGTGGCAGCGCTTCGGGCATTGTCGAAGCGCGTGGATTTGGTAGATTTGGTGGATTTGTCAGGGACTCGGAGGGGCAGCCGAACCGTCGCGGGGTTTGCGGCCTTCGAAAGATTCAATCCTCACTATCTTCATACTTGCCCGCCACTCTATCTCCCTCGAGGGACTGCAGAATCTGCGGACGCACTGGTCCTCTCATCCTCTCCCCCTGACCACCGCGATCATGAAGTTGATCCTCTCTACCTCGTAAGTGGCAATCCACCCCGCCGGCACCGTTTGATCGTTGAAAAAGATCTCCACTGGCTAACTCGCTGGGCCCGACAGGAATATCATGAAAGGCGGCCGGCCGTCTGTCATTCGTCAGCCGCAGCAAAAATCGAATGTCGAGCTGATCACCTCCCTGCGCTCGAATTTCTTGGCGTCGCAACAGATCGACCACAACGGCGCGGACTCGCATGCGAACGGGACGAACGGGACGAACGGGGCAAACGGGACCAACAGCGATGCAAATGGATCCTCCTCCTGGACGCTCGAGCGCGACGGCGCTCTCTACATCCCTGCGATCGACTTTGCCCAGCCCGGTCTCGCAGAGGATCGCGATCAATACGACATCACGGTGAAACTATTCTATCTCCCAGGGATTCCGGCATCAAGGCGCTGCGCACACACCAGGGAAGCGATTGATTTAGTATTGAAGGAGTTACATGTCAAGTCTATCGATTTGCTGATCGTCTCGTTCCCCGGCATTCTCTTTGACGCGGATGACGACAGCGAAGAGGAGGAGCCCGAACCGAGTGGAGAACCGGATCACTTCGACAGCATGGTACAGACATGGCGGGTGCTGGAGTCCTTGCATGAGCAGGGCATGATCGCGCAGCTGGGCGTGGCCGAATTTGGCAGCGAGCGGCTGGCACGCTTCCTCCCTCACACGAAGGTCAAGCCCTCCGTCGACCAGATTAACCTCAAAGACTGCTGCGTCGTGCCCAAGTCTCTCATTCTCTATGCCAAGCAGGAGCAGATCCAGCTCCTGACCCACAATGACTGCAATGATATCCTCCCAGTCGGCACGACACGAGAGCTGTTAGGACCGGCGGACAAGGGCGGCGCGGGAATCCTGGCATCGGCGCCAGAGGCCCACGATGGGATTCAGGGACACGTCGAGCCGCAGTGGGTGGTGAAGTACACGGCAGTGGTGAAGGATCGCGGGGTGGTCGAGAACAAAGGGTATTTCGCTCTGGCAGATGTAGGCACATGTGTGAAGCCCCGGCCATGAAGCTTGGGATTGGGGTTATAGGTGTGCTTGTCAAAACAGTTCAGGTCTTTTTTTTTTCATGATTCAGCGTGGCGTTTTCGAGGGTTCAGATGAGATGAATTCTATGCATCCGCCGTTCGGACAATGCGTATGAGGAAAAAGGGCAGTCCGTTTATCCCAGCATGGACCGCTTGCGGCCTCTCATCCGCACGTCCTCGAGTCTCTTGAGCGTAGCAGTAGCGCCCTTGTAGCTCTCCCGATATCCGTGGAGCATCTCCTCGAAGAAGGGCTCCGATCGTGGATGCGTGCTGCCAATTGCCCGCTCTAGCACGTACAGATCCACCGCGCGGTCCTCGTCCTGCGCGCTCTGCGATGCAAGGCCGAAGTCGATCAGAACGACATCGCCGTCCATAGAGATACCCGTCGGGCTGTCAGTGGCATTCTGGACCGGTGAGCGCAGCATGAGATTGCTGGTCGTCAAGTCCCCGTGCACCACGCCCGCCTTGTGCAGACCACCAATGGTATGTCCAATGCGCTTCATCAGACTGCGCACCCGGTCTTCCTCCGTCTGCAGCTGGCTCGGATCCAGCGTGGCCGCATTCTTCTTCATCCATGCCTCCCACTTCTCGAGTACGACCCGCACCAGGGGGCCTTCAATCCACTCCATCAGCAGCCACGCACCTCCCCACCCGCTCTCCTCGCCGCCCTGCCCCTCCCAATCCAGCGCCAGCACAGCCGGGACACTCACGCCCTCGCGGACCAATTTCACCAAGCATCGGGCTTCTTGAATGATCCGCTGGCGGGTCAGCCGGCGGTCGAGAATGGGATGGCGGTAGGGTTTGGAGGGGCGGATCTTAAGGGCCGCTGGGATGGAGGGGTCGAGCGAGACCGTTTTGTAGACGTGGGCCTCGGCACCTTGAGCAAGCAGTGTGGGCGCCGGAGTAGTGTTGGTGAAGGGTGAGGGTAGGGCCGGGGGTTTGTATTCGGGGGCCATTGTGGCGGGGAGGAGGTCCAGCAAGGGAGAAGTCGGCGTGAATTGGTGAGTTGTGAGGATCGAGCGAGGTCGGGGAGAGCTGGTGAAAAAGTTCCGTTCGGCGATGGTGGGGGCTCGCCCGCGGCCGGCGCGACTGAGCCAACGAGTCTCGGTTGATGAGAGCTGAAGACACAATGGGCTTTCATATCCCTCAGCAAACGCATACGTTGGGTGCTAAGTGGGAAAATAATTATCATTGTCTGTGGAGGAATACATAGACTCAATCTCCCACTTCCGATAGACCTCTTATACATCATATGTTAGGTTACCCTTTGACTTTTAAGGTAATAAATAGGTGATGGATGAGATGGAGAGGATATCACACGATATAATTCATAGACACTATATTCAGTACCTTGATACAACCCAGGAGCCCAAGGTTCAGCGTCCAATATCTACATGTGTATAGAGCCGAGGGAGCTCGGAGTTCATCCATGCCTCGTGGATGTGCCAATTGTTTCACCTTGGCAAGCCAGCCCCAAGCATGTACCCTACAGAGGAAGCATGGTTTAATGCGAGAATAAAACGACTGATAGCCTTGATTCCAGAAAAAAGCAGCTCATTTATTTGCATTGGCAGGGACAAAAGATATGTACAACTCTCCGCAGATACCTCAGACACATCATGAAACATGGGCCGCAGTCGAAGAAAGACAAAGTCAAATAAATACAACAAAAGGCCAGCTTCAAGGCAAGAAGAAGCAAAAAGAACGACGATATAATATACTCGAGTACCATAACCGCAGTCCAAGAGTATGCTATATCTAAAAGGATATAGGAAACAGGGAAAGGCTATGAAGCCCGAGAAGGAAATGTAAGAAAGATATGAAGCGACCAAGGCATGAGAGCCCTCACACGATCAACTCGCTCAACGGCATCACAACAAACATCTTGCCTGCCAAGATGCGCCTAAGGCACGCATACAGACCAATTACCACGAGAAACTCTCCTCGACGTAGTCGATATTGGAGTCCGCCTGTCTCTTGCGGCACACCTTGCGTACATCATCGCTCAAGCCGCCATTGCCGCAGACCAACACACCCATAGCACCAATCTGATTCTCAGCCTCCATGCCAACAAGAGTGTCGATATTGGGTCGGCCGGGGAACATCTGCACCGTGGCCGAGGGGCTCTGGATCTCCTTGGTGTTGCGGGGCCGCGTCACGAAGAGCATGATGCGCAGCACTTCACGGCGGCGGTCCATGGCCAGAATGCTGGTCATCCAGGGCCGGATCCACTCCAGGTGCTCTGGGGACTGGATGATCCAGACGAGCGTCAGGCGGCGGGTCGCGACAGTGCCATCGGCGAAACCGGCGACCAGGTGCCGGACGAAGGGGACGTGGTGCGTAATACCGACACCGCCGGCGAAGAGCATCACTGTGCCGTAGGAGTCCATAGAGTGGATGTTGCCGTAGGGACCTTCGGCGTAGGCGCGCAGGGTCACACGCGAGCCGATGGCGTTTGAGGCGCGCTGGAAGAGTTTGTCGGTCATGCCGGTGCGGCGGCGGACGAGCAGGGAGAGAGTCGTCTTTTGCGGGGCGCCCAGGAGGTCTTGTCGTACCATTGGGAGGGATTTCTCATCCGACATAGTCTCCGCAACCTCGCTCCAGCCGACGGAGAAAGGGTGCGAGGTCCACCAGCCAACGGCCGGGATGTAGAGGTAGATATGCTGACCAGGCTTGAAGGTCCAGGGCCGGGCCATGCGGAGACTGATCCGCATGCAATCCCCAGGCATGGCCTCAACCGTCGCAGTGGTAGACTCACGGCCGAAGTTGCGGTACACAATGATGAAGAGACGAGTGGCGCGCTCCAAGGCCCAGAGTATGATGGTGGCGAGCAGATAGTTCTGGGCGACCATGCCATCTAGGTGTACCCACAAGAAGCCGAAGGAGACAGCGGCAATGGCAATGTGGAGGTGGAGGAACGTTTCGTAGAAAGCGTGGCGGATGGGGGATGGAGAATGGAGCATGAGCGCTGTGAATGCAGCTGTGGCCACCAAGCCGGCGAGGAGGAAGCTGCTGGAAGAGAGGCTTGTTGCAACAATCTTCCAGCCGGCTTCCTGCCCCTTGGGGATCGCCCAGGCGAACGTGTGCGCGAGAGCCTCGAGCACCACAATACGGCCCAGCCAGCGGTGAAGGAGGTTCCATGTGTCGAAGGGAACGTGCAGCATAGCAATCAGGGGGTTGTTACGGCCAGCCATGATGATAAGCGGAATCAGGTTGACAGTAGCCATAGTGCCGGTACGGTTCCGAACAATACCTGCCAGGGTATCCTCCTCGGAGGCATAAGGGGTAGTCACCGTGCAGAGAACGACATTCATGGTAATCACACCGACAACAAGCAGACCGTGGAAGCGGCTGGGAAGATTACCCATGTTGATAGCCGACGAGAGCTGGAACTCGCGGTTATGGCGGGTCCGGAACAGCGGAGCATAGATCAAGTGCTCCTTAAGCCAGCAGAATCTGTCGTGAGCTGGCACAAAGTACTTCTGCTTGTCATCGGTGAAGCTGGCCAGTCGTCGCAGGTGATGAGAGAATCGCCAGGCGAGGGACCAGACATAATATGCGGCGGCAGCACAGCCAAGGGCAAGGACGGTGTAGCGTGCCAGATCATCGTTGTAGGCTTCATACCACAAGCTCATGGCACTCTTTTTTTGTCCTCGCTTCCCCATCTCTTGGGCCGTGCTCAGTCCCACGAGGGACAGAGCCAGCAGAAGGAGCTGCATGATGCGCCTGCTGAAGACAGTAGTCTAAGATATAGAGGCAAGTTCCAATTTGGGGTTTGAGCAAGACCAGCTTGCTATAGAGGTTAGGGAGGGGGGAGAGGCCGTATATCCAGGCCGAGATAAGCGCGGTGGTCCTCTCAGTCAGAAGTGTCGCAGACGCAATGCGATCCAAGAACAACACCAGGCTGCTTCAGAATGCAAGAACGAAGGTACGTAGCTTAAAGAGACTCGGCCGGTCTATCGATATGGCGTGAGATGGCTGGAACCGACGACAGGACCTGCCTAGATGGAACGTATTGGACGAAAGGTGAAGGATGCAGGCGAAGGCCTCGATGGGAAATCCTTCGTCAATTGTGTGCTCAGCACGGAACACCAAGAATGACAACCCAGCCCGGATAGTTGGCAGAGGCTGTGTTTTCGTCGGCGGGCAACGAATGGAATGCTGGTGACCCCGTCACTGGCGAAAAGAACGGCAAAAAATAGCGGATGGAGCTTGCCACCGCGTGTATGACGGATTGTCCAAGAAATGAAAGGGTGACAAAGGCAAAGAAGAAAGAACGACAATGGCCTTTGGTCGCAGAGTGTAAGAAACGAAGGAAAGGAAGAAACGAAGCCGGCCCACAAAGGGGGATGGACGAACCACTTTTTTCTATAGTGTCCCTGTGTCCACGCTTTCCTGAAGGGTGGGGAGATATGAGACAGGCCAAGTCTATGCCAGGGCCAGGAAGCGGAATATGTAGAAACAAGCAAGGCTGGCCCGACGGACAGGGATTCGGCCCATTAGGAGGGAACCGTGTATCATCCCGTCATAGCATTGAACTCAGTGATCTACTCCGAACCCCTTCTTGTCACAGAAGGAGGGGGTGGACAGATTCTTTGGCGCCGAGTTCTCGGCTCTGCAAAGAATGTTTATCCCATCGCCGATCTGAAGGGGATGAAAGGGACGGGGATGGCCTTGTCACGAACCGAACCTTCGGTCAGGACGTACAGAGTAGGGTGCACTTCGTTGGCCATGGATAGAATCGGGTTCCTAGAGAGGAACCCCGAAGTGGGCCTCCATTTGGCCATCATCAGTAAACTGACATGCGACATGCGACAGGTCGACGGGGTCGAGGCACGGCGCCATCCGGTTGCGGGACACGCTGGGCGGATGTGACTGGCCAGCGCTGAAACACCCCAGGACAAGCCGTGAAGCAACAAGCGCCAGCCAGCCAGGTGCAGCTGAGCCGAGATGGCGCCGATCCTTGTCATCGCTGGCCTGGTGGACGACTGGCGGTTTGAGATTGGACCTTGCTTAAGTAGCGTGCCAATGGGAGCCCGTGCAGTGGAGCTCATGGGGAGATGTTGCGGACTCGCCGACTCTCTAACACGGAGTTGCTGAGAGTCCGTCGAGGCCCCGTGAGCAGCGATTTCACCTCCGTCGACTCTCCACTGCCTCCACCCGGTTGGACTCGTCGAGATCTCCATCAAACATCGTTCTTCGGACTCGGGATGACTGGTAGCGGTAGCGCCCTACTGCCCGATGCAGCCATGAGGCACATTGAGTATGAACATGCTGCGATCGAAGCCCGCATCTCGATCATAGCGTCTCGGGGGATGCTGGCTCCGTACTACTCTATTTCCTGCAAGTCTGCCCCCTAGTGGGCTCCGATATCTCGGTTCCCAGGCTTGGCATGCCTTCATCTATGGTAGACCTTCCTCTCCCTGCATGGAGTGTCTCCATCCGACGAGACCACGCGGGCCGGAGGAACCCCCTCTCGTGGCCTAATAATAAGTAACCATATATTAATCAGAACCGCATAAGCATACCTTGTTCGGAGTGCCGTGCATGGTGACTTGTGCCGTCCAAAGCTATCGATGCCGGTGAAACAGAGATAGCTAGACATACAGATAGTCTCGGAGCTACGCCTTCTTTCGCGCCAGGCTGATAACACCACGGCCGAATCGAGCGAGGACACCGATAGCTTCTCGTCCTTGGCGCACAATCAATTTCTCCTGCATGCACCAGATAAAGTGGGCTTCTCAACGGCCCTCCAGCGAGGTGGTCTCGATGCCTCGAGGGTGGCCGATTCGAATTTCTCGCTCGACAGGTGCCACACTGTAACTTTAGATTCAAACTCAACAGGTCATGTACACCGGGGCTGCAGATCCGAATCCTCCAACCTTCTATGATTCCAAACAATTGAGTTGCGGGGATTCGAGCATTTCTAGGAAACATCGGACCACGAACAGGCAATGAAACGCAAATGAAAGGAAACAAGGCAGCCTAAGAGGCTAAACTACTAAACTAAAACACAAAATAACAGCTAACGCCAGTCCAAGGCCTAGGGTATCAAATCATAACAGGTTCCAAACACCACAATTCCCCAGTCTCCCAGTCTAAACAAAAGCGGGCCCGAAACAACCCCTAACCACCGATTGTTCCTGGGAAATGAACATCCAGACTCAAGGTCGCGCGGGAGCTCGGTCGAATTGCGCTTCCAAAGCCACGTCAATCGATCCATAAGGTCCGTTCGCAACGCAACACGAGATGGCCATCAGACCCTGATCAGCACCGATCTCTACATCTCGTTCGCAAGCGGGGTATTCCCAGCTCAGAAAGCCCACGCGGCAGTGGGCTCAAATGAAGCTAAGTTCGTCATCGCTGCCGTCGGTCGAGCAGGGCACTACTGTCGACTGCCGCCGAGTCATCACGCGCGGGGCTGGAGTGGGAAGGGCTGGAATTCGAGGTCGCCCGGGCCTTCGCCGCTCCACTGCGCGATAGATCTGCTTCTCAGCCGGTTCTGGCTCCGGCTTGGGGGCCGATTGAATAGATCCTTCTTTCATCTCAAACTTCTTCTTGTTGAAAATCACCACCTCGAGCTTGGTTGCGGGCTTTTCGTTCGTGGACGCCGCGCGGTTGGTTGGATTTCGGTTCGACAGGTCGCGCAGAACGCGACGTTGAGAGGGCACCGGCTCCAGAGACGGAGATTTGGATGCAATAGTAGCAGACGAGGGTCCACTTCTTCTTCTGCCACGGTTTTCTGGATTCTTAACGATGACAGGAGCTGGGCGTCGTCGTTTAGCGGGCTGCAACGGAGAAGAGTCTGTGCATTCGAAGGTCCGTTTGATCCCCCCTGATGGTGGAGATGAGGTCAAGCTCGAGGCAGGTTTCTCGAAGCGGTCAGACTCGGGCGAGCTGCTGTCTGTGGAGCAGGGGATGTATGCCATCGGCCTTGCGGTCAAAGAGCGACGTCCCCTGGGCATAACGATTGGCACCGGGTTCAACTTGACTGCTGGCGTGCGAGCAACCCACTCCCCAATGCTCTCCTCCCAGCGGAAACAATCCTTTCGCTGTCTCTGTTCTTCTGGCTCGTCAGCAGCAGATTTTGAGCTCGGCTCTTTCAGGCTTTGGAGAGAAATAACCGTCTCTTGAACCTCCACCGCCCACACATGATCGTCTGGTTCGCCGGTACCCTCTGCAAACTCCATGGCAGCCTCCACAGCCACCCGGCCAAGAAGAGTAGACAAAGCTGTCGCATCAGTCAGGCGCGGAAGCCGAGACACCATGCGGCGAACCTCTTGACCCATATGGCGGCGTTCATCATCTGTTGTGCTTCCAAAGCAACGGAAAGCTTGCCGCACAAATAATGCCAATTCTTTAACTAGATCTGAGCGAGACGCCAAAGTCTTACAATATCGTTCAATGCCGGGTGTCGAGCCAACCGCGTTTTGGGGGTCACTCCCTAAAATTGCATTGTTGCATTGTAGGAGACAATCTGCTAATAGGATGCAACCGCGTCTCAGTAACTGATGTGATGCCAAATAGACAACATGAGACTGTGGCTTGGATTCCACGTCTTTCTCGAGGGCAAAAGAAAGATAATTGATGATATGGCCGGCGTTCGTTCCATTGAAGGGCTCAGAACCATCGAGCTCGCGAGATCGCGAGATGTGCATGCCGCATAGCGCCGCCAAAAGGCTTGCCACATGGTTGCTCAGCGCATCTTCCACTGGCACAGGGCAATTTCGAGAAAACCCAGGTTGATCCATTAGTGAGTTAGAAGACGGTTGAGCTTGTCTCCCGCCATCCATACTGTATCTTTCGGGGCACCTCTTCTTGGATATTGGGGCTGTAGCAGTCGGACGAACATTACTAGCTGAGACGAGCACAGCTTCAATCAGACGCGATGCCGCGGTACAATCATCGTCTCTTTTTGAAAATGATATAGTCGCTCGTGTCATCCAACTAGTCCACAACTTAGTCGCCATCCACTCCGGAGGCAACACACGACGTATAAGAAGCTTGGAAAGCTCATCAAAGATGTAAGAGCGATGAGCCGGGCCATAATGTGCATACTTGCGCAATAGTTGAACAGGATCACCTGGCAAGGCGGAGTCGGCAGGAGGCTTGAGGGCGACTGGATAATGATAGTTTGTGCGTGTAGATAGAAAAGTCGAAAGCAATGATTCACACGCGTCCGGCTCATGATAGCGACACTTTTCGATCAGTGCACAGGCGATGGGATCTGTCAACCACTTGTTCAAGATCATCGCCGAAACCAGGTGAATGCCTTGCGCTCGAACAGCCTCTCGAAGCGGTTTCCACCCTCTGCCATGCGGCGCGTAAAATAATTCCAACTCGGTAAAATAAGCGTCGCACATGTCCTCATCCCCATGTTCTTCTAGCTTGTCTTGTGCATCCTGCTCGTTTGCGATGAATTCGGGCAGGCGTCGTACCACCATCGACATGAGAGATCGGGCACCACGGCCTGGCTTGGTCGGTGCGTCATGAACATCATATTTTGTAATGCGCGTGTTGCATAAAAAGTTTTGGAGAATGCGGTCGAGATTGTGTGCTATGTTGGCGAACCTTGTGTCGCCGGACTGGTCGAGGAGTTCCTGCCAGGGGCTCTTGTGAAGGGGATATTTGTCACGAAAGGCTTGCAGTTGTCCCTGTGGGTTCGTAGGCTTGATCTGTTCAGCCGAAAGTTGTGCGCAAGCACTCGAGGGCGCCTCCCATCGCTTTCCCGTGATCATGGGCGTTGCGAGTTCAATCGCACCGGGCAGAGTGCGATGGGCTTCCGGACTGTGGATAGAAAGTCGCGATCGCTTTTTCCCACCCCTCCTGTCTCCTCGTGACGAATATCTATGCCGTACGCGCCGTTGATCCGGCTTCTTCCCTGGGATCCAGACTGGGTCGTTCTCATCCGCGTCCGATCCAGAGCAATTGTCCCGGGCCTTCACAACCTCACTCGTATCTTGCGGGTGGGTATCAATGTCTGTATTATGTTCCTGTGCCCTTGAATCGGCAGCGATGATCGCCAATGTTTCTTGGTGCTTTTCAAGTCGGCGGTAGATGGAGGTCAAAGGGCGCAGGACGCGGTTGGCCCATCTTGCGGTGGTTTGCACGTCGTCCATTGGGGGCATATGAAAATAATCCAGTCAAAAGAGGCTATGTAACTGCACATAGGATTATCAATCTTGTTCATAATGGCCTGGACAGGGTTCGACCTGCATTGGGACGTACTGCAGTAATGAGGTTCAAAAACGACTCGTGGATGACGCAGGCATCGCAATCACCACGCTCAGCCTCCAAGCATTGCCAACCTAGTTGGTGCTGAGCAGAATTATCAACAAAAGAAATAATAATAAGAGACTATCAACTGCAACTCAAAAATAAGAGACGCGTGAACGTGGAATGTAGATGGGATAAGAAATATCGGGGAGATCGAAGTCGGCGGCGGGCAGAACAAAGTAAACAAAGGTGGGTCCCAAACGCGGTCAAGAGTTCAGTCTGTGCAGAGACAATGAAGGCGTAGCTCTACAGCTTCTGCACGGTAATAATACATGGATTAGAATATAAGATTTGATCTGTCATAATCTATTATTGACCCACGTCACAAGGCTAAATGCAAAAATCTTAGGTACACAGGGCGTCGCATCGTCAATGCACATCGAATATAGAGCCATATAAGTACAACCGAGTCCATGAACCTTCCCATGCACTGCCCAGTAACAAGATCAACAGATCCAAAAAAGAACATGGAGAGGAGAGAGATCTAGAATAATACAAAAGTTTTCCGCTCATCGAGCCAAGCCAGCATCCCTCCGAAAAACGATCATGGAGTATTGTATTGTTAAGACAAGAGATGGCTAAGAAAAATAAAGGGAGACGAGAGGCCCAGAGCCCGGTAGGACAAAGAGAGTCCAATCAAACACAGTCGCAAGGGGTGATTTAAGCCTTAGACTGCTTGGAGCCGCGAAGCTTGGGGTTGGCGGTGGTGCGCTTCTTCTGCTTAGAGCGCGAGGTGCTTTGGTCACCGCCCTCGATGAACTTCAGCAGGTCATCAATGCTGCGCGAGTCCAGAGAAGAGCCGGTGGCGCTGGCAGTGCCGGCTGTCTCAGGTGCGGTCTGGCCAACCTGGGGCTGGACTCGAGTGCCCATGGTCGACACACGGGGGTTGATGTTGATACGGCGCAGACGGCGGGCTTGGATGTCCTTGGCATGCTTCGCGATAGAGACAGCGTTCTGGGTAAGCTGCTCCAGCCATGTCTCAGCCTCCTTAGTGTTGCGGTCCTCAGGGCCGAGCTGGGCGAGGAAGATGTTGTAGGCATCTCGCATCTTGCCAACAGCAGCCTTGGAGTCCTGGTCCAGAGCCAGGGCCTGCGCAAGCTGGAAGAGGATGGTGGCAGTGTTGATAGACTGCTTGCCAAACAGATCCTCGCACACGGAGAGGGAAGCCTCAAACCACTTGCGAGAATCAGTGTACTGCTTGAGGTGCTGCAGCATCACGGCGGCGTTGTTCATGGTGGTGATGGAGTCAGGGTGGCTAGCACCATAGATGATCTTCCAGAGGTCCATAGCGTGCTTAATGTAAACCAGAGCAGTCTTGGTGTTGCCAGAGGCGTGCTCGAACAGACTCAGATTCAGGTAGGCGAGAATGGTGTCAGCGGAATCGACACCCAGAGTGCGCTCAGTGACGATGACAGCCTTGCGAGCCAGCTCCACGGCGGCCTCCTTCTCGTCGGTCTGATAGTAGAGCATGGAAAGCTGGTGGTACAGCTTAGCAACCTCCGGGTGGAGGATACCGTAGATCTGCTCGTGGAGAGACAGAGACTCCAGAATGAGCTCCTGGCCCAGTTGCTTCTGGTTCTGCATAAGCGAGATACGGCCAGCCTCCAGGGCCTCCTCGGCCAAAGCGCTGCGCGGAGAGGCGTCCTTGACCAGCGGAACGATGTTCAGGATATCATCCGTGGTGAAGGAAACAACGGGCTTGGCCTGGACAGGCGCGCGGCTCGGGGAGTTGTTGTCGCCGCCCTTCTTTTTCTTCTTCTTGTTGATGTCATCGTGACCGTTGCCATTGGCAACATTAGTGACCGGAGCCGGCTCCTTGACCTGGTCCTTGGTGAAAGCAAAATCGCGAGCACCAAGCTGGAGACCCAGCTTGATGGAAATATCACGCAGGAGCTGCAGGTGACGCAGAGAGCTCACCCATCCCTTCTCGAGAGAGTAGCGGTAGCGCAGGGTAACCTGCTCCTCAATCTTGGTGTGCAGCGACTCAGGAGTGACCGTCTCAAAGGAGAAGTCGCCCTCGGGGTAGATCTCACGCAGGGAGTCGTCGATCTCGGGACGAGGAGCAGAGTTGACATCAGTACCCAACAGGCAGTTCAGCAGGTGGGCGATGCAAGGAGCAACGAAAGGCGCGGGGACATTGCGCAGATAGTGATTGGCGACGTGCTTGAAGGCACGAGCAATCATCTCCTGGACCAAAAGAGTGGACAGAGCCTGCAGGCGGGGTCCCTTCTCACTGGACAACTGGGCTAGCTTGCCGAGGTAGCGGACGTTGATACCACGCTTATGCAGGAGCTGGGTCAGCGATTGGCCGTCCATGGGGAAGCCAACGTCGCCATCGTGCAGGTCCTGAACCAGGTCGGGCATGATCTTGGACCGCAGGTGATCACAGGCGTCCCGCACTTCCTTCTCGTCTTGGGCCCACTGCTCCTTCTCCTCGTCGGTCTGGGGGATCTGGCCGCTGAAGACATCAGGGTTGAGAGATAGGTTGAATCCGGAAATGTCCACGCGCTCCTGATCATCAGTCTTCTCTTCGGAATCATCCTCAGCCTTGGCAGCCTTGCGGCGCTCAACCTCAGTCTTGACATAGGCACTCATCTTGGAGCGCCAGTACGACTCAACGAGCTCAAGGCGCAGAACCGACATGCGGTGGGGGTAGGCATCACTGCCATCCTCTTCCTGCCACAAAGCATCCAGGGGAGCCACGCGGTACAGATCCAGAACATACTTGCGGCCATCAGTGCCGAGAAGTCCCTTGGTCTCGACGCTGCCCTCGAGGTCGTGACGCTTGCCGTCCTTGTCCCAGACGGGGTGCTGCTTAATGCGGAGGGCCTTGGACAGCTTCTCGAAGACAGGCTGGAAGTCGGGGTGAGTGGCAACAACCTCCTTGCCCTCAACGCCACCGTAATCAATTTGGTGCTCGCCAGGTTCGCGCTGCTTGAAGATGCCAGGAACAATGCTCTGGCCGACAATACGCTTACCCAGATAGTCGACGACCACAGTACCAGGAGTGAACAGACCCGGGATATCAAGCTGGTTCACAGCCTTGATGCCAAGGACGTCCTTACCCACGGCCACACGAGCAGCCTCGTCACCGCCCTCAGATGTGAAGGTACCAACACCGTCGGCACCAAAGGAGTAGAAGATGTTGTTATAGACGAAAATTTGGGCATCCCGAGCCTCAGTCGGGTTGAGAGGAGCCACCTCACCACGCGCGACCAACACCGCACCACGGGCAGCAGCCTCATTATAGTCAGCGAACAGCTTGGAAGTCAAGCGCTCCCGGAACACACGATCCTGGACAGTGTCACGAGGCAATTCGCGGGTGGTCTGGAACTCCTCGTTCCAGTCCCGCAGAGTCTCGGCATTGTCCACGCCGGAGATCAGGTAGCTCTCCTGAGAGCGAGTGATATCAGGCTGGTGGGTGTTCAGGCTCGAAGAAGTGGGGGCAACGAGCCATGGGCTGTTGGGAATGGCGTTCTGGAAGGGGAAGGTGGTCAGAAGGTCCTTCTGATTGTTGGACTCCTGCAGAGCCTCAAAGGCAGTGTCGAAAGAGGGCGACAGCTGAGAAATCAGAGTGAGGAGAGAGTGGGCGCTTCCCTTCACGTTCTTGGGCAGGATGGTTCTGGGGAACGGATCGAACTTAGTGTTCGAGCATTTGTTCACGAAGAAGCCCGAGACGTGGGAAGTAATCTGGAACTGCTCGCCCTCATTGGTGGTGACCTGGAGGTAGAGCAGGTGGCCCTTCTGGCGGAGGTGGTAAGGGGCCGGGTTCCATGGCGATAGCGAAATCGACTTGACAGTCTTGGGGAGGGGGCTCTGGTCCTTAGGCAGGATAGTCTGAAGCGAGGAGGCGCCGGTCAGGTTGTACTTGGTAAGTGAGTGGTCCTTCTCCGACTCGCCAGCGCTAGCAGCCTCGGCCGAGATGGCATCATGCAGCGAGAGACCGGCGGAGATACCGTGAAGATTGTCCGACCGGTCTCCAGCCGCGCCAACCAGCTCCCGTGTGCGCACAACATGCATGCGGGCCTCCTTCTCGGTGTAGGGGTCCTCCACAAGCACAATCTCGGAATTCGCCTTCAAGTCGGAGACCTCGGACAGCTCGACGAAATCGTTGATGCGAGTTCCGTTGAACTCAAGGTGGAAGCATGTGTACTGGAAAGTACCCGGCAGCTCGACGATCGATTGACGGACATCTTGCACCTGTTCTTGGCTCGAGACCTGTGAGGAAGACGAAAGGATTAGAAAAATGTTCTCATATCAACACGCTATAGCTAAGCACCCACCATCACCTGGATCTTGTACGGCTCATGGGGAAGCTTCACAGAGATCTGGAAGAGACCTGGACAGGAGTCAGAAAACCGCCGCGCCACCCTAGCTCCAACGATGACACATACCACCTGCATTGTCGTCCTCGGCAGCGCCTTCGGGTTGGTTGCCGTTGGTGGGTTCTTGAGAAGCCTGAGCAACCTCTATTCGAAGGTCAGTATAGGAAAGTTGAATTGTGTTTCGTCCTGGGTCGATGTTGCGATCTGGGGTTTCCTGTGACCAGCGAGACTGCGAGGGGTAGACGGACCTTTCGAGTGCTCCAACTCCCCATTGGTTTGCGCCATTATGTCTGATCGGTGAAGGGAATAGCTCCGGCAAAGTCAATCTGCGACGAGTAGCTACCTCACGGCCGCGGAGTAGAGTAGAGACGAAGATGGGGAAAGGAAAAAAGTAAGGACCTGCGGGGATTAGGCAGGGAGAAAAAAAGAGTCGCTATGGTACAAAAGGTAGAAGGGCAATTGAACCAGGAAAGCCAATAACCCCGTACCCCAGAGAGAGATGCAAAAGAAAATCGTCCGGTATGGGGGAGGAACTGCGGTGGAACGGAGGAGAAAATTTCGCGGATGCGGCATTCCCTCGGAAGTGCTCGGGCGGTGGGTTGGCGGGTTCGGGGAAGGCACCGCGGAGGCTCTCTTCTCCACAGCGTGCGATGAAGACTGGCAGCGCTATGTATCAGGAGGAAGATTGCTATGACCCCATCCGCCTACCTGGGTTGTATCTTGCTAGCTTCATCAATTGGTAAACTGATGTCATCCCATCCTATAGTTAAGTTAATGATTCCACCGTTAGATAATGTTTTGTTTGGTGCCTCAGGCCGCCATATGTTGGGGCGCGGAGAAGGTTAAATTCCTGTTGCTATGAACAGTTCCGTTGGAGATGGAAGTTGATCAGATCAAGCGATTCTTAGGTGGTGTTTCGTTTCTGGGAATGTTTCCCGGACATTTTGCTATTCGGACAAGTCTACGGTCTATCAGAGCAGCCCGCCTAGTTTCGGATGTACTTTCCGACGAATCCAACCCGAATGGACGGGCTCTAGGAGAGCCTCAGTAGGCTATAGCTTCAGAACTAAATACCGTTCTGTTGACTACCGGATAGTTCAGATTCTATCGAAGGTCTACAGTATGTACATCACCGTGCATCTAATTTGGTCTGCATATATTGATCATGACCGGGGCAAACTTCGATTTTACTGAAGTACTGGGGAGCATCTGAGCAGCACACAAGCGTGCATGAAATAGAGTATTTACACCTATGTAATTATTTCTCTCATCTACATAGTAGAGAATCTGACTTGAGGAAAGATCAATTCATATTCCAAGTCCAAATGTGTCTCAGAAGAGCCGAAGACCACCGGTACCTCCGGGCGACTGCCAAGCCCCAGGATGTTCAGTTCGGGCTCCACCCGCGACTAAGCCACACTGCCCTCTTTCTGAACCCATCCTGCTCTCGCTGACTTCCATCCAACATGTCTTCAGTCTCTCATTAGTTTTCTCGTTCTCTTTCTTCTCTGTGTATACTTTCTCTCATCAAATTGGGCCTCGTACCCGTCCATTCCCTTGCCTTTTGACTTGTCATCTCCAGGTGGTGTGGCGCTGAAAGTCACCAAGTGCTTATACCAATCTAGCCCTTTCGGTGGCCGTAGCGCTGTGCATCCGATCAACGCGACGTGCAGATATAAGCGCGTTGCACCGTTCCAAAGAAAAAGAAAAGTCTTTGGCATTGCCCTAGATTGAGTGCAAAATCAACATTGGGAGCATCTTCCAAGCCCAGAGCCTGAATTCAAGATGCTATTGAATCGGCTGGCGCAACCCCTGACATCTTATGCCCGACAGGGGCTGTTCAGGCCTCTTCGATCTAATGGTCAATTTGCGCAAACCACTGTCAAGCGCTTCAACTCCTCAAACCCGCAAAACACGGGACAATATACGCCTGATCCCACTGACCAAAATGAGTCGGATGAGGACAAGGGCAAGAGTCGCAAGAATGACTCGGACCCCAACTTGAAATCTACAATCTTGAAGATGCTTGAGACAGCTGCAACTACGGCAGCATCAATCGCTATTCTTGGGTGGGGCTTTTCTTTGCTCCACGTATAATGTGCTTTCTGGCTAACTTCCTTTGCTCCACAGAGTGGCTGGATATTCATATCACCAGTACTACAAGTACTTAATCCTGGATAAAATGGATAATGCATTCAAGCCAGGTGACCCTGCTCTCGAAGTTGCCGGTGTTGTATCCGGAAAACATCAGTATCGCCATGAGGAGCACTGGGTCGTTCGGAACGAGCAGAGCCGGATCGATGATATTGTGGCCGGGGCACGTGGTGGCCATTACTATCTTATTGTTGGCGAGAAGGGCACTGGAAAGACTTCTATGCTGCTGGAAGCGATGCGCAAGATCAACGGCACCGGTTGCGCTATGTTTGAGGCCCATGCCGACTTGGAGATCTTCCGGCTTCGGTTGGGAAAAGCCCTCGACTACGAATTTCATGAGGAGTATGTATTTCCCCGATCAGCGATTATGGAATACCCCGAATTGTTCTAACAAGGGGTACACAGCTATATCGGCAGCCTGTTCAGCATTCGCGGTCCGCGAGACACTACCGCTCTGTTGGATATCGAGCGGGCCTTTAACAAATTGGAAAAGGTCGCTCTGACCAGAAGACGTAACGGCACGCCGCCACTGATCCTCATCATTAACAGTACCCATCTTGTTCGGGATGATCACGACGGGCAAGACTTGCTCGAGATGATTCAGCAGCGCGCTGAGCAATGGGCTGCAAGTGGCCTCGTTACAACCAGTAAGTCTCTATTTTCATACTAATCATAGGCGTATAGATACCCCGAAAATGACTAATGATGGCGGTCGAACAGTCCTCAATAGCGACGACTACTGGGTTTACGAGCGCTTGAAGCGTTACGCGACCCGCATGGAAGTCATTCCGGTTAGCGATCTGCCGAAGGATAAGGCAATGGCCGCGCTTTGGAAATACCGCAAGCAGTTCTGCCACGAGGATCTGCCAAGCTCGATTCTTGAGCACGTCTACGACAAAGTGGGCGGCCGACTTTCCTTCCTCAACCGAGTTGCCAAGTCTCCGGATGTCTTGAAAACCTGCAATGAGATCTGCCAGGCAGAGAAAACCTGGTTCCTCAACAAGTGTTGGATCCTGGGTAAGGAGATGGATGATGATGTGATGGACGAGCAGAAGTTCTCCGTGAGTTATTTAGCCCTTCCTCACCGAGGATGAATATGCGGGTATGCTAATGCAAGCGTAGTCTGCTGCCATGGTCCTGGCCAAGGCCCTAGTAGACCTTGAAAAGGAGATGGACAAGAATTACGACCCGGACAGGGGCCACATTCTACCCGAGATTCCCCTTCACAAAGCACGGGAGATCATGACTCGCGCCGATTTCGTCCAGTCCTACGATCACGAGAATATCTTCACTATCGATTCGAGAGCCATGGTGCGCGCGGACTCCGTGCCCATGCAGCAGGCATTCCGAGAAATCTGTTCCACTGAAGGATTCGACGAGCACCTAGATGGCACCCTGGAGCGCATTGGTGACATCGAAAGTCTCGGTCGCACGCGCGAACTGACTATCAAGGACCTCTGGGACCACGGCAAGTACCGGATTGTGATGCGGGATACCAGGGGACGCGAGAGTGGGACAATGGAATTTGCAGTGGCAGAGCGTGAAGGTGAAGGTGAAGAGGAGGACTAGATGAATTGCACAAATGTACCATTACTTTTTATGTTACCACTTCTCATGTCCACCGAATGTATACCTTGGTTTTTTTTTGGTGTGCGCCTTGGAAGCTCCAAGTAGTGACATCATCACGCCCTCACCGCCGCACCCAAAACATTCCACGTTCGTGTCTCGTCATTTTCCTGTCGTCAAGCTCTGTCACCTTCACATCTTCGAGTGTAGTGTCTGCGATATCTTGAAACTTGACTATGTCTCCCCGAAAGCGAATCCAATCGGGAAGCGCCCAAGCACCGCCAACACCCGACCCCAAAGACCCAAAGGATGCGCTGATGAACATTGCGCCGACGTCGCGGATGGAGCGCATCCCCTCACCCGCGTATTTCTTCTTGGTTGTCTTCGGGAGTCTGCTCCTGAGCTCAGTTCTGTTCACTCTTGCCACTAGTTTTACGCAAGACGATCTCGGTCTAGTGAGCAAACATTTGGAGGAATGGTGGGAAGTTGGGGGCTTGATCGCGTGGAGGGGCGTGGAGGTTGCTTTGGCGTGGTCTGTCGGGTTTGACAGTGAGTGAGCCCTTCCTTATTCGAAGCGCGAAGCCGTCGCAGCTACTAGGAAACAACAAGATCTAACTCAGAGATTGTGATTGTGTCCAGGCTGGGATGTCGCTTCGTACCTCTTCCTGACGCACCTACCCACCTACACCCTTCTGTCCTTCTTCTACGGCGTCCGACCGACCTCAGTTCTTGTCTCGTTTGCGATTACGATCCTCTCAACGGTGATTCCGTTTGCGCTCCTGCGCCGACCGGCATCCGTACATAATCTTTCCCACGCGCCCTCAGGCACGGTTTCCAACCATGCTATCTTGCAGGACCGGCCGACCACTATCTACACCACCCTGGCCGCGACCTCTATCTATAGCGTCGTCCTATATGCTAGCTATGCATCGTGGCTTCCCACCAAGCTGGTTGTGCACTTCGATGGCATTCCCGACATCAGCGCTGTGCACGCCGGTCCGGCGGGCCTTCCCGTCCTGTTCCTGACCCTGATCCCGGCGGGGATTGCAGTGCGTGATTTCTTATTTGTCAGTTCTACGGGCCGCTCATTGGGAACGAACGAGGAAGAGCAACAACCCGCAAGCCGTGGGGGGAGTACTTGGTTGCATCCTTGTACCGGAAGACCTGGTGCCGATTACCGACGAAGACCAGGATTCTCGTTTCCCGAACCATCCTGCTTGCTATCGGAGTGCTGCTCAATACGACCGTGCAAGTGGCGGGCACAATCCGAAGTGTCTCTGTCGAAGGTGCTTTAATATGGGGAGCTGTCTGGGCTGTCGCGACTGTGGCAGTGGGTGTGACCTTTGGCTGGATCGAGGCTGTGGACGGGCTGTGAATGTTCAGATCATGAAAGTGTTCGGTGTTGGAAAGGGAGGGCTTGGAAATCCGATAGCTTTCTTCAGATCGCGCTCGGTGCTTAAAGCCATTTTAATTGAGCTGAGTTATTATGTTTGCCCCTATGCGAGGCTGTATGAGTATGACCTCTGTCGCTTTTTCTCTTCTCTTCTGTTTTTTTAATTCTATTTCATATTTTCCAAAGCCTTCATTCTACGGAATGCTCTGTCTGATTGCTTTTTCTTTCTCCTTTGTGCAGTGTGCAGTCCCCGGTCGGCGGTGGAAGTCCTATACGATTATGCGATTAAAACACAATGTCTCTCAAAGTTGATTCAATCAGAAGTCTATGTTACGCTGGAACTCCGCAAATGGGCCAATCATTTGCTCCTTGGTATTTAGCTGCGATGGGCACTCGCATACAAGAACAGCAATACAAGCTAAAGAAAAACAACCTACTCGACAGGCGTAGATCCACCGGCAGAGAACCGTTACTCCGAGGGACGGTTCATCTCAATCTCATCAGACGCAAAGTCTCGTTCCAGTCGCAAGGTCTTGGTACTTTTGGGCAGCAGCCAGCCAGGGTGAATGACGTTGAACACCACGACAGCAGCAACCATCATAGCGCCGTCGAGCGCGATGAAGTAATTCTCGTGGGTGATCAGGAATCCAGACCAGCCCTGCAACAGCTCGATGGTACGGTAGATACTTCGCACATAGATGCAGAGCACGGAGAAGATCATCGCACCCAGAAGGGGGACAACGGACCCGGTCAGGGACTGGAGGAGCTGGTGGCGCATGGTGCGGCGCACAAAGTCGGCTGCGCAGAAGACAAAGATGGTGATGGAGACGAGCTGGAAGATGATACCGGCCACCATGATGTTAGTGCCAGTGGCGGTGTCGCCGTTCACCTTGTTGGCTTCCATAGACGCCATGCCACCACCGATGGCTTGCACGACCAGGGAGATGATGTCGCAGGTGCAGAAGATCCAGAGGTACAGGCTGGGTTTGAGGATGGATGACTGTCGGCCGAGGATTTGAATAAACCGGCCCAGGAGGACGTAGATGCCGGCTGTGAAGAAGGTTGGTGCTGGATGCTGGTTAGCAAGATCCGTGGGTAGTGGAGTGACATGAGGGGCTCTGAATTTCTCACCAATAATGAGAGTGGAAATCTGCATCAGAAAAGCCGTCGAGTTATACGGACACTTGGATGACCAGGTTCGACCGGCCCAGCCAATCAATTCCACTACAACACACAATATCAGCCAAATTGGTTCCCAGGCTGCCTTTCAGAGGTCAGTTGCGGAGCATCTTGCGTACCCAAGCACCCAATACTGAACACACTGCACCACCATGTTCGCTTCCACCAAAGTTGGGCAGTATGAAAAATCATCGAGAGTCCAAAGAGAGTGCAATAGGCAATGCCCGCCGCTAGTGTTGGTACATAGCCGTACGATGTGCCCACGCCGGGGATGTGGGCAGGACAGCCCGTTCTCAGTTCCTCCCTATCAGTCATGTTGGGCTCGAAAGTCGACACGAAATGTGGTGCAGGTCGGCAAATGAATCCAAAGAGAACGACAAGGGGGAAGAAAGTCTTGTGCGTAGGCGATGCGGGTATACCTTGGACAGGATGCGAAAAACCGATGAGGCTATATAACAGTAAATAGATAAGGGCCGTGCAATGGCGGTTGGAGTCGTCGGGTCGGAGATAGTAAGTCAACCAGAAATCAGGCTTCAGGATTATGGAGTAAGATATTTTTGACGAAAACGAGAGGCGGCAGCCTTGCAATTCAAGAGAAAAATATACATATCAGACCGAAACAGGAAGAGGCGGAGCATCAGCGCTAGCGCTCAAGGATAGAACAGAGTGCGAGGTGGGAGAAAGCCATGGGGACAAGTTTTGACCGTCCCACTCTCACTCTCTATCAGACTCTCTTAGACTCGCAAGCCCTACCGGGTTTACGCAACGTCCGTATGTCGGAGAAAAAACCAGGTCCGACGGCCAACGAGCATCTTGTCCCTGTCCGGCTAGCAAATAGGCGGGCGAGAAAAGCCTGAATAAGTGGGGGCGCCTCACAACAACGGCGGGTTTCACACAGCATTGCCATTGTGTCTTACGGAAGATGACATCAAAGGCCAGGCACCATGCGAAACGTGCCAGATCTGATAGGAATTCGGGCCGAACGACATGTCCGCTGCGACGGGGAAGCTTGGACCTCGCAAGATAGTCCCTGTTGGGTTTAGCCCCGAGGCGGTGCGGTGCAGTGGTTGGCGCTGCTGAGCCCTGGCGAGCCACTCGCCAGCCCTCATCTCCGAGCCGACGCCCCACCCATGGAGAGTCCGTCGCCGAAGCATATCGCCCGGGGGGAAAGCGCTGCGAATTGGCAGCTAGGGCCTATGGGATCGCATCAGCGCAAATTATCAAAGTTAGACTTCGCCCCGTTGAGGCATCTATCCAACCAGCACAATCCGCCCTACCTTACTCAGCCCTCTTGTGTCTGGCAAGGGCCAGACGTGCCGCGCGGTCACTACCGAGCAGGATACGGCGGGACCATTCGGCATTGCATACGGAGTATACTGTACGGGCTCCTGTCATGGCATCTTTGCAGCAAGTCCTCTTAACCCCTCACGACCAGTTTCTGACGCGGGGCCGACGTGGGGGGTTTGTGGTTGCGGGGACGCCTGAATTCGGGGCCGCGACGAAGCCTCAGTGCTATGCCATCAATGATATCCCGTGGCATCAATGTTTGAGACTATACACACTGGAGATTTGATGCTAGGGTTTTTACTCTTTCTGCCTGGATATGCGGGGGGAAACCGCAGCAGGCTGCTATGATTGCAACCCCCACTTGTCAAGGCGCACAGATGCTCACCACGCCCAATTTCCAAATATACTGGCCGCTTCGTCCTGGAAACTCAACATCGTTATGCCGACCGACAAGGCACAGGGTCTTCCTTTGGGCGGCCCAAGGATCAATCTAGCCCTCGGCGGTTGTTCCGGTTGGGTGGACGCATTGCGACGCGCCCTCGGACCCACTAGCGGTATGGCCCTTGCTCGTTTACATTGACGCGGTCGGCAGCTGAGGACGCTGCGATTCGCAGTGTACGCGGTTGTGTTGGCTTCTGCACGATCCACCCGGTGGCTCTCGGCCTTTGCTACTCCACGGACTCGGCCATGGTGTTGGATGGATGCAGCTACAAGATCGGTATGCGATTGAACGCGAGCAGTTTATTTTAGACAAACTACCTCTGCAAATTCCAGCGACCGTCAGCTCCTCGCGAAGGACCTTGGAGGCTATCCTGGCCCGAATGATATTTACGAGAAGTTCGGCATGTCGTACATGTCGGCAGGATCTGGGAGCCACATCAGCGTTGCACGATACTCGAGACTCGGACAAGATTGCCGAGTACTGACCCTTCTGGTTGGCGATGATGTATTTCCTCGTCTCGACAATGTTGTGGCCTAGCTCGGAGTCCAGCTCCTGCTGACGAATCCGGATCCTCTCATTACGCTTTGCCGCCCCGCGAACAGCTGCCTGGGCGATATGGAAGCGCGATGTGCGATTGACGAGCATCATATCAAAGGGCGTGGTAGTGCTTCCTTCCTCTATGTACCCAGCAATGGACACGCGGTCGAGACGCGGGCGGCCGAAGAGCAACCCTTGCAATTCCACGGGGTAGCCATGGTAGTTGATGTGGATGGGTCGGTCGGCAGTAAACAGATTATCGAACTCCTCGGTGGACAAGGCGTGCGGATGATGACCCTCGTTCTCGAGAATGAGCAAGTCGGTCACATTCACAACGCGTACGCGCATGGCCGGCGCGCGCTGGCGCAGAATTGCCGCCGCTTGGATTACCTCGAACATCAGCTCGACGCCAATGCCCACCAGCACCACGTCCGGGTCCAGTCCATCGTCAGTGCTGCAGAATTTCCAGACCGACGCGCCGGCGCGACAGTGGTTCTCTGCTTCCTCCGCATCAAGGTAGACCGGGGTCGGCTGCTTCGAGCCCACCATTAAGTTGATGTAATTCTTCGACTTCAAGCAGTGATGCACCGTTGTCAAGAATGTGTTTGCATCTGGTGGGAGATACACACGGGCAGCATTGGGCTTCAGCTTCAGCACTGATCCGATGAAGGAAGGATTCTGGTGAGAGAAGCCATTGTGCTCCTGACGAGCCCAGGTGCTGGTTTCGATGTAATTGATACTGCTAACAGGGCTGTGCCAGTTGGTTTCACGAGCCTGATGCAAAGGGAAATACCCTGGATGAGCCAAGAAATCAGGTTATAGTGGAAGAAAGACTCACCATCTTAATGAACTTGGCATACTGCACCATCATGGTATGGATGATGCCAAGGAAACTCTCATACGATGGGAAAATACCCACGCGGCCAGTCAGAGTGTACCCCTGCAGGAAGCCCTGGCACATATGCTCACTCAGCACCTCAATGACACGACCCCCACGGGCGTTGGCAAACTCGTCCCACTGGAAGTTTCGGTTGGTATTGTCCAAGACCGCATCCAACTTATTACTCTCCAGCTCATCTGGGCTGAACAGCCGCACGCTGTTCGGATTCTCCTTGAAGACCTCGTCGATCAGCCGTGCGATTGCCTTCATGGCGCTTTCCTGTCCTCCCTTCTTCGCACAGCACTTCTTCCAGTCTGGTAGCTTCGGCGGCACATAGTTCTTATATGCTTCAGCGCGCTGACCCAGCTTTTTCTCATTGTCTGTTGGAATCACGGACTTGATCTCATCGATGATATCTCCCTTTTCTGTGAACAGCTCCTCTGGCTTATAGTCCGAAAGCCATTTCTGCAACAGGGCCAGTTGCTCCTTGTCAGTCTTGGCTTTGGGCAATGGTACTTGATGTGAGTGGAAGGAGCCTTCGATGAATTCACCGTGGAGTTGTTTTGGTCCGGACCACCCCTAGATAACCCAATTAGCATGTCGAAGACATCATTGTTCGTTTAGCTTACCTTGGGAGTCCGCAGGATCAGCATTGGCCAACTGGGCTTGACAATTGGATTCCCAGAACGAGCTGCCTTCTGGATTTTGTGGATCTCTTCCACGGCCCATGCCAAGGAGTAGTGGAGATCGGTATCGATATCGTTGATGTCTTCCACAAAGCGAACCTGGTACCCGTATCCAGTGAACAAGGCTGCAAGCTCCTTGTGGTCCATGCAGCCGAAAATCGTGCGCTCGCTAATCTTGAAGCCATTGAGATGGAGAATCGGAAGGACGGCACCGGACTCTTGCGGATCGAGGTACTTGATTGCGTGCCAGGAGCTAGTGACCGTCAGAATTGCGGTGGGAGGCATCAGGGAAGAGGGACAAACGTGGCAGTTGGACCAGACTCAGCCTCTCCATCACCAATTATGCAGGTCACAATGAGATCGGGGTTATCCATCACCGCACCGAACGATACGGCCAGAGCATATCCCAGCTCTCCGCCTTCGTGAATGGCTCCGGGAGTCTCGGCGTTAATGTGGCTAAGAAAAACAGTTAGCACGATAGAAAGAAAAATGTGAGCGGAATAACTATAACTCGCCTGGGCAATCCAGCAGTGGTGCTAAACGTTGAAATCAATTGGTGGAGACCATTTCCATCGCGAGAGTAATGTGGGTAGAACCTCTCCATTGAGCCTTCGAGCCACAGCGACGCTAGGAGAGCAGGCGCCCCATGTCCGGGACCAACCACATACAGCATGTCAAGATTTTTGGTTCGAATAAGATAGTTGAGGTGGGAATAGACCAGGATGAGCCCGGGGCAAGTTCCCCAGTGACCTGCAAGACAAGTATGAGCATATTTGGATGTCAATCGGGGACTACATATATATATGCTCGGAGGAGGTACACCTACCCAGCAGCCTTGGCTTAATGTCATCAAAATCAAGCTCTTTTTTCAGTAATGTGTTTTTCCGAAGGAAAATCATCGCTTTGACAAGTTAGCGATATGCGATAACTCGCATTCGAGCTTCTCAACAGCCGGGTCTACATACCGGCAGCGATATAGGACGCCGCCCTCCGAAATTTGAACAAGGCATCGCAGGCCTTCTGGTCCAAGGTCTCATGAGAAAGCTTGATCGGCAATTGCTCCAGATATTCTGGCAAATGCGACGGCAGTGGCTGCGGATTCGGCCGGTCGATCACTTCTCCAGGCATGATTTGCACCTCAGTCAAAGTTGTAGTTGGCAAGGTATTGGAATTGGAAGGTCGTGGCGGCGGATGATCAGCACGGTAGCGGGGGGTCAACGGCGTTTGCAACGGGGACAATCGATGTGAGAGAATTCGGCAACGAGAACACAGAGAAAATAAAAGATTATCGCTGACACCAGGGGATTATCAAATTAATGGGTCATGCCGTGGATCTCCCCATCGTCCAGCAGGGGTACCTTTTATCCGCCCTGTTCTCGACGTCAGCGACGTCACACTCCGTGCCGTTCACCTCACCCTGACATCACATCACTCGCGAAGAAATCCGGAGGGCGAGCGCTGAATCATAGGCGCAACCGACGGAACTCAACCTTCTCTCGATAGAACCAACCGCCGGGTTCTGCGATCGCTATGGGGAGATACATCCTGGCCGTCAACGCCGGCTCCTCGTCTGTCAAAGTCACGTTCTATACTTTCGCGAACCCCCCGCAAGCTATCGCCGATGCGCAGGTCTCGGGCATCACCGCGCCCCCACCCACGCTGAAGTACCGGCGTGGCCCGGTGAAAATCAAGGAGGAGCTGCAGGAGCAGTTCAGGACCCCTCAGGCTGCGTTCCAATATCTTCTGCAGCGCTGCTTCCGCGATCCCGAGCTCTCCGAGGTCGCCAGTGACCGCGATCTAGCTTACATCTGCCACCGAGTGGTGCACGGCGGAGACTACCGTGAGGCAGTGGAGATCAACGACGAGACCCTTCATCATCTGGAAGCACTAGAAGACCTGGCGCCATTGTATGTGTGAACGTCTAAACTTCGTGCTACGTGGTGGAAATAGGGCCATATCAGACTGACGGAGCGGATTGCATTAGACATAATTTCTCTGCTCTGGAGATTGTTCGCCTCTGCAGGAAAGAGCTCCCAAGTGTGACGAGCATCACCTTCTTTGACTCGGCTTTCCACCACACTCTGCCCGTTTATGTGAGAACATACCCTATTAACCAGCAGATCGCCAAGGCAAACGGGTTACGGAAGTATGGATTCCACGGAATCAGTTACTCGTTCATTACACGCTCGGTTGCGCAATTCCTGGGTACATCTCAAGAGCAGACCAACCTGATCGTGATGCATATCGGAAGCGGAGCCTCGATATGTGCAATCAAGGAAGGCAAATCTGTCGATACTTCGTGCGCGGTTCCTTTTCTCGTGGATCGAATTGTTCTGCTGACGCACCTGCTAGGATGGGCCTGACTCCACTGGCAGGATTGCCTGGCGCAACACGCAGCGGCGATATTGATCCTTCGTGAGTCCGCATTAAATCGGGAGCTCGTGGGGATGATTATAGAGATGAAGATGATGCTAATCGACATCCCGGAAATAGCTTGGTATTCCACTATACCAGCGAGGCCGGTAAACTGAGCCCCGCAAGCACCAAGGAAATGCACATTAGCACGGTAATGGACATTCGGAGCCCGGCACTTGAAAGGCAATGGCTGACCCTCGCACTCCAATGGTACAGGCCGAGGAAATCCTCAACAAGCAATCCGGGTGGAAGGCCCTGACCGGCACTACCGATTTTTCCCAGATCGCAGTCGAGAACCCACCCTCGGAGGCCCACCAGCTTGCCTTTGATATCCTCGTGGACCGTATCCTGGGGTACATTGGGAACTACTACGTGAAGCTAGACGGGCAAGTGGACGCGCTGGTCTTCGCGGGCGGCATCGGCGAGAAGAGCGCGATGTTGCGGCGGACGTTGGTGGAGAAATGCCAGAGCCTGGGCATGGCGATCGACACGGAAGCGAATGACAAGGGGCCGGAAGATAATCAGACCGTGATTGACATTTCCAAGGGCGCCGGCAAGGGGCCCCGAGTGCTCATCTGCCAGACCAATGAACAGGTGAGTTCTTGGCATTGAGTGGCCGGGGGGGGGGGGAGGGGGCGAGTTTTTTTGCGAAGCTGAAGGCTGACGATTCCTCCCAGTTTGAAATGGCATACCGCACCGTGTGCTCGCGGTCTTGAGAGCAGTCAAGTTGGCCGGACGGTGTGGACAGAGAGGACTAGGACTCTAGACCAGGCTAGCCTAGCCACGGGACACAATGACAACTGCTGCTCTCCATAATTCCAAATCCAGATGTGATCAAAATCCAAATGTGATAGATGGCGGATGAGCGGAACAGGGACCGATGACAACGAGACCCGACTGCCACTGGTTTGACAAATGACAACTTAGTTGAATAAGGCGCAACGCGTCGAGACTGAATCGCGTAGTGGCCCGATTAGGTTTTGGATAATGCTTTACGAACGCGCGCATTTGCAATCCCAATCCTTGTCATTCCCGCCCTCTGCGGCGAACAGGGTTACTGCATACCAGCGGCGCCACACTTCCCAACCTTCCACCTCATCCACCCACACAAAGGAAGATCCAGGCGGTCGGCGAAGCCGTGGCTTTTTGGGATTGGGTCCCAGAAAAGAAAAGCGGAATGATGTGATGCATCACGGTGGCCCGGGCTGCTGGATTGGACAGCTTGCATCGGGGGGAATCCCGGAATCCCGATCCCCAGAAGTTAGAGTAGATTGGGTGATCCTCTAGTGTCATGCACGATGCGGGAAGGGGGGAAGGGGGGGGGGGGTTTTGCGTTGGATCACGATCGGGGGAAAAAAGTACTGTAGGCAGTACTTTATGTGTCTGTAAGGAATGGAGACGATCGGTCGGGTCTGAGGGTGCAGGAGGGCCGATCTGCACGATTCTTGAGCCCCGGATCCGAGGTTGAATGAGAGTTACACCGTGGGACGTGTAGATTGCATCTGATCTGACCTCTGTGTACGCTGTGCACCTGGACAAGATGGACAAGAAGCACACTGCCCGATGCAGTAGTTGATTGATCGGGTGATGCATGTCAAAGCAAAGCCCAGTGGCCGCGCAATAGGGGCGCACAAAGTACGGAGAGGACGCCACCGCGATCGACACTGCACCGTCACAAGTGTCGTGCTTTGTACGGCAGCGTGTGTCATGGTGCAGGGAACCAAGTACCGGGTTGATCTAGGCGATCTGAATGATCGGGTGATGAGCTCGGCTCTGGGCTCGACGTCGGGAGTCAACGTATCTTTTTTTTGGGATTCCAGGGGCTCCCAACCTCGCAGCTGCCATCTCAAAAAGCAGATCTCCACTGGTGGGCACTAGACTGGCGGGAACTCCTAGCTATTGGCCCTCGACTGGCCGCGGAAGGGCAGCTTGAGAAGCCGGGCCCCAGGGAGGTCCCCAGTGGGGGCGCAGTGGCGTGAAGAGTATCCGCATTGTACTGTGTATGGCTCGATCCGTCTGAAAGAGTCGGCCCCGTGCTTCCCAGGCTCATCGAGTGTGCGCAGAGAGAAGCTGCGAAGGTGGTGTGGGAGATGGCGGGCATGATGCACCGCGCACATCCTCGCACATCCTCGCGCATGCACATCCTCGCGCATGCACATCGCGCCAGGGGTGGTTGACCCGGCAGGGAGGGAAAGGATGCGGATCGTTCCCGACGCGCTGGATACTGGGGCCGTGGAGTAGTCGACCCTCTGCGTATTTCTTTTCTTTCGTTTATTTTCCCCTGGGGGATCCTCTTATCATGTCACCTGCGAGACAATCAATTGTCGGCTAGGGAGGAGATAGAGCAAGGTTGAGGTTGAGGTTGAGGTTGAGGCTGTCGTTCCCAAAATTGGCGACGTACCCGCCTCTCCACCCGGGCCTTCTGGATGTCTTCCGGCTGGTGCGGTCTTCCGACGACGGCTGATCTGGATCGCCGTACCACAAAGAAGCGGCGGGAACGGATTGAAATCCCCTTGGGGTTGATAGAGCATTTTCCTAGGGGCCCGGGCCCAGCAGGGAGCCGATTCGTAGTCTCGGCTCGGCTTCCATGGATGCATCGTGGATCATTGGATGCGAAGTTTCCCAGTATGCTGGGATCGTAGGGCCTGGGATCGGCCATGATAGAGAGCCACAGATCACGAGGTCCAGAATCTCGGTTGAAAGCAGCCAACTCCTTGGCACGAGCTGCAAGTGTCGTCCATCATCTACTCCGTACTGTAGCCACCTCATACGCCGGAAGTATTCTGTATAGGAACTGGTGTCACTACAGTCCATCGGTCCACGGAGTCCGGCCTGCGACGGAACATTGTACGCTCCAGACCCAACTGGAGCCCCACGGGTGGATATACGTCCATTACCGGAGTTCTTGTGAGGAGCCCGTAGCTAACCCTTTTTCCGTATTGGGTGGCAAGGATCATTTCCACTTTGTTCCAGAAGGCTTCTCTGCATGGAGCCCAGTCCAGGAAAGTCCTGCTCGCCTGCCCTGAAACACTAAGATCGGCCGGCTTGGGTCCCGCGTAGCCCTAGCACACGCCATGCGGCTTGAGACCTGCCCTATCCTGATGCTGGGATCACGCAGACATGGGATTCATCAGCATGGACGGGCTAGGCCACCACGGACTCAGCTGCCATAGTTTTGAGCGACACATCGGCTGTCGAGCGGGTAACAAAGAACTGGCAGGGAATCCCGCCTACGGTGTACATTGGACGGAATACGGAGTACACTCCGGAGGGAGGACGAAACGGTAGCTACGGTATTTTGGGAAAAATTCGATGGGCCAACCAGGCTCGGCTCCCCGTGGAGGTGATCGTGCAAGGCGGTTGGAGATGGTGCAAATCAAGGCGGTCGGGTTCTTCCGCGATACAGTTTCCCCCCGACCCCTGCTCCGTCGCGCCACCCTGTGCGCTGCAGGTGAGCACGGTACTTGGACGATGCGGCAGATGCAGTGTCCTGCAGCGATACCCTCCGTGCAGCCGCATGATGGGAGAGAGTGGATGGAGCAGGACGGGGTACAGGCGCCATATGTACGATGGCGGGCGATCACATTCAATATTGACGGCACTAGTGTTGGACTATGGTGTCGACGAAGGCCATTCCGTGGACGGCTATCTGGAACAGCGTACCAAACTTTGCATCCTCTAGCCGAGGGAACCAAGCAGCGTTCATGCCGGCTAAACCTTGTTTCCACGGGAGAACTAATGCATCCAGCCGCAGTCTGGAGACGCGTCGTTCAGGAACCCGATGTGGCGAGCTGATCCGACTGGGTCCGGCTCGGGAAGAGGCAACAGAACCACAGTCCTGGATGGGGACCTGATTGGAAAGTCCGGACAGCCTCGATTGCTAGGGGCAGACACGATTCGATCCTGCTCTATCCTGCGTACAAGCTCCGGGCCCCCACAGGAGGTAGTATCCAGTTCCTGGTGCTGACCGTTGATGCTCCCGTCCCAGAGGGACGGCACACGATACGGAGGACTCATGCTCCCAGAACTTAATTAATCAACGGGGAAGACGGAGGCCGCGACCCGCGCGGACGGACATCCACCGGGGCCAAGAAACCCCCCATTTGATCCAATCGTCATCCTCCGCGGAGGCGATAGAAGACTGCCTGGTCCCACGCAGTCTTTCTCCCGTTTCTAGCGTCATTCTAGCTGTAAGAGAAAGGGGTCTTCCCGACGTAATGGGGCCAGTTGCCGGGTCCACCAGGGAAAGAAAAGGAAGCTCGGTTGACTGTCAATCCCGCCTCCTTTTTTGGGTGGTAATGCCCCGGCGAAGCAACGTGGGCTCGCCGAGCCCAGTCCTCCGTCCGAATCGGGCAGTTGAAGTCGAGCTAGTGTGTAAATGTAAATACCGTGAGGTTCCATTATTTGGGGCTTTCGCTACCGCGCCCCCTCCCCACCTCGGGATGGGGATCATCGTCAGTTGCCCGCTCAGGTGGTCCCAGAAACCGCGAATAGGACCTGGCGCTGGGGGAAGGAGGGCTGTCTGGAGGGACACGAGTTGCGCACCATCGCGCCCCAAGAGTGGGATCATCGACGATAGACCCGAATAGACGTGGAGCCGAAGTTTCACCAGCCGTGTTTCGTTTCTCTTCTCGATCTCGCCAATGCTAACGGCCCCGGAAGATATCCCGCGGTCGATCTCCAGGCTCGATTTTCTATATGAGAAACGCCAGGATTGAACCCGATAATCACTAGGTCGTTCCGGAGGAGAGTCGTCGAGTTGATCGTTGGTCGAACGTGGCCATTCCTTCCCCCTATTTCACTCCGCGCTGGGACACGGGCTGAAACACGCTGACGAACCAATGGAGCCGGGGTTGTTGGGGGCACCCTGGGCCTGTCAAACGGGGGGAACCTATAATAATACACCATTAATCACCGGTCGCGTCAGGATGAGGTTGTGGCTGGATGGAGAAACCGGAGCCACTCGCGCGGCTCCAGTGTGGCGAAATGCCGGAGCTGACGCAAGAGAGCTAGCCTCTGGGAGTACTCCGTACTCTGTACGCTTAATAGGAGATTATGGGGGGTGGAGCCAGGGTGCAACTGTCTGCAGTGTCGGTGGAGGCGAGAAGGAGTCCAGAATGTTTCCAAAGTACAGAATTTAACCAGGGAACCAGGGACGGTGCCAGCGCTGCGGTACCAGAGGTACGGAGTCCACAAAGGTGGAGCGAATGGACCGTCCGGATGACCCAATCGTGTACGGAGAGATGTACTGTGTACTCCGGACATTCCAGCGGGAACCAAGCCCCCGGGAGACTAGAAAAGCTAGAAGGCGAAAAGAATGTTCATACGTAACCAAGACCGAGAGTGGGTGCAGCCTTCTCATTTGGCTTTCCCATCGCGTCGTAACGGAGCCGCCTGGAGCACCCCAGCGCACCCCCTATGATGGAGCCCGTCCGAACAGCATCGAATGGGGAATCTGATTGGGAATCACAGGTGGTTACCACAAACCAGCCCAACAGTCCATCACGGTGATAGGAGGCCGGAGCAGCCCTGAGACCAAACGCCCGTGTTCGGGCGCCAGCGAACTCAGAGAAACAAGTAGGGGTCCGCAATCACGGCGGGTTGAGCATGTCTCTGACACGATGCCACTTGGGGGGGGGCTGGCCACTGGCTTCTCCGGAAAGGAGTCAAAGACGAGGGCGACAGATGGCGATTGGAAGGGCCAGAGCAGGACTTCCCGAAACAGAGCGACCCCGTCTAGAGCCTTGTTATGAGTTCGAACGCCATCGAACGACATTAATCATGATTTATTATTTTTGAGTCTCCTCCGGTCGGCGAGAGAGAGAGAGCATGATTGCGCGGAGAACCGCCTGGCGAGACCGAATGTCTGGTCTTGATTGCCTGAATGAGGTGACCTCGTTTCTGGTAGGTTGGGTACGGCTGGTTAGGCTGGCTTAGGGTTGGCCGGGGGATGGTTGAGAGCATGATTGATGATGGATGATAGGATGATAGGATGATACCTCATCCGCCGAGCATGAGAAACCTAGGCATCATATGTCAGCGCCCAGGGACCTGTTGACCCCTGGCATTAGTGTGGCTGGAAAGGTTAGTCTTCAACTCTCCTCGGGTAGCTAGGACGGTTATAGAAAACTGATTCGTCCGATGGAGCCCGACCACGCGAGAAAGTTGCGACGATGTCTAGCTCGGATGGATCCGGTTTTTTGGTTCCTGCGGCTGTTTCCTTCCCCCCCCCCTTCTCCACTTATGCACAAGGGCTGTCCGGAGATTCGGTTCCTAGCTTCCTTTAGTTGAGGATTCGTCGGGGTCTGAGTCTGGGTTGATACGTTGAGCCCGGGAAGGCGAAAATAAAAATAAAGCCCGCTGCATGGTACTTTTCTACTTTATACTCACCACCCAAGCGGCGGAGGCTGGCCGGGGCAGGGGAAAGTGGATATACTGGATGCATCCAAGATGCAATTGTGATGGATCAGAGTTTGGAGTAGTTGGATTTGTTGGATTTTGATTGATAGCAAAAATCAGGTCCCGATCGCCCTGGCGCTACTGCAACACTACTGCGATTAGCAGACGTTGAATGTAGAAAGGGGGGGAGCCTTGGTCGCGTTCCTGTCCCTCGGGACAGTCGCTCCTTCACAAAGAAAGGATGGAGCTCAGAAGCTTATGATTTCATTGGCAATAAAATTATTGGAAAATAGGGAAATTCAGATTCTGCCTATTTTATTTTCGGTAATTTCGGTATATTGGTTTTTGATTTTCCCTTTTCCAAAAACAAAACTAAACTAAATAAACTAAATAAATTAAATTAAAATAAAATAACCTTGTAAAAGAAAAAAAAATAGAAAATAGAAAAAAGGAAGGGAAGATCATAGTGGCCCTTTCACCAGAGCCCATCGTCCTATATCTACGCAATGAATTCCCTCTTCCCCCCTAAGGGATCTCTTGATTATTTATTATCTGACCATCCTCTGAACGGAGTCGACCAAACCTCACCTCCGCCATCCTCCTCTACTCTCCTACCAAGCATTCTACTATCTGACCATCCTATCGACATCCAAGCCAAATCCTGTGCGCGAGAAAAAGGAAATAAACGCCTCCCCTTTCCGCCCTGTCTCCTCCCTTGCGATACGTCGCGCTGGTTTTCAACCGGATCTACCGGACCAACTTCCGAAGCACTTCTCCTTGCCAGGGTCTCCCTTGCCGGCCTGGCCTTATTATCCCTTCTGCCCGTTTTGCTGGTTCAGATCGCGATTTCATGGCCTTGATTCTGCAGCCACCCTCGCGCTTATCACTTTGAGAATTTGATTTGATTTTCGCCTTTGTTTTCTGGGATCCTCCGATTTGCGATCTGGCCGTGGTACAAACCAAATAAAAAGCAACGACCGACGACCTGTCGAACACTTCCTCTTGCCGCTGACACTCTTTGTCTCTTGCGCCTCGATACCAGCCCTTTTTATTTGTCGGGGTCTGTGTCATCACATTCCTGCCCTACACTCTGCTGGCGCCCGCATTGTTCCAGTGGCCATCTATAAAAAGGATTGCCTTTCCGATCTCGACTGCACCTGCATCCCACCGCCCGCGCCGTCCGTCCCCATCTAGGACAATTTTCTTTTTTTCCCCCCTCTATTTTCGTGCGCTCCGGGGGGGTGGATTGGGAGTTCGTTTGCCTCTGGTGATTTTCCTGGCCGAGGAATTACTATATAAGAACCGCTCGTGGTTTGTTTTTACCTGGTAAGTTCTTCATTTTCTTTGAACCTTGCGCGTCGCATTCCAAGTCCCCTCCTTGGCTGCAACTCCCTCTCGACTAAACAACCTATCTAACCATGATTGCCTCTGTAGATCTCAACATGATTCTCCGAGATCTCTCTGCTTGCAACATGGGTCGCGGCGCATACGATACAACCGGCGTAAAAAAGCCTGGCGTCCCTCCACCACCTCCGAAATAAACTCACTCTCCACGATACCCTCGATCCTCGTTCTATACTCCTTAATCGCTTTGGGATTTACTCTGTCTGGCGCACTCTCGGACTGTTGGAGTTTTTCATGTTGACGCTTGCGTTTGGAGTTCGCCCTCTTTTTTGATTTTATTTTTTCCTCTGTCGGTGAGTTACGGTCTGCCTCATGCCTCATCTTGGGCATCAAACTAACAGCTCATGCAGACACCTGTAACACTACTTCACTTTGTTGATCTCTTTTTTTCGGTCATATCTCTGCTTGTCTATTCGCCATCGGCCTTGCGCGATCTCATATACCCTTTTTAATTACTGTTCTCTCTGCATGACTTTTCGGTTTCGACGCTGCTTTCGACTTTTACTTCATTGTCTTCGCATGCGCGGCTTTTTCTCTCGGTTACTCGACCCCTTCTGTTGCTCCGCCCCTCCGCCGCTTCCCGCCACCATACGACTTCTCCGAGACTACTACTATCCTACACCGCCGGTCGATCTCTCAAAAAAGTACCTTTTGTTGTCCTGTTCATTTCTGTTGTTCTCGTGGCTCTCTGATCTTGATTTATGAATTTTTTTTCTCTTGCGGCGTTATGGCATAGATGGGACGGAACTTGTTGCATGGGATGCATGGGCTGATACCAGAAGAACCTAGACCTTCGACCTCGCGGTCAATAGCACGTTTTTGCTGATTCGATTCTTTTGGCCCACAAAGCACCGTTGGGCCTTGACTTCTCTTTGTACTAGTATTTGTGATTGTATGTGTATTTTAATGTTGACGCCTGTACAATATACCGCGCGCAGCTGGGAAAACAAAAGTAAGCGTCTGCTGGTCTTTCAGTTTCCGCGTCCGCTTTCCTTGGTCTAGACCGTACAGTAGTCCGATCATCAAAAGCCTAGAACCGGTTCGTGTAGGCCAACGACTGTCGTGGTCCCTCGGGACAGGCACCGGGCGGGATGAGCAGAGCGTCGGGCAGATTCGCTTGGAGACCGACACCGAGCCAGGAACGGCCAGTCTGATTTTCGATGCGGGCCCATTTTCATGCATCGGCAGATGGACCCCGAGCCCGACTGGGGGTCTCGCTGCTTTGCTGGCGCCCGACATCATCTCGCATATCCGTTGGGCACTAGTTTCAACCTAGGCCAGGAACGAGCTCTAGATTTGCGAGCACGTAGCCAGTCCTTATCCACTATTTCACAGACTCGAGGTCAGTTCTGCAGTTTATGTTGAATTTTCATTCTAGTCTTGAGCGGAGTTTGTGATCGGATGTGGGGTCGTGTTTTCTTACAAACTCGCGTCACACGGCTACATATGTCAGAGTTGAAGCCGCATATGACACGGGCCCCTGCGGATGATTGGATAGACATCCCAAATGCAACCAAGTGGCCCCTACTGCTTCAAGTGGAGGATTGCCAGCAAGGTCTTTGGACCCGAGAGTATGGTAGATCATACCGCCTCTGACGACCTCAAAGCCCCTCGGCGAAGAACGAATCCATCTTCCCTAGTCAATTTCAGACGCAAACGTGTTGTGTCTCTATATTGTGTCTGGCCCCAATCAACTCCCATCAGGGTTGCGCTTCGAAAAACCTAGCCCAGGTCTGCTGAAGTAAAGGCGTTACAAGAGGAGCTGGGGAAGATTGAGGCAATGCTCCGACGCCTAGGCTCTCGAACGCATGAATGAGACCTGATCCCAGCAAGAGACAGGCCAGGCTTCTGGGGGACGCGGGGATTGTGAGTCTAATTGACCTTGAGACGAATACCAATCTGTGGGTTATAGCCCTTCACATAGTGGAATATCCACGCCAAAGAATGAGGAAGGTACGAATCCCGATTTGACAACCATGCTACTCAATGTATTGTCCAATCGGACAAATATACTAATTGCTTCGAAGAGGACGCACTCGTGGGTCGCACCCAAGCTTACATCCAAAGCACATCATTTATTGGGATGGAAGATCATCAAAGTATGGGCGCGCGAGTAACTGGTAGTGCAGGAGACCTTATCATTATAGGATTATTATTAATGAAGCCCTATCACATCTTTGTGTGCAAATACGGATGTCTCGGGTTAGGATTGAATATCAAAAATTTTGTACACAGCGGAAGTCATTAGGGTAATCACTTGAAATCACAATTACCTTATGTTCCAATTGGTCTCGTTCTGCCTAAACAAAGGCCTACAAGGCCCTTCCCAACGAGGCAAGGATGATGCAGCGCCAAGTCCACGCTCAGAAGCAGATGATTCGAGCAAGGTCGTCATCTTCGCGAAAACTACTGTCTTCGAGCAAGAAACCTTTGTGATGCAACCAGAATGGGCAAATTACCTGTCCCGGGCCACTTGCTCGGGGCTGCATGCTTTATGAGATCAAATACAAGCAGCGTTAGTGAAAATCTTGCCGCAAGTCTTCCTGAATTCAACATTGACCGACTAATGAATGCTAATAGTAGAAAATACATTACCTGTGGCGGTGAGATTGGGGATCCCTGCCCTTCTGAATGTTGTCTGATATCCAGAGCAGAAGACATGGTGACTCAAAAATGCTTCTACAGCCAATTTGTTTACTCCGAACAATCTCGACACCTGAGTCATGGCTGAAAATCAGCCAGCGGGGCAGGACAACTTGGGCCGCATTTGCAACGTGGCGGAAGAAGACGAGTAATGGCATCTCTCGTACAAGTCTCAACTGGGGATGACGTTGAAAGATATATAGGACTAGATTCCAAGTTTGGAACCAAAATTAGTAAAAGTTATGATCTATGAAGAAAATACGCAGATTTATGGTTCCTTTTGCTTCAGTATAGGATATCCCAACCCCGTGACTGCTGGGCCGCACGTTCACGCTAGGCCGGATTTGGGCAACCGCCATCATCATCGACCTCCGCTTTCAACACCCTCAGCTTCCCCCGTAGATTAGAACATCTTTCTTCCTCTCATCCTCCTCCTCATACCAGCAAGCACAACACTCGTGTCTCAGTTTCAGACCTGCATATAAGGCCCCTGCGCACACCGCCGCAACTACAGCGGAACCTGCCAGCTCATCCGTTTTTACCTGATCGCCCGATTACTTGGAACTGGCGTCGCTTCCTGCAAGACGGCCTGATCCGTGGTCTGCTTCAACATTAGCTCTCTGTCTCCACCACAGTTATGTCCGACTCAGCGAATGCGCCGAAGCCGAGCAGCAGCGTCAAGCTGGTCTTGCTAGGTGAGGCCGCAGTCGGCAAGGTACATTTGTTCGCATACCGTGTTACACTGGATTGGATAGCTGATGATAGTTCTTCTTTGCTTGCAGTCATCACTTGTCCTTCGGTTCGTCAACAATGATTTCCAAGAGAACAAAGAGCCAACGATCGGCGGTAAGGACCCTTCCCTCCCCCCAATGAGCTTCTGAGCTCCAAAAGGAGAGCGGCTATTCCCTGCTTGTCTACCGTTCCATTTCAATGGAAGCCTTGCTTGGTGTTACAATGCGCAGACGTCTTTAATGGGCCGTCCTTCTCTCTGAAGTCTCTATCTGGCTGTGATACGGCGGGCTAACGTCATCTTTTCAGCTGCCTTCCTGACCCAGAAATGCTCTCTTCCTACGCGTACAATCAAGTTTGAGATTTGGGACACAGCAGGCCAGGAACGCTTTGCCTCGCTCGCACCGATGTACTACCGCAATGCCCAAGCCGCCCTTGTCGTTTACGATGTCACAAAGCCGTCGTCGCTGACAAAAGCGAAGCACTGGGTTGCTGAGCTGCAGCGCCAGGCTAGCCCCGGAATCGTCATCGCCCTTGTAGGAAACAAGCTGGACTTGACCAACGACGGTGGCGATGCGTCAGGGGCTTCTGCCGCTCCTAGGGTTGAGTCTGAGTCGTCGGGACCGGATGGAGATGAGGCAGCTGGCGAGGAGGCCGAGGAGCAGGATGCCACTTCCGGCGACGCTCGGAAAGTATCGACCCGGGAAGCGAGTACATACGCAGAGGAGGAGGGGCTGTTATTCTTCGAGACTAGCGCGAAGACCGGGACCAATGTTGTGGACGTTTTCACAGCCATTGCCAACGCTATCCCGGAGAGCAGTCTAAAGACTGGCCGGGGGGCAGCAGGAGCTGGACAGACGGCGCTAGGAGGCCGACCGGGAGAGGACTCTCGGGTGAATCTGGGGGACCGAAGTGCTGCGACAGCCAAGGAGGGCTGTGCTTGTTGAGTTGGAGCGGTACTATGTCTCTTTTGAAGTTACCCTGCAATTTTCAAGGGTATAGGCGTCTCCCCATGTTCTTGCGTCCGCTTTGTGTTGCTCCAGACACAACATCCCAACCACCTGTCTTGTGCTTATATCCCTGGCCTACCATGTGTCCTTTAGTTTCTCTTGGTTAGACTTGTAAATCGCCCGTTTCGCGAAACCTCGAAATCTCTAAATCCCCAAATCTTTTGCCGTGAGCCCGCAGCCAATCACAGGCCGCTGAGGGCAGGCCCGTCACGGGACCGCAGAACCCCCCGAGGCGCCCAAAAAGAGACAAGCGAGCTAAGCCTGATTTGGAACTAGCGCACTCTAAGCGAATTTGGCGATCCCACAGCAAATTCACCATCTCTTCGAACTGCGAGAACCACTCCCTCCGCCGACCTCAACCCAGCACCTTCGCAGCACTCCGTCGCTCGCAATCATGGCTGCCATCAACAAGATTGCCACCAACTCGCCCTCTCGGCAGAACCCCTCCGAGCTGGAGACCGCCGTCGCCGGTGCTCTGTTCGACCTCGAGAGCAACACTCAGGACCTGAAGGCCTCCCTTCGCCCCCTGCAGTTCGTCTCTGCCCGTGAGGTAAGAATTGCACTTCCATCCGACAATCAGAACCTCCAGGAATTGCGCCGGTCGAATTCTTTTGTGCGGTGATCCTTTCGGTGCAGGAACTGGGAAAATCATGGACATTGTGGCCATACATCAATTTACGACTTTGATTGTCGCACAACGTGCCAGAATGGAAGAAGACGCTATGAATGTGGAAAGAGACAGGACACGATCACCGACAAAAGAATTCGCCGACGTCGACTCCGGAGCGCATTGTTTTTTGCATTTGTGTGCGCGCACCTTGTGGTTGAACAGAAATTCTAACATGAACTTCGCTATCAGGTCGAGGTCGGCCACGGCAAGAAGGCTATCGTTGTCTTCGTCCCCGTCCCTCTCCTGCAGGGCTTCCACAAGATCCAGCAGCGGTAAGACGACACCCCGAGCATCACGCATTGCCTCCCCGCGAGTCGAAATATAGTGGGACTAACATTCATTTTCTCTCTCACTAGCCTCACCCGCGAGCTGGAGAAGAAGTTCTCTGACCGCCACGTCCTCTTCGTTGCTCAGCGCCGCATTCTGTCCCGCCCCAAGCGCTCCGTCAACTCCCGCACCAACCAGACCCAGAAGCGCCCCCGTTCCCGCACTCTGACCGCTGTCCACGACAACATCCTCGCTGACCTGGTCTACCCCGTTGAGATTGTCGGCAAGCGCATCCGCACCAAGGAGGACGGCAGCAAGACCCTGAAGGTTGTCCTGGACGAGAAGGAGAAGGGCGGTGTCGACCACCGTCTCGATGCCTACGGCGAGGTCTACCGTCGGTTGACCGGCCGTGCTGTCGTGTTCGAGTTCCCCCAGAGCGGCGCCGAGTACTAAGCACGTGTTGTGTTGGGAGGGATGAAAAAGAGGAGATATCGGTGTATTTTGGGAATTGCTTGTTTCTAGGTCTGAAACTCACTAGATTCAAGCAGAGAGCATGATGGGTGAAAGACCAAAAAATGCATTTAACGGGTTTTCTTTAAGTTATGTTATCCCCCAATGACTGGTGCATGGTTCTGTATTCCTCCGGCTCTCAATTCTCTGCGCGAGGCGACGGAGCTGAATTTACCATTCGGGCCGTGTTTCTCTCTTAATGAGGATGGGATGGGATATGTGATAAACATTCCAATGGATTATTTCCGACTTTTCAATTGCTACACTGTAGTCTGGACAAGCGTGGTCCCTACCCGGAGAAACGGAGATTGGATATGCGGAAGTATCAGTACGGGAGCTTCGAGTTCTCTGTCTAGTTCATCTCACCTGTAGGACAAATATGAATGGTAAATATGCAACAAGTAGGTTACACTCGGGGGGGGGTTATGAATTAAGGAATCTATGAACAAGGCCATCACCTCTTCAGCTATCTACAACGAGGCCTGGATCCTTCCAACGCCCAGAACCATCCAGTAAGCTAGTTCTCGAGCAACTAGGTCGTCTGGCTTCGACGCCTTTCCGACATTCTGCTGCTCAAGCTGCGCCTCCGCATCCCATTCCATGTGCACAAACACTGGGATCTCCAGTACATCCTCATCCTTCTGGGAAACAGCCGCGATATCACTGCCTGTCGCCTGACCACCCTCTGCCTCAGAGCCCGGCAAGGTTCCTGGGACGACCTCCAACACTACTGTCGTCCAGTTCCGGCCCTTCTCCCAGACCTTACCAGCCTCGGGAACCTTCTCGCCGCCGCGCATACCCGTAATGCGATCACTTAAGGGGGCAGTCGCATTTTGCAATGCCTCATCCCACACGTCGCTGTTTGCGCCGATTTCGAACTGCGGGCAAAGCACAGTGACTTTGCTGGCGACGCTTCCCGGGGTCACGGAGGGGGTGGCGAGTGTGATGCGGACGATATCAAACATATGATTCTTCAACGTGAGAAGTACATGGTACGGTCGAAGAGGAGCCAATGCATTCAGATCCAGGTTTGGGGCTGAGCCTGGGATCAGAGATGCTGGCGGCTGGGCAAGAGGGCGTAGAGTTGGAAGGGGAATATAGCTGAGCGCAATGAGGCGGATGCGGAAACGGGTGGACTGTGGCTTGGTCTCAGGCTTCACGAGAATATGCTTGCATGACTTGCAGCGCTTGGCACGCTTGGTGCGTAGAAGTACTGGAAGAGGAAGCAGCTCGTCGACGAACCGCACATCAGGCGATTGCTCTGTGCGCTGGCTGATTGATGCGACGCCGTCCCAGCCACAATCGGGAGAAGCGATCCGCTCGATCAGTGCTGTATCGGCGCTCTCTGGAACAATCCGGAGGCCCTCGCTGGCAGTGAGAGCTTCGCGCATGACGGGCGGCTTGGATTTGGGCTTCTTGGCGCCGCCGTACAGTCCACTCAAGCGTGAAGAAGAGGCGTAGAGAGACATAAGTCGGTTCAAGGCCCCAGGCGATGAGAACCCGAACTCCGAGCTGAGAGGGTCGCTAGGGGAATTTGATGTCTCGGATAGCTGTGTACGATAGAAGGATTTCAAGGCTGCAAATCGGGCTTCCACACCGAGATGGGGTGTAGGTGTCGCGTCTTCTTGTGAAGTAGACTGCTCTGCATCAGGCTCGCGAGTATTGGATTGCTCGTCAATGGATGCAAAGTTTGCTAGAGGCGACTTTAAGTCACCAAAGGCGCGCGACCCCTGTCGTGACCGAGCGTCAAACGCAGGCCCAGTCGTCGAGTCGGTCATCTTCTGCAACTGGCTGCGGATATTGGTCGGCTTGTCAAACTTAATGCCAATATCGAGTGTTGTCCATAGGCAGTAGCCACACGAGAGTACCCAAGGCCCTTGCCCGCTCCCATTTCCTGTGACGTTTTCAATGCTACTCACAGCCAGTGGAGCTGTGCAGACGGGGCAATTGAAGCAGTTTCTCCCGCAGCTGATGATAGCGGAAGTTAGCAAGCTTGAGTAGAGAAGACCATGTCCAGGCGAGCATACCGATTACCATCGCTTCGCACCATACTGCTTGGAGTCTCGAACAGACAGTTCGGACAGTACCAGCTCACAACCTCCTCTGTTATGCATCGGGGGCATTTGATCTGGTGGCAGTCCTCACAGTACAGGAGCTGTTCAGGTGGGTACAGCGAGAAGTTAGACCGGGGTGATCGAGGGTCGAAAGTCTGTTCTTCTCCCTCTCCCTCTCCCTCTTCCTCTTTCTCTTCCTCTTCCTTCTCTTTCACATCTGATTGTTTCGTTCCGTTCTGATCTTCGTTGCCCTCTGTGTCCCGCTCGGGGGTAGATTTCTGCGGTGACTCGCGAGATCTTCGCTTCCTGGCTGGGTTGGGAACCGGCGTGTCGGCGCAGGGACACGAGATGTAGGTGTAAGGGAATGGGCGAGACATTGTGTACGTTGGGGATGAGGGATGTGTGGTGAGGTGGTACGTGAATGAAAGGAGGCCGTGTCGCCCAGTCAATTCATGCTTTCGGCGCGGGGCTGATTCTAAGAGACAGGAACAGGCAAAGCGATGACTGCCGCGTGTAGGTGAAGGTAATTTGATACCTATCGTATACTGTCTCCAATGTTAGCACATGTATTCGGCAATTCCAGTACCAGTGTGCTGTCTATCTAGTCAGGCGCAACTCGTGGGGAGGAGGTGCGCGTCGGTGTGAAAGAAACTGACCGAGGCGCCAATGAAAGCAATCGCGATTGTCACTGCTCTGGAAGTGTGCAACCCGAATAGTCAACTTCCAGGCAGCCCAAAGGAACCAACGTGGTTGGAGTACAATCGCTGGCGAGGGCGTGGAAGTGTGCGCGATCGCGGAGAGCGAGTTGCGGAGGTTCCGCAATCAACAATCGACGTCAGAACAAAATTTAGGACTCGACAACTTCCCCCCAGCATTTCCAAACCTACCACTACGCAAAATGGTCTAGGACACTCGCAATTTCTTACACGAGCACGCTTCGACCCGACTAAATCTACCATGATCTCTCTCCACACATTTCGTGCCACTTCTTCCCGGCGATGCTTCGCCGCAACCTTCGGCGTTCGAACATACGCCAGCCAGACGCCCGGCAATCCCATGCTGGAGATCTTCAATCGCAAGACAAAGCACCTACAGAAGGACCGGGCCGCCCGCAAAGTCGAGGAGAGCCGGAAAACAGATTACTTGAAGGATGAGGTGGCACTGCGGCTGTGCGAGCGGTTACTGGTAAGGAATTCTGCGAATCAAGGACTGGAATTGAACGACGAAGAAGACAGATCACTGACATGGGCCCTTTTCTCGGATGACTAGGATATTAAGCGCGACTTCCCGAATGTGCTCGACCTGGGCGCAAACAGCTGCAATATTGCGCGGGCTCTAACGACGCCGAATCTCGACATAGCAGCACCGGAGGGCACACCGACACCACCCCTGGCCGAACGAATCTCGAAGCTGACATGCGTGGATACATCGCATGCACTGCTGCACCGGGACGAGGAGCTGCCTTTCAATAAAGACATCAACATTCACCGCGACGTGATTTCCGACCTCGAGACATTGCCATACCAGCCGAATACATTCGATGCAGTTCTGTCATCGCTATCGATCCACTGGGTCAATGATCTGCCTGCGCTACTGGAGCAGGTAAACACTATTCTCAAGCCAGACAGCCCATTTATCGCAGCAATGTTCGGCGGCGACACACTTTTCGAGCTGCGGGGATCGCTGCAGCTGGCTGATCTGGAACGTCGCGGTGGCGTTAGTCCGCATGTGTCACCGCTCGTTGATGTGCGAGACGTCGGAAATCTACTGAACCGTGCCGGATTCAAGATGCTCACTGTTGATGTCGAGGACATTGTGGTGGAGTTCCCGGATACATTTGCTCTTATGCAGGACCTGCAGGCCATGGGCGAGAGCAACGCCATCATGCACCGTGAGGCTGGACCCTTGTCACGAGATGTCTTGCTGGCCAACGAAGCTATCTATCGGACGATGCATATGGAGGACGATGCTCCTGGCATCCCGGCAACATTCCGAATGATCTATATGATCGGATGGAAAGAGGGCGGGAACCAGCCACAGCCACTCCAGCGCGGTAGCGGCGAGCTTAACCTGAAGGATCTTCTAGGCGGTGGTGATTTCCAAAAGCCATGAGGGCTTGCAACCATGCGAGGGAATTGGAGAATCGGGGTGGTTTCAACATAATGTCATAGTATATCGGTTGTAAAACAACTACGCTGAAAGCAACCCAGAGAGGAAGATTGTTCATGAAAGAAATGATGAAATGCAATCAAGCCTCTACCAGAACAGCAAGAACAGCAATTAGAAAAAAAGCGAACCCATCCAGCTGCTTCCGCTTAAACCGTCCGGCGGTCCGTCATGACCCGAACAATTGACCCAGTGCCCGTCAACTCCACCAGCTTCTCGTGCCAATTGAGCAACACACTCATCTGCTGGCCACCACCACCTTCACCCATGTTCCGGGCCTGGATCTGAGAGAAGCCTGTAGCCTGAGGCGAAAGGGTCTTGCGAGGGGACTGGGAGCCACTGCTGGGAGCGGACGAGGACATTCCTTTGTAGCTAGTTTTTAAGTCAGCACAGATCTCGTTTACTATCATGCGGGTCCTCCAAGCGATCCAACGTACAGGTACTTCATCAGGCAATCCGCCCGCTCTGACCCGCCATCACCGCCGGTAACGCCCTCCAGAACCCGAGTCATCTCGCCCTGCCGAATGCCCTGCAGCACTTCGATCACGGTAGCAAGGTGCACCTCCTTCGCACGGTCATCGCCGCCCAGCGGCGCAGTGTCCAGAACGAGGCGTAACGCGCCCTCCGCGTCGCCACCGCGCAGCAACTGGCGCACCTGTGTAGCAACATTGGCGGCATCACTGGAGGTCTCCGGTTGGGGCAGAGTGGCAGGGAGGAGTGTTTCCATGGGGAAGTTGACTGACGACTCCGGGTCGAGCTGGTCGACGTTGATCGTGCGGTAGTTGATCTGCGACATGACGGCGACTGTGGTGTAGTTGTTTTGATATAGAATTTGGATGTATGGGAGAAAACCGGTGGGACGAGAGGCCAAAACCAACCAAGAAATGCTAACTGTAGGCTTCGGCGGTAGCTGCGGTCGTGGCCTCTTTGGTACGGCGATGCGGTGGACGGGAAGCGGGGAGATCGGAGATGAGGGAAGGTTCCCGGGCGGTGCGAGGAGACGAGACAGAAGATGGAGGACGAAAGGGGAAATCAGCCCAGTCCACTCTTGAATGACAAGCTACCACAGATCGCGAAGGTGAAGTGTCAATTGGCTTGGAGAGTCCGAGTCAATGGAGAGGGGATGGAGCTGCTGCGCACCGCCGTGGGGGTGAGGGAGTCTGCGTGCCTCAGGCAGAATCTATCATCCCGCTGCCTAACGCTGAACGAAAGAGTATACTTGTGATCGCGATTGAAGATTTCTCTCCATTCTATTGAGCTGACATGCATAGAAATACTCCAGAAGTTCTTGCTAAAACTTTGCTTCCCGGGGAAGACTCAGTCGCCGTTTTGTCGACACCATTCTCCTCATAAACCTGTAGACTATACCACGCGGTCTTACTGCGAGCCCGAATTTGCTTGCCATAGCTAGTGGAGGGAGGTGGAACAATGCAGAACAGCGTTGCTAATGCTGCCAGGATCGATGACGACATATTCGCACCGATTCCCTCAAAATATGTGTCCCGAACAATGGGAATATAGCTGGCATCAAGGAACGTAGCAATGAGAGAGCGGCGAATTCACTTGCCGCATAGTTCAAATAAACAAAACACTAGGGCAGTGGTGGACACGATCCAGTGAGCACCAGCCATGAAGGGGGGACTAGTGATCAAGAACCAAAAAGCGTGTACTCTGGTTTTAGTGGTATACCTTATCCTTTCCCGTTCTCTCTTGTGGCCTTTTTACTCATCCTAATGCTAGAGTTACCAGTCTGCTACATCCGTGCAAGAATAAAGGACAGCTTTGGATCCACTGTAGATGGTCAATTGAGCCAGTTGTCCACTCTATGTGCGTCTTCAGTCCAACCAGAATCCTAGTTGAACAGTTTATCCACCAACCCGCTCTTTTTCCCTTCGTAATCACTCAAGTGAAGGGCCTCATAGGCGTCAATCTCTTCCTTTAAGCCACCCAGAGACAAGTCTGCCGTCCCCGGCCAGATATACTTTGACCTAGAAAATAGCTTCCAGCCAAGAAGTGCGATTATAAAGAACCCAATCATTCCGTAGTCCAAGAAGAACCACATCACATCCCACCCACCAGTCAAGAACAGATCATAACCACCCGCCAAGAGCATGAAGATCGTACCGCCCATGGCAAAGTAGGACGTGTAAGGTTGAAATCGTCCCTTGTAAGGAAGGCTATCTCGCGAAATCCCCTGCTTTTTAAGGCTTGAGAAGAAGTGTCGGTAAGTCACTGCAGTAAAGCAGTAATTGAGCAATTGGCAACATGTGACAAGGTCGACCAGGTAGGTCATTACGTCTGCCGAGGAATTGTTGACTTGAAGAAAGGCAAGGAGACAGAACGAGAGGGACACCGCAAGAGCCCAGATCGGTACACCTGCGTTTGTGCACCGTGACAAGAATCGAGGTGCATGGCCTTCTAGCGACATCCCGTGCAGGGTCCGGGTCGCTGCAAACAATAGACCGTTGCCGGCACTTAGAATGGATGTCATGATGAGTGCATTTACAAGGTGGGGAAGACCATGAATCTGAAGTCGCTTCATGGCAATAATATAGGGGCTGATTGGTAGTGTTAGTCGGAGCAAATGAATGGTTGCACTGTGTGACAACAAAAAAACTCACGATGCGGCCCCGGTTCCCGACCCAGACATGTAGCCTCCAAGAATAGCAAGCAGCGTGGTGTCGTTATACGGGATGACGATACCCATGCAAAGAGCCGAGCCCACGAAAAATAGAAGGATACGCCAAACAAAGGATCGAAATGCAGGCGGGAGAACTTTACGTGGCATTTCAGCCTCGGCCGCCACCATGGAAATATACTCTGGCCCGCAGATACTTGGACGATCAGAATTGGTCACTCGAGAACAGAGAAGGGAAAAACTCACGAGAAGCTAGCTTGATAAACGCAGGACAAGAAGCCAAGGAATCGGCCTGTGTTTCCAGACGCGAGATGTTCGACAAATGCGCCCGGATTGTTCCAATAGCTGAAGCCGTAACGGTCGTGCAAGGGGTTCCCTCCGACCATGGTGATGAAAGTGAAGAAAAACAACCCAATCATCAAAAGGACCTTGAAGATGGATAGATAGAACTCCGCGATCCCAAAATACCGCACGCTTATCACGTTGAGGAGCGTGTAGAGGACGATAATGGTGACGATAATTGCCTCGACCGGCACTTTGTCCGTCCAAAAGGTGATCATGATGTTCATGGCCACTATCTCAAAGGGCACAAGAAATGCCATATTCAGGAAGAAATTCCATGCCATGGCAAAGCCCAGTGCACCATCAACCCACTCGCTACCGAATCGGACGAAAGGCGACGGTACAGGCAGATAGGTCACCATCTCAGCAAAGCATTCATTCACGGCCCACATTACGGAACCCCATGCAAGGAAGGCAAGAAAGAGACCAGCCGGCCCGCCTTTGGGCAGAGCAGATCCCATTTGTACATAGAGAGCTGGATAACTCGTTAGATCTATCGCAAGCGGTACAACCAAGGCCACGCTGGGATTTCAGAAATGGGGTTGAACCCACAGGTACCAATGGCGCCACCGATGGCAAAGAGTTGCACCTCTTTGCCTCGCAGCTTGCGATGTAGAGCCTGTGACCCTGCGTTCATATTCGAGATGATGCCAACATCATCATCACTAGCACTGGGGGAAGGTTGGCTGTTCGCAGTGGTAGCCCACGGCCCCTTCTCGGAATCCTTGCTTGTCAGCATATTTTTACTGATTGCTGGAGACCTTGGAAATGGGAAATAGAGTAGAAGTGTTATGATGCTTATTCAGGTAAATCCTATAAAAATAGGGGAGCTTTCGTTGGCATATCCAGAAGCACAGGTATTTCTGTATTCTCCTTTGGAGTATTCTTAAAAGCGAATTCTCGTCCAGGACGCTTCTTATCAATCAAGATGTTGACGTTCGCCCATGATCTAAATACCCCTAAATACAACAGATCAACCAGCCACTTCTTCCCGGGCACTTCTAATACTAGTCGTTCAAACCTAGAAGTTCGGTCAGTTAAAGATAGAGTGAAACCACCCCGTCCAAACAGATCATCGTGGCTTATCATATCGTCGGCTGATCCGATTGCGGTCATCTACCGAAACTGAGGCTTATCGTCATCTTGGCAAGGATCGGCCCACCCGACGTATGCAGACTTTCAGAGGCCCGCGCAAATACAGTATTTTAATTCTTGATGCAGGCTAAGACAAGCTATAACATGACTTCCCGATTCAGATAAAGGAAATACGTTCGATGCCCTGAGTGATGAGAATATCTCGAATGCCGATTGATTGCGCTCGTGGATGACATTTGGTGGTTCGATACTTTACCTTGACCCATTTCCATAAGATGCAAACCTAAGCTGGGGTTTCGATTTTAACAGATTCTGATATCATGATAAATATCATTTTGGAAGAGAGTAAGAAAGGAGAATGGAGCGAGTACGTTAGAACTGCTGCATTGGTCTAGGGAGTGCTAGCATGAAAATGATAAAGCCATCTCATGAAATATGAACATGAATTGAGGGTAGCATATGGAATACGGATTGGGGACTAATGTAAATTAGAGTTACTCTAGAAAAGAACAAGATCTGCTATATTCGCCCTATTGCTTGAAATCGCCCTTGGATAGATACTCCTCAAACTGAAAGTGGGGCTGAAACTCAGCGAAGAGGGTCTCCTGTGCATTAAAGTTAGCAACATGCCTTTTTGACAATCGTGGATATATAATGTACCGGCGTGCTTGCCATCTTAAAGTTGTAAGCGGCTTCCTCATCGCTCACAATTTGCTTTTCGAGTCCGGTCTGATGCGCTAACAATTGAACCTTGCAGCTCCTCTCCATCAAGCAGAACAGGAATGCCGCCTCATCCACAGTCTCACCCACGGTGAGCAGCCCATGATTCATCAAAATCACGGCTTTTCCATCGCCTAGACTCTTGGCAATATTCTCCCCCTCGGACGCCTCATTTGCAATGCCTCCATAGTTGGAGTACACCGAGTGAGCCTTATAAAAGTAGCACACATCCTGGTTGATCATTTGGAGAGGCTTCGCAAAGGCCGACCAAGCTCGCCCGTGCACCGAATGGGTGTGGCAGATAGCGTGTACGTCTTTACGCGATCGATGCACCGCACTGTGGATCTGGAATCCAGCAGCGTTGATTGAGCCAGCCGAGTTTCCACCAATGACCTCACCGTCGACAGTCACGCAAACCATATCACTCGCCTTCAACATCCCAAAGTGCACACCGAGAGGATTGATCCAAAATCTATCTTCGAATTCAGGATCTCGCACACTGATATGTCCTGATATTCCCTCCGCATAACCCTCGCGGGCAAACACGCGGAATGCACCGGCCATGTGCTGCAGCTGCCATTGTCGCTTTTCGGCACACGAATTGAACTTGGGGATACCAGGGAGTGCCTTGCCTCTGTGAGCCATGGCAGCCATGGGATCGACATCATTGACTTTGCTAGGTACAGCAGTGGCCTGTGAGTTTGGGAAGTTGGTTGCAGTAGGTGCCATCGTGGTATTAAGCGACTCAATGGCGATCCGAATGGGGGGAAACAGAGTTAGGTTCAGTGAATCGAGATCAGTACATGTGCTCAACTATATACAGGGCCACTAATCCATTGTACACATTATAGTCTGCTGTATATCAAAGTGAATGCGAAATCTATTTGGCTTTTTTCCCCCTCAATGCAACTCTATTTGGTAATCATCCTTATCTGAGAGGCTTGTCCGAAGTCGGGCCGTCCGAACCCCCGCCCCCCGCACCAAGCCACCTGCTAGAGTGCGGAGAAGATACGAGATTTGATATCAATCCTATGTCGGATAGCCTGTATTTGGATCGTCTGCCATCGCGACGTCGAAAAGAAACGAGCCCGTCGACGCGCTACAACCTTTTGAACGTTGTCGGGCACGTGGACTGGCCAGCCTTGGACCTGGCGCTCCCTGGACATTGAAACACCCTCCATTTCAGTTGGAACTCCACACAAATCAGCTAAGGGCAAAGGCGTGTGAAGGTAAACATGACTGGAAGCATGGTAAATAGGGGTGAGTCAAGATACCTTCCAGCTGTTAGCTTGATCTACTGACTCGGAATTTATAGGTGCTACCCTGCTGTCAAACAACATAGTAAATATCACCGCTGCTGGTTTTCTGGCATTCATCTTGTACTATTTCCTCTACAAGCCTCTATACGCAAGTTCTCTGGTAAAGGTCCCGGGCTCAAAACTATTTGCGGCAAGCAAATGGCGGCTTGCATTGGCTGATTATCAAGGAGTCCGAACGCAAACCATCCACTCCTTGCATAAGCAATATGGTACTGCGGTGCGAATCGGGCCAAAGGAAGTCTCGTTTTCATCTCTCAGTGCGCTGAAGGCAATCTACGGGGCTGGATCTGGCTTTGAGAGAACCACTTTCTACAGAATGTTTGATGCCTACGGACGTCAGAATCTCTTCACTTTTGCCGGAACAAAACAACATGCCGAGAGAAAAAAGCTGCTAGCTCATGCCTATTCCAAAAGTGCTATATTGTCACCCAATGCTCTGGCAAAGCCCTTAATAGAGAAAAATGTGAACAGCTATCTTGAACTTTTGGAACGCGAAAAGGATGTGGCGGAGGAAATATTCCAAAGCCTACATTGGTTCAGCTTGGACAGCATTACTGGGTTCCTCTACGGAGAAAGGTATGGAGGAACACAGGCGGTTACAGGGAACAAAACACACAGGCAACTCATTGGCGATATCATTGACCCTAGTCGGAGAAAGCTGAGCTGGTATGCTGTGCACCTGACGAACTACACGAAATGGCTCTATACGCGAACCGGAATTGTGGAGAGTCTTGTCACTCGCTTGGGCTTGTTGCCGATGGAAAAGCCTGCCACGTACAGTGGTATTCGAAAACATGCACTCCAGTCGTGGACTGATTTCGAGGCCTCCGTGACGGGAAACCCACCGCCTCAGGACTTGGCCATTATCGAAAAGCTGTGGAAGCACAGCAAATCTGGCAAAGGACCCCGCCTTGACGGTCTTGATATGGCCTCCGAACTGGCAGATCATTTCCTCGCCGGTGTCGACACCACCAGCGATACCGTCATGTTCACCATCTGGGCCCTCTCGCGGGAGGAGAACCGGATGTACCAACAGAAATTGATCGACGAGGTCGATAGAATCCCTAGCACAGATTGTAATGAGGACGGCAACCCGACTGTGGAGGCTGTGGACAAACTTCCATACCTTGATGCTGTCATCAAGGAGACTCTTCGTCTCTATGCCCCCTTACCAGCCTCAGAACCACGATCATTGCCGTTTGACACAACGATTGACGGGTACTTGATTCCAGCCGGAACCGTTGTGAGCATGTCGCCATATACCCTTCATCGAAACCCAGATGTGTTTCCCGAGCCTCTGAAGTTCAAGCCAGAGCGGTGGCTAGGACAGTGTGGTGATTTGACCGAAATGAAGAAATGGTTCTGGGCATTTTCAAGTGGAGGTCGTATGTGCATTGGCTTACAGTGAGTTTGATTCCACCCAGAGCGTGATTGTAGATGATTAAACGAAACCTCCCAGCCTTGCTATGGCAGAAATGACAACGCTACTGGCTGCTGTCTACAGACGATATTCGACTAGTGAGTACAAGCGGCAAAGAGGAACAAGTCCAGTCATTACCAGCCGATTTGAAGTGTTCTATGATGAGACCCTCCCCAGGGCTGAAGTGAGTAAAGAAACATAGTCTCGGGATGCAAATAGGTAGAAGGCTAACTTCTCGGGCTCGATTTCTAGGAGCATGAATGTTTGATTAACTTTGAGAAACGAATTGATAAGAAGATGGAATGATGGAGGAAAAATGACAATTGCTCCCAAAGGCAGCAATTTCTTGTGGACAGTAACGATTCTGTAAATGAAGGAGTGTGGGGTTTATTATCTATAAATATTTCTAGTTCATACAAATGGAAAAACACGGACATGAGAATATCACAACAGGAAGAAAGAATCAACCTTATGGCTCTTGTAATTCTTTAGGATGTTTGCGTGACAAAAAATCAAGCTCGAACTTGCGTTAGGTATATCATGTTATTATTGGTAGACAATTATTGGAGCTGGTGCTGCGTATCAACTTAAGAAACCTAGCGAGCCTCCGTTGAAGGTGGCACACTCAGTTCGGGAGCGGCAGGAGGCTCTTCCAGGTGTTCTATGGCTTCCTGAGATGTATCTGGAACATCATGGCTAACAGATGATGCCTGGAGCGGCTGGCTATCTATTTCAGGAACCGGATGGCTCTCAATGGACTCCGGGGGTTGCTGGGAGGGAATTGTTGCAGTAGACGCTGAGGTCTCCTGTGGTGGAGCCTGGATGTTACTGGGCGGTGGAGCCTCAGTTGAGGGTGGCAGACTCGGTTCAGGAACGACGGGAGGCTCTTCGAGGTGTTCTGTGGCTTCATGAGATGTACCATGAGCATCGTTGCTGATAGATGATACCTGAGGGGGTTGGATATCCGGTTCCGAAACCGGGTGATTCTCAATGGGCTCCGGAGGTCGCTGAGAGGGAGCTTCCGCAGTGAGATTCGGTGGCGCTGAAGCAGGCAGATCAGCAACTTCGGACTGTTCACTCGCTGATGGAAGACGAAAGCGTTCCGAGTTGAGGATGCGCATCAGCGGCTCTGCTTGCGGTGGGGCCGGAACTTCACCACTGAGTAACTGTTTCGCTTTCAATGGGCGGTCGTAAAGCTTTTTGTTCGCGGAAGAGCGCTCGACAATGAACCCTCCCTCGAAGGTAAGACCGCCGAACACACCACGCGTCTTGGAGTAGGCAAAGATGCCGCCGACGCCTTTGGTCCCGATCACGGCCCCAGTCTCAGCGCTTCTGCCGGTCCCAAAGGCTATGGAGATATTCCCGCCTAGAGTGAGAGTTCCAGAATTGATGAAAGTGGTGATTGCTGCGTCGGTATTGAGGACAAACACGAAATTGGTGAACTCCATGCCGAACTGGCCGCCAGCACCCAAACCCCCCAACGAGACGGCTGAGGGCGCTGACCAGCTGCCATCAGGAAGCCGACACACAATCAGTCCAGAGCCAAAGCGAACGGATCCTAAAAAGCCGACTTTCAACACGCTGCAGATAACCAGTCCCTATGGTGTGGTTAACTCGAGCTGTTCTTGCAGGCACTTGTATATCTCCGTAGAAAACTTTACTTTGGCAGGCGCAAGGATCTTGCGTGGAATGTCGGCTTCTAGCCCAGGATATTTGGGATTCACAAAGGAATCAATGATTTGACCCGCTTTTTTACATTCGCCTAGACCCAGTTAATGATGTTGATACCGTGGGGCACTTGGGGCATACGCACTGGACAGCGAGGCTGGGAACGGATTGTGGATTGGGGCTCGATGGCCCGCGATAGGCGTTTGTCTGGCGTTGGCAGGCTGCGTCTCGTTGGCAGTTTGCGTCTCGTTGGCAGTTTGCGTCTCGTTGGCAGACTGCGTCTCGTGGGCAGGCTGCGTGTCGTTGGCAGGCTGCGTCTCGTTCGAGATTTCGCCCTGGTTGGAAGCCATTGCACCCGGAAAAGTCTTGACGCGAGCCGTCAATGAGGGTATACAGGAGGCAAATAGATCGATTTCGCGCCAGGGGACTAGTCACGCCCGTGGCACACTCAGGGGGAGGTGGGGATTTGGTGTTACAGTCGCCTTGGCCCCCAACTAATTAGCATTAGCTTTGGTCGCGAACAAAGGGCAAAATAACCGCTAACCAATGATGTTCCATGGGCTACATTCTTAGTTTATACAGTCAGTTTCCCATTCGATAGCTTTTGTTCCTATCTGAAGGCCATTCCAGTCTGTCAACATGTCTCGTGGCTCCTACACTCTTGCCATTCTCTTAGATCCCCTTGGAGAATGAACCGGCTTTTTCGCTGCGGTGATTACACTGATGCTTATCAGCTGTTGTTCAACCAGCGAAGTTAGCCAGTCTACGAAGTCTACATACTAATATCACGGTACCTACAATACTGCCCCCGGCCCCATACCAACCGCTCATGTCTGCCTTGACAAAATCTATTGAGTTGGTTGCGCACTGCTCAGGGGGTTGGGCGGCCGCCGAGGCGAGCACGCCTGCCCGACAGGCCCCAATTCGCGCGGCAGCTAGCCAACGGGGCGGTGTTGTCGGGCTGGGCTTTATGGGAGCGTTCATTATCCTATTTGGGGAGTCGGTACATAGTTTCCGCCCGCCTAAAGGTAGGCCTCCTGTGGGGCCGTCCCTGCGGTTGCACGTAAAATTTTTCAGGATCATGCTGGTTCGCGAAATGAATCGCTAAGCATGAGAAATCACGACAGTAATATTAGGTGGTAGTCTACGAATTGAAATGAATGCACATATAAGAAAATCAAATTCGTGTTCTGCATTTCCATATAACAAAGTATATAACAAAGTACGTACCATCCTAGGTTGTACTCGGACGTATGTTCTATATGCAGTTCGGAAAAACACCAACGCCCGCTAAATGATATATGCGCGCCATAAAACATCAAACATTAAGGGGAGCTTGTGACGAGGATCGGGGGCACCGCAATCGCCGGCGGTGTCTGAGGGCGTTCAGGACTTTCCTCTCGAGTAGCTTTCGGCAGAGCCGGATTTTCCTCATCCGAAACCGGTGCGATCGAGGAAATCTCGACAGGAGAGCCCGGAGAGTCAGCGGTCCTGGCGCGTCGACGGGAGAATATCCGACGAGTGAACCGTGTCAATGGCTGGAAGAAAAGCTTCAGACCATGGGAGAGGGCTTTGAAGCCCTTCACCAACGGGCGTCGAACAACTCTCATGCCGCTGACCACCCCGTTAAAGACAACACCAAAGTGGCGGTCGGGTATGCAGCGCAACACCACAGCCCACGGTAGACAACCCAGCGCACAGATCAGGCAGACGGCCCAAAGGATGCCACTGAGGCGAGTCACGCCAAAGGCCGCGCCGCCAACGTATATGATCATAACCTGGCCACCGACCATGACGGCATTGATGCCCAGGAACCAGTAGTTCCGGAACATGCCTTCGAAGATATTGAACTTATTGTCCAGACGCCGGTTATTGAATTCATTGAAGATCTGCATCCACACGAATGTGTTGAAAACAACCGTAGAAAGCTGATCTGCTCGGTGGTCTGGGTCGCTATCGTCAAGGTGCGCGTTGAGCATCTTGTCGCCAGCAAAGTATAGCATGAAAGTGACAGCAAGTTGGTAAACTGCTTGTCCGAGGATCATTTTCCACATTGTCAGGGTGAAAAGTGAGGCGCTCTTTGGTACGGGCTTTCGGTCCAAAATTTTTTCAGTTGGAGCATCGGTGGCTCTGTGTTTTGAAGATGTTAGTCAGTGGGACAATACGGGACAATGAAAAGAAGGGTCTCTTACAGAGCCAGCGCGGCAAAAGTATCCATGATCAAATTCACCCATAGCAGTTGCACCGCACTCAGCACACTGCTGTTCGAGCTGCTGTACACAGACGACACGAAAGTTAAGATCACTGCGGTAATGTTGACCGTGACCTGGAACTGCAGGAACTTGGCAACCGCGTCATTGACAGCTCGCCCCCAGGAGATCGCAGTAACAATAGACTTGAAGTTATCATCCAAGAGGATGATGGAACTGGCTTCCTTGGCAACCTCAGTGCCAGCAATTCCCATGGAGAAACCGACGTCTGCAGTGCGCAGAGCAGGCCCATCGTTGGTTCCATCGCCGGTCACCGCAACTGTCTCGCCCAAGATCTTGAGTCGTTCCACCAAGATACGCTTGTCCTCGGGCGAGGAGCGCGCCAAAACTTGGAGGTAGGGAACCACCTCGTCCATTTCCTCGTCCGACAATTGTCGGAACTTAGGACCTTCCATGACCAGCCCATCTTCAGTCTTGATACCACAAGCAGTTGCAATAGCGGTGGCAGTCGCAACATTGTCTCCAGTCACCATCTTGACCTGGACTCCGGCGGAGCGACACTTCTCAATCGCTCCCGGTACCTCGGGTCGAAGGGGATCTTGAATTCCCACAACACCAACCCAGGTCATAGCTTTGAAGAAATCTTCGAAATTAGCCGTGGTCGGATCATCGTCCAGCTTCTTGGCCTCTCTAGGTGGCCAGTTTACAAAATCTTTGTAAACAAGCCCGATCGTGCGAAGAGACCCCTCGGCATATCGACCAATGGTGTCTAGGATCTTCTGCTTTCCCTGCTCCGATAGTGATGTTGTGTCAATCTTCTCCTTGCAAATATCAATATCCGTGATCTGCATGGAGCAGGCCTCGACCATCAGCTCTGATGCCCCTTTGACGAGAAGGCGGTATCCAACGCCGGGGTGACGGTACACAACTCCCATACACTTGCGTGCTGAGTCAAACGGAATAAGCTGGACAATCTCAGCAGACCCACGCTCAGAGGCGAGGTCTAAGCCGAGATAATCCTGGGCCATTTGGAGAAGTGCAACCTCAGTCTTACTTCCGACAAACTCGTTTTGGCCATCCTTTTCTTCCTGGAAAGCAGTCGAGTTCAGAGCAACACTCTTAACAATAAGGTCTCGCACGGGAGCCGAGCACTGTTGAAAAACCTCCGAGGTGGCCATCGAAGTGGTTCTGGTATCATTATCGGCTGACTGGCTGAAGCTTTGATCTGAGCCCCATGTGCCAGCTACCACTGTCATTTTATTTTGTGTCAGGGTTCCAGTCTTGTCAGAGCACACGACTGTAGCATTTCCCATTGTCTCGCAGGCCCGAAGGACTCGGACAAGGTTATTTTCTTTGACCATGCGGGTTGTGGCAAAGGCCAGAGCTAAAGTCACTGCCAGGGGCAAGCCCTCTGCAAAGAAAATTGCATGTTAGCGAAGGGATATTATACTATAGGGCGTTACTTCTAACCTGGAATGGCGACGACGATAACAGTCACAGCAACAATTAGAATGTCTACAAACTCCTTGCCCTTCTCTGCGGGACTTGTGTTGGGATGGTTTGGGAGGTCGGCAATGAATCGGAACACTAAGACGAGAAAGAGGACGATAGCAGCGCTGAAGTCCATGGTTAGTTAACGCATCCCGGATTCCGGAAGAATCAACTTACGCCGAGCCTAGATAACCGATCCAGTTCGCAAGACGACCTAGCTTCACTTGAAGTGGAGTAGGATCATTGGAAGTCTGAAGCGATAGCATGATCCGGCCATATGTGGAGTATGGTCCGACGCTGGTCACCATATAAGTGCCAACGCCTTCAAGAACCTTACTGCCAGAGATCAGGAATGGGTCGAGTTTCCTTGTTGCGTGGCCCTCGATGATTTGCTGCCAGACTTCGTGACCATCAGTCTTCTTCATCTGGTCAGACTCTCCAGTGGCAGATGATTCATCGCATTTCACTCCATAGCCAGAGATTAAGACTCCATCTGCAGGGATAGAATCACCGGGCTCTAGATGGAGGACATCGCCGACCAGGATGTCGTAGATCGATATCATCATAGACTTGCCCGACCGAATGACTTTTACTTCACGATCGTTATTCTATAGAGATTAGTATACTTGAGTAGAGATCCTTGTTTGTGAGTACTTACCCTCTTATTCAGCTTAGCAAACTGCTTCTCCTTCTGCCAATCATTGGCGGCTGTGACAACGGTGACAATGAGAATCGCCACACAAATAGCCACACCCTCCACCCAGTCCACTCCTGTACCTCCATCCACCGTCTCATAAATGCCCAAGGATAAGGACACAATGGCGGCGATAGTCAAAAGTATAATAATTTTATCGTTATAGGCGATCCAAAAGAGCTTGAAGAATCCTGTGGTCTTTCGAGCGGGAAGTCTATTTTCGCTGAAAACTCGGACACGATCTTCGAATGGTGAGCCATCACCGGCTGATACTGGCGCCGTCGAGGTCGGGTTGTTGTCCAGGAATGGCTTGCTGATGGAGGGCCGTTTGTCGTACAAGGGCGGAGTGACTTGATGGAACTCGATCGTGCCTTCGAGTCGACCTTCGTCGACCGAAAGACCAGCGTTGAGATCCGTTCGCAGGCCTCGCTCTAGCCCTTGCAAGCCTCCTAGTGCATGGAAGGCTGCGAGAGATTTGGGGTTCTGCATCTTATTTAGTTGTCCGGGCGAAAACGCGAACCGGTTATCGTCAATTTGGTAATCGGCCTCGTTACGAGGATCCGGTGCTAAAGCTTCAGACAAAGGCACATCATCATAGGCTTTGGCAGCCTGTCCTGGATCAACTGAATTGGCTCTAGAGCGTATCGTCAGGTCCCCTGACGAGGCAAACGAGTCCGAGCGCGGACGCAACGTGTCGCCGTCGATCGACGGCGAAGGTCGATGCGAGGCTTGCTGAACCATCAGCCGAGATGAGTCTGGGTTCCACGCCATATCGGGTGAGAGAGAAGATGTTGGTGATGTTGAGCTATGGTTGAGATCTGTCGGACCGGACCACGAGGAAGACGCCCCTTCCGATGAAGCGGAGAGAGACCGCTGCAAGCAAAACGTTAGTTTGCATTTACCGCCGGGCATATTAGTGGAGTGGGCCTTACCTCTCTGCTCGGGGGATTGGGCACAAGAAGAGGGCCCAGGGAGGTGCCCTTTTGGGACGAATCGTGCGGTGCAGAGGAAGCCATGGGTGCTAAAGGCACTAGGATGGCTCAAATGGGTCCCTCTGATATGTAAGGTGAAGAGGATGTGGCTTTACTGTTGGGCGAGATGTGTTTCAAAATGTTGGGGTAGATCCTGCGTTTTCATTCCTCAAGAAGGGGCTGTGTTTCTGATGCCCAGGCGCCGAGAATTGAGTCGATGATCGACCATGGGAAAGGACTCGCGAACTTGCTAGCGTTTCGTGTATTGCCAAGGCAGGTGCGCTGTTTTCATGACCCAACCGGCTGGGGACAAGAGGGGGGCGAGGTGATGTTTGTCTTGGTAACGAGAACTGAGAAGGGGACTCCCCGCCAAGATGGTCCTAGAGATTACGCCGGTGAATTACGCCGGTGATATTGGGCACAGCCTCAGCGGCAAACCTAGGCTCGCTGTACTGGATGATAGTCTGTAGGCGAAGCGCGAAGTAGAAATGGCATCCAGATCCAGTGCGGCAAGAAAGCCTCGTAGTACCAGCTGAGGATGGATGAACATCGCCCAGGGTGACATGAAGATCATGTTATCTATGCACGCGACGTTCTTATGAGAACTTTAGGCGCCGGCCTCATTCTGTGACTCTAGTTTGGTTTGCCAGAGGGTTCGAGGCCCCAGCAATGGTGTCAGATAGCAAACGCTATCAACTACTACCCAAGCGGCTCCACGCCAAGTGAGCCTGGTCCAATGCGAGTCTTGAGGTGATGACTTGGGCTTGCCGCCGGTTTGCCATGGGTGGAGTTTTGATACTTGCTGCGCCTCAATGGACGGCCAATAATCATGCGACTCAGGCGGCGCCAGGGAACCCCACTTAAACTTTGTGTCAAGTAGATGGAAAAGCAGGCGGCATACAAGGTCTGCACTCTTGGAAAGCAAGGAGGCGGGAATATTGTCAAATGCGTCATATGGCTGCTGTGGTTGCCGGTGCAGCTACAATGGGTCTGAGCTGCGCGGGAACACCGGGGAGGTCATGACCAATGAGGGTTGGAACTGATTGCATCACCGATCGGTGCAGGGACGGGGGTTGACAGCTGATACAAATCAGATTCTGCATTTGCTTCATGGTTGCTTCAGCTGCGGCGCTTGACCTGGAATGCTTTGATCGAGGGGAGCTTGCCACCTGCTGTGGCGCAGGTACTTTGTGTGGCTGTGAGGCACCAGTGGCGGTGCTGACCCGGGTGTTCCCCTATATATCATGTGACCACTATCGATCTGCCCTCCTTTCTGTAGGCAAGACTGCAAGTATACGCCAGCACGCCACCGTGGCTAGTACGGCCCCGACAACTGCGTACCTTTCACATGTTGCCACCAAAGCCTCATTTTCAGCGCCCGTGAGAAGCCTAAGACTAAAGAAAGAACTATCATACCTGGGTAGGTAGCAGGTAGTTTGCTTCTGAGGCGGTGTGTAGAGGGGCTGAGCGAAACAAATCTCAGCTGTATCTGCCTAAACTGCGGCGAAAAGCATACGAAGCACCTTTGCATAGCATAGGCTTACATTCTCAATGCAGATGTTTCCCAGTGCCTTGCCAAAGTATAATAGACGGGTGGGCAGGCAACAGAAACGGTGGCCAATATTGCTTACAAGAGGCTCAATAACCACAAGCCATGAAAGTGAAGCCGGACCAGACCCCGCGAAGGAGAGGTCCTGACTGAAAGAGAGCCGAGGAGGTGAACGAAAGGGTTCACTTGCAACTGGTCCAATAAGATACAGCTTGATTGGTGCTTTGAAAAGATAGCAAGCGTTCTTCGGGCAAACAAAGTACACGTTCTCGAAGTCTCTCTTATAAAGTATTGGAAGCTTCGATTAATATGATACTCAACCTACTAACAAGCAAGTCCAAGGCTGGCTCTGAACTATCAACAGCTGCAGTTTTTAACAAGACATGAAAGGGAAATGAGATAAAATCGGCCAAGAAAAACTGCAATGAGATGGCGAAGATCAACAAGGCTATTCACGAGAAATGAGGGGGAGAAAAAAGGGGTATCTATAAGGAAGGAAGACAAAATTAATAGAACAGTTCTCAAAGACAGAAATGGCTCCTAGAAGCCGCAAACGAGTGTGATCACAAAATGCGAAGCTGAATCACGGAAATGAACAGAAGAAGCGCTGAAAAGTCAAAGAAGGCCTGTCGTGTCCATTTGTTGGTGCAGTCGGATCTCCAAGTCCCGTAAGCACATCAGCGTTGTCATTATCGCATATCCCGTCTCTCGAAGAACATCCCAAATCACCGATCTAGGCTCTCCGTGAATCGACTGCTGCGACTTCCATCGTGGCTGGGAAGGCTGCGGCCTAACCCATCGGGCCGTAGGGGCCCTACCGGGACGGCGGTCTGGGGTTGGGCGATTGGGTGCGATGGCGTTACGGTAGTTGGAGTACCAAAATTCACCGAACTGGAGACGGGAAGACGGAAAGGCAAGGGTCGCACTGAGGAGTCCGCATGTTCCTCGGCTTCCTGTGTATATTTTGTGTCGAGTACCATGCCGTACGGTGATGTGGGGGGCGGTGCTTGTGGGGACGAGGAGAGCGGGCCTCCCGCTGGCGATATGGGAGGCAACCCTGGAATGGTTGGAGAGTCACCTTCCAATCCACCGCCGTAGCCATCACCACCGTGGGTAAGGACGGGAGGAATCTTGCGCCCGGAGATCTTCTGGAACCCACGCTCGCTGGGAGCCGAGGAGGAGACGGTGCTCTCAGTCTTCATGGTCATAGTCGAGTGGCGCCAACGTTTCATGAACGCCGGTGCAAGGTATGCTGCCGAAAAGAGTGGATCATTGCTCGAAGATCTTTCAACCGCTTCTCGAGTCGTCCCGCCAGCATCAGATGGAAGAAGAGCCGCGGGACCCTGCTGTTGGAGGAGAAGCTTTCGCCGACGGAAGAAATAAAATAGAAGCAGGACTATCATAGTAAGACCAGCCACGCTTCCTACGACCCCACCGACGATTTTAGATGTAGTAGGATCGATACCCGATCCGGAACCTGACGAAGACTGTGCTTGACTCGTGGTGGGCGCAGATCCGCTGCCGCCGCCGCTGCCGCTGCCAGTGCCTGAGCCAGTCGCTTCAGTGCCTCTCAATGATGCAGTGGAGGTAGACGAGTCTGAGGTATGAGAAAAGAAGCTTGTTGTGGTGGGCGAGCTGGAGGATGAAAAGTAATTGCCTACCGCGGCAACTGAGGTTGAAGTGGGCAAAGGCGTAGCAGAGCGTGACGACGGAATGAGACGAGTTGACGTGTATGGCACAGAGCTAATAACCGAGGAGGAAGCCCTGGGTGATGAAATGGCGGCGGGCTGTTTGGTCGTAGGCACTGGACTTTCCGCCGACATTGACGACATTGGCTGGACGGCTGTACTGTGCGGAAATGTCGAGGAAAGCAATGCGTCAGTCGATGCAGGTGAACTGCCGGTGATAGTGAGAGCGCCGAATGCTGGGTCGGAAATGGTCACAGGAAAGTTGACGCCGACCGATTGCCATAAGGTCTGAGAGTTGGTGTCCACCACTTGGACGAGGGTCTCGACCACTGTGGTGGAGGGCGTTTCCGCCTCTTGCCGTTTCGGGAGGAACACTTCAGCAGTGTCCCGCATATCCTCGAGACAGGTAGTATTTTGCAACGGATCACAATTCGCATCACTTGACAGAATATCCGAGGAAGAAAAAGCAGGCTTCTGAATGGTGTTCGCGCCGCCGAGCAGATCTAAGTCGACAGGATCTGCCTCACCCGCCGCTAATCGATGCTTTGCTCTGATAAGCCTGCTGATCCGGTCATGGCGATGGCCATGGTGAGCCATTCTGTTAATCCGAGTCTAGGCCGGAAAAGAGACGATCGACGTTAATATTGATAGTGTTGCAAATCCTCACAGAGGTCGGAGCTGGGTCGACCAGCTGCAGCACGATAGCAAAATGAAATGGATTGGGGTTCAAAGTGGATGGATTTGGAAGAAAAGCAGGGTCTTGCCCGCGTCTTTCAGCGAAAAGAATGGATCTGGCCGAGGCCCCGGGAAAAGGAGTGAGAACGGGGCGCGAATAAGGAGTGGATGTCGGCAGGTTGTGTCGCCAACAATGAGATATCGGTAGCGTTTGAATAGCATTCAGCGAAAGACTCGAATTGTCTAGAAGTGGTAGCCCGTCAGCATACATTCCACCTGATTTTGACATCCCCGATCTCCCACGCGGAAGTTCCCCCGCGCTCCAAGAATGCGACCAGGCAACGTACGTGAGTAAAAGAGTGAATAGAAGGGAATCAATGAGTGGAATTGAGAGGCCGCAGCTTAATCCATGGCGGTGTCGACGAAACCACCCCCAAAGTCCAACGTCACGAAACAGCGTAATATGTATCAGCGTCGACCCCGGAACCCCAGCGGGCCAGACGTGATGAACGAGGAAAACGCACTGGGCGTTGTGACTCTCTTCGCTTGTCAGTCTCTGGGCGCACAAGCCTCCGGTTGGCGAACCAGTTCGTCTCTCGCGAGGGCAAGTGGGATTCGAGAGCGTTGGAACAGAGAAAGAGAAAAAGCGAGAGTGGAACAGACGAGGCCGGACCAAACAATCCCCTATCGAAGCCAAGTCCAGGCGACCCGCGTGGTGACGAACTAGCCCCGGGGGCCGAGATCCTCCTCCTCGAGTCGAAACTGCGCGGTTTTTCGCTCCCAAAAAACGGGAGTTGATCCGGGGTCAATCCTCGAGGGTGTCACGGTGTCAGTCTGGTGATAAATGAATGGTTTCTCTGTGATTCCCATGGTTGTTGACCAGCTGCGAGGAGCAGAGAGAAAAACCCAATAAAACCTGGGGCCCGTTCGGGTATAGTGTGGCTGCAGGTACACGACGGGCCTGGCCAGTCAGGTGCGCCAGCGCATGACAGGCGGGTCCGGCCTGAGAGTTCTGGCCAGCCACACTAGCCGGCAAGGGGACTAGCGCCCACTGCAGGTTTAATTGCGATTATGGCGATTATTGCAACTCTGGCGACTCGCCTCGACTATTAGCTGTGGGAACCGCATTGCCGCTGCCATGGGCTTGCTGACTGACGACGCATGCTCCGCAAGGACTCGCCGTACTACTGGCTGCCTGCAGCCCCATAATGAACTAATTATCGTGTTACCTAAGGTGCTTTTTATACCTTCGGGACGCCGTGTCACACCACCAACGTCCGTAGGCTTGGGGCCTTTTCCTTGACTCTCGTTTCAACCTGACCTACTTTGGTACCCCGACCGATTCAGAGAATGCTGCTTCCCACCTCTGAGAATGAATTGCTTGATCTTGACAATGAGACAGCGTCATTGGGACTTTCTTCTCTCAGGAGTCTTCAGCATTCCCGCGCTGTCGAACAGCCATTGCAGGATGCAACAAACCCCATAGGTAACTCACGCCCGAAGTCGACTTCGTCTCGTAAGCAGACTTGATCTGAACGACTTCCTGACCCTGGAAAATGCGCTCGATGATATCAGCGCGATTCGCTCGTCCAGATTGAGCTTGGTGATGACAGTGGAACGGTCAATGGGAATAGGGACGTTCTAGCCTTTGCTCTTCATGCGGACGGCCTTTTCGACATGAGAACACCACTTCAGGCGAAAATCAGCGGTGACCTGGCCCTGATTCCTTTGCACGATCCACGTGCGAGGGTGACTATGTGAGCTTGTGGATGGGCATGGAGCGGACCTGCTCAACATAGCGTGAGCATGGATCGCCTTGCCTTCAAGCTGGTGATTATATTGTCATTGGGGTAAACATACATGGTACATGTCTTTCAGCGCGGTCGGGAGGGCAGCCGCCATTCAGCCGCTGCCCTCGCCAGAGCCGGAAGAGAAGTGTACCTTGCGAAACTTGGCGACGCGATGAGACGGTACCCGTCAGAAAACATGGATACTTGGATCAGTATGTGAGGAGGGATGCCAGTCAGCCAAGCTTCGTTAAAAAGCGAGGTGATAGGTATAAGAAACCATAACCTATGGGTTTCGAACAGCTATCTCGACGAGACGGTCCAAGGGTACGCGTGAATGGAATCCGGTACACAAGTTGTTGGCTGCGGTGATGATGAGAGGTGGGAGAAGGAAGAGCTTGACGGGGATAAGGGCTGAGGTTTTGACGCTCAGTATCCAACATCCAAAATCAAACGGAAAGCTCTTTTCTCACTCTATAAACTCTCTCCGACTTTGGATACGAATACTCAACTTTGGATCACTACCTAGAAGGTACTGGAGCGCTGAGGAGGAAGCGAGGAGACTATTTCAATATAAAGTCATGAAGCGATGTTCAAGCCATTGCTCTGCGCTTCGAGATACTCAGATGAAGCAGCATCGCCCTCACCAACATAGCAAGTAATGACTGCGGCTCAACTCCGGCTGATATGAAGCCGTCCCACAGATTCTGGCTAGCAGCCGTGCAATAGAGATGTTGTTCGAGGCTTGCAAGCACACTTGCCAATGCAGACAGTCAGTATCTGCATTGAGAGGAGACTACCTAGACCCTAGATGTAGTAGGCTTCTCATGACCCGGACAGGGCCATGCTACGAGCTGTCTGCAGTCAGAAACCGCCATGTGTTACCCCCAGATGCACTTTCCTATCTGCGGGCCCTATTCCATACGAAATACCAGGGCTGTGTACTGATTACATTACGCGGGTAACATCTTTGGATCAATTCCCCTTCTCAGGGGCAATGCGTGTATGGCACTATCTATGCTTTCGTCGACGAAAGAAACATGAAATGGCAGGGGTATTTAGATAACGGGGCGCTGCTCTCTCCCTGACCTGACGGCTTAGAATGTCTCGAGGTCATCGGCTACGCCCTCTTCCGTCTCAGCGGGGATTTCGAATCCATCCTAGCAAAGAAATTAGCGGCGGCATTCCCACGTCAAGGGGAAAATCCGTCTTGAGGCAGTCATTGGACGAAAAACTCACCTCGGTAGAGTACAGAATGCCCTGGATATGCTTCACCAGCGTGTCCTCCTCTCTCTCGATCTCCGGGTTCTCCTCGATGGCGGTCTGCAGCAGCAGCTCGATGTCGCGCAGCTTGGCAAAGTAGAAATCCCGTTCCTTCTCAAGGCCAGCGATGGCCTCCTTCTGTGTCGCAATCTCCTGTTGCAGGGCCGCTGTCGCGGCGCCGCCACCGCCGCCGCCTGCGGAGGCGGCCACCCGGGGACCGCGGGCAGCAGCTGTGGTGGGAGTGGCTCCACGACGCGAGCCGGAAGAGGGAGCGCGGGCACCGGGGGTGGCGCTGGGAGCACCGGAGGCCTTCCGGCGACTCACCGCATCGTATTCACCACCGGGGTAGTGCTGATCCCAGTACTTCTTGACCCACTGGAGGAATTCAAGGTTGTCCTGCATACGGCACTTGCTGAGGGACTGGACGGGTATGGGCTTGTCGACATTGTGGCGAGCAAACACGTCTGGAGGCGGGAAACATTAGAAGGGCTGTTGGGTCGGCGGGGAGCCGCAAACTGATACTCGGGACGTACTCTGGAGAACCTTGAAGTTTTGAAGGTAGGCATATTCGCTGTTGACATTGAACTTGACCCGGGACATCGGCACGTCCACTGTAGCAAAAAGTTTCCCCGCATCAGTATACTTGTAGCAAAACGAACGGCGGCCCGACCGCCTCTCGCCCCCCGATATCTCGTATCAAAGGCCACACTCACAAAATATCGAATCAAAGATCTGGCATAGCGCAGCACTATTCAATGTCCCCAAGTTATCGCGTTAGTCCATTCTTTCTCGTACCGATCCACGTTGTCGACTCTCAGGGGGAGGGGGGCGGAGGTGATTCATCGTACCCGGTTCCGCACTGCTCGATTTTGGTGATGTTCAACTGGAGCAGGTTGTTCAACCATGCCAGGAGTTCTTGTCTAGATATAGAACACAATTAGTCGCCTGCTCCATGCCATTCAGAAGGCATTGTCGATAAGGGGGGAAAGCCGCACCTGGATTCACCCATGGTGGGGTAGTGATAGTCGCAGCCGGAGGCTCGCGAAAGGACGTCGAGAAGAAAGAAGAGGGAGAGATGAAAGAAATTCGTGAAAGCAGGAAACACTGTAAGATCAGGGCTTCCTCGTCAGGGTCTGCCTGTCTGTGCTGATGGGAAAACAACTGGGATTGTTTTGATGCCAAAACCCACGGATCATGGCGGCGCTAGTCATCACGACGGCCAATCACATGGGCTTATATAAGCCTTATGCCTGAGGCCGAGATCCTCCACTGGTTCGTGGAGTCGTAAAGAAGTGAAAGGAACAAGTGGAAGGGCATTGGATGATAATGAAAATGTTCATTCTGGTCTTCCTGTAAAGACGGTGTGGTATTTACGATTTTGAGCCATATATAAGTCTAGTGAAAAAGCCAAAAGACACAAAAATCACGGAACGTCTATGTCCGAATATCCAAGTCCCGACCCCAAGTACCCAATGTCCCATTATTTCCAACTCCCCCAGATATAGCCCAACGAAAACCAGCGCTAAAGTGAAAAGAAAGAAACACAAAAGATTATAGAGACAAATGCAAGCCCGGATCACTCCTCCAGCAGCTCAATGCCATCCAACCCATAGCCGAAATCCATGATGACGGCTCGCGAGTCCTGGCTGGTTGCGAGAATCCGTCGGTAGTCCGACTGGACGTTCAGCATCCAGCTGGTGGTCCATCCAGGCAGGTCAATGGACAGCTCACCTGATTCGGTATCGAACACCTTGACACTCATATCGTAGCTGCCGCTCACGATACGCTTGTTCATGCTGTCCAGGTGAAGCGACCGAATCAAGCCGGTGTGGCCACGGAGCTCATTCACCAGCTCGCCGGTATTGGCGTCGAACTGGTAGATAGTCCGGTCATTACCACCGGTCAGAATCGTACGGCCGTCATCGCTGAACTCGATGCAGGCAAGACCGCGGTCCTTGCTGGGGAATTCCTTGACGCAGTGGCCGTCGATGACGTTCCACAGCTTGGCCACGCCATCACCGCTGGCCGAGACCACGAGGTCACCGCGGAGTTGCACAGCATTTACCGGGCCACGGTGGCCCGTAAGCTGCTTAAGAAGCGCGCCAGTCTTGCGGTCCCACACACAAATCGTGCTGTCTTTGGAGCAGGATACGATGTATCGGTCGTCAAAGCAGACATCTAGCACACCAGCACGGTGGGCAGCAAGACGGTGGATCGGACGGTAGTCATTCTTGATGTCCCAAACGATACAGGTGTAGTCCGAAGAACCAGTGACCATGATTTCCTCATCAAACCGCAAGCAAAGTATGGAGGCACTGTGATAGTCTGCGGTTTGCGCCATTGGCGTGACAATGCCTGCTGTGGGGGTAGATGGCGGGCAGATAGTCGCAAAGGGAGACTTCCCTGTGGCTTGCTGTGCCGGGTTATTCACTGGGCCCGCGATAGCCACATCGCCCGGAGGTGGGCCAATGATCTTGAGACAAGACCAAGGATAGTGAGCGTCCCACACACGGATCGTACGATCGCGCGAACCAGTGATAATCTTGTTCTCGTCGAACTGTGCACAGTAAACACTGTCTTGGTGACCATGCAGGTAGATCGCGGCGGCCTTGCCCTCCTTCCAGCGATGCTCGAGGGCCCGTCGGACAAAATACATTCTCTTCCAGTCTTGGTTCGGAATATTCTTCCCCAGACCGGCAGATTGCTTCTTCTTGGTGGCTGTGGCGCTGGCCGGCCGACATGGGTGTGCACCACGGAACGCATGCTTCCAGACATGTTGGGAGGACGCCTGGCGGTACCAGGATCTTGAAACCAACTCAGATTGCAAAAGAGAGGCAGGATCCAAATGCGAAAGAACATGAGCCATGATTTCAGCTGGCAAGTAGGAAACCGGGTCTAAAGATTTGTTAGCTATCTCATATGACCCGTCGCAGATGTCAGGATTTCATACCGGTGCGAATAAGATCCAATTCGGCATCAGAGAGATCGGAGCGATCCCGCAGATCAATACCAATCCCACTTTCCGAATCCTTAGTCAATCCCATCTCTGAGCTCTTAAGCAGGTACCTCTCCGGCTTGGCCATTTCCAGCCTAGCCAACTCCATCAGTTCATTCTGTGCAGCCGCAGCAGCTCGCGCGGCCGCACCCGCATACATGTCATTTGGCAGAATAGGCGGCTCCAATCCATGACCAGGGATAGGAGCAGGAATGGAAGCAGTTGGAGCATAGAACTCATGAAGCGCAGAGACGCTGTTCAAAGAGGGGCGGCGATTGATGCTAACGGGGTTCGGGCCATGGGACCACGCTCGGGAGCGCACCCCCCAACTTCCAGACGCAGCACTGCGCTTGTGGCTGGAGTGACCCGTAACGTGGTGATAATTGTGGCACTCGTCATCATGCTCATCTCCCGGAACGCGCAAGTTCTGCTTCGAGGTCTTGCTGCGGAGAGTCACCGAGAGACGACGGCCCAGCGCCACTAGGCCATCCACCGGATGGCGCAGGCTGGAGAAGCTCTTGGCGGCACGACGCCGAGGCACTGCCTCTGGAAAGGGCTCCATTTCTTCGATTGCGGATGCATCATCGGCGCACGCTTCCACCAGGGAAGCCTTTTGCCACTGATCAAAGGTATAGTTCTTGGGAAGCACAACTGAATGTACCGCAGTCCGCGGCCGCGGGCGAAGCGATAGCGAGGGGCGGCGGCGCGAGGAGACGACGGTCGTCTCTCGTGGCGACATGACGTTGGATGTCGGGTAACAGGGGAGGGGTGAATTAACGAAGTGACGAAGTGTAGGTCGTCCGCAGTGGGACTCCAGCTGTATGTATGATAATTAAACGACTGAACTTCTTTCCTGATTCCCGTCTGAAGTGTATCCGGATCGATCGCGAGGTGCAATGGCGGGCTTGCGGTCTTCGGAGGCGCAACGGCGCAGAGAGGCAAGTCTAACAATGTATCGGCGGTAGAAAAAAGACTGTAACAAGATAACACAACAACACCTCCGAGAGAAAGAGAGAGAATGAATGCGACAGAGATCAGAACACCAGACCAGAAAAGAAAGAATCAAACGAAAGAAAAGCAAGGCGTGAGAAATAGGGAGCAGCGGAAGATTTCCAGAAGGGATGATGAACAGGTCTGAGGGTTCGGGCGGTGAATTGCGGCGGAGTGATTGGTTGTTGCCGCGCTGACGAGTATTGGTGACTTTGCCTTGAGTACAATCGCCTTATCCACGTCAGTACTCTGTACTCTCCACGCTATCCGAGCCCACCGGGAATAGATTTTTTCCTAGCCAGGCGCAGATCATGGGGGATTAACGTGCAAAGTACTGCTACCTGCCAGCCACAGCGAACTGCGTGGCCACTGAAGTATCGAGTACTTCCGGGTTGAACCGCGAACCAGCCTTCAGGCGGCGGGTGGCGGTTTAGGCCACCCGATCCGGGGCTCGCAGCACCAACCTCTGATGCTGATCGGGGAAAGTAGGGGCCAGATTTTTTCTTTTTTGAGAGCGGATTACATACCCGGTGCAAATGGAAATGGCCTGTAGGGGTTCGAGTCCTTGTTGGTACTGGTAGTACTTGGTAGTACTGTTATGCCGTAGATCGGGTTCGTCTGTACTAACAGCGGGTTGGAGATCGACCGATCCACCCCCAGGAATGTACCAGCACGGCCCATCTCGATCGCGAGGCGGGTCGGTCAAACAGAAAAAGCAAGACACCATGTAATGGCACTGAAAGAGACACAGATGCTCCAAGATATGCGAGGTTTCACCTTGGGTTTCACAAGATTCAGATGGGTGGACTGGGCACAACAGCGGTAGGATAGGATCTGTAGTCAGATATGATCGCAACACAGTTTAACGAGAACCACATCGACTCTAAGGATCTAATTTCTACGAGCAATGGATATGTATAAGTAAATAACAAGTACGGAGTTAGATACTGCATTAGATCTTCAACATCGTCGATAGCTACCTTCTATTCCGCCCTTGCTTCAAGACGCCTCCTCCACCCACGCCCACCAGACTAAGACTAACTGCTCAAGTCCCGAATCCCCCGGGTACCCACGCTTATTTCAACCAAAAACCTTCTCATACCCAGTCAAAGTAAAGCGATAGTGAACGTCACCCTTCTTCATGCGCAGCATGGCCTCCTTCAGCCCCTCCTCGCCGATAGCAATCTCCTCCACCCAGCTCTTCAGCCCCTTGTCCGCAGCCAGCTGCAGCATCTCCAGCATCTCCCGGCGGCTGCCCAGGTGGCTGGCACCGATGAGAACACCATTAGCAATCAAGGACTGGGCCTTGATGACCTGACCCTCCTCTTCCGGCAGGCCAACACTGACCCAGCGACCGTGCACATCCATCATCGACAGGTACTTGGCGAGATCGAAGCCCTCAGACGAGTTGGCGCAGTTGATGATCAGATCGAACGAGAACTTGTGCGGCTCCTCCCAACCCTGCTCAGCGGTCGCAATGTATCCATCCGCGCCGAGCTTCCGCGCATCCGCCTCCTTCGCCCGCGACCGCGAGATCGCCCAGGTCTCCGCACCAAGCGCCTTCGCAAACATGATACCGAAGTGGCCGATGCCGCCCAGCCCCACGATACCAACCTTTTTGCCGGGGCCAGCGCCGTTGCGGACCAGCGGCGAGTACGCGGTCAGGCCGGCACAGAGCATCGGCGCCACATTGGTACTGTCCAGGGCGTCGGGGAGGGGGAACACCCAGTGCTCGTGCGTGCGCACATGCGATGAGTACCCGCCCTGGCTCACGATGCCGGTATCAGGCCACTCCGAGCCGTAGGTGTCCATCATCTGCACGGGGCAGTATGTCTCGTTCTCGTTGCGGCACTGCTTGCACTCGCCGCACGAGTATGACTGGGCGCCGACGCCGACGCGCTGGCCCTCCTTGATCAAGGTGACCTTGGGGCCGACGCGAATGGCACGACCAACGATCTCTGCAAATGGGGGGTTTGGTCATGAACTGACTGCGACTCAGGCTGAATTGGGTCCAGGTGTGCTTACCGTGGCCGACGCACAGAGGGAACTTCTGTTCTCCCCATCCACCGCTAACGGTGTGGACATCGCTGCCGCACACACCGCAGGCCTCGATCTTCACATCAACGTCTGCGCGCTGGTCAGAGCTCCTGCGAGGCACACGGGCGTAGGATTCAGAGCTTACCATAGTCACCAAAGGGCTTCAGCTTGTACTGCATGTTACAAGATAACCATTGTTAGTCATTAACTCTCGAAGGAGATGCTCCGAGACTCCCACTCACGAAGCGCTTGTGAAACTGAGTAAAAGTGCTAGGTCCATCCACCTGGAAACCCTCAGCCTCATCGGGGTACGGCATTGCGAAGAAATTGAGTTAATTGAAATCTTTGAATGGTCTAGAGGATCGTGAAGGCACCCAAGGGCTGTGTATTCGTCCTAGCGCAAAGGATTGAGCAAGGAAAATAAATTCAAAAAAGGGACCGAAAGGCGCGGGGAGGAAAGGAGGGGTATATCAAAGCCGACTCCCCCGCACCCAGTCTTGGTGAAAAGTTTCTATTTTTATTGGATCAAGGCGCGACCCGCTGGATCGTGAGCCATCGCACGCGGGATGTCGTATAGGGTTCACGGGTGTCCATGTCCTGCGCCCCGTATACCCAACGTCGGACATGGTGCCGCAGTTTCGGGGGTGGGGGGTGGGATCCACCGGGCAAGCTACCGGAGTAGATCCGGGAATCACAGGGCAGAATTCTCGTCCGAGAGGCATAGAAGAGCCATGGACGGCAGCCCAGGGTGGGTTGTGGAATCCATTGTGGGCTGGGCGTGGGGGATGAAGTAGATTATGTTTTGGAGATTGGTGTTCAATGGAGTAGGCGCGTATAGACGGCATGTCACGGTGGTGGCAGATGCTGGCAGGGGTGGTGCAGGTGATACAAGACCCATCTTGACTCGTATCAGCTCCGACTGGCAATTTTCCACCAATAAGAGCCGCGGGACACACTGCCCGGTTCCTTATCGTCGATAAGTCGATAAGTCGATAAGAGAGGACTGTCCCGGTCGTAGGGCTTTCTATTAGGGCTTGTTCTTATGCATTGAATGTCACTTCCTGTACTTCCGTTTGAATTCTTGTATAGCCGGCTAAGAAGGCAAAAGCTAAGTGAAGCCATAATGTGATCATGGATAACGTAGTTATTCTTTAGGTTCATTTACTACACCCCATCCAGTCATGATTACGCTATATCCTTCAGTGACAGCTCCACGTCCAGCGCACTCTTAATCTTGCCAGCGATCTCCTGAGCCTGGGAATCACTGAGGCGAGCCAATGGCCGACGGGGGTAGCCGCCGTAACCATAGTAAGTCTGGATCGCCGACTTGGTGCCGGGAATGGCAGCCTTGGTGAGGACCCAGTCCGCCGCACTGAGCTGCTGTTGGGCCTCCATGGCTTCGGCGAGACGGCCCTCGGACCAGAGGGTGAAGATGCGCACGCACAGGCGCGGGAGGACGTTGGCACCACCGGCCAAGATAGCCGAGCCGCCCGAAATCAAGGTCTGCAGGCTGAAGTCGGCGATGCCGCCGAAGGCAACGTAGGGATGCTTCGCATCAGACTTGGAGACGGTGGGAGCAGCGCGCTGGGCAGGGGCCAAGGGGGATGCTGGAGTGACGGCGCCGAGGGCGGCTGCGACACGCGTCAGCTTGCCGGTGTTGGCGCAGGTGAATTTGGTGCCGACGATGTTGGGGTGCTGAGAGATGCGGATGATGAGGTCGGAGTCCATGTCGATGCCGGCGACAGCCCCGGGGTAATTGTAGAGGATTAAAGGGATGGGCGAGCCATCGGCGACGGCCGTGAAGTACTCGTAGATGGTCTCGTCGTTGCCAACGGCGTAGCGGTAGTAGCTAGGGGGCACGATGAGGGCATATTCGCCACCGGCCTGGGCAACCTCCTTACACAGCTCGATGGTGCCGCGGATGCTGTTCTCGCTGGCACCGGCGATCACGGGCACATTGGTGAAGCCGGCCTCGTCCAGGGCGGATCGAGTCTCCCGGGTCACTGTAGAGCGCTCCTCGCGAGTGAGATGCACAGCCTCACCGTTCGAGCCCATGGTGATCAGACCGACCAGACCAGCCTTGGCCAGGCGCACCGCATGGTGGCGGATCGTGGCAACATCAAGATCCTCAGTGTTGGGGTCAAAGAAGGTCATAGTTGGCGCATAGACGCCGGGGCGGAGGGGAGTGAGCGGCATTATGCTTGGGAACTGTTTAGTTGGGCCCCAATCACCAAGATCTGCTGGGATGGGAGATTTGACTCACGGTGATGGAATAGGAAGGGGGATACGATGAAAACAGAACACAACGGCTGCTTGTTTTACTTTTAACCAGCGTCGTGCTGCGATTCCCCCACGTCGGCGGATTCCCTGGCGGATTCTGTATGGCGGATAATCCAGTTCCACCAATAGCCGACAAGTGACGAAATGTGGGGGACCATTCGCGGAGGAGGGGCTCGGGGGAATGCCCGGCGAGGTTGGTGAACACTGCCCGGCAGCATGGAGGATAGATCGAAAAGAAAGCAGATAGAAAGTGACAATGGCATGGAAACATTCGTTTGGTCTCTGCAAGATATCTTCAAGATCCAAATATCCATTAATTATGTAGAAAAGTAGACATGTTCTGGTTGCCAACCCCGCGCCGATAAGATATTACATCGGCTATTGACGTTTTTCAAACGCCGGAAGAATTATATCCAGCAACGAAACACCCCCGTCGCTGGATTATTTCTCTTCTAATTCCTCCTCCTTCCTTCTAATCTCTGCATTCTTGCATCCTCCTCCTTCTTTTGGATTTGTATTATCAAAATAATTACCATGGCTCCCCCGAACGTGTTGATGGTGGGTGCAGTTGACCCCGCGTCGCATACAGGCTGTCGGAACAAGCTAACAGAATAGGTTGGCACCGGCGAGTACACCACCGGCTTCGTCGGCGGTGGCGCGTCCAGCTCTGACAAGAAGGTCGGCGTGGTCGGCCTGACCCTGTTCGATCTGCGCCGTCGCGGTAAGGTCAGCGACCTGAGCATGGTGGGCGTGTCGGGCAAAAAGTTCCCGGGCATCCGTGAGTACACAAGGAAGCAAACAACACACGGAAGGATATAAGATTAATAGTATACACTCAGGTGACCATCTGCACCGCAACATCTCCCAAGCATACAACGGCCTGGACACTTCCTTCACCTCCTACCCAGCCGACGACCAGACCGACCCTGATGCGTACAAGGCGGCTATTGACGCCCTGCCCAAGGGCTCCGCCATCACCATCTTCACACCCGACTCCACCCACTACCCCATTGCCCTGTATGCTATCGAGCGTGGCCACCACGTGCTGATCACCAAGCCCGCGACCCAGCGGCTGGGCGACCACCTGGCGCTGGTCGAAGCCGCGCGCAAGGCCGGCGTCTTCGTCTTCGTCGAGCACCACAAGCGCTTCGACCCGGCATACTCGGATGCCCGCGCCAAGGCCCGCACCATGGGCGACTTCAATTACTTCTACAGTTACATGAGCCAGCCGAAGAGCCAGCTGGAGACGTTCAAGGCGTGGGCCGGCCGCGACTCCGACATTTCGTACTACCTGAACTCACACCACATCGATATCTGCGAGAGCATGGTCCCAGAGTACAAACCTGTGCGGGTCTCGGCTACCGCGTCCCAGGGCACGGCTGCGGCTCTTGGGTGTGTGCCCGAGACGGAGGATACTATTACGCTGCTTGTGGAGTGGCGCCGGAAGGATGACCCGGCGAAGATTGCGACGGGTGTGTACACGGCCAGCTGGACTGCGCCGCAGAATGCGGGTGTGCACTCGAACCAGTACTTCCACTGTATGTCCTGATCTTCATTGGATAGCGGGGTCGACGTACTAACCTTGTCCTCCAGATATGGCGGCCAACGGCGAGATCCGTGTGAACCAGGCCAAGCGCGGCTACGATGTAACTGGTGATGACCAGGGTTTGATTTGGTACAACCCGTAAGTTCCAAGGACGCGCGATTGGCCACAGCCGATACAAATTGACCTCTCGGAACCCAGATTCTACATGCGCTACGCCCCTGACGAGGAGGGCAACTTTGCCGGCCAGACCGGCTACGGCTATATCAGCTTCGAGAAGTTCATTGACGCCGTGACGGCCGTCAATGAGGGCCGCGTGACTCTTGACCAGCTGGACGCCCGGCCGCTACCCACGTTGAAGAACACAATTGCTACCACTGCTATCTTGGATGCCGGCCGCAAGTCGCTGGATGAGCGGCGGCCGGTGGAGATTGTTTCCGACAATGGGAAGTGGGAGCTAAAATGATTTGATGCATATTATCCAGCATCATGTTGAATATAGTAAATACAGAATAAGAATGGAACGTCTTGATGATAACAATCAGGGCTCAAAATGACGGGAGCAAGGCCGCACCTGCGGCAAGGCAGTTAATGGCAATAGGGGAAAAATCAAATTCGCCATGTAAAAGGTTTAAGACTCCCCCTTTTTGTCAAAGATAGAAATAAAAAAGCCAATAGAACTCCGTTTCAATCGGACCCCATCCAAGCCAGAAGATCAAAAGTCGCCAGCAGTACAAGGTATCATGGTATCATACAAAAAACGTTCATTTTGCGAGAAATTCAGCGCCGAGATCCGCCCTTGACAATGCCGTCGGTCCCCTTGTCGAACTTGACGCGGCACTCGGGGCAGTACCATTTAGCTGTGCGCGAGGGGACATCAGAAAGGCCAACGCAGTCCAGGTGAAACCACACATATTCGCACTGGGAATGGTTAGTACGAGTGAAGAGAAATTGTCAAGAATAGGGGAACTAACATCCTGGTTCTCACAACAGATCATCGTTCCGAAACTCACGTCCCCACAGAGGCAATACCGCGGCTCACTGGCATCAATCTCTTCCAGCACACCATCCTCATCTACCCGAATGTCCTGCGAGTTGTTGATGTTAATGCGTTTCTTGCCTGGCTTAGCTTTGCGACGCCCGTAACTAACGGCTGCGCCGCCGTCTTGGCCAGAAGAAATAGGTCCCGGGGCAGGGCGCTTGCGTTTTCGGTTTGGCCCGGGGACACTAGGTGCATGAGATGTCTCTCGGATGGGGGTCTTGCGTGCAGGGGTGGCGCTTTTAATGCGCAAGTCTCGTCCGCCAGGGACGGCGGAGATGGAGGCTGCTCCCAGGCCTCCCAGCTCAATCGATGCGGCAGCTGCCGAGCGCCTTGATGAAGGCCTGGTGACTGGTGGTGTTGGTGTGGTAACAGGCTGCACGACTGATCTTGTCGAACGACGCGATCCAGTTGGAGATGGTAGATGAGGTGAAACCCTGGCTTCAGCTGCGGGTGACGTTCGGATCTTGATGGGAGCGACAGGTGCAGCCCCATCTGCCGAGCCGTTGGTGGTGGCTCCTCGGCTGGATCTCCGACGCCTTGACGAGGGAGCCAGGGCAGATGTGGGTGCAGGCGCAGATTCAGGCTCAGGGGCCAGAGTTTCTGCTACAGCAGGGGCAAGAGCAGGAGCAGGAGCAACTCCAGCCTCCTCTTCTTCTTCCTGTTCCTCCTCCTCAACAACAACCTCATCCCGCTTCCGCTTTCGTGAAGATCGATTAGCTGGAGTTGCTTGGATGGAACTAGGAAGCGGCTTGGTTGGGGTCTCTCCGCCGTTCGCCGCCGCCTCTCGCGCCAGCATCTCACGTTTCAGTTTCTTGGCCTCGTTCAGCTTCATTCCGCGGTTACTGAGCTTGGTCTCTTCAAGATCCTTGTTGATTTCGTCACGGCGTGTATTCTCGATGTTGTCGCAATCAGTGAACTCGGCACCGGTTTCCTCCGCCAGAGCTTTAGCTGCCCGGTAGGCTTCCCAACCGCGACCAGAAAGCGCCAATTCACGATGAATCATGACTTCACTGGGCTGCCACACAGCGTTCTTCTTCATCTTCTTGCGCAGTTTGGTCATCTCCCACTCCGTCAGGCGCAGCCATGGTAGATCTTCACTGCCAACCTTGGCGTCATCCGGTGGCGGTTTCAGAAGTGCAAGAGCATTGCTTGTCGAGACTCCCACGCCAGAGCTTGGTCGGCGCTGCTTGTCCTTCTTCGGTGGGCGAGCTGGTTTGGGAGGGACGTCCAATTCAGCTTCGGCGTCAGACTGCTCCGTACTTGCGATGGGCGAATCTGGATTGAAACCTGCCAAATGTTCCGCCGCAATGCCCGAACGACGCGATCTCGACTTCTGCGTGCCGCTGCGCTTGCGATTGCGATTGTGATTGTCCAGCCGCAGGGTGATACGCGTCGTGGACGCGGCCTCTTTCTTGTCTTTTCGTGCGCGCTTTGGTGTAGGTTCTGGAATTGGCGTGGGTTCTCTGGAGGGAGGTTTGGGAAGCGCTTCCAACTTTTGGCGGATGCAACTCAGTCGGTCGAAATGGCGATCAACAACGTCGTACAGCCGACATGCTTCGGCGTAGGCAGACTCGCGGGCGTTAATGGCGCGGTCGAGCTGAAGTGAGATATCCTTGCGCAAACTGATAGCGCTTGGGCGCTCATCAGACGCAAGCTCAGGAAGCTGGCCGTAACTTCTGCTGAGGCGATGCACATCTTGCGCCGAGTCGAGGTATCGATCGTCTAGGCCGCGGATCAGGGTCAAGGAGCGGATGAGGTCAGCAGGGAGGTATTCGGTGTAATCAATGTAGTCCGTAACAGTCGCTTGCGCATCGGGATCGAAGGGGCCATCCAGGATGACCCCGCCGCTGTGATCGGTCTCATCGGTCCTGGGCATCTTGGCGAACTCAGGAGGCGCGCCTGCTGCAAACCGCGCAACTGGTCCAGGGGGGCGGTATAGGAACAATGGGCGCTGAAAGGAGACAGAGAACAGCAGATGGTGCCCCCGCGGCAGCAAACACGGATGAAGACTGGAGGGACGAGGTGAGCAAACGCCTGGAGCTGCCGGTGCCAAACAAGCGGGCGATTGTTGTTCCGCACAGATCATGTGACATGCTTGCCTAATCAGGTAATGTACTGGATGGATCAACGGATGCCTCTTTCCGGCCGGGGATGGCTATTTTTAAACGCAGGGCGCTGGGACCCACGTCGTGACCCACCCGCATGAATAGAGGGATTAGAAGTATAACCCCGCGTGGTAGCATCTGATATCGTTTCAAACAAAGTAGTCGTCAATTCGACTTCTTCAGATCTCTCCAATTAATTGCAAAGCAAGCTGAAGGAACTCCGGTGACCCAAGCACAACAGGGAAGGAGTGCGCCTCCTTACTGGGGTTGTGTTTACCTCCACCTCTCCCTAACTCTGTCAGCCTCTCTCTTCTAACTCATTGTACCTCTCGTCCGGCCATTGATATCCATTCTTCAATAAACATCATTTCTCACATTGATTTCCTCTCAACGCCACCAACCGTTCGCAACCATCCACCATGGACTGACATGAACGTCTGCAGCAGACGAGGCGCTCTTTGGAGCTCGACACGCAGATGAACAAGCGGGTAAGCCACACTGTCTCTCCTGATTTAACGCCTGTTAAATTTTGGACGGAAATCATCTACACACATGGAATGGGTACTATTCGCAGGTCAGAGATGATGCTCTTAATGTTTATGCCAAAAAAATGATAACATATATATCTTGTCGGTGCAGGAAACACCTGAGACTTCCCCCAGCTTGGAAACTAAACCCGGTGCTACATTTAAACCATCCACTTCCAAGAAGAGCAAGGTGTCCGGGGACAAAGTTCGAGGCGCAATCTGTCCCGCCAGCGCGATCGCAAAGTTACCGTTTGAGAAAATTTTCCCCAAAGGGAGAGGTCTCTCTACCTAGGCAAGTTGCAAGGGAATTCTTTAAGGCTCTGGGACCAACCCTAGGTTGTGTAAGCCCTTACCTACCGATCAACCTAGTCGTCTCAGTCGATTCGGTAGGATGATCATCGACATTGGTCGTCGCAAAGTTGACTGAATTGAGGGCTAGGAAGGGCCTTCTGAATCTGTCCAACTTCAACGAGGGCAGAAAGAGGCTGGAAGCCTAAAAGCTCCGCTAGCCGGGCTCGGGATTGATGCCCAGTTTCTTCACAATGCGGGTAATGATGCCAATTTCGCGATGGAGACCCAGATTCAGATTGCCCTAGAATCGGCGGGGGAGCGGGAGAGTGGATGATGGTTCCAGTTCTGCTGGAGTGAGAGAGATGGCATGATCCACGCACTAGCTGCACTAGTGCGTATGGTTTGCCAGGGGGACCTGCACAATAAGCTTAAACTCAGGGTTCACAACCAAGCTGTTCCTCTTTCGAGTGACGCCATCGCTACGGGACCGCATCCTTTTTTTGTTCCCCGCGCCCCACACCAGCTGCCCCTCAACAATTTTTTACCTTTCCCATCTACTAAGCACCCTAAAAGCACGGCCCTCGAAGCCAATTGACTATCATCAAAATCTCCTTTCTGCAGACACTATCACAATGACCAGTCAAGGCCCGCTAACCACCTGGCTCCTCTCCGCCACCCCGCAAGCCCTCAAGCGCGCCACCAGCCACCCATTCCTCGCCTCCGCCGGCAGCGGCACCCTCCCCAAGACCACCCTCTCCCAATGGCTCTCGCAAGACCGGCTCTACGCCCAGTCATACATCCGCTTCATCGGCTTGCTCCTAACAAAGATCCGCATCCCACCCCATAACCCCAACACCGAGACCCCGCGCCAGCCCACCCTCGAACAAATCGCCGTCGACGTTCTCATCGACGCCCTCGTGAACATCCGCACTGAGCTCCGCTTCTTCGAATCTACCGCTCTCGAATACGGCCTCGATCTAACCGCCATCTCCGCCGACGAGGGTGGTGCGGGTCTGGCGCCGTCCGGCTCGATCACCACCTCGATCGGCATCTCGACCACGGGCTCGGCTTCATGCCCGGGCTCCACGGGGGCCAGTTGCCTGGACACGAAGGGCTCCTGCGCGGGTGCGGAGCCCGGCAAGATTGACGAGGATCCTCGTCCTAACGAGCAGCTGCATAAGCTGTGCCGTGCCCAGGGCGAGTGCCAGATGCAGGCAGGCAGCGAGGTGTGCAACCCGCCGTCGCCGGAGCGCACAGCCAACAAAGCCAACAAACCGGCCTCGCCGCTGGAGCACGAGGGCCCGATCTTTTTCGCAGCGAACCGGATTACCCGCGCGTACATTGATATGTTTATGTCGGTGGGGAGTGCGGGGGTGAGTGTGCTGGAGGGCTTGGCGGTGCTGTGGGCGACGGAGGTGTGCTATTTGCGGGCGTGGCGGTTTGCGGCGTCGCATGGGAAGAAGAGGGAGGGGGAGGGAGAAGGGAGGAAGGATATGGATGCGGATGGGGGTGCGCTGAGGGAGAAGTTCATTCCGAATTGGTCTAGTGTGGAGTTTGAGGGCTTTGTGGATCGCATTGGGGATGTGCTGGATCAGATGGCTGAGCAGACTAAGGGCGTTGAAGAGGCGGAGCTGTTGCGCAGCCGGTGCTTGGAGTGGTGGCGGCAGGTTGTTTGGTTGGAGGAGAGGTTTTGGCCGGCGCTGGATTGAGGATGATATGATGGATGGGGTTTGTACACTTCCTCTACGGGTTAGTGGTAGAATGAGGTATGGGAATCAAAGGATTTGTTGTTACCTGCTGGAGGGAACTATGGGGAAGTTTCTGTTTCGGGAACATTGATTGTATGGATATATCATACATGGATGGCTCGTCGTACATACCCAGCCACCGCGGATGGCATGCACCAATATAATAGACAGATACCCCCAAAGCAGCAAAGAACAAGACAAGAAACCAGAAGAAAGCCACAAGTTCCATCGCGTGTAGACAAACGCCAATCCACCGAACAAACCCCGAAAAACTCCAATCTCCGCTCCGTGCGAATTTGCAGAACAATGGGAACAATGACCAGGACACCAAGAATAAGAATAAGAGTACCCCCAAACTAGGCCTCAAACACCGGTGAATGCGGGAGCGAAAACGAGCATAAAAAAGCAGACAGGTGGGCCGAAAAAACAATACAATTTGTCTCAACATGTGGTACATCGTCAAGAGATACAGCCTTACGTTGCAGTCGCCCGGGCGGCATTGCTCAGCTGCCGATGATACGAGCCAATGGGTTGGAAACCACTGCAGCTGGAGTTAGTCACTGCTTCACTTCAAAACAAAGGAGCGAAGGTGCAGGTGCAGGTGTAGATACATACCGAGCCAAGTCAAAGCCACCTCCACGATCCTCTTCCTCCTCGTTTAGCCGCTCCTCCTGGCGCACACCATTATCCCCCAGATCCCCCCCATCAGACTGCAGCGGAGGCAAAGTCCGGCTCGAGCCGAGACCGTTCGATGTCCCGGGCTTGCTTGGACTTGCCAGGTTCGGCGGAGGCGGACTACTGCTCGGGAATCCACCGATGATCCGGTCGTCGGGCTCGCCCTTGAGCGGACTCATATCCGGCACAGGGCGGGCTGGCGTGCTGCCAATGTCGGCGAATTTCCAGAACTGCGCGGGGGAGCTCATTGGCATAAACTTGGATGGAATCTGCGCCGTGCTCGGGGGTGGCAGGCGGGGTTGTTGGCGCTGGGGAGCGGGTGTGATCATGGATGAGGGACCTTCGTCGTAGTACGAGGAGGACAGCACAGGCGGCGACCCGGCTACGTTGTCCGAGAGTCCGTACGCGCGGCTGAGGTTGTTGCTGCTGTGCTGCACATGGCTGGTGCTGGGATTGTTGCTGCTTTTGTGGGCGCGCGCAGGTAAGGGAGATGGCTCGTCATAGTCGCGCGGGTTCATGTGCCGCAGCGGATGGTCGGAGCCGACTCCGCGGCCGGCGCGAGATCCTCGCTCGGGGGTGTATGCCTCCACAGGAGCCACGGGGAACGAGCTGAATCCGGGAGATGAGACCGGAGGGGACTTCTTGGCCGTGGCCGAGAACGAGGTGTCCAGCGACGCAATATGTGTTCCCCGGGCTGAAGACGGAGGATCCTTGGTAGCAGGGGACGACGGCGCAGAGGACTGCGTGCCCTTGCGCATCTGCTTCTTGCGATATTCCTCACGGTGCTCAGCGGCGATCTGCCACTTCATACCCTTTCCTGGCTCGTCGGTCCGTCGTGGCACCTTTTGGAACGCCTTATTCAATGACAAGTTATGGCGGATAGAGTTCTGCCAGCCGCTTTGGGAGTGACGGTAGAAAGCGTAACGATCCTTGATCCAGTTGTAAATGCTGTTCAGAGTGAGCTTCTCCTCCTCACTGGAGAAAATAGCCTGCGCGATGAGATTGGCATAGCTGTACGGCGGCTTCAGGTCCTTGGCCGAGTCCTGGCTGTAGTCGATCTCTTCGGTACTCTCCATCATCATGCCTCGGTTGTAGAGCGGCGACTGCTTGGCCGTCCGTTGGCCAGCGGTGTCGGGCGACCGCGGTGGGGGTGTGACCTGGCGCTTCAAGAACTGAGGCGCAGGAGCCAGTGAGGGGCCACCAGACGAAGATGGCCGCGCAGGTTCGGTGGCTTGCGACGCCGAGGGGTGCGCATGCTGCGAAGCATCCCATGCTTGTGTGGCCGGGTCCGGCTCTTGGCCACTGGCAATGCGCTGGGCGCGCTCGATGAAGCTGGGTTGAATATTGGCGTCGTCGCCGGGCGTCACGAACATCATTTGACAGTTGGCCACCTCGATGATATCGCCACAATGGAGAATGGCATCAGCGCCGCGCTTCAGAATGGCGTTGTTCAGCCGGACCCCGTTACGGCCATTGACCCGAATATGCCAGGCAGGCGTCTCTTCCCCGTCGTAAAAGATCTCCGCATGCAAACGGGAAACAAACTTGCTGGGGCCCAAATCAACATGTACGTCGGGGAGCGCACGAGCAGCAATGGTAACGGGACTGGACTGCTCGGTTGACCTCTGCTCGCGATCTGGTTCACGGCCGATATTGACATGCAGCGTCTTGACGTAATAGGTCCAGTTGCGGCCGGCAATCTTGGCATATGCTTGGATACTCTGCTTGTTCTCAGTCTTGGTGTTAGAGTGGTCGCGCGAGACGCGCAGTTCCTCGCGCGGGGTGTTCAGATACGAAATGACCAGGTCGACAGTATCCTGGTGCGTCGACTGGTCATGGTCGCCTTGCGAATCCTCGGCTTCATTGCCGGAGTCCTCGGCCTTGACGGCGCCTCGAGAGGGGGAGGTGCGGCGGTCAACCTGTGGGATTGGGAATTCTAGTCTCAGCCTTTCTTGGTCCTGGATTTTGTGCGTCAAGGGGGGAGGGATTCGGCCTCAGACCGGTCCGCCACCGCGGATCAAACTCACCTTGCGCTTCTTTGCAGATGGGCGACTGGGTGACGAGTCTGGCGCCTCTGCATCGGAGGTTTCCTGCAGTTGGATTTCCTTGCGCCGCGCGCGACGGCGATTTGACAGCGGCATCTCGGGAGCCGGTCGGGGCATGCGATTCCGTTCACAAATCCACGAGCCGCAAACAACGTGCGTGATACGGGTGAGTCGCAAGAATTCCGATTTTTTCGGAGAGGTTGGGGTTGTGGGTGATCAAGCCGAGTCGGACTCCGCGAAACACAACGCGGGGCAAAAGAGAAAGTCGGAGGATGAGAGGCAAGATGCGAAAAGGCGAAAAACACAACAGAGCAAGTCTGGATCCGGAATTCGGCGGTCCAGTCTCGGAGGCACGCTCACAGGTAGAACCAAAGAATGGGCGTCGTCAGAACCACTGATTGAGCCGATTCGCCACCGCGACTGAGTTGAGCGGGTAAAAAATCGAGAGCCAAAGACGAACAAGACGAAGGGAGGCTCCGGCAATCCGAAGCGCAACAATCAACTAAGCGGCAGCGTCAGGAGCAGGGCTGGCGACGAAGTCTGGGGTTGTGTGGCTGGATGTTGATTATCGATAATCCCTGCGATCGACGCGATGGCGTCTGTTTGGGGTGACCGCCTTGTCGCGTGGGGAGCGTGTGAGGTCAGAGTTCCGCACCAGCCACCGCAAGGCGAGATCCGAAAGAGGTGAGCGCAAGAGGCGGACACAGGGGAGAAGCCAAAGACCAGAGCATAGAAGGGCAGAAGATTCGGGAATCCCAAAGAGAAGGGGAAGAGGAAAAGGCGCCCGTGAAGAATAAATGAAGTGCGCCCGTTTGGCCGTAAACAGTGGTGGAGTCTGGTACCGGCGGTGTACCGTACGGCCCGAACGCCCGCAGGGTCACCGTCAATGGGCCGGGGGGAGAGGTAATACCAATACCACCCGTACGTCTCCAACGTGTGATTGAGGATGCTTCCGAGTGCAGTGGACGCAACGATAGATTGGATTAATCTGGGAGGTCCATCCTACGCTGGAAAGGAGGGGGAGAAGCAGATAAATGTGGATTCAAGATGACAGCAGTGCACATCACTGGGAACTATGTGATCGAGGGTCGAAAAATGCCACGCTATGCACGACTGCTCACGACTTTGAGGCGGGTGTTGGTTTCACGCCCTCTCCATTGCGCTCATATGCAGTAGCTTCGCTCCCAACTACGATCGACACAAGTCACGTCCGATCACTCAGTCTTGAATATTAAGCTTAGATCACAAGCCTTGCCACCCCGGCCTCACAATTCATCCCATGTAGACAACCATCCGCCAGCAAGGGTCGTTTGCGTCACAGCCGCCCGGATGCAGTTTAGCTTCGCCCGTTGGAATGCTGCTTTGCCTCATTGGGGCTTGACATGTCGATCGGCAACCAACTGGCCCCGGAAGAGGAAAGACGGATATCAAGACCATGTAACCTGGATCTAGTTGAATCCGGTTGTTCGGTCTACGGTCTACGGAAAACAAGTGGTGAATCATGAAAGCAAACAACTCGGCTGTAAATAAACAGCGGGCAAGGTAACCTAGCCCTATTCGTACAGTACAGATGGAAACAGACCGGAGGATGGAGTCTGATGGATCCAGGCAGGGAAGTGAAGAGATAGACACACAGAGGGAGAGAAGAATGAAAAAAGAAAAAAAGATAAAAGGGGTTGGAGACGAATGACAAGGGTCAAACTTAAGGCAACATCGAATGGGAAAAAGGGCAAGAAAAACGGAATGTAGAGTAGCCCAGACAGGGAAGGAAGGGCCAAGTGACAAGATAAATGGGGTCGTGACTGCGTTAAATAGAAGGAAGATATAGCCCAAGGCCCCGAGGTTACTCGTCCCCAGGCATCTTGGCATCGCCGTCCTCGTCCAGCCCGCGCAGGGTCGGGTAAAGGACTGCCTCGCTCTCCTCAGTCTTGGTCGGCTCCTTGGCGTGCTCGGGAGAGACCCGTGTATTGGCCGTCTCAATGCCGTCCATGGAGCCGTCGCCCGACGGGGTGGGGGACTCCTCCGGTCCACTGTGGCCTGCCAAGGCGCCGTCGAAGCGGCCCTGCTCCAGGAGCTCGGAGACCAGGCGCCGGAGATTCTCCAGTAGCCGGACCTTCTCCACCCACGCGACATTGACATCCCGCTCAGCCACCTCGGTGGCCGCTTGAGCGGTTCGCTGGGCAGCCTCCTTGTCAGGGTCAGGGGAGTTGCTGGACAGGGCGGGGTCGATGAGGCTCGAGGCGATGTCGGGGTGCTCCTTGGTGGGAGTGCGCGCGCCATCGGTCTTGCTATCGGCCGAGGTGTCCATGCGGTTCTCGTCTAGGTCACGCTCGGCGGGGCGGGCGCGCTGTAGGGTGCCACCGGTGTAGCGGCGACGATCATCGTGATCGAAGGCGCCACTCAGAGTAGACGGTGGGGCCGCACTGGTCGGGTAGCCCGCAGTCATGTTGTCAGGCATAGTGGCCGACGGTAGACGGGGGTACATGCCAACACCGCTCTCATGAGGTGGTGACACGCGATGGCTCTGGGGCAGAGAGATCGGCGACCGTTGTGAGGTGTACGATTGAGCGCTCGAAGGCGGAGTCAGGGCGGGAGTGCCAGTGGAGGGAGAGTGGGCAGTGGCGGCCATCATAGGAGCGGAGGAAGCCGCGGTAACATGGCTAGGAGGAAGCTGGCTGGGGGGGAGTTGGTAGCCCGGTAGCTCATGCCCCCCTGCACGTAATGCGCACCGGGTTGAGCAACACCGGCGGCGGCAACATTCTCGTCGCTTTCGTAGATGGTGTTTTGCATCTGCTCCAAGAACTGATCGATGTTGATCAAATCGTTCTTGGTGCGGACATTTGACATTGGGGGGAGATGGTACGCTGGAGCATGACCACCACCAGGGCTATAGCCGCCACCACCGCCCACCGGGACAGCAGCAGCCATGGGCTGGTGATATTCGTGGACAGGGCCGTTCAGAATCGGAAGTTGAAGAGCCTGGAGTCCAAGCAGGCGCTGGCCAACAGCCGCGTAGGAATTCGGATCGAATTGGCGTCGCTTCAGGTCACCAAAGAACTCGTTCAAAGCATCGTATCCCCGCTTGCGGTCATACGATTGGTTGCCATCGGGGCCTTGGCTCAACGCATAGTAGACATTGCCATACGAATGAGGGTTGGCGGCCGGAGGGGGCGGGTGTGTCTGGTAGTACTGGGGAGCTCCATGAGTGTATGCGGCGTTGGAAACGCCGTTCATTGGGCCTTCAAAATAGTGGGTGGCAGCAGTATATCCTGAAATATCAATTAGCCACGGTTCCAATACCACAACGGCGCTCTAATCCCGAAACAAGGGCCCTCCGGCAAGGGAAGGGAACCGGTACGAGGGGGCTTGCAGAAGGATGGAACCCAGGAAAGACCGAGAGCGATCGGCTAAGCTATGCCGGCGGTAAAAGAAAACGAGGTTCAACACGAACCTTTGGGGTTTTGGGGGAACATCATATCGGGGTGATGCTTCAGGCCCGGCTCGGGGGAGCGGATCTCCGAGTCGTCGGCATGGGTCTTGACGTGTTTCTTTAGATCCTGAGGGCGCTTGAAGGCCTTGCCACAGAAATCACACTTGTGCGGCTTGAGAGGCACATGCACGCGGATGTGTGAGGTGATGTGATCGCGCTTGACCGTGGTAGTGTTGCAGTTGCCCCACTGGCATGTCAAGTTCAAGTTGTTAGTGCTCTTGCGGCCAACATGGCGCTCGCAGACGTGTTCCTGTATCGCGATCAATGATTAGTATTGCGCGCGACAATTTTCCTGCCAAGAACAGCAGAGAAACGAGGTTAATTAGCTTACGTAGAGCGCCTCGGCGGAGGGGCACTTCTCAGTGCAGCCCACCCACTGGCAGGGTAGTTGCTCTCCTGCGCCGTTGAGCGAGTTGTTGACAGCTGCGGTGGCAGCGGCTGCGGTCGCCGTCACCGATGCGGTCGGCGTCGGGGTAGCCTGCGCAACAGCATGCCCAGGCTGCTCACTGGCGACAGGTGCCGCGGTGGACGCGGCCTGCGGCGTTGAATTTGGGGGAATATTGTTCTCGGACATGATGCCAAGAAATGGTCTGGTCGTGTCTGGCGGGATGCCCAGGCACGGCGTTTAGGGGAAGACCACGAACACCAGAATCTAACAGCAACGCGAAAACGGGCCTGTCACACACAATCCAAAAATGTGTGTTAGACCAACGTGTTCCGAAGGAATATCAGAAGGGGGAGAAGGGGGGTTGGGACAAGGACGAAGGATGTAGGAGGAAGAAAGCGCGTGCCTGGAGAAGAGGAAGAGGGAGCGAGAAAACTGGGGGGGGGGAGGGGGAAGTCTTGGGTCTTGGGTTTCTTGGGTCTTGGGGCTTGGGGCTTGTCTCTCCGCACGGAGGGGAATTCAGAAGGGAGGAAAAGAGCCGAGACTTTGCCCAGAAAAAGTTGGCGGGCGGAGTCGTGACAAGAAAGGGACAAGACGACAAGACGACCAGACCGGGCCAAGACCGCCGGTGCGAGCCAGGCTCTTTGGTGAGCGGGTTGGCGGTTATTATTGGCCCAGAAGGGGAGCCCCCGGGAAAAGTAGGGGCTGTGCATTCCACCCGCCGGTCCCCCAGACTGCTTTTTCAGCCGGGTACTGGTGGAATTTACTATGGAGTACATGCTGTACACCGGTTAGACTGTCGCATCCATTGACTAAAGTGGCCATAACTAACTTAAGTTAGCCTATCGCGCTGACAACGCGTTCTGGCCAGACCTTCCGACCATCATCCCTATTGACTACTCGATCGCCCGATTGACTAAAACTATCAGCAGTCAAATAGCTTATTCCCAACTTCCTAATACTTTCCGGTCAGGTCAGGCGCCTTAATTATTTCATGTAATATACGAGCTTACCAACTACCGGCTATTGAACTTCCCGTATAAATTGGCCAGTGGTACCGATCCCCATGTCCCAATCGCACGGCTTCCTCGGGCTCCGGTTCTTAGCTGATCCGGGGGCCAATTCGCCGGCCAGTGGGGTTCGAGGATCCGAGCAGGGGTTCTAAACGAAAAGACCTTCGAAGTCGCCTCATGAGACACAGAAAGTGTAAAAAGTGGCCATCGGGACCGGCCAGGCGAATGCCAAGCCCCTCAGCCACGGCCATGCCTCTTGGCAGCCAAGGTTTTCCTCCTTGCCAAATCCCGCTCCGAGCACCAAGGCTTGGGTCTTGGACTTCTCTCGGGGCCCCTCGTTTGACTTGGCATTGCCCTTGCGTGCATGGCTGTTTGGCGCTCTTCATGTCGCCAGACGACAGATTTGGGCGGAGCAGGTTATGTCGCTGCCTGGTGGTTCCTCGGACCCGGCATTATTGTGCATGGTATCCTTGGGCGATGATGCCTCCCAAAACTGACCAGATCCGATCAACCAAAGTTAGACAACTATGCGATGAGATCCAAGTGTCATTGTGATAGTACAGGTCGCCGTCTACGCTATATACAAATCTATTTGCTCAGAATATACAAGATATAAGGCACGACATCGGGGGCCACGCCTGTGGGCGGCTCCACCATACGCTGCGGCGCCTCCAAGCATTCCCGCCCTTGGGACGCCTTGTTCTGCCCGGCCCCAAACACCTGCAGTTGACACAGGGTCAATACACAAGCCCAGCAAAGCGCCAGAGGCCTGTCTCCAACGACTCCAATCCAACCCATCCTCTCCTCCGCTGAGGCGCATCCCGTCCGCCCGCCCCCGTTTCACCGGCCGGGCTTCCTTCTCGGCGGCTGATACCAGCTCCAAATGTTCAAGCCTATCTTCGTCCCCGACGTAACCGGGTACGCTGCGTGCCACGTCTCCGGATACCCGGTCCCATCGGGGCGCAAGTTCTCCCAAAATATCGCATTCCCCTTTATCGGCTTGAAGGTGATCCCCTGCTTGGCCTTGGCCGTCCCTCCCTCCCCCTCTCGCCCTCCCTCTCTCCCCCCTTCTCTTTCTCCTTCTCTCTCTCCTTCTCTCTCTCCATCTCCCTCTCTTTCCCCCTCTCCGTCCTGACACTCCAAGAATCGACACCACGCCTTCCCAGGCGGCATGCGCAGGCGCGGGAAATTCGTACCCCCGCCCTCGCACTCTGCGCCCAGATACACCATGAACGTGCTGAGCCTGTCGCCCCCGCGCGCCAGCGACCCCGTCCAGTCGTAGTGATGCCGGTAGTGGCCCGACGAGTTGTAGCGCTGCGCCCACATGCGCTCGATGTACAGGTGCGGGCGCCAGCCCTGGAATGCGCGCGCCCGGTCTTCCAGGCAGCGCACCGTGTCGTCGCGGTCCAGCAGGGCCCGGTCCGAGAGGCGCTTGGTCGGGTCGATGCGCTCTGAGACGCCGTCGTAGACGATTGAGGGTGTGTATTTGTTCACGCTGCCGAAGACGGGGGGATAAGTTAGCGGGGGCTCGTAGCTAGCTATCTCTCCCCCACGCGGTCTGTCATGGGGGAGTTGGAGGGAGGAAAGGGAAAAGAACGTACCTGATATCCACTAAATGGTCCGCCTCGTCAGCGCTCAGAAAGTTTTCAATGTACAGGATGAGGGGCGCTCGCGATAGCATGTGCACGCGGTACCCGGCGGCCTCGCCGGGGCAATTGGCCGGCACCCCGTCGTCGGGGCTGATAAAGCTGTCATCTGTCAGGTGTAGCATGGCCGGTGCATGGTCCCATTCCGCGAACGCATCTGCGTCCTGCCATGCCGGCGAGGAGCTGCTATCCGGGAAGAACGGGCGGATCAGCGGGTCCAGCACGAAGATGTACACGGGCACGAAGTAGAGCAACCATGTGATGATCGTCGAGGTCGAGAGCTGTGGCGTCGACGCCATGCTGTCTGGATTTTGGAGCCGCACGGCGATTCGGTATGTGTGCAGCGACGATAAATAAGCAATTACTGAACAGTATACATCGGCGGCCCGTTCGGGCTTTCTTGATGCGGCCGCGGCCGCGGTGGGATGGCGGGATAGTCGAGGTGCCGTAGAGGGTCAATTGGTGAAGCGGGGAGGCATCAATTTATCGGCGATCGCGTAAAGTGATAAATTGAGGTCCGGCAAGTGCATGAGTGCTGGGTTGGGCCATGGCAAGAAAGACAGTCGAGGGAGTGGTTCGATGGAGGAGTAGTCGGGAATTGCGCGAATGACGATGTGGGTCTACACCCGGCTGGTCTAAACCGATCATGGTAGGTAGGCTGTTGATATGAACTTTTCACATTGTAGGGTAATAATCAAGAGGAGAGAGATAGGAGGCATGCTTGCTATGAAGGTACTTGGTACGCGACGCGATTAAGTTGCTAGGTCTAATTGCAAATCCTAGCATTACTACTCATTTACTGCGACCAGAAAGTTAGATCGCCCTCAATCATTTTTCACAAGACACCGTCAAAAATAGGGAAAAGCACGCCTATCCAACTTTGCAACGCCAGCCCAGTATAAACAGGAATTTTTTTCTTTTTTGGCTTCCTTTCATAAGTGCATATCATCGTAGCCAGCAACAGACATTCATGTGAAAGGTGAAATAGATGTGACACTAAACCCCGGCGTTCATCCACTGGTTCCAGTCGTCGCTGCCTGCACCAGCGCCGGGTCGGAAATTTGCGTTGTTGCCGAACAAGTCGTCAAAGGAGATGCCCAGGTCCATGTTCATGCCCATGGTATTTTCATCTAGACCCATATTGAAATCGGCCAGCCCGTTAGGCCCGGCTGAGGGCGACGTATCCTGCTGCACTGATGTGGTGGTGTTGATGTTTGTTGGCTGGAAATTGTATCCTTGCCATACAAAGTTCTGGTTGGGGATGGAAACCAGATCGGGGCTGCTGAGAGTTTCGCTAGGAGACTGGCCCTGCGGAATTGGCGAGTGCAGCCGCGAGGAGTTCATGGGTTGAGGGGTAAGGCGACTCGGGACGGATGATTTGACCGCGGCGGAGGTGCTCGCAGGGAAGTTGGAGAAGTTGGCAAAAGCGTCGAAGCTGGGCGTGGCCACGGTGGATGGGTCAGTCGGTGTGTTTGATCCCATTCCGGTTTGCTGCGGGGAGGGGTCAAAGGGGAATTGGGTCGGCAGGGCCCCGCTGCGATCATGTCTAAAGTGATCGTCTTCCAGTTTCGACATAGGTTGCGTGGGATACGCGAATGGATCATCGGATGGGAACATCATAGGCATGAGATCTGGCAGGTTGTTGGGGTTGTTGAACTGCTGAGCCCACGCCAGACTCGACTGTTCTTGGTTGGAGAATGAGGTATTAAGCGAGTTCGCAGAGACCGGCTCTGGCGTGGACATGGTCTCCGTCAGCAGCTCTGGCGTTGACGCCAGCCAAGCGGACTGGCTGCCGCTGTCAGTCGGTCTGTTGGTGAAGGCCGACGGGGTGTCCAAACTCTTCTGCCGGCGGCTTGCAGCATCTACCGCCGTTGGCTGGGCCATCATTTGGGCGGGGAATGTGCTAGAGCGATGAGCCAAATTTGGTCCCGGCGGATTCTGGGTAGACTCCGGCTCAGCCGAAAAGCTAGATGGCGCTGGCCGCTTCAGGTTAACCGTTGTCTTTGAGCTTTGGCGGTTCTTCAACATCTCCGGTAGAGTTTTGAAGAGGCACTGCAGTTTCTCTAGTCAGTTTCGGGGGCCCCGGAGTTCTAGTGAAAGAGGTCACATACAGTCAGGCTCTGGGAGCATCTGTCAGCCGCCAGGCTCTTCTTGGCCAGGCCAGCCAAAGTATTTTTGCCTTCCATGGCGTCCTTCAAGACGCCGTCCTTGGCAGTGGGCGAATCAGGGTTCTCGACGACAAAGAAAATGAGGGAAAGAATGGCAAAGTAGGTTGTGTACATCGTGAACCAGAAGGAGCCATTCAGAAGCCCCCGCTTCTGCATCCCCGTCGTGATATGGACGATGTTTCGGGATACACTGACGCAAGCTGCAGCGCAGGCATATGATCGCTTGTCAACGCCACGGGCTAGAGAGCCTCCCGATACATAGTGCAAAAAGGGGCGGTACATGACCATCTGTACATGCGCGTAACTGATACGCAGCAATTGGCGAACTCTGAGAGCGAAATTAGCCACGTTCGCGACTGAACCGAGGATGATGGAATAAGCTTACCGTTCCAGCTGTGGTGATACTTCTGTGCCCGGACGCAGAGCTGGGGGAAGTTCCTCCATCCAGGCCTGGAGGTCACGCTCTATTTCCCGGATCTTGGCGTGGCTGACCATGTAGCGCTGATCAAACTTGGACCGATAGCACGCATTCTTCACTGGATAGATGTATTTCACCACCTTCAAAACGACATTGCAAAGGCGTGTGTGCGCGTTGCACCCGGCCATCAGCGGCGTATAACCCGCGGGCATCGGAATGATACCCTCTGCAGTGATGAATTCTCCGTCGGTTTCCATCGGGTATTCTTGGTCGATGTCATCGTCGCTGAGCATCTGCGGGAGCCCCAGCAGGGTGCTGACGTAGACATCCATTTTACGAACCACCCAGAAGATGCGCTTCCGCAGCTCTCGCTCGACTGGGTTGAAGTCTGCCGCAACGCTGCGGTGGAGACCCAATCGCAGCGCGGAACGAAGCGCGATACCAATATAGGAATAGCAGGTACTCAGCTTGGCAGACGACTGGAGGAAAAGCACCATGAAACAGATTGCTTGCAGCGAGGTGAGATCTCGGCAATCCGTTATCTCGAGCAGCTGCCGTCCTGCCTTGAAGAATTGGAACCTGTGACAGCACAGTTAGCGGCTTCTTGGATCCTAGACGCGCTGAAAGGAATTTGAGTAGCCTACCCTTGACCAATAGCACCCTCATAGCCGGCCAAATCCAACGTACCCGCGCCGTCATCCGAAAATAAGCATCCGACAGACATGACAATGTACAACAGAGGTAGGAACGAGTTCTCTTCATTTCCAAATTGCTCCGGGGGCGTATCATAGATGCGGTCGAGACTAGCGAAGAACGACGGCTCAATGACGAAGCACATCAGAGAACAGGCGTTTTCCAGTGCATTGTGGCACAACCGGCGAGCGACCGCCCGTGAAGCGGGTAAGTCGTGGGTGGGAGGCAGCGAACTGTCGTGGGGCGAGTCCGACACCGAGACCGACTTGGGGCTCCCGAGCATCTGCGTCATGGGGCGACTCGACGGCACAACTGGCTCTTCGGCAGCGCCCATTTGTTTGCGCAGGCGACGGACGAAGATGATTCCCGAGGTGTGGCCATGATAGTCCCAGTGCCCCTGATCATCACGGTCCAGACAGCCGGTATTCCCGACCATCGTCTCCAACAGAGACTCGTCCCCGCCTTCCGGGGCGTTCTCCACGGACGTTCCATGGGGCTTGGCAGCTCCCGCGGGCGCCTGCTTGTCCTTCTGTGCGGGAGCGAGGCGATGTTCTGCGGCATTCACGTTGAGGTTTGGGTCATCGAGGTTGACATTCGGGAGAACCGTTCGGAGCAGGGCCTCGGCCTTTTGCATGCGGGCTTCGAGGGCTTCGACATATTGCGGGGCGGGATTGCGGCGGCGGTTGGAGGGCTGGTCGTACGAACACTCTACGGCAGGTTAGTCACGGGCGGGGAGCCAAGAGCAGGAGAACCGAGAGCGTACCATAGCTGTAGACGGTGCAGTGGGTACAGGGCTGTTTGCCATCGCACTTGATCTTCTTCCTCCGGCATTCGTCGCAGGCGCGGCCGACTCGGCGGCGCTTCTGTAGCGGCAAGGACTGGTGGGAGAGTTTGGGGTCTGTGGGGGTGGTCGCTTGTGTCGAGGTGAATTGCGAGTGATCGGCCTCGTCGTGCGGGTAGGTGTCGTTCAGGTCATCGTCGCTGTCGCCAGCATGCGCCCCCGTTCCAGTCGTCGCCATGGTGGACTATCGAGCGGGCGACAGGTGGGATGAATCATGTAAGGAGAGCGGGCTTAGCGGGCGATCCGATTAGAGTGCTCATTCATCGCCCTCCTTGCGGTCGCATTCGACGATGGCAGGAAAAGGTGATCAGTCGGAATGATAGTCGCGGGAGGTTTCCGGTCTGAAGGGAAGGCGTCGTCGGCTAGAGTGGAGGCGGGAGCGACGAATGAAAGGCGGAGTAAACCGACGAAGGGCGATCCTCGTCGCCGGCGGGCTTGGGCTTACAGACCGGTTGGCGGAGGGTCGAGTTTTGCGCGTATCCTAAAGATGCTGACGCTGGCCGGCAGGAAAGCGGGCGGGACGGATGATGAGATAATTGATTTCGACCGAAACTGAAAGCGGTGGGAGACTGAAAGAAGACTGTCTGGTACTCCGAGGGGAGAGAAACGAGGCGGGACAATACAAAGACAAAATCATAATCGAAGAACAATCGAAACTTGAACAGGCATTCGTTTTCGTTTACCTGCCGGTACGAGCCCAGTCACCATCCCCTCTTACTACCCTCATCCACACCGGGACTACACTACGGCCTGGTACTTTGGGGGCCTTGACTTATCGTCTATCGGACTTTCATAGCGCGCGAGCCCGACCAGCACGGGGCCCTTCTCTTGAGGCATTTTTGGGCTGGCCTCGGGCTCCTGTCCGATGTAGAGATTACCGGGGCCCGTCGCAGGCCATTTCGTCGGTCTTCGGGGGGGAATTCCCGTTCTCGACGCGCCCTTTCTCGGTGGGCCCGCTGACTAAAATGCCGAGTTGCCTAGGTTGAGGTTATCCGTCCGATCCTAAGCGATCTGGATGATCGGTGATCCGAGGGTTGTGGGACGTAGAAGATAGCACACCAACCCGCGCTGGATAGCATCCTGCACGGAGAATATCCGTTGAAGTCCATAGGGCGAAACAGCCCAATAGCCAAACCGCCAACCGTCCGGGGCGCATTGGGATTCCTTGGATTCAACCCCCCACTGTCGCGTGAAAAGCGAGCTAATTCCTGCACACTGCAGGGCGCATCGGCGACTTGACCTCTTCGCCGAAGCGCAGTCCGTCAGCCTCCAGCCGCTGCGATTGGTTGAGGGCGGGGCCATCCCACATCCAGTTAAGGTTGTTGCGGATGTTACAGAGCGCAATGATCAGGAAGAGTGGAACGGTCGAACGGTGGAATAAGAATTGCCAGGCCATCCTCTCCGGGGGGTTTGCTTCATTTTCTTTACTATGGCCGGCATCTCCCTGAGTCTCCTGGTCAATGCCTAGCACATAGTAGAGGCCGAATCCCGAGCCTAGGAACCGAGACCAGCTGGTCCCCAGCAGTTCGATAGCGTCAGCCTGACCAGGGGGACCCTGTTGGATATTATTTCCTAGACCCGGCCCTTGGATGAAGGATGAAGGATGAAAGATGAAAGATGAAAGAGGGATGGGGGCACCTTTCTTTTACGATCGGAATCAGGAACTAGGACCAGGATCACGTCGGCTGGGCGATGGGCGATGCATGTAGACCGGGTAATGAAGGTCGATCAGCCTCCAGAGTAGTTTATCAGGGGCACGAACCGAATTTTCCCCCGAACAAACTATGACGGCCAAATGGCGTGCGATTGTTTCGACCCAATCCCACACCTCCTCGCTCCCGGGCCCACGGACTGGCATCCAAGGCACCGCGTCCCTGATTTCTTATGCCTCCTCCCCGCCCTAAAGGGATCAGCCATGCAGAGGGCGAGCATGGCAAACAATCAACTTTCGCTCCTGTGACGCGCCCAGGAATGTCCACGCCACCCACGCGAGAACGCTGACATGCGAAGCGGATAGGCTGAACCTGAAACCGCCCATTGGCACCAACTACGGACCTATTGAGTCCCGGGTTAGTGATGCATATCCGGAGTACAGGCCTCGCGCGCGACTCGATACTTCCATAGCTCGCTCGTTCGCGCAGCCCAGCGCCACCCGCACCACGGCTGAACGAATCTGGCCCCCCTCGACGCCGTAATGGGCTTGGCAGTGGAAACATGCACAGTTTGGCTTCGGCCAAGAAGGGGGGGAGGCGCTTTAAGCTCATCGTCAGCCCTGCATGGCCCCATCTTCCGTCGCCTGCCAACCCGAATACTCAAGAATCTGACAAAGAAAGGGGGCCGTTTCAGCTCCAGAGTTCGCTGGTGCCCTGGCAGCAGCTGCAGCGGGTCCCTCACGTCGCGCATGGCATTGGCATTCGCGATCGATGACCCCCTTCGACACGACCCACTTGCCCAGGGCACATTCACGGCGCGACAGCCGGTTCTCCTGCTGACGGGATCGGCGGCTGACCAGACTTCTGATCCCCCGGGATTCTTATATGGAACGGGCCCCGCCATCGAGACGCTCTTTTCGAGAGTATGCAGCCGTGCTGGCCATGAAGCATCGCCATGGCTTATGTTCTCGTCACTCTATGCTGTGCCTTTGCGGCACTGGGCTCGTTCTTGTTCGGCTATGACTCGAGCGTGATCTCGTCGAGTATCGAGCAAGATGCGTTTTTGAATTATTTTGGATCGCCGGGCTTATCTGATGCCGCCAGTGGTGGGATTATCTCTTCCTACACAGGTTCGTTCCCTCCGAGCTCGGATCTCATCCGCTCATCCTCTAATCTTGGCGAGCAGGAGGTGCCATTGCGGGGTCGCTCCTGGCCTCGTCTATTTCGGATTTCTATGGACGCCGCATGGTGATTTTCATTGGCGGGCTCCTCGCCGCTTTTGGTGCTGCCCTGCAGGGAGGCGCTGTGACGGTTGCGATGTTGATCGCCGGCCGCTTCATCGCTGGAGGTGCCATTGGGCTCATGTCCGCTACTGTTCCCGTGTACTGTGTATGTGAGACGGAGCCTATGCCCCATTCTACCTGATGGACTGGTTGACTGACGGGTTGACGCGGACTCAGAGCGAGGTTGCCCCGCCTCAGATTCGTGGCGGACTCGCAAGCATGCAGCAGTGGATGATCGGACTGGGAATCATGGTCGCTGTATGTCTTATGAGCGCTCCTTCATGGCTTCCTTCGATGTTCACTAACCGATCTCCCCCAGCAATGGGTTGGCTACGGATGTTCCCTGCACAGCGGCGATTTCTCCTGGAGATTCCCTCTATCCTTGCAGACAGTACCCGCCATCATGCTCGCCTGTGGCGTCTGGTATCTCCCCGAGTCGCCGCGTTGGCTCATCGAACACGGAAACGAGGCGGCCGGCCGCTTAGTTCTAACCCGCCTACACCTCAATCGCGACGCAACAAACGCCTTGCTTGTCGAGCATGAAATCAACCAGATCCATGAAAGCGTCGCCGAAGACCAGCGATCCGTAGTCCGCTCGTGGCGCCAGCTATTCCTCTCCCGCCAATGGCGCTATCGCCTCCTCCTCGCATGTGGTCTCCAAGCCATGACCCAATGCTCTGGCACAAACGTGATCCAGAATTACGGCCCCCGACTGTACAAGTCGCTGGGCCTGTCCACATCCACCTCACTCATGATAATCGGCGTCTGGGGCGCGCTGGCGCAGTTCTGGAATACCGTGTTCATGGCCTTCATCGACCGGGTCGGGCGGCGCAAGTTGCTCATCCCTTCACTGCTAGGCATGGGCGCCGCGATGTGTGTCGAGGGCACGCTCGCGCGGTACGTTGACTTTAGCGATAGCGACGCCAACCAGGACGCGCTCCGCGCGGCAATCGCCATGTTCTTCGTCTTCTCTCTATTCTACACGGCCCTCGGCATGATCTCCTGGATCTACCAGTCCGAGATCTTCCCGACTGCGATCCGCGCCCGCGGGTCATCGGTCGCGACGGCGACGAACTGGAGTCTGAGCCTTATTTTTGCGCAGTGCTCTCCCATCGCACTGACCAATATCGGATCCAATTATTTCTACTTCTTTGTCGCGTTCAACTGGGCTGCCGTCTTTATCGTTTGGTTCTGGTACCCCGAGACCGTCGGGCGCTCCCTCGAAGAAGTCGAGGAGGTTTTCGTCGGCCAGGTTCACGATGGGGAGCCTGAAACTATCCCTGTGACTGCGAGTAGTCCCGAATGTAAGCCGCCGCGCTCACATATCAGGCATAAGGGCATTCACCCGTTGTCGATGCATCCGACTACTATCGGGAGCTGGAGTAGCAAAAGCGGCTTGTCTCCGAGGTTATGGAGTAAAGAGGTGGATGCTGTATAATATAGCGAATTGCTGACACAATCTTAGAAAAGGTACCAACTGTAACACTACGTTCGTTTCCATCATCATTTGTATGTACCTTGGAGAAGGTACTAAATCCTTGGTCCGGACTTTCTTCGTAGAACTGCCCATTTCGCCGAATGAAGAATTTCAACTCGGCGATGAACTCCCCAACCGGGTTCAAGTCTAGAGAATATGGAGGCGAGTATACTAGCTTTACTCCAGCTTCTGAACATATATGTCCTATTCAGTCAGAGTGATGAAAGGATATATTATCCATGACTAGCACAGACTTCGCTTTCCACAATACTGCAGAAGCTGCTCAATTATATTCGTAAAGAGTAATGTATTGGTTGAGCCTGGAATACCTAGTCGAGATAGAACAATACTATCTTCGGTAGAGGTAGGTATATCTAATATCGCTAATCACGATAGAATTTAGATAATTGAACTGGCGCTAGTTGTACCCAGTAGGACTAACCCGTTCGCCTAAGGCCTATTCAGCTCAAAGGCCTCACGCAAGGTACACCTTGGGTGCCCTGGACAATATAGCTAGTCTACTATATCGATATATGATCTAAAACTGCCTTAGAGTAGATCTTCAATCCTTGGCGTATTAGCGCACTATTACCTCTGCAACTTACACGAGTGACTGACTGTTCAGCCAAAAGTAGGCTACTAAGAGCCCACCCGCTCGTTAATTTATTGAAGTCCAATTCACCGCAAGAATCAGACGGTTACTGGCTTATCGTAGTAGCTGATAGACTAAACCAGAGCCTACTAGTCCCGATCCACCAAAGCCTGACATATGCCGAGGCAAAATTTGTGAGACTTACGAAGACCTTGTAGCTAGGGCATGTAGTCCGATACCGAGATTCCCCGAAGCTAATGAGCCCTGCTTGGTATGAAGATAACCACTAGCGGATCGATAATTCGGACGATTGATGGATGATCGAAAACCGTGGCTCTATACAAGTTCCACCATTTTGCTCACGGAAATATATGGAAGTGGGGATTTAGGTTCAGGACCGAACGTATCACCCTAATAGCTAGCCAGCCACTCATGTCGACGGATGCACAGCGATCATTGTTTTGATCTTGCTTTTACGAGATTTATCGGGTAACACTGTATTCCATCGAACCCCTTCTATTACCTAATTTTTTGCGTGATTAGGGGTCGGGAATTGCCATCTATCCCTATTTCATGATCGACTTGTCCTAATACCCATTTTCCTAATTGCTCATTTAGCCGGAAACTCGCAACCATGAAGCCTACGAAAACACTCGCAAATTAGCTGTGCCTCACTTCCTTGATTTTGCAACCTGCGAGTGCAATTGTGGGAGGAAGTGATGCATCTGCGGATAGCGCGCCATTTACAGTCGCCATTCTCTCAAGTGGCTGGTTCGGTGACTCCTACATCTGTGCTGGCTCCTTGATCAGTCCAAAAACGGTTCTCACTACGGCTGGATGTGCCGATGGATCTTCGGCATCTTCGCTAAAGGTACGAGTGGGCAGTCTCGAGCACGCTGCTGGCGGCCAGCTGAATCAAGTAACCAAAATCATCATGCATCCCAACTATAACAGCAATACCCGGGATAGCGACTACGCTGTTCTCCATTTGACGCAATCGATTATAAATATCAAATCCGTGGCGATCGCCGAGAAAGCTACGGTTACAGGGGAGTCTGTTAGCTTGTATGGCTGGGGAGTGACTAGCAAGCTGTTGGATGAGAACTCCCGCACGTTGCAGCAGCTCCAGACGACTTTCATCTCAGCCTCCGACTGCTTCCAGGCGTGGTCGGACGTTTCCCCCGTGACTGCGAATATGAATTGTGATGCCGCGCCGGAGAAGAGCCAGGGCTCCTGTGACCATGACCAAGGAGGACCAGTTGTCAACGACTCTGGGGAGCTAGTGGGTATTATCGGCTACTATAACTACTGTCAGCCGCAATCCAATGGTCGCCCCGACGTCAATAATGACCCTTTAAGCGCATCTGACTGGATCGCTTCTAATACCATCTGAATGATGCACTGGAAAAGTAGGTGATGAACATAAAGTGTTGCGGTCGGTCAAGCTAACGAAGGTCTTTACTAGGCTAGAATACTTTTCGCATGAGATTAAATTAGGGCGAAGGACAATGTGTATGTATCATTTGTCGATGCAACGGCTGCTCTAGGAAGATATACTTTTTGAATGGTTACTCTAGTTAGAGAATTTTAGTCAATACAGCTTAGTAGCAAGTGGAAGTCTCTGTCCAATCTTCTCACAGACTGACACCTTACTCCCCCAAAGCAAGAGACTTGTGTACTGTTATCACTTATCAAATGTTCCCCTCATTTTCCCAATAGTTTCCCCGTCTCTTCTGGTGGAGGAAATTCCATCTCTATATGCTTATTCATCGGCCTAAATACGACTACTGTCTTCAGGGGTCCCATTGTTTTTATACCCGTGCTAGTGTCGTGCATCGACGGGATGCCAGTAATGTTCGAGTAAAAGGCGAGTGCAACCAGATCCAACACATTCTGCCACTGTGAGACGAACACGCCCGAGATGCAAAGTGTATAGAGAACATGAGTCACTGCAATCGCGACGTAGCATAGGAGGAGGAGGATGGATGCGAGTGTTGAAGTAATGATGCCTGTTGTTCCGCGAAGTCCGTAGGCGTAGCCTGTCACCGCGGTTTGGAACGTCATGCGTTGGTATTCAGAGTCCAGTGGAGGTGGTTCAAAGAGTTGTCCGCCACTTATTTGCAGCACTTGATTAATGTCGGTGATTGTGCCTTGGAGAGTTGCATCGGCGCTGACACGAGCCATACGATCTGCCAGGAGAACGGCGAGAAGGGCTTCGATTCTCTCTGCCATGTACTGGCTTTCACCATCAGACAGGGTCGTCGCATTTAATAGAATGTCAAACGGGCTCGAGGAGGTGTTCTGTGCTGTGATGAGAGACGGATTGACGAGTGAGGCCCACGCTGGGCTGATGCTCACATGGCGACCATGATACTGACCATCCTGCGGCTGGTACCAGGTGGGCGGGTTGCCATTGACAATGTACGGGAGCCCAAGAAAAGACGACTCAATGGTCACATTTGCCCACTGCGCATCAATAGTGCATGCATAAATGCTTTCGTCATGATGCTCGAAACTAGGCCTGACCAGGGCGCCAACTGATGCGCGTATGAACTCTTGACTGGGAAGATTCACCCATGTGATAGATGATGCAGCTGAGCCATGACTGTCATCAGTGACGTTCACGGTATGTTCGACCAGAGTGGGTTGGTCTGTCCCGCTCGCAAGCGTGGGGAATTCAGGTGCAGCTGTGGAGTTTCCACCGTTGCAAGCAACATAGACAGAAGGCTGGAGCGCATCAACTGACCAAGTGATATCCTGGTAAGTGCAAAAGTTCTGGTCCCTGATGCCGCTTGCAGAGTAACAGCGAGCGCCATTAGCCCTTAACCAGATCTGTCGGATCGTGTTCACCACGTTGGCTATCGCGGCAGATTGTACAGTTGCGGTCGTAATCTCTGGTTGATAGAGCGTAAATGGGCCTCGAAACCGCGCATTCAGAGTTCGGATGGACACTTCACCTGGGATCTGGACGCTCTCTGGCATTGCGCGGATATTACCCAGTGCTTCATGGCCCCAGTACTTGAAAAAATTATCCGCAAGAGAGGTCCAGGTGCCCAAGTTGCCGCATGTTTCGGGTGAGTTAGTACAGGTTTGGTTCCCTGTCAATGATAGGGTGGAAGGCCACAGTTCTTGGGCGGTCGCATTTAGCCAGAAGGAGGTCTCGCCTGCTGGCCAGTCGCCTAACGTAGGTCGAATGGCGGTCGCCGAGGATGGTCCAACGCTCACGCCGAGAAGAGTGCAGATGATGACCGCTGGAATGATCAGATATTTTCGTTCGAACGTAGCACAAGACGTGGCCCTGAATTCCTTCGACCAGAGATAGGAAATCTGACCAAATTGGAGTCCGGCGGCGATCGCACCGAAAGGTAATCCCTTGCCGAAGACGAGCTGCTTAACGGTCTCTGAGAACAATATTTGCCCCAAGGATGAGAGCATCAACAATTCATGTAGTTTAGCGGCAAATTGTAATGCAAGTAGCTTCTCGGTATCCTGGCCGCTCTTCCCGGTGAGCTCTTTGCCTACCCATAACCCAACCGTGTTTAGAGCGACAATGGTCAGAGTCGATGCTATCGCCAGTAAGTGGTGGGCTGTAGCAACCCAAACCGACCAAGGCGATTGGCTCATTAGCCATTTTATATCGTCAAAGCCCTCCTTCCTTGGGTACGCCGGCCATTGCGCGGATCGCACTTTATGCAGTATAGGCTTGAGAAGCGGGACTTTGCGCCATTTCTTCTTCCATCCGTTTTCCTGCCTAGTTTCAGGCTTTTTCGCCTGTGATTGAAACACATCCTTCGCCTGACTGGTGCGTTTCAACGGGGCTTGTTGTTGAGCGCTATTTCTGGCCGAGTTTGTGCTATTATCCTTGTGAGATAGGAAATTATCTTGAAGACATCGAAGCTTTACCTCTTGCCACGAGTATTATTTGAAGCGGCTTCAGCCCTGTTCGATGTCCCCTCTGGCTGTGTAACTGGACCAGCAGGAGGAAAAATTCGGTGTTGGGCCATAAAATCGATGGACGGTGGTAGAGGGTCCCGCGCAGTTACGTTTTCATACTGAGAAAAGAAAAATTTAGTTGTCCAGGGCAGCCGTTCTCTCCTTTTAATGCCGGGTAAGAGGTCGGCTCGCCTTTGGCTGGAGCAGACTTGGCCCCTTTAGCGCCATGCAAAGGCAGAGAAAAGCAAAGTGTATTAGAATCTGCCTACGCGGTGCCGTGACCAAGACTTCATTGGTCGATGTGCAGGACATTTCTGCCTCGGGCGCTAAGCCTCCCTCTACTGACTAGGGAACCCCTGTGTTAAATTTGAACTAGATTGGGGTCGATTTCAGCATTACCGGTAAATAGCGGCCACTAGGAAAATGCACAAAGTAGGCAGGCATATTCTAGACAGACTGGACCTGAATTTTCTGCTGGTGTTACAATATACATACTTTGTGCATTCCAAGTGGCCGCTATTGTATGCCGTAGTCGCGGAGATAGAGGCATCGTGGGGGCTGAAACTGATAAGGGAAGTGGGCGGGGCTAATTACCGCTTCCGATATCACTGCCTTCACCACGTCAGCTAGTGTGCGTGATTTTGATCAGGCACATAGAATGACGTCGGGCGTCTCACCATGAAAAAGGTCGAACCCAACTAAGAGAGTAATAGCCCTTCTACAGTATACGGTGTTGCAAATATATACTACAGTAATGAACGGCCACCGTATGTAACATACAGTAGCGTGCGTACGGATCCTAAGGACTATAGTATTCCCGTCTTCCGATGCCTAATCAATACGCCTTCTCTAAGTGAGCATCACGTGCATGTTCGGGGGCGACCAGCGCAGTAGAAAAGCGCATACAAACCCATGACACTGCTAGTATGCCTTTGGAGTTTTCTTTGATACCACAGAATCGATTGTAGCATCATCCATTCTGCACTCTCCACTAACGGTCGGCGCCCGACAGGTTGCACCATTCTTCGTTCAGAAAGAGATCTCACTGCCTTCATATTAAAGATCGATGACTCTCTTACGAGCTAGATGAGTCGACAGGCCAACTTGCGATCGGGTTCCAAGAATGAGAATGAATTGATTGCAGGGTTGTGCCAGTCAACATCAGTCCTGCGAGCTTCTTGTTCATCCTGGCCCTGACATTGGGCTGATGATTTGGTCCAAGTATTCTAACTCGAGAAGTGGGGAATGGCGTCAACCCATCGCTTCGACAGCTGCGTGATACAGAAGGAAATTGGCCAATAAAAGTGAGGACATCTCCCTTCCCCCGTTGTTTCGTCCATTACACTAGCGCCCCTCTCCTGCGCCCGTCCCTAACCAGTCCTAGCTCTCGACTGTTCCAAAAAGCGAGTCTGCCCCTTAGTGATCTTTCACTTTAAAAAAAACTACGCATCAATTCGCTTTATTTCACCCAGATCCTGAATCATCCTGAGATCGTCATATGTGACCATCACCTACTGATTTTAACATCCTTCTTTTCTCTATGACAAAATGGAGCCAGCTCAAGACGAACAGGCGTTGATCGACAACAATCCGCAGTTACAATCCTACTACCATTCTCTCGAATCAAGAATTGGGTACCGCATTCTTCTCGGTGGAACGCGGCATTTCGGATACTACGAACATGACACTTGGTGGCCATTCCCTCTAAGCCGCCCGTTGCGTGTCATGGAGGATAAGTTGGCAGCATTGCTTGACCTCGGACGGGGTGCTTATGTTCTTGATGCCGGTTGTGGGGTCGGTCACGTTGCAATTCATTTGGCAACTAAGTATGGATTCAAGGTCCAAGGTATCGATGTTGTCGATCATCATATTGTCAAGTCGAGACGAAATATCGCGCGGCTCGGTCTCTCGGAGGACCAGGTTACTGTACGCAAAATGGATTATCACCACATGGACAGCTTTGCAGATGGGATTTTCGATGGCATTTACACAATGGAAACATTTGTTCACGCGACGGATCCTCAGGCTGTTTTACGCAATTCCTTTCGGGTCCTACGCCCTGGCGGACGCCTTGCGTTGTTTGAATACGACCATGAGTTAGCCCAAAACCCCGAAGAAGCAACGGCTCTTTCAATGAAAAAAATCAACGACATCGCTGCAATGCCAACCAACAACATATCGCAACCTGGCGTATTTCGGCAAATGCTCGAAGACGCCGGGTTCACGGACGTCGTTGTGCGGGACTATTCCCCCAACATCAAACCAATGACACGTTTTTTCTACCTGCTGGCTTATATTCCTTTCCTCATCGTGACCTTCTTTGGCTTGAAGCGCTTTTTCATCAACACAGTCGCGGGAGTCGAGTCTTATCGTGGTCGCCAACATTGGCGGTATGTGGCTATTTCAGCTTCCAAACCGGGATTTCCTGGTGGGACGAAGAAGAGCCAATAACTCTACAGATTATTGGCTACACATTGAGTAATTGTGGTGCTCTGTGTGCCCATACTGTATGGGCTCCGTTGGAATGTCTGTTTTCCTGTGCAGCAAGACATCCCCTCTCGAGAATAGTTGACGAACACAAAATCCAGCCTTCCCAGACTAATCTATAGCGTTCGCTCATGGCACAAATATGGCAAATATTGACTTCGCATTCATTTCTCCCAAATATCAAGGCCCGAAAACCCAAACAAGAAGGTCCTACTGATATATACCTTAAAGGGTTGTTCTCGAAGAGAGATAAAATCCTCGACATAGATACAAACCCGACATAGGACATAGAGTGCACACGAAATTTAAAACAGGCGAGACATAAGAGACAACCCAACCCCAAGGGCTTTTGCATGAGCAGCACAACCCATCAATAGCAATGATAGTTTGTACTGATGCAAGCAGCGTCAAGGGGATGTGAGAGTTGTATTGCTAGAGAGCAGTCCGAGCGTTAATACTGATCCTGATTCTGTCCCGAATTTAACTCACAATGTAGTATAGTGATACAATATAGAATAAAATATCGCTAAGTGGCTAGCGAGTAGATCGCGCCCCATATCCACGCAATAGTCTGGCAACCTCCATGTTCTGGCGCAACAAAGCTACATCTAATGGAGTCCCATAGTCGGCATTCCATGCTTGAACGTTGGCACCGTACTGAAGAAGCAACTGCACAATCTCGACCTGTGCCGAGAGACCACATGCTGTAGCATGCAAAGCAGATCCATACTCCCCAGCTGACGCATTCACATTAGCACCTGATAGCAACAGCATTCGTACAATCTCGATGTTTCCTTTGTAGCACGCCGCCTGCAAGGGTGTGCCAAAGTGTCCACCTTGAGAATTGAAGTTGGCCCCATGTTGAAGCAACAAGCGTACAATCGGGGAGTGACCTAACCCGGATGCAATGTAAAGGGCTGTGCCCGTTGTGCCTTGAAGGGTAATGTCTGCGTTGCGACGCAGTAACAATTCCACACTATCCATATCACCCTTGCTCGCAGAGATACAGAGAGCCGTTCCGTGATCTTCTTCTGTGGCGTCTATGTCTATATCCTGGTCGAGGAGGAGCTCCATTGTTCGTGTGCAAGCGTTTGCGGCAGCGGCGTGGAGTGCACTGCCATATACGGCACTTCGATAAGCGGGACTGGGTCCATGTTGCCTCAGAAGGGCTAGCATTTGAGTGCAGCCGCGATCGACTGCGACTTGGAGAGCGCGGTTATATGATTTCCCTAGGGGGTCGATATCTCGCTGCTTGAGCAGGAGCTGGAGGATTTCCACATTTCCGAAGCTGCAGGTCGCGTGCAGGCTATCGACGTATAGTTTTCCTGCGGCAGTAACTTCAGCACCGCGGTTTAGTAGTAGCTGTACGACCTTTACGTGGCCACCATAGATAGCTGCTTCCAATGCATTGCCGAATTCCTCGCCTGGAGCGTCGGGCTCCGCACCGTGATCCAAAAGGAGCTGACATATTTTTACTTGTCCCCCGTACGCCGCAGCGTGTAGGGCGCTGCCGTAAGGTCCTTGGGTATCAACCCGTAGTCCATGGTGAAGCAGTAGCTCAACAATCTTGCAGTGACCACTACTCACGGCAGCATGAAGTGCGTTACCATATAGTCCCTCTGACTTCGAAATGGTGGGTTCATTGGCAAGGATGCAAGATACCACGGCATGAAGACCTGTGAGAGACGCAAAATAGAGAGGAGACGGTGAAGCCTGTGCCACTGAGATGTGAAGAGAGTTGAGATGAGTTCTCCACGGTTGATCGTGGTCATAGATTCTGATCCAATTTATAAAAGCGCTGGTGCGAAATATGAAGAGATTCTCCATTAATTGCTGCAATTTGGAGTCAGAAGAGAAACTAGCCAATCGTGCATGCGATGGCCAAAACTCAGCAGCATACTGAGCAAGAGGAAAGTCCTTGCGTATTGTCGGAGTGACTGAGTCGCGGCGATCAAGCTGTAGCAGGTAGTGAAGACATGTCTCTGCAATGGCTTGATGACTCTGTGTCCTTTTTATACCGAGCCACTTGTTTGCTCCGTGTGAAAAGTTTCCAGAAGTAAGGAAGTCTTTGACCGAGGAGTGTGCCAGCTGAACCACAAGCTCCTCTTTCGAATCACGCAAGCTGTTACTGTCCTTCATTGTGACGGTCACTATCCCAGGACAAATGGATATTATATCATTGGGGTCGAGTAATCGCCTCTGGGGGTCCAGAGATGACGATTTACCACCATCAATTGGCAGCGCAAATATTTCTGCGGCCTCTTGCAGCTGTAGGGGTCGAAAGGAAAAAGTAAGCCACGTCAACAGAACCCGCGCGTTCTGGCGCATGGCCGGATCGATCCGACCTAGCATCTGTTCATATATCTTGCTAAGTGTCGTGGGAAGTCTGCTGAGTGCTATCTGGAGATCATGACAGCTATAGCATCGATCTATCTCGCGCAACTGACACTCAGCCAGTCGAAACCTGCGTAACATGTCGGTTCAGGTCTAGTTTGTAAGGAAGGCGCATTATAAACTTACATTCCTGCCGAACTAGAGATGAAATTTGCCTGAATATGATTCATAACCTCGTCCGTCCATCGCCTTGACGATTTCCCGCCGGAGAAAAGTCTGTGATTGACAAAGGCCTGGATATCCCGGCTCACTTGTGCAGCGTCTACTTCGATAATTGACGCTTGAACATCCAACGTTAAACGGTGAGTTTCCGGAGTCAAGTGGCTAGTCACAAAAAGGCTAATCTGAGTGTTTGATCTGATGAAGGTCATGACACTGGACAAAGCTGCGATGTCCTCACACTCATCGAGGGCGTCAAGAATCAGAAAGACTCGCCCTAGAGGCTCTAAAGCATCTTGGACGGCGCGTAGAACGGATTCTAAGGCTTGTTGAGTGCGTCCACCGCATTCCCATTTGTAGAGATTTCTGACAGCTTCACATGGACTGGGCGCTGATAACTGCCGCAATATGTTACGCATGCATCCTTCAAGGGCACTTTTGCGACTATCGGTGAAAGTGAAGTAGAAATAGGCAATCTTGTTTTCTTTGTCGTTATCGTAGGCTTTTTGCAGGTTCTCAATAACAGTTGAGGTCAATATCGTTTTGCCGCTTCCAGCTATGAAGGGAATTAGGGCTATTTGCGGCAACCTTGGAGTATATAGACCGTCAAACAAACTTACAAATCCCATGGAGCCACAGTACTTGACTATCACCATCCATCCATTTCCTGTACATTTCGTGGTGTAGCAACCAATCGCCGGTTTTTGGTACGTGTTTGGCACGGGCTCTGTCATGATCGACTGTCGCATCGAGATCTGATATCCTCTGCAAGAGATCTCGGTCCTCAATATCCCGCACGGCATCTGTTGTCTCCGATATAAGTTCGCGCTTCAAACCGGATAGTAGTTTCATTTCTTGCCTTTAACGCTAGTAGTGTCAAGATCCGTGTTTGCGGCATTCTTAGGCCCTTCGAGACGTGATCAAGGTTAGTAAAAGAACATAGAAGACCGTTTCACAAGGTAACGACCAAATTGTCTCGCTTTTTTCATTTGATGTCTGCCTTCGGCGCTATTTAATGGACACTTCACGGTTGGCTCAAGATTGGGTTGCACTTACTCGCCATAGGAGAAATCGACACTATATCCCTTTTAGGAATCATGAGAAGTATCTCTTTAGCTGTTGCAGCGGCTGCCGCAGCAGCATATTCCTGCCAGTTTTTTATTTTATGTGAGTCGGAGTAATCACAAATTCCTCTGACCACAACGCATGGAAATTGGTTCATCAGGCCCGCAGCTTCCATTTCGAAACACAGCACATTTCCCCCAAGCCTGGAGTTGATTTCATCCCGAAATATACCGTCTTTCACTACCTGATTGCCAGACGCGATGAGGCCATAATGAACTCGCATATCACGATGCTTTCGTTGCAGAAGTTTGGTGCGATCACAGCCTGCGCAGCTTCTCAGTCCATCGTCTGCGTCTGTTCCGCTTGATTTTGCCCCGTCAGATGTTTCGGGATGCCGGTAATCTGCTGCAAAGAGCATATCTTCCAGTTTCTCTCGTCTTGTGTACTTCGGTGCTAGCATTGGCCACTTTGCTTCCATTTCTTCAAGATACTTTGGCACTGCCGAACCTTCCATCTCATGTTTCGCTTTCAAGGTTGATAGTGCAGTCTTGAGAAATATCGGTGGGCTATTCAATGCTCCCGTTCGTCTAAACCCATCTCCTTGCTCGGTCTTGCCAAAATCCCACTGCACCACCCCGCCGTATCCGTTGCCAGGTGCGCTCACAACCACATCGCCCAGTCTGACGAAAGGAGGAACACCACCTCCAATACCAACCATGATCCCAAACTTGATACTTGGGAACGTCGATGTTAAATGTGTAGCCACAGATGCAGAAGAGTTATTTCCTGTCTCCCCAAGTGGTAAACAAGTAAGAACAATATTGTGAGTGCCGATACGACCCAGCGTATAATTGTTCGAATCATTTCTAGGCTGTAGAAGGGTGGGATGCACTTGGTCGAGCATGGCTGTCCCTGCTACAATCTCTTTGGGCAGGGCGCACACCCATCCGACCGTATAATCCTCATGAGTGAGAGTCACATTCTCCTGACTCCCTTCCCTCATCGTTACTGCAAGTTTGTTCGGTGGGTGTCTGAACTGGTGGTTGTATTTCGTGCCGTGGAATTCACACGGCAGAGCGTCGACATATTTCATTACACATAGGATCAAACAATCATATTTGGGAAGGATCACCCCCGACGTGGCTTGGTGCAATTGGATGCTGCTATTTATCTATACCGTTTATGGATGAGGCTGACACTTGGCGCCTGCAGCCCTCACAAAGCTGAGCCTACCCCTCCTCGTGTAAGACGGCCCTCTATCTCGTGATAAGTAAAAGGAAATCTCGGAGTGATACCTGAGAATTTTGGTTGAAAACTTGAAGCGGCAGACAACAGATTTTTACTCAAGTTCAACAGCCCCAATATGGAAATATCGCCCCGTCCAAGCCAATATCATCTCTCAAAGGAACGGATAATTGGTGGTGTGCAAAGTCGGCATGAACCTCGAGATTCCGATGTCTATATTGCAGTGATGGGCGTAACCGGTGCTGGGAAGAGCACCTTCATCTCACACCTGGCAGAGTCAAAAGTTGAAGTGGGCGATGGTTTAGATGCTTGTATGCCACATTCCTTGACCATCCTTGATTGGTCCTTTAGTGCTGACGAACAAAGGCACTCAGCGCGTGGAGATGTATCGATGCAAATTCAGTGGCCCAGTGAATATATGGCTCGTAGATACGCCGGGCTTTGACGACACCCACCGAAGTGACACGGATGTCCTCCGCGAAATCGCAAGATGGCTGACCGAGTCGCTTTCTGCCAACAACGTTATCCTGAATGGCATGATATACCTCCACCGCATTACTGAGGCCCGAATGCGGGGGTCGGCGATGAATAATTTGTTCATGTTCAAGAAGCTGTGCGGTCCTAATGCTTTCAAGAATGTCATCTTGGCCACGACCGTGTGGGAGCAGGTGAGCCCTGAGGATGGTAAACGGCGCGAGGAACAACTCATTCAGACGTCGAATTTTTGGGGTGAGATGATCCTGGGCGGAGCACAAGTTAAGCGGCATTACAACAATGCTGATTCGGCGTGGCGCTTGGTGGATGTCTTCGCGTCAAAGGGTTCGACGAAGCAAAAGTCTGTTCTGACCATTCAGCATGAGATGGTCAATGAGCACAAGCCACTAGACGAGACAGATGCCGGTCGAGAAATTGAAAGTTCATTGATTCGAGAGCGAGAGAAATGGTCTCGCGAGCTAAAGGAGACTAAAGATATGATGCATGAAGCCTTGAAAGCCAAGGACAAGGAGTCATTGGAGCAACTGCGGATTGCAGAAGACAAAATGAACAAGAAGATCGAAGCTATCGAACTGGAACGTGAAGAACTGAAGGCCGGAATGAAAAGGATGTATGAGAAAGAGGTATCAAAGTTACGGCGTGAATTGGCGCAGCAAAGCCTGAATAGTGCCGGAGCCTTGGAGAAAGTTGCGCAAATGGAAAGGAATTTTGAATTGATGAAGTTGCAGGCGGAACAAAGAGAGGAAGATCAGGCGGGACAAGAAGAGGAAGATTCTTCAGATGAAGATATTGACCTGCAGTTAACCATGACCACAGGCGATCGTCATAGTGAAACAAGTTCAATGCCCGGCTCACCCATCAAGGGAAACGTTAACATTTCTCTGTCGGGCGGATCAGCTTTCTTTTCTGGTCCGAAGTATTCCTGCTGGTTAGTACCTTGAGCCTAAGTTTGACGCACTGACTGTTAATATTCCGATTCTCAGGTCCTTGTCGAAAAGATTTCCCTCAACTCATGTTCGTCCAGCCAAGGTCAAATGTGGTGCTATTGGGGAAAACGGGGCGTATTATCTTCACACTCACAAAAGTGGCAAATGCTCGACAAGTAAGTACCATCTAAACAAATTATCCGGCGGCTAATATTCGATAGCATCAAATGATGCATTTCACCGTGAATATACCGGCTTGCACGATTTCCTTCACGGAAAAGGATTGTCCGAGTGCCCAGAATTTGTTTGGCTGGGAAATGATGGCTTTTGCATCTTTTCAGGAGATGAGCATTGGTATCGACGGCTTCCAAGCGAAATCAAAAAGGATATTCCACCGGTCACGGAGCTCAAAGGCTTTGCTCTAGGCCGCGATAATGCCTTCGTTGCAATCCAGGAAGACGGGGGAATCATATATGACTTGAAAGGCCGGTATGTGGAGCTCGATAACCATCTCCGCTTGGCAAATTCCAAAGGATGGGGTGTCAAGGTAAGAGCCTTTGCAATATACAGGTATTGAGCCGCCGGCAAATAACAAATATAGAGCGTGGGATTGAATCCGAGGGATGGGCAGACGTGGGCGGTTATCTGGGAGAGCGGAGGCGCCAACTGGTCCCTGTCGGATGCAGAGGTCACTCGGCAATTCATGAAGTTCATGATAAAAAACTCCAGTAAATGAGATTATTATTGATGGGAACCTTAGTGTTGCCCATATTGATCTGAAAGTAAGTCATCCCAATCAGGCTCTAACAGGAGCTGAACTGTAGATGATTGGCTGAAGAGAGGGGCGCTACCTAATAGGAATTGTGCCTTTAAATCATAGACTACTAGTACTCTGCCTTCCCTTTGACAAAGCATCCCAATTAGCGAAGCAAAAGAGCTCGGCTCGCCCATAGTATAAGGACATTATTACGATCTACTTTTAAAATGCCTGCTGTTGAGTTCAACCATCGCTGCGCGGAATAAGTGCCTTCGGTCCAACGATCATGGCCACTACCTACTATCGATGGTATTGATACTCCAGTAGCTCTTTCATTGTTTCCCAAACCCCGAGGCCAAGAAACGCTAAACTACCTTTGGAATATGTCGATATCGGCTACTCCACCTGTATTATCCAGCCAGCTACATCATTTGGCGGTATTTGCAGTCTTATGCCAATCATCTGGATCAAGGATTTAATAACTTCCTTGAATGGTGTGTTGCCAGGAACATCAAGGTTATCTAGAACCTGGGTATTTTAAGCACAAGAGAATATATATTTTGTCTTGCATCAAATAACCTTGGAAGAGTAATGCAATTTTTAATCATATTTTGTCAGCGGCAGAGGTAATCCGCGCTTACGCTTCGCTGACGGGGATCGTGTTGCCCAGGTGGTTAAATGTGACTAGCAAAGCTGCTAAGGATACATACAAAACAACTGGATATATAGCAGAAATTTGCTGTCACTTCATCACTTAGCCTTCAGCCTCTTCAACAATTCAGCCAGAGCATCTCTTCGATCATTCATGCCCGCTAATTTCCCTCTCTGCACCTTTCCGCTCACCGTACGGGGAATACTCTCCACAAAGTGAACCCCTCCATCCAAAGCTTTGTACGATGCCAGCCGCTGCTGCGCAAATTCATACACATCATTCGCAGTAAGCTTCCCAGACGCTTCCGCGGAACGCACCACATATGCACGAGGCGCCTCGTCTCTCCCACCGGGAAGCTTGACTCCCGTCACCGCAGCATCTGCAATGAGCGGATGCTTTAGCAGAACGGCCTCGATTTCTGCAGGCGACACCGAGGCTCTATGTGTATCCTCCATCAGCAGCGAACACGAGAATAGAGTGGTAAACTTACCCTCGCACTTTGATCAACTCCTTTGTTCGACCAACAATGAAGTACTGTCCGCGTTTGTTGACATATGCTATGTCACCAGTACTGAACCACCCCTGGTCATCGGCCACCGCCTCACTATTTCCCAAATACCCATTGAACAAGCCCGCACCACGCACATACAACCGACCCGGTGGTGCAGCCGCATCAACCACTTCAACCGGGTGCTGCTGTGCCCGTTGATCTTCATCCTCATTCACACCAGGCCCTTCAATAGGAGTCCGAAGATCAACCTCCCACCCCGGCAAAACGGATCCAATGGCACCGAGATCACCCTGCTCTGCTCTATCCCCGCCAGTGGGGTACCGATTTTGAAATACCGGCCCAGTCTCCGTCATACCCCAGATTTGGCCCACACAGCCATCGGAATGTAACAAATCCTGGAGCTGACCCATACAAGCGCGGTCAATGGGTGCGCCGGAAACAGCCACGTAGCGGATGGAAGTCAGCGCGGATTTCGGGTCCAATGAGGCAGGCGCCTGAATTATGCTGTGCACCATCGCAGGGACAAGAAGCGTGTCGCTGATGTTATGCTGGCGGATTGCGTCTAAAAAGAGGGGAAGCTGGAACTCGCGCGCAATGTACAGGGTGTTTCCATAACGGATGGGGAAGAGGTGCGACCAGAAGGATCCAAAGAGGTGATACATAGGAAGACAGATTAGCCGCTGGACTTCGTACGATGGAGGATTGGCCGCCGCGGAAAGATGACCGGCGATAAGAGCACCGTGGGTGAAGGTGGTTGCCTTCGGGAGGCCTGTTGTGCCACTGGTTGAGTACATGGCTGCCGGGGTGGAGTTAGCGGTTGCAAGGTCTGAGATGAAGATGGGTTCTGCGGAGCCGTGGCCGAGGAGGAGGGTGAAAGAGCTTGCTTCTGTCGTGGTGGTCAGATCGGCGAGCAATGGAGCTGGAGCTGGAGCGTATTGCTGGTCCTGCTGTTTAAGAGTAATTGTTGCCTCAAAAGCTAGATCGTCAAGTAGCAAGAGCTGATGGGGCGGGATGCTCTTCTTCCTGGAGACAGCAAGAACAGTTGGGAGAGCATCGGGCTCGGTGATAATGAGCACAGGACGGGCTACATTTATGACATGCTCTAGCTCATCGGGTACGCTGCGCGGACTGGCGCCGATGTACACGCCGCCTGCCCCTATTATGGCGAGGAAAATTGGGGTATATAGAACCTGCGACATGAGTGAGCGAAGTGAAATATGGCGAAATGTCGGCACGGGAATAAAACACATTGTTTCGCAAATTGAGCAAGACACAATCGCCTTTCTTCATTCCGTGAGCCTTGAACCCAGCAATCAAGGTGTGGACAAGAAGTCTCAGCTGGGTTCCATTGATGGTTTGATTTGGCTCATGACAATCAATAAGAAGTGCCTCAGAAGGGTCATATCTGGCCTGGAAATCCAGAGCAAATGAGACGACGTCGTGGGAGGTTGGAATAGAGCCCATGATTCAATCTGAAATTGCTGAGAAAAAATGATGGTAAGCTTAGAATGAGACTGCAAAGAGCTTATAAAAGAGCTAGGACAGATAATCGTGGCAATTATTGAAACTACCAGTGTGAACTGTGTGAACTCTCCTTGCAGGATGCAGGATGCGGGACGGAGAACCGCGCTGCAACATAGTCATGGAATTACTGCTCTATTCTCTGCACTCTGTACTCCTATAGGAAAGAAGACTGTGGGTCAATGTATGTTTGCAACGACATTAATACAGTTACACATTTAATTAATTTGGGGGTATTGTATAGTAATTCTACACTGAAATATACCGAAAGATTCGATTATCTGCTGTACTATGTGTATGTAGGCTCTCATAGAAAGCACTCTGTACAAGTTTGGCAACTATCTAACTTCCAACCAAAGGTATCATACTAGGATCCAGCTTCTCAGCCGCACTGGAGGCCAGATCATCGATAGATGAGCCTCCAAGCAGCTGTAGAACCGGGATATCCACGCCAAGTTCTTTAACGAACCAGATTCTCAGATCCACCGCCACGAGCGAGTCGACCCCAAGCGTCATCAGCAACGTCGTACCAAGAAGCACGGTGTCATCCGGTAGCCGCATATTCTTTCGCAACTTCTCGCTGAAAACTTGGGCAATGATCTCGGTGGCCGCAGTTAGACTATCAGCAACAAGTAGTTGCGCCTTGATGGGGAAGTCCTTGCTGTTTGACTCCGCGGCCCCTGACTGCTGGAAATACTCAATGAAAGGCCACTGCTTCGGATTGCGGTACCATAGAACCTCAGGGAACTGAGCTGGATCCGTCATTTGATATCCGCCCATGATCTCCACTGACTGCCCCGAGTCTGGCCGACCGGCAAGAATGCCCTCTGCGACCAACTCAAGGAGATCACGCTCGGACAGAATGAGAGGACCCATGCGGTTTGTGAGAAACTCCCCCAGCTGCGGGTCTACGTTGGCAAGGTAGCCGACGCCACGAATCTGGGCCGGATGAATGATGCTCCCAACCTGGCCGCGCTGGCGTCGCTGATGCACGAGGCCGGCCATGAACTCTGTGGCAGCAGCGTAGGTCGACTGGTGGTAGTTACCCACTGGACCAGAAAGAGAGCCCACTAGAAGGAAGAAATCAAGCTGCCTGTCTTGGTACAGCTCATCCAGAAGTAGACTACCTTCAACTTTGGGAGCAAAAACTTGATGGAAGTCCTCGGCCGACGACTCGGCGAATGGGCCGTCGCGTAAGACCATTGCTCCATTGAGGATCCCTCCGATAGATGGTAGCTCTGATTTTATGCGCTCATGAACTTGAAGTACCGAGGTACGGTCCGCCACGTCCCTAGCTCAGTCAGTCATTTGTCTAGATACTTGTCGAAAACTACCGCGGAACTGTCTTGGTACTTACATGGACATGACAACAACAGCAGCACCAAGCCCTGACATCTCTTCGAGCCAAGCTGGATCGACCTTAGGGGATCGACTTGTGAGAACCACCGAGCGAGCTCCCCGAGTAATCATCCATTGACACACCGACTGACCAATGTCGCCAGTCAGCCCGATAAGGAGGTAGGTCTTGTTGGCGCTCAATTTCACGAGAGAGCTTGCCGGAAGAGGATCGGTCTCAACTAAACCCGAATGGAACCAGTCGACAATCCTCAGTCTCTGATGATCAGGAGACAGCTTCAAGGCATTCTGGGGAGAAACTGCGTCTACCATGGAGCGGAAAGAGCTGCGCTTTTGGGAAAACAAACAGGCTTTGAGGAGAGACTCTGCCACGGAATGATGGGCACCGGGAGGAGGGAATGGATCACCGTAGAAGTCATTCAAACCAATAAAGATCAGCCCCGGGGGAAACATAGACTTGATCTTGGATACAAAATGGTCCGCATCAGGCTCGAATGTGGCAAAGACTGATGCATTGGTTGGTAGGAGGCGGGATATCGTGCATGACGATCTCCGGATTGGAATAGCCAGGCTAACCGAATCTTTGCTGGTTTCCCCATCGGTTGTGATGGAGCGTACCTGGATATTGCTTCCGGAGGCAACCACAGTGAGAGCTTCTTGTAGAGAATCGGGGGCTTTGTGAAGAAGAATTGTAGAACCGGCGGGCGCATGGGAGATTATATGCTGGGAAAGGAGAGCCATGCATACATCGTCTAAGACAGCGTCATTTCTGTCTGATGGCCAACTGGAGATATCGAAACACCACGAGGCTGGGGCTGAAACGACAGATGCATGAGAGGCCGACAGCGCCACAACCAGAGCACCTGTCCGCTCGTTCGTCCCGAGGACTAGATGAAGAAAACCATTGTTGATTCGAACGGCGGAAAGCGTGGCATATTGTACCCGAATTTGAACAACCTCTTTGCAGAAGCCGTCTCCTTTGATATCCGGCTGGTTCTCTGCAAAAGACGGAGAAAAGACCAACCTCTTCTCTCTCTTGCAAAGCTCCACACAGGCTTGTGCAGGGTTGAGAGACTGGTTCCTGGGAGCTCCACGGCTCGCCAGCCATCGCTGGTTCATATCCGTGTTGCTCTGCATGCGGGGAACCTTCAGGGTCCCGTCCTCTAGCAACAATTCCCATTCGGCGCTTTCCATGCAATTGGACAGCCGATAATCACCAGACACTTCAGTGTGAACCAGCCGCATGAGTGTGTTCGCCACGAGATCTGGCGACACCTCCCCTTGATCTCTGATCGTGAGGTGCTGCATTGCAGCATGTGGATTCTCGAAAGCCAGCGAGCGCAGAAGTCCCTTACTCATCCGCAGGTACGGGTCCTCATCTCCCTGCTCGGTGGCCACCCACAAGAGTCGTCCCGTGACACCAATGACGCTTTGCAAGCTATGAAGGCGCTCTGCAGTGAGGCCCTTTAAACAGGGACTATCCATATCCGATACATTCAGAACTACTGCCAGTGAGACATCGGGTTGAACAATGTACTCTTCCAGGCCTTTGGCGGCGGTGATGTAACTAAAAAATGGACCCACGAGATTTTGGACTGCTGCCAGCAGCTTCGTAGAAGCCGGCGTCGCTCCTCCAAGCAATATGAGGTTAGGTAACTGTCCATTGGCAGGGACCGAGAGCGGTTCAATCAGCTTCTTGACGCGGTCGTTGATGGCCCGTGAAGTAAAGACAGAAAAGCTAAGGAGCTTTGACTCTTCTTCCGTTGGGGAGATTGCCTCGAAAGCGCCGAAGCCCGAAGCCTGCAGCACCTGGTTCCAGCCGTCTCGCGAGATGTGGGGTCCCCAGGATCGACCGTCTGTTTCGCCCAACCACCATGTGTCTGATCCGCCGAAGACAAACGATGAGGTAATATGCTCGGGATCAGTGGTCTCCATGATGGCAACCCTACCACCGGGCTTCAGCAAGCGTCTCACATATGCCATGGTTTGCTTCAGTGAGCGATGTTCGCACAGGACGTTGCCTGCAACCACGAGGTCGTACTCATATTCAGAAAATCCTTGTTCAATCGGATCATGCTCTAGATCCAACTGGCGGTAGACTAAACGATCATCGTGAGAGGCAAAAGTTTCCCGGGCCTCGTTGAAGAGATTTTCTGAAACATCAGTGTATGTGTACGAATGATAGTTTCGACCCAGGTGGTCTAACACCGCCTGTGTTATCGAGAGTGTTCCGCCCCCGATTTCGAGGACCTTCATGCGCGGGTATCGGAAGGCCAGTTGCTGCACCAAACATGCCAAGCGCTGCGTCATTGTGCGCCAGTCATGGGCCTCTTGACGCATACGGGGCAGGAGGTTCTCGTGGTCCAGCTCTTGCGCCAGGGAGCGCTCACCTCGTAGCCACCCGAGGAGGTTTTCAGCGGTTGTTGCCAGAGTTCGAAACTCGACCGAATGAATCTCTTTGGCTGCCAGGGGTAGGAGAGAGGCAACCTCGCCCTCTAGACAGTCAGGTGAGTAAAGTTGATGACTGCCCTGGCGAACCGTAGCCAGAACTCGATCCATCCACGCCACGTACCGGCTCTTGTGCCAGTCTAAGTGTTCACGGTCATTGCTAGTCAGGAGGCTCTGTGTATCCCGAAGGTGGAGAAGCGCGAGTTTATCTGTCAGGAGGCGAGATGGAGAGCCCGAAACACTGCTTGATGGAGACTGTGGTGCCCATGGGCCCCAAACCTCCTTGACAAACATCGGACGGTCGTCACCAGTGAGCTGTGTGAGTTGAGAGACATGCATTCCCTCAACCTGGACAAATCCCCGACCTCTGCCATCGAAAAGATTGATATCACCGGTGATTCCAGTTTTTGCAATTTCAGTCAATGTGGCTTCGACAGTTAGGTGCGCGTTGGAATCGTGCAGGGCACCGGTCCGTAAAAAGGCTGGATTTATCATCACGCGGTCTAGCCGAGTTGGAAGATGAAGGCTGGACATCTGGCCGTCGCCAGGGGAGCCGATAGCCACAATTAACGCCTGTAGACTAACATCAAGAAGCGCGGGGTGGACTAGTAAAGACGGGTCATTGTCTGAATCGTGGGCAGAAACACTTCCATAGGCTATGTTCTTGCGGCGCTGGAGCTCCCTGAGTCCCCGGAAAGGACCGGAGTAGCCCAAGCCAAGCATGTCCAGCTGTTTATATAATTGATTGTAATCCACAGCCCGCAGTCCAGGAGTGATGGGACCCTTGCACGGTAATAGCGACGCAGTCTGTTCGCCAAATGTCATCCGAATGTGGCCAGAGGCGCAGCGCCGCAAGGTTCCATTGAAACTGGCCTGACAAGCAAAGGAAAGGATGGCATTGCTTTCATCAGTGCCATCAGTTTGGTAGGCATTGAACATAGTCTCAATACCGGCTGATTCGCTGGGAAAAGATATCGCCCGATCAATAGCCAGGTCAGTGATCTCCACCAATTGCAGCGTCTGGCCGTCTGCGATGAGATGGGCCGCCTCAAGAGCCATGACCAGGTACGCTGTGGCTGGTAGAATGATCTGCGAATTTGCCTGGTGACTTTCCAACCAGGGGAGCTCGTCCACCCGCAGGAAGTTTCGCCATCGCCACTCTCCCTCGCCTGTCTCTGGGCTGGCCGCACCAAGAAGCGGGTGCTTGGGAAGGCGACGAGAGATTCGGGCCTCTGATAGACGCGGCACAGCCCAAAAAGTTTGACTGTGGTCAAAGGGGTACGTCGGAAGCCAAGGGAGATACCTCGGCCGTCGACATGGTGTAAAAAGTTCCACAAAGGATGGGATGTTGATTGATGCAGCTCCTAGCTGCGCCCAGAACAAGCCCACGGCCAGAGAAAGTGATTCGACAGCACCAAGTCCACGCTGGGATACCGGGATGTAGGGCATCTGAGCATCTTCGGGCTTCAGGTCTGATATGGTCTGCAGGGACGGGGCACGGAGAGCGGGATGCGGTCCGATTTCCACGAAGGCGTCAAATTGGGGTTCACTTTCCAAAGCTGCCGTCAATGCCTCTGAGAATCGGACAGGCTGAAGCATATTCTTGCACCAGTACTCGTTGTCGAGCTCTGTCATTAACTGCCCGTTATGGACGCTAGAGTACCAGTTTGCTGTTGGCACGCCCTTATGGACACCAGTCTGACAGGCTGTCATGGCCTGCAGATAGGGCTCAACACAGGGAGCCATGTGATGAGAGTGATAGGCCGTGTCAACACGCAACCGTTTCGGGGCTTGATCAAGGCTCTCAAAAAGCCACTCGAGCTCGGTGATCGTTTCACTGTCTCCAGAGAAGGTCACACTGGATGGGGAATTTGAGGCGGCGACTACGACGCTCCCTTTGTAGGGAGCCTCGCTGCAAATCGCCTCTGCTTCCTCCCAAGAAATGCTAACCGCTAGCATGCTGCCGGTTTGCCCCCGGAGCCCGCGTGCTTTGCGGAAACACCACGTAGATAGGCAATCTGTATAGCGTCCGATGCTGACAGCCATCCGGCCGCGTAGGCGGAAGCGATCTCGCCAGATGAGTGACCAACCACCGCTGCAAACTCCACTCCAAGAGACTGCAACATATTGACTTGTATGATCTGGAGGGCAGTTCGGAGAGGAAGAGAAACCTCAGCTGATCCGATCCGGGAGGTAGATTCGGGAGCAGCTAGCTCGTCCATGAGAGTAAAAGTGGGCCGATGTGAACCCGGAAGAGTGTCCAGAGATTCCTGCAGCTCCTGGAGCCAAGCTTTTGCTTGGGGGCATTGGGAGATGAGGTCAAGGCCCATCTGGGCCCACTGCGCTCCCTGACCTGTAAATATGCCTAGAATCCTCTTCGGCTTCTGATTCAAGCGAGTCGTGATAATAGACGGTGCATTAACTGCAGCAATTTCGTCTAGCTCTTCTTCCAGCCCCTCCTTCAGAGAGTGCACAGAGTCTGCCGTGAGGACGACTCGATTACTCAATATTGATCTTCGCGTGAGAAGGGATGAGGACAAATCCAGCAAGTCGATGGTCGGATGTGCATCCAGCACATCAATATATTGCCGCAGTACCGCCTTGAGCGATTTTTGCGACGCGGCGGAGAACACAAATGGTAGGATCCCTGCCAGTGGGGTCTCGCTAGCTGTAGGTAGACTATCCGATGCGCTATAGCTCTCCAGAATAACGTGGGTGTTAGCACCCCCGAATCCAAACGAACTGATTGATGCACGTCGTGGAGTCTCAGGCGGAAGATTGGGCCAGGGAATCAGCTCAGTCGGTACCCGGAGGTGAGAGGCATAGGGAGCAACTTGGTGGCTGATCTTGTTAAATAGCAGGTTTGGAGGAATCAATCCATGTTGAACGGCTAACAAAGCCTTCAGGAGGCCCGAAAGACCAGCAGTGGACTCGCTATGTCCGATCACGGTTTTGACAGAGCCGACATAGATGGTGCCGTGTGACAACGCGTCTTCTTTGAAAAAGGCATTGTGGATTCCTGCCGCTTCATTTCGATCTCCTGCCACAGTCCCCGTCCCATGGGCTTCGAAATACTGGCAACGGTCTTCCTGGAGCAGCGGGTTTAGGCCACCGCGTGCGTACGTAGCTCGAATCAACTTGGTCTGGGCCTCCGGGTTGGGCATTGTTATAGTTTGGCTGTGACCATCGCAATTAGTCCCCGTGGCCCGAATCACACCATGAATTTCATCGCCATCATGCTGAGCATCGCTGAGGCGTTTCAAAATTATGGAAGCGACACCCTCTCCGCGAGCGTAACCATCAGCCGCCTCGTCCCATGCTTGGCTGCGACCTGTGCTCGACAACATATGCAGCTGAGATGCGCGAACATATGTGTCTGGTGACAAGATAAGACAGCTGCCAGTAGCGACGGCCACCGGGCATTCTTCGTTTCTCAATGCTTCCACGGCCAGATGCACAGCGGTCAAGCTTGAGGAACATGCCGTATCGATAACTATTGAAGGTCCTTGCCAGTCAAAGAAGTAGGAGACACGGGTTGCCAGCATTGACCGTGAGGTGCCAGTCAGCCCAAATGGAGGAAAAGCCTCTGTGTCGGAATTAAGGAGCTCGGCATAGTCGTTGTTCATGGACCCACAATATACGCCTGTGGATGAGCCCTGAAGTTGGTGCAAGGGCAATCCAGTCCTTTCAAGGGACTCGTACACTACCTCCAGGAGCAAACGGAGCTGGGGGTCCATTGACGCCGCCTCCATGGGTGAGGTGTTGAAAAATGCAGCGTCGAATGCCCGGATATCCTCCTTGAGAAAATATGATTCTGGCGCATTGGTCATTCCCTGTCGGGTCTCCCCAGCTTGATAGAATGCATCTGAGTTAAACCGGTCGGCCGGTACTTTGGATGCAACATTTTGCGGTTCCCGAAGAAGCTCCCAAAGTCGAGATGGCGATGATGCCGAGCCAGGGAAGCGACAAGCCGTGCCAACTATGGCTATGGGTTCAATGGGAGACATGTTGGTTTATGGATACCAATTGGTCGGTCGTTGAGAAGAAATCCAATTGTATTTGTCTACTAGACATGGAGGGTATGAGCTTGGATTCAGGAGAGGGAGATATCTGGATAACTTATCCCGTGTCCAAAATGTCAGATTTTGTCTTAAGTATGAGTTACTGTAAAATAAAAACCCCAGCTAACTAGTGAATGATTCATCGCATTTTAGGCATTTCAATTTCTGCCGATCTCATGCAGTTGCTGCCTTAGTGTATTTTCCAGCTCCTCCCACCTACATATGCAGGTAACTAGAGCGGGACGACTTCGATCATATTAATCAGCAATAGTATGTTCCAACTTTGGAAGGTTGAACCATCAAAAGATGCAGAGAATTGGGAATCTCCTTACATGATCTGATCAAACGGATGCTGTGATGATGCTATCTTTTAATTCTTCCTTGATACATCCGAGACAGAGATCGAGATCTGCACTACACGATTGTGACGAAAACCTTTGCCTTTGCCCAACCTTTATACGTCTTCAATGTCCACTTGCTGCCCTCAAGTTTAATCCTAATACAAACTTCATTCATTAATGTTTTCTTTTATTTTTTTTGAGTGATGGAACAGAATCCTTACCAGATCCAGCCTGGGCCCACGGCCGACTCAACCACCCCCATGGTGCTTTTTCACGACGCTGGAGGTACAATTTATCCGTATTTTCGCCTAGGAAATCTGCAAAGAGCCTTGTACGGGGTGAGTAACCCGCGATCCGACCAGGGAGGGCATTGGCCGCACGGGTTTCGCCAAATGGGCGTGGTGTACGCCCATCTGGTGAAGTCGATCATCCCCTCGGGTAACATCATACTGGGAGGTAAGTTGACCTAATTCAATAAATATGACTTTCATACTGACGACAACTAGGGTGGTCTCTTGGAGGGTCTCTAGCGCTGGAGGTGGCATCCCGACTCATGAAACTACCGCAATACATGGTACAAGGAGTCATTTTGATTGACAGCGTTTTTCTGTCGAACACTGTCAAGGCTCATACCCCTACAAATCTTGACGAATTTGTCGCCAGCTTCAAGTTCCCCCCCCAGATGCCGGACACTGTATTGGCTCAGGCAAAGCAATGTGTTTTGCATTCTTATGAAGCCCAACAGGGCTGGCAGCCACCGCCTCTTGCATCCCGACCTCCCGCTGTGCTCCTGCGTGCAACAGAGCCGATAAATCCTCATAAAGCGGATATGCACTTTCTAGACAGCGCCAGGGACTCGAAATATCTTGGGTGGGAAGACTGTGACTCGAGCTTTATCGTGGCCTGTCTAGAGGTTCCCGGTAATCATTTTACGCTTTTCGATAGCCCAAATGTATGGTATTCCCTTATTTGTTCCACGATGATTTGAACTAACTAGATTGCTAGAACGAGATATCCACTTGTCAAATTAAACAGGCATGTTTATTACTGACAGAGCGACACCCCTGAATGAGGTTTGGAACAAAGACCATCGATAAATGGAGATTCATCGTTTTTGTTGTTGCTCCATTTCCCACTTACTTTCCACCCCACCTTTCATCTCTATGCGAACAAAGGGTTGACTATTTAGAGAGACTGTTCTGGTTCACAGAAGTGCTGTTTTACAGCACAAACAGATTATCTTCTTTTATAGAACTCTCTAGTGTTGAAACTATACTGTTGTAAAAAAATCACTTAGATAGCTATCTGTCGGTGTGACAGTTGTTTCCAATGCATTCATTCCCCTATTTTCGTGATGCAGCATTATCTTCCCCCAACCGCATGTAACTGGCTCCAATATCATCTAGACCGAGATATAAATTTGATAGATCATATTATTAGCCTGACTTAGGTCTATACCTATGGAATTTAGCCAAGTAAGTACATTGCGGTGAGAGCAGGTTGTCTGTCGAATAGCAGAATCCACAGAAGACTTTGCAGCCTTACTGAATTGATATTACTAGTGAAGATCTTGGTGAGTCTGCAAGAAATTGATAGGTTCCCGCAGAACCTTCGATGGAGATATCGTTCCCATGACCGCACTCAACGTTCTTCTTTGCAAAATGTGCAGTAACCGGCACTAGTGTCAAATCTAGATTTACCGGTGTGCTCTATAGCGGATACATCAAGATTTGCAAGGTCTTTCTCATACTAGCGGAGCTAGAGATGCAATTGCTTATTGGGGCCCTATTTTAGAGCAATGCTGCCTTATAGTCATGGTTTCCTGGTGGTGATACATCTACAGATGGACGTTTTAGTGGCTGGCTGAATGAGCCCGATGCAAGGCTCTTAGCCGCATGTGGTCATGCACTATATTACGAGAAAAAGAAAACCAAAATCAAACAAAACCAAACCAAACCAATGCCCCACACGGCCTCCCACTGGACAATGCAGCTGTATGGCGTCTTGTCTGTCCAGAAGGTGATTGATAAATCACCAAAATGCCTGTCTTCCTCTATATTGGATGTGTGCACTGATACAAGTCCCCATTTCTTCTCACACCACGGCATTCTCTGAACTCAACTGCAAAGCAATCATGACTCAATCATTCTATGTCATTTCCACCCTTCGCTATGATCCGGCGCTGCCCAGAATGGCGGAATCGGCTCCAAATTATTATCCCGACTCTCAATGCACGCCGTACTATCTTCTACCTTACCATCAAGACCGGCTTCTAAGCGCAGCACGGTGTTTTAATTGGCCAGACGCAGTAAAGTTCCTTGAGCAGGATCGGAAAAAATTCCTGGATTTCTTGAATTGTTTAATTCCCGACCCAACAAAGCCGTGGCGACTCAGAGTTTTGGTTGGTGAAGATGGTACTGGAAGAGTTGAGGCCAGTGTGCCTTCCCCTGACCCAATCAATCTTCTCATCCCCTTCGACATGAACGGCTCATCCTCCATATGGCGAGTCCATGTCGACTCCCAGCGGACCGCCCCCTCGGCATTCACCACCCACAAGACTACCAAACGGGATGCATATACTGCAGCACGCTTGCGAGCGGGGATTGAGTCCCCGCATGATCAAGTGGAGGTGCTGATGGTGAATCTGGAAGGAGAAGTTATGGAGGGAAGCATCACCACGGCGTACTTCAGGTGTCCATTACCATCGGCCCCACATGAAGCTGAGAAGGCCAAGGATGGAAAGCAGTGGTTGACACCCCCCTTGCTTGTGGGGGAAATGCAGGAACCACCAGGCGGTTCGCATTGGCCTCTGGGTTGTGTTTCGAGGGGGTTATCAATGCGGCCGATTTGAGGGACGGGGATGAATGCTGGATCAGCAATGGAGTGCGAGGATTTATTCGTGGGCAAATTTTTCGTTAGCTTCAAGAATCACCGTTTCTAGTTTGCGATTAGCATCTAGTTTATCGCCCAGACGGGATTAAGTAGTGCGTGCGTGGCACGGGTACACGGGAAGTAGTATTAGCGTAAACTATAAAAACCTTATGGCACAATGGATTGACATTACGAAAACAGATACATACGTGTATGTACATTACGGCTCTTGCCTTGTTTGCCGAGGTCAATGTTGTTTAAATATTTACTTCAAAAAAAAGAAAGGAGAAGGAAAAAGAAAAGATCCCCATACACGCAAGTATACGCAAGAACTTAATAGTGCTATGTATGATTGGAGCACACTAATTTGTCCAAGTACATAAGTATTCGACAAAAAAGCCGATTAAGAGCCCGTGGATTAGGATGATATACAGGTCCTAGACTAGATGATACTCTGCGTAAGGGACACATTTTTCTCTTTGCTCTACAGCATATAAACGAGTCACACTCTCACCGACAAGTACCACACTTCCGCTTGCAGGATCTTATCGCCAATAATTGTGATCTTCAATGTTTGTTCTCCAGTGGTCTGGATCTCGACTGCTGTCGCCAGATGCAGGAGGACATGATGTATCAATTACTAGTCAATGAAACTACTGTTACTGTTGTCCTGTAATACCGGTGATGGGAGTGCCTCATGGTTGAAGTCGTTGATTGTTACGCTGTAATTACGATGGATCCCAACATAGGCCCTGATTTAACTTGGTTCTAAATATCGCGGAGTCCTAGTAAAGCTCGTCTCGACGGACGATTTGATTTCTTGTTTAACATACCTTTCCAAATCTATCTCTTCAAACGTCAAGTCTCTCCCGAAGCGCCAATATGGTCCAACCAAGGATTTTGTTCATCGACGCTTATGACTCCTTCTCCAACAACATTATCAGCCTCGTGGAAAGATCCTTGGAAGTTACTGTAACAAAGCTCACAATCGACTCTCAACTTCCTTCTAACCTCCATGAGTCGTACGCGGGTATCATCATTGGCCCCGGCCCCGGCAGCCCGTACAAACCAGCCGACGTGGGCTGTATTCAGCATGTATGGTCTCTACCAGAAGATCAGATGTTACCAGTTCTAGGAATTTGCCTAGGATTCCAAAGCCTTGTGGTCCATTTTGGAGGCGCCGTTGAGCGATTGCCATATCCGCGTCACGGCATCGAAACGGATGTTCAGTGCTGCAATGACCCCCTCTTCGTGGGAATCCCCAAGTTGCGCTCTGTGCAGTATCACTCCCTTCACGGAGTCGTTGGACATACCTTTGAGGGCGAGGGTCTCTGGGACTCACATGAAACGTGCCCGGAGCTTGTCCCGCTAGCATGGGACATCGACCATACGTTTTCGCGGGCCCCTCCTACTCCCGAAGACCCGCGAATTGCGCTCGGTCGACTCAACCCGACTCATATCTTGATGTCTGTAAAGCATCAGACCAAGCCCTTCTACGGAGTCCAGTTTCACCCGGAATCGGTTTGTTCGAGCCCAGAAGCACGTCAAGTGATTTGCAATTGGTGGCAGATTGCCAAGGAATGGAACAGTCACCGTCAGGTTTCCCAGCCATATGGGGCATCTGAGCCTAGTTCGGTCTTGTCGAAGACACTGAACATGGAAAGCTTGAATCTTGCCGTTATCAGAGATGCTCTCAAACCAAGCGGGGATGAGCTCGTGGTTTTAGACTCCGAGATGGCCCAGAATTCGCCTTTAGGTAACTACTCCATCCTCGGCCTAGTCTACCCCGAAACCCTTCGCCTATCCTACAGTGCAGGTGATAAACAAGTCCGCCTACAGCAGGGTGAGGAATTGACCACTCAGATATTGGATGGTGATGATCGCCACGTCTTCACTTTCCTCAAGGCCTTCATGGAGAGCCACAAGCGGCTGTATGGAAATGAAAAGTCTCCATTCTGGGGAGGGCTGATGGGTTACATCAGCTATGAGGCTTGTCTAGAAACCTTGGGTATCAAGGCTCAGTCTCATCCCGAACGTCCAGATGTACAGTTTGCGTTTGTCGAGCGCAGCATTGTGATAGACCACACTGCTCGCCAGCTTCACATTCAGAGTATCAAGCCTGATGATCATGAATGGGTCAACGAATCTGCTACCATACTGGATCGCTTGGCACGCCCAGAGCTGTTTTCCGAACCCAAAGTCAGCGACGACTACGCCGAGAACGGTTCAACCCGCAGCAACTCATCGTCTTCGTTATCCAAAGAGGATTCTCTCGAGAGTTCAGATACTAGCTATTCCTCTTCGCCTCCATCGGCGGATTTGGAGGGCAACAAGCAGGTCACACGTACCGTGTTCACCATCCCCGACGAAGCCGCATACACGAGAAAAATTCGGGAGTGCAAGACAGAGATTCAGCACGGCAACTCCTACGAACTATGTTTGACCGACCAAACCAAGATTGATATTTCTACCCCTATGCCCCCATGGGCACGCTACCTGCGCCTCCGCAGAGTCAACCCTGCTCCTTTTGGTGCCTTCATCCGCCTCGGGCCAATCACTGTGCTATCGTCTTCCCCAGAACGGTTCCTATCCTGGACTCGTCCCAACAAGGAAGACGCGGTCACTTGCCAGTTCCGGCCCATTAAGGGAACCGTCAAGAAGCGACACGAAAATCCTGATGGGAGCACACATTTTGTCGATCTTGCCACGGCGAAGGAGATTCTGGCCTCACCTAAAGAACGGGCCGAGAGCTTGATGATCGTTGACCTCATTCGTCATGACCTTACCGGTGTCGAGAACTCTAGTGACGTGCGAACGACCTCCCTGATGCAAGTCGAGGAGTATGAAAGCGTTTATCAACTAGTGACCGTCATAGAAGGCACAATGCGGCCCACATGCGCTGCCCATGACCCAAAATACCAACCGCTCGGAATGGGGATCGAAGTCCTTGCGGCCAGTTTGCCGCCAGGAAGTATGACAGGAGCCCCCAAAAAGCGGTCGTGCCAGTTGCTTCGAGGTATTGAGGAAGGCAAACCACGATCGATCTATTCGGGCGTATTGGGGTACATGGATGTCAGAGGCGGAGGAGACTTTTCTGTCGTCATCCGGACCGCCTTCCGCTGGGATGATGAGACCACCGAGACAGATGAGACTTGGAGGATTGGAGCAGGAGGTGCTATCACCGACATGAGCCAGGAACTTGCCGAGTGGGATGAGATGCACACCAAAGTTGACGCTGTGCTTCGGTCGTTCAAGCTTGTGCACTAAGTTCTGTCTTAGCATTCTCTCTTTTCTCTGCGCTTAGAGACTAAACTTACCATTTTTTTTTGGGTTTTCCTTTTTCGTCTCTCTTGTTGTCACTTCTCGTCTTGTCCAACAGGGACTTTGTTTTAATTATTGGGCTATATCCTGAATCCGCACTCCTTAGAATTTACTATTTTCGTGGCTCTCGCATATAAACTGAAATTTGCTTCATCATCCAAGTCCAGACCTATGAACTGTAGTACTGGTATCAATAATGGCTGGATGTCACTGCTACTTGGCCTCAAACTCGGTTTGGACCGAAACCACACCGACAATGTCTCATAATGTCCAGATTCAAACAAGATACCTACTATATTAGCGCGACGATTTCGAGGGTTGATTTGACCGAGGTGCCGAATATCCGAAGGGGATTGGGATTGAAATTCATCTCTACGTCCAATACCAAGCTTTTACCTCTTTTCTTACATCTCCACTTCTACTTCCCATTTACTATAAGAAGTATCTATTTCTCCCTTTCCCTAGATCCTGGATCGATAAGCGCTAGCAAGATAGCGAAAGTCAAGAAACCGTGATTAACTAGTTCTAACTTAGGTACTAGTAAAAGTTTTAGCGGTAGTGAAGATATATATTTACATGTGCCATATTGCGCTTATAGAAGATACCATTGATACCTAGTAAATCAAAAGTTCTTTGTTAACCTCCCTTAGAAAATGCTACTCAATAGAAAATAGCAGGCGCAATGGTAATAAGATCTTATATTTTAGTATATCGATACTACTACTAGGTCGATATGTACTACGCTATAATGCTATAGCAGAGAGGTGGTCGATAGTAAGAGGCAAATACAGAGTAAACAAAATAAAGGTATTTTAGCAATATAAAGCGCATAAAGACCATAAATTTCGTACAATTACTAAGCTTATATAATCGAATAGGGAAGGCCCTACTGAGCATTGACCTACGCACCCTACTAAGGTCTCAGGAGGGCCCTACTAACCTGCGACCACGCACTGCACCACCATGCAGCTCGTTATCCGTGGAACCCTTCATAGATGGGGACCACTATTCATCTCGCTTCTGAGCGAGCACACAAAACTATGTCTATAAATACCAGGTGAACTACATAGTATTGACTTAACCAACCTCTTTCTCATGGTGTATGCTTCAGATAGACACATATATCATATTTCGGCAGTGGATACAGAGGGCCGGGGATCATGATCTCCACACAACATATTCCTGTGCATAGATCATCCTACCTTACCGCCTTGATCAAACGTACGGTCCCAAACTAATAAGTGGGGTCGAAAAACAAAAGCTAGGAAGGAACCTAGGCAAATAGACACATGAGACATGTAAGGAAACCCAATATGGAGCCAATGGTTCCTGTGGAACTGCGAGTTCTGCAGGGTCCAGCAAAGTAGACCGTTCCCTATGCAACACACAAAAGTACAAAACTTACGTGGCATTACCACGACGTACACCTCAACAGATTCTTCAGCCAGCCTCTGGTCCAGGCTTGCATACCTCCTGCACCCGAGGGAGATGGTCACGCAAGGAATTTCTATGACAATTATAAAGTTTCTCAACAATTATGGCAGCTGCATGCGGAAACTAGTGTAATTCTATGTCAATAGTGCGAAAAGGTGAAGCACTCATAGAGGCTAAAGCTACATCCTTACGGCTCGGTAATAGATCAGATACTAACAACGCACCCAGCATGCAATGCAATGCACCCTCACAATTACTGCAAAATAGATCCCTCTCTGTTGAAAAAAATATATCTCGTCCAGATTTCTCTCACTCAAACCTTCATCGACCGACCAGGCTCACTTCGAATCATGTACAGCTCCATGGAGATTCACATGGTCCCCATGGCCTTGGAACTGCCACGTAACCTCCAGGCGATACTTCCATATCTTCTATTGGCAGCCCTCGGCTTTTTGCTCAAGCGGAAGCTACTATCACCAATCTCTGATATCAAGGGCCCCTTGGTTGGCGTCAGTGTCGACCCTGTGGCAAATATACCATACTGCTAAAGGCGACATTGAATATGTTGTGAGAAAGGAGCACCAAAAGCATGGTACTTGAATCTTCGATTCGGGATATACAATAGCAAAGATGGTTGACTGTGCACCCAGGCGATTTCGTCCGTATCGGCTATAACGAGGTGTCGTGCAGCCACCCAGATAGCATCACCGCTATCCTGGCACCATCATACCGGAAGGTCAGCCCTAATCACCAAACAATTCAATAGAACATGTATTAACGCACCTTCCAGGCGAGTTGGTATCAAGCACTTGCCGTCCCTGACAAGCATCACCAAACACCCATGTCAGAGTGTGACCCCAAGCGACACCGAGAACGATCATCTATCACTGCCAGCAGTTATTCCCTCACAAGTCTGATCAAGTCGGAAAATATTGTCGACACATGCATTGCGGAATTCCAACAGCAGCTCAAGAAGCTCGCTGGAGTTGATCAGGCCATTGACCTTGGAGAGTGGCTTAACTATATTTCCTTCGATGTCATTGGGGAGTTGACCTTCTCGCAGCGCTTGGGATTTGTGAGAAATGGTGCAGACATCGATAACTCCATAAGCAGTATGCGCTTCCTCATGATTTACCAAGCTGTCATGGGATACATGTATTGGTTGCACCCGTTCATCCTCCACAGTCCCTTTTCTGGCTTCTTTGATCTCAGGCCGCATGCTCACATTTTCAAAACCGTCAGTGCCGCTGTGGATAAGCGCCGAGAGAATCCAAACGTCCGACATGACATGGTCTCGCAATGGATCAAAAATATCCGCAAGTGGCCCGAGCGTATGGAGGAGCGTGAGATCCTGGCCGTTGCTAGTATGACCACTATTGCCGGCTCCGAGACCATGACCGGAGCGCTGTCAAACATGTTCTACTTTCTCTTGAAAAACCCTGACTGCATGGCTAAACTGAAGAGAGAATTGAGCAAGGCCCAGGCGGCTGGTGAGCTGTCGCCTGTCGTTCTCCATGAAGAGGCCAAGAAGCTTCCTTACCTCCAGGCTTGTGTAAGTTGTACCATTTTTATATGCTTGAAGTATTACTAATTTGACATTAATTGTGTCTAGATCAAAGAAAGTCTTCGATATTTTGCTCCTGTGCCATTCGGTTTGCCTCGGGTGGCCCCCAAGGAAGGAGTTACATTGGGCGGCCGCTATTTCGAGGCTGGTGTAAGTCAACCATGATGGTTTGAGCCTAAAGTAATTACCTAACCTTCAACACAGACTATTCTATCCGTCAATCCGTTTGTCATCCAGCGCGATCGCCGCTACTTCGGCGAGGATGCCGAAGTATTCAACCCAGAGCGATGGCTACGCCCCGAGGCACCACGCTACGAAAAGTACCTTATCACATTTGGCACCGGATATAATGGCTGTCCAGGCAAGCAGTTTGCATTTGCGGAGATTGGTAAAATTACTGCATCTGTGGTACGTGACTTTGACTTTGAGTTTGAGAAAGTCGGCACCGATTGGAAGCACCGTAGCAATTTTACTATCGCACAAAGTGACTGGCCAGTGAAAGTATCTCAAGCAGCGCCGGTGGAGAATTGAGAGGATTGCAACGAGTGATTTGAATGTGAGACTTCTGAAAGTCTGAATTTTTAGGTGAAGATGCAGACGGCTTGAATGGACTAGCCTGCGGTCTGAGAATTGGTTATCCCATGTAATTTTGGGATGTTCATGTTCATGTTCGTACTGAGTGATCCCAACTACATGTTTTTGATCGCTTGCCAAACCTTCGGGTACCAAGGTCAGCTTTCTTCAAAATAATTTTGCTGTAACTTGTCCAGCCAATTATGGCATTTGAAACTATGCATATAGAAACGTTTTGCGCATAGTTATCATTGATGCATCATATCGATCATTCTGATGATCAATAGCTTGCAATAGAATTCCAATTTACATAGGCAATGGCCATGCACTTACAACTGCATAGTGAAGGCGCAGACCTCGATGGACATCAATGATATTCAACCCACGCCTGATCTACGAGAATGACGCTGTCCGTATGCAAGAATAGATCATAAGCAGGAATGTTGATCTTCTGTAGTAAACCAAAAATACCGAACTGTAGCGATGCCATGAAATTACGATACATACCGTACTTGCCGATCTTACAATACATTGACGAAAATAGAGCGCCAGTTGAGTGGATCCGGGCCACTAGTGTGCGGGACGTACCGTACCGACATGCACCCCAAAAACTAAATTCTCTCGCTTTCGAGCTACCTATCAAGAATCATGAACGTTTAATCCATTTAAAGAAGTTGTGGCTGATCTCTCATTGCAACCTGCTCATCGTAAAATTCTGGTAAAATTCACCGGCCGTGACAATGGAATAGATATCTTCCAGGGTCTAGGCCAAACTTCTCGTCATTCACTTTGGTACAAAATGTAGGCTAACCGCATACATATTGCTTTTTAACATGATTATTAGCAGTGGGTCCAAAAGGTAGTCATTAATGTGTAATATTCAACCGATTTCGGCAATGACTGTAAACAAGCATGGAAATTTCCAATGTTAGCACCCCTGCCCAGCTCTTAAATTCATATTAGTAGCCTCTTCCGGTCTTTTGCGGCTGTCACTACTGTACCAAAATCCCATAATGCTAATAGGGTAAAAGTATGGAGAGGATATGGCGGTGAGGGTTCTACGCTATAGCCATGTTGCATTCTAGACATATATTGCATGAATCAACAGGTACTAGTTCCTGCAGTAGATCTATCTTCCCTAGAATATCGGGCGGTGATCCTGGCAACAGGAATCGCGGTCAAAGAACGAGGAGAACATTTCACGCAAGGCTCTTCGCTATTTCGTCCGAAAGTATAGCGGTGAGGGTAATGCGTGGTAGCTATATTGCATTCTAGACATATATTGCATAAATTAACAGTTTCTTTTTCCTGCAGTAGATCTATCTTCCCTAGAATATCGGGAGGTGGTCCGGGCAACAGGAATAGGGGTCAAAGGGCAAGGAGAGCATTTCACGTAAGACTCTTCGCCATTTCGACTAAAAAGTCTTGTTTACTATTTTCTATTGTCAGATCTGAAAATCTGGCAACAACCGAATACGAAGCAGTCAAATAAACCGTAACATGACAGGCAAACTTGGAGTTCAGGACGGTGCCCACCCATGTGGAGAAGAAGAGTATTCCCTGGGCAGGGAAAAAGATGTAAGCAAAGTGTGGATCTCTCCAGCAATTCATGCTAATATGGCAAAGGGCACGCGTGTGGCGACGCAAGAAGTCACTGGCGACAGCCTGGAGAATTCCGGGGAGCTTGACAAGAACGAAGAAGAGGGGGTCTTCCTCCAGGAAAAGAAGGGGGACGAAGGGTGCTTGCTCAGCAAGGCCGATATGCTGAGGCTGGCGGAATGGAACCGCGTGTTACCGGAGCAGGTAGACCAATGCGTTCACGAGCTGATTACGGAGTGGTGTCAGGCCCAGCCGGATGCCCCTGCCGTGTGCGCGTGGGATGGCGAGTTCACCTACGGCGAGCTGGACGCGCTGTCATCAGCACTGGCGGTACATCTGGCCGAGCGCGGCGTGGGACCTGAGATGTTCGTGCCGCTGTGCTTCGAGAAGTCGCGGTGGACGACAGTGGCGCTGGTGGGAGTCATGAAAGCCGGTGGGGCGTTCATGCTCTTAGATTCTAGCCAGCCGCTGCTGCGATTACAAGAGCTATGTGCTGCCGTGAATGCCACGCTTGTCTTGTCTTCTCCGACAACCGAGAGTCGCAGTCAACAGCTGGCGGACACTGTGATTGTGTTGAGCAGTACTTCGGGATTCCTTTCGTCATGCGACCTACATGGTGATCGAGCCACAGCCCTCACGCATTTTCACCATGCTGCCTATGCCACCTTTACGTCCGGATCCACGGGAAAGCCCAAAGTCGCTGTGTTTGAGCATTCGGCATATTGCTGCGCTGCCTTGACTCACAGCAAGGTGAATGGTCTTACCAGAGAATCCCGTGTCCTACAAGTCGCATCGTACGCGTTCAGTGTTAGCATTATACAAATACTCACGACTTTGATGGTTGGTGGATGTCTTTGTGTGCCGTCAGACTCTGAGTGTCATGGCAACATCGCTGCAGCAGTACGCAGGCTGAGAGCCAACTGGGTCCTTTCTACCCCCTCCTTCCTGAGAACAGTCCGGCACGAAGACATGCCCAGCTTGAAACATGTTATCTTTGGAGGGGAGACGCCAGTACAGAACGACATCGAAGCGTGGCCAGACCATGCTCAAGTGGCTATCGGTTATGGCTCCGCCGAGACTGTATGCTGTGCCTTCGCTCCAAACGTGGGACCTCGCTCTAGCCCACGACTGATCGGCAAGATGATTGGAAGTGCTGGATGGGTCGTTGAGCCGGACAATCACCACAAACTGGTGCCTCTGGGCGCCGTTGGAGAGTTGCTTGTGGAAGGACCATTCCTGGCACGAGAATATCTGAATGATGCAAAAAAGACCGCCGAATCTTTTATCGAGGCTCCGAGTTGGTTCTCCACGTTTTGTAAGAGGTACAACCAAACATCAAGACATGGTCGAATGTACAAGACAGGCGACCTGGTCATGTACCACGCGGACGGCAGCCTTACCTTGGTCGGGCGAAAGGACACGCAGGTCAAGATTCGCGGCCAAAGGGTGGAACTAGGCGAGGTCGAGCATCACACGCGTCGAAGCTTCCCGGGCGCGCGCGACGTGGTGGCCGACGTGGTGACGCCGACGGAGGCCGGGCGGGTGCCGATGCTGGTCGCGTTCGTCTGCGTGGACAACCAGAACCAGGAAGATAGGAATGGTAATCAAGACGAGAGCAACAAGGACAAGGCGGACAATATCTTCGCGGCGCCTACCGACGCCTTCCGTGCGGCTATCCTGGTGGCTGAGACTGCACTCCACGACGCCGTGCCGGCATACATGGTGCCAGCTGTGTTCCTGCCCCTAGTGACTGTACCTCTGGCTAGCACTGGAAAGACCGATCGCCGTCGGCTCCGCGAGCGCGCGGCCACTCTTACTCGAGCTGATATCCAGGCCTACTATCCCATGGCGGCCAAGCGCCCACCCACCACAGCTGCGGAGCGGACACTCCAGCAGCTTTGGGCACAGGTCTTGCAAGTCAAGTCGGAATCGATTGGTGTGGATGACAGCTTCTTCCGCTTGGGCGGCGACTCAATTTTGGCAATGGACCTCGCCAGTTTGGCAAGGTCTCAAGGCTTAGAACTATCTATTTCGGATATTTTTGCACTACGACAGTTGAGTATGCTGGCTGCAGTTCTTGTCCAAAGCCCGAACGTCGACGCGAGCACGAATGTTGAACCCTTCTCGCTTCTGGATCCTCAACAGAAGTCTGTTCTCTTACACTCACAGCCGGACAGTCTATCTCTTACCAACGACAAAATACTGGATATGATGCCAGTCACCGAATCGCAAATCTCCTTTTTGACCCAATGGTCTCTTATGTGCTTTTCCTTCTCAATTCAAGGAACAGTTGACCCCGATCGGCTGCGTTTCGCTTGTCATTCCATCGTACAGACTCATTCTATCTTGCGTACGGTTTTCATCAGACACCAGGACCAATTGCTTCAGGTTGTTTTGAAGTCCATCGATGTTCCATTCCATCACATCCACACCAAAGAGTCTCTCGAGCCGGTTTGGAGATCCATCTGTCAGGTCGATTCGAACGAGGAACTCATTTCGGGTGAGCCACTTGTTAAGTTCACCCTGATCTCACGGTCAGAGACAGAACACTTATTCACTGTCCGGCTCTCACATGCCCAGTACGATGGCTTTTCGATTCCATATGTTCTTCGCGATATTGTGGCTGCTTACAACCAAGACATTCGATCTGGCCCGGCTCACGCAACGTTTCGTGACTACGTGTACTACTGTTCCAACAACTCCTCCGACTCTGCATTCGACTTTTGGAAAGCCCTTCTGCGAGGCTCGGTGATGACAATGCTTCCATGTTCGGACCTACAAGCAGATCAAGTCTCCACGGAGATCCACGAGATCGCTTTCGGAGACCTCCCCAGCACCTTAGAGGATATTACAATCCCAACATTGATCAACGCAGCTCTCTCCTTCGTCTTGGCTAGGTTGACCAAGACGGACGATGTTGTGTTTGGAGCGGTGACAAATACACGTGCCATTCCATTGCCACAGGCGAAGACAATTCTCGGGCCTTGTATCAATCGTGTCCCATTTCGAGCTTGCCTCGCGCAGGTCCGCACCGTAAGTGACCTATGCAGGCTTTTACGTGACCAATACGCACAGTCTCTGCCATTCTGTCACCTCGGTTTCTCCGAAATACGTGCCAAGTGTACAGATTGGCCTTCGGATACCAAACTAGGATGCATCTTGAACCACCAAGATGTGGGTGATGATAGTCCCTTGTCTTTGAAGGACGGTGGCAGTATTTCGAAGTCTTTTTCAATGGGTGGGGTTGATCTACAAGATGAGCTTCTGATCTGGTCTACCCCAGGAAATGGAAAATTGAAGATTCAAATTCTCACGTCCACCAGAATTATGGACTCGGAACAAGCTGGGTTGCTGGCAAAGCAACTGATCCATACGGCAAATGCGTTCTCCAGGTCTCCAGAAGCATTGCTCTCTTCCATGTCCTTACTTCACACCTAGCTCTTTGCGGTTTCTTTCTCAACCATGAATGCACTATTTTCTATCAAATTCGCATCAGACGTGGTTTGAGTCTCTGATCTCCAAGGCGCTGTAGCCTTGATAAACTTTGCCAGGGGTCAGGGTAACATGAATTACACACACACACTCTCTCTCTCTCTGTGTACCCTTTTTCATTTGAGCATCTTCGAATGACCGATTTTTCCTATTGAACTTCCTATTGGAAAGGGGATTCCGGCTCACGTTTTTGTTAAAAGAAATATCCAATGGAAAATTTAATCATATGATCCGAAAGCATCGGGATCGATACAGCTTGAAGCTTCTTTGGATACTCCTTAGTTAAATATACGAAGCGCTCCCACCGACAAGGTTACAGTAACAAAGAGCCTTATATCAAGCAACTTCCACCACCAAACTATACCAGGTACAGCAACAATATATCACCATCGTCCAAGTAAGTGACCCATCGAGGGGTAGGGCTACAGCGGATCAAGTCACCACAAAGAGTTCACCGAGGCTTGCGTGGATCCCAACTGACTGAAGAGTGGCTTGCATATCAGTATTGAGGCTATTGAAATGCGTATTCGGTGGGATAGTAGCATTTTGTAAAGCGAGGGAGCTCCCGATCAGACTGGCCAGACCAGCTCGCATACTGTGATCCATGTTGCATCAGTTTTAGTCCCTAACAAAGTTGGATGTGGAATAGAGACTTCAGCCAATCATCCCATAAACCAACCTCCAAGGAGGAAAGTCTTCGGGCACAAAATCCGGTCCGCATCGCATGAACTGAATGGTCCTCAGGTCAAGCGGCTCGGGGCTCTGGTCGGAGAGCATTCCGCTGGTGTGGGCTCCGACCTGAGCTTCAGAGGTGATGCCACGGAGTCGTGGATTAGAGAGGAAGGCTTCATTCGCGTCGGCACAATGCTAGCTCCGATTTGCCTGGATGTGGATTGTCCCGATCCCAAGCTCCGTGAGCAGACCACTGAAGCGTACTGCTTCACCGCCACACAGCTTTTGAAAGCATGCAAAGCTTATTTGAAATTTCTCGATGATCAAGTGGAACAGTAATGAATGCCGGATATAGGTTTCCCGGGTGGCTTGAAGTGTATGAGCAAAGCTGAATCGGAATCATTCATTTCCGAGATCGCTGAGGAGCTTCTCGCAAGCAGGGTGGATATTTCCCCTGCGAATTGTGTGGGATCAGCGGCTCGAGAGTCCAACCCAAGTTTAACTGGACATTATACTATTAAGCAGCATGCAGCCTTGGATGACTCCATACAAAAATACAGTTATTATACGACGTATTATGTGCTCCGGTGTAATATTGTACATACAAGAATGTTATTTACTTTTATTGGTGGGTTTTGGGTCTAGGAGGCTAGGACGTGTCGTATATTTGGCTATTCCCCATTCATCTTCATCCACAGAGTAGTGACAAGGCCTGACTGTTAGTAAGCCACATGCAAGGGATATATTTTGATACTTCGCGCTAATGGCGGGTGATCTGCGAGGGTGAGCCAAAAGCAATGTCGCCCCCGACCTCAAGGTTCCTTATGCACTCGACCCTAGTCCTTCTTTTCTTTTTTGTTAGTGATTGACTAATACTCCGGTAGACATAGCTACCCCCTTTCCCCTTTACATCTTTTCACCCCCAAACAATATATGACTTACTCTTAAGAATGCAGTCAACAATATCGGGCGAGAATGAGGGGTCCAAAAAACATACTTTGCAACAAAGCAGTGATTATAAGCACCACGCGACAGACGACTCTATAATTACGGCTGGGAAAACACCTCCTCCGACCAATAACCCAGCTCAACCTATTGCTGAGATGGGCAACAACGAGCCACAATGGTTGGAAGGGTTTCCGCTATTTGTTATCATGTCAGCAATCACCATTGTGTGTTACTTGATGTTACTTGATGTGTCAATTATATCTACAGTATGTGAGCTCTCACGAGATTCCTAATCATCATCTCTAATATCACTGCATCTAGGCACTTCCCGCGATTACCAATGAATTCAACTCCCTTCCAGACCTCGGTTGGTATGGAGCATCGTACCAATTATCCAAGTAAGCCAGTCCAATTAATACAATTCTGCAATTTTCTTGGTCCTTAACTTTCTACAAGTGCCGCTCTTCAGCCGTTGACCGGCAAACTCTATGCAAACTTCACGCCCAAATGGACTCTCCTGGTTTTCTTTTTCATCTTCGAAATAGGATCTTTGATCTGTGCCTTGGCGACATCTTCAAAGATGCTAATCGTTGGTCGAGCCATTGCTGGGATTGGGAATTCTGCGATTCAAAATGGATGTGTTACTATCATCGCTGGAATTGTTCCATTACAGAAACGCCCGGCCTTGCTTGGTATCGCGATAGGCAGTAAGTCAAAAGCGTTCATGAGTCTGTGATCAAAGCCAGACAACTAACTGCGATTGCAGTCTCTCAACTAGGTCTCGCCTCTGGGCCCTTGGTCGGAGGGGCACTGACTGAGTACGCAAGCTGGCGATGGTGTTTCTGGATTAATCTACCTATTGGAGCCGTCGTGGCCATATTGATAATCGTGATTCGCATTCCAGATCCCATCCCCAAACTACCTCCTCTCGTCGTCTTTCGCACCCTGCATACAAAACTGGATTTCCTCGGGTTCGTTGGTTTTGCTGGAGCTACCATCATGTTGCTCATGGCAGTTCAATTTGGTGGTAACCAATACCCCTGGGGTAGCCCAACTGTCATCGGGCTGTTCTGCGCCTCCGGGGTCACGTTCTTAATTTGGCTTGCCTGGGACTGGAAGAACGGAGATGACGCTCTTATCCCACTGTCGCTGATGAGCCAGAGAGCTGTGTGGTCTAGCTGCGCTACATACGGCTTATCGATGGGATCGCTATTTACCTCCTCATACTTTCTGCCAGTGTATTTTCAAGGTGTTCTAGGAGCCTCCCCTCTCATCAGTGGTCTTCAGCTGCTTCCGAACATCATCCCTCAGTTATTCATGGCTGTGCTGAGTGGGACACTAGGTACTTGGAATTCGCTCTCGGGCGGAGTTCTGAATAGACTTACTAACTCGACCTTGAATTAATAGTCACCAAACTCGGATACTACCTACCATTCAGTCTGATAGGGGCAGTATTGATCTCCATAGCAGCTGGACTTGTCTCAACGTACTCGCCTACAATACCCCTGGCCCAAAGAATTGGATTTCAGATTATACTGGGTGCTGGCTACGGTCTTGGGTTGCAAATGGTAAGTTTGCCACCCCTGTCCCTCCAATTTCTCATTCCGACCTGACTCTAACACATAATTCACAATCAACAGCCAATGATCGCCATCCAAAGCTCCGTCCAGCCGCAACAAATTCCCGTTAGCATAGCGATGTTGATGTTCTGTCCACAACTGGCCGGGGCCTTACTTATCAGCTTCGGGAATACCATCTTCTCCAACAGTCTCAAAACCTTAATCCCACAATATGCCCCCTCCGTCGATCCCGAAACTGCTATCGCCGCAGGAGCGACGGGTCTTCGGAATGTGGTCCCCTCATCCGTCCTTGGCAATGTCTTGATTGCTTATGCCAAGAGTGTGGATCGTGTATTCTACTTGATTGCTGCTTGTGGCGTCAGTACTTTTTTCTTAGCATGGGGAATGGGATGGAATGATATTCGAAAGAGCAAGGGACCGCAGCCATCCCAGCCGCAACCGGCACAGGAACAGGAACAGGAGGAAAAACCTTGATCCATTGATCACCGCTTTTACTTTCACATGGAACAAGACTTATTGAAACGGGACCAATTGATGCAGACCAGTTAACAGCGTTGCAAATTGCAGTCCACCTTGCCAAGGTCTAGATTGAGTGGATGCTTATTCTACGACGTCTCAGCAATTAAAACCTGCGCAGAGTGCTTTTGTAGCCTCGTCGTCTCCATTATTTGCAGCTTTTGATTGCCAGATATCCTTCGTCAAGCCATGTACAAGTGCTGTGGAGCGGCGTGGCCCAACAGTGGGCCGAAACTCACCAGATGCAAACCCTGACTACTGCAATGTGGCCGTTAACGAGGAAAGAAAGCCCCCAATGCCGCAAGGCGGAGCTTACCACCCAAACACAGAGTAAATACCATTCATGGGGCTTCAATCTTCGCGTGGCGGATAGCTGAGGGCCAAACAGTCACACTTTTGTCCCCTCCACTACCAGGAAGATTTCACCCATCACCCTTGTCATATTTCAAGTGATTGAAGATTCAATAATTAAGACGCGGTCTGGCCAGAATGCGCAATGCCGCATAATGATGGTGCATCCAACGGTAAAAGGAGCTGTAGTGGACTAGCAGCCGAGCCAAGACTATTGGAAGACGAACAAGTCAGTAGCAGATCCCATCCTGCTGTCACTCCCGCAGGTAGATACATAGTATTGCATTTCCTGTGCTGATTTTGCATACCGTTGATCTTCGTCAATCTATTTACCCCTATATTCAAAACCCTCATAATATCCATTTATGCTCCCCGAAGGCTATTCCGATGTTGACAAATAATCACACATACCTGTCTTAAGCAAGTCCTTACTTCATCAATACTACCCGCGGATAAAGTTTCATCTCCTAGCAGTCCGGTATGCCAGAGCCATAACGTCCCGCAGATCTTTCGGGTTCCTTGGCATCTAAGGTTGTCTTTGTAGAAATATATATATTTGATCGGATTGACAGTAGACATGACGGCAAGAAAAGTAAACCTGGGTACTCCGAGTCTAATTGCGCAAGTATATATTAGAATTGCAGTCAAAAGGAATCTTTAGCTCAGGAATTTGCAGTCCGAACCATAGCGACTTGTTGGGGGATGGCCACTACCTGCACAACTCACTCGATTTAAATTTTCGTTTTAAAGATAGAGCAGGAAAAAAAGAGTAACCAAATCCAAAAAGATAAATGAGTGATAAGAGTGAGATTCGAACTCACGCCCCGTAAACGAGATCAGGATTTTATGCTAAGGTGGACCTTAACCTGACGCCTTGGACCAACTCGGCCATCTTACCCACTTGATGAATAATCGTCCACATAAATGGTAAAGACGTATCAACAGCCGTCACTGCAAACACCCACTGGGTGATGACCACCATGAATCAATCACACGCCGGATTTGAAGGCATAAAAGTGCGAATATATGTAATAGAGCATTATAGAATAGAAGGGAAAGGAAGTGAATGCCATCACTCAATTAGGGAAGGCATAACATAGCTCGTTAATGGTGCCTCGAGTATTTCGCGACGTAGATCAGCTTCCCAGCGGTACACGGTGGACTCGTGTACCTGCAAGGTAAGACATGAGAACAGGAAATCATTGATACGGTGCCATGATTCGGCATTCAGGCGCTTTGCAACCTTCAACATGCGACCAGCAAACCAGGGACGCGCAGATGGAGAGATCGCCGAGAGGGAGTATTGTGTAAAATCTGGCAGCTGCTCTGCAAGAGTTCCGTCGGCACCTATAGCGGACTCATTTGTTGGGCCATCGTTGCACTCGAGGAGAATCTGGAGGATAGCCTCGACGGAGCCGCTCATGCTGACTTCGCTGTCGACCATGGCCTGCTCTAGTGTCTGGAGGAATGTAGCCGCATAAATGGGTGTATATCGGTAATCCCACAGAGCAGCATTGAGAATCATGAGGGCCGTTAGGCGGGCAACCATTTGTTTTCGATCTCCTGATGCCGTAAATCGAGCACCGGGAGGAGCTGCCAGGATCTGGTATAGAAGGGAGGTCTCTTGGGCTGCCGTGAGACGAATAAGATCACAAGATTCTGGATTCTCCCTCTGGTAGAGGGAGAGTTGCTCGCAGCGACGAAGGAAATCGAGAAATTCTTCGCATTGAAGTCGGATCTCATCGATGGGAGATGCTGTCTGTATAGAAATAAAAGCTTGTGTAGGGTCTGGACGTGGCGTGGTATCTGAGAAGGCGGAGGAGGTTGAGGATGGAGGAGAGGGCATAAAGTGAAGATTCTGAGAGGGTTGAGATGATGAGCAAGCGGGTGCGGACGAGGCGGTTGAGGGCGGCGGATTGTGCTCGAAGAAGAAACTGCATCCATGCGTTTCATACCCCGAGAGAATGTAATCTTGCCAGTTGATAAGCATCCCAAGCCGAGTGTTCGCAAAGGTGGCTGATCCACCGCGCGACCGGATCATCTCGCGAGCCGCACGCATGTGCACCCAACTGATTTCCTTATGGCCGGGCCGGGGGTCGAAGTCTTCCAGAGCGGCAGCGCTCAAGCAGGAGACGATGGCGACGTCGGAGATGTCTCGGGGGTTGTTAGATAGATGCTCACGAAGCATTGTGATCGCGCGATCTCGATGCAAGAGGGTATAAGAGGTTTCGGTCTCATTGCGGACCCAGGCCCAGGTATTTGCAGCGTGTACTAGGATGGTGTTCTGGAATGCTACGGCGCCTTTCATTGCCTCTGGGACGAAGACATGGGCGTACCAGTTATGGGCTTTGATCGAGCGGAAATGGGTTCCATAGGAGCAAGCAGGCATATCATTCACGTAGAAGTCGAAAAGCTTCTAGCCTTCGAGATCTAGTTCCATGGGAAGAGTGTTGAATGGATCTGTCCGCGCAGCGCTCAAGATGGTCCGTGGTGATCTTGTGAACTCAAGCGGTGTTGTGGGTGCCGCGGACCGTGATACAAGGCCGTTGAACTCTGCCGCTTGGCTCTGGCTTTCAAGGGAGATGTCGACAATATCATGTGTCGGGAGGAGGGAACCCTGAGGTTGCACCGGAGATGCACGGAGAGGCAGCGCAGCAGTATTCGCCAGAGCTTGGACTGCTAGCGAAGGATCTGAGGCTCCAGAGAACCAATCTTGGCCGATCTCTTCCATGTCGGTAGACACACCTTCTTCCTCTGGGGGCTGTGCTTGCTTCTGGGTCGGCTTTGGTTGATTGGAGCCTGTACCGGGCTCCGCTGCCCCTTTGGCAGATTTGCGCTTGGCAGCTCGAGTCTTCTTGGACCGGCCACGCTTGGCTGGGCGGCTGCTGTCTTCTTCGCTTTCGCTGTTGCCCGAGGTCCCCTTCTTCTGGCGCATGTACTCGTGCATCACATGACGCTTGACCTGTGTCAGGTTGCTTCGGCTATTATTCGAAGCATCAATGAACTGCCACCGAATATGGGCGGTATCTGGTGTCGTGCCAGAGCCGCCGTTGTCTGAGGCGGACATCTCTGAGGTTGACATATCTGAGGCCGGGTAGGGATGGAGGACACGCATAAGTGAAAGAACATTCGCCCTCGCCGTTGAAAGACAGTAATGTCCTTTGAATATTCATATATGTATGCTAGATGCAACAGCTATCCGGACGGAGACAATATCCGTGAGGGTCGACGAATGTACTGGAGGTCCCACGACTAGTGGGCGGAAGGATTGAATTAAGAAAGAGGAATCCGGTGCCCCCAAGCCCCTGAAGGTGAACTAATGACACCTAGAATGTCACAAACCCCGAAATAATGATGATGCACAAGCAAGGAGATCAGCAGCGGTAGACACATTGCGGTGATGGGTAAAAATAAGCAGAGCATAGGGTTCCACCGGGCGCTCGTGCATGGCACTAGAAGAGGGGTTTGCCTCTCCACCCGACCCCATCTTGTCCAAAATAAATGTGTTAGTAGAGTCGGGGGATTTAAGATCAAGTCAGCTTAGGGACTAGCATGCCGGTTTCGACATGCGTGTTTCATCCCCCAGCATCACGGGGGGAAAGGGGGATCTTCAAGGCTGGACGGATCAGACGAACTGTTTGCTTGAGGTGGGAATGAGGCGAATAATAGCGAGGAGTACGGGGTAGATAGTCGTCCGATCAACAAGTCCGTGGAACCAGCATGGACAAAGAGGACCGGAGTCTGCAGTCTGCATCTGATCAGTGCACGATCGGCTTGAATCCAATAGGAGATCAAATGGCGGCTCGCCCGTGAAGCGCTGGGCGATTGGGCACTGGCCAAGATTGTGACAAAAGGAGCACTGCCCAGCACTGTTCGCCCCAGTTTGGGTTAGTCGCGATCATAGGAGCCACATTGTAGAGCGACCGCAACGGCTGCGACGATCAGACCGTGAAATCACCTGCTCGCTGAGCGGTTGAGGACCGAACCAACCCACGCTGGGGTATGCCATCCATCGTGCGGATTGCCTGGCCGAGATTGGGTTAGTCGACAATCCGCCTGTGAATCAATACAGTCGTATCCCACTCCTTGCTAGGACTGACACCTTGCGAGGGAGCTCATAATGAGTCGAGAGTCTCCTCGATCCGAGTTCCTGGTCATGGGGAGTCGGGGGGAGGACAGTTAGGGTTGCTCGGGGGCTTTCCGCGCCCCAAATCCTGCAGCCACTCGCCCGTGGGGGCCAAGGCCCACCAGCATGGGGCGATGAGAATCTTCAGCGGCACAAACGTGGTGTCCAGGGCGAGGATCTGACGGTGTGGCTGTCCCCGGGGCTCCTGCAGGTGCGTTCTCACGTTGCGGAATTTCAAGGCATCTAGATCGTTCGTTTAGGGCGCGTACCTTCATCCAAATGCTCTGAGCCAATCGCAACCCTCTGCAAGGTGAGACAGCGTGAAGTATCTTAATCGCCTTCTAATAACAGCCTAGACAGGCCCCCGCACTGTGGTTCGAGGCCGAACTCTGTCCAAGGAGACTACGGAGTACAGCAAAGGTAACGACCGTGAAGGCTATCAAATTCTCTCCTTCCCCACACTGTATCTTTCGCGTCTCCACGTGCCATCCGCGACATACCATCTTGAGTTTGCATTCGGCTGATCCCTCGCGCCATGAGGGCCCTCCGAGTCCAGTCAGTCTTAGGAGTCTGCACCTGGACGTCGGAATTCTGAGCCCGCTCGCTTGTTATGCAATCCTGGGGTTTCCGCGAACCAACATTGTCTTGCTCCCTATCCCAACAAGTATAATATCAGAGCGTGTACTTGACATGGTTCGGTTGCTTCGTACAAATGGCTCTCCTACATTAGCATTGTCTACTACGGTTTTCCGTTTCATAGTGCCCATGCGAAGATACCGGCACCTAGTCCACGTGCGGTGCATATTGCACCCTTCGCACTGGTCCTTTCCGTTGCTCATCCACGATGGCGATCCCGCCGTGGACTCTTACTCCCATCCTTCAACTCCAACATCCTCACAGTGATCCGGAGAGTACTGAGTGGGGCAGGACCAGCACGAAAGCCAAGGATAGCGTCGGGGCGTGCTTAGGCCCCGACACCCAGAACCTGAGTATTCCGTACGGCATTCCAGCAAGAAGGGGGTCCGCTGTCAGTGATCGCCAACGAACTAGTCCAATCCTAGCTGTAGTTCTCAGACGCTACGCTACATCAGTGCCCATTGAGCATGGCCCCACGAGTCATGCAGATGCAGGTCCAAAAACCGCGTGGCACGCGCAGTTGCCCTGTTTCAGGATGTCTCGAAGGATCATGCAGAGCGACTGTTAGTTCTTTGCCTTGGTGTGTTTGGGGTCGCATCCTAGCAATACACCTGCATATGCTGCTTCGGGCTAAGATGATCCTGATGGCGTCCTGGCATCATTTATTTTGCGCCGTCCGCTCATCCCGTCCCTAAGCTCGGCTATCAGACTGCCCCAGCAACATAAGCCGTGCGCCACTCTCTCGCGCAATGGATGATTTGATGTCTGTCTAAGCCTGCTGTCAGGTCGCAGCCACTCGAAGCCACTCGATGGCCATGTGGAATGGGGCCAGATGCACAACAAAGTTCACCTTTTTCGTCTCGGTATTTGACCACGATCGCCACGTGGAGGTGCCCAAGGCGTAGGAACAATAAGGTACCCGGTAAATTGATTGCCTTCCAGTCATGGCTCATCCCCTCAGACAATGGATGTCGGCTACCGTGGTCCGCTTTGTGGTAGGATCGAGCGTCGAGCTCATCTCATGTCTCCCAGCACCTGTCTTCGAGGTGATAACATGTGAAGATGGTTTAGAGTACTGTAGCCCCAACATAGTAGGAATGATTCTGTTGCTATCTGTGTCTGGACACTCAATCTGCTCGTGCTTGAGGAAAGGATAACTGGTCAATGCGTCGTCTGGGTGGTCCGGCTCTAGAAGGGTTTAAGTGGGTTTCACTGTTTCAGTAAGATGATTGCACGATGAATGCCCTTGTCCAGCATGGGCTTTGCCCTTCGAATGCAAAGCGCCCAGCAAAGAACGATCTGGGCCAGCGAGGCTGTCACTGCCAGCAAGAACGGCAGGGCGCGCGGTGGTCGCGTGTCGAGCAGCTCACCGCCTTCGCGTTCTGTTCAAACTCCGCGCCTCCGATCTGCGATTCAGAAATCAAGGGACTGGCCATACCAACACACCACGCTGAACTGGAATATTTTATGATTCAAGTTGCCTTTCAGACTTGTTTTTCCCTGGTATCGAAACCAGTGGCGCCTCAGTCTTCGAATTGAAGGAGCGGCGCTTCTCTGAGCCAGCAGCGGAGACATCGCGCGAAGCCCGTCAAGAAATTCCCCCCGGGTCGACCCTGACGGCTCGAAAGACCGCCCCCGCTCGCAAATCCCTGGTCGCATGAGTTTGAGCAGCTCCAGAGACACCTGAGCGAGAGTGTATAATACCAGACGGATCGATGCACGTCCCATGATGCCTCCGACCCCCTCCATCGGACTTCTGTGCATTTAGCTCTCCGCCCGCGCGCCCTTCGCTACGAACACGCCTCAACCTGCCTAGCCGCCCTGGGCTCCAGACTGAACAGGGTGCGCAGCATTTGTGCTCCGCGAGACACCATCATATAACTTTTTTTCATTGCATCTACCCGGCCTTGGCTATGATAGCAAGGATGGAGGGGCCTACCGGCGCAAACCACGTGAACGGGACCGCCGAGAGGACCGATACGACCAGGACGGGAACCAATCCATATGAAACCAATCCAGACCATATCCCCCGCGATGACCCCTTCCTTGCGCAAAGCGCACAGTACGGCCGGTACACCCCGGACCTCGCCGATTTCACCCCTCTGGACAAGCGCTGGTACCAGTCCGACCCCGAAACGAATGTTTTTTGGCAGGAAGTTGCGCAGAGATTTTGTACCTCAGACCATTCGCTCAATATCTCGGGATCAAGGGAGGCATTCGCTGCAGGCAGTGTAATCCTCCGGGTCGACCGAGAATCTGCCGACGGCGCTGCTGCGGAGCGCTACTCGTGCGCGAACGCGAACGAATTGTCTGCAGCACGGAAAGTCGAAGAGTCGCTTAAGGAGATTGGAGTTGCGGTGCCAGTGATATACTTCTGCGGGACGATCGAGGGTAGAAACGTGACAGTGGAATCTCGAATCCCTGGTGTCTCCCTGGATGTTGCATGGCGGTATCTCAGCACGGAGCAGATCGATATCTTCAAGAACCAGTGTCGCCAAATCGTGCAGCACCTCGGAATGATTGACCCTGCCTCCGACGAACCTTCCTACGTATGCCGCGGCCTCAATTCGCAAATACCACCATCTATTCAGGACCAAGAACGCAAAATACTCTTCGCAGAAAAGGCCTCGGAGGAAGAGCTAAACCTCGCACACAATGACCTCGTGCCGGCCAATATTATTGTGAAGGATGACCGCATTGTGGGCGTGACTGGGTGGCGACAAAGCGGATATTTTGGCCTCGATCGAGCCAGGAGCATACACCGTCAATTGAGGAATTTGGAACATCTCGGAAATACGAAGGAAGGTGGTATGACATGGATTGACCTCTATGATGATGTTTACTATCCCAGCAAGGCTGCGCCCTTGATTCCAACCCGAGACACTGCTCTTCCATCCGTGAAAACGGAGCCTACTAGCTCGCACCTGGACAAATATCCTATCAGCGATGAGCTGGAAACCAAGTCATTGGGCCTGGATGGGACAAGCGACTACCCGACGTCGAAAATACTTACGGATTTGAAGACGGGCGTTACGTCGCGTGCCTCGTCCTCTGACCGATCATCTCCTGCGACTTCTGTAAAGCCTACATCGAATAAAAAGGCATCCTCAGCCGCTACAAAAAAGGGCATCGCCAAGAAGCCTGCGGCCAAGAAGCGCAAGGCGAATGATGCAGATGCTGACAGTATCGACGGGCGCCGATCGAACACCCCCGCTTCTCGAATGAGCAAAGCTTCTGGAAAGAAACAAGGCTCTGCATCTATCGCCGGGTCTCCGGCACCTGACGATAAGAAGAAGCGCGGCAAAGTTCAGGCAGCCGATGATGATGACGAGGACGTCGAAGATGAAAACGAGCTCTTTTGTATTTGCCGGCGGCCAGATAATCATACATGGATGATTGGGTGCGACGGAGAATGTGAAGACTGGTTCCATGGCAAGTGTGTCGACATCGATCCACGAGACGCAGACTTGATCGATAAGTACATATGTGAGCATTCCTATCCACCATCCCCTATCATTCTGATGTGTCATCTAACCACAATCCCCCAGGCCCGAACTGCAGTAAATCCGAGAAAGGTTGCACATTATGGAAACCAATGTGCCGTCTCCGAGAATGTCGCAAACCGGCTCGCGTTACGCGCCAGAACCCCAGCAAGTATTGCTCCGATGAGCACGGCCGGGAATTCATGGCCCGGCAAATCCGTCATTTCAAGCTAGGCCCTGCTCGAAAGGGGCAAGAAGACCTGGGCAGCATGGGTGGTATCCTCACGCCTGGGGATCTCAAAGCTGCCATCCTGGGGGTAAACTCGGTGGAAGAGTTTCGTAAATTGGGCGACCAGATCATCTCCACGCCTCCTGAAAGCGTCGGGGATAGCCCGGCATCCGAAGCCAAGAATGAGACGAAGGCGCAAGGCGATGATAAGCTGTTCGATACCCATGCCAGTGGCGTGGAATTCTCTGCCGACGAGGCAGCGAAACTTGAGAAGCTTCGTAAGCGACGCGATGACCTTCTCCATCGGAAAGAGATGCTTGCGGCCCGATCGACATTTGTCGCGCTCTTGCGGCAGCGGTCGAAGGGCGTCGTTGAGAAACTCAAGCAGAATGAGCCGAAAGGTGGATGGAAAGATATCTGCGGTTTTGATTCGCGGCTCTCGTGGTCTGATGAGGAGTTCGATGAGTGGCGACTGTCGGAAGCTGGCAAGAAGGCGCTTGCGGAGGGTACCGTCGAGGCCATGGCGGCAAGTTATCCCACCACAGCCGACGCTGATGGGGACACTGCGATGGACGGCGATGAGAAGGAGGGTGAGATAGCTTTCATCACACGTGGCATCTGCATTAAGAAACGGTGCGAGAGACACAAGCAGTGGGTGAAAGTGCAGCAGCAAGACATCGTCTTCGAAGAGAACGCGGCGGATCAGGACCTCAGCAGGTACGAGCAGGAAGCGCGCTCCGTGGCGGAGCGAGCCATGCTCAGGAGATGGGCTGAGAAGGAGAACGTCCCTTCTGTTGCTGGATAGAGGCCCGGGGGTTGTTTTTTATATGTTGGGCTCAATGCGCTGAATCTACTATTCTCGGGGCCCGAGACTGATTTCGGATTTGGAATCAGGAAAACACAAAAGCTTGATACCCCTTTAACACAGACACGAAAGTGGTTCGTGGATCGGAGTTGGTATTTGCAACCACGTGGTGGTTGAACCCATATTGCATCGGTGAACGGCGCTTTGGCGAGGGTGGATCTGGTCGCATACTTATCGAACTTTCGTTTTGTCTGTAAGAGTAGCAGCGATACTGCATCGCAATAGATACACCTGATATTCCTATGACGAGATGCGCTTTGTGCTGTGCTGTAGGCTTAACGTTTCGGGGACCATATGCCCCATTTTCCGAGCCCAGTGCCCACTCGGTCTTTGATGACTTCCGCCACTTGGGCTGCTTTCACGTCCGAGAGCAAGATGTGTGTGTCGATGCCCTGATCCAAGGTTTTCATCAAGAGGGTTGATAGGAGCGAGTGACCGGGTGTCTGGAAGATGGAGTGAATGTCATCGTCCCCCGATGGCCTTGTATCTTCATCACTAGGTCTCTTGGTTTGCGTGGACTCCGGCGGCTGGTAATTTTCAAAGTGGGCGGGACCAAGTCCACTGATGTTGACGAGGATAATGGAGAGCCACGACGCGTATACCCGGGACATCCGGGTTAAAGCGCGCAGCGTCGCCGCTAGCAAGGCTGCTCCTCTGACCGGATTCGACGCTCGAATGACGCCCTCAGCAAGAGTGTCGAGGCCAGCCACAATGAGAATGACGGGCTGATTAGGCGTCTCCACGGTATTCTGTTGTGCCTGTCGCCTTTCTTGAAGCTCTTGGAGTAGTTCCGATACTTTAGTAATAGCTTGCATTGCACTGGGCAAGTTCTGCACTGGAAGCAACTGCACGGAGCCAAGACGCTGTATTGCTTCATCTCTTGATAAGCCAGGCTGGCGAGAGGAAGATTGCAGTGCATTAAGCAAGGTTTTAGGAGCAAAGGCGTCAAAATTGCTTGGGTGAATAATGAACGCGCTCGGCTCTGATGATGGAGCAGTCCCCAGCAGGTGTGATGTGAGCAGATGCCGGGGAATCTGATCTATGTGAGGTGATGCTCAATAGGACGCCAAATAGTCTCGCTTACCTGCCCGATATAATCTTCATTATCCTTGCTTCTGGCTCTCAGCCTAGAGAAGCCGATGGTAGTCCCGCATCGGAAGATGCCGGCCTTGGTACCTTGTATGCCAGCATCCCAGTCCTCCTTGAGGTTCCAGTCAAGGTTATGGGCTGCTTCAGGGACAGGCTTCTCTGTATCTACCGCCTTTGACTCTGGCGTGGCGAGGAGAGTGTGAGCCAAGATCGGATAAGCAGGATCTGCAGCGTAAATGCTGGGGGCCGAGGCCATCGTTTGCATGCTTCGGGAATAAGAAGAAAGGCTATTCCGTTAAGGAACAGTACATCGTGTACCACCCAGCCAAGCCAGCAGGAGACGAACGACGAAGTGGGGTTCGGGGGGTTCGGGGCGGGAGATGAAGCGTTTAACAGGTGAGATCCACCGCTTTGCGCGATCTCGGCTTCCCGACAGGTCGGTCAATGCACATCTGCAATCAATAGAGGACCTGACTATACTACGTTTGACTTCTTCAGGATGACTGTATGGAGAGAAAGACACTTCAAGAGCTGCTATGATCTAGGACTTCAGGGTCTTTTTTGCAATACTTGGAAGTCCTCGCGCAGGGATTTATGCCATTTCATTTCGAGATTTAAGATGCTCAGTTGGGCATTCGTCTCCGTCACGAACATAGATCGACCTAAATCTAAACAGGGCCTTGGTGGGCTGATCGTCGCCAAACGCCGTGGCCATCATGCGTCCATCCTAATAATTGCACCTTTAGGATTCTCGTCAGCTCCGGTCGCACTGCCTGGACATGCAAGTCTCGACTGCGAAACTCCACCAATGATGGTTTAGTGGCTACTTTGAACCCAATCACCGAATAAGAGGATTCCAGTTCCATCCAAGGGTCATTTGGATCCAGCGAGCCACGCTGTTCAATCTCAGTGGCGTGATTATCCTCATCCGGAGCCAGCTGTACGGTCACCACGCGTAACTGTGGCATGAAATGCATCGCAGTAAAAACGTGCTCCACATGGTTGTAAAATGGAAAAATGGCCGTGTAAGATAGGGACGTGAGCCCTTGAAAGTGGGGGTTAACACCCGACGGATACATCAGAGGCAGTGACTGTCCCCATCGCCCCATCACTGAGGGCACCTGCGAGAGGAAATATTCGTAGTGATTGTAGGCTTTGAGACAGGAAGCTTCGTTGAAGGAAATTGATGTCCATGGGCGAGCAGAGAGTATGTATGCCGATTGATTTGGTGGGTGGGCCACCACATTGCCATAGCTGTTCTGCTCTAGCTGCAGTATTTGCTGCTCGATGCCAAATGCCCAACTATCATTTTCATTGATCGAGATCTGGAATGTCTCGCCAATAACCCTTGGTGGCGCGAGAACTGTAATGCGTAGAGGATCAATTGAGTCAATAATCTGCCCTAGCCAGAGACCAACGAGGGATTTCCGTGGATGTTTGTCATAGATAAGCACCACAATGGATTTGATGTGTCGGGCGAGGCCATATCTCAGCACGAACGTGCAAAACTGCGCGGGTGCGTCGTGTAGCACAAAGCGCGCACAGGCGAAGAGTACAGGCCGCACCAGAGTGGCGAGGCGGGAGCAAGACTGCGAGAGGTGTTTGAGACTCTTATTTCGGGACTGCGTTATGTCATGATCTGGCTCCTTATGCAGTTGTCGCTGAGACGGTGGCTCAGTATCCAGGTAGGAGATGATCTGGTCCAGCAGCTCATTCGGGAGCCGTTCGAGAGGCGACGGCATCCTGTAGGGCTCCACCGGGGTGGCTCGTGCCCTCACGTGGCATGACGCTCTGGCCTTCCAACTTCCGTTCGATTGGAGAAGTAAAAGGGTATCGTAATGCCGTAGAAGGTGTGTACCCGAATGCAGACCGTCGCAGTGCTGGTGTTGCATGTCGACAGGTCTTCGGTAGACTTGCGAGGGGTGAAGTGCCGGGGCCCCACCGGACCAGCGCCGCATCCTCCACTTGCCTTTTTGTCATCGTTTACTCAGCCCGTCGGCTTTTGACTATGCCAGTCTCTGGTAGCCCCAATGGGCACGAAATGGATAGAATGGCAAGGAGAACAGGTGAACCGACAGTTATTCATAGCTAGCAATTCGTTTGACGATAGAAATGCGAGACTAGACTAGACTCTGGGGAAGACTCAAAGCCGGGGGTCCGGAAAAACCCCCGCCGGACGAAGTATGGAGTTCACCGCATGGACCAGCAAACTTGTCTGCCCGTCTACACTCCCAGCAGTACGGGACGGGCTGGGAGGGCCTATGGGATAGCTCGTCTAGTGCCCGAGACATAACTTAAAGGACTACCCACCAACCCCTGCCCCGACTGCACCCCAGCCAGCCTAGTCAACGCCACGCAGCACCCCGCATCAGAGGCCGAATTTTGTATACATGTTGCGCCGTTATAGAAGAATCACGGCATCTTTGCCATAAGATGATGAGGCCAGCCATCTTCAGCCGCACAGCCACCGGTGCTCGGGACCATGGACTGAGCAATTGCAAGAATCCGATAGGCGAGCAGGAAAGTGTGGAGATGCTCATCATTCAGCCAGTGGGGCAGCGATCGCAGCGAGTACAACGGCAGATGCCGTCGCCAGTCGCCATCAGCTGGTTCCGTGCCCCTCTTTTACGCCGGTCCGCGGCTCCCATTTTTCTTTTCTCTTCTCTTTGTCCAGACCAGACGTGCGAAGATAACCGCTTGTACAGTGAGTGGGAGACAATCGCCACAGCAGGCTTCGAGTCCGAGTTAACCCTGCCGCTGCACCAATAGACCATCATGGCCCCTCAACTTCACCAGCGACCCCCTTTCCGTGCTGAGCACTTGGGTTCGCTGCTCCGTCCCCAGGAGCTTTTGAGCAAGAAGATCGCCTCCGAGAAGGGCGAGGTGTCTGAGTCCGAGCTTGCCGCAGTGGAGGACAAGGAGATTAAGGACATTGTCGCCACCCAGCTGAAGCTTGGTTACCGTGGTGCTTCCGATGGAGAGTACCGCCGCCACAGTAAGTGACCGTTTGCTTTTCCAAATGATCAGGAAATATACTTAACGAAAGCTAGTGTTCTGGGGCACCTTCTTCCCCGGCCTGGACGGCTTCGAGGAGGTCACCGAATTCGAGACGGACATCTTCCGCCCATATGCTCCCGACATTGCCGCTTTCCTGGAGGCCGGTCACAAGCCCGGCGAGACCGTGCTGTGCACCGGCAAGATCAAGCACGTCGGCAGCACCTATGTTGACCAATTCAAGTATCTCGCCAGCCTAGTGCCCAAGGATGAGGTCAAGAACCTGAAGATCACTCTTGCCGCCCCCAACTGGTACCACCTCCGCTACCGTGAGGGCAAGGCGTACCCCAAGGACGTGTACAGCAACGACGAGGAGTACTTCGGCGATATCGCCAAGGCCTACCAGGCCGAGCTGAAGATCCTGTACGATGCTGGCTGCCGCAACATCCAGTACGATGACCCTAACCTGGCTTGTAAGGCACTCCCCAGCATATCCATTGCTTGAGAAGATCTCACTCACTAATCACAACCTAGACTTCTGCTCTGAGAAGTTCCTGGACGGCTTCAAGGAGGACTCCCTGAACGTGTACAGCGCCGACGACCTGTTCCAGAAGTATATCAAGCTGTACAACGACTGCTTCATCGGCCTGCCCGAGGACATGCACGTTGGCGTGCACCTGTGCCGCGGCAATTTCGTCGGCAGTCGTCACTTTTCCGAGGGCGGGTACGACCGCATCGCCATCAAGCTGTTCCAGGAGCTGAACGTCCACACCTACTACCTCGAGTACGACACCGAGCGCGCCGGTGGCTTCGAGCCGCTCAAGCACCTCCCCCCACACAAGAACGTCATCCTGGGCGTCGTCACCAGCAAGTTCGCCACCATGGAGGACAAGGAAGAGATGAAGAAGCGCGTCATCGACGCCGCCAAGATCATCGCCGAGGGTAACAACATCTCGCTCGAGGCCGCCCTCAATCAGATCGGTGTCAGTCCGCAGTGCGGCTTCGCCTCGCACCGCGAGGGCAACGCCATCGACTGGGACGGCATGATGAACAAGCTCAAGCTTGTTCGGGAGATCGCCGACGACATCTGGCCCAACCAGCCTTAAGTATGGTGGCCGGCTTTCGATGTGGGAATGGAGGAGAAACGAAATTCAACGAATACCCATTGTATACTTGTCACTCGCCATCTGGCGCCGTTCTCCCGTTGACTTTTCAACAAATGTCACGGAGGCTGGGATTGTGTATTCTTTTTGTGTACAGAGCTGGTGGGATGGCCTGGGACGAACTTCATGATATTTATCTTGCAGAATACCACCTGAACGTCTGATTCCTGGATATAGTCAGCAAACATCATACTCGTGTTCATGGTTATATTCGTCTTGGGTGAGAAGAGAGGGGAGTGAGTAAAACTAAGCGGTGGCCCATCGGAATACAAACGATGGAGAAAGAGAGTCTGAGGTTTTAAAAGGCACGGCCGGAGGGTCTGACAAGGTCCCCAAGGTACTTGGAGGTTAACCACCTACTACCCGGCTAACTCCCAGATGAGTTGGCCAAAAAAGCATTACTCATATCCTCCTGTATTACAATCATTCTACGCATATTAAAAGTCACGATAATGCCCATTCGATCAACTTTGCAGGTAAAACACACCCAAACTGCCCTCCCTATTCTGCAGGTCCAAAACTACTCGAATCCTTCGCAGCCCATTTTGTCCGATTTCCTCCATTCTCAACCCGGCCATTGCAGATATCGAATATCAAAATGAGTTGGCTTTCTGGTAGACTCTGCTCCGCAATGTCCATACCCGCGAGCTCCATTGGAAAGACCACATTGCCCACGCGATCCTCCGGCGTCAGGTTGATATGGACATTTGCATACACAGGGCTACATGGGCGGCTCTGGCAAGAGCCAATGTGGAACATCTCGAATGATCACCTAGACACAGCTAGCCATATCAAATCGAAGCTGGGAGGTATAAACCAATTTCATATCACCATGAGGAGCTGAATCCGGGGGAATGGTTCGATGACATTGGGATGCTCAACTCCACAACGGATATTGGTTCTGTGGAATTGAATTTGGGAGCATTGCACCATTCGACCTTCGATGACAGTTGTATGTCAATGTTATTTCAAGTTGATTCACTATCCTAGCTCCGTAGCCTGCTTTGCCTTCTCCTCGTTTTCTATCAAGCTGATCAACTCTATACACGTCAGGGATCGCAGAAAGGTGACAATGCAATCGAACAATGCCAACGCTGATGATATGAACCACCTTGAGAATTAAATAATTAAATTGGAGCTCGAAGCGAGTCCGGGGTAAGAACAGAGGGGATATCATAGAAGGAGAACTAGGACCAACTGGAGGAGGGGAAAGAATGAGGCCCAACAGACAAAGGAAAAAGACCCAAGGAACAGAGAAGAGAAAAGAAAAGAAAAAGCCCAAATGCTGCGTCGTCTTGTCATCAAACACGGACATGAATCGAAGGGAGAAAATACTTGTCGGGTGCGAGGTGTTGTACACGAGGCTGGCTGGGCGCCTCTCGAGATCACAGCGGGGCAATTTTATTTCGTAGGCTGGGTCTTGACGTTGTTCGAGAGCCAGGCCTGGGAAGTGGAGCCATGCGGGTCAGTGGTTGTTTTGGTCCGATCGGGCAGGGAAAGCTGGGAGCGGGAAGGAGGGAAAGGGGGGGAAGGAAACATGAACTCACCAGGCCCTCGAAAATACCGGTACCGTCTGTTGCAACACTGGGCGCAACATACCACAGCTTGTCCTTCAGCTTGGTCAGTTGGAGTTGTTGGGTGATCTCCTCCGGGCTCAGGTCTGGGGCGCAATTGGTTAGTCAGGGGGTCTTGGGGGAAAGGGCGTTGGACTCGACTTCAGTCAGGGGGAGGGCTTGTGACATACGGCCAGGGATATCCTGCTTGTTGGCAAAGACCAGGAGAAGAGCGTCCTTCATTTCGCGATCGTTGATGATCTTGTGTAGCTCCGAGCGAGCTTCCTCCAGACGTGCGGTGTCGCTGGAGTCCACGACGAAGATCAAACCTTGTGTACCAGAGTAGTAGTGACGCCAGAGAGGGCGAATCTTGTCCTGGCCTCCGACATCCCACACATTGAACTTGACGTTCTTATAGGTCACGCTCTCGACGTTGAATCCGACGGTGGGGATCGTGGTCACGTCCTGGTTGCTGAGTTTCAATTTGTAGAGAATAGCTAGCGACAATTAGCTTCATCCTCGTGTCATGCAACAGTAAATCCATACTAGTCTTTCCAGCAGCATCCAAACCCAGCATGAGAATGCGCATCTCCTTCGTGCCGAAGATCTTCCCCATCATCTTAGATACCGAGCCACCCATCTTGGCGCGTTTGAATTGGAATTGGAGGGCGGGACAGGGGCAGGTGCGACAACGCGAAGGCTCGAGGACTTGGAAAGCGTCGAGAGAAGAGTGCACGAGCCAGCGATTTGTCCACGAGCAGCGAAAAGGTGGGAACTGGAGGAAACAGCAGCTCGAAGTTTGCAATTTGAGGCGGGGAAAAAGGGGTACGCTGACTCAGCCCCCCAGAGGGCAATCGGTGTTTCACGCGCGAGGGTCCACCGCCATCTCATTTGCCTTGGCATTATATGGTCGTGTGTGGTAGCGTGGTGGAAGGTGGCCCTGGTGTAGGAGCGTCCAATCGAAAGTGCTTGGGTTAACTATAGGGTTTATCAATGCCTATGCTCGATTGGTCGATTCTTTGCATGATCGCCTTTTGCAAACGGACCTGAACCGGGAACCGTGGTTGGGGAGAATTGCCCGATGTCGACGTCATGACAAGAGTGAAGTCACCATATAGTTGTGCGCCTCGCTCGGTGCAGCTCTCGTGAAGGCCACACTTAATCTAGTCTACTTTCTACCACATGAAGCACCATGGTTGTTGACGGATCAAATTTCGAGCGTCGACCGTCTGTCAGCATACAGCGTCGGCTGTCGCAGCAATTCCGTCGATGTGCCTGGCGGGCACCTCCGTCCGATGTACGCGCAGCTATACTGGGGATGAAGCTTTCTGACGGACACTAACAAGCAACAGACTATCTACGCAGGCGTCTCTGCCTTCTTCTCTAAGAAACATGGCACGACTATTGCCATCGCGGTCCGAGATACCACTTACCTGCTAGACTTTGTCGAGAAAGTTTATGAACCTGGTGAGCACCAGCCATGCGCCGAAGAAGTTGTCCAATACATCACCTCCAAGCTCAAGGCATACGAGGAGAAGCACCTGGAGAAGATCGTCGGTGTTGCGATGCCCAAGCATGTCATGGACCACTGCCCTGATCTCTGCTCCCACTTGTGGGCAAAGCTGGATATCATCCCCTTAGTGTTGCCAGAATCGAGCTTGGTAGACCCCTTCACCTCAAGCGAGCAGGCGCCGCCGCGGAATTGGGATTCCAAGACGGTAGACGAGCAGGCCGAGTCGATGACACGGAAATGCGTGAGGTTGGTTTGGATCGGCCAGGCTGTGCAGGATGCCCGCTGAACTATACTTTCCCGCAGGTTGTTTGGACCGGAGAACATTCCCTTGCTGCAGGTGGGCTTCAAGGGCCTTGTGGAGGTCGACACAGGCTTCCACGTGCGCATGGCAAACCTTGAAGACTTCAAGAAAACGGTCTCCGCGAGTACGTGGGACGCATGTCAGCATTATGCCTCCGATCTGAAGAACCGGAAGGTGAAGGTTGCATTCTTCAGCGCAACTCCCCAGGGCGGAGGAGTGGCTTTGATGAGACATGCCCTCGTGCGGTTTTCACACTCTCTCGGCACTGACTTCAAATGGTATGCGTGATGCGCGCTGATAAGTCGTTCAAATGAGTCCCAGCATTGACATAATATGTCTAGGTATGTCCCCAAGCCACGGCCAGAAGTCTTTCGGGTGACCAAGAACAACCACAACATCCTCCAAGGCGTCGCACCTCCAAGCGAACGTCTGACCGAGGACAACAAAAAAATGTTGACCGCCTGGATCGAGGAGAATACGAAGCGATACTGGACTCTGCCCGGAGGCCCACTGTGTTCACCTGCCGAAGGGGGCGCAGACGTGTTGATTGTAGACGATCCTCAAATGCCCGGGCTGATCCCTATCGCCAAACAAATAGCCCCCAACCGACCCATCATCTTCCGGAGCCACATCCAAATTCGCAGCGATCTAGTCAACCAACCTGGTACCCCACAGGCGGAGTCATGGGGATTCCTATGGAGTCACATCAAACTGGCGGACTGTTTCATCAGCCACCCCGTGAGTGCATTCGTGCCATACAATGTGCCCCCCGAAATCGTGGGTTATATGCCGGCAACAACCGATTGGTAAGTCCTCAGCCGGGCAGCGCCCGTTATCGCGCTGACATGACACCAGGTTGGATGGGTTGAATAAGGACATGCGCGACTGGGATGTTGCCCACTATGGCCGTATCTTTAATGCAGCCTGCAGAAATGCAGAGATGCCGATGATCCAATACCCAGACGGTAAGAGGACGCCCTCCGATCATCTTGCATGCAATAGCGTGCTAACCGGCCCCCGTTAGATCAATATATTGTGCAGATCGCACGCTTTGATCCATCCAAGGGCATCTTCGATGTGCTGGACTCCTATGAAAAATTCCTCCGCCGCTTGGTCAGTGAACGGCCGGAAATGAGACCCCCAAAGCTGCTGATTTGCGGTCATGGCTCAGTGGACGACCCAGATGGAGCGCTTATCTACGACCAAGTGATAGATCACCTCGAGCAAAACCCGTACATCCGCCAGCAGGTCTGTGTGATGCGGCTGAGGCCCTCAGATCAAGTTTTGAACGCTCTTCTCTCCAAGGCCACCATTGCACTGCAGCTGTCGACCCGCGAGGGATTCGAGGTCAAGGTCTCGGAAGCACTTCACAAGGGCAAGCCGATCATTGCCACGCGTGCCGGTGGCATTCCGCTACAGGTTGAAAACAACAAGAACGGATTTTTGGTTGATGTCGGCGACACCGATGCAGTGGCGCAGCATCTGTTTGACCTGTGGACAGACGAGGCGCTCTACCGTCGAATGTCGAAGTACGCAATCAGCCACGTTGCCGACGAGGTGAGCACCGTGGGGAATGCATTGAGCTGGCTCTATCTTGCTTCGAAGCTTTCCAAGGGAGAGCCCGTGCGACCGCAAGAGCGTTGGATTAACTGTATGGCGTTTGAGGAGAGCGGCGTTTCCCCTTCTCCAGACCTGCCTCGACTGACTCGAGCCGTTCAGGTGGACAAAATGGGATAGCAATGTTGGGGGTGGGTGGTGAACCAAAGGTCACTCCATAGTTCCAGCCATGCACTTTGCTGTTTGGCCCTACTATCAGCTCAATACGTGTATCTAATTCTGAATGACAACCCAACATGGCAGACGGGCACGTCACCCAGATTGAAAGTGAAATAATTGTCAGAAAACAAAGTCAGGGGTATCATTTGATAAACGAACAAAGTGGCACCAGCTACAAACATAATCGCAAAAGACGTGCCTCATGGCCTCCCAACGACACGGTATCTCTCTCGTGCCATACCACCCTCGGCCCCTTCAACCCCATACCCTTCGCCCACCTCCCCCACAATTCGAGCCGGCCGGCCGCCAACAACACACCAACTCGGCACAACCATCCCGGGTGGAACGACAGCGCCATCCAACACAACCGCGAAATCCTTTATGATAGCCATACTGCCCACGGTCGCTCCCGCACCAACATGGACATGGTTCCCGAGCGACGCGGCCTCGACAACAGCCGACTCGCCAACGAAGACGTGGTCGCCGATCTTCAGTGGATAAAACGAGTGCACGCCGCGGTGGAGCCTGCTGGGTGGGCGCAGGATTGCGCTTTTGGAGATGTAGCTGTAGCGACCGACGGTTATGGCGACGCTGGGGGCATTCGATTGCGGTGCGGGGTTGTTCGGATCTGTAGAGGCGGCGGTGGAAGGGAGTCGGTAGAGGTCGCCTCGGATGACAGCTTCGGCTTGAATAACTGTCTTGCCGCCTAAGATGATGTGCTGCGTGCCGTGGATTTGGGACCGGCGCGAGATCTTGTTGCCCGTGTCCTGCTGCGTGTGAGCTTGGGCTTGTCATTGGAAATTGAACCGAGGTCAGTGATGTGCTTATTGAGATGTCAACGTACGGTCTCGATGTACTCGCCCTTAGCAGCTTTGGGAGGCATCTTGGGGAGTTGTTGTGACTCTGTGGTCGTCAGCCTTTGTTCCCTGCTGTTGGTAAACGCGGCACCCCGAAGGCGGTGTAGACAACTGAAGTAGAAGCCGCAATAGTTCCTACAGCTAAATTCGAAATTGGCTTTCCACATTTACGCAGAGCAACTCTCCCAAGCTCTAACGCCGAGGTGATAGTGAGACAGCCTAGGCTATATTAAGCTAGACTGCCGCTCATCCCAGTATGTTGAAATGGAAATGAAAAAAATCTAACAGGGCCAATACATCCAGATGTTGAATCAAACACTTCCATCTTTTGTCTTTCGCCAAGGTCCAGACTGTTGCAAGTCGCACCACTTTAGACCCATCACGGAATGGCCCCAGATTTGCCCACTTCTTTTGGAGCATTATTTTTTTCTCCTAATATTGTCCTAAGCCAATCATCGATCAAATCTCAGGGACACCAAAAATGGAAGTGAACAGGCTGTTCAAGATAAGCGCCCTGTAAGTCACATGATGTCGGAGCTGAGCATGGTCTTCATCTGGGGGTTGCGAAGTCTCTTCTATCCAGTCACCTAATTACTACTTGCATAGCGGGCTGACGATGACTTCTATATCGTATGGTCATACCAACTCGGGTGTACAGGTGGGGATCAATCACGGCCCGATTTATCCTTCCGCAGGTAAGTTCCACCAGGCCCTGAAAATGCGACCGGAGTAGCTGATTGGCACTTCTCAGAGAGACCGGAAACTCCACCTCGCCCTCTATCAACCGTTCCGTTCCGTCGTGACCCAGACTTTATTGATCGGAGATCGCTACTCGATCAGATATCCGAAAAAGGGACTACCCCTGGGGCTCGGGTAGCGCTTGTTGGCCTTGGTGGTGTTGGGTAAATGGAGATGCTCAGCAGACTGATCACTGCTAAGTGCTAACCTATCGACAGAAAATCTCAACTTGCGATCGAATACTGTTACCGAATCCGAGAACAATCGCCTGAGACATGGGTTTTCTGGATTCACGCAGGTAATACCGCTCGTTTTGAGCAGAGCTGCTGGGATATCGCCGACCGAGTCAAGATCCCTGGGCGGAGGAATTCGGCGAATATATTTAAAGTCATTCACGACTGGCTTTCCGATGAGAGACATGGAAAATGGGTTCTCATTCTCGATAATGTGGATGATAGTCGTTTCCTCCACGAAGTTCCGCCGGTTGGCCAGGGCGGGCAACAGAGCGATGGAACGTCCGGGCGACCACTCTCAACATACCTCCCGATTAGCCCCCATGGGTCAATGATCGTAACATCCCGAAGCAGAGGTGCAGCATATAGCATCGTGGATGACAGCGATGTAATTACGATAGAGCCGATGGACCCGTTACAAGCAACGATTCTCTTCGAAAAGAAGCTAGGATCGCAAGTAGAGAAGGAGATTATCCTTCAGCTAGCGACTGCACTTGATTGTATGCCACTTGCGATAGTGCAAGCCGCAGCTTATATCAAGCAAAGAACACCACGGCTCTCGGTGCTACAATATCTCAAAGAATATCAGAAGAGCGACCGCCAAAAAACGAGCCTCCTAGCATATGACGGGGGACAGCTGCGTCGGGATAGAGAAGCGAAGAACTCCATCCTTATTACCTGGCAAATATCAATCGACCATATACAGCGAACCAAGCCGGCGGCAGCAGATCTCCTGTCGCTTATGAGTTTCTTCGATCGCCAAGGCATTCCTGGAACTTTGCTTCAACGTCGGGCAACGACGGGAGGCGACGACAAAATATCCGCCTTGGAGGACGAGGCAGTCTCCTCATCTGGAACAGAATCTCGCGTGGACGATGAGTTTGAAGAGAATATCTTGGTATTGAGAAATTACTCGATGATCTCAACAAGTATGGATGGAGCGACATTCGAAATGCATCGGCTGGTACAACTAGCTATGCGGAAATGGCTTGAGGCCCACGGACAACTCGAACACTGGAGGCGACGGTTTATCGAGATACTTTATTGCGAATTCCCGAAAGGCAATTTCGAGGATTGGGGGGCGTGCCAACCGCTCTTTACACATGTGCAATCTGCTGTCATACAACCACCGGATGAAGAAGAAATACTGACAAAATGGGCCGACCTACTTCATAGAGCAGCATGGTTTGCGATCACAAAGGGAGATGTTCTCGAGAGCGAGAAAATCGCAATATTGGCTATGAAGACAAGAGAGAGATTGTTCGGGCCACATGACGAGCAAACGATTGATAGTTATGAAATGGCCGGGCTAGCATATAGGCTAAACGGGAAATGGAAGGACGCAGAAATCTTGCAGTTGCGAGTGATGAAAACCCGCAGGCAGGTGCTCGGGCTAGAGCATCCCAAAACTCTGACCAGCATGTCCAATCTAGCTACAATATACCGGTACCAAGGACGGTGGAAAGAGGCTGAAGATCTCCAGGTGCGGGTGATGGAGACTAGTAGGCAGGTACTTGGGCCAGAGCATCCCGACACTCTGAGTAGCATGTCTAACCTGGCATCAACATACTGGAACCAAGGACGATGGAAGGAGGCTGAAGATCTCGAGATACGGGTGATGGAGACCCGTAAGCAGGTGCTCGGGCCAGAGCATCCCGACACTCTAAGAAGCATCGCCAACCTAGCAACAATATACTGGAACCAAGGACGATGGAAGGAGGCTGAAGATATCGAGGTGCAGCTGATAGAGACTAGCAGGCAGGTGCTCGGGCCAGAGCATCCCGACACTCTAAGAAGCATCGCCAACCTAGCATCAACATACTGGAACCAAGGACGATGGAAGGAGGCTGAAGATCTCTACGTACAGGTGATAGAGGCTAGCAGGCAGGTGCTCGGGCCAGAGCATCCTGACACTCTGAGTAGCATAGCCAACCTGGCAGTAACATACCGGAACCAAGGACGATGGAAGGAGGCTGAAGATCTCCACGTGCAGGTGATGGAGACCCGCAAGCAGGTGCTCGGGCCAGAGCATCCTGATACTCTGAGAAGTATAGCCAACCTGGCATCAATATACTGGAACCAAGGACGATGGAAGGAGGCTGAAGATCTCCACGTGCAGGTGATGGAGACCCGCAAGCAGGTGCTCGGGCCAGAGCATCCTGACACTCTGAGAAGCATAGCCAACCTGGCAGTAACATACTGGAACCAAGGACGATGGAAGGAGGCTGAAGATCTCCACGTGCAGGTGATAGAGGCTAGCAGGCAGGTGCTCGGGCCAGAGCATCCTGATACTCTGACTAGCATAGCCATCCTAGCATCAACGTACCAGAACCAAGGACGATGGAAGGAGGCTGAAGATCTCCACGTGCAGGTAATAGAGACTAGCAGGCAGGTGCTCGGGCCAGAGCATCCTGATACTCTGAGAAGTATAGCCAACCTGGCATCAACATACTGGAACCAAGGACGATGGAAGGAGGCTGAAGATCTCCACGTGCAGGTAATAGAGACTAGCAGGCAGGTGCTCGGGCCAGAGCATCCTGATACTCTGAGAAGTATAGCCAACCTGGCATCAATATACTGGAACCAAGGACGATGGAAGGAGGCTGAAGATCTCCACGTGCAGGTGATAGAGACCCGCAAGCAGGTGCTCGGGCCAGAGCATCCCGACACTCTGTCCAGTATGCACAATACTGCTTATACCTTGAGGTCATTAGGTCAACTTGAACCTGCTTTACATCTGATGGCAGAATGTGTCCGACTCCGCAGCCGAATATTAGGCCACGACCACCCGGATACAATATCCTCAATATCTACTCTCAATGACTGGGATAGCACTGGTGGCGCATCTACTGAAGTTCAAGTGGCGGAACAAACGAATACCACTTCCACGGAACCCTCTGAGCGAGCTTCCACAACTGGTCGACCCCGTAGGCGAGCGGTCATATCTCGCCTATTCTTCCGCAGAAAGTGAATTCTCTTAGTTACACTTCATTATCTCGGGAGTGAGCTTTGCTTTGCACGGTGGTCTTCAAATCCAGAAATTCTTCATCACGAAGTTCAACATGTTATTTCTTTTGATGCAGCTACAGGTTGTCTTCAGGGTCAATTATATCCTTCACTTTCGAATGGTCACAATAGTAGATATACAAATACAATCTAGTTGTTTGGAACTTCCTAGAACTGGGCCCAATTGAACCGGTAAATTTACTGGCCGTATTTTGGCACATGTTCCGTATAATACGTTAAAACTGCAATACCAAATAATGGACATAACCATATCTGGTGTAGTAAATTTCAGGATGGGGACCCCTAAGTTTAGTATTTCTTGGTTTTGAGATTTTCCATCTTCGCAGTCTTTTAAGTCTATCTCTAAAACTTCTCATCTCCTCGTCAACATAACCAATGATGAACGACTAGCACGATCTCCCATTTAGGGTGTTGATCACTTTAGGTTCGGTTTGTGGTGGATCGCTTGGCTAAATTATCATGAGACTTGGGGTTTCCGTGGTCTATTGCCGCTCGGACTTATACAGCCCTACTGCAGGCTTTCAAATGAGGCGGAGGATCTCTTAAAGGCAACCTTCGGGGTTGGCCTCAGCGGTCTTGGTTTACTTCTGGGTGCAAATCTTGTTCTGCGTATGTATTATGGCGCTGGGTCTATTGTTTGATTCGTTTGTGGCAGATGCTGAAACCGGCATTCGGTAGGTAGTAAAGTAGAGATGAGCTTGGAAGGGGTGTCGTTCCGCCCATTCTCGAGGCTCTCGGTCTCGATGACCACTTGTGGCACACAATTAAGGTATAGGATGGATCGGTGGCTCCATTGTCCCACACCAAGTAACGTAAACCAATCTAGCCTGATTGATTAGGACTGACGATCGTTTTCAAAAAAAATTTCAATATTCGCGGTTGCCTTATACGGAAAATGCTTATATAGGGAGTAAGACCTCCAAGAAATCGGCAAGAGTGGAAAAACTGGGGGAAAAGCAAAGACATTACGTACGTGCCTCTTAAACCGTCTTAATCCGTCTAAGCGCAAGATTTATATAGCACAAGATCAAAAACAGTAAAATGTCCCCTCGGAAGAAAACAATATCGTGATTGGAACTATACACTACAGCTACAACGCTTTCCATAAATAAAAGCACAATCTCTGGATATCCTGGGAGGGAAGCAAGTCCCCCGAGACACAAAAAACAACAAAAAAATACGTAAAGCATGGCCACCCACAGAGAGTGTCGCACATTAAGCTGCTGCCCCAACCATTTAAAGGGCCAGGGGCCGTGGGGTAGCTATTTTTGTCGGACTTGAAGGACCGCTTAGTTCTTCTTCGCCGGCTGGAGCTTGGGGAAATCGAACTCGCCGTCCCAGTGAAGCTTGAGCGCTATAGTGATTTGTTAGTATTGGGAGAACAGGATGGTTTGTGATCTGGGGGGAACCTACACATCGGGAAGGGGAAGTACGACGTTCCATCCTGGCGCAGATAAACGTAGTAGCCGCCCTCCTGGGGGATCTTCTTGAGCTGGCCCTGGGCGCCAGTAGCGCGACGGAGGTTCTCAAGACGGCCGACGACACGGAGCATGGCGACGAGGGCAATCTTGGTGATCTCCTGACCGAAGCCGGTGCTGGGCCCTTGTCCGTGGTTGATGTACGAGTCGAGCGGGCGGTCGAGGTTGACTTCGTTAGGCTCAGGGAAGACGCTGGGGTCGTGGTTGGCCTGGACGAAGGAAGCGAAGATCTTGTTACCAGGCTGGATGTCGATCTTCTTGCCGTCCTCCTCAACGGTGATAGCGTTCAGGGCCTCGCGGTACGCGCCGAAGGTGCCGTTGATACGGATCGCCTCCAGGCAGTAGCGGTACAGCTTCTCGTCGGACTCCTTGGAGTCCTGCTTGGCGAGGCTGTTGATCTCGGCAAGATGCCTCTTGCCCTCAGGCGAGGTATAGTACTCGATGATCTGGGTGAAGACCTGGCCCTGGTTGGGAACCATGCCGACAATGGTGGGGATGATCTGCGACCAGGTGATCTGCGAGACGCTCAGGCCGGAATCCTCCAAGCGGCGGAGAGCGGCAGTTCCGTACTCGCGGAGGGCATTGTCATGGGGACGGAAGTTGTCCATCAGACCGGCCAGCAGACCGCTGCTGGTGTCGGCTTTGACAGTGGCCTCGACGACATTGCCGAGCTGCTGGGAGACGGCAGCGGAGGCGCGATTGAGCGAGAAAGACTTAGGGCCGTCGACGTCGAAGAAGAGAGCAGAGAAGATGGTGGTGAGGATCATGTACAGCTCGTGCTCGGTGAAGAGGCCTCGAGGATTCTCCTCGGTCTTCAGGGGCAGACCAAAGATGGCTGACGCGAAGTGGAGGTGGGCAAGGTTGCCAACATCGCGGGTGATGTCGATCTGGTTGATGTTGGCCAACTTGGCGCCCTTCTCCTTGATAAGGCGAAGAGTGACGTCCTCGTAGAACTTCTTAACCAGCTGGGGGAAGTCCTCGGTGCTGAAGGCCTTGCCCATAGCCTCGCGCTGCTTGACATCGAACTCGCCCTTACCGAACAGGTCCTCCATGGCGCTGCTCCAAGACATCTTGAAGTCCTTCTGGTTCTCAAGAACTAGCTTGGCGTTCTGATGCGAGGAGAGGTTGATGCGCGAAGGAGTGAATGAGGGAGGGTCGTAGGAGTAGTCCTGCTCGCGACCCAGCGTCTTCATAATTTTGCGGTTCTCGCTCGGGATGGTCATGGGGTAGTGAGCGTAGATGGAGTCAGGTTGGAACCAGTTGGGGAAAGCACGGGTGGCCAGCTTGTAGAAAACACAGCCCTGATTGATGTTCAGGTCATAACGGCACTCGTTGTAACCCCAGTTGGTCAGGTTGCGAGGGTTATAGTCGACGGTGTAGTGGCGATCACCACGAACAAGCGCGACAGCATCAGACAGCACAGCACGGGAGATAGTGTAGGTCGGGGCGATACCGACGCCAGGGATCATGGGCTCCTTTGGCTCCTCACAGATAATACCAGGGTACAGCTCGACGTAGTCGGGGTGCTCGTACAGGTGGCGCAGGTTATTGGCAATCTCCGGGTCGGAGTTGATCTCCTCGAAAGTGTCGTAGGTCTTCAGGCCGAAGTGCTTACGGAACTCATTGAGGGAACCAACATGCCACCTGCGGGCAGCCTCCATACCGAGGATCTCGATGGAACGTAGGGCCTTGGGGATGTTGCGGGGGCCGAAAGAGCTGGCAACATCCTCGCAGGCGTTGGTCAGGATTTGCACAAGCTCATCATCCTTGAATTTGCCGTCTTCCTGGCGCTTCAGGTTGGCGAAGGTACGCTTGGACGGATCGGGGTCGAGCATGCCCTCCACCTTCTTCAAACCCATCAGCAGCTCAGGCATGGTAACCTGATCGGCCGGCTTGCCCATGATATCAAAGTAAACCTCCTCAATCCATTTCTCATCGCCCTGGGCGATGGTGGAGTGCCAGCGATACGCCAAGTTAAACTCGACGGAACACTGGTTACCGAGACCAGAAGGAGTGGCGCCGGCGTTCTCCATCTGAGCACGAGGATCCAAGCACCAGGTGGAGTTGGTGCGGTTCAGGTTGACAATGGTACGCAGGTAGTCGTACAGGGTGATGTTGATGTACAGACCACAAGTGATCAGACGACCGGTCTGGAACAGGTCCTCATCGTATTTGGCCCAGGCCTTCTTGGCCTCCTCCTCCGGCAGACCATCACGGGGTTTGGTGAAACGGTTGTTCTCGTTGATTTCAGCCAACTGCTCCACAACGTGGTTGTGGAAACGGTTCAGCATAACCAGCAGGACACCACAAGCAGCGGGAAGGGCCTGCAGACGACCCTCGGAGAAGCAGTCCGGCTTCAGCTTACCGTCCTGATGGGACCGGATCAGGTCCTGCTGCTCCTTGACATCACCGTACAGAATGGAGAGGTCCAGGTAGGCAGATGTCTTGTTCAGGTGCTGTTGACGGTAGTCGGTCTGGAAAATGTCTTCAAAGAAGGGAAATTTAGTATTTGCGACGACGTCCCATGCAATTGGCAATGCCTACCGTGAATAATCAGAGAGGCCCAGTCGAAGAAAACACTGGACACCTTGTTCGGGTGAGGGGTGAACTTCTGGCGGGCGAACAGGCTGTCGAAGATCAAACCGGGATCGGGCAGGCCGGCGGGCTGGATGGTCAAGGGAGGAATGGTGCGGCAGTAGGGAGTGTTCGCAGCGCCCAGCCAGGGGAGGGTCGGGTTGTTGTTGGAGCCGTCCGCGGAGCGGTACTTGTACTCATCACCCATGTAGCTATTCTCGGCGTTAATATCGCAAAGGCCTCCCCATTACAAGTCCAATTGCACGCAGAACTTACGAGAGAGGAGGGTGGGGAATGGAGCTCCAAAGCTCGTCTAGGAACAGGTTGGTGAGCTGGGTCCGGTTCTTGGAGTGACCGGGCATATCGGCGACAAGCTACAATGCATATCCATGTCAGTTTGACCGAGGAAATGTGTGCCAATGGGACTCTGTGCAAAACCCGCAGCTCATACCTGAATAATGCGCTCCATCATGTAGGTCTTGTCATCGATCAGCTCGCCGGAGGCCTTGGTCTTGATCAGGTCCTTTACGGTGTTGAGATCGCGGAAACCGAGCGACTTGATGTCACTGAACAGGCCAGAGGACTGGTCATGCTTGAGGTAAGTACCATCACCGGTCTGGTTAGGAAGCGGCTCGCGCGAGGCGTGGATGGCCTGCGCGTACTTCTCGAAGACAGCGACCACCTCGGCGCGGCTCACGGTTTGGGGCTTCTCCTCATTGGAAGCAGACTTGCGCGAAGGCTGGGCAGCCTTGGAAAAGCGCTTGCTATTCTCCTTGGAGCTCTTGGGCTCCGCATCGCCATTGGACTCCTTGTTCCTCTTGAATTGCGTCGAGAATCTCCGCAACATGGTGACGATTGTGTCCGGGGCTTTCCTACACAGGAAAGTCACTCACGAATGCGAAGAGGACAACGGAAAGAAAACCGAAGAATAAAACACCACAAACAATGAACAGTGGCTACGACAAGCCAGATCAGGGGGAGGAGAGGGGAAAGAAGAAATGTCGCGCGCAAACGCCGGGTTTAAAAACGAGCTGCGAGGGCAGGCCCATGTCAGCTGCTGCAAGACTGTGGAGCATCTGCGGTGGCGGATTAGTTATCGCCAATAGTTGATTGAATGGCAGGGTCCGATCTGATTGGGGATGGACAGGTTCGAGAGACACTAGCCTCGATCTGCCCGGAACTTGTGGCTAGGAGCGAGCTGGGTTGCCAATCACGCCGGCCGCCCCGCGTGGGACAAGCTCCAATGCTGGGCCCAGCTGGAGCTGACTCGGCGGTGGAGCCCTTCGGAAGGAGCATGGACATTGTGAATGGCACCGGCGATGACGGACGGCTCAACCCAGCAAGTGATCGTCCTTGTGGGGGGAGCCCCGGTGCGAGGGAAAGGGGTGGGCCAGGCACTCGGACACGGCAGGTCGCAGTGCTTCAGGGCAGGTCTTTTTGGCGGTCCTCTGTACTGTACAGTGTACTTCGTACAGGGTGGTACGGAGCACCGTCTGGAGGAATTGTTCTGACGTCGCAAGGCAGGGAGAGCTGTGCCTGTGCGAGTCGTGCTTGGTGCGAAGCTGAAACCTGAAACGTGCAGTTAGGTTTCGCTATAGCGGCGACATACGAGCAGCCGACGTCACCCAACGACTCCTTTGATGGAGGGCGCTTCCCTGAGTGTCATGACCAATGTTATGAATGATGATACAGTACATACTAGCGGTGTAGGTACGAGGAACTGAATCTCGGATGGGGGCATTGCGCCCCACACTAGGATCGCGGATCCAGCCAGACGGACCAGCTAGGGCGGGATGGACGGGGCGCGAAGTGGAGGTTGGCGGGTGCGCTTGGCCGATCGGAAACCACCTGGCTCGGTGGCTGGCTGGGGAATCACGGAGCAACCGGTTTTGAGGGGAACGACTAGAAAGAAAGGGGTTGGGGTGGAAGGGGAGGCCCAAGTTGGAGGGGGCTGTCATACCCACCTCGCCGGCGGTTGACTTTGGAGGGCTTGTCCAATGACGCAAGGAAGAACAGCTCGACCGCACCGAATGGATATCCCGACGGCGTAGTGGTCCAGCATAATGCTACACTGCGAACTAGTCCATGCAGGAGGACTTTTTCGGTTCGGCTGCCGCAGGTGGATGTCTACAGAGCAAGTCACTACGGAGTATCTGTGCTCCGTGGTGTACTCCGTAGTGGGGATTCCATCGAGAGGATGTTGATTCTTTTCCTACGGATCGTCAGACCCACCCGTTCGCCCGCTGCTTTTAGGGCTTTGGGTCTTGGCCGGCGAACGGACCGCCCAGCAGCACGCACCGCTTGATGGCCCCTCGTCATTGGCGCCAGTCATCGCCAATGGATCAATATCTGACCTATCGCCCAATCTCCACCCTCAGGGTCCTTGTGCACCAGTTGTGCCAGGTTTCTATTCTTTTTCATTTTCGTTCTCTGCAAGAGGGGGAACAGGGTCAACTGCTCTGGAGTCCACGATGGATTATGCACACACCCAATTAACGCGGGCAACCATCGTTGAATCAACAAGCAGTCCGATTCGACCCCGCCGAGAGCTCGGACCCCTCCGGGTATCCTGCAGAACCCTGACTCGCGTGAAGAACTCAACCACGGCACGGGCATGGCAGGTCTGGGGCACGGCCGCTCCCGAGGCTGGCCTGCGATCGAGGTTCAATAAAACGTACCAATGAGAAGCGAGGCAAAGGAATGAACATTCCGCATGAGCACATCTTACCACCTGGCCAGCACATTTTCATGTGATGTTGTGCGGCCGAGCGATCCGCGGGGGGAAAGATGGAAAGATGCCGTATACTCCCCCTTGAAGAGGGCGGAAGCGGTCCCACCAGCAAAGTCTTTCCCAGGTCGTCCGCCATGTTGACTGTGCCCTGGATCACGGCAAGTAAGTTTCGGGTCCGCGTCACTGGCTTTGCAAAGTTCCGACATCTTCAGATGACGGCCCAGACGGGGGCGACAGGTGGACCGCGGGTGGGTCAGCCAAACTACATAGTCCATCCTAGTCCATCATAGTCCATTTTAGTCCATCATGGTTGGTCGGCTCGAGGACAGGGAGTTCGCCTCCCCCAAACCACTCGTTTGCAGGCGACGCAGAGCTAGCGGGTTAGTCTCGATCAGAGAGGCCCAGAGTCCCAGAGTACCGAATTGAAAAATAATCCGATGAACACCCGGCCACCCCCCTTTTCGCTGCGGAAAGCACCAGGCACGAACCACCCTCATGGGGAAACCCGATGCAATCCTTGTCGTGGGGAATAATCGACAAGTCTCGACAGGAATATCCCAAATCGGACGGGGAGTTCCGTGTCATCGGTCCAGCCTCGACACCTACTGGGTCCAATAGGGTCCATAGTGGCAGGCCATTGTCGCGTAGCACCCACGAGAAGAGAACAGACGGAGCTGGGGCTGCGTGTCTCTTTGTTTTTTTTCATTTTTTTTTTTCAGCACGCCCCATCAGGCCCGGGAAGAACCCCACTTGGCAGGGAAAAAAGTGCAGTAAGTACTCTGTACCGGAGGCTTGTTGCTGACCCTCCTCCATACGCCGTCCGTTGGGGCCCCTCAGAAGACGCGAGTCAGGTCAGCCCAGATGGCAGGACCAGCAATAGGATCCGAGGCGCGGCGATTATTGGATGAGATGCGCCCCCGTTGGAGATCGATTACGTGCGTAGGGTTGCTTGTGCGACGAGAGCAGCGGAGGTGCATCTCCATCGGTCCCTAGCACACCAGCCCCGGGATTCGGGATCGAAGGAGGTGGGGGGAAGGTCTGGTCCCACGAGGGATTGGACCATAGCGTCACAAGTTAGCTCGTCTAGGAAATAGCAAAGTCTCAGAGTCTGAAGATTCCGAATTGGGGTAAACACACCAGACCCGTGATTGGAATGTGCCAGCCCCGTCCCACCGCCCACTCGAGCTTGACGTATCCTCCTCGGCTGGGCTGCAGCGATCGTCTCGGTGGGTGACACGCTGGGAACATTCTTATCTTGCCAAACCTGTCTGGACGGAGGCACGGGTCTCCGCTGCTTGCTGCTTGCTGATTCGTGTCATCCATTCCCCCCTCACCTGCAGTTCGCCGGGCCCGGTTCTTCTCGTATATAGTCTGTCCCCCTGCGGACCGCCGTACGCATCGTGCCCTCCCCGTGTTTACAGCACCATGGCTTACCACCCGGGCGCTCCGCACCTCCACGGCCCCCCGAAGCAGTTTGTGCTCTGCTTTGATGGCACCGGCAATAAATTCGCGGGCGACGAGTCCGACAGCAATGTGCTGAAGATCTTTCGTGTAGGTTCAAACTACCACACCCTTGCGCCGTTCGACAAACCACTCACAAGACAAAAACCAACTAGATGCTGGACCGCAGCAAGAGTCATCAGTACCACTACTATCAACCAGGAATTGGTACCTACGTGACCACCAAGTCGCTGTCCAGCCATGGCCGCGTCCAGCGCATCAAATCCTGGTATCAGAAGGCCAAGGATTCGGCCATCGGTTCCTCCTTTGACGAGCACGTCATGGGCGGTTACAAATTCTTGATGCGTTACTATTCCCCCGGAGACGAGATCTTTTTCATTGGCTTCAGCCGCGGCGCATACATTGCCCGGTTCCTGGCTGAAATGCTCGACTACATCGGTCTCCTCGAAGCCGGAAATGAGGAGCTGATTCGTTTCGCCTGGAAGACTTTCGCCAAGTGGCAGCAGCGCGCAGGCGACAGTGAAGAGGAAAAAGCCGAGAAAAAGAAGCTCTTCGAGTACATGAAAGCATTCCGAGAAACCTTTAGTCGTCCGATTTCGCGCATTCGCTTCATGGGTCTCTTCGATACCGTCAACAGCGTGCCCCGCTTCGAGAATGCCTGGATGCAGCGCAGCAAGTTCCCGTATACGGCGCGCAGTTCCGCCAGAGTGATCCGCCACGCAGTCGGCATTGACGAGCGCCGCGCCAAGTTCCGCCAGGATCTAATCTCAGGCCCGCGGCCGCATGGCAAGGAGCACAAGCCACACCGTCACCATATGAACCCGCGTGGCCATCTGGCGCGCCATGCCGATGCCCACAACCACCTACACATCCACCATCAGGACCACCACCAGAACCGCCCTGAGCCCACTGCCGACCCGGTCCCCGCCATCATGGTCAATGACGAGGAGAAGGTCCCTCAAAACGGCGATCCAGATGGCCCGGAGGAAGCAGCACCCGCTTTCGAGTTCCCAGGATGGGGCCCCTCCAACGGCGAGACGTACTACCACCCCTCGCACCTTTCATCTCATCAGGGCAGCGAGAGCAACGCCGGTGAGAAGGTGGGCAACCGCTATCGCTCGCCCTCCCCCCGGCGCAACAGCCTCGTGGTTCCCAAGCCCGCCGCGTCCATCGACGACCTCCAGTCCGTCCGGAGCGGCCTGTCTGGCAACATGTCGATTCAGATCCCCAGTCAATACGGCGACGACTCGGACGATGAAGAGGACCAGGACATCCACGAGGTCTGGTTTCCGGGCTGCCACGCAGATATCGGCGGAGGCTGGAAGCTGGAAGGCGGCGAGCTGTGGGCTTTGAGCCACGCGCCGCTCGTGTGGATGGTACAGGAGGCTCAGAAAGCCGGCCTGGAGCTGGACGAGCGCAAGATGAAGCAATTCCAGTGTTTGGAGGAGTACGATGGTAACTACACGCCCATCCAAGAGGAGATCGCGGCGCGCCGGCCCAGCCAGTGCGTTGACGGCCATGGCGATAACCCCGAGGCCTTCCGCACGTCGCCTGACGAGAAGCAGCGGTCGGCGGCGAGTCGCGACTTCTGGCACGCACTGCACACCTCCAGCACCAAAGGTCTCCTGCATGACTGCTTGATGTTCAAGCAGGGTCTGCCGGCGTTGTCGGTCATCTCCTGGCGGATCATGGAGTGGCTGCCGTTCCGGCGCATGGATCTGCAGGCCGATGGGTCGTGGAAGCCGATCTGCTGGCCACTGCCGCGCGGTGAGGTGCGCGATGTGCCGCTGGACGCGGAGATCCATGTCTCAGCCATCCGGCGCATGCAAGCAGACCCCAAGTACCGCCCCGGCAATGTGATTCTGGGCGGCGGCGGTCGCGGTGTGCGCATTGCGCCGGACTCGCACGGCATGGGCGACTGGGTCGTCCTCAAGAACGAGGGCGACGGGGTGCGTGAGACGTACGTCCGCAAGAGCGTGGCGACCAAGTGCAGAGAGGAGCTCGAGCGTATGAAAGCGCATGCCGCCGTACACTAGGTCGGCCTCGTCTTTGTGATCACTGTTCACTTCGTGTCGTGATGCTGTTCACCACATCGCACCCTATGACCCTAATCCTTCTCCTGCCTACCTACTATACCGGCGATACTGGCTATACATACCTAGTGCCTTGGTTAGTCCCGTGTGGATGCACGAAATGCAATTGTAACAATCTGTGTAATAGAGTTTGCGGCCATCTCGAGGGGTCTGGAGCTGTCTAATTCTGTAGCCCTGATCGTAATCGCCGCCCCATCCTTGCAGCTAAGCTCTTGGCTGCATTGGCGAGTTCGATGCAGTGGAACAATAGCTCCTGGACGCCCCCGCGCGATCGAGGGAGTGGCTCGGTCCCGCTGCGACAATGGGGTGGTTTGCAGAGACTGCGATCCCTGGCGAGGACCAATTGCCGGCATCTGAGAAACAAGGTCGAGAAGGAAGGAGGGAGAGACTACTGTTGTGGAGGCAAGCATCCTCACTAACCTTGTGGGGCCACGGCTTGGGATATCCATGGTTCTTGGGCTGGTCTACGGAGTATGTAGACTTATAATGGACATTAGACCGGGACATGCCAAGACCAAGCACGACTTGTTGCGCACACACACACACTCCCGAAGGACATGGAGACAAAACGACCGAAAAGGTTGTGAAGACGGTCGGAGGGAAAGAGATCAATGAACAATGACTGGGACTGGAAAGACAGAGGGGAATATACGGAGGAATCGGCAGCTGATAGTAAAAAAGAACAGCCCGACTGGGGCTACCACGGATCGCCCGCAAGCCACCGCGATACGTTGATCTAGTTCCTGGCATCGACGCCAAGATGGGCCAGCCATGTACATGTACTTCAAAATAGCGCAGTGGGCCCGCTTCGGACACCTCTTGGCTTCTTAATGGTCTCTTACAGATTCCCAGACCAGACCCATTCGCCTCCCCACAGGAATCCCGAGAGCTTTCCGTTTTCGCTTAGAGAAAACTGTCGATCCCGAACCTAGGGTTCGATGATTCATGATTGAATAAGGATTGATGTAAAGATTTTATGCCCAAGAATAGCCTCAAAGGAATAGAGTTTTCAATAGATTACTTGTGCATATGAACGTCACTGCTCTGTTTCGGCCGTTGAGCAAACTCGGCGCATCCTCTGCAACGGCCGGAGTGCTCGATCAATCCCGGACGCCTGCATGGTTCTCCGATGCTCTCGAATAGCAGCGATGCCTAGATAAACTGTAATCGAGCGTGCCTTTTATTTGCATGAGAGCAAGATGCCCATCGCCGTCTTCCGTGAGGAGCCGACCGATGGGAAGAGCGCAAACCCCTGTCTTCTCTGCGATCTTCCAGCTCGAAGACGAACGTGACCGAATGGACCGTGAGGGAAAGGAGAAATATAGGATAGTCTTTTCACAGTCATTATTCATGTGCGCTCGAAATAGATCTGCTTGGTGGTAACAGTCGAGAACGAAAAGAGTATAAACGCCGATAGGCGCAAGCCTTGTCAGGGTCCATCGGTCTGGGCCTTGGCTCATTTTCGCCGCAACCTTTTTTTCTGCCTTTTGACCTCACCATTTTCCTCTCTCGCCGCTCTTTTTCTCCTTCCAAACTTGACCTCTTTTCTCAAAGCTTGGCCGGCCCAAGGTTTTCGACCCTTTCTCCCCCTTTCCTGCCGTCTCTACATGATGCGCCCGGCGTAATAACCACCGCTCGCTTCTTCCATTTATCACCGCCACCCTCTCTCTTCCCTCCCCTCCCCCCCTTTTCCACAGGGATCGATCGCCTTGATCGCCTTAGCCATGGACGGGTCGCAGCGACCTGAAGCCATGTGCTCCTCTCACTCCGACTCCAGCGACCCCTCCCGGCCCAGGTCCGAAGATGCCCCGAGCCGAGTGGGAAAGGAGGACGTCATGATCACTCTGTCGCTCTCTCCCGAACCGCCGGCTCCTCCCCGGACTCGATCCCCTTTGGCCCGACCGCATCTGCGTTCACGATCACTGGTTGGGATCCCCGGCATGCCATCGATGACGCGCGCGTACTCATCCCCAGGGCTGGACTCTCGGGGGCGATATATCTTCGTCAATGGCCGCGGGGTGCCCGCGCCTCAGTCTTCCGTGGACATCGCGAAGCGATCTACGCCCTTGCAGATGCGAGCGGATGATCACATCGAGACCCGCCTGGGGTCGCTCAACATCTCGGAAACGATCTCTGAGAATGCCGAGCTCGAGACGGTGCCGCCGTCTCCCTCGTCGCAGTCGGGCTCGTCGCCCGTCTTGATGCCGCAGACCTTCCCCCGCATCGGTCGCCTGCGCTCGACATCTCCCCTCCATTTTCAGCAGCCCATCAGCAATCTGCCCTCGATCCATACCTCGCCCACGCTCGGTGGGAAGTACAATGAGTCATATCCTGGCCTTTCAGCCTCCTCTACCTCCTCCGTGCCCTCTACCCCCACTAGCCTCCGCTCTCGAAGCCCCAGCATCTCGTCATTGGAAACTATACCCGACATTCCGGATGCCGAGGCCGAGGCGCTCGAAGATGACCGGATCGCGGAACTAAAGGCTGCGGCAGATGCAGCCGATGCAGCAAGCAACGCGGGCCGACGACGCGGCACCTCCGACTTCTCTACCCCGTCTAGTTCATCCGGCACAATCCGTGGCGGAGCCAGTGCATATGCCCCACGGAGCGACAAACGCAAGCGATGGAGTGTCTGTGGTGCCGAACGCCGGCAAGATCTGGACCTAGAAACTATCTGGGAGGACTAAGGGACATCCAGCAGAAGACGCGTCCGGGGAGCGCACTCAGTTTGCCACATTGCTCACCATACTAGTCATGTCTCTTCCAAGGTCTCCTCTCCGCCTTGTACCTGGGATCGATCCCTTTTACTTCGGGGCACTTCATGCTGGGGAATTCTTTGCTTCGCAGACCCCGAAATTACTCGATACCCTTATCCACCCATCTTTATCCGACAACGTACATACCCTTCTGCCATCTACCCATCTTTGAAAAGCGATATCATCATACCAAAAGGAGTTTCGTTGCCGGTGGCGCTACTGTGTTCTTTTTTGTTCTGGCGGCGCGACGGGAGGCCCAACCGGCCAGGCGCATGGCTTTCTCATCCATCTATTATGCTGGGCATAATTCATTCGCGTTGGGTGTATCATTTGCCTTTTGAGTTTTCGTTCTTGCCTTTTTTTGTTCCCTGTCTTCTGCTCGATACCATCGATCCGGAGTATCTTATCCTCCGGCTTTTTGCTTGCGTTATGCCCCGCCGCCTCTAGGGCTGGTCGGACCCAGATTCGAAAGAAGACGCTATGTTTTATTGAGAGAAAGCGTAGTATTGTCTGAAGTATACACCAAAATAGCTCCAGATTCGTCTTGTTTCATCTAGATGGATCCCGGCAACGATGCAACCCCGTTGAACGCGGCCAAGCCCCATAGATCCATAGATCACCCGTCAGCCAATCATCCGCGCACTGGGACCCCCGCCTTCTATCAAACGCCGCAACTCTGCGAAATGGAAACTTTCCCTGCCATGAACGGCGACTCACCCCATGTACAGGACTGCCGTCAGATACCGCCGCAAACCCCCGAGCTTACCAAGCGGCGCTCACGCAAGTTGTCGTGGCCGCGCTATGTCTACCAAACCCCACATTGGCGTCATCGGCGCGGGCTTATCGGGCTTACGCTGCGCCGATATCCTCCTCCAGAACGGTGCGCAGGTGACCATCCTAGAAGCACGAGATCGGATTGGCGGGCGAGTAGGTTTTCCCACACCCTTCGCTACGTGTTGCTTTTGTGACGACTGTTGGGGTGATGGCGAATCATGGGGCTTTGCTAAGCACTTTTTGTTCTCTGGTTAGGTCCATCAAGAGGAGGTCGGAGGTCATTCGGTGGATCTGTATGTTTTGGCGTCCCCCTTTCTACCCATGCCTGCCATTTGACTAGAATTTCTTTGCTTCTTGTCAGAGACTAACCTTCACGAATAGCGGCCCAAACTGGATCCATGGCACCGGTGCAAACCCAATCATGTCGATTGCGGAGGCGACGCAGACCGTCACGTATGATCCGGAGGGTCGGAATATCTCCATCTCGCGTGATGGAAATCTTATTGATGAGGAGACGGCAGCCAAGGCTGCGGAGTTCATGTGGGCCACTATCGAAGAGGCCTTCCAGTATAGCAATCAGCACGGGGATACGATCCCGCCCGAGCGAAGCTTGTATGATTTCTTTCAAGAGAAGCTTGAGCAGACCCAGTTCTCCCAAGAGGAGAAACAGATTTGTCTGGACTCTTGCAAGTTCTGGGGCACCTATGTGGGTGATCCTATTGAGCGGCAGAGCTTGAAATTCTTCTACCTGGAGGAATGCATCGATGGAAGTGCGTATTCTATTCTGTCTGAAAAGACCATCAAAAAGGCTCTCATCAAAACCCTATGCGCTACTAACGTATCCTGGCAGATAATTACTTCGTCGCCTCGACCTACAAACGTATTCTGGAGCATGTCTCCAAGACGGCGCTATCGCAGGCTGATATTCGATTCCAGCAGCCCGTCGTGAGCATCTATGCTCCACCGCGCGACGGCGAGCACGCTCAGCACCAGGTCACCGTAAGCACTGCTACAGGTGAGCGCTACAGCTTCGACGAAGTCGTTATTACCTGCCCCTTAGGCTGGCTAAAACGCAACACGGGTGCATTCTCCCCGGCCCTGCCAGGCCGGCTGCTTGAAGCCATCACGAGCATATCCTACGGCCGGTTAGAGAAGGTCTACGTTACGTTCCCACAGGCCTTCTGGAACGCCAACCCAAGCTCAACTGCCAACGGGCAGCACACTGGCGCAACGAAAGGGTCTACTTCCGCCGATGGTAAAGATATTGGCTCAAATTCAAATACCCCGGTGAATCCCATCTTTGCGCAATTCCTCGAGCCATCTTACGCTGAGCGCCCGGATGGCCTGCCATGGAACCAAGAATGCCTTTCTCTCGCCGCATTGCCAGCGTCCTGTGCCCATCCAACTCTCCTGTTCTACACCTACGGGCCCTGCGCAACACACATCGTTAAGCAAATAAGGCATTTGGCCCCCAGCTCACCAGAATACAAACAGATCCTTCTCGCCTTCTTAGAACCTTTCTACTCCAGGCTACCAGGATACGATGCTACCTCGCCAGACTGTATTCCCACCGCAGTCATGGCGACACGTTGGCAAGATGACCCATACGCCGGCCATGGGTCGTACTGCAATTTCCAGGTGGACTTGACGCAGGCGGACAAGGACATCGAGGTGCTGCGTTCGGGGGCGGGCGTCGGGCCTGCGCGGGGCCTATGGTTTGCGGGTGAGCATACTGCCCCGTTTGTGGCGCTGGGGACGACGACGGGGGCTTATTGGAGTGGGGAGCGGGCTGCGGTGCAAGTTTGCGAGAGTCGTGGATTAGGCTGCGTGGGCACTGGTGTTGCGAGTAATGACTCGAGCACTGAATCAATCAATCAATCCCTACTCTGTTAACCTGATTCCACAGCATATGTAATTACGTCGATACAATTTCGAATATTTGTAAATGGTCGTAACTGGGATTTCATTCCAGGATTAGTAGATCTATACCGGGAGCTATTTCCCGCAGTCCGCACCCCGCCAAAGGCAAGACTCCTCCCAGCCCAAAGCTCCGTGAATACCAAGGCCAGAGTCAGTTTAGATGGAGGGAGCGAATTTCTTAGACATCGGGATGCAAAGGGGAGAGAAGAGCACAAGAGCCTAGACAGAATAGAAGACAGACCTTGAAAAACAAGGGGATCCATGGGGTTCACGTGACAGATGTGGCAAAGACCGCTTGCTAGCACACATCGTGAATCATGATGACAGAGAAAAGAAGAGGGAGAAACAGACACATGACAGCTGCACAGATGATAACAAAGGAAACAGAGAAGATAGGGGGGTGGTCAGAGGGTTCGAACACGATAAATGGCTTGCTGAGCTGTGCCAGGTCGTTTTTGGTCCCTTTGACCGTGTTTTATCGCCATGCCCCTTGACTCAGGGACAGGAGGCCCTGGACACAGTCCAGGTCATCCTCTTGGCTGCCACCAGCACCGCTGGTCATGAATGCTGACACTTCGGCACTCAGGTCTGGTCCTGCTTTGCCCTGGCCGCCGGAGGGGTATTGCCGGTTGCGCCTGCTGCCCGACATGAGGCTGAGTCCGCGGTTGCGGTTGGCTTCGCGCAGTACGGGCCGTGGGGCGTGTGAGGTTGTGCGCCGGCGGACTTGTGTGGACCGAGTACCTGGGATCCAATTCTCCTTGTCGGAGTCTCCGGGGTCAAGCTCCAGGTCCTGTGTGTTGGACTTGGAAGTCATGTGCTTGGACAGTTTGGATGATTGGTAGGGGGACGCCCGGTTACGCTCGGTCTCTAACCTGCCCAGAGAAGAGACTGTACGAGAGAGCTTTCGCCTCTTCTCGCTCATGGATTGGGAGATGGGTGTGCTGGCTGCGTCGGCATGGACGGAGACCATGCTGTGTCGTTGCGACGCGCTTCGTGTGAGAGAGCGCTGGCTGCGGGATTGAAAGAGGCCGGGGGAAGAGACGGGAGCGGTCTGAGAGGACATCGGGCTCGACAAAGCGCTTCGTGCGTCGGTGTCGAAAAAAGATTCCCAGTTTCGAGGGTCGCGAGAGCGGCCAAAAACTCGGTCTTTCTCGGTCATGCCTGCCCGCGGCGTGGCCGGAAAGATAGCGCTGCTGCTACGGCGAAGCCCGGAGAGTTTGGGACGGCGAACGGAGAACATGGCCACGCGGTTCTTGGAGGGCGAAGGTTCGTTCTCTCCGCGGATCACGGCCTTGCCATCCGAAGACATGGCGATCCGCAGCGAGTTCCGACCCTTGGGCGGCGACGGTGTCATCTCATCCTCCTTTCGCACCATGGCTTCGCCATCAAAGGATAGAGACAGGCGCAGAGACGGTGGTGACTTCACGGGTGTGGTATGTGTGATCACCGCGGGCTGCTCGCTCACTGCCTCTCCCCGAATATCCGACACCGACCGTTTCCTCTTCGTTGCTTGCAGCAATGCCTCGTCCTCTGCTAATGTATCATCCAGGTTTGGCTGGGAGTCAGCCCCAAAGAACTCCTCTTGCGTGGTTGGCGGCGTTTCTTCAATGGCCTCTGTCGCCACACTTGTCTGCGTGCTCGGCAGCGGCAGGTCTATCTCGTCCTTCTCGCCCATCACCGGGTCCGACCCATCCGATAACTGCAACAGGTCACCACCCCAGGACTTCGGCCTAGAATCCTCCGGTCGGTCCAGAACCTCAATTTGCTCTGCCCCGCTCGAGGACCCAGGTTCCGCAGACGCGTTATCATCGCTGGCTGGGTGGCCCGACGAGTCGGACATACTTGAACGCGGTGCGAGCAGCTCGTGCGGCTGCAGAGGCTTGGATTTCCTTCGGTCGTTCTGGCGGCGATTTTGGAACCAAATCTGTCAAGAACACAAAAAATCAGTCAGGCGGACAGCGGAGGCATTGTGGACGCTCAAAGTCTTGGCATCGCGTACCTGCACCTCTTTCTCGCCGAGCGAGACGCGATTTACGATATGTGTGCGAGCAAGCTTGTCCGGTTTCGGGTTGATCTGGTATTGGGCCTCTAAGATGGCATGGTCTTCCGGGCTGTTGTCGGCGTGGTTTGAAAGGTTAGTTTCGTCTCGAACGACGCGTTATGGGTCCACTCGATCGATGCTCCAACAAAGGAAAACATACCTCGTCCGACGCCGCTTCTGGCGCGCGAGCAGCTTGTTGTCGACGCGTGGTGGCAGGTTCTGCGTGAGGGTTTTCTGGGAGTGCACCAGGAAGGCGTAAGTCAAAGCACTGGAGTCGGTGGCCGGGAGGGACGGCGAGGATGAGGCCGCTGCCGAAGGCTCCGGGTCGGACATTGTAGCCAGGACTATGCGCGCATAGGGAAGTAGATCCTTTGGGGAGGGAGGAGGACGTCTGTAGTGGTCTAGAAGGAAAAGAGACAAAGAGATGGAAAGAGGGGAAAAAAAAAAAAAAAAAAAAAAGACCAAGTCTTGGGGTGAGGCTGGATTGAAGCGAGTATGCAGAAGGCCGTGGGGATCGCGTCGCGATGTGGACGCGGAGGGTAGCAAGAACGTGGCCCGCGCTAGTCACGACGTGCGCCCCGAGGTACCTGCTACTTGCACCGCACCCGACACGCAATTGTCGTAGATTTGAGGGTGTGCGATGGATTTTCCGGAAGTTCTACGGTGTATAGTGATCGTGAAGTTTGATTCCATCTCATGCTTTCTTTCCATACTTGTTCTATTCTCCTAATTATGAACGCGCTGGTTCCATGCGTCGGGAGGTAATTCAGGTTCCCCACTACGTCTGGTATGGCTGATGGGGCCCTCACGTGTCTGCCCTCATGTTGGAGAATGTGCGAGATCTGAGAAAGGTCGGTTTCTGGGCATCACACACAACATCATCCAACCGTGGCATTCAGCATGGTGCGTGTCATAGGCGCTTCCTTTCCCGAAAAGTCGAGGCCTGAAAACCCTCCGAACGCGCCCCGACACGTGTTCACGTGACCTCCACGAGAGCCCCACGTGATGGTCAAGCCGTGGATGATTCACCGGGAAAGGAAGTGCCATAACATATACTCGACCAAACCCCCCTTGCTGCTTAGGCATTCATGGACAAATAGAATTGACTCAAAACAAGGGCCACGCATATCTCAGATCTCGCCGCCATTGGCTCATCTCCGCCCTAATCTCGATGATGAGGGGGTCATCGCGCCATCTGCCCATCCCCACGGGGAAACCCTAAAATCAGCACAGCCGAAGTCAACGGGCCATGAGATGCTGTCCATGCAATATCCCAAGAAATGCAAGCGAGACGTTGGATCCCTGCCACTCTACAGTGCGGGGGTAAACCCGTCGGTACGGCGGGGACAGTCTGGGGATCCGCTGTGATAGGCGGGGCGGTCCGGCAGACCCCCAGGGAGACGTGAAACTCGCGGATGTCCTACCGTTCTCAGTGTTTCTTCACCTTTTCACTTTCCAGCCCCTGTCCAAAGTCGGCCGGGGTCTCCCCGGGGTAATCGGTGGTTGTTCTCCCTGTTTTCCTTTTCCTCTCTCTGCCCCGCTTTCGGGGGCGCGGTGGCTGCGGCGTCTGCAGTATTAAAGGACCACGATCGTGCTGCATCTCGCGTACCCACGTAATAATGTAGACTGAGCCCTCCGCAATTGCCCCGAGAGAGATTGGATCGACATTCTCACCGGTGTTCACGATGGGCCGGTTCTATACTATCTACGTCGCCACGTTGGCCGCGACGGGGTCGTTCCTCTTTGGCTATGATAGCGGTGTTATGACAGATGTGATTGAGTCGCCCAATTTCTTGCGGTACTTCAATACTTCGCAGACGTCGGCGCTTATCGGTGCCATCAACAGTACCTTCTCGGGCGGAGGTATGTTGGTCCCAATTCGAAATCTGATGGGTGTATAGATGGCATTCTTACCGTGTCCATTTTCGCAGCCGTCATCGGTTCCTTGCAAGGCGGCCTGACGATGGACCGCTTTGGCCGCAAGTTCACGATCCAAATGGGTGCCCTCATCTGTCTCATCGGCGCAACCCTGCAGGCGGCTGCCCAGAACTTGTCCATGATGCTAGTGGGCCGCATCCTAGCAGGATGGGCCGTTGGGCTCATGTCTATGTCTGTCCCGGTCTACCAGGCAGAGTTTGCCCATCCGAAATCTCGCGGCTTGATTGTGGGATTGGCACAACAGATGATCGGTATCGGGTTCATCGTCAGCACGTAAGTCTCTGCGAAACATGAGACTCCTAGCCATGGCAGGGGGCGATGGTAGACTAGCAGCTGATCCGGATCGGAAGATAGATGGATAGGATACGGATCCCTTCACGCGTCAGACTCCAGCCAGTTCCAGTGGCGTTTCCCGCTCGCCTTCCAGGTGGTTCCAGCCTTAGTTCTGGTCGTGGGGATGATCTTCCTGCCCGAGTCCCCACGGTACCTGATTGAGAAGGGAAAATACTCGGAGGCAAGGCGCGTACTGCACAAGCTGCACTTCGACGGCACCAACGAGGACTGGATTGAGGCGGAATACCACGAGATCTGCCGGACGATTGAAGCCGAGAAGGCTGTTGCGGCACCGGGCTGGATGCCCATGTTCACCGTCCCCCAATGGCGGACTCGTATGCTGTATGTGTCAATCCCCCCGGCCAGTCATGATATCGGCTAATCATTCAACCAGCCACGGCCTCGCCATCCAGGTCTTCACTCAGATGACTGGCATCAATGTGATTGGGTATTACCAGACGATTATGTACAAAGCACTCGGGTTCACGGGGAATCGCAACACCCTCGTCGCCGGCCTTTACAACTGCGTCGGCCCGATCACGAACCTGATTTTTGTCGTGTTCATTCTCGATCGCGTTGGCCGCCGCAAGCCCCTGCTTTTCGGCACGGTGGGCATCTCACTCGCGCTGATCTGCGAGGCGGCGTTGAACTCGCAGAATCCGGATGGCCAACGTATCGGGTACAGCATCGGCGGGGTGTTTTTCATCTTCGCAGTCTCGGTGGTGTTCTCGCTGTCTTTTGGACCTGTTAGTTGGTAAGTTCTCCGTCGTGGACCTGGTTTGATCAGCACTGTGGGACCAGTGCGACTAATGAGAGTTTGCAGGGTGTATATGGCGGAGGTGATGCCGATGCAGATCCGGGGCAAGGGTAACGCCGTCGCCGTCGCCATTGGGAACTGGGCGGTTAGCACCCTGTGGAATCAGGTATCCCCTATTGCGCTGGGCAAGATCAAGTGGAAGTTTTATTTTGTGTTTGTGGCGTGGAGTCAGTGTCTCATCCCTGTGTTGTCAGTTCATCAGCCATGCTAACTCTCTTCTAGATCTGTGCGTATCGCTCCCGGTAATCTATTTCTTCTTCCCGGAGACAAAGCAAAAGACGCTCGAGGAGATCGACCTGTTGTTTGGAGAGCGAGTGCTGGAGCAGATGTCCGAGGAGGGCGAAGTCGTGCAGCTGCGGTCGGATAAGGCGGAGGCGGGGGTGACGGCGACGAACGTTGAGAATGCGAGAATTACTCACCGCTAGTTCGTCCACTGCTTGTTAGAAACGGATGAGTTTAATGCCATTCATGGTGTCTCGTGGGTCCAGGAACACAGTAAATGAGTGGAGAGCCGCAGAAGCGGGGCCAAGAGGGTGGAGTGGTGGAGATGCGGCGAGCAGTGAGTAGTTTAGTAGCTTGAAGTAGTTCTACTGTTGGCAGGTGGAGGTGGCCTGGCAGCCTGACAGAATCAACCACCTGACAGGGAGCTTCTGGGCAACTCGAGGAACGCCGACTACTCAGCCGAACCAGTCAGACCCCGCGATCATCATACGATGCGGGAACCCGCAGTCGCACAGCGCGTGCCAAAGCCCGCCCTCAGCCAGAACCCAAGAAAAGGACAATTCAGCCGATCAACATTCCCAGCCGCTAGCACCTTAGCCTTCGTATCCCTTTGAGCGCCACTCGCTACGATTGGCTCCCGGTGACAAGGGAGGGGAAGGTCATGATCGCTGTGAATCCGTGAACCCCCAGGGATCGTATCGCTGCGTTGCGCTCCACTGGCGAGCTCCCCCCGCTTTGACAGGTCGATCATCGTCTGCTCCCTAGCCACAGTCCGCGTGAGGCCTGCCGCACTTGGTGGATTATTATCCTCTGGCCGGGCTGTCGTGAACTGACATGCTGCACTCGGCTCCTGTCGAGGATTTCCATTTGAAAGCCCGAGCCAGCTGCCCAAGTGCGGTCGCCTTTTGCATCTTATTCCCCTTCTGTCCAGCTAGGCTCTTTGCTGGGGTTCCCTTCACCCACGGCGCACAGTCTTGGCTCGGGAAGCTGCACCAAGCACTGGGGTCGAGGATTCCCTACTAACTGGCCGTCGCACATCAGTGAGAGCACCAGGGGATATGGCTGACGACCATAGTTTGAAGACGAGCCATATGGCCATCGTCCTGGGGATCGGGCTGGGTGTGGTGCTGCTGATTGTACTAAGCTTAATGTAAGAGCCCTGTTGTTTCTTTTGATCTCACTCCGCGGAGGAATAGTTTCATTTGGATGCACAATCGCGTCTAACTTCAAACTTGAAACCCACTTCGTTTTCTGATTACCCATCACCCAATCTCTAATGAACCCCTGGCTCGTGTTATACGGCCACTCGCAACTTGATGCTGACGCTGCCAGCTTGACCATTATTGTCAACCGGCGTGATCGCCAGGCATTATTACGATCGAAGAAAAGTCCTGACGAGCGCCTGCGCAATCTCGATGCCGTCTCACCGACTCGCACGCTGGAGCAGTGGTGGACCACCACGAAGGGGAAAATAGGTCTTCCCGAAGCTGTGGATGGTCATTTTGTATGGTAGGACCCCCACGTCCTTTCATTGAACACCTAGTGTTTCCTTTGTGGATTAACAAGGACACCTAGTGCCGTTTGTTTGGAGCAAGTAAATCGCTCGGAGGAAATCCGCGAGTTGCGATGCTTGCATGTCTTCCATCGAGAATGCCTGGAAAAGTGGTTCTTGGGAGACCACTTTAACTGCCCTCTGTGTCACCGGGCCTATTTTGTGCCGGAAAATCCACCGCGGAATAACTACATATGGATGGTATGATCTTTCGGGGGTTTTAAGCGCGGAGGAAGGTGCGGCTGTCTGGATGTAATGGAATCGTTTCTGGTGTTAATTTTCAATGCCCCTTATCGCCAAAGATTATGACTTGATGAACTGCAGATGACTCCGCGTATATCCTAGCGTAGATCACAAACCATCTCTTGTTCACGGCGCAAACCCATTCGTCACAGGAAAGTACTCCGAGCTAAAGTCCCAGCTGTTGTAATTCGGCAAGTTTAAGAAGTTAGACAGGCCAGACGTGACGTCGTGCACAATCTCGGCATGTACAGGCTGCGGATCAAGAACCTGGTCTAACATGCGGGACAGGTTTTTCTCGGCTTCTTTGCATGTGTGGTAATTGCCATGCCCAGGACGTGCAATCCAGGAAAGCATTGATATGAAAACGCTCAGGTTACGAACTAGCTCGGCGCGTGGAAGGACCATGTTGTGTGGTCCGGGCTCGTGGGACTGACGCAGAAGTTCAAGCAGAAGAACAGCGGAGCTCGGGACACCGTAGGTCAAGGCCTGTATAACCGTAAGTCAAATGTGCAGAAACAACTCGATGGGGATGCGACTTGGTAAACATACGATCCAAGAATAATGCCTATCAAGGTCCACCATCGGGCTGCGCTTGGTGGTGATCCTGTTCACAATGCCCAGAACCTGGCGCGATATGTCGCAGAGCTCCTCCTGTCCGGTATTCGTATGCTTGATCAGGGCCCGCTGGAGCAGAAAGCAGGTGTACAGGTAGTTGAGATAGAGATATACGGTGGTTAGCCACCCGTAGTGGAAATCACCTTCCGGCCAACGATCATATCGAAGATGGTCTGGAGTTGCCTCCCACACTGCACGCACACCTTCTCGTATTCCACTGGTGGACGCTCTTTTGTTAGCCTCGAAGAGTGATTGGAATCATCTCATGGAGGTCGCTCTTACTTGCACTTTTGAATCAGATCATGCGGCTCATAGGTGCCCAGTGCAATCTCAAGTGTTTTTTCCCTGAATAAGGAGAGGTGGAAACGAATTCTTCCAGACGACATTCGGTGACGAACCCCTTGAGTACTCCAGCCTGCAGGGTCAAGTTCGGAAATAGCTTGTTTTAGCGCATCACCCCCTGCTACAAGGGCCTCATCACTTAAATCCAGAGGGGAGGTTAATGTGCAATATCGGTAGTTCAATAAGGGTGGCCGGCCGACGAATGTCGCCATCATTTTGTCCATGTAGAATGCCGAGGTAAAGCAGCATCTCCGCCATTGCCGAAGAAAAAAGGGACAATCATCTGAATTCTCAGTGTCCATGTGCAACCCTGCGGCGTAGATGGTAGCTGTTAGATCACCCAGCCGACGCCATGCTTGGTAGCCTAGAACTCCTTGTTAGCTTCCATCTGCAATTCTAGCTCAAAAGGGAAGACCTACTTGAGTCTCCGTATTGCTGTGTTCGCAGCATGACATCGTTGTATTGTAGGTACGCGAGCATTTCGTTGGCTGCGGAGGCCTGGTCACAGAAATTGAGACATATCGTACTAGCCACAGTCACTTGTTCCAACAGTCGGTCCTTGGCTCGTGGATCATCGCCTTCAGCTACTTCTGGGTCATTGTCGGGAGTAATCACTAGTTGCTGTCCGCACAGCGTGAAGATATTTCCCAGTGCTTCCCAACGGAAGTTACGCCCCGTAAATGAAGCACAATACTCCTTAATAGTCATAGACTGATGTGTAACCAATGCCCGCGAGGAATTTTGAAAAATCTGGGTGGCCAAGTTCTGCAGTTGGGGCATCAGATCATTCGGGTTGAACCCATCAAAGATTTCGCCAATAGAGTTCATGATAGCATCCATGACTATTTTGGGAACAATCACATTCCACGATTGCACATAGAACTTTTCGACCAGCCTGCGGCGATCTTTGAGATTGTACAAGAAAAGCAACACCTCCGCTCCAGACTGGACCCGGTCGGGCTCCACTACCAAAACTGGGAATGACTCCACACTCTCCTGCTCAAAGGCAATCTCATTGCGATGCTCGGTCAGAACTGCCGTGAAGCTTGTAGAGCCCAGATAACCCGGCAGTGCAGAGGGCGGTTCCAAGGGCGCATATAGGCGCCCACCATGCAGTGAACCTGGGCTAGAAGCACTAATGGGGACGGTTAGTTTTGTTTGAGCTGAGCTCCCACGAGTCCAACGCAGACCTACTTGGAAGTTGGCTGACTGGTAAGTCTTCTCGAGGACACCGGATTTGACCTGGTATGGTCCGAGGCTCTCCGGCGGGTCATCGGGGCTGGATGGTAGAAACATTGGTCGCTGATTCTCTTTGCAGCGCATCTGCGGCAAACGGGCCGTTCGTGGTCGCATCGCTGCTTCGACCGCCGACATGGCTCGCATGACTGTAGTGCGCCGTTCCGGCGGGTAGCCGGTGACCGCGACCGGCGATCGGTATTTCTCATCTCTCAGGAAACGAATCCTGTGGCTGACAAGTTGTGGAGAAGTTTAGTTGAAGTCCGCGGTAAAACCCCTAGTGCTGACCAACGAGGTTTAGCGTACCAGTCTCCCTTTTAAGGTTGCCATGTTGCCATCCCTGCCGCAAAATGCCCCCTGCAGGTGGGCAAGCTCGCCCAACGCTAGCTCGAGATCTGCAGTGCCTTTTTCATGGCCAATGCTATGCTTGTTTCTCACTCACTTTATGGCCATCTTGGCCATTGAGTCACTTCTGTACTCATAGCTTTCTGTTCTCTCAGCAGCTCAGTGCATAAGCTATGACGCAATGAATAACAGAATGTGTACGGAGCAAGGGCGATACCCTGTTCTGCAGAGATAGAATTGGTAGTAACTACTGACAAGGGTGTCTGTAAATGTTATCTCCGTGTGGTGGCCAGTTATAATCAATCCTCAAATTATAATGCTGATCCCTGTGAACTGTATGAATTTTTCATCACATATCATCAAGGCTGTGCTCCTAACCGCCTCGTCGGGACAATTGGGCGTCAAATAGTGCAAACCTGGCATTCTTTCGAAATATCTAATTAAATTTCCCTTGATCATAGGTTCAAAGAAGGCCTATGGTACTATCTACTTTCCTTCAAGAAAGGCTCTTATCTTTCGATTTGCAAACGTTTTCTATCTCGCTTTTGATGTCTCTCGAATCTCTCCCTAGGTCTCTGTCCTCAAAACTGTTTGTAGGCTTTCAGGTCCTCAATGCATAATTCATCGCCTCCTCATTTTTACCGCTCTATTACAGTCTGTCGTCTTTGTGTTGTGTTCTCCTATGTCTTTGTATGGACAGAGTATTTCTTTGTCCTTGTCCCTACTTTATGGAGCTCAGTCCTTTGTTCATACAATGAACCTCCGGCATGTTCTGCGACATGTTCGAGCTAGAAGACTGGTATATAATGACCCTTGAGCCCTGGCTTTTCACACCTGTTCATCTTTCCAAATCCACACACGAACACCAAATTCACCTCCATCATTCGACCTAACACCTCATCCGAGCTAGTGAGTATCTGTCTCTCAGGAATAATCCACCACCACAATGCCTTCGAGTCGCGATGACCCCGTTGCAGGTCGTCCTGATGTTGATGCCAGGGAACTTAATCTCACCGACCCTTGTGCTAACCCTTGTAGTGGGGATTCCCATGAGTCTCTTCGTCCTTTTGATGCTCCAGAGGAGAAGGACAACCCCATCAGTGAGTCTACCAGCAGTGTTCAGGGTGGTAAGGTGCCCGAACGTAGGTCCCTGCCGAGACTCTCCGGGCCCAAATTCTTCACCGGGCCTCCCGATTCTCCCGATCTTTCCCCTTCCTTTACTCTAGAGGAAGAGGAATGGAGTTCCTACAGTGGGCTCGTACGCGGGTTCTCTGGTGAGTCTACTGGGGTTTTTGAGGGGGAAACGGCATCCGGATCGAGACGCCTCTTAAAATTTTCTAGGTCCCATACTTCACTGGGCCCTCTAGTCAACGCTCAGAATCTCAGTCCGGATGACCCGGAGAAAGACCCGTTGGAGAAGTACAGCCAGCTACAAGAGGCGGGCGCAGTACGACTGAAGTGGATCAATGACTCCAAAGTACATTGTCCAATCAATCTCTCTAGGCTTGCTTTCCGTGATCTTCTAGATGACGGATGGCAGCTTTCCCAGCGACATAAGAGCCTGCCGGACATGTATGACGATCCCAGATTCCTCCCTCCTGGTGTGCCAGGAGCGACCAGTTTCCCTATCCAGGAAGACTCGTATCAGTGGACTGACATCGTCAAACGTCACCGGGATCCAAATATCCCAGGATATAGGCAGACTGTTTCTAGGTGGGTAGGCAGAACTGCAGAGGGTGTGATCTTCATTGAGTTCATCAAACGCGGTGAAAACACCAGTTGCCCATTCAGCTCTGAGGTTACCAAGGCTGTTTACGAGAAGGACTTCCGTATTGAAACTCTCAACCACGTGTTTGTAGCCAATGTTATCAACAAGGAGACTCTTGAGTTTATCTTGGACAACTTTTGGCCGGACTGTATTGATGGGATTCAGTCTATGGAGCCCAATTCACCCGAGTATAAGGCAATTCTAGGTACTCGAATTGGCAAAGTCGTCGCCTATCTGGTCTTGAATGCATTCGCCCGGGGTACTCGGCGGATTGCACGAGTCGTTCTTTGGGTTGCTTCCGTCTATGGCATCCAGCTGCGGTTTGACATAGAGCCTGTTGGCGGTTGATTCATCTTCAATTGCGTGACATATAACAGGTTGGAGGACTAGGTAAGTAATGAATAATCGGAATATTGAGACTTTTCTTTGCTTTACTCGCCGACATAAAGCCCAGTCTCTTCTATTTAGCTAACCAGACTGAAACAAAATCCACTTTGCTCTAATTAGACCGATCATCGAGATTTTGAAATGCTGCAAATGATGCAGTCGACCAACATAACTTCTCGGCTCAACCGTAAACGTAACCTAAACTGTAAGACATCATTTCCCGAACCACCCCTCACCACCCTCACTAAAGCTTCGAGATTACTGCTTAAGCCGTCCAAATCTTCCAACACCCACGCTGATGATAGAGTGGCTACTAGAAAGATGGCTCTGCTTTGCATCTTGGCATTTTAAATCTTTGCTCTTTTTTTGCCTTAAATGTCAGACGTATTGAGATGGTTGTTCCAGAAGTCGCCCAAAGCTAACCATATCGAATCAAACTGGTCAATTTCCTCACCGCAGCCATGAATGTGTGCGAGTCCCTACAGGCCGCACAAACAATGCCAGATTAGTTCTGTGTGCTACGGTAATTACTCGGAGAAACTAGTGGTATTCTACTATATAGGTAATATATAATATACTAAGATATACTACCTCTCCGGAGTAGGGTAGTCCGGAGGGTACCTAGGTAGGAGAGCGGGTTATCGATTGGGTATCGTTAGGAGATTGGTATGTAAATGCTAGGCTATATAACCTCCCATGGGAGGGAATAGCTTCATATGGGGAGACACACATTTCGTAACACTAATAATATTAATAGTATCTAGGTAGCTAGCTAATAGAGATGGCAGAAGATATGGAGATACAGGAGAGGCAGGGGCCCAGCCAGACTAAGGGTGATCTGAGGGCGTGGAACACACAATAGGTGTTTTGTTACTGTTTTTGTATGGGTTTTGGTGGATTTAATACGGCAAAACGCCGTTTTTCTTATGTATATACTGTTCCATGCGCGTGGGCTGGCGTTCGGAATGCTCTTGCTTCCGCCAGAGGAAGCGCCTGCATAGCCATACGACACTAGTTGGGCTGCATCAGGTTAATAGACTATCATCATCATCACAACACCTGGTATCCAGCAGGAAACTTCAAAAGCGTGCCACAGAAGCTACTGGACTTCCATGACAGATCTCTTGCCAAGGCTGGACCGCCAATCCGCCTACTAATCTGGACACAAGCGACACTCAATGACGAATTCATATATGATCAAGGTTCCGGCATTGTAGTAGTAAAACAGGGAGCTCATTTCTCTGTCTCTTTCTCTTCCTTTACTTCCTCAGATTCGATATATTCGTTAAATGGACTTTTCTTCTTGAAGATTTGCCAAGTCTAACAGGCAGTCCGTAAGACCTCTGCATTTGCATTAAGACGCAGGGAAAAACTGCACACATTTGACAGAAAAACCTGTATCGAAGCCTAACAGGAGGGCCTCAACCAAAGCCATGCTCATTTTATGAAAGAACCAATAATGGGTACACCACGAGCGGCGCAGAAGCCATTCAAAATGCCGGCAAGTCCACCGAACATACCGCCCCTGTGATATTCATCCGCATTGCTTGCCAGGCAGTCGAATAGGGCACAAGTAGTCCCACTATCATCTTTGCCATTATCCACCATCTTAAGGGCACGTCTGGTGCAGTCATACCAGTCGTCGGCTTCGCTTTGCGTGACTCTCGCGCCGAGGGCTGCAGAGAACAAGATTGCAAGTGGGATAAGGGAGAGCTTCATTTTCTGCAAGAAGAAGGCGTAAATAGTCTAATCAACTCGTTGGAAAGGGGAGTACTGACGGTCTGCTTGGTCCTCAGGAGACTTATGGAATGTGTTGAGAAGATATTCGTCCTTCGCGCATTTCTGGCCGGTGAGCAAGGGTTGGCGGTTTAAATAACCAATTTTCTTCACCAGTTTTGCTGGCTTTACGATCCTTTCTTTCTGTCAAAAAATCCCTTCTACATCATTGTCGTTAATCTGTCGAGCCGAATGAAAATGTATGCATCATTGAGATTAGACTTGGATAGAGTTGCAACGAGCTGTGTATGAAATCAAGCCTCATTATTCCGAGGAACGTTACCGCTAGTGCATATGACATGCTTGAAGACGGCGTCAATATGTTGTGGCAGCTTCCGCAAGCAGTGGGATTCTAGACTCGACTTTCCAAGACACATTGGGCGACATATGCATTCTAAAACTTAACTCCATAGAAGCTTCATTCAAGAGCAGGTATGATCAAAGTTTGAAGGTGGTATTGGCAATAAAGGTAATTGCTAAAGCAAGCTAACACGGAGTTCAGAGGAAACTAGGGCCTAGAACTGCTGGACCAAAAGCACATAGGACGAACACCTCGACGGCTGATGTTCCTTATTCTTGGCGCTGCCACTGTCACTCTACCATAGCTACACGGACGTTTAGTGACTTATGACCTAGAAAAATGCAATCCCAGTGCAACCGCCCGGCTGGGCGGTTCATTACGACGAATGCTCGGGATGCCATGTTGGTGGTAAGTCCAGGCCTGTATGGGTACATGATAGTGGAGAACGAGCGTCTGGGTGGATGATAAAAAATCAAAAATTGCTACGTATCCATCAACGCTAGAATGGAAAAAGCGGCTTCCTCGGAACTGATCGCTCACTATAGCCAACCACCACAATATGTGCACTCTGAGTCATATACTTGAGACATTACTTCGTGCACACGTATGAGACCGTGTTTAAGCAGCGGAAAATGTAGTAACCTATCATTAAAGGTGCCCGAAGCCGCGCAGTGAGAAGTGATTGGCTTTCAATCACGCAGGAGAGAGGTAATTATTTCCGAAAACGTCAATTTCTGTTTCCTTACTGGCTCTTTCTGAAGGTCTCGCTTTATTGCATGACTTAGAGAGAAAAACTTGAATCGAGGAGTAGTTAAGTTCCACACGAAAGGCTCGGCTCGCAAACGGACGGGTGGGGACAGGCATGCCCACGAAAGATATCCCTTGTACAACCTGTCCCAAAATTCAATTGAACGTATATTGCTAATGGTTCTCAGCTACAGCTTGGATAAATCAGAGTACCACTCAGTGGCTAGAACCATACCTGGGTCCTGTTGCCTTCTCTTCTTGGTCGATGACACCACCAGGAGCTGTGGCAGCGGAAATTTTTTTGAATACCACCTACCCACGCTCTACCTTGATACCCTACTAATGTTTGGATTTGCTTCAACCCATGGTATGAAGAGGAACCACAAACGGGGACAAATCTAGCCTTGCAATAGATTCTCTGGAAGAAAGCTAGCTGACCGCATGCCAGGGATGGTCTCGCTGTCATTCCGAGGCACGAGTAGTTTGAAAACAAAGGAAGGGTTACCATGAGCAGATCTTGCCACCTAGCTATGATGCGTTCTAGATCCATGGAGAGAAATCCCGATGAAACCAGTAAACTACGACCAGATATTGTACATGGCAATGTATCATATAAACCATTATTCAACTATAAATGCGCACAGGTGTCAAGTCCCCATACCAACCATACATTGCCAGGTTAACTAAACCTGTAGCCGCTTATCACCCTAAACTGAATTACTCATTCCTGCCTTCTACGCGAAATGTGGGGACCACACCCTTTTTCAGGACTGCTAATTGCGTCCCTCGCATATCATACGTCCCTCACCGCGGGCCTATCATATGACCAGGCGGTTCTTCAAGCAGAGAACCCACCCAATAATGGAAACTTGGGAGGAGACTTGAAGTAGGTTTGCTCGAACGCTATACTGAGTGGTACCATCTGACGGGGATAGCTTTGCCCCACCAGTCGCAACTCATGGGGACGACAGAGGAAGTCACTGTCGCTGGTATTGTTCTTCCTCCTATGGTGACAGCAGCAGCTCTGACGCCTGGGATGGTTCGAAGTCCGGCGGCGGTGGTAGCGGCAGCTCTGGCGTCTGGGATGGTTCGAAGCCTGGCGGCGGTGGTGGCAGCGGCAGCTCTGGCGTCTGGGATGGTTCGAAGCCTGGCGGCGGTGGTGGCAGCGGCAACTCTGGCGCCTGGGATGGTTCGAAGCCTGGCGGCGGTGGTGGCAGCGGCAACTCTGGCGCCTGGGATGGTTCGAAGTCCGGCGGCGGTGGTAGCGGCAGCTCTGGCGTCTGGGATGGTTCGAAGCCTGGCGGCGGTGGTGGCAGCGGCAACTCTGGCGTCTGGGATGGTTCGAAGCCTGGCGGCGGTGGTGGCAGCGGCAACTCTGGCGCCTGGGATGGTTCGAAGCCTGGCGGCGGTGGTAGCGGCAGCTCTGGCGTCTGGGATGGTTCGAAGCCTGGCGGCGGTGGTGGCAGCGGCAACTCTGGCGCCTGGGATGGTTCGAAGCCCGGTGGCGGCGGTAGCGGCAACTCTGGCGCCTGGGATGGTTCGAAGCCTGGCGGCGGTGGTGGCAGCGGCAACTCTGGCGCCTGGGATGGTTCGAAGCCCGGTGGCGGTGGTAGCGGCAACTCTGGCGCCTGGGATGGTTCGAAGCCCGGCGGTGGTGGTAGCGGCAGCTATGGCGGCGGTGGTAGCGGCAACTCTGGCGTTTGGGATGGTTCGAAGCCCGGCGGCGGTGGTAGCGGCAACTCTGGCGCCTGGGATGGTTCGAAGCCCGGCGGTGGTGGTAGCGGCAGCTATGGCGGCGGTGGTAGCGGCAACTCTGGCGTTTGGGATGGTTCGAAGCCCGGCGGCGGTGGTAGCGGCAACTCTGGCGCCTGGGATGGTTCGAAGCCCGGCGGTGGTGGTAGCGGCAGCTATGGCGGCGGTGGTAGCGGCAGCGCTGGCGTCTGGGATGGTTCAAAGCCTGGCGGCGGTGGGGAAAAGCCCGGCGGAGTCGGCGGATATGTCGTCTGGGACGATTCTTTGCCCTCTAATAGCGGGTATAAGCTCTGTCCCTGTGGTCAGTCCGTTCCCCTGTTCAATGTTTGAACGGGAGATATGAAGGTCCACTAAATTGGTCGATCTCTGTAGTGGTAAAATTCCTCTAAAAGTTCTCTATTCAACGTTCTCATTTGGTTTCCCCAGTACTAATCTGTGCGCAACCCCGTTGATCCGAATTACTGCAACACTCGCGAAGTTGTGTAATGTGTGGAGATAGTGTAGAGGAACTATGCTACGCTAATTAGGCGATGGATAAGGAATGCTCCGCATGTCTTTCTTGCCCGAGTTGTTGCTACCACCTGATTTGGTAGTTCCAAGTTTTTCCTTAGAATGTCCGCTAACCTAAATATTTAGTGTAACGGCACGGCCCGAACGGCAGGGTAAAAGGATAAATGGGAAGAATGTGAGCCCCACCCCAGGCTTGCGGCCCTTCGCATGCAACCAAAAAACGGCAAAGATGCGCCGGTTTAAGGAGACTTGGCAGGCCAAGACATCGTCGCATTGTTGTGGCTGAAGTCAATTGCGTCGTTGTTCTCTCAAAAGCAGACAATGGACGATTCCCGACGCTGCGCAACAGTTGACCAAATTCTACTTCAGATCAGCACGTGAGTAATTTGCGAACATGAACTTACATGGTGACATCAAGTAGATTGGGGCATTTCGGAGTTATTTTCTGGGAAAGAAGTTGTAAGAGTGTGGAGCTATAACTGATGTTGAACAAAACTATACTCAGTGGGTACTCATCCTTGTGCCCAGGGCAGAATGGTTCCGGTCTGGCATAGAGGTGGGTGGTGTCTGAGTACTTGCATCAGCAAGTGACTTGAATAGCGTGTAGTTTGGTTGGCTCTCGGTGGCCCTTCAGTAAGTTGCTGCCCTCAAATATGTGGCGGCTACAGGGGTGTAGTAACATGTTTGTAGTACAGAAGCTCACTCTTGAGTTGTCCTCCAGAGTGATAAATATCATGAAGACCCCACTGTTCCTTTCCAAGTGTCACGGTCGCTCAGATACGTGATCTAGATATCAATAGACGAAAGAATGAAAAGAATCGACGTAGTAGCTAGTAACGACGGGAATATTCAACATCGTGACACGGAGGAGAAAGTGTGGGAGATGGAGGAATCTTACCTTTTTACAAAGACAATATCCTCCTAAAATAGTTATAGCAGACTATCTACTTAGGGGCTTACTAGGATATAAGATTATAGGAGCACAAGGATATATCTGCTTGTTATAGCGAATATATCTATCTATATAGATAGGAATATAGTAAAATCTAGCAGAAATAGACCGTAAGTGGCCTAAAACATAAGGTAAAAATGCCCCCAAGATCACATTAGACTTCTAAGATAGATATCCTATAAAGGCTAGACTACCAATTCATCTACTAATCTAGACGCAAGCTACACTTAATCACGCTTCATCGATAACTACCCCAACGACGATAAACCTACACATTGGGGCTAAGTGTATCTTGGGTGGGGGTACTATAACGATCACATAATATAGAAGGTTTTGGCGATGTATAGAGTAAAACCAAGAGCTCACCTCTTTCTCTTTCTCTTCTTTTCTTTCCTTAGATTCGATATCTTCGTTAACAGACTCTTCTTTTTGATGACTTGCTAAGTGTTAACAGTAAGAAGCTTTTACTCCAGATATCCATTAACTACATAGAGAATGGTGGCCCCTTATATTCAAGAACCGATAAACGAGGAAACTTATCGGCCACTAAGAGGAGGCTAATCCAACGAGATGCTCGAATTGACGCCGAGCAATCCTCTAGTCAATATCCCGTCTGGCGGGATGTGTACTATGTAATGCGATCCGGACCCCCATATCGCCACAAAGGGCAATACTGTTGGCAAGACCCGGAGAGCAAAAAGCACTATAGATTGAAAACAGACTACATTAAAGCCCGTGTTGAATACGTGGAGCAGGGCGGAGACCTTGAGATATATGAAGACATCCCTGGCACTATTCGTGAGCAGCTTTATGCCGAGGGAAACTAGCAATGCGAAAAGAAGAAGAAAGCTCAGATCATTCTACCATCGGCCCAATGTGTCCTCCGATCAATATCAACAATTTCTTCCCGGCTAGCTCATCTGAACATTTGATGCCTAACCCTTCTGCTAATGAGACTTCGACTGCTGATTCCGCTTGTGTTGACCCAATTCTGGTTCACGGACTGGTTGATGTAGCTGTGGAGGAATATACCGAATGGCAGTAGTCACGGGTGAGCAATGAGGCTTTCAGGGATAACATCTTGCAGCTAAACTTGATTCTGAAAGACCTGATCACCAAGACCTCTGCGCCAATCTGTCACAGAGACCATGTACAATATCGCTCGTGTACACCTGTTGCTACGCGGTGGATGCAGCATTATTTTGGGTCCACAGGACCCCTGGTCAGCTCCAGAATTAAGTGACAGTCAGGTTCTGGGTCAGCCGAGTCGCTGCTGAATTAAGATGACGTGCCTGCTGAGCATAATGCGTCTGCCATCGGCTTTACTTCCCAATCGGACGGGCTGTGTGGAGAGGCATTCAGTAGATGACCTCAACTCAATGCAACTTAACTTTGATGCTCATGGGACAGAATCGCTTGTCACTGGCTGGGTATCAGAGTAGAGGGGTCTACATCGGGGTACCGAGCAGTGGGGTTGGGCTCGTTTATGTATGGCAGGGCAAAGTTGGAGCCATAATCGATTGGTATGTTATGGAGGACATACCATGACTCAGGGTGGGCTTGACCAAGCTCGGAGTATTTCACCTGGTACCCTTCGAACTGCCAAACATGGACGTATGAACGAGACTGTGACTGTAGAAATATGGCGTAAAAGTAGTTTGCAGACTGCTATGATGCCGTCTGGCACTGAACGGCCAAAATTTTTCCAGATCAACCTCAGTACATTATCTAAGAGGGGTACAATTGAGTACATTACTTAGAAAAATTAAGCGTCTACGCCAAAAGTATGTCAAAGAAGGTTCAAATTTAAGATAAGAAACCTCCAACTGGGCCCGTCCAGTCTCGTTCAAGAGGAATTCTCGTCCGGAATTCAATGACGTAGTTGAAGTTAATGAGCGAACCACCCATAGTTAACCTACCTTCCGCCCATATTCTCAGGCTCCCGAGCTACCATCCACAAGGTCGACCTTATTTTGAGATCATCTCATCCGTTCCACGAAGGGATCAGCAATCTCTCTTCGAAAGCGCCTCATTGGCCAACCGAATGAGAGTTCCAAAGTGGCCCGGCGCACGGCCGAGGGTGAACCTTGGGTAGGCTTCTAGCCTCGAGCTTATTTGGCCACAACCACGACGGTCATGAGTAAGCCACGGCCACACTGGAGCGGGCGAGACACGGCTTTTCTGCCAGCCTCATAAATGCCCGCCTCGAGAAGGAAAAGTCGACCGATTGCGATTGCGATAGGAACTCAGGCTGAAATGCGTCCATCATGGCGTAAGATCCGCCCCCAAGCCAAGCCGCTGGAGGAGACAAGCGCCTCCCCACCGTCCCATTTTAAGCTCGGGGGCAGCTTGGCAGGCAAACCATTGGTTCGCTTCGGGCGCGCCATCGGTCGCCTGTGATCCCGGAGTCCAATTCCATCGAGGGCGGATACTGCACCCTTTGCCGCTGTTCTATTAATATGCAGGGCCCTTCTCGGGCCCCTCCATCTCCCTTGCACTGATCCTGCGTTGGACTGCACGGGCCGGCAGAACAAGCAGGAGGGACAATCCCACAAGGCGAGCAGGTGTGTCAGACTTGTATCTGTCCGCTGAACGGCTGCGGTGCTATCTGCGGCGCTATCTGCGGCGAACTTTCTTGCGCTGGCAGGCTGAGCCGCAACATTTTTGCATATCTCACTCGTGACTCTCAGCGGACCTGTTTTTGAATCTCGCAGGTGAAGAAAAAGGCTTAGTTGCGCATAATGACCGTGACGCGAGTCTGAGAACACAGGATCAGCCAGATCTCACCGGGAAAACTGCCCCGGGACCGGCGCATCGATTTGGGGATGTGCATTCTACCACCAACAAGCACATCCTCAAAATGGTTGGCGTTCCAAAGAGCAAAGGATGCCAGACATGTCTCCAGCGGCGGGTGAAGGTATGTAGAATCTTCGATAAGGACTCGAAATACTCCCTCTGACACGATTCCACACTAGTGCGATCTGCTGCGACCAGAGTGCACTCAGTGCATGCGATACGGCGTTGACTGCCCTGGCTACACACGCCCCTATAAGTTCATGGATGAAGGCCCACATCTACGCCAACATTTCACTAATAAACAATCTCAATCTACCTCCGCCCAACCCTCCGAATCGATCGACGAGCGCATCATACCATCCCTCGCAGCCAAGTCAATGGGCAAGCAACAACCCGTCATCTTCGGTTCCTTCGTTCTCACAGCCTTCACACGCTGGTTCGGGCTGAATCAATTCCGCGTGCATGTGCCATGGACAGGATATATTGCCCAGCATGTGGGCCAGAGTCCTGCTTTCGATGCAGCCATTTACTGCGTCAACTCGATCTTTATGGGTCAGACACACAACAATAATAAGCTGCAGCGCTCGAGTCGCGAGGTCTACAGCAAAGCACTGCGGCTCTTCGGTGATCGAATTCGCGATGCAGACGCGATGAAGTCAACTGAGAGTGTGAGCATTACCATTGCGCTGAGTCTGTTTGAGGCATACTCGCGGACGAATCCGGACTCGTGGGCGCGCCATGCGGCAGGTACGGCACTGCTGATGGCGCATCGCGGCCCCAAGGCGCATTTGACTGGCTTCGATCGATGCCTATATCTGTCTTTCCGGAGCTTTCTTGTCGCAGAGGCCTTTGTCAATGGCAAGCGGTGTATCTTCGAACTACCTGAATGGCAGGAACACATTGACCAGGTTCGGATAGAGGATATGGCTTCGCCGCGCGTGAACGGTCCTATCGCACTCTTTATTGATCTGCAAGATCGCATCTTCAAAGAAGTTGTCAAGGTACCGGGCTTGCTTGTTGTGGCGCGCCAGCTACATCTTGCAGATGAGCCGCTGAAGGCAAGTCGGAACCTAGCCGCGCAGGTCCTTCGCAGCAGTCAGACCTTATGTACTCTGTCGGCTCATCTGCGTCTTGCTGCTGCGGTGCAGAGTTACCAATGGTGTAATGATGGCGCGGTCGACAATAGGAAGACGCCCTTTATCGGGCCCATCCCGTCCATATTCCCGCAAGAATTTGCAAACAGCGTCCTGCGAGGCTCTGATAACTGCCTGCGCCTTCTCCACCTTCTACTCGACCACCTCGCGAGTGATGCAGTGCGGGAAAAGCACCGCATGTGGAGTGGACAAGACGACACTGAGATCCCGGATCCGCTGCCGTTTCGACTGGTCTCCAAGTTGAATGTTGACCAAGTAACAAGGATAGGACCAGTTGTAAATGAAACTGGTGACAACATCCCTGCCGCAGATAAATGGCTCGATGTTGTGGCTGCATCGATGGGGCTGGAAGCCTTCGACATTATCACTTATGCTAAAGAAAGACCCGATCCCCCTTCTGAAGGTCGGAGGGAAACCGATCAGTGGACCACTGCTCTATCCTTACGGTGAAAGTTCTACTAGAACACAATATTGCGGATATTTGCGTGATACCCCTACACCATCATAACCATCACTTAGCTACGAGAGAAATGAATGGAAATAACTGAAGATAATTTGCGCGAGATCATGAAACCAATTGTCGTATCGCCGTAGTAATCAAGACGTACAGAAACCCTCCCCAACCCCCCAACAAGCAGAGCACCATGGCCTGGGGGTGAGAAGAGACTGGGACGCAATTGTGGAGTTTAATAGAAATAACCACAAAACCCCCAGATCATGGCAGCTTCCCCTAAACAAGTAACCCATTTCAACGTATAGACAAAGAAGTGCAACCAGACGCCATGTAGAACATGCCCAAAGCCCCATTGTTTTTGCGCCGAGAAAAAGAGAGCCAAACAAGAAATGTGGAAGTCCACGAAGCACGAATCGAGGTGAAACATTAGACATTTCAACATGCAGCAGAAGAAGGGGGTATGCAAAAAGCTGCCCATTGAGGACAGGAAGAATAGAAATGTGTCAACCACAGTAACAGAATGTGCCAAATTGTCGATAGCAGGAAATCCATAGCCCATTAGGCGGCTGTACGAGTGGCCCGAGATGGACTAGAGGTGCTGCCGATACGGCCACTAGCCTTACGCACTCCTCGCGATTCACTCTTATTGCTGTCTGTAACCCGCCGGGGGCTAGAGCGAACCTTACTGACAGAAATGGCCCCACCAGCACTCTTGCGGCTGACAGGAGTCTTGGGAGCGGCGGTCTCAACCCAGTTCTCGCGATCTTCGTGAATATCGTCAGTGAGAGTATAGCTCGCTGTGACGGTCGCCGAGTAGCTGATCGAGCGCGAGGTCGAGGTTGCGACAGGAGATCTCGACGACCGCTTGGCCAGCATACGAAGTTGGATTTCCTCATCGCTCTCACTGCTTTCATTGCTCAATCGATGCCCACGGGGGCTGCGCGCCTCACCCTGCTTGTGGCCATCATTGTCAACAGCCAAGGAGCCAGAGGCTGTGCGCGCGTATGGGTGGTGGCGGGAATCCTTCCGGTGGGATTTACGAGGCTGTCCAGGGGTCGGAGCAGGAAGGTTCTCCTCGTGGTGGCTGCCAGCACCTTCATTGTGGTCGATTTCACCGAGCGCGGCGCGCTTGGAGTGGCTGTTATTGGGGGGAGTGGCCACAACACCGTTGCTTCCACGCTTCTTGGCAGAGACACGAGCTGGGGTGACCGGAGCAGACTGAGCCAACTTCTCGCGCATGCTGTCCTCGAACCACCACTCCCGGAAAGAGCCCTGGTTGAGGTGGAGCCAGTGCTGTTGGGGTCCCACAACCATACCAGGGCGCATGAATCGCATGAATGCAATGACCTCGTTTGCAGTGAATCCATAACGATAGATCAGATAAGCACCTATCAAGCATCCTGTACGGCCCAGACCAGCCTTGCAGTGCACAGCAATACCCTTATTCTTGACAGTAATCATGTCGTGGGCCATCTTGATAAACCTTCGGACGAGTGTCAGAGGCGGGCACGTGCCATCCTCAAAAATCATATCAATGTGTTGGATGCCCATAGCGGTGAAGTATGATGGGCTGTAAAGCTCAGAGTTCAAACGGACAACAAGGCCCACGTTGCGAGAATAGAAGTGGACTAGAACGTTTTTGAATGGGAGTGGAAGCTTGGAAGAGCAGATTTCGGAGATGGAGGAAGGCAGGGCGTCGTACTCGGGAGTGTTCATGGGAACAGGCGCAACGGGTTGGTGTTGGGGTGAGGCGAAAGCAAGGAAGTTTGGTGTAACCCAGTTGAAGTCGCCCATATCGACTCTTTCGAACTTTTCATACCTGTGATTGACAGTCAATACCGAGGGTGTAATTCTCAAAACAAACAAGAGTTCAAATCATACTCTTCAAGGTTGAAATCCCTCAGTCCACACAGACCCTGCTCCTTGGCCTTCCACACACCATAAACAACATCCTGGATGTTCAGAATGAAATCGGCCTGGCTGTAGCCGGCATCACGAAAGGGCATGTAAGGAGGGTCGGCCTGCGCGATCGGCGCCAGGGCCAGATGGGGTGGCCAGGATTGGATGAGAACCATGTAGCAGGCCACGAGACAGGCGGCGTTTGCGCGGCTCCGCGCATCGGTTTTGCTATAGAAGACAACCGGGCGATCACTGTTTGCTGGGTCTCCGAGAATCTCATGGAAGAGCACGGCGAATCGGTACAGGTGACCGATGTGGAGGGGTCCAAAGTCCGCATGGAATGCATTGTAGAGGAGAGTATCATCAACGGTGAAGTAGACAGGGGATCGGCGCTTGGATGTCGGAGTAGATGGCTGAGCCCGCGCTGCCCGCTTGCTTGGAGACTTGGACTGCTCCAGCGGGTAGGGGAATGGTGTTCGCGACGACGGAGTCGAGTCGTAAGATGCCAGATACAGGCGATCTATATTGTCGGTTGTTATTACACCACAATTCCTGGCCGATTGTTCTGCGCTATCGTCAAGCAATGCCATTCACGAACCTTGAATGTACTCGATCATCTGGCCCGCATGGCCACCATCGATTGTCATTTTGTCGGTCGTTTTTAGGTCGCGCGGCTATCAGAGATGCAGGAGATGGGGCAGATGGCGTCGGCCGCAACAAGAGTGCTGGAGAATTGTCGTCAAATGTGTGATGGCGGGCCGGATCAATTGTCCGACAGCAGGTCACAGTCAGTGCAATAATAGGACGCAGTGGAATTCAGAGGCTCATGATCTGATTGATCTGAAGTCGATAGTTGAGAAGAATGATTAGGATAACGATAGTCCCGGTAAGAGAGAAGCTGTACAGGACGATGTAGTAGGAAGAGGGAAGAGGGGAGTTGGAGAACAAACAGAGGCGGGAGGAGAATAATAATCTCATGGTGTTGGGGCAGCTGCCATGCCACGCTAACCCGCTGTTATGTTGTGCTGTCCCCCTTTGGGACTAGTGCCCCTGCGTTGACTCGGCAACCGTCTGCCGCCTCAGGCAACCACAACGTTCTGGATTATGTCATCGTTTTGCCTCCCCAGTCACAAATAATCAAACAATCAAACAAAACAGCCAAACAGCCAAACAGCCAAACAACAAAACAACAAAACAACAACAACGTGATAGGTCCATCGCATTTTTCGCTTGCTTGGGCTCTCTGGGCCCCGTGACCATTCAAGCACCCATGGCCCAGCGACCAGGCGATGCAACATCAAAGATACTTCCGACTTATACTCTCTAACAAACCTCGACTTTCCATGAGCTGGCTGGGTCAACGGCATTAGTCTCGTGATCAGTCATAATTTCTCCATACACACAATGCCCGGAAAGTGCAACCCATGTGCGGCTAAAGCATTCCGGATGACAAGCAGACCAATTGCCCAAATGCCGGAGATCCCCAGCTATGCTTGTACTCCGTTCGGGTTTGCCTTCGGCTCGGAGGTTGCGTCAGTTTCCGTAGGCGTGTATACCATCATAACACTGACCATTGCACATTCGAGATCTGCCTACCGCCCCTCGAGACCTAAGGTTGCCCTTTCTTATGCGATAGGCTCAGGACATGGATATACTGCCCTAAGTCACAAGAAGAGCACAAGGAAGTACTATTGATGCGAATCGTAACCCCTTGACATAGCCATTGTGCGATCAGATAGCAAGTCAACTCACTCCTGCCTGAACACATGTGTGGGACCTCCCATCTTTGGTTGCCACCGGCGGGATGAATAGTAGATTAAGAGTCGGTTGCCACCGCCAGAGCCTTGAACCTTGGTCCCGGACTTCTTAGGTTGGTGCGTGTACAAGCTCGTAGATATATATTCCAGAACTACAGTACCTAGAGCAGGTAAGCCACAATTCAGGTAGTTATTTCCAGTCACATCTGAAGTGAAATGAATCCGGAAGAATTTCCATTTAGATGATCACAAAATACCACAGTTTGTCTACATTTCGCTTTCATGATCCAGATTGTCGAATGACTACCCAGAAAAAGACAGCTCAAGTCGCATTGAAGTAGTTAAGTTGATTTCCCAGATAGAACCTTACGAGCGCCGGCGCGGTCGGCTCTTCTCCGCACCGTGAAGGCAAGGGCATCAAACGACAGAGTCTGTTCTCGAAGTTCCCAATTTGAGAAAATTCCACGGCCACTTGGTTCCTGGAAAAGCCTCGCAAAGAGGTCTGCGTGATCGACAGGGTACTACGAAAGCTATTTGTCGAGGCTCCGCCACAGCCGCAGCCCTTGCCGGCGCCCTCTCGGCCTCACAGGTCCATGCATCATATCGGTATCACCCCTCGCATAAGAGGCGGGATGAGGGCGAACACTCTACTCCCGAACTAATGATCGGCTTCACTACTCACAACACTATACACCTTTAAATTTCACTAACGAAATTCACGCGACTCGCCCAAGCCGCATCCATTGCTCAAGCTTAATGGTCATTCTTCCTACTCGCCAAGCATATAGGGTTATGAGCAGTCAGAAAGTTGCTTAGCCGAAAGCAAGCTTTCAGCAGCAGGTACTCTAGTGCCTGCTGAGACCAATATTGAACCTTACTGCCACAGACTGGAGCTTATCCAGATTGAGGAGCCGTGGACTCGAGGATCTCTACAATTTCGCATTGGGACGTATCACTGGGGCCCATGTGGAACATCCCTGATTGTTGCTGAGCATTGGTCCACTAGACTGCCTCCGCGGCAGACCGGATGACAGGTTATGCATGCCGATCGTGATTAGTCGCGACCAAGACGAACGCGAAGAGAAAGTCACGGACTAACCATAGGCTGCAGGGCATGCGAGGAGACCTTGATGCAGCGTGTGGGAGCTCATCAAAACAGCGTCAGCAGAGTGTATATAACCCGGCCCCAGCCTCGTTCCTTCTCGACGAACTTTTCTCTACTCAGCTCACTCATTCGCTTCCAGTCACTCTTTCTGAAACTCTCCGGCCTTTCCATTGTACACAATTCTTTCACCATATCACTCTCTTTTTACAAATTTTCATCACCACAAACGCAATTATGAAGTTCACTGGATTTGTTCTGTCTCTCGCTTTGACCGGTATGGTCACTGCCGCCGCTATTCCTAGCATGCCTGGTGCTGATGGTGCCGTTGGTGGTCTGGAGGGTGCTGCCGAGGGAACGGTTGCCGCCATCACCGGTAGCCACATCAAGCGCCAACTGAATGCTGCCCAGCCCGTCACTGAGGCTGCGGCTAGCTCTCTGAATGGCGGCACCGGCATTGTCGGGAGTGCTGCTGGTACGGCTGAGAGCACCAGCCAAGGTGCCGTTGGCACCGGTGAGAGCACTGTCGCTGGCGCAGCCGGAGCTGCTAAGCGCCAACTGAATGCTGCCCAGCCCGTCACTGATGGTGGCGCTAGCTCGCTCAACGGGGCTACTGGCATTGTCGGCAGTGTTGCTGGTACGGCTGAGAGCACCAGCCAAGGTGCCGTTGGCACCGCTGAAAGCACTGTCGCTGGCGCAGCCGGAGCTGCTAAGCGCCAATTGAATGCTGCGCAGCCCGTCACTGAGGCTGCGGCTAGCTCCCTGAATGGCGGCGGCACCGGCCTTGTTGGCAGTACTGCTGGTACTGCTGAGAGCACAGGCCAGGGCGCAGTCGGTACTGTTGAGAGCACGGTTGCTGGTGCGGGATCTGGTATGTCCTTCCAATACATTGTTTGTGCAAAATCGACCAACTAATCATTTGTTAGAGCAATAAATGACGGTATAGACTAAGAATGTTGCCTATAGTGCATTTTTGGTCTAGTGGTTATTTTGCCTAGGCTTTGGCTCTATTTTGTCTTGACAACTACCAGTTAGACGGACCCTAATCGGACCTAGTCCGGCCAATCCTTTGCGCAAGCTCTGGTAGAAGGGAAGGCTGGATCTCAAGACGAATATGTCAGTGCATATTATTGTTTCTGTACGACTGGTGGATTTTGAATATCGTTCGCATCGACATAGGGAGATCATTCCCATTTTACGGAAATATTAGGAGATATTTAGAGGATATACATATGTACTGGGCATCACCTCACCTTCCGCCGAAGACTATCACGTAAACACGCATGAGCGCTTGCAGACTTGTTTGTTCACGAACGACCTCATGTTGGAAATAATTACTTGTAAGTACCTAGTAAGGAACTCATCTCTACCGCTCATTCCTGCACCAGCAGTACCACTCCAGTTTCCATCTACTCATCATCGCGGATATCGACGACTGTCTGCTTCCATTTGCGAGCCTGCACACGACGACGGAACAGAATGTCGATCTCACGGAAGGACCTGTGCTTCATCTCTGGAACCCACATCCAAGCCATGGCGGTGCAGACAAAGGCGGTGCCAGCCCAGACGTAGCCGCTCTTGCCGCCCAGGTTCCACTTATCAGTGTTGAGCATGTAGCTGGCAAGGAAGATGCAAGGAATGTTGACCAAGTAGTAGGCACCTCGTCCAATACCGGTTGTCAGTGGCCGGAGACGAACGGAAGATGTCTCGCCGATGATAACCCATGAGGCAGGGGCGGGTCCCAAGCAGAACAGGACGGAGACGATCAAGCCAAGTGATGCTTGCGCATTGCTAGCCGCGTTACCACCGCCACATGAAGCCGCAATACCGAGCGCGATCAAGAATGCACAGTTGATGAATTGACCATAGACATAGATGGTGCGTCGGCCGAGGTATGTGGTGAGGACCCAGGAGAGCATGACCATTATCCACTGGAGGGCAGAAGTGATGAGACCAAGTGCAAATGCGGTGTTGTCTGCCATGCCGGCCTCTGAACTGGTGTTAGTCTGCTATGAGGTTGCAGGAAATGGCTGGACTCACGTTTGAAAAAGTAAACCGCTTGGTTTGCAATCAGATTGCCCGTCAGATTCTGAGATGCGTACACACCGCACACAATCAATGTGCGGTAGCGATCGGTACCTTTCCACAGTTCAATGAGACTGGGCTTCTTCTCAGACTTCTCGAGTTCGATCGTGCGACGCATCATTGCGACTGCGTCAGCGGGATTATCATTTGCACTCGCGCGTCCAAGGCGTTTGACAGCCTTCTCTGCCTCCGCCAGACGGCCCTTTCGTACGAGCCACCATGGCGATTCAGGCGCAAGGAAGAGTAGGATAGCGAGGGGAGTAGGAAAAATCCACTGGAGTGCAATGGGAACTCTGGGATGACTGTTAGTATAGTGCCCCTCGATGGCATCCATGGGAGCGGACGAACCTGTACGCTGACGAGTCCTGCCTGGATTGGTAGTGGTAAGTGATACCGCCGACGATGATCGACCCAATCGCCCAGAACATCTGCAACATCTGCGTCGCTGGAGCTCTCAATCTCATTGGCACAATTTCGGCACAGTAGGCGGGTGCATTGGCGATAAAAATGCCCCACGGGATACCTTCCAGGATCTGGGCCGCGAAAAACATCTCCTGGCTGTTGCCGAAATAGAAGATGAAGATGAAGCCATTCAAGAACATGAGACCGCCAATGGTTGCCCATCGATATCCAATCCAACTGGTAATGGGACCTGCGATGAATACACCGATGAAGGCACCGATTGGCCCGCTGCACTGGAATGCTGACTGCCATGAAGCTTCGATAATCCAGTCATTTGTTTTGTCGCTCCATACACCAAAATCCTTGGCAAATTCATGTGTGGCTATGAACTGTCCCATTAAGAAAACACAGTATGACTCCATGATCTATCGCAACGTTAGAGAAATGATCTGCCTATCACGGGCTAGAGCTTACAATGGTGCATGACATCACAAATGCCCACCAGCTGGCAGCGGGATAGGCCTTGACAGCCTGGAGCACAGTCATATTATGTTCGACCTCCTCGGCATCGATGGCGCCCGCTCTGTCGTAGTCGACCTTCTCGCCAACATCGTAAACAGGTCCGCCCGAGGTGGGCTGCGCCTCGACCTCCGACGCTGTCTGCTTCTCTGTAATGTCGCTCATGTTGACGATTTCTGAGAGAAACGGGTGAAAGAAAGAGAGGCAGACACGACTGGGGGTTTCAGATCTTTATACCTGCGACACGCTCGTGATGGTGATCCCGATCTAATAATTGAGTAAAGCTTGCTCCGCACCTTGACCCAAACCCCACATCTCCACTCACGAGGGTCATTTTTCCGGGCACTACGGTAGCAGCGTCACTTGATTATGGTTGGCGTCGAGCGAAGTAATCTGATAGGTAGTCGGGAGGAAATGTACTTCCTTTGCGGGGTCAGCTGAAGTGGCAATTTGGTTGGTAGGGCGTGGTGGTGTGAGTTGAGATGTGGCGTTCCATTCGCCGGGAAATTTCCTAGTTTGGGTCGTAGGGGAGAGTCCAGATCCTCCCTCCTGCAGTTAGTGCGAGTCATGCCTGTGCCCCCAGGTTTTTTCTTGTTGTGCACTCTAAAATCTGACCCTCCTGACTCCCTGTCAGCGTGGTTCAATTCTGTTGAGCCTATCATAACGAGGAAATTTAACCGAGGAGCTGAGGATAAGCGCTAAATATTAGTTAGCGCTGTGCTTGACTCCGGGTATCGACCAGGGGCAAATGCTCAGCAAACGTGACCCATTCAGGTCTTCGAACGGCCTCTAAAGAAGTCGGATGCTCATGATGCTTGATCTCTCTATCTCTGTAGAATACCATGCTCAGTGGGGGACAAGTGGACGTGCAGTATCCAAGATAAATATTGTCGATTTTTAAAGAACCTAACGATTCCCTGAGTCGGACACGGCTCGGTGTCATCTTATCCGCGGGCTAGGGGTTCGGCCAGTTTTACCCCGGACGGTCACTACCCCGCGCTATGACCCCGGACGGATCCTGAATCTCCTCCAATGGAGAAAAGGAGAAATACCGAAATTGGATAGTACAAAATATGAAATTGCATGAAAAGGAGCAGTACTCCCAAGGTTTAGGCTAACTAGCTTTTCATCATATGCCCTCAAGTTATCTGCGATCCATTACTCACTAATACTTGGTCAAAGCCCAGGTAAAGCCGATTGAATGCCTCTTCTTTTAACCCTCAGCTTCGCCGAACCGGTTTGTGTTTCGAATTAGTAGTCATCGAGTTGGCCTACGTTAGTAGTGATATGATCTTTACTAGAAAAGCCATATAGGACTAGCTGACATGGTAGCCACGCGATCGCGTTGTTCAAAATCAAGCTCTTGCATTCTTGAGGGCATATGGCCGATTTTGACTTGGGAATTATGAATCTCAACTGCGCCCACGACAATAAAGGTTTAATAACGTCGTTTCCCTAGCTAGTCCCCAGCTCCTTCTCTCTACACTGCCCCGAGATAGTCAGCTATATACGGTTTCGCTTGGCGGCCAGTTGCCAAACAGAGCTCAAAAATTCAAAGATGAAGCGACCTCTGCACTCGCTTCTTTGAGAATTTCCAAGTCAGCGTGGGTGTGCGAAAATTGGGTGCGTTGTTTGCGTAGCTACCCTGGCATTTCCTGCGGGGCTAAGCACAGCGGCTCATCCCCCCACCCGATTGGCTCTCGAAGCATTTGGGTACTAACTAGGCGTATGTGTCTAATTTACCAAGTTACTCAATTATACACTTATGGGCCTCTCAATCTCTTTCTTTGTCTTCTGAACACTCACTATTAGGTAAGTAGGCCTTTGACTCTGAATAACGTGTCCTAATTTTGTCACTCTTGTCCTGTCAATGTCCTCCTTTGTACCACCTGACGTCGAGGGCTATTGAATATGGTACACTAGGTTAGCCGACCTAGAAGAGGAATCGAAGTCTCAAGGACCTTCACCGACAAGAAGCAGGAAAAGCAATCCTGGCCATCTTTAACTATGACGCACCGATCATTATGGAAACCGACGCATCTGACTTCGCGCTCGGAGCGCAACTCATGCAACCAGGCGAAGACGGCAAGCTTAGACCTGTCGCTTTCTGGTCTCAAAAAATGATCCCAGCGGAATTGAATTATGACATCCACAACACGGAACTATTGGCTATAGTGTTAGTATTCCAAGTCTGGAGAGCGTATCTGGATGGAGCCAAGCACACGGTGATTGTTCGGATAGATCACCACAACCTCACGTTCTTCACCACGACGAAGAAACTTACCCGACAACAGGCAAGGTGGGCAGATTTCCTCGCATAGTACGATTTCAGAATCGTGCATTGCAAATGGACCGAAGACGCCGTTACCGACGCGCTCAATAGGAGACGCGATTACGAAGAAGGCACAAAACAGGCTAAAGCAGCAATCCTGCGACAAGACGACGGGACCATCGTCTACAACAAATAGATCCTCGCCGCAACGGTAGAAACCCAAGATGATCAATAGACACAGATCATCAGAAACGCAACAGCAACAGATGGCACGATACAGTTCGTAACCGAAAACGTGCAAGAAAATATCCGACGAGATGAAACACGACTAATGCTCGTCCACGGGCTCATCTACGTACCGGCTGTTAGCAACTACGGTAAGGCAAACGCATCTTCAACTATCCATAGACATTGAGTTTTTCAACATACGCATGAAATGGTACTATACCCAATCGCGCCAGGAGGCGCCAGACTTTCAAAAGGGGGAGAAAGTTTACCTCCTACGTCGAAACATCCGCACCAGGCGACCCAGTGCAAATCTCGATCATCTCAGACTCGGACCATTTAAACTCGAGGAGAAATTAGGATCAGTCAATTACCGCTTAAAGTTACCGGAAAGCATGCGACCCCTATATGCAACAATTTATGTCTCATTGCTAGAACGGGCACCCAAGAAAGCTAAAATCGCTATTAATATCGAGATCAAGGAAGAAACAGAAAACGAATACAAGGTCGAGAAAATTCTAGCGATAAACAAAATCAGCTGGAAACTTTACTACCTTGTGAAATAGAAGGAGTACGATACCTCGGAAAACACGTAGGAACCTATCGAGAACGTAACAAGCTACCACCAGCTAGTTCAACAGCTCCACCAGCAGGGAGGGGGGAACCACTACCCAACCCGGAGAAGCCCAAACCGTCCCAGAAGGACGCGGACGACGGACCGGCACTCGCAATCATCTGCGTCAGAGTAGGATTCTCCGACGTTGCCGCCAACGCACGAGCATCCTCTGCATCGGCCAGACGGTCCTGCTCGGCCAAGATCCTCAGCATCCAACTGCTCCATCAAGGAAGTATCGTGATCTAACATCCGATCGTTACAGGTTCGAAGGAATTAGCGCTGTTTGTGCAACCGAATTATTTTCGTCATCAAATCCATTTGTTGTTTTTCGGCCAGAGCCAACTCTTCGTCAATCTTTTGTTGCTCACGGAGCACCCGCTGCCATTCGTGCTCACTGTGAAACCGCTTCGCACATTGCAGCTGCTAAGCGCCAATTTGACAATCTCCCCGCCACTCTCACCCAGACAGGCTCTGACACTGGTGCCGGTCTTTCTGGCAGTACGTCTAAACGCCTTCCATTCTATAGTTATGAAACTTGCTGACTCAGTTTCCAGATCCTAGCGGCATCTATGGCGCTCTCGCCAACCTCAAGATGATTGTCGATGCTGGTCAGCTCTCTCCCAGCGACATCTCCAACCTTCCCGCTGCCGTCCAGCGCGTTATTGCCAACCCTGCCGTCTTGTAAATGACCTTCCATCACTGAACGAGCACATTTTTGGACTTTTATATGCATGGAAGGTGTCATGACTTCGTTTGGTCGGCATGATCTCTACCCTTACTTTCTTGTCTTCACTTCTTTCATCCCTCGAGGGCTATATACTAGCTGTGATTCTGGGTTCCTGCAACTCGATGTACAGTATATATTTTAATAAGTGTCCTTTTATACTTTGAGGACTCTCACCAGAATCCTGTATGGGACTACTTTCTCTGAGAGAAAGTTCTTATTTGTTGTAATATCAATTTGTTGATTTCTCTAATTATATCACCACCTCGGGGAACACACATCAGGATATCTTTTCTAACCTGTAATTAGTCGTATTTGTGCCCTCGATGGACCTAATCTCTTCCTGTAGACTAATCCCAGGTCCCTGTGCTCATATCCCCATCCGGTTAGGTTGGTATGTAATGTGCGTCATATATTACATCTCATTTTTTCACATTATATTGTATTATATACTACATCCTTACGTGTAATTTTAGATTCCCGAATCTTCAGATCGCCGTGATCAGTTGCTACTCTGCTCAGCACCAGCCAACAATTAACCCCTACCATCACAGTGGAGCTCGGCTTCTCTTTTGCTGGCAAATTCAATTGGACCTGGCATTATTATTACCATTCTTACCTAACCACCACCACCCACCATGGCCAATACACAAACCTCCAACAACGAGTTCCCATACTCTCTGTACGATCCCACCCCGCCTTTCGGGGCCTGCAAATCTGCATTTGCTGCACCTTGTTACAAGGCATGGGACACTAACACAGGGTATAGGACCATCTCCCTGCCACTCCCAACCCATCGCCTCGCATCGTCTGCCCTCCAGACCCTCGAAGTCGACACCGAGCTCTCCCCATTTGTGCGGCGCACCTTCCTCCTCACGGCCCCGTCCTCGAACAATCCCGGCGAGCCTCAAGAAAAGAAGCAAAAGCCGGACCCGGATGAGTCCAAAACAGTTCTGCAGACCACCTACTGTGCGACCACAAATCGCATGCTTCGCGTCGCCGTCAATGGGTTCATGGAAAGCCTGGGTGTTATTCTGGGCGTGATGGCGGAGCTCGATGTGGACGTGCTCAACGCGGAAGAGATTGAGGGGTGAGTGAGCACCAAGAGGGCTAATTCCTCATCGTTCGAGAAATCTACGGGGCAGGTGGGCGACGTATGAACCTTGCGAGGCCTGGCATCTTTGTCTACATTACGGTGGTGGCTGTGCCCCCCAGGTCGGCGTCGGAACAACACGACTTAGAACACGCGATGCGCTAGGCTTAGGTCCCGGGAACCCTGGCTGTGGCTATGCCTTGCTCGAAACTCTTCGATATCTGTTTTGGGTGAAATCCCCGTCAAATACGCGGTATACACTATATTGTGCGGACCGTCGAGCCTCGGCAGCTCGGAGGGACCGATCCTCATTGGGCTGGCGGAGTCATGCGGAATGATTACAGACGCAGGATACCATTGACGGCACAAGTACGCCGACCTTCTTTTCCTCGAAAAGGAAATGGTGGGAATCGCGTGGTTCCACGTCATGCAATGACTCCTCGCAAGCCTCAAAGGTTTGTGGAGTCGAGGCCTCGAAGTTCTGCTTAGCAAGCCTACCGGCCCATAAAATCCGCAAGTTATGCCGGGATGTTCCCATTATTCCAAATATTTATTCCCCTATATGGAATTGTGCAGCACCCTAGACTAGTTAAGCTTAATGATCTTATGCCGTAGACGTGGATCGCAGCAAGAAAGGAGAGAGCGCCGTTGACGAGAACCGACTCTGCCAATCAGCGCGCAGATATTGCGTCGATCGGCTCGGAGCACAACTGCGACCGTCGGCCCTTTACGCCCGTGTCTGGGTCTTTGATCATTGGTAATGCCCCTCGAGATGTTGGTCTTTGGGGAGACGCAGAAGGACCTCGGCTCCCTACAAAACCGTCCGCCATGCGCCCTTTAGTCCTTTGCCAACGCCAAGCTCTCCCACTCCTTCGGTCTCAAGTGGTTCGGCTCGCTCCTCCCCGCAACTGTCAATTCTCTACCACGTCATTGTACCACTCTCAACCCTTGGGCTTTCTCGCACCGCAACCTCTTTCCACCTCTTCACGCGCGCGCTCCAGCACCATGTCGTCCGCGACCAGCTTTTACGATTTTGAGCCCGCCGACAGTACGTACTCATGTACACCCTTTTTTCTATGGTTCCGGGGCCAACCCTTGGCCCGTGGCAAGCTCCTAGAAACCAGCTACTAACACGCTTATTCGCATCCAACAGAGAAGGGCGAACCCTTCCCCCTCTCCTCGCTCAAGGGCAAAGTCATTCTAGTCGTCAATACCGCCTCCAAGTGCGGCTTCACCCCGCAGTTCGAGGGTCTCGAGAAGCTCTACAAGGAGCTCAAGGCTCAGTACCCGGAGGACTTCACCATCCTGGGATTCCCCTGCAACCAGTTCAAAGCTCAAGACCCCGGTTCCAACGATGAGATTCAGTCTTTCTGTCAGCTCAACTACGGCGTGACCTTCCCCGTGCTGGGCAAGCTGGACGTCAATGGCGACTCTGCCGCACCTGTTTTCACCTGGATGAAGGAGATGATGCCTGGCACCCTTGGCCTCAAGCGCGTCAAGTGGAACTTCGAGAAGTTCCTGATCTCGGCTGATGGGAAGGTCGTCAACCGCTGGTCAACGATCACCAAGCCCGAAACCCTGAAGGATCCCATCGTCCAGGAGATTGAGAAGGCGCAGAAGGCGGGTACTCTGGCTTCGGCTCAGAAGGCTGGTGAAGGTGCTGAGCAGACTGAGCAGGCTGAGCAGGCTGAGCAGGCTGAGCAGGCTAAGCTTTCGTGAGCTTTTGTCTCATGCACTACGTTCTTCTCTTTTCTCATGTGATTACGTCGCCCTAATCCTTGTATTCATACTTTGGCGGCTTCCCCCTGTACGACTACGCAGGTCCATGTGCTTTACGATGACAAATTGATACTCCATAATGCGTTGAGATTTTCTGTTCGGGCTTCGGCCAATGTTCTCGTAGATTTACCATTCATGCCGTCAATAACTTTTTTCTTTCAAAAGCTACCCATTCTTCAATCAAGCAGCAGTCTCACTCTTTGGGATCAGACCTCGCAGCGAAAGATCGTAGACCACATCCTCCACCTTCTTGACCTGTAGACAGAAAAAATAGTCAGTTCAACACGGCCTGTGGACCAACATCTAGTAGGTCAGCTAGTAACTCACGTTATACTTGATTCCGTCGCTCCGCTTCCGGAGAATATCATTTTTCAAATTGAGAAGCTGGAATCCAGCGAAGAGATCCTTGATGAAGTTGCCAATCTGGAGAGGGCGTTCATAGTCACCAAGGGTAACCGAATTGACGGCCAGACGCGACTGTTCGACATCGTCAGTAATCTTAACAGGAGAGCGGGGACGATCCGAAAGAACGATACTCACCAGCTCCTCGACAAGCGCAATCAAAGCCAGGAGGTACTCCTCAATTGTGAGGTGGAACGCATCCTGCTCCTTCAAGTTGACAGGGACTAGCGCAAGAAAATCGGTCAGCCTTGGCGGCCTACCAAAATGGAATCCAAGCACAAGCACAAATCCAACTTACTTTCCAGGAACTTGCCCACGTCTTCGATGGTCATGAACGAAGCCGAGCTAGGACCCTTATATTCCTGCAGGCCTCCGAGCCAAGCACACAGCTCGATGGAGGCAACCTATTATGAGAATTTAGCATCAAAGTAGCCATGGGCGCAGATCCTGGGGTCCGGCACGAACCAGATTCTGCAGCTCGCGAGTCCACAGCCCATTGTACTTGTAGAATGGGTGTTGGTCCGCCACGGCCTTCAGGCGGAGGACCTCCTGCTTCTGGGCGATGATCTCGACTGCAGCATCGTCGAGCACGGGCTTGACTGTTTACTAAAAGTCAGTGGAAATTGAATCATAAACCCTAGTCGACGTGCCAGTTCCCGTCGGACAAAGGGAGGAGGAGTAGCAATAACGGCGAAAACGCCCTTTGATGTGGCACGAAGAAGAAGAACATACGCTGATCGGAAGGGGTAGAGTGTGCCCTTGAGAGAATAGCCTGTGTAGACCGGCCTAAAGTAGCTTGGTCAGCCTCCCTTCTTCGACGCTTGAACTCCGACGATGAGAGCGGGCGGGCCCTCCGTCATGCGGAAAGAAAGGCGTCTAGCTCTCAATCGGAGTATCAGAAGCAAGGTACCTTTTCTGGCCAGGGTCTGAACGATCTCGTGAAGCTCCTAATCGCCGGACGTTAGCTCTGAGCCGGTTTTGTGTGGGCGGCGGCTTTGCTGGAGCTTGGGCTTGGCAGGCGCAGAAATCATTGTAGGGGCTAGGCTGGGCGGACGAAGAATACTCACGTCGCGGACGGTGGTCTCCTCGTCGATCTTCGTTTGCAGATCCTCAAAGATGCGTTGGTCAATCATTTTGGCGGGGATATAGGGGAGGGTGAGAGGGTATATCGTGTTTGGGAAATGAGAGGGACGCTGCGGTGGTGGTGATCGTGCCGGCGAGCGAGTTCCGTCAAAATTGAAGGTCAATTGCCACCACGGCCAAATCTCAATCCGTATGAAAGGTTTAAGAACTTGTTTTTTCTTAGGAGCCAAGAAATAGTCTGGAGGTTTTACTTTTAACAAAATCATCATTCACTTCACAGCTGATTGGCAGCTTAGGAGCACCGCGGGAGCTCGCGGGGCTATCTACAGGCTTTAGGTACAGGCTACTTGGGTACCCTTGGATAGCCATGAATATATTGGCCAGGCTTCTACAGAACTCCTCTTTCGCTGGTGCACCGGATTGGTGCTCCTTGAGGTGCTAGAAACGGGTCTTTCAGATTCAGGCAGGCCTGCATGGCCGCCGCAAAAAAACAATGCTGTATACAACTCCAAGAACACACATCTCCAAGGTTTTATTCTGTCATCACTGCTTCCCCAGCGATCGTAATCATAAGCTTCATGAAAGGCGCGAGGTCCGTTGAACGTCGCTAATATCGCGGTCCTCCGGGAGAGGGCGCGCTCAGTATCGGTATCTCGTCGAGTAATCTGGACGACGGTCAGCGGGTGCTTTCTCTTCGTACAGCGGAGAGGCAATATCTTACCCTTGGGACTGACAACCAGACCACGGCCCTTCTTCGCGCCCTTGTATATGGTTTCAATGATATCGATCAGCTCCTGCTTGTCCTCAAGCACCCAGTTCAACTTGTTATTGTTTCCTGTTCCGAAATCGCACATCATATGCTTGTTCCGGTAGAAGAACATGATTGTCATTGGATCGTAGAGCTCGTACATCGAGCTGAAATCGGGGACCTCGTCAAGGTCGCACAGGTAGATGGCGGCGAAGTCTACACGAGGTGTATGTGAGCAGCTAGCCTTCTGATCTGGGGTGATAAATAAACACTCACTTTTCACACGCTCGGCAATCTTGTACAGGACTTCATCCTGGCGGATACCTGCGAATTGATGGTCAGTCTTGCGAGCATGCGACCGTGGAGGGGAGCGGCTCACAGTCGGGATCATGGTCGCGCCCGAAGCGTATCACCACGAGGCGCTCCTCCTCCGAGAGAATGGCCTGGTCGACATGCCAGGCTGTCGGCAGGTGAGGCAGTACGATTGAACCCATCGCAGCGTGACGAAAGACAACGAGGAGGCGCAGAACAGAGAAATTTGGAGGGCCCAGAGCTTATCGCTGGCACGCCCACGATAGACTGACATCATGTGACTATGAATTCTATGCCTTTTTGGGGTAGCTGGAAAGCTTCATCACAGCGAATACTCCATACAGGCGACGTCTTTTGCGATATAGGGGTTTATGAGCTACAGGTGGCCATGTACAATTTTTGGGTGGGTGTAGATATCATTCCAGGTTAAGCGTTGCCCCCTGGCCTCATAGCCGGGCCCGGGAGATATATATATATGCCTGGTTGAACCAGCACCAAAGGGTTGAAGATCTTAGTAGGCTCAACTCACTATCACAGTTCCAATGGCAACCTAGTACGGACTCCAAAGCTCTCTATCTGGTGAAACTGACCTTGGTTGGACTTCTTCCATGGCGCCATCAAGTTTCTATGCCATGCGACAAGCTCTCCTCTCCCGTATGCATACCCGTCCAGCCGCATACGGAAGGTACATGGTGCTTCTTTGCACGAATGCCCAATAATACCAAGTAAGCACCTAAGAGTACAATCTACACCTACAGGGATACAGTGGTGACCGTTAGGTATTGCCTTCCATGTCGGGAAACATACAGACACTCTTTCAAACCCTAATCACATGATGCACTAAATTTAACATGGACTAGGCGTAAATTACGGGTTTGGTATGTACATTGTAATGATACCTGATCTTCTATGCACCAGTATGGATGCAAGAGTTTAGAACCCTCTGGAGGCCTGGATGACTTGCGGGGCAACCTTTTAACTTCTCCATCTATGTTGCTTACCTGTAGAGGGTCTGGCGTTGCCCCGGGTGTCTATATTGGGTCAAAGTTGTAAGGCTCCACAGTAGGATTTGTCGCGTGATTTCCACGTTCAACAAATTACCATTGTTGCCCAGCATGCCGGCCTGGCTGGACATAACGGAAAGTCCAGCAGAAAGCCAAAGAACAGAACCCTGAACTACGAGCTCTCCACCAGCATAAGCGATCTCAGTTTCGGTCATATCATGTATTTATCGACGAGTCCGGATGTGATGAAAGTGTGGGGGTATAGGCGGACTGGCTGATAACTGCTCGGGGTAACACTAGTCCAAGTATCTAACTTTCGTCAGGGTCAACACGGTACTACTGGCATATGCTTGAGGCTCCTAAATCATTGATTAACTTGATATGTGCGGGACTTCTGTGATACCTTGAACCCCAATTTTAGACTATGAAATCTTCGTTAAGGAACAACGATCTCGAACGTTGCGTTCGGGGTGGAGAGTAGACCAAGCAGTCTGTTCCAATAAGAGCGATCTCCCTGTTCTTCACCAAAATTTCCTACCGCTTGCCCAGCCGACAAGGACTGAACCAATTGCCCATATGTAAGAGCACATGAGAAATCCGCCGAATCCAACGTAGATGATTTCGGAGAGCCTTTTCCAGTGCGGTGTATCAACGCCCCGTTACTAACTAGTAAACGGCAGTGCTCGTCTCGATCGGTCACATATAGATCGATGACGAAATCTTTTGTTTGCGCCCGAGTGCCATCCAGCCGAACAGCAACCGATGCCATGAGATGGTGAAGTGACAAAGCCTCAATCAACCCGGACTGGCCAGACAGTACATTGCCCTCTGGCCTAATGCCACGTAGTTCCATTGCGCCGGAAATGTAAAAATTCCGCCATGGGCCGTTCTCACATCCATAACCCAAGCTCTCGTACGTAGATGCGAGTAAAGATTTGGCCTTTGTGTTCTCGGGATCGGCGAACACGGCATGGTTGAGAAGTGATGCAGCGAATCGTAAATCCCCTTCGTCAGAGAACTCTCTCGCTTTTTGGAGCACTGCTTCCACACCGCCTATACAGGAAACATAACGTTTCGCGGCTTCGACTGGCGGGTGTTCCCATAGATGAGATGGATTTCCATCGAACCATGTCATGTAGCGCTGATAAATGGCCTTGACATTGTGGCTTACAGAGCCATAAAACCCCTGCGTGTGCCAAGAGTCTCGCAGTCGAACAGGGAGCTCCAACTCCTCGGCAATTTCAACGCCTGTTAAACCCTCATTCATCAGGCGCAGAGTCTGGTCATGCAGAAAAGCGTAGAGGTCACGCTGTTGCGTAAGATAGTTCAACAGAGACTTTTGACCCCAGGTGGGCCAATGATGAGAAGCAAATACGACGTCTGAAGTTCCAGCGAAGAGAACAATCGTCTCGTCCAAATATGAAGACCATGCTTGAGCATCCCGAACGGCAGCACCTCGGAGAGTGGCAATATTGTGAAGGCATTGGGTCGCATTTTCCGCAACGCACAAGGCCCGCCGTTGGGGCAGATAAAAATTCATTTCCGCTGGCGCCTCTGTGCCAGGAGTGAGTTGGAAGACAAATTCTACCCCGTCGATCACCTCTACTTGGCCGGTATGCGTGATATCGACCGATGGAGGTATTAACGTTACTCTTCCCGCAGAAACTGTTGCTCCCAGACCACAGCTGATTTGACCAGACGGTCCTTTTGGTAACTGGTCGCCGTACATGTATGCAGCCCTGCGAGCCATAGCGTTCCCGGCATAAATATTCTCAGTGACAGCATGGTCAAGAAAGCCATACGGTGCCAAGATAGGCATAGTGCAAGATTCGTTTGATCCGACGACCCCCTTTGCTCCCCCAAAATGGTCGGCGTGCGAGTGTGTATAGATCATGCCTAACACGGATTTCCTGGAACAATTCTCATAATATAAGTTGAGGGCTGCTTGTGCGCATTCGGCTGAAGTGAGGGGGTCGACCACAATGATTCCACTATCACCTTCAATGATAGTCATATTTGAAAGGTCAAATCCGCGAATTTGATAGATACCGCTAGCGACCTTGAATAAGCCTTGCTTGCTTACAAGCTGCGCTTGTCGCCATAGTTTCGGGTTGGCCGTCTCTGGACAAGGCGCGTTGGTCAAGAAATCATATGCGTCGTTATTCCAAATAACATGACCATCGTGATTTTTGATTGTGCAAGGCTCAAGCTTTGCGATAAAGCCACGATCTGCATCTTGAGTAGACATCGATCAAGGATCAGAGAATTGATCCGAGCAACTGATTTTGAGGGTGATGGTTGACTTCTCCGTCGCCGCATGTAGCATGTGGTCGTTTGAATTGCACAGATATTTCCAGCTTAAAAACAAAGGATAGGTCCTCGTTAGCCGCTTCAAATGTTGTTGTCATCCTGAAGCCTATGACGAGTACATCGACGGATTAGAATTTTGGCCTGTGACATAAAGAGAGGGGTTTCAACGCAGCGACACCAATAATTCCAAAAGCCAAGTAAGAACTTCCGCGTTTACGCCAACTTCCCTGCATGCGTACCGTACATTCCTGAAATGACATCATTACCTACTGTATGTGAAGAATAGAACGCTCATAATAATTCGCTATCTTTGCCATTTGTTACCTAGAGAGTCTGTTCTTGCCGTGTATAATATTGACATCATCCTACCCTACCAGGGATCGATATGTCTTGCCATTTTTGTAATGGTTTGGGTATTTGCTTCTGTGTGTACGCATGATGCCTTGGTAGTGACGATTTTTGGATCTGTAGCGTCACATACATACAGTACTCTCTACAGCTTACAGTACTCATGTTTTGCGTATTACTATGCAAGCCTGGAACAAGTCTTTACATACGGAAGCCGCCACATCGGGATTAGTGTGTCATGTGATTATGATTTGAAAGAGTGCCTGTGTATTTCCCGACTTGAAGGCAATAACGGTCGCGACTATACGAAGAGCTTGATTACAGCATGAACTGGACACCATAGCGCACAGTACAGCTAGTGGCACGCACGACATCATGGAATGTGGTGCGCGGATAGCAGGGAACGGGTTTTATCTTCACAAAGACAATGCAGGAAACGACTTCTTCTCCAAGCGATCGGACAAGCCGACACAATTGATGAAAAAGGGGGTTCGCGTCGATCGGAGGTAGTGTAAGTCCGATGACACTGTGCAACGAGGCATGCGCAAGCACAGAGGCCAAGTCGCGGGATCCAAAAATGGGAATAATCAATGTTGTTTTCCAGTGGAAAACTTTCAGAGATTAAACTGAAAAGAACAGATACTACACTTGATCTAAGCCAATTGGCAAAGAGAGCTGGAGAAGAAAAAAAAGAGAGGAAGGGCGGCAAGAGGGGGGCTCTTAAATACCTTTCTTAGAGTGGGTCCTGTCACTGATGCCCCTTAGCCTCGTCTAGCCGAGCCAATTACAGCCCACCTTACGGCAGACCGTGACTCACACCAAGCATGTGATCCACACACACCTACTCAATAAAGTCACGTGGCAACACATCACCTGAATTCACATGACTGGAAAAGCCCCCAGCCCTAACCCCTCCAGAACAGGACTAGTCCACACACCGCCAGCCGGGCACTGGCGAATTTTCGAGGCCAAAGGGCTCCACCACATCGAAAGCGATCTTCTTTTGACCATCCCTCTCGCCGGCGCAGGATAATCACCTCTTTGCGACCAACTTCAAGTCCAATTTCTTCATCACCCCATACCATCACAATGGCTCCCGCTGCTGTACGTTGAAAGACTACTCCGCGAACCGCTTTGCTGTTCCCCCCAAGATCAGACTGGGTAGACTTGGATCTTGCCGTCATGCAGCCACCAGATATTGAAAAATCTATCGGGTGGTCGATTTCCAAGAACCATGTCTACCCAGGCTGCTACTGGGGTTTCCAATATGATGGAGCAGTAGGCTAATTCAGTTTTTTCCCTGGTAATAGGCTCGTGGCCGCAAGGCTCAGAAGGTTACTAAGAAGGTATGCTACGACACTCCGAATGCCAATTTCCATCCGAGACTAACGGGCTCCCTCTGTACAGTACATCATCAATGCTTCTCAGCCCGCCTCTGACAAGATCTTCGATGTCTCCGCCTTCGAGAAGTTCCTGCACGACCGCATCAAGGTCGAGGGTCGCGTCGGCAACCTGGGTGACGATGTTGTCATCTCCCAGGCTGGTGAGGGCAAGATCGAGGTCGTTGCTCACATCCCCTTCTCCGGTCGCTACCTCAAGTACCTGTGAGTTTCGTCCTGCTCTATACCGCTCGTGGTGATATTCGGACTTAGTCCGCTAACCATACCATTTTTCCTCGACAGGACCAAGAAGTACCTCAAGAAGCAGCAGCTCCGTGACTGGCTCCGCGTCGTCTCCACCTCCAAGGGTGTCTACGAGCTCCGCTTCTACAACGTCGTCAACGACGAGGCTGAGGAGGATGAGGAGTAAATGCGCTCCTTCGGCTTTTGACCCATTTGTCGATCGATGGAAAGGGTCTGTGATTGTCGCACGTTGACTTGGTTGGATTACCGCCGGATCAATTGGTGAGGGTCACGGCGTCCTGTCGTGATGATATGTGGGAATAGACTAGCCTACTTCATTTGTAGGCTACGAATCAAAAAAAGTTTATACCCTCAAAGATCAATTTCCTTGGTGTAGGCGTAGAGACTTCTGTTAAGTGCCATTTTGTGTAGACAATGCACGTAGTCGAAGCTCCTATGATGTATTTAGATGTCCAGCCTTTCAACGCAGCCGATTCCTTCGCCTGCGGGCCGAGTCTACTGTATCTTACTGGATCTATCTTGTTCGATTTACAATCTTCTACGAGACAGCGAGCAGAATGATACTGATAAAGAGGCTAGTTCGCGGTTTCACTGATTCTGGGAGGGGCTGGTGATCGTCAGAAGGAATGTCCACAGCGAATACTATCATGTCCTCGTAGTCGTGATATGCGTGGATGAAAGGTCATAGATTAAACAAGTCGTGATCATATCCTTTGAAAGAAACTCGTACCAACACTCGCTCGTATGCGCTATTTAGATATATGTGCATTGTCCCCCACGCTTGCACTTTTGCGGGGCCGAGTCAACCTAAGGGGGTTAGGCGAAGGCCCAATTTGATTCAACCCAGCGTAAGTGTAAAGACTCATGATATCCCCTACATAAGCGGCAATATCGCATTAAACTATCATGGAGAAGATGTGTGCTTCCTCTTCTGTTCAAGCCCAGCAAGGTTCAACCCTTGACTAGGCGGCGGAACCAACTCGTTGTCTTCAAAATGCCAACCCTTGTGCCTCCAATTCTTCCATCTTTCACCCAGTGCGGCCCGCACCAACTCGCCAGTAGCAATGGAGTCCTCCTTCGAATCGTGGCCCTTATCACCGCCAGTCTGGATGTCACGGTCGAGGTACTTGCGAGCGAGGTTCTTGAGGCTCTGGCGATTGGGGAGACCACCCCTCGGGGCTGGATATAAGATCACTGTGTCGATGATAGTTGGGTGAATTATCCTGCAAACGTTGAGGTCATTGTCGATGGCATGGCCAATCAGGGGAGTATCAGGTTGAAGGAATTCGAAGAGCAGTTTACGTGCTGCGGCCGGTGATTCGACGACTTGCATTGGCTTCTGCTGCTTCTTATCCTCGCCTTGAGAATGTGGCATCGAGGTAGAACTTGAGGTGCCGTAGGGTATGGCGTTGGCGTAGTGCTCAGGGAACACACCCGAGTATCGCGAGTTGAGGTCTAAAACCTCGCCAATGGGCCTGACGAGGATGTCAAGAAGCTCACGGCCTTCTGGCCAGCTGACGGCGGTGAGGCGAATCAACTCCAAGCCTTGTGTCGTGTAGCCCATCTCACAGTCGAAACACACCGGGTCCATTGGTCCTTTGTCCGGTTGTTGCGGGGTTGGTTCGAATTGGAGGATTGATGCAAGGCGCTTGGGCTCCGAGACTTTGAAAACATGGTGAGGACTTTTGGTGCAACCAACAGACGTGCCCACAGATTCACCGCAGCAAGAGAAATATGGATCTGCAGAGCCGGTATAATGATCCGTCTTCTTGCGAGGAGGGTAGATGGGACGGCTGTTGTGGTGAATACATAGGCCACCAGTGGTCAATGCGCCGTCCTCACGGCGACCAGGGAAAACCTGGAATCGACTGCCACAACGGTCGCACTTCTCCCAGCCCTTGGAATCGAGGACACCTTGCCTGGCCGTCTCGATTTCTGCTGCGGTGGGCGCTTTTGTTACATATCCAAACTCCTCAAGGCCGTTCAGGGGGGTGATCAGCTTAGAGATAAGAACAATTTCTTGTTTGGTGGTAAGACCGGTCTCGATCTGCTTGGGAGCCTTTGGGGTTGGGTCGGCTGGTGGAAGTTTGTAGTACCGGGCATTGAGATGTTCCATGACCTCTTTGGCCCACTCTTCCGTGCTCATCTTCGCCAATTTCACAATTCGAAGCTTTATCACATTGGAGTAAACATCAGGGCTGTCCTTTGCCACCCTTTCCTCTTCATCTAGGGCCATCGTCACAAGCTCATTGCCGGTTAATTTGAAACATTTATTCGAGCTTTCCTTGCTCTTGGCGAGCTTTTCATTCTGTGAAACCATGGTAGAATGTAGTTTCTGGAGAATAGCGGTCCGGACACCATGAGGAGCAGGAGCTTTCGTTAACAGGCGAGGATTTAAGCTTTCTTTAGGCGCATTCCGCGGGGGAGCTGCGATGTTGTTCGCTTTAGGGTGGCGGTGGTGCTTGAAGGTCCGCCATTCGCAGGCTTCGAGTTTGAGCGTGGTGGTGGCGGAGATACTCCCCGAGAAGTTGAAGATAGTTTTGAAGTACCCGGGCCAGCATTTTGTTGCGGTAATTGCTGAATTGGCTTCGATGTTGATGCTGTATCCTCAAGCAACGGCGTTTCGTGAGACGAGATCGAATAATCATCCAGGGAGGACGTATCAGTTCGAGTTTTGAGCTTCTTCGAAGGATGTGTGTTATCCATCTTTGACGCTGCCGTAGTACGAGCAGAGCGCTTGTTGGCCGAAGATGAATCGGAGGCCTTGTGGGAGAACATGCATGTCAGAAGAGAGCAATGTTCTCCCTGTGGACAAGCCACCTCTGTAAATAGCCCCAGTGTTGTGAACATGATAGAATAATGAGGAGATGCCGGGCTAAGATATTCGATTTGAGTAAACAGCGCCCCAGGTCCTTGATCGATTTGGCGTCAAATCATGAGATGAGATTTCCGGCGAGTGTCATTGTGGCGGGCAGTGTGAGCACACAAAGAGAATAAGAATGGACAGTATGTTTGTCTTTTTGGAAAGATAGCTCATTCATCCAGATTTTGATCAGAAATGCAGGTCAAATTGAATGCCCGTTGTCCCACGCAGCACCATAGCGCCTGTCTTATGGTCAGTAGGATACGTTTAAAAGCTTTCAGATCCGAGCCTCACGTGACAAGTTTTTGATCTGGATCCTGGACTAAGCCGTCGATATCAAACCGACAGCACTTGTAGGATGTATTCGCAGAGAGCCGTAACTATCTCAAAGGAAAGCAAGCCAGCCTTCAGCGGAGAACGTCAAGGTGCAAACCAGACAAAGTGGACACCGGACAACGCCTGAAATATGGGGTGGCAACAAGGGGGCTTATCACCGGCCTTATCGGAAGCAAGCGCATCAGCAGGCCGGGCCAGGCAGCTTAACTCCGGTAGGCAAAAGTGTTTTTAACAGCCTGGCCCTCCTGGCGCGATCTTGACTCACTAGATAATCCTTCCAAGACACGATGCCTGACACTACAACCAAAGCTGATCACCTTTGTGTCCTGGTGCATGGGTAAGAGTCCCATCCAGATCGCTGCGGGATGACGTTGCAGGGAGCTGAACCAAACTGACCTCCCCGGGATAGACTTTGGGGAAACCCATCTCATCTGGACTATGTGGCTTCTGCGCTAAGGGAGCGCCATGATGAGGACAGTCTTTACATTCTAAGCGCAAAAGGCAACAGCGGCAATTGGACGTACGATGGAATCGAGCTCGGCGGCGAGCGACTGGCGCATGAGATCGAGGAGACACTGGAGACCTTAGATAAGAAAGGGCAAAAGATCAAGAAGCTGAGCATCGTCGGCTATTCTCTCGGTGGGCTTGTGTCCCGATATGCGATCGGCTTGTTGCATGCCCACGGCTGGCTAGAGAAGTTGCAGCCTGTCAACTTCACGACCTTCGCTTCGCCCCATGTTGGGGTAAGAACGCCGCTTAAAGGAATCCGAGGTCAAATTTGGAACGGGCTGGGGCCAAAGACAATCTCCATGTCTGGTCAACAACTTTTTATGGTTGACTCTTTCCGGAACACGGGTCGGCCCCTCCTCAGCGTTCTAGCTGACCCGGAGAGCATCTTCATTCAAGGACTGAAACAGTTTCAACACCGATCCGCTTACGCAAACATTGTTAATGACCGCTCCGTTGTGTTTTATACATCGGCACTCTCCAAGGTGGACCCCTTCCGGGACTTGGACAATATCAATATCAACTACGTTAAAGGCTACGATCAAGTTATCATCGACCCTGACAACTATCTACTTCCATCTACACCGGAAGAACCAGAGAACGTGGCGTCTCGCTGGTGGAAGCAGCTCAAAACAGTTGTGCAAGGCTTACCTTTTTGGTTGCTTGTCATCCTGCTTGTGCCGCCTGCCTCGACCATCTTTCTCGCGAATGCTGCTGTGCAAACATGCCGCAGTCGCCAGCGGATACGACTGCATACCGAGGGCAAGAATAAAGTGCTCTTTGGAAGATACAAAGTGCCTCTTTTAGTGCAGGATGTCCACCATGTGATGGAGGAAGTTTTCGAGAACGTCAACGCTCGACAGGAGCCCGCCTATCTCTCGAGCACCGAGGAGGACAACCTTTCTGATTCGTCGACTGAGAAGGTTGGAATCAAGACTTCGAAGCCAGGCAGTGAAGTGTCCAGTGCTGGCCTATACCAGCCCACCAATTCTCATGCTTATGAAGAGGAATATCCGGCCAGTCATCATCACAAGCTTGCGTTGACCGATGATCAATTTGCCATCATTGATTCCCTCAATGCGGTTGGGTTCCGCAAATATCCAGTCTACATTCACAAGCACCGACACAGCCACGCAGCAATTATCGTCAGAGTGCGGAAGGATGGATTTGGCGAGGGTGAAATTGTCATGAAGCATTGGCTGGACAATGAGTTCGTGGTCTGATTAGAGGCTAAATCTTGTGATTTTCTTTGCACAGCATTTTCGGCGGCGTCTCACTTTTGGCATAGAGAATAGGTTTTGTTCGTCTGTGCGAGCGAGTTTCGTACAGGAAGATTCTTTTCAATGGTAACATAGATTCAGCGAGGTCCTCTCATAAATAACACGACTATCCACACAAATCTATTCTCTACAATATCACAGGCACCTCATATGACACTCGGCTAATACCCTTCTGCCGACTGATCTTGCGTATTGTAATAGGTCCCACCAGGCTGGTCGTCAGCACATGAGTGCCACCGCAGGGATTCTGATCGAGCCCACCTATGCTCGCAACCCGGATAGGACCGTCCCTCAATGCCCCACGGCCCTCCAGATCCGAGCCATCTTCCACCCAAGAGATCAGGATAGGCAGATCTTGCTGAACCAATTCATCCACTTTTGCCTGGATCAATGGATTTTGCTCGTTATACAGCAATCCTTCATATTCCATACATGCTTCTTTGGGGAAATGGTTTGCTTTGACTTTCTTCATTTCCGGGAAGAGAAGCTGCATCGCCAGGCCCACAACATGTCCTCCCGTATGCAGCCGGGAATGGTAGTTGCGCTTGGCACCGTCAACCCGTTGAATGACACTCTGGCCTTCAACGAAGGGGATAATTCCACCGGCTGACTTGCCGAAATGAAGGATCCTCCCATCCTCCGTCTTCCGCACTAAAGAGACGGTGAACGCGGGCTCTTTGTCGACCAGTGCGATGGACCCAGTGTCGCTAGGCTGACCGCCCCCCTGCGGGTACAAGATGGTCTGGCGCATAGTAATCGCCGAGACCTCTGGGTCGGCAGCCTTGATCAAGCTTCTTTCATTTTCCGGGAGCGAGGAGACGGGTTGATAAGAGACGATCTCCGTGGTGAGGGTTTGTAGCGAAGCATCGTGCAGGTACAGTGCATCCGTAGGCGGGACCTGATCTGGACGATTAGCATAGTTGTTATCCAGATAGAAAGCCTTCTCATACCATTTTTTGGTGTTACTAGCACGCCAATGCGGAGACCTGCTTGTGTGTGTTGTCTTCTCTCAAGCCAATCTTCGTCCAATGACTCGACTTCCCCGCGGAGTGGGTCATGTCATGTCCAGCGCGGGATTGGCTGCCCGGATTCTCAGGCTACGATGTAAACTTGTCTACTCCGACCAGGATAGAAATAAATCTTTTTCGGTCATCCTCCTTTGAAGAGGCAAAGGAATGGTCCCTTTGCGGTCCCTGGCATGCATCCGTAGAAATGTAGCTCTTGATGCTATCATCAAGCCCTTTTGTAAGGCGTGGACCGCGACAGCAAGCAACACCATCATGGCGAATCCTTTCCAGAGCGGTACATAAGCTGGACAATTAGTATAACACCTCCATGGCATCCATCTGAGAACCATAGCACTCCACGAGCGCACAGGAATGTGATGATACGCTGACACTCTCCCCCTTCCCAGGGCCAACCTTAAATCGACTACCTCCTCACCCCCGGATTTGCCCCCCACCATCCACGCTCCCCGCCCCGCAAAACCGCCGAGTCCAACTGGACCCCAAATTCGCAAGGCTAAATGACCTCGGTGTTCCTAATCAGTCTCTTCCGTCCTGCCGTGTTCGCACGCCTCTGATTTGTTGATGAGGACCAGGATGCGTCTACCCGAGGTCCTTAGTCTGTGGAGAGGGAGAGCCGGCTCAAACAATTTCATCATCGCCGCACGAGGGCCTAGCTCGTGGGCGCATTGGGATACGTTACATCGTGTTCGGCGGGGTGCTGCATTTCAGCCGATTAGGAAGATTGCCTGGAGATCTGGGGTAAAATAGAACTGTCACCGGGGTCCTGGGCGCGAGTCTGGTTTCCTAGAGCTGTGCGAGGATAGAAGTGGCATGCTATTTTGAGTGGTGATGCCGTGTGATTGGTATAGTATCGCGGGCCGAAATCTGGAAAAAATAAGTACTCCGCTGGAGCGAGATCATTATGACAGGTCCTGAAGACGAAGCCTTTAATAGCCAGTCCAAGGATCTATAGAGGAAAAGAAAAAGAACCCAAAATGCCCTTCAAGGTTTCTTTGATATTGTTCAATTGTTCATGATATCTACCATTTGGGAAAAATTCCGACGATGCGGATGAAATGAAGACCAGGAAATCCATGCTCCAAACTGTACAGAAGGAAAAGGGGGAAAGCTCATAATACATGAAATTTCGTGAAGCGGGAATCATGGTGAGTACGCCGTGAGGAAAGTATAATGATTGGGTGGACCGCATGATCCTGCTGGGAGTCGGTTGAGAAAAGGGTGATCGGGAAGGAGAAATCAACCGGGGTAGCGGGAGAGATGAGAAGGCCAGCAACCAGCAGGATCAGAAAGCAACTTAGTTTGTGAGCTTGCTCTCCATGCCAGCCTCTGGTAAGCCGTCCCTAGCGGGACCTTTCTTCGAGTAGAACTTCTGCTGCTCACGGTCGATTGCAAACTTTACGGCGTCGTAAATGTTGTTCACGATCTTCTTGGGTGGGAAGCGTGGGATGGTGCCTTCCTGGTAGACGCCAGTTCGGACCAAGATAGAGTACCATTCGTTCTCCGAAATCTCATTGAATTCATTCGTCCCGCGAATGTCGGATTCGGGAGTGTCGCCAACAAAGTAGATTGTCGAAGGTGGCGTGTCGATGCCGTGAGAATCGCTGCGCCACTGCTGCAAAAGCCGGGTGGCAAATTGGAATGTGCCCACCTGTGGCTTGCCAAAGGCAACGGTCTTCAGCTCCTTGCCGACGACGGCCTTGTAGAGAGCCTCGAGAGAGGCGCGCAGAGCGCCCATGCCGAGGCGTGAGTGCTCATGCGATGTGGACCACACCACATCATTGTGGGAGAAGTAGATTGGCGGACCCTCGTCATACGTTTCCGAGCGTGTGCCTAGCTGGCCATCCTTGGACATCAGGCAGTCCAGAATAATCTGCTGGTCACCCGCCCAGTCACGACTATCGGCAAAGACGAAGATGGCTTCAATCCGGATGGAATCGAGATCGAGCACCCGTGAGTTCTTGAATTCCTCGTCGGTCAATTTGCGGAAAGGCGTCGTGTCGTGTCGTGTCTTGATAATGTCTCCCGGCGTCACGACATTCTCGAATCCGTATTCCTCGGCGACAATGCGGCACTTCTCGCCTTCGCCGCCTACCACCAGGACGGTCTTGTACCGTTCCACCATTTCGCGCATGGGAGTGTGGCCGCAAATGAATTGCCCCGGGCACACTTCATACTCGAGCTGACGACTGAGATCCTGGCATCGTTCTTGTTCGGTCTTGCCGCCTCCGTTGGTGAGGAAAATGTATGGTCTGTGGAGGTTTGTGTCAGCACAATCTGTGACTCCTCGAGCCCTCATAGCACCGGGGCCAGCGCATGATGCAAGACTCACACTTTGATTCCATATGGATTCTCGCCGTTAATGTACTTCATGGCCTCGACGGCCTCGGGAATGGCCTGGCCGCCTCTGATAAGGACGCCATCGATATCGAAGGCCAGTGCAAAATCATCGCTGATAGTCATTGGCGGGGGAGACAGGGGGGTAGTCACTTGAGAGGACTCTTCATCTGAGAAAATGGCTTCGGAGGAACTGGCGTCTGAGGAACTGGCTTCTTCGTCAAGATGGTGGTTGGCCTTGGCTATTTCAGAGGCCAGGTCGCGGCCATGAGAGGCCATCAAGTGTTTTGGAGGCATGACGACGTTGGGGCCTCCGTAGAGGTCGGCCCGATCGGCGTCCAGACTGGAGAGTCGGCGGACCTTACGGGCTCCGAATCCATCGGCGGTGGTCATTGTGAATGGGGAATGCACAAGGTGGATCTATGAGCGGGTTGGGTCCAAGCACTTGGTATGATTCCGAATGTGACGCGGCGAGTGATTGTCTAATCAAGAGAGACACGCCCTTGATGAACGTGGGGATGGGTTGAAGAGGATGGGGAACGTTCCCACAATAATACAGTTATGGTGAACGATATGCAGGATGCAGGCAGCAGGAGTAAGCAGAGAGAAGAAAATCGTGTCGAAAGCAAGCTAGAACAATGGATATTGTGGGGGAGGAGGGGGAGACGAAGGGCCATTAATATACCACCCTGAGGCGCATCTACATCGGTGAATACCCTCCAGGACTGTCTGCAGTCTGCGGGACCCACCCTCTGCTCAGACGTTGCCATCGTCATAATCCCCTTCACCGGGTTTCCACGGGCGTGCATCGCATACCCTGCCCACTCCAGAGAAGGAAGTGCGCTGTGGGTCCACCATGGCCCTTGGCGTGACCCATACCCTCATACCCACGCGCCCCTCCGCCGGCGCTGATTGATCCGTACGAATGGAAGAAAGAAGCAAGGGTCGCGAGTTTACCGAATATACGGAGTGGAGTCCGCCGGGAATCTATGGAGTGTGTGAATGGACCGTTGGACGTCGCGGGGAGGGCTGCGCAGAGTACTGCGTTAAAAATACCGATGATGACATGGCGATCGCTGCGACATCATGCCTACTCCACTACGAGGGCTCATTCCTCTAGAACATCCGACCCGGTTTATGTCATTGAATCAACGACGTGTACGATCTCCCGCTCTCCATGGGCGTGGTGGGCAGGACAAGGGCGAGATAACATACTTCCTTCGCCCCTCGACCTCGACCCCTCGGCCGTTCCGCGATGAGAGGGGGGTTCCGTACTGCCGATTCGCTCTACCAGCCCGGGCCCTGCCCAGATATTCCTTTCAGAGTATCCCGAGAATTCTCCATGTGCGCCGCGGTCGAATCACCGCGCATCATCGCGGGGCGGATCGGAGCCTTGACGTCATGCCCCGGCTGAGTCAACAGCCTCAGGAACCGACCAGGCCGAGAGACGAAAGACGGAACGGCGTTGTGCCGCTCATCCCTGGCCGGAAAACGGCACAAGGGAGAAAGCTGCACCCGCCTTGGCCTTCGGCGATGATGGTATGTGGCGCATCAGCCGCCAGCTCGGCCCTGGTATTGGTCTAGAGAGGACAAGCCACCACTGCAGCCAGCCTACCCGGGGAAGCATGGAGGATCTAGCGAGGCCGGCGCGGGCCTGCACTTTAAATACACTCGAGGATTCACTATCACAAGCAAAAGGCGGCGGAGCGCTTCGAAGACTCGACATGTTTACGTATAGATGGCGCCGCCGAACACATTTACAGAGGGCGGGTTACAGCATTACTCCAGTGCGAGAAAGCCCGGCTTGAACCAGGGTTTCAAAGATTATGTCCGAGTGGTCGGCCGACGATGGTGTCACCCTGCATGACCTTTCCTGATAGTACTCTATTATAGTTCATCCGCCTCCAGGATCTATCTAGCTGCCCGGCCACGAGCTTTGTTGCAATGACGGATATGGCTCATTGGAAATCTGCATGGTGGTCAGAGATCCTCAAGTTGCTCTTCCAACCAATAAATCCTGAGCGATGAGCGTGCGCTCACACATCTGGCCATTCCGTATGGAGGAGAGCGCGGGAATTTCCTCAGCTTTGTATCTTTGGCCCATCCGAATGGCGCGCACGGTGAATTTGACCGCCGACATGTGAAATTGATTCGTATCTAAGTACAGGGCTCCTACGGTGCGGTGAGGAGCAGAAGAGGAGGAGCAGCAGCTATTTGGGCATACCCGCGTCGATCTTTTAACAGAGGCGCTTTCCACGCCTTCAACCTTGAATCATCCCACAAAGCATACCCCCAAGGCCATTCTTGTTCAAGGGCTTCTTCGTTCATCTCAAGGACGTCCTCCAGTTGTTGCTCAGGGGTGTGAGGCATCAAACCTAGTCTTTTCCAACCCAGGTTAGGCTGATCAATGGGCGGCAAGGTCGACCAGAACAGTTTGAAATACGGAACATCATATCGATCTGCTGGGTCAGTGAAAGGAACTCTAAAGACCCAGTTTAGAAGCCAACACCCCATGAGGGGCCGATAGGTACGGAGGTTGGCTATCACCAGATTGCGTCGATGTAAGGGCTTTGCATGTAAAACACGGTAAAGGAAATCCGGTCCCACAGACGTTAATGATTGGGCGTACTTAGGAAGCTTCTCAAGATGGTCGACGGTGTCCACTACCCCGGACGGTGGACACTCATTGTCTGGCAACACATCCCCAAAAAAGCGGCTTTCGGTATCCCTCATAGCGTTGCGCAAGGCGTGAGAGATCTCATTGAAGACTGAGCCGTACTGGGTCATGAGATATGACCATACGCACCCTATTTCTTGGTACTCCCACGGGGGCATTGCCCCAAAGAACAACCGATATGCTTGTTCATTGTCAAATCCATTGTCAATCGAGTTGCTTTGAGGATGAACTTCGGGGAGCCCAAAAATATTGGCGTGGGTATAAAGCCGATATAATGCCCGCAAGAAGCGGCGTTTCTCGCAATCAGACATCTTGAGAGGTAATTCATGCTCCCATTGAGCGGGGTCCATCCACGACGGTCGTGGTATGTTGGTCGAGTAATCTTCTAAGAAAAATTGCAGCTGCTTATGTAGATGCAGTAGCTTAATGACCTCTTCTAGGCCAATTGGTTCTGTGAGTGTTAAAGACCATCGGCTGATCTCGTCTCTGCGACGCCAGCGGTCTAATAACGCTATAGCTTCTTCCTCGTTGTGGTGAAGATAGAGGCCTTTTGATCGGATAGCGGTGATTGCCTCTGGTAGGTCAAGAAGCTGCCCGTACTGACGTTTAAGGATATTATAGAGCAGTTCATGCCGACTTGCGAGGTATGCTCTATGGCATGTTGGTGATGAGAGCACGATAGATCTGAGAGATTCCCAATCTGAGATCTGCGACAGAATGATAATAAGTAGCTCTGCCGGGAGACCTTCAAGCGTTGGTTTGGCCTACAAATGGATCAGAAAATTCCCATACCAGTCAGTCTAGCGAGACATACCATCTCTTCTAGGGAATAAATCAGTTGTGTTGTTAATGGAGGAAGCGGTGACGGTGACCTAATTGATTTGGACGAACCTGAGTTCACCCTGTTGTCATGGGTTCCAGGCCTGGCTGGCGGCCCGCTGACTCATCATAAATTATGTAATATAGTAGTTAACTTTTGCCACCCTTATCCAAACACGTGAATAGTTGGAACTTCATATGAATGGATCTGATAAGTATGGCCTCTGGGTAGATACCAAAAACGGGAGCTCCGCCAGCTATGTACCCCGGCGAAATTGACCTTTTCTTCAATAAATGGCGTATATGCAGTGGGAGACATGTATATCGCCGATGAAACGCCGACGAGAACTGTGAGCCAATTGTTTTGCGAACTATATTTTTTGGATTGAGTATTGCTAACCGCCCTTGCACACAGAACGCATATTGCGGCCGCACGCGTATCTTGACCCGTCAATAGGATTTCAGAAAATGTATCGCTTGCGGGATCTCAGCCAATTTGATTTGCCTATTTTTGGAATGAGTATCACTAACCGCCGTCTTGTAAACAGAACATACCAGCAGCCGTATCTTGATCCACTAAATGAGTTCCAGGAACGCCTACTTCGACCCCTATCTTCTAATGAATAGATGGCGTAATTAGCATAGGAAGCAGGCTATGATATTCCGGTGGCAGAGTTGTTTGGGCTAATGCTGGAGCAAAACAGGGGCATTGATGGCTATGCTCTAGTTCGTGGGTACAAAAACAACACTGCATCCAAGATCTCCTATGTATCTAGGCGTGTAATTTGCCATGCAATGCGACGTTTCAGAATTTTGACAGCCTTGATGTTGATCCTGGCCAAGCTTCCAGCATAATTTACCAGAAACAGCTGTTCTCCTGACCCTTGATCTGATAGAACTTGCTGGTTTGCTAGCTATATAGGGCGTTTACCTCGTTTAATATCTTTTGCAGTCTTCCTGATAACTCTCTTTTCAAAGAGAAACCAGATACTTTGATGTGTCCATTCCGGCTATGTTACGGTGCTCTCAAGACGCATTCGAGAATGTATTATTCTGGGGTCTAATTCATTGTGGCTAACGTGTGGTGTAAAAATCGCTTGCTTGCTTTGTTGAGTTTCATATCACAATAACCCCCTTTGCTATCGCCCTATGCGACGTGCGATTATTGAGAACATAAGTGATTTGTACCTCCTGTCCTTAAACTTGAGGGGCTTTCCATGCTTTCAGCCTCTCAGCATCCCACAGTGCATACCCCCATAGCCATTCTGCTTCTCTTTCCCGGTTGTGGAAATATTCAAGCGCCTCTTGGAGTGTTTGGTCGGGCGTGTGAGGAACTAAGCCCAATCTTTTCCAGCCGAGGTTAGGCTGTTCAAGAGGTGGCAAGTTCGACCAGTAGTGTTCGAAATCCGGAACATCATGTCGATCTGCTGGATCAGTGAGAGGCAGTCTCTCATCCCAAGATATCCCGAGTCCCAATCCAATAAAGGTATCACATGGAAAGGAATCAAGATTTGCCATAACCATATTGCGTCGAACTAGAGGCTTCGCATGCAGGACACGGTAAAGAAACCCTGGACCAATGGAGGCTAATCCGTCTGTATAGTCGGGAATCTCTTCAAGACAATCGACACAATCCACTAGGACAGACCAGTTTGGTGGATATTGGTCTTTTGGAATGACATCCCGAAACCAGAAGCACTCCCTTTTGCTCGATTTAGCGCTTTGGATCAGCGCACTTAGCGTGTCGGTAATCTCCTTGTAGACTGGATCGTATTTGAGTCTGAGATAAGACCACACGCACCCCATTTCTTCATATTCCCAAGGGGGCATTGTTCCGAAAAAGATGCGATATGCCTCTTCGTCGTCGAACGTGTTGATTCTCAGTTCACAACCGTCATACGGGTGTTTTTCTGGTTGCCCAAAAATATTGGCATGGGTGTATAACCGACATAGTGCTCTCATGAACCGGCGTTGTTCGGCATGTGACATCTGGATTGGTAATTCGTGATTCCACTGAGCTGGATCTATCCACGAAGGTCGTGGTACGTTCGTCGAGTAGTCTTTCAGAAAGAACTGTAATTCCTTGTGTAGCCAGAGCAAGTCGATAGTCTCTTCTAGGCTATCGGGCTCATCCAGTCGAGTCGCAGACATTGAAGACAGTCGTTTGATCTCTTCCCTGCGACGCCAGGTGTCTAACAAGGCAATGACCTTCTCTTTGTTTTCGAAGAAAAAAAGGCCTTTTGAGCGAATGGCAAGGATTGCCTCGGGTAGATCCAGAAGTGCTCCATATTGCCTTTTCAAAATGCCACAAAGCAACTCACTACGCACAATGAGATATACGCTGTGACAAGTTGGTGATGCATGCACGATGGACCTCAGAGACTCCCAATCTGAGACCTGAGACAGAACGATCAGAAGCAGCTCAGCTGGGAGGCCTTCGAGCGTCGGTTTCGCCTGAGACGTCAGCAAGGTTAAGTATGGTAGAGATGATAGAGCGCACCATTCTTTTTGTATCAACGATAAGTTCCCGGTATTCAGGAGAGGAAGGAGGAGAGGAAGAAGGAGAGGAAGAAGGAGAGGTGCGTTGACTTGGCCTTGAACGGTGGGAGCTGGAGCAAACCTGATGAGTCAGCGTAACCTTTGTTCCTCGATGCCTGAGCCACGGCTGTGGATGAAGGATCCAATAATGATAATAATGAATGCAGTTACTGCAGCCACCCGAGGTCCAGTCCACCAAAAAGTGGATCGGTAATGAACAAATATTTTGATAGACTGCAAAAATTGACCCCTTAATACTCGCGTGTCAAGACGAAAAGGCCTTTCAGCCAGTGATCTATGCTCTGCGTGATCTATGCGCTGCGTGATTTGTGTTTTTCAGCCTCCCTTTTGGCGAAAACTAACCACGAGCCAATAAAATTATATTTAGAGGCAGATATCACTTGTCGCTACATGGCGCCTTACTCCGAGATCACAGGCGGGGCTAATCCCTGCCTAAACTTTGTATATAATATTAACTAGGGCAGACTGGCGATGAAGTAGTCGATTGTGTTCTCCTAGATTGATCTAAGCTAACGCAGAATCAAACAGCATATCTAATCTAGTCGAGTCCACATTTCACGAGCATGCATCTTCTAGTAGAGTTGTTACTTTAATTCTGTTCCAAGGCTTTGATTGTCTCGGAGGCGTCTTTACTAGCAGCCTGAAGGTTGTATTCGAAGCATTTATCTCGGAGATATTGGCCTTTCTTTTTCTACCTCTTCCACCTTATTATGGTGGGTTGTATTGCGCATCAGTCGGAATGAATTCGACAATAGAACTCTCTCATTCACATACACACACACACACCCTCTCTCTCTCTCTCATTCACTCTCTCTGTCTCTCATCTCATTCACTCACTCACACTCACACAATCCCTCACACTCTCTCACACACACTCACACACTCACTCTCTCTCACTCTCACTCTCTCTCACTCTCACGCTCACACACTCCTCTCACGCTCACACAAACACACTCTCACACTCTCCCAAGATGGGGCTCTTCACTCGCAACAAGAGAGATAAAAGAGCCAGCGAAACAGAATACGACATCCGAGAGCCTAGAGCAGCACACGCAGATCATCCGCGCCCTCCACCAAGCTACCACGGTCCACATTTCGAGAAAGGACCAGCTCAGGAGGCTATTTGGAACTCTCGGAGAGAGAACCATACGGTGACCCCAGAAGATATACGGGGTCGCTCTCACTCATTCCATGACCCAATAAGGCATCATGAATATTCCAGTCCCTACGAAAAGCGACCGGTCCCTTGGACAGCCCGAATGGATGAAGAATATGCCCACTATCGTCAACAATGCAAGTCCAATGCAGACAACAAACGGATTTCTAATGCAGCAAAGGATGTCAAAGTTGGCAAAAACATTGTTCCCGAGGCCAGTCATGGGTCCCAAATTCGAGATGGGATTGAAAAGGCTAGAGCTGGTATAATTCAAGCAAACAGGTAATTGCAGCATCATCCACTAGCTGACTTGTCCCGTGTGATATGGCTAAACTTATGTCTATAGGGGTGGGCAGGAGCGTGCAGGCTTCATGAACAAGTACCCTCGAGCATATGGGAGTTCTCAAGCCATAGAGGATCATGAAAAACAGGTAGGGCAGCAGAGGAAGAGCGCAGCAAATTACCGAAACACTGAAGGATTCCTGAAAACAAAATATCAGCAATGGGAATCGAGGATGAGGGAGACCCGCTAGAATTCAGTTCCTCCATCTACAGAGATGACAGCAAACTTGTCTTCCTCCATTTTTGCAATGAGCTCTTCATCCATTTTTCTTATTTCATGAGTGTCACATCTTCAAACAATAGTCTAGTTGATTCTGAAATTCATTATGCCCTTGATCAACTCCACTCTAGTACATAGCAAAGCGTAGTCTGGAAGGAACTCAGGGTCAATGATCATACTCTTCAACATCTTGGCCTCGTCCAGAGTATGAATCTTCAGTTCAAAAGCCTCTTCCAATCTCCATTTCATGTTCGGAAGCTTTGCGTGCTTTTTGCTGTCAAGGCCGCTTCTCATCAACTGTTTCCACGCTGCTAGGTCCTTCGGGTTATTATCATCCACTAGGTGATTGATTGCAGGGAGGGCATAAATAAGATCTTCATGGGCTCCTTCCGTGATTATTTTGCTCAAGGGTTAACCTTCGAGTTGTATTTTAATTCTTCAGCGAGTGCAGTTGACAAGCCGTCGGCATGAGATAACTAGCATGAGAAGGTGAGCCTCTGATTTACCCCGAGCCACTTGAAGCCCCTCTAGCACACGAAGCCCTCACCTTCTTGCCGTTATTCTTCCTATTCACCAGCTCGGCAAAGTATGCTATATTCCTCTCGTTGGAATGGCAGCGCCCTGACAACCGTCTATTTATGCCGCTTGTCGAATTCTCCCATCGATATTTGTCATAAAGCAAGCCAGTCTTTCGTAGGTCTTCTCCCATGTTGTATCCGAGAATCCGCCCTCTTTTGCGGGCTGGCCGAAGATTTTGAAAAACATCTCGTAAAACCGGTAGTGTCTCGCATCCCAGTTGATGTCTCGCGCCATTCGATTTTCAAATTGCTTGACCTGCTCAAGGATTTCCTTTTGCCGAAGCTCAGCTTGGAACTTGCGCTCTTCCTCATCTTCCTCGGCCTTCTCCCTGGCAACCCGCCTCTGCTGCACTCCCTTGACCCATTGGTCCCATTCTTCATAACTCAGGAAAACCCTTAGGTTGGCAAAGTTCAACCGACTGACTACACCCTCTAATAGAGTGGCATCCCTGGCAGGACCTCCAATGCCTGGCATATTAGCGTTGAGTTGTCGTTATAATTGGTTTGGTGGGAAAAGAAGAAAGAAAGAGCTAAGTCGTCGAAGTTGAACGAGCAGATGATATAGATAGTGATACTAATGGCTCATAAAACGGCAAATTCGCCAAATTTATATCCGTGACACATTCACTTGTACCGATAATTCCATCTATACTGCGGGGGGATGGTGTCATGGATATTTCTTATGAAGTTCGACGTGCAACGCCAGTCTACGCTAATTACTGACCGCTACTATTTTATGAGCCAGGAATGAGGTACTAATTGGTTTATGCCAAGTTTTAGTATTTCCGGTATACGCCCTGCGATGGAATTGTTGTGATAGATAGTCCTATTAAACTCTCTCCTGCTGTTCTGCGCTTTGCGGATCACAAGGAAGTTCTTCTGATGAGAATCCTAACGAATATTAGTGATTTTTTTTCCAATGAGGAGCTTACGGTGATTTTGATTAGCAAATGATGTGATCCATCTAATTGCTACTTTGCTCTCATGGTCTCAATCACACCAGATACACTTTATTTGAGTATATACAGGGGGTTCCATTTGAACAAACCAGAACAGAATTTAAGAATATTAGTGAAGATACTGTAGCGCAGCCCACCATAATTTTCCAGCCCTATAGATCGACAATTTCCCTCAAGAAGAAATGATGGCTTTGCTGCAGTCAAATCTATAACGAGGGATTCTAGCAGTACTTTCTAGCTTAAGCTTATTTATCTAGGTCTTTAAGAGTGGTTATAGCAAGAACAGTACTTCAAACGGCGATTAGGTATCTAGCTTATCCCTATTTCCGTAATAATGGCGGTTTTCTAAATATACACTTGTATCTTTATTGATGTATCCTCATAAGATAAAGATATTGAAAGAGCTCGTGTAGAAGTAGTTGTAGGAGTATTATCTATTACGATATCATCCGAACAGGTTTCTTGGGTTACCGACGTCTTTCTAACTATGTTGTGTATTATGATAATAGTAAGAAGAACTGTCGGGATTCTCCACAATTAGGAAGACAGAAATTGCCTATAAATAGCATTGTACCGAATATCACTGTTCATCGTGCTGCGGTTCTATTAGGCTTAGGTATTACCACTTGTTGTGGTACGGGTTGAGAGCTGTCTACACCCGCCAAGGTCAGTAGCTGTGGATTCAATGACTAGATCCCCAGAGTAAATACAAAACGGTAATCAGGAAATGGAATGGAAATCTAGGACCAAAACAGGACTGCCAGCAGAAGAATTCACTTGTCCAAAAGCATATATCTATACAATGGCGTTTGTCATCATGCATGATGCAATATACCAGCCGAGGTCAGGTCTGTACACCAAATAACGAAGTCGTAATATACAGAAGATGAAAGCGCACCAGATGAAAGCCAAAGCCAATCTGGTACCATAAAGAGAAAGGAGAAAGAGAAAGGAAATATGGAGAAGAAAAAGAAGGAACATGAAAACAATCCACCCCCGCCTCAATCAACCCTTAAGATCAAATCCTGCCCTCTCTTCGAAGGCGTCAAATTCGGGCCTGTCGCCGACCATCTCTGCGTCTCGGCACCCTGCGGCCGTTTCTTGGGGCTTCGCGGATACAACACCGTACCTGGAGAAGCTTCTGATGGATATGGAAGTCCCACAGACGGGTTTGGCGCCGGGGGGCGTTGACGGCCTCGCTCGAGCCAGAAGTCCTCGGGACAATATGGTGTGGCGACTTCATTGGGTGGGCGCGGACTGCTGCGGATCTGTACGCGCTTGATGTCGTCTCCGCGGACTACGCGCGGCCGCGATACAATTTCCGCTGCAGGGCCGAGGCCGAGGCCATGGGACGGCGGGACTCGTGTAGACGGGCCTGGCCCTGGTCCTGGTCTGGGAACTGGAGCTGGCGCTGAAGCTGAATTTGGTGTGCCGAGTGACATGCCGCTTACGTTGCAGCCTTGCCCGGTGCTAAACGGCGTTGTGAGATGGGTGTTTGCAGAATTGCGGTGGGAAGAACCGGAACTGTTATGCGGAGTGTTGTCGGAGTTTGAGAGCGGGGAGCTGCGGAGAGCGGTTGTGGAGAAGCCTGGGGTGAGGGTTCCTTGGTGGAAAGCTTGTGCTGATGGTGGGATGGGAGTTTGACTCGGGGTTGGTCGCTGGAGAGCTGAAGTGCGCAGGAACTTCTGGGCTGGGAAGCCGTTCTTAAGAGCGCGAGGGTTGGCCGGCAGTCCTGTCATCACGTTTGGGGATTCGGATCTTTGAAAGCCGTTTGGTCGCTTCTCTAAGGCAGCTTGTTGAAATTCGTCTTCTTCGAAGAGGGTATCTCCGCTGATGGGGCGATGGCACCATTTCAGTGGCTTGGGGTAGAGCCCAGTGCTTTGAGTGGGAATTAGCTCTGCGAGCGTGTTCTGCGAGGATAATGTCCTCCTTGGTGAAGTCTCCCAGTCGTCTTCGGAGCTGACAGCAAGTCCGACTTGTTCTTGTTCTCGCAGCTTCTCTGTACTTGAAAAATACCTTATGATGGCGGTAGGTGGTGGAAGTTGCGAAGTTGGCGTGTGAGTACAAGGTAGCTCTGACGCTTCTTGATGGCCTCCGGCGTGGCTGAATGACGACGGTCCTGTCGGATTTGGTCCTGGAGCTGGTGATGAACGCCGCGAGGGTGGCTGCGAAAATCCGGGAGGCTCAGACATTGTGCCTCCAATCTCGAAGAAGTCTTGGTCTGAATCTGGAGCTGTTGTACGGTTCTTCCGCCATCGTTTGCAGCAGAAGAATACAGCCACTCCAATGATGAAGGTACCAGCCACCCCGGATGCAACCGAGACACCAATGACCGTGCCTGCACTGACATTGTGCTTTGCACTGCCGTCATTTGACACAGATGATGTAGCGGTGCTGGTGGGAGTGGTCGAGGAGAGATCAGCGCTGGTGGTTGTAGAGACCACTCCTGAGTCTGATGTCGGTTGGAAAGTAATAATCGGAGAGGTGGTTGTCGTTGGACTTGTGGATGTCGTTGTCGATGTACCCAGTGCGGTATGCGAAGTACTTTGAGATGTTGTACTGACACTTGTAGTTGCACCCGCCGTCGTGGTCGTCGAGCTCGGGGGATCGAACGTTGTGGCGGTGATCGTAGCATGTGTTTCGGGGATAGCACCAGACACCGAGTCACACACACGGTAAACACTCGATGCCTTGCTGGAAATATCCTTTTGCGAACAGAGAGCATATAGACAGCTCAACGCTGCCTCTCCCAGTGTAAGCCCGATGACCGTTTTAGTCCGACAGAGGCACTTGATGTCTGACGCAGAGGCGCATTCATCGGAGGTGTACTGGCCCTCAATGAAATTACTGACGCACGTCTTGGCGCAGTCAGGAATAGCATTCCAGAGAGAAGAGTCCGAAGTATCACTGGTGTTATCTGCGCTCGCTGTACACAGGGCGACTAATGGGAGGACCGCAGCGAGTATCCTGTAGACAGGAGGGAGGAGCATTCTGTGGCGACACTATCCCTCGTGAGCTAAGTCTTCTTCCCCTAGCGTGAACCGAGTGGACCAACCTATAAGCTATCTTGCGTGGGAATGACTACCCTTGAAGCCATAGGATCTTTGGGGTTAGCATTATCGAACTCAGATGCAAAGCTGCGCCAACAACGCAATATGAGAAAGCAGGTAGGATCCACGAGCAAAGAAAGAAAATGAAAATAGAAGGAGAACCTCTTCGCCTGCAATGAGCCAAGGATCCCATAGTTAAACATCAAAGGTCCTGTCGATGCGCGGCCCTACGCGCGAGGCAAATCCCATCCGACATGACGATCTGCCCAGCGGACCAAGCAGACCAGTTCGACCCTGGACCTGAAACACGGCTGGTGCAGCGGTGCTTGTGTAGGCGCCAGTGTGAAACCAGGCGACCTCATGAGGACCCTAGTTCGTCGATGCAGGCGAATCGTTGTCAATGTGGAGCGCCCTGACTGCTTTGGCGCTGGTTGGGTGGATGCGGCGTTGGCGCCTGCGATACGCGCCGGGGCGAGGGGTGGGCGTTTGCCGTGCAGCGCGAGTCGACTCGAGCGCTGGGAGGAGTTTCAGATCGCAAAGGATTATTGTTGGATGATCCTTTACGATTTATGGAGAGCCTCTGTGGGGCCCCTGAATGAGTTCCGGGGTCGGGCTGCTTTCTCAACTGATGTTGCTGGTTGCTGGCGGTTGGGTGATCGGCGTCGGTGTTGTGCTGAACTCCGCGAGGCTTCTGGAAATCGATTCCACGCTGACATGGAGCGACTGACATGGAGCGCGTGGCTGCAATCCATGCTACGTAATATCAGACGATCTGCTTTATGCGCTGTATTATTTTGCAACGCTGGTGTGGGTGGGCTGGCGCCGCATGTTCCCGATTCCACATAGTCTGCTGTATAGTCTGCTGCCGTTCAATCGCCTACGCCAATCGCCTACGCTAATCAATAACACACATGGCGTTTCCCCGGGAAATTGGGGATTTGGGGATTAACAGGAGATCAGTGAATAGTTAATCTCTAGCCTTCCAGCGAGGGCATCTACACGCGATTCCTGGACCGCCATTGAAGGGTTTCGGTTTTCAAATAATTGCCATTCCATCGTAAAAGCTAGCCGACCCCGGGCTAAGATGCACAAGCCCTGAAGGTCACACAATATGAGAAGGTATCATTTGAAAAGCAAGAAAGACGAAAACGGAGACAACCCGGCAAAACCAACATAGACAAAGGAAAGCATAACAATAACCAGCGAGACCCACGTGACGCTGCCATAATTAGGGAATCATGGACATCGCAGCGATGCCAAGAAAGGGGGGGGAGCTGCAGGAGGCTGGTTGTTCGACCGGACCTCTGCGGAAGCACGGTGGCCCCGGCGCCCAGGACATGCCTGTTGCACCCACAACCCAGCACAATCGACGCCATGAAAGAAATGTCACTCTTCGCATGCTGTTTCAGAGCAAGATTGGCCGGAACATGGGCGGAAAGGCGGCCGGGGGCTCCGCTCGGCAGTCTAGTATTTGAAAATAATGTACCTGCGAGCAGGTTAGCGAGGTGCTTCCAACCGAGGTCCTGGGCTATCGGCTGATCACGTACATGGCGTGGATGATACCGGGGATCCAACCCAGGATGGTCAGAAGGATGTTGATCATGAGATCCGCACCACATCCGCGCTCCAGGAAGACACCCAGAGGGGGCAGGATGATGGCGAAGATGATCTTGCAGATATCGCTGTGGGATTGAGTCAGTTTGGCCGTTTCGCATGGTCGGGCAAGAAATGCGGGCCATCAGACTGCGGCGCTGCTTTGGACAGCTCCGCGTCGGCAAGCAGTATCTGACATTGACAGCGCCAGGAGGGGAGCACTTACGAGGCAGTGAAAGGCATGGTGACGGGTGGTTCTGGACTTCTGGGGACGAAGATGGGGATGGAAGAGACTGGGAAGAAAGAGACGGGAATGTGGAGAGTGGCTCTTGGACGGGAGAGATTGGGAGAAAGAGACGGGAATGTGGAGAGTGGCTCTTTTAAACGGAAACGCAGGAGCAGGCAGGTTCACTGTTTCGGGAGCTCTTGTTCTATTGCGTCATGACCCGCCACATGTGGCTCAGGCGATCCCCATTCTTCCCGGTAATTTAAGTTCGTCAGAGTAGCCATCCCGCTTTCCCAGACGCAGTACAGTTAATTATGGCGGCCTGTGGCGCAGCACGGACATTAGCAGGCCCCCGTTTCCTGTTCAGTGGCGTTTCCTGCTCTTCCCCTGAGAGTACTCCGTACTCCGTACAGTAACCGCCTACTACAGCGTGGGGAATTACGAAATTACGATAGTCGCATCCTCGGCCTGGCCACACTCCACCCACTTCTCCCTCCCACCGACAGGATCTGCTGCATGTTCTTCTTTGGGCCCCAATGGCAACGAGCAGTCTGCATACGGCTGCAGACTCCATCCCGAGCTGCCCTATCCGCGCCCCCCGTTTGCTCGTTGCCTGGCTGACGATGCTTGGCACCCTGACTTTGGCTCAACGAAATGTCGCACAGGAGCCCCAAAAATAAGAATAATGATAATGATCTAGGACAGGGACAGGGACAGGGACAGGGTTCACCGTACCAGTGATAGTACTAAGGATATTCGCCATAGTCCTTCGTCTCGTAATAGCGCCATAGCGCCATAGCGCCGATCCTGGGCCGCGAACCCGACTAGTTGCGCACGTACATCGTCATCTGTGGCGCTAGCCTGCCAACGGCCCAGCCCTATAACAATTTTGTGCCCGCCCCCACTTGCCAAGGCCATGCTGCAGGCTCGCAGCGCCAGTGACTTCCCCTCGCCTCAATCAACCAGGTTCGTACGGAACGGTGGCTGGAGGAACAACAAATAAGACCGAGCACCAGGCACGAAGATCGAGCCCCTACCGCAAGTGCGCCCGCATGGTACGAGTGATTTCGTCACTCGGACTCGAATTCCGCCTAGTGGCTGGTTCAAGCAAAGCGGAGAGCAGATAACTAGGCTAAGGTCCGAGTGACAAGGGAAGGAACTCTTAACGGGCGAGCGTGGTTCTATTTTAATTTACCCGGCCCATCAGACATCCAGCTGCGGGTTGAAATCGACGTTTTCGAGCAGCGAATTCCACTGCGGTGCATCTAGCTCGGGCGCCACAGCCACAAATTCAGACCATAGCTGCTCCCAGCCTGCTTCATCAATATGGTTGAGTACAACACCCGTCAAAGAGTCGTCGGTCATCATCGTGGATGATGGCGGAATCGTGGTGGGATTGTCGGCGCCCGGGGTCATCATAGAATCCACAACCCCGTGGCCAGTAGACTGGTTGGCCCGCATAGCAGCATCTTTACCTGCAGAATGAGATGCTTGTGGCCGGTGCTTTTGAAGCGTAGACATCAGCGTTTGCAGGTTCTTCTGGATCCCTTCCATCAAGTAATTTGATTCCTGCTTCGACTTCTCCAGCGTCTGATATGCGGCCAGTACTTTGGCCTTGCGATCCGCAGCGTCCGGCGCAAGTGGATTGAATGATACGTCCATGGCTAGAATCAAAGCCGCAAAGAAGACATGATGCATAACCGTCCAGAACCGTGCTGGTTTCAGACCAAAATCGGTGTCGAGCTCATCCATCGACCGTCGCAGTTCCAGCACGGTCTGGGCAGACCGGATGCACATCATGTGAGAATATGCATAATTAGAGTTCATGATCCCCTCGAGATGATATGGCCGGTGGAGCCGGCAAAGCCGGGTGTGGATGCTGAAATGGATGCTGACTCGCTGCCAGGCAAGGTAGGGCCGTTCTTTGCAGATCCCCCGACTTTGCTCGACACTGTCGGGGTCCAGTCTGAAATGGACGGGAAGCTCGTTGATGAGATTATGGAATTTGGCATCGAGGGCAAGGATGGTGTCATAGTCGGGCTCTGTAGAATCCAGTAGGATGGACGGTAGGGCGTCGATGACTTCTCGGCACAGCGAGGAGGACTTGACTCGTATAATAAAGGCAGACATGGAGGTGGGAATGGACATAGGAAATTCTTGCTGAATGCCTGAGGATGTGATGAATTCGTCGTCCGTGTTGCTCGGTAGGTTCACGTTCATATGTTTGGGCTGAAAAGTGTACGCTCCTTCCTGGGGCCCACCAGAAAATGAAAGAAGCCTATAGGTGGTGGTCAGCACTATTTCAACAGACTGGAATATATGGAAAGGGTCAGTACCTACCAATCAGATGCCACCATATTCCACCACATACGTCTCTGGACTTCAATATCGATCATATCACATCCCTTCAACCTCCGCTCCTCGCGACATCTTGCGGTATCTAAACGATGGATTTGCATTTCTCGTGAAATCAAAAGACAACGATGCCGAAGAAGATGGACCTTGAGTGGGAAACCGTCAGTGTTCATCAGCAGATGAGCCATAGTACCAGTAGCCACTAGAAAGGTAGTCGATGCTTGGACAGCACGATGAGGGTGATCCAAAATGGCCAAAGCAACACGAGTGTACGCTATGAAGGCCGCCTTAGCTTCCTCGCGAGTGGAATTCAACTTCTCAAGCAGCTGGGGAGTCCACACCAGTGCAGCCCCTGCAAAGATGCTGAACAGCAACATCAAGTCCGCCGCAGAAGGCTCCTCGCCTTCAAGCAGGCACTCATATGTCGCCTCCATCAAAGATCGGGCTGATGGGATGTGGAGGACTCCAAATGTTGGTTGCAGTGTTCTTGCAAAGTGGTCGAATAGTTCTCGAGCCTGTCGTAGGGGAGGGAACTTCCGTGTGATATCAATGATGGTTGGGCTCTCATCATTTTGATCCTGGGAGGCCAAGAGATGATAGCTGAATGGAGTAACATAGTGGGAGCTGAAAGTCTGTCAGCTACATTAGTATACATGAAAACTAATTAACCCAATATAAGCTAGACTCACTGATCCTGCAGCCGAGGGTATTCGCTGGCGCTTATCAGCCAGAACTTGAAATGGATTGGGCCTCTCAGCCAATGCTTCTTCTAGCCTACGGATCCGAAACAACAGCTCGTCTGAGTTGCTTTAAGACCTTTAGCTGGTGATATATCAGACCAAAGCTAGAATTACGTACTTTGCAGCCAGCTCCGATCGAGCAGCAGGCTGTGGCGCAGCCGTCAGATCAGAGCCAAGAGCAGTGGATCCCATCGATGCGTCTGGGGCACCTGCATCTTCCAGGCTTTGGCCGGGGTATTCGCACGAGATCTTCCTGAGGACGCAGTTCGAGCATGGCTGCGTACGATCGCAACGCCGTTTTTTCTCGCGACATGCACGGCATGATAAAGGTGGTCGGTTCCATCTATGGACCATCGTAATGGAATTACCTCTGTTATCCCGTTTCATGTTGCATACTCAGAGGATCAGTTATGATGTGGCGGGCGGAGGTATGTAGATCAGGTGTCCGCGGAAATCCGCGGGGGCTATTTCTTATATAAAGCACAATGGCATCCAATCATGAAGGGAAGTCCTTCTCTGGAGGGAACCAATGAGACCCCACCTCCAATTGAATACGGAGTAAGCTGTAGTCTAATAGCAGTTGAGGAGAGGGGCTGGAGGAGCAAGGAGAGAGTCCGCGGGCTGTATGCCAAAAGAGGTTTAGCGTTGTATGCGTTTTGTGTGACAGAACGGCAACCTATCCAACCAGCCAATATTGTAATGAATACTTTCCCATTACTGGCCATTCTTCAAACCCGAATCTTCGTATCGGAGAGTCGGGACCCTCGCGATCCGGCTGTTTACTTGCGCACCATTACTCTACCAGATGTCCATGTCGTGGTGTCGATGACTCCCGAGTGCTGAGCTCCATGTCTCTCCGGCTTAGCCCCAAGTTGGGCTCGCTAAGCGTGTCGCGCAGCTTATCTAGAGGTCGGCGGAGCTCGGGCTACTCCAGCAGACGGTATATCACCAACAGCTACTCTGCATTCGCATACACCTGGCTCACCAAGACGCCAGAAGCTATTGTGAGCTCCTCGATGTCCCAATGACATATCGCATCTTCTGACGAATAGCTCAAGAGCCCACAAGACATCTTATCGTCCCTTCCATCCTCCCCGACTCCGCTGCTTGCCAAAGATTCCGTCCCTGTACTCCTTGTTACTCCGAGCTTTGCCCACTGGCTCGATCCCTCCGATGACTTTCTTCCCAACCTGATGTGCCGGTTGTATGGCAACGACTCGAGCTCGACCCTTTACGGTGTTGCTGCCGTGATCGATAAGATTCCTACCAATCAAACACCAGCCGATAAACCAAAACTGGAGGGAAATGAAAGCTCTGTTGTGAATGAACTGGAGTCTGAGGGCCTGTCCCTCTTGGTTGTTGATAAGGAGAATGTACAAGGAAAAGCTGCGCCTACTCGGCGTATTGGAGGACCTGCCAGCGAGGACGCCGATCTGGTGGTCTCAATTCAGGGAAGACCGGTCGCCCGAAATTCAGTACGCGCTACTCATGAAATTGGCTTGCGTCTATCAAATACCGTCTTTGTCAATGGAAAGGAATCGACTCTTGTCGGGATGCGGTGGGCTCGTGATGCTGCTGCAAATGCAGTTACCCTACACAATACGATCGATTTGACAAGCTGCTATATCGCACCTACATCAGCTGCTTCCGACATCAAACCAACTCTGACACTTCCGCTCTATCCTGTTGGTGAACGGAGAAAAGTGATCGCCAGCATGGGAAATATTTTGCGGCAGATCTCAAAATCGACCGATCCGACTTCCAATGAGCCAATTCCTGCGTCCTCGGAGCTGGAGAAGGATCTCCCTCGATACATTGAGGAGCACAATATCATGGATCAAAGGGTCTCCGTCTGGGCTCTGGTTGAGAACCCCAGCATCCTGATTGCCAACCAGGATTCCTCTACCCAGGATCGCGTGGTACAGTCCCTGCATCAGGGCGGTAAACTGCACCGTGTCATGAGTGGAGGTGGTGGATGGGGAAAGAAGCAGGGCCTTCTTTCCCTGGATCCGGAGGTTAGCTTTCCAGGCACAACTCGGCGGAGGGAACTGGTTGGCCTAGACCAACTTTTCAAACCCAAGGCAGATGCTGAATTGGATATACCACCGTTCCTTACTAAGAGCATGGTCGGAGACGATCTTTCCCTGTTATCGCAGGTCGCAACAGCTGGCGATTTCATCCAATTCTTTGTGTCGGTGGACCCGGCATATTCGCTTCATGCTGTCCCCAAGGATGCCAGCCTTGCTGATAGCAGCATCACCTACCGCTTTGGGGTTGTCTCGCGTGCGGAAGAGCTATCTTCGCGCGATACAAACGATGGAGAAAAAGATATCACTGTTGTACCGAACTCTTTCGGAGCACTATCTGAGAAGGCGATTGCCTACGCTCAGCCTGTGGCGCAAGGAGGAGCAACATCGGAATCTAGTACAAAACTGGATATCCCAGGGTGCCGGGTCATCCTGAGTCCTGTATCATAGCGAGCCTGTAGCATAAAGCATGTAACAATAGAAACGATTGACCGCCAAAAAAAAAGAGATGCCGAAGTGGACGTATACTACTTGGTGGGAACCTCTCTTAGCGCCAAGACCACGTGACTAAGCACCAGCGTGGAGGCCTCTGACCTCGTAGCACTCACCATCCTCTCCGACCACAGAAACCTCCTCGCCCACGGCTTGAGTTCGCACATCTCGAGCCTCCTCCTATCAATTCAAAGCTCCAAACCCCTCTTGAGACTCTTGTTGAGCCCTCTTTACCATCAAAATGGCCACAGAACTTTGGTACGTTGTCATCGAGTCGCCTTCAGCCCCTGGGTGGTTGACAGCTATCGGCCGTCGGTCCTGCTGTCTCGCCCTTGGTTATTTGCTACCATTGATGAATTATTGCTGACATCTGTCGTGATTAGCCCCGTCTATGCGGTGAGTCTAGCTTCCTCGATCCCGTCACGCTCGAGTTCGATCCGTCGTCTCCCGTGCTTCAACGGACCCCCTCCACTTTCACAACCATACACAGCCAGAAGAGCTCGACGGGATGACTGATCTTTGATTTATAGCCCTTCTTTGGTGCGCTGGGCTGCACGTCCGCCATCGTCTTCACCTGCTTCGGAGCTGCCTATGGTACCGCTAAGGCTGGTGTCGGAGTTTGCAGCATGGCTGTCCTCCGCCCCGATCTGATCGTTAAGAGTACGTACCGCCCAGACTCTCGAGAGACTTGAGGTCTCATGATCCTTCGTTCATGGTTTGCTGATGAAAATACTTCTAGACATTGTCCCCATTGTCATGGCGGGTATTATCGGTATCTACGGTCTGGTCGTGTCGGTCTTGGTCGCCAACGACCTGACCCAGAAGCTTCCCCTGTATACTGGTTTCATTCAGCTGGGCGCTGGTCTGTCTGTCGGTCTGGCTGGTCTTGCTGCTGGGTATGTCCACTTGACTCCTGAATGATCGACCCCCAAGTGGCTGTTTCATGACTAACGGGAATCTTGTACTATAGATTTGCTATTGGTATTGTCGGTGACGCTGGTGTCCGTGGAACTGCTCAGCAACCTCGCCTCTACGTCGGAATGATTTTGATTCTCATTTTCGCTGAAGTCCTGGGTAAGCATTTCCCAGCCTTTTGATGACCTCGGTGGTTAGTTCTAACTGGATGCTGGAATACAGGTCTTTACGGTCTGATTGTCGCCCTTCTCATGAACTCCCGCTCGAAAGCCGTTTGCTAAACGAGACGCGTCTCGTCGCACGCCGAAGACGTATCTTGTACTCCTAGCTCCCTTTGCGAGGTGGGGACCATTCGTTTTCCAAAGTGCTTTTTCTCAACGCCCTCGGTCACGATGTAACTTTATGTCAGGACTGGGGGCAAGTATGGTGCAAGAATGGAAAATGTTTCGGCTGTGTTGAATTCATTTGACTCTGGAAGGGACTTCTCTTCGTGATTATCCGTGGTATGTAGAATCAGGAAATAACTACCAAGCATTGAATCCCGAACTGGGTGGAACAGGTTGTGGGTAGATATTGGATTGGCTTTTAACATTGCATGAATGCGCGCTGGATTACTGTACTTTATATGGGTCCTCGTCCCGGTCTGGGACTGGATTCTCTTCCCTTTTCATTCGCAGTGCACAGAGATCTGACAAGTTCCTCGTCGATCTGGATGCGCCCTGTGGACAAACCCTCTCTCACACTTTCAATTCCTCTCGGTTTGGCTCCTTCTTGTCTTTTCTTTTTTTTGGTTTGATGGGGGTTTGTATTCGTTATGATATAGGAATCCCGATTTGTGCATTACAATAATTCTTTCTGTTCAGCTGTAGAAGGTCATTTGAAGCTTATTATGGAAGGATGCAAATCAGTATCTCTGAGCCAAAGTCTTTGATATTTCTAGCGCTGTCAATCCAAAACATGACAAGGGCAGATCGCAAATACAGAATGGCAGTAGCAAACCGGATATCAAGAGTACAGAATCTATTGGACAATCCACCATGCATGAGGGCAACAATGCCACGTATAAAAAAATCTCAACAGCTCTTGGCCACAGTGGGGTTCAAACCCGACAATGAGGTTCGAAGGGAAAAGAGGAATATGGATAGAAATGGATATTTGATAGAGTATAGGAGAGCGGATAAGGGCAAAAATAGCAGAGGACGAGAAGAGAAGCTCCCGCAATGTACTGAAGACAATAAAAGACAGGATATATGCCCGGGTAAACTCGGACGATACTAACCCTCAACCCAGGACGATGCAAGACGCAGGCCAACAGATGCATCCGAGACGAAACCGAACGAAAGGACAGACAAAGGAAACGATGAGAGGAAAGGCAAGAAATCTAAGCCTTGTCGAGTTTCCGTCTAAGAGTGCGTGTCCTCCGCATCAGCTTCTTGAACTTGTGCTTCTTCATCTTGACCTTGCGCCGTCTCTTAGTGCTGATGGCGTGCAGGGTTCGGTTATGGCGCACACGCTCGATGTATGTCATGCCAGAGGTCGAGCCGGTCGGGGCATCAATAGTGACTCCGTCGGCGGGATCCTCCACATCGCTGCGCACAAAGGGGCCCGTAGACGCCTCGTAGGTCTTGCGACCATCAGCATGGCGCTGCTCCCGGATCGTCAGCACGGTCGAGTAGGTCGAGGTCTCCTGCTCGGTCAGAGCGTCGGCCGAGGTGTTCAGGTCCATGGGGACGGGAGGAGGGGGAGGGTGGAAGGGGCGAAGGCGGCGGGTGTATTCCTCCACGGTCATTCCGGCCTCGGGGCCATCCAGCATGCGCAACTCGCCATTCGCATCGCTTGTGAAGCTTTGGTGGAGCTGGCCGAACTGATCTTCGGACTCCGACATGGCTGGTGCTGCGTTCTCCATGGACTGCACAGTCGAGGAGAGGGTGAAGATGACATCTTCAGGCTCGTTCTTGAGGAACTTCTTTGAGAAGATCGCATCGAAGGCTTCGGGGGTCGAGGTCGGGGGGACCGTGGTGGTCACGGAGATCGGGCGGTGGATGGAAAAGAAAGAGGCGACATGGACATCTGTAGCATAGGCGGTCAGCTATGAACCACCAAGTGAAGGAGAAGGAAATAGTTCAAAGCTCCAGGAACTAACCATGCGGCTGGCGGTGCTGGGTTGAGGGGACACTCGGAAGCTTCAAGAATGCCGCATGCTGCTGGCTAGCTTTCGAAGAACCGTTCCGAGCGCCGTTCTCCTTCCCACGTCGGCGGGCAGCCTTGCCTTTCTCACCAGACGAGTTCACACCTTTTGCCGGGGTCGAGGTATCCATTCGGCGAGAGCCATCACTGGGCGGGACCGGCGGTTTGGAGGAAGAGGAGTACCGACGCTGGTGCACATTTCGGGTTGCGCCGAGCACGGCAGAAGATATGTTCTGGGCAGAACGAGGTATGCCGGACAGAGGCGCCCATGCAGCCCGGCGTAAGGATGTTGACAACATGGTTGGCGTGGGACCCAGCAACTGGGAAGACGGTGAAGATAAGTCTCGATTGAAGGCGAAATCGTCGGGCCGGAAGTCGGCGACTCTGATCATGCGGATATTATGTAATGTTAGAGCCTCAGGTGTCATTTGATCAGAGTAGATCAGCCGCATCGACGTACAGGAACTACCAATCACAGTTACGTTCTTGATCTAGTGCTTGTGATTGAAATCCAAAGAGCAGAATACGGAAAGGCTTTGTAATATTGACTGCTAAATGAGAAGAGTAATAATTCGAGTTCATTCGAGATGAACATGTTGGAACAAAGAAATTCGCGATAATACAAGGGGCTTGGTCGTCACGTATAACACATCTGCAATAGAACAAGTGGTATCATCCCGCATGGTAAGAGAAATGAGACGAGAGAAGTGAAATAATAAAAAGAAAAAAACGAAAAAAAAAGACACCGTCCCTGCAAACCGAAGCGTGGCATTAGCTGGCGAAAATCGAACGGGCTTTTAGATGCAATGTGACCGAATCAAGGATGCGGCAGAGTGCCGACGACTCCTCTATAAGACGCCTCATACTGGAAGAGATCGCAATAAAAAGAAAGAACACGAAAAAGATATGAAGAAACATAGGAGGGGAGGTATAGTCAAGTTGCAGATGACAGAAGGAAACGGAGCCGCCGAGGTATACAACACGGAAAAAGGGTAGGCTAGAGAGCTCGACAAGAAACGAAAATCAACTTCGTGGCAACAATGACGTTCATCATAAAGGCCACCGGTATTTTTTAATGCCGCTGCCTTATAGTATCAAGGTATGTAGATTTTTCTGGATGATCATGTCCTGTACCGAATCCATGGTCGCCTTGAGCAAGGTCGTGTCCGTGGCATTGGTCCGGTGGATGTAGATCTCGCGATCGGGAATGCGGTTGATACCACGGAATCGGTCTGAGAAGTATCGTACCGCGGCATCAAAATCGGTGTTAGAGCCTGTGTAATCTGGGAAGTGTTTCGAGATAGAGGAAATTTCGAGTTTTCCCCTGAACAGATCCATCTTATTAAGGAAAAGGATGATGGGCTTGCGCTTGAACCACTCGCCATTGACGAGCGACTCAAAGAGCATCATGGCTTCGTGCATTTGGTTCTGCATAAGAAATATGGTTAGCTACCTGTCTGGCGAGTGGTCCTAGGACAAGGCAAAGCAAAAGGCGCACTTACCGCGTTTTGATCTTCAACCAGGCACTGGTCGTAACCAGACAATGCAACCATGAACAACAAGCACTGTACGCCCTCGAAGCAATGGATCCACTTCTTCCGTTCTGACCGCTGTCCACCAACATCCATCATACGAAAGTTCATCTGGCCCAGTTCAAACAGGGTCTCCGTAATTCCTGTTGTTCGAAGTCGCGCTTGGAGCATGTCCTGGTTATCAGGAAGCCAATTGGGCGTGAAAATGCGATCCAAGGAATCGTAAAAGCTGGATGGAACATCGTTAGCATAAATTGCAAGTCGGCACGCGCCCAGTTTTGACTCACAAGCACAGGTTATCGTGAAGGGCGAATTCATGGCCACGAGCCACGGCCTTTTGGACGCCCGCATCGCTCCACATCCCCCTCATCGCATCACGGACCTGGAGGTCGGAGAAGGCCTCGTCTGACCCTACGTCCGGCTCGGTACTTTCTAATAGTTGTGCCAATGGCTTGACGGAGAAACTTGTCAGTCCAACCACCTAAGCAGGCCGCAGAGAGTGAAGCGTACCTTTGTGCTTTCATGCTCAAAGTCAATACCTTCAGATTTCATGATATCCAACAAAACCTTGAAGGCGATAACAATATTCGAGTAGATGACCGCTCGCGTTTGGTGGCGCTCTTCGTCGGGGAAACCTCCGCTGTGAATGATTCGCATTTGCTTGATAATGGTTGACTTTCCAGACTCTCCCGCACCTAATAAGCTGTTAGCACGTTCGCGTGGCCGCAAACCTGAGGCAATTCTATGCATAACGCACCCAGCAGCAGAATCTTGATCGTCCGATCCAATGTCTTCTTGTCATTCTTGAGGGTCCGTTCTATACGGGCATTGCGCGACAGAGCTTCCTTGTCCGCCTCGGCGGGTTTGGAATTGATACAGCCCATGATTCAGGGCTCAGCAACACAAAGGCGAAAATTCAAATTCTTTAGGGTGCTAATCGTTAGCAGTGATCGAGAAGACTTGCTGCGGCCTCGAGAATCGGCACATCAACGGTGCCCTGGTTGAATCTGAATCAGGGATGCGATGGCTCGGCGCCACACCGGGCAAGATCCAGAGACACCGGGACTTCGATTCCAGATTCCAAAGGCACCGTGAGGTGTCTCGAAGCCGCCTGATAGGTGTTGCGCCTACCTGGTACCCAGAACGCTTGCTCGCCTGCCAGTCGACGCATGCGGCAAGGAATAGCGGCAGTATCCAAAGGCCCGTCGGAGAGCGCTCTGATCGATTCTTTCCCCACGGCTAGGATCGGCCACGTTCCGTGAAGGGGTTCTGTGTCGCCGAGTTTCCAACTGGGCTAGACTCTCCTCCGAGGGAGAGGACTGTATCCGTGGCGTGCCAAGGGCGACGTCGGTTCGCAGGACGATTTGGAGAGCGGAGGGAAAAAGCGAGGGATCGAGGGACGGTGCTGTGCCGATACCGCGTGGTGATGTCGACGCGCGGGAGTGTTCCAGACTTTGGGTTCCGGGGGGGGAGCTGAAGCTAGAGCTGGTCGGTCTGATTGGGTCTCAAGCTTTGGAGAACCGGCGCGCTTCCTCCAAGGACACAGGGGTAAGCGAGAACCAAAAGCACGGATGGGCTGAGCGATGGATGTCACGAAAGGGAATCGTGGACTCGGCAGGGAGAGGGGAGGGGGGAGGAAAGGAAAAGGGAGAAGAAGAGTCAGTCGGCGGAGACGAAAGCAAAGCGTAGCGCATTCAAAGAGCGCGGTAGTACATCTCTGCCGTCCCACACGAAGCCCACCCAAGCGGGGAGAGAGGATGGCTGGCTAGACTGGCTCCGTTGATCGAGTCTTCTCCTCGCGCGGAGATTCGTCTAGGAATGTGGACAGAGTATCCGTTAGGGGGCTCTTCTTCTTATACTTCTTTTCGCTGTCGGCATGTAAATCGACGAGTTACTCTCTACAATAGGTACCGAGTATTTTGGCAGCTGTATTGGCTTCCCCTGCTCTTGCCCCTTCTCTTGCCCCTTGTCCTCCTCTTCTCCGCCCACGGAGTACAAAAGCTCGTACCAGCAGTGGCACTAGGCTGATCCACCTGGGAATGGGGCCTTTGCCCCCCTCCCCCCTGTTTGATTTGCTCAAATAATACCAGGAATCCATGATCTGATACACCGTACTATGTACAGTATATCCTTCTGTATATCCGAGCAGTCTGTACGTACTCACGATGAAATATACATAAATAATGGAGAATAGAGTCGTACGAATACATGTACGGAGAACTCGGTGCTTACAAAATGTACTGCTCCGTCCAGTCGGTACAGTACCCGGTACCTACTGTACAGTACTCCACACTGTACTGTTCTCCGTCCCGAGGAGAAAAAGACACTACTGTAAATAGGATAATATTCATAGTACGGCAGAATTAATTGTACTTCGCTCGAACGGTGGGCAGCCATGCGCCCGGCATGCATTCCGCGCCTCAGACTGCCTAATGCTGCGCGGCGCGTGTCAAGCGGCTCCAGGTTTCACGCTGGGTCCCGGCTGCTCGCACTCTCTCTGATCTGCCGCCCTTATACGCAAGCGTCAGCATCCTGAAGAAATAGCCGAATACGGCCCCCAGGATCGTACATCATACCAGGCCTGAAAGATCCGACCGATCCATCATCGTGGACAAGGCGTGGACAAGGCGTGGCAGACTATTGAAGCTCGCTCTCGGTCCCCTGCGAGGGGCCAATCAGAGCGATTGCGCGGGTCGTTCTCGAACACAGGATTCTTCATCGAAGCTCCCCTTGCATCCTGCTCGCACAGTACTCAGGACAGTATTTTGTACATGCTGTACCTCCTCCCATCCCTTCGAGCCTGCCATGTGAAGATCTACCAAGTCCGTTCGTGACCAGGGCCATGCTCTGCTGCGGCCAACCGGGTCAGAGACGCAGGTGGGTACGGTCCCTGCGCCGCGCATAGGTTTCGACGGTTCTTCGAACTGCACGCCAAGCCACCATGCGGTCTGCTAGCGATCGGCATGCAATTGCTGAAACCGTGCTGGCGGCAGAACTCGAGAAATTTTCTGAAACAATGGCAGAATGCAGTCCCCAGCGATGACCCTACGCCGGCCCTATTCGGGGTTGGGAGGAGGGGGGGGTCTTCCGGGCGCTCTTTATCGCGGCGCATGGCTCACTACTCCAACTACGGCATAGTCCCTCATACCAAGAATCTGCTCCGTCGACTGATGCCGGTTTTTGGGTTCTTGGCCCGGGTTTATTCCGCTAAGCCGGGAGAGCCCATCCCAGAAAGATCTCATTGCCAGGACCCCAAATGCCTCCCCTGAGGATTCCTGCGGCTGTAGCCTCGTGGTGGCATGTTTGTCCCCCTCCTCATGGGCCAGCTTGTGGTGGAGAGATGCTTACTGTACGAGGCCGCTGCCAATCAGGGAGATTGGGTTTCGCGGGCAGAAGCGCCCTTCGCTTAGTGGACTGTCAGGCACAGTCCGAGACTCCTGGGCAAAGTGACCCGTCCACCTGGGCCAAACGAAGGTTCGGCAGTACGGTGGAGCCTGTCATACTGTGGGCAGTCAAACTCCACACAGAAACCAAGTCCGGCCCTCCAAGCATCTCCTCCCACAAGAACCGAGGTTGGACTCGTATTTTCCATGAGCTGAGCTTGGGACATCATACAGTACAAGCCGGGAAATTTCCCCTGATCGCGAAGGACGGGGCCTCCGAGTCCGTAGTCTCCGTATCTTTCACTCGCCCAATACAGGGCTTCCTAACCCAATGCTGACTAGTGACTGCTGATCTGCTGGTCTGTCCGCTCGCCATTCTCCCTGTCCTGATAGGCCACCTCGGTTCATCGTTTTCGGTTTCATGTTGTCCGGGCGATATGTCATGCGCCCCGTGAAACTACTGCAGGGGTCATCCTCAGCATGCTTGGATGTGGAGATATATTCCCCTAGGATCCAGGCATGTGGGATCGCAGGCACTACCTCGCGTCCGACCTAAGACGAATTCTTCCCGGCTGGGCATTATGTAAAAGATGCGACATGCATAAGTACTGGATTGTACAGGTAACAATCCTCATTATTCATGGCTAGTAACAGTGCCAACGGATGCAAAAAGGACACGAGTCAAGACTGCGGGAGGCTGAAGCGTAAAAGGTGGGGGAAAACTACACATTCCTGCGGGCGTTGAGGCGCCCCTTCTAAACTCTCCATTGCACGTGCCAAGGATCCGGAATTATGCACAAAGCACAAAGTACGGATACAAATGCCATTTACCCGGAAGCAATGACCACATGGAAGAGACTAGACATCGAAGCAGATACATACCTGCAAGATGGAGTGCTTTTCGAGCAAACTAGTCAACACGCTAACCTCCTCCACAGCTTCCGTTCTCTCAACTGACGAGTTGTGCCGAGATCCCTAGCTCCCACCCAAAAAACGGTGCGACCTTCTGGACAAATTGGGAAAGAGACAGGCTTCGCATCCTATTCGCTGCCAAACAAGTTCTCGCCAGATACCAGTGGATGTATCCACCAACAGGCCGCGTTGCGCGAAAAAAGCGTTCCCGCCACATGGGCAACCTCCTTTCCCAGCGGCGATCAACAACCCTTGATTTCGGTCCTCACCTCCAAAAACGTCCAGAGACGCGCAAGGAAACTTCAACGCTCTCTAAAGTTTAAAGGTCACCTAGCTACTCCGTACTATCCGTGATTCCCGCGCTCTTTCTTGGCGTGGGGAGGGGACAAGGGGGTCCAGACCGCCAGACCGCGAGTACGAAGTACATCGCAACGCGAATCTCCGCTTTTGATGGGCACGACTTAACTCCGGGAAGTCATCGCCGTTGGAGAAATGGCGATCGATGATAACGCTCAACGGACAAGGAGGCCGAAACCGTTGTCCAGTGGGACCTAGCAAATTAACCGTTGTCGATCTGCATTTGACAGCAGGCCAGCTGCCGGTCTTCAAGGGGTTAAGTACCCTGACCGCCTGGTCTTCGGGATTTGTTGCGCGAGACGTCAGGTTGACCTCTCCGCTCTGCCAAGCCATCGTTCCTGGTGTGGGATCGTCGTTGCCGGAGAATTGTGAGTTTTAGCACGAGTTTGCCTCGTGGCTCTTCGCTTCTATCTTTAACCCGTTTCATCGGTTGGGGTAAGCTTTCCGTCCTGATGCTGAGACATGCAGCTCCCCTGACGCTGCCATTTTTGACTCGTCTCGCAATGCTGTGAGATACGGTCTAGATGCTATACACACCGCGCGTGTTGGTTTCGCATACAGTAGGAGATCTTTTTAGGCCCTCGTAGAGAATTGTACGGAGCTCTTGGTGTGTCTATGCGCAGGATTACGGTGTATTGTCCATTTACTTTGAACCTCGCATCCTTGTCAAGCCATCTAAGATTAATCCAGTGTTTGATCGATATGAAGTGAATATTATTAGACACCCAACATCAATGTTGAATAAACACTGCCAACCTCGTCGTATGCTTAGGGAAGGCTGACATGGGCACTTTCTGACTTGAGACTCGGAGTCACTGCCGTCGCGATGTATTAAAGGCATATATATTCCAAAAAAGCGGCAATGTCAATATGCCGCCTGCCCCGAAATCGGAGGAAGGTAGCTCGCTTTTCTTTTTCTTCCTGGGCGTGGGGTATGCTTTACGCGGTCACTGTCACGGTCACGGGTCTTTTCATGGCGTCGCTAATCTTTTCCCGATCAGCTACCTACCACCACTACCATTAGTTCTACCCTTACCAATCTGTGCCCACCTCAAGCAGCGTCATTTAACTGATATCTCTCGTATCGCACACTTCCTCGCCGCCTAAAGGGTTGGGGAATCCGCAGACTACCTGCAAGAGCCCATGTTACATCACGATCCCCTGTCAGGCCATGGACAAAGACGAGTCTGAGTGAGAAAGATTAGGATTGCTTCATAGTCTAACTATTTACGTACTCTTGTCTCGCATTATCTGGGCTGCAGAGAAGTTTGACACCGGCAGGAAAGGTCTTTCTTTGCAGACGTTGGGGTATATTATCCTAATCTTTTGCTGGGGCCGGCCATCGCCGAATCGTTTCATCCTTGCCAAGCCCTTCACGACGGTATTTGCGGCCGTCAGAAGCCACTTCAAGGTCTCGTATATCAATTTGAAGTAAGTCTTTTGCAGATGTTTCTTCACTCTTCGCCTCCTGGTCTCCCGCAAGGTAGCCTCGACACAATCCGGCCTTACCCCTTATCACCGGGGAGTATGTCAAACTGGATCACATCCATGGACGGGATAATGCATCTGGAGCAGTGTCCTTTTGCTCTCCACCGTTCCACGGCAGCATCGACAGCGGCCGGGACCAACCGGACAGTACTTAAGTGGGGTTGAGCGGGCTGGCGATCCAGGGAAAGCCGACCCGCTGGTCGATAGCTTTCAGTTGGCTGTGTGGGGTAAATCGAAGCGCCGATTCCATTGCATATATTGTTCGCAGGCTGCCACCAATCGATACTTCTTATATTGATAGAGATAATCTATCCATAGTAAACAGGGAGCTCACCAACACTAGCCTGGCTGCGGAATATACTGTATTGCTGCCACCTAGAGAGAAAATAGAAATAAAACTAGAAGTCGGCGACCTAATCATCAAAGGGAATAATATCACAGTCCTGGAGCTCGTCAAAGTCCTCGAACTCGCCAGTCCACCGATCTTCAGGCATACACAGCCGGCGGCCGATCATCGCCGGGTCGGCCGCAACCCATGCCCCGAGATCCTTTTCTTGGAGGTAGATGCCAATCGAGGGTGCGGGATGCTTGCCGTAGCGCGGCCCGATGACCACCGTTGCGTTGCCCCCCGCTGTAGCCGGAGGGAAGAACTGCACGGACCGAATGCGTGCCGAACGGGGGAGCAGGATGCTCTCTTCCGGCACCAGAACGTTGAAGGCTGCCTGGCTGGCCGGTTCTTTCTCAGTAGCATTGGGGCGGACAGGCGACAGGGCGGGAAAGATGATGCGGTAGGTACGGAGAATTGACTCGCTGATACAGAGGTACAGCTCCGTCGGAGTCCATGTGAACGCAAAGGGCAGTGTGGGCACAAACGGCCGCCAACTGGAGCACCCCAGATGTACGGTGGTGGTGGCGTATAGTTTGGGTGGGGTGCGGGATGGGCTGGTAGCGGACAGCTGCAGCACCAACACATGGCAGCTGATGTACATCCTGGGCTTGTCGCCTTTGGTTGCGGATGCCTGACCGGCCACCTGTGATGTGACCTTCTTCCTCTTCTCCGGGGTGGCATCAATGGCGGCCATGCGGAGGAATTCGCCGCAAGGGGAGAACGAAAGACTGGTGCATATAGGATAGGCTTTGTACAACAGCCGAGGGGTCAGCCCAAGATCCTGATTCTCTCGGATGGGGAAAGCAAGACGGAGGGGAAAGGCTCACATTTTCTTCTCGTGTAGCTCGCAATCTTGTACTCGAAGAACTTATTGTTCTCAAAATCAGCAAAGAGGAGGCGGGAGCCACTCAATGGCCAGACAACCAAGGGATGGCAGGCATGAATCACGGGAGGCGACCCGTAAATCACATCCCGGTACTTCTTGTGTAGGTGGAAAAGGAGCTTTGGGGTCTTCTGGTCCAGGCGAAGGATGGCGATTTCTTGACGGATGGTGAAGCTGCGCCGAGAAATGACCCCAACCGGCTTCCTGGCAACGTACCGATACAGTTGATGGTCGAGGTCAAAGCACCATCGTCCCTCCCGTTCGCAGCGCTGACAGAGGTCGAAACTATCATCCTCGCAATGAACACAGTGGTACCATATTCGAAGTGAGATGTTCACGCACATATCGCAACAGATATTGGGAACACCGTGGTCGTTGATCTTGACGCTGTTTTTATTCTCGAAGCTCGGAGAGACCGGCGTGAATTCGGTGATAGAATCCTCATCTGACTCAAAGCTACTTTCTGTGCCCTCAGATTCAAAGCAGGAACTCAGGTTCACGTGGGATTCCAGGGACTCGGTATCACCTAGTTCGCTACTTCCCCCGGAGTTGTTGCTGATGCGAGATTCAATGTCAGAGTCCGTGCTGCTCGAAGGGCACGACTCCAGGTCCAGATCACTTTCAGCACTATCGCCTTCACTGATGTTTTCGAGCAGGTCATGTTCGCTTTCAAATTCCTCACTCCATGATTCCTCTGCAGATGGAAAGTCTGGTAGTCCATTCGAGCTAGAGCTATCCGACCCTGTCTCGGATGAGTCAGTATCGACTTCCAGATCCGAAGCGTGTCCGCCGAGAATATCCCTTGCGATTTGACGTCTCATTGACGACATTATCTGTCGAGAATCGCGAGAGGAGCTCTTAGATAGCAAACGATCCTGTCTAGCATGCACAGTCTTCATTCGCTGTCTCATTGCCTGGACTCTCTGTCTTTTTTTCTCTTCCGTGAGTGGCTTGTGTGCTGCTGTTGACTTGCGCCTGCGGCATAAGACCAAGAAATCTCCACGACAGATGATGTCCTCCCATCCGTCTTCTAGGACCTTATCACAGAGCTCTTCGTAAATGGTCCCCTGGCCTGCATCTGTGACCTTGCGGAATAACATGGCCCCGACTCTGACAACAGAAGCTTCCTCATGGATAAAGACTGCTTCTGGTGGGACAACGGCGTGGAAGCGTGGGATCAAGGGCATAGATCGGAATGAGGTTGAGCACGGAAATGAATAGCGGTCAAGGTGAGCTGCCTCCGCGGAAAATAAAAGGCGGCTCTGTTTCTGGAGTCGAGGCGTGTCCGCACCATTGAGGGTCCATTGATGTAGGACAAGTTCACTGGAGCCACTAAGAGTCCTGTGAGCGATATCGAAAATAAGTCCCACACGGCAACGTACCTAACTGTGTGGATTTGGTATGTCACAAAGTGCCTTCCGTCGTGGGATCCCTGTTGGATTTGGCAGCTATCTTGAGGCACACCCCCAGGACCCGGGGCTGTGCTGAGCTCGAAGCTCTTGTAGCGGCTCTTTTGGTGAAATAGAAAACTCGCGGACCCATAAGACTGCCAAAAACAGCGGTCCAACTCTCCACTGAACTGAAAGCCTGGCCCGGATTGAAGCAGATAGCACCATTCACATTGGAAATTTCGATACTCCTGATCGAGATCAGGATCATACAGCTTCATCCAATTTGGCAATGTCCGCCGGATTGCATTGCTTCGTTCCGTGATGGGGTCAAACCGCTGCAAGAAGTGTCCGATCACAAACAGACTCTGGACCTGGAACATAGTCGAGAGGTTTTGCGATTTCAAGAAGCAGACCACAGCCTCTCCATTCTCGATACGCGAGTCCACCGAGACGGACTCACTGGAAGTCAAGGCAGAGTCCAGACGGGGATCATCAAGATGTATATACCAGTACTTGGATGCATAAAGCAGGAACCGATGGGACGTAATGTCATCATCACCACTCTTCCATATACCCGTCGACTTGGCCCGATGGAGAGGCCGGCTATACCGGGGTTGGGAGAGGTATTGAAGACAGCATCTCCCGATGATGCAGCGATCGACCAACTGTTGGCCGTTTGCTTGATTCTCAGATCTTTCCATGAGAAATTTTCCAACAGCCGAGTGTGACAGCCGCAGCACCTCGGTCTCACGGTTCTTACCAGTCTTGATGCATCGTATTAGAGAGAGACAGCTATTGAGGATCTTATCTCGACTCGATTTCGTGTTGTCGCTGAGGTCACAATATTTGTCTGTGCGAAGAATTGCCACGGCTTCGATCACCTCGTCGATTTTCAGCGGGCGTTTGGAAAATGTCAAAAGCGAAAGGACAACCCTGCAAAGTCAATGAGGTTAATTCAACCTTCATACGATTCAAGCAAGAGATAATAACCTACTTCCACAGCGGCTGTCTATTTTTCTTTCCCTTCTCCTTCGCCTGAATGCGCTTAATGATACGTTCGTATACCTCAGTCATCTCATTTGGAAGGCCTCTCAATACCAAGTCAAGCATGTCATCGCGATTCTCAGCTTCTTGTTTCAAGTCATCAAGCATGAGGCGTGCCCACAGAAAGCTTCCCTCGACCTCTGTTGCTATGACAGCTTTGAGAAAAGCCTGGGCAAGACTCCCGTCCTGGCCCATTCCCGAAAGTAGATACCTCAGGATGTCATTGCTCGTGTCTGCTGGTTGCAGTGGGAATTCTCGGATCCTGTCGAACAACCCCGAACCAGAAAGGTACTGTCGGATTGAGGGAAGTGGTTGGCTACCAAACCACACTCTCACTTTTGTGGGATGCTTGCCGACTTCTCGGAGGAGAAAGGTAACAAGAGTGGGGACTTCACTCTCGTGGCGGATGGCGTGCGACGAAGGATTGTTCTCTACGTATTCTGTCTCATCAAGGCCGTCAAGGAAGAGAACCGTTTGAGGAAGCTCGCTGAAGAGAGCACTGATTAGATGTTCAACCCTGGTTGAGTCAATTTTGTTGATAGTCAGAAACGGTTTGATTGAGTCGGGTATATTGTCGTTGATATCTTTTTTCAGGCATCCTAACAACTGCGTCGCGAGGGAACGGAGCATCTGATTCCGTGGCACATATTGCTCTTTGGTAATGAAGTGCCAGGCAAGGGCTGGGGCTCGTCCACTAGAATCCTGTCGAGCCAGATCCTGCACCTGTCGAATCGCTGCTGCACACAGGCAAGTTTTCCCCGCTCCGTGATTTCCATGCAACCAGAGAACAGGATGGGCCGAGTCGAAATCAATCCATTCCTTGAAGAAGCCATGCTCAAAGAGCCAGGTACAGGTTTCTGGATGAGTTTCTGCCGTCGCACTGTCAAAGATGCCCCCGCTGAAGGAATCATCTACGTCGACGTGGCCAATCAAAGCTTGGAGTTTGTCCTCTGTTTCATTCAGTATGCTAGTTACTCTTCAACAGCTCGTGTCGACGCCGAGCGCAGGAGACAGTCTTACTCGTCTGCTGGCGAGCTTGGTCCCGTTTCCAGGTTCCATCCTCATCTCGGAATTGCTGCGCGGCAGCTCTTTCCTCGGCGGCTTGGTGGCCCAACGTATCGATCTGCTGGGTCACTGGAAACGTACCGACAAGAGATAGTATTAGAAACTTCCGACATGGCTCTTGGCTCTGGCATACTGACGCTTCAGCAGCTGGTCGCTCACCGGGGGCGTGCTGAACACGTCCACAGCCGGCAGCTCTAGCAGGAGCTCTTTTGCATAGGCCGCAGCGGTCAGAGCTGCATAGCTTTGCCATTTATCATTCTTCCGTCCGTCGGCATAGTCCGAGATCCCTCTGATAACCAGACATGGGAAGTTATTCATGAGTCCAAACGCCTCCATCTCTACACAGCAGACACCCAGCGCATTCAGGAGCTCGGTTCTCTGGTGCTCGTTCTTGACGACATGATTGCCGGACGCAATGATGCCGTAGTGGACGATGGGGTCGGGTGAATGGTATTCTGTGAGCAACTCACACTCCGGGCATATTCCCACCTTCCGGGGAGTTTGATCGTTTTCATACATCGGATCATTGTTGATGCCCTGGAACGCCCACTGGTTCGGGTGGCGGAACCGCCCCGTGGGGAGGTGTTTCACATAGCTATGGATGCGGCTTTCTCCCAGGATATCCAACCGTTTCATGGCGCCCATCACTCGGACCAGCCCCTCGGCGGGTCTATTCAAGGATCCTGTTCGCTTGAACCCCTCGCTTTCCCACTTCCCGAAATCGCTCTGCACCACACCGGGCGACCCCTCCATAGGCTCACTCACGACAATGTCACCCAGCCGAATGTCATAGCGGTCGCTGGGGATGCCCCCTCCAAGGCCCACCATGAGTACGTACCGCACATTCGGAAACGACGTCATCAAATGGCTCGCGACGATGTGGGCAGGCAACCCGCCAGCTTCGTTGATGCACGCCATGGCGATGTTATGACCTCCAATCGAGCCGAGCACGTAGGAATTAGTGTCACCCTCCGCCGTTGAGAGACGTTGATGTTTCTCCGTGAGCATGGCGTTAGCCGCTGCGGACTCTACGGCAAGAGTTGAAATCCAGCCGATTGTATAGTCTTCGCGAACGAGCGAGCGCGGATTCGACTGCGTAGTGTCGGCGGCCATCGTTCTTCGGCTGAAGGATATGAAAGCTGTTAGAAAGCAACACGAAGATCAAAAATCTGGGCTGTTTGTCCACTCCTTGAGAGAATATCTGGTTGACTAAGGTTAAAGAACCTCGTATACTCGGTTAGCTGCAAATCCTGTGCCCCTATATAAAGTATCTCCTACCCGCCGTGATCGCATCGGGTTGGGTGCAGGGAAGTCGGGCTCTACCAGCTCGCCGCGTCTCAGGCAAGAAGGAGAAAGTCACCGGTTTTAGTTGGCGAATCAAATCGTATTATTTCCATGAGTTCACTATTTCGGATGTGTTTGTTTGCTTATGGGCCAGGGGTGAAGGAGGGGAAGACGGGCAGCATCACTTCACAATCTCAGCCCCCCGTCCTCATGTTGGCGCACAATCATTGAGTCAATGCGCTCTGCATGTGCTGCTCTGGTTGGGCTTCAAGGATGAAGGGTGTTGGGGGCGGGGAAACAGTCACCTCTCAGCCTCATTCACCCGGGTGTTTCAGGTAGGAAAACAACATGTCTGGTTGTCCGATAGCTCGAGGCTGATAATTGTGCAGGGTATAGCCCATCGAATAGGTCAGAAGGCCCGAATGATGGCTTCATGCACCCGCCCAATAGTCCAATGCACTCTGATTCCCGGCACGGTGTTTTGTTTTTCTTGATGCCCAATGGGGTAAATCAACGCTGCTCTGCGGAGCAATTGGGCTCAGCGATCTGTGCCTCCGCCTGCGAGGGCCCTGGCTGTGCAACCCCAAAGTCACATTCCCGTCTTCCCCACCTCCAAGCCTCTTGAGGAAGCTGGTCTGTGTAAATAGGCAGACGGGGTGGCTGCTGCAGCCAATAGAACACGGCGTCACATTCCTTCCTGCGCCCCATGGAGGCTGAGAGGAATGAGAGGCGGGGTTTTATCTCATGAACAGTGTGCCCGTCCCATCAATCGTGCATAATACACTCTGTAGTGAGCGGAAGCAATGTCGATACGAGATGATTGGCATGACGATGACATACTAGGATTTTGGGGGGCAGCCTCGCTCACACGACCTGGACCGGCCTGGACTGACCTGGACACAATATAACTAGGCTTCGCCATATGAACATCTTCTCTTTCTAATGTTGAACGTAAGCTAGGCAGAAGCTGCGGATCGGAACCGCGCCAACACGCGCAGTCAACATGGACCCATCAACCGGCGTCGAACCACCAACGGAGAAAGAGCCTGAGCATGAGAATGATGTCGACAATGGCCAAGAGAAAGAAGAGCGGCAGCCGATTGTGCGGGTTGACCAAATGTGAGTGTCATGCACTCCCTCCTTCGAGATGATGTATGAGGTCTCACCTCGAGGATCACGATGTTGACCGCTTTGACCCAGCTGGGATAAGTATGCGCGCCCTCATGCACCTGCCAACCTGGTGAGGCTCTCCACAGTCCTTGGTTCTGAATCACCCTTTTCTCTAGGAAGAAACAGCGATTTCGTTACGTCAAGTCCAGCAAACCCAAAAGCCGATCACAAGCATTCAGCCGCTATGTGATCATCGTGGCGCGACGCATCAGCGCTCAGGGTGTCTTTACTGGCGAATACGTGGTCGACATCAGGGGAAAGCACCTACAGCAGATCATCTCAGAGGCATATCAGGATATGCCTAGTATCCCGTTTTCCAGTTTGATCACTTTAGTAAGTCCTCACAGAATCCCTGGGCTCTTCCGACTGGGGCCGCTCAGAGCCGTTGAGCTAGCTTTGCTAACGGACAGGACAGGAGAAAGAGGAATTGAAGCTCCTTTTCTATGAGCGGGTTACTTTTGCCCGGAAACTACAGAACGCCCAGCAGACTGAGACGTCAGGCTCAGATCCGATCCTGAGAGCCATGATTTTCGAGCTGACTGCTCTCGTGAGCTTCATTGACGAACACTTTTCCTCGGTGACCTATGAGCTTTCGCAACTTCCCACGGACCGTGTCACTTATGATCTCCTCTGGACATTGTTTCGTCCCAACACAAGGGTCTTTGGCATGGGTACCCTGCGAGAAGAGCGAGTCTTCCGTTTAAGTACGTCCGGATACAAGCAGAGCCAGGATGGCTCGTCATCCTTCATCCTAGAGATGGACTACCTGGACTTTAACGGGCACTCCATGGGGTGGGTCGAACCAACTATCTACGGGATCGGTTCATTTCATGGATCCAAGCCGATTTGCCAGTTACCATTCTTCCCAATTGTGTATCATGAGAATTGCGCCAGGCTTGAGCGTAAATTAGTCCAACGAGGAGAGCGACTTCTGGGTCTCCACATCTCTGGTCATCTGCAAGAATATAAAGGTCATGCGATCGATGGAGATGAAGGGCATGGAAATGGACGTGTCCAGAAATTCACAGTGAGATTGACCAGTGATTGTCCACAGAGCTCCCTTACCGAGAACTGACCGAATCGATGCATGCTAGGTCAATGGACGTGTCATGCTGGATCCAGTGACCTTCGATAACACGAAACCAAATAACGATCTCTTGCCAAGCATCTCCACCCCTATTAATACACAATCCTTGGCCGAAGACCAGATGGGTCTTCTCAGTCCCATATTGTACGGCTTCAGCCTAACGGAGAAGCGATGGGGTAGGTGCATTTCGTATCTCCGAAGCGGAAATGAGTCTCACTCAGATTGTAGGAGGCTTTGATGTGATGCATCTGCAGAACGTCGAGTGGAATAAGCGAATTGATGAAATGCTGGTTCTCCCAGAGGACCGAAAGGATTTCGTAAAATCGCTGGTCAAGTCCCAGCGGCTAGATTCTGGCTCCGACAGCTTCGACGATTTCGTGCGGAATAAGGGCAAAGGGCTTGTAGGCCTGCTGGCTGGCCCTCCCGGAGTGGGCAAGACGCTAACCGCCGAGGTGGTTGCGGAGATCACCCGTCGGCCGCTGTACATGATCAGCTCTGGAGAGCTGGGACAATCAACTTCTGCCCTCGAGAAAAATCTTGCTTCAGCTTTGGCACTGGCGGAAACATGGAAAGCGGTGCTACTACTTGATGAAGCGGATGTTTTCTTGTCTGAGCGAGACAATGTCAACCTAACCAGGAACGCGATCACCTCGATATTCCTGCGCGATCTGGAATATTATCAGGGAATCATTCTGCTTACCACCAATCGAATGTCCAGCATTGACCCAGCTTTCCAGAGTCGCATCCACTTTTGCTTTGAGTATGATGACTTGAGCGAGCTTGCCCGGCGCCAAATCTGGTCCCAATTCCTGTCGCGATCGGCCAGCCATTTCGTCTCGGAAGAGGAAATCATAGAACTTTCAAAGCTTCCCATGAACGGCCGACAAATCAAAAACGCAATGAAGGTTTCCACCACAGTGGCAAAGGAGCGGAAAGTATCCTTGACGAAAAACATTATCACGCAAGCGCTCACCCTATCCGGGTCATCTTGGAGGAAGTTACCACCAGCTGACAGGGCTCTACCAACTGACTCCGATCTATCGGACCTTGTTGCAAGAGTCATCACAGACATATCAAAATTGGACCCAAGTTCAGCATCCTCGGGTGAAACCCGCGCCAACTCCGGCTCTGCTGTCTCGCCGGCGCACACCCTCACCAAACCCCAGATCGGATTTCTCTCTTGCACCGTGTTTCTCATTATCATCACTGCCTTTCAGCTATGGTCATTGCAAGACGTCCCCAATTTGATTTTCAAGATCAAATTGACATTAATGTTGGCTTCTGTCTCGGCTGCTGTGGTCATATTTCCTATGGTCTTGGGGTGTTTGATTTGATGTTCGATATATGCTGGTCACTCACGCCCGTGGATAATATTCAACGTTCATACTGTACGAAAGAGTTTCCTACCGCTTTTCTCATGTCATGTATTTGGGCCTTACGCTTATGGAAGGCTTTTGGAAATAATTGGGGTCTTGTGGAAGGCGCACTGTTAAGGAAAGTGGCGGGTTTGTTCTTCCCGGCGGACCCACGCTGCCGAGACCAGCGAGAACGATTCCGGACTCCGGGACCGACGATTTCTCGTGAATTTGGGCAAGAAGTGCATTGCGACTGATAAAGTCTTGGTCGTGCAAGAACGGCACGGTCGACAGAGACTCTAGGCGGGGCTCCGGTGGCTCTAGAACGGTAGCGGCTATTAGTCAATTTGGCTTGCACATGTACCAGTAACCCACCAGACATTATCCTGTGTAAATAGTGTGTATATCTTGATATTTAAATCGACAAAGACCATATTCGAATCTGTGATCTGAAAATCGCGAGTTGTATGTGTCCAATGGCAGTTGTGTAACCACCACAGCTCCCTGTCGCTCTTAACCTAACCGGGGCTGCGCGAATCCGGGGCAGTGGCAGTCCGCTGACTCATCCATCGCGTGTGTGACGCCATCCCCCCAGACCCCCGTGCGGAGTAGCCATCTCCTGGTCAGTCAACAACCAGGGGTTGATTGTATTCTCAACTCACAAGATTCGTACTGGCTAGTCACCAGGAATCCGATGAAAATGGCAAAGCCATTCCACAGGTTGGCTTATCTTATTAGTGGATCCCGATTAGGAGACATTGGACTAACTACTACCCAGCGAGGACGACAAAGCGGGGACGATCTTGATTAACACGTTGGAGCTTGAAGAGGAGCAAGGGCTTCTGAGCAATGGATATGATTTTGGGAGGGAGAACAATGCTTTTGTCCAGAGCGCACCGCATGGTCGGCGATGCTGTAAACAAAGAGCGCGTCTCCTTGGCAGGATCAAAAGCGCCGTGACAGTTGGCTGCATGGGTCTTCTTCTTTATGGCTTGCTACGATCGTACAACAGTATTTATCCCCATCAATTCCTAAGACCAAGACAATCTCTAACAATCGCCCTTGCTTATAAGGCACGCCGACCGAGACCACCGAGCCATCTTCCCCGTATCCGCAATCACCACCTGCCATCTGTCAGACACCAGAATGCATTCATGCAGCATCGGAAATAATCTACAACTTGGATCCCAACTATGACAAAGTTGACCCCTGCACTGACTTCGACCAGTTCGTTTGCGGTGGATGGCGAGAGCGCCATGATATGCGAGCTGATCAGGGCTCGATCTTTGCTGGGACGATCATGGCAGAGAACTCTCAAACCCGGCTGCGCCATATACTGGAGCTCTCGGAACCTCCGGAGTCGGCTGATGTGGAAAACTTCGAGAAGCTCAAGGCTGGATACGATGCTTGTTTGGACGAGTCCTCGATCAGAAAACGTGGCGCCCAGCCTTTGGCCGACTTGCTAGCGGCGCTACAGAATATCTATCCTCCCAAGAGTGGGCTTGTCGCAGGAACACAGGATCATCTTACTCGCGCGATCCTATTCCTGATGGAATTGGGTGTTGAGGCTTTGGTGTCCTCCAGTGTTTCTGTAAGTTTGTCTTTCTAGTTAGGCTGACCAGGGTTGGTTTATCTGCACATCAAACTGACAGCTTTAGCCCGACGATCGGGACCCTGATAATGTGGTGATATTTGCCTCCCCACCTCGAGAAATTGGACTCCCGGCGAGAGAATACTATAATGACACTGAGACACTGGCCGACTACTCGCGGGTCTTGAAGGAGACACTTCAAGAATTCGGTGGAAACGCCAAGATTGCTGAAGATATAGTCGCCCTTGAAACAAAGCTCGCACAGGTGACCCCGGACACAGCAACCCAGGAGGACGTTACCAAATACTACAACCCACACAGCATCAAGGAAACCGAGTCGTTAGTTCCCGAGATCTCCTTTGCAGATATTATTACGGAGCTGGCACCGCACGACTATAAGGGCAATCGCTTGATCGTGGGATCACCCTCTTACATGAAGGACTTGTCTGACATTCTGAATGATGCCTCTCGGGAAACGGTGTCGTTCTTCTTGCAGTGGAAGCTCATCCAGGCATACTCTGCTAGCATTGAAGATGACAAGATTACTCCTCTTCGACAGTTCAACAATAAGCTCCAAGGCAAGGATCCGCAAGCGACCGAAGAACGATGGCGCAAGTGCCTCAGACGCCTAGATGAAGGTCTCGGCTGGAGCCTCAGTCGCTTCTATATTCTTGACTCATTTTCAGAGGAGTCGAAGAAACTGGGCGATCAAGTTGTGTCTGATATCAAGGAACGATTCGTTTTCACCCTGACCCAAACCTCATGGATGTCCCCCGACGTGCGGAAGCTTGGTATAAAGAAGGTGGAGAACATTGTTCAAAAGATCGGATACCCAACCAAGAGTCCCAATGTGTTGGATGCGCAGGATGTGGAGAAGTACTATCGCGACCTGGCCGTGTCCGACGAAAAGTACTTCGAGAATGAAGTTGCCGTGGCCAAGTTCCATCTCCGTAACGAGTGGTCCAAATTGGGGAAACCGACCAACCGGGATGAATGGGATATGACTGCGCCAACCGTTAATGCCTACTATAACCCTCCAGGAAACGAGATTGTCTTCCCTGCCGGCATCATGCAGCCCCCAGCGTTCTACGGGCCTGCTGCCCCCTTATACCTGGCCTATGGTGCGTTCGGTGCTGTCAGTGGCCATGAGCTCTCTCATGGTACGTATGTCCCTGTCAAGTTGGCAATCTAACCGGAGCATTCTTGTTTTGCGATCGCTAATCAGCCGCAGCATTCGATTCCACCGGTCGGCACTACGACGAGACTGGAAACTATACAAATTGGTGGGATGACGACACCGTCAAGGCCTTTGAGGAGCGAGCCCAGTGCTTTGTAGACCAATATTCGCAGTTCACTGTTGACGGCCCTGGCGATAAGGTTCTACATGTCAATGGACGGTTGACGCTAGGCGAGAACATCGCTGATGCGGGCGGCCTGACGGCCTCGTTCCACGCCTGGAAGAAGCATGATGAGGCATCTCCGGATCTTCACCTGCCCGGCCTGGATGCTTTTAGCAAGGAGCAGCTATTCTTCATCTCTTACGGAAACTGGTGGTGTGGCAAGAGCACCAAGGAGGCTGCAGAGCAAGCCATCTACAACGACCCGCATGCGCCCAAGTCCGCACGGATCATTGTGAGTTTGGGCCCGTCGCCTGCGTGTTCAAGAATCTCCAGCTAATCCAAACGGTCGCAGGAAACCATGGCGAACTCACGAGAGTTCAAGGATGCATTCAGCTGCCCCGAGAAGAAGCCTGCCTGCAAGCTTTGGTAATCATCCACCGGGTCTTGTAATTATTATGGAGCTGTGCGCTGATTTCGGTGGTCCTCTGAGATGTTAATTTATGGGTTGAAATTATGTTGTATGCATAAAGGCCCTCCTTTAGCCGTCTCGTTTTTTTCCTTTTTCTTTCACTCTCTTTTCTTTCGGTGCCCAAAGCTGTAGTATCCATGTTATTGCCATCAATCATTTTCTTGTTTCCGAGGCATCGGCTGTAAGACCCAGAAAGCCCCTCCTCGGGCTTATCGTGCACAGCTTCCCCTCCCACAGCGATCTCTGCGATCCATCCGATATCCGTTTTAAGTTAGCCTAGTCGAAGCAAGCAAAAGGATCCCGCGCCCCAAGCAAACCTTCCCCGCAGATCATGAGGGGCGGTCAAGTTGAGAAGGGAGATCAGCTCACTCAGATTGGAGCCGACTTAATATGTCCTACGGAGTAGTATGTCCTGCAACAACTCTGCTGGGAAGGAAGTCGCAGTGGATCCTGCTCTGGGAAAAGGAGATCATGTGAGGCCTCGGGGTGAAGTTCCCAATCACCCGATGGTTTGACTATGAAAGGAGAGAGAGAGAGAGAGAGAGAAAACCCACGGCTTGGCATTGGCGACCGGTGGAACCGGCGACACCAGTCACACAGGGCGACCAGCACGGCAGCCCCCAGCACCCCTCCAGCACCAGGAGGATGGGTAGAGTGTCAGCTATACCAACTCTGGCCTCCCGGGCCCCGGTCAAGCTGCATGGGCTGCATGGCTGCATGAGACATGAGGCACCGCAAGCACCGCGATGGGACAGGTCTGGGGTTCTGCGGCAGACGTGTCAGGAGCTGAGCTCCATTTATACATCGATCTGCTCACAGGTTCCAGAGCCGCGTCACTCCGATCCGAAAACTAAGGAAAACTAAGTGGAGCAGGCATAACGGCGGGAGCAGCGGCCAACCAAAGGGCGCGCTGGCGCTCCAATGGAGGTTCGCTTCACTGGGGCGAATGGGAGGGCCTAGTAGGAAGAGGCGACGACCTATCAACTCGGCTGTCATGGCCCCATTTTGAGCCGTTACACAGTCCCGGAGCTTTTCAGCTGGCGGTTGTATGGCCGGGTGAAAGTATTCCTGAAGGATGGCAGGGGACCAAGTTGGAGTCCGTCCAGTGCACTCCGTACCGAGTGGACGAATGATCCTCGGGGCGTAATTGGTCAAGTTCGCCAGGAGTGACGGCGAAATGAATTGAAGGGATCAGGGGCCGTGGCAAGAACGGTTACCCAGCGTTCGCCTGTGGTTCCGCCGCGCCGGGTCACTTCCCCAACTCCACTCAGGCAAAACAAGAGCTCCCTACTCTTCCAACCAAACCCCCTCTCCTGACTCGAGGCAGCCGGGTCATGTCGTGCCAGCGTCATTTCCGATCCCGACCTGGGCTGCTGATGCGTTCTTAATCCCCGACCTACGAAAGCTACGACCGCTGGACACCTTCCGAGCTTCTCGACGCGACGGAGCGGTTCGCCGCAGAGCTGTTATTCGGGAGCTCTCGCGAATCGCCCGCGATGGAGCCCATTCCTTCGGCTACCGACTCGCCCGCCCACTCCAGAGATAAGCCGGCGGAGCCTAGAGTCCGTGTCGATGAATTACCGGCATTGATCCGAACACGCAGTGGAGGGTCTCCGAATGCGACGTCTCTATTACGCCGTGCCAACACGGTGGCACAGAGTGGGAATATCATCAGGAGGAACCTCGAACTGAAGGCTACACGAGAAAGGACCGCCACGACCACGGGGTTACGGATCAAAGGTAGTCATGAACTGTTACAAAAGTCTCCGTTACAACGATCCCAGACCCAGATGCACCGGGGCCCGCTAGAAACACGCCCGGCCGGGCGTAAAGCAGGTCATTTTACGGTTGGAAGTGTCGGCCAGAATGGCAAGATCTTTCTCAGGTACGATCTCGATCGATAATCTCGGCGATAGCCTTCCGTGTCGCACACCGTCTGCAGGAGAGCTGACAATACCTTTTCCATGGCTAGGCCGGTTGCAAATCCACCGCACAAAGGCCGCTCAATAGTACCGTTCTCCCCCATGGATCAAGTCGTGACCGACGGTCTTCAGCCGCAGAAACATGCGCAGGTTCGACATGACCCATCACGGTGGTCGAGTTCCCAGCTCTCTGAACTTCGCCCGCGTGGTGCCGCTGGCGACGATACCGAGTCGGTCTCTTCCGAAGCCCCGTGGCCCGAGCCTACCAACCATCCGCGCCAGCGAGCAAATTCGTTCTCAACGATTTCAGAACAGCCGTCAATACTCGGCGAGGGAAAACGTGGAGAGTTGCGTATTGTGATTGACCGACCCGAAGATCGACCCAAGTCTGCGGGCGAGAAAACCGGTCACTCCGCTTTGGAAGTCACCATCCCTCATTACCGGCTCGGGTCACCGCGATTCAACGCTGAGGGGGGTGCGATTCTACATAGCTCCGTTTACACGCGGACCTCAGTGTCCGATAATTTCCGGAACTCGACCTTGCTGGGTGGTATGGCTGACCCTTTGCCGACTCATTTCCAAAGCGCATACAGCAGAGACTCTTTTTCTTTCAACCGTCCCTCTTTTGCAGTCTCCTTATTTTCCGGAACTGGGGCCATAGATCTCAGCCGAGCTTCCCCCATACCGAGGAACTCGGTGGTCTACGAGTTGAAGGGACCTGTCGAGCCCTCTATTTATGAAGCTTTGGTGTCGGACATGGATAGTGAATCTGTCGTGCGATATATTCCCGGCACGAGAGATATCAGTGCAGCTACGCCTGCCCGCATTGTTGCACAGATCTCTTCCGAGTCGTTCATGGATTATGAGCTGGTGTCAGACTTCTTCCTCACGTTCCGCTCATATCTCTCCCCAAGTCACCTGCTTGCCCTTCTTCTTGCACGTTTGAAATGGGCTATCAATCGACTCCAGGAAGATGGCCGCATCATCCGTATTCGTACATTTGCAGCCCTCCGCCACTGGATCCTGAATTACTTTGTGGATGACTTCGTTGCAAACTATGATCTCCGGACTCACTTTTGTGAGACTATCAATACACTCTACACAGAGGTGAAATCGCGAAAAAACGGCGGCATGAGTGATTTGAAGATTCTCATCGACTTGAAGCGGTGTTGGAATGGCAAGTGCTCCGTCTACTGGACCGCTTCCGAGTTCTCTCGTGCATACAACGATCCCGATACTCCGATTGTTCCTGGAAGCAATCAGATTGAGCTGGTCCCCGCTGATGCAGCTCAACCGGACATTCCTCCTGATGGAACGGTTCCCTCTGCGGATACCAACTTCCGTGACAGCCTCCCTCCTTCTGCACAACACGACCGAAACAATTCTGCTTCAACCGTACAGAGTATTCCATTCTCAATCAAGAGCGAGCAAAGCCTAGTAGCCCTTTCTTGCTCTCTGCCTCCTAAGTCTCCTAAGCGCCTGTCCATGCCTTACTCGAAAAGCAAGGCGCCGCGTCCAGTACCTTTATCACTCACCAAAAGCACGTCTCCCCATGAACCACCTCCTGCGTCGCCAATGAAATCACGGCATCCCTTTCATAGCCACGCGCACAAGAGAAGTGGTAGCTTCTCGGATTCGGTGCGAGATGATCGAGTGCCTATGTTCGGCATGGAACTCGGCTCGGCGGGGCCTGCTCCGCAAGAGATTCTCGACCCTGTCAGCTTCATCCGCGGGGCACTATATCCTCCGGCAGAGTCGTACATGGCAATGATGGCTCCAGACTCGCCGCCTTTGGCTCCACCCTCGAACTCATCCAATCCTGATCGACGAAGCATTCCTGACGGCGGTTCCAAAACGGGACCATCGAACTCTGGAGTGAGGACTATTATTGGGTCTATAAAACGAGTACTTCACACAAGAAATGGCGGCCAAAGTGTTTCTGCTCGGATTGCGAATGCTTCTGAGGCTATCTCCTTGCCTTCGCGTGGGAAGACATCTGCCATGCCTAATCATATTGCTTTGGGATCGGAATTTTATCGCGAAAGGAAGATGGCTGCCATCCCCAAGCGGCCAGCCCGGATAGACATACTCTGCGATGAAGCTTTGAAACAATACCGCCAAGTCATGGGTTCAAACGAAGCTAAGAGAGAGGCGACTCAGCAGATACCCACTGCCCCTGGTCTGCAAAACACCTTGCAGAATTCTTCTGCAGACGCCCTTGATCCGTCATATCTTGAAACCCCCAAGGCGGATGGCTCAAAAAAGAAGAGCGGACTAACTACAGGCAGCGGATCCATTGTCATTGTTGATGATACTAGGTTTGATCTGCCTGTCATGTCAGGAGCCGTGCAGGGAGCTGAGCCTGCCGCCATGAATCCTCATGTTCGATCCGATTCCGACAGTAAGATGATGTCAAGTATGTTGGATGTCCAATCCCAGAAATCAGTACCGAGAGAGGGCGAATACTTGCTCCCAATCTACTACAAGGGCGAGGGCCCAGAAAGCAATACTCTGCACCCAGCCCCCTCAATCAAATCTGGCTCTTCTTTGCAACGGCAGTCCTTCTCGAACGAACGCCAGTCTACGCCCAACAAACAGATGTCGCTTTCTCTCCGGCTCCGAAAGTATGCCTCCTTCCAGAGTGGGATTTCCAAGCATCGTCTGTCGATAAATAGCGATGCCAGGAAGTCCATTGCTGGCTCAGTTGCTACACAAGAACTCACAGATAGGTCGATCGTTCCATCACTTCGTCGACGACCTGGGGGTAACTTGCGCCAGATGCAGTTTGTGGATGAACTGGAGCCAGGGTCTGGCCACGGATCCTTTGTGTCCGCTCGCTCCTATGATGACTCTCTAGCGGAGACAGCAACCACAGCTAATGACATGGCTGAGCGCCCACCGTCAGCCCTAATTCCTTCAAACCCTCAATTTTCTTTAACCCAGGGGGGATCGAACCGAAACTTGCGGCGCTCTTTTGAAGCAGCCATTGCTCGTTTTGCACAGATTCCTGATGACGATGATGGAGGCATTGAGTCAACGTTGCTCAAGCTCGAGGGCAAGTGGAGAGGCCCGTGTGACGACCGCGAGACTAGCGAACAGGATGAAAACTCTCGTGTTGGTGGCGAAAGGCATGAGAGACCTGGCTGGGAAGTTCTTTCTCGGCGGCGACAGACGGATAAGTCGACCTACTCTACCGTTGAAGGGAGACTTGCGCCACCCAGACCCTACTCGGATTCCGTGGCCGAGTCTGAGGAGTCGTACAATTCTATACCTCTTCTCGAGCGAGGACTGACGGACGAGTCGATGAAGCGGCCACTTACAGATCTTACCCACGTCACCCATACTCACGGTGCTCCTCTCAGTCTCATATCTAGCCGGGACACTTCTGAATTGGCATCATCACACCCATCAATTCAGATCATCCAAGAGACCGAAAGCATGCGACGCATCCCCCGCGGGTCAACGATTCCTGAGGCTGGCGGGCAGCACACTCCCAAGCGCCTGTCCGCCTTGTCCTCAGAATTATCCGTTGACATGATTGATTCTCGCGAAGCCATGGACAACCGCCTGTCTACGGGTACTCGCAGCCTGACTGCTTCGACTGTTGACATCCCACCTCACCCCCTGGCACATCCCCCGTCTCCTCCGATGACTATTCAGCATCCCGGTTCGTTCGGTTCCATTGCTTCGCCAATGGATAAGGTGCGGTTCCAGCCCCAGCCTCTCACGCCAGATACCTCTCCCAGGCACCGGGACCTGGAATCTCCCTATACTCGAAATAGAAACGTTCCGCAGTTCTCGACTGACGTTCTTTCCAATTCGGAGAAACACCGTCCTGCAGAACTATCTCTGAGTGAAATCGGCCCGGATCACGTTCCTTTCATCCTCGCCTGTGGGTCTCAAGTGCTTGCTCAGCAGTTGACTTTGGTTGAAATGGCTGCATTGAGTGAAGTTGATTGGCGAGACTTGGTCGAAATGAAGTGGAGCAGCGCATCGCCGTCCATCCTTAACTGGGTCCAATATCTTTCTACTGAGGAACGCAAAGGCATTGATCTGGTAGTTGGCCGCTTCAATCTCATGGTGAAATGGGTGGTGTCGGAGATTGTTCTGACACGTGACATTCATGAACGAGCCCGCACCATCATCAAGTACATCCACACCGCCGCTCATGCGCGTCGCCTCTGCAACTATGCTACAATGCTCCAGGTCGCCATTGCTTTGTCTTCGTCTGATTGTACTCGGCTGCAGAAAACCTGGCAGCTGATTCCCCAGGAAGACAAGCGGCTGTTCAAGGACATGGAGTGTTTGATACAGCCCGTGCGCAACTTCCATGATCTCCGTGTTGAAATGGAGACAGCTAATTTGCAAGAAGGCTGTATTCCCTTCATTGGTAAGCTTCCCTCTTCTCCCTCTTCCTAATATTATGTGAGGTTCTGATTGTCGAACACCATGCAGGTCTGTACGTGCACGACCTCACCTATAATGCGCAAAAGCCAGCCCAAATCCATAGCCACAGTGGCGGACTATTGGTCAACTTCGAGCGTTATCGCACAGCCGCTCGCATTGTCAAGAACCTGCTTCGTTTGATCGATGCTAGCGCGAAATACCGTTTCGTGCCTGTTCAAGGCATTATCGAGCGATGCTTGTGGATCGCATCTCTCTCCGAAGAGGATATCCAACTACGCAGCAAACGACTTGAATAAGCCGAGATATCATCTCTCATTGTTGAGAGTCACATCTTTCTGTATTTTCTTTCTTCCCCTTTTTTTCCCTTTTTTTCCTTTTTTTAATGATTGAATCCTTCATACCCCCTTTTGCTGCAGAGGCATTTTTGGACTCTGCCATATATCCTGTATCTATAGTTGCATTCGTCGATCTTTATTGCTTGCGCTTGGTCATCTTTTTCTGCGTTTGTAGCGAGCATTTGCATACGATTTGGGATTTTTGGAAATATCACGGTTGAATGGTAGCTATACTCTTGTTTTGCTTCCACCTTAGTACGCCAAGACATACCCAAATACCCCGGTTGCTTGCATTGCAACGTGTCGATCAAATTGAGCGAGTTTATTAATTCAAAATTTCCCAATACGAGCCCAGTAGATCATCCTGCAGCGATGTCCATTCTTTCTCCAATTCTGTAACGCTATCTAGTAGGTGTGGCATCTTCGAACCTCCGTTTCATATAAAGCGGGTTCCGGCGTGCGTCATAAAAAGCGGCATCACTGGTGGTGTTTGATCTACGGACCGGACCACCATTTTCAGTGCGGACCCATCACCCTCCGCCAGACACCCAATTCCGACCGAGGAGGGCTCCTCCATCTCGCTCTTTCTTGCCTCAGGGACTATCTTCGCCAACTTTTGATGTCCCGCCTCCAGTCCCCACGACTGTAGGCCCGCCACGATGGACATGACCGAGCCCCGGCGCGGGGCTTCAGAGGAGGTTGCTCGCGACCCTGCCCATAGCCCCGCGTCCCCAGGGATTCAGCAGGAGCTCCCCGATGACCTACCCAAGTCGCTGGACGATCGCCGGTCGGTGCCGGTCTTCCAGGAGACCGAAATGTACGATGCGTGGCAGGGTAAGCACCCGTGTTTCGGGGTCCCATGAGCCCCGTCTGGCCGCTGTCTCCGCCCTGTCTGAGGTTGTGGCATACCGGCCAGATTCTCGCGTGGACAAAGCTAAGGTGTGAAATGACTCCCTAGGACAATCCCAATTCCTTACAACGCCCGTCGCTGCGAAACCCTTGAGCTTCAGTCTCGCCCTCGATGACCACATACACGACTCAGAAACCGAACTACGAGCTCGCGACCTGGAGGATAGTGATGCCCGACTGATGGAAATGCTTGCAGCGCAGGCCGCTCATCGCGAAGTGGACTCGCTCGGCGCCGATGAAGAGAGCATAGCCGCGGATGAAAAACTGACCGATACGGAGAAACGGGATATTCTGCAGAAAAGTCTCAACATGGCGGCCAGCAACGGCGACGTCGAGCGCGTGCGAAAGCTTGTACAAGGGCCTGCAAAGAGCTATGTTGACGTGAATATGTTCGACGAGGAGGGCACAGTACCCTTGATCTACGCCAGCTGTTTCGTGGGTGACCCTTTCTGTTCCGCTGGCGCATTCCGGGGACCGGGATGCGCTTCTTTTCCCTCCCGCGCCCAGAGCTTTGATGGATAGGGTAAATGCTGACGAGTGCCTTTTTAGGGTCACCAAGATGTGGTTTCAGCGCTTCTCGACGCCGGTGCCTTTGTCGACCAGCAGGATCGCAACCAGTGGAGCGCGCTGATGTGGGCTATGACCAATCGACACAAGACGATCGCGAAGATACTCCTCGACCATGGAGCCTCGCCAGATATCAAGTCGTCATCCGGTGGCACAGCATTCGACTTCGCCCAACCGGGAAGTGAGATTTCGGAGTACCTGCACGAAAATGGTTATAGCTTTGGACCCGGTGCTGTTGAGGATGATTTCTATGATGCCGGTCTCGCACACGGTCGTTTCGAGGAGGAACTTGCGGAGAACGAGATGAAGCGCCGCATGATGATGGAGGAGAGCGCAATCAACTTGGAGGTGGATCTGTCAAGCCTGGGCCTGGACGAGAAATTCGAGGTGAGTACCGTCAGGATTCTAAAATTCTACAGAAGGCGACGCTGATGCAGAGACATTCTAGCCATCGGATGACGAGGATTTGGATGATGAACAACAAGAGTTTGTTTGGGACCGATGCCTGAACGATCAGATGTTTGTGTTTCAAGAGCACGAATTGGAGCGTATTTTGGACATGATAATCACCAACATGACGCCACAGCGGTCCCCGTCTCAAAAGCCCGTGCCGGCAAATCTGCTCTTCCTCAGTGCGCGTTATGCACACTATCATGCCAGCCCTGAGCTGCTGGCGACTCTTCTTACTTCTGCAACGGAAAAGATCAACGACGTGGTGGAACGTTATCAGTGGGATATGACCATGCAGGCGTTCTGGCTGTCTAACGCCACCCTACTGCTTCACTACCTCAAGAAAGATGCTGGGTTGGTGGAAGCCACCGTACAGTTCCAGCTCCACCTGGCCGAGCTCATCAATGAGATTTTCGTGCTCATCATCCGTGACGCCGAGCGGCGAATGAACAAAGTCCTGGATGCGGCAATGCTGGACCATGAAACCATCCCTGGAATGGAAGACATTGCTTTCCAAAACGAGTGGAAGCTTTTCCGGAAAAAGAAGTCTGAAGCGCCCGAGCCTGCAGAGAAGCGATTCAGGCCGCCCTCTCCTCGACGGCGTGCGCAGATCTCGCCTCGTAACATTACCTCCCTTCTCTCGTCAACCCTTTTCGTCCTTGACCTCTACGACGTCCACTCTGTGATTACCACCCAAATCCTCTCTCAACTTTTATACTGGCTTAGTGCGGAGATTTTCAACCGCATCTTGAGCACGAGACGATATCTGGCGCGGACAAAAGCAATGCAGATTCGCATGAATGTTTCTACATTGGAGGATTGGGCCCGCACCAATAACCGTCAGCCTGAACACTACGAGAACGGGTCCTTGACAAGCACGGGAGAAACCACGGTGGATGCTGCTCGTCGACACCTGGCCCCGGTCATTCAGCTCCTCCAGTGGTTGCAATGCTTTTCCTCGCTTGGCGAGGACCACGAGTCCTTTGTGACAACTCTGTTGCAGCTCCAGCAGCTCAATCCGATTCAGCTCTTGCATGCTGTCAAGTCCTACCGGCCCGAGGTTGGCGAAAAGGGTCTAACCAAGCAAGCCATGCGGTTCCTTTTGGACCTGCAGCGGGATCCTGAGCTCATGTACCGGGAGCAATTCAGGATCCAGGAAGAAAAGGCGAGAGCTGATGCGGGGACGGCTGCTAACAAAGCAAAGGAAGACCGTCCGAAGACACCCACGAAAGACAAAACTAAGACCGATGCTCCCTCACAACCCCCTGGAAGTCCAGATCCCGGCCTACCCTCTCCAGGCACTGTGGCTGCAACCTCACGGCCCACCAGCATGTCCGCACCATCTCGAAGCGATGACCGCCCGGGCCCGGACAGTGTTTTTCTCGATCCCACGTTCTTCCTTCCCTTCTCCCTGCCCACGAGCACTGACATGCTCATCAGTTACGGGGCCGGACTGGGTGGAACCAATCGCGAGCGCGCACGCAAGTACATCCCCACCGTTCCACCCGAAGTCCTCAGTCGGTTTGACCGCGGCGCCGCCGTATAAACCCAAAGCTGGAGACCCCCTTCCATACCTCTTTCCCATCCCGTCGGCCTCTATATGGCATCATCTTGTTCTAGCTACTCCCAGGCTCGGATTTTGGGGTTCGGATAGTGTGTTGCATGCGATTTCGGGCAGGCCTTGGAGGAAGGCATGAGCAACGCGATACCCTTTTATCCTTGCTTTTATCTAGTTTATTGCGTCTGATGGACGGGCATGAGGACATTGACCTGAACATATATATTCCCCAATGAAAACTTCGAGGGTACTAGAGCATAATTTCGTGTTATTTGGTGATAAACTCGCATCCAGGTCAACTTCACACATCACACATCAGCAGCAGGGAAAAGAGTTGGATCTCCGGCCTCCGACCTCCGACTCCCGGTCTTTTGCCCTGCAGACAAGACGGGCAGACGCCTCCATGACTGGGGGTTACAAATGTCGAGGCGCTGAACTCTCCCAATCCCGCGTCGGGCTGTCTCTAGCCATCGGTCATTGGATGTCTGGCTCGTAAAACCTACTGGACCGATTACGAACGCATCCCAGGGGTGACTGGCGCAGAGAGTTTCCACTTGGAGGATAGCCCGCCCGTGTCGAGTTCGTTTCAGCACGCTCCGGTTGTCTTTCTCCTCGATGATCGACGGTCGACCAGAGCTCTCGCTTCCCGGCCACCTCGTTGCACTGGTCACCGATGGCTGCATTCGCTGCACCGGAGCTCAAACGCACGCGCAAGCCCCTTCCGAGAGCCGATCTCATCTAGTACCCTCCGATTCCCGGGATTCGATTGGCACCATTGCCGAACCGCTCCCCCTAAAACATCCGGATCAGCGCCATGGCGTAGTGGACCTCAGCGCTTGCGTGGAACCTCTAACCCGCTGGTTCCCACAACACTGCTGAGCATCGCCATTGGTGCTCGCAACATCCCAGTGCCCGCAGGAGGCGGCTCCTAGTTGAGGCTAACAGACATCGGGACGCTGTTCTTGCACCGCTGGACCGTCTTCGCCCGCTTGCCCCCGGCTGTGTCATCGTCCTCGTAAGATGATCGATCCCGGCTATGGTGATGGGCTAATGTACGCCCAGGGACACGATTATTCCCTGTCCTAGCCTCATTTCCTCGTTTCCTCCCTCGTTGCTAACCCTGTTCGGTTTTGACCAGGAGCCCAGGACCCCCTCTTGGCGCTCCTAAGAGCGATGCGACGCATCCCATCGTTGCGGCCCGTGCTTTGATGATGAAGCTTGGGGTTTCAGATTGCCTCAGATCTCGTCTGCCCCGCCTTCTAGATGTTCCATGTTTGACCTATTCTTGAACTGTTCTCGGCTCTTTCAAACGTCAACGGGCCATCCTCACGTCGCCTTCTCTCGCCGCCCCCGCCTTCTGCCAAAAGAAAGCCTGGAAATAGCATCGCCCTCGTTCGATTACGCAGACCTGGCCTCGACGCTGACTCAGCACCACTGTGCACGCAACAGGGTAGGTGCTTTCCTATTTGGGCAATCAGACAGCTGCCTCATTGGGACAGCCGATATGGTCGGCTTGCACGGCATGGGGCTTCTGCGCTGCTGCTGTGCTGCTCAATTCCACAACCCCACGCCTTCTGGTGTCATGCTCATATCTGATTCCCGGGTACCCGGTCTTTCACCATGTTGCTGACTCTTAAACCTCCGACCGGTGACAGTGAATCCAATGAGTACACGCTCGTTGATCAACGGAGAGCGCCCTCGCGGGCTTCGCAGTGGTCTCAGTCCTCATCCTGGTCCGGTTCGACGTCTATGGAATCCTCTCCTAGAAGCCTCCCCTCGCCTACTCCACTATACCATTCAATGACAGGTCACCGCTTGGCCCCCAAGATGCCTGCTGCTCTACCTCCGGCGCCTGGCTCCTGGGAAAGTGCCGAGACGATGTACCATTGGTTACAGGCCAAGATCGAAGAGGACCGTCGCTGTCAAGAGGAGGAAAAGACCCGTCAAGAAACGCTGAAGCTGGAGCGGCGCAAAGCTGACCATGCGATCCTCGTGGATGCACTGCGTGCAGGTGTGCCGCCGCACCTGATCCCCTTGGTTGTATTGAACGGAGGTGGCAGCGCAAAAGCTACGCTCGATATACTCCAGCAGCACGTTACAGATCTAACTAGAGATCCCCCAGTGCCGCCGCCTCAACAGCCAGTCCATTCTCGCCCATCCCCACCGCCTCTTCCACCACTCAGTCATCAATTCTGTCAACCAGCGACAGAAGAGTCGCCACGGGATATGCGCACCGTTCCTTCCCATGCATATGCCTCGCCTGCGCATAATCAGTCCACGAGAGGCGGAAACAGTTCATCACAACTGCCAGCTGGTGGACGAGGTGGTAGTCATACCCCGTTTATCTCGACTGTAAGCACTTCAAATAAGGGGGCCGTTTTTCATCTGCCTCGGCCGATGGAATCGACTGCGCGAAGTCAATCCGCTACCGGAGTTCACGCTGTTCATTACATTGGTGCTCCACCACCGCCACAACACCCTTCTCCCCGCGGTCCACGGGAACCACAACCTGGCCGTCCTTCCCCATCGATATCCTTTCATCACTGGGTCCCTCCAGGCCAGTCGCAAACTCAGGTTCGGTCAAACACGACCCAAGAGGAGCGTGTACTGCCATCAAACGCACCGTTTCACATCCGCTCCGAGATGCAGGATTCTCCGGGCCGCAAACGAAAATCGCAATCTATCCATCGGCAGTTGCCTCCACCATCGTCCCGATTATCTGATGCGCCTGAGAGAAGCTCTCGGTACCGTCGACAAAGCCCGACTGATAGCCATGCCGGGCAGGCTGGCCTGCACGGGGATCATCGACAGCAAAGTCATGTATCCAGCTCCCATGAAATCTTGGCCACAGCGCGAGGTTATACCAATCAAGTTCGAGATGCAGTGCAGCCTCGGCCTGTCGAACCATCAGTAGCCACTGAACAGGGCCTTGAGAAAGACGAGGGACGATCGCCGGGTGGAGATATCAAACGCGAGGAGGACAACAGAGGGCCGGACCGAGAAAACGATAGTCGATCTTCCTCTCGAGGGCAAGCATCTCATGCGGAAAAAACTTCTGCTCCCCCACAAGGCACAGGCAGGAACACCAGGTCTGGTGGGATGGCTGGTCGGGGTGACAGGGAATGATTTTCGACTCTGTTCAAGCACCGATTGTTTCAGGCTTCTTGCTTTTTCCTGTTCCAGATACCCTATGGATTGTTAGAAAGTGCTTTCGCGTCGGGAATGCTCTGTTCTGGTGACGGCATTTAGATGCCTTCCGCGAGTGGGGGTGGGTCAATTTCTATTTCTATTGGTGCTGGACCTGTCTGGGGGTCCGCTGCGTCGTGTAAAGTACTCGATAAGAACTTCATTCTAGGCTGCCATGAGTATCCGAACACAGGAGCATCATAAGTTCTCATTGTGTATTCTTAAACTTCTTAGTATCCTTGGTCAGAATTGGCCATCTGGGTGGCCTGGGCGGAGGAAGGCTTGCTCTAGCTTCTGGCGCATCCTGTCATAGAATTTCCCCTGCTTCATCCTGTTTCCGGATTCCACCCTGCGCCTGCATGTGTGGTCATTGAAAAAGTTGCATTCTGTTTCCTAACAGTGATACGTGCGCTTCTAACCATATGACCTCACGAACTATTGAAAGTTGAAAGACCGGACCTCCGTCCATCTTGGCAACACAATTCCCCCACACTATCCATGCTTTACAACATGTACCTGAACAGAGGAGATCTGTCTCCCATAGAGTCTGGATCATCAGGATATTGCGAAGGGTCAAGCTGGTCGCGTTTCCGGTTGATGCGCTGGTATGAGAATCGCAGGAGAACGGTTGCGATCATACCCACGATCACGAAGCCAAGTTCCAGGGAGTGACCGAGAACATACTGTGGCGCATCCTTGGCGCGATAGAAGTTTGATGCCATTGCTGGTGAGAGGCAACAAGTTAGAGCTTCCACTACTGTGCTTCAAGGATAGTTTTGGTGTTCGCCTCACCTCCTGCAAGATTGCCCATTCCAATATAGATGGCCATTCCGGCTGCGCGCTTGTAGTCGCCGGCCAAATTGACGCTTATCCAAGTAACATTCCCTGGGAAAGCCGGGTAGATTCCTTTGCCCGGTCCATTAGTTTCACCACCCAGCGGTTGGGACGTTGACAGAGAACATACCAATGACCGCGATAAATACGCCAAAGTATACCACACCAGGAACGCCCCGCCCACTGGCCGCCAGGCAAATTATGAAGCCAATGGCGATCAAGGACATGAAGAACAGAATGAAGGGAGAGCGTTGCTTGCGGCGGTCGGAGAACCATGCTGCCACGACGGCGACTATCGCGGCGGTGATGTAGATTGGGACCTGCAGGAATTCTGTCAAAGCGAATTCGAATTCGCTCACGATGGGAGATGTAAACCAACCGTCAGAAGCTGTGCCGTCGAAGACTTATATCCCAGATCTTTGATGATGGATGGGAGGAAGAAAGAGATGCCATAGAGTGGGCAAGTGATGCCCCAGTACACTTTGTGCACCAAGTCAGTACAATTATCGCACCGCGATTATCCTGCGGTTCGACACTCACTGAACAGCCCCAGCCAAATCTGCCAGTCGGTGAAAGCGTCAATCACATATTTGATCTGAAATTTGGCCTCGTCCTGCACCATTTCGCGCGAGTCTGCTGAGTTTTGGATCCGGAGGCTGTGGATCACGAACCGACGCTCTTGCTCCGTGAGAAAGGTGGCTGTCTCGGGGGAGTCGTGAATCGCAAATGGAGCGATGAACGCCACGAGGACGGTGAGAATCCCCTCCAGGATAAAGATCCAGCGCCAGCCCGCGTAGCCACCGACTCCGTCCATTTTCTGTCCCACATCAGCGACCTGAACACTTTGTCGGACACTGACGGCTTACCGCAATGCCATAGGCTAGTAGTCCGGAGAATGCCCCAGCGATACTGGCGGCACTGAAGAACAGTGCTTGTCGGAATTGCGCGCGGTGGCGTGGATACCACAACGTAATGTAATAGGCCACTCCCGGGTATAAACCCGCCTCTTCACGTGGTGGTCAGCGTGGTCTCTATGGCCAAAAGGTAGCTGTCTTGTCATACCAGCAATTCCGAGGCAAAGACGAGTTGCGAGGAGCCCGCCATAGCTTTGAACAATACCCATCAGGGTCTATGGAATCAGCCAACTCGGTCCTGTCGAGATCCCTATCCAAGCGATTCTGGATGGGTTGCTCACCATTACAATTCCCCATGCAACCATAATCAATGGTAGCCATCTGGACGGCCGCAGTTTCTTGAGAAGAAGATTGCTGGGCAACTCGAAGACGCAGTAGGTAAAGAAGAACACGGTCACTATCCCCATCGACCGTATGTTAACCAACCCCAATCCTTCGTCCATCCGGTGCGTTATAAATGGTCACATACACGTCCAGTTGTACTGCGGCCCCGTCATGTGTAGATCATCCACCAAACCCTCGATTTTGGCGTTACCAATATTGCCTCGGTCCAAAAATGCCAGGAGGTAGAGCAGGCTCAGCATAGGAATCAAACGAATATCCATCTTGCGCAGGACAGCTGCCTCGTCCACCCCCGCGAAAAGGGGCGGGCTGGCTAGGGCCAATTCTGTGTCGGGGCGCTTCTCATCGTGGTGAGCATGCTCAAAATGATGTTCTGAGGGTTTCCCAACGGAGGTATCAGTGGAGTCAGGCATGGCGACCGGCGGCAATGGCGAAACTCGGATTCCTCATTGCGCGGAGCCCAACCGAGGGTATTTATATTTCGTGCAGTACTACCCCACGTCCCCCCGGAATTCTGGTGGGCACAAGCTGGGTCCGATCTCCATGCTAATCCTTGGCATGAGGGGGGAGGCCCGCCTCATACTTCAGCGAGGCGGGGGAGGTGTTTTCCGAGGCTTTCATTTGTCGGTCGGTCTAGATGGCCAGCAACAAAGTTCAGTCATAAAATATTTCGTGATATGTTGCGGTCCTATCTGCCTTCCTTTGGGACCTTTGTCGGCACAGCAAGCGGGTCTGAACAGTGGCGTCGAGACGTCCGAGCGAGGGTGACTGAACCGACGTAGGAAAAGGATCGACAAGTGCTTTCCACCGCTGTCAGTGACCTCCGCACTCCATTTTAGACGATCTCGTGCCTCGGTTCCGAACCGGTCGATCGGTTCTGATCCGAGCTATCGGCTCTCAACCGCTTGACGCCCACAAAGTATTACCACAGCTGTACTCAAGGGTTATATCATTGTGGACTGTGGCTCCGACTCTCGTCAGCCATCAAGTATCATCATGGTATCCTCAAGCCCATTGCCGTCTCCCTGACTGCAATTGGACCAACGCAGAGGTAGAAATTCCATCGGCTAACGGCAGCTCCCCCATCTCATTCCCATCGAATGTCTTCGAGAGAAACATTCAGATGCTTCTTTTCTACCCCCTTGGACCAAGCCAGAGACCAGCATATGTCCAATTGCGGTCATCGGCGTTGGGGTGATGGGCCGCCGTGTCGCGACGATGGCGGTGCCATCAGGGTACAACGTGTTACTGTGCAAGAAAACGAGGGAAAGAAGGAATTATCGGGATAAAAATAAACTAGCGTTGACTTTGTACAAGTGCTGTTCTGCTGGAACTATGAAATTCTAGTTAATCAATACGGCAATGACGATCCAATGAGAAAAGCTCCTGATGGAAAGGGGTTACGCGCTCTATATAAGATTGATTCACAAGGAAACCTCGGTACAAGTCACACTAGATGCTGAAACGCATGCAATGAACCAGACACGGCAGACTTGACTCAGCGGGTATGACGTTTACCGTTGGACCAATGACTCCTTCTTCTGAGCAGGAACAGCAGCATAAGCCAGATGCCAATGAGAAGGGAACCTGTACAAGGGTGGAGACAGACACATGGGATGAAAGCAGAAAACATCGTAAGGAAATATGAAAGGAGCGTATAAGGACAGGTATCGTTCAAGGAAACCAAAGTGGCCCAAAGGCAGTCAGCCATAAGAAAATAGTAGGTGTGGGGTAGAGAAGGGAATCCGGCAATGAACGGGACAGAGACAATATGGTGACAAAGGTATTAGGAACATGGGAGTCAACATGATAAGTCTCCCAGAATAATTCAATACCCCACAGTCGGAGGTAACCAAGACAGAAGAAGGGGTATAAGAAATTAGACATCAAGGGTGGTACTCGGGATGCACCCCGGATCATTAGGGTATAAAACGACCGTCAGGGCAATAATTAGTGAGAGAGAAAAAAGGGGGCCACGTCAATCTCAAACACAGTAGGCAGAGATACGACCGGGAGGGAAAGAAAGGGATCAAGTCGCCTTCTTGCGACGGTGAACCTTCCACTCCGTTTTGGCAACACGCATGAAGATTTCAATGTCCTTGATTGGGACCCAACTGGTGAGGACTTTCATGCCATTTTCAAAATCAGATTCGAGGATAATGTCGCGCATGCCATCAATGAGGGCAGCGGAGGTGGCGTGAAGCACATCCAGGCCTTGTCCAAAGGTGCCGGGGCGTGAGGCGGGCGTATCCTTTTTGCTTTTCCCGGACGAGGTGTTTGGCCGGCTTGGGGCAGGAAGGTCGTCCGCGTCACCAAGGAGCATAAAGACGTCCCATACCCGAAGCTGGGCGGGGAAAGGAATGGAGTAGTTGAAAAGAGTGAGGTACCAACGGGTTCCGTAGGCTGTAGGAGGGATTCCGACTTCGTGCTATAAGGTAATGTGAGTGCGCGGCTCTCCAGGGGAATAAGCTATATATTGGATTTGACTTACCAGTTTCGAGGCCACTTCACCACCAGCCAGCCATTCCCGCTCGAAGTCGTCTAGCGCCTCCATGAGCCCGGCGAAGCCAGACTTATACAGCTCTTCCAGGCCCCGTAACTGCCAGAGTCGGGCGAGCATGACGAACGCATGCTCCTCGTCGTAATATGCCAGTAACGTTGCTGCAAGAGCCGCCATGCCTTGCACATATCCAGTGTCAGGGAAATATAATGACATGGCGTGCAGGACACGGAACAGCAACCTCTGCCCACCGCGATACCGCCGACGGAACATGATGTGGCTGGTAATAGTGCGCGGCACGTCAATATCGATCTGGACATCATCCGGCGAGGAGAGATATTGGTATTCGTGGAAGGCATCAACAAGCTCGTCCTCGGAGGGACTGTTCGGATGTCGTTTGGCGCTTGCCTCGAGGAAGGAGTACCAGGCTGTTGAACGCCACCGGTCGGGGATGCCCTTCCACGTCCGCTCAATCAACTTGGAGCTATGCGTATCGAACTCGAACCTCATACCGCCACCATCTCGGCTCTTCTTCGTCGGCTTGGCCATCTTGGTCCACTTGTCTTCGCGCTCCCACTCTTTCCTCCGCATCGCACGCGCAGCAGGAGTGTCTGGTCCTTCCTCGGGGGCATCCACAGGGAGAGTGAGCATATCACCTGCCTCATCCGTGACCTTGCGGTCTCTGTTGTGTGGAAGGTGGTTGGTTGCCGAACGAAGACGAGATGTGGAGCGTCGTATCGGAGCACTAACGGTGCTTGCGGATGAGGAAGGACGGCCATTCGCGGAGTATTGAGAGAGGTGGCGGGGCGGGGATCGAGCACTGAAGGAGCGAGTGCTGGCCCGGGCAGTCGTTGGTCGAATAGAACGCTTCCTTCGGGGTGTCTCAGAGGCCAGGAGAAGGCTTGTGGTCACTCTTTGGATAGGGTGAGGAGCGGAATCGGTCGGGACATGAATGAACCCATAGCGGTCCACTTGTCCGGCCCCAATATTTTGCCAATACTCGATACCTCCCGCTAATTCCTGTGTTTCCCTCTTCATCCTGATACGCTCCACTTCTTCAGAGGCTCGGCCCTTCGCTTCTGCTCCGTTCACCTCGGCGGTAGGCGTCGGAGTGGTCTCCACACTGGGGGTAGCTGGTTCTTCCCAGAGAACACCATTGTCGGCTGCCATTGCTTTTGCAACCTCCGTATCAGTCACATTCTCGTCGCCTTTCTCGTACATGAGCCGAACGCGTCGGGACAGCATATCCTCGTCTGCCGAGATGGCTCTAATCTGGAGGCTTGTCTGTCTGGGGCGGAGGGTACTTTGTGGTCTGGGAGGTCGTGGCGTCACCTTGGGCACCCCATTTGCGCCGTTCTTTTTCCCATCATCAGTTCCATCATTGGTGCCGGTTGAGGTTGTAGGCGTAGGGTCTGGTGTCATGTCTGCAAGCCGCTGGATAGATGGCTTCTCTGATGGTGACGCTGAACACGGTTCAGACGGCTCATTCGGTTGCTGGTCCTTTGGTAACGCGGGATACGGACGCTTTGATCGATCTCTAATGAGGCTGCCACGGTTGGAGAACTTCATAGGCTGATCCAGTCCGCTCAACGACCCCGTCGGTATATCCAAGCTAATCCCACTGAACGCCGGCTCGATCTGAGGCACAGGCGGAAGCTCCTCCGTGCTCATCTTGCGCTCCAACTCTTCCGACCTCTTCCTCAAGCCACCCCACTTGCGCTCCGACCACCGAGAGCCTGGCCGAGAGCCTGGGCGTGAGCTCGGACGCGAGCTGTCATTGATGACAATGCTGGGAACACTGCGCAATGAGGGCGCCTCTGTCCGATCATCCTCCCATCTTGGTGTAGACGGTGTCAATCCTCCATTTTGACTTGGGTTGCGCACTGAGCGAGCAGTTGCGGGACGACTGCCGGACTCAGGAGACGCGGCGCTGGTGCTGAGGGACCGGCCATTGGGTTCCGGTGGTGCATCAGCCGTCGAGGGTAGAGAGATCGAGCGGATGGCAACGGGGCGCTGGGCTGCGACCGTGTTGTCAAAGGAAGCTTGTGTCGCCGGGCGCAACTCCAAACCCACGGGCGATAGCGATGCAGGAGCCTCTGCCATTATCCCGGCATGACTTGCGCACACGGGAGGGCGAGAGGGATGTAAGGAGCGTGAGCGAGAGTAGTTGTGCACCGGCAAATTCAAACGGCGAAAAGGAGGGACAGGCGATAGACAGGCATCACCGTTTCGTCAGGGTCTGGAAATGAATAAAATTGACTCCTGGCGATGGTCTGGAGATGTGGAGTCTTGGCGCGGGCCACTTTCATTCCGCGCAACAAAGGAAGAACGACGCAATGCCAGGAAATGCCACTGCGGAGGCAAAATGTGAGATGCTGGGAAGACGATGCAATTTCTCTAATTAAACTGTCTCAGACCGAGCTTTGATCTTGAGCAGTGGGGAGCAATCTAGAATTTCTAGGACCTCAAGGATTTCTAGGGGCATCACGGCCCCGTCCCACCAGGCTTTTTTGGGCCGCGCAGCAGTGGAGCGCGACGAGGCCAGACAAGGAGGCCAAGTGGAGCGCGCTAAGGTGCTTAGTTTAGAACACAACCATGGTGTCATGCAGGTGGAGGGGAGTCTGGATGTCTAATTATGGGATTGTGGGATCATGGAGGTGGAAATTGAAGAGGCTGAGCAGACCACGGTACGGAGTAAGGTGGATTCGACTGGAGATAGAGAAATCGACAGATCGAGATCCTCGTGGACATGACCACCACATCTTTGTGCTGCAGGATGAGCTCACGGCAGGTCGGGCAGACTATGGAAGCTGCAAAAAGAATGGAAGTATGGAAGTATGGAGTATGGAGTATAGAGTCTGGAGTGCATCTCCTGCAATGCAAGGAACCTGTTCAATTTTGGCGCAACCTAGTAGACCCCTCTTGGGCAAATGGACAAATGTACACAAAGAAACCGCCTAAAACTCCAGTAGCCGAGGCTGTAAATCCAGCAGGCCATCAGCTGCCAATGCAAAGGGGCAAAAGCGCATTAACAAACCCGGCTATACCCAAAAATTGATCAAAGCGTGAAACCAAAGGGAACCATAAAAAAAAGTAGACTGGGAAGGACAGAGAGTAGTCATTGCGATCCAACGGCCCAGCATTAGATCCATGTACTGTATGTAATTCAAGCCACTGCGGCGGTGTTGGCCCCGGGCTGGGATTCCCGAGAAGGCCGGCTCCGGTCGACGGGCTCCTTGGGAAGGAGTTCGATCTGGCGCACCAGGAAGCTCTTTTCGTCTGTGAACTGGTCGTCATCCGTCCGGTCTTCCAGGAATTTAGGCAAGAATCTCAGCAGCCGGTCCCGATTGTTAATGAGAATTCGCTGCACCGCCACCGATTTGTTCGGATTGGCCACAAATACCTGCTTCCGTCAGCGCGTTCTCCCCCTCGGATCGGCGAGCCCGACATACCTTGAAAACGTGGAACCCCTCGTACTGCACCATCTTGCGATCATCGCGCAACAGTTTCATACAGAGCTTGAGATTCTCCCCGCTCTCCACATAGGCCATCATCACATTATAGTTGGCGCGGTCCAACAGGATTTCGCCCAGCAGCTTGATGCTTTGTCGCTTGGTCACATAGGAGTCGGACTGGATAAGGAGGTTATTAAATCGCCCAAAGAACAATTCGAAGTTGGTGGCTAGATATGCTGTCACAAGGCTCTTATGGCGGGTCAAAATTTCCTGCAGACGAGTCCGTCAGTTCCACTCCCCGCAAATGTTTACTTGCCGATGGATTCATACCCTAAACGTGGTGAATGCATCGGCGCTGACTTCGAAATTGCTTTTGTCAATCCATTCAAAGAAATTCCAGAACACTCCGTCCCCTTTCTGGGGCAGGTTGGGCTTCAGGTCCGAGAGCCGGACCGCGGGCTCTCCCTCGTGTGATTGATCATATAATACCACCGCGGTGACCACGTCGAATTTGAGGGCCTCCCTAAGAATGACACCACATGGCATTGCACTCTGACTTTCTGTATAGCCGCGACATAGTTCAACAAGGATCTCTGGCCGATGGTGGACAATGTACGAGATGACTGGGGGATCTTTGTCGGTCGAATACGAGGCGGGGCGGAAGCGTAGGATGTGGGAGAAGATGGTCTGCGTATCTTTTCGGGCTTCGAACGGGAGCAGGTGGATATTTCGCGATAAATCATAAAGCAGATCTTCCTGGAGGGTCGCCTGGACCAACGCGTGAACCTGGTCGGGCGATGTGTTGACCTCTACCGGAGTAAAGCAGCGTCAGTCATGCAATCCGATCCAGTCCAGAATGACGGGAATGGTGGTAGATTGATTCAAGATCAATTAAGCAGCAAGCGGAAAACAGACCTTGGGTTCCTTGCACAATCACTTTCATCTGGCTGAGCTGCTTTGCCAGCTCCTCGTCGGCCTGCTGGGGTTAGCGGTGTCCAGCTTGGGCTTGGAGTCTCCGGACCTTGGGGTTGCTGGGGCCCTCCTGGAGCCTGAGCAACAATTCCTTTGTGGAGCGGGCCACGTCCGCTGGTTGCCGCGACCGGCCACGATTGAAGAAGAACGCCATAGTCCCCGGGCTGAGAGGGTTGGGAAAACGAGGGATCTGATGCGCTTGGGAAGTCAGGGTTGGTACGGCTTTGGTACGGGCAGTAAAGTAATAAACAAACGGGGCGGGGCAACCGTCGGCCTGAGGCCCCAACCGCTGATAACGGGGATTTTTTTTATCAGTCAAAATTCTGCCCCTCCATCCTCCCCCACAAGCAATTGACCAGCCTTTCGTTCTTGCTTGTATTTTGTTCATTATGGCATCTTCTAGCGGTGCTGCCGAGCCTCCTGTCAACGAGGTTCCTGCTGATGCCTGCTCGGTATCGGACGAATCGGACTCCAGCAACGAGGAGGGCTGGGAAGATGTCGAGCCTGAGGATGAGTCGCAGCCTGTCATAGGACTGTTTTCGGACACTGTTTTCCCTGACGTGCGTTCGATGTTGAAGGAAAGCAAGGAGAAGAACAACTTTGATCTGCTGAAGATCCAGAAAGACCTTGGTACGTCATTCCGTTCATGATTTGGCCAAGTTTTGCTTCGTAGTCTCCCCCAGCTGCAATAGACGGGGTAAATCAATCGCCCAAAGTCAGTGAATCATAGCTTACATTTCTTGTCTCATCCCAGATCTGGATTTCCTGGACACCATTAAATTGGTCAACTATGTGCGGTCCGAGGTGCAGGCAGGGAACAAGACTCCCGATGTTTCCTCCAAAGAGAAATTCGCCGATGATGCCTACCTGAAGCCTGTTCTGGAGGATGACGCTGTTCTGTACAGCTTGGATGACATTGCTGAGGACCAGGGCGAGGATGCAGCCCCCGGTAGCGAGGCAGAGCGCAAGGTTCTTGAGCTCCAGGAGGATCTGGAGCGCCTGCAGACTCAGTTCTCCGAGTACAGACTCGCCGTGCAAAAGTCGATGGAAGACCAGTTGACCAAGGAAGATGAGAAGCTTGAGCCCGGTCAAAATGCGAAGAGGCCGGTCAAGGATCGCCTTGAGGATGCCGACGCCGACTACTTCAGTTCTTATTCTTACAACAGTATGTTCGCGAGACTTGTGCTGGCCCATTTCTCCGATTCTCTGTCTAACATGTTTCTTTACTAAGCCATCCACGAGTCTATGCTGAAAGACGCCATCCGTACCGATGCTTACCGTGATTTCGTCTACGAAAACAAGCATCTTTTCAAGGATAAGGTTGTCTTGGATGTGGGTTGTGGAACCGGCATTCTGTCCATGTTCTGTGCCAAGGCGGGTGCGAAGAAGGTCATCTCGGTCGACAATTCTAACATTATCGACCGGGCTCGGGAAATTGTGTATGACAATGGCCTGGGTGATGTGATCACGTATGTATTTCCCCCGATAAAATTGTTAGTATGTTCGGCCGCTAAGAAGCCCCGCAGATGCATTCGTGGCAAGATCGAAGAGGTCACTCTGCCCGTTGATCAGGTCGATATCATCATCTCCGAATGGATGGGCTATGCATTGCTCTTCGAGGCCATGTTTGACTCTGTCATCTACGCTCGGGATCGCTACCTCGCCCCCGGTGGTCTAATGGTCCCATCTCACGCTACCCTCCGCATTGCTCCCTTCGCCGATCCGGATTTCATTGCGTCCCATGTTTCCTTCTGGAACAATGTGTACGGCTTCAAGATGACTAGCATGCAGCTGAACATTCACGACGAAGCTCTTGTTCGTCATGTCCCTACTACCTCCATCCCTGCGGAGTCGGCTGTCTTCCTGCCATTGCCGCTGCACACCATCACTGTCGATGAGTTGACCTTCTTGAAAGACTTCAAGGTAACCCTTGATAAGGATATTGACGCCCTCGATGGCTGGGCTATCTGGTTTGACATGTTCTTTATGCCCTCATCTGAATCTACTGTCCCGGAAAACGCTGTCCCTTCTGATATGCAGAAGAAAGGCTTCGTTGGTTTCACCACTGGCCCCTATGGAACTGAGACCCACTGGCAGCAGACTATCTGTCTGATCGATCACGGCAAGCAGGAGCCCCGGCCTTTCAAGAAGGGCCAGGTTCTTACTGGTAAGATTGGCTACCAGAAGAAGGAACAAGGGTCACGACTGCTGGACATTGATGTCCAGTGGCAAGCAGATGATGCCACCAAGGGTAGCCAGCACTGGTCCCTTCAATAAGAACCATGCGATCCAAAAGTTGATTTGTGTTTTATGAGCTTGATATATAGACTTCTTTCCGGGAGCGTTTCCCCTGGATAAAGTGCGCAATACCCAGCAAAGGATGGCATTCTACCCATAACCTGGATATGGCTTTCAAATTGATCTTCTGCAAGAGTACATACATCGCGCTTTAAGAATTATGACAGTACATTCTCCGTGACTAATATTTTACGCATCCTTTGTAGGGAACACCCCGCCAGAAAAGGGAAAATAAAGTCTAGAGGGCGGTAAGCTTTGACTAAGGTCGGTGCTATCGGCAGCCGTACCCGTGGGGCCGTCTATCGATAAGCCAGCTCCGACCGGCCTGCTTCTTCATTCAACTCGCTATTCACGATGCCGCTGTAAGTTTACCTCCTGTTACAACATATAGCTATTATTGACATCTGAGCAGTCATCTTCTTGGCAAGAAGTCATGGAACGTCTACAACCCCGACAACATCGAGCGCGTCAAGCGCGACGAAGCCCAGGCCAAGGCCCGTGAGGAGGAGGATGAACGTCGTATGCAGGAGGTCGATGCCGAGCGTCGGATTCAGATATTGCGAGGAGAGCGCCCATCTACACCACCTCCACCACCGCCTTCGCATCGTTCATCAGAAGTTCATAGTGGACCAAATAGGGCACATCCCGATGATGCAGGGCGGTACAGGAAAAGGCGGCGCCTTGCAGGGGAGGATGACACAGACAGGGATATCAGATTAGCCAGAGAGGATGCGGTGCATGCTGGTACCAAGCGAGATGAACTCGCTCTTACTTCCAGCCGAAACGGCAAAGGTTCACAGGCACCGATAATGGATCATGCGGGCCACATCAACCTCTTCCCTGATGAGGGTGGCAACAAGAAGGCAGAGAAGAATACCGAAGCCGAAGCCGAAGCCGCGAAGAAGAAACAGAGCTATGAAGACCAATACACGATGCGATTTTCCAATGCCGCAGGCTTCAAGGAGAACGTCGGTCGCCAGCCATGGTATTCATCTTCCAGTCAGAATGTGGCTGCTCCAGATTCAATGCCAGACAAAGACGTCTGGGGAAACGAAGACCCAAGGCGCAAAGAACGGGAGAAAGTGCGCATGTGTTCCAATGATCCCCTTGCAGCTATGAAACGTGGTGTTCGGCAGTTGAAAGCTACGGAAGAAGAGCGGAAACGGTGGAATGAGGAGAAACGGAAAGAATTTGAGGCACTGAAAGCCGAAGAACGCCATCGCTCAAGACATCATGGGAGAAGACGATCGGTAGACAGTCTGGAAGGCTTCAGTCTTGATGCACCCGCCACCAGAGACCGCGATGAGAAGGAGCATGGAAGTTCCCGGCGGCAGCACCGACACCACCATCGGGATCGAAGTCGGGATCGCTCACATCGCCGATCGCATCGCTCTTCGGGCCAGTCTAGCCGCCAGCATGATAGGACGACCCATGGAGATGAACGGCGTCCCCGGCAGTCAGGGAAGAGCTCGGCTTCCTAGAAGCGTTGATTGATTCGGGATATTCATTGAACGACTAGCCATATAATGATACCACTTTGCTTTTCAGGTTGAGCTAATTAAAATACGCTGATTCCCCCAATATCAACACCGAGAAGACTTGTAGCCAAATTTCTTATTAGGCTAAGCCTTAAACTGTTCGTTGCTTTTTGAAAACAAGTAGAACAATTTACAATATCTTTGTTTTCTGCCAGATCAAGCTCCAATTCGGAGTTGCCCTCTGGGCTTATCGATAACACTCCACCGCCCACGCTGTTCTCGGAGTGACGGAGCTCACCAGGCCACCCTCTACCTCTTACACCTATTCTTCGGGTTCTCAACTCTCACGCAATTCGAAATGTTCAATCGAAACAACCTTCCTTCTGTCCCAAATCCCTTTGGGGGCAGATCAGATGGCGGAACTCCTTCGCCACACGGACACTCGAATCCCAACCAAGCACCGCCACGGTATGATTACGGCCGCGGCCTTCCCCCCAGAGACAGCGCAGGGCATGCCCGCGACTACGATGTGCCCATGACTGATGCGTATAATGATCCAAGGGGATATGGAGCTCCGCAGCCATCGATGGGGAGACCGCCGCAGCAGATGCCCGCACGCCCGCACGCCGGAGGACGCCCAGGTGGCGGCGCAGCTGGAGGACCGACATGGACGCTCCATCCTAGCAAGAGTCCGAACGACAACTTCACATTTGGCAACCTGTATGTGTTGTTTTTGTATCTATTCCTACCTCTGTACTGACCTTGTGCAGTGTCGCCGTATCACCACAGGATATCCCACCTTCTCGAGACGGAGCCGATGTTCTCCTCCTGATAAATGACCTCTACGTCTTCTCCAGCCGCCCGCTTGAGGGTTTTCCCCCTGGATATATCAGCATGTCGGATCCTCAGCGCACATGGGCGAGCGTTGGAATGCGAGACGCCGTCAAAGTACAGCTATATGACCCATTCAGCCAAGGAGGCCAAGCTTATTTGGGATCCGCGGACATTGAAGTCAGCTTTGCATCCACAAAGAAACGAACGGAAGCGCCGTATGATCAGGAAGATTTGACAAATGCCGTGATTAGAGTAAGTTGACTCAATGAGAACATGGGTGACTATGTTGCTAAGACGCTCAGAACTTCGAAAATCAATTATTTGCCCCAGGCCAACGAATTCTGATGGACCACAGGAGCATTCCGCTTTTATTGCAGGTCAAGACTGTTCAGCGCGTTGACCTGACAGCTGAGAAGGCAGATCTCAGCTCCGGGGATATTGAGACCCACCCCACGGCTCGAGGAATCATCACCCGGCATACCCAGCTTAACTTCTTCAAGGATTCTCAAAGTGGAATCAATGTGAAGCCATCAAACCGTCGTCCCGCTGCGAACTCGATCATTCAGCCGGGCTTCAAGTTTGAGGACATGGGTATTGGTGGCCTGGACTCTGAATTTAGCACCATCTTCCGTCGTGCTTTTGCTTCCCGTATCTTCCCTCCCGGTCTGGTAGAGAAGTTGGGTATCCAGCACGTTAAGGGTCTTTTGCTCTTTGGACCTCCCGGTACTGGTAAAACCTTGATTGCCCGCCAGATCGGAAAGATGCTCAACGCTAGGGAACCGAAGATTATCAATGGCCCGGAAGTCTTGAATAAGTACGTCGGTCAGTCAGAAGAAAACATTCGAAAGATGTTCGCCGATGCCGAGAAAGAGTACAAGGAGAAGGGTGACGACAGTGGTCTACACATTATCATCTTTGACGAACTGGATGCTGTTTGCAAGCAGCGTGGCAGTGGGGCAGGTGGTGGTACTGGCGTTGGCGACAGTGTTGTCAACCAGCTTCTATCGAAGCTGGATGGTGTTGATCAGCTCAACAACATCCTGTTGATTGGTATGACGAACCGTATGGATATGATTGATGAGGCATTGCTGCGTCCTGGCCGTCTCGAGGTGCACATGGAAATCTCGCTCCCTGATGAGAAGGGTCGAAGCCAGATTCTCAGGATCCACACAGAGAAGATGCGGACGAACGACGTGATGGACACGGACGTCAACTTGGACGAGCTGGCCCACATGACCAAGAACTTCTCCGGTGCCGAAATCGCCGGTTTGGTCAAGTCAGCTTCCTCGTTTGCTTTTTCGCGTCATGTCAAAGTTGGCACAATGGCCAGCATCAACGATGATGTGGTGAACATGAAGGTCAACCGAGCTGACTTCCACCACGCTCTTGACGAAGTGAAGCCCGCCTTCGGTGTTTCAGAGGAGGAGCTTTCCAGCCGTATTCAGTATGGTGTAATCCATTACTCCGAGACTATCAACGATATCTTGCGAGAGGGCGAACTCTTTGTGAAGCAGGTCGGCCAGGCAGAGGCCACCCCACTCTTCTCTGTCTTGCTTCACGGTCCCCCTGGAAGCGGCAAGACGGCTCTAGCAGCACGCATGGCCATCGACTCCGGCTTCCCATTCATCAAGTTGATCAGCCCTGAGGATATGGTTGGTTTCAACGAGGCTGCTAAGGTTTCGCACATTAGCCGTATCTTCGACAGTGCTTATAAGAGTCGGACCAGTATTGTCGTTGTTGATAACATTGAGCGTATCATCGACTGGGTTCCTATTGGCCCCCGCTTTAGCAACAGCGTGTTGCAAGCCCTCATGGTCTTCCTCCGGAAGCCCCCTACCCAGGGCCGTCGTCTACTGATCTTGGCCACAACAACCGAGCGTGCTTTGATGAAGCAGTTGGATATCTACAACTCGTTCAACTCCGATATCATGGTTCCCAACGTCCGATCATTTGGCGAGCTGCGGTTTGTCATGGAAAAGTCTGGCGCATTTGATGCACAAGAGATTGCGCGGGCCCTCGAGGGAGTTGGCGGTTTGGCGGATGATGGCCGGCTCAGCGTGGGTATCAAGAAGGTTCTCCTTGGTATCGAGACTGCCAAGCAAGACGTGGACAAGGTGGGTCGTTTTGTCCGCGTCATTAACCGGGCCATTGAGGAGGAGCAAACTTTTGCTTAAAAGGGTACATAGACAGAAGTTACATGTATCAAAGTCCTGTAATAATGAACACAGAGCACCAAATACAGTAGCATCAAATACTGTATTTGGGTTAATTCCTTACGTTCCTTCCACAGCACGCGTGTTCCCTCTAGATTTCCCCCTAGAGAAGCTACCATTCCTTCCACTCAATTCGAGCGGCTATGCTAGATAGGGTTTTAATCTGCGAATGTGAAAGATGATGAGGGCGAGGGCAAGTAATCGAGGCAGACCATTGCAATTGTGGAACAAGATGCTTGCTTTTGCCTTTCTCGGCGTGGGGTGCTTTAGTGATGGTGGTTGCGAGGAAGATGCATTCTTGTAGACGATAGATATAAATCACCGTTCAGAATATTCTTTATAGGCTAGTTTCATTGCTCGATTTCAGCACTCTTCCTAAAATATATCCATGCATTTGCTACTGACAGCTCCTACTCTAGGCATGCCCTGAAGACCATGTGTATTATATTCCATACTAAACTCTCACATCTGCGTTATGAGGCAAAAGCTTGGAAGCCATAAGTCCATCCCTTTCTTACTTAACATATCCTTAATCCTTTTTCCATGTATAACTGCTTCAAGGTGAGCCTAGCAATCATGGCTGATTGCTAGTGCAAGTACCTGAACACTACCCATATCCACCACTAAAGAAACTGGCCAATGGTCACCTGAGGACCAGCTTTGCCTATTTTTAGACTTACTTACCCTCACTGGTGGGCTAAACTTCCAAAACAGCCTATGACCAGCCTTCGTTCATGGGAATAACCCTATCTAGGGCTTGCTACGTACGATACAGAGCCCAATACGCTAGACTCATGCTACGACGTCCACTGAGTGGCTACAAGACCCCATTTTTACAGTGACAGGAGTAAAACACGTACGATTCAAGGCATCCGCCCAGGTATAAGCCCGCAACGCGCACAATATCCACACGTCACAGGGGGAAAGATATACACACAAAACACAGTCGAAACACGCCAACCCAGCCCAGAAAAGCAAATTAGCCCGTCCCAGTAGTCCCAAGCATCCCGAATTTGTCCGGAGTTCGTCATCACAGTCGTTAAAATAAGCAAACAGATAAGCATCACAGCATAAAGCAACGCTCGTGCAGGGTCTCGCCCCACTGCCTGAATCAGTACTGGTCGAGGGTGTACTTCTTCGCTGCCCGACGGTACTCGTCCGGGTGGGCCTTCTCGGCCTTGCTTTTCAGCGTGCTATTGGTACGAGCTTCGTTAGCCTTCCCTGAAGCACATGCGGCGCTAATTTGGTGCGTCGATCCCCCCAGACGCACGTGCCAAGCGCTGCCCCGGCGGAGCGGAGGTAGCAGGCCCCCCCCCCCCTTGCGCGGAGCGGGGCGGAACTTGGAACGTTCATTCTAGGGGGTGAGGAATGTCTCGGAGGATTATCTGCGTTCTTACCTGACACGCTTTTGAGTCCATTCCAAATCCCGCTTGGTTTCTCGCGCAGTCTTCACTCCTTCGGCGAAGTTTGCGCGGACGCCCTTCAGGCGGCGCTGAGCCAGGGCTTGCAGTTCTAGCAGCTCTCGCTGCTTTGCGTTGAGATGACCGGAACTGAAGAGCACGCAAGTTATCAGCTTATTGATTCTCAACTCTTGAATTGCCACAGAAATGCAGCAAAGCGCAACGCTTTCTCGGTCCAAGAACGGCGAGTCGCCGTTTGGCAAGCGTGGTGTTTGAATGGCAGGGAACTAGGAAACTCACGATTGCGCCTGCTTCGCCACGCCCCTGTCCAATGGGGTCGGATCAAACGCATGCTGGATGCGGTCGCTCAAGACATCCACGACATCGACGCCGGCATAGGATGTCGAGCTTGTGTCGTAGTCTGCGCCGCCGACGGAGCTGAATGTGAGTCCGCCAGAGGAGCGGCTGCCGGCAGTGGTGCTGGCATCAGAATAGTCCGGTGGTGAGCCAGGAACCCGAGAGATGGGGTACATGCTGGCCGGCGCCGGGGCCTTGGATGGCATGTTCATCGGATGAGCGGTGGGCTGGTAGTAGTGACGTTGGGTGGCCATTGTGGTAAATTGTTGATGAACTGTGGGGTGAATGGGTATATCGAACGACAAGTAGGTCTCGGCAAGACCTGACAAGAAGGGGCAGAAGGGTGAGCAGGCCCTAGGTCAAGGTAAAGGTAGCAATATAAGAAGGTAAAGGCCAAGGGTGTTGGGTCTTGGACTGGGATGCAAACGAAGCTGGGATCAAGGATGACTAGGGAAGAAGGAGGAGTCCCAGGTCCGCCGGACCAAACGGCGGAATTTATAGACGTCCACGGAGGGTTTTCCATCCGGCGGGGACACGGTGGCACTTGATCCATGATGAGGAGGCGCGGGAAGGAGGGCGAGGGTGGACGGGTCCGACGAGGGCCATTGGACCATCGGAGGGCCTAGGACTCGCACCCCTCCCTCTGTAACTTCCAATTGCCCCCCAATCCCCGAGATTCGGCTGCATCTCCTCCATTTGTGCCCGCTGATTCGTCTCGGGAGTCACTGTGACCCCGCTCCCGGTGGGAAGGGTGGAAAAACGAGCTGTGTCTGGCCCCGTCCACAAGCATTTCCGCCCTCCGGTGGCTTTTCCTCCCTGGGATCTTCGGTCTTGGTCTACGCAGCCCCTCCTCCTTCCTGATTGTGTGCTGGGTCCGAGCGGCGCCCGGTAATGTCCGGATTGCTGAAATCGAGGGGGGGAGGGTGGGTAAACAAGGCAATGGGAGTGGTGGAGTTGGCCATGGAAAGAAGGTATATAAAAGTGACGCCCCGCCCCTTCCCCTGACTTCTCAATTGTGCCTTTGCACCTCGCTTTTTTCAACTTGTCTCCCATCCTTCCTTATCGCCCCCCACTCCCTCGGTTCGATTGCACATTTTTAAAATTCGGTGGCTGGGAGGCATATGTTGGGCTCGAAGATCGAGGTTAATTCGCTCGTTGGACGTGCCGAGACGAGCTGCGAACTACAGAGGAAACGGGACCACAGACAAGTTAGGTGCTTTAACCACACACTCGGCCCCATGATTGCTATTGAAAGATTAACGATGTCATAGATCTTCATACGTGCCGTGCCTTTCCACAGCCCCTCAACAGGACCGCTGAAAATGACCGTTAGGTGTTGATGCGTTCTGCACAGTGGGTCACATCAGCCCGCAGAAACGGCATTTCGTCCGAGTTACTTTCCTTTGCCAGTGAAAAGAAAAAGCAAAGAGCCATGCTCTGACGGCCTGACATCATCTGCAATCCAATCATCAGAAACTCAAAAAAGGAAAGGACGGCAAGGCAGCAAAATGGGAACCTGGTCACACGGCCTGAAGATCCCAATGTTGGACATCATTGCATGGTCCGACGAACCGTGGAGAAGCCGGCAACGCTTCCAACCCACTCGGGACTGCCAGCCGAATCTCGGCGGCTGGCCATGTCCTTCTGGGGCGCCAATGTTCCCAGCCAAAACCACCCTGGCGTACCGAAAGGGGAAAAGGTATTCGTGAAGTGTGCCAAATTCGGTCCACCAAACGAGGTACTCAAAATGGAAGAAGGAAAAACGAGCTGCCATGCGGATCCCTGTGGCCTCTGCCCGTCTCGATGCGGCTATTGCTGCTCCCCGAAGAGCAGCACCCCCTCGAATCAGCCCACAAGTGGCTAGAAAAGCAGGGAAGAAGAGCAATACAGCACCGACAAGCGCTCTAGACGCCCGTCACAGCATGGCAGAGAGAGGGATCCCCCATTCTCCATGCAGATGGGCAATGACTTGCTTCTCTACGTGGATCGGGTCTTCGACAATCAACCCCACTGCAGGCTCCGTCGGTAAACGCAACGGACCCAGAAAATGGCAGAGCGGCCACCTCATCATTGGTCCCAGATTGCCTGCTGACAGGAAGAATGCGCAGGCTTCGAGAATGCGAAAAATACGCAAATGAGCCCTGCGGCAAGGCACCCTTGGCAACCGCTTACTGCCCTACGCTGGGCTGCGCTGGGCAAGTAGTACCCTACCGCTACCCTACGTTGGTACCTTGCTACTCGGCCACTCTGTACCATCTGGACACTGGGATGGAGGTAGTATGCTGCCTCACTGCACCGCACCCTAGCCGTGGACGTTCCGCATGCCTTGCAGCCTGACGAAGGGCGATATGCCCCGTTGACTCGCAGACGGCCGCCGAATTACACCGTGCCACCACCCTCCTCCATGGACTATTATATTTTTTGCCATCCCCGAAAAGTCGGCAGGGGTGCGACGCCGAATGCTCTCCGCCCAATCTCGTTTTCTGGCCCCCTCGTTACTCCCAAACCCAAAGCAATCGGGCAGCACAGCAATGACGCGCAGAACACGCCAACAACAGACCTGCCAATGGGGAAACCTCTACCCGTTCGGCCCTGCGCAGCGTCATGGGCCGCCCGGAACGGTGTTTGTCCATTTGCCGGTCACTGATCCGCCCCCTCCTCGAGCCCTTGAGACCAGATGGAGAACCAGGGTTTGGGAGCTCTGTCTTTCCGCTCGCCCCCATGCCTCCAGCACCGGGGACATTGAAACGAACCTACTGTTCGTCCCCAGTATACATGCACTGCACGCTGTCAACAACGGGCCAACGGAGGTACAGTTGCATGCGTTACACGAGCCCACCGTCTTGGTCCGAGGCGATCCAGAGCAACAGACTAACCCCTTGGGATTGGGTCGTTCCACCACCCGTCGCCCGATAGTGACCCACGATGTGGCCATATTATGGTATGATGGCCAGGCAGGCGGAACCCACGAACCACTTCTTTTTGCCTCGAGTCGATCACCTCAGCAATGCCTCGGATTACCGCTGATTTCCCTAGGAAGAATCATCTTGGAACCCCCCGGGCGAGTCACCGAATAATTCGCCAGCGTCAAGTGGGGTTGAGGCGGGGATTTTTTTCCCTCTGCTCCTTCACCGCCACATGCAGCACGATGACTGGACAGTTGGGCTCGCCAACTCATCTCCCTTTCCTCTTTGGGGGTGGTTCGCTTTTGGCGCGAGGTGGACAAATCTAAGGCCAGTCGGACGTTTGGTACGTACAGAGATCGGCTGGAGGCCGCAGATGTGCGACAGGTCCATGAGGAAACTATCGGATACTCACGGCCTCTAGGATAATACCAGTGCAAATAACTCTAGCGAAACACTAACATTCCCATTTATTAATTACATTCTGGGTATTTCGGTCTTTGGGTCTTCTACAGTTTTCTCCCTGCTCTTATCTTTCCTTCTGGCGATCGGCTCCGAAACTTTGCCGTCCCGATTGGCTTGCCTCGGGATTCAGATGGTTCACGCCTTGCATCCTGTCGTCCTCCTTGATACCCTTTTCATAATGGAAGTCTATCAGAAAGTTAATGGAAAGTTTCATTCTTTTTGAAGCTTTTGTCTCCGTCAGAGTGAGGAGTCTAATCCCTTCCACCCCCTTGATGCGGCTCTTGATGGCGGGAATTGTGACATTCATGACTGAAATCGTGCCTTTTGTTTGCTCTACAAATTCTCCCATCATGACAGCTTACTTTGCTCGCTATGAAGTCATAGAATACAGTCATGTGCGTCTTATAAAGTCCTCTTGAAGCCCATGCAGCGATGCGAGAGAGACTAAAAAGTAGAAATTGGATTATTGAAAAATACACACCCAGGAGTTACATAAGTGTCGTTAATGCGCTCGTCATTTGGTATCACAAGGGAAGAAAAAAACACGAGGCTCAGAAAAGAAAATTGGGAAGAGGAAGGGAAAGGGGGAGAAAGCACACACGCCCGCATCAGGCACTGGCGCCATGCGTTCGGGGTCGAAAAGGCTAGAAAGCAAAACCACCAGAAGGGCACGGTGGTGAAAGGCGATAATACAAGAAAGAAGAGCCCTTCGACTCGGTAGAAAGATGCTGTAAATATGGCACCGGTGGCTCAATGCCCAATGCAGATGCAAATAACGCGTGAAATGTTCAAGGTCCGTCAGATGGGGCAATGCGATGAAAAGCGAGATCGTAGGCGAGGATAGGCAGCGTTCACACGCCGGTATTGTGTATGCCCTTCGCCTTCTAAAACCCAGGTTCCACCTGTACCGTCCCGAAGCCCCCCAGAATTGCACCGTAACCTGATTGTAAAACAACAAGAACCAAAAGCCCGCTCAATCGTGTGCTAGATAGCTAAAATAAACAAGGATGCGGAGAGGAATATGGTGTGAGAGAAAAAGTGCCACCAAACCACGAAGAAGCGATGGTGAGATGGCCATATCAGGTGTGAGGAAGGTGGTGCATAGGGTGAGTTGAGAATCGCTAGCGACGAGCAGAGGAGGCATTTTCACCTCCTGTCCCATTGAGGCGTTCCCGGAGGAGTAGTAACGGTCGGCTGGGATCTAGTAGCCCCATCATCATTTTGCCCAGTTCGTTGTGCTTGATAGGTTTCGTAACATAGTCGTTGAAACCAGCACGAGCAGCATTCTCGATTTGATCGGTCATCGCGTTGGCTGACAGAGCCATGATCGGAATTTGAGGATAGTGGTTCTTCTGCTCCCATGCGCGAATATCTCGGCACGTATCGTAACCGTTCTTGATAGGCATTTGGATATCGCACTGTGGATTGGAAGAGTTAATGGGACGGGTCTGACAGGCAAACTTAGGCTGTGACTTACAATGATGAGGGAGTAGTAGCCCGGTTCTTTGGAAAGGACCATGTCAGTACACTCTTGCCCATTGGAGGCAGTCTCAGACATGAGATTGATCTTGGCCAGGTATTTCAGCATGACCTAGAGATTTATTAGCATCTAGTATTCTTAGACAAAGATGACAAGAGGAGCTTACATCGCGATTAGTTTCGTCATCCTCAACAAGCAAGATCCGGTAGCCCTTATTTCCAAGGACCTCCTTGACCATTTTGGACACAGTCTTGAAGTTGTTATTGATTTCCCGAGCCATGTCTTGGTTGCGATCCTTGCTCAGTTCACGTTTGCTATCCGGATCAAAGATAGTAGAGAAGGCCGAGGGCTTGAGAGGCTTCGGCACGATGAAAACCTGCTTCCCTGTTGCGGCCAATTCCTTGACTCGGCTGCTGATCTGACGTTTCTGGTACAGGTCCGATATAATCACGACAACAGGGGAAACATTCATTTCCGGTTCGGAAACATGCTGAATGACCTCCAAAATGTCATCTGTTGCAGGCAGATTGAGGACTAGATGGGTGCAAGGAGCGCTAGAACCAGGCTGCATCAAGTCCTTCCATTCGTCAATATCCGGCAGGGCCGTGATCGTAAATGGAATCTCTTGTGGAACGACTTGTTCAATGTGCTGTTTGGTAGCTTTGCGAGTATTGTCCAGAGGGCATAGGATGACGATGGAAAGGGGGCCTTGCGGAGGCACTGGTGAGGATCCAGCCCAAAGCTTGCCTAGAAAAGAAGAGCCTGGAGGCGGTGGCGGGGTCTGACGAACTGCTGGACTCGATGCACTTTCATTAGAAGGTACGTTCAAGTTGTTTTCAGACTGGAAGCCTGAATCCGCATTGGGCCTAGGTAGGCCCAGTCCGGGCGACAAGTGCGCTGTAGTAATCTCTGGAGTTGGCAAAGCAGACGACGCAGCAGATAATGGATACAAGCTCCTTGATCCCGGTCCAAGTTCGGGAGAATCAAGTTCAGGCCAAAGGCCCGCAGGGTCCAGGTTTGGCTCCAGGATTCTCGCTGACAATGAAGTGCTTTGTTCATAGGATGTCGTCCTGGATGTACCTGGCCTTCGCGATGTAGTGGTGGATGCTTGATGAAGCAGCCGGGAGGGTTCGGGAGGAGATGGGGGAGAGGAGCATCTACCGTCACATTGAAGGAAAATTGAGCTCCCTGGCCCTCTTTGCTGCTAGGTGTGAGTTTGCCGCCGTGCATCTCCACAAGTTGCTTCGACAAGAACAAGCCCAAGCCACTGCCAGCGTTTTGCTGTGAACCGGTTTCGCCTAATTGGCTAAATCTCTGCATGAGACGTTCTGCCTCCTGCGAGCTGAAGCCTTTGCCAGTATCGACGACATCAAAGTTCAGGAACGCTTCCGTATCCTTCAGCTTCCCTACTGGATCACGGGAAAGATTGCAGCGGATGTAGATTTCACCCTGTGCAGTGAATTTGACAGCATTTCCAGCTAAATTAATAAGAACCTGACGAATCCGGAATCGGTCACCGATCACCATTGATGGAACGTCTGCCTCCATCAAATAATTGATTTCAAGGCCCTTATCGATTGCTCGGGAGGCGATGGTATCAATTACATCCTCGATCATTGACCGAACATGGAACCAAGAGTTGACCATCGACATCTTGCCTGCTTCAACGCGGGAGACATCCAAAATATTGTCGACGAGTTCACGAAGGTTGGCGGAGCTGTTTTGAATGGTATCAAGCATTCGTCGTTGGTCTGTATCGAGCTGCGTATCCAAAATGAATGGGATAGTGCCCAGAATACCGTTGAGAGGAGTTCGAATTTCGTGAGACATGTTGCTGAAGAACTTCGTCTTGGACTCCATTTGATTGTTGAGCTGAGTCATTGCCTTGTTGAGCTCTCGCTCGAGGTTCTTTCGATCGTTGATGTCAGTACAGGTGCCGTACCAGGAGGCTTCTTCGCTACCGAAGCTGCTTGTCTCAACTAGAACTAGGCGAACCAGATGCCATCGGAAGTCACCACCTCTGGATCGAAGGCGGATCTCGGTGGAGTAGAAGACACGTCCATTTTCATCCCTTTGCAAGGAAGCGACGCCGCGTTTCACAAGTTCATCAAGGGTAGATGAGACAGCGTGGCTGTCCGAGGACGATCTGCTCCGTGCATCGTCACTGGAAGATTTGGTATCATCGTTTAAATTCCCTTGCTTCGCTCGCATTGAGAGGCCGCCGCATCTTTCGAGGTCATCAGGGTGAACATGCTTCGCAAACCCGAGGTTCAGAGCCTCCTCGAGACTTTGGCCTGTGTACAAGTTCCACTGCTCGTTGACAAAAATCAATCCCCTTATCTCGGTTGCCTCAAAAACAATCTGGGGTATCGAATTTGAGAATGCCCGATACTTTGCATCAGTAGCAAACTTTTCCCTCTCTTGGGTTGCTTTCAGCTCGGCAATATGCTGTTCATGGATGTCGAGGAAGGAGCCGATCCAATAAAGAACCTCACCCGTCGATGACAACAAAGGATTGGCTCGGAAGATAAACCATCGATATGCAGTCTCGTCATTGAACCGTCTCACTCGAACTCGCTCTGTGAACTGAGAACCAGTACGCAGGGCATTGGCCCACTCATTGGAGACATGATCCCGTTCGGTGCTGTGGATATTTTGCCAGGGGTCACGCAGCTTTTGTTCCTGCGGTTTGCTCCTTCGATAGGCGTCAAACTTTGCATTGGTCCAAATCACTTCACCGCTCTGGGGCTTGGCCAGAAAAAGATGGAGAGGAACAGAGTTGAGCATCAACTGTGCTATTGTGTCCGAGAAAGGTCGAGGCATCTCACGCTGAAGCTGGGCATACAAGGAGGTGGTTGACGCCTGCCGTGACGACTGCTGAATGGGAGACAGAACGTTTGGTGGCCTCATTTCCTGTAATGGGGATGCGGCAATTAAAGTTGGATCGTGGGAATTGCCGCCAGCCTCCTCGGTGGAAGGTTTGCCTGTCAACCTGCCCGGAGATGATGGTGTTGAGGATGCGAAGTTTGACTTGGATTTAGAAAGACGGCGTCGCTGCGGTGGGATATTGTCGCGAGGAGCCCTGGGCTGTTGGACGTTGAAATAACTATCTGTGGTATCTCCAGGGCGAGAGAGTAAGGCTGGAGACTGTGTCGCCGAACTCAGGCCCATCTGGCCAAGCTCAAACCCAGGTGTTCCAAAGCCGGATACGGCAGGACTAAGTTTGGTTGACGAACGGTCACTTGGACTGGCAACACTAGCTCTAGCAGACATAGAGTTCTCGTCGCCAACGGAGTAGCTGACATGGCCACTTAGGCCCGCCACGAGCTCCAACTCGCTACTCGCATCGGAGAAGGTTCCACCAAGTCCAAGTAGATGTCCGTATCGAGGAGCCTCCACCTTTGATGTCAATTGTCGTTCCAGCTGACTGTACTGTTGTGCTAGGCAAAAGGACGTTGTGAGGTGGGGCATGAGGTGTGCAAGGGACTGGCGAAGATGAGCGGGATATGGCACAATTGTAGACAGTAATGAGACTATGGCGACCGGAAATCTCAAGGTTGAGGGAGAGCCTTGGGTGAGATGACCACCATGTAGGAGAGGAATGTGGATCACCGTCTTGGAGTGGTCTACCCCAATGGCCTCTAACGGATGCGTGTTGGAGTAGTCATGTGGGGGTGGACTTTTTGAGAAAGCACCTTCATCAACAGTATGGCACGTGAAAAAAGGGTTTTGATCCGCGTGCGTTCGAGGAGCTGGTGAAGGTGCGGGGGATTGAGACCATGGAGACTGTGGAACCTGTTCATACTCATCATAATGCCGCATCCCAGTCGCGCCGAGGCTGGTTAAAAGCGCATTTTGGCCACCCTCGGCCGTTGTGGGTTCAGGACCATCCGCATTTGGAGTTTTCTGCAGCGTCTCGTTCGGACTCCGGGCCATATCATTTCCTTCCAGTGGATAATGACTGGGCTCTGAAGAGTACTCGCGGGTAAGAACGACAGGGGTTGTTCGTCCAAACAGCTTGACTACACCAGTCCGCTTGACCAGAGGGTCCGCCTCCACTTCTAACGGTCTCGAAAACGGGAAGACAGCTTGTCGTACTGGATACGCCGGATTCGCAGAGTCATTCGGCTCTAAACGAGGGGGCGATTGCCATTGGCTGCTGCAGGTTGTCGTTATCGCCACCACAGTAGATGACCCTGCAATACGGGCGTGCTTTCTCTCCGCCTTCGCAGAGGCTTTTGGTGTCTGCTGCTGTTGGTCCAGAGTTGATACCGGGGTTGGCCCTTTGCCGTGGCCAAATCCTGCGAACGAGTGGCGCGATGCCAGAGGCGGACGAGTGGACACGGGAGTTTTCAACTTCGGGACCAAGTCTTCATCTTGCCTCCGATTCGTCTCTTCGTTCGGTCTGCGGGTGCCTGTGGTGTCCGACAACGTGCGATCGGGAACCCTAGAAGACTGGGCATCCTCGAATCTGGAGCTCACATTCTGGTTAAAAATGGCTTTCTGGCCCCAGGGCACATTCTCAAGGTCAGTCAGGTCCCCTGGGATGGCCAGTGAGACGCGTTCTGCGCCATAGTGAGTTTGCAAGATTTCCACAAGGTTAGACCACCAAGCTTCCAGTCCCGGGTCTGCGTTCAACTTGAGTGTTAAATCGTATAAATTGGGGGTCACAATGTCCAAGTCGTCAGCCGGGTGCATGTGTTCGGGCGGAAGAAACCTAGGCTGTGCGCTGGAGATCTCCGACGGAGCCTGCTGGGCCTTCGATAGTTGCGATCCCGGTGTAAATGTTCTGGGCTTTTCTGAAGGTAGCTTCAACCGAAATTGTGACTGGCGCCCTGTTTGGTGGACTTCTGGTTTAGGGCTGTACGTCTGTACGCTTGGGAACGGATATGCGGGTGTTCGGGGGACCATCTGATCCGGAGATGTTGCCGTTGCGCCATGGCTATCCACTCCTTTGATTGTTCGGCCGGATCCTATTGAGCCGGATGAGGGCTGCACAATGGTCGGAGGGATGTTGGTGGAGGCGTTCGAGAGCCGTCGTTTCTTCGGGGTTTCATGTAGAGGCCCAGGAACGGGTTGAGTTAGGGACGAGAATTGATTTTGGTGTTGCTGCATTTGTTGATAAACCAGCAGCTCCTCCATCTGTCTCCGCAAATCCTTGAGGGTTTGCGAGCTACGTCCCTCGTCCTCCTGTCGCTCGGTTGCTGATCGGGTGTCCTCCGTGATCGGTGTCAGGCCGATGTGTTCAGCAGAGTCTCTCCGCGAGAAACGGGGCGTTTGCAGTGTCGGTGCCGATTTTAATGAACCGTCCACGCTGTGCGCGATCCTACCCATGGATAAACTGCCCGCATGATCATGATCGGGGATTCGGCAGCTTGCCGTCAGCCGGGCAGGCTGTAGGTGGGGAGGTTGAGGCACGGCGACAGGCGACACAGTCTCGGTTGGCGATGGAAATGGAGGACTCCTCTTGCTATGCGTATCCTCCATTCTCTCTCGCTCCTCCGCTGACCACGATATTTTCAGTACACCTGGGCGATAAGAACAGCGCAGGAGCACGGTCGGGCGATCATGTCTCGGCCACAGCGGTCCGTCGAGAGGGTCTGGTGGGTGTGGGGGAAGGCTGGTGAGGGAGGCCGTAGGAGGTAACACTGCGGTCTCGAAGAACAGAAAGGGACGATCACGCAAGAAGGAGCCGGGTCGGGAGGATCAGAGCAAAGTAAATTAAGTTTCAGGCGGTGTATGGCCAGGAGGAGGATGGGATGCGAGGAGGTGGGAGGTGGAGGTGGTGCGAGAGTCAACAGAGTGGGCGTGTGTGGTTCGGGGGAAGTGGGTGGGTTTTCGAGATGGAAGGAACAAGCAGTACTGCTGGTGACTCTGGAACTGGCGTCAGTACCCGCCAACCCATTGTTTGGATCGTCCAGGGAGTGGATGAAGGAGGGAGGAAAAGTGGACTCTCGCTGATGCTCCGTCTCCGGGGGCCTATGACGTAGCCGGCCCTGGAAAATAAAAAACCTTGACGCCCTGGCACGGCATGTCTCTGGTCTGGCCGCCCTGCTCTGACAAGGCGTCGAATGGGTGGCAGTTCCATCCAGGTCACACTGGAGCACCGACTAGCGGCATCCCCCCTCTTCGAGCGGCTGTTATCCACAAGCTGGCTACGGATATACTCCGTACTGATATTCTACGCTCCACCACAACCTGGGTATGTGGCGAGGGTTCCGGTCAGATGACTAGTGATGATGGAGCCCGCCCGATCAACAATGCACTACTGCACGCTCACGCGCGGAGATGACATACTCCGTAGGTCCACACCAAAGGCTTGTAGGTCTATAGATAGGCTCGTTTGGTTCTATGGTATTATCGTATGTCTAGACAGTGTAGAGAGAGAACCATTCGCGTGCTCTTCATCTCGCTGACCGCTGTTTGTGTCAAAAGCCAGGTGCCCGAGTCCCTTTCTCTCCAGCCGTGATGTCAATTCCGCCTTCGCCCCACTGACTCTGCATGCGAACATGGACCTATTGTTACCTCTAGCCTCAGATCCAATGGTTTGCCATCACTCGGTGATAGTTTATGCGGATCAGCTCCCACCAGCGACCATCATAAATTTACCCATAAATCAATAAGGGGTGTTGGTGGCCGATCCAACCAGAGGGGGGAGATGCCTATGGAGTATTCCGTCCAGGCATATAGTGCAGACGGGGTGGAAGGCTTTTTGCCCATGGTATTGTAGATGCACGACACTATATAGCTCCTGCTCACGGGAGTTGGAACGGCCGTCGTAATTGACGTCGCAGGGCTCCGTACTATGAGCAGGCCGGCAGCAGGGCAAGGGATTTTTTGGCGATATGGTCTAGACCTGGGGGTAGGTATCCCTTGGCGATCAGGGCCAAATGCGTGTCGTCATGATGCACGCGACAATGGCCGCATTAGCGGTTGTTCTAGAAACGGGTTGTCCTCTGGGGATACTGCGCCGAGATACCCGTTGAGCCCCTGGAAACGAAGCGATCGACTCGCAGTGGTGCGCCACCAGCCGCCCGCTAGTCCGTGATTCCTCAACTTGCGGCAATCGCACAGGGCACGGTCAAGGTGCTTTGCCTCATACTGCTGGCATGTGGGGTAACCCGCGTTTTGATACGAGTCACTCTTTCACGGGCTTCGCGTCATCCAATCGCCATGGGCGACAGGGGTTCCCACAGTCCGTCGTCATCCGGCGTGGGCCATTCCAGGAGAGTCAACTGGTGTACTAGGCGAGTAGGCAGATTGCGTGAAGCAAATGCGGAAAAACTGACGGGAGGTCTCAGTATCGTGAACCTGCCGCTGGTAGGGTGAGACGCAGCGCATCTCCGCAACCCATTCTCCGGGTCCCGATCTCGTCAAGGCTTGGGCGAAATGGCCGGTTGAGTCGTACGTATGTTAATCGAAATCAAATATAAGCTACTTGGGGGTCTAAGGTCAACTCTTCCGATAGGGCTGGCTGGCTTGAGAGTCCCATATACGGTGCATTGGGCCTCTGGAGAATTCCCCTCAAAACGCCACCCAGATTGCGGTAGGGCCTTGGCTCCTAGATAGACAACGCATTCCTACAATCAGTTTATTTGCCAGAAAGTGGCCATATTGACCTAACCTTGCCTATGAAAAGATAAAACCCAAGTCTTACCAGATAACTCGCGGTCGACTGCGACCCAAGGCGATATTCCACATGCAACCACCAGACCCCTCGTAAAAATAGATTTTCCGATCTGGCTGTCCCACCCGCAACGTTCTCGTGCACTGCGCGACAGCAACCAGGACACCCACTGACGTCGCGGCCGCCCTTTCCCTTCCTTGTGATCTGCTCTGCAGGGGCCACGGCGTGCTGTCGTTTTTTACTTCAGACTCCAACTCTTCCACGCCGTCTATCATTAGAAATTTGGGGCTGATCCTCTCCCGCTATCGCCGCCGCTTTTGTCCTTCCTCTATGTCCGTCCCGGCGCTATCGCACCTTCCCTGACACCTTCGCGCCGTCCACTCGCAAGAAATTCTGGGATAACTGGCCGATGGCCATAGGGGCCACCTACACCGGCAGGAAACTCGGACATGGAGGAAAGCGAACTTATCGGCGACGATTTGCCGCTTCCGCCCGCTCGACTTTTTGAACGCCTCAGCCACCTGCCCGGATATACCTGGGATCAGTCTATTGAGCCGTTTCACTCGACCTACAATCATTGGCACATTTGTGGTTCGCGTCATGCGGTCGAATACGATATCTCGACCCCTATCGCAACCTCCTCCGGCCCTGCTTCCTCGGGGCCATCCAGCCTCACCCGCTTTTCACCACGCACTGAATTTCGCCCGTCCGCGCGCATCATCCGAAGAGCGAGCGTGAGCGAAACAAGCAGTGAGCTTTCGTTTTCCCGGGGCGATCAGGAACAGGTATGGATCCCCGTTGTCGCGCGTGTTTCCACCAATGTTATCAGACTTGAGCGGGAGTTTCATATGCTCAGGTCCATTGTGCAATCCTCGGATCCGGACTGTAACTACACGATCAGACCCCTCGACTTGATACGACTCCCCCCAGATCCTGGAGACGTGGGCACACTGTTGGTAGCAATATTTGAGTCGCCGGGCCACGATAGGTTGCGAGATTTGGTCACATTTGGCCCTGCTTCTTTTGTAGCCGGGGCCAAGGGTGATAACAACAGCACGCCAGACGAGCAGATTCCGTTACCGGCCTTCTTGGACTTCGCGATCGGGGCTTGTGATTGCTTGGAAATTCTGCATTACGGGGTGAAAACTGTGCACGGAGAGATTCGTGGGGACGCTTTTCACTTCGGCGCTGAGACCGGAGCAGTTAAACTCGCCAATATCGGCAATGGTGCACGGTCATTCGACAATGTTCTCAGCGAAGGCTGGTCCTCTGTTTCTCGCGAGCTTGGCGCAAAGTACAAGCTACAGTTTATCGCCCCCGAACAGACTGGCAGAATGCCCACAGAACCGGATAGTCGTACAGATATCTATGCCCTGGGTATCTTCTTTTGGTCGATGCTGGTAGGCAAGCTGCCTTTTGCCGGAACCGACCCCGTCGAAGTTGTTCAAAATGTCCTGGGCAAGAAGTTGACCCCCGTCTCTGCGAAGCGAATGGACGTTCCAGATGCACTTTCTGCCGTGGTTCAGAAGATGACACAGAAGGTTGTCCATGATCGATACCATACGATTTCCTCAGTGAAAAGGGACTTGACGCAGATAGCGCAGCTGTTGGGTGACGGTGACAGTGAAGCCTTGAACAAATTTCAAGTTGCGCAACGAGATGTGTCGTCCTTTTTCACTCTTCCCTCCCGAATGTTCGGGCGCCAGAAAGAGTACGACACGATCATGAACGTCATCGAAAAAGTCAATAAGCGACAAGCGTCTACCTCTGCCAAAGCATTTACGCAGAGCCTAGGAACTGCGCATCCTCTCGCCTCCACCTCTTCACTCTCAGAAGGGCGTGTGGATAGTTTTGAGCTTGCATCCGTCTCTAGCGATTCTGGCTCCTTCCACTTCCCCCCTCGGTCGAGCTCCAATGCTACCAACTATCATTCTTCTCACATCAGCACCCTTGATTCTTCCGCGAGCAGCGATGTGACGTTCCAAACCTCGAGGCAGGGACAGACGCCCACCAGCCAGGATATGTCTTCTCATACAACGGCGGCCATGCCGTTCTCTAGCAAAATGAAGAGTCCGTCACATTCTCGGTCTTCCCATACCACAGACCGAGAGAGCCATCCATCCATCGGCACAAATACGAACAGTCAACAGTCAACCCATGCTTATAGCCAGTCGGATTCCATGGGCTCCCTTTCCAAACAGAGAGCTGGTGGGAAGTTTCGTCGGAGTGGGCGATGTGAAGTCATTGCGATTAGCGGCGCCGCCGGGATTGGTAAAACCGACCTTCTCAATCGAGTACAGCCAATCATTCGCAAGTCGGGCTATATTGCTATCACTCGTCTGGATCGAGCGAAGAGAGTGCCGTTCGAACCGTTTGCCAAGATTTTAGCCAGCCTCTTGCGCCAAATTTTCTCCGAGCGCGATGTCACGACAGATTATCACAACAGCATCCGAGTGGCGCTGCGGCCGTTGTGGCCTACTCTCCACAAGGTGTTAGACCTTCCGGAACAGCTGATGTCCCCTGGCTCGAAGTACAAACCAAATTCACCCAAGACCTCGGTTGCCTCGCACATCGTAACGGGCGATCCTGCCAAGGGTGAGCCAGCTAAGCGCATCAACATTCCCTGGTTGCAGCAAGGTCAAACATCAGTCGAATTCTTCTTGTCTAATGCTGCCTCGAACAATATGCGACTAATGGAAATATTCCTCGAGATTTTGAGAACACTGTGCCAGTTCAAATTGATGGTTGTATGCTTAGACGACCTCGAATATGCGGATGACGAGACCTTGGAACTAGTGTTGAATATCATCAGAGCGAAATTGCCCTGCGTGCTTATTCTCACGAGCCGCAAGGATGAGATTGCACCGGACAACGTCAGGTCGCTGTTTGAGGCCGACAACTCCAATATTACACGGATTGAGATCCAGCCACTCAACGAAGCAGAGATTATGGAGTTTGTGGCAGCGACAATGCATCAGGAGCCCAACCCAACAATGACTCCCCTTGCGGCCGTGATTCAAGAGAAGAGCCACGGCAATCCTTTCTACGTGCGAGTGATGCTTGAGACATGTTATAGGAAGAATTGTCTTTGGTATTCGTGGAAGGACTCCAAATGGCTCTTTGATCTTGATCGCATTTTCACTGAATTTGTAGCTCCTGTCTATGGGGAAGGTCTCGGGCTTGGCTTCCTCACCAAACAGCTCCAAGAGATTCCATCTGCTGCTCGATCTATTATGGTCTGGGGTGCTCTCCTGGGAAGCCCGTTCTCTTTCTCGTTGGTTCAAAAGCTTCTGACAAGCGAATTTCTTTTCTCGTCAGATGATGATGACGAGGAATTTGATCTCACGTGTCCTCAAAATGTCACACTGATTAGGCGATCTGAAGGTGATATGGTCGTTGGACTGCAGTACTTGGTCCAGTCAAACCTTCTGAACCCAGGTAAAACCGACGATGAGTTTAAGTATGTGCTGCAAACGAGAGCCATCCGCTTTTGAAGTGAACTTCGGCTAACTTAATTTGCAGACTTGGGAATGACCGGCTTGCGCAAGCTGCACTTTCTCTGAGCGAGAGCCGCAATGTGGAAAAAATGCATTTCATCGTTTCACAAGTCTTGATGAAATATTATCACGACCATCGCAGTCGCTATTCGATGGCTCACCACGTGGCGCTCTCGTCGCGTACTCTAAAGTCTCACGTACCTCAGCGCGTTGACTATCGACGGATTTTGTGGGAGGCTGGACAAACTGCTGCCCAGTCCGGTGCTCGGCCAACCGCTCTTTGGTACTTCCGCCACTGCATCGCGCTTCTTCAAGATGACCCATGGGATGACCGCCAGGTCGACGTTTACTATGATGAGACCATGCGTCTTTTCATTGCAACTGCCGAAATGTCGTGGTCCCAGGGCCATAATGATGATGCCCTCAGCCTGATCAATGCGGTCTTCGTCCATGGCAAGGATGCGATGGACAAGTCGAGAGCTTGGATCATCAAAGCCAAGATCTATGCTCAGCTTGGAGACCATCATCGATCGATGGAATCTTTACTGACATGCCTTGATGAGCTGGGTGTCCACCTCCGTTCGCCCACGTCGTTTGAGGATTGTGACATTGCTTACTTGAAACTTAAGGATTACGTCGAGTCAGCCGATCTGGAAGCCATTGCCCAGAAGCCCGTCAGCAAGGATCCCAGTTTAGTGACTATTGGAGCTGTCATGGCCGAAGCGATGGCCGTCACCTATTGGGACGATGCTCTGACATTCTATCGCATGGCAATCGAGATGATGAACATTCACATCTTCCGAGGAGGTTTCACCCAAGTCTCGATTGGGTGTTCCCATCTGGCTATGATCTCGTTCAGTCGCTTCAAAGACTCTGCTTTCGGGTCTAGGCTCAGCGATCTCTCTCTGTCCCTTCTTGAGCACTGCCCAGAACTGTGGACTCAAAGCCGAGGGTCCATAGTTCACAATCTATACGTCAGTCACCTACGCGTTCCTATGGCATCGACGTTGCCTGCGCTGGAAGCTTCCTTAGAGGCATCATTCACAATAGGCGATCCATATATTACTTTGATCAGCATCTCTTCAATGGCAATGAGCAGGCTTTATCTGGGCCAAGATATGGCCCAACTTGAAGCATTCTGCCTCGAAGCTCCTGAAGAAATCCCAAGATGGTCCGAAGATACTCGCGGCGGTGCAAGCATCCTTGCGATCCGACAAGTTGCACGGGCTCTCCAAGGCAAGACTGACTATCGAACCTCTGATAATGTTTTGTCAGATGATGAGCACAAGACCAGCGCTTACATGGCCTTCCTGGATGCCAATGCCAGTAATGTTGACAGACCTCGTGACATCTACTATGGCCTTGCTATGATCCCCTTGTTCTTGTTTGGCCATCACGCCAAAGCGATCGAGGTGGGCACTCAATTACTTGAGACAACACACAGGCTCTGGTCCGTGCGTGTGTCCTACCTGATCTATTTTTACCTCTCTGTCTCACTTCTGTCTCTTCACAATGACTATCCTGCCCAAGGATACCTTGACGGCAAGATGGACACCGTTCTCCGGTACAAGGCCGAGATCGATTTCGCCCGAAGCTGCTCTGATGCAAACTATGGCATGTGGGCGTTGCTGTTGGAGGCCCTTATCTGTGAGGTTCGGAACGACCACAGCGCTGCCATCCGGGCTTATGAAGCTGCGATCGACCACTGTCAGATCTATGGATGGCCTTTGGAGGAAGCACTTGCTCTCGAGCTGCAAGGAGAATTTCTTGTTCGGCGCGGTGCCAAGAGAGCTGCCCGTGCTGTGATGCAAGATGCCATTGCCGCATGGAGCTCCATCAGTGCCGGTGGCAAAGCCGCAATGGTTGCAGAGAAACATGAGTGGTTGTTGAAGACAGCAACCTCAGCCAGAACCGTTGATGTTGGTTGTCAGACTGTTGACTCGCTCCTTGAAATCACTCGTGACTCTGTTCAGGAAGAAATTGCCATCCCTTCGCAAATCGAGGAAGATGAACGGAGACATCTCTGGATCGAACAGAATGGCGTGGCCACCGGCGAGAGATCCATGGATATCTCGAGTGTCGGTCTCGACATTATTGATCTTTCCAGCATCCTTGAGTCCAGCCAAGTCATGTCATCTGAACTTCAAATTGAAAAGCTCTTCACGAAAATGCTCGAGATCATCATCGAATCATGCAACGGCTCTGACTTCGCCGTCATTGCCACGGACTTTGACGAGCAGGGCTTTGCAATTGCTGCGGCTGCGGATGCTGACAAGGGCCAAAGGTCCTACCCAGATGGTCTTCCACTCTCGGAACTGGAGGGACGAATGGCTCAAGAGATCACCTATTATGTCATGCGTACAAAGGAAGAGGTCCTTGTCCACAACGTTCTTGAAGACGAGCGCTTTTCCAATGTCAGTGAAGGATACCAGGCAAATTTCCCGCTGGGTCGATCTGTTATTGCTTTGCCCATTGTTCAGGCGGACCAGCTTCTTGGAGTTATTCACCTCGAAGGGAAGCCCAACTGGTTCACTCAACGAAATGTAGTTGTGCTCCATCTACTCTGCAACCAGATTGGCATTTCACTGTCGAACGCGTTGCTGTTCCGTGAGATTCGCAAGGTCAGTGCCAAGAATGCCACGATGATCGAGTCTCAGAAGCGGGCTCTCGCACAAGCACGCGAGGCGGAGCAGAAAGCGAAGGTGGCCGAAGCCGAGGCCAAACACAATGTCAAGCTGAAAGAGGACGCTGCTCGAGCGAAGTCTATCTTCCTTGCGAACATCTCCCATGATCTGCGCACTCCAATGAACGGTGTGATTGGTCTCTCGGAGCTGCTCAAAGGCACCTCTTTGAACAAAGAACAGGATGAATATGTTGAATCCATTCGTGTATGCGCCGACACGCTGCTGACGCTCATCAACGACATACTTGATTTCTCCAAGTTAGAAGCCGGAAAAATGAAAATCTCCACTGTTCCGCTCAATCTGAAGGAGACAATTTCCGAGGTGATCCGTGCTCTCCGTTACACTCATCGTGATTGTGGACTGGATACAATTGAGGATCTGGAACGTGTGCCACCTGAGCTAGTCGTTCTTGGTGATCCTGTCCGTCTCCATCAGATTTTCATGAACTTGCTTAGCAACAGCTACAAGTTCACCCCTAAAGGCTCCATAACTGTCACAGCAAAGGTTGCCCGGGAAGGCAAAGGCCGTGTACGTTTGGAATGCTCTGTATCTGATACTGGGATTGGTATTCCAGACGAGCAAAAGGCCCGACTATTCCGGCCCTTCTCTCAGGCCGATGCATCCACAGAGCGATCTTACGGTGGCAGCGGACTCGGCCTCAGCATTTGCAAGGCCATTATTGAGGACGTCCTCGGCGGTGCTATCTGGCTGGATTCAACCACGGGAGTCGGAACCACTGTGACATTTCATCTGGTATTCAACAAAGCACCCAAGAAAACGGCAGTGAAGGCTCCCTGGTCTCAGGAGCTCAGTCAAGCAGAAACCAAGGAACCTCGAGCGAAAGCACGCGACCTCTCACACATCCCACGTGACCAGATCCGAGTTTGTATCGCCGAAGACAATCCCATCAACCAGAAGATCGCGGTCAAATTTGTGACTGGTCTCGGCCTCCAATGCGAGGCCTACAGCGATGGAAAGCAAGCCGTGGAGGCCCTGCGAGCGCGATCCAAAGAAGGCAACCCGTTCCATGTGGTCTTGATGGATGTCATGATGCCCACTCTTGATGGCTATAACGCCACCCGCGAACTGCGGCGAGACCCAGACCCCAATGTCAACGAGGTTCTCGTCATCGCTATGACCGCCAGTGCGATTGAAGGCGACCGAGAAAAATGTCTCGACGCAGGCATGAACAACTACCTCCCCAAACCGGTACGGTCGCCTATTTTGAGTGAGCTCCTGGATCGATACCTTGCGCCGGTTCCCTCCCACCCACGCACTCGCCTGACAATTCGCGAAAAGGGCTCCCGGGGCAGTATTAGCTTCGATGCGGGCACGCCAACTAGTGTCTCCTCCTCGGGGTCGGATAGATCTCTGAAGCATCCGCCACCGTCGAGATAAAGACAAATTGATTTTACACACTCTCAAATGATAGATACCCTGCACAGTTGCACTCGGATAGAAGGCATGAGGCGTCAATTTTTTGGGGATTTTTTGGGATTCTTTTGGTGTTATTGATCTTTTTGCAATGCGGTTTGACCATTGTCCAATTTCCTGATTTTTGCGCTATCTGGTGCTTTCCGGTTTTGTAGTTGCACAAGGCTTATTTCCGTTTACAATGATCGTTTTCGGTATGATTCTATGATCTAATGTATGATCTTTGTGAACTTGCGCTCGTAAGCATGCCTCTTTCTATTGGTTCTTATCGTGATTGACGATCGTCGTGGTGAGGAACAAGATTTCCTTCTCGAGCTAGGTCTGTGCAGCCGAATTCTGATACCTTTCCTGTCATTTGACTTGTCCTTATATACCGAAGGAGGTCTCTACTTCCTTTGACAGCCCTCCCTAAGTCTCTGCCAACTGCGTGAAGGTTGCTCATACAAAGCGCCCGGGAAGTAGAGCGTGTGGGGTTAGTATAGGTCTCAAACCATGCTGGTTGGTCCTGGTCGAACAAGTTCCTGGAAAACATCTATGGGTATACATAGTCGAGCCGTCCGATGGGGCTGCGATACAGACGGACAAGATAAAAGACGGAAAGGAAGAAGAACAGGCAGCTGTTATGTCGTACCGTGGTACCGTCCGAGCTGGGCCCGGCGGGACAGCCGACCGGGTTGGGAAGGGACCGATCCGTGATTCAAAGGGGGCAATCAGCCAGCGATAACAAAGCTGATGTCAACACCTGCTTATCTTCACGCGAGGCCGTTCCACTCTGTTAATCCTTTCGGCTTACGTTCGGCGTGTTGTGTTGATGCAGGGACGTGTTGTGTTTACGACCGAAACATGGCTTATTGAGCGTTGGTTTCTACTTGTTCCCTCATATTTCCTCACCCATATGCGCTTCTATGTATGGGTCCTTACCTTAAGCCGATATGCTATCCTCAAGCCTCCAGTGATGCATCTCAACATTGACCGCAGCAAATATATGCTGCATGCTCAAGCACCGCCACGATTTTGCTGACCTCATTGGGAAATCTGATCAGTCTCCTTTGCAAAGGGCTCCTCACAGCCTCAAATGAGGCTGTGCTGGTCGGCGTTCTCCAGAGGGATGAAGTTTCCGGGAGCGCATGAGGAGGCTCAGTTTCGCGTGGGCGGCATTGCTGGCTCGCGTAGATTCGCTCATAGAATGGGACTTCATGCAGGCTGACTGCTAGCTGCCGTCCAGATCGTGGATGGCGTCCCATAATGTCGATGGATTGGGCCCTGGTCGGCAGCCGGTCACAGAGGGGACCAATGCCCGCGCCCCCGCCACCGCTGACAGTGCCCGAGTAATCCAAGGAATCTCTAGCGAGCCGCAACCTTAAAAAGGAGGGGGTTCTCCCTGCGTCGTTCAGACTGGATCCAGTGTCGTTGTGTTCTTAGCTTGGCCTTTTCGTTGATCCAGTCCAAGATGGACGAGTCAGACTGGTCCTCGCCTTGGCCACTGAATCGCCAGGTTGGAGGTTCCGACCTGTTTATGCCGGATCTGCATAACTATTTGGAGGATATACCAATGGAGATGGAGATGGAGGACGACTATTCTGAGTTTGTTCGGAACCCCGCAGAAACCATTGATTTATACCCTGGGATCACACCAAGCTCTTTCCGTCACCCTTCAGTCTATACTGCATCAACCTCGACTGAGGTTTCCTCCCGCAGCGGGTCAGTCTTCTCAGGGGGATCAAGTTTGATCAGTGGTTCAACGAGACGGTCCAATCGATGGCCGCGCCCCTCCTCCTCCATTCTGGGAGGCGAGACCAGGCCAACCAGTGTTGCATCTGAGGTCTTTCAAGATGACGACTTATATTCCCGTTTACTGTTAGGTCTCCCTTCTGCCGAGCATAACCCCACGATGATCGCGCCTGAGATTATTTCAGATATTGAGATAATGGGCCGACGTCTTGAAGTCATGGGCAGGAGCCTGTGCGAAAGCCCTAGAATGTCTCTTACCCAGCTGCGGGGTCTCCAAAGTGGTCTTCGAGACTTGAACAGGCAATTGGATGATCTCATTCGAATAACACCCGCCGTGGCACCGAGTCCATCTTCCATATCGACTCGATCCCAAAGAGAATATCGCTGCCAATTATGCGAGACCCGGGGAACCAAGTCGGCCTATTTCAAGAACACGGGCAGCTTCAAAAGGCATATAATAGACCAGCACTATCCCCAGCATGAATATCACTGCACCCAGGAAGGGTGTGCGAGGGTTTACCGCAGGCGGGACCGGTTGCGAAACCACGTTCTCACGGAGCATAAACGACTTCCGCGAAAAGAGGATTTGGACCAGAACACCAGTCAGCTTCCATATCCAGGAGCTTGTCCCCTCTGTAGCCGTACCTCCTCAACTTGGGATAGGCTTTACCAGTGCCTTTTGGATCACTGTTTACTACGGGCTCCTGAGGAGAATGAGCCCAGAAGTAACCCCAGGGGCGAGCATGGTGATGGTGACATTCAATATGAAGCGGATGAGGGGTCCAAGTTGGATATGACCACTCCTTCGGGCACAGATGATATGCCCCCACCGGCTCCATCTCCTTGGGACTGGCATGCTATATCCCCACCGTTTCCCTCGCATGACATGCTCGTTAGCCCTGATTCCTATGCACCTCAGGGTCCGAGCTTGCTTCGTCATGAAAGAAGGGATGGGCAAGCCAGCGAAGAGCTTACCTTGATGAGCGAGTTAGATTCGCCGGAGCCCATGGAAACCCAAACTTCTGCGCTGGAATACAACCCACCATTGGTCACAGAACCGCTTGGGCCTGGCGACGCGGATTCCAGCAATAAAGATTCAACCGGGCCCAACCAGAACCTAACAGACTCAAACACAAGCAAGTCATCTCAACCTTCGGATGATGAGGAGCGGCGTTCGATGCAAACCAACATGACACAGCCCGACTGCGAAGACGAGTTCGACCTCGATGCGGGCATCGCGGATTCCACGGACGATGAGCATATTCGAAATCCTGGCGCCTATTACCGGAAGCTGGATCTGCTGGAAGCAAAGACAGCAGAAATCTGCGGGATCAAGGAAAACCCCAAACAGCAAGAAGGCGACTGGAAAGAATGTAGAGAGGGCTTGGAAAGGTGCAGAGAGGCGCTCTGCAACCTGAAGAGCGAGGGATTCTGCGATGATGAAATGTCTTTTCTGGTCGAAGACGAATTTCGGCCGGATATTGCCGAAGTCGTCCGAATATCGATGGTGCACATCGACCAAGCACTGTTTCTGATATCGGCCCGCGAACATCGGACAACGCTGGCGCCGCGGGGCATTCCTGACAGGTCTCTTGATGCTCACATGCGGTGGAGTTTCAACGCGCCTTTTGGCCACTTGCTCCCGTCTTTGGCCTCGACACCGTCCGTGGCTGTGGAGCAGCTTCCCATTTGGCAGTTCCTAACCACCACTTTGTCTGTGGGCCTCCTGTCCTTCTCGGGCTCCCATGTGTGCCGATTTGACGAGAACCTTTGGGGGGAGAAGATGAATGAAATCCCCCTTGGGCAGGGATACTCGTTAACTCCCCGAGAATTGGCTTGTATGAAAGATTTTGTCGGCGGACCAGCCTGGGTTCTCGGAAAGCATCACCCTGCACCGGCGCGGCAAGGGCTCAAAGTATCGCTCACCGTCCGGGACCTTCAAGAGCTGTGGGGTCCTATCTGGCTGATGGGAGGCACGGAAGATGAAGGCCTCTTTCTCCGGACGGAAACAGGATACATCGTCCCTCTTCCGCGACACCATCAACCCGATCCATCCCTGGAGGAAATTGAATGTCATTGGGCAAAGTCATGTACTGGTTACGACACCGACAACCCTCTTCTGTTGAGAAGTTCATCACGAATCTTGATCGGCACCGACTCTTTGACCACGGCTGGACTGACCGTCAATCACGAATGCCAGGCCCAAGTCAACTTCCTCCAAGCACGCATCCGGCCGCAGCTGCAACCCTCCGGGGCATACAATGCCTACCATACTCTCGATGGATGGGATGCGACTCTGCAGGCGTCTATCGGCAGCTACGTCCAAGCAGGCGGTGCGCTCAAATGGAAGCGAAACCCAGCACGCAAATGGAAAGCCTCCATCATTGAAAAATGCAAGTACGGACAGCCCAATCTACGGTCGCTACTCACAAGTCATATTGGGCTGGAACTAAGTGCATGTACTGGCAACGCCCGCCGAGTGACACTTTGGGATGCGCTCCGTCTATCACAGACAAAGGCCGTGCCGTCGAACACCACATCCCAAAAACCGGGGACAGTGACCTGTCAACACCGAGTTGCCGATCCAGACTGCATCAAATCGTGTTGGACTCGACTTTTCTCCACTGATGACATCGATTGCTCAATCAACATCCCACCAGAGGGCTCCCCGACAAGAAAGGAATACATTCGACGTCTCGTGCTCAATGCAATCATCGCTCTCGAGGATGCCGGAGTCGATCACAATGATCACCTGCAAGCATTTTGGCCGTTCACAGACAATCCCCGCACTCACCGCATAGAGGCTGTGAGTGCGGGGGGAGGATCAACAATTGGCTCAAAGTGATCAAAGATACACGGGATGTCGCAACATTTGCCGTCGCCAGCCAGCGGTGCATGGAGTTACAGGACGAGCGATTCATACGGATGTGTACGTTTCCCTGCCAGGAGAGGCATCTAAATATGCCACAGACAGCGCTGTGTACTCGAATCTTGCTCAACCCGCCGTTTCGGTCGAACTGTACAGAAAATCATGAGTGCCACGTGACACATTGGCCCATGGAAAACGAGGCAGAGCAGCTGGTCCCTCGCGATCATTTTTTGCTGGGAGAAGCAGCCCTCACAGTGCAAAAGATCATCCCCGGAGAGAAGAAGATGATCATTGCTACTGCCAGCGGGAATGCAATGGAGAACGGGTGGATGAAGATGATGAAGCTGAAGAGGCGGAAGATGTTCCAGGAGGACTTAGACTGCGACCTCTCGACCGGGTATTATGTTCCACTTTTAGTTCGTTGATGTATAAAGATCGAATGCACTTGTATTGAAGCATATGGAATGCAAAGACCCGGGAGAGTGGCGACGAAATAACCGTTTTGGAGGCTCGAAACAGCTACCCTTCCACACAGAGCCCACCGCGTGCCCGCCTGCCACATATCATGCCCATCCCGGGCATTCCAGATCGGAGCCTTTCCTCATTCAGAAGTGTTCTGATCCTGCACTGGGCTTCTGCAGCCGTCTCTCAACGAGAAAAAAGAACAAGCCATTTCCCCATCAATAAGGCCCACAATCTTGTCAGTATTGGCTAAACAGTTGTGATATGAAGTAATTAAAGAGCTCACGCAATGTCAGGTAAGCAGAGGCTGCAAACCAGAAGACAATCACCGGAAAAAGCAAGATATGGATAATGAACTCCAGAGTACCCGATTTTATATGCACATGGTACCTTGGTCGATCGAGGCATCCACTCTCAGTCGTCATCCGAAGAGACATGGTCAGCTGTGCCCACTTCACTGAATAAAGTAGCAGACAAGAAGGAAGATGCCGGTAGCAAACAGCTCGTGGATCTTTAGCCTCTGAGCACTGTTCACGTGGACAGTGGGTGGAACAGTGGAAGTGCGAGCAGCAGTGGGGGCTCCCAGGCTCAAGCTATCGGAGGTCGAGATGTGTGAAGCAAATGTCTTACTAAGTGTACTCTTAATAGCAGTCTTGGTGCTGGGAGGCTTAATCTCTGTAGGAGGAGGCTTGGGCAAAACATATGCAGTAATGGTACTGCCCGACGCGTCATAAGGGTGAGTCAAGACCAGACCACTGGGAAGAGTCAAAATCTCCGAGGAAGCCTCGTGCGGGTAAGTGACGACGGTGTCAGGAACAAGCGGTGCAGTAATAGCCTGGGTGTGAGTGAACGAGTTCGTGAAAGGGATGGTAGTAACAAGGACAGCAGAGGTGGTCCTCTTCTCGCTGGGGCACCGAGTCAAGCATGACACAGTCTCAGTCTTGGTCTCGGTCTGGATAGGCGAAGGGGTCGAGCAAGGCTCAGTCTCCATCCCAGTGGTAGTATCGCGGGTCCGAATAGGCCCAAGATGAGCGACAATGGGAATCATGGGAGGTATTAGGACACTGTCCGGGATGGATGGTGGGTAGACTGGTGCCGAAGTTGGCGAGACAAGGGTAACATTCCCGTGAATGTCTGATAGTTTGTTAGCACAGGGACCGGGAATTTGAACACCAGGGAACGAAAAGCCGGACCGCGAGCAGGACGGGCGAAAGAATGAGTCGCGAGAGCAGGGAATTGATCGACCGTATAAGCTAAATTAGGTCAGCTGGATACCCTGGAGTGAACAAGTAAGTCCTACGACTGTAAACATTGTGGAGCTCTTCGAGAATGTCTATATCTGTTCAACCACAAGTCAGCATGTGAGGTGATGAGATGACTGCTGGCAGCGGGCGAGATTACTCTCAGCAATACCCTTGGCCGCCAGGAACATGGTGATCAACAGGATGGCGAAGTGGATACTCGCAAAGAGTGCCATTTCGACGGAATTGGGATGCTTAAAAGAGGAAAGAGTGTACGCTGGGTTTATATGATGAACCAAACGCACTGTTAATGGAAATTCAAAGGAATGCGGATGGAGAGAGGTGAAGAGGAGGGAAAGAGAACGAACGGGGAGGAGAAGGGGAAAGATGCGAGGCGAGGTGGGCATGGCAAGGTAGTCACGAAATCCGCGCTTTGGGAAGGAGCGTACCCGAGACGGGCGTCAACAGACTCGACCCATACCTAAGCCTTCAATGGTACGTGTACTCGCCCTGAACTGTCAACCAGGGCAAGAATCTATGGAGATGGCCAAGATGATTAGTACCCGTGATACCTTATTCAGACAAAGGGCCTGCTGGAATTAATGAACGGGGAGGGCCTATAAGAAGTGTGCAGCCTAGATAAAGCCCTTAAGTCTGTGGAGACAGTTGCTTAGGACATCATAGGGGATATAGTCAGAGCATGGATCAGCAAATAGTCGCATTCTTGCCTACGAGTGTAGTTCCTGGTGCTAGATGCAATATAAATCGAGACTTTACTTCTTAAGTGGGCGAACACTTGAGTGAATTTGGAAAAAAGAAGCTGAGAATAATGTGAAATGCCTCAGAACTCTGCGAAGCCAGGGTGTTAGGGCATAAATATTATCGCTCACAAAAATAGAGTTTATATATAGTTCCAGCGCCGTGGTTGGTCCGCATTAAAACTAAAACCCCTCAGCCACACCTGTCCTCAGCCCTACGAGTCAGCGCCCTAGGCACGCTTGTCAGGGCAATCTCCACCAGGTGGTAGGCTTTATCCTGACACCGCCACAAGCGACGGCGTTCGTGACCAAGACGAAGAAACCCCACTAGATGCCCGCTGAACCATAGCTCGGGGTTTATCTTCCCAATATGAGGACAAACTGGAAACGCCTAACCGAGTATAACCGTGTTCCCCCCCCCCCCAAGAGTCTGGATCCGGCCTCACCGCTGATCTCACAAGTCATCTCGCAAGGCCTGTAACAACCGAAAACCCAATCGCAAACACGGGTCAATCCCCATGCCGTTAAGCGAGTCCCACCTATTGACCAGCCCAAGCGCACAGGTAGAGGGGGTCGCCGGCGGGACGCATACGTACATCCGACAGATAGGGGGGACGAACGTATAGGCGAACAGTATTGCCATACAAACAGCGCTACATGTACATACTGAACACTGAACGGAAGATACTATAGGACCCACCGCTTCCAGCTTTCAGGCCCCAAATACAGTTCAGTGGCGCATGATGCTTGCGATTGGACCTCATCAGTCCATAACGGGCGCCCCACGTGGATAAATAAAGAACGGTGGTTGCGTCAGGCAGAAAGTCTCCGCTTCCAAGAATACCCCACAGATGATGTCATGGTTTGGGTCCGGGTTATGCCAGGCAGGGATAATGGGAAATGGCGCGTGCGGGGTTCGGATGTTCTGGTATTGTTTCGGGGGAGATGATTCTAATAGCTTGGAGGGGCAGCGTTGGATGGGCGTGAGTCAGCCGCATCGTCGAAGGACTAGAAGAAGAGGCAATGGGGCACCTAGATCAGGGGGTCCACCAAGCAAGACGGGATGATGCAATGAATTACAGGGGGATCGGCAGTGTCCTATGGATTATTTCCTATCGACGGATCGATGGTCGACTCGGCGCCAAGCTGTTGAATGAGTGGGAGAAGCGGGGAGTCTTCCTGGCGTCGTAGAGACCAGTTGGGGATGAGCAGATGAAGAGGGAAACAGAGAGCCGAGTGTGGGGTTCGGCTAGAGAACCCGTCTATGAGAGAGGATGAAATAAGATGAAACGCCTGTGGCGGCCCGCGGGTTCAATACAGTGTTGAGAAGGGTTTAGTAGCGTGGAATGGAAGGAGATTGGCCGAAGCCCGGGACTCGGAAGGACACGGCGATCTGCTACAGTATAATCTTACACAGAACAAGATGGTGTACGCCAAATCGAACTAACCATATGTGGTGCAAGGTAATTTCGGGGAAATTTCTACTATTTCTCCCTTGCATCCCGAGTGGTAGATTTGAAGTCGCGGGCGGGCCGAGAGCCCAGCCAATGATCGCCCTCGGGTTCTTACATCTATCCCGTCTTTAAGGTGATAGGATGGTTTTTAGCGACTAGGGCGCCGGACCATGGGATATATCGGAGATGGGAGTCGGCAATTGCGGTTCAACCGTGCCCAACTGTCGAGCCCACCACAGCCTTGTGCGTAGGATCTAGTGGTTGGGACCAGCTCCCGGGGAGATGGTGTCCAGGTAGTCGTAATTTACCTTTTGCGGTCTCTACTGTACATACAAGGCACCGTTCGTGTCTTCTTGCGAGTCCGTCACAAGTCCACTGCCGTGCGTACCCCTACGGAATACCCCGAATAACAAGTCAAATATGGATTTTTTAAAGAGCCCTTGCTGCAGAAGTGTACAATGGTCTTACTGTGATAGTGTTGAGATGAAGATCGCGATGGATCAATAGGCGTTGTTTTTGAACCTATGCATCGAATATGTTGACCCCCGTCCCCTGGTGACTATCGATATCAAAACGATTGGTAGCCCATGCAGGTGTGCCCTTGCAAGCACGACCAGCAAGAAGTAAGGGAGGGGATGAGCGTAACATGAATAAGAAGCAGACGCTCGACGAGATAAATAAATGCACTGAGGCCACAATACAGATCGGGATCATGTGGGCCTCAAAAAGAATTCGGGACGGGGTATCAGATTCGTGTGCGTCATACCAAGACCAGATCAAAACAAACCCGGGAAAACAATGAACGCAAAAGCAATATGTGTATATCAAAAGCGTTGCTCCGTGGCCCATCGACTCATATATCACCGTAGGGAATGGAATGCCAACGCCCTGGATGAAACCAAAAACTAAAAATCACGACAAAAAATCATAACGTATAACACAAGGTATCATTGCCCGGAGATTCGTGTATTACCTCCGTATCCAACGCCTTGAGATGAACAATGACCGCCGACCCAATGAAGCATGACAATAAAAGAAATGTGAGACCTAAAATTAGTGGATTCAAAGACCGCAAACTGCGGCAGTCGCAGAATGAGAGATCGGTTGTACACCAGGTACAGCTCAATATCTAGAGAAAGAGATAAAAAATAAAGGCCGAGCGGTAACAAATTAATGATCGTAAGTGTTGGAAAACAGAGTCGAGTCATTATGCGGCCACAAGGTCAGGTGCAAACTGAAAGGCGTCATGATCAAGCCTAGACGGCGCGATGCGGTGCGGCGTAGGTAGATCAATATGTTAATTTGATCTCCACCGAAGAGTCGGGTGTGCGTTCAGGGGACTCGTAAATGTCGGCGATCATGTCTTGTCCTTCCGGAAGCTCACGGACCACATCGTCGTCAACCATTATTCGAAGGCCATTCTGGGTGACATGCATAACGCGCACGATGCGAGTTGGATCAATTTGGTGCTTCTCGGAGATCTTCCTCATCAGGTCCCGGACCGTACGCTCGGTGAGATAGATGGCACGGTAGTAGTCGGGCTGCTGATCAATGCCAGCGAAGCGGACGTAGAAACATGCGACTGAGAGGCTGTTAGCAGTGTACACGAGGTGCTACAGGGGGAAAGGGAAACTAACTCGGCTTGGGTGGACGCTCCGCTGGCGGACGATATGTGGGGTCAATATCAACGGCTTCAATGTATCCCGTGGAGATACCAGAATCTCCCGGTGACACCCGCTGCACCGCCGTCAGGTACTTTGGCTCCTTGAAGCTGGCCAATTTGCTCGCGTGTATTCGAGGCGAGTTTAGAGAGACATTGCTGCTAGTCGGTGAGAGAATGAGAGACTCCATTGATCGCGATGCCTCCGTGTTTTGGCAGCTGAGCGATTCCATCTTCACGGACTCGCCTTCGGCGGGCAGCCGAACAGGGTACAGATCAGGGTCATCCTCCTCATCGCCGCGCAGTGCGAGAACGCTCATAGTGCGGGTAGAAGAGAACATCTCCTGCATCATGAACAGCTTGGCTTGCAGATCATCTTCCAGAGACAATTTTTCTGGCTGTCCATTCTGCGAGCTCATGGACCACGAGCGCTTGTGCTTCGTCTTCGACCGGTCTGATGTTTTGAGGTTTGTCGCAACATTGCTGCCACGCTTGCGCTTGCCGAATCCGCCGCCCATCTCTGCCTGCGTAATCTGCTGCTTGAGCTTCTCAATTGTTTTCTTCACATGTGCGACATCATTGGACAATTTGCGCTCCGCACCGTGGTCACGGAAAAGTTTCACTTTGCAGTAGCATACTTCTGGCTCCCGGGAGGCTCCAGACTCGTCGCCTGGTGATAGGAGCTGTGTCTTCGCGCACAACCGTACCGGGATACCCTTCACACCTTTCGAATGACTAAAATCGGTTGATAGGAAATTGAATCGCACGGGAATGGAACAGCCGGAAGAGCCGGTGGCCGAATTGGCAGTCCAAGTAACGCAGAATCCATCGAAAGACGTTTGCTCAATTTGAATTTGGCGGTGCTTCTGGTCGTCGCCACCTTGGAGCGGGTCCACGTATTCGACTGCCCAAAGCTTGCCTCCGCGCTGGTGCGCCTCGCTCGTGCCGCGACCCTCCTTCCATAATTGCCAACAGGCTGCCGGCTTGGAACGCTGCTCGTCTTCCTCGAATGAGACTCGGACGAAGGTTCGGTATTGCAGCGGCTCGGAGCCAATCATGGGCGGGTTGGAGTCCGTGACGGAGAGATTATATGTTTGACCCTTGTTGAGGTAAGAGATGGGAACTTCTCGCGGATGTTTGACCATCGCTGTCGGGGCCCGCAAGGAGACATTATAGCGGAATCTGGTGCAGGAGCTACTATTAGTAGGGTGGCAAATAGGCCTCGGGGCAGAAGTCACGTACTTTTCACCTTCAGCATAAGCCGGGTTCATTGCAACCGAATAGTCCGTGGAGGTAGATATGGTTGATACTTGATCCATGGGAACGCCATTGAGGGATGCGCTGTCCACGGACTCATCCATTGGTTCGTAGGAATCGCGGTGCATGAATGCGCTGGGTGCGAACGACTGTTGTTGAACATAAGGGTTCATGTCGGGCATATGCTGACCGAGGTACTGCTGATTGAAGTGGTCCAATGTAGACTGGCCGTTGGGCTGGCCCTGAGAAATTGAGTTCGAGAGGGAGAGAGGCGTTATCATGTTCAGTCCCATAGTGGGCGTGTGCAGGTCGCCAGCCTGGTTGTGAAAGATGGCGCCCATTCCACCCGAGTTCGGCGTGAAGAAGCCCGGGTGCTGCCCGGCGAGGGACATCGTGTGCATTGGCTGCGGGTCGATCCATGATTGCGTGAAATCGAGGTCCTGGAGATTCCGGGGGGTTCGCTCGCTAGTAAACTTCAATTCGTGCTCTTCCGATTTCATCTCATGTCCCATGGGTCTATGTCCGTAATTTGCCACATCAGCTCTGAGTCCCGACATGGTGTGATCTGGGTTCACGTACCTGCCCGACATCATCGGATCACCCGTCCCGGTGTGGAGGGAGCCATGCGGCATATCCTGGCTGTCTCGTCGGGGGACGACATCTGCAAATGTTCTTTGGAAGCGGGTGATGAACTCGTCATCGGGCTTCTGGGTGTTATTTCTATGAATAAACAGGCACATGAGTGATAGCTCCTTCTAGCAGACGCGGTATTTCCACGCGCTTAACAACAGGGGACGCACCGATTGCGGAACATTGAGGGTGAGGCTACAGACGCTTTGCGCCGGGGGATACGCAGGAAGCTGGAAAGGTGTCGAGTAGGGAAACAGGTGGCAGGCTAAGATGCCTCATCTGAAGCAGGCTGGTAACGTAAGAGGACGAGCGCTGCGTTGTCGGTGGCTCGTGGAGCGTGGGCAATAGGTGGTTATCTTCCTCCAGTATTCCGATGCCAGGCCGGGCAATCGAGTTCCGGCGGTGATCGAGAAACAAGAGGGCAGTTTTTGGTGATTAAGAGGAGAAGAAGAGGTAAAAGTCGCGATTCGGCGATTATCGTGGAGGATCGGTTAGAATAAGGAGCGTGGGGACGTGCAGGCGCGAAGTTGACGGGGTTGTGGACATATGAGGCTGAAGGGAAAAAAAGCGATGTCCAGGCCAACGGAAGGTCTCGAGATGTCCCAAGATGCCGGTGGCTAGTCGGTGTTGATGGCAAGAATTTCGGAAGGGTGTCGGCGGGGAGGAAGAAAGAGGAACCAAGAAAAATCGGGTGTTGGGTGAATATGGATGGGTATGGGTGAGTAGCGAAAGGGACCCCTTTTAATTCGAAGATGGGAAATGCTCAAGAGGCGAGGGATGAAGGAGGGGTGGACTATATGACGAGCGGACTAAGAAAGGGAAAAGGAAAAAAAAAAAAGTGACGACGGTACGGTCTATGGGGCCCCTCCAATAATGATGTATAGGAATGTGCTTGAGGAACCAACTGATAGTGACTGAGCCACAGTTGGAGAGGTGGTGGTCGGAGGGGGGGGATGTCGTTGGTGGGTAGAGTATGGTTGGGTCAGAGTGGGTAAGGTGAGAGGGCCGGGGAGGGGAGTGAGCCCTCGGAAGATTAGTTGGTTCGCCGAGGCGTGAAAGAAGAGAGATATCGCCACAGGACACTGCCGAAAAGGACCAGCGGGAAGGGGAACGCAAGAGGAGATGGAAAATGATTTAATTAGAAAAATTACGGAAACTATGGAGACCATTGGACGGGGGAATGGAACACAGACCCAAGGAATCGGTGGGGGAAATGAAATGGAAATTGACTGCAAATGAGAACCAAAATGACATTCGAACCGCCCATCTCGAGTACCCAGTGTAATTTACGGTGTATCGACGGTGTATTCCACACATCTCGCACAGGGTGTAGTACAGTAATGGTAGGGAATAGAGGATATGGAAAATTCTCCAGACAGTTACTGACTCATGAGAAACTCTTCGAAAGGTTCCAAAAGACACCTCCATTAGCCGCTCGTGAATGACGTCAAAAGCATCATCTACTTCTGCCCTCTGGGCCCGAGGATCCCAGGGGAACTTTGGACCAGCCGGATGCACTCCGCCTATCGATAGAAAGGGAGTACCAGCCCTCCGGGTTCGGCCTCCCCACACCAACGCCACACTTTGCTAACGGCCGTGCCTTGCGGCCTGACGGCAAGATCAATTCACAAAAACGCTTTCCTCCAAGAGCTCTCCCCAGAATAGCCCACCTACCGTTCTATCACAGCCAGAATGGTGTTCGACAACAAGGGGATCATTGGTGGCGGCCGGTGGCTTGAGTGGCGGTGCACCCGCATGGAGAGTGCGCCACATCTTCTCTTCACAAATCAGATAGGGCGGATATGCGACTCCAACCGCCCCAGATGATGCAACGGGTATGAACCGCACAGGCAACGAGATTGTTCGAACGCATTTGCCGCAGCCCACAGAAAGAAGGTTGCTCGTTAGGTGTGGCGTGCGGCTACAATGCCCATGGAACGAGCCATGGAGGCCATGCTCAGCGTACATTGATAGGTGGTTGCTGGGCCCGGGGAGTACACCGTAGACAGTCTCGACGTCATGATGGACTGATATATCTAGATCGGTCACTTTGCTGCGCCTACAACGCTTCTGATTGAGCATTGGAAAAAAGCATGACACCACTGGTCGTACTGCGTGCCGGTGTCAATGATCTCAAGCAACAGCAGTGGACGACCCCGATGTGATTCGGCGTGGATCGGCGGAATGTCCGTTGGCTTCCCCTGGGATTGTACCTGTTCGGGTTGTTACTTAACCTGGCGAGGTCCCGGGTTTGTGGCTGGTCCGACTGCAGGTGGAAGTTGTTCCTTGGGCGGTTTCAATTGGAGACTCTGTACTGCTGGGGTGTTTCAATGCATGCTGTCCATCGCAGACTCGACGTTGAAACGCAGCGCCCGTATCGTTCAGACCCCAATACAGCAATACGTAAGCGTGACTATACGATTCGCCCGTGGAGTCAGGCTGGCTCATTGCTGGAATGAGAACCCGCCAATCAGATGGCTGGTATCACTGCCCGGATGGCTCGATTACGTACCGAAAACAGTACCGTACCAATTGAGCCTCGGACTTCGGTGCGCCCATGGGCTTCGATGGCTTTTCTCGTGGCTTCCGATTGCAGCATTTCGCTGGATGATTTGTGCTTGGATGGGTTCGTTCAAAGTTACGTACAGAACTGCGCCTACAGAGTCCCATCCAATACGCGTTCATTTTCCATGTCCGGAGAACAATCTTAGATCGATCGAGATCTTACACTTCTTACACTACAACCCCCAGTAGAGATGGATCGTGGCCAATCTACCTAGTGGCCCGCGCTTCCATTCGCTGCAAACTGACTCCGGATAGATTCCGAAGGGAACAAATGGCTGAAAAGGCAGTGTCCCGATGCGGTAGGGTTACTCGCCGCTCCTCCCGAGAAAAAGACGAAACCCCCGAGACACGTCCACGACCGTAAGTAATACTCGGTGTTTAGCCCGAGCGTCTGCTAAACGCTTAACAGTAAGCAATGGGACCCACAGGCATTCACCACGGGCAACCCCAGTGGAATTTCGCATTTAAGCTACGAGCTACGTACAGACGACGGTAATAACCGCTAAAGGATAACTGCTGTTAGCTCGCCGATCTTACGAGACAAATGGAAAATGCTTCCAATAGGCCCATACGCGCCATCATTAGCCATAAAGCGGTACATACGTTCTGCTGCTCAAGTCACTGTTCACTCCGTACCGTCTCTTGTGCTTCGTGTACGAAGTACAGCTTGAGTGATGCCCTATCGAGCGTCTCCCTTCCCAAGGTCACGCCGGGCAAGCCACCACAACTACCCCGACCCAGCGTCAGGACTGCTCTCTGCATCGAGTTACACGGAGCATTGGATGAGAGGAAAGGGATCCCAGCCCGGGCTCGAAGCCACCCCGTCATGGGTGTTATCGGGGTGTGGGGGGGGGGGGGAGGAGAGAGGGAGGCGGGGAGAAGGGATGGGGGACCAAGGGACAGACGCCACCGGGGGGGATTAAAAAATGCGGTCCGAGGGAACCGACGGTTCGACGGGATGTGGATGGGATTGTGTTTGTTGGCACTGCCATATCCATGGATATACATTTCCGCGGATATACATGAATCAGAAGGTAATCTTTCGAGGTGACAGGCAGCGATATATATGGACTTTTCTGATGTTTGTCGACACCTTTTGAAAAGCACATTGGGGTACATCGCGCCCGACGGTATGTCAGTGCGACGCTGGTTGGCCGATCGCTCCCTGACAGGTACAGCGGAGGCTTGAGTATGGCGCGTCCTAGCCACGGTGGGCGTTTGCTAGTCCGGCGGACGAAGGTTGAGTGTCGGGGGTCCGGGTCAAGCAGCCAGCAAAGCATGCTGCGAACTCGTGCGACATGGCACCATGATGCCGATCGCAGCCATCGCAGCCATCGCGGTCTCAGACCTCCGTCTATCGTCGGAGTATTCACCATATTCACCACGACAGCGAGGCCCAGCAGATATGCATCCAGTCGTAGCCCGCGCGGGCGTGCAGATCCCATACGGCATCAACGCCAAACGGCGGCGGGCGAGGGACAAAGCTGATACATGGCCACGCAGCAGCAAAGCGGCTGCTTTTTCCACCTCGTTTGAAAGACAGTGGCGAGGATCATCTAGCTGTACCGAGTCGCTTGAGCATCCTGGGCGCGGGCGGTATCGAGCATGTGGGACCAGGCTTCAACTTGTAGCCAGTCATACTATCGAGAGGTTTTGCCACGTCGGACTGAGGCACCCGGCTTTCCGTGGGGAGCTCGTCCGCCACACGCCACATCCGCCACAGACGGCAGGCGCTGAGGTACTTTGGTGCTTGGATGCTTTTAGTCTCTGACGTACCCTCCTTCCTGGGAAGGAAAAGTAAACGTCAGCCACAGGAATGCTATGGGTCCGCTCGTCCTCCAGGTCCACCGAGCCATTCGGAAGAAAGTTCTCCGTACTGAGAGGCTTCAAGCCAAGTACTTTACTTTCTCCGCGGACAGAGGAGCTGGCGGGGACCGGCAGCGCGGGCGGAGTCCCCAATCAGGGCTTGTGGAAGAGGCGACGGAAGAAGGTGTGGCGAACTCTGATGGGACACCTGCATCTCCGAATGAACACCGGCAGAAGTAAGCTGGATGCCAAATGGAGCATGACAGATGGCTGTGGCGAGCATTCAATGACTTCACGGTTCCCAAATGAGAACCACAGTGAGCAACTGCGATTACTGACTGGCTGATACCGTCCTATCCAGAACCTTCACTGGGATGACCTCGGGAGGTCCACACTGTCACGGTGCACGTACAGGGATGGGGCTACATTGTGAAACTCCCTGCTCTGTCGATCTGTATCTGGACCCCACAATCTGTTCCAATCGATTGGCTCTCAGTGCTTGGGCTGAGAATCCGGTCAATCACCTTTGCCCCGACCTCCCTGGCGTGCAGCCTCGATGTACACTTATGTACGGAGGTGCATTTCAAAAGTTCGGCGTCGCGCACCGACCACCACCTACTACACTAGGCGATTTTTAGCTAGATTATATTGTATTGTATTGTATTGCCTATAGCCTACCCTCTTTATATTCGTTACCACCATCTAATTCGATGATCTTTTTGATATGCGTAGGGATACGCTCAATCCAACGCTGGATCTTCTCCTGCGGCATCTCTCGCCATGCAGCTTGCCAAGCAATATAGGCCTCCTGCCTACTCTTTGGTGCGCCTTTCTTGGTTGTAACACGTTTCAACCAAGGCCAGGCAGGCTCAATTGGATTTAGATCAGGCGAATTGCCACACCAAATTAGCCGATTAACCTTAGCTGCATCAAAAACACGTTGTTGGATATAGTGGCTATGTGCCGGTGCTTTATCCTCTTGAACAAGCGTATTCGGCCGTTGAATAGCGCATTCCTTTGCAAAAGGTAATAGCTTTGGTATCAAAATCAGTTTTTGATATCGATACCAATCAATTCCACCCTTACGACCACGACCAAGCTTGCCAGTTTTCTGGTTAAATTTCCATATAGGCCTTTTACCAGCAGGTTGTCGTCGAAGATTCACACGACGCATCTGCGTTTCAAGCTCCCAATCAGCTTTTAAAATAGGCTCAATCTCGCAATTTAATTGCTCAATCTCTTGCTCAGATTCACGTTTCTCTTGCGCAGTTTCAGGTTTCCAACAATGATAAGGGCCTTTTTTATCATAGGTAAAGCAGCCCCAAAACATGAATTCACAAGCGCCTTTCCAACGCTCACGAATACAAGATCGAACAAAAGCTTCATCCTTAGAACGCCAAACTCGATAGCTACCACGTCGATGTAGTAGAATAACCGAAGTTTCATCGGACCAAATCACATTCTTCCAATCATCAAGTGTCCAAGCTTGGTGTTCAAGACACCAAGCAAGCCGATCAGCTTTCATCTTCTTCGTCAACCCAGGCTTCCGAGTTGGCTTCGTCTTGCGTAGGCCGGCGTTCTTGAGGATACGCCAAATAGTAGCAGCAGAGATAATGATTCCTTCCTTGCTAAGCTCACCAGCAAGATCAGCACAAGATTTCTCTCGGCCATAACGATCCAGACGCACCTTAGATAGGATAGTCGTCGTTGTTGGTTGGTCTTGCTTAGTTGGCCGGCCAGTACGTTGGGCGTCTTGTACAAAAGCATCTTGAATATTATTATGATTAACCTCAAAGCCTCGCTCGATTGCGCGTGCGTAGATCTTGTTGACAGCTGAGATAGATAGATTGGTAATCGTAGCAATCTCATGCGAAGATTTGCTAGTGTAAGCCTTTAAAGCAACCACGGTTGCTCTTGTGGCGATATCTGGCTGTTTTGGCATATTTTGAATAGCTCGTAGGTTGGTAGGTAGGTAGGCAGGTAGGTAGGTAGGTAGGTAGGTAGGTAGGTAGGTAGGTAGGTCGGTCGGTCGGTCGGTCGGTCGGTTGGTGGTAGGTAGGTGGCTATGGGAAGATAGAAAATAATATTATTAGGGGTAGTTCGACGTTACTGTGTGTATTCGTCTGTTCGATATGACTAGTGGTAAATATGGTGGTCGGTGCGCGACGCCGAACTTTTGAAATGCACCTCCGTAGAGTCTCCTTAATGAGCAACACAAATACCAAGCGGATACCTTTTGCGGTGCGGGACAGAACGATTCGTCATTGGTGTGGCTGCCAGGTGATATGTGGGATGACCTCAGTTCGAAACTGGCTGTTCAGGTCCAATTGGGATGTGATGTCAGGGTGCAGGAAGCGGCTACGCGATCGTCTACCGTTTACTGTGTTTGGCAACCGGGATTACTTTGGTGAGAACGGAGCTGGACACTCGTTCCACGTGATATTACCCATGTATAAACTGTCTGCACGATATGAATGCCCCTTGTACAAGATGTCCCAATACGGTGTTGTTCGTGCTCAAATCAACCACCGTATGCGATCGACCCGCCAAAAAGAGAAAAGAAATAGTACAATGAGTAAATGCCATCGCAACAATACCGCCCGCACAACGCCTGTCAGTGACAACAGAAGAGGAAGTATATGCACAGAGGCAGCCCTCAGCCGGACAGAACCGTGTGGAGGCGTGTTCGCTGACCTCGGGCCAGCCCGGTCTCCCAGAACGATGATCCGATCGCGGGAAGAACAAAACAAACCAAATAACTGGAAAGGAAGCGAAGACGGGACCGTCAAAAAGGTAGCGTACGATACCAATAAACAGATCAAGGTCAATGTTGGATGATAAGAGAGAGACCATCGATCCAAGAGGCACTGGAGCCTGCGACTCCGGCAATCTTATATCCGAGCGGCGGGATCAAGGTGTGGCTGTCAAGATTGAGATGATTAGCATCCGATGTCTCGACCCGCCGGGGGTCCTCGACCCATTCCATTCTCTTACCCTGATCCGCCAGCGGCGTTTCCATAGAAGCCGGACTTCCTCCCCAGGCTGGTAAGAATCTCGATTCCATCAATCCAGAGCCCAGCTCGGACATAGAACCCAAGCAGAATCTCCCCACGGCGGGTGTCTGAAGTGGGTTAGCAGGTGTTTCCCCCAGGAATGTCATGGAATTTGCTTACCGAGAACGAACTCGTCACCACCAGGTTTACCGCCCCGCTTGCCAAACAGTTGGCTGGTCGAGTCTTCGTAGCAGAATTCAATCCCATCCACTGCAGATCCGTGGTATACCTTCACAGACGTCAAGAGTTTGGTCTTAATAAATGCACATTCAAGAAGTAATTGCTCGGGCTCGCTGCCTTCCATCGTGGAGCAGCCCAGCGTACCACTTTTATAGCCGGACTGGCCTTTCGGAAGCTTGACCAAAGAATCCTTGGACTTCAAAGCGCCCACGTCCTCAACGGTGTAGCTTCCCAGAGCACCCGAGAAGACCACCATCCGGATCTTCTTCTTCTTCTCCTTTTCACTGCCAAACACTTGTTGCCGCAGCTCGTTCTCGGTGATGGTGACTTGTTTTGGAAGACCGTTGCTGCTTGACTCGCTGTTCACATATTCGATGAAATGACGACAAACGCTGTCACCCTCCGCATATAGCTCCACAAATGCAATGCCTGAGGAGGCCGTAAACAAAATCTTTCCGTGTTCCACCGGCCACACTTGAACACTGTCATCGTTGATCGCGGAGCTGTCGCTAGGAAGGCGGAAGCAAGGATGAAAGCGGAAACGGAGCGCATCCAAGCGATGCCATCCACACTCATCATTCGGTAAGCATACCTTCAGCCCCGGTGCCTTGGTGCGAGTACAGAAAGGCTCCTTGATCAAGAAGGTCCGATTTAAACGCACATAGTCCCGGAGCATAACACCGGATTCCTGGTGTGGGCACCCGAAAAGATGTCCGACCTCATGCAGGTGCGCCCCAATCCCCAGATTCGCGGATTCCCAGTTGGACCCGGCGTCACCACAGTCGTTCGCCACATAATTAGTATCCGTTCGAGTGCAGTCCGAAAATGCATCCACCACCTCTTCGAGACATGAAGGATAACTTTGGAGGCAGTGGGATCCGAAAATGGCCATCTTGATATCGTCGTCATCTGAGCCCAGGGCGGCATGGCCCGTAATAGTCTGTGCCTGCGTATCCCAATGAGAGTCGAGCAGGAGAACAGAGACATATTGTTTTTGGCCAGGCTGTGGGCTGAAATGCTTTCGCACAGCGTCCTTGGCGATGGCAAACAGCTCATCCTTTTTCTGGGCGGCGTCACACTGTTGCGCGATGTTGAGATCCCGTAGTTCGGCTACTGTTTTCTCGGTGCGAATCACGTGGATCTTCGCTTCATTGCGCATCTGTCCCATCGTTGAATCGCGTCGACTGAGACTGCCCGACTGCCACTCCTCCTCGAAACGAAAGCAACGCCGCCCAAAATTGTTGCGGAACATTTGCTCCCCTGTGAATGCTTGCCATAAATAGGCCGCTGTTCGGTACTTTCGAATTGCCGTCTCCAGGCCATTCCCTTCGCGCTCCGCTCTCTCAGGAACCGCGTCGTAGGTTCCGTCCGAATCCTTACCGAGTAGAACGACCAGATGCAACGGCGGGGAGTTGACCAGCGGGAGGTAGTTGATGCAAATCCAGGCCGAGTGGATGACCGGCTGAGTGCTCCCCGAGGATAGCTTCGGTGACACGAAGTCGAAACGCAGGCGATTGGGACCAGGAACGAGGTGCACTAAGGTTTTGAAGTGCGAGGCCGTGACGGGCCAGCCGATCGACGGGAAATTATCTTGATGGTGATAGACCGTGATCGTTCCATCCAGCGAGTGATGTCGCGGATCTCCAATCTGGCCGTATATAAGCAGGACTTTTTGATGGACCTAAAAGCCATTGTGTGAGCTATTTCCTCCGTATACTACGTGGTCGTTGGTGTCTGCGAGAGCTACTGACCCACGAGTTGTCAGCGATCGACACCAGTCTTGGCACGTAAGGCGAGCTTGGTGTCGGCGAGCGGTATAACCCATTGATCGATGAGGAAGAGCTGCCCTGCACATGGAAATCTCACATCAGCTCCGAAATGGCGCGACATAACACCAGAGACAAATACATACCACGACGCTGTTCCGCTGCGGATGGGTCACGAAAGGTCCTGGCCGTTGTGGGGCGGGCGGGAGAGGTGTGCTCGGGGTGCTGCCGTCATTGGATTCGACTAACGAGGGAAGATTGGGTGAGGAGAGCGTGGGCTTGATCGAGGAGGGCGGGGTGATGGAGGTGTGGGAGGAGGTGTCGATCGTAGAGGTGGATTTGCCCGAGACGACTTCCACCTTATGCGAGGCGCTCTTGGAGTCGGCCGCATGGAAGCTCGCTTTCGAGCGGCGGCGCAGCTGCTTGAGAAACGACATGACGAGGCCAGTACGGAGGAGGTGTGGTACCAGCAGAGATGAGTAGGCCAGGAACTTCTCGCCAGGAGAAGTCGAACCAGGCCCCTTCAGCCCTGGCGGTGGGCAACTGCCGTAATTGGGGGAGTGGGAGTTGGGGCGTCAGGAACAGGAGAGCACGACCGTTTGCGGGTGACGACGCTGGAGCCGCCCCGCAAGAACCCGGAGATGGCAGGTTGCGCGGGAAAAGGAGGCAGGGGCGAGAGGAGGGAAAGGGAGCACGTCCAGATTCAATGTCCAAAAAACTCAGAACCCTGCCAATGGCTCCAAAGAGAGAAGAGAAGAAAGAAAAAACAAGGAAAACAAAGGCTCCTAGTTAGTTCGGGGGCCATCTGCTGAGACGAGTACACGGTGTAATCAACCAACAACCACCAACCTCCCACGAGGCAGCCCAAGCCAGCTAGCTAGCTAGCTATACTTAGCACGCAAACTCAACAGGCCCTCGGGCTCCAATTGCAGGCCCATTACGTACCCCCGCCCTCACGGCCATGATGTCTGTCGCTAGGAGTCGCAATGTCTCACCGGTGGATATTGAATGATCGCCCTACTGCTCCTAGCTCTGACGCTAGATCTGGGCTAACCATCGCATACCAAGGCATGTTGGAGGCCCGTGGATGGGGCTACCCCTGCTGTTTCTGGCTTATTTGCGGGCTCACAAAATGCTCGTAGCTGATTCAACGATTCCACGATGCCACGTCTGAGGTGTATCTCATCCTCCACCTCCACGGCCTGTTGCAGAAGCCAACTGGCTCCCGTGCCGTTGTCGCGGTCGTGATAAGTCGTGATCCTCTGACTGGACCCCCCCTCGGCTGGCTGGCGGCTGGGTCGACGCTGATAACGCAAACTTGCTTCGGCTTCCAGTTATGCTGCATGTTCGGATCTTCAATATTGTTGGAGCTTCTCAGCCCCGGCGCCCAGAGTCCCCACTCTCTTAGCCTGCAGGTCACTTCAGTCCTTCAGTACGGGCGACACCGGCCATCGTCCAACACAACCGGACTCGGTAGGTTGCCATCTCTGACGAATGCCCAGCTGCCAATTCCATTCCCAAGCCGGGGGCCTTCCTTGGTCGGACGGCCCTCTCCCAATATTGACGCCGGCCCTAAGCCCGCATTAGTCTGCCGCAAGACACGCGATCTGTGCATTATCTACTGGACTGGGGCAATTGTTGCCGCTGATACATACATGGCACGGCACCTCCACGTCTGGTTCGCATTGGGGTCTCGAGATCCCTGGAACTAATCAACTATACGGAGTACTCCGTCCTCTAACCAGCTCCTTTTCATCCCCGACCCGTGGTCCACCGGGCTGGAAATGCCATCCCCACGATCGGGAGTCGCGATAGTGTTTTTGCTGGCTCGAGCTATTGACAAGCCACCGGAGCTTGCTTTTTCCCCAATTGACCCCCATCTCTTCTGCTGTTGCTCGGTCACATCCCTCCCAAGAAAACAACCAAGAATACAGAATACAGAATACAGAATAACAGAAAAAATTAAGTCTGGCATCCAGATTGGGGGCAGAGTCTGGAGACTCCAACACCCTTCCGGCGACTTCAACCGCACGGCGTAGACGCCCAGCATACCGCACCGATCACAGAGCGCTTGGAGGAGAATGTCTCCTTTCTCCTCCAGGCGATGACATCAGGCAGGGTGCCGCATGCTACTGGGGTCGCCAATCCCGGCATGGCAGTGGATCGGAATCTTGGTTGGCATTCCGGATCGTTTCTAGGGGGAGCCAGGCCCACACTGAGGTTGGCCAGGAATTTGCCATGCAAATTTCAGGTCCTTTCCACAGGCCCAGAGGACCAAACCCAGAGCCTGGAGCTTGGAGCTTGCGGAAGTGGGGGCACTAAAGAACGAGGCTGGCGAGCCCACTAGGCCGCTGGATAGATCGAATTTTTCGGCGTGTCAGGGTCTCAGGCAACATGACAGGCGAGAAGAATTCTCCGGCAAACTCTTTGACAATGGCGAGTAAGCAGTGTATACACCGTTGGTCGTAGTCGTAGGAGATGGCGGGGAAGAAGCAGGATCAGCCAGCCCGGAAGGAATCGCGGGAAAACGCGTGCAAACCTGCAAACCTGCGCGGCACGCGTTTTCTCGTCACCCTCAGCTGTACACAACCCGGCCCAACTTTGACCACACGAGCATTTACTCCCTCCCCCAGAGAATAAGATCGCAATTTAAATTGGCTATTCCACCTGCTCTCATTTGCCCAAAAGTCGATCCCGGGCTAAGCGGATCCATTTTCGATCGCCAATTGGCTCTCTCCCTTCCCAGCCGCCCTTGCCTCGACTCTAGTGACTTCAGCCCGACCCTGCAAAGACCATCCTTTCTCTGCTTCGAGGGGCTTTCTTTCTGCTCACTGCCCACCATGACCCTGTCGTCGCAGCCTAGCTCGGCGGAGAAGGCTATCCGCAAGATTGACATCGCTCAGGTATGAAATTCTCGTTCTTATGCACTCACCAAAAAAAAAAAAAAATGGAAAAGAACACGAATTCAGCTGGTGGGCCCTCAGAGGTGCAGGTTGCATCCAGGCTGTCTGCGCCCTAGGAAACAACTCCCAAGGGACAGCTCGACTAGAAAAACTGGAGAGAAAAACGGAGGAACCAACCTAGCTGACTCAAACTGCCCCTTCGCAGGTTTCTCTGAGTCTACAGGACCGACTCGGCCTCGCCAAACTCAAGTACCAACATGGCCGGCTTCATGGTTTGATGCCGACTCAGGACAGCAGCGACAAGCCCTCCGACTCCTCGTCCAACTTCTCTCGCAGCCGCTGCGAGACCCCGATGACCTCCCCTCCCCTCCGAGCCGCAACTTATTCCAAGGAGCTGCCTCGGTCGGCCCGCAACAAGCATGCTGTCACCTTCAATTCTCGGATCATGCAGCCCATGCTGTCGGCCAGCCGCAAGCGTGTCCGGGCCGATTCTGATGCTGAACGTCCGGCCAAGGCGGCTCGAGTGTCATGGAAGAGTTCCTACCAACTCCCGGCGTCCTCTCCAGGCCTCAATCGGCATCTGACAAGCCGGCGAACTCATGTCTCCATGTCCGAAGCCACGATCCCCGAGCTGTCCTCCCCTGCATATCACGGTCCCTCTGATGAGGAGAACGACCCCGATCTCCCTCTACATAGCTTCCAGCATGTGAGCTCCATGGTGGGCTCTTCGCCCCCTCGGACCCCACCTCCCAAGCATGCCCGCTTGTCCCGGGGTGACCGTCCCTCGCAGCACGAGGATGGAGCCGATCTGCTTTTATACCTGGCCAATTCGCCCACTCCAGCCCGCATGGCCGGCGGCTCGCAGCAGGTGTTCCCACCTTCCACACCACCCAGCCAGCATACAGTCCTGCCGACCCTCACTCCCAACCTGGGGACTCCAGGCCAGCAGTTCAACTTTGCTGATTTCGTCAACGTGACTCCCAGTCCGGCTCAGCCTGCATGGGGAGGCCGTACTCCGGGCAATCCGGCTCGTACGCCTCTTTCCACTAAGGATGCCCGCAAGCGACTGAACTTTGACGCGCTAGTTCCGCCCAGTACGTCGAGTCCCCGCTTTCGTGGAAATGAGAGCGGACTGGCTCTGCAGCTTGGTGGCGAGCTACGGCCTTAAAACTGGACCGCTCCTTATCTACTCCAATTCTTTGTCTATACCTGCCCCGCTATCCTTTTTGCTGATTTCCTTTTATGACGGCTTAACGATTCTTCTATGTTGCACGTTCCACATTTGCGGTGTTCTGTCTCCTTTGTAAACCCCCTTGCTGTCTGGACCGAGGACCTTCTGCATCTTCATCCCGAGGTATCCCATTACTTTCACAGCACCTTTCCATCTCTGCATTCATGGCGTTCGACTATTTCCCATGCCCTTGCAGGGCCCGAGTCCTGCATTTCTCTTGTTATCACGAATCACGTTTCGTTTTTTCTATTGCCCCCCGTGAATGTTTCTTCTGTCATATGGCATGTTCTGCCATTCATTGCATGTGTTCTTGTCTGTGCATCCAACGTGCCTTGTGACGATATTTTGCACCTCACCACCGATTGCCGCTGGTGACCAGGCTTCCTAATCCAGTTGTGTATTTAGTCCAATTCTGAAGACTGATGACGAGTCTGCTCGAGTTTTGGCACAAAAACGCAACATGTATCTAGCGTCTTGATAAATCAAGTCCATGTCAGGTTTATTGTCAGTGTTGACTGCGTGTATATCCATTCCTCTATCCTGTCAAGGGACCCATGTAGAACCCATTCCTGCAAACAAGGTAAGATCTCTTGATGCGGAGGTCTTGTGAGGTTCACTCCTCTTGCCACCCCAATCGCTCCACTCCACTCTCACCCTCACCCTCACCCTGAACTTGAGCCTTGTCCCCCTGCTTCCTCCACAACAGCGCCAAATAGTCCGACGTAGTCGCCTCATCAATCGACTTATCCTCTCGAACCTTCAAAAACCGCGGAAACCGCAGACTCAACCCCCGCTCCTCACTCACCAACCCAATCGCCGCCGTATACGTCGGGCTGAGCGTGATATCCGCAAACGCCATCTCCCACACCTCCTGCGGCTCAAACCACACGTCCGGCTCGCCGTAGTACTCCACGTAGCTGGGCCGCGATATCACGTTCGGATAGCCCGGAGCATACTTGTCTTTGTTGGACTGGTAGAATTTGTCTGTGAAGCCGGACATGCATTTCGTGACGGCTTCGAGGGATCCTGTTTCTGGGTTGCGGACGGCGAGAAGGATGGGGGACCACCATTTGGCTTTGCGGCCGTTGCCGTGCCAGCCTGCGACGGGGATGAGGTCGAGGGTTTCGGAGGAGGTGCTGTAATCCTTTTTCACTTTGAGCCAGGATTCTAGGCGCTTGTCTGGTTCGTAAGTGGAGAGGAGGGCTTTGCGACGACCGCTCTTCTCTTTGAGGATTTTGGTGCCATTGTTTGCTTCTGGTGGCTCGAGTTGATTGTTCTTGTCTGTGCGGTCTGTTTGATCGGTGGCTTGGACAGTGTCGTTGGTCCTTGTCACATTGTCGAGGACTTTGACCATAATGCCTTCGCATTTGGCATCAGTTGCGCCTTTGAAGAACTCAAGTACCGTCTCAGAATCGGCGGACGTCGCATCCAGATGTTTGACCCAGGTGAACCTGGTCGGGATATCGACGAAGAGACTCCGGAGCAGCTCGCGACGTTCCCGGAATGACCGATCCAGCAATGGTTCTCCGTTGAGATACATCAAGTCAAATGCAAAAAGACAGACATTGACTTTGATAGCCCCGATCTCAACGTTCTTCTTTGCGCGGTTGGTGAGTGTTTGGAAAGATTTCAGATCGCCGGTCTCGCTGTCCACGGCCACGACTTCACCCTCGAGAATGAAGCTGGAAACGCTTTCACCACGGATTTGAGGCACCAAAGACACGAGGTCGGGGTATTTATCCGTCATGAGCTCCAGGTGTCGAGAAAATATCGATACCTTGCCCGATATATCGCAATGTACTTGGGCGCGTTGTCCGTCATACTTATATTCACAGCTGAAGTTTCTTCCTTGAAGCTTCGTCAACATATCTGACAGGTCGCGTGTGATGCTTCCTAGCATAGGTCGCAATGGAATATGCAGCACCAAGCCACAACGAACGAGAAGCTCATCCGTCACGCCAATCTCCAAAAGACATGGCACAAGATCGTTGTAGTTTGGGTGCCTTGCATAAGATGCTTTGACCAGTTCTTCCGCATTGGTGTAGATTTCGGCGAGCTCGTCTTTTTTAAGCGTGCAATCTCATGTTGCGACCGGATCGTGAACTCGGCGCCATCGGGCTTGGAGTGAAGGAATGCGCGAGCAAGAGCAATGAGCATGGTAGTTTTGACGGCGCCGATTCGCAGGTTCTGGACTAGAGTCCTCACAATATATCGGCTCTCCTCCGCACCTCGAGTATCCTGCAGGAGTTTCTCGACTATTCTTTGTTTTGTCTCTTGGCTACCAGATCCTTTGCTAGTAGCGATCTTCAGTAGTGACCGGTACACGCCCTTGATCTTGAGTGGCTTCGGCTTGGCCAAGGTAAAGGCCTGTCGTTTCTTTGCCTCAAACGCGACATCGCCCGCATCGCCATGTTTATTGTAGAGAGACTTGAGGCCTTGATTATCAAGGCCGTATATTTTCTTTAGGGCCTTGGAGATGGAAGAGCCTCCTAGTCCAAGCTCTATCTCCTCGTAAGGCGGCGAGATGGAGTTGGTTGCTAACCACACCGCAGGAAGCAAGCTGGACGGGTCCCCTTCGATCAAAACGCGGAGGAAATTGACCAACGTATCAACAATTTTGATCCTGCTTGTGGTCGCATTGGCAAGCACGAATGCCCTTGTGAGAAGCGCGTAGGAAGCATCGCCGCCCTCAATGGCCCAATGCGACCGTAACTCAGCGGCATATTTGCCGGCGTCAAAGGTCTGCGGGCTCTGATCAAAGGGCACTGCAAGTGACACAGTATCCTCTGTACCAGCAGAGGATTGTAAAGACAGCGTATTCTTCTTAGGTGTCGTTGGAGTCGCCGGAATCGCATCAAACGGTATTGTAGGCGCCGATGGAGCCGGACTTACTCCAGGCTTTGCTGCGACAGCGTGGTTATTGTCTGTATTCGCAGGTTGTGCGATTTCTTCTTTATCCCATTCTGCCTGAAGCTTTCGTGCCAAAGCTTCATCCGCTAAGGTCCCTTCAGTCACCTCCGGCTCCGGCTCAGCCTGCTGTGCCTTCTTGGTAGCTTGCCCCTTGAAGAACGATTCAATACTTCGCATCTGCTGCGGCGAGGATTCAGCGTCATTTCGTTTGCGCTTTTTAGCTGGGCTTGACATGTTTTCATTGCGTGGATCTTCCAGGGAAGCAACGCAATTGCCACTGGAGCTGGGGTTGCGGATGCCAGAGGTATCCGTACGTCAGTCCGCAAAGGCGGGGAGCTTAACAATCGCGACACCGTTGCGCTTCTGCCAATTATTTTCCTCCACAACCATGGCGCCTCCCACGTCCCTGTCGTCGCACGAGCGGACAAGGGTAGAGGACTATCTGAATGACAAGATCCAGGTTTCTGCTGATCTTGAAAGCCTGGATTCATTGCTCTCCAGCCTCCGCGCGCAACAGGAGCTTCAACGGAAGCAGGTACACTCCCTCCCTCTTCGTTCCCCGACGCCGAATCTCCACTGGCACATGCGACTAACACAGCGGGCAATTAGCTATCGGAAGCGCAAGAAGCACTCTCAAATGCGACCAAGGCCTCTAACGACCATGCGGAGGCCACGCGAATGCGTGCCGAGGCATTTGCGGCAGAGCAGGCGGACATCGATCGGCGGCTGAAGGCCATCACACCATCGCAGACTACCGATGAAGCGGTACGGCGGCTCGAGAATGGGATGGAAAGACTGCAGCTACTGGAGCTTTCCAAGGGGTATGTGGAGCTGCTGAAGGAGGCCGAGGAGTTAAGGTAAGAGTCGCCGATGGGTGGACAACAATAACGGATAGAGGCTGAAGACTGCGATACAGCAAGGAAGCTCTCGCCAGCATATCCTCGGATCCTCGTGCCTCTTTGAAACCCTATGCTCGACTGCGAAGTATCGTGCTGTCTCTGAAAGAAGCTCAGCCTGCTGCCGAGGGAGCTGCCCCTCATCTTATCGACTATACGGAGAAGTTGGCGTCCGCTCTGCGACTGCAACTCAAGACTTTCTTCAGCAATCGACTCCAAAAGACACTCGAGAGTTTGAAATGGCCGACGCACGAGCTGAACATCACCGATAAACTGCTGGGTCAATGGAGGCAGGATGTTGAGCTCTTGATCGATTTGCAGATGCCGTATGTGGATCGTTGACAAAATGATGGATCCCTTTCTAATAAATATGTCTAGGGAGCTTGAATGTCGCGATGTCCTGGATATTGCTAACAGTCTTGTGCCGCCCGCTCTGTTCCCCTTAGAAGTGATGGTGCATCCGCTAGACCTACGGTTCAAGTACCACTTTAGCGGTGACAAGCCAACAAATCGACTGGACAAGGTGAATAGTCTTACCTCGTCGAGAGTTTACATTGTCTAATTTTCTCTATTAGCCCGAATATTTCCTGGCCCACATTATGGATCTTATCAACCAGTTTGGTGGTTTCTTCACGTCATATCTGCAACCAATTCTCGATGAAAAAGCACAAGTCGCCGGCCCAAGCTTCGAATGGAACTTCTATAATGCTCTGCATGCCTTCATCACTGCATTGCTTCCCATGCTGAGACAGAAGATCGAGTCCTTTCTCCCACAAATCGCAAACCATCCTCGGTTGCTCAGCCATTTCATCCACGAGTTGATGAGCTTTGATAACGACCTCCAGGAAACATGGAACTATTTGCCAGACCCCTATGCGGAGGAAAACTGGAAAGGAATAACCTGGGAAGTCCTCACAAAGCAAGGGTGGTACGATCGTTGGCTTCAGGTGGAGAAAGAATTCGCATTGGCCCGATACCAGGATATCATCGACACCCCAGATAGCGGAGAGATCGACTACGATGGAGTTGAGATTACAGCTACCAAGCCTACCAAGGCCGCCATCCGAGTAAATGACCTGCTGGAAACTATTACCGAGCGTTATCAGCCATTGTCATCCTTCAGCCAGAAGCTGCGCTTCCTCATTGACATCCAAATTACCATCTTCGACCAGTTCCACGAGCGTCTCCACGAGGCATTGGGCGCTTATCGGACAATGACTTCCACTCTTGGCCGTACAGTCCAGGGATCTGACGGGCAAGCCAGCGTGGAGGGCGTGGCGGGTCTTGAACGGCTCTGTAGGGTTTTCGGCAGTGCCGAATACCTGGAGAAAAAGATGGAAGATTGGAGCAATGATGTTTTCTTCGTTGAGCTCTGGACCGAGCTCCAAGTACGGGTTCAGCAAAACCGTGGCGGTGGCCGAAATATGGCCGGCAGCATGTCCGTCGCGGAAGTTGCATCCCGCACATCGCCCGCTGTCGCCAACCACGGTGCCGCCAGTGCCCAGACCTCGGATGGCGCCGCCCTCTTCGATGAAACCGCTTCCGCATACCGTCGTCTCCGGCTGCAATCCGAATCAATCATCACATCCACGTTGACCTCGAATATCACCGCAGCCTTGAAACCCTACTCCCGCCTGGCCACTTGGGCGACGCTGTCTAACCCTTCAGCTGGCGCAACCGCATCTTCCATGTCGCTTTCTTCTGACTTGGCGCATGCAATGCGCACTCTGTCGACTCAGCTCAACTTCCTTGCTCGAGCTCTAGGTGTTGCACCTCTCCGACGAGTTTCGCGTCAGCTCCTTCTCTCAATCCAGACTTACATTTGGGACAACGTGTTGACGAGGAATACCTTCTCTGACGTAGGCGCCGCTCAGCTGGCTAGCGATACCGACCATCTGTGCAGTGTTGTTGATAACGCTCTGGGTGTGGCGGGCCATGTGGGCGGTTCGATGCGAATTGTGAAAAAGCTCAAAGAGGGACTGCGTCTGCTTAACTTGAGCGCATCTGCGGATCCAGATGCGGAAAATATGGACGGAGCTGGCGCTGCAATAGGATTGTGGGATGTAGAGAAGAGGCTGTTCAGGGACAATGAGAGCGCCCGCGCTGTGCTTGCTGAGCTGCAGATAGATGGTCTGACTGAAGCTGAGGCACGATCTGTCTTGGAGCGAAGGGTTGAGATTGGTAGTTGAGAAGTTTGTTCTACAGCCTTGCATTGCGGGAGGCAGCCTTCTGATGTTTGCTGGATACCAATCCTGAGTCTACCAAATGGCGAAGTAGAAAAAGCAGAGGGAATACCCTCCCCCCTCGACATGGTTAGGAACTTGGGACATAATATATATCGCATCAACCCATTTTCCGCAAGGATCGACATCTGACTTATTAGCTCCAAGTGCCTACGTGTAATAATCTAGTATATCTATCTAGAATGCAATGTAAAGTCTATGGCAGTAGCGGGACTTCCGGCTCAAATCTATGTTTCTCTAAAAAAGAATTAAAAATTACATCACGTGTGGTGGACAACTGGACCATGCCCGTGCTCACCAGGTCGTTTGTGAGGAACGACCGGCGTGATCGACTTCAAGGACTCAACAATACCAGGACCGACCTCTTCAATGGCACGCACAAGAGACTCGACGGTTTGCTTGGTAGTCAAAATATTCACCACGCAGCGGAAGAATTTGCCATTTCCAACCGCATCCTCGTCCCCGCTGGGAGGTGCGAAGTCGACCATGAAGCCCTTGCGGACAATAGCATGCGTGATCTGCTCGGTGACTTTGCTATTGTTCTTGGCCCGCTGCTTCTCATTCGACACAATGCCACGCGGATAGACCATTTCCTTGCCGGGCGCATAATAGAAGCAGACCTGCAGACAAGGAGGCGCATTCTCGCTAACAAGAGTGAAGTTCGGGTTCTGAGACATGAGGGTAGCCAGGTGGGTGGCGACATCGCATGCAGTGTCGATCTGCTGCTCGTAACCTTCGGTTCCATAGTATGTCCATCCCAAGAACAGCTTCAGGGAATCGGCGCGGCGGCCGCACTGCAGAGTCAGATCCGCTAGATCCCACACCTCAGGCGACTCAACTTCCAGTTCGGACTCGTGCGCATCTCCATTCTGAGTCGGCTCGGTATCCTCATTGTGGAAAAGATAGCCTGCAGGCAGGGTGTTGGCCCGGTGGAACTGGCGCATGTCCGAGGCCAAGAGATATGAGCATGTCACCGGCACGCCGATCATCTTGTGCGGGTTAATCGCAATACTGTTCGCCTTCTCGGAGCCTGCCAGCTTCTGTCTCTGTCGGCGGGAGAAGACGAAGGAACCACCCCAGGATCCATCAACATGGAACCACAGATTATATTTCTGGCAGATGGCTGCAATTTCCTCGAAGGGATCGAAGGATCCCAGAACCGTTGTACCGGCCGTGGCGTTCACGTAGAAGGGAGTGCGACCCTCGCTTTGCGCTTTCTGCACACGCTTCTCCAACTCAGCTGGGATCATTCGGCCCTGCTTATCGATGGGCACAGGCCAAACTGCACTGCTACCGAATCCGAGCATCTGCGCCGCCTTCTCGACGCTGTAATGGCCATGGGCGCTGGTGAAGAGCACAAATTTGTACCCGCCGTTGCCGTCCGTCTTCGTGCTCGGGTAGAGATTGTTGCGAGCGATGACAATGGACGTTGTGTTCGAGGCCGATCCTCCCTGAACCGAAATGCCTCCGGCTCGGGGCCCGTTCAACCCAAAGAGATTTGCCAGCCGCTGGCCGGTATATTTCTCGATGACGGTGAGGGCAGGTGAAACCTGATAGACATGCACGTTGGTGTTTAATACAGCGAGAATAAGCTCCGCCGCCACCCCTGGTGCATTCGTGGACGCATAAAGCTTGTCCAGGAAGCCCTGATGCCAGGTATTGACCGAGTATTTCAGGACCTTCTGCAGCACCTCGATCAAGCCATCCTGCGCTTGGCCTTTCTCTGGGATCCCGAGCTGGAGGATATCGCGCAGCTCCCCTGGCTTCTTGTAATCCACTAATGATGTTCCTTGTGTTGCGGCATGTCCATTTGCACCGTTCTTTTGGGTAAGGGCCGAGTGCTCGTCTGCGGATCGGATAAAGGGAATAAGAAGGTCTTCGACGGCTTTCAGAAGCTATATCGTCCATTGGCCATCAACTCAATGCTGAAACCATGCGAGAAAAAGCAGGGACGGGGGCATTGGCAGGTTTGGGGGGACTCACATTCTGCACCTCGTCAGCGCGACTGGACGGTGGGTTTGACATTTGGCTGAATGTAGATCGCAGTCTACGGGAATATATGTGCAATAGAGATCTCAAATAGCCAAGTCTATATGTGCAGGTATCAAGAGATATGAAAAAGATGCCCAGCAAAGGGATTGGAGACGAGGGCATCCACCGCAGCAGCGAAAAAAAAGTTCTCGCGAGCCGATGTCGCCGGAGATGGCGACACTCACCGAGCGCCTTACATCATCGGCCGGAGAGTACCCCGCGGACACGCTGGGACGCGGTCGATAAGCAGATCATTTGATGAAGCTGAAGAGATATAGATCAATAGATCTGTGAGGGATAGGTATGCGACGTTATACGAGCGGACGAGCAGCCCAACCTTCAAATTGAGGGCCCTTATTTTCTTGCAGCGCCTCTCGACTGTCAAAGGTGCCCCGCAGTGGGCAATCTTATCGCAGCCCACGGCTGTACTACTTGGATCTATATAAAGACAGTAAACGTGTGGGTTATGCCGAATGGAAGACCATAGTGGTTGAATACAGAGGATATTGTAAAGGGCAGCCAATAAAAAATGAACGGCGGCGCATGGGTCTGCATTTTTCCTGCAGTGTAACCATGCAGCCTGGCTCGATCCAGAGTGGTGGTATTAACCTCCTAAACAAGGTCATCAATTGAATTATTTACTTCGTCAATCTCGTCAAGCGTTCGCAGCCGCGGCCTCCTTGGCTGCGAATCGCTCGCGAGCCAACTCGAGCTTCGACTTCGACTTGGGCCGTTCTCCGGTGCCTTCATTGCTCGCAGGGTCTCGTTCAATACCCTTCGCCCGAGCAGTCCACTCGCCCCGCCGGCGCTTGTATAGATCCATCGACCAATTCCTCCACACGGCACGACCTAAGAAAGAGTCGCGGAGAGTCATCTCGTTCTGTGCAAGCTCCTGAGCCATCCGCTCCTTCACAAAGAAGATATCCTTGGTGGCGGACCAGAGGGCATCCACAACGTGGGATCCGCTGTTGTCCTGGGCGAGTTCGACCAAATGGCCCTGGAACCGGGTGATGAATTGTCGCCGGAATTGGGCGGTTGAAGTCGGAAGAGTCAGGGCTTGTTGCAGAACACGAGAGGAAGTGGCTTCCTTCGCGAGCTGGACAATAGTCTCGGACGATTGTGCAAGAAGACTGGAGTAAACCAGCTCACTGAGAGGCCCCGGCACAGTGAGCATCGCCTGTGCCAGTAGAGAGCCGTGCAGCTTCTCCGCGGCAGACGTCGACGAGCCACCAGTGTGGGTCTTGTGCTTGCGTTCCATCCTACCCTCGTCCACATCCCCCATTTCTTCATCCTCTTCATCCTCTACCATTTTGTCTGTTGGCTCGCCGAGTCTGAGCATCTGTCGGAGCCGGGTCGTCGGGTCCGCATCGTACGCCTCCTCGAGTGCCTGGGCGAAAGGTTTCGTGTCAACATTCCGAATAACGCAACGCTCAATTAGCACCCGAGGGACGATGAGGCGTGACCGTTCGACCAGACCTGGAACTTCGGGGATGATGAGATCCATTGCGCTCTGCAAGTCGTCCTTTCCAAGTCTCTCCAAGGTCCGCAGAACAACGTAGCCTGCAGTGCTGTTTCGGGACAGGGAACCAATGCGATCGCGAATGTTGTTTTTGTACAAGTTTTTGAACACCTTGCCGGGCATATACCGCACCATAGTCTCCACCAATCGGGAGCCCACTGGATCATATAGCAGACCGCGGATAAATGTTGCACTGTCTGTTCCCTCCTCAAATGACTCGTCGGGGACGAGTCTACGAAGAATGGACTTCGGATCCTTGGCGCTAGACTTTCCGAAGTGACAGAGCTCCAAGAAGAGCATCACCTGAAGAACGGGATTTCCGATGGGCTGCGTAGCCAGAGCGCGCAGGTACGTGTCGTCCAGCCCTGAAACCATATCGGCCATCATCTTCTTCAGTGCGGGCTCGAAAGATTCCGGAACGCTCCGCTTTTGCGTAGGGGTACTCTCCTCTTGCGCGCCGGCTGCCGGGAGACCCAATCTTTCCTTTTTGCGGCTCGCGACCACCGAATCTTTCGACGTAACATCCACAGGCTCTCCAGCGAGAACTAGTAGTAGCACTCGAATTGTATGCGACGCAAACCGTTCCGTCAAGAGATAACCCCAGTTTTCTTTCAGTTCCTCAATCACACTCATGAACATCTCGGCGAGTGACAGATCCGTCTCGTCTTCACCGTCCTCCGATTTCTTGGGCGGGGCTTTCGGTGTCTTCTGCATAACGGCCGGGGCAGCGTGGATGAAGAGTGTTTCGCAACAGTGGCTCGCGAATCGGTGCTGCACAAGGTGAAGGAAGTGACCGAGAAATTTGCCGAAGACCCGACGAATTTGCTTGACATCTGACATGGAGATCAACTTTTCCATAAGTCTCGAACAGCCCTGACTGCAAGCAATTTTTAACTCCTTGCCATTGGCCTCCTGGTATACACTCTCCACGAACAGATTCCTCTCTTCGGCGTCTTGGAATTGGTTCGCCTCGAGCATCTCGTTGGCGCGCGCAAAATATTCCTGCTCATCCGTGTCGAGCAGACCGTAGAATGGCATATCCCCATTTCCTGCATCGGCGGTCTCTTCAATATCTCCCTGATCATCTCCCATGGCGAGGGGAATGTAGTCTGCGTTCTCCTCATACGAGGCTTCGGCGTTCTGATCGGTGTCGTCGGAAGGCTTGATGCGTTTTGCGGAGGGCGCTTCAAGCGCATCATCGTACTCGTGCTTTGAGTCATCTTTTTGAGCTTTCTGCTCGGCCCGACGGCCTCTCTTCTGCTTTTCACGGGGCATGGCGATGGTGATTGGGGAGAGAAAACCGACAGGCCGCGCAGGGAAATTTTTTGGATAAGCAGTGGTCCAAGCGTCTCCGCGGCGATTGTTTGTCTGGTTTGCACCTACTCAATCGTCCACCCAGCGAACAATGCGCGAGCTGGAATTAATCTTCAATCTTTCTAGATGTTTGAGCTGCTCTCATGTAATAAGTCGGTTTTACTGGGGATCTTGAAAGTAGTAGTTAAATCCTGTTCAACAAGTAGTAACTTTCTCATGACTCCAATAGCCCATTTGTTCCAGATGATAGTAACCGCTTTGGTTCGCGCTAAAAGCGAATTGACAAAACCTTGTTCGGTGTCGACGAAACATTGGGTCGAGGCCACAAGGAGTGTTGCTGGGCTGCTGATGAGCTCCCGCGGCAACTACGCGCTAGTGTATTCAGACTGGGGCAACGAGTATTGATACCGTCCACGCTTATTTTCGAGGAAACAAGTGCGAGAAGCTGGTGTTCCCCAGCTACTGAATTAGAGTCATCACCGCTGTGCTTCCAGTAATATTTGAGGAGCACACCCATCATTTGGCGACGGATCCATGTTGGCCGCGCAATATGCAGACAGAGGCATTGATTGGGTTGACAGAAAGTCACGAGTAAACGAATTGGGATGGTCGTTAATTGCCGGTAATTAGATATAGTTAGACAGATAATGTACATTGCTTTTGCTTCGTCACATCTTAGACAGCCGAGTAAATGGCAGAAACGTGACGCCCACATTCCACCCGCTGCTCCATGTTGACAGAGCGGTTGCCCACCTTGCCCTTGTGTTGAGGCATAATTTGCAACCGCGCTTCTGGCTCATCCTTCTTCGATTCTGAGGGCGCCTTGATATAGCTTGGCCGAGGCAGATTGGTTCGCTTTCCAGTGCCCAGCTGGAAATGCTCGTTGCCTCCCCACCAAAGCACATCAAGGCCAAAGTCGCGCGACTTGTCGAGCGACTCTGTAGTTTCCGAGCTAACGCTTGTCTTGTTGTCCATTACGGCAGCGACGTGAGTTGTGCCTACAGAAATGTAGCGAAGGCGGATCGGCGACATCTGCTTTTTCTTCTCGTCGTACTCAGCCAGTCCGCTCAAGTCCTTCACCTTGGAAGGTGAATCTTGCAGATGGATCCACCGGCCAGTGCCTAGGGTGCCCCAGATACCCCGGCCGCAAGACCATGTATCGGCAGTCACGCTGTTCAAGTCACGAACATCCTTGGGTTCTTCCTCGGGGCCGAGAATTCGTTTGGCGTCCACCATAAAGAAGCTGCCGGCTCCACCTGCGGCAATATTGGTAGCTGTTGATGAATATTTACCTCGTCCATAGAGCTTGTGCAGAGGAAGGGCGAAGGGAGTGTCTTTGTAAGGCAGTTCAGGCTCATATTCAACGCCCAGTTGGCCAAAGGAATTGTCACCCCAAGCAAACACACGCCCATCCTTGGTTAACGCAAGAGCGTGATAGTCGCCAGTGCTGATTTGAGTAACTTTGGAGCCTTTGAGAGCTGTGACCTCATGGCATGCATCGACCGGGCCCTTAGCCCGTGTGGACCAGGTCAAACCAGACACGCCAAGCTGGCCAAGTGACGGATAGTGTTCGGTAGACGCGGCAGCAGTAAACACACGGCCGGAGCTGGTGAGCAGAAGGACATGCTCTTGGCCAGCTGAGACAGCGGTGACCTTTTCACCCAGTCCCAACGAGGGCTTCAGGAGGCGATAGCTTAAAGTAGACTGACCGGCCCAGAAAGGCACCCAAGAACTTTCCCGCGGCTTTGGGCCAGTGCCTTGCTCCTCCTTCGAGATAGGCAGAGAGAAAACACTCCCGTCCGAGGACAGCGCGATGACTCGGTTTTCAGACAGCGCGACAGATTTCAGGTTCTTGCCAGTCAAAGTCTTGCTTGGCTTGAAATCGGTCTCGGAGAACCCTTTGCCCCACTGAATGAGATCGCCACTTTCAGTGATCGCAGCGCCGGACTTTTCGTCGACCTTGAAATCCCGCAGGACCTGGCCGTTGAAATATTTGAAGCGCCGGGGAGTCTTGATATCTTTATCGTTCGATCCTGGATCCACCACCTTATAGGCATTCGAGCCCCATATGTAGACCGCAGGGCTCTTCAGGCTTCGTTTCTCCTGGATAAACTGGGCACGAAGGTCGTTGACATCAATGACCTGCTTTTCTCCACCTGTCTGACTCTCGATCCATGCACCCTTGAAGTCGCCATTTACGTAGGAATAACCGAAATATGCCGCAGCGCCGGCAACTGCCACACCCAGAGAGTTGACAATCCAGTTGGGTGACGTACCCGACTTCCTCGACTTATTGCTTGCTAGTCTTCGCCATGGAGTATGAAGGGCCGACCGAGCGGCAACGGGGGTGGGATGAAGGAGACGGGTAGCTTTTGCCGCAGGGCGTAGCGTTCGAGTTGCCAACATTGTCGATGATTGTCCGTGAGCTTTACAGGAAACCGGGGAAGCTTAATTTGTTGCGTCAGTACAGGGCGGGATCATGCGGCAGAATAGGCTACCGCAGTGAACACATCACGACTTGGCCTAACAATCACTCCAAAAACTCCGCTTCTCAGTAACTTTACGGCTCGTGAAAGACATGAATGGAGAGTAAACTCTCCTTATCACTCAGGGCCCTGACTGCAACATGCCATCCACAAAGCAGCAGCGCGCACGCCGCCAGACCGCACCATCTGGCCCGCCGCGGAAGCCAACCGCCCACGAAACACAGCCGAACCTCGAGACAACACAGGAACAATCAGCTGGCGTTCTGCAATGGAGCATACCCAATTGGAAAAGTGAGCTTGAGTTCTCTAAGTGGCTCAATGACGTTCAGGATGACTTGATCGAGGAGAGCTACGATCAATACCAGTATGTCCGGTCAACGCGCGGGGGATATGTTTATCCAGGCTAACCCGGGCCTTTGATATGTTCTAGGACGTGCTTGGATGAACTACAGCAATCGCGCGAGCACATTGACGAAATCTTAACGAATACCCTGACCCTCCTTGATGACCTCTCCAGCCTGTCGGAATCTTTCAAATCCGTCGAGTCGCAAACCTCCAACTTCGAGAAACAATGCGAGGGGCTTCTCTCTGCGCAGGAGCGAGATACAAAGCTTGCAAATGGCATACAGACCAATCTTCATTACTATGATTTCTTGGATCCTGCCTCAAGGCGGCTCAATGCCCCAGGAGCTGGAAATACGGTTCGCGATCCGGAGTTTTCTGGCATGCTCCGCCGCCTCGATGTCTGCTTGGATTACATGGAAACGCATGTGAGACTTGTCTGGACTATCTGATCTCGTGATAGCTTGTATTGACACCATTCCTAGCCTGAGCAAAAGGAGGCGGAAGTTTATCGCTCTCGATACCGGCTTCTCTTGACACGCGCCCTCACGCTGATCCGAGGCAACTTCGTGTCTTCACTTCGAGATATCTACCAAAGTGTCTCAAAGAAAATTTCGGATCAGTCACTGAACGATGCCGCCCTGTCGGCTCTTCTTTATGCTAAATTCAGGGTCGGGGCTCCAGAGCTGAAGCAGATTGGAGTGGAAATTCAGAAGCGAGCGGTGCCGCCGCTAAACCCAAACCAGAACAATGAGGCAGAGTACCAGAGCCTGATGAATGAGCTGCATACCAACTACTCAGCGACCCGGGCACGGCTCATCATACCCCTGGCCCGCAAAAAGCTCAATGAAATCATGCAGACACCCAGTTCATCGAAAGACCTGATGGCGTTTGCTCGGGCAAGTATCAGCTACATCCGCGGATTGTGCCTGGATGAATTCGACTTATGGGGCGAATGGTTTCATGGCCAGGGAGGACTGTATGACTTCCTTGAAACCATTTGCGAGCCTCTCTACGATCATCTCCGTCCCCGGATCATCCACGAGACCGACATTCGCAAGCTTTGTCAACTCTGCACGCTACTACAGACTCGATACTTTCTGGATCCCGAAGAAGAGCCAGAACAAGCTGATGTGAACCAGCTCGACTTTTCTATTCTGATTCAGCCTGCTCTGCAAGACGTCCAGACTCGACTAGTCTTCCGGGCCCAGGCGGTTCTTCGTGATGAAATTGAGAGATACAAGCCTCGCCCGGAGGACATTGATTATCCCATGTACAGTAAACAAGTATCGCTTACCGTGACGGATACTCAAATCTCTGGAAAGAAGGATACATCTGCGGATACTATGATCGACATGACCAAATCTACCAAAGAGGGTGACGATACTACGGCTCCTTCGGAGCATGATGGGAATTGGGACTTCGAGACACAATCTGCGCTTAAGGGATGGTATCCCACCTTGCGAAAGGCTATCTGGCTTCTCAGCCGGATATACCGTCTCGTAAATGTAAGGGTCTTGCTCAGATGTGATGTTTTATCTTCATGCTAACGGCCCACTCCAGTCCACCGTCTTCGACGATCTCGCTCATCAGATCGTCCATCAAACCACCTTATCTCTTCATAATGCCAGTAATCTCATCTCAAGCAAATCCACTGCAGCAGATGGCCAACTCTTCCTCATGAGCCATCTCCTCATCCTAAAGCAGCAGATCGTGGCATTCGATATCGAATACGTCGCCCCAGAAGTGTCATTTGACTTCTCCGGCGTAACGAGCACGTTCTGGGAGCTACGTGAGCGCGGCGGCCTCTTCAACCCGCGCAACCTGATGCGCCTGGTCGGTCACGGCCTTCTTCCGCGCGTTGTAGAAAACATGCTCGACGCTAAAGTCGAACTGGACGGCCGTCTCCGGACTGTGATTAACGACTTTATCAACGCTTACGCCTCTCGCATGACAGCTTCCCTCCCCACCAAGTTTGTCGATACCCGCAACCTGGAGCCCGGGGAACTGATCCACCCTTCCTGCCACACCATTGAGAAGGAGGTACCGGCTCTGCGCAAGATCCTGAACGAGTATATTGACGATACGCGAATGAAAGAGACCCTCGTTGGCGCTGTGCAGGATCGTACAATCCAGGTCTACGAGGACTTCTTCGATAAATACACCTCATCTGAGAAAGCCAAAGGCCACGCCCTCAGTAAAAAGGGCAAGGGCCGGGACGATGCTATCTGGAATGTGGAGACCTTTGCTGAGTGGTGCGAAGGCGTTTTCCGAGTCGGCGTCGCGGGTCTCCAATCAGAGCAGGTGGATGGCCTTGATGAGGACGACGATGATCTGTTGAGCACCAGCTCTTAGAGATCAACCCTTTCTTATCCTTATTTTGAGCCTCGCATCTTGAGCATAGATACCATGTGGAATAGCGCTGTCATGTACATGTATGAACTAGGAACATGGTGCGATTAATGCTGCTATTCTCCATGCCGGGGTCTCTTCGTAGCTATATGTAGGGTCGACAGCATGTTCGAGGTGCACATCTTTCTATCAAACTGCTTTCGCTCCGGCTGGGTTACGATCATCCCTCGATAGGGTTTGGGTAGCTTGTGGGGTGTTCAGCAAGGATTACGGCGATCATAATGGGTGCGTATGATCAACACTCCTAGGAAAGAAAAAGATTCCGAGAACGAAGTTCAATGTCCGAAGTAAAACAGGGAAAACAACTTGATTATGATTATGATTGCATGGGGGATTGATTTTCGCGGCGTCTGCGTCGCTGTGTCAGGTAGTGATTGACGTGGAATGCTGGCATCGGTTGCGAATATCCGCTTTCGTAAGGTGCACCACCAATATATTGGCCATCACCCACGGAACTTAGTGTTGACAACTCTTGATACAAACTTTTCATTATGACAGAGTTACTATGACCATCACCACCACATTGCCGCCGCTCGGGAGGGCCATCCCAGAAGGACCCCATGCTATCTCGGTCCACATACCGACATGGAATGGCATGTGTAGTATAGGACGGGGCGACCCTCAGGTCATGAAAGCTCTACGAAATGGATATCCCCGCACATTTGTGCACAAGGACATCCAAAAGGTATGTTTTTATCTCTTTGGAAGGGGGTTCACTCGGAAGATTGGAAGCATCGGTGCTAACAATTGATTCAGCTGTTTCAAGCATGCCAGAGGCGCTTTCTTTCGTCCCCAGCGAAAGTACTACTCTTCCTCGAACAAAGGCACGCCCAAGCATGCAAAAGCTTTGTGACTTCACCCGCAATTAATGGTGATAAAGCTGCTCCAGCTAAGTCAGTATCAGTATTTGCTCTTGAAATTGGGGAGTCTCATCCCACGATGGTACGTGCTGGCAACACGCCCCGGCCGACAACACTCTGGGCTGTGGTTTATCCAGAAGAATCAGCACCAATTGGAGCTTTCTTCTGGCGTCTCACGGGAACTGGTATATCATCTCGCTTTGCCGAGCACTGCCTCCGGAGAATTGAGGCGATGCAACGGATTGAACCACCTGTGAAGCGATTTTACTCCGCAATGGCCACAGTTCATCCCGTATACCGAACCATTTGCACTCGCATCGCATGCTTGATGGAACGTGCCCCGGCTGGTCCCCGTCGAAGTCTGACTGTGAACCACTCCGACGTCTTTCTCTACCCATCCGGCATGTCGGCCATCTACCATGTGCACCAAGCGCTTTTGAAATGGCGAGGCCTCGAGAGCGTGATCATCGGATTCCCATATGAACTGACCATCAAGATGATGAAAACCTATGGTCCGTCGTACAAGTTTTATAGTCTCGGTACGGATGAGCAGATCGACGACTTTGAGGCATATCTCGACACCAAGGCACAAGCTGGCTCCATGATCCAAGCCGTCTGGTGCGAATGTCCTTCGAACCCGTTGTTACGAACCGTCGATATGGAGAGAATTAGAAGACTCGCGGACAAGCATCGCTTTGTGGTGGTCGTTGATGAGACAATCGGCAGCTTCGCCAATGTCGACGCCTTGGGTGTGGCAGACGTCGTGGTGACTTCATTGAGCAAGTCCTTCAATGGATATGCCGATTTGCTGGCGGGGAGGTACCAATGATACCCTACTCTCGACAACCGCGGACTGAGGCTAACATACGAAGAGCAGTGTGACTCTGAATCCGAATTCCGACTACTATGGAGCCCTGAAGGCCTGCTTGACAGGTGGCTACACCAACACTCTCTATATCGACGATGCAATCCAACTCGAGCGCAACAGCCGCAACTTTCTCAAGCGCGCAGCGCAGATGAACGATACCGCCGAATGCGTGGTTGACTACCTCGTTCCCTTCGCCTCCGATCCATCAAGCGTCGTCAATGCGGTCCATTATCCTAAAACTTGCGAGTCCGCGCAGCAATACAAATCACGCATGCGTCAAGCAACAGACGAGTTCATACCGGGTTATGGGTGTCTCTTCACTGTCGATTTTGACACCATTGAGGCTTCAAGAGCTTTCTTTGATAGTCTAGATGTGCGGAAGGGCCCATCTTTAGGTGCGCATATCACATTAGCCCAGCCGTATGTTCAGATGGTGCTTCAGAAGGAAAAGAAATGGGCGGCTAGTCATGGCTTAAGAGAGACGATTGTGCGGGTCTCTGTTGGGCTTGAGGATAAGGAGGTTCTTTTGCAGAGTGTGAAAAGTGCCCATGTGATGGCTGAGAAGACGAAAGGCACCCACGCTTTGTAGATTCATTTAAACTGGTGCCCCCAACATAACATTATCCTGGATAGTTTTCCGCCGTATGTTTGATACGCATTTCCAAGTCTATTTGAGAAGCAATGGAAGAAGATTGTTTCGCAGAACAACCACCCTCGAAAGGCACCATTGTATTTACGTGCAATGCACAATCATTAGGTATCTGCGGGAAACGATACTATGTACAAGAATTCAGCCCACGAGCACCGAAGAGGCAATCCATCCTGGCCAATCCTCGCTCGAACGAAAAGAGAAACTGAGAAAAGGGTATGTATGTACGATGCAGGACAAGGGAGCAAAAGGCACAACATAAAACCACAGGCTCAATGAAAGATGCACAGCATTTCTTTCCATCAGCCTCTTGAAAAGCTGCAACCACCTCACAGAACGTGACGGATCTTGGCATATAGCGCCGTGTCCAGGAAATTGTAAGTAGGATCTGACTCGCAGAAGGGGTGACGGGTGAGCAAGGTGCCCGCAGTGGGACGTTCGGAGGAATCCCTATTTAAGAAATTAGTCAGATGCTGGTTCTTCGGATACGAATCATGATAGAAAACTTACACTGTGAAGCAGTCGTACATAAATGCAAGAGCTGCAGGACTGATGTTCATGGAAACGTCGTCGGGGATAGGCGGAGCCTGGTTGAGGCTTCCCAGCTTGAAGATAGCCCCGATGGCTTCTTCCTTGCTCCACGGCCGGCGGCCAGCAAACATCTCCAGCACCACGCACCCAAGGGACCAGATGTCGACTTTAGCACTGTAGCCCTGGCCCTGGGACTGGATGACCTCCGGGGCCATCCAGAAGACTGAGCCCTGCATGGAGTTGGTGGAGTCGTTGCCGTAGATGTCATCTGTTTTCTTGGAGATACCAAAGTCGGAGATCTTGCAAGTTCCGTCAAGGTCGAGGAGGATATTATCCGCCTTCAGGTCGCGATGGAGAATACCCATGTCATGCAGATAAGCCAAGCCACCAAGGGTTTGGCGGGTCAAAGACTTGACAACGCTCTCCTCAAATTTGCCATGTTTGCGAAGACAACTTCCGATGGAACCGCCAGAAATATACTCGAGGTAGATGGAAATCGACATTTCGCCCCGCTCGCACCCCAAGTACTGCACAATATTTGGGTGCTCGAGATGTTGCATCGTGTCAATCTCCTGGTCCAGGGCAGCAACCATTTCCTTGATACGGTCTCGGTCTGTTCCTGCGATCCTGGCGTTGATCTCGACTTGCTTCACCGCCAAGACTTCACCATTGTCTGCGTTCATGCCCAGATACACACGACCATAGGTTCCCTTGCCAATAAGTTGACCACGGATGATACGGAAAGTGGGCTGACGCTGTGGGACAGAGCCGCTCGGTCCTGGAGGGGTGTTTTGCGGGATGGGATCGAGCTGACTGAGTCTGGTACCTGGCTTGGGACTGATTTGCATAATCTTCGCGCCGAACATCTTGGTACTCTTACGGCGAAGTAGATCGCCTGATCGCTGAGGGCCCGAAGAGCTGATACTCTTGGTTCTGTGTGCAGCACCTCTAGCCACTTCACGAATTGACTTCTTCCGCGACAGACCGCCACTGCGGTCCACATTGCGTCTAGCAACGATTGATGCGCCTTGTGGCGGTGGTGGAGGCTGCATTGTCAATACATCCGGTGTGTAACTGCCTATATCGACAGGCGGCTGCGGTGCATGTGCAACCTCTTGCTTGCCTCTGATGGTTGCCCCGTTGTCAACGTCCCCTTTGGCATTTGGCGACGGAGGCTCATCGAGGTAAGGAGCATCCAGGTCGACATCCGGGAAGAAACTATCCAGGTTGTCGATAACGCCCTCTACGGCGGGTCTGCTAGCCCAAACATCTCCATTGGCAAACGAATCTCTCCGTTGGGGCTTCTCGTCGTCTGAAGAGTCTGTCCCATAAAAGGTGCCTGAAAATTTTTCTGGAGATTCGGAAGCCTCTCCACCGGAACTGTGCCCCGCTGGTCCGGGAAAGCTCTCACCGGAAGCAGTATTCGGAGATATGAAGCTGACCGCCCGACGCGGGTTGTTATTATCCGTATCCAGGGTAAGAGAAGGCTTCCGTTTCTTTTCAGGCTCGGGCTCGGGCTTCTGGGACTCGTTTCTTGTAGGTCGAATTGCAAAGAGGCCATCATCAGATGAATCACCATCATCATCTGCTTGCGCCACAGGCTGTTGTGGCGTTCGCAAAAAGGACACTTCCGACTCTTCGAAATCGAACTCGGGACCAAATGACTTGCGAGATACCAAGCCCGGTTTTTGAGAGATCGTGCTCTGGGGCGAATAAGTATTTGTAGCAGAGCGAGCAGCAAACGATGAAGGTGATTTTTGACCTTGCTCGGCGGCAAATTTGGAAGCAGTCCTAGAGGAGTCTGGATCGGACAACTTGTCAGTATCTATGGTTACAACAGAAGGGGTTGCAGAATAATAGCCAAGCTGCCTGTGTGCCTTACCCAAGGTAGTCCTACTTGAAGCTGTTACGGCAGAATCCATCGTATTCGGTGGGTCTGAATCCGAGCCAGCACTGTCCCGATTGGTTGACGACGGCGTCGAAGGCACCGGGACCGAAGGGGATGGAGTGCCAATGGCACTCGTCATTCGACCAACGCTCGCAAGTACTGCTCCAAGACCATGTGTTTGCACTGCAGACTGTGGCTGGGGCCGGTGACGATCTCCGCGCTCACCTGGAGCTTTCCTAAGCGAGTTGATTTTGGTGAGGGTGTTAGATTCGTTTGGCGCAACTGGTGGTTTCCGAAGAGGCACCAGCGTGTCAGACTTGTCAGACTTCTTCTCTTCGTACGGTGAAATGCGTGGTGTATCAAAGTCAATCACACCTTCACGTCTATACCCTGTCTCGCCGTAGGCATCTTTCCGTGATTGTTGTGTGGTGGACGGAGGAAGTCGGGAAATGCGGTGCTCTTTTTGCTTCCGCTCGACTTCGCGCATATGTGCCTCATGGCGAGCAAGTAGATCCGTCTTGTCGGCATCAAAGGCTTGGCCAGGGTCCGGAGAACCGTCTGCCGGCGTTTTCGGCGTTGATGCCTTCAGTGTGGTCTGCCGAGAGCCCAGAAGGTCAGAACTAGGCTTAGTCTGGGCATGCGGTGATAGTCTGTTAAGAGCTCCCTCTTCAAGTGGTTTCCGATGGATTGGGGCATGAGTCGCCGCCGTGGGGGAGGCCGGCTTGTCAACGGGTATCGAGACTCCAAGGCCGTCGAACCGAGGAAGGTGGTTTGCTGGGGCTTGAACAGCGGCCCCTTTCACGAATACTTTCAGAGAGCCATAGGCGTCAGACTTAGTCCGGCGGCTGACTGCCAAGATTGAATCACTCATGGGATCCTCGTGCTCGGTCTGACCAGGTTGAGTGAGGAAAATTTGGGCACTGCTCCAGTCGAAGATGCCCAACTTCTGGCAAATGCCGGCGCGTAGAGTTTCCACAGAATCCCAATCGGAGATATCAATCAGGCGGTAGTTGACGCCATCCATGGTCGCGAAGATCCATTTCTTTGACTTAACCGTTGTGGCCGAAGAAGGACGCTCGCCCAGAGACATGTCACTTGTATTGAAACCAGGCTGATATGGCAGGTAGCCATTTGTGCGAGGTTCGGGGCTTGGGGGAGACTCCAGATCCTCTGGTGAGGGATGGCTCGAAGAATCGGCTTTATGCGCCTTTTTCCGGGTAAAAAGATTCAGGATGCCCTTTCCATGATCTCTGGAATACGACGAAGAAGTTTCTCCGCTCCATGGTCGACCTGGGTCCTGCGGCCGGTTACCATCCTGACCTTGCCTGCGGCTGTCGTAGTACCGACCCATTGTGGCAGAGCCCCGTCCTACCCCAGGAATAGACTCTGTGCTATTTCCACGAGAATGTTCATACTTCAATGTCAGGTCCCCGGTAGATGAGGATGTTAGCCCCGCATATGAAGGAGACACATATTGGGCCGCGGGACTGCCACTCTTCGGGCTATCCTGGGCCCGCAGAGAAGGAGGAAGGGTGCCGTTCTCGCTAGAAACGGAAGGGCTCTGGCGCCGATGATCATTGACTGTCGCCAAGGCATTTCTAGAATAGTCAGATCGCAGCCATGTGGGAAATTCTCTTGAGGGAGAATCGTACATTGGCGAATCATGACCGGAGGGGATGGGCAAGGTGACAGAGCGCATTTGCAGGTTCTTTTGCGCATTTGACGAATTTTGAGCATTGGTCAGTTGCTCAGGAGTAATATCGTTGATACCAGGCGTCGGGCCAGCCGAACGAGGCTCTATCATCTGGCTTGTATAGAATCCAGTCCCACTCTCAGCAGAGGTGCTAGCCCATGCCGGCGGCTCTCCGCGCATCGGTGTGGAGATCGAAGAGTCAGATCCATTATCGTGAATCTGGCGGATTAACTTGCGCATGCGCAGGCCCTCCTCTCGCTCGCGAGTTGAATCCCATCCGGTGCCACTTCGCGCACATTCCTTGGCCAACTGGGGATACACAACCTTGTGAATTTTCCCAAGATTTCCTCGTCCACCAGATGCCAAGCCAAGCTCGAGGAAATCAGCTCCTTGGAGCTCCAAGGACATGAAGGTTTCTTGCCAATCTTTGGAGAAGCCATTTTTTGCAAGCCAAAGAAGTACCCGGTCCAGCGGCCACTGAATAGCAGCTTCGCTAGGAGACATTCCACCGAGCGACGCACCACTGGGTTGATGTCGATGGCTCGGTGATTTCGCGAGGTCTATGCCTTGAGCCGAATTCTGCAGCGGATTCTCGTGGGTCACCAACTCGTGAACATTGTTGTGTAGGGCAAACGGAGGAGCAACTCGGGCCGCTGGTGTTTGTGGGTTATAGGTTCCATCGGTGCCAGGGTGATACGTTTGGCTACTCGCTTGTCGTTGCTGGGGGTAGGAGTCGTAGGCTTGTCCGTTCGTCTCGAACAAGGGCGGAATACCAACTCCAATTGTATCATTTCCGGGTATATAGGTTGCGGAAGTGAGTGGTTGGGTGTCGGATTGGGGGACAATCGCTAGAGGAGCAGGTGGACGGTATGCTGCTATATGTTGATTTTGGTGAAGCGGCGGAGGGGGTGGAGGTGGAAATCCGCTAGGCATCGGCTGTCTGCCCCAGCTTTGCTGCCAACCCGTAGGTGCGCCATACCCGGTTCCCGGGGGCGGCCCAGGAGGGGGACCAGGAGGTGGAGGTGGCACCCCAGTCTGGTGTTGTTGTACCTGCTGATGGGGGGGTCGTGGAGGAGGCGGAGGCAGGTTAACAGGATGCTGGTTGGTTGGTGGCCCAGGGATGTATTGTCGTTGACCGTCCATGGTGGACAGTGCTCACTGAGCGCACAATCTCAAGCTGTGAGCACTAGGCCACTTGGCGAGGAGAAAAAAGTCTAGTGAGATTCTCGCCAGTGTCTCCGCATCACAGTGCTCTTCAGATAGCGAACTCCGTAGCCGACATGGTCCAGATCGGCGTGTCCGAAGCTGTCGCCGAAGGCCAGGGTGTGTCGAGGCCAGGATTCGAGTTGCGAGTAGGAAGGATGGCGTCGTCGTGCGCACGACCAAACTTTACAACCAGCTGAAAGAGGCTGGGCTCGGTGCTGCTCAAATAAGTCTTATCGTCAGCAAATCTCAAGGTAAGGAACGGCAAGGGCGATCCCCCTCCGATCGTAAAGCCGGCGCAACCAAAAGCGACGGGTGAGCAATCCAGTCATGGGCTCCTTGCTTCGGAGAATTCATCCCCAAGGAAGCCCACACACACACACACACACACACACACATACACTTACACTTACTAACCGAGGCGAAATCTCGAGGGATAAAAGATATTGTTTGGGAAACAAAGGGCCGGGAAAGAGCTTGGATGCCTCATGATCAGGGCGCTGCGATCGTCACGTGGGCCCGCAGTCAAGAGTGGAGACGCGGATTTGTTTGTGGCGGATGGGCCCCGTTTGGTCGGGTCGGGCTACACTTGGCTCGCTGCTCTGTACTGACTACCGACTACTGCGTGCGGCCACACACATATGAGAGACTCTGCAAAAGACACGAGTAACAAGGCCAACAGGTCTCCTCTCTCCCCCTGAGGGCTAAGCGGTAGCTAGGGATTGGGCCCCCTGTTCGAACGTCGCTAGCTCCAGCCGGTGTCATATCCGCGTCGGGGATCCCTGGCCCCCTTTCCCTCCATGAAACCGCCAAGTTTGACCAGTTCCCCGGCCGGCAGGCTTCAGACCGAAAAATGGCCTGGGGGCGGGTGACTTGACAGCTGAAGCAGCTACGGTGGTCCCGCCCGTCTGGCGGTCAGGTCGGCCTGCCAACATGGCTCGAACTAGTTTACTATGTAAGTAGCATCTTTCTGCCCAATGCTACCTCGAGATCACCACCTGTCCTGGTGGGCAATGTAGCTGTCCAGATCCAATTTCTAATATCAACTTCAATTTCTGAAGGAGAGATGCTTTTCTAGCCATTAAATGGATAGAAATTCAGGAGAAAATATGGAGACGTAAACCAGGATACAGGCCATATGAGGGGCTGCGCACATGTCCCGAGCCGTTCGAAGCCATTTGCCGAAGAGACTATCCAAATGGTTGAAGCGCAATGCTGGGGATCAAATCTAACGACCAGGAGAAGAGCTCGCGATAATTGGCGACCGGTCGCCTCAACGGATCCCTTATTTGTTGCGCTCAGCTGCGGCCTCGGCGGTCAGCTTCAACCCAGCGGGAGCATCGTTGCGAGGCATGTACAGCTCGACCAGCTAGCCAACGAATTAGCCTTGTTCGGACTTTCTTCGGTGAAACATCCAAACAGCAGAACAGCAGAACAGCAGAAACGACTCACCTGGAGTTGGTTGGGGGTGCTGAAATCCTTGTTGGCAAAGAGCTTGGTCAGCTCATCTCTGGTCTTGATGCGGTAGCTCTTGTACGCATCCTGGCCGCCGAAAACCTTGGGGATATTGGCATAGTCCCAGGGCTGGATGTCGTTGTAGCCCGCCTCCCATCCGTGGATGTATCGCTCAATGGTGTAACCCTCATTGCAGATCACAAATCTAGATATGGTATCATCAGCACGTGCGTTTTGAAATCACGGTATTGTACCTTCTTCCCATAGCCCGGACTTACATAATGGGGTTCAGCTTATTCCGAAGCATCGTGCTGAGCTCCTGCACCGTCAACTGGGTGCTGCCGTCTCCAATAAACAAGATCGTGCGGCGATTGTTTTGTTCCTTGGCAGCCAGCGCAGCACCCTGGCAAGCGCCCATTGAATACCCAATACTCCCCCAAAGCACCTGGCTAAGTGCGGTGACATTGGCAGGGAAGCGAGTATCCCAGATGCCGAAGTTGGCAGTACCTGTCTCCGTAATGACCACGTCGTTCTCCTTGAGCCACTGGCCAACAGTCGGCCAGAGCCAGGCGTGAGTGATGGTCTGGCTTGAAGTCTGCTCACTTTCGGGGACCTTGTTGGTGATATGGGGAATTGGCGAAAGGTTGAGCTTGCCCATACGCTGAACAACCTTACGGAGCACACCCTTCATGTGGACATCGGGGTACTCGGAATACCGCACGCGCACGTAGGTGCTGTGGAAATCGATGGTGTTCAGCTGGCCAATGCGATACGTGAATCCGGTCGTATTAAAGTCGGACTTAATGGCGCCAATGCTGAGAATGAGATCTGATGACTCGATCACCTCGCTTACGCCCGGGTTGGATCCATTTCCAGCGTAGACACCGCCGAAATTCTTGTGTGCCTCATTCACTGCGCCCTTGCCCATTGGTGCCACGAAGGTGGGTAGGCCAGAGGCCTCGACCAGATCATGGACCTCGTCCAGAACACGGTGGCGAATGGCACAGGCATCAACCAGGATAACAGGGTTCTTGGCGGCATGGAGATACTTCAGAACCACATCAACAACGTAGTCCTCCTTCTCAGGGTCATTACCGGGCAATGACAGGTCAATTGGCTGCTTCAGGCGGTTGCCATTGACCTTGGAGGCAATCATATCGGTGGGGAGAGTCACGTAGACTGGACGACTACGGACCCAGCACTCACGAATTGCGCTGTCGATAAGAGTCGCCGCATCGCGGGGGTCCTCAAGGCGGGCAACGTAGCAGGAGATTGCCGCACTCATACGGTTAAAGACATTGAAATCGCCATTGCCGAGGGTGTGGTGCAGCAGCATCCCATTCTTCTGCGACTGGGTAGTTGGCTGACCAACGATGTGGATGATGGGGACAAATTCAGAGTATGCACCTGCGATGGCGTTCAAGGCTGACAACTCTCCGACGCCAAATGTAGTGATCAGAGCACTGATGCCCTTCACACGCGCGTAGCCATCGGCCGCATAACCTATCACCATAACCCGCGTTAGATGCGACCACAAACTCTTCACTGCGGGTTTTTAAAGACATACCCGCATTGAGCTCATTACAGTTCCCCACCCAGTCGAGACCGCACTTGGGCAGGTAGTCCAATGCAGCGAGATTGTAGTCGCCCGGCACGCCGTGCACCGCACGAATACCGACCTCGTGCAGACGCCGAAAAAGGTACTCGGCGACGTCCATTGGATTCTCGAGCTCCCGCGTAACAATATCGTCGGACACCATGGTGGATTGATTGACGGAGGGTTGGCGAGTTGGCGAGGGGAAAGGTGAAGGTCGGCGAGCCTAGTCAAGGGCGGGGTGAGCAGCGTACCTTTTAGCCAGTGTGATGAGCCATCAGAATTCTGCGACAGAGAAACAGGGCACTCGGGCTTGCCCTTTAACCTCTGGCGATGCTGAGACCTGGACTACGTCATGAATGGACCGTTGATGTCATGTCATCACCACCACCGCATTGTTTATGGTTGTATGACAGGGATGGACCACGAGGCCGGTGGGCCAATTCCTATATTCACAACTGGCTTGGTTTGCTCTCCAGCCAACTCCCAATCAATTACTATAGTAGATTCTGTAGTAACTGATTGATCTCGTCAGCAGAACGGAGATGGAAACAGCCAAATACTTAAGCTTTGGCAGCCGTCCAGCTCGAGGTGATCCACTTGATGTGCGCCCGCTAAACCCAATTGACAAAGGGCCGATCACACAAACCTCGGGGCCTTCCCCCACTCCTCCGCCTAGCAGTTTATCAGTCGCAGAAAATTAGCCTGCTGCTGGACAACCACTCTCTTCCTCCTTCCCGATGGCTGGGGAGAAACGCAGTATGCCGAATAACGCCGGTCAGTCGGCCAAGCGCCAGAAGGTACGCGCATCACAAGGGTTTGCGGAGTGCGGAGTGCGCGCGTGCCCGTACCCGCTTCCTCCCAGTCCTTAGGAAGCATTTGGAAGGAAGTAGACGCTAAATTATTCCACAGGGCGGGAAACCAGCATGGCAGAAATCCAGCCGCAAAATCAACATCGACACTGGTGATGTGGGTGTGATTGTGACCTGCGACATGGGCAGGGAGGGAAAGTGCGTCGCCGAAACACTCGACATCTTCTCCCAGGTGAGTCCATCTCACCGAACAGACTGCGCGTCCTGCATGTGGTCAGCCTGCCAAGATGGTCGCAGTAGCCACTAATCTGATGTTCTAGGCTCTTGAAACCTCGGCGGCAAAAGAGGTGGACGAAGATGAGCCCGAGGATGAGGATGACGGCGATATCGAGGCCCAGATCCAGAAGGAGCTTGCAGGCTTGAAACCCAACAAGGATAAAAAGCGCCCCTTCGAAGCTATTCGCTTAGAAATGCCCTGTGGTGCGTTCGCGATCTTTCCTTGACGCAATCGTGCAGCAGCGGTCGGTTCACGAAACAGCCCATGGTGCCCCTGCTAACCCCGAACAAGTGATATTCGTACGACTCGAGAAGTCGATTGATCCGGTGGAGCTGGTGCACCGCCTGTGTGCTGAAGCACAGGCCAATCCGGAGACGAAGCGGAGCCGATATATTAAGCGCATGACCCCGGTCACTGAGGTCCGGAAGACTCTTAGCGTGGATCTCGAAGCCTTCGCTCGCGAGATTCTCAAGCCGCACTTCCATTCTGGGGGTCCACCGAAGAAGGTGGGTTGGGAGGCCCCTGTTGCCGCGCCGGCTTTCGTGCCGTTGCTGGCTCGACGCCCGATCCTGCATTTGAGCCGGGATGGGGCTGGCAGCTGTCAGACTTGTTGGGGACTGTGCTGATGGCTTGTTGGTTGTAGTACGCGATTCGGCCTTCGGTACGAGGAAACAACAAATTCAATCGAGACTCTATCATCAAGACTGTTGCCGACATTGTGGGGCCTGAGCACCCCGTGAATCTGAAAAACTACGACCAGATTATTCTGGTGGATGTCAGCCAGGTGAGTTCACACGCGGTGAGTCATCCCAGGAAAGGCTGACAGGCTCGATAGAATATCATTGGGATGAGCGTCGTGGGAAGTGATTACGATCAGCTGAAACGGTTTAATCTGGCCGAGATCTACGATCCGGCCCCGAAGCCAGCCCCGAAGGAAGACCCGACGGGTCCGGGTCCGGAGGATAGGGTCGCAGAGACGTCTTAGGTACCGTGTGGCACCGAGCCAATCAACAGGGTTGTTGCTTCGACAGACCTCTCAAGCCCAGGGTGGAAAACCACTTACGAATCGAGATGATATATTGCGGTAGCTTTGCATACGAGCGCGCGGGTCGAGCCGCGAGCAATCTATCATATTTCCTAGCCCGGAGCGATTTTATGCAGCCACCAGCTCACCCGTTGGGAAGAAATGTTTGTTTATGCCTACCCCGGTACCTCATAGGATTCAAGGACCCCCAAGTTGGCTCCCACGGTGCGGAACCTGTCCGAGTCTCCAAATTCTTACTCGCACGAACTGGGGAGCCTACAACCCGACTATCGGGTCAGGGTTTTCCATCGGGTGTCCACGGTAGAAGTTCAGCACATGGCCAACAATTCCACCATCGCTTGTGGCTGTCTGCTTGTAAGCCCGTGCTAGGCTTGCATACCGTCTCCGGAGCGCCGGTTGTGTGGGGAGGGGGCGGGCGGTTAGCGAACGCCCAGCAATCGGGAACGAAAGCAATCTCGGGACGAGGCGATGCAAGGCGAGAATTAGGGTGATGACACTGGATGTATGAAGGAAGGTGTGGAACATTTGGAACCTTTGGAACCATTGGGAAGGGCTTGCCGAAACGCCAGCGATTCTTGGTGCCATCGCAGGCCCGCAACTGGAGATCCACCAAGGGACATTCGGCAAGACGCGCTTGTGATTGGCCCGCGGGCGGGTGCTCGGATGTCCGCGTTGTCTTCAAGCGGGATCCTTAGGCGAGAAAGCATCGCTGACATCCTCGCCTCTTTTGATTAGCCCGGCCTCTCTACTCGTTCTGTTGGGGCTTTGAACGGTTCCTTACTTTTCATTTGCCCTGCTCGACAATCATTCAGTGGAGTCTGTAAATGACACAATCCTTGCACCATGGTCAAGTCAGATTTCTCGGACCAATGCCCAACTATAGCTCACGGTCTCCAGACAAGCTCGGGTCGAGCCTCCACCAGCCCCCGTATCTCGCGTAGCTAAACCTACCGTAGGTCCATGTCATGGCGCGTCTTGGGCCCCGCGGCCACTTACCCTGCTGAGGATTGAGGGTTACGTGGGCGTGCAACGATGGCGGTCTGCTGGGCCCCCTCGCTGGGAGACCTCCCCTTTGTGGATGGATACCGTGGAGTTAATTCATTTCTTCCTACCTCCTAGTGCCGAAAACGCCCCCAGGGTCAAGGATGCGTTGCATGTCAAAACAATGTCCTCGGAGGGATCTGCTCGGTATCCTACTGTATCTCTGATAACCACTGATTACGGTCAGGGGTTCTCTGATCATCTATTTCGGCGGGCTTCCCCCCGATCCACATACAGCACAGAATGCATCACTCCGATGTGACGACGCAGTCTGCTTTCTTATCCCTGAAGGGACTCAATATGCCCTCCACTTATCATGACGCCCTGGCTGCTGAATCGGAGGAATACCAGCGACTAGATGCTGTGCTGTCATTGCTATTCCCTCCCACGGTTCGTGTGCAACAATCGCAGAATATCCTCGGTCATATGCATTGTTTGCGCCGCCTCACCCTCTCCAACAGAGTTCGATTACTGCTCAAAAGTTCTCCTCTCCCGAGGACCCCCCTTCTTCGGCACGAACGTCTTTATCTGGAGACGGAAGCCCGTGTCTTGGCTCTTCTAGGGCACAATGCAAATCCGTGCATTCCTCGACTCTATCACTACGATCCTCGCGGGGCGCATTTAGGATCTGCCTTCCTTGTGCGGCAGTATGTGAAGGGGAGTAGACTCTCGGACATGCAAGGCCGACTCACTGCCCGACAATGCAACGATATTGACCGTCATCTGGGATTCCTGGCCGCTACGATTGGCCAGAATGTTGCTCCTGGTTTTGGCACTTTGCAGCAAGTCGCCATCGGAGCTGGGAAACGGTCGTGGCGGGAAGCATTCTGTGCTCTATTTGAGAGCGTGCTCCGGGACGCCGAAGATATGTTCATTCACCTACCCTACGCAGAGATTCGGCATGAGCTGGTCCGCTTAGCCGCTGCGCTTGAAGAAGTCACCTTGCCCCGTCTCACGGTGGTGGGCTTTGGTCGACCGACCCATGTCTTCTTGGATGAGGAATCCAAACAACTCTCTGGTGTTGTGGACTTCAGCAGTGCCTTCTGGGGCGACCTATTAATGGCGGAAATCTTCGAGGATCCATCACCCGCCGTGTTAGAAGGAGCCGCGCTACCTTTGTTCCGAACGAAGAAAGCGAATATCCGTGTACTGATGTAGGTGGTTGATTGTCCCGCTCTTTCCCCATCCACCCGACCCCTAGATCGACGGTCTCACTGACATGCTGCATCCGACTAGGTATTCCTGCTACCGATTGGTATGCCAAATCACCATACAATACTATCGTAGTCGCGATGAACCAAAGGAATTCTATGCGCGAAGGCGACTGACCGCCGCCATCGCGAAGTTGATGGTGATTGAATCGGCATGAAGAGGCACGGTAGACGGTCATTTGCATGGGAGGAGCATTAAGATGAGATGATACCCTTGAGTTCCAGAATTACACCTAAAACAGCGCGATTTGCATCAATTGTTGTTCAGCGGCCTCCGCTGTGCAGACCGTTCCGCTGTGGAGCCTCCATGTATATACCGTTCGGCATGTGATACTTGGGGTTCTCATACATACTATCATCGACAGTGATGAAATCCACGGACTGCCCGCAAGTTTCAAATTATATAGATGAACGTACTATACCGAATCTCTTCTTGATCTCCCTTCTTTTTCTCCAGCCTGAAAGTGTTTCTTTCCATAGGATGGCCGCTTAGCTTGCTGGGCGTCCCGACGGTAAGGCGGGAGCGGGGCAGATCTGTTTAGCCGCCGCCGCCATGTCGTCAGCTGGGAGCGGTCCGCAGACAGATTCACCACTTTTTTCCCCATCCTTCCTACCTCTACAGCCTGCCACCACTCACTTGCCGGAAATGGCCCAATTTCTGAGAGGCAAGCAAGCTGGTATTCAGAAGGACTTGTCCGAGGGCTTGTCCCCGGACTTGTTTCAGCTCGACGACGTACGTTCTTAGCGGTCTAGGCATCCTCTTCTGCGGTCGAAACACTGACAGACCGGCTCTCCCAGTTTGCGCGATGCGGCATCAACTCCCAGATCAGCGCAGTCGCCTACGATCCGGTTCAATCTCTCCTCGCTGTCGGCACCAATGATACCTCGTTTGGGAGTGGCCAGATCTATGTCTTTGGACAACGGCGCGTGGCGGTCGTCTTTAACTTCCCGCGCAAGGCCTCCGCGAAGTTCCTCCAGTTTTGCGCGGACAAGCTCATCAGTGTTGATTCAAAGAATGAGATTTGCATATTCTCCCTTGAATCAAACAGCCTGGTGACATCCTATGCGCCGCCGGGCCAACCCACTGCGCTCGCAACCGACCCTAGCCTGGAGTACGCCTTCATTGGCTTGTCGAACGGTTCGTTGGTCCCCGATGCTTATGCTCCGGGGATTCTGAAATCACTGACAGCGGAACAGGTGAAACCATTGCTTACGATCTCGACCGACAGGGCTTGACGCCTTTCAAGATCCCGAACCTGTGGTTGGAACGCAATCCCCGATCACGGCTGTGTCCGGTTATTTCGCTAGCATTTTCTACACGTGACATTGGCAAAATTCTCGTTGGATATCCGGAGGGAGCAGTCACATTTTCATTCAAGCAAAATATTGCTCAGAAGTTCTTTGTCTATGAGGTTCCCGCTGGAGCCCGGGGCGGGGACCCCGAGTTGTCTTCTATGGGAGTGCGCCGACCCAGGCTGACCAATGCGATCTGGCATCCAAATGGTATCTTCGTGTTGACTGTCCATGAAGACACAAGCCTTGTCCTCTGGGATTCGAAAGACGGCCGCAGGCTTCATGCCAGGACTATTCAGGCCGCCAATGTTGACCAGCCAGGCTCCTCGGGTCGACCTGGCTCGGCTGGCTCGGCTGGCTCGTCTACCGGGCCCAAGGAACCCATCACGAAAGTTGCATGGTGTGCCAAAGACAACCCGGATGATACTGGTCTTCTGGTAGCCGGCGGCAAAGCTGCAGGCGATCCAAACAAAGGCCTCACTTTCCTGGATATGGGTCCGACTCCCAACTACTCCACCTCGTCTTGGCAGGTACTGTCGGGTTACTTTGAGAGACCTCGCCGTCACATGAATCTTCCGATTCCGCCGGGTGCGCACGCCATCAACTTTTGCCCTATCCCTCGCTCCACTCCCTATTTTGGAGGTGCTCATGACCCAATTGTCATTATCGTTGTGCTTTCGTCGGGGGAGTTGATCACAATGAGCTTCCCGAGTGGCCACGCAATTACACCGACCAATATGATCCACCCATACCTATCCTTCGTTCATCCGTTTGTGAACAAGGCTACTCTTACGTCAGTTGATCGCAGTGCCTGGTTAGGGCTGAAGGAGAGCCGAGCGCATGGACCCAAATTTGTGTTTGGAGGCGCAGAAGCGAAGAATCCTCTCAAGCGCTTCGAGAACCGGAATATCCTTTCTACTGCTCATGCCGATGGAACAATCCGGCTCTGGGATGCTGGCCATGACGACGAAATTGAGAACGGCGAGGTGGTTCAGGTGGATCTGGCTCGGGCTGTTGGCCGAGTTGGTAACGTGGAGGTGACCGAGATGTCTCTTGCTAGCACAACAGGTGAGCTGTCTGTTGGCCTCCGCAGCGGTGAGGTGGTTGTTTTCCGATGGGCCAACAATGCCTCGTACGGCAACGAACAGTCCCCCGGTGCCAATCAGGGTCCTGGAAAGTTGACCCCAATCAGTAACCGGGCGGACCCTGGCCTGAAGACAGGTCTGCTTCCCTTGACCCTTCTTGATATGCAGCTCGGGCCGGTGACAGCTTTGAAGCATAGCCAGGTTGGCTTTGTCGCTGCTGGTTTCGAAGGTGGTAGCTTAGTTATTCTTGACTTGCGCGGCCCTGCAATTATTCACACAGCGCATCTGTCCGATTTTATCAAGGCTCCGAAACGAAGCAGCTTCCGCAAGCCCCGTGGCTCAGAGGACATTTCGGTGGAGTGGCCAACCAGCATTGAATTTGGGGTGATGACTTTGGAAGGCGATGGTATGGATTTTGTGTCATCACTGAAACCCCCGTTCTCTCAACTGACTTTTTAACTTCAGACTACTCCAGCATTTGCTGCTTTGTGGGCACAAACGGAGGCAACGTAGCAACTTTCAAGATTCTCCCTGCATCCAATGGCACTTACTCGGCCGCTTTTGCTGGGTTCTCGCCGGTCGAAGACAAAATCATCCAGCTTATTCCGATTGATGCGGACTCGGGCAGCCCGGCGCTTGCCACTCCCAATGCCGTCGGTGGCTTGAGACACGGCGTGAAGACCAACGGTGTTGTTGTCGCAGTTACCCCCTCAAGCTGCCGCATCTTCAAACCCCCGACCTCCAAGGGTGCTCATAAGACCTGGGACGACTATCTCTGCGATGCAGCCGCTGTCGTGAAGGTTGAAGGACGCGGATATAGCTTGGTTGGCCTTTTCGGTGATGGGAATGCTCGCGCTTTCTCCATTCCTGCTCTCCGGGATATTGGCTGCGCAAGTATTAACCGCATTGCCGAAATGCGACGACTCTCGGAAGCATGCATTACACCCTCTGGTAACGTCATGACATGGGTTGGCCCTTCTGAGGTCGGACTGTTCAATGTCTGGGGATCTGGAAATACATTGTACGATTCTCGATCTCTATCCTCAGGGCAGTGCTAACGACCTTCACAGGAGCCCCTCGCAAGATCGTCTCTATGACCCCGAAAAAGTGATTCCCGCGCGTCCTACTATTTCTAACATCCAGTGGATCTCTGGCACTCAATATGTCTCGCCAGCAGATATGGACCTGCTGAGTATGTGACCATCCTCATTTAACACACTCATGATCGAGGTTGAAGACCATCATCTAACGTCAAGAATAGTTGGAGGCCCAGACCGCCCACTTTCAAAGCGAATGATCGAACAGATGAGGCTGGACGAGCAAGAGCGCCGCCAAGCACTTCGAGAAGGTCGTGCGCCCCCCTCAGAGCCCCAGGGTAACCAAGAGGGCTACCTCGCATACATGTCACGCCAAGTCCAGGAACGAACCGAGCGTCTCGGAATTGTCGGTGACTCGATGGACCGGTTAGAGGAGAACAGCAGCAATTTTGTGAGCGACGTGGGAAAGTACGTACAGAGCCAGAAGAGGAAGGCTGTCTTTGGCGGTAAGTGATCTCGAGGGCATCCTTTCTCAAACCCCCCCGCCCCCCCCCTTGCGTCATTAGGTACATGACACTGACCGACCTTTGCGCAGCGCTGGGGTCGAAATTCGGGTTTTAGTTTCGCCTACGCAGGCATTTTATTTGTACAGGAGGATGGCATAGACCATGGGTACTCGCGCTATACAGCTGTGTTTATTTAACCCGTTTGTTTTTGTTTACATTTGCCTCTCGCTAGCCTCGATGTAGGATATCCACACTCGTATGGATCGAGATATATTTTGTACCACCTCCTCGGGCATGGAAGTCATGGGTACATATCTCCACAGTTGCTACATTCGAGGACGAGCAATGTTTAGGTAGGTATATATCTGACCCGCTCACCTTGTATTCAATGTAAGCCACGGCTCAAGAAAGGCCGATCCTGTAGGTCCTAGACTAGGCCACGGGCCATTGAGGATATCGCTACCACAAAATGACAATGAGCGCCTTCCAAGAAAAGCTCCGGAAATCTACTTACCGGTTAGTCCTCCTACATACCCGACAAGATCCATGTCCTCGACACCTACCTAGATACGATGGGTGAGCGCACAATGGCATTGATTTTTCAAAATCACGTTGAATTCTATTTCGTATACCCTGTTCAACGTCCACGTTGAAAAAGGGTATGGTAAAAAAAATAAGGTAGGTTTGGTCCAGGTGTCATAAACGTAGCATACTGGCTGTCATCATAGAAAATGGGAAGGGGGGGGAGAGAAAAAGATAGGGGGAGGGGGAGGATGGGTCTAATCGGCGATGGGCTCATCGTTCGTTTAATGCACCATGACCTCGGGCTGAGCCTGGTGGGCAGGCTTGCCAGACTCGTCCTTCTGCTCGGAGTCGTCACCCATCTCGACATCCTCATCGCCCTCGCCGGCCTCGTCCTCGTCCAAGTCGTCATCATCATCATCGCTTTCCTCCTCGAGGTCCTCGCTGCCGGCGTCGGAGACATCATCCTCCTCGTTGCCGGCAGTGTTGTCGCCACCCTCCATTTCTTGGTCCTCACCCTCGCCTTCGCCCTGCTTGTTGGCATCCTCGAGCTCCTTGACAAGGGCGGCCTCCAGCTCGCGCTCTTCAGCACCATAGGCATTGCTGTCGTCATCCAGGTTGTCGGCCTCCGGCTGGTCGGGCGGGTACTCAGCGGGCGCAGACTCCTCGGAATCCCTTGAGAGGATATGTTAGTATTGCGCGATGAGAGGTCAATCAATAAGGAAGGATAGTACCATTTGATGGCGAAGCGAGTCACACGGGGCTTCTCAGCGAGAACATTGCGACGAATCCGCTCGATCACAGGCTTCGCAGGGGGCTCTGCAGCCAGCTCCTCAGAGTCGTACTCATTGTTGACATAGTAACCCACACGAACGAACTCTCGGCCGTCGTAGCTGCAGGTCAGGAGGATGACAGTAACACCCAGGATCTCCGAGGATGGAATGCGCTGCAGATCAGGCGCCTCGGCCTCGAAGATGAATTTATTCACGCCAACGGGGATAGGGCCAACCAGGAGGGAGTCGAGTTCCTGGTCATACTCCGAGCTAAGAAAGTGTTAGTGAGGGGCAAATGGGCGCGGTGAGCAGGAGGATTTACGAAGTGGCGGATCCGACATAAGTCAGTTTCCACTCGAGATCTAAGGAGGCAAATATTAGGAGGATTAACAGGTTGGGAGCAATCATCACAGAGTGGAACACTCACCCTTTTGCAACTGTTCCAGGCACTCGAAGGTGATTTCAAATTGGTAAGAGGCCGTGAAGGCGGCTGGGTTGTTGAGGATTTTGACCCCAAGTAGCGAGACGACAGACATAGTGCTAGGGTATGATGTGCGATTATGTACGAGTGGGACTGCGAGGGTAGAAGGAGGAAAAGGGTTTTATAAACTCTCGAATCTGGGGGACGGGGAAAAGAGAAACAAACAGTTGTTCACCGCAAGGAATGTCAAGGGGACTTTCGACGGCCGCAACGAGGCATATGCGAGGAGCCCGTCGCTCGACGCGCCTTCGCGTCCCTTGCGCGCCCACCGCCCACGTGACGCGCCCATGGCCTGCAGACTCGGATGCATTCAGAAGCGAAGCTCAGGAGCTTCCCCATCCGCCTGCTCATCAACTTTTTACTTCGACCGGACTTCTCGCCCTTCTCTGATGCTGCTGCTTGGTGGGACAGCCTGCCCAGTCCACCCATCGCTCTAACCCTCCTTCTCCCCCAATTCCGCGCAACAATCAATCCCCAAAGCTCGTGTCATAGGTTCTCACTTTCCAGTCACAGAGATCATCTCAGACATCGCCAGCCATGGCGGACAATGAAGCTGAGCAGACCTTCTCTGAAGTACAGGCAATGGACGACACCCTCACAGAGACTATCGCCGACGAGGCAGAAGCTGCTGATAACTCGGACGAAGAAGAATACGACCCCTCTAGACTGGATGACCAATACCAAAGCCCCGTGCCAGAGCCCCAGCAGACAGAGGAGGCAGTAGCAGCAGAAGAAGTGACAGCCCCCAACCCGTCTACATCATCAGACATGGACACTAGCGCTGCTGGTGATGCGCCCGATCCTTTCCAGAACCCCTCCCGTACTGAGTCTCAGACGTCCACGCCGGTCCCCCGCGCGGGTGCGTCGGCGCAGCCCCAGACCAGAACGATTGGGGGATTTGACATTGAGGATGAGGATGAGGATGACAAAGAGGAGGCGGACTATGAGCCGCCGGCGGCGCTGGGGGTGGATGACTCGAATGCCATGCCTATGACCATGTCTGAAGATCCAAGTTCAGGAAATCCAAATCAAGACACTTCCCCTGATGTATCATCGCACTTGACTGTGCAGTCCTCTGCCTCTGTGCCAACTGTTGCCAATAGTTCTTATTCTTCTGCTCCTGTTCCAAATATCGATCCTTCTGTTTCTGGTCCTATTCAGTGGGCTTCGCATGATCCGAGCATGCAGAACAGTACTGTTCCTACTCCTGTACCTGACTCGCCTTCTGCTTCCAGAGGCCGCTTACCGCATGACCGCGTGGGAATCCTGCAGGACAGGGTCGACGAGGATCCTCGCGGAGATCTCTCGGCCTGGTTGGAGTTGATTGCGGAGCACAGAGCTCGTAACCGGCTGGACAGTGCACGCGAGATTTATGAGCGGTTTTTGAAGGAATTCCCCATGGCGGTAAGCTTGTGACTTGCTTGTGCGCAAAGATGAACAGCGTTTAACTAACAATGGATTGGCAGGCTGACCAATGGGTGGCGTATGCCACGATGGAGTCAGAGCTGAATGAGCTCTTCCGGTTGGAACAGATCTTCAACCGAACACTTCTTACTATTCCCAGTGTCCAACTCTGGTCGGTCTATCTGGATTATGTTCGTCGCCGGAACCCCTTGACGACTGACACCAGTGGAGAGGCACGGCGGGTGATCTCGTCGGCCTATGACCTGGCTCTTCAATATGTGGGGATGGACAAAGACTCTGGAAATATCTGGACTGACTACGTGGAGTTCATTCGCTCTGGGCCAGGCACTGTTGGAGGTTCAGGCTGGCAGGACCAGCAGAAGATGGACTTGCTTCGAAAGGCCTACCAGAAAGCACTCTGTGTTCCCACCCAGGCTGTCAACGCTTTGTGGAAGGAATATGATCAGTTTGAAATGGGCTTGAACAAGCTTACGGTACCTACGGCCTTTCTTTTCTATAGCTTCTACCTGTGACTAACTTTAATGTTTAGGGTCGGAAGTTCCTGCAAGAGCAGTCGCCGTCATACATGACCGCTCGTAGTTCGTACACTGAACTGCAGAATATCACTCGCGACCTGGTCCGTACCTCGCTGCCGAGGCTACCTCCTGTTCCTGGCTCTGAAGGCGATGTCGAGTTTGCTCAACAAGTCGACATTTGGAAGCGCTGGATTGCCTGGGAGAAAGGAGACCCCCTGGTTCTGAAAGAGGACGACGCCGCTGCATTCAAAGGTCGCGTACTTTATGTCTACAAGCAGGCGCTTATGGCTCTGAGATTCCTCCCTGAGATCTGGTTTGAGGCCGCCGAATTCTGCTTCCTGAACGATATGGAAAGCGATGGCACCGATCTGTTGAAGCAGGGCATCGAGGCAAACCCCGAAAGCTGCTTGCTGTCGTTCAAACTGGCAGACCGACTTGAGGTCACTACGGACTCCGAGCAGGATTCCTCTAAGCGCGCAGCGAAAGTCAGAGAGCCGTACGACAAGCTCCTCGATGCTCTTTACGAATTGATCACCAAGGCTCGAACCCAGGAGTCACAGGATGTGTCCCGAATTGAAGAGACTTTCGCGATGCTGAACCCGGAAGCCCAAACCGCACAGGACGAGGATGATGACGGTGCCCCGAGTGCAGCGAAGGAGAAGGAGGCTGCGAAACAGACTCAGATTGATGCTGTTCGAAAGGCTCACTCTATTCAAATCAACATTCTCTCCAAGACGATCTCCTTTGCCTGGATTGCGCTTATGCGTGCTATGCGCCGCCTGCAGGGTAAAGGAAAGCCGGGAGAGCTGGCTGGCTCTCGCCAGGTCTTTGCCGAAGCCCGGAAGCGAGGCCGTATCACCAGCGATGTTTACATTGCTAGCGCTCTTATGGAGTATCACTGCTACAAGGACCCCGCAGCTACCAAGATTTTTGAGCGAGGTGCAAAACTCTTCCCGGAGGACGAGAACTTTGCTCTGGAGTATTTGAAGCATTTGATTGACATCAACGACATTATCAGTAAGCAGGAGACCCCAAGTGTCTAGTGTGGTATACGTTTGCTAACATCTGTCAGATGCTCGTGCCGTTTTCGAGACAACTGTCAGGAGATTGGCAGCCAATGCTGAGAATGCCCACAAGGCCAAGCCTATATTTGCATTCCTCCATGAATATGAGTCCCGCTACGGCGACTTAGTCCAGGTAGTCAACCTGGAGCATCGCATGCGCGAGCTCTACCCGGAAGACCCGGCCTTGGAACAATTTTCGCGCCGCTACGCGACACCCTCCTTCAACCCAATGACTGTCCGCCCTATCCTGTCACCCTCGCAGACCCGGCCCAAGACACTGCATGCTGCTGCTGCTGCACCGGAAACTCGTAGCTCGCCCACATCATACCAGGATACATCCTTGAACTCACCGAAGAGACCCTATCCCGCGGATGAGTTTGACTACGACTCTGACCGCCCGCGCAAGTTTGTCCGCGCCGAGTCTCCGCTCAAGGGTACTCAGGGCCGCCGTCTCGATCAGCCGAAGCGAGTTACCCAATTGAACGGGCAGACTACGTCCGCGTATAAGCCCCAAGGATCACCGGCTCCCCTTCCCCGGGACGTGGTTCATCTTCTTAGCATCATTCCTCCCGCATCTTCCTACAATATCTCACGTCTGTCGCCAGAGAAGATGGTTGACCTTCTCCAACGCATTGACATCCCCGTTTCTACCAGCCAGATTCCACTCCCAGCTAATGTGCGAGGGCTTGGGGCTGCCCAGAGCTCTGGTATGAACCCGTATGGTGGTAAGTCGCACGGAGATTTCTTTCTCTCTCACCTACCCATATCTATGATTGGCCATATACCCGCAGATTTTACTAACATTGAACGTGGACAGGATCATATCGCTGAGCACCTGCATTTGCCCAACAAACTACCGCTACCATTCATCTTCTGTGTATAATCTCGCCACCTACCACGCGAAATCTTTCATTTCATCTGCGAGGCGTGCAAATTCGGTGATTCCCATCTGATGACATCCCTATCGTTCTCGATGAAGCCAAGGCCTCATGAGGGATGTGATGAGGAATCTCCTCGATTGTCTTAGAACCCGTTGCATCTGTCGGCGTCGGTCTGATCGGCATTCCTTCTTCCCCCTTGGGCATCGGTTGCCCTGCGATTCAGTCTTCTTGTTTCCAAGTTGAGCATTATTTTTGACGGGGAGTTTCTTCTTGACGCAATACACACTACACCTGTACAGTTCCCGGCAACTAGTGAAGACACTCCAATGATACTCTAATCTACGGATCTAATTTTTCTCTCCTCGTTCGGTAGTACTTGCCATTGGCAGGCGTAAATTTTGCATTGCTCCGATGATTTGTTGAATTTGCTAGATATTACCCGACTACCCCGACGATCACTGCAATCCAACCAGGGGTAGCGCAATACCTAGCCAAGTAGGGGGACAATGTATCAAATAACTTTCACAGGCTTCTTTGATGAAAGTCTAGCCTTACCAGCACCATGCCGACTCGTCCCTCTATACAGAAAATATCATGTGCATGCGCCTCTGAACGTACTAGTCATAGGCGTGAATCCGAGTCAACCACTTCAGTCAAAAGGAATCAAACTTGGTTAGAGGCTATTATCTGACCGAGACAACGGCAGGAACTCGTGACCTCGAGCCACTTCAAGCAAGCTGTTCGTGTCGTCTATATCGATCCGCCAACTCTAGTTGCTTGAGACTATTGACTGGGTGAGGCCTTTGCTCGCCAATATCCACTAAAATCAGCTAGATTCGCACGCTGGAGGCTTCACCTGCGAAGGCTCACCATCCAGACAGTAAATCACAGCTTCCATCGTCTCCATCGCATGTGTCATCGCACTTTCCTCATTCACTCCCTCCACCCCCCTTCCGGCACCTTCCACTTTCGGACATAAACTCACCTCCCACCACCAAAACATTAATGCTCGTATGTTCGCAGAGAACCAGTTAACTGTAGTTGGTTCAATTCGAAGAGGCAACTCTCTCACTTTACCATCCTTAACTTTGCGGGTGCAATATATCAATGAAACCATGGATCTTTCTTACATGGCCCAATTTCACTTAGGGGGAAGATTGGATACCGTTCAAAAATGCATTTCAAAATAAGTAATGAGTCATGGTATTCTATCATATCTATTGTGTATTAGCTGCGTATGGGTGGGCAATCATGCGATCCATCTGCGATCTGAGCAAAATCCAAAAGTCAAGGTCTACGGAAGTAGGAGCTTTAGCTCTCGAAATGTAGTGTTGACAGAGGGAATGTGAAAGAGATTCGCATATGTGCATTGATAAGGGAAACATTTCGTTACACTCCTCAACGTTGTGGTAATTCCTTTCGGTGTTGGCGCTTTCTTTTTTGGAGCGAAGGGACTCTTACGGAGAGCATCCTCTAGTCCATGGAAAGAAGCTAACGTGTCTGCGTGTTTCTCACCAAGTACTCGCTTTTGTCCCTCCCAGGCGTCTCGGTATGGTGCTTGCGCTTGGACGTACTTCTCCTGAGAATAGAGAGCCTGACCAACCCAATGGAGAGACATAAGTGTGTCTGGGTGGTCGTCCCCAAGGGTTTTCTTGCGGCCGTCCCAGGCGTCCCGGTATGTTGTCTCGGCTAGAGCATACTTCCCTTGCCTGTAGAGAGCATCCCCTAAACTATTACGAGACCTGAGTGTGTCTGAGTGGATCCCCCCAAGGATTCGCCTGCGGCCGTTCCAGGAGACCCGGTATGATCTCTCAGCTTCACCATACATTGCTTGACAGTAAAGAGCATCGCCTAGTGTTTGCAGAGATCCAAGCGTTTCTACCTGGCGCAGCTTTGTATCATTGACCAGACCGGTAGTCGAGATTCCCTTCGTGGACGTGTGCTCCTGTAGGGCTGTCGATTTCCCCTCTGACCCCTGTACGGTCCGGATACTTTGCTCATCAACCATTATAGGGGGAGTTTGGTTGCTTTCGTCATTTGCTTGGGAGCTAAGAGATAGACACTGCAAGTGTGCTATCTCATCATCAATCATGATCCCTATATGGTATTATCTTTAGTAGATCATCTAAAATAGTTCTTGCATGTACTGTACTCACCACCTGTGCCAACAGGTCTCCAGTATCCCAAAAAGGCCTTGCTGAAGCTCCAGTTGCTGCTGCGTAACATTGCCACGCTTTGGTTTTATGCATATCTGCATAATCACATATTCCCTTGATGATGATACATGGAATGTTATCCCACACTGCTGCCGCCTCCATTTCAAACCCAAGAACTCTCTCTTCTCTTGTTATTGCATCGCGATGCTCTCCAGACTTCATCACTGTGTCAGCGGACGCGATTGTTCCAATGTGCACGGAGGGTTTGGTTATTGTTGTATCGTTTCGTTGACGAATAACTCGGTTATCATCAAACCCGAGATCGTAACATTCTATCTCCAGTGCCCCATCACATATATTATAGGGCGAGTCATCAGCGGAGCAGCCACATCGGCTAGGTGAGAATTGTGGGTGATGCTTGTGAAGATAAGAAGCCTAGAAAAGAATATCTTCACGTCCTGGGTGCTGCCATCTTGTCTCTCCTTTCTGGAGACAGCGAAGATTCAGTAACATCTGATGTTGAAATTCAGTTTGGGATCGACTTGCTTTGAGGCCGGCGAGAAGAGATCGAATCTCTAGATTTGGCCTTCCCAATGTGTCCTTGACATTTGTCTTTCTCCGAAAACCAGCCGGGTATTGTCTACCGAAATCGTATGCAACCACGGAATCGCTAATAAGAACATCACCTAGGTAGATCTGCCTACCAGGGGACGGTGATGGTACTCCGCCACAGATCCCAACAATCAGTGCAACCTGGATTGCAGTGTAGCTGATGCGAAGGGTAGAGGCCACGCTTGCTGCGCTGTCTTTTCCCATTCCTGGCATATAACACAGAACAACATTATGATGGCCGATCCTTCCGTTGATATATGCGTTCGTATCTCCGGGCTGTTTTCCGTAGGATCTTCCCAACCGGTCGTAGGTTTCATCGAAAAGTCCTTCCACAGCGTCAGCTTCCACAGGAAGTGCACAAATAATGGCTATTGCAAAATCGCGGCGGCTTTTCGGGTGCATTTCAGCTAAGGATAGCAAAAGCTAGCAAAAAAGCTCAAAGAAGTGCAGAAAATATCTTCCTCTGTCAGAGACGAGATAATGAATATACCAACGCCAGAAGCTGGAGGGTAAACGGATCTGAAGTTGTGAGAAAAGTGAGGCTGGGTGGTCTTTATGCCCTTGGGATTGCACCAACCACAGGGCTGCAATAACCACCACAAGAGGGGTAGTACATGAGCCTAGCAACAGCCTGTTTGGCTGAAGCAGCTATTGCCATTCCTCAATTCTGGCCTGTCTTAGAGGCTAAGGGGCAGGATTAAGTGCTTTCGCAGTTTATCTAAATAATAGACACGGTTTATCCTCGGTTGCTTCGTGTCTTTTTAATTAGGATTGAAAAGTGGAAAGACCCTAATGCGCGGCTCTACTGTTTTACCTTATCTGCACCAGGGTGTCACAGAAAATTCTAGATTCTGCTTTCTATTGCAGAAGAATATATAGAGGGATATTTTGTAAAACAGTCCATTTGATCAACAATATCATAGCCTTCCCCAGCTCAATATCCTTTTAACCAAAGCTCCCCGTCCACTCCGGGTTCAGTGTTCCAGAGGAATCATGGTACAACACTCCGTAATGCAGGATACTACCCAGGAATGAGAGTAAGGCTATGGCGACAGCTAGTGAGCCCTTGAATGAGTTCACTCCGAGGACCCGCCTTGGAATGCTTGCAGGTATCATTGAATCACCCTCAGTCATACAGAAGCTGGCGCGAGAGAGTCGGAAAAAGAAAAAAGAACATATGTAGTATAAGAGTGATTCATGGTATCATAGACGCATTAACTAGTGGTTCGGGTAGAAGTAAAACACGGGGCATCAATCAAATACACATCACATCATCACGGTAAAAACGGTCTGTAGATAGGCAGTAGCACAGCCAGCCGGTCCTAACCCTTCCCCACGAGACAAGACCAGCAGTCTGGGGAGAAGGGCCGCAGACGAAAATGCCCTCAAAAAGCGCCAAGGTAGTGGTGACTCCAATAGATGTCGCAAGATAGATGGCAACGCACTTACGACACAGTTTCAAATCATTTCAAAGGTCCCAGGTCCCAGGGTAAATCAGCTTCTTCTACGCGGGTACAGGTCAAATATGGGAGTCCGGCGGAGGTGCCGCTGTCGTGGGCACTGGCGGTAGCAGTGGCCTGCTCAATGCTGCTCTTCAGCTCCAGCTCGAGGAAGTTCCGCATTAGCGGCTTGACGATCTCGCGGGCCAGCCGCTTGATCTCGTCTAGTTTGCGCTCGAAGCGTTTCAGGGTCTCGCGCGTGTACAGAGCATCCGAGGAGGGGGTGGGGTGCAATTTGAGGAAGCGCTTGACTTCATCGTGGCCGAGGTATGCCTGGGACGAGGGGGACCCGATCAAGCGGTACACGCGGGCGGTTGGGTCGGGCGGGGCGGTTGGTTTTGTGGAGGTTGTTTGTGAGCCGGACATTGTCGGTGGCGGAGCGGTGCTGGAGGCGTTGGAAGAGTTCTTGAGGATGGGCGCGGGCGGGGGAGTGGTGTTTTCAATTAGCCATTGGCGGAATAAGGAGACGGCTACCCAATCCAGGTATGCATTCGACGGCCCGACACGTTCCCCGCGGGAGGTTGTAAGGGAAAGGCGGAAGAGCTTGGATTCGACGCGGGCCTTGAGGTCCTCGAGATCCTCGTACTTGTCCTCTATAAGATCGAGAACCGAGTTGGGCAGAGGGGCGTATGAGCCGTTGCGTAGATTCGGTAGGGCCGCGGGCCATTGGCCCACCACATGAATCAACGCTTCGGAGAAGATGACTCGGCTGCGAGCCAGGTATCCCAGTTTGAGGTAGCTGGGCGGGTACTTGGCGATTTGTTTGAACAGGCGCGAGCCAAATCCCAAAAGATGGTGGTCGACCCGTGGACCGGTCACCGGCAGTGCGTCGTACATGTCCGCCAAGGCGAGGAGAGACTTGCACTCTGTGTAAGCAGAGGCAATGTTGACACTATTGAGGACTGGCGGATGATTGTAAAACAACCGGAAGAAGTTGTCGTAGTCGCGGATCAACGGATCGACGGGGCCATGGTCTCCACTGCCGGTCTGTGGTAGATGGACTACCGACTGCATACCAGCCAAGTTCGCCATAGATCGGAAGAAGCCTGCCTGCGCATTGGACGGCTTCGTCGATGTCGGAGGGTATACGATTTGGGCGCCGCTGAGCATTGGGGCGTAGGTGGGTTGCTGTTCGAGCGCATGTTAGCCATCCGCACTCAGCGCTTGGTATAGATAGAGGCACTGAGTTCGGTACCTTTTGGACCAGGATCGGCTCCTCATCCTCCCCGCGATTCTCCCAATCGAGCTCATACCTCCATCGGCGCTTCTCTTCCGCGCGCGCCGGGATCGTGCCCTGGTCCGAGGGGACTAGCGTTGATCCATTAGACAATGAGTCCTCACTCACGCGCGACAACGTGCCGTCTGGCTTCGCCGGCGGAGGGGCACCCTGACGCGACCAGTCCTCGTTGGTGCTTGCCTCGAAGAACCCCGAGCACTGTGCTAATATGAGGCGGTGGAGAAGGTAGCGGCGCTCCTGCGAGCCAGCGCGGATCACGATCTCGGTGTCGCCGGTGTAGGTGAAGATGGGGAAATCGTTCGAGTAGGACTGCATGGAGCCACCATGGTGTGAGCGGCCTGGCCGATGGTGTCGGTGGCCGGACTGAGAGGGTCGCGACACGAGGGAGGGGGCGCTTTGAAGGGGCGCGATGCGATCGACGATTTGCGCTTGTGAGACCATATTGCGAGGGCGCGAACGCTGGGCAGTTGGCATGGTCTGCGAAGCAAGAGGGGCAGAGGAAGCACGGCGATCAACACCTTCCAGCGGTCACGAAGGCCGACATCCACGGCAGTCCAAAACGATGTGGTGACGGGCGAGTTGTTTCAGGGCGTTGCTGTCGCGGGATGTTTTCGTTTTGCCGCGACGGGCCCGAGGCGGAGTTTAGTGCAGCTCCCTGGTTCTTCGACGCCGGGTCGCAAGTAGAGAGGGGCCCAGTAGATCCCGTAGAGCACGGGGTTGGGTGGGATGAGCGGAAGGCAGAATGCTCGATGGATGTTTCAAAGAAAGACCAGGCAGAATCACCGATGGTCCTGTTCCTGGAAATCTCCGGTTAACCATGATGGGTCCTCTCCCGCGTGCTGTGGTCCCATGTGGATCGCCGCAAGCAGCTGAGTTGAAGTGGCAAAGCGCTGGCCTGGCCAATTACCAATGACCGGATGGTGCCATGACCAATGCCGCCTCCGGGGGCGTCTATCTATGGCATTGTAAAAATAAATATATGCTTGACCGAGGGCAGAACCTGAACCTGATCCATACCCAATCCCCAGTCCACCGTCCAAGTCACCGGTCTTTATACTTCCCTCCCCGCTAGACGGACCTCGGGCCCTTCGCTTTAGTCCCTGATTCCAGATCTGAAAAACGCCCTCGCCGCATTCCCGTCTCACTCTGCTTCGGCTCCTGCAGAAACCTAATCACCCGCTCAGGCAAAGGTTCGAACGACCCTGCGGGTTCTATGCGTTTCGGCCTTATACGAGGTCACACGATTTGCGTATTGCGACGCTCTCAGCCCCCTCGCTCGACGCCCAAACGTGCCCCGTCCCCTCCCCGCGATCTCTAAAATTCTGGCCCTGGACACACCTTCCCGGGACAGCTTTCATAGCTGTCCCGATCTGTCATCGCTGCAGATATCACAGGTCTCGGCCGCGGCCTACGGTATCGATCAACTGGAAATCAGCACCGACCACGAAGCCTCTCGTTCGCCTTCCCCCGACCCCTCCCCGGCCCCGGCCCCGCGCAGCACCAAAAAACGCTCCAAGGGCCAAGCCGTCTCCCGGAAGGCGCGCGGCGTGATCGGCAAGGTTCGCGCATTCCAAAAGATTGCAGCCGCCAAAATGTCGCATCCGTCCATCAAGATCGACACAACCGTCCAGACTACCAAGCGAGGTCTGCCGGCTGACAGCGATGGCCTTGAGATGCCTGAGCAGGGAAATCCCCGGTTGGAGGTGGGAGATACGGACGATGTCCCGCCGTTCCTGTGCCAATCGGTCTCGGGTGAGTGAGGGGTGCATGCGCCGATCGGAGAATAGCCAAATTCCTCCCGCACACACACGTGGGAGCCTGTGGACTGACCGCTTTGTTCCTGCAGAGATTCACGACAAGTTTGAGGACCTCGAGTGGATGCAGCGGACGCGCCTGGCCGAGGGCATGCTGTCCAATGATCCCGCCCACCCCTACGCCCTCGAGGGCGATCCGAAAGTCAAGGCCCGGAATCGATATGTCAATGTGCAGGCGTGGGCCAACTGCCGCATCCATCTGCGGGTGCCCGAGGGCGAGTGTGACTTCATCAACGCCTCTCCCATCACCTTGAAGGACTCCGTCACGCAGGAGGAGAGGAGCTATATTGCGACACAGGTACGTGGACAACCCCCTTGGGCATGCGTGGTTCTTTGGGGCCACCGGTGGAACGCACCACTCATTTCATGCTGCAGGGACCCAAGCTTGGCCATCTCTCACACTTTTGGCACATGGTCTTCCATGAAAGCAAGGATGTGGGGGTGATTGTCATGCTGACCCAGACCTTCGAGGCGGGCCGGGAGAAATGCGCCCAGTACTTCCCTCTGGACTCGGAGCAGCCTTCGATGATTCTATCGGAAGAGGAGTCGGACCCCTTCGTGAATGATGAATCCAGCCAGGAGGAACCTTCCCGGGGCGTTGGCAAGGTCAGCTTGTTAGAGTCGACTTTCGATGCCAAATCACGCTCAGAGATCCGAAAGCTTGAGCTGACCATCGGCTCGGAGTCGAAGATCGTCTGGCACTTTCTCTTCGCAGGCTGGGCGGATTATTCCAAGCCAGAGGGAAGCGACCGTGAAGCACTGCTTGAACTGATTAGACTGTCGGCCTCCAAATGCAGCCCTGACAATCCACGTGTGGTCCACTGCAGCGCCGGCGTCGGCCGCACAGGAACCTTCATCGCTCTCGACCACCTCTTGCAAGAGCTGGAATCGGGCCAGCTGCTGCAGGTAGCCGATCCCGAGACCGACCCTGTTTTTGAAACAGTGAATCAGATGCGGGAACAACGCATGATGATGGTCTACAACGAAATGCAGATGCAGTTCATCTACGAGGTTCTCCGAGAGCAGGCGGATTCGAAGCTGGGCAAGATCCCAGTGCAGAACAATGAGTCGCCTGAAAGCCAACCGGATGAGCCGCGATCTGCCAAGGTGGCCAAGTTGGGCGACCAACCCGACTACTTGCCTGCGTCGAAGCCTGAATTGGAGGCTGTCCCCGACCGAGTTGCAACTCCGAATGGAACGTCCGAGGTCTCCGACAATGATTAATGCGCAGCTCAGCCGTTCGTCACCGTTGTTTCTATCTTTTTATTCTCGGAAGCTGGCTATTGCATCCGCTGCTAGATGGGCTCGGCGTGCTATCTACCCCTTCCTACTCGACACGATTTGATCATGAGTCCCTGAAGATTTCATTTGTCCTCTTGCATCATACCATGGCATCCGGTGTTTGTGATCATCTTGTTTTGTTATCTTTCTGATTGCTTCTTTACTTGTCTTGTTTACCTATCCTGCCTTCCATGTCTTCGCCTGCGTTTGAAACACCCTTGATTATACTTTGCCCTTTTTTGAAATACCCCCAGTCTGCACGGTCACTTGTTTTTCGCCCCTTGGCCCCCTCTGTAGTTCTATGCCCGTTGACTGGAGTTACCTAGTCTTTGCCTTAGAATTGCTGTATATTAGCGGTTTCTCGAATGGTTTCTGCAACTGCTCGGTCGATCGAACTCCAGATTCGCGCAACCAGCAATCTATATACAAATTGTAAGGAAGTCTATGGTAGACATAATAGTCCCTCTCATGCCTCATGGCTCTGATGAACCGTCTGTCTCCATAGGTAACTTTACATATCGCCAGCCTTGAAAAGTTATATATATTATGAGGAAACCAACGTGGTTACTGTAGCTGGTTATAGCTTTAGTTGCATTGTGCCGGGTGTTGCCCAGAAAAGCACCGGCATTGGAGAAGTTTCTGGGAAACAATTGTCGACAAAGGAACCTGCAATATAACTCGAGACCAAGCAAGATCTACCGTTCACCAAGATCCGATGTAGAGCTATTGCCGACCCCCAAAACGAAGTGAAATCAAAAACAACACAAACGCTGTGCAAAATACATCAGAACTAAAATGACTGGTATCATATCACCATGAGATCGATCAAGGCATCAGTATAATAATCATGAAACGGGAAATACGACAGCCAACATCAAAATCGGCGGTGCATCAATTTGTCGTTCTGTTGATTCGAGGTAGTCCAAATAGGCCTAGAACCGTTAGTCAATGCGTTTCGTCGTGACCTCTCCCGCCGGTTGGCTTTCATGGTAGCTTGGAGGTTCAGCTTGATGCTCGGAAGATCCCGGGCCATCCTCATTGTCCCAATTGTCAACAGCATTCTCATCCCAATTGTCCACTTCTTGTTCCAAGTTCATCACACCGGACTCCTGTGGCTCGAGCCCATCTTCTTCCCTGGAGCCCCCAACTCCGACTCCAAGCTCGACGTCATCAGATTCACCTTCCATCATGCCAAAGCGGTTCTTGCGGCGACGGTCCAGCATACGGCGGTGGTACCAGCCACACAGACCCACGGCGCCGAGGCTGCCGACAACATTGGCGAGGACATCGAAAGGATCGAAAGCGCGGTCGTTTGGAAGGAACCCCTGTACAACTTCCGAGCCAATGCCCAAACCCAGTGTGCAGACCAGCAGAGTTATGTGTAGAGTGCGCCGCCGCGTGGTATCCAAGACCCAGTAGAAAGCAACGGATAGGAGGAAAAAGGTGACGAGGTGAAGGAGCTTATCATTTGGCTGGAGATTTGTCGGGATAGTGGAGGAGGTGCTGTGTGGGAGAAGACCGATATACCCAGCCAGGATCAGGAGGAAGACGAAAGCTCCTAAGTGTGGTGGTTAGCGGAAATGGGCTATCAGAGGATGCTCTGACTGTCAAGCACATACCTGCAAAAGGGTAGCGGATCCGCATAATGAAGAAAGAGAAGAGAAGAGAAAGCTTGGTGATTTTGGTCTAAAGTTACACAATGTCCCGGTGGACAGGGTGGCAGCACAGTTCTCAGCTAGCACCGGAGTGATAGTAAAGCGGACGATGATCACTTGGCCCCAGCTGGTGCCAGTGCGTCATATGTGGAGCTGGACGGTGTTTCTGAACGCTGCGAGGTGAAAGTACCAAGGCAGTCAATATATCCCGCAGGACAATCCAAGAGGCAATAGAACAATCGACTAAGGGAGGTCGCGCAGTCCAGCGTCAATGACAGAGTGTATGTCGTCGCCGTCGATGGCTCCCTTGCAATCTGCCGCGTCTCTCCGCCTTCGCGCCTGGCGTACTTCATCCCCGTCCAGAGAAACTTCCCTACAGAAGCCGTCATCTTCTTCATCAAACCTCGCCGCCGTGCCATCGCTGTTGGGCTTTTTGACATCGCCTGCTGCTTCGGCCACTTGTGAGGCACATCTCTATGCCTTTTTCCCCTTGTCAAACGCATTTGTCGTGATTTCTTCGGACTGTGATCCCAACCGTGGAGGATCGAGTCTCGCCCGCCCCATATCCGGGGTTTTGGAGCGAGCATGTCGCTCGGTCACAACGCCTGGCCCCCGGGCAATATTCGTCCTCCGGATGAGCATCAGGACTCACCGCGCCCCGTCAATGGCTTGGTCAAGACCCTATCAGGCTCGCGAACTCCCCAAATGCGCGGCTCTATCAGCGCCGATGGGCCGAACCCCGGTAGTATGACATCGGAGCCAGATATCGCGATCGAGGAGGATCCGCGCATTGCCCAATTCCGTGACTTGTATCGGCGCAGTGAAGCGAAAATAAACGCGCTCTTTTCAGGCCGCTACTCTGAGAACGATGCTGTCGGCGCCGTGGTCACGGACTCCGACCAGCCGGAGAGCCAACCTGAACGCGTCGATGCGCCGGCACCCCCTTCAACGGCACCCACCAAGCCTGCCCGCAAACTCGATGACGACTATGACGACTACGACGAAGATGACGATGCGGATATGGCTGATTCCACCGACTCCCCTGTGAAAGCGAAGTCCTTCCTGCCGTCGCAAGATACCCCCGGCGCTGCACCCCCGGCGCAACGCCCGGGCACCGCAGCCTCCATCAGTGCCGACGGGATGAAAGAACCAAAGAAGGAGACACTTGAGGATATTCGGAAACAGCTTGCAGAGGACAAAAAGGCGACGGAAGAAGCTGCTAAGCGGAGCTTCCATACCTTGTTCTATACACTCGAGAGCGATCGAGACGCTATGCTGGACCAACAACGGTTGGAGGAGTCTGAGCGCCAGGTTGAGGCTGAAATTTCTGGCCAGCAAGCAAATGGTGGTAATAATGCGGCTGGCGGTTCCAATGGGTATAGCTCCCTGAGCAACACGAACCTCGGTGCTTCCAGCTTGACGCTAAAGAACCTCATCGCTCGAATCGACAAGAAGCGCGATATGGTGCAGGCATCTGATGCCGAGCTTCGTAGTCTTCTGAGCGAAGTCCGCAAGAATCGCAGCAAATGGGCTAGCGAGGACAAGATTGGCCAGGAGGAGCTGTATGAAGCTGCGGAGAAGGTTCTCAGCGAACTCAAAGCTATGACCGAACATTCGACTGCTTTTTTGACTCGCGTCAATAAGCGTGATGCGCCGGATTATTACACAAGTAAGACTTGTGCACTCTTACCTTCTTTGCCTTGCACTAACCCCTTGTAACAGTCATTAAACACCCAATGGATCTCGGAACGATGACCAAGAAGCTCAAGGGCCTGCAATACAAGTCGAAGCAAGATTTTGTGGATGACCTCAATCTGATTTGGCTGAACTGTCTGAAGTACAACACAAACCCGGAGCACTTTCTACGGAAGCATGCTCTGTACATGCGAAAGGAGACTGAGAAGCTTGTACCTTTGATCCCTGAAATCACCATTAGGGACCGTGCCGAGGTTGAAGCTGAGGAACGTCGACTGCAGCTTGCAGAGCTCGATGGTGCTGAAGAAAGTGATGATGAACCCATCATGTCTTCTCGGGGACGGAAGGCTCCGGGCAAATCCTCTAAGAAGGGTACAGCTCCATCTCGCAACACCCCTAGTGGTTCTGAAGGACCTCCAGCTGCCCCTTCCAGCCAACCGCCGGTTCTTGTTAGTGCGGATTCGGATACCGCCATGGAAGCAAGCCAAAACGGTTTCTCCACCCCGCCTCCTGGGTCCCACACTCCTTCCGATCATCCCGCTGGTGCAGGCGTGGGTACTGCAGCTAGCCAGCAGGGCGATGCGATGGAGATCGACGTGCCCACAACTTCCACTACTTCCCTCAGTGCGCTCTCAGTTTCCGGCGTGGAATTTGAAGATCCCGAGTTCAAAGTGTGGAAGCAGGTGACAAAGAAAGATCGAGCTCTAATCGCCGCGGAGAGACATCGTCTCCTCAAGGGCGACAAGCTCAATCCTGACGAGCCAGCTTTGCTCCGAACCAAAGCCGGTATGCGCCGATGGCTTCGTCACGAAAAGCAAGCTGCGATTGAAGGTGACAAGGTACATGATCCGGGATCCCAAGCCATGGAGCCCGAGGCTGCTGGCGAATCCCTGGCAGAGGGTATCGAGGTCGAAGAAGACAAAATGCTTCCGTATTACTACGATGTTATGTCTGGTGTACCCGACCTTCCAGAGCGTCTTGCCTGGAGGGAAGATGCCGACGGAAATATCGTGGATGCATCCGAAGAGTTCCTCAGGGTCCTCCCTCAGGGCAGGTTCACTCAACCCGATAGCAAGTTGTCTCGCAAGCTGGATGCCAATATGCGACAGATGCAGGACACGCGTAAGATTTGTTCGAAGATGGGCATCGTGAAACAGATGCAGCTGCAGGCTCAGGTATGTGCTTAGATGAACACTTAATATCCCGATACCTCAGACGACATTGGAATGTGAGACTAATAAGTTGTCAGATGTATGCAAATCAATTTCAAAAGTACAACCCTGAGCCTTTTGCCGAACAAGACATCTCACCTCACGTTATGAACGATAATGGCCCTGTGATTGCACCTGGAACCTGCCGAGCAGCACTGCAGCGATCTGTCGCTAAAATCTTCTATCACACTGGTTTTGAGGAGTACCAGCCTTCCGCTCTCGAGGTCGCGACCGATATCGCAGCGGACTTCTTCCAAAAGATTGGCGAGACAGTTAAATCCTATATCGAAGCCCCGAAGGTTCCTGTCACTGAATGTGAGGATGCTACGTCTTCCGCGGAATGGAAACCTGCGTACACTGAACCTGAAATTGTTCTTCACTCTCTGGCCGCCGTTGGTATTGATATTGAGGAGCTTGAGTCCTACATCAAAGACGACGTCGAACGACTGGGAACTAAGCTTGCCTCGGCACACGATCGCCTGAAGTATCTCTTCACTGAGCTCTTGCGCCCGGCTCTTACAGATGGTGGCGAGGACGGTTCCAAAGCCTTTGCCGATGGCAGCGATCAGTTTGTCACTGGAACATTTGCGGACGATATCAATGATGATTTCCTTGGCTTCAAGGAACTTGGACTAGACGTCGAGTTCGGCATTGCCTTCAATAGTGTGCCACTGCACTTGCTCCCGAGCCGCATGTTCAACGCGGCGCAGGCACAGAACACCACTTCCATTCAGACTGAAGATGTCTTCACCCCGCCGCCTCCGTATCCTCGGATTACGGTGGAGAATGTGGGTGACCAGATCGGGCTGGTTCAACAATACTTCAAGGGCAAGCTGGATGCGAACAATGACGAGCCGCTCGTGGAAGATCTCGAGTTACCCCCAAGCAAAGGCCCATGGCTACTAAGCCTCGTCTTCCCGCATCTGGTAAGATCCCTCACATGGCTGGTGTGTCTGGAAACACCTCGAGCCCTCAGAAGCGCCCTGCACCGCCCAATGCCGCCGCGGCCAAGGCAGGTCCATCAGAGCCCAGCAAGAAGAAGGTGAAGAAGAATAGCGGTGTTGCGCTGGAGATGCCTAACTTCAATGACGGCGATGCGGACCAGACGAATGCCGCCGACGCCAAAGATTTCATGTCTGATCTGAAGTCTATCGATGGGTCTAACATCCCCGACGGTGCTTCGGGCGAACCCATTGCTAGCCAGCGAGAACAAGCAAGCATGCCCATGACCAATGGAACCACGGCATGATCTTCAGCAATTGTTCTTTCCGAACTCTGTTCTATCACAATAGCATGTTTGGCATGTCTTTCATTTTCATATTTTCCTTTCTGTCCCTGTCGTCTTGACTCTACCAGCGTATGACGCGCCATGCGTTCAGATACGGCAATCGCCATGTTTCATGTTCCGTGAACGAAATTTCTTCCATGTTTGGCGACGGGAGCTCCTCATATTCAATCGGTGATGACACTATAGCCAAAACGACTGGCAAGGTGGCGGCACACTAATTAACTGGATATTAATCGTTTCAACGACCGAAATTAATCGTTTAACGACCTGGCGCACTGCAAACTGCGGGCTCATTTCGAATGACTCTCCCCACCATTGTTTCCCTGTTGTATTATTTTGCCCTCTCTCCTGCGGTTTCCGTGCCTGGGCTCGGTCGCTGTGCATTAATCTATCACCACCGTTGTATTCCCTTGGATTATCATTGCTCCGCGCGTGTACTATAGCATACCATCCGCAGCTGGCCCATTCCTCTTTATCTGTGCCTTGATCCTCCTCTATTCGGATTCAATTGAATACATCGGTATTGGTTCTCCACTGCGTCGAGGTTCCATCTACGTCGGGGATGCCGTAATGTAGCTACAGACATCCCCGTGAAAGCAGATAGTAAGCATCACGCAAACTGGATATCTCGATTATCCAAGTAATACATACATACATACATACAGCCCCCGAGATTTACTACAATAATATACAAATCCTAGAAATGGAGACTGGAGAATCATCCACCCATTTATGCTAGTCCCGCCGGCCAATGATCTCCATGCCATCCATCCAGGGCCGCAGGACCTCCGGCACAACTACCACACCACGCTCCGCATCCCACCCATGCTCCAGAATAGCGGCTAGCACCCGTGGAACAGCCATAGCAGTTCCATTGACGGTATGCGGGAACCGCGACTCCTTCGGCACACTGCCGCGGACACGGGTCGCTAGTCGCCGGCTCTGGTAGTCGGTACAGATGGAGGCAGAGGTGACCTCGCCCCAGGCAGATTCAAGCTCTGACACCGCTGGGTCGACAGCGCTCGAGGCGGCAGCCGCAGGGCGGTATCTCGAGGGGAAGAGCGCCTCGATGTCGCGCTTGCGGGTTGCGCTAGCGCCCAGATCGCCGGTCGGCATCTCCAGTACACGGCAGGGGAGCCCGAGGGCCGTCAGGATCTCCGTTTGAATGTCGAGCAGCTCGGTAAAGAGCGTGTCCGAGGTCGGCTGGCCGGTTGCGGCGTCGAGAATATCCGCCCAGCCGAACAGCTCGACCTTGGTGAACTCGTGTACGCGGTACAGCCCCTTCGTGTCTACACCGCGCGAGCCGGCTTCCGCACGATAGCACCGGCTCGCACCCACCAGTTTAATGGGGAGCTCTGCGGCACGGATCTCGCGGCCCGCGTACATGGCCGCGAGGGGGATTTCCGCGGTGGCCGTTAGCGAGCGCGGCGGCTTGGTGTCGCGGTCGCGCTCGTTCTGCTCGATCGACCAGATCTGCTGCTCGTTGTGCTGGTCACGCGGCTGGAAGCCGCATGCCTCGGCGATGTAGGAGTAGACGATGGATGGCGGGGCGACCATCTTCCAGCCGCGGCGGCGTGCCACGCCCAGCGCGTACTGGACCAGCGCTTGCTCGAGCATGGCGCCTTCGTTGACGAGGAAGTACCACCCCCATCCGGTCGTGGTTGCCGAGCTTGTGAAGTCGAGGAGGCCGAGCTCGGTGCCGATGGCGACGTGCGACCGAGCCTGGAGCTCGGCGGGTGACTGACGCGTCCAGGCGGGTGGTGCTTGGGGGTCAAAGTTGAGGTAGTTGACGAGACGGGGGACGTCGCCGACGGGGGTCTCGGCGGATGACAGATTCGGGAGGGACAGGGCGAGTTGGTGGATCTCATCGGTACAATTGGACTTGCGGATGGTCATGGCGTGCGAGTCGTCCTTCAAGCGCTGCGCCTCGGACTTGAGGCTTTCCAGTTCTCCCTCTGACTCCAACCCTTTCTCCCTGCTCTGTGTCCCGTTGGCGGGGGTTTGTTTCGCCGCGATGGCCAGCTCGGCGATCTTTTTTCCAGCTGCTTTATCCGTGAGCGCGGCGACTTCAGGTCTTGATCGAGTTGCCTCGCTTCATCAGAGAGAAGCTGGATTCTCGACGGATACTCCGCATGGCCGGCGTAGTTCCTGTCTATGCAATTCCGGGCGTAGAGCTCGACATTGTTGCGGATATGCTTCACGTCCGGCGTGGGCTTTGGCGCAGTCGCAGGACGGAGAATCTGCTGGTGGCGCCGGGTGGTGGAGAAGGTGCGTCGCTGAAGTCGGGTCAATGCATTTTGGGGCGTTAATCTGCAATTAAAGCAGATGTACGGCGAGGGAGAGGGCGCCATGGACGAGAGGGTTGAGAAAGAGAGCGTTTGGAGAAGGAAGAAGTGGATCGTTTCGCGCGGGCTCGCTGGGTGGGGCCACTGGGACGCGCGCTCCCGTCTACTCGATTTATTTGGGATTCTAATTTCATGAAAGTTTATTGAACAATTCTTCCAATGTCCAATCCGACTAGCTGGTAGTATAGCGGGCACATCCGTCATATTCGGCATCTCAAGTATCCCCCAGTCCCAATTTATGTGTGTTAATCCGGGCACCCACACCCAGCACGGTGAGGATCATCGCGACGACGACCGGCCAGGTTGGGATGTGTATGACATTGAAGTTGTACGGCGTCTGGGTCGCCGCCAGGACAGTCGAAACCTCCAGCAGTAGCAGAACATAGCCGGCCCCGCGATGATACTTGTAGATCCGCTTTCCGGCGTTGGCACTGCCGAGAACAGGAATGGGTAGGAAGAACTGGACGACTCCGACTGAGGCTTGGAGAACCACGGCAATGACGGTGATCAGGCCGAGGATACCGTGCGGCGAAACGAAGTGAGGATGACTTCCCTTGTTCAGCTCGATGACAACAAAGGCGCCGAGGAAGCACAGGATGCTGAGCAGTTGAATGCTGTAGTGGATGCGGGTCCCGAGACGTTTCTGGTCGGGAGTGGCGGTGGGTTGGAGGATGAGGGCTGCCTGGACTTGCAGAAGTAGGGCCGAACTAGCGAGCAGCTGAGGAGAGCGGGGGTTAGACAAAGCGCAATCAAGGAGAAGACGAGCGGGAGGTGGCTGCATGAGGGGAACTGGAGACGTACAGGATGGCCCGTGAAGAGCGCGAGCGGGTGGGCCAGAAGGTTGGACCAGACAAGAGCAGCCAGCTATCGAAGTATCAGAGGATCGAAGGATCAGAGGATCAGAGGATCAGAGGATCAGAGGATCAGAGGATCGGTGGAACGAGCGCGAGGAACCACGTACAATCCAAATCCCCGCCTGGGCCACGCTGGCGGAGCCTAGAGTCCGTCAGTGATGAAGAGATATGCAATGCGGAAAGCAGTCACCCGTAATCAGATTGCGAACAATGTCGTTCGTGTGGCCAGCCTGGCCCAGCAGGGGCTCGCGTTCCCCAGACTGAACAGTTTCCGCCATACGAGGCCGACTCTATGAGACTCAATGAAGCGCACTGAAATGGAACAGTATCTGAGCTGCCAATTCCACCGCAGCCGGGGGCGGGCCACGTTATGGCGTTGGACAGGCCGAGAGGGCGATCATAAATATGCAGTGGGACGATTGTTATGCGCTGCACGACCGAGGCAATGCACTATGGGCATCAACTACAACAGGCCGGGACTTGGCGTGATTGCCGGCGTAAATGACGATCCAAAGTACGCAGTCGGCAAGTGGAGGCCCAATTTGCCGAGCCATGTCCACTGCTACAAATTGCTAATTGCTAATTGCCAATTGCCAATCACTCTCGAGAGCGCACGTCCAGACAGCCCCAATCCTGCAGGGAGCAAACACCTTACTTGATGGTGCTACTTGGTGGTGCTACTTGGCAAGCCTATCTACGAAGTCCGTATTTCTACTCCGATCTGGGATCCCAAGTCTCGATCAGGTAGGATCCCCTGGTCTGATCATACTGACAGAACCCCCAGTTCTACCAAGATGGCCATGGTGGTTGCGGGGGCTTTCATTTCCAATCCTAGTCTCGGCCTATCACACAGTCTGCAAGCCTCTACAGCCATTCTCCGTTCAACAAGTCCAACCAAATGGGTCATAGATCAACGATGCCGCAGATCATACGTTTACCAGGGCATTTTCAAGACAGGGCCTTCTTCTCCAGAGCCCAGTCGACCCCAGACGACCTCCGCGCCGAGATTCTGTGGGTCCAGATTCATGATAATGTTGAACAGTGAGCTACTGCGCGTCGAGATGTGACGAGACTCGTCCTCGCGGCAGCAGATTGCCTGCGGGGCATTAAAAGTGTCGGAGAAGATCCGTTCCCGCAGCAAGGAAGGCGTAATGGCATCGCCCTTCACCCCACTCGCGATCAGCTCCGAGGTCAATTGTCCCAATCGCTTCAGGCGGATGGGAGAGCCCGACAGCCACGGCGGCTCCTCCACAAATCGGTTCTCAATGAAGTGGTTGGTGTGGCCAATCAGCCCAGATGCGTCTTCAGGGATATGTTTGTCGCCCACTGGCGATAACTCGAGCCCCAATGCCGTGGTGCTGTCGGCGACCAGAATGTGCTGGGCAGACGCAACACCGCCCAGCGTCTCGAGGGTGTTCACAGCGTTGGCAACAGAGGTACTCTCCAGACATAGTCGAAGAGCGACGTGGATGGGGAGCTTGCTGCTGATCATCGGGTTGGCACGAATGGCATTCAGGCAGGTCCCCACGGTGGCGGAATTGAATCCAATCTTGCCAACAATTCCTGCCTAGATGAAGACGACCGGAGTTAATCCATCAATTACGAATCCATTCTGAATGGAACCATGGAAGATCTCACCTCGGTGATCATGTATATCGTCGGCTTTCCCGGCTGCTCGATGGAGACCATAGCCAGATTCTTCTTCACTCGCGCCGTCCAGTCCCAGTTCTGAGATAGTACGCGAGCATTGTCACTCTTCTTCCAGCATAATGTCGTACATCCGTCGGAGAACTTGCCCAGGGCAATCTCGCTGCGACAGTTAAGCGCCACGATATCGAGTACATCGAGCTCCGCTCCCTCGGCGATACCTTCCATCTCCGCAAAGAGATGGGGAGTCAGTTTTTGGAGCACAGGCTGAAACTCCTTAGCGACTTCGCGGACCGCCTGCCAGGATAGCTTGGAGGTGTATTCGAACATCTCTTCGTAGATGCTGATTTGACTGCGGATCTGGTCCCGCAATGCCCGCCCATGTTCAAGACCAATCTGTATAAGAAACCCATGTCAGCTTCCACCTGGGCAAATACAACGGGAAATCCCAAACCCCCGAGCATGAAAGCACAGTACCTCTTGCGGGCTACCCCTCAGCCTAAGTTGGATCGGTCCTCCGTCGGCCATCGCAGTGCGTTCGTTTAACCTTCACTCCAGTTATATGATATCTGATATGTCCAAAATCACCAAGGAAGAGTCTCTGCTTGTTAAATGAGTCGTTTATCGGCGGTTACGCCGAGTCCGTCAACAGCCGAGCTGCGCTTCCGTCAGTTGGGGTCGCGCGGGGACTAGCCGATAAGCCCATCGCAATGAACTCCCCCAATTGGCCATGTTGTCAGATTGTGCCTCGGAAGGGAAGGTCTATGCTGCGGAGAACACTATCTGCGTACAGATATGATGATGCCTCTGGGTGACTCAGATATGAGTTCAAGTTGCTTCGTACTCCACTCTCCATGCGCTAGAGATGGTGCGATGAACCATCCGACGTACTGTACCTATGATATGCGAATGACGGGCTAATTGGGACAAAGGATCAGAGGTACAGAATTTGTTCTAATTTGATAAATTAATTCAATGGGGCTTGATTCATCCTTCTGACAATGACAGACCAGCCAGCCTCTAGGCCTCCCTGATCAAATGTGTGAACAACTTGTCCAGATAATAAGCGGACTGCTTGGGGTAGCGCTTCTTTTCTTCCGATTCAAAGTCAATAAATGTGCACCCGAATCGATCGGAATATCCAGCGGCCCATTCTACAGACAGTCAGTCGTCGTTGTCGTGAGTTGCGAGAAGGGGACCGGGTACTTACCCCAATTGTCGGTGAATGTCCACGCGAAATAAGATCGGATGTCGACCCCATCTTCCTTGACGGCTCGCGCGAGAGCGCTTCCCACATATCCCTCAAAGAACTTGATGCGGAATTGATCGTCGAGGACATCCGGGGTTGGGGCCACTTCTCCCTTGGCGGTAGTACCATTTTCCGTGACATAGATCGGCATTTGATACCGCTTGTAGATCCAGTTCAGCAGCTTCCGGAACCCCTCCGGGGCAGCGCGAAGCCACGGAGTATCACTTTCCTCGCCTCGTGGAATGCCGTGGCGATTCTCATCGTGGATCTCCACATTGCCCTTGTGATCGTTGATATCCGGTGGGGTCGTCTTATGCTTCACGAAAAAGGTCGTATAGCTGTTCATGCCATAGAACTCGGAACTTCCGAGGACCAGTTTGGATTCCTCAGCTGTGAATCGAGGCAATCGGTCGCCAAGTTGCGCACGCATGGATGCCGGATAATCCCCTGTTTTGTATACGGGATCGGCAAACCAGGAAATCTCGAACTCGCGTGCCCGCTCTGCTGCGGCTTGGTCAAGGGGATCTTCCTCGTCCCACGGCTCAGACCAGTTACCATGTAGGGTAATCCCGATGCTACCTTTCTGATGTGGCTGGAATTCCTCGCGGTACATTCGAGAGACATATCCATGGGACACCAGCTCGGTGTGAGCGACAATGAAAGGCTCGGTGGACGAGTCGCCTTCTGCATTGCGCTCTCGGAAAGACGATCGAGCGGGGGCATGCACACCAGCCGCATAGCCGGCCAGAGTGTAGACCCCAGGCTCATTGTAAGTGATCCAGTGCTTAACGCGATCGCCGAATCGCTCGAAACAGACCCGCGCGTAGCGCACGAAATCCGGCGTATACGCGTTCTGGTTCAGCATACCGCCATACCGATCCTCCAAGGCCTGGGGGATGTCCCAGTGAAAAAGCGTGGCAAACGGGGTGATGCCATTCCGGATAAGCTCGTCAATCAAGCTCGAATAGTATTGAATGCCTTGCTCGTTGACGGGATCATCACAGCCACCTAACGGAATAATGCGGGACCAGGCGATCGAGAAACGGTATGCATTCACTCCGTAGGTCTTCATCAGCGCTACATCTTCGCGATAAAACTCGTACGATCGCACCGCGTCGTCCGCCGTACTTCCGTCGGAGACTTTGCCGGGGGTATGGCCGAAGGTATCCCAGATCGAAATGCCCTTGCCATCTTTGTTCCAAGCACCTTCAATCTGCGCTGCCGCGGTAGCATAGCCGTGATAAAAATCAGACCGGAGAACGCCTTTGAGATCTTGCACAGACTGCAAATCCATCGTCGAGGAATGTTATGGTTTGTCACCGGAGGCGATGTCTTTAATTAGGAGGGCGGTGTTGATATCGCTAATTTGCGCGGTCCAATAATTTCAGAATAATCTCATCAATGAGCTACCCGGCTAAGGGCTCATGATCTGTCGGATTCTGTGTTTTATTTTATCCAGGACTCGGGACACACGGAGGTTATTCCGTGCTGATCTAGGCAAGGCCGAGCGAGCAGGGATTAGTTTATGTGGGGACGATGCGTCAAATGCACCGAATTATAGTGGTCCAGAAACAAAATGACTGAATTCGACTACGACATATTGAAACACTCCTTGTGTTACAGGATCTGTTCGACTTTTGCCTCTCTCTCTATACATTGGGTTATTCTATGCCTCAATTATAATATGATGACCCGGACCCTCAACTTCTTCCAGGCGGGTCTCATCTCCATAGGGGAAGCAAATGGTAAACAGTCCCCCAGACTTTGGTATTATGGCAGTCAGCGAGAGAAGAGATCTAGCATCCCAACTGAAATTCAGTTCCACGCCTCCACGCGCGCGTACTCCCCGAATGGCCCCTTTCCAGTCCTTTGGGCAAGCTGGAAGCAACCGAATCAACCCTGGCTCATGAGATTGTATCAGCATTTCGATGATTCCCGCACCACCGCCAAAGTTGCCATCAATCTGGAATGGCGGATGACTATCCAGTAGATTCGGCAATGTGGACTGGGCAAAGAGCAGATCCAAGTGTTTACTACACTCCTCAGCTTCAAACAGCCGAGCGTGGAGATTGACAAGCCAAGCTCGGCTCCAGCCTGTATGGCCGCCGCCGTGCTCAGCGCGTCGACGCAGGACCACACCACAAGCGTGCGCCAAGTCAGGCTCTTTTGCGGGTATGATCGCGTTTCCGGGGTATAACGCCCATAAGTGCGAGGTATGACGGTGTCCAGGTTCGACCTCGGCATAATCAACGGCCCATTCTTGAAGATAGCCCGAATCGCTTATTTTCATGGGCGGCAGTCGGCCTCGTGTCGCGTGGACCGATGGAAGAAGGCTATCCGAAATGCCGAGTTGCTCTGTAGAAGATTCGAATGCGCCTAGAATAGCATCCACAATTTGATTATCGACTGTAGATCCCTCACACAACACCCCTTTCTGCCCCTGGAGGTCATAGAATGAATTTTCCGGCGAAACTGAAGGGTTTGTCACCAGATATTCTCCAGAGGCATCTTCAATCAAAAAATCAAGAAGAAACTCCACACATCCTCGCAAGACAGGGAACATCTTCCGCAGGCATGCGTGGTCTCGAGTGAACTGAAAATGCTCCCAGATGTGATAGCATAGCCAGGCACCCCCCAGTGGCCAGATTGTCGCCGGCATCCACCGGTCAACTGGGGAGGTATCCGCCCATATATCGGTACATGAATGGGCAGTCCAGCCTCGACATCCGTACATGACACGGGCCGTGGCCTTCCCAGTCTCTGCCATGCGCTCGAGCAGGCTGAACAGTGGAGCCTCGCATTCGGACAGATTACACACATTGGCGGGCCAGTAGTTCATTTGCAGATTGACATTGATGGTAAACTTAGAGCCCCATGCTGGGTGAAAGGAGGGATTCCAGATGCCTTGCAAGTTCGCAGGGAGGGGCTTGTTTCCATCGCGACTGGATGATATCAGAAGATATCGACTATAGTTGTGATATAATGCTATCAATTCGGGATCCCGAGCGGTCTGTAGCCGTATGTCCGTTGGAATGTTTGGCGAGTCAGAGGATAGTTGCAAATGCATCCGGTTATACAACGCCTGGTAGTCCGTGACATGTCTCTCCCTTAGCTGTGCGACGTCGTAGCAAAGTGCCCTCCCGATATCTTCGAATACTCCCTGACTGGGATATCCATGACGAAACGTTGTGTGCGCTGCGATCAGAATAAGAGCTTCGGAAGCCTTAACCACCAAGTTGTTTCCAACCTTGGTGACTGTCCCCACGTCGTCGCATTGGACACGAACAATGCAGCAAGCACGGTTGCTATTTCGGCCCCCCGGTGTAACATTCATCATGATAGAATCATTTGAAGCAGAAACATCATCCAGGTACTCGTTTGTCTCGAATTCCAGCTCGCTCATCCGGGTCAACCGGACCACGTATTCGGCCTTCGGCGAAGAGACAACTCGAACGGCGAGAACATTGTCCGGGTAGCTTGCTAGGACTTGTCGTCCATATTCCGTCCCACGATAACTATAGCTCACATTCACCGTAGCAGATTCAAGGTCCAATTCGCGTTCATAGTTCGTGACTTGATCCGGTACATGACCAAAGTCCAGGAAAAGGGTGCCGAGAGGTTCATATTGTCGCTGGCTAATTGGATTGGCAAAGAATGCGAGTTTGGACAGTTTCTCAGCTTCGGTATGGTTTTCTGTGCGGATAGCCTCTCTCAATCGTGGGAGATATTGTAAAGCATCTTGGGGGGTACGGTCTTGAGGACCCCCATACCACACCGAGTCTTCGTTCAACTGGAGCATTTCTGTTTCGGTGCGGCCGTAGACCATAGCACCCAGGCGCCCATTTCCCACTGGAAGGGCTTCATTCCAACTAGTTGCGGGCTGCTTGTACCAAAGTTTGCTCATCTTGTTCCCCTGCTTTAGTCGAGTGTACGAAACGATCGGTCGACTATATCCTTTGCGCGTGTGTAGAGTGACTTGAGATGAGCTAATCTCCGGGCAAGCGAATGGCAGCTTGGCATGAGGTGAGGTGCAGTAGGCGTTGGAATATGTAATATACCCTAATACCCGAATACCCGAATGGAGTAAAGAGTAAACACCTTATCATCTCTCAATTCAGCCATGAAGTCCGCCCTCGGATGCAAACCGGGTAAATTTTAGCCACGCCCCGGATGTTCCCACCCAGATTAGCTTTGAACCGAATATCAGGACTAGCGTAGAAAGCCAAGAATGATCAGCCCTGTATCCCGGTCTAGCCACCACCATCTACTGGGTTCCCCGCACTCGCTTCTCAGTGGTGGAGAATCTCTTGCATTTGGCGTTGGCCTCTTAAGAGACTAAGAGACCAAGGCCCAATTAGGGTGCGTCCAGCGAACAAAGCTTGCATTGCTAGCGAGACATGGAATCCAATCAATACGAAGTCCACCTCCAAATGGTCAACGTGACTAGCGCCAGTTTTCCACAAACGGCGATAAACCGCCAATGGTTTCTGTATTTGCAGGTAGGTCACGCCATGACGAGTCTACCGACCCCGACCATCAAGCTCACGCGCTTCTGTTTTAGTCTCGGCCCATCTGCATATCCGTGACAGAACTGGCTGGGGTAATCGGTAGCTTAGCCGCCTGAATTCTTATATCTCCTAGCTTGGTTGGGTGACTGATGCCCGCCGGTGCAGAAATACCACGAGTTAACCCCCCTTGCTTCCCATCGGGTGTGACGGAGGATAACTTCATAGCCCGACAATTCTTGGCTGGCTTCGTTCCTTGAACGACCCTCTTGCCTGAGATATATCGATCACCGACATCGATCTCCGACACTCTGGTATCATGGCGAAGACAGACGTCACTGAAGCCGAGGTGGTCAAGGAGAAAGGACAGGAGCATATTGAGGAGGTGGTGTTGGCACGGTTGACTGAAGAGGATTTATGGAAGTTATCTCAGGAGTCCCTAACCGTTTTTTCATGGACTGGATTTCGCCTGGGTCTCATCATGTTTGTGCATGGCTGCAACCAAGCCGGCTTCGGGATTGACTGGGGCGTGATTAGCGGCATCAATGCGCTGGAGGCATGGCACACATATTTTGGCTTTGGCACCAGCGGTGGCACATACGGCCTCATCAATGCCTTGATGAGTATCGGCACGGTGTGCGGCGCTCCGTTCATGGCCCTCGCCGATGTCATTGGTCGTCGTGGAATCAATTTTCTCGGAAACGCAATTGTCATCTTTGCCGCCATTCTGCAGGGTTGCGCGATTAACCTGCCAATGTTTATGGCTGGCCGCTTCTTCATGGGCTTTGGCACTGCACTTATGTCCAGCTCCCAGTATATTGGTGAAATTTCCCCCATTCACCTCCGCGGCCGCATGGTCGGTTTCTTTGGTGCGTGTTTCCAGGTGGGTAGTCTGGCCATGCTGGGTGCCATGATCGGCCTCGCCAACCTCGCTGGAAATAAATGCTGGAGAATCCCCCTCCTTCTCGAGGCGGTATTTCCGGCGATTGTCTGCTTGACCATCTACTTGCTGACTCCTGAATCTCCACGTTATTATGTCATGAGAGGCAACCGTGAAAAGGCTAAGCAGGTCGTGGCTAAGTATCACACCACCAGCACCGACATCAATGAGCCTGTGGTTGAGATTGTGGTATCTCAAATTGAGGAATCCCTTGAGAATGACCAGACTGGCTTCCGAGCCTTTTGGGATTACCGGGTGTTCTTTACAAAGATGGCTCGCTACCGTCTGCTGGTTCTGGCACTGTACTCAGTCTTCCAACAATGGAATGGAGGAAGCATCATCACATACTACGTAAGAGGCTGTCTCTCTGTTGCGTGTATCTCTGCGGTTACTAACCAAACTCCCTGACCTCCTTGATAGATGGTCGATGCACTTGAAACCGTCGGTATCACCGGCACGAAGCAACAACTCGGTATTACGATCGGCACCACAGCGGTCTACTTCGTCTTTACGGCCGTCGGCTCTCTCCTTGTCGATAAGTTCCGCAGACGAACTCTTATCATATCGGGTTTGATCAGCATGATCATCTTCCAGACCGCAACAACCATCACTTCGTGGCAGTATAGTCTCCATGCAACCCATGCTGCGGCCGCGCTTACGCTCCTCTGGATCTTTTTGTACCAGACTTTCTCGGCAACGCTCATTGCGACTATGCATAATTTGTACCCTATTGAGGTGCTGTCGCTGCCACTTCGTGCGAAGGGTATGGGTCTCTACAGTCTCATTCAGGGTGGTGCGAGTGCAGCGCAGACATATGGCATTAGCGTCGGCATTGCTAAAGTGGGATATAAGATCTGGGTGGTATACATCGTCTACAACACCGTCCAGCTGATTTTGTCCTATTTCATCTTCCCGGAGACAGGCGGTCTTAGCTTGGAGGAGATAGACACTGTGTTTGAAACACCTGGCGTGCCCCCTGTCAAAATGTCGCTGGATATCCAAAGGGCCAAGAAGGAGAGATTGGCAGCAACACGAGATGAGGAGGCCCGATCTAGGTAGTGCGGCGATAGTGTGCATTGCCATTCAGACGCCACTGCTAAAGCTTTTTATATAGCACGAGGGTCAAATGTCTGCGACTTTTATTGCGGGGGCCGCACTTGAAATCAACAATCTGCATCTATCCGCTCACCAATTCCCGTTTTGCACTTAGCTGACGTGTAAAGTTGCTTCGCGAGGACATGCATTTTTCTTAGCCATTATGTATCTCCCCAGAAGAGTGGGATTTGGAAGATCAAGTCTCTCTCCTAGGATATGCTACACATATTAGAAGGACAAGTGTCTGTGCGGAATGGATGAAACGAAGTTGGATCCGATGTAGCTGCGCCTACCCGTCGGGAGCGGTGCTTCGTTCTGTTGCACCATTTCCGTCTTCCATTACCCCCACCGATAGCATGGCAAAGAAAGCATCAAAGCATCGGTTCAAGATTTGGTCATTGTCAATGGAGCACTAGGGCCATGTTCCCGACTTTACGCTTAACGGGTAACGCGCCAAATCAGATGATACATCTCAGCCCTAATTAGCCTGGCGACCCACGCCAATGCACCCCCAATGACAAATAGTGTCAACCTTAACTCTTTTTTTCTCCGAGCACCATTGCCACTAGGCTGGATTCAAATCAAATCTTAAGAGGTCTCATACATGTCGGCAGGCAGCGTAACACGAACGGATCAGGTACCGAGTTACGTGACCCCCCAAACTCCCTCCTCCCTGTCTGTCTTGTCCTCGATCACTGCAACCTCTACATTCAGAGATCCAAACGTTCCATATAGATGTCTCTCCAGAATTGGATTGGGATATCATGTATCGTTCTAAATGCAGAGTGATCAACCGACTCCTTGCATCCAACAGTGCTACAGGTGCTATGATGTGCTGCCATACACATCATGTATACCGCATGACGGGAGGGCTGATGTTGTTAATAAATATCATGCCATTGGCTTGTTTGGTTGGGTTTTGCTGTGCCTGATTGCTGTCATCCATTGTCAAAATTCCAGATTATCATTAGAAATCAGGCGGATCCCCGTTGCTGGAAAGCTCTCGAGATCATTGTATTCTACTTGTCTTCCTGGGTCCCACAGTACCGGCCTCTATTTGTAATGCTTAAGATAGCACACGTCGGAACCTTGGGGAGAGTCGGAACGGACTTCTCTCTTGTTCCATTCTTCCATGCAGATATCGAAGAGTCTTAGACCGCATAGCGGGTAGTGGCCCACCTTGCGACTCTCCTCATCCACAGAACGACAAAATATAGGGAGCGATGGTGAGACGGCGGGTAGGCTCGATTACTGGAGGCTACATCAACTCTATTTTCGTGTAATTTGGAGGGGTCGCCTATCAACATCGTTCGCTCCCCATCGGTTGAGCAGCTCCGCCCTTGTGATTCCCGATTTCCCGCGTGATGAGTAGTGGAGTTAGTCTCGTCTCTGGCTTTTCGTGCTCCATTTCTCTTTTCAAATCTTTGACAGTGTAAGCCGGGCGAAGATCCAACTGGCTGGCGACAGCCTGAGACAAGCTGCTAGCGACTCTGTAACCGTGCCTTTCTGCCTCCCTGCCTCTTTGCCTCTCTGCCTCTCTGTTCTTGACCCTGACACACAGGCCTCAACATGCGCGCACGGCCATACGGACCGAGACAGTACTGCTGCATCGTCCATGCCTCTGCTATCAACAGACCCTTCCAGCCGTGCTTGTCCGGGTGTGCGGACGGTTGAGGAAAAATGGTGTCACCATCGAACTGCCAATAGGCACCTGAGAGAGTACCGCAGTGGTGTCCATTGGCTTGATGATCGTCATCACGAGACAAATGTCACTTTCTTTTTCTTTGGGGACGTAAACGGGACGTCACCTTTCGGTGCGCGCTGGCAATGCTTCGAGTCCCGCTTAAAGAGTCCCATCGAGGGTCCCGTTGTTGGAAAGGCTTCATGAACTTTGTGCCTGCCTTTCGATCTCCTTCTTTTCCCGGGATGGCTTGGTCCTGTTTACAGCCCCCCCGCGCTGCAATGGGGGGCTTTTGTGGTCGCTGCCCCCCTCCCCCTTTGGTGACACCCTGGGGGTGGGTTGTAGGGTAGGTCTTTCATGGAGGGCAAATAAGGTGAGCTTACGGGTTACTGCTATATACTTAAGGAGTATTGGATACTTTGTTCATCAAGCCTCTTACTAGAATTCCCCATCGTCGGTCCTTTTCCTTCCATCCTTGAAATCGCCTTTTTTTTAAAACCATGATCTAAATTGTTTGCACCCAGAAAAGACATTGCTCGGTGAACCACTCTTCTATTTTCGATTGCTCGGGATTTCTATACATCGCGTTTCGTTCACATAGTATGATATATTGCCCCTCCTGCCTCCTGTTCACCTTCGTGGTCCTCTCCCCCGAAGCCCAACCTCCAACAGGCGGAATTCGGCATCAGCTTTTCCGTGAGACCTGTCGCTCGCTATTTACCTGCCTACTTAATAACCTCACGATGCCTCTTAAGGGAGCCCAAGATACCTCTGCGATACCCGAGGCACAAGGGCTCAAGTATGACGAATCCGAGATGGCCCTCTTCCACGCCAAGCTGTCATACCACTCCACTATTGACGAGCGCATTGCCTCCCAGGACACCAATCTCGCGTCGATTTCGGAAGCCCAGGCCAAAATCATCAAGCGATGGGAGATGCTCAAACAACTTGAGAAGGAGCTAGCAGAGAAAGGCAAGAGCCTCTCGCCGACCGATAAAAGGCAGTTAGCACAGTACGAGTGGAGGTATAAGCATTTGGAGAAAACCGCAACCAAGACCACGAGTGGATAGAAGCCAGACGATGGTGCTTTTTGCTTAGTTTCTGTTTCCATCACTACAGTAATTGAGCGGGTTGATGGCATTGATGGCGTTCTTTGAGATCCAGGGAGCTCGGGCGACGCAGTGCGCTGCTTGCGACAAGACCAACTACGGAATCCTGTCAGATTTGAGATTTTTTTATTTATTCACTTGCTTGATCTACAGTGGTGTTGACGGCATGTCTCCTGTTTCTTTTTCTCATTATCTCACCTGTTTATAGTCACAATATCAATCACCTTCTTTCAGGCAGCGATCTCAGAGACGTTGGAAAGTATCAAATTAAAAAACCTCGCTTCAGATAACTCATTATTTGCTGCGCCATGTTCCGTGGCAAACAAGCTAAATAGGTTATCAACTAGCAGCAATCACCGCAAGACTCGAGGCCACTCCCACTGAGCGTTGCACAAGAGGCCTAGCAATCTGGTCAACATTGCAACAGTAACGTAAGTGACACTTCATATGAACCGTCAAGTGCTAACCAAAGCGGATGATGACATCTATCGGAGATTGCCCAATTCAGCTGCACCTTCGGGATGGAGATCGGGTTTAGTTATCAAGCCACCGAGCAGCTGGTGATGCTCTCGGGAAGATTCAGTCCACTGCACGGCCCTGTGCCACCCAAAGGCATGAAATGACCAATATGGAGCATATCGCAATTTGCCAGCTGCATGGCAGAAGTTGGACCCAATTGCTGCATTTCCGGCCGGACTCCGGGTGTTGTGCACCTGGAATTGGACGGTGGACAGCTCTGCTGCTGTCCGTCATCGATGATTGACCCCCCCACCAGAGCCATTTGAATTGCTTCAGCTGCCGCGGCTTTCCCGCTCGCTTGATAGAGCGCCACAATTTGGACAAGTGCGATCGTTGACGACCTTTTGAGGTGACTAACAGCAGGTTATGCGGGGCAAGCCTCTGCCTCTGGGTCCTATTACCCTGGTCTCATGGAGCCTCATTCTTCAGAGGATCAATATTCCGGGGCTTAACCCGTCGCTTAATCCGTCGCAGAGGCAAGATGTTTGTATAGTTTATAGTAGCAGAAATGGCCAGATACTTAGCATATATATTGCAATCCTAACTAACATTACAGACTTATTTACACGGTAGCTGATAATGGAAAGCCTCATCCGAGAGTCCGAAACGGGGGGCTGTTACCAGGCTGTTAACCGATCAAGGTATATGCGTGATACTTATACGCCCGTGGCGGTGGGTTCGCAAGTATCGAATGGTGCCTTTCAGCATGGCCAGGTGGCCCGAGGAAATTGACGGGGTATCTGATAGGAAACAAAGGGTATACATGGGGATGCACAGGCAGAATTAGATATATGAAAACGGCCAACAGTTTAGACCTCGCCTTCAATGCCAAGAGACTCAATCTTCCTTGTCAGAGCACAGATCCGACATCCCTCACCGATCTTGTCTCGCAAAAGACGTGCGGTGGTAACTTTGGGACCCACAGTGCGAGAGGCAGATGAAAAGGTGGGCTCTTCGGATGGAGATGACGGCCGGGGTGTACGGTCTGCGGACCGGTCGGGAGTCCCCACAGTAGATTGCTGCTGCGATGGCGCGGGGTGCAGGTGCGAAAGATGGAAGACATGCCCACAAGCGAACCCAATAAGGATTTCAGATTCTATGGAAGAATATAAATCGTTAGCCTTTAATAATCTCATTGATAATTTGCCGTTTCAAGTAGTGCAAAGTGACATACCGTTTGCTTGGAATGGGGCATTGCAACCACCACATCGCCCTTGTCCGGGGCCCGCGCATCGAGTTGAACCACTGGAATCCGACAGGTCATCACGACCTTGGTCCTTGGTCTGGACTATACGTGCGGTCTTCCCTTCATCAACAGCGCTCTCCTCGGTAGTATTGAATTTGATCCCGCGTCGTTGTCCTCGGCGAAGTGTGTCCATCCCCAGGGCAACCTCGCTCTGCATGACCCGAGAAGCACCTTGGCTAATACTAGCCTGTAGATCATGCTCGCGTATCAGTCGAGTGAGGCCGTCCCGCAGGCCCTCAATTTCAAGCCCGCTCGGGATCCGACGGACTAGCTTGATAGGATCAATGGATGTTCCAGCCTCGACAAGGAGCCCATGAATGAATTTCGGCTTGTCCATGGAGTAATCAAGAAGGTCTTCCCAGAGATCTGGATCCTCTTGCGACTTGGCGAAGGAGATGGCCTGAGACACATCCTTCAAATCTGATAGAATAAGGTTCAAGGCTCGTTTCGTCTGCCCCATCTTTGACAGCAGGTAGATTAGCTCCTGAGTAAAGTGGTACTGCTCACAGATATGAGTGGCTGTCTCAAAGGTATACGAGATACTGGTTTGCAGGAACTCCATCAACAAGGGCCGGTCATAATCGGCAAAAACCTCAACGGCAGTATCAGCAAAGCCATCGATCAAAGCTTTCCCTTCGTCCGCTGCCAGTTTGCTTGCTGCATCAAGGGCATGGATTCCACGGCCTCGTCTGGGTTTGGAAGTCTTGTGGGGTAGAGCTTCACCGCGCCAGAGAGCACGAAGATAGAAGTAGAGGAACAAGATCCGATTTGCGGCCTTGAGCTGGGAAACGACAGACTCGGGAGGGACAATGCCCGTGTAAGCCTCACTGACCAGGAGCTGAATTGGCTCCGCGGTCATCTCTTCCAGCTCAGATCTTGGTGCTGATTTCATCTGCTCTTTTGTCACCCGGATCATGATGAAAGCAGGAATATCATCAGACACCGCATCTACCAGGCGGTGCTCCCGAATCAAAGACATTGCCGCCTCTGCATCCTGGAGACGGATGTAGCAATGCAGAGCCTCGCAGTAATGGCCACCCACCAGGTACAGCTTTGCAAGACAATCGGTGAGAATTCGCCATTCTTCTGACTCGACGGCTATTGAATCCGACTTCAGCTGATCTTCGATCGACAAAGTCACCTTGTTAGGGTCAAACAAATCCGAGGGCCAAGCCTCCAGTAACTCCTTAAAGCGGCCGAAATCCCGCGAAACGTAATGGTTGAGAACAAACTCGTAGATCTCAGCAGAAAGTGAAGGATGCAAGTCGATGGGGATGTGCGGGGTGATCTCATCCAACTTGTCTTTCTTGATGAATATCCATGCCCAATGCTCCCACCGGGAGGCATTGGGAAGAACCTTGCTACAGACTTCAGCAGCTTCTGACCACTTGTCTTCACTAACAAGTTGCCCAGCCCAAAGTTCACCGATCCGAGCCTTTTCTTGGTCGGAAGCGGAGACCTTTGGTCGACCAGTAGTAGTGACCGAGTCTCGATCATCAGCGAAAAAGTCTCCCAGGCTGCTTTGGGATTTGAGGGACCCAGAGGGGACTTCGACCAAGTCTGAAGCCAGTCCTGCGGCCTCGGGATGTTCATCAATGAGGCTCCACGCTTCTTCATACTGGCCATGAGAGGTTAGCCACGAAAGCCGATCTGAGAGGTCTCTCTTGACCGCAACAACACAGTCGTACGGGCTGTGAACAAAAACTTTGGCGCCTGGAGCTGCTGAGATATCTTGCACTTCCTTAGGAAGGGGTTCATCGGCGGAGAGACGTCTGGAGGTGAAGGACGGGGCCACTCTGGCTGAGATTTTGTCCCCGCTGCTGGTAGTGCTGCGGATACTGCCAGCAGAGCTGAAGAGCCGAGCCGAGTACATCGTAGCATCCAGAAGGCCATGTCCAATAGTGCCCAAAGCGCCCCGCTGGACCACTTGTCCCTCCGGGGTCTTCCACGGAGGCAAAACACTCAGATGGTAGTCCGAAGATGTGAGGCCTTCAAATCGGCTGACAGACAGCGTATCTGCACTCAGCTCTTCCTTTGTTTCAATATCGATGATCCGCAGTTCAGGCTCGAGGCTCCTCTGTCGGTGACGCCGCCCAGAGGTTCTCACTGGATTCTCTGAAGAATCGTCTTCGGCTTCGATGAATGCGAGAACGACAAGAAGACGAGGACTGTACATCGAAATACCAGATACCACACAATCCGTTCGTAATCTGTATTTGAAATATTAATGCTGAACCCCAAGGACCCATCAGGCGTGCAACTTACATCGTAGACACCTCTGCAGAGCCATATCTCTCCCCTTTCGAGGACTTGCTTGCCCGATCAGGGAAGACATCGATGACCCACACAGTACCTCCCCAGCCTACGACAAGCTTTTCGGTTTTCTCAGTTGCCACAATCCGGGCTGCCTGATTCTCCGTCGTCTCGTCATTAGGATCTAGATTTTTGTCATCGTCCAAAGCAGATTGGTCGATCCACTCTGCGCGCGCTTTCCAAACACTAGCCATTTCTTCCCATCCCGGTCGGTTTGGCCGGTCAATATGACTGATCCGCTTCCACGCAAACTCCGACTCAGAAGATTCGAGGTGCAGATTGGATCGCATGATCTTGATCCCTTCCTCGTTGACCCAGGTGATATATCGCCCTGACAATGACCACCGAATAGTACTGATAGCACCTTCTCCGCTGTGTAATATGATGTCCTTCCCGCTGCCAGTGCCCAAGCCCATCGATCCCAGCCAGCTCGAAGCTGTCGCAGTTGCACCTCCCATTGTAGTAGCATTTGAACTGACCCCAATACGGCCGCCAGTAGTGAGAATCAACTCGCCAGCTCGTCCGCCAGAAATGAATGTCCTATCATTCTTGTAGTCTGGGGAGAGTGCAACCGCTTGAATTGGCCGGCCAAAATTCCGTTTGATGATATCCTTGGGGTCTACCAAGGAGAATATGCACACAATACCGTCGATTGAGGAAGATGCAATGTATATTGAGTTTGACGGTGTGGGTGGGATAGGCGTCTGTTGACTCGACTTAGGATGTCCGCGGATGCTGCCCGAGCTTGTTGATGTCCGTGTCGGAGGTCGGGGGTCATCTGCGACTGGTTTATTGAAGGCATCGAGCTTGATACTCTGCAGAGGAGGTGGGAAAGGTGATATAGATATGGAGGTGACGCTTGCTGAGTGTGCATGATATACGCGGAGGGGCTGCAGAAGGGGTAAAGATAGGACATGCTGAACAAGAGTTAGTCCATGCTTTTGATGAATGCGAACAAGAATAAGCCACTTACAACAACACCATTGTGCGTTCCAATGATCTATGACTGGTCATCAGCTAAATAAGTGCTGTTAAGCTAAAGAAGACGCACCATCTTGTCTCCTGCAACAAGGAATGTACTGGTCGCGTCTCCGTTGCGGAATACCGATCCCAAGTGCTTGGTAAGATAGGCGTATTTGAGTCGGGGCTCCTCATCCTCATCGTCTGAATCCTCCTCCTCTTCGTCGTCTTCGTCTTCGTCGTGATCATCACTTGCCCCGGAGTCATGGTCGCCATCTCGATGGCGTTCCTCGCGTCCGTCAGGGTTGGCGCCCGAGGATGATCGGCTCCGTGCAGTCAACGTGTCGTGCTCCGAGGTGTCTCTACTAGCACCCTCTTTCGCCGTTATCGCACCAGGCGCAACCATGGCGAGTCCCTCGTGGCGCCCAGAGCTCCCAGGCGACTTAAAATGGAAATGCGACAAGCACGAAGCAGCGAGCGGGACTTAGCTGGCAGCTGGGAGCTGGGGTTCGGGGTGGAGCAGATGACTAAGCGGGAAGGATCCTCGGCTTCTGCAGGTGCTCGCATTCTCGCGATTTCTTTACTTGACTCCACACCCGCCATGTTCACAAGAACATTCGTCTGCTCCGCTTGTAAGCGGCCAATTGCGGCACGTCTCTTGAGGCGGCCGCAGAGTCAATACCTCCACGCCTCCCCGGCATTGGAGCTTCCGCGCCGGAAGGACTTCTTCTCCTCTAACGCTCACCTTGCGCAAAAACAGCTCGGCAAAAATGAGGGGTTCTCGGACAACCTAGACTCCCAGAAGCAGCGAAGGCGCAGTAGCAGGACGCCTGCAGCCCCCACTTCCCTCCGACGAGTCGCAGTAGAAGCGCAAAGGTCGAAAGATGGAATTCTCTCCAAGGTCCAGCTGAAGGAGCAGGGCATTCATCAAACTAAGGTAAATGCCACCGTGAACAAGCCACAAGCTTCTGATGCTAAAATTTGTCTCCTTGTCTCCTAGACAGTCACTGCTTACGCCGTAGCCGAACAATTCAATATACGCAAAGTACGAGAGATTTTACAAGACAAGGGCTATGAGCCCGATCCGCTGGCCACCGGACTCTACCCGCAAGTGGTTCACGTCCAAATACCTATCGATGCAATACGGCGGGTAGGAAACCCTTCCACAACTGATTTACCATCCGATGAAGTTGGCGATGTATTTGTTTTCCCGTCCGGTACTGTAGTGGCATGGTCACTCCCAGAGGGCTTTACATCATTCTTGGCGACGAGAACTCTACTTCCGGCGGCTGAAGGGGCTCATGCCGATGACTTGGAAACTGAAGACCTCGAGTTTGTGGAGGATCCTAATCGAGAAAACAGCAGCATCAAGGGTGACACCATCATTCTGGGCACTAGGCCGGGGGATGAAGGACTGGAAACGCCGCTCGCAAAACAACAATCAATTGACACAGTCCTAACCAAAGTTGCGTTTTCCTCAGGCCTCGCAAGAAGTACTAAGCTCGCAGTGCTCGAGAGCCTTCTGTCTAACTATTTCGAATCAACCCGAACCATTCCCACTCTCCTATCGCAGGGCTCCCGCCTGCCCTACACGCGGGACTTCATTCTCCGCAAGACCGGACAGCTACTGAGTGTGCGCGCACAGCTCAATCTCTACTCGGAGCTTACAGACTCACTTCCCGACCTTTTTTGGGACAGTCGACATGAGCTTGGTCTTGAGGGATACTATGAACAGGTGGGCCGAGCCCTCGACGTGGGGATCCGCATCAAGCTCTTGAATGAGAAGATGGACTATGCGCAAGAAATCGCAAGCGTGCTTCGCGAGCGTCTTAGTGAGACGCATGGTCTTCGGCTTGAATGGATCATCATTCTCCTTATTGCTGTCGAGGTTTGCTTCGAGGTGATGCGGTTGTGGAAGGAGAGGGTCCACGAGAAAGAGGAGAATGCGCGGAAACGATCACCTGAATCTAGGACTGTGTGATGTTTCACATACTCTCGGATCATCCTGTAGCATGCAATAACAAGATACCCCTTCACTCTTCTGGTGTCCATTATTCTAAGCCGTATCCACTGTGGAGCCGTCCGGAGAGCATGATCAGATCACCTGCCCGATGATCGCCTTAGTCATCGGGGGCTTGGCAGCCTGGGGCGATAACAACCCCAGCCTCTATTCCATTTGGTTTTCTTCTTTGTTGAATTGAATAGATTCTACCTGCGTCTCTGTCGGCGCTGTTCATCAAGGCTCTTGAAACAAAATCGATCCACGATCATGTGGAACCCAACCCAACAGGTCCTGGGGATCCCAGGACCCCGGAAGATCCTCAAGGCGCTAGGCACCTTGTGGATGTCGTCGGCCGCAGATGAGAAGCCAGTCGCAGGAGCTTCGACATCTTGCCCCCTGTCGGAAGTTAGCTGTCAGGCTAAGTATCATGGTCAAGATACTTGCTGCTTCAATTATCCGGGTGGCCAAATGCTGCAGACGCAATTTTGGGACGTCGACCCCGCGCTTGGACCCGATGACTCCTGGACCATTCATGGTCTATGGTAAGCTATGTCTACCGCCACGAAAGGCTCATTGTTAGTGTAATGCTAACAAGAACAAGGCCCGATCATTGCAATGGCGGTTTTGATCAGTTCTGTGATTCCAAACGCAAGTATAGTAATATCTCGCTGATCCTAATCGACTCTGGCCGCGGAGACTTGCTCGAATATATGAGCGAATTCTGGAAAGATTTCCGCGGCGATGATGCTCATTTGTGGGAACACGAGTGGGAGAAGCATGGAACCTGCGTCAGCACCCTGGAGACGCATTGCTACGAGGACTATATCCCACAGCAGGAGGTAGTCGACTATTTCAGTAAATCAGTCGAGGTCTTTAAGCAGGTTCCTTCCTACGAGGTTGGCTACACTCCCATCCCAAGTGTTTGATCATGTTACTCAGTCTCATTCAGTTCCTGCAAGCGGCTGGGATCCTTCCATCGCATACCCAAACCTACGAACTTGCGGATATCGAAGACGCGTTAGAGCGAGGTCACGGTGCTCCCGTCACGGTCCATTGTCGCTATGGGTCCCTGAGTGAAATCTGGTACCATTTTAATATTGCCGGAAGCCTGCAATCTGGAAAGTTTGTTTCCGCATCTCCAGGTTCGTCATATCCAAGGTGAATCCTTCTGCTAGAGCAGGGTGCTGAGAATACCCAAGATGGGCAATCTTCAAACTGTCCCAGGAACGGCATTCATTACCCGCCTAAACGATCTCAGCCTGAGCCAACAAGGACTACTACCCATGGCGTGGAGCCTACAGTCACGGGGATTCCGTTCTCGGGCGGAGGAAACCTGATGGTGTCTACACTCAATCAAAAACGTGGTTGTATCATCAGCTACGGAACATGGTATGCGTCTGGATCTTGCGCTAGTTTCCGGGCGCAGAAAGTGTCAGGTTCGTTCTCTTTTTGTCATCTCCGGCGATTTTTATCTCATATCTGTCATATCTGGGGGCTGATTCGAACTTGGCAGACGATACCTTCACTTTGGAGTCTAGGAAGGGTTTTTGCGCAATCAAAGGGGATGCCTTGAGCTGTGGCATTCATGTCAATACTCCAAGCAAATTCACGGTATGTGTTATTCATCCGATGGTCAGGCCGTCTGCGTACTCTGATTGCTAATCGGCTATTACGGTACAGGTCAAAGATGATAGGCTTTCTTACCTTGGCAATACGACTTTCTATGCTGACAAGGCTCCCAAGGGACAGGTTCAGAGCACCATCTTTGCCTCTCAGGAAGATCACCCGATCGAATTAGAGATTACCTGGAAGTCACAAGGCGCATATTGATTACATGTTTTGTGTCAGATACTCCTTAGCATCTACCCAGGGAGTAGCTTCGTCTCTCAATCGGGTTGTGATATTATTAGATTCGCTGTTTTAGAACGGAGCCATACCACTTATACAGGGTTATGTGAATACACAAATGTACAAATGAGCTTCTTTTACCAGTGGATAGGATCGACATGTCGTTTCTTAATAAGATAAGAGAATTTATCAAATGGCAATCTAATCAGATATTCACTGAATGTTGACAGTGGCACGTCTGCAGCTGGCCCTCAGCTTCTCCACTGCGAAGCATCAATTCAATCTATCCCACGTTAGTTCCGTAATATGCGTGAAAATTAGAAGGGAATGGGGATGGGGGATGGGGATGATCTACCAGCTCAAGATCTGCCAGTGCCTGGCTTGGACTCTGTTCGGGGTTAATCCTGCCGGCCGCTAGAGCCTGTCCCCATTGTCGGACTTCGGGTGGGACTCCTGTCCGCTCATCTTCGACAAACTGGACGTCCACTTTGCCATCCAGTGTCTGCACGGTGATTTTGGAGTCCTCAACACTTATACTCCCATTTTCGCACCCGATCGTCCATTCGGGGCCTACTAGGCTGGTTCCATAGGACACCTGAAAAGTACCTTGGACTCCAGTGTTGGTTTTGAGAATGGCATCAACTGTATCGACAGGTGGTAAGTGCTCCTTTAGTAGAGTGGTGAAGGCGGACAATCGAGTGATGTAGGTGTCGGTTCCAAGAAGGTACCGTAGCCCAGCCGTGTAATGCACTCCGCCGTCGAGCAGAAAGCCGCCTTGGTGTGTGGGCACTTTTCTCCAATCAGTGTCTAGATGAATGTCAGCTTTTCGATGTCCAGGTAAGTCACAAACATGAGTGAATTACTGAAAAATTTCCCATCCTGCTGAATGTTGCCGTACACCCTGACACGGAAGCCCACTATCTTCCCGAGATGCTGGACTTTCTCCCGAGCGTATCGGAAGCTATCCAGATAACGAAAATTCTCGGCTACACTCCAGGTGGCTTTTCGGTCAGGCTCAATGTGCTCATTATACCACTTGATCAAGTCCATAGCCTCTGTCACGTTTTCGGCCACAGGTTTCTCTGACAACACATGCTTTCCTGCAGAGAGCGCAGTGCGGATGTAAGAGGCTTGGGAAGCAATGGGAAGACTGAGAACTATGAGAATGGAACACATGAAATATGAATTAGAGAGGGGAATGCTCACGCTATGATCACTGCGCTGATATCTTCCTCTTTCAACATATCTTCATAGCCTTGTTTCGAGTCGTCCGAATACAGATCAACCTCCTTTCCGGAAGCCCGAGCAACATCTTCTGCAGATTTCAGGGACCGAGAATAGATTGCCTTCAAACACAAGTCCTTCGATGCGAGTACCGCCGGCTATGAGTGCGGAGTTAGCTACTGTCTCTCACATTGACTCTCCGATCCACCTACCAGATGCTCCTCTTTGGCCCAGATACCTCCCCCTACTAGTGCCACACCGAAAGTCATATTGTGCTACGAGTCACAATCCTGGTCAAAAAGCACTGTCTGTGTGCGGACTCTTCGGTAAATAACTAGGACATTTCAGGGCCGGCAAGCCACGGAGTGCGGGGGAGGTTGCGCACCGGTGCCAAGGCGGGAAATACTCCGACAAAACCCTTCCGAAACGAGCAATCGCGTCCAAGGCCTTCATCATCAAAACTCATATCCTTCACGCTTCAATGCGCATTGTTCAATTACTAACACAATTGCAAAATCCCTAGAGTCAGATTGCGGATGAGAGTTTCTGGAGCTAGGGTCGGACTGCAAAGCACTACTTGAAACAAGCCGAAGCCTAGGACGTGAGATTCAAAGAACCACTGCCGGAGTAGTCAGTCCAGACAGATATACCAATTGCTCTTGTTCACGATTGCTTGTGGTCATTCGACGGACTGCTCCTGCGAGGCGGTGATTTTCTCGAAACTCGAATCTTGCTACTACGGAACTTACTGCCCACCGCTTCCACCAAGGGCTCAAATGGTGTCAAACCAAACAATCTCCCGTCAGGAATAAGATTTCCTTGTTTGGCACTGCTTTCCTTATTCATTGTACCAAGCCGAGCTGTCCAGAACGATAAACAATCCAACAAGCATCGTCACAGGCAAACAATTCAGCAAGGCCATTGGAATGTGGTATAATGCCGAGGTGTAATGCCGAGGAATGTATGATGCTGTCTGTACCCTGGTCGACACCTGAAACAACCAATTGGGAGCATGACTGTAAAAATTGAAATATTCGCTAGTGCTGGTGCCCGAGCTAACGTGGAGCAATCTCGCCCAAGCTGGCGGGGAAAGTCCCGAACTTCCACCCAGGCTCTAGCAATTCCACAGCGTCGAGCGGCATCGTCACCCCCCGTGGCTGATTACCACGCTCTGCGGTCGGCTCAAGGCTGCGTCGGAGCGAGCGAGTTTTTGGCCGCGGGCCACTCGTTTCGGCCAAGCTACGATTAGATGATATATGTTAGCAAAGATTCTAAGATCTAGGGATATATCCAATCAGGGGGGCATACTTGGCCGGCTCTCATGTAGCGCTTCCAGCGCAAAAGCACGAGCTTCAGCGGAGGCATCGGCGGGGATGGGATCAATTGTGATGTATCTGCAATAGGCTGTTAATACACATCTTTCGAGGCTTATCAAGAGAAGGTCTTACTTGAGTGCAAGAAAAGTGCACCACCAAGTGGAGCAGAAGAAGATCAATGCCAAAAAAGCCACCAAACCAATTGTAGCCCCAATAACATGCCCAGGGCGAGTTCCCTTGCCAAAAATTGTTTCCAGTTGCGTCAAAAGGGGACTTCAGAAGGAAAAGAAGACGTTTTTCTCTGAAAATTTGAGTAGAAAGTAGTATCTAGAGATCAAGTAAGAAAAGGATAAGATACAACTAAAGGGAAAGTAAATATGTACTTCGATAGCACCTATAGAAGGTACTACGTAGCGCCTGATTCCCCTTGCTGTTAAGCTTTGCCTGCCTCCACTACAAAGCTTAGCCTCCTAATGGACCAAAGTTATGCTCATAGTAGAGGGTCATAAGGCTAGTCGTCCTTACCCTATCTATATTTCTAGCTATCCCCTATCCTCCCCTGAATAATCATCAAGAAAATCAATTCACCTACCTAACCATTTCAAAGTAAGTTGAATGAACTTTGCTGGGATTGAAGTATTCTCAAGTACGCGGGTAGTATGCTGACAATATGGGTATTCAGAATTACCATGACTACGCTGCGAAGTGTCTACGTCAAAAATTCGACCACTTCTGCCCCCAGTCTGCCAAGTCTGCCTAGTCTTCCCAGACTTCAGGAGACTGCATTGAACCAGACTTTGAGCCAGCTGGTCAAGTCTATTTGCATTCGGAGATGGCACAGCAGAAAATTGCCCATCAGTGATCCTGGAAGTTGAGCTCCTTCGTGACCGCGAAATGAGACAGCAGCCAAAGACCGAAAGGTTGAATTGAGGGTGGTTCAAATGCTGGGTGTGCAATCCATGGTATCTATTTTCTACTGGAATTGAGATAACCTAAATAACGGGGGTTGTCGAATTGTGCAGCGTTCTCGCCAACTATAGACCCAGACAAGAGGAATCAAGGGAGATGGCATCCTATACACTGGGAGAGACCAGAGTAGGCCTTCTGCTAGAGCACTCCCCAACTCAGGCGCCAATATAAATGCCTGTCATATATCTGGTGAGTGGATCAGGAGCCAAAGGTTTGCATAGGAGGCTTCCCCAGGGCGTGGGATACAAAGATATAGTACAATCACAATAGACTCGAGTAGCCACGCTGAGGAGCTTTTTAGAGAGTAAACTTGAAGATGCTGGGGAATCTTGATCGATGTGAACTGGTGCTGTCGAGCGAAACCTTCTTAGTTTCCATCTCTAGACTTTACAATCCCTCTCTTCCACTACCACCATGACTTAAATTGCTGGAATGGTCTCACGTATGATGAGGATGGCGAAATTGCCTCCAAGAGCCAAGTGATTCGGCATCTTCGTTTGCTGGGCTGGGAAAGATAACAATGAACCCAAGTCTGCCTCAGGGTACGGATCCGGCCAGAAGGTATGAGTCTTTATCTATTCCCTCTTTATTCGGGTGTTCGTTTTAATGCGTGGTATCCGGAAGGTACTTAATGGCGCATGGATCAATGGAGCCCCCAATTCGATACTATAGCGATTGACGTTGAGATGAGATAGGTAGCTTACGATTATGAGTTTATTGCTTACAATATCATATTTCAACTTTATATTCGATTATTAGATACCTGCCAAAGAATGGCCACTGCATTCACACCTTCGCGCTCGGATAACCAACTGGCGAACCCAAAACCGCAGCCGATCGCTACCCGACACGGAGACGTGCGGGCAACACTCTACCACACCTCACAAACCGACGTTGTTTCTCAAATAATTGCATTGCTCACACCCAGGTGTCAAACTCCCGAATAGGTGACTCGTAAGGCGCAATTGCCCCTTCCAGCCTTCTAGTCAAGCGTGTGCGTGATTCCAAGCGATTCACATTAGGCTCAAAAGCTGCAAATCTTCCTTTTTCACTCGGGTGTATGCAAAGTTCTTCAATATTGGCAACCTGGCATATCGCGTATCCAGAATGGCCTCAAAAGAACTATCCACCCTATCAGTGGACATTATAGAGTCTCAATTGTCTACAATTGACCTTATAATGGCGATGTTTCCGTCCCCCGGCGAGCTTGAAATCCCTGATTTCACAATGCAGTGTATCGAGAGGCTCCGAGATTGGTGCCAGGAACCGACCTCCACGCCGTCTATGATGCCCTCAAGCATCTCCCTCACCGTATGCCTACCAATCGCGAATGGAGACAAAACCATTCCTGTCAACATCTCCGTGCCACTGCAATCTGAGGGCCCAGAGTCAATCGACCAGGCCCCGCCCCTAGGCTATTCACTTCGACAGCCAGACTGGATGTCTAAAGCGGAGGTCGCGCAACTTGCCGCGTCGATGCCGAAAGATGATGCATTAGAAGCATTTGAATACATCCAAGCAGAATCTGCCCGCTTTCTTGAGACCAAGCAAAGCCAGGCTGTGGCTTCAGCAGGGACGGACGCACATACGAGCTCCCGCGGTCCAATTGTGAGAGTCTGGTTCTATTTCCCGTCCTTGTCGACACGGAAAAAGAGAGACGATATGGTCAACCACGCACCCGGGTATTCTCTGACGGGCTTTGTGCTGGCGGGAAAGCCAGGCGTATTATGCCTCGAAGGCGCTTCGCCCGATATCGACGCTTATATGAGCTTCATCAAGACACATTCGTGGGGCGACATCCCCAGTCACCAGAAAAAAGTCAGCGAAAGGTTCCGAGAGACGGAGGGTATTAAGAGAGTGTTTGCAAGGATGGAAGAGATTACGGACTCGCTGGGGGAACGAGGTGGGCAGCGGGCCAATCGAGGTGATATGCAAGCACTAGAGGCATGGTTAGGGAGTAAAGGGCTGCAAGAGGCATTTGAAAAGGTGATCTTTTAGACATCGCGAAATGTTAGAGATTTTGATGTGATTTCCAACTGCCAATGTCTGATCGAGTGTCAGGTCATGGGAGGCACTAATGCATGATGTTCCAATCTAGCTAGTTGGCAGAGCCTGAACTTCGGCCCTGGTACTCTGATGTGATGCGCACAGTACCTGACCCCTTTGGCCTCACAGAACATGAACCAGCCCAGGCAGGGAACGAGGGGAATAATAGGTGCTACGCTATTTGCGGTGAGGTATACGTGAAGAATGGATGTGGAAGTAGGATATTGCATTTGGCGGCAGATCTCTCGGCAGGCAAGATAAACTCTTAGAATACAGGCTATCAATCACGCTTCGCTACTGCAGATAAAAGTACACCAGGATAGTCTACCCACACAAAGTTAGCTACAGAAATTTCCATTGAGAACCCATGAAGTACACAACGAATGTTGAAAAGGACAGAAAATTAAGGGAGAGGGAAAGAGAACAACGCGCGCCACCAAGGCAATCTCGAAATCCCAGCAATCCCACAGGTGGTAAAAGTCGCCGATGAGGAGAATGAAAAAAAGAAAACACTCTTCCATATCCCATGGATTTCAAAGAATCATGTTGAGAAAGTCGCAATGGGAAATGGAAAAGAAAATACAAAATTGGGGGCAAATATGCAAGCAAATGGGGGACAGAAAAGCAAGAGCCAGAACTCCCAAGGTCCCCAAGTTGAACCAAATAATCCCCGAAACCCTCGTCAGAAGGATCGTTGTCATGTGCGCTAAAGTCTGAATGTGCAGAAGGAAAACACCAATTACCCAGCGGCATCCGGCGAAAAAAAAAACCGAGTGGACGGTCATGCCGAAAGAAGAACTCCCCGTGTTTTGTCGTGCATCGTCAGATTGTACAGGCTCGTATCGTGTCATCGCGAAATTGCGTCAGGCCGGAAAGAAGAGAAAAAGGCAAATAACATCGTGTATGTCATCATGGTGGAAGACAGATTTTTAAGGCCGCAGTGAAATATCGGTGCTCCCGCTCATGGGTCAACCAGGAACTCGTTGGAGAGCGAGTCGATTTGATCCGCGTAAGGGTCGTCCAGGGGGTTAAGGCCAGGGAAGGTCTTCTCTGGCATATCGGTATAGAACGACGAGGTGGGAAAATCGGACGTATCGACATAGGAGTAGGTGTTGGAAAAGCTTGACAAAGCCTGGCTGGTAATATGGCGGAACTCCTCCTGCACTTGCTCCGAAGGATCCTGGGTCATGAAAAGATCAATCTCCGAGCCCACAGAGGACTCGGCGAGCGTAGGTGCGGTATGAGGCGAGGACATGTCGTGAGAAGGAGATAGGGCAGTGTCACTGTAAAGATACTCGTGGGTAGCATGGTCTCCAACCATATTTGGGTTGAATTGAGCAATGGCTTGCTCGTATCGGGCGTGGGCCATCTGGGGCGGCGACAGAGGCGGCAGCATGTCATCGTCGAATTGAGAGGCGAACGAGCTGCCACCTGGGAGAGGGGATGAGACGTCACTGAGGCTTCCACCGGGAGAAGTAGGTGGCGTGAACGACGACATGCTGTTAGACGGGGCATAATTGGGCGACCCGAAGACAGGGGTCTGTTGGAGATGAGCGCCCTCTGCCTTGATGGGTGTGATCGACTGGGGCTTATCGGCCACGCGTTGACGGGTACGGGTGGATTTGGTCTGACGGGTTTCGATATCTGGGCGGTTCTTCTTGGGCGGGCGGCCACGCCGGGTGGTCTTCAGGGTGTGGCCATTGTAGCCTCCAACGCACATATCGCGCTGACGATGGCGGGTCAGGGCGTCTTGTCGGGCAAAACTGGCGCCACAGCGGCAGGCAAACGGCTTCTTGCCGGTATGGGTTTTCAGGTGGCGCTTGAGGTCGTGCCCTCGAACAAACTTCTTATCACAAACGTCGCACTTGTAGGGGCGATCATCCAGATGGGTCTGCACGTGGGATTTGATATTCTCCTTGCGACCGAAGCGACAGTTCTCACAATCATGCCACAAGCACACCCACTTGCCGTCCTTAGGATCGGGGCCGGAGATATACTTATTGATCTCATCATTAGAGACACCGGTCTCTCGAACAGACGCTTTGACTCGAGCATCCAGGTCGAATTCTGCAACGGGTTCGGCATCCAGATCAGACCCGGACCTCATAAGGGAGGACTCGATTGAATCTGCACGCTGGTGGCGATCACCAGTGGAAGGTGTTTCGGGGATATCAGATAGACCACAGGAGCGGGGAGAGGGCATTGCGGCCAATTCGGCAAATGAGGCAGAGGGGGATTCAGCGGGGGAAGGCATTTGGTGCTTAAGTTGCACCGGACTAGCCAAAGAGATTCCCTGCAGAGACTGAGCCCTCTGCATTTCGGAGCTGGCTGGGGTACGGGGAATTGAAAAGCTCTGGGACTTTGTGGGGGTTTGGTCATTGCTGTACATGGTAAAATCAAAGGAAGCCTTCATCGGGGTAGACTCGGGGGTAAGGGGAGAAGTGTCTGTCGCACAACGTCAGTTGGTTATTAGAATGGTGCAGCATAAGGCATCTCATCTTACACGAAATGTATGGGTTCATCTTGGGAGAAATAGCCTCTGGTTGAACAGAGAGTGGTTGCATCGCTCGAGGGTATCCGGTGACCTGCTCTCTCTGCATCATCGACAGATTGCGCTCCTGGCGCATACGGTGGAGAGCGTTTTTCAATGAAGCGTTCTTGTCGGAGCTTTCACTAGCGGATCTTGAAAGAGGGGGGGCAATCTTTGTCGCAAGCGAAGTCGTGGCAGTAGATGCCGAGTATAGTCCGTGCAACTCCTCTTGGCTCCACATTGGCGATGACTGATATTGATAAGGTTCTTGCGCAGGCAATCCAGACGGGATAAAAGATTGCTCTGCTTGTTGGAGATAGTCGGGAAACTGCTGAGCAGCCCCTGCCTGTTGAAAGAAACCTGCTGATTTTGCGTTAAAGAAATCTCGAAGCTCTGGAACCGTCTTCGACGCATGTCGCAGGTCAACTGCGGGGATCTGTTGACCGTACGAGCCGTAGTCCATTGTCTGTCCTCGACGATGTGTTCGGCGAGGTTGGCCTGCAGACATAGCTTGAGGTGCGATTGCAGCGTCGAAGGGTGCTGGAGTCGAGAGTTGACGGCGGTGGTGACCGGGACGTAGCGACGTCGAGTTGGCGGAAATCATGGCTATCCAGCCTCTCGGTGATCACGGCCCTGTCACGGTGTCAGTCTGTGAGCCTGACCAAAAAACGCAACAATTAAAACGAAAAAGACGAAAGGAAAGCGACGACGCTAGAGCCTCAAATCGAGGGTTTCAGCTGTCAATAGAGTATGTTTTCTGTGGGGTTTGTAGATTGGATCGTTCTCAAAGTCACCAGCGCCCTGCTATAGCAGTACTGTAGTAATGGCAGTCGCAACAGGTTCAGGATTCTGAACTTGGAGGATTGAAGAGAAGAGCGGAAGAAACTCAATAAGTGTGAAGGTCCGGGCCTTGAAGCGGGCCACCGAGCGCATTGGCGATCTATCAAGTGCACCCACGGTTCCCATCAACAAGCCGCAGGTTGGCATGGCAACGCGCCGTGCCGGGCGTCTGGGAAACCAGCGCTGCACGGCTGTGACGACGGATGGGCCCACTTCTGCCCACTTTGAACGATCATGCTATTTCATACTGGAGATCCAGGCCTCGCAGACATCCTCTTTTGTTCGAGGTCCCTGACTTCCTTCATCTCCCTGCTCTCCTACCCTGCAAGGGTTCGCAATCGTCCTGTGAGGAGATTAGGCATCGCTTCCTCCCTGGGTAGGGGGTGCGCCCTCCTAGTATAGTCGCCATGGAGATATCCCTTATTCGGCAATAGTACACAGCCAATCTCGACTGGATCGTAGGTTCTGATCGCGGTTGTTACTTGTGATGCGAACGATGTCATATGTGGCCTCAGGCAGCAAGGCCCCGACATTCAGCTATTCAAGATCATGTGATTATAGATTCAGTCCTGACGGGTCCGGGTCTCGGCTTATATTTAATCCTCATATCCCTACGCTAGTCTCAAACTGGTATCAGTGGAATCCACGTGACCGCACAACGATTTTAACCACCAGCCGAGTTCCACACACACTGATTTTCTTTTACTCTTGTAAGGTTGAGGAAGACAACTTGTCGAGGTGAGTCTAACGTCCCTATATTGATGCGCTTCAACGCCTGAGACTGCAGGTTAAGATGCAAGCATCATGCGCGCACTTGACCTCGCGCACTCTTGTCGCGCGCGCACACTGAAAAATCCCACATCAGCTGCTAACATCCCACCATCAGGCCTTCATCAAGATGCAGATCTTCGTCAAGACCCTTACGGGTAAGACTATCACCCTTGAGGTGGAGTCCTCCGACACCATCGACAATGTCAAGTCCAAGATCCAGGGTATGAACATCTCTCTCCCCGAAAACCAACATATCGCCAAGCGAGACTAACGATGATTTCCCGGCACAGACAAGGAGGGTATTCCCCCTGACCAGCAGCGTCTGATCTTCGCTGGCAAGCAGCTCGAGGACGGCCGCACTCTTTCGGACTACAACATCCAGAAGGAGTCGACCCTTCACCTCGTGCTCCGCCTGCGTGGTGGTGGCAAGAAGCGCAAGAAGAAGGTTTACACCACCCCCAAGAAGATCAAGCACAAGCACAAGAAGACCAAGCTCGCCATCCTGAAGTACTACAAGGTCGACGGTGACGGCAAGATCGAGCGTCTGCGCCGCGAGTGCCCCGCCCCCGAGGTATGTGATATGCGGACAATCTGTCGAATATTTCATGGCAGTGACTAATCCTTTTCCTTTAGTGCGGTGCCGGTATCTTCATGGCTGCCATGCACAACCGTCAGTACTGCGGCAAGTGCCACCTCACCTACGTCTTCGACGAGTCCAAGTAAATGGACTGCGTCTGACCGGGGGATTTCTGTCATCGAGTTCGGGCATGGGTTACACTAGGCTAGGATGCGAGTAATGGGGGTCTCACGATGGATGTTATGGTTGACGGGCACCTACGTTGGAACCTGGACTGCTATGAATACAAAAAGAAATTACCCAAATTCGGCTTCTTGCCAATTTCAATTGCCCGTTGTAAACTGTAAACGATAGGCTGCATGCGTGCGCTGCGGAAAGGTAACGAAAGGCTGTGAACCGACAATCCACGGTCCGGACCTCATTCGAGCATCACACCCGGCTTCATACATCGATAACCCATCTACTGTTCAGGAAATCCCGCCCGCAGGTTATCGTACTTGCTCTCGGGATAGTCAATAGCGTTGTCCGCCTGCTCCAGTGCGTTGACGCCACCGATGCCGTCCACAAAGGTGCCGATCAGACTGCCATCTGCTGCATTGCCGTCCTTGCCTCCCTTGTCACCGCTACTCTCCCACCACATACCTCCACCCAGCCCGCGCTCCTTAACGAAAGCAGCCTTTCTTTGGCTCATCTCGACGTTGTCGTACGAAATCAGTGTGCGCGAGCCATTATCGTAGCTCCACGACGCGTCCGCTTCCGTATCCATATGCTCTGTGGCACCGGGGCGCGGTAGTGCCTTGTAGTCCCAGACCCCGTTCTCCCAGCTACCCTGGCCAACGCCGCTGTATGGTTTGCCAGGGCCATCGGTGTTCTCAAACGCACGTCCGTACAGCGGCATGCCTAGGACCATCTTCTCGGGAGGCACACCGCTGACATTGATGTAGTGGTTCAAGGCGGCAACGGTCGAGAACGGCGTTGAGGTCGGGTTCGGGTTCGATGGGAAGATGTTGGCCTGGTGGCCAGCGGTGCTGTCCCAACTGCCGGCATAGTCGTACGCCATCAGGTTGTAGAAATCCAGGAGAGGTGTCATCTCGGGCAGCTTAAGCTTTGTGAAGTTGCCTGGGCCTGCAGGGCAAGCAATTGAAAGGTAGAATTTACGGCTCGGGCCAGCCGCTCTATCTAGGCTCTTTGAGTCCTGTCAGTACCGGAGCTGGTTCCATCGAGAGGCGGAGAGAGGGTGTATGAGGCCATACTTCGCGGCACGCACGCAGCAGCTCAACCAAATGCTGGGCCTGGTTCTCATCTGCATGTCGCGTCAGACGTCCGTTCTTGCTCAAGGTGAAACAGTCAATACTTGGGAGGGATGGTATCTACCTTGAGGGTACTCCCAGTCAATATCAATGCCTGCGAATATCAATTAACCATGGCCTCGACCTTGCCGTCCAAACAGATATGAAACGCACCATCAAGTCCGAGATCGAGAACAAGTCGAGTAGCCGACTCCGCAAATGTCGCCCGCCCGGCCTCACTGCTCGCAGGCCCAGCAAAATTGGCTGAATAAGTCCAGCCACCGATAGAAATCAGTGTCTTCAGTTTGCGATTTTGCTTCTTGAGCAGGAACAGCTGCTTGACACAACCGTAGACATTGCTTCCGGTTTCATTCCACGAGTCACCCGTGTAGTGCTTCTCGACATCAGACCAACTGTCGGTCAAATATCTGCCAGTACGGTATCAATTCACTGTCCAGCAGCACAAGCTTTGCGAGGGGTATCTTACACCTCACCAGTCTCGGGGTGGATATTAGCAAATGCGTAGAGGACATGCGTCAGCTTCTCCGCGGGCAAATCTTGTGGGTTGTAGTTGCGCCCATAAATGGCCTGCGACGACGCGGGGTCAACATTTGAACGGTCAATGGGCGGCCATCCGCGCAGCATGCGGGGGGCAACTTAGGCCGTATGCATGTAATCAAGAGAATGTGGATGGAAGACAAAACAGGAACGTACCCAGTTGACGAAGTAAACGACTGATTTCATCCCAGACGACATGGCTGGTGCAGGAGGGGTCGTACAAGTGAAGGATAAATATTGCACGAGGAAAGCCACAAACACCACAAACGCGGTGAGCGAGACGATGAGCTGATGTCGAACAGCCACTATCAAAGATGATTCAGGAACTGGGCTCCAACGTTGTGAAAGACGCACCAAGAGACCCTCAATCTGATAAATAGAGGGATGAGAGGGTACCTAATATCGCCGCCTAAATGGTAGCGGGCCAATGTACCTGCCAGTTTATAAATAACAACACGACGACATTGGCCAGTGCGCGGTGGCTGTGCGTCCGGTGCGCCCGGTGTGGCTGGAGTCCCGGGATTGCCGTGGCGGTGTCACGTAGAAGGTATACGGTGATCTTTAGCGATCCACAAACAAAGCGAAACGTGCCCGGCTTAGCCACGATCAAAACGAACTTGCGAGCGGGTCTGACCATGAGCCCGGAATTCCCTTCTTATAGGCGATCACACAAACTCATGGAAGCATGCAGCGTGACATCTTCACCTGCGCAGGGTCTCCGTGTGACCTGAGAGATCAGACATGTTGCCAGCAGATCCTGCAACATGTCCTCGAGTAGGATTAGTCCTTTGGTAAAGCAAATTCCCCCTCTTACTGCCTGAAAAAGCCAGTAACGAGGCCTCATCACCGGTGGTAACCTCGATTACCAAATCGGATGCGGGAGGGGTTCGGTCACCATCGGCTGTGAATAGGATGAGATTGAGGTCATGAGAGCTATCATAACTATATACATCTGTCGCTTGATAGATTTAGAATGACCATTGAGAACACGGGACATATAACCTGGATGTGTGGATTGCCTCGAATCAACATATCGCTCGCCATCATACCCCCACCCGACAAATGACCATAGTATGAAAAGCTGGAAGCTTGAGGATATGCGGAGGCCCTCGTAGTTGGTATGATCTTGCCGGTGGGCCATGTCGAAAGCACGGGTTATTGGAATCCGAGTTGGAAAAGGGGAGTGGGTTTTCATCGAGAGGCAAACCGATGGTGTTCTTTTCTTTTCTACTAGACAAGACAAGACTTTACATCAAAGCAGAGGCTATCCAAAATGGGGTCTACTAGATCTCTCGCAAGGCCGGTCTCATGCATCACTCTCCATACAGTTACACATCACGTTACGAAATAAAACTTGCCCACATCTCAGGTTGTGCCTTCGCACCAAAGTACTGTACTACCACAGCTCCCCTGGGTGGAGCTAGATCCTCGAGCTCAGGGCCCGATGCATGAATTATGCAAAATGAAAATGAAAAATGAAACTCAGCACGCTAATTTGTGGATTAGAGGCTAGAAGCTTTCTGGATTGCAAAGACCCATATGATGCCACGCGTAGTGGAGCCAGGCCGGGCGGGCCGTGGGACGCTGAAAAAGATCAATTGATCGGGGAGACACGCGAGGGAACTCGACACATGGCTGTTCATGACCCGAAACCAGTAGGAGGAGAAAGTGAAAGTGAAAGTGAAAGTGAAAGTGGACAAGTACTTCCCAATGAGGCACTCCTACGTACGGGACATCGTGGGCACTGTTGAGACGCGCCGAACCCAGAAAACCCCACGGCCACACTGCTGGTTCCAGCTGAAACGGACCCCATCGAAAAGCGACGAGCAGGCCATTACAGGCCTGGAATCACTCCGGGCAATAATTATGAGTACCCACCGTATCATTATAAGGTTAAGTGGAGTAGGAGGAAGCAGACCTTTTTGTTCCTGGAAAACCAGGACACCCAAAGGGGACCGCCAGCAACCAACACCAGCTGAACTCGAGGCCGACCGACAGCCGATCTCAACGCCGATTGGCATAGCGCTGGGCGTACTAACATCTTAGCCCGGGATCCACTCCAGATCTAAGCCCGTCTTCTCCAATCCCTCGCACAACACATAGCGATTCGCTGTCCAGATTGAGGGTCGCGCCAAACCGTTTTATATATCCGCCACTCTGGAGTTCCATCCTGTCGCCTCCCCCCCCCCCCCCTCTCTCTCTGGCAGTTCCCCACTCCGTCGAATCCCCTTGGCGCTGGTCCATGCAGTCGATCCCATATCCTGGGACCGAGGAGCTACCGAAAGCAGTGCCATGCATGGCATGGCACCGTCGGTTCATCAGCTCTCCGGTCCTTCTGACTGGATACCTTAGGCATGGAGGAGTCCGCAGTCCCCCATTCACTAGTGGCGGTACGTCAAACCGCGGACCCGGTGTGGTCCCTGATCCTCTTTCTCCCTTCCCTCTTTCTCCTCTTGACTCCTCTCTCAGCTGGCATGTCTGCCTCGCGACCCAGGTGTCTGGTTCCGGTCTGTGCGAAGTGCCCCATCGCCATCAACCAGGGTTGAAACAGACGGCCCTGACGTTCTCCCAACCGCCACTGATTTGCGAGCGTCCCGACTTCGGTATCTCGTATGGGTTACGAGATGAGTAACTGGGCAAAACCCTCGCGCAACAGGGATTGTCAGAGTGACAGACTAGCCGCCTCCATCGGGGCTCGTTCCCCATTTCTAGACTACATTCCTGGCTCCGACGACGAAAAGCCCCCGCTCTGGGCCTGAAGATCCCGTGGTCAAGAGGAGAATGACCCCATATCTCCATAGTATCCGTTGTAAGGTGTGGAAATTAGCCATAGCCATGTATTGGGAATGTCCTCCCCGGGAGGGATGATGCAACGCAGTCTCTAGTCTACCCACCCACATACAACAGCCCGAACGCCGCAACAAGCCAAGGTAAAACAATGCAGAGAAATTCAAAACCACCCAATCAAATGAATCCAATCCATAAGCAAGACAAGAGGGGATATCGTCGCCATGCTCAACAAGCTCAACAAAAAACCCAGCCTTGCTTTTTTTCAGTCTTTCTCTCCGTCTCTCCTGTGTCCTCCCCGGCCAGATCGCGACCTGCGCTGTACCCGCCAAGGCAAAGAAGTAAAAACCAAAAAAAAAAAAACAAAAGGTCCGCCCACCTGCGCATCCCACGTAGACACCCTCCATTACAAAAGAAGAGATCAGACGTTCCCGGATACCAACGAGCCATCGCAGACGCTCGGGAATTAGTGGGAACACCAACAAATAATACCGGCCGTGCATCAAGGTCGGTGTCGTGAGGTCATGTGCATGACCATTACCGCCCTTGGATCCAGCGCCGCATCGTATCCAAGGACGGATCGTCGTCAAGCCAATGACCTGCTCGCAAGTCAGCGGCTCGCAGGTCAGCGACAACGTGCTGGTCGGTGACGCGAGCCAACTCCTGCTGTAGCGTAGCGTGGACACCTTTCAGAGCTGCTGCGTGCGCGGGGGTGGGCCGTTGGCCGCGAAGGATGTTCGTCCGGGTCATTGCCCATCGCCGTGCGGCGGCGGCCCGGAGGTAGATCTTGTGTGCTTGGAATCGGCGCGTGCTGCTGTCGATGATGACTCTGTAAACCAGAATCCCCAGAAATGATCAGAAATGGGCTCACGGGAGCGATTGACTCCAAGGTCACAGGATGGAAAGGTATGTATACCGTTGTAGCTCTGCTTTCTCGGTCTCCGCATTCCCCCGTCCGGTCACTGGGCATGGCTGATAGTTGGCGCTGAGGAGGCGTTGGGCGGCGGCGTGGCATTCTCGAAGCACCACGAAGCCTTCTTCGTAGTAGTCCTCGGGGATTGCGTCGACTTGTTGGTGGGAGATGTGCAGCAACAGAGTCCGGTAATCATTGATGAGCTCGGCCACTCGCACAGCGCGGGCCTGGTTGACTGTAGTTGCTCCGGTGGATAATCAGTATTTGAGCGACGGCATCGATCAAGCGGGGTGGTTCGAGGTGAGCAATGCTTACGTCCGTCCGCCATTGAGAACAGGAAGTGATCGTTGAGCGTGTTGCACGTTATTATTAGAAGAGTAGAAGATAGAGGAGAAGAGAGAGAAGGACGGAAAGGGAACGTCGTCGCAATAACATCAACGGAGACCAATTAAAGAAAGAAATGTTCAAGCCCAGTGGATAGGCATGAGAAGAAAAGCGTTCAACGGGCGTGCTGTCAACGGTCCCGGGAGAACGGAAGAGACGACGATGCTGAGATCTTTATAATCTGGACTCAGAGCGAGGGAAACACCGAACTTCGAGTCTCCCTCATTACCCCATACATGACAACCAAACGCTTCTGGAATAGGGCGATCTCCCAGAGAAGTAAGAGCCAGGGTTTTTGGGGTGAGGGAAAAATAAAATAAAATAAAAGAACAATGATAATATAAAAATTAAAGACTTCGAAATAAAATTCAAATAAAATGCACAAAATAAAATCACAGGAATTATCAGCCCGTGACAGCGGAGACGAACGTCAGGAGGATCATCGACGGTGCATGGCTGGGCTGCACCAATAGACGGTGGAGAACCACGATCAGGAACGCCGAGGAGTCGAGCACAGCTGGGACGAAATGCGAGGATGGATCAAGCCACAACGATAGATTCCGAGCAACCGTCACAACGGCAGGACCGGCATCAAGAGGACGACTACTACTGCGTCCGGGCACATCCTTGTTCCTCCCAAGGGAAGGGATCAGAAGCGAGTGGAGCATGGACGGTCTGTGGGTTTGGGGGGAGGGAGGCAGTTAGTCCGATCGGTCGGTGCACGTCGGCAGGGTACATACTCGTACACGACCAGCTCAGATTCCTACTGGATAGTGTCAAATAGTTAGTTGGCCAGTCCGTCCGTGTAGGTGTTTGGAGCGGGGCGCGGCAGTTCTGAAATGGGGCGCTATGACGAGGTGGAGCAGCAGCCGCGACCAGAGATTAGGTTCCTGTGCGGCCAACTCGGCCTTCTTCAGCGGCCGGAAGGACGAGATGGCTCTTGGGACGGGTGATTGGAGCGCACCGTGCGAACTCCTCAAGAGTCGGTGGAGACGAGAGAACTTTGAACTTTGACAGGAACGGACGAGCCGGGGGTACCATCGCCTCACGGCTCGTGGGACCCCTGTCACATCCACTCCAGAATCCAGAATCCAGAGAATCCAGAGGGGACCTGCATGATAGGCGAGATCGGGCTGGGCTCAGTGTGGCGCGTCCCCCGAGCGGATCGAAGCGCAGAAGGTAAAAATAACAATGGCCAGATGAACAGCGCGCCGCCCCGACCAGGGCCGAGCATCAGAGGGGAAAGATTGGCGGGTGGTTTCAAAGGGCCATAGGTTCATTCGAGTCAGGTTCAAGGGGGGCTAGTCGCTGTTTGGCCGGTCAATGCCTCAGCTCGCAAACGAAGTGATCGATAGTGCGACTAGTTCGTGCAATGCAAACGATGAACCCTCAGAGGCCTCAGCCACCAGGTGCTGAGCCACAGGTGGCACCTTGTGGCGCTGGCACACAAGAGCTGAAGCGTACGCACATCGTCGTCCCTTGCCTGCATGTTCGTCGTAGTCCTGTGGTCCTGTGGTCCTGTGGTCCTGTGGTCCTGTGGCCCTGTGGTCCTGTATACTTTCATGGTCCGAAGGGACGAGCAGCCGAGAGTGATCCATCTCGCGCTGTCCGGGTCTCGGTCTCCAGACTGATGGTGGCAAAGAACAGTGCCCCACTTCGTAGGTTCTGCTGAATGCTGCTGAGGTGATCCCCAATCTGCCGGGGCCGACCATTACGAAGGGCCCGCCTGGCGCAAAGGGAGCGGTCCCTCAGTGCAGCAGTGCAGCGGTGCAGTCGTGCGGCAGAGCAGGTTGGCAGGTCCTCGGCCGTTGTGCGTGTGAAACACGGCCGAAACTTGAAGCCTTGCAGGAAGAGGAAGAAAAGTAAAGGCGACATGGGCCAATGAAGTGGTCATGCACAGATCGTCCATGAATCTTTCTCTCTAGAGCACATAAAATAATAGAAAAAATATCACCGGAGCAGCATACACGGCCCGGACCTATTTGGCCGATCTCTCTGTCTCTTGCCTTCGTTTCCTTCATCGGTCCATCCGCCAATTCTGCACACGGTCCGCCTAGTCCTTCTCGGCTATGGCCTGCAGCCGTTCATCAATCTCCTCCTCTGTCAGAGCCCGGAACCCTGTAGTAGTACCCTCCTTGCCGTCTGATTGCGGGCCACCCACAATGCCAACCTCCAGCTCGTGTTTCTTGAAGTCGACACTCAGCACATTGCTCAGGGCCGTAATGCCCAGCTCCACAACTTCCTCCCAGCTGCCGGGCGCCGCATCCTTGTTCTTCAGCTTCTTCTCCAGGTAGTTCTGCGCCTCCTGCTGCTTGGGGCCAGAGGATGTCGCCTTGTACCCGACATAGTAGCCAGCCGGGTCGCACTTGTAGAGCTGCGGACCATTCTCGTCATCGACGGAGATCAGGGTCATGGCCACACCGAGTGGTCGCATGTAGGCCTAGAGAGATTGGACAGTGAGCCTACGGAAAGGCCATATGATTTGGAGTACCAGTGACGTCTAGGGTACTTACTCGTTGTGTGTAGACCTGGTTGATATTTGCCAATCGCTTCGCCAGTACATCGCAGGGCATCTCATATCCGAACTTGTAGCGGAACTCAGCAGCCTCTCCGCGGGCTCGGTCGACGGAGGCGCGGGCATCTGCTATCGAGCCGGTCATCACACAACCCACGGAGGGCGAGATCTTGAAGACATGTGAGACGGAGGACGGGTCGATTAGTTTGTCCTAGAAGCAAAGCGGGTCAGTCTCCGGCGCAGCCAAAAAGGTCGTTTCAGGCATCATGCTTACAGCCACTTTCTTCTGGGAGACGACAATAGCACAGTCCTTCCCCCTCACGCCGATAGAGGTGATGTTTGCAGAGGTGATGGCCTTGAACGCATATTCTGGAGAATGGAGATGGTTGATCAGCGGTCATGACAATGCGAGCGTTGATCAGCAGTCAGTAAGCAGCCACGGTGGCCGGGCATTCAGTGGGGGACGCGAAGTACGTACCGACTTGGTACAGACGACCCTGGTCGGAGAAGATAGTGATATGTCTGTCGTAGCCTGCGCTTCCTAGTGTGGAGAAGATGGACGTTAGTCGGAGTCGGGGTGGAGGTCTTGGGGGACTTGGGTGCCGGCCAGCATCGGCATTTTCGGGGCTGCATACCAGACATGATGGCGGTTTCTGAACTCTTTTATAGGAGAATGGTCAAATGTCAGGATTGAGGGGAGAGACGGAGGTTGGCAGGTGGATGGGAGGTGGGATTGGCAGTGACGCGTGCCAACGGTGCCTAAGCTTCAGCTTGAGCTTCAGCACCGCTCACCGCCTTCGTCCGCTGTTTAGCCCTGCTGAGAGCATTCGGCCACAGAGATTTTGTATGTAACTCGATATGACCAAGCAACATCAAATATCGAAGTATGGAATGTCCAAATAAGATGTGATTTCATAGAGCTCTCTATGGCTAGCTTACAATCGCCACGGCGGGTGAGAAAAGATCCAATTTCACCTATATATCCTTCCATGTAATTGCATCAATGTTATCTCAACTCGGCATTTACACCAAAATTATGACCAGGCCTATCGATACTCGCTGTTCCAACTTAATACAGGCAGATTAGGTAGCACAGCCAGGGCGACTTGAGTTTTAATACCAATAGATAATCACCGATAAGACTATCATCATATACCAATTCTCATATAAACACTTGGTATGATATATCATCATGGTATAGAATATGCAAGTTTAATAAAAACACCAAAAAAAGAACCCATGCAGACCCCAATTTCCAGTCGAAATCCACTCAGCCCCTAATCACTATCACTTTCGCTGCTACTCGAGATATCAATCTGCGCAGTCCGCATCTTGCGCTTTTGCTTTTTCTTGTTCTTGCTAGGCACGGTTGCAGCAGGCTCCTCCTTCAGAGGAGCCGGTGCAGACTTCTTCGGTGCGCGTTTCTTCGCAGCAGGAGCAGTGTCACTGCCGCTGTCGCTGTCACCGTCACTGCTTGATGAATCACTGCCACTACTGCTGGTGTAGTCATCGCTGCTTTCTGTCGCAGCAACACTCTTCTTAGCCTTCGCAGGCTTATCCTCGTCGCCGTCGCTCTCACTGCTGGAGATATCAACAACAACAGTCCGATTCTTCCTCTTCTTCTGCTTCTGCGCCTCCGCCTTCGCAGCCTCCTTCTGCTTGCGAACAACCTCCTCCCGATCAAACACCTCTCCTGTGACAGCGAAGAAAACCAGCTCCGCCCTCTGCCTCTTCCGGAGACGCTTGTCCGCCTCGGCATCTAAGCCGTCCACGGCGCCAGCGACGTTCAGCTCATCACCACCGCCGAGCAACGATGTCCGGAACGCATTCACAGCCTGCTGGTACTCAACGCCCGCGTCGTCGGCGTCGCCCTTGAGGATCTGCACCGCGCCCTGCCTAAGCCGAGCCTTTGCGGCGTCGCCCTTCAGACCCTGCAGGTACGTCAGGAGCGGCAGGTTGTAAGGCGCGGGGACATGCTCGGCCGAGTAGAGGTGTTTGAAAAGGTTGGTCTCGCGATTCTTTTGGAACTTCCACGACGCGCGGTCACGATAGTACCAGCTCAGATAGGACAGGATAGGCGTCTCGTGGATCTCTGCAGCTGATGATGTGGCCGTGGACGTAGACCCAGACTTCGTCCCCTCCTTGCGCGCCTTCTTCTTCTCGCGCTTGCGCTTCTTCATCTCCTCGATTAACTTGTTCTCGGCTTCTTCGGCTTCTTTGGCTTCGGAATCGGTGCCCGTCACTGTCTCGGAGCTATCGTCGTCATCGTGCTCATCGTCGGCGGGACTGTCGCTGTCGCTGTCTGCGTCTTTGGTTTTCGTGTCAGGTCCGAAGGAAACCCTCTTCTTCTTCTTCTTAGGCTTGTCCTCCTCTTTATCCTGATTATCGTTTTCCGTGCTGTGTCGTCGCTTCTTCTTGATAGACACATCGCCATCGGTCTCGTTGGACGACTTCTTGCGCTTCTTCTTGTCCTTGGTTTCAGACTTGTTGGTCTTTTCGGTGTAGGTGGATTTTTGTGTCTCGGCGCTCATGTCCTCTTCAGCAGTGTCTTTGGCGTGTTTCAGCTTCTCGCCCATCTTCTTGGCTTGCGTCCCTTCTTGGGACTTGTCTTTGGCCATTGTTGCTGCAGCAGATTGTTGGAGTGATATTGCAGCAGGTATGTTCGATTGAGGCACACAGACCGAGAGATCCAATTGTGAGAGTGGCTTGTTTCGTGTGTCCTACCAAAGTTCACCCAGGCCTATCGCTGTTGCTGGGCTTGTCGAGGGCGGAATCAACTTTTTTTTTCTGCCGGTCCACGTGAGGGCGGCAAGTCCGTGATAAGCTTAGCTTGGACCATTATAGAAAGAACTCTTTACATTGTATGTATAGATATATCCTGCCTTTCACAGAGAAAAAGAAAGAAAGTGAATCATAGATTCGTCTCGCGTAATGGTGATGATTACAATCACTGCTTCATTGGAATAGTAATAATATGCAGTAGCTATGTTGCGGAGGTATTCCCATTACCATTCCCAAGCTCGGGACCACCAGTGTTTCGCTCTTGCCGCATCTCTCGAGATATATTCGATTCCGTACCCGAGCCAGCAGTGCCAGCAGCAGCAGCAGCAGCAGCCTTGCGCTTCGCCCGTTCCTTCTCCTTCTCCTTTTCTTTATCCCGCGAGCTAGGCCCCGTCGCCCGTCGGCGCCGGGCAGGCTCGTAAACATCGTTGAAGTTCATCACGACGCCGAGGAAGCGCATGTCCACGTCAGGCTGGTAGGCCAGATCGCCCAGGAGGATATTCAAGCGGGACCGGAACTCGGCAGAAAGATCACGGAGTCGTACCCGCAGCGACGCCAGCATGTTGTCGTCCGCGGCCAGGTCCTGCGCCGAGAGCGAAAATGGGGTGTCGATGCTGTCGGGTCCAGCGCTGGCGGGCCGGACATCCGGTGTCGACGCTATTGATGCGCCGGGGCGGCTATTCGCGCGGCGCGGCTGCATGTCACGATCCGTGACGCCCCAGCGGCCCTGTGCGGTGCGCGTCTCGATCTTTGCACTCAGTTCCTGGCGACGGGTGAATTCTGCAACGGAAAAAGAGTACAAGCCGTCCACGGCATCTTTGTACGCGAGCATGATCTTGAGGATCTGGTGAAGCTGGCTGAGGAAACTTTCCTCAGGCTGCTTGGCGGAGGCGGAGGTAGAAACGCCATATCGAGAGGTCGAGGTCGAGCCCAGCAGGCCCTTGTGAGTGATTGAGTTGAGGTAGTTGGTGTGTGCTTCGATGAGGTCGTCGAGCGTGCAACCCGGTTTCGAGACTGCGGCCTGCAGCTGGTCCCAGCTGGACTCGATCACCTCGAAGAGGATGTAGTACTGTAGCTGGCAGACGAAGTGAATCATTTCGGCGATGACGCAGCGCGCCCGCTTCCAGTCTGGCCCTACCTTGTCGTCCACGCTGCCCAGCACGCCTCGTGCGCCGGTCATGCAACGGCGCCAGGTGCTGCTTAGGGCGAACTCGACGCGCTTCACGCGCCAGAGGAAGTTGAATACCTTCAGGTATTGTGTTGACCCCCAGGGAGTGATGACCACGTCAACGGGGGCGTCGATCTTGTACTCCAGAGTGAAGCAGTCCCAGCCAATCTCGCCGTGGCTGAGCTCGAGCATACGTGCGTCCAGCCGGCGGAGCACGTCTGGCGAGTCATATTGCGCGTTGGAAGCGCGGATGGCATGTTCCAACTGCGCCGTGAGGGTATGGCGGTACTGTGAGTTTGCGGGGCGGTCCAGGTTCGAAGCCAGCGACTCCATGAGTAGAGCGATGAAATCACCTTGTCCCAGCAAGAGGTACTTCTTCAAAGCCCGTAGGTGGTCGAAAAGCTTGAACTTGTCGTCCATAAGATAGATCAGTCGCGCCATTGTAGTCTTATAGGCTTCGTCAATAGACGTCTCCAGTGTAGCTGTGTCGCCATATCGCAGCTCTTTCGACGCTTCCTTAGAATAAGCTTCCACCCATGCAGCATCCCCGCAGCCATATCGAATGAAATTCAGAGACTTTCCGATCAAAAAGACCTTTTTGGCAAAGTCCTGGGTGATAATTGAAGGCACCATGTCGTCGTCCAGTTTATACTTGTCTTCCCAGACGCTCGTCGCAATACGCCGGGGGTCGGTGCTGGTCCGGTGATCTGGCTCTGCAACGAAGAACTCCTTATACGGATCCGACAGCTCGCCGTCGTAGATCCATAATCGGAGCATGTCGTAAAATGGACGGGTAACATGGACAAGAAGCTTCTCCGCAAAGGCGCCGACGAACGGATCACCATGGGACGATGAGAAGCCGTGAATCAAGGAAACTAATTGCCCTCCCTTTTTCTCTGTCTCTGATATCAGTATCTTCAGGCAAAAGCAAAGATTAGAAGCGTTCTCGGCGCAACCAACCTCGAGCTTCCTCAACAATCAGACTCATCAACCTAAGTGCCATTGTCGCATCTCTCGTCCACACCACACACCTCTTCAACGTAACACCACCCTTCCTCACACCGTTCATCCCACTCGCATCCCCAATGGCAGCCAAGGCCTGCCGAATCTCCGCCTCCAGCGTCGCAACCAAGGCCAAATACGAGCGCAACTCATTCGCAATGGCAGCCCTCAAACTCTGACTCACCAGTCCTCCCTCTACTCCCTCCACAAACCCAGCAAGCTCCTTATAAAGCAAACACGGCTCTGCCAGGGCATTCAGGAGCGAGACAATCGGCGCTGGCAGATTCGGCGGCAACTTCAACACTGACGACGACTGGAACTGCAAATTTGTCGACGACAATCCCTGCAAATTAAACGGGAGATCCCGCAAAAGCCTATACTCAACAAGTTCCGCCGAGCGAGCAGCGCTGCCGGGCGTCTCAGTCGGCGACGCTATATCTTCGCCCTCATCCCGGGCCTCGTGGTGACTAGCCCGGCTCGCGCTTGCCCGCTCCGTAGACCCCTCCCAATCCCTGCGCAGCGAACTCGGGCGCTCTGCCTTCAGTTCGCGCGACATACGCGGCTGCTGCGACGCAGACGAGCTCACGGCAGGACCTTCATCGTCCTCCGACTCAACGATCGTCCCACGGCGCGGCCGCCCCGCACGCCGACCAAGCATATTGTGCAGGTTACCGTCGTCCATGAGTGGACTACGGCTGCGCTCGACGGGCTCGCCGTCCTCGACCCCGGCTCCGGTCTCGCCCAGCTTGTAGAGCAGGTACAAGATACCCCATTTCTGTGAGAGCACGGGCTGCGTGAGCAGGCGCGTATACAGGTTCGAGAACCGCACCACCTTGTCCGGACTGGCGTTCTCACGCCGTAGCTTACGCTTGATCAGATCTGGCGCGTTGTTGACGCTCTCGCCGACGAAGCTGCCGCGCCGGCCGGCCGGAGAGCCCGGGCCTGCGGCGTTGGCGGAGTGCGCGTCGATGATGCGCCAGACGCGGTCGAGCTGGGCATGGTGGCGGTCTTCCTCAGCAGCGGCGAGGGCTTCTTCGTCGTCAGAGTAATCGTGGTCTTGGGGGATGGCGGAGAGCGGGAGCGCGGGGGTCAGCGAGTCGACTAGTTGGGAGAGGGCGTCGTCGATGCGGCGCGGGCGTGTGGCTGGGCGGGTGGAAGCCGACATGATCCTGCCCTTCCCCCGCCGATTGGGCAATGTCGGTGGTGTTTGGGGCGTGAGGTGCGGGTTTGGCTTGATTGCGGAGTGGTGATGGACGTTGGGTTCTAGAGAGTCTTGGGCAACGAGATGCGGTCGGGCTGAGGTTTCAAATGATTGCACCCCGCTCAAATCCGGCTACACTGGTGTATCAGGCTCGGAAAGGTCGTGCAATTGGAATTGATTCGGAGGATTGTAGGCCATCCTTGAGATGAAGGTTATGCGTTGAGCGCGTGGGTTCGTGTTTGCGATGTTTGGGTTGTTTGGCAGGGGCGCGTCGGGGCTCTTATCAAGCTTATCACTTTCACCCACTATAAATCTTCAGCCTTAAATAAACTACTACAAAAGGAATATCCAATACAGAGCCGACAATTCAGGTCGATTGCTCAAGTATCCTGTGTAAGGAAACTAGTCAGACAGACAAAACAGACAGAAAACACAAAGCCACCTCTTACGCCGCCCTGAAATCATGTATCTCAACACAAAAGCAACCCGGATCAAAAAACATGCACCTGCGGGTCCGTCAAGTATTAGACAAGCGAAAAAAAGAAAAGAAAAAAAAGTTCTCTTGAGGCCGTCAAAAGAACGAGAAAATTAGAAAGGGGAAATGGGAGGAGGGAGTAAAAAATACAACGTGGGAACAACGTGGGAAGGGGGGGGCGATAAAGAAGGAAGAGTAAACATGAGCCATGGAAAAGCAGAAACAACCTGGAAGCAGCCATAAGAATGTCAAAGACGCCGAAATTGACGCGCCCTCCAAAGACGATAACGAGATTCATTCGTTTCCATTCCAGACCACCGAAATCAGCCCGTCCAATTTTTGAGTCGTGTGAATCATTAACACCTGCCCATGCCAAAGGTTCGGCGGAGCCATAGCCATAGCCATAGCCACAGCCATAGCCGGAAAAAAAGAGATGTTTGGGGGAGAAGGAAAACGGGAATAGTTTCCCCCCGAAGAGAAAAGCAACCGCCGAGTCTAAGGAAAGGATCATCACATCCCCCTGCTATGCGGTGGAGCAAGAAAATAGTTTATAACCGGCTCCAGAATGAGAAGTGACGTTTTGAAAATTGAGGTTTCGTTCACATTCACGCCCGGCGCATGCCCTGGGTAGGGATCGGCGCACCTGGCGGCATACCCATCTGACCCATGCCGTAGCCGTGAGGGTCGAATCCAGTAGACATGCCATTCATCATGAGAGGGCCTAGGCCTTGGGCTTGGGAGACGGGACAGTCCTTGTGAGCCAGCAGGAGCGTCTTAAGGTTGACAATCTCCTCGCGGAGCTGGGTCACTGTGGCGGTTAGCGCATCATTTTCCGTCGTGAAGAGCTCGACCTTGGCCTGAAGGTTGGCAAGCCATTGCTTCTTCCGTTGACGACACTTCAGAGCCGCGACACTGCCATCACGTTAGATATGGGCCATGTAAAATAATTAACAGGAAGGCTACGAGACATACCGATTCCGCTCCAGGAAGTTGCGTCGCTTCTCCTCGTCGGTCATCTTCTTCGGGTCGAGGTTGGCGTTCCTCAACTCTTCATCATCCGAATCATCCGACGGCGACTCCATCGTCTTCATCTTCTTATTGGAACCCTTGCCAGCATCATCCGCCTTGCGTCGGTTGTTGGCAGCAGCATTGGCTTTGGGCGCATTCTTCTTGCCTTTACCCTTGGCAGCGGGCTTCGAGAGCTCCTGCTCTGATCCATCACCGCTCATCTCACGGCCACTGGTGCCGTTCGTATTTTGCGACACGCGCCGCGCAGCCGCCGCGCGGGATTCGTTCTGCATGGCCGCGGCCTGGTTCATCTGCATATTGTTCGCCTGACCACCCTTGGCCAGCATGAACAGACCGTTGGCGGCATCGGTGGCGTCGTGTTGAGTGAAGTCAGCAGCCGTGTGCTGGACCTTTGCATCCATGGTTGTGTTGGGCGCGTTCTGTACTTGTTCGGTCGCATTCGAGGTAGGACCGCTCCCACTGTTCTTCTTGGCGGCCAGAGCGGTGCGGTGAAATTCGATGGTGGACGGGGTGGCACCGCCGCTTTGGAGTTGTTGCAGCAAAGCTTGAGAGTTCGGGCTCGGAGCCGGGAACATGGAGCCACCACCACCCGGGGTCAGGCCGGTACGGAGCGAGGACTCGTTCGGGGTCGGGAAGCCTCGACCAATGCTGTCGAAATACTCATTAGATCCGGTTGGGCCAGGAAGCATTGCCGGGCTGAGAGGCCCTGAGCGCAGGGAGTTGGACCAGTTGTAGCCGCCAGCGGAGGACGGCCCAGGCAGGGCAGGAGAGGTGAGGGACGCGACGGGCGGCAGGAGCGATTTTCCGGGGGTCTCGCCTGAGTTCCCGGTACCGAAAGACTGCTCGAAGGGGTTGGGCTCGAGTGAGAAGGGGTTATGGACGGAATTGAAGTAGTCAGGGGTATCGCTGGCGGTGGTACCAGCAGGGCGAGGCGGCGGCGCCAGCGAGGTGGGCGCCTCTACAACCGACCTTTGGTCCTTATTGTCTGAAGGGACGGCCCGCGAGTCTGTCGGGTTGAGTTAGCAATTCCCAAGAATCAGAAGACGATGCGACAGCGACAGCGCAAAGGTACCGGCAGGACGAGAACGAGGGCCCTTCATTGTGGAGGTGGAGGGCCTGGGGAAGTGGTAGTGGTGGGAGGAGGTCGATGACGCCAGTTGTGAGATCATCCCAACGGGCAGAGGGGCTTGAGTTAAAAGTATCGGCACCCCCAGGTGGCGTATTACCAAGCCGAAAGGGGGGGGGAAAAGGATAACCAGCGAAGAAGAGATGGATGTATAATCAATCACCGCCACTGAATTTTCCGATAGGGAGAGAACACAAATTCCCTTCTTCTTTTTTTCGCGTTTATCATGCGACCGCGACCCTATACGGAGGAATTGCAGCAAAGGGAGAGGGGAGGGGAGAGGAATAATAGGAAAAGGGAAAGAAGGCCAGATAGATAGATGCTGGTAGGGCAACAGAGGGTCGAACGGGATCACGAGGCATTCCTGACGCACGAACCTTCTTTGTGGGCAATCTTTTTGGAGTCCATCGAGGTCAAGGTGTTCGAGAGAGTCGACACACTAGGAGCGACTGCGGCAGACATCACCGAAGTCAAAAGAGAGCGTGGCGAACGCGCAACTACAGAGGCTATCCCGTGGCTTGTAGCGAAAGATGAGAATGGAGAAGAGGAAAAAAAGTGACGTAGAGGAAAGGGAGATGACGACAATTTTAGGGGAGGGAAAACATTAAGTAAGTGCAGTCCGCGTCTGGCTGAAATAATCGAAGGGGGGGGGGGGGGGGGGGGAGGTGGTACCGTTACAGCCGTGACAGTACAGAAGTAACAGACGGAGTGCACTCGCTCGGTACGTTCACAGCCCACGCGACAGGGTACTGATAGCTGGTAAGGCCGATGTAACTGGCCAGGGACGGCCGAGAGCGTTGGTCGCATTCGTATCAGGGAAGGCCAGAAAAATCAATAAAATGGCAAACCGATGAAATGATATTCGGGGCGGGAGGGGGTTGACCTGGCGTTGTGGTTGGCTCCCATGCTACTCGGGGTGGCCTCGAACGTCTACACAAAGGGCGGGAGTCGGCCTGGATCCAGGGTGGGACTTCTGCTTCAGGGGAGACTGTTGACTCCTTTGGTCGCGTTTGATACACTGACTTTTTCAACTCTCTCATAGAATTTGCCATGGCTACCGATCACGCTTGCGATCACGAAACCATGGACCTCAGTTGCGAAAAGTCCTTCCCTCGCATCCACGAAGGGGGGTGGGAATCAACAGGGATGGGGGCGAATGTCCATCTCGAACCAACCTGGAGAGCTGGTGGGCTCCCGGTATCGTCTTGATCCAATCAGGACTATGTATGGCAGAAGCGGAGACTGGACGCTGCTCGGGCAGATTGGCCACTCGCCTTCCTGTGAAAAAAAAAAAAAAATTGCGTAATATTTTGGTTCGCTTGGTCGATCGGAAAGATGTGAGGCTGCACCGAGTGAAATCACTAGAATTCTCAGTGGTGAGTGAGACTTCCCTGGTTTTCTATCGCATATCTGAAGCGGCTGAATACTGTAAGATAGATCGGGCGGTATGACAGAACGTATCGAGTATACGCGGGATACGCGACCTGGGCATGTTCTGGGCGATGGATGATTTCACGATGACGACGACAGGAATGTGTCCCGGCTGTCGGGCCAGCGCAGGTGGGGCCGTGGAAGGGGCCATTGGCCATTCAGCAGCGAGGAAGAATGCGAAACCAAACTGGATTCGTCAAAAGTGGAGGTCGACTGGATGCGGTGAGGGACCATGACGTAATGCACGTGAGAGCTGACTCAGCTCGGGAAAGGATAATCCCCTGTTCCGATGACGTGATGGCTTGGGACTGGGGGCTTGCCAAATTCGGCAACTCCACGAACTATACAGTAGCACATCAACCGATCGGATAGTACTGTAGAACAGTAGAAAGTAGAACAGTAGAACAGTAATACAGAGTACAGTAGCTGGTTCTACCCTCTTCCTCACCCCGCTCAATAAGTATGTGTCTGCATCAAGAGCCGCATCGAGGATCAGCCTCATCCCTCGCCATCCTTAGCCTCAGCCTCCACTGTACTTTGTCGGAAACAATCCCTTCCTGGCTCTCTACCCGTACCAGTAGAACTTCATGCGCCAACTTAACTACCACCTGTTTGCAGTCGACCATGTAGGGTGAGATATCACCCCATTCAGCAACCTGATTGGATCCGCATTTCTCCGGCGATTCGACTCCCAATTCAGCCTGGTCCCTGCACCCAAAGCGCCATGATCGATCAGATGCGGAGCACTCTTCCCCGCACTCTTGGCCCTGACAACGCCAGAGCCAAATATTCCTCAGAGATTCCCTTTAAACGAGAGCATTCTCAAAGCAGTCGGCACTCTGCTGCTCCCCCGCCGCCGGCCCACGGCAACCAGCCTAGAAGACTCGGACGTCCCCAACAGCGACAGCAAAGGAGACCTTTTCGTGGCATCCGTCAATATCTCGCTAAGTTCTGGACGACGTGACCGAGTCCTCTCTACACCATCCAGCTCACACCCCTCAAGAGACGCGAAATTCGCAATGCGCTGTACCGCCGGGTGACCGAGCGACCAAGAAATCTCCACCTCTTCACCCATAGATTATTCCCCCGAGAAGGAAAAACCCCCAACGTCCGCACCCGTAGTCTGCACGTCCGATACTTCATAACCCTGCCAATCCTCCACAGAGTGGCGACGCCGCATGAAGCCTCCACGGCAGTAAATGTCCTCGTGTCGTCGCTGGTCTACGGTATTGTCGACGAGTTTCTGGCGCGCGACCATATCTCGCTGCTTACCACCTATAATCAAGTTCAACACACAATTCTGGAACGGAGGCTTGGACAGGAATCGTTGATGAAATAACCCCCACTCAAAGAGATATCAGACATGGCCCTAGCAGACAAGATTGAAGGAGTTGCTAAGGTAGGGCTATTTGCATTGTTGAGGCTGAAATATGGCGATACACCCATGATTTTAAGCGAATCAGTCATGGCCACAGCGACGAGGTGTCGAGGCAGCCGAAGACAAAAAGTCTAGTCTTATGAGCATTTGAATCCAAATTATTTTATAGGACCTTGGTGACTTCGCTTTTTCTCGAGCAGTCGGCGTGCAATATTAATTAAAGGGCTCCGCCCTTAAAAGCCCATCAGTTACAGGTTTAGTGGTATTCGCTCCACAGAAATCACAACACTGAACGTAGTCGTCAACCGTCCAGGTGGATCCAGCACGCAAGCTTTTCTTGGCTACATACCACGTTATTTGAAAATTGGAGATGGAAGCTTGTCGTCTTTACTATCACGATAACGGGTATTGATAAAAAGATAACTGGTGCATTTATATGTCCCGAGTCATCTCAAGCTTTGCGGGGTTTCTCTGGAAAATAGCCGGTTCTCGGTGAGGCTTGGCTAAGAAGGTAGCATCACATGAACCACTTCCTGTAATTTTCCCTTGAATAGAACGCAGACGCAGAAGGATCTTGGGCCTTCAATGCCCGATTCCGAGCTAGTGCTTTCAGCACCATGCTTTCATTATAGGAAAAAATAATTTGAGTGCAATAGGAGTGTTTCCATATTATGGAGGATTTGTCAGCACATGAAGGGATAACTTACCGCTAGCAACTGATTGGTTGCTGATGGGCCCACATTTGTTTAGTATTTCCTATGTAATCAGGGAGCCGAGCTGTAATGCAGCCGTTGTCACAGCTGAGTACCGGAGACATCAGACACATCGAATAACGGTATATCTAAGTGTGTGCTTTTAAGAGCGCTTCTCCTCCCATCTTTCTACTGAATCAATCAATGTTATTTATCTATATTGGTTCCGCTTGATATCATTCGTCGTCTTTGCATACTAGGCTATACAGTATCAGCTTGCACTGACAGTTATGAGCCCGATAGCGGTTCGCGATAAAGCTTGAGAAGATCTATAGAGTCACGGGTTCAATCCCAGCCGGAGCCAGAATGGAGCACGGCCTTCCGTCAGAATAGGAAGTGACCTAGATCGAATGATATGCGCACAAGACCGCGAGATGGCCAGGATACACTTCATCAGGAATACTCCGATTCAGTATATCCTGAGGGGGTGTGTCGGAGCAATAAATGACGGTATAGACTAAGAATGTTGCCTATAGTGCATTTTTGGTCTAGTGGTTATTTTTCCTAGGATCTGGCCCCATTTAGTCTTGACAGGATTCAGTAGCCTGGTCCGTCCCTAACCTTATGGACGCAGGATGGCAAGCTGAGAAAATTTCTTCCGATCAACATCAATGGGAACTTAAAACAAAGCTGAATCCTTTTTTCCCCAAAAAACAAAGCTTCGCAACTCTCGACCTGATTCATATCCTCGGAACTATCATTTAGAGGCACAATGTATGCCGCGATCCTTCTACTTGGCTGCGTCTCTGTGGCATTGGCACAGCTTGCGGATACCTCTGACTACCCGATCGGACCATTAACTTCGTCAGCCGCCAAATGGGCTAAAAAAGTTTGTGACATCACCAAATATGGCGCTGTTGCAGATGGGGAGACAGATGCTGGGCCTGCTATTCTAGCGGCCTTTGATGCCTGCGCTTCAGGAGGCGTTGTGAACATTCCCTGGGGGACTTTTGCCATGGAGACTTGGGTCACACTCTCTGGTGGAAGCGCATGGGCCATCAACTTAGAAGGCATCATCGTTCGCACCGGAACCTCCGGGGGAAACATGATTTATATCGAGCATAGCACTGATTTCGAGATCTACTCTTCCAGAGGCGAAGGTGCGATCCAGGGCTACGGATATCAATTTCACTCTCAGGGAGAGTATGGCCCGCGTCTCCTGCGCCTTTATGAGGGCAAGTACTCTCGTCATTTTCCCGGATGCCAGGCACCCACGCTAATTGTCTGTAGTCACAAATTTTGCCATCCATGATATTGCTCTCGTTGATTCTCCAGCTTTTCACCTCACTCTCGATACTTGCAACCAGGGCGAAGTCTATAATATGATCATTCGAGGTGGAAACGAAGGAGGTCTTGATGGCATTGACTTGTGGGGATTTGACATCTGGGTTCATGATGTCGAGGTAACGAACAAGGACGAATGCGTCACTGTCAAGAGCCCGGCAAATCACATCCTCGTTGAGAACATCTATTGCAACTGGTCTGGCGGCTGTGCAATGGGCTCCTTGGGAACTAACACAGGTAAGTTACTGTACTAGAGTGGTCTACTGTTTAGTAGAGAGCAGAAGAGGGATAGATATAAAGAAAGCTAACTTTGGTCGTTAAAGACATTACAAAAGTCGTCTACAACAATATCTACACGGTGAATTCAAACCAGATGTTTATGTTCAAGTATGCTCCTTTCCCTTGATATCTGAACGCTGATCCTGATTAATTTGATCTAATCTGTCACACAGAAGCAATGGAGGAAATGGATCTGGTAAGTGTTTCTGAAAGAGTAGCTTTCTGGATACGCCTCATTGAAAAGCATTTGCTAACAACGTAATATCAACAGTTACAGAAGTTACTCTCCAGAACTTCATTGGGCACGAGAATGCGTATTCCCTCTACCTTGACGCATACTGGTCGTCACAAACACAGGCTGCGGGAGACGGTGTCTTTTACAATTCTATCACTTTCAGCAACTGGAAGGGTACGTGCGCAAATGGTGCTACTCAGGCCCCTCTCTACGTGCTCTGCCCTTCGAGTCAACCCTGTACAAACATCGTCATCGAGGATTTCGCCATGTGGACTGAATCTGGAAGCACTGAGTACTATAAGTGTGCTGATGCCTGGGGCTCAGGTTACTGCTTGCACTCAGGAACAGCACATACCGAGTACGGTACAGTGACCTCAACAGTGACATCTGCTCCATCAGGCTACTCGGCGACGACAATGCCCGGGCAGCTGACTGCCGGGTTGGGGCTCACCAAATCCATTGCAATCCCGACTGTCCCAACCACATTTTACCCAGGTGCTACACCAGCTACAGCGAGAGTTTATGGTAGTTAGTTTGTCGAATCAACACCCATGGCCCTGGGTGATGAGCTGACATGAAGGGCGCGGTTGTCACTTTTTATCTCCCCTCCGTCGTAGGATTCTTGTTGTAGGATTCTCGATCTACGTTAAATGTGCGGGTAGTGTCCATACAATGTATGGATTCAAAGGCGGGCCTAGATGGTAATGCTAGGGTCGCAATAGTTCCACAAACTAAATACTCCATACTCTGGGACCAATCGCTTATTGGTGCAATATTGATGAGGGGATGGTTTCTGTGTAATCTACTCCTTGCCATTTCACCACCGCATTCGACTTGTTCCACCTCTGGTTTCAGAGACCGGTGCCAAGTCCAGGGTACCATTGCAGAGCATTGTCCACAAATAAAAATCCGTTCATTCTGCCCCCATTTCCTTCAAATGCCCAGCTCTTCAACTTTTGGGCATTCATTTGAGGAATAGCCCAATTATGGATCATAGTTCGTATTGCGGGTGTCATGATTCCTTTGCCATGGTGGCTTGGTGCAAGAAGGTCTATGGTGAGTATCGCTCAGAATTTGCTCGAAGCTGAATAACTTTCCCTGCTGATCCATCGTATCTCCAGGCTTTCTTGTCTCCCTGAGATAGTTCGTCATTCTTTTGCTGCGCGTCTGCTCTCTCTTCACTTCCATCGGGATGCTCTTCAAATTTTGAGCGGTCTAGCCCGAGACCACCCATGAAGATGTCTTGGAAGAGGAGCTCCAATCTCAAAATCAGTCGTTAAATCTCTATTAGTACAGTTTAAGGACACCTGTCGGCAAATTGCCTTTCTTGGTGTGGAAAGTTGGCTGGATCGCTAGCTAATTTCTTTTGACCTTCAAGCTCTTCCGGCAAAATACATACGATTCGCCCTTGGTCTCTACAGTGTACCTTGACTTTTCCTTCCTCATACTTATACATGTATAAGGTGTTAGGCCCAGACAACATGCGGCATACCGATCATTGAAAGTTTGAACTTATGTAGAAGATGTTTCACGCGGGTTGTCCGGTCGACGAGGAGTGATGGTGTTTGTATGTGGTTCAGGGAGTCTCAGTAAGAGTCATTGGTCATTGAAACAAAACGACTATTCTGCTGCCAGTGATGCCAATTGCTCATCGGAATGAGCAGTCAATTCCGACAAAAGGGGGTCCCGCAGGTCTGATAGAGGAATACCCTCACAAAGTCGAAACCCTCCCACAGGCTGGGTTGATATCATCCCAGGCTGCTGTTGAGAGTAGAGACAAGCATGTGGCCGTTGACTTGGCCACCGGTTCCCGCGCTATCGATGAGTTGGGGGCTGTGAAAGGCTAAGCCAGACAATAACTCCAGTTCCTGATCAAGGGTATCAGGGTCAGTGGTGCAAAATTTGCGGGTGTAGAATATCTTGCGCTTGCACTGTATTCTCAACCCAGAGAAAGATTGAAACAGTTCGTGGGAAGCAGCCAGTCGAATGATTTTAGCATGCATGATCATATACATATTCTGTTCTGGATCATGATACGAAATCTTTTGCAGCTTTCATCAAGTAAGGCAAGATGGCCGAGTTGGTCTATGGCGCACGGTTCAGGTTTACCTGATCCAAACTTCCGTGTCTCGAAAGGGGCGTGGGTTCGAATCCCACTCTTGTCATTGCATTAACTTTTTGCCTTGTTATTTTTGCCATTCTGGACGTCACGTTATGAAGAATAGGCTATAAATTCCTTTTCGTGCTATTTGGTCACATGGTGCGAGTTTAATATATCGTAAGCTTGTATGTTTGTTCTGTTTAATATCACATTTAGTCAGCTAGAGCCTTTAGAATCATGAGACTCTCACCGGGTGCGCCGTACATTATTGCTATGGACACTGACTGGTACCGTACCCAGACGGTCTATTTCCATACTACATATGCACCTTCCGGTCCAAGAGAACTCGGATGGTAGTGAAATGTTGGAGCCTTCCGGGTTGGGTGAGGCATGAATGAAGGTGTAACTAAAAGTTGGTGTCTGCCTGGTAATGCAATTGATTAAAGGGGGCTGAATATCGCCCTGGAACGAGTGTTGAGTAGGTCTCCATCTAATCAGCAATCCTTTGGACCCCAGTTCTGCAGACTCCCTCGTACCTGATCGACAAAGCCCGTTCGCTGTGCTTTTCGCTTTGTTTTGTTTGCGTTTCAACGGTTGACCGCCCGGCGTCCTGGCTAATCAGCCGCGTGTACACCTTTCTCTTCTGACCACTTCACCTCAAGACTCTTGGACTACTCCGTCACCAGTGATCCCAGGTTGACTCTCTTTGCGGTCGCTTTTGTCATTTTATCGTCCACTTGCCTATCATGACCCTTGCTGAGGAGTTCCGTTCGAGAAATTTCAGTACGTATCCCCCTGGTGCTGATGCGGCGGCAAATGTCGATCAGCCTATTGATTGACAGTCTGGCTAACATTGCACTCACCCAGGCATCTACGGCCAATGGTTAGTGAACTAATTCCTTCGCCTCCTCCGCAGCCCTAGTCGGGTCTCATTCGAGCTCAAACATCATCGTGGAAGAGTGGATTGTGGCGAGATGCCGGACGGGTGCCTGTTTTCCTCGAGAGGTCCTCGGGCACCTCTGTAGCTCTCCCTGGGTTGCACAAAACAGCATTTCTGACGGTTTTATTTTAGGACCGGCGTGGTGTGCATGATTTTGTGCTTTGCCCTCGGCATCGCCAACATCTTTTCTCCCATCGTCCGGATCATTTTCTCCGTCATCTGCCTGTGAGTCCAACCAATCTCTCGCGAGGGGTGATACATCATTTTAACATCCGCAGTGCTTGTTCATTCGTCATCCTTTTCATTGAAGTACCTTTTCTCCTCCGCATCTGCCCGACGTCTGCCAAGTTCGATGCTTTCATCCGCCGCTTCACCACTAACTGGATGCGCGCCGCTATGTATACCGCTATGAGTGCTATCCAGTGGGCCAGCCTCTGTACCGGTGCTTCTAGTTTAATTGCTGCCGCCGTCATGCTCCTTATTGCCGCTCTCTGCTACGGGCTTGCTGGTCTGAAGAGCCAGGAGTTTGTCGGCAGCAAGACCTTGGGTGGCCATGGTGTTGCACAGATGATTGTTTAATAGCCTTTGGCTTCGGACAGGTCCTCTGCGTCTTCCCGCATCCGGCTTATATGCGGAACAGGATGTCCCTTGGCTGGTCCAATATCTGGGTGAAATGATGAAATGCTCAATGCGAAATTCTGGATAATGACCCCCAGGGTCCACACACATTAGAATGCGCCACGACCCTACTTGCTACCGTTTTTGTCCTCTGTACTTGTATGTCTCCCATGTTGGGGAACGCCTGCTCAACACGTTCGCAGCGCGGACATATTTGATATTTCTATCTGTGGTTCGGGCCCGCGCTATTGGGTTCGAGTACTGCTGCTTTTGAAGCGTTCTTATGCCAGGTATCAAATTCATAATAATTTTTGAGAATTGTCCTTTTCTCTACAATGACGGTGTAATTTCTGTGTTACCTGATCTGCGACTACCTGGGTACTTCCATAATCCATATCTGTGTACGGAGTAGAGTAGGGGTTGGTCGCGCAGGCCCGGTGGAGTCGGCAATAGCACTATTCTTTGGGCTTTTGTGGGAGTACCTATTATTTATCTATGAGTCTTATGTTGTTTAACTATGGAGGGTTTTTGAGTGACTTCGTCCACTGTTTCCTGCGGTTCCGATCAACAGCTAGAGTACGATATATATACAACGGAGAGTCGCCATTAAATAAAATGCTACGACATTCCACCAACCCTGCCCAGGCGACCAAAACACAATAGGCGAGGCAAGCTCGTGATAATACGCATAGATTTGGGCACATAATTAAGATATCCAGATCCATGATCTGAACTGCCATATAGAATCAATGGAAATAATAGCAAGCTTAATATAATCAAAACTATTCTCTACTTACATGGAATTGGTAAGATGGCCGAGTTGGTCCAAGGCGTCAGGTTAAGGTCCACCTTAGCATAAAATCCTGATCTCGTTTACGGGGCGTGAGTTCGAATCTCACTCTTATCACTCAATTATCTTTTTTCTTTTTTTCCCCACTATGTGCATTGCACCGGTCACGTTCCAGTCTAATGCCTTTTATTCTGTTTTCTCTTATACTTCCATCAGTAAAAAGGAAGACACGGGAAGCCAGCCTAGCCCTCGCTGCGACTGTCACATAGCAAATGAGCAGTGAATTCCGCCTTCGAGCCAGGCCCTATTTCTGTTGAATTCCCATCTACCGTGGCCGGTCTATACATGTACCATCACGATTTTCACCCCGCAACCCCAGAACTGCAGTTACAATACCGGGAAGAGACCACCTGGTGGTAAATCTCTGCAATCCACATGACCATCCCTCCCTTAGTGTAAATCTGGCCTAGCCCTTTCTGTGTGTAGTGTAAGCCTGTTCAGGAACCACGTCCGGTTTCCTAGGAGTCCCGCGTCATACACCCGGTCCAGTGGCGGTAATTCTCACAGGGCTACAGTAGGGTCTATTGGGAGTGGATCACATACGCTTTCACTTAGTACAATAATACCCACGTGATCCACGCTCTCGCTTTTGTTTTTGAAAACTTTGAGAGAGAGATAAAGAACAGCAATTCGCAGAAATAACAACTATCAACCACTAATGAGCATCCTATCTATTGGATGGAATGTTTAGGATATATATGGATCGGAAAGCAGACGCTAGATGATGCAATCCCATGGGATGCGGAGGATGAATTATTTTCTCACCGCCTCGGACACGGTGGCCAATCACAAGGCAAAGAAATAATCTGCGGCGGCCGAGACAAGTCTTTCCTTATCGCGAGGGACGAGAGAGAGTTTACAGCATTCGTGCTGTTCTCCTTGAAGAGTCGAGAAACCACACTAATTAAAATGGACCCCTAGACGCCCCTAAAACCCTCTTTAGCACAGCCACGGAGACTGAAACAGAAATACCAGCGCTATTAATATACTTTGGGCCCATGGTCTAGCCACCAGGGATTATCGGTCCGATGCCCCCCATACGAAAAGGAGAAGACGCCTGTTACCTGCACGCAATGCCGAGAAAGCGGTGGTTGGACAAGCTGCCTGGGCCATGATTTGCCCCCGAGTGTAAACGATCTTGACCACTCCACTTGGCGACCAGTCATGAGGCATTTGCTCAAAAATGCCGCAAAAGCATGCACTCTCAAAATCAGGTCTTGGAATTAATCCCTCGAGAATGATCGAGTCCATGACTAGGGATTCTGTAGCTCCATGATGAGCTCTATGGGAATATTGTAGACAAGCACTGCTATAGTTAGCTGTGGGCGTCAACCGTCGGCAGGCCAGCGCCAGAAGTAACCGTACGGTAATCTGACGGTAATCCGGCCTTCGGCTGGACTGGATGCGGTCAGAGCACGTCACGCGGCCGGTGGGTCGTGGCAGAACGAGACATACATCATCCTTGTCGCTCGCCAGATCGCTTCAATCCTGCTATTTTCTACTCCCCTGAACTCCTTGACCGCTCTCTTCACGGTTTGACCTAATCCAATTGGAAATTCTCCAGACCTCGATATCGGGTATATCAATCTGGGTAAGCAAATCACCCTGCATCCGCTTATCAGCGGCAGCCCTCTCCCCCTCCTTGGCTATAGCCGGGTTATGGGACCCCCATCTTCCTTGCATCCATGCAGGTCCTTGAATGGTCAACCCCAGACTCGTCTCGATCCTGTGATTTATTCTTGGCACCAACAGTCAGAAGGGAAGAGAGGGTCCAAGCTGTCACCCTCAGCCTATGGTTCTTGGGCTGGAATTGTTGGGCATTTAGCTGATATTGAAAGACGGTAGCTTCAAAACCTCCTCCATCATGCCTACCCACACTGCTCCGGTCGTCCCTCCTCGACCGGCTCGATCACCACAACCGCACGCCTCAATAGACATGCCAAAGATACCCCCACGCCCGGCGAATCGCCGCCTGGACCGATCGGTCTCTCCGATGCGGGATAGCTATGCGCCATCTCCCTTCAATGAGTGGAGCGGACCCAGTATGAGCCGTACCATATCGAATGATCTCCCCCCACGCCCACCGAGTGTCACAATACCATCGTTAGGCGAGGAGGGGATTGAGTATGCTGATCTTGATGTCGGAAATATGTCGGACAGCCATCATCAGGCGCCAGCAGAGACGCGCAACATCAGCACTGACCTCAAAATCCATGCACCACGCCCTTCTTTGCCCACATCAAGCGCTAAGGCAAGAGTGCAGGCGGTCACCCGTACGGATTCCCGGCAGGCCGCAGCCGCGGGGTTGGGCCGTGAAAGCTCTGATTCCCCAGCAATGGAGGAGCAGGAACGTTCTAGCCGCACGTTGCACTCCCGGGCAAGTGGCTCGCGGGCCGAGTCCACCGCGTCATCCGACCGTCGGCTTTCCGCACAGCTCGGCGAAGAGCATGGCTTCCGAGTTCCCATGTACCCGAACGCCGGTGACGTCCAGGCACCATCCCCAAGTCCTTACCTTGAACAGGGCTCACAGCGGCAAGGCCGCAATCATCACCGCTCTCGCAGTGCCCGGGATTCCTCTCTGCCCCCCGGAAGTTACGGCCTGCATGGGCATGGCGTTCAGCACACTGATAAGTTCGAGAAGGCATGGTATGACAAGCATCCGGATGAGTTCGTCAAGGAAGAAGGACAATATGGCCCTGGCGTGGGAACCCCTCGACCCGATTGGGCTCTGAGCAGCGATGACTTAAACAAAATTGTTCGCGGTTACGGTTCTGGTAGCTCAGGCCTTGGTAAGAACATTTGTTGTGATTGCGCACAATGAGGCATGAAGACTTACTTCTCGTCAAACCCAGGCACGTCTCCTGCCATCGCGGGCACCCCGGACGAAGAAGTGGGATACCTCGCTTCGGACGAGTACATGCATCGCATTGCGTCTCCGCCGCCCGATGCCCGCCACGAGACCCAACCCGCCGTGGAATCCCCTCTTCGGCAGATGAGTTTCCCGGCCTCCGAGATTGAGCCTAAAGTTCCCGCCTCACCATTGCGGCATGGCCGGAGTACCTCGCGCGGGCATCATTCGGACGGCGACGTGATCCATGTCGATGATCCGATGCACCCTCTTCACCATCCAGACGGATTCGCTCCTACCCCGGCACCCCACGAGCATGCACTGGAGGTTGATGAGCCCTTCGAGGAAGACGAGCCTATTTTGGCTGCTGATGAAGTGCGCCCGGATTCCGCCTATCTGCACCCCGCAGTTTCGCCCACGTTCGACCATCGCGCAAGCTTTGACGAGGAGCGCAGCCGCACCCCAAGCGCCTCGCACAGTCGCTCCAACAGCAGATCCGCAAGTGCTCAAGGTGCGCCTATGCTGACTCGCTTTGATTCCCGTGAGCTGCATGATGAAACGTTCACTCCCCTGGAGGACGTCGAGGAATATGAGCCCCTGTTCCCCGATGAGGGGGATGCCAAGAAGCAACGCTCTCTTTCAGCCTCTGAGCGTTTCAAGAAGCGCCCGGATATGCTCAAGCACAGATTCCCCAGCGAAGATATCTGGGAGGATACCCCGAACAGTCTGCAGCTCCACGCCACTGTGACTACCCCAGATATTCCGAAGCGTGATTCTTTTGGGGCTTTTGAGACCCCCGAACAAGAGGCTGTGCGGAAGATGCAAACTTCCAAGGTCAATTCGCATCAAGTCGCGCGTCAAATTCTTGAAGGAGAGGGCGCTCGCGATAAAGTCAAAGCGCCTGTTCGGCCCGATGCGATTAAGCAACGGTTCCCTAGTAGAGACATCTGGGAAGATGCCCCTGACAGTCAGCAACTGGTGACCACTGTCGAGCCAACTACAGATGAAGTCAAGAGCCCAGAAGTGCCATCGAAACCATCAATTCCTCCTCGGCCGCAGAAGCAAGCACAGGCAACATCGCCAACCGACAAGCGTCAACCACCTGTCATTCCAGACAGACCGAAGCCTCAGATTCCATCTCGACCAGCTAAGTCTGTCTCTCAGGCCTCACCCGAAGCCGCTGCTGCATCAAAGCCAAAGCCCGCGGTTCCCGCCCGTCCAGGTGGCAGCAAGATTGCGGCTCTGAAGGCCGGTTTCCTCACAGATCTGAACTCGCGTCTTCAGTTGGGTCCCCAGCAACCCAAGCCCCAGGAGAAAGAGCCCGAACCACCAGCAGAGAAGCAGCCGCTTAGTGATGCTCGTAAGGGAAGAGCCCGTGGCCCGGCTCGACGAAAGCCCGCGGCAGAAAACGCCAATGCTAGACTGCCCACTATCCCGGAGATCAAGATCACTGAAACGTGGAATGTGTGGTCAGTTGGTGCAGATGGCAACCTAACCGTGGGCAGTGAAGATACTAAGCCTTCTGTCTCCGCGACTGAGACTTCTATTCCTTCCGAAACCCCAATGGCACCAGAGTTAGCCAAGAACACTGCCGGCGAACCTGTTGATCCGACCCCAGAGTCTCCTGTAGTTGGTAAGGTCTCGCCTAGCACTGCTGCAGCCCCGGAGGTCGAACCAGTTCAGGAACCAGTCCAGGCGCAAGCCTCGATAGAGTCCCCAATTCCTGTTGAAATCCCTCCATCAGCCGCTGAGCTCACTTCCAAGCCAGAAGAACCCAAGCGACCGGCAGTTGGAGCCCGGCCCCCTCGCCGAAGCCGTCTCCTCGACCGAGGTGGATGACGCTCTCGAGGACATGGCTGCATCAGCCGATGGCAAGAGGGTATCTGATGGTGAAATTCACGACGAGGAAACATCTGCTTAAGCAATTGTTCATTTACTCTATTTCATACATTGTCTTCACTCGCTTCTTATCAAACTACACTCCATGCCCAACAGGGACTGGGGGCAAGTGTCTTGACCAACCAGACCTTGTCAAGCCTTACGTCTGTCTTTTATCAGTGCGTTCTAATGAGTGGTCGTCCTTGAGATCATAAATTCATTCCCATCGTGACATCTAGCCTAGATGCACGAACCAAATTATGCGTTCTTTCCGCTTTTTCTTCTCACCTGGATCCCGGGCTGTGTATACGTTTTAAGCACCCGAGTATCAAGGATTAGGGTCAAGTAAATTAGGATATCTGGAAATCGACGGTACTTAGATAAAATTCAAACCAGGTACTCCAGTAGAGATATTTCCTTTCAGCCGTGCCCGCTGGTAGTAGTCATGAATTGATACCGTAGATCTAGGTACAACAAAAGTATACAAGCATGTCGTCTACCTAGATGAACTCTTGCAGATGCTGTTTACTTGGTAGTATCAAGCGGGACCTGTGATATCTGTAGGCTGTGACACGCTCTTGTGAGACCCTGGCTTCGATATGGTCAGGTATGTGGCGTGTTGATTCCGTGCCTGTGAGCTCGCTGTTCCTGACCCCTTGGATCCCCCCACATTTCTTCAGCCAGGTTACATTGCGCGTTGATAAGACACACGGCTCGTGCGATGATATGACATATCAGCGTGCTGAAAGAATGTGATTGTCATCAGCACATGTCGAGTATGCTTGCTATATTGGTAAACACGACCTCCGGCATCGGAGTTATGACTAACTCAAGTAAAAATCGTAGTATATGCATTGTGTTCCTGGTCCAACGCCCAAGTCATTTAGCAATAGACTGATCAATCACGCCTTTGTATGAATACATACTCTTTGAGACTTTGTGTTCCCCCGCAGGGCGAAGGGCCATTTTCGCCTTTTTGCGACCGAATGATCCACAGGGCTAAGTCCACAATGATGGTATCGCAACAAGGGAAGAAAAGATATGTGGAGAACAAAGTAAAAGAGGTGTAAAATTTCAAGGGTGGTCTAATTTACAAGCTTCAGGACCCGAGGAGGCGGCCGGAGTAGTGATGCCACGAGAATGCACAACCGCCCCCTCATATTTCCCCAGACCTTACCAAAAGAAAGGAAAGAGAGCATTTAGTGGGCAGCAGCAGCCTCCTCCTCATCCTCCTCGAACCAGCTCTCCTCAACAGGGGCAGCCTCGCCAGCGGCAGCCTGGCCCTCAACCTCAACCTGCTGGGCTTCGTAGGCGGACAGCTCGCTGGCCAGGTTGGCTTCCTCGGGGGAAGCGGGGGCCTGGGGAAGGGCGAACTTGTGAACGTTGCCCTCGGCGTCGCTGGGCTTGACGGGGGTGGGCTTGTAGGCCTTGAGCTCACGGAGGTAGAGGTCCTGGACCTGGTCGGCTAGAGGGGGATTATGCGAGTTAGCGAAAGGGCGAACGGAGATTGAGCATCATCCCTTGAGGTGGCTTAAGGAGTTCTGGGAGCAAAGACGTACCCCGGCGAACAGCGGAAGTCAGGAAGGTGCGGCGAGCAGCGACAGGGACCTGTTGCCGAGAGGCACGGGTGAGGATAGAGCGCTAGATGTTCCGCGTTAGCAGGTCCAGCAGCGCAATCGATAGTCTGTGTCACTAACCGAAGCCCGGAGAGACTGGGACATCATCTTGACGGGTGGGCGTTGAAGATGAGGGGGGATGAGGGAGGGGTGGTGCGCGACAGGATGGATCTGATCGGTTCTCCGTGCAGGGCGAGGTTGGAAACGACTTCTCTTCGGAAACTCGGCTTGGCGTGCTGAGTCATCTGACCCGCACCCGCATCACGTGATCCATGCATTCGTCCGGCAGCCTCACTTCGATTCACCTCGTTCGCCGCCTTGACCTGACACCATCTCTCTCTTCGCCCCTCGATCCCCCCCCCCTTCGTCTTCAGCCTGTCTCTGTGGAACTTCGACTCCTTGACGTTGTTCTTTGCACCGCATTTGCAGCGACTCGGCCGGTTCTACGACCCCTTTCGTGAGATTTCTCTCTTACGAGACCTTGACTGGTTCATCGCGGTCGGACAAAACCGAGGCATCAAGGATTCTCACTTTTCTCACTTTTCTCCCCAGAAAGCGCAGATTTTGGTGACCGTTCTTCCACGCCTTCAAGGAGGGGGTGATCCATCGAGCTGCCAGTGGCCACGAGCTGAAAAGGTAATGCCAGCCTCATCTCAGAGAACGGAGAGGGTAGTGGCGTCGCGGATGCTTCCATCCCGGGAACGACACCATGATGGCTTAGTCTTGCCTTTTCACGTTTGAGAAAACACGAACTGGGCTAACAGTGACTATGCAAGTAGTGGCTTGCGATCCAAGGCGATAGCCTATTTCCTGTCTGCATCCCATCGGGTTCTTGCTTGATAAGCGGCCGTCTCTCGCAAGCCGCCAAATTGTATTCGCCTCTGTTCCATCGGTATTATACACGAAAATACCACATTCCTGTCTCGTACAGGAACCTCGCCCAACGACGCCTGGCCCGGATCGAAGGAATTCAACAAGTGAAAAAGATGGCTACCATGTCACCTGCCGCGAAAGCGGAAGCGGCCGCGGCCGCGGCTCCGTTCAGGAAGAATCTCTCCGCGCATGTCATCTGTGGTGAATGCAAAGAAGTGCCTCCTAACCTTGAGTTCGACTCTCATCAGACGACCTGTGGGACTTGCGGGCTGGTTCTTGGAGACCGCGGAATTGACATGGGCTCTGAATGGCGCACATTTTCGAACGACGACCAGAACTCCGACGACCCGTCTCGTGTTGGAGATGCCATGAACCCGTTGCTGAATGGTGACCAGTTGGAAACCTCGATCGCCAGTGGCGCCTCGGGTCGGGCTCGTGATCTCTACCGCGCCCAGAACAAACAGTCTAGCGACAAGGCAAACAAGCAGTTGCTTGCAGCATACAAGGAGATCGGGGCCATGTGCGATGGGTTTAATATCCAGAAGAATGTGGCCGACACTGCCAAGTACCTTTTCAAGATCGTGGACGACAACAAAGTTTTCAAGGGCAAGTCCCAGGATGTCCTGATCGCTGGTTGCATTTTCATCGCTTGTCGCCAGTGCAAGGTCCCCCGTTCTTTCACCGAGATTTTCGCCGTCACCAAGGTCAGCCGAAAGGAGATCGGCCGCATCTACAAGGCCCTGGAGAAGTTCTTCACTCAGCACAACGATGCGCGTAAGGCTGCTGTTCTGGCGAGTGGCGGTGTGCCCGACAACAATGACACTTACACCGCCACCACTTCGACCAAGCCGAGTGATCTATGCAACCGCTTCTGCAATATGCTGGATCTCCCCTACCCGATTCCCCGCATTTCTGGAGAACTCTCGGACAAAGTCACGGCCATGGGTATCTTGGCTGGGCGCTCTCCGCTGTCTGTTGTCGCAGCTGCCATCTACATGGCTTGCCACCTTATGGGCGATCCCCGGACCCCCAAGGTGATTTCCACCGTCGTCCACGTCAGCGACGGGACCATTCGTGGTGCATATAAGCAGATCTATCCTCAACGTGAGCGTCTCATCGACCCGGAATGGATCAAGGATGGCAAGGGCGATATGAACAAGCTGCCCGTAGGCTGAAGGCGCTGGATGACTGCTAGGGCACACTAGGGCACGAAAGATTGACGATTTAGCTGACCTTTGATTTTTCCTGTTTCTTTTTCTCTTTACATTTTCTATTTCAAATATCCCCGTTGTAAGCAGGTTTGACATACAATTCTTATGCACGGTCATTACATAGGTTCTGCAGCTTCCCCGATGGATGTGCATCCGGTTTTATGTTCTACATCAGATAAAAACTGCAAAAAAAAGGTGTTGCATAGGCCCGTTTATGTGCTGCTTCTCTAATTTAAGATGGCGTTGGCCGTGCATGTCAATCTTACGTGTAGACCACTGTCGAAGACGCTCCCGTTTGTAATTGTGTTTTTAAGTAATGATTTGATGACTGGATGGGATACTGCAGGCTGAAAAACCCCTTTGTGACTGAAGCCCATCGTGTTCATTCACACGCACGCTGACATTTCTGGGCTGTCTCCGTTCGCGCCTGAAAAGCTAGCAAGGCGAATCGATGTCCTTCCTCCACTATTACTCGTCCATTTATTTTTCCGTTCTGGGATTGTCTCACTTATAAAAGGATAAAAAAAAGCCCCGCATTAGAGTGAAGGCAAAAAGATAAATGAGTGATAAGAGTGAGATTCGAACTCACGCCCCGTAAACGAGATCAGGATTTTATGCTAAGGTGGACCTTAACCTGACGCCTTGGACCAACTCGGCCATCTTACCAACTGATGGAAAGAGACTTGACTTTAAACATTATAACCCATAATGCATGGACCCGTTGCCATTCGGTCGTATGAGGAGGATTCCTCACTAACTACAACATCGTTAGTTTAGTTCATCTGCCGAGGGCATCCACGGAAGGGCCGATGCGGGCGTCGTAAAGGTGGGGTCGGGCTGGACTGCACCTTGCGCGTCGACGTGGTGCCATTTCGGTGGAGCAGTCGCGCAAGCTTATTTCACCCCCGGCCTCGTCTAAGTTGAACTATTTAGTGTAGGGTCTGTTCGGGCTCGCTTCGCTTACATGTTTGCTTATCGCGAGAAGACTGCCCAGCCGCTGAGCTCGACCTTTGTGCCGAGACTACCTCACGGGCCTGCATTTTCGACGTGGCATCTGTGGGGACCTATTGGGGCCTGAGAGCAGTGCCGGATCCGATCCATCGATCCATTCGCCAATTGATCGGTCGGTCGGTCTGGGGCAGAAGGGCGGGGGCGTGTGGGTTGTTGGGCGGCTTGCACCCGCAGTTGGACTTTCTGGGGGATAAACATCGGGCGCAACCGAGGGCAAGCCACGAGGATCCGGCGTGGCCCATGGCTATTTAACCAGTTGCTGGCGACGAGCCCTATCTGGGCGGATCGAGACCATTGCGAGGGCGGTTGGACTGGTCTGGCCGGGCATGCATTACCCGATACCCGATGCGCAACGCCCATTCGACGGTGATCCAGGCTGGCTGGGGAAAGCCAAAGCATTCGTCAAGGGCGAGGCTGAATGCCCCAGCGGAGTTGTCATGCGAACCAGGGGCAGTTGATGGTACGGAGTACGGAGTATAGAATTTGCCCATTGCCTCTTTTTGTCGTATACGATGTAAGGAATGCGGGACCATACGTCCATTTGTACGGAGGTGCATTTCAAAAGTTCGGCGTCGCGCACCGACCACCACCTACTACACTAGGCGATTTTTAGCTAGATTATATTGTATTGTATTGTATTGCCTATAGCCTACCCTCTTTATATTCGTTACCACCATCTAATTCGATGATCTTTTTGATATGCGTAGGGATACGCTCAATCCAACGCTGGATCTTCTCCTGCGGCATCTCTCGCCATGCAGCTTGCCAAGCAATATAGGCCTCCTGCCTACTCTTTGGTGCGCCTTTCTTGGTTGTAACACGTTTCAACCAAGGCCAGGCAGGCTCAATTGGATTTAGATCAGGCGAATTGCCACACCAAATTAGCCGATTAACCTTAGCTGCATCAAAAACACGTTGTTGGATATAGTGGCTATGTGCCGGTGCTTTATCCTCTTGAACAAGCGTATTCGGCCGTTGAATAGCGCATTCCTTTGCAAAAGGTAATAGCTTTGGTATCAAAATCAGTTTTTGATATCGATACCAATCAATTCCACCCTTACGACCACGACCAAGCTTGCCAGTTTTCTGGTTAAATTTCCATATAGGCCTTTTACCAGCAGGTTGTCGTCGAAGATTCACACGACGCATCTGCGTTTCAAGCTCCCAATCAGCTTTTAAAATAGGCTCAATCTCGCAATTTAATTGCTCAATCTCTTGCTCAGATTCACGTTTCTCTTGCGCAGTTTCAGGTTTCCAACAATGATAAGGGCCTTTTTTATCATAGGTAAAGCAGCCCCAAAACATGAATTCACAAGCGCCTTTCCAACGCTCACGAATACAAGATCGAACAAAAGCTTCATCCTTAGAACGCCAAACTCGATAGCTACCACGTCGATGTAGTAGAATAACCGAAGTTTCATCGGACCAAATCACATTCTTCCAATCATCAAGTGTCCAAGCTTGGTGTTCAAGACACCAAGCAAGCCGATCAGCTTTCATCTTCTTCGTCAACCCAGGCTTCCGAGTTGGCTTCGTCTTGCGTAGGCCGGCGTTCTTGAGGATACGCCAAATAGTAGCAGCAGAGATAATGATTCCTTCCTTGCTAAGCTCACCAGCAAGATCAGCACAAGATTTCTCTCGGCCATAACGATCCAGACGCACCTTAGATAGGATAGTCGTCGTTGTTGGTTGGTCTTGCTTAGTTGGCCGGCCAGTACGTTGGGCGTCTTGTACAAAAGCATCTTGAATATTATTATGATTAACCTCAAAGCCTCGCTCGATTGCGCGTGCGTAGATCTTGTTGACAGCTGAGATAGATAGATTGGTAATCGTAGCAATCTCATGCGAAGATTTGCTAGTGTAAGCCTTTAAAGCAACCACGGTTGCTCTTGTGGCGATATCTGGCTGTTTTGGCATATTTTGAATAGCTCGTAGGTTGGTAGGTAGGTAGGCAGGTAGGTAGGTAGGTAGGTAGGTAGGTAGGTAGGTAGGTAGGTCGGTCGGTCGGTCGGTCGGTCGGTTGGTGGTAGGTAGGTGGCTATGGGAAGATAGAAAATAATATTATTAGGGGTAGTTCGACGTTACTGTGTGTATTCGTCTGTTCGATATGACTAGTGGTAAATATGGTGGTCGGTGCGCGACGCCGAACTTTTGAAATGCACCTCCGTACGTAGTTTATGCCGGCATTATTCCTCCGCACACGCCAGACCATGTTATTGGATGCGCGACCGAGTTTAGGTTCGTGGTATGGCCCGGCTCTGCTGTTAGGGCTGCCGATGGGTCGTCCGGCTAGACCGAAGCGACATTCCGGAGTGCGCAGGGCTATCTGGTATGCCTGGGGGGGCGAATGTGGTAGCGAGAATGCTGTGGTCCCTGGCCAAGAAGAATGAAACCCGCGGGTCGACACGCTTGGACGTCAGCGGAAGTGGCGGATCGGGTAACAAGTCAATAAAAATGAGGGCCAGGCACCGGGCCTAGTCTATACAGTCCGCGTCCCGATACCTGGGCCTCTCGCCATCGACTCGCCGGATATCTCTCGTCTGGTACCTCACCCGGTAGGTCCGGAGCGAGGCGCCTCGGCGGATTCTGCCTCTAATCCTGCGGGGCAGTTGCGATTGGCGCCCGGGCTTACCATCGGGGCTGAGAGGGTGCCAGCGCGAACCAGACTCGTCCATGCAGGAGGACGGGCAGGCGGTACAGACACTCAGCCTCTCTAGGATTACGCGAGAATGATGGCTACCCCGGGGATCCGTGGGCGGAGAAGGCTAGGAAGGGTTAGGGAATTAGAAAGGTGGATGGCGGGTTGAAAGGTTGGAGAGAAACGGGTTGCAACAGTCGGAGTAGTATAGTTTTAGTATGGTCCTCCGCAGTAGGTTGGCCCCGAGGGGAGAACGGATGAAGTGCACGGAGTGGACGGAACGAATGGGAAAGGTGGACAGCGTGTCTCAGCGGTGGAGTAGAAGGGGCTGAAATAGATTTCCAGTTATTACGGAGTCTTGGAGTCAAAATAGTCCTGTACGAACGAGTGGTGAGGTATGAACTAGGGCCGAGCTAGGAAGCGTCACAGAACACGAGACATCATTGACTTTGTTCTCTCCTCATCATTTCGTCTTTAGTCTTTGGTCTTGTCTTCCTGCCCTCCCCCTCTCTTCTTTTCTTCTACTCTGTAGCTGATCCCCACGCCCCCCCCCCCCCAAGTGCGGGCCTCACCTCCCTCTAACTCCGAGGAATCCCCCTTCCCTCCACGCCTCAATTATTCCCCGCCGATTGAACCTCCCTCACGTCCAAACCCTGTCCCGCTTCTCCGGCCTCTGCCGCCCCGACACCAGCAAGAAAGACAGAGCACAGAGAGGTCCCTTGTTCCGGTAACCCAGTCGAACCCGCCCGCTGGAGTTCCCCCCTCAACCTGCCAAACCTGCCGATCAGTTGCTGCTTTGGTGCCCGCGGCGCCCTGTCTAAGCGGGTGTGCAGCTGCATAGACGATCGACCCATCGTACTATCGTTTTCTAGACCGACTCTCCTCTGCTGGATGCGCGCTTGTCTGCACGCAGACGATCACCTCTGTTGCTAGGTTCGGTGTGACTGGTCACGACTCCCGCGTCGGACTGATCGAGCTTGCTTTTGGACGCCTGTGTTTGTTGTGTTGTGTTGTGTTATTTCTTCTGCCTTGCAATGCTACGCGCCTGAGCAGAACCGACCCTACCATCACCAAAACCACAGGACTCACTCGGTGTGCATGGAGGAGCTGGACTTTTTCGACACCAACCTCGCGTCTGTCTGCGGTGCCCTCCCGGGGGAAATGTGCACTCGTCGACAGCTGTTTCCCTAACCCGCTTCCCCTCGCCTCGCCTCCCCTGTCTTTGAGACAATGTCTTCGCTCTTTCCCGAGACGACAACGACGAGGACGACAAGCAGCATTTACCCGAACGAAGAGAAGAATGCCGCGCTTTCCCGTGCCGCGAGCTACACCGACCTCCCAACCCAATCTGTGGAATCCAGTTCCCCGGGTCTCCGACGAACATTCTCCGACTACGCGGTGCCCACCCTGTCCGATTCGCCGACGAAGGAGACCGTGGCGGCGGGCAAGGACATCCTGCGCCGGACCTCCCTTCGCTCCAAGAACAAGCCGGGGAAGTCGCCCGCTTCCGTCGCTCATTTCACCCTCTCTTCCTCCGAAGATCTGAAGGACACGGACGCACAGCATGTGAATGCGACCAAGGTGCCCGAGCCGGTGGCTCGCCCCTCGAAGAGCCGTTCCATGTCCGGACGGATCGTTAGTCTGGCGCGGAAACCATGGGGATCTTCGTCTCGATCCCCGTCCCCGGCGGCGAAGAGGACCAAGCAAAGGGTCGAAGAGCAATCTCCTACCCGGTCGGGGGGACGCAAAATGGAGACAACCGATCTGGACGGGACCCCGCCATCGCGCAAGCGAACGGTACTATACAAACGCCCGCGGCGGCCCATGGTGGCGGTGGTAAAGAAGGGGAATTCGGACTCTCCAGATTCGCCGAACAGTCCGTCCAATTCGTTACGGCACCGAACCTCATTCGAAAAATTCACAGCGTCTCTCTCCGTCTCGACACCGGTTCTTCCACCTATGCCAAAGGGGGCCGCGGCAACTGCAGCGTCATTCGCAAACAGCAGTACAAGTGAGAGCTTGCGAAAGAAGGATGAACTGTGGGGCATGTTCCGTGGTCTGGAAGCGGATTTCCAAAAGTGAGTACAGGGAGCTATTCACATGGTAGATGGCCAATTGCTCATTGATTACCATCAGGTTCCAATCCAAATCGAGCTCCTTGAAAGCCAACGTCATTCGCTCCTCTCTGCTCCCGTTTCTCGGCCGCCATCATCTGCACGCCTCGAGCAAGAACCTTAGACCCGAGGATTTGGACCGTCGAATCAATATTCTGAACAAGTGGTGGATGGGGATGCTGGAGATGCTCAACGGCAAGAACAACCAGTCGATATCTGGAACCGACCGACCTGTATTTCTCGAGGCGGTGGTGGGCATCATGACCCGACCAGAATGGCGGATCCCGTTTCCCACCGCTCAGCAAGACGGTTCACCTACGGACTCGTTGAAGTATGCGTCGACTTCAGTGTCCGAGACTTCTGAAGGGTCAGGCTCGTCCGGATCGGACTTTCTGGTGGAGTCGATCCACCACAACATCCGCAACATCTTTATCCAGAATCTCCTCTCGCAAATGGCTTTTGTAGTGGAGCGAATGTCCATGAGACATGCACCCGCGAGCCTGGTGGCCTTCTGTGGCAAAGCTAGTGCGTACGCCTTCTTTTTCTGCCCAGGAGTAGCCGACATCATGGTTCGCCTGTGGAACACGTCCCCAACCATCTTCCGCCGCATTCTGGCCGATACTTCTCAGTCTCGCGCGGGGAATATGCGTTCATTCACCCAGGAGTTGGCTCTGAGCTTCCCCGCGGCCCTCCAACCTTTAGCGTTCCACTCGCATGCACCTTTGTTGCGATATCTCCGTCACAAACCCGAGGCACCCTTGAATACCACTAATATCCCTTGGCACGGCCCTTGGATCGCACGCTGGTGCGGGCGCGACACGGATTTGTTCTTTGTCTTCGTGAAGTACATTCATATTCTGTACGCAGAATATATGCCCCCGGAGACGGAGAAAGCAAAGAGGATTCTGGCGCCGGGCTTGCTTCTTGTCCATGCGCAGCTGCTGGTTGCGGTGGAGGATACGATCTACAAGCAGTCCTTGCACCAGCCGGAAAACACCCATGCAGCAGCAGCAATCACCTTTGATGATTTCATTGAGTCACCAGATGCCTCGGCTTCCCCCACCCCCTTGGAGGCGGTAGGAACAGCCACCGATCCATGGCCGAAAATCGTCTGATTATCCTCCTGCGGGACTTCCTCTCTGAATCCTCTGCTGAACCTAATCGTGCCCGCTTGCTTTATGCGGAGACCTTCTGTGGACTGCTCAAGGTTGCTGCTCAACGGATCTCTCTCTTCGACCACAATGCATGCTTCCTCCTTTGTGATTTTCTGGAGGAGGTAATCCCGATAATCACGCGATATGCCCAGTCCATTGAAACTGAGCTGTTCGATTGGAGCTTCTGGCAGGAGGTCTGCCGGCAGATGATGCAGAGCCACAACTCGCTGACAGAAGTGCGCGTGTTCTCCTTCCTCTACTCCATCTGGGGCACCTGGGCTGCGACGGAGGAGCGGAAGGCGGGCCTCTGCATGGACTTCCTGTTGCATGAGCCTGTGTTTTATCACTACTTTAATCATTGGAGTCCGATGGTGCGCGCCTACTACCATCGCGTTCTGTGCTGGAGGGTTGGTCGGTTTCATGGAGAACCCTCGCCGGTTGATTCGTGAGTGCGAAATGCCTTGAAACCCGTGATATTCTTGCTAATGAATGAAACTTTAGAACGGTATATGAGACCCTTTCTGACCGGCTGCTGCGGGTCTGGGAGTATTACATTAGCTTCCAATCTAAGGCAGAGCAGGGGCTTACAGCGCCGCTGTCTTCTGCTCCTTGCACCCCGGCTCCAGGGCGGAGGATCATCATCATTAGATGTGATAACCAGTTATCTCCGGTGAACCTCTTTGTGTCATTTGACCGAGTGGTTCCTCCTGTCCCGTCGGACCAGGTCCTGTCACACCGGAGATCTAGCTCTTCCGACTCCACTGGGTCCGATGACCAGCCCTCTAAGCGGCGATGGGGTCTTCTCCGTGCCATGTTTGGCAATTCCGCCAAATCTGGGGATCCTGCAGGTGGCAGTAGCTCAGATGAGTCTGATAACGGTGCCATGGACTTCACTGTGACACCTGATAGCCGGTGCATGGACGACCATGAGCAACCCCCGCACAGTAGCAGTGATGAGCTTGTCCGGCCCAAGACGCCTCATCAGCCGTACTTCTTCAAATTCTCACTGGAATGGATGGATAGGCCGCAGTGGCCCACCAAGAATAAGCGCCTATTCACGCCCTGCCTCCCCGTGGCATCTCAACTGCATGTACAACACCGCCGCTCGCCCTCCAAGTCCACCGACTTCCACACCGCGGAGAACGTGTCCACCTCAGATGAGACAACCGATGAAAACCCGACAGAAGCGTCCAAAGACAACACAGACCCCTCGTTTGAACTAGCCGCGGACAGCCAGACGAGGATACCAACTACTAAAGACTCGCCTCTTCCAGAGCTCCCGCCTCGATCGCCATACGATCACCTCGTGGCTAGCAAGTACACCGGCCGTGCTCTGGCCGAATGGGCGCACATAGTCTCCGAATGCGACAGTTTCTTCGCACGCCGCCGCGATGAGGGCGTGCCATCTGATCGCATGGTCGAAACGCCCAGTCTGGGCGTAGAGAACTTTCGGAAATAGAAGGACTCGCTCACTCCGAACCTGGCTTTGATTTGTTCTTCGCGAGACCAACAAGCCTACCACTACCTCCACACCTTTAATCCCGCTCTCCCCCCTTCCCCTCCCTCCACTGAAGCGAATATAGACGTCCCATGGCTCTTCCAGTGAATGGAAGCAGCCGTGTTTAATAATCTTGGTGGCGTTTACTTTCTTCCCTCCTCTCCCTTTCTCCTTTCTCCTTTCTCCTCTCTCCTTTCTCCCGTCTTCTCTTTTCATCTTTGGTCTTTTCTACTTCGACACTGCACCGTGTGCATCGCAGGACTTGGGGGCATAGGTACCGGCGTTTTTTCTCGAGCCTGATTTTATTTTCTTCATTTGATGGGCTGGGCTGGTCTGCTTTTCTTCTTTCGACTCACTTGTCGCCACCTCCTACTTTTCTTTTTCTCTTGGAGCAAGATGCACACTGTTGCCGTGGTAATCATAATGAGATCATAACTCAATTGGAACCTTCCATCGTCCCGACTCTGATCTGGAATGGATGGAATGGCGGGCTGGGTATTATTTCCGAGGTCTTTCGTTCTCTGGTCTAGACTATTTGCTCGTATAGTTCATATAACGCCCCTGGGCTACCATGATTGTTCATTGCCCCGGCTGCTCCTGCTCCTTTTCCTCCGCAATTTGCTTGTTGAGCAGGTACAGCAGCGGGCCCTGTACATCCTCCCGCTCCATGAAGACCTCGACAATTCGCACTCCGCTACCACTGTGTACCTGTTCATTCTTCAGCACTTCCTGCAACTCTCCGCATGTCCACGCTTGGAAAGTACTATTCTTAATATGCTCCTCATCCGCGCCGAAATAGGTCAGTGCCTGCGTGTGCCGCCAGAAGGGGACGTCATTGTACGCCTGGTTTCGGCCGTGAATCACCCGCTCGATGGTGTACCCTTCATTGTTGATGATGAAAATGAGAATATCCAGCTTTTCCTTGATCATCACGCTGATTTCCTGCGCCGTCATCTGGATGCTGCCGTCGCCGATGATCAGCACCGTCTGGTTCTTGCCGCCGGTGGCCTTGTTGAGCTCCCTCTTTGCGAGGGCGGCGCCTAGGGTGGCAGGGAGCATGAATCCGATTGAGAGCCAGGTGACGGCTCCGAAGAGCCGGGAGTTGGGGGGCAGTTTGAAGGAGCGGCCGCCGTAGGAGGCGGTGCCGGTCTCGGTGAGGATGATATCGCCCTCGCGGAAGAGCGGGTTCAAGAGGCGGTAGAAGTTGTTCTGGGCGATGATGTCAGAGCCCTGGATGTCGGAGGTCGTTATCTCGACCTTGGGAGGGCCGGTGGCTTTGACCAGGCGGGTGGAGTCAAGAGTCTGCAGCAGCTGGGCGAGGACGTCGCTAGCCGACAGGTCCCGGAAGATGTCATTTTCGATTTGTATTGTGCTGTCCTTGAACGAGATCGCTGCAGCAGATTTGGGGACGGTCGTGTAGAAGTAGCTGTTGGTATCGCTGTAGTGCGGGCCAAAGGTCAAGACTAGATCTGCCGACTCGAAGTATTCCTTTGCGGGCTGATCGCCGAATCCCGCGGCGTACAGGCCATAGACATTGGGGAGTTGTTCATTCACGAGGCCCTTGCCATAGACAGTAGTCCATGTAGGCCAACCTGTAGCCTTGATGAGAGCATCGAGTTGGTCCAAGATGCCCAGAGCTCTGCTCTCGCCATCCACAAAGATCACCGGCTTCTTGGCGCCATACACCCGCTCCAAAATACGGGCGACGACCTTCGGTTCATGGGGGGCACTCGGTACCGATGGGACACGAAGTGCCGTCTTTAGGTTTGCTGCCGATACCAGCACATCGCCCATATCATCAGGGATCTCCAGATACACCGGCCTGCAGTGGATCAGTGCCTGTTGCAAGATCCAGTCGATCTGGTCTGGTGCCGTTACCGAGTCCATTACATTCGTCTGGGCAGCCGTGATATGCGTCGACATGGCCGCAAAACGGCGGTACTCACCGTCCGAGAAGGTGTGGTGCATCAACGCGCGCGAGCTCTGCAGTGCCCGGGGTGGCGTCCCGACGATGTGAACAACGGCCGACCTCTCGGCGTATGCGCCGGCGATGCCGTTGGCCGCCGACAGCTCGCCGACTCCAAAGGTCGTCACCAGCGCAGACAGCCCGTTGAGGCGGGCATATCCATCAGCGGCGTATGCGGCGTTGAGCTCGTTGCAGTTACCTACCCAGTGCAGGCCAGAAGGTACGACGTAGTCCAGCAGGCGCAGGTTGTAGTCGCCGGGGACGCCGAAGATGGAATTGACGCCTAGCTGGCGCAGCCGGGTAAAGAGGTAGTCACCCAGCTTGAGAGAGTCTGTTGAAGCCATGGCGTAAGAGGGTGAGGTGGCAGCTCAGGCCGCCTGGAGAGAGCCGAGAGCTGCATCTTATACCAAGAACCAACTACCCGCCCCGCCTTCCGCCCCACTCTTCTTTCTTATCGCCGGCCCCGGCGGTAGCCGAATCTTTTCACCCCCTCCGACCATTTCGTTACCCGTGCTAACTATCGTATATATACGTCTTTACCCCTGCATGGCCTCGCGACTCGCGGCCTGCGAGGCATGTCGCAAGGCCAAGCTCGCGTGCGATCACCAGCAGCCGGTGTGTTCGCGCTGCCAGAAGAGTCGCGGCGTGTGTATCTACCGCACCGCCCCGTTCAAAAGGCGGCGGGTCGAGAAACCGAGGTAGGAAGCCCGTAGGGCGCGGTAGGGCGCGGTAAGGCGCATGGCGGCTCCAACACCCCGCCCTCCCCCCTGATGGAAAGAAGATGCTGATTCCGAAAGCAGCTTGAGATCGCCTGATCTATCGCCCTCGTTCGAGCCCAGGCGCAATTTGTACCCGAATCCGGGGTACTTGGGCTCGTCGAGCCATGCAGCGATTTTCAAGCATATCACCCCGTCCGCGGAGGGCGAGCAAAGCGCGAGTAACCAGCTGTTGCGCTCCGATCATCCGAGCGCACAATGGATTGGTGACAATCATCTGCTGCTACAGGGTGCCGATGTCCTGCGACACCTTTTAACTATGTACTCCTTGTCGGCGATGAAGGACCTCGTTCTCTTCTGGCTGGCCAAGGGCGCCAATCTAGCGCTTGCGGAGCCTTTTGTTGCGCAATGCGCCGAGAGCATTAGTCAATTATTTACTTCGCATGATGAGAAATGGCATTTGGTGTACGCGCAACGGCTACTGCAAAATTCTGCCAAGCCGTTGCAATTCGACGAGTCCTCGGATCTCCTGAGCTTTTCAGCCCACTTTCTGGATCACAATGCGCGATGGGAAACATTGGGGATTTTCTTTGCGGCGGTCAGCCGAGCGACGATTGACATTCCCTTCTTTCCGCTGCTATACAACACCGAGGACCAGCAGTATACTCTGAGGCGCCTTGCGACCAAACTCAGTGACTTTTCATTGGAGATTGCTCTTTCGCTGGACTGTTTGAATGACCTGCAGTTGATTGTGCAGTATGAGAATTTTATCGTCCATTCATACGTGGATGGGGATCAAAGTGAGTCTTTATTCCAAGCCGAGTCGAACTATCCTCTTGTTTCACTCCTTCATCAGTTAACCTGTCAAGGCTACCACACGTGGCGCAAACTGGGCGATGTCATCTCCTCAACTTTTGCGCTGGGCTATCATGAGAACCTCGAAGCGAAGGCCGGAATTCCACAGTTCTTGATGGAGCTGCGCAAAACAGCCTTTGCCAGGATTTACTCTGCCGACAAGAATATTGCCATCTTTCTTGGCCGCCCACCGCGGATGAACAAACGCTTTTGTCACTTTCAGATTCCAGCCTGCGGAACACGATTTCCTTCACGTGGACGTCATCATACCTGGAGCCCAGATGCAAGAGCTGGATACAGGGCAGATACCTGTTGGTCTGCGCTCTGTGCTTCGTTGAAAGAGGAAGTATGGGAGCTGTTGCAGGATGCACAGGATGTTGACTGTGCGCGGAAGGCAAGGTAACATTTAATTCTTTGCTCCTATATCTTTCTAAAAGCGTGATTATGTAGGAGATAAGAGGCTGATAAACATCTAGCGTTATTCAGCGAAGAGCTGAGGAGCAGTGGCAGGCTCTACCTGCTCATTTTCGATTGGAGAGTAGTTTGAAGCAGTGCGCGCAGAGCCCCTTTGATCGGGATTTTCTCGCACATGTTCGGCTAAACCATTTACATGTTCTGTTTTTGCTCAGACTTTTGCTTCTGAATACTCTGACTGAGCCAGACGTTCCCATTATAGAAACAGCGGGGCAAATGCTCGCTCTTGTGGTGGAGATTATCCTGCTTCGGGACCAATTGATCAATTCTGGGACTGGTCTCATCTGGAAGGTATGTAACACAAGCTATACTACACCTGTATCACCAGAGGACTGAGCAGCGGTATCTACCAGGTCGCGTACTACGGGCTCCCAGCAGCGGGAATTATTCTCCTCGCCTTACTTAAACAACACTCTCACTCAGCACCTGGCATATCGCGAACCAAAATGCTGCGAGATCTGAGCGTATTTGTCGCAGAGGTGCAGATCGGAACAATCGTGAAAACGGGGGATCCAAATTATGCGTTGCTATCCAAAGCCACGCAAACGATTCAACGGTTCCTGGACTCATTCAACACAGACACAGGGCAACCCCCTCGCGAGGCGGGGCATGATGATGCCAATGAAGATTGGGCAGCTTTGTTGAGTCAAGATCTTTGGGATTTCGAAGCCGGATTTTGGCAGAGTCTGGCCGATCATCCGTCCTTGGGGGTGTTGGATCCACCATTGCCTCATGTATGATATCTTTGACGTCGACTATCGCAATAGAACGAGAGCCCGGGGGCCCTAATAACAGGGCATTCGGACTCTCGTGGCTTGTCCTATCGAGCTTCCGTCCGTTGACCGTCAACCGCCAATTATTCTTGAGAATTGACTCAGGAGTATGTCGATCATGTAACACCCCGCAGCTATCTAGACGTTAAATCCAGTAAGACACCAGGTGGTAATGACGCAGAGTGGCTAGCTTCTCGTTCCCTCTCGTACCCGAGCAGAACAAACAGGATCACAAGTGATCATAATTCGTATCCAAATATGGTGCACCCGTGGTTCGGACCAAACGAACAAAAATAGAATGGCTGTCGTTGGGTCCAGTCTCGACCCGGACCCACTAATTACCTCTGCAACAGTCATAAACCCCCTCACGATCCGATTCGATCCCTTTGTTTTGTTTTTTTGACTCGTAATAGGTTGTGAGTGGTTCTACGGCCCTTGAATGTTGCCCCAGAACCACCTAGGTCCTGAGGATGCATTTTTCATAGCCCAGATTTGAGAGATAGTACCCCACGCTTGAGGTAAATCCGCCGGGGTACTCACAAAAGACCCTTTTCAAAGGCGACAGAGCATTGCATGTGCGGTCTCGATGCTGCGTGTTTATATGAAAACTGAACGAGTACCCCGATCACCTCAGCCATAATCAAAGTTGTTCCATGGTATTCCCAGCTAAGGACTGGGGAATTGCGGGGCGGGGGAGGTCTTTCCATTTACGCTTAGCTGTTGCGGATACCTTGACTACTTGCAGACTCAATAGGCAAAATAAGCAACCAAGATCAGAGACATTACGCACGAAAACCACGGTTACTGGAGCTTGCATCCGTTCCATACTTGTTGTAGCCACTAGCAACCCGTCCTAGATAGAGACGCTTAGGATGCGAGCCGTGGTAAGCAGGCTCGCCACCTATACTGCGCTACATTATGCCCCGTTCTGGCAAATGCGAAAGGAGTAGAATCAGGTTGCAATTGGGGCTCAACAGTATCGTGCTGTTGGGGACCCCTAGGGTTCTGAGATGCTGGATGACGTCTACTATCTCTTCTGTATCACTGCCCAGCTGACCTCGGTCTACTATCTTTTTCTTGGGATCAAGGCTTTTTTCTTGACCCCCAGGTATAAATTTACTGTGATTTCCAGGACCTAAGCTCCTCCTCATCTTCCAGAAGAGTTGCAATTTAGTCACGCTTTGTATCCCTTCCATCTTCATTGATTAACATGAAGAGCTTCTTCACCCTCGCAGCTTTTGCTGTTGGTACTCATGCCCTTGCGAGCCGCGCTGCAAGCTGTTGCTTCCACTTAACCGCCTCTGGTGGCTCCTCCGGCTCGGTGGGTCAGCTCAGTGACGGACAAAACCGCATCGGCGATAATAGCCTATCTCCCGCGGAGTTTTGTATCAGCTCGGATGGCTCCATTACCGATGGCAGTGGCCGTGGATGTATTCTAACTCGTGAGTGCTACAGAGGACTGATCCCCTGGAAGAGCTTCACCCACTAATGAATACCTTAGCGCCGACTACTCAGTTCCAGTGTGACGTGGGTGCCACTCCCACTTCGGGCTTCTCCATTAGCTCCACTGGAATGCTGCAGTTCCAAGGAAGTTCGACTTTCTTCTCCTGCCAGACTGGCCAGAACGGCGGTTCGAACATCCATACCACCTTGAGTTCCGCTCTCAGCGATTGTCAAACCATTGAATTAACAGCCGACTCTTGCATTCCCTCGACCTCGACTTCGCCTGCTCAAAACAGCTGTCCCACCACTCTAACCTCAGGAAACTTTGAGTTTCCTCACTTGATCACCCCGATTGACTCGTCGTCTCCTAATACCGCCCACAGCACCCAGTTCAACGGCAAAGTGACCTCAACCGTCTCCAGCATCTTCAACTTTGACATTCCCCAGGCCGACTCCGGCAAGACTTGCAGTTTGGTCTTCCTCTTCCCCCAGAAAGCCGATCTGCAAACCTCGTCTTTCACCTTTAGCGGTGACGGTAAGATCGATTTTGCCAAGCTATCTCAACCTGCCTCGAGCTCCACGACCTTTAATAATGCTCCGTCCGTCTCCGCTGACCTGGGAACAATCACCGTTTCCCCTGGCAACTCGTTTGTTGTCTCAACCTTCTCTTGCCCTGCCGGTCAGACTGTTGCCTTCGAGATGAAGAACGCTGGCAGCACTAATCTGGAGTTCTTTGAGGATTTCAATCCCGCTCCGTAAGTACTTCAGAAGCAGGTTTCTGTTTTTTATCGAGTGTCTGCTAACTTGCTTTCAGTATTGGTCTGTTCATTACAGTGTGCTAAGGGAAAAGCGTTCCCTTGATGTCTTTCCCAAAACACACCAGTGGCAAATATCGTGCGCATATTCTTGTGGCCGCTGGTGTCATGCGACGTTTGTAAAAGCCTCATATTTAATTACTATTGAGTGATCAGGTGGCTGTCTTTTCTTTTGCATATCTGCTTTCTCGTTCCATAATTTGGACTCTACCCCCGGGCCTGGGTACGCACTAAGCGAGCTGCCTCCCAATGTCCATAATTGAAAGTTAACAGCCTGTCCCTTTGTATCATGTTTTTATATCAGTAAATCGAGACAATTTGGTCAATAAGTTATTATTATTGCGGATTAGCATTATTAAACGTAAACACTCTTTGCTAATCGTAACGCATCAAAACTCCATCCCCAATTAATAAATACCTTCTTCTAATCTACCTCCGCCATTTAAGTTCGAGACCGAAGATGTTTCGCGACACATTGTGTCAAGAAAATGCATAAAGCCAGGTTGAGCCTTTCACTCCGAGAGAGCAAACTTACTCAGTGCACGAAGCCGAGCACCATAGAAATAGAGCAGCCAGATACCAATAATGCCAATGACACTCAGTCCACCAAGGAGACTGGTGCCCCGCGCAACGCCCAGGTTACCAAACAGTGGGTGAGCAAACAAGACACTACCACAAGCCAGGGCACTGCGGAAGAAATCATTTGCCGCAAACAGACTGGCTGCATACATCGGGTAGCTCAACGGGATGTAGACAAACACGCACTGCATGACGATGAAGACTGTGGCGCCGTAAATCGTAATGCCGATCGTGGGCACAATCCAGTGAATAGAGGCACGGGCTGTCCAGGCAAAGAGGAACAGACCAACCGTGGGGCCGATAGAGGCGGGTAGAGCGGGAATGAGGCGTTCTTCCTGAGCGGGGAATCCAAAGCGCGCAATGCGGGGATTCATCCAGAAGTAGAGGTAGGAGAAGTAAATGGCGATGCCAATAAGGCACGACACCAGGATACACAGGAAAACTAGACCAATTTGGCCCAGGTTCATGTTGTAATAAACCGGGTACACCAGGGGGAACACCTCGAAGAAAGAGTAGTAGATCCCGTAGATAATGGCAGTATAGATCTGGACAAAAAGCACAGCGGGGTCCTTGATGGTGATTTCCAGTGGCTTGATCAGGGCGTCGACTGCAATGTCAGAGACCTTCATATTGCGTTGGTCGATCTCCGATTGAGACATGAAGCGGTCATTGTTGTGGATCTTGCGAAGGCGCTCCGCCCGACGGAGCAGGATGGTTGCGGTGCTGGTCTCGGGGAGGAAGAGGAACATCAGGACGAACACCGGGGCAGAGGCCCAGATAGACTCAAACAGGGACCAGCGCCAGCCCTTGACGGGGACAGCAAAGCCACTGAGGAGCGGACCAAGGGCGGCTATATAGAACAGATATTAGAATCATGTTTAGAGGTCAACATTCAATGCGGGAAATGGGACAAGTCCACTTACGTCCACAGTAGGCGGCAGAGACCCAAGCCATCATGGCATAGGGCAGAGACATGAGGCTATACATGTCGCCAATCGAAGCGCCCCCGGAAGCGAGACATGGCGAACCGAAGAACCCTTGAAGGAACCGGAGCACCATGAGGCCCGGGAAGTTGCCCACAAATGCAGTCGGGATAGAGATGATGACGAAAAGGAACATAGTCACAATATAAACGGGGTTGCGTCCAATGACGGGAATCTCACTCAGGGGGGAGAAGATCAACGGCCCAGTACCATACCCAAGCACATACAGCGACAGCCCCAAGGTGGCAAGCAAGTCACTCACCCCGAATTGCTGCATGATACCCGGCACAGAGGATGTATAGATGGCCGAGGTAGTGTAGACCACGAATGTATAGAGACAAATAAGTGTAGCCAGAAGAGCGCGCTTGGTATTCGACCAGTTGTGGGGATTCTCGTTGTCATCGGTATAGTACCAGTCGACTAGGATGGCACCGTCCTTAGTCTTTTTGGGTTGGATCGGAATAGACTTGACTTTCTCAATTTCTTGTTGCTCATCAGCTTGGAGCCGGGCTTCTGTGAAGGGGAGGGTGTGTTGGGTCGAGGCACGACTGATAGTTTCACTGCTCGCGTCGTGACTTCGCGGCTCCCGTTGCGGTTCGTCCTTCTCTGGATCAGGCCCCTTTGCAGTGTCCAACTCGTTCAATAATTGAAGCCACGTCTCGGGCAGTTCAAAGCCGGGCTTCTCTTCAGGATATTGGAAGTATTTGTTTTTCGTCAAATAACGAACTAGTTGCCCGAAGGGGGCATCTCGAATGACAGCTGCCATTTCAATACTCCGAAGTATGTTGCGTGTGAATGTTCCGCAGTATGGAGGCCTTGGCGGGTCCCTTCGTAGGGGCTGATTGGCTGGTTTGAGAATTATAAGGCTCGTAGCTGACAATCTTGATCCACCCGCGGAACTAATAACTGGAGTATGGAGGTCACCAGAAAGAAATGGCAAATGCGACAGGATAGCTAATTAAATGATAGAAGCTGTACGAGGGAAGAGAGGAGGATTTATAATTATGATGATGCTGATTCTATCGGTAGCTTCTTACGACCGTTTCCAATATCTTCGAGACAACCTATCTCATGCATAACGTTAAGGCGTGCCCACGGTAAGCAACAAATACAACCAACGAATTATAACGCAAGACAGGGCCTTCTCCAACCCGTTCTGGGATTGCATATTATTAATCTCCTTAGAAATCCAGCTCTTCGTCCAATCACACTCTCGCCCACGAACCAAAGATGCGTTTCAGGCCCCATTACGTCAATATTCTTGCATGTCAAGGTGTCCAAATTGCCCCGAAGCCCGAAGCCGAACCACCTTATCTCCGTGACAGCGCCTACTATACGAAAGTCTTCGGACCGCGCAAGCTCGGCGCGAGGTCTGAATACGAGGTTTAATCTATCTGCTTACAATTCACAATCTGGAGCTGGCTTGGCATTTTTCCATTACTCTCGGTGATTCATCGCACGCCATCCCGAAACTTTAGCGCCGATCACGCGGTGATAGCCTTAAGGCCTAAGCCCGGCTGGTCGAGTTGCTGGGAGGCTCAACTGACTCATCTTCCATTTCCACGATCCTGAGGCAATCCACGCCATCCTCACCAGCTATCCATCTTTGGTGACACTCACGAGGAAGTCGAAAGTCCGGCGGCCTGGATGAGGAACTGTGCCGCCTCCTTCGCGTCGCTGCCATAAGACAAGTGCGCCATAACGTTGAATCCATTCCCGCAGACGGGGTCGCCGCTGGCACAGTACTCCTTGACCTTGCTGCTCGCGAGCTTACCAACGGCCTCGGTCTTGAATGGGTCGCCAAAGAGAACAGCACCAGACACCTGGCTCGCGGTGAGTCTGTTCGCCGCATTATGCACGACCATCGATCCCTGCGAGTATCCACCTAGCACCACCTTGGTGTTGGGGCACTGCTTGAGAGCCGTCTCGACCAGGTTGGCCATAATCGGGCCGCCGTTGGCACCGAGCGCAACGTTGCTCTGTGTTGACTCATCAGTCTGATTCCACGACCAACAATGCAAACATGAATTGATATCATCGGGTGGGAGTACACATACCTCGGCGGTCGCACTGTAAGTAACACCTTGGACGCTGACCTTGTGGTCGGTCAGCGACTTCAACTGAGTCGCAACCTCGGGCCCAACGATGGAGCCCATGTTGCCCATCTCATCGCTTCCCCGTGCAAAGATGAAGGTCAGTGCCTTGCAGCCCGCGTTATCAGTGACGTCGTTGGCTGTCATCGAGCCAGTGAGCTGCCGCTTAGCGATGCCTCCTAGCAGGCTGCTGATCCCGGAGTCGGAGGAAGCGTCACTCAGACCTGAGCCCAGGCTTGGAATCAGAGAAGACAGGGCACCCCAGCCGCTATCACTGCTGGACCCACCAAGGGATTCGAGGCCGCTGCCAGAGCTGGGGAGGAGTGACGCTAGAGCACCGAGCCCGCTGTCACTGCCAGAGCTAGGGATGACTGACGATAGGGCACCGAGACCGTTACTGCCGCCAGAACCCAGAGAGCTAAGACCGCTGCCGGAGCTTGGAAGGAGGGACGACGGGGCACCCAGGCACTGCTAGATCCAAGACCACTCCCCACGCTACTGAGCTGGCGGTTCTCAATGGTTTTGGTGGGCGCCCCCAGGGCAGCACCAACTAAGGAGAGAACGATGACAGTTTTCATGCTGACGGTAACGAGAGAATGAAGTAGAAAACGCAAGAGACCAGCTCTGAAGATTATACAACTTCTAAGATGAAGGAGTTGGCCGCTGAAGGAGGCGCTTGAGAGACTCCCATGGCAGTAAGACGACGGCTTTTATATCGCCTTTGAAACGCCAAGACTGGCCGGCTGAGGACAAAGATATTGTGTTATTTGTTATTTCCTCATGAATAACTTCTGCACTAGGTATACCTGACTTCGACCCATCGGGCAATTGGGAACGCCCCTGAAACGGTGGACCCTGTTTCATGGCATCATGTTTCACCGTGTGACAGAGCAAACTTTGCGAGACCCTGCCATTCTTGCTATCCCGCCTCGGTAGATCAGACCTCATGATTAACAGTTGCCGAAGCCCTTGAATATGGATGTTGCCCTTGTGGAGTTGTGTTGTGAACGACGTCATGCGGATAACGCTGATAAAATCCAATCTGCCATCAGCCGGAAGGTCCACTGTCAAAAGACAAAGTACCTCCAGCGAATATCGAAGGGCGAAACACCAAGTACAATGAATTTCAGAACTACCAAACCGCGGTATCCGGCATTTGAACAGATGATACAAAATGGAGAGCTAGACCCTGCCGATGCAGGGAGATGTTTCTTCTAGATGAGGGTTCTCATGGATCGACACATAATTCACTTGTTCGTGCCACATCGGGGAATCCGACCGACATCCCCAAGTTCGGGCTGTAGCCGTGTGTGATGTATCGACACGCCCAGAAAGGATGCAGAATGCAGAATGCAGCTTTGCTCCGAGACTTCCAGTGCAGTCCAAATGGAATTTTTGTGGCAGTCAAGGCTTAGCCGGAGTTGTCGGTTTACAAAGCAGTATCTGTGAAATCCAGGAGCGTATGTATTGATTGATATCAAGAGATGTAGCTACCCAGCCAGATCCATAAGTCTAGAGCCTGTCGCTACTAAAGCAAGCACAAAGGGCAAGTAACTCGGCTGGTATATGACGCACGAAAGAAAACGGAGGATGGATCTTGCCGAATATGCAGAAACGGAAATATAGCTGCGAGCAAGGAGAAAGGATCCAACCAGAGCCAGGCTGTACAATGCTCGAAGTGGACCCGTCAAAACAAAACGGAGATGAGATGCCGAGGAAGGAGACAGAAAGCGTGTGGGGTATGCATAGTTATGATGAATGATTGGACAATGAGAGAGGGGGGAGAGAGGGAGGACGAGAGAAAACAGGAACGGGGTGAGGGGGTGAGGAAATGTAGCAGGAGGTAAATTACATTTAATACAGGAGCTTGTTGCTGGCATAGTGGATGGTGTTGGCAACCCGGTTGATCCAGTGCTGAGTGAGCGACCAGTTACCCGTATTGATGCTATCACGAATCGCAGGGAAGATGGAAGCATCGTAGCCAGACCAAAGTTCTGGACCGAAGACGACATGGCGGAATTGGGTGCGGTTGGGGATCTGGAAACAAGAAATATCGTCAGTCAGAGATAAACAACGAGATAAATGACAGAAAGGGATCACGTACACCGCCGCCCACGTCTAGATCTAGAAGATGGGTGTCGAAACTGGCCATTCGGACGTTGTGGTTGACCCGCTGGATCGCCATGACGTTACTTTCATACCCACCAGAGCCCCAGACATTATCGTGCCAGACCTCATTCCAGGACTGAAATCGAGCCGTGTTCGCCTCGAGTTCAGCCGCAGCGTTGTACAAAAGTTGCATGTCGACCTCGGCTTTCTTGGTTTTGGCGAATTCGTCCAGGTCCTTCACCCAGCCCGTCACGGATTTAGCGTAGGCCTCCATGTCAAATGGCAACATCGGATTCTCCGAGACATCGAGCAAAAGCAGGGCCCAGAATTGAGCAAGTAGTTTGTGGTACACGAAGCCAGGATCGCCAAATTTCTCCATCCAGTCGTATGTTTCATAGCAAGTGTGGTAAGGAAATGCCTCACCCTCGAATCCGAAATCGATACTCGAGGTGCCCGCAATGTCCTGAAATGCGACGTAATCACTGCCAGCGCCGAGGGGCTCAAGCCGCTGGCCTCTGTCATCCCAGAGTTCTTTTAGAGTCTTGTTGGCGAAGGGGTCGGAGAGGCGGCCCAATATCTGATGGACCGAGCGCTCGAAAACTGGGGACCCTGCTGCGCGGAACTTAGAACCGGACACGCCCACGTCGACATTCAAGTAGGCGTATCCGTTGGCTCGGAGGTTGTCTATCTCTTTTTCAACATGCTCTGTTGAGCCGATGAGGTTATACTCTTCACCGTCCCAACTGACGAACTCGATTGTCCGAAGCGGCCGCCATCCATAGGTGAGCAGCTCACCGAAGGCTCGCACGATTTCCAAAAAGACCGCAGTACCACTGCCAGGGTCGACGCTGCCCAAGCACCATGCGTCTCGGTGATTGCCAACAATGATTTTCTTGTCACGTTCCTCCAGTCCGATGATCGTCCCATGCACATTATAAATGGGCCGTCGCTCAACTTCATCTTGCAAATTCATCAAGTGCACGGTGGGCGACCTTTCATCGCCTGTCCACCATTCCTGGACTTTAGGCACACCGCCCACCCATTCCTGCGGTACCTTGAAGCCGTGGCCTTCAATGGCCTGCAAGAGTCGCTGCGCATCGCGCCAGGCGATTGGCAGACTTGGGATTTTGACTAAAGCAGGGCTGTCTTCCGGTGACAACCTGTGCTTCTCCTCGGGTGTGGATGCAAAGCCAGGGCTAAGAACGTCGCCAACAATATGAGACATCAGGCTGACCCCGCCTCGCTGTACTCCGTCCGACGGCATAAAGCGTCCTTTCGGGTAGGCAGGGCCTTGTACAAAGCCATCCTGAGCTGGATCGGAATATATGATGCAGCCCACCGCTCCAGCCAGTTCGGCGGCCTTGATCTTCAACGCTCGATCTCCTTCCGTCCCGTAGTAGCGCACCAGAGCGATCGAGCCGTTGAGCGAGATGCCTTTGTCAGCCAAAAGCTGGAAATCGGCACGGGATCCAAAATTGGCATAAACCAGAGGTCCCGTCACATTTCCTGACTTGGAATGCCCGTGGAATACCGGGTACTGCGCGCCGTTTTCCTCGAGAGTGGCTTCCCAAACCATATGGGGTGGATCAACGATGGCCACTTTACGGCCATCGTCGCGAGGATAGTTCAGGTAGACCTGGAACTCTTCCCGCTGGACCTTATCAAACCCAGCCTTATGGAACTCATGCTCGATCCATTCTGCCAACACAAAGCTTCCCTCGGTGCCCGCGACACGAGTGTTACCGCTGACTATTCTCAGATTCTCGGCGATGTTGGTTTCATTGATGTGCCCCTGGATGAAGTTCTCGACGGAAGATGCACTGTAGGATTGGCCCATCACCATGCGATTGTTCAAATTGAAGATATCTCCGATGAAGAAGACATATACCAGCGACACCACCAGCATCAAGGCAAATAGCCGCAAGAGCATGATACAGCCATGATCCTTCATGCGCGCCCGGGTCTCGCCGAGATTGATCGTGAAGCGGAAGCTGGGCATGCGTGGGAGGTAACGTTGCAGGGGTCGTTGGATCGCAGACAAGGTGCGGGTGAGACTGGAGAGGCGTTTGGAGAAGTGATGTCGGAGCCGGGGGCGAGTACTGCTAGAGGAGCCTACTGCAGAGTCATCGACATCCATCTGATCCAGTTCCCTCCGCAGCTGATCGGTCGAGCCCCGGGTCGAGCCCGATGCGGAGGAAGCGAGGTCATCGAGACTGCCGCGCGCCGATTCCACCGTCGGGGGTTGGTAGTTGGAGGCATTGTGATCGAGGAGCCCCTGTCGTTCGGCATCGGTGCTATCGCCTACATCGGACCGGGAGGAGGAAGGCTGGGCGGTGGCCTCCTCGTAGCTGGGGATGGGGAGGGCTTGGTAGTCGAACTTATCGTCGCCCATGGCGGCACGGGGTAGGCTCCGGGGAGCCGTGGCAAGCGGAGGGCGCGGATACTGCGATCTGGACGATCATGATCTGCTTTTCTAGAAGGGGTAACGAGCGACCAGCATCATCCCCGCTCTGTACGGTAGGGATGAGATGAAGGGACGGGGGTGGTTGTGGCGGTGGATGTGGTTTGAGGGGAGGTGTGAGAAGTCCAAGTAGCGGACGGGGGGGGAAGTTTCGCTGCCATGAGGCACCCCCGGACTGCTCGTGGCGCAGCGACCCACGCCGAGATCACTTCTCAACACGCGTCGCGATTGCACACATTGGCAAGTATTGGCAACATGCGGACCTATGCCGCCTTCTGCATGTTTCATGCGGTTTATAAACCCCCAGGAAATCGCACCTTGAAGACCGGCTGATGACACCGCGGGCGATCATTCCCCAGAATGCTGCCTAACTAAATAATCAACGGTGTCCACCCACAGTTCGCCTCGTAGTCGGTACCTCCTCCTGAGAGGTCCATTTCGGCTCTTCAAGTACTCAGGCACCAGGAACTATGTAACGGGCATCTACGGGACATTACTCTGTACGGCCTACTAAAACTTGGCAGGGGGTCTCGGGCATCCGAAGTGATGCCACTAGTAGCAGCTGTTGTACGGAGACCATCGGATCGGGTGATCCACTCCGATGGTTGATTCATTTCCCAAAAGAAAAATTCCGCAACGGAAGAGTGGATCCGCTGCAGAGAGATAAGATGGCCGGCTGAGTTATACTCGGTAGCCATAATCACGTAGCCATAGGTGACCACGCCGTCAGCGTCTGCAGTACGGAAGGGCCATAAGAGACTCCATCTGCCTTGGAAGCGGGGAGCGAGTATGGCGTAGGTCAGTACTGGCCCTTGAAAGATCCCGCAAGGGTAGACAGACAGGTCCCATCAACACGAAGCGAGATATACACAGGTTAGGCAGCAAGGGACCGTCCCAGGAAGCGTACAGTACTACTTCAACCTGAATACGGAGTATACATCAAAACAGAGGACAGGAGTATAAAATATACATCGAGGACGGCAACTGGAAAGGGGTAGACTTCAGACCGGCCGCTGTCGGGGAGGAAGAAGAAGCAGGCGGTGAAGAGCAACAGGCCAACGCACCAGAAGGAATTAGACACACTACTGCAGGAGGAGATGTACAGCGCGGCCTGCTGCAGCGTCGTTGGCCTCAATTACCATCTGTTACCATCTGTTACTATCTGTTACTATCTGTACAATCGGTACCTTCCGTCAATGTTCAACTGGAGTTTTAAGTTGGGGTGACGACCAAGGCAGCTGGAGGCACGAGACCAGGCGGGGATTCCCCTCTGCGCTCGAATCCGAAGCCTTCGTCAACTATAAATCAACTGGGGATTCTCCCCTTCGAGTTCGCTCTGGAGTACTCAGTACTTCTGGACTGCGAAGTCTGCAACTGAGATTCGTTCGGCTTAAAGGAAGATCAGCCGTCAGTCTGCTTGGGTTCCCCACCGCAGAAAAAAACAGTGACGGTGACTGATCGTACACGGTAGATCCGAGTACACAACAACCTCCTTTTCCTTTTAATTGCTCGGGCGGCGCCCGTTGATACTCCCATTCCTTGTACAAATAATCCCCTCTCTTTGCATTCCTCTCTTCTTCACTATCTCCCTCCCCATCTGTTCTCTGACTGTGTTGTGTTGTTGCGACCCGTCCCTCTCCAAACCAAATATTCACCCCTCCCCCACCATGTCTGTCCGCCCCCAGAACATCGGCATCAAGGCCATTGAGGTCTACTTCCCCACTCAGGTGAGTGGCCCCTGAAATCAGACGCCCCTGAGATGCTTAATACTGACTTTCTTCTCCCCCTTCAGTGCGTTGATCAGGCCGAGTTGGAGCAGTACGATGGCGTCAGTGCCGGCAAGTACACCATTGGGCTCGGCCAGACCAAGATGAGCTTCTGCGACGACCGTGAGGGTATGTACTACCAATGGCAAGAGAATAGGCATTGATGGAGAAGACGTTAACATTTGGCGCTCCTACAGACATCTACTCCATGTGCCTCACCACTCTCTCCTCCCTCATGAACAAGTACAACATCGACCCCAAGTCTGTTGGCCGCCTCGAGGTCGGCACTGAGACCCTCCTGGACAAGTCCAAGTCTGTCAAGTCCGTGCTGATGCAACTGTTTGCTCCTCACGGTAACACCAACATTGAGGGTATTGACACCGTCAACGCTTGCTACGGTGGCACCAACGCCGTCTTCAACAGCCTCAACTGGCTCGAGTCCTCTGCCTGGGACGGCCGGGACGCCATCGTGGTCTGCGGTGACATTGCCCTGTACGCCAAGGGTGCTGCCCGCCCCACTGGTGGTGCTGGCTGCGTTGCCATGCTGATTGGCCCCGACGCCCCTATTGTCATCGAGCCCGGTCTCCGTGGCTCCTACCTCACCCACGCCTACGACTTCTACAAGCCTGACCTCACTAGCGAGTACCCCGTGGTTGATGGCCAGCACTCTCTCAAGTGCTACACCGAGGCCGTCGATGCTTGCTACAAGGCCTACCACGCCCGCGAGAAGGTCCTCAAGGCCAACCAGAACGGCACCAACGGTGCTGCCGTCGAGTCCCAGACCCCTCTGGACCACTTCGACTACATCCTGTACCATGCTCCCACCTGCAAGCTGGTCCAGAAGTCCTACGGCCGTATGCTCTACAACGACTTCCTGACCAACCCCTCCCACCCCGCCTTCGCGGAGGTCGCCCCTGAGCTGCGCGATCTCGACTACGCCGCCTCGCTGAGCGACAAGGCCGTCGAGAAGACCTTCATGGGTCTCACCAAGAAGCGCTTCGCCGAGCGCGTGCAACCCGGTCTCCAAGTTGCTACCCTGTGCGGTAACATGTACACTGCTACCGTCTACGCCGGCCTGGCCAGCCTGCTGAGCCACGTCGATTTCTCCCCGAGTGAGCCCAAGCGCATCGCTCTGTTCTCCTACGGCAGTGGCCTGGCCTCCTCCATGTTCAGCGCCAAGATCGTCGGTGATGTCTCCCAGATGGTTGAGAAGCTGGACCTCAAGAACCGCCTGGACTCCCGCACCATCCTGGCCCCCCAGGCCTACGACGACATGTGCAAGCTGCGCGAGCACGCCCACCTGAAGAAGAACTTCAAGCCCACTGGCAGCGTCGAGACTCTGCAGAAGGGTACTTACTACCTCACCGAGGTCGACGACATGTTCCGCCGCAAGTACGAGATCAAGGCATAGAAAACGACAGCAGTGCTGTTCCGTTCCATTTCTTTTGCCGTTGGATATGACCCTTGTTTAGACGGTTCCAGACAAGATTCCCCCGAGCGTTTTTTTGCGTTTCTGCTTCGGTATAGACCATGCAAGGGCCCCGACCTTTGCTAATATTTTCTTTTCCTTATCTTTACTTTTTACTACTGTGATTTCTAATGGCTTGTGCTATTTTTCTCGCCTCTTGGCGAAGATGAACGTGATGAGATAAGCTGCATCCTCGCCCATTCTTGGCAGGACTCCAAACTACAAATTTCATGGGTAATATGAACATGTGTCAATATCTCGCTCTACATTCCCGTAGCTTCCAGATTCCAACTCACTCCTCTATTTATCTCTGCATCATAAGATCAGATTTATCGAGGGGGGCATAGTACCCTAGTCACAGCCACGCATTGCACCAAGGGACTCGCGAAGGTCTTCCATCAAACAGGTTGATAAAAATACATGGCTCATCGGAACCCCGATCTTCCGTTGTTCAAGCGGATATTTCGATGCCGCAACGTGGTACCACCGTGGGGTTTGTGCAGAAGCAACAGTCTATTAGCATTGGAAGAACCGAATAGTCTACACTACACGGAATAAAACAACCGGCTCTACCTTTTACATAGGATATCAGATCGAACACTTGCGGATGCTTGACATGCTCTAGATGAGAAGTGGAAATATTACTATGTGAACGCTGGCGTGGTAATCTTTGAGAGGACAGCATATTCTGTTTTTTCTACTTGTTTTTTTTACTGTGACTTTAATTGGCTTATGTTATCTTGCTCCCCGTCTGGCAAAGATGAACAGGATGAGATAAGCTGCATCCAGCCTACTTTAGGCTGAAGGCCAAGAAACTCAACCGATGGTACGTGCATGGGCTTATTATTTTTCTTTCTACTCTCCTTTCTTTTTCTGGAGCAATTAGCCCGAAATCCTCATACGCGAGCGACGTGATTGTCTGCTAATTATGGGATTATGGGACATTCGTCTCAGGAAGGTCAAGTGCGTGACGCCGATCGCCCGGCGCGTACTTGAGACTTGGCGTACAGCTGTAGCCGCCGAACCCTGGATATCACACTCCCTCCGCGACTCCGCGAACGCCTCGGATCAAACCCCCCCCCCTTCCTCCCCCATATGTTATTTCTTTTCCACCTCTCATAGACGACTGAGCTGCATCCACATGGCTCGATGCACTGTCACAGCACACGCCGAACTATTTTTAACTTGCCTTCCACTCTAACCGCCCATCTGGCGATTCCTGAGGCATGGCGCTCCCACCGGGAGACCGGTCTTTGGCCGGCGAGGCCACTAATTTCCCAGGAATTGCGACCTAATTGTTGCTGAATATAGAAGCGTTCACTCACGCTGCAGGCCGCTAAACCCAACAAGGAATCTGAAGAATGTCGTCGAAGTTGATGCAAAATATAGCAACACCTTAACGCGCGACTGTCCGCTGAAACCGCACTATCCCCAGAGCAGAGCCCCTAGCCGGAGTTTCAATACCTAATTTCTGCCCTGTCGCACGACCTCAGGCATAATGGTCGGCAGTTTCGCGTTTCATCGCGTGGGCAGGTGTTCCTCGGATCGGAGCCAGGATCCCAAAAAAAGAATTCGAGCCTCCGCTGGCGTCACGATGGAGTGCTACTCCATGTTTCAGGTTATCCAGATCGGCTTGGGTTCGTCAGTGGGCCTGGCTACGGCTCTTTGTTTATATATCACTCCATAACTTGGCTGTTTTGAAAACTTGCCTTGTTGAAGAGCATTTAATATCCAAACCTTCTCGCTTCTGGATCATGTCCTTGTTTCTTCTCGCACAAGGTGTTTTGATCTGAACGACCCTGCTCTGGTCCTCGACATTGACCTTGATCTACATTCGTTACTTTCCTCTTTGTGACCTTGGACGCCGGGAAGCTGGTACTTCCTATCTCAGCAGACGGTGGACCCAATTCAGAACACCCTACACCCTCGCCACCCTCTTCCATGATGATGTCCCTCGGATACGCTCATTATCAACCGAGGACTCCACCGGGTATGCCTCTTGAAGTGCATATTGGGTCAGGACATAGTCGTAATGCGTCCAACTCATCCATTTACTCCAATGATTCGTCTCCATGGTCGACGATGACGGGCAACACCAGCCCGACCACCTCGCCTACTCGGCATCACCATGGCCCGGCTCTTCTACCCAAGATCCGGCCTCAAGATGTCGTAATCGAACCCGTGTCTGCCGGCGGCCCCATGCGGCATCGACGGGTCTTATCCAACACGCGGAATCCACCGGGCTTTGTGCCTTATCCTAGCCGGCCACCCCTTCAGCGCAACGGGGTAGATGTCTCAAACCGCTTAGCCCTAGCATCTTCGCTTTCGCCCATCATCACCACTGGTCATGGCAGCTCCTCTGCCTTGTCTTCTCCAGTGACCATCAATCATTCCCACAAGCGCAAAGCTGGTGGAGGCCACGTCCGCTCAGTGTCGACATCCAGCATTGATGAAGCTACCCTGAACCGGTATGGATATCCCACCTATCGGCATCTCCCCAAGTATGTCCCGCAAATGCAGGCACAAACAATGCCAAACACACCAGCTACACCAGTGACCCCAATCACCCCGAACATTGTTGTTCAGTCGTATTCTCAACAGCCGACAGCAGAGGTGCCGCAACAAGCCCCTGTACGACCTCCAAATCCATTGACGGTGCCAACGCCCCCGTACAACTACAACCAGACACCTGTAGCCCAGCAATCGCCTGTTGCGCTGCTCAGCCCCCGGGAAGATCTGGCACCCCCATCTACCAACTTGCTGTCATACCTCACCTCCCCCACGCAAGCGATCAACCTCGTCCGGAACGTGAGCGTTGTTCCCACTCGGGGCATGCACGACTATTTCTGGTGGGATATCCGCAACCTCCGCAGCTGGACCTCTTTCTCAATCCCAACCTTCGACTCCATCCGCGGCCTCACACAGCTCCTCAAAACAGAAATCCCGAGCTCTCTCGCACCTCCAGTGGGCGTTGTCCCCGGACGCTTGGGGCCCGAATCCGAGCCTGCCCTGGTCAGCCTGATCAGGGATCTCTATGCACCGCGCGTCAATGCCGCATTGGCCGTTTCCCAGGGCACCGAGCATCTCCAGCTCTACGCCGCTCCAGACATGCGGCACACCGGCCACAAGAACCACGGCCACCCGCACTTCCTCGCCAACTATGCCACAGACACCGAGCGCACAAGCGCCGGCCTCCCACGCGGCCGCCTCGTTGGCATAGTCAAGAGCTTCGATCGCTGGAACTCCGGCATGCGGAACGAGGCGCCACACCGGCGCGTCGAGTACCTCAACGGGCTGGCGCACCTACAGCGCTGCATGCGCGAGCACTCCTGCCGCTACGGCTTCATCATCACAGAGATCGAGCTTGTCTGCGTGCGCGCCGGCTGCGACGCCGGAGACGACGTGCCCTACTTCGGCTTCCTCGAGATCGCCGCGCCGATTCCCCTCAAAACAGCCGCTTCCCAGTCACACCCGGGATCCCGCGACGCGCCGCCTCTTGCAACGCCTATCAGCGTGCGGTCGTTCTCGTCCTCCTCGCACGCGTCATCGGTTCATTTTCAGCATGATTCGCCGACGCCTGAGGACGACGAGGGATTCACGGCCCCGATGACGGCGAGCCTGGCTTTGTACTTCCTCCTCATGCTGTCCAAGTCTGTCCCACTACCCGACCAGCCGTCCGCCCACCTCAACGTGGGCGGGCCGGGCGCGCTCACGCGGCAGCGAATCCTGCCCGAGCCCAAAGATAAATGGATTCCCGAGCCGCAGATTGGCGAGCGCCGTGATGCGAAGCGTGTGCGTGGCTGGGTTTGGCCTGGCGATGCGTGGCATCGCAGAGAAGGGGGTGGTGCGGCGAGGGCGAGGGCTGTGGAGAGCAAGTCGAAGAAGTGGCATAAATAAATGGGTGTTTGATTGGCATGGAGAGGCGTAAGGCATGGAGCATTTTGGCTTGGGCTGGAGTAAATTTTCTTTCCATGATCAGGTTATTTTTTGTTTGATTTTCGGTGTTTAACTTGATTTTTTGTCTTCAGTTTGGTCCGGTGGGATTGCGTTTGGATTGTGTCTGTTTGTGGCTTTTTCATGGTGGCTATGGCTGGTTTTTTTGGGATTCCCCATTGGCGAGTGGTTTTCTGGCCTTTTGACAGTAATGTAATGCTTTGAGTTACATGATTGTCTTCTCTGACCTATGGATTTTCCATGTACCACTACTTTGGATGTCTTCTCGCATCGTTCGCGCCAGCCTGTATATCTCCTCGACAAGCCATCTACAACCTTTGGTTAAACTTCTACATCATATATTAGCTATTGCTACGACTTTTTGAAGCTTAATCATGTATTCTAGAGGGTCTATCGAGCACATGCCCCATGAGCAAGGTGAACCTCTCCCAAGGTCCTCAAAACCCTGACAGCTCCCAATCGGCGCTCAGATCAGCGTTTACTGCTGTGGGGTAGGGAGATTTCCTCTTGCGGCATTCATCGTGTCACATCAGCCCTAAGGACCTTGGGGAAAGAGTACCTCGATGGCCAAGTACACCGAGGACATTGCAGAAGACGGTAAGACGACCCGGTCGGCTGCATACTTATAAAGGGGTAGAGACCTCCATGTAATTTCATAGTGTGTAAATATTGGTGTACAATTAGTGTTCGTCGATCCAGTCAAGATGTCCGCCAACTTGACCCCAGCGAGCGACATCCACGATGTTATCATTGTCGGCGCCGGACCTTGCGGCCTAGCCGTCGCTGCTCGTCTTCACGAACAAACGCCCTCAGCGGTGTTCACTGACGAGGAGCACCAGCGGTACCACTGGATCAAAAAGCACACTGGCAAGATGAACCTTGTGCAAGCAGGCCGCTGCAAGAAAAACGGCGTGCGGGCGGAAAAGTGGAATCGCGGACAGAGGACTTGCCCCTACGAAGATGGGGGGGCTGTTTCAGCACGCCGGGGGTCTACCGACTCTGCCTCATCAGTACCGTCGCTTTCCTCGGACTCTTCGACATCATCTGCAGCATCTATCTCGACGCTGGTTTTGGATGGGACAGGGGATCAGTGGTTGCAGCGGTGGAACAACGCGTTTCGGACCTTGGAAATCAAGCAACTGAGGAGCCCGATGTTCTTCCATGTTGATCCTGGCGACCGGGATGGTATGTTGGCCTATACGCAAGAGGTTGGAAGAGAGAAGGATTTGTGGGAGATTTCGGGGTGTGTTGGGAAGGAAATGAGCAAGCATAAGAAAAAGAAGAGACGGCAGAGTGGAAAACCCCAGTAAGTGGCGGTTCCCCCCTTCTTTTTTTCTGCGACTGGAAATTGTCCTTTTGCGACCACAGATGGTTCAAGCAGCACTCATTGTCCCATCGTATATAGGACCTTGGGCGTTGAAATCGATGAGCGCGATCGCAAAGACTACTTCTCGCCCTCAACCGATCTCTTCGCCGATTACTGCGCCTCCATCATCGAACGATACGGCCTGAATGAAGCTGGCCAGATCCTCAAGCAAGAGGTCACAGACATCAGCTACGATTACCTACCCGGCAATTTAGAGGTTGTAGCCCCGAACTCCAAAGTCTTCACGCTTACTACTTCGACCGGGCAGAAGTTCTATAGCCGAGCCGTTGTGCTTGCAGTGGGTGCCGGTGGCGCTGGAATACAAAAGATCTTCCCCTGGAAGCCCTCAAATGAAACAGAAGGGGCCGATGCTTGCTGCCACAGCATGGAAATCAGGACCTTCCCGAGTCCCAATGTACGAAGTAAGATCCAGCAGAGAGAGCAGACCAATGTGGTCGTTGTCGGAGGTGGACTATCATCAGCCCAGATTGTTGATATGGCCGTGCGAAAGGGCGTTACCAAAGTCTGGTTCTTGATGCGTTCCGAATACAAAGGTGAGTGTATGGTTGAAGAATGTGCACCGGAGACTCTGGTTAATGGGTACGCATAGTCAAGCATTTCGATATTGGTTTGCAGTGGATGGGAAAATACAAGAATTGGGAGAAAGCAGCCTTTTGGTCAGCCGATACCGATGAAGGTAAGCGATCTTGATATATGAGGATGAGACTAAAGATGCTGTTTTCGTCTGATGTGTATTCTGGAAACAGAGCGCCTCGAGATGATGAAGACCGCTCGCAATGGAGGTAGCATCACCCCTCGCTACACGAGAATCGTTAAGCAACACGTCGCAAACCACCGAGCGTCTATTCACACACGCACGGAAGTTACTTCTCATAGCTATAACCCAGAAACTCGGACGTGGGCCCTAACTACCGACCCACCGATCCCGAATCTGCCCCCAATCGACTACATCTACTTCGCGACCGGAGCACGCTCTGACGTCCGCGAAATGCCAATCTTGAGTAATATTAATGATCAGTTTCCTATCGAAGTCAAGGAGGGATTTCCTTGTCTCACAGATGATCTCATGTGGCGGGAAGATGTGCCTCTCTACATCACGGGGCGACTAGGGGGTCTACGACTGGGACCTGGCGCACCAAATCTTGAAGGAGCCAGACTTGGCGCCGAGAGGATCGCTTGGAGCTTGGAGGAGATCCTCGAGAAGAACCGGGAGGTTGGGGACCAGTGCGAGGGATTCTGTGGACTGGGGAACCGGTATGCCTCGCTGGCGGGGGAGGGCGACGACTATGGGGAGGAATAACTAGGGCTGCATAGCTCGGGTGAATCTGATATAGTTCGTCACGGCCAGCAACCTCGATCATTTCCTGCTTTACTAAGTGACATAGTGTCATGGGGGCACTTACTTTCCTGGCCACTCACCATTTTATTGGTCGCCGTTTCTTGCACAAGGACCGACCAGCTTATCCATTCCTCCCTTCATTCTCCGCGCTTTTAGATCACCGCTTGACCACGCCGCTGGGGAGGTTTCGCGGGCAGAAATGGCAAGAATGTGGGTAATCCCTTGTTCCGCAGGATTTGTCCGTAGAGCTCCATCCAATATAAAGCTTATTAGAACCTAAAAGCAGAGCTTCTGATTTCGTATATTACTCTTGTGATGAACATCGGGGCCTCGAGGTCGAGGTAGCTAACTCAACAGATCACCATGCCGCTGACTACAGATTCAACTACACCGGTGGAGGCACTAAAGATTCTTCCGAACAATACGCACCCGAAATGGATCAAGGATCGGGGTCTGCGGAAGCTGAACCTTGGGATTGCGTTCATGTTCGCGTCCTCGGCTGGGACGGGGTATAATGGGAGTCTGTTCAACGGTTTGCTTGTGTTGCCCGAATGTATGGTTTCGTCTGAAGTAATCTGAAAGAGATTAAGGTACTGAACACTTGTCATTGTATAGTTTCCATGATTTACGGCGGCTTGAAACCTAGTATCATCGGTCTCCTGATCGCTGCGACCTCTTTGGGCGCTTTTTTTGCCTTCACACCAGCATCCTATATGGCGGATAGATTGGGCCGGAAGTGGTGCGTTGGTGTAGGATGCTGCTTGGTGATTGTCTCCTCCGTCATACAGGTCACTGTACAAAACCACTGGGTCTTTTTCGGTTGCCGAGTCCTTGCTGGCGCCGGCGTGGGGACCGCCCAGACCGCGGCACCACTACTGGCAACGGAGATTGCCCATCCACGCCAACGACAAACAGCAACAGCCCTGTATAATGCGTGTTGGTCCATCGGATCAATTGCATCGGCTGGTATATGCTTCGCAACGCTGGCTGTGAGTAACAGCTGGTCATGGCGGGTCCCTTGTCTCCTTCAAGCCTGTTTTCCGTTGGCCCAGCTAGTGGGTCTATTCATTGTGCCCGAGAGTCCTCGTTGGTTGGTTTCCAAGGGAAGACATGACGAGGCTCTTGCAATGCTGGCCAAATACCATGCAAATGGCGATAAACATGATGAGCTGGTTCAGCACGAGTTCCATCAGATATGCAATACCATCAGCGTCGAGGCCCTGGAGCCAAGCAACTGGAGCTCATTCTTCTCGTCCAAAGGTGATATACATCGTGTAGTGATTTGTGTCATGGTTGGTCTTATGCAGGAATGGGCTGGGAACGGTATGAACGCTATCTCACAAACTTCAGGATATCGGCTGATTAAACGCAGGCATTATATCATACTACTTGGCCCCCATTCTGGCATCGGTCGGGGTAACTCGCGCAGCAGATCAAGCAGCAGTCAACTTGGGCTTGCAAGTCTGGAATCTATTTCTCTCTGCAGGAGGCGCCGTTGCCTCCGAGCGATATGGTCGGCGCATTCTTTGGCTCTTAGGAACAATGATTATGCTCGTCTTCCTTTCCATTATGACAATCGTGGCAGGCCTTTTCCAGGAGAAGCACATAGCAGCTGCCGGTCTGGCCGTGGTTCCTATGATCTTCCTCTTCTTTTCCGGCTTCAACCTCGCATATTCGCCTTTATTCATTGCCTATCCTGCTGAGATCCTGCCATTTCCGCTTCGGGCAAAGGGTATGGCCATCACGCTGTCAACGGATGCTGTTGCATGCTTCTTCAATCAGTATGTAAATCCGCTTGCATTTTCAGCAATGCAGTGGAAGTACTATCTTGTCTATGTGGGATGCTTGATGTGGTTTTTGGCAACAGTGTATTTCCTCTTTCCGGAGACGAAGGGGAGATCGCTGGAGGAGGTTTCCAGGATTTTTGATCGGAAGGAAGTGCGGAGTGAGGATTCCAGTGACACAAAAACTGAAGGGTAGGAAAGTACGGTGGCGCTATCAATCAAAGTACGCTGTTGAATATATGAGTGGGCGATGCTTATGGGGAAAAATTGGCGAAACTTTAGATACTACTGCAAAATAAGCAACTGCATTCTTGTATATTCACAACGATTAAAAAAGATCAAATAAGGTAGTCGAACCAAACAATGAAACAGGAATAAATAGTCCAGGAAAATAAAGAATCAGATTCTCGAACTCTATACAAATCCAATGCTCACCTTGGACTGCCCTCTTTCCACCCGCCCCCCCAAGTCATCTCGATCAGCTTCAATCTCCGCGGCTTGCATCTTTTTCTGCGACAGACGTGGCTTTGAGCTGATCCTTTGAATTCAAAACAATTTTTGTCACAAATTTGAATGTCTTCGTCAACTCTTGTCTCGCTGTTTCCAGCATTTGTTAGCATCATCATTCGCCCCGATGCGGTCACTTTTCGTTGGGCTTAAATTTGTCTATGAAGGAAGTCAGTAGTAGGCCGACAAATTTTCGTCGTGAGAGGTAGGAAAATGGTTCCTGGAAGGAAGTTGGATGGGACCTCGTGTGTGCCTAGGTCCAAAACTGTGCACTCTCGATGCTGGTTACACCTTAACCAGACTGCTGCAGACATTTGAGACCATCGGAATGACCGAAGGCAAGGCATTTAGGGAACCAATTGGTCAAGAGAAGCAACTTTTGGCTCTGGTGGTTGCCAGCGGCGATGGGTACTGGGTGAGAGTCAAGAGATATAATAGTTAAGGGTGAGAAAGGACTTTATCTACTACGCAGTGGAATATTGAGAACTAACTGTACACGGTGTCCATTGCATATTTTCTTCTCTATCATCCTGTATGCTTTTCAGGATGTTGTACCCTGAGATCCTTCCTCCGTTTCGTCACGGCTCCGAGATGACGTTTCAAGGAATGAAGAGCAGTCCTTCTCTTGGCCCGTCTTCAAGATATTGAACAATTGGTCCGCCGTGAGATGGTCATTCGCGCCCTCCATTCGATGTGCATACCGAAGCTTCCCCCGTTGAAAGATCCATTCACCTCCCTGTTGGCTCCAAGGCCCGCCTTTCAGCCCCGCCCACCCCCGCTTCCACATTTGCTTGAGACACTTCCCGAAAGCGCTGTAGAGTGATCCAGGTGCATAGGGTGGAGGATCAGTAAATCCTTTCCAGGCTCTCTTCATAAGTAGTTGGTCGTATAACCTCTCAGACGGGTCGCTGTAGATGGGGAATGCGTCGGATGTTTCTTCCATGTATGGCCCTATAAGGGTGTGGTCTCCGCACCCAATGATGATTACCTGGGCTGGTTTGGCGCTGGCTGGGATCGTGTCAAGGAGGGACTCGCTGAGTTGTCGAGCAAGCGTTCTGACATAGCCTTGCTCATAGAGGCAGAAGAAATGGCGCACTGGAATTCGGAAGTTAGCGTATGAAGGTATGATCAGGCGCCAGATTCGAAGAACTACAAACCGAAGCCACGCACCGAAAACGACAATTGTGGTTACTGAGTCCCCCTTTCCCGCCACAAGCTCGCCAAATCGGATATGTTCACCATTTTGTGACTGTAGATCAAGTTCGTAGGCCTCTTGTAAGGTCTCATCGGTCAAAAAGTTGGGGCTATTAGCCGAAACCGTGCAGGTGGACATGTCGTGCTCGGAGTGTTTCGCATATTCCTTCAGTTGGGTCGGCGTAGGAATTTATAACCCGAGTCAAATCATAGCAGTCAGCAGGTACTCCGAGCTTGCTTGGGCGCTATCGCCATCCATGGATGATCGCATGGAGAGGAAGGTCTAAATGGTCCGAATGACATCATGACCTCAAGATCTTAGTACAATTAGAGGATGCCGGTCCTCTTTGGATTATGGATTGCGCCGATCATCTGCTAATAATTTACCCCTTCTTGTTTAGGATCTTAGCTTTTGGAAATCGGACGATACAATGATCTTTTCCCCCTCTTCTAGCTTAAATTGAATTTTGGGTAAGTGGAGATACCCCTGACTTTGGTAGTCTCGATATCTTCAAAGAGGCGTTCGCTAGATAGCAATATTAGATTCGAGAGAATATCACTCTGCCTTCTACCGCAAACTTGTCGTTCAAGGGAAGATACTATCATTCAAATACGAGGAAGGGGGGTGAAGCCCGGAGGTGATATACTTGATCTACAGCCAATTGGGACGGCCCCGATGCTGCTGATATGTTCGTTCCCCGCATGCAACACCCCACCAGTGCAACCTCATTATTCTCGAGCCCCTATTAAGAAGGAACAATACTCCCTCGCTTTCTTCGATCTCACTATTCGCAAATTGATCTGGGCGAAGGACCATCCCTAAGTCCCAAAACCAACGATATTGGAGAGAGGATAGCCTCAGCGCGCACGCTTTAGCACTGAGCGCTTTCCGACTTCATCCCAGCATCATGAAAGAACCCCAGCTTTCTCCAGCAGATATCCCAGTCAGCACTCTCAGCTCATCGAATTCTACTGGACGAAGAGCCCCCCGATTTCTCGTCATTGGCGCCGGTTCTCGCGGTAATGCCTACGCCCGCGCCGTAGCAACCACCACGCCTGGCGTTGTCCACGCCGTCGCCGAGCCGCACGATTTCAAACGACGTGAATTCGGACGGAAATATATATGGGGTACAGAAGGGTCTCCAAGGGAAGGCCAAGAATTTGCAGACTGGAGAGACTGGCTGCGTTGGGAATTTGAGCGGCGCAAGAAGACCAACGGCGACAACGACGGCTCCGGCACTTCGCAGGCCACAACTCCCACAGGCGTGGACGGAGTTTTCATCTGCACCTTGGACGACACCCACGTCGGAATCATCCAAGCCATTGCGCCGCTACAATTACACATCCTCTGCGAGAAACCACTCGCCCTCTCGCTAGCCGACTGTCTCGCCGTCTACCGGACGCTCCAGCCGCCCCAAGGGACCGACGAACGACCACGGCCTCCAACAACAATCTTCTCCATCGGACACGTCCTCCGCTACAGCCCGCACAACATACTCCTCCGCAAGCTTCTCCTGAGCGACCGCATTATCGGCGACATCGTCGCGCTCGAGCACACCGAGCCTGTCGGCTGGTGGCACTTTTCGCACAGCTACGTGCGCGGCAACTGGCGGCGCGAGACGCCCGCCGGCGACGGCTCGCTGCTCACCAAGTCCTGTCACGACATCGATTTCATCCTGTGGCTACTATGCTCCCCGGCCTCGCTGGAGGGCGCGCGGGCCGCAGGCTACCAGTCGCATTTCCCGCGGTCGATCTCGTCAGCCGGCTCGTTGACGCAGTTCCGACGCGCCAGGAAGCCCGTTGCGGCAGGCGACGCGACGAATTGCGTCTCGTGCCCCGCCGAGCGAGAGTGCAGCTACAGTGCGGTGCGGATCTATCAGGATCGGCACCTGGCGAAGGGGCATCGTACTTGGCCGGTTGATATCGTATGCCCGGATATCGAGGATGTGTACCAGGTGCAAGGGGCGGCGGCTGCGGAGGAGCATCTGCTTTCCCGGCTGCGCGAGGACTACGATGTTCGTGCTGAGGCGGACGCGGATGTTGCTGCGCGGCCGTGGTATGGGCGGTGCGTGTACGAGGCGGACAACAACGTGTGCGACGACCAGGTTGTGATGCTTGCGTGGGACGACGAGGAGGCTGCGCCGAAGCGGCTCGCGAAGACGGCGACGTTCCATATGATTGCCCCGACGGAGAAGCAGTGCGAGCGCCGTGGTCGTGTGTACGGGACCACCGGTGAGATCGAGTATGATAGCAGCAGGATTTCGATCTATAACTTTGCGTCCGCGGAGACGACTACTATTGACGTACCGCGTCCACCTCCTGAGAGAGCCGAGTCGCATGGTGGGGGGGACTACGGCCTTGCGGGCCAGTATGTGAAGGCTGTCGACGCCGTGATGAATAGCGGGCTGGATGTCGAAACTGCACAGGCGCGGTTTATCGGGTGTACGCTCGAGGAGGCAGTTCAAAGCCATGCCGTTGTGTTTGCGGCCGAGGAAGCGAGGCGCGAGGAGCGGGTCCTAAAGTGGAAGGAATGGTGGCAGGAGAAATTGAGGAGCTCGGCTGCTGCTTGTACGGGGTAATTATGCCTTGCAAGTTGCCTTCGTGTATGATTTCCACGATGTGATGAGTGATGATCATGATGCTGCTTTGATCAGTGCTTGACGAGATAACTGGACCACGAAGGAAATCTCTTAACTTTTTCGTCGGCAGGAACCCGATGTAGACCCAATATGAATGTCTCAACCTACTGCTTGCCTGTCGGTCCTATCTAGGTAGCAGGAACGTATCTATTGCTGTTAACTCGATTCTACGAAGATAGTTCCAGGGCTTGCATGCGAACGCATTATAGCAGATACGAGAATACAGAGTTTCGTGGACAAGGCAAACGCCGCTCCATATATTTACACACAACTATGCATTACATTACGATTGATCGAAAATCAATGTGTGAGTAAGGGTTGTTGGAAATATTTGGGAATATTGTCTGCGCTGGGAAGTGAATATCGTTTTCATATTACTCGAATCAAAAGTCCTCGGTCTATGCCATACGTTGCGTCGGCACTTCATACTTCATCCGATTCATCCATTATCATATCCGCTTATTTCAAAAAACTTGCACGAACAGAAATATCGCGATCGCCATCCAGCGGGTCACACGCAAACCAGAGAAAGCCTGCGCTTTTTAAGTCTTGACATCCGGCTCCTCACGGCCGACATACTCCTTGAACTTAAGCAGCGACAGGGCCAGGGCCACGTTATCCGCCAAGTACTCCTGAGCGCTGAGACCGAACTTGGAGGCATCGCTCTCGTAGCGCTCAATGTACAGACGGATAGTCGCGCCGCTGCTGCCAGTACCGGACAGACGCACGACAATGCGGCTGCCGTCGTCGAACTTGGCGTACAGACCCTGATTCTTGGAGACGCTGCCATCGAGGTCGGTGTAGGAGAAGTTGCCGGCATCGACGACCTTGCGGCCGGCGATGGTGGAGCCGACAAAGGAGTCGCTGGCGACGAGGTCGGACAAGGTGCCGACGACCTTGTTGGCGCCGTCGCTGTCAACGTTCTCGTAGTCGTAACGAGTGAAGAAGGTGCGGCCGTAGGTCTTCCAGAAGTCGTTCTGGATGGAGGCGATGCTGGGAGTCTCCTCGGGCTTCTGCTTGGAAACGCCGGCGATGATGTTCAGCCACGCGACGATCGCCCACACGCCATCCTTCTCACGGATGTGGTTGCTGCCAGTACCGAAGCTCTCCTCGCCGCAGATGGAGATCTTCTTGTTGTCGAACAGGTTGCAGAAGAACTTCCAGCCGGTCGGCACCTCATAGCTCTGCAGGCCCTGCTTCTCGGCGACGCGGTCGACGGCACCAGAGGTGGGCATGGAGCGGGCCAGGCCGTAAACACCCTGCTTCTGGAACCAGGGAATCAGCTTGGCGTGGTGGGCAATGATCGCCAGGCTGTCGCCGGGCGAGACGAAGCTATTGGCGCCATAGATCATGTTGCGGTCACCATCGCCGTCGCTGGCAGCACCGAAGTGCACGCCACCCTTGTCGACAGCCTCGACGAGCTCGTGAGCGTACACGAGGTTGGGGTCGGGGTGGCCGCCGCCAAAGTCCGGCTTGGGCACGCAGTTCATGGTGCTGCTGGCAGGCAACCCAAGCTCCTTGACGAAGATGTCCACGCCGTAGGGCCCGGTGACACCGTGCATACCGTCGAAGAGCACCTTGAAGTCCTTGTGGGTGCTGAGGAACTCCTTGATCAGGTCGAAGTCGAAGATCTCCTTCATCATGGTGACGTAGTCGGCGGTGGAGTGGACGACCTCGACCTCGAGGGGACCGTAGGTCTTGGTGCCAATGCTGGAGATGTCGACATCCGGGATGTCAGCGTACTTGAAGGAGGTCAGAGACTTGGAGGTCTCGTAGATCTTGTTGGTGATGGCCTCAGGGGCAGGGGCACCGTTGGCCAGGTTGTACTTGATGCCAAAGTCGTTGTCCGGGCCTGTGAGATGAACACAAGGTTAGCACCAAACATTGACGACATAACAAGCGTCTCTCTCCTCTCCACTTACCACCGGGGTTGTGACTGGCAGTCAGAAGAATACCACCAGTCGCCTTACGCACGCGAATCAGGTTGCTCGCAGCGGGGGTGCTCATAATGCCATCCTGGCCGACCAGCAGCTTCTTGACGCCGTAGGCGGCGGAGATCTTGGCGATCTTGTTGATCACCTCATCGTTGTAGTAACGGCCGTCGCCACCAATGACGAGGAAGGAGCCCTCGACACCCTCCGGGATCGACAGAAGGATACTGGTGATGAAGGACTCGGAGTAATTGGGCTGCTGGAAGACCTTGACCTTCTTGCGGAGACCAGAACTAGAGGGGGCGGGAGGGGGTAAGCAAGGGAGAATCAACGAAGGGGGGGGGGGGGGGAGGGGATTCGGGATTCAACGTACGTGCCCGGCTTCTGGTCGGCAAAGGGCTGGATGGAGACCGTTTGGACCGACATGGTGAACGTTGTGAGGGTGTGAAGGGGAGGAAGAAGGGGAAGTTCACCGACAGACGAGGGGCTGGCGTCATGTGTTGATCATCCCACATCCCACCTTGAGTGGCACTAGCTGAGACAGCTCAGCCATGCATCCCACCGGGCCCCTGCCACGAAATTTTTTAACACGAAGCTGCCCGGACCTTTCAATTCCACCCAGACTTGTTGCTTTAGCTGGCCACATCTTGTATATAGTCCTAGAGAGGTGTTGTGGTACCCTGGAAGCCCCCTGCCCCAGCAGAGCTCTGTTTCCGCACGGGGAGAAATCTAACCATTCGCCCGCGGGGCAGAGAGCTCCCCAACATTTTCTACAAGTCACAACAACCACAGCAACAACCGATCTCGGACTCAATTGGTATCAAATAACGTGGAAACACATAAATAAGAACTGCCTAGAAACCCGCCTTTAGTCGAACAACTTTTCTCGGTAGAAGCGCATCTCGGCAATGCTCTCCAAGATGTCGTCGCGCGCCAGATGCACCTCTCGCTTGGGCGGAACCTGCGCCAACAACTCCTCGTTGCCCCAACGGCGCGCAGCCTCCTTGATAGTACTCACATCCAAGATGCGGTAATGCAAAAACTCGAGCACCTTCGCGTAGGGCCCACGTGCCAAGAAGGCCTTATCAGCGTGGACACTGTTGCCCGCTAGCAGGGCAGTGCGCGGAGCCGGGACATGCTGGCGGATGTACGCCAGCAGCGCGTTGGCGGCGTCGGCCGCACTGGTCGTCGAGGCCCGCACGGCTGCCGTCAGGCCCGTGCGGCCGTGGGTGTCGATGCACCAGGCCGACATGCGGTCAAGGGCGGTGTCCGGGTGGTGGATAACCGCGTCAAAGCCGTGGGGCTCGAGGAGCCGGAGCTGTGCGTCTGTGATGAAACAGCAGATTTGAAGGATAGTATCGTTTTCGGGGTCGAGGCCCGTCATCTGGTGGGAGGGGGTGAGTGACGCGCCTGGCTTGGGTGCTTGGGGGAAACGCACCTCGCAGTCGATCCAGACCAGCGGATCATTGGAGCGGGTGAGCGGCATGGTGGATTTGAAGCGGAGCGCGAGGAATGGCTAAATGTGTGGTTAATGGCGTAGATTGAGGTCAAAGTAGTGAACAGAGCCAGATCGGTGCGCCGTTTGAATGGTTTGGTGGTCGTCGATGGGCAGAATCACTCACCTGGTGGAGAATGCAGCCGGAATGACCCAGCGGCCGTCGCGTCAAGAAAACTGGTCGGGCTTGTCGAAGACCTCTAAGAAGCATTCCTGTAGCGAAGTGAAGCTGGGAAAAAGCTAAGAGAGCCGCAAACCCCCTCCTCTCCCCTAACAAGACACCTTCTAGTTACACTATGTCGGCCAGAGTCGGCCATAGCGTGCCTTCTAAATCTACCCGCGGAGCATGATTAATTAATTAATTGATATCTACTTTCAGGCAACACAAATACAACTTCCTCGTTACGGTCATAAACATGTCGCCCGCAGAGCAGTCCTGGAAGCAGCATCTCAGCCCGTTCTGAAAAAAACCCACCACCAATCCAGACCTTGGGAGACAAAATGAGTCCGTTGACTTCACTCCTCCTGCTTCAATGATTAACGAACACTAGTAGCCTAGTAATGAGAGCTCAATGTTCAGATAAATTATCTGTTAGAGTGTATGAGCTTTCGAAAAATATGATCCATAAGCCGACTCGCATGAAGCTGGCCATTCGGCCTCGTGAAGTATCTCAGCCTAGTATGCTAAGTTCTGATTTGAGATATCATCCAAGTAAATTAATCTATCTTGTCCTGTTAAACCCCCAATCCGTCGGATCCTGGAGCTTTACAGCCACTAAGCTACCTGACTTGCTCTCTAATAAGCGTCTTCGCCAGTCAAACACCAAGGGGCCTAAACGGCTTCTGGTGTGTTCCTAGCCGGGCAGGGGGCCAACCTACGCCAACGAACAGCTGTGCTGACTAAAGGAAACACTTCTTTCTGATTTTCTCTCTGCTGCTTTCTGTCTGATATTTATCTTTATACAAAGATTCCTGTTGCGTATGGGTCCGTAGGCATGGCACCGTGCCTTTTCCGACTATTTGTTCGGTGGTGCTCCCGAGGCGTGTGCTGGAGCAATCCAAAGTTCGAAGGCATTCAAAGGCATTTGAAGACAGGAGTGGTACCTGCTGTCACGGTTATGACTCAATGCATGACTTCTGACTTCCCACTTGTGGCTTCGCTTGATTAGTAGTCCCGCGCTGACTTTCATAGTTGAATGCACTCATGAGATATCGCTTTTGACTAATTTTGACCCCTGGGAAGCCCTGAAAGATACCATAACTCCTTCAGCCTCTTTTATAAGGTTTTGGGGCAAGACTCTGGAGTAATACGGGATCTATATGACATACATAATCGGAATAACTATCTTTGATTAGTTCCCCGCGAAACGCGGCATTGTGTGGCGTGGTGAAGTTCCGTATGGAAAGCTGGTGTGGGGTCACGCCACATCGGGATACCCATATCTTTTCTTTTCCTTCGCTCTTCTCCGATCGGCTCTTTTCCCCTAGATACTGGTATCATCACTTTCTCCAGCTTCATTATGCGTATAGACATATTCAATTCACGAGATCGGATGATTTTGCCAAAGTTGTTTATCCTCTTAACTGTAGAAATCCAGAAAGCTTAGTTACGCCTCATTTATAGAGATTGACTTTCTATAGAAGGGGCTGCGGGGCTTCGCCTTGACTAGATTATTTCTTATCAGTCGAGCTCGACTGTGCATTAAGCCGGCCCGCAATAATCCGAACTTCTTTATTTCAGCAAGGGGGGAGGTGGGCAGGGGCTCTTCTGTTTGAAAATCTTCGTTCATATATCAATTGTCTAATTCCACCGTAGGTCAAAGTTTGTCTTGTCAAACAGTAACCGACCTCCATTCTTGAGGACACCAATTATTCATTCTCACCTCTGCTCTCGGTATTGGGTTTCCAATTAGTCTCAAACTTCGGACGGGACATGGAAAAACCTACCGTCCAGCCCATCGGATCCCCAGAAGGAAAAGAGGGCACGTGATAACCCTTGCTTCATCATGACCTCTCGGAGAGGCTTAAAGATTGGCCATGACCTATCATTTTTGCTTTTTCACCTGCACTGCCCAAAGTTTGAGATTACACAAACCTGTTGGCTGTGCATGCTGTGCATGTGGTGAAGGGATGTTCCCTTTGAGTGGTTTATGCAGGATAGCGCATGAAACGTGCTATTGAATTTTCTAGCAACTCAGACGAGCCTATCTACCAGTTCATTCTTCTCCACTTGACTCCTCAAAGTCTGATCGCGATGAGTTTGCCTTTCTCAGGATGAGATGATTGGCCTCGTGTCATATTCATTCATCGATTCACATGTTTGGTCACTGCAGTATCCTGCATGATTCTGCACCTTTTCTGTGGGCCGTCTGCATAGTTCTCCCGGGGTGCCCCCTCAGCGAATCTCGGAAAAGATAGAAGACGGCCAGTATCTCTAATTTAAGAGTGCGCAGCATGCGCGAAAGGTGGTCCGACGTAAAATTTGAGATCTGGAAAGACGTGCAGCCCGGTTCAATCCATCGATTAATCAACGTGCTCCTCCCTTAACGAACCATAATATTTCAACCATGGGCAATGAGGCCATCAACAGTCAACTTCCTCACCATCACAATGCTGTCGCACTTGACGAGGAAAAGGACCCGACGGTTTTCCAGCCACCGAAGTATCTTGACGATAGGGATCCTTCATCGCATAGCTCTCAGACCGAGTTTGAAAGGGATCGAATGATCCAAGGAAGCGAAAAGTTCAATCGACTTGGCTGGAAACGTCTTACTATTGTCCTCATCGTGGAAGCCATTGCTCTTGGAAGTCTTAGCCTTCCTGCAGCATTTGCAACACTCGGCATGGTTGCCGGTGTCATTTGCTCTGTTGTGATCGGTCTCATTGCCACATACGCGAGCTTTATTGTTGGCGCTGTGAAGATCAAATATCCACAAGTTGAAAATTACGGAGATATCGGAAGATTGCTACTCGGAGAGGCGGGCTTTTGGATCATTACTGCAGTTTTCGTGTTGTCGCTTCTGCTTGGGGTGGGTTCACATTGTCTCACTGGCATAATTGCCTTGGTGAGGATCACTGAAAGTGATATATGCACAGTGATATTCGGGTTGGTCTCCGCTATTATCCTTCTCCTGGCTGCTATCCCACCAACGTTTGCGGAGCTCGCTGTGCTGGGCTATATTGATTTTGCATCAATTGTTATCGCCATAGGCATCACGATCATTGCCACGGGCGTACAGCGTGCTCAAAACCCGGGTGGACTAGCAAGTTCAACTTGGTCGGCCTGGCCTAAAGAAGACGCCGACTTTCCGAAGGTGATGGTTGCAATCAACAATATCGTATTCGCATATTCATTCGCTCCCACCTTGCCAACGTTTATGACCGAGATGCATACACCGAAGGATTATGTCAAATCCGTCTATTTAATCGGATTTATTGAGATCATCCTTTATACACTCATTGGATCTCTTGTCTACTGTTTTGTTGGCCAGGAGGTGCAGTCCCCTGCATTGCTATCAGCTGGTCCCCTTGTCTCGAGAATCGCTTTCGGGGTTGCCCTCCCAGTCATCTTTATATCCGGTTCCATCAATACCTCCGTTATCGCTCGGTATCTGCATGGACATGTTTACCGGAATTCCGTCGTTCGTTATGTGAATACGAAAATGGGGTGGATCACCTGGATCGCGCTTGTGTCTGTTCTCACATTCCTCTCATGGATAGTTGCCGAGGCTATCCCGGTGTTTTCCGACATGTTATCCATCTGTGCTGCCTTGTTTAATTCGGGCCTGTGTTTTTACGTGCCCTCAGTCATGTGGCTCGTTCTTCTCAAAGACGGGAGTTTGCTTTCGGGAGAAAATGTTCGGACCGCTTTTTACAATGGGGTTGTTTTCCTGTTTGGCATAGGTGTTCTGGTCTGTGGCATGTACGCCAACATCCTGAATCTGGTAAGTGAAGTCAAGTGACGGCTAATATGTCGCTCGAAGCTAATCCAGGTAAATAGATATCAGAGTCGAAGGCCGGAATTGTCGGTAGACCGTTCGCGTGCTCGGTGGCCGAGCTGGGTTAGTCAAGGAATTGAGTGAGAAACAACAACACAGCAAATTAGAATATGAAATGCCCACGAAGAGGCATGTATCAGGCGTGTATGGAATGAGATATACCCGTGCAAGCCCAGCTTACCAGGTCACACTGGCGAACCTAGCGACAACATCCCGTCTGGTCATTTGAGAAAGAAGTGCCAAATTGAATACGAGATGCGTCAGATAAATAAGAAAGTGAAGCCCATAGCATGCTCTTTGGATCGTCACCTAGTGCATCACAGCTATCACAAAAAGATCTTTCAAGCACTAGATCTCCTTGCTTCGATGTTGCCCACGAAACCCACATCCCATTATTCATCCTTGGAGGTATGATACTACAGCTCTTGCTATGTCTCTCAAGTCTCCTCTGCTATTACACGCTGCAAATATAAATCTATCCGGCCGGACAATGACGAACCGCACCCGTCTCAATGCCTTTCCAAGGTAGAAAGGGTCGTAGAATTCCGGCTTGGGCCTCTTGGCACACAACCGAGACTGGGCAAATTCCTCTGCAGAAGCAAGGCGATAGAGGTTCTGGCCAATTTTGCACGGATCACAGGTCGTATCCTCAACGATAAAGATGGCTTCATTAGCACGAACCTCACCACGGGACATGTCATCAATATCTGCCACAATTTCCTGGGCTGAAGAGACTTCTTCGATTGTCTTGACATAGACCAAAAGCTGAAACAAGCCCTTCTTTTCTGGTCCGAATAAAACATCATCGGTGAAGCAAACCTCTGACTGATCACTTGCCAGGGACTTGCAGTAGACCTGAGGAAGGCACAATCCCCCATTATATTCGGGAAGGAATGGCATCCCACTGGAATGCTCATAACGCACGAGCCCTTCTTTGCGTCGCCCCAGAGACACTTCATGCCGCCAGGATGGTATCAACTGTATGAACCAGAGGTATGCATTTCGTATGAATATCTTCAAGGTATTTTTTTCCGTCACAAATTGTCCGTTTTCAATAGTTGATGCCAGTGACTTCTCAAGTTGCTGCTTTCGCTCCTCGTACCACGCCTTCAAAACCTGCTTGTGAGAGCTGGAATTTTTTGACTGGATGCGACAGAGTAGAGCAAGACGCCAAGCCAGAGAAATTGCGTCACGGAAGCCAGATGCAATTGCTTGACCTCCAACTGCCAATACGATTAGCTTTGACCAAATTGTGAATCAGGGCATTATATCAACAAACATGGAGGGAAGACGTGGGCTGCATCACCACATAGGACAACTCGACCATCAGACCATCTGTTGCAGCTCCGAGCGGAGAAGATGAAGGGCCGCGATCGAAGCACTTTAATGCAGTCCTCCGGGAAAGCAACCTCCTCGGGCAGGCTGGGAAAATCTTCAGCATAGAAATTTAAGAGAATTCCGGGGGTGTATGTACCCATATCGGCTCCCAGCGTGTGTTATGTAGGGGAAAACCACTTTCTTTATCATTTCTGGCTTCGACATTTCTTCCCCATCCTCATCTTTCTGGACAACAAACTCGAATCTCCACAGCCGGTCTGATGGCAATCCGAAGCGTCCACAGACAGCTGGCCGGTTTGGGTTGCAAAGGAACCGAAAGTTGTGCGGAAAGAAAAGATCGTATACTTGTTCAGGCGTGTACCCAAGTGCCCACAACGGAAAATCGGGGTGAGTCTTCTCATCTGGAAGGCTTATTTCCCAATTCAGGGCGACCCATGTCTCTTCATAAAATGACCTGTCAAGGTTGAGAGCAGTTCCGTTCTGATCGCGCCTAAAACCACTTACTGGTGAGCCTGCTCCATACGGATTCCCCGGGGCTCAAGATACTGCTTCCGTGTGAAGCCGGTTTTGCCATCAGCACCGACGAAAAATTGCGATCGTATTTGGCGCTCTTTGCCTTGCGCATCCCGATATTGGCATAGCGTCCCTTCCCCATCTTCTGAGAGATCAATTATTTCACACCCAGATCGCAGGTTGCAGTCCTTCGAGGCTGCCATTGCATTTCGTAGGCATCTTTCCAAAGCAGGCTGTTTATGACAGATGAACCCTACGTGTCCTGTGCCTCCCTCAGTCTACCGACAGACAATCGGATGATCAGTAGTATGCTCCTATTGGAACCAAATGGCATCTTACTGTTGCGTAGTTCATTTCAATAAACGCTCGCTTATCCAAAACGGGGTCAGTTCCTCCAATAAACTTGAATGTGTACATGCCTGCATATAAATTAGCCAATCTATCTGGTCCTGAGTAGCACCTGAGTTCCAATTCCCGGATTCTGTCGGTCGGCAAGGAGGGCAGCGTCTCACAAGTCCCGATTTCTGAGTAGACCGATGGGTACAGGCCAACTCCCTGTAACAAGCGAATACCATCTTCATCCAAGGCAATGCCGCGAGGGTCTGTTGTAATCTCTGTTTCTTTTTCCAAAACAATGTTGCGGATGTTCATTTTGCCCAGGTACGCAGACAACATCGCCCCAGTTGGGCCACAGCCGCAAATGACCACGGCTGTGGTTTCGCACTCTAGGTCGGACATTTCGAGCGAATGGAAAAGACAGCCAAATATTCAATATAGCAATCTATAACATGTCGTATAGAGACCTTCGCATCCTCGGTTGACGAACACAGCCGCTCATCCCTTCTTCCCAGTAGGGATGCGGAGGGTCCCACGTTACTCAGCGGATCTCGCTTATTCAGTCAAACAAGTCCCGCACTAGGGAAGCAGAGCACCGACTGCTGCACAGTATACGTGGGGCATGGAATCTACATTCCTAGTGTGGGGTAGTTTCGTCCTCGTGCATACAGTAGATACTATATCCGTAGTGAAAGACACACGTTCGTATATCCGAGACCAAAGTCACCCCGGCCCCACGTTCCGCAAAATGTGGGGACCCCAACTGTCCGGCAGTCTATATGGTAAAGACGCTTGGCTCAACTCATATTTCTACTTTTCGAAATCGTGAACCAATTTCCTAATAATTTCGCAAAACATGCCTTACTGGACTCATTTGATTCGTTTCATCGCGGTGGAGGATAGCCTCGTCCACCTCGGCCAACTTGTCGATACTACTCGCGATATCGGTCGCGACAGCGTGGATGGGGTTGAGATTGCAGCCTACGTGATTGAAGGAACGATTTTTGATGGCAAGGTCACCAAGGAAATCTTGCATGTCAAGCAGGTACACTGGCCTCCGGAAACTGATCTAGATAGAAGACTTACTTCTCTAGTTATTGTCGCCCGTTTCTAGGGAAGAATGCAACTACATTCGATGTTTGGGACTGAACTACAGGGATCATGCCAATGTAAGCGGAAATAGTACACTACAAAGAAGTATTTACAGGCTCATAACCTCAAGGAAGCGAACTTGGCTATCCCCAAGGCCCCGATCCTTTTCACCAAGCCGCGCACTGCCCTGATCGGACCGTACCCGGCCGCTATCAATGTCCCCAAGTGTGCACAAGATGATACCAGTGACTATGAAGCTGAGCTTTGTGTGGTAATTGGCAAGAGTGGCCGTGACATCCCGGAAGAAGAAGCGCTTGAATATGTGCTTGGATATACGGCGTCGAACGATGTGTCTGCCAGAACCCTGCAGTTGATTACTACACAGTGGTCGTTCTCCAAGGGCCTTGACGGGAGTTGCCCAATCGGTAGGTCAACCAATTCACCATAACGGTTTAATTCGGCCTCAGATTAATCTTGAACCATTTTACAGGGCCCGTTCTGATAGCTTCGTCCGTGATTAATGACCCCCAGGCACTGTCCATTCAGGCAATTCATAACGGCGCTACGGTCCAGGATGGCCACACCAAGGATATGATATTTTCCATCAAGAAGCAAATTTCATATCTTTCTCAAGGTACGACATTGGAAGCTGGAACTCTCTTTTTGACGGGAACACCCGCTGGCATCGGTCACTACCGCGAGCCGAGAGTGGTGCTGAAAGACGGGGACGAAATTTCCATCCAGATTGACCAGATCGGAACTCTCGTCAACAAAGTTCGTTACGATACTCGCTAGCGTTTGTTGAGATAATAATGCGATGATTTTATTCCTAGCCTGATAGACAAAGGGTTTGAGAATATAGAGACGTCACAGCAGACTTGACAAGGGTAAAAGATTATATGACAAAGCGACACAAGTAACTCTAGCCCAAAGAAACTCGGTAGGTCAATCTTCGCTCGGACCGACTATATGTAACTCCGATCGCTGACGGCCTCGACTCCGCCGAATCCGGCGCAATGCGCTGTGCCGGCGTAACCGTCTACTTAGCCCTGAAGCACAGCAACGCCCGCCCGTGCCAGTGGGTAGTCATCTCCAGCGCCGGCGCCGGCCTAGGCCACTTCGCAACACAACTCGCCAGCAAAGCCATGGGCCTGCGCGTAATCGGAATTGACCACGGCAGCGAAGCTGAGCTCACGAAAGCTTCCGGCGCTGAACATTTCGTCGACATTACACAGTTCCCCTCCGATGATAAGGGCGAGACTTTGACTAAGCATGTCCATGAACTGGCAGATGGGCTCTCGTTGCCCATGCTGCGGTGGTCTGTACAGCTGCGAATGCAGCGTACGCGCAGGCGTTACCGTTGTTGAGGTTTAATGGAACGCTAGTCTGTGTAGCCATTCCGGAGAATGAGCCTAAGGCTATTGGGTCGGCGTTCCCTTCTTCGTTTAACAATAAGCATTTGACTGTTACGGGGTCGGCGGTAGGAATCGCACGGAGGCTATTGAGACATTCAAGTTTGCCGAGAGGGGGATTCTTACGGCTCATTATAGGACTGAGAAGATGGATAAGCTGACTGAGGTGGTTAAGGAGACGGGAGACGGGAAGTTGCAGGGGGTCGTGTGGTGTTGGATCTGTCGGGTTGATGGGATAGCTCGGAATTTTATGATTGAACGTATGGAAATTGCGAGATGGTGAGAAATCAATATGTAGTTTATGTATATTTGAATGCATTCGTGAGTCAAGTCTATTGGCAAGTATTTGCAAAGCTTCATCACTCTCCCCTTGGCAGCCCGAGCCCCCTCAAAACATTCATGGGCCCAAGTTCCTTCCATGAATCCAATTGCTCCTGAGTCCAGATAGCAATTGAACCCATCATCCCAGCCGAGTTCGCCGTAAGTCCATGGAACTCCTTGGCCTGTCGTGGAATAACCACCATCCACCTTTGCGTGAGAACAAAATTGTGAGGACAAGCAACATTAGTCGACAAGTTGAGCACCTCTCGGGCCTGTTGCAGCAATTTTTGATAGATTTCTAGCAGCTGTTGACCGTCCTTCACCCGTTTCTCTGGTAACTCCTCGAACCTCTGCACAAAATTTACAAACCCAGGCTCTCTCTGTTCAGGATCATCCAGAAAGAACTTGAAACCCTCATCATACCCTTCATGCCTCCCTGGTGCCGGAATAACCTGTAAATGCTTGTGCTCCCTACTTGAACCGGCCAAAAGCCCGCAATTAAAAAAAACGTAATGTTCTTCCTTCAGCCCGCAAATGGCACTCCACCCAGCCTCCAAGTCATCAAGCTCAAGAGGCTCGTGCTGTCGACGGTACGAATCAACCGTTAACAACAGCAACATGGGTCTGAAGACGGGAAACTTATTCATGACCAGGTAATGCGTCTCATTGACCGTCGTGATACAGACATCTGGGTGGTCGTTTGCAATGTCGCTCCCTGGGCCGAAGGATATGGGCTGAGAGGCGACGCCATTGATCATGCTTGACTTTGTGGTCTCGGGGGCATCTTCAGCTTGGGGTTTGGTTTTGAGTGACTCAACGAAGTGGAAAGAGAACTGCATTGATTATTTTTATATTGATTAGTTGGTTGTTGGATGCGAGGGCGGTGGGGACGAACGATCATCCCGTTATCTGTGACGAGGATTGGTTTGCTGGGTTGGTAGGTTATGGTGCCATTGGAGATGAGGCGGTCGAATGTGGTGCATATTTCTTCGTAACTTAGGTTGAGGGGCATTTCGGAAAAGAGATCTCACGCTCAGAGTGACGACCAACGCGTACTATCAGATTGATGAGGCAAATGCCAAGTTTAGAATCGAGGGGCAGAAACACGGTCCGAGAGATCACGGGACCTGCCCCACTGTTTAGATAGGCAGATATTTGGCTGCCAACTAGATGTTCATCAGCATTATAGTTTCGTATGCAGAGTTTATCCGACGAGAATGGTTGAGCATAAGGTTCGGTTAACACATGATCTACTTTGTAGTGGCGTGAATGGCGATACGCTATGTCAATCACAATGGCGAAGTCGAATATGATGATCCATCTTCTTCCTCATTACTTTTTTTTTTGGGTAAGTCAACTAGTGGTGAGTGAGCATGAAGCTTTCACACTATGTTCAGTGAGTGCAAGAGCAAGATTTGAAGGCTTCCCGTCAGGGAGGCGCATTATGGAAAAGTGCACATTGTTCACTGTATATATTTTCTCGCAGAGTACACCGCCAACAATGTTATCAAATGGCTGCAATGATAAAGTATACACGTGCTGAAAGGAAGCAAAATCGTTGGAACAAGGCAAATATTGGGGTTTGGACTACCGTACGAAGTGGCTTGTCACTAGCGCTTATATGCAACACGGAATACGCCTATCTATTCTGGTTTAGGTCTGGTCCAGTTACTTATCGAATAAGAATCAGGTTATCCAGCCTGTCAGATAGTTATCCCGCCACCTTTATTTCCCACGAAGGTTGTGATACCCCTCTTCCATACACCAATAGGCACTTGCGAGAAACCCCAGCCTCCACAGCCGAGATCTGCCCTCAAGCCACATTGGGGCAGATTTACATCCAACAAATCATCACATCCAGGTCGAGCTTTGAGATAAAATAACCTTGGTGAAACGAAATCCGCGTGACATCTGCGTATTGCCGCCAAGAAAATGGACTGCTGCATGAATCAGCCAATGGACTAAAAATGCCAATCCTTCAGGGTGTTTCGATAGGTTCACCCGTCTCGTGTTCTCAAACACATCTTTACCCAGGTGCAAGCCCATGGGGCCAGGCTCCTTTGCTACCGAACGCGCCTCAAAAAATCCTAAGTTTGTTTCTTGAACATCCACATTTCATTCTTCGTCGAAGTGGCCCATCAGTTATCTTGTGTTTCCCTAGACTCACACCATCGAGACAACATCATGTCTGAGCGGAAAGATCCTCTCGATCTGGCCGAGACAGGCGATCTCACCACATTTTCAAAGCTTGAGGCTTCACTTGTTCAAACTGAGGTTGTACAGCGCCCGAACTCAAGGGCACAAAATGATGTCTATCGCCATGCTGAGAGCTCTGATCTTTCTGTCAATGAGCTGGACTTCAATTACGACCTCGATACGGGCCATTATCCTTTAGGCAATCTCAGATCACTTCAGCAGGTCTTTGATGCTGTGCAATGTCATCGCGAATTGGAGAAGGAAGAAAACTTTTCGCTTAAGACTCGTGTTGAGTGTTTGAAGGTCAATTCACAGGGAGGAGGTAAGTTTACAGACCAGTTCAGCTGTTCTGACTTTTCTTTTATTTGAGGCTGATTGTGGTCTAGAGTGGTCAAGTCTGGATGAGGATGGCATGGACAACCTTCTACGGGTACTTTCGTCCCATTTCGAACTAGCTTTACTCAACTAATTTATTTGGAGTCATTTTCTGAGAATTCCCTTCCGCTCCCGATCGATAATTCTCGTGGTCGCAACATGCTTGTTTTGTGAGAAGCTCGTCCCTACCTACCGCTTGAAGTCGTGCTGATTCGGTTAGCCTTTTACCCTTGGTGCCTGTTGAGAATACCTCTTACGGTTCCCGCATCTTAATGACTCTGGAAAATGCCAACCAATTCCTAAAGACTTTTGATGTCAATCCTTTGTTCTTGTTGAACATGATCGGTCGGCCTGATTACTGGGCACCGCAGACTCATTGGGAAGCCGATGATGATGGCAGGTTGCTGGCTTGCGGTAAGAAAGAGACTCAAGATCTATGAGACAACTCTGAACTTTCTTCAGATTTGTTTTGTCAACACCCTCGCTGGAACCTCCATTTTCAAGGGGCTCCACTCTCAGTTTATATGCGCCACGATATTACTCGCGACTTGACAACATACATCATATCCCATAAAGAATTCGATACCTCCGTTACCACACTGAAATCTCTCCTGGGCATAGCACTCAACACGGCATCCGCGGCCCAGAAACCAGCTGTCTTCCTAGACGACCCATTCGATATCCATGTCATTCTCTCAACACTATCATTTGAGTCCTCAAAATTTCACGTCAAACGCTTTCAAAGGTTTATGTGGGCCCAGATCAACAAAGTAGACGACCATCTCGGCGGCCTCGAGACCAGCGACCGAGCGAAACTAGGAGATCTCACCAAACAACTCCAGATCATTTCCCAGAACGCTGATTCTCATATCGGCAACGCCGATGTGGCCATCATCACAGCCACGGCTATCCAAAACGCACACTCCCGCCTCATACCATCACTACCGCGATCCAGTCCCTTCATCTACCAACGAGTAGATGACTCAATATCCTATGTCATTGGTTCAATGAAGAAGCAGAAAATTTGGTTCTTAAACTACAAGCAGCGCAAGGACAGTACCATGTCGCTGGTCTATAACCTCGTGACCCAGCAGGATGCTGCGAACAATATCCAGATTGCTCATAGTATGAAGCAGGATTCTACGTCTATGAATGCGATAGCTGCTTTGACTATGGTATTCTTGCCGGGTACGTTTGCAGGTACAATCGTCGGCGCGGGAGTCTTTGGGGGTGAGATTACTGGAGCGAAGGTTTGGTGGGTTTGGGTGGGGATCACGGTGCCTTTGACGGTAGTGGTTATGATTTGTTGGTTGCTCTACCAGAACGCAAAGAAACCTACGATCAATGCTAGCTGGGTTGGGAAGAAGGGTAGGAGTGATCCTGCCATAGATAGGGCGTCGAGTTATAGGCGGCGGTCTAGTGTCTTTTCAAGCGGGTTTTCGTTTCGTGGCCGGGGGGGAAAGGCGAGCATAGACAAGAACATTTGAGTGCGTAGGATATAGTACTGCTATTCTGGTAATCATGTGAAGCCTTGGTGTTGGATCTAGTTTCTAAAAAAAAGAAAAGAAAAAAAGAAAAGGGGTTCCCATTTCTAGTCGAAAAACAGGGCCAGTTGGCGCACATTCAATCCTACTCCATGGCTTGAGTATATATCACCGACCATCCGGGCAGCTGGAGGAACCGAACTAGGAAGGCATGCGTTTTCCATCAAATCACTTCAAAAACCAAGAGGGGACCTCTGGTCCCCAAACTGCTAGAGACTCATCCCCAGCCGGCCCGTATCCTATAGGTGTCTGATCATTTACCAGATCACCATCTGCATAGTGCTCGATCATGTTACCGGTGGTGTCCCACCAGTAATCAAAAATCTGTGAACCTAAAATATGTCGGCCAACGCCCCATACGGATTGATACTTCTTGCCTGACAGCCACTGGTGTCCTAGCTTCTGTGTGTCAAAGTCATGAACTTCAAATGAGCAGTGATGGACATGTGTTGTCACATTTGTACTTATGAAGAAGCTGTGGTGGTCCACATAATCGCCGCCACGGTCAATGTGAGCGAACAGCGCGACGTTCTTCTTCTGGCCCTCTCTTTCCACATAGAGGAAATCAGTTGGCACGATATTGAAGTTTGTGGTGTAGAAAGTGACTAGATCGTCAAATCTCTGCGTGCAAACTCCAAAGTGTCCAAGCTATCACCAGTGAGATTAGTTAGGTGAAAGTTGGATGTAAACGCTTTGGGAGGGTACGCACTTTATGCACAGCGGCAGGACCTGGCTGGAACCGCTGAAATCTACGCGTCCGAGGCTTTTCCGTTTCGTAGTTGAGTATGAGCTTCTCTGGAAATTCAGTCTTCTTCGGTGCTTCTTGTCCGAACATCAAGTTGACGGGAAACCCTTCAGGGTCTGTCAATGTCACCATAGATCCACCCCCAGGAGCATCAGACAGCTCTCGGATTTCGCCAGCTGTTGGCAGCTGAGCGGCTCTGTCAAAATTCCTGTTAGATTTGTAGTTCAAGATGCATGAAGGCTCCATACTTCTCTAGATCCTGGTAAGTCTCCACGGCAAAAGTGCCTCCAAGAAACTCCTTAGGCCCCTTGCGAGCGTAGTAAACGTACTGATCATCTCCATAGCCTCGATACCAGATCTGCTCTTCCGTTCGCTTTGCCACCGTCATACCAAAGTCTAGACGATTTAAGTGTGAGCTCACATACCGAAACTAAGAGGATAATAGAGTGTTGAGCCCTAACATACCCTCAAGGAAGGTGGTGATCTGATCTAGATCGGGATGTTGGTACCGCATGTGTGCCAGCTTGACCAGGCGAATTTGGTCGCCTTTCTTGATGCCGCATTGCTGTTGCCATTTTGTTACACTCTCTCGCTCGCTGCTGATGGCAACGACGTCGGGCACTGAGGCACCGTGATTTGGACGAGCCATAACTGATAGGGTGGTGGAATGGACTTTACATTCTCAAAGCTAACATAGGTGCGAGAGCTATGTTCGGGGCTATTAAACCAAGATGTCCCCACTAGCAGGCCCCGCAGATCAACCGTCCCCCCACCATCTTATATCCGAGCCGGAACTTACCCCCTCCAACCGTGGAGATGTGGCTGATGAACGTTATTCAGCAGATCGCCCCAAGAGCTAACGTTAATTTCTTCCATCAAAACGTTTAATATGCTCGACTATTATTACTTCCTATTTTGCTTGTTTCTGCGCGTATTGGCAAGTTCGCTTGATGACAAGCAAAGGCCATTCGGCCCCCTAATGCGTCCCGCTGCGGTGGACTTCACGCGTCCGCGCTTTCCCTTCCTACAAGATTCATGGCCAGTCCTCGAGACTATCCGCGAACAAGCGCTTCAGGCTAAATTCATGCTCGTTGGATTTTGACTCGGAAGTAATTTTTCGAATCTATGTTGATTACTCCACGCCACGATTAGATCTCCTCCTTCCGCTATTTAAGGGCTTACTAAGTCCTTATTCATTTTCATTTTCATTTTCATTTTCATTTTCATTTTCATTTTCTTTTTCTTTTTCTTTTTCTTTTTCTTTTTCTTTTTCTTCTTCTTCTTCTTCTTCTTCTTCTTCTTCTTCTTCTTCTTCTTCTTCTTCTTCTTCTTCTTCTTCTTCTTCTTCTTCTTCTTCTTCTTCTTCTTCTTCTTCTTCTTCTTCTTCTTCTTCTTCTTCTTCTTCTTCTTCTTCTTCTACGACTTATTTACGCCTCTAGCGGTTTACTTTTGCTTTCTCCCATTTACACTTTCCTATAGAATCGGATAACTAATCGTCCCATTATCACGATTAACTTTCTATCAAGGCGATAAGCAAACTTAGGAGGTATATTCAAAAGTACGATCCACTCTAACCAAACTATCCATTAGCCTTAGATGGGGGTTAGAAACCCGGAATTTAATTCAACAACCTGGTGACTTGAGTCAAGGACCGTGTGCTAAACTACCCGAAATCTTTAGGATACCCGCAAGAATCGAATTAATAAAGGACATACACCGGCGCAGGCAAAAGGCTCAGGAGAAGGCACAGTCGCAGATATGTGAAGAAGCATTTTAGTTTCAGGTTTATATCAAACTTTCCTATAGGTACTTTCTGCATTTACTCTAATTTTTCCCAACCTTCCACAGACTTTTGATACTTATGTAGGTACTCCAACCCGTGGATTACGCTAGGGTCAGCCTGTTACAGCCGGTAATGTTCCAGTCAGGATGGCTGCCATAAAAATGAGGGCGATTTGCCGGTAGACCAGACTTGCCCGATCAGTACTCAGTAGCGCCACGCCAAGCTCGCTAACTGGTTAGTTGTTCCAGAATCGTATAAGTGCGACTGTACGACTGGGCTTCCCACTCAGGGTCTTACCCCCGGTCTCAGACTTTCCCTGTTCTCCAGATAATGGATCTCTACATATTGTATTATCTCTTTCTGCTGCTGCTTTTCGGATATTTCATGCTCTTTCACTTTCAACGCATGACTCTTGTCCGCCCTGGTCATTCTGCTTCTTCTTCCCCGACGACCGTCGACCCAGCTTCAATGAACAAACTGGTGGATGAAATTGACGAAAATTCTTTCTACCATCACCCGTCCTGGCCCCAGCGATGGTCGCACCCAGACTTCACCGGCGATTACACTAAAGCTTGGAGCGCGTCATGGCGCAGACAGGCGGAAGGCCAAACGACACGGTTTCTTTCCCCCTCAATGGAGTATAAGTTCCCGTGGGGTTACATCATATATCGAACCGTCTACACTCCTAAATCAGACGAGCTATGGCCCATTGCTATGGAAAAACTCGGTCATATTATAAATTCTTCGATTGACGCCGGACTCCACGCTAAGATTCGTCATAATAGGCCCGAGGACCCGGAATCCAATGAAGAGCCAGAGCGACTCGTGAAGGAATCGCGCAAGGATGTCATTTTTTCAGACAAGAGGTTCTGGGATAGGGCCGGGATTGAGCAGATTCGTCAACACTTTCGCGAGTATCTTCGTGCAAGCAAGGGCACAATCTATGGCCGATTCAAAGGATGCCTTGTCATTGATGAACTGTCCCTGAAGTCGATTGTTTTCAGCGATGTCCCTCAGCCCTGGCTCGGCGGGAGATCGCCTAATATGGGTCAGTATTGCTTAGGTGTTGTTGGTATGATCGATGGGCTGTATCCTGAAAGTCGGGATCATCCGCGATATACTGGCTTCATGCGGGTGTATGTCCGTTCTCTGTGGGATTTGTACTGCCAATTGTGCCGGGAGAATATGCGCGAGTCGATTCCCTATCCGTATTTGTTCTCCGTTCCCGAGGGTTTGATCCCCGTCTATGATGGTGGAACTGGGGAAGCGCAGGATGAGGAGGGAAATATCTATCCAATTGTATTGGAACGGCCCAAACGGGGCCCTCGGGTGGCTTGAAAAATCATTCGCACAGGCTGTGAAAGGTCCATACTAGAGTGGGGAAGAGCTTTGCATAGGTGCATGGAAGTACTGAATGGTGGTAGATTATAGACCTACTAATAGGGATTAATAGAAAGCACAAAGATTCGTCTGAGTGAGAAAACATGGTCTCTTTCTCCATTTAGGTCATAGTCTATCTCGACTTATACCTCCCTAAAGCTACTAGAAAGATCTTCCCCGCTTCCGCACCGTCATATGCTGTTATTGCAATCCTACTGGCTTTGATATGCGCCGGGAAGAGAATTCAGGGAAGGCGGAAGATACTATCTGCCGTAAACATATCGTTAAAAATTGCTATTATGAATACAAGAACAATAATATTAAAGATAGGTTATTTAACTTCGGATAGGTATTAGAAAGATTTTCCTCTAGGAGTATTAGTCTAGAGTACAAGTAGAGACCTCTAGTAGTCTTGACCCCTGGTTCCTATGCACATAGAGTGCTCGGGTGTAGTACTAGAGAGCAACGGCGGCAATCGCAGCAGCAACGATGGCCATGATGCCAGCCAAGTTGGTAGCAGCAAGACCAGTAGCACCGCCAGTCTGAGTGGTAGTCGCAGCAGAAGAGGTTGAGTTTCCGGCCTTCGAGACAGGCGAGGTGGTAGTTTTCATAGAAACAACAGGCGAGCTAGTCGGCGCAGCAGTAATCACGCTGCTACGGGTTTGAGTATGGGTGGCGGATAGGGTGACGGGCAAGGTGACGGACGATTCGGTAAAGTCACCAGTCGATTCCGCCTTGGTGGAGGACGAAGTCTGCGAGATGGTGGTGGTAGTCGCGGCAAGCTTGCCGTTGGGGCCCCAGCCAGGCATGTAGCTAGGGGTCAATGTCGCGGTGCCGGAATACAGAGGGCAGCCAGGCTGGGTGGTCTTTGGGGGAGCACGACCGCCGCCGCAGTCCACGAAGTCGCAGATCTCGCCGGTGTCAGGAACCCACCAGATCATACTGGCTTCTTGCCACTGGTTGGTGGTTTGCGAGGAGATGCAGCCGCTGATGTCGGTGCGGGCAGTTGCGAGGCCAGCAAGGCCGAGGAGAACGGGCAGGGCAAAGGCCTTCATGTTTGCGGGTGGTATATAACGAATGGACGGTGCAGAATGCAAGAAAAGAGTGGTCTTAGTTGATCGGTTCAAACGAGCGACGGCGTAGAAATTCGATCATTCGCGGCAAGACGCTTCAGCAGAAAGCCCGCGAGTGCTGGTTTATGTGTCATTTCTGTTCCTCCGGCTTTGGAACCCGTATTAGATCTAGCACCAAACTCTCTGCCGGTGTCACCGGCCACATCTAGATTTGGGCCCATCTAGTCCGCCTAAAAGCGAGAAAAGGTGCAGTTGGGGTCCCCGCCAAGAAATGAGTGGCGCCCATTGCCGGCGCGCCATTGGACTGCCGGGCTCGAACCGAGCCTGGTGGAGGAGCCATTTGGCAATTAGTGAGCCTCAGGGTCCTGTTTGCTGGGGGAAATTTCGGATCCTGGCTCGGGCCAGGGGTGTTCAGCCTGTTTGATTGGTAGGGTTTTGCCCCCCTAGAAGTTGATGCCGAACCTCCGATCTGGGGTTTATTTATAGCGTGGAGCATGGATCACAATCATAGGACGCGATAGAAAACGCTCGCGTTGGGGGAAATCATGTCCAGTGGGGATATGACCCAGCGGAGGTTTTATTTTGGCTCGCATGATTGGGGAAAATTTCGAGGGGGATTGCGACAGTCGCGCGTGGGTCATGCTTTCCCACACTTTTCCCACACTTGGAGCGCCTCGCTGCCTCGCCGCCTCAGGGTCCTTTCTAGGCGACTATGACACTAGTTGAATACCCAGTATAGAAGGCAACCTTTTCGAAAAGAATGCATGGAACGAACGAGTTTGAATATTCAGACTAACTACCTAGCCTCTTGGCTGTTCCTGATCTCCTAAAAACACAAGACGCAAAGAAAAATCTCAGATCGCGAAAAGAAAACATCGGCATCAACATCGGCATCAAGTGCGTTGAGCGCGCGCAATAAAGACCGTCTTGCGGTGAGTCTTCTCCTCCGTTTTGAAGACCAACTCCTCCGGAATTACCTCATATTTAAATTGAGTATCCAGCCCCGCATCCTGAAACAAATTCTCCATATCCTGCTGAGAGAATCCGTGCGTCTTGACAGTGTGGGCCGCCTCGCCGAAATCGTGGCCAGGCTTGCCATGCCCGTGGCTGTGACCGTGTCCATGATCGTTTTCATGGTCATGCCCTGAGTGCGGCACCAAGTCGATGATCAAGAATGCGCCACCCTTCTTTAACCGCGTGGCTAGCCGCTGCAGCGCCATATCAGGGTGTTCAAAGTGGTGCAGCGCCATGCTGACGACCACCAAATCAAAGTCGGTGAACTCGGGTCCAGAAAACTCTGCTGGGGCAGGTTCAGCAAGTAGATCGGCCTTGTAACCGATCATCTTGTTGCTTAGTCCGATTGCACTGGAATTGCGGTTGAACTCGTTCACCATTTTTTCGGAGACATCGATCCCGACTACTTTCGTCAGGAATGGTGCCAGCGTCTTTCCGGTGCATCAGTACGGATTTCAACATTTAACTGCAATCGTGGGGTACCAGGTTGCTCACCGTTGAGATGACGCCAGGCCCACAGGCATATTCGAGCATCTTAATTTCCTGGCCCCTGCCCGCTTCGGTATCGGTCCATCGATCACCTAGCCAAAGCCGGTGCTTGAGAGTCTGGTTGGAGAGTATTTTCATGGAATCGGCAAATTTGCTTTGGTAAGTAGCTGCCATTTGACTAGATAATGTCGGAGTCAGCCAACTCCAAATGATGTATATCTCGGAGTAAATTGAGTGCTAAATCCCTTACTCAAAATAGTTCCGATTTGCTTCTGTGAATTCAGTCATTATGCAAGGAGGTCAATATAAGAATTGCGAATAAAGGTGGTTGGTCAAATGAATCTGAAAAGGTCGAGGAAAGCCGTGTAGTGTGGACGGATGAACCGTTGTTGAACGGAAGAGTGTTTATGTATGTGGTGCTTCGGAGACTTCCTCGGAGACTTCCAACGCTCACGGAGTCAGCTTTCTACGGAATAAGACAACCATCAAAACCCCTCGGAGATATACGTAGTTTTCAAGGTACCTAAAAGTCTAAATGTCTCCGAAAGCGTGAAGCAAGAGCTAAAGCCATTATTGGAAATTCCACTGTCTTGACAGGCTTTCACTGCGGATGGAGCTGGCATCCATGCACCTTCTAGCACCAGACTTCAATACACCAATTTTTAGTAGCCATTCATTATATTTACAAATAACCAGTTGGAATGAACCATGCTTCTCCAACGAGGCGGACAGGCTGTGTAACCAAGATGAGGAGGATAGCGAGCCTGGGGCACGGGGCCAGGAACAGAACAGCTACCTCACCGCCCGCGAGCTCCAAACTGCCAAAAAGACATCATCAGCTCCGTCCGCCAGCGTCCTCCACCAATCCCCACATCTAACGAGTTCTCTTCCTGACCCTCTATCTCTTGTCCTAATTACCATCTCCTCCTGTCTGTGATCTTATCTACGAATCCTCATTGATCTGCGTCCAGCTCTCCGCCATGGACTCCTCCAAGATCCCGGATTTCTTGGCTGAGCAGCAAGCACAAGGCACGCCCGAGACGCAGACCTATTTCCTCACCTTTGAAGACTTCTGGGAGCGGAAGCTATGGCATCAGCTTACAGACGCGCTGGTGGAATTCTTCCGCATGCCAGAGAGCGCCCCGCAGCGCCTAGCCATCTTCAAGGCGTTCGTGCTCAGCTTCGCTGATCGGATCAACCAACTGAAGTTCGTGTCGCTGGGGTTGATGGCATCGACAGAATGCTCAGGTGAGTTTGTACTTGGGTGAATTATTGCGAGGCCCATTTTTTCATGTCCTGCCTTCTGAATGAATTGCTAAATGTCCCCGGGGGAATGATAGATGACCAGGAACGGCTCGCTTTCCTCACAGCCCTTGCCAACAAGGTCAACAAACCCGAATCACAAGATGCATACGTCTATGCGCTCGCCGATGTCGCCAGTGTCAAGCTGCGGCTACCAGATTTGGATGGAGCACAGAAGGATCTCGCAGACAGCCAGAAGGTGTTGGACTCGTTTGATTCGGTCGAGACCGTCGTACATGCGTCATTCTACAAAGTGAACGCAGACTACTATCACGTACGTATCATCACCCTTGAAACCAGAGTCTGAACGAGGCGACGACGTGGGAAATGGAAGAACAGCCTCGTGAAACTAACATTGTCGCAGACTAAGCAAGAATTCGCCTCCTTCTACAAAAACGCCCTCCTCTACCTGGCCTGTATCGATCTCGAAGATCTTCCCGAGAGCGAGCGTGTCTCTCGCGCCTATAACCTCAGCGTCGCCGCGCTGGTCTCGGACTCCATTTACAACTTCGGCGAGCTCCTCCTGCACCCAATCCTGGATTCCCTGACTGAGACACCGCACAACTGGCTACGCGACCTCCTCTTCGCCTTCAACCGGGGCGACCTGACTGCATACGATGTGCTTGCCGGCAACATCAGCAAGAACAAGCTGCTGGAGTCACACCGGATGTTCCTGTACCAGAAGATCTCGCTGTCCGCGCTGACGGAGATGGTCTTCCGGCGCCCGCCGCACGACCGCTCACTCGCCTTCGGTGATATCGCCTCCGAGACGAAGGTGCAGCCTGACGAGATTGAGCATCTGGTTATGAAGGCTCTGTCGCTGGGTTTGCTGAAGGGATCGATTGATCAGGTTGGACAGGTGGCGCAGATTCATTGGGTGCAGCCGAAGGTGTTGGACATGAAGCAGATTGATGGCATGCGGAACCGTTTGAAGGACTGGGATGCCGGTGTTAATCAGCTTGGTCATTGGATCGAGGGCGTTGGTAAGGATGTTTGGGCTGCATAGACGCTTTACCTGTATTCTTTCTAGCCGCTTTTATCTATAATGAACAGGAGTGGTTACTTCTCGCATTGAAGCAATGCCTGCTCAGATTATTTCCGAGAAATATAAATTGAGGCCAGGCCAGGACTGATTCCGTGGCCATTCAAAGTAATTAAAACATAGAGGATCCCAGCAAGACACATCCAATCAGCCAGGCCGGCCACCACACACACCAGACCACCACTTGTGTCCACATACCCCACACATCCCAGCCAAAGGCAGCTTGTGTCAAGACAGTCTCAATAGGCACGCCTGTATACCAACAGATGCCGATGAGAACTGTGGGTGGAGAAAGAATATTCAGCAGTACTAGCCCCAGGCTGGAGATGGCATACCGCAATGGCGCAGCACCTTCGAGACGGACAACAAAGCTGAGCGGCGTACAGAGAAGACCGATCATAAAGGCGAGGGAGAAATTGAGGGTCGCCAGAGTGGAAAGCGAGAGGCCAAGCAGGAGCAGCGCGAAAGACTTAATCAAGAGGTACTGCTGACGAACGATGGGCGTCGAGATACCCAAGCCATTGGAGAGTAGTGCGGCCAGAAGTAATGGAAGGACGATATCTACGGCGACGAAGATATATGTCACGGTCGTGAAATACTATCATACCAGTCAGCGTATGATTCATTCTATCATCATCGTTTCAATAGCTTACCTGATGGAAGATGGTATTGAATATCCACAACGGAACCAAGCCCAGCAAATGCAGTCCGCTGACAAGAGTAAGTGGCAAAGCCAAAACTCGTTCCGCAACGGCACTTCCATCAGTTTTGGTCTCAGCAACATCTTTCTGAGTACCGGGACTGGAGGACTTCTCGCTCTTTAACTTGGAAGACTCAGAACCAGTGGGGCCACTCAGCTTAGGGTCCGAGTGGTAGCCTGTCCGCATCCACAGTGCGATTGCCATGATAGTAAAGTTACCGGCAAGCAGCATGGCACTGGGCAGATATGTTCCAATACTGACGAAACGGTTGGACTGCATGAGCAGGTAAAAGAAGAAACTCTGGTGGAGGTGCTCGAGCAAGTTGTTCAAGCTGCGACAGAGACTCTCGATCGTCCGACCTAAAGCCATTTCGTCTTCCCAGCCTTCGCCCTTAGGCTGGAGAGTGATGGCATCGATGTGATATGGCATGAAGCTGCTATGCGCTCCAGTGGCATAGCCAAGTCCTTGCTTGGTCATGCCTCGCAGAATGGTCTTCAGACGCGCCTCGTAGCTGTCGTCATGCTGCCACATCTCTTGAAGATTGGCTCCGATGCCCATTTGCCCACCTGCGATGGCCACGGCTGTGTTGAAGAGATCGAGATTCGGCAATTGGCCATTAACCCCATCGTAGACGATGTGGAGCGTCTTGAAGCGGTGATCGAAAGGGTATTCGATGACCAGCGCGCCTTGCAATGCTCCACTCTTCAATGGCAGAGGTTGCACAGATGATGGGTGGAGGTCATGGTAGGCATCGATCCATGCCTGAGTTCCGGTCTTGCTGTCGGGTGGGAAAATGAAGATGATATCTTTGGACCACAGCGACCAGCCTGACGGAAAGCATCAGTGTTTATCCAAGGATATGGCGCCCAAAGCCAATGGAGAACTCACGTTTGAAGTACCTCGCTAAAGTGAGGGCCAGGGTCACACCATTCAGGTTCAATTCATCGTCTGCAGTCTTCCATGCTGCCACCAACACGATTGCCTCTGTCGCATCGCCCCGCGGCGCATGAATAATCCCATAGACGTTCTCTCCCCGATGTGTGATACCGGCAGATGTGTATTCGTATTTCTGGGTCGCAACTTTCAAACCGGCAGCTTGCAAGATCGAGTGGATCTTATTCGAGATCCTTTTCTCCTTGTCAGCGCCTTTTTCATCTCAGATCGTTCTCCTACCCACTGCACATACGCTGGAGTTGATTCCACCTCGGGATTCTGGGCCCCGTCCTCACGTTCCTCGTTTATCAAACCTTCCAGTTCTTTCTTGTAGCCTCGGAAGATATTCTGCTCGCTACCAGTGAAATAGGCATGCACCTGGCCCGGTAGCAGCGCATTTTCGGAGATGTAGGTTTGTCGGGAGTAGTCGTTCAAGGGGAGGAGGAGCAGCCAGACAACGCCGACGACGATGCAGAGCAAAGATAGAAGATTTGGAAGGCGAACGAAGAGGAGCTGAGGATCGCTCCGCAGGTTGCGGATCGCAGCTGGCATGATATACCTGTCAGGGCTTTGATCTCGTTTCGAGTAATGGGTTTCGTGGGGGGAAGGGGGATGGTTGTTCAACAAGGATTTATTCCCAAACTCACATTTTAGCGCCATTGGATGAGAACCATTGGCGGATCCCTTCCCACTCCTCCACGGCGAGCCTGTCAATTGAGATGGTCCGTCGAGTTGGACAGTCAGTGGCCAGCTTGTTGCGGACCGCGGAGCTCGGTGTTTGTCAATGGGGAATTTACGACGGACGGAATAGACCAAATGCGCAGAATTATAGATGCAGTCGCTATGCTATGATCCGATCCAAACCCCACAGCCTTGTACCCTGCAGACAAAAAAGAAAAACTATGGCAAAATATACACGGAAGATTAAGTAGATACTGGCATAATAGAGAGGGTTCAAGCGCCCAGGCGCTGGTTGGAACCCAGGAAGCTCATAGGCACCTGGTTTCCGTTGTTGCCAGCTGCGCTGTTCGAGGGCAGAACGCCATATCGGCCGTAGGTCTTCTGGTCGACGGACACATAGTGCGGAAGTCTTCCTAGGAGATTTAACTTGCCCTCGATCCATCGCAGGACCTTCTCGGGGGGCACAAAGATCTTCAGATAACCGAGTCCAACTGGATAAGTCAGCGATTGATAAATTATGGGATGAATAGGCGGAGACTCGGGAGGATTCTTACATAGATACCCCACGAGTATAGCGCAGAGATGGCCAAGAAAGCTGACACTTGACACCAGGATGGAAAGGACGGCACAGGCAAGCAACGGCGATGTCCAAGTGGGAATCTTGTATGGGCCCAGGCTGAAAGTCTGTTAGCAATGAATGAAGAAGAGTCTCGATAATTCAACTCACCTGAAGTAGGGGTTAGACTTGTACGTCCGGATCGCCTCCGAGCCCAAAAGCAAAAAGACCCAAACACTTTGAACTCAATTAGATCAATTCAGAAAGACCTGCGAATTAGACAGAACTCACCTTGCGCCAACGACCGGGGTATTGCTGTGCAAGATAACCTTCTCAATTAAAATGTACAACCCCGCTGGGAACGTAGAAAGCGCTGTCCAAGGACGTATCGAGTTAGTAAATTGAACGAACCCTGGATCTGTGCAAATGCCTATCACATCTAATACTTGGTATCGTATGGAAAAACTCACGTCCAACAAAAAGGGCAATCGAGGTAAGTGTGCCATGCTCCGCCTCAAACCGTTCCAAGAGTGGTGTCAGCGCCAGCGCATTCAATGCTGCGTGGAAGAAACCAGTATGGATGATAGGGTAAGTATTGAGTCGGTACACTATAATATTTGTTAGCACCGTCTCCCTAAGGTAGTTTTGAATGCCGAGATTATCAGCAGAGTGGCACATACTCGTCCCAAGGTTGATTTCATCCGGAATTAAGGACCCCCATGGTACCACGCTCCAGATACTCTGAAGTTCTAGCAACCAGAATGCGAGAATTACCAAAAGTACAACACGCGTAAAAAGCGGCAACCGCACCAGGTAGGATCGGACCCTGCCAGGGTTGAAGGGCAGCGGAGGCAAAGCAGCCGGCGTAGCCATGTCGATTGGCGGGCAGCGGGCGGCGGGCAATGGAAGTTTAAAAACAAGTCAAGTGTACAGGACCACAAGTGACGTGGATCCAGATGTAAGTATGCCGATTTCTAGGTGGGATCTCAAGACGATCGCCGTACTCTAGACTCGGGCTTCGAGGGGGCAGGTAGGACGATCTGGCTTTTCTCGGTGAAGTACGCGCGACGACCAAGGGACAGATCTCGATTCGGCAGAGATCTTGTCGCTTACGGTGCAATAGAAGGGAAATCACTGTAGAGTAATGATCACAGTTAGTGAGTCCACGGGATGATTGTCACTGAACATGCCGACTTGGTGTCCAGCGTTTGCCAGGGATGGACTTACGAGACGCACGCGATCGGTTCGTCAGGCTTCGAGGACGCGACGAGCGGGGCAAGATAAAGCACAGACCATCAAAGACTGAAGGAATCAAAGGCGACAAAGCCAAGCAAGCGACGGCAATCTTCCCACGACAAGGAAGCAGTCGAGAGAGGCGTTCGTGAATGCTCCGGCGTTCCGTAGACTCTGGGGCTTCGGCAAAGAAGGGCCGCCGCGCCGATCCCCGCTAATCCCAATTAGGAAAGTTGACTCTGCAATCGACCCATACGAGCATGACCCGAAATACGAGGAATGGTCATGATAATGATAACGACTACCTTGCCAGAGATGAGATCTAGCCTTTTGCTATCACGGTGGAGATATTGGCTTTTATTAAGAGAGTGATTTCTATCATAGTTCAGATGCTGCAATTTGAAAAATTCTTGCTGCGCCGCCAGAGAAAGTTCGGTTGGCTGGGGTATGTGCTGGAAGTCGGTATTCGATCTTGGTTTCCTCGACCTTCAATTTTTTATGATCTCTTCAATAGGGTATGGATACAGAGCCCGCATAACCTGACGAGAATAATTTGAGGCGGTGCAAGGCAGATCGCGATTTCTCCATTAAGCCAAGTTCTCATGCATGCAAAAGTACCAAGTCACCAAAATCAGGCTCCACACGCGCAATCCAACACAGTATGATCTCGTCTACCTATGTGGGCGTAGGAAATCTCAAACTAGGTAAACGCATTAATTGATAAGAAAAGTTTTCCCCTGAAATGCACGGATTCTATTTAGAGATAGAAAAAAAAACAGAATATCGACTAGCCTTGACTGAGGAAGGGAGAGGACCAAGAAATCCATTGGGCACGAGGAACCCACGAGTTTTAGGGACCAAACAAGGGGGCGGATCTTCACTTCCTACCCCATCGCTTTATTGGCAATCAGGCTTCAATACCGTGTACGGCGTTTAATTATATTAAGTTAGAAAGCTTGATCCAAATTTACAAGATAAGCGACAATCTCCCAACATGGACACCAGACTTATTTTTACACCGTCGCATGACTTGTCTAAAATAGATCTAGTTAGCCCATGCATTAGCCTCCATATTTTGTGGTAGCCACAGCTGGATTTAATTATCATCGCATTAGCTTCTAACGCGCGGTGGCTTTGCCATCTGCCCGTTCGTCTACAGCCTAGCAGGGGTGATAACAATCTAGTCGCTAAAATAGGTTTTCCTTTGCCAGATTTTACTTTCTGCCTTGCCGGATGATGCACACCTTTCAGGGGAGGCAGCAAGACGGAAAAGTTATTTAATTCCAGTTTCGCCTCACTTAATCTCAGATCTACCATAACTTATACCCTTTCACCTTACAACTCCGGTGCTACCTTTTCTCGCCTATCTCAAATTTTTACTTGCTTTTCACAGAGAGTAGCATATAGGGGCTTGGGCTATCAAGGCCATTTTCAGTCGCTATTATGGAGTCTGGCCGCAATTCTACTCCAGATCCGGATGCAAACACACGCGCATCTGATCTAGACTTTGTGACTTACAACGAGGATCATGAGATATGCAATCCTGATGGAGAACACAGGGCTACCAAACTGCTCGAAAGATGCCAATCTATTCTGGACGGAAATGGAAGCCTTGCTCGGCATTCCTACCGAGACCCTTATGTTCTCTACGGGAGCACACTCGAAGAGAATATACGAAGAGAGCTCAATCATCGTCAGCCATATCTGGTAGTAGGGGACAACGCACAAGATCAGCCCACAAATTCCCTCAACTGGGTCGATATTATTCGAGAGGCAAAAGATACCGATTTCACCCTCCAAGATGATGGCACATATCACTATCAAACCCGGGGGCTCTTGATTCAGTTATCTGAGCACGAATGGAGGTACATTCTCGGGTTCCCTAAACTTCTTGAACCGTGGCCACATCCACAAGATTTGAAGATGGAGGATGTGATAGTTCGGCACTTGATTGGAGAGTTGGAAACATATGAGCAAGCACTGATGGCTGGTGAGTAGCTCCTAAATCAGTATTGAGATTCATTGATATTAATTTGTATTGTCAGCCGTTAAGCGCAAGAAGGTAATTGTGACAAAATTGAATGAACGCCGTAAAATGGTTCGTCACTATTTGACAGCTCAATCACAACCGTCTGCGACGCTTGGTTCTCCCATTCCTCGTTTGCCATCTAAGGAGGCTTCTCCTGTGAACTCCATCATACATGATACGAGAGGCGACATAGCCTACGCGACTCCTACCCAGCTTCCTTTGAGCACTGATCAATACTCAGAGCAGAACATGGAAATACATGGGGATCAAACTGAAAATTCTCTCGGACCCAGTATGGATATTGAACCAAACACGGAGCAGAGAGAAGGAACCCGAGACACTGACATGCCAATTTTCAACGGACGTCCACCTACAAGCACCCCGCAGGCGGCGGGCTGGACAATGGATGACTTGCTCAACAATCCCATGGCATTCTCTGATTGTGAAAGTTCGGAGCCTAGGGACTTGGAGAGTCCTCATACTCCAACTTCGAAGCGACGACCGCCACTGATTCAGTCAGAAGAGGAGAAGAAAAGTGGATATAAGTTTGTCAAAGACCGGCTGGCCTCTAAGATGGCTTGGGATCAAATCTCGCAGGAATACAATACAGCATTTGGCATAGATTGTTCGAAGCAATCTTTGATATCTCTTCATGATCGAAAGAAAGGGGAACATGGAGACAAAAGGCAATGGGTATGAGAAGCCCTTATGCCGCGCACTAATAAAATGCTCCTGGCAAGTCCCCGCTCACATTTGTCATAGTCTGCATCTCGCCGCGGAGCGAGGTCGTCTCGAGTATCTCGAACCCGCCGTTCATGAAGAACACCTACTACTGGTACCAGCCAGCGCCAACCAAGTGGTACAAGTGCGTGGCCTAGGGATGGTCGTTTTCCACAAAAGGGCCTACAATTCTAAGACATTAGCTCGCCCAGCAACTCCAGAGCAAAACCGTCCCCTGGCTTGGATTTGTTGACCACAAATTATCGCCCCACGGTAGAATGATTTGGATTGTATGAGACAAGTTGAAATACTGATAATTGCCGAGTAGAAGTACTCGATGAGAATGTAAGCTATTTGCAAGAGCATTTTACTTACAGTGTGCTAGTAAGGTCACGTTTCATTCAGCATAGCTGCTCAAGCTAAAAACTATCAGAGAATAAGCAGTCATCGTAGGAGGAGCCACCTCATCAATTACCCCAAAGTGTAGCCGGTCTTCTTTGGAGAGTCAGTCAGATTTCAATAGTATGTGATAACATGCAGCAACCTTGCGCAAAACTGACAAACCCCTATCTCTCAAGGCAATCATAACATTATCAAGAACCCAAAAAGCCCCTCCAGCCGCGAGTCAGGTTCTGCCAGCCAAATCTAATCTGCTTCAGTGGCATAATTTGGATACCTTAGGGTGTTGTTTGAATACATGAAGATAATGCATCATGTTGCTATGTTACCTTCACTGAAACTAGGTTGTCAAAGGGTTCTAACTGGTTGGTCAAGAATCAAGTACGAGCTTTCATCAATTCACTCGCCAGCAGCCATACTCCATGTACTGATAAATCAAAGCTTAACTTCCCAACTGTTCGGATCCCAGGGATCACAAGTCTCATGGTCTCCTTAGAATCTGGCCTTACAAAGCTACCTTCGCTGCAGAGCAGCTAACAACATTGAATCGATAAGATATTTCATCAAGATTACTTCCGCTAGCAAATTAATTTTGTTTTTAGCGGCTATGGGTATTTGAAAAGTCAGCTTGCCCTCATTGGTGAATTTCGTTTTGATGAAAGAGCTAGTGCTTTCCTCTTTGGGATGTTCCGGGCTCCGTGTGTGATGCCCCGCAGCGCCTGTGGTTCCTTTCTTTGATTTTACGCTTTCCGTCTCTTTTACTCCGTAGATTTGCTTAAATAGCCCGATTCCCTACGCCTTTTTTGACATTCGATTTTTCCGTTTCCTCTGCGCCCAGCGGCGCGAGCCACGGCCTTCAGCTTAATCAGAATTCTAATACATAGATTCGGCTTTGCCTATTTCATTGTGACTACTATTCAGTTCACTTTTGAGTCTTGAATCTTTGGGAAAGGGGGAGGGGTAAGTGGGTTCGGTAACACCTCTTGTGACTGGTCAAGTTCCGAATCCGATCCGTGTCATTTCGGCGCCATGTTGTTATAAAGCCTGCCTTCGTAAATCGACTGTTGCATGTTCTTTTCTGCAGCCCCCTTTTGATTTTCTTTGCTTACCCGTTATTATCTTCCCTCTTTCGACTCTTTAGGCAGTACAAGGCTCCGATTTTCGTGATGTTAAAAAGCAATGTATCGCAACAGTCATTTTTGATAGATCTCTTTGTCTCATATTGTTGATATGAGGAGACATTGTTATAAGAAATACAGACTCAGCCTTTCCAACTTGGTCATCTCAGCAGACCCCAAAATATAGTCAAATAAGCTTCTACTGACAGCTTCTTAACTTTGAGTAAGATCAACGGTAACAGAAGGACGAATGCCCGGAGAATCTCCAACCCCATCTTGCACATCCTTCTCTGGTTGGGATGGTGGCAGACCAGACAGCGTGGGAGTGTACGTCGGCATTGGAAGCTCTCTCTTAGTGTCGCTTTGAGTGGAGGTCGCTTCTGCGGATGGACTCTGACGTATATTGTTCGTTGGGACAGGACATATTGCCCGATATTCTCTTGCTGGGAGCACGGCTCCGGCAGACTCAGCCTGCGACATCAATGATGAGCAACTGCGTGATGATTTATTGTGTAGACACGACGGAACGGAGATTCTCAATACCACGTATCCTCTCAACCTGCCTCGCTTCAAAGCCTCGTCATAGAATCTCTTCAGAGTCACAATCTTGCGGGCCACGGAAGGAAATTCTTCCAGATACTCATTCCGAATTTGATCCCATTCCATTCCTCTCAACAATCGAATGTGGCAGAAAATTGGCCCTTTTTCCCACTCGAGTCTCGTCCTCCGTGCGCTGTTGCGGGTGGATCGCGATGCTTCGGGCTCCCTAATCTTTGGAGACTGCCCAGCCTCCCTCGCAGATGGCCTACTCTGGGAGTAAGTGTCAACATCTAGAATGTGAGTTTGGTCTGATTGAGACACGACTAGTTCGTTAGGTGTATTGACCGCATCGTCAAAATCCCTGTTTAGGCCGTCAAGAGCTAGAGGTGGGCCACGCGAGCAGTCCACGGACGAGTCGTGGACTGTTGTCACCACACTCCTACAGCCCCCCCTTCCTTGCTTCGGAGACTTTAGAGGAACGTAACTTGTTGTGTGGGATGAGGAATAGGGAATATCACCTCTCATTTCCGTATCGAGGGAGTTGACAGAGGACTTTTCAGAAGGGCTGGGACAAGGTGGGCTGTGAGACCACCGCTCCTCTCGAGATGTGAGGAAGGCACCGACTTCAGAGCCTCGCCGGTTCAGCTTCGCACGAAGCTGCTCAACGGATGAAGTCACTAAATCCATTAACTGTTTAGCCGCTAGTCTAGAACAGGGGGTGGTTCAAAAGGCTCACTTACCATTTCTGCAAGCATCCACCAGCTGCTCAACATGACTTATAACTTCAGCTGTCACCTCGTTCTCCTTTTCTACATCTCCTGGCCAGACTTCCACGAGCCACATCGGGAAACTGAGGATTTCTTCCATTTCTGTCTCGGAAACTTGGATCAGTTGATCCCGGACATAGATCTGATACCCCCCCTCTGTCCGAGTCTCAAATTGACTTAATTTGGCTTTCCGAGCGACGTCGATCCAGCCAATGCCGATGGCCTCTTTAAATACTCCGTTGTCAGCTTCTGACAATAGTGGAGCATGGCGATTGAATGTCTTCCTTATTTGAGCCTCCACTTCACGGGTAGACAATCTCTCATCCATGTAGAGAGCAAGGCTTTCCTCGTCGTCAAGAAGACTCGAGTAGGCATCGATCTGTCGGTATATGGGATCCAAGTTGTTTCGCGCATGATCGAGACTTTTCAGTTGAATATCTTTGCGGCGTCTTACAAAGTTGAGATTCTGCAGGGATCCTCTGCACCGCGGACCCTGGGGAAGCGAAGGGCCGTCTTTGCCCATTTTGGCCACTAGTGTAGTCCTCTGAGTGATTCCAAGAAGAATGGAGAAACGATTATTGGGTGATGGTAAGGAGGTATTAATCGAAGTCAAATGCGGTCTCACTGGATATTATGATTGCTTCCAACTCCTATTTATCTAAAACTCACATAAAGCCCCCCATCTTATGAGCCGGTGGCCAAAAGCTCGGGGCAGGTAACAGGGGATAGATAGAATGCTCCAAAAATTGGATCTGTCACCTTCCAATCATAATGTTCAAGGATTATAATCAGCACGGGTTCTCAATTCGAAAGTATGCATGACTCGGCTCCAAAAAAAAGGTGGGGGGGCGGCGCGTCTTTCGTCTTCTATGTTGTAACTCGTCCTACAGCGCCCATTGCTCTCGAATAAATGTTTGTTTTTTATGAGGGATTTTGTTCTAGAACGATCAGCAAAAGAGTCTATAAATATAGCGCTCCGTACGACCAGGAAAGTTTTCCTGGCGCCACCTTTATTGGTCCTTTTGCGGACCCGGTCAACCCTGGGGTTCTCGGGAGCAGAGTTGGCGAGAGATCCGATATGGTACTATCCCTCCGTATTGGACTACTATGTCAGTATCTACACATATCCGGCGCATTTTTGGAATGAAACACCTGTGCTACTGCACGAGTTGTCACAGCACGACGTAGTGATAGCTCCATATCTAGATCTGATCTTCCCGGCTATAAGCGCCCATAGCATAGCGTGCCTTTCAATGCCAAAACACCAATCAATCATCGCTAATGCGTTTGAGGCCCACCGGGCTCGGCCTGTCGACCCTCATTTGGTCCGAGTTTCCCGGCGTCTTGCATCCAATAGACACCCTAATTCCTCTACGGGATATATTCTTTGTTGTGACCGAAATGAGCTATCACTTTCACCAGTCATTAGTGCTGATTGTCCGTTCAATAAAATCTTGGCTTTCGAGTCTGCCCCGTCAGCCTCGCGTAGCGTTGTCATTCTGGCAGGAAGATCAAACAAATCGCCTTCAAAAAGAAACATGCCCGCGTCCTTGGCAATTTCGGACTTTTGTGCACGAGAAGCAGCCCCCTCTCCCAACGTCAACAGTTTTGTTAACGTTTTCTCCCGTCTTCCTTGTTAAGCCCCTATTTACCCTCGACACGGAGTCGGAACCTACATGGGGCAAACCTCGTATATGCAATGTTTTGCTTCTTCCTCGGTCGGCCACGGTCAAATTTGCTTTGTTTTGATTTCTTACGATAAGTCTCTCCGTAATCTCTGGGCAGTGAGATGCCCGTGTGCTAGATTGAACTTGTAACCACCTGGTTCCAATAGCCTTGGATAGAGTTGGCTCCCAAATATCGTCTAGGGGGACTTTTGTCATGTTTGGTCGGAAGCTCCTTTATGGAAGTGACTGCCTGTATAGCTGAGATTTCCAAACCACTTCCGCTTCCGTTAGCTAGGCGATATTCATTCGTATCCCATCTGTAGTACCTTTTATTACCTATCACTCATCCCTTTTCAAAGGGGTACTTCATGTGCTGCTCAACCAGAAGACTCAACCTAACAAGGTATCTGCGCCGAAAAGAACCAACCCGATCCCAAGAGAAAATAAATATATATATTGAGGTATCTGAGGATGAGCGCATCTCAATCTTCCTGCTTTAAGGCAATTACGTGAAATGCGAGCTCAGCGGTGCCCGGCAACGAACGTGCGGACCAACTGGCCAAGCAAGCCACCGGATGGCGAGCGGAGAAGAAGGACTGCCTCGGACCCCGCGCCCCGCCTCCTCCGGGAATCACAATGAAGACTCTTCAATCTTCTATTAACACCTGGATTCGCCGTACAGTCAAGCAACAGTAGGAGGACGCCTAGGGCAACCCTCCCGCGGGCGCCCCGGGCTAAGCGTTAAGGAAGATCATGCCTCAGCTCTCAAAATCATATCTTGAGCTCTTTCACGGGCTATCGGCGGCAGAGCGGGCCGCGATAGTCTAAGCGCGCACCGGCTACATCGGGCTAAATGCCTCGCTCTACCACATCGGAAAAGCAGACACAGCTACTTACCCCGGATACGAGGACAACGAAACAACCTATTACATCATCCTCTTCTGCCTAGCATACAACGACCTCCGGCGAAACTCCTAGCCCTACGGACCCCCGACATTACTAGACCAAGCCTTAAACGACATAAAATACGTTAAGGAATGGATCCCTCTTGCTTGTCAGGGCTTGGCTTGCATTTAAGCGGGCTGGATTGAACGGGCCAATGGCCCCGCCGGCTTCCTACTAGTAACAGGCCGACTTACCTACCTACTTCCACCGCCGGATATCGAAAGCTTAGACCGGGACTCGGACTCGGACGACTAACCACCGCAGGACACAGGAATACTTCTCTCTGGATCACTAACGGTAGGTAGCCCTACACAAGGATGCCGGGTCAACCGCGTAGGAAGGCTTTACGTAGGGGACGCGAGTATAATACGCGACTACCTCCGATTTACCGTATTCCTAATTCTCCCTCCTAAGGAATTCAACATTCTAGAAGGAACCTTATATTACAAGATACAACCGTCAGTACGAGCTACGAGACTACTAGTCCGAGGGATACAGTACTTAGAGGATAGAGACACAGAACAAGGGTACACAGAAAACTACTAGGCCGCACTACGAGACACACGCCAAACCACACCCCGAACCATACCTTAAGCCACTCCCCAGACAGTCCGACAAGCCAACACAGGCCGTACATCAAGCCGCATACCAAACCGCACACCAAGCCGCACAGGAAGGGAAGAGGCGAAGAGAACCATAGGAAAGGGGTAGGAAAGCGAGGAACAGCCAACTGGCCAAGAAAGGGGGAATCTGTACATAAGCATCCATCCTCATCCCCACAGGATAAGGCCTCGCGGCCGCTGGCAACTCGGAAAGAGCCCCAGACGGGAGCTGAAATCGAGTATAAGGCAATAATCAATCAATCAATCAATCAATCGTGAAATGCGAGCCTATGATTCCTCGTGCTAGGTAGACCTTGAACTCGACGGGCAGCGCGGGCCAGTCTAATAATCGCTCAAATGCAGTTTTCACTACTTGAGACAGCTATGTAAACCTCATGTACAGTATGTATCCGGCCTAAACACAATTTGACTACACCAGGTTGTATTCGTGCTGCCCATAATCTACGTATATGGTGATGCGCCTAAGATAGATCCGTCCAAAACGTCGAGTATATAAAGACATTTGACTGCAGCGCTAAGAGCGTACGAGCTACGCTTCCTTGCCTCAGAACATTGACGACTTGATCGCGCAGATTGCCATTTGATAGCGTGGTAGAGGATTTGGTCTTTTTAATATCACCCCCGAAAAATTATATACGTCTGTTCCTCATGCGCTCATTCCGAAAGTCTCTGCAGTCCACAGCACACAGCGACTCAAGTGTTGTATTCCCAATGTACTGCTGATTCGTGACCACGGGGACCGGGATGAGTTCATTTCAAGTGATGTTGGTCATCAAAGCATCTCCACACGCGGAGGGAACCCCTGAAGGAGTAGTATTAAACAACTGCAGGGCTGATGTCTGTAGGGACAGCGCTGCTACCGTCAACACCCGCCCGAGAGATGAGCTTGATTTCATAATGGCGGCCATCCTCTACCCGAGATAATGAAGTTTAATCGAAGAATGTATCCGGTGTCTAAGGAGAAAGACCGACTTGGTGTCGAAAATGAATCAGAGTGGGTGGGCTAGGACTTTATCTAGGTATAGGCTTCGGCAGAACCCAAGTTTTCCCGACCCAACCCCAACCCAACCCTTGGGGATCTAATTAGGTAACAAATATTATAAACACACTAAGATTCTGGACCTATATAAATTATACATTTTAAGGTAGGATTATCTCTATTATTTAGAGGTAATCGATAGTAGAAAGGCTCTTATTATTAAGATATAGAGTAATAGTCTATATTGATTATATCTTGATAATTTTAGTATATATTCAGGCTTATAACTATTAGACGATATAAAATCTATATCGGCTAGTATGTAAGATATCTAATAGGATAATATTAATCAGATTAATAATAATAAAGATAGAAATCAGGGGGAACGGCCTATTAAGAGGTTTCCCCTATCCGGACGGACGTATAGGCGCCCACATAGCCGATACTCAGCTATTATAGTACAAAGCCTAAGTATTTCGACAACAAGCTCTAACTATAACTATAGCTAATTATCGCTGTTATAAGTAAAGAACATGCCCATGCCTAGTATAGTACTCTGCCCTAGCTGAAATTGGTTCTCAGATAGGCCTGCACCGGTCAGGTTCAGATGCATAGGGGCTGGGAGTACGGCACAACGAATGTCAGTTATTGGGCGTATCCAATCATTCGAGGCCTAAAGCAGGACTAAAGGAGTTGAATAAGTGGATACCTAAAATGAGTTTGAAAATTAACGACTGGTATAGCCGTACCTCGCCTGCATTCTAGCGTGACGATGATGATGATGATACTCTATTAACCTAATACAGCCTAACTAGTGTCATATGGCTATGTAGTAGACCTTGGTAGGGACCGTAAGGGACTACGGTAATATTTAGAGCCTATTATATATAAAATTACTACCGCAAGTTAGTAGAGGCCAAAGACATCATTATTTGCTGAAAATCCAACTGTTTGTGAGCTTTATTCAAGACTTGATGATATCAGAAAGCGTTACTGTGAGCCAATCTGCCAGTGACTATAACCTAGAATTCGTTCATGTGGTTGCCCCCACTAAGCTCCTCAACACCAGTCCGCACGGTGTAACTCTACAACTTCTACCACTTCATTACTCGTCTCGAAACCTCTGAATTTCTTGACTTCGTTCAGTATGGTCGTGGGCGCTCTTGCCTATTACGTGCTGGGTCTGAGGGAAAGAATCTGACGGTCGGATATGGCATGTAATATAGATCTCCTTCCAAAATTTACCTTCGGCATGAATAATAGGAAGGGTTTCACTCGTCAGTAACGTAAGTCTTGTTATGCTTGGCAA